GAGGGCACGGACTTATAGTCCCGGTTCGTGCCCCGCTTATCCGCCCAGAACCTGCGGGGAGACAGGGTAGCTTCCCCGCATGGCCCACTCTCAACATCATGGAAATATCCGGCAAAGTGGCCGACTGGGGTTGAGCCTTGGTTTCTAATCGTCAAAGTCACATCTTCGTAGCATCACTGTCCTTACAACCTCTCACGTCGTTTGGCTCTGCTTTTCAGCTGGACGCAGCACGCGTCAATCGCCATGTCGTCTACCAGCGAGTCGTTCACGCTCCCAAACGGGCGACAGATGGCCTATACCCTGTCGTCCGGCGCTTCCTCCGATCGCGTGGTTCTTCTCTCCAATTCATTGGCCGAAGATCTGACTTCCTGGGATCGCGTCGTGCCTGTGCTGGAAAACCAAGGCTTCCGCGTCCTTCGCTACGACCATCCTGGCCATGGAAGATCGGGTGCACCTATGGAAGCCGAATTGACCTCCATGACATTCGAGACCTTGGCGGACGACGTCTACTATCTTCTCAAACACCTCAAAATCAACCAGTTACATGCTTGGGTCGGCGTCTCGATGGGCGGCATCAAGGCCGTGTACTTCACCGCGCGCCACCCGGGCATCGTGAACAAGATCGTCGTGGCCGACGCCATCGCCGCTTCCCCGGCCGTCGCCGGCATCCCTGATAACTTCGCCGCGCGGGTAAGCGCCGTCAAGCAGTCGGGTTCCATCTCGGAGGACCTGTCAAATACTCGGAAGCGGTGGTTCGGTGAAGACTGGATGGCGAAGTATCCGGAGGAGACGGCGAGGATGGAGGCTTCCATGGCGACAACGACAATTCAGGGGCTCGAGGCGTGCTGTGCTGCCCTTAGAAGCCCGTCGTTCGACCTGAGGCCGCTATATCCGAAGGTGGGGCCCGGCTGCCAAGAGGCGCTCATTGTCGCCGGGGAGAAGGATGCGGACCTTCCAGCCAAGATGCAGGAGATGCGGCAGGCGATCGAGGAGAGCCTCGGGAGCTGTGGAAAGAAGGTGCCCGTGAGGATGGAAATCATCAAGGACGCCGGGCATGTTCCCTACATTGATGGTTTCAAGGACTTCTGCGAAATTATCACCAAATTTCTTGCCTAGATAGCACTCACTCTGCTTCACGATTATAAATGTCTTTGATTTTCTTGTCAATCTAGACTTTGCATTAAACCCAATTTTGACAGTTATTCCTCAGCCGCATTCGTGGTGTGATGTCCTAGTCCCATAGCTCGTCTTCGCTATATCTAATCTGGGTAGTAAGTGCGCGCTAGTAGGCAAATAGAAGCAACCGGGAGTTGGCGCCGACTAGGATGTGTCAAGACAAACGAGGGCCAAATCCTAGGCAAAATAACCTCTAGACCAAAAATGCGCTATAGGCAACAGTCTTAGTCTAGACCGTCATTTATTGCGCTGACCGGATGCTCTCCGACGACCGGCCAAAGTGCGGCGAGGGTGGGTCGAGAGCGACACCCGTCGGGTGCAGTCTTCCGATGGCCAACCTCCAGGGGAGAGGATCCACCAATGCAGAGGATCGCGGTCGGGGAAACAAGAGTGTCTCAAAAACGCGGATCTCCGTCAGTCGCATTTGCCATCATGAGTTCTATAAAGTGATCTTGTTTGAGATAGCGAATCGACATTGGATGACCTACTTGAGCAGACCGAGGAGACAATCAGAAACCAGAGAAATTCCTGTCCGACGAAATAGCAAGATGACTCACGCGTCCAGATCATTGAACCTTCTCATCGTCGGCGCCGGCTTGGGCGGCCTCGCGACGGGACTGGCTTTGCAGACGGACGGCCACAAGGTCACAATCATCGATGCAGCTCCCGAGTTCGCAGAGGTAAGGCATCCCACAGCAGATGGCTTTGTGAACATGCTAGATCGAACAGAAGAAATCAATTTACTAACACCAGAGGTTCGCATAGGCCGGAGCGGGGATCAGGATCCCACCCAACTCGAGCCGGCTGCTCATGCGATGGGGCGTTGATCTGGAGAGGATGAAGAAGTCGACTTCACAGAGATATCACTTCATTCGCTGGAAGGATGGCAGCACCATCTTCGACTTGCCCTTCAACAATATCGTCGAGACACACGGAGCGCCTTACTGGCTGGTCCACAGAGCGGACCTGCACGCCGCTCTGCTCGATGCGGCCCTGAAGGCCGGCGTTAAGGTCCTGACCAGCAAGCGTGTCACGTCCTACGACTTCGAGGCGCCGAGCGCCACCACACATGATGGCGAGACCTTCAAGGCCGATCTGATCGTCGGCGCGGACGGCATAAAGTCCATTTGCCGGCCCCTTCTTACCGGTCAGCCGGATGTCCCACGGGACACGGGCGACGTCGCCTACCGGATCCTCATCCCTGGCGAGAAACTACTAGCCGACCCAGACTTGGCCCATCTGATCCGTGACCCCTGCACGACATCATGGTGTGGCCCGGACGCGCATCTGGTCGGCTACCCGATCCGCAACGGCGAGATGTACAACATCGTCGTATGTGCCACCTCCTACCACGAGACCACGGACGAGATCTGGGTCGTCAAGGGCGACAACAGTGAGCTGTGCAAGCGCTTCGCCAGCTGGGAACCCCAGGTGCAGAAGCTCTGCGCCCTCACGGGCGATTTCATGAAGTGGCGCCTGTGCGACCTGCCCAACCTCACCCGCTGGACGCACCCCTCAGGCAAGGCCGTGCTGCTGGGCGACAGCTGCCACCCGATGCTGCCTTACCTGGCCCAGGGCGCTGCCCAGGCCTTCGAGGATGCCGCCGTCCTGCGCCGGGTGCTCGCCCAGGACGTGGACATGGCCGCGGCCCTCAAGCAGTATGAGCAGATCCGCATGCCGCGGGCAAGCCTGGTGCAGGCCAAGACTCGTGAGCATCAGTATATCCTCCATGTCGACGATGGTCAAGAGCAGCAGGACCGGGACAAGAAGATGGCTCTCGATGCGGCAGAAAACCCAGTCTTCTGGGGCTATGGTGACCGGAGAAAATGGCTCTTTAGTCATGATGCAGAGGTGATCCAAAAAGAAGGGGCGAACTGGAGAGTTGGGCCCAACATGGATGGCGTGCATGTTTCTTAGATTATTGTGGCAATGCGTTCGGTAACTACCTGTAGAATTACCAATTTTCATTCACGACAGCGGGTGATTCGCTATTCTGAGAAATCGCACTCAACACGGTTGATATAGCTAGAGTTAAAATCAATTCCATCAAAAGACAAGCAACTGTTCTTCGAGCACTCGGCAATACACTTGATCACAATCCCTTAGCTAATTTATGTATGCTTATAAATTCCAAGATATCCCCAATCAGTTGATCAGCATGGGTGACTTGGAGTGCTAGAAACGAAATTAGTAATCCTGAAACAGAGGATCAACCAGAAGGATAGCTATACCATGAGCTCCCTTTTCATAAATCTTCACCTGAGTTCTCGGAAGGATTTCCTTGATCAACTTTGTGCTCTTCTCATAGGGCGCACCCGTATCTGAGTCCCCATGAAGACAGACAATAGGTATGTGGTTGTCCAGTTCCAAGTCGAGAGAGTTTCTCGCCGAAATCAGCCTCTCTCACAATATGAGCGCAGCGCTGAATAGCAAGCCCATCGGCCTCTCCAACGATTCTCTCATGCTGCCTCAATATCTCTGGAGAGATAATAACCCCTGTGTCTCCGGCTATAACGCCGGGGAGAGAGGCATGGACAAATTCGGCTCGGGACCTTTGGAGACCGTCACAAATTTTATCCCAAACTGCTTTCGGTCCTGCAGAATGATTATCAGTTCCGGGTAGTTTGCCCGGAAGCGCTGGAGATATCCAGATGAGGCCCTATGCTCGCTTAGCAAATAACGAAATTTGTGAAAGGCAAGGGTAGTACTGCATGTACTTTGCAATTTTTTCTGAGATATGCACTCTCTTCCATCGCTAAGATACTCTCCCCAGGTCCCATACTGGAGGCGACAAAAGCAAATGGCCCAACTTCAAGAAGTTTTTCAAGCATGTGCACGATGTCCTGAGCAAACGTTCGATAGGTTATGTTTTCATCACTCTGCGGACCATCCCAGTCGCTTTGGCCGAAACCACGGCGATCGGGCGCGAGGCATCGGAAGCCATAGATCTCACATATCTGCACAGTGATATTCTCCCACATCAGCGAAGAGTATGGCCACCCATGAAGAAAGACGAGAGCTGGCTTGGCGCTTCCTGTATCCGCTCTTCCACACCCATCTGCGCCGACAGGTCTGTAGTCGCGATAGAACAGCTGGGCACCGTCGATAGGGCTTGTGTATCGAGGCATTTCCAAGCAATTTATGACAGATAGATTTGATCGATATTATAAGACTCCAGTTTTCTTCTTTTTTTCGGACTGCTTTTTGTTGAAAACCTGGGACTGGAAATAGTGAGACGAGGATAGAAACACTCGCGAATTTATACTGTAGATCGTTGGTGGCCCTTGCAAACTAATGTTATCTCGTTATTTCGCAAACACTCGTATTATTCATCGTATAAGCAAACTTTGATTTCTGCTATTTCCTGTCGGTAATAATGGTCATGTCTACTCCATCCAATATTGTGGCTGGGAACATAACGTTATGCTCGTGTGCGGAAGCAGTAGGGTGGTGGCTGTAAGTGCCTACCCGGCCCGCCGATATGGCGTCGCATAACGCAAGTCCCGAAGACGATAGATGATGCCCACGCCTGGGCGGTCGCTTGCGACTGAGCTGTTGTGCCCTTTCAACTAGCAAAACATATTATGGCTCTCTTCGGACAGTTTTATCTAACAATAAATGTAATCGCCTGGAAACGGTAGATCCTAAGTTTTGAGCTAGTTGACTGCCGATAAACTTAACGTTATGCCTATCGAGTATATGAGGAGCGAGGAAGAAGTCGATAAAAGATCCGTAACATACCACCCGAAGGTATATTTGACATTTAATTAACAATCAAAGAACCTGTCATTCCAGATCAACGCGAATATCTTCCAGTCGGCGTCATGTCTAGCAATAACTATTCCATCCACTCCATCATCGCGGCGTACGGGCTCGGTATTGCCCCGCACGGATATTACCTCGTGAAAATGATGGCCAACTCCAAGGGGCAATCAAGCAACATTCTGTATGTTATTTGGTGGCTCTATTAAAGCAGCACTTTGAGTTAACACAGGCATAGGCCTCGAGAGAATCTTTCTAATTTGAAGGGTTGCATTCCCGGCCAGGTCTGGGACAAACTTGCCAGAGCTCGCGGCGCACACCTGAATGCCATGGAAGGAGTTCCCATGTTTGCTGCTGCAATGGTATTTAGTTCTTTCTTATCTCATGCTTCATCCGGCGATGCTAATGACTTTCTTCGATATAGCTGGCTGGTAATCTGGCAAAGCTTCCAGCAAAGGACCTGAACTGGATGGCGGTTGACTATCTGTGTGCACGCGTGTTGTACACGTTGGTCTATATGGGAGCCAGGTCGGAAGCGACCAGCTATCTTCGTACTGGAATTTGGGCATGGAGCATTTCGGTCCCTATTTGGGTGCTTCTCAAGTCCGCGAATGCTTTCCATGGCCAGGAATAATCTCCTCATAGAAACTGCTGCTTTAGACTGCATGCAATAGGGAATTCAAGTTCTTCTTTTTTGATATATCGTGATCAACTCAACCAATTTTTTCCCTATTTGCCTTCATCACTTATGGCTTTCCAGTGCTAATATTCTCTCGCCTCTGTTACCTCGAGCCCGATTACTTCTTTCCACGACGCTGGTCTCAAATGCCCACCACCACCTCTCAAATACCACTTGGCCTATCTCCCAAACACATGGCTCAAATGGATCGTCGCCACTAATTCTCATTCCTTCACCCCCTCCATCTTCCATGTCGTAGACTAACCGGAGAAGGCCCATCGGATCCTGGGCATTCGGCGGCCGTAGATTGGGCGGGAGATGGAACACATGAATCAATTTGTCTCGGGTACTTGGCCAAGGGAGAAGGTCGATTATTGGATGGTGGGGAATGAGGCGCTGAGTAGGGGTTGGCAGCAGGTGAGACGGAAGTTCAGTCAGGTCCACAGAGTTTGCTGGTGATGTTGCCGAAGTGGACAAGCCGGTTTCCAAAGACGGTGGCGATGAGATGGACGTGTGAGATTGGTCTCCCGTATAGAAAGGACTCACAGCTGTAAAATCCCAAATCAACCCATTGATACCCAATCGCTGTGCCACTTTCATGGCCGCGTTGAGAAGAGTGAGGGATGGTACGGCAAGTATCCGATCGTCCGGAAACGTGAAGAATGAAGTATCATCGGCCTGTAGCTCTGCGGATAGATCATACGTGTTTTCTGTACTGGTCGGCAGATCTTCTGCAAGCTGCTTGTCGATGTCATCAAGGACTTGGGTTTGTCCGATCCAGTCAGAGCATCCTGCCAGCTGCGCCCACGAAGCATCGCTAGAGCTCGTAGTGGGAAGCGCGAGTGATGGTGGCAATTCAAGTAAGCCCGATGCTGAGAGGCTTACTGGATGCAAGTCTCGAGTGTCGGGCCATGATGCAGATTGGAATGCAGCATACGATTCGTCGTTCTGAAAGCTGACATTCACCTGTGCGTCAAAATAGGTGAGGTCGAGATTGGGGGTATTCGCCACATATGGATCGCTTGAAGCAGTACAATGACCATTCTGATCCAGAGGCTTCAAGACATCCTGAGATCCGACTGTTGTCCGCGAGTTATCCCTGCTAGGGTGTCTCCCCTGTTGGTCAGATAAAAGGACCCCAGAAAGCTCAGGGCCATTGGCGCGAGACTCCAGCGCCTGCATACGCTCCTTCTTTCTCTTTCCTAAGATCAATCAGATACATCGTGACCAGAAGCACTTGGTCTAATATTGTACGCAGCGACTTACGATATCTTCTCTGCGCCAGAATATTCAACACTCGCTTGCGCTCCACGGCGTCCTCTCCCGGCATCGGGGGGACGGGCTCTTCCGTTGCCTGTTTGCGGGCCATTTTATAACTACCTCCCGGCAGAGATAGAAATGACTCGAGGCATTCAAACGACAGAATACTGTACTGTCGGATCGGAGGTTCCGTGTGGACAATCAAAAAAAGGCAGGTCGAATCTCGGCGCTCGTATTCGCAGTAATGCGGAATGTTGCGGGGAGTGGCATTTCCACCAGAACCTGTTCAACGTCAACGACAACCTTGTTCTCGACCGCCGCTAATTCCGGGATTTGAAGGAGAATTCGGTAGACACAAATATAGAGTGTATTATGCTTTTATAAACCGCTTTCGATCCCTCTCGTTCCTTGTTAGTGGCTCAGTCGGTGGTAGACTAAACCATGAGCATCTATATATTTCCTCGAGTTCCACAGGTATCAGGCGAGGACGCTTCTGTCACTTCCAGTCATTTCCAAAGAAATCCGAAGCTCGGGAGGTATGAATGATACAAGACGAGCGATCGCAGACTCAATCGCCCCCCACGGAATTCCGATACGTCTGATTTAAATATTGTGACACTATTAGACACTCTACTGTCCACCACCAGAGGGACACAAGGACCAACTGAAAAGGACCGAGAGAATGCGATGGTAAAATCTATCAATCAAGAAGAGATGATGGGAGTAGACTGCATGGATGAAACGACCATTCATTCGCCCATGAAACGCCAGAAACAATAAGAGGGAATCGTCAGGTCTGACCAACAGCAGCAGAAGCACCGCTCTCAGCCTAGCATGCAGAACCAAAGAATAATCAAACACAAAGAACTAAAGTACCATGCTGGCCAGTAACCCAGCAAGGCCCATATCCAAGCCCAATCCACACACTCCAGGACGGAAGTGGCCTCCCTCTATCCCAACCGCTGCAGCGCAGCATCCACATCTCCCAACAACTGCACCAACTCCTTGCCCCCCTCACTCACCCTCCCCTCAATTTCCAGTCCCTTCAACAAGAAATTCTTCGCCTCCTGATACCGGCTCATCTCCGCCAAACACTTGGCAACGCGCCACCAAGCCTTGACATTCCCGACAGGCTTCGAGTCCACACTCGCCTTCGCATCGCACAACCCTTCAGGCCATGCCTGAAGGCCCAAATGCGCCTGCGCGCGGTTCCCATACAAGCCCGCCAACTCCTCGCGTGCCAGTGTAACAGGCTCCCAGCCAGGGCGGGCAACGGCCATCTCGATGGCGTAGGTGTACAGGCGGATGGCCTCGGCGAAGTTGGACTTGCGGTAGGCGGCGTTGCCGCTGTCGCGGAGCTTGGTGATCTGTGCGCTGCGCTTGGGGTTCACGGGGAGAGGGGGTGGAGGGATGTTGGGCGGGTCGAGGCTGATTAGGGAGCGGTGCAGGGCGTTGAGTTCTTGGAGTTCGGCGGTGATGGCTGTTGTTTGAGCTGGGGTTTGCGAGGAGGACGGGAGGAGGGAGATGGCTTTTGTGCTTGGGTCGAGGCGGAGGGGATATTCGTTGAAGATGTCGATTTCGGAGGCCATCCTGGGCGCTGGGGGACTGCGACAGTCCGGGTTTGTGGTTTGGGATGGGAGTCGAATTCTAGTAAACGAATTCTAGTTAGTGTTCCTAGCTTCTAGAGGCGGACGCTTCATAGTTGGCGGTGGTCGTTGAAGCCCGGCGAGTTCGGGCGAGATTTATTGCGGAATGGGCAGACATACCGGAGATATAAAGAAAGCACACAGTCCCACTTAGTAAATACTATTGTCTCGGACTTTCAATGAGTGTACTGTTCGAAAATATCCCGAGATCGCCGTCCGGGGAGAGCGCAAGCTGTCCACACGCTGGCCCGGAAGGCGGTGGCAGAATACTGACCGCGGTGTGCGGACTCGTCTCCACTTGATGCACGGCACGGGAATACACGTTCCAAAACAACTGGAAGAAAGGCCAGGGTGTCCATGGTTCGAAGATGCAGTTTATTTGCCTACATTGTCATTCATTGAGAAAATACAATCGTCACGTGGGAGAAACCCCAGAAGAAACACGCAAAGGCAACGAAGCAAGCAAAGAATAAACAAAAATAATGCGCCAGCCAACACCGCTCCGTGGTCATGTCCAGCACTCAAAAGAAAAAAGCAGAGGGGAAGAACCAATGAGCTGGTTTTGGGGTATTCATAGCCCACATTCATGCCTCCACCATCCATTCTATATTTTCAGCTTTCCATCGGACGCCTTGTCCATCTACCGCCCATATCCGCTCATCGAGGAGCCAAACTCCGACGGTGGAGCGTAGTGTTGCCCGTGAGCACCGCCGTAGCCCGTGCTGTTATAGTCGTGGAGAACCCCTCCGGGCGCAGGAGCAGTGGGATCGTAAGCCCCGTGCATGGCGGTCCGGCCGTGCGCATTGCCAATGTCGTCTATCTCGCTCTGCTGCAGCAGGGCGTAGTCCTCATCCCGGTCACTGGCGGATGGCACTCCCATGCCGGCGCGCCCAGAGCGGAAGTCATCCTCGTCCTCCTCGAAGTCGTGGGCCGGGTTGGAAGAGAAGGCAGCTTTGCTCTGGGCGGCGAAGGTAGGATCGGACACAGCGTCGGGGAGGGTGCCGGTGCGACGGAAGTGCATCACATTGCGGAAAGACATCCAAGCCGTGATTGCGAAAAGGATGCTGCAGAGGATTCTCAGGTTAGCTGCTGGTTCTGTTCCTGGACGGTGCATGAGAGAGGGAGGAGAGATCCACGTACAAGACGATAACACCGATGATAGTGGTCGCTGTGCTAAGGTTGCACTTGCTGGCACTACCATACGCCCAGTTATCGCAACCCTTCTTGCTGCTCGAGTCCGCGCGACGGAACTTGCCGCTGGACGTGCTGCTGGACGTGCTGCTGGAATCATCGCTGCTCGACTTTCCGATGCTCTTCCCTTGCGCAACGTATGAAGCCAGGCAAACCCAGGCACTGAACCAGAAGATAGCGTAGAGAATGTCGACCGTCGCAAAGGCATACACATTTCCGAAGCGGCGGGCTCGGGGCCACATAGGCACGGCGGCGAGGTAAATTAGAGCGGGGACACTGATCCAACACTGCATCGGGGACCGTCAGCTGCAAGGCTCCACGAAGCCCTTGAAACAAAGTACTGGGCAGGAAGCACTCAAAAGAACTCAAGGACTCACCAGGATCCAGTACCACGCCGTCCGCCCATCGATTCCATCGCCTTTGGTCCAGATCGCGATCGTCATCGCCCATGCAAGGAAAATAATGAACCCCTGCACAAAGTGGATGATATTCTTGGTCCTCCCCAGGTTGCCGCCCGTTGGCCGGGGCATCCGTAATTGCATATTGGCGACGGTGGCTGGAAGAGAAACCAGAAAAAAGGACGCAGGACTGCAAGGGTATTTCAACCCTTCGGAAATTCCCTCAAGGGACGTCGCAGATGTGCCGCGCGCAGGGACAAAACCACAGTCTCAGGATCGGAGAAAGCGTGGAGGATCGGTGCGCACCAAACAGGGGGTAGATCGCAACCCTCGGACCGAAATGGGGAAATGGTTAAGAATGTAGCGAAATGTGACAGAAGCCAAACTCGGGGGAGGGGGGGAATGGCGAGCTGGGGAGTTTGGACTTTGCGAGCAGCGGGCTTTTCGTGGCTTGGATGTCAGCTTCGTCGTAACTTGGGGATAAGCAGCGACACCATACCTGGTCGTGTGAGTTGGTCTTCACTAGTTCGTGAGGTCGTTGCTAATTGCAGTTTTGCACCTAGAATGCAGTTTTGCAGTATGAGAGATGAAGCAGAATGGGATCCGAAGAGCCCGCAGTGCCGCTGTTTGCCGTTCTGCCCGGCGATCATCGCCCAGGCGACAGCCCGTGCTTCTATTTCGGGTAACGTCAGCCACGCTTGGCTAGGCCGACGCCATGGAATTCTGATTATTAGGTCAGCCGCCCTCCACGCAAAACGAGGACGGCGAACCGCGGCTGAACCGCGGGATCCATGGGCTGATGACGTTGCTGCATCAGGTTCCACTCACTTTCGTTGTCGCGATCTCAGTGTATCTACTGTGCACGAGGAAATTCTGCGTGAGTTAAGCTGTCTTTGGAACGGAAGCGAGAAGGCCAGAGAAGAATGATCACCGTAACCACGGACAAAACCAAAACCGAAATAATAAAACTATGGCTAAGTGTGGCTTATACAAATGCAATCGTTCTCGTCATTCATTGGGCTCATCATTTCTGAAATTTCAACTACCCACCGGGCCATTAGGCAATCCGGTCGTGCGGGTCTGCTTCACCAACATCCAGATCTCGCGCATCGGCTGATACACATGGACATGCCACCACCAAGGAAAAGGATCACGTGGCGAGAATCGAGGATCCTTCCAGAACAAAAAAGGTGTCAATTCCGCTTCGGCGGCAGCAATGGTGGCTTTGATGAGATTCAGGGGAAGAAAGCGCGGGAGAAGAGCGACAAGAATATCGCTGTCCAGGAAGGTCGACCTGGGGCGGGGGTTTGGCGACAGTGTCGCAGTCACACACCATGCTGCAGGTTCAGCGGGATGCGGCGATAGCACCTCCAGGTAGCCGGCGACAGGGCAGCGAGCATCACGGAGCAGATTCTCCACGGCTTTGGCGCCGGGAACACAATCAGCGATGTGGATGGTATGGCGCACGGAAGATGTATCAAACTCCTCATCTACCAGGAGCCGGATCGATAAGTGTCCTGTCATCCGGTTTCCACCTTTCATAGCAAGCCTATGCATGAGCCGGTGCACGGCCGTAGCCAAAGCTTCATCCAGGCGCGAGGCACCCCAATGAGGAACTCGGGTTTCCACCAGCCGAACTTTGATGGCCTGTACATGGCCCCGGACGAGCAGCAGGTCTGCGAAAAATTCTCCCAGCCGAGTCTGTTGCTGCAGGACCCATGGGGTCTCTTTGGAGATGGCAATCTCACTGACTTCCGAATAGGTTCTGCTGAGCGTCCGCTTGGGCAGGATCACAGCTGCCTCGTTGGCACTCGAGCTGACCCGTCGCATATGGTAGGATTTGCTGGGCGATCGATTCAAAATTTTGTGGACCGAGTCGCGCGACTGCACCTGATGGCACTCCAGGACGGGGAGATCACGGTCAGCTAGGAAGTGCTTGAACGAGTCTGGCCGGATAAAGCGTGCAGTGAGTTCGGTGTCGAAGGCGATGCATCTGCACGCGGTTCGGCTTTCAACAACCTGTCTAGCTGTGGCGTCCTCCATGGCAGTAGCCTTGGGCGAACACGGAATCCAGACATCAACCTTCTCCCGGTGAACGATATCGAGGATCCTGGAGATGTAATGATCCTTGGGGACTCGGTAGAATGCCCGCAGGCTGTTCGACATGCCTCCGCCCGACCGAACCGGGATATCCAAGTCGGCGACGTCCACCCCGACGACACGGTGGCCCTCCGCGTCCCAGGTGCGTGCCAGGGCGAGGCCGTGGGGTGTACCGACGCCGGTGATCAGAACCGTTTTGGGGTAGAATTGCACATTGCGCTGTGCGGCCAGGCGCCGGTTGGCTACAGAGCGCAACCGGGAAAGGGCAGCGGTCACCAGTAGAATTGTATTATCGACGAACAAGAGGGAGAAAGAAATGGTGATACGGAATAAGTGCCAAAAGACGCGCGACAGGGCCTCGGTGGAGGGCGCAGCTCGAAAGGTCCTCATTGGAAGCATGGGGAGCTATGTTCGCACGGCTGGGGCCGCGATGTGAGAGACGCACCGCGCATTTAGCTCGAGATGTACATCCAAAGAGGGCTCTTGCTAGGCATAAAAAGAGCCTCGCTTTGAGAGGTCTGAGATGGAGAGGGACAGCCAGGAAGACAGTCTCGTCAGCCCAGTGAAGGTGTGTGGAATGTGCGACGAAAGCGGGAGTTCGCGCTGCCCCGTGAGGGGGCGATCGGCACCAGCCACCTCATGCAGAGAAGGCGTCATGATTTCACGGTGCAACCCTGGAGGAGTTCAACATCCTGATTCCATGGATTTTCATTGCGGATGATTTTCTCTCTTAATACCTGTCTTGCAATTTTTGGGTTCGCCATGTCCCGGTCAATCAACGCTCCACCGCTTTATCTGATCGACGATCGTCATTTGAGCCTAAATTCCCGATCTAGCCGTACCCCTCCAACTAACTTGACGAGTTAGAGGAAACCAGAAAAAAGCCCCCATATCTCCATGAGCTGCGCCATTTTGGGCAGTGTGTTGACGGTTACGGCGTAGGCTGAATCTCTCTCCTGGAATGTTTACCTTTGACTCTGTCGTTTCGGAGAACTACGTAAGAATATATACCTATATCATGTACATATTTACCGCGTTTTGATTCCTTGACATAATGTGGTTGTCACGGCTGATGAAAGAGAGCAGACGCTGCGGAAACTCCAACTCTTGCATCCACGAGCACAGATTGATCCGATGATAAGCTCATTTTGAGGTTCAGTAATATGTGATAACCTACCAATCATGCAGGCGACCAAAGCCAAAGACTTCTCCGCGTCGATCTTCTCGAAGACTCTAGGACCCAGAGAATAATTAAGAGCTGAAGACCAATCGGGGTTCTCTCGTTGAAATTCGCCGTCGTATACTCTCAATGTTGAACGAACACCCCAACACGTTAGTCGGCTGCCTCGTGGATGGGCCGGTCGATGGTGGCCATGCCGTTCTTCGAACAGGCCGAGACCCTCAACGCCTCACATTTCTGCATCCTTGGAGCCACAAATGGTACAACAAATGGTGCAATAATTGTAGTGTTCGTGTCCCGGACTCTCGTACCCTGGAGATTGACGGTATTCAGAAGGGTGTTGCGTCGCACTCTACGAGATTTCCTGGCGCGAACGTGGTCTGGGCGAGGACAAAGTCAAGGCAGGCTGAGCAGTATTCGCATCGGCAAGAACTGGAGGGGCGATGTCCTAATTGTGACACATACCTTTCCGGGTTTGACATAACAAGATACTTCCGTCCGGCCGCTCCAGCTGAGTCTGTAGTTCGAACTCTTGATTTCGGCACGGCCAGCACGTCAGAGAGCAACCCCCGATGGAGCTCGGCATTTTCGGCGCTAATTTCCTGAAAGACTACCTCCGACCATCCGAGACACCGTGAAGAACAGCTGGTAGCGCGCATTCCCCAGGATCATAGAATTACGGCGCCAATCAATGGCGGGCACTGGCTGAACTGCCCCGCTTGAGGTCTTAACACCGACGGGACCGCCTGTACTCCGGCGGCCGTTCCAATCGCCATGCGGGGAGTTGGTGCTCATCGCACAGTGTCGCCTCTCTTCTCATATTGCGTGTCAAGGACCTGTTTCTAGAGCGCTCATCTTAACCGTCAACTTCCACTCACCACCCTCTGGATTGACCTCTACCCCTCGTGCACTTGCATTGTTCCCGACCGTGAATATGCCGTTGACCAATTCGCCGCCCCCGCATCCCCGGGTTGGGGAGCGTTCCGTGAGTCAATCACGGTTGGAGGATTCTCTGGCGGCCACTAACACTGAGTCCCTATGATAGCGCGAAGAAGGCCGAGAGAGGAAGCTGCTGCACTTCATCTACGGCCAACCGAACCTTGACGACATCAGAGGACACCCGCAGAAGGTGCTCGACCTGATCGACGAATTCGAGAACGAATACCACCTGATGACCGTCGGCGTGCCCAAGGGCAAGATCGTCACGGAGCTGATCGATGAACTCAAGCCAAAGACGATGATCGAGCTTGGCTGCTACGTGGGCTACTCGGCGATCCTGTTTGGCGCGGCCGTGCGGCGCAACGGGGGCGAGCGCTACCTGAGTCTGGAGCTGAACCCCGAATGGGCGGCTATTGCTAACATGCTGATTGAGCTGGCCGGTCTGCGCGACTTTGTGCAGGTGATCGTGGGCCGGAGTGACCTGTCGCTGGATAAGTTGTACAAGAGCGGCGACGTCACCAAAATCGAGCTGCTCTTCATAGACCACTACAAGCCAGCCTACACCACCGATGTGAAGCTATGCGAGCACCATGGAATGATCGTTCCAGGCTCTGTGCTCGCCGCGGACAATGTCCTCTATCCGGGCAACCCGCCGTACCTGGAATACGTCCGCAGCACCGTCGAGCAGAAGCGGGAGGCGGCGAAGAAAGGGCCCATCCAGGGGTACAACGTGGAGGGCATGCGCGAGCGCACTGTCAACTCGTTCATGCCCGAGGGTGACGCGCCTGTCTTCGAGGTGGTGGGGAATCCCAATCTCGTGTACCAGAGCGAGCTCCGGCAACCCGAAGGCAACCGGGTGAGTCATTTGAAATCTTTGATTCCTGGGCGATGGAAAGATTGTTCGGCAATCTCTAACTGGGAAAGCAGGATGCCATTGAGGTCACACAATGCGTGGGAGTGCAGGAAGCATAGCCGCCTCGTTCGGGTGGAAATGAACTAGGGGCGGGCACAAGCGACAGGGCGGTCTCCGCCGTCCGAGAATGATAGCATGACAGAAGGACAGAATGACAGAATGGCTTGCGCAGGAAATGCACAGTGCTTAGCAATCAGGATTATCCAGCACAGGGTGCGCTCCGGAACATCCATCCCGTAGACCCGCAAACGCCTGTAGAACAGAAGCCGACACGGCCTGGCCACGGGAGGCCGAAAGGGCCGGCAGCTGGGAAACTGTACAGTGGCAAAGCCGCCAGTGCAGGCCGGACTGTGGCTCGGGCGGGGCCTTCCCAAAGGTTGCCGTCGCCAGGACCTTCCACCTCCCCGCATCGGCGCGCAAAATCCGTGGGGGGGCAAAATATAAAGATGGGACGACTTCGCTCTTTCGCATTCCTCCATTCTGCAATTCCCCAATCCCTTGATTTGCATTAGGTGGACTTGCTCGCTCACCTTCATTGCTTCCCTGGACCCCTCCTCCAACCATTACATCATGGCTACCAAGACCTATAACGTAGGCGTCATCGGCTACGGTTTCAGCGCCAAGATCTTCCACATCCCCTTCGTTGAGCAGCTTCCCGAGCTGAAGCTCTACGCGGTCGTTCAGCGTACCCCCAAGCCCGATGATGATGCTGAGAAGGACCACCCCGGGGTCAAGTCCTACCGGACCACCGAGGAGCTGGTCAAAGACCCCGCGGTTGACGTGGTGATCATCACCACCGCCCCGGACTCCCACTTTGCCCTTGCCAAGCTGGCCCTGGAGTCTGGCAAGCACGGTAGGTGTTTGGGTGTGCCCGATGGAAGCTACTGAGAGCTGTACTGACTCCTTCGTTCCAGTCGTCTGTGAGAAGCCGTTCACCCCCACTTTCAAGGAAGCCGATGAGCTCGTCGCGATTGCCAACAAGGCGAAAAAGCTGCTGGCTGTCTACCAGAGTACGTCTTCCCACCCAATTCCTGATGCTCTTCAAAACTCAATCTCACCACTATTGAATCTAGACCGCCGCTTCGACGCCGACTTTGTCACCCTTTCTAAGATCGTCAAGAACGGCTCGCTAGGCCGCATCTCTGAGTTCGAAACCCACTTCGACCGCCACCGGCCCGAGGAGCCCTCTGCCGATGCTCACAAGTGGAAGAACAAGGTCATTCCTGGCGGCTCTGCCGTGTACGACCTGGGCACCCACCTGCTCGACCAGGCCGTGCACCTGCTCGGCCTCCCCAAGCGTGTGACCGGCTTCATCGGATCGGCGCGGGAGAACAACGCCTCGGGCTTCGAGGACTCGTTCACCGTGCTGCTGCACTACGCTAAGGGCACAATGGTCACTGCCAAGGCAACCGTTGTCAGCCCTGAGGAGGAGCAGTTGCGCTTCTGGGTGCGGGGTGACAAGGGTAGCTTCAAGAAGGTGAGCTGGTGCCCACAATGCCGCTGCGGTTGAATAGAATCGTATGCTAATTCAGGATTTAGTTCCACCTCGACATCCAAGAGGATCAGCTCAAGGCGGGCGTCAAGCCCCAGGACAACGGCTACGGCCGCGAGCCCAGTGAGCGCTATGGTACCCTGACCACCATCCAAAACGGCAAGCCCGTCAAGGAGATCGTTCCCACCGTGGAGCCCCCCACCTACACCGAGTACTACCGCAAGCTGGTCCGCGCTCTCGGAGGCGAGGGCGATCTGCCCGCCAGCGGCGCTGAGGCTGCGCAGGTCATTCGCCTGATTGAGCTGGCTCGGGAGAGCTCTGCTACAGGCAAGACCCTGGATGTTTAAAGGGGATGAGCGCTTGACGTGTATGAAAAATCGATTTGGAAACGACAGTTACGACTCGCAAAAAGCTTGAAGGATATGGAAATTGGATACATAATCTCTTTCTGAATTATTCATCATATTTTTGCGTACAAATTAAAATATTGAACACCGCTCGGACATTGTGCCGTGCTGACAGCAACGATGGGGCCAATCTCCGAATGGATCCGAAACCGTATTTTCAGCCATGCTCACAAGCGTCCGTCCCCACAACAAACACCTGGAACAAACAATTATGTACATACTTCTCTCCACAACTGTACTCGAACGGTTTCGGCACATTCAAGTCCTAGGGTCCTAGCCAGCATCCTTCTCGAACCAGCTCCTCATTGGCTCCCTCGCGCACGAACTTGCTGCCCAACTCGTAATCGCTCCACCCCAGATGTACGAGAGGGCTTCTCGCGTGGCCATCTCACCAGCCAGGGTCCACGGTGAAACAGCAAGTGCACAACGTGGCCAGCCACAATCTGACTAGCCTGCGGCCTCAAACAGCGCTGTCACATGGGCTTCATGCAGGAGGCCAAAGGGCTAAGATGGCCAGGGGCCCGAGCTAACGTGCATCCTGGCGGTCTTCTCCGTGCGACCACGGCCGTTGAGCACACCACGAAGTGACCGAATCTGTTCGAGAAGAGGGTGTTTATATCTGGCCAATCTATCTCCACACTGTAAATAAGGCTGGAATTGACCACTGGGACCATTTCCAGTACCATGGACGCTAGCTCCCTCCCGGATTTCAAGGTCCTGTCCTACCCAACCAAATGGTGTGGGATCGACTCCGATCGACGACCATCGCCGAGCGATGAAATTACATTGAATGCGACATCCTCATGGACATACTGCGGGCCGCTTTTACCACTGGATCCGAAGAGCCTGCCATCCTCGTTCGATACCTGGGCCCAGGCCACGGTCAACGGGCCGCTGTTGGGGCCTCTGTTCTCGTTCCTCGAATTTGTGCACGAGTTTCTGAAAGCCAACGATATATCGCACTACTGGCTCACAATCCGCGCCAGCCAAGGCTCGGACGAGTTCGACATACCGCGCTGGCACACCGATGACCTTTTCTTCTCGCCGCTAGCCACAGCAGCAGCCCCAGCAACCACGACGCCGGCTCTCCGGCACTCCTTCCTCTGGCCATTCGCAGATGCCGCCAAACGACACCGGCGAGCATCATCACTGTCGCACACAAGGCGATCCAGCCAGAGCGTACACACCCGATCTCCCCAGCCAACGCCCCCACAACTTCCGCCGTCAGTCCAAATATCCAGCTCCACAACCAATCCACCAAACTGGAAACTAACAACCACTCTCCTCGGCCCGGGCACCCTCTTCATCTCCCTCCCCCTCAACCCGCACGCCCGCAACCTCCAAAGCACCACCAAACTCACTGTGCGCACCGCAAACCCTGGCCACATCTGCCTGTCCATCCGGTGCGTGGGCTGCGCCACGGCTGCCGAGGAAGTGCGGGCCACGCTTGCCGCGCAGCTGGGCGGGCACCGTGATGGGGCCGGGGTTGTGCAGGCGGCACGTGGGGAATGTGTGTTCTTCCGCGTTGGCGAAGACGAAGGTGCCGTGCATTCAGAGCCGATGTCCAGGGGGGAGAGGGTGTTTGTTAATGTTGTGCCGGGGTTTGAGAAGGATCTGAGGTGCTTGATGGCGAAATGGGGGATGGAGTTTCCGAGGGCTTGGTGTGTGGGATTGCCGTTCCAGGGGGTTGAGGGGGGTTGCTGGAGAAATGTCGGTGAGATATGACGGAGTTATGAATATAGTATGTGCAGGGTAGTAGAAAATGGCTGATGGATTCACTGTCGGTCTGGCGCGGGTGGTCCAGAGGCCGGAGATTTGCAAAAGCTATATATGGATACCGTCTTTCAAGATGTATGATGATGATCTATAAACAACTGAGTAATACCCACCTTTACTAAGGGTGTCCTTGTGTCCCGGTATATGGGGTATAGTTCGGCTCTACCACGCTAGTTCATCAGGCGTGTAAGAGCCAATGGGGTACACGTGCATCGTCGAGTCCCACAATTTCCCCAGCTACGGAGAGAACCACTCAGATCTGTCATGTTAGCCTCTACAAGCCTACGACGAGGGTACATGCCTACGCCCTCGTCGTACAGTTCATATATTGTAGTATAAGCCCGCGATGATCTCGGCATCTCGAAGATGACATCATCAACCGCCAAGGCGCTAACGCCAAAACGGGAATTTCTGTTACCAAATGCAAACGCCCTGAATGGCAGAGGCTCCTCCACCACAGCGGACGGCCGGCGAGGACATTGAAGAACGCCGTGTCAAGTTCCGCGCCAGAGCCAGGTCCGCGGAGAAACTGGCACACGACGGTGCAGGAATCCGAGAGCCACAGGCAGACGGGATGATCTCCTTATACTTGTTTCGATCATAGGGCCCGTCTTTTCCCCCGCGTTTTCTTTCTTCCAGAGGCTTGTTGCGTATAGAACGCCTCGAGGTGTACCTTGCTGGCATTTTTATACTCATACTTCAATTTTCCTGAGTGTCTTTCAGCTCGACCTTGTATCACATCTCTTTTTTTCGTTCATGGCAAAGTCTTCGCATGGGTTGATAACCCTGTCCGACATCAGGAACTGGCATTTGGAGATTGATCGGTTTATTAACCCGTTTGTTCCGGCGCCTAGGTGGCACTTAGTGCCCCGGCCGGTTGCACATTTCCTGGGATATCGAGATCACGCACCACGGCCACTGGGGAATGTGGTACTGGCCGTTTGGTCACTAGTGGGAGCCTTTTGCGGTGTGGCCCTGGTGGCTGAAGTGTCGAAGCTTGTCCCATCGTTCGAGGCTCGAGATGCACCAACGATCATCGGTAGTTTCGTAAGTTGATCATTTGTTACATTGCGGACTGGGTTGTCTCCGACTGACTGTGGAGCGTGGACCAGGGCGCAGCAGCAGTAGTCCAGTTCTGTGCGATCGAATCACCCTTTGCACAACCGCGCAATGCCTTCTTCAGTCAAATGTGGGCCTGTCTCATCGGTGTCGGCATTTCGAAGCTCCTTGCTTTGAATCCTCATGTCGAACAGCATACTGCCCTCGGGGGAGCTCTAGCCTGCGGGCTCACCACAGCCGCCATGCTCTTAACTGGCACCGTGCACCCGCCGGCGGGTGCAACGGCCGTGCTGGCGGTCACCAACCCTCAGACAGCAGATCTGGGCTGGTTCCTGTTTCCCGTCATGATCTTGGGGATCACGCTGATGCAGGCTGCGGCCTTGATCATCAACAACATCCAGCGACGCTATCCTCTGTACTGGTGGACATCGCAGCCTCTCTCGCGAAAACAGGCCGTCGATGAAGAGAAGGACCATCATCTGAAGGCCGCCTCGGATATGCCCATTCACTACGAGGACAGTCTGACCGACGTTCCTCGACGGATAGTGCTTGGGCGGGGTGATGTTGCAGTGCCAGACGGGGTGTTCCTGTCGATCGAAGAGAGGGCGGTGCTGGAGAGGATCAGTGAGAGAATATAGGAGGGAAGAAACGTGGACATGTACATAGGGGAATAATCCACCAGTCCACACCGTCTGCCTAATCTCCAACCAACCAGGCCCGTTGTAATCGACTGTGGCAAACCGTGAACACCTCAGGCTCACAGGCTCCCAGGCCATCACTGCCCGACCAGTGACGTCCTTCGCAGCCCGCCTCGGCCTGCAGCAAATCAGCGCCCTCCGTGCTGGCACCGACCGGCCCACTGTGTAAATTTTTGTTCTCTCGCATTTAGGATTTACCGACCAAGGGCTTCGAAAAGAAGATAAGAGTGATCGTTCAACTCTCATCCTTTTCTTTCGATTATCATATCACCCCGGGTTGGCACTGACGAGAATTCGAGATCCAAGACCAGTCTAATCGATAAGGGCTCACCCAACTTTCCCCCCACTTCACTCGACTGTTTCGCCCCTCTACTCTCCGCCCCGCCAGGCGCTCCACTTCAGTCTCTTTTTGCATTTCTTTGCCTTCAATCTCTTCGACCAAGTTTGTAACGGGTCGTCTTTCTGTCACTTCGCCCTCACCTTTCTTTTTTCTCCCTCCTCCCTCCTCCCTCCCCTCCTCCCTCTTCCTCAACCTTTTTCTTTTCACACTTAACCCGCCAAAATGGTTTCTGCTTCCAAGGCCGCCCGTTTGGCCAAGCGCGCCGAAGCTGGCGACAAGAAGACCAAGAAGGGCTCGAAGAAGGATACTCCCGAGGAGCCCGACGTCGATGCCGAGGGTAATGCCGTCCCCAATGACGATCAGCCCGCCACCACCGAGGCTAAGATGAAGGACGTGGAGAGGCTCACCGCACAAATGGACAAGCACGGCCTGTCCGATCGTGTTACCACCGGTGTGCTTTCGTCCCTGCCTGCATCCCGCGACGTCAAGATCACCTCCGCCTCCCTGGTGTTCCACGGAAAGGTCCTCTTCACCGACTCTACCCTCGAACTGAACTTCGGTCGTCGCTACGGTCTGCTCGGCGAGAACGGCTGTGGCAAGTCCACCCTGCTGAAGGCAATCGCAACCCGCGAGTTCCCCTTCCCCGAGCACATCGATCTGTACCTTCTCAATGAGGGTGCCCCTGCTACCGACAAGGGTGCTCTGGAGTGGGTGGTGAATGAGGCTCAGGCTCAGCTGGACGCCATGGAGAAGAAGGCTGAGGAGATTCTGGAAAACGAGGGCCCTGACAGCCCCATCCTGGAGGATCTGTACGACGTGAGTTTGCAGTCTCGGTTTAGAACTGTTTGGTGCGCAATTGATATGAAGGGCTGGTTTTACTGACTATCGATATAACAGCGCATGGACAAGATGGACCCGTCCACCTTCAACGTTCGTGCCTCTCTGATTCTGACCGGTCTCGGTTTCAACAAGACCACCATCCACAAGAAGACCAAGGACATGTCCGGTGGTTGGCGTATGCGTGTGGCCCTCGCCAAGGCCTTGTTCGTCAAGCCCTCGCTGCTCCTGCTGGACGACCCCACTGCTCACTTGGATCTCGAGGCCTGTGTGTGGCTGGAGGAGTACCTCAAGAAGTGGGACCGCACCTTCATCCTGGTCTCCCACTCCATGGATTTCCTGAACGGTGTCTGCACCAACATGATTGACATGCGCATGAAGCAGCTCCTCTACTACGGTGGTAACTACGACTCCTACCACAAGACCCGCTCCGAGCAAGAGGTCAACCAGATGAAGGCCTACACCAAGCAGCAGGAGGAAATCTCCCATATCAAGAAGTTCATTGCCTCGGCCGGTACCTACGCCAACTTGGTTCGTCAGGCCAAGTCTCGCCAGAAGATTCTGGACAAGATGGAGGCCGATGGCTTCATCCAGCCTGTCGTCCCCGACCGTGTCTTCACCTTCCGCTTCGCGGACGTGGAGAAGCTGCCCCCTCCTGTCCTGTCCTTTGACGACGTGAGCTTCTCCTACTCCGGCAACTGGGAGGACACCCTGTATGAGCATCTCGACATGGGTGTTGACATGGACTCCCGCACCGCCCTGGTTGGCCCCAACGGTGTCGGCAAGTCCACCCTGCTGCGTCTGATGACCGGCAAGCTGAGCCCCATCGGTGGTACCGTCAGCCGTCACACTCACTTGAAGCTCGGCGTGTACTCCCAGCACTCCGCCGAGCAGCTCGACCTGACCAAGTCCTCTCTGGAGTTCGTCCGCGACAAATTCCCCGAGAAATCCCAAGACTACCAGTACTGGCGCCAGCAGCTGGGCCGCTACGGTCTCTCCGGTGAATCCCAGACCGCCATCATGGGCACCCTGTCCGAGGGCCAGAAGAGCCGTATCGTCTTCGCCCTGCTCGCCATCGAGTCCCCCAACATGATCCTGCTTGATGAGCCTACCAACGGCCTGGACATTCCTACCATCGACTCCCTGGCTGACGCCATCAACGCCTACAACGGTGGTGTCGTCGTCGTCTCCCACGACTTCCGTTTGCTGGACAAGATCGCCAAGGACATCTTGGTCTGCGAGCACAAGTCCGTCCGCCGCTGGGACGGCACCATCGGCCAGTACAAGAAGTACCTGCGCGACAAGATGTTGTCGGCCGGTGCCGTCTAAGCGCTCCGCTTTCTTGTTCTATCCCACTTTTTCCTTTCCTATCTCTGATGATGACGAAATGCTAGACGTGAATTAAAGGAATTGCAACGCCCCGCGCTCAAAAAGTTGGTTCTTAGACCGGGTGGCCCGCCGGTTCCCTGTTCCTGTCCCTCCTGTTTTTGTCCCCCTTCTTGTTAGATTTTGAAGCTCGAGCATGTGGAGGCAAAGGGGGGGATGGTTTTCATCATTTTTCTATTTTCGTATATTCCTTTTTGCCTGCTGTCATGAATCTCATTCCCCCTCGTCCTGGCGGATATCCCGCCGCACAGTCGAACTTTTCCTTGGATATTTGTTTTGTTTCAGCCCGCGTGCGGGATGCATCTTGTTTGATAGAGGGTCTAGTCTAGTTGCTTCTGATAGAGGCTAAGGTCTCTAGGTCTGCGAAATGACTAGTTCTTTGTTCGTGCTTTACTTGGCTTGCTGACTTTCTCCTGTTGGAACCAATCCGACTAACTGCCCAGCACTCCTTCTGGGGGTCAAAGTGAAAATGTAGAGTTTGACTTTTAAAAAAGTATATTATTTTAAATAGTCGGTACAAGACTGCTCTCGTCAAATCATTATACCTTGCCTCCACATACTGCCACCAGCTGTAACCATGAAGATCAATGCTTCGTCCGATCAGGTACCAGCTCCGGCCCGAACATATCCTGCGCCCCACGCTGCTTCTGCTCCATCTCGAGCCTGCGCTTCTTCGCTAACCGCTCCGTCGCACTTTCAGAGGTGGTCGTCCCCGAATCGGCCGCAGGGGTAGACCGCGGTGCAGTAAAGTCACGCTTCAGATTGACCTTTTCAGGATTCTGGCAATGATACAGCTTCTTCGCTATGCGTTTGAGACTTTTCATCTGATCCGGGTCCGATGATAAGGGCGTATATGACTGGAGAAGGGCGCCGCAGTCCGTCAGGACTTTAAGCAGCTTCGTGCGGAGGTCGTACAGCGGGTTCTGGAGGTTAGAGTCATCTGTATCCATGGCCGCCGGGTCAATGGGGCCACCGAGTTTGGTATCAAGGTAGAATTCCGCCAACGGCCGGTCAGCCACGAGGAAGGCTGCCAGCCAGATCTGCGAGGGTGTGTAGAGGAAGTACGCATCTGTCATTTGCGCGGCGGACTTGAGCAGCTCGCGCGTTGCGCCGTGCGCGCGGCCGATGCGGTCTAAGATCGAGCTTGAGGGGAAGGGTGGGGATGCGATGGATAGCAGGCTTTGTTTCAGGCTTTCGGATGTCTGGTGTAGTTGGTGAGGGGCTGGTTTGCCCTGGCCTTGGGCGATGGCTGAGAGCTCCATGGCGCCGCCTTCGAGGCCGCGGAAGGGGTGGCGGACGTCGAACGTGAAGCGAAGGCCTTGCATGAGCAGGAACTCGGGCGCGATGACATCGTCGGCTTTGGTGTCGCCCGGGATGCCGTCGGCGAACTGGCGGAGCGACATGTAGTAGTTGTCTGTCTTGGTTGCGAGGAAGAGAGCGCAGGCCATGATAGATTTCGGGTGGTAGGTCATCGGAGAGTTTGTGAGATAGAACCGTCGGAGGTATTGAATTGCAGTGGCCTATCATGCCATGTATATAGGTGAGCATGTGTTCTCCGAGGTGTGCTTGAGGTGGTTTGCATTGCCCTGGGCAAAAGTGACCGACGACTTACTCGGACTGCCGTAGGGAGTGGTGGCCTGTATGTCTCTCCCAACTCCACTGTCTTTTCGCAGTAGTATCGTACCAGCACAAGCTCCTCCTCTGGTGTCAAGCATTCAATGTCTTTGTCTTCTCCATCGCTTCCTGGCTGTGGTGTCCCTGTTGTAGAATGTGTGGCGGATGCATGGCGTTCGCGAGCCCGGCGAAGCGCGGCGCGTACTCGCTCACTAGCCACATTGTTTGTGGCCGTTCGGAGGGACTGTAGTGACTCCTCAGTGTAAGTCCATAGTCGGAATTGGGAGGAGGTGCGATAGATATCGTCTTCGATCATGTTGGCGTTCAAAGGAAAGCCCTGTTTTGCGCCGCGGGGTAGGCGAGTGCCAGTGAGTCTGTAGACAATATCTGACTGATATTACAGTTAGATAAGCAGCCAAAGAGGAGCCGTGTCGTTCTGAAAGGAGGTATTAACAAGGCTTGCTCTGCTCATACGACTAGCGAAGTTAAGAGGGTTACTCTGCTGGCGAAAGGTCGGCTTTGGCGGTGCTTATCGATAAGAACGCCACAACTAGAAAGGTGCTGCTCCGCCGGCCTCTTCGATATTCACTATGAACAGCTAGAAAGCATATATTTTACACGTATATGTTGCCTTTTTTGTAATCACTTCACGTTGAGCCATGACACCTGAGCAATGCTTTGACAAATTGGACATAGATTAGACCCCTGAAAGCAGCCATGCACAAACCTCATCGACCTGGTGATCGTCTAGCTGGTGACTGTCTTGGTAAATTCCAAGCTCTCCGAAAACATGCACAATGTTGGGCACTTGGAATCCCATCGCGCCAAAGTTGTCAACAAGCGACTTGTCATACCCATTATATCTGAATACTTTTATTAGCGTGTGCTCATCTCATCAGTCACAGAGGACCAAAATATGTCGCTTACTGGGCTAGTGGATCATCTTCAATTGTGACGGGCGCCTCTTCAATTCCCTCTCGACTGGCATCTGTGCCATTCGAAGGGGCACCTGCATAAAGGATGGCCCATTCGCGTGCGACACGCTCAAATACCTTGGGGCTCTGCAGCATCATATTGGCAACCTCAGCATCTTGAGGATCTTTGGGCTCTGGAGTGCTCAGCAAGGATTGCAGAGAGATCAAAGCAGATTTGATAGTGAGAACAGGAGACCAGGCAGTGGATAGAGTATCAAGACAGATAGCACCCTAAAGTCGTATTCATTAGCAATCAGTCTGTTGCCCCCTTCACCGGTGGAACCACTCACCGTTTGACTGCTGACATTCGGATGCCAAACTTTGGTCTCAAACTTCATAACAGGGGGTCGAAAAGGGTAGTCGGTGGGGATTTTTATGTCGATGTTGTATGTGCCGCCTTCATACGGAGTGTCTGGGGGTCCTGGGAAGGATCCTCGCAGGTGTGTCACATCATCCTGCCCGCCAACGGGCTCTGCACTGATTTGGGAGTGGGGGTCGGCATGAATGTCGGCCAGCTCCTTGCCAATGCGCCGAGTCGAACTTTTAGACATGGTGTATGTGTATGTTCGACTCATGTAAGGCGATTTTTACGATTAATGATGGTGTGTCTTATGCGAGTTCCTTCGCTAGGTTATCAGTCTGATGCCGGACGCGGGCAAGCGCTCGGATGCGCAGGGTCCGACTCGACGACTATGGGGGAGAAGTTGGTTAGAATTTGAATTTCAAGAAAAAAGTGAGCCGTGTCTATGTAGACAGGAAATGCATACTGGCGTGAGAGGGACCGATAAGAACTGCGGCTAAAATCCAGTAATCTTGTAAATGGAGGGGAAGGTATGAGGGCCGATCAGCTGGGAGACTAACTAGCTTTGGAAAGCTGCACTAAGCTTCAAGGCCGCAAATAGGTGTGCGACGAGGCTTTCGGAAGGCCTGAAAAGGCGAAAGCGCCTTATCAGGTACCAGTTTGGATTTGAATTGTCCTGCTTGTTGCCGTCGCTGCGAGGGAAAGCTGGGGGGCCGCGGACGCAGGTCAAGGCACTCAGGCACCCATGACCGCATTTAATGGCCTGAGGCGTAAATAGTCACGTGGTGATGGCAACAGCTTCCAGCTTGCTCACCCCCGAGCAGCAACACCGCAACGGCATTGGCAACTTATCCCTTCCAACAGCCAATCTCCATCACCGTCCAGCGTTATCAAGCCTGAATCCTGATTTGCTCCGTCACTACGTTCAATTTTGCCCACTAGACTCTGACAGAGCTCCTGTCGCTGGCTTACAAACATGGTCAGTCCCAGCACCAGCTCGTGCCATCCGTCCATCCGTCCATCCGGTTCACGCTTACTGACGTGCTGTCAAACAGGGTAACCAGCAGTCTAATATGGGTGGCGGCCCTGGAGGAGATGGACGCGATGATAAGGACAAGAAGGTATGATCTCCCCTTTGAACTCCGGCCAACTGATCAGCTCTGACACCCTGCCACTGCAGAAGGACAAGCCGAGATACGAGCCTCCTCCACCACCTACCACTCGCATTGGACGAAGGAAGCGCAAGGCTGCCGGTCCCAGCACGGCCTCCAAGCTCCCAGACATCTACCCTACGTCGAGATGTAAGCTGCGCTATCTTCGAATGCAGCGGGTGCACGATCACCTGCTGCTAGAGGAGGAGTACGTTGAGAATATGGAGCGGCTTCGCAAGGCCAAGGCCCAAGCTACCCAGGGTCCTGCCCGGAGTGAAGATCCTGATATGTCAGACCGAAATGCGGATGAGCGGAGTCGAGTCGATGATATGCGAGGCAGTCCGATGGGCGTCGGTAACCTGGAGGAGCTGATTGACGACGACCATGCCATCGTTTCCAGCGCAACAGGCCCCGAGTACTACGTATCTATTATGTCCTTCGTCGACAAGGACCTCCTCGAGCCCGGTGCGAGCATTCTGCTACATCATAAATCTGTCTCTGTCGTCGGTGTCTTGACGGAGGAGTCCGATCCGCTGGTGTCCGTTATGAAGCTGGATAAGGCTCCTACCGAGTCATACGCCGATATTGGCGGTCTAGAGGCTCAGATCCAGGAAGTTCGAGAGGCCGTCGAACTGCCGCTACTACACCCTGAGTTGTACGAGGAGATGGGTATCAAGCCACCCAAGGGTGTTATTCTTTACGGTGCGCCTGGAACAGGAAAGACGCTGCTGGCCAAGGCTGTTGCCAACCAAACAAGCGCCACCTTCCTGCGCATTGTCGGATCCGAGCTGATCCAGAAATACCTCGGTGATGGCCCGCGTTTGGTCCGTCAGATCTTCACCGTCGCCGCCGAGCACGCCCCGTCCATTGTATTCATTGACGAAATCGATGCTATCGGTACGAAGCGTTACGAATCCACATCCGGTGGTGAGCGTGAGATCCAGCGTACCATGCTGGAGCTGCTTAACCAGCTGGATGGTTTCGATGACCGTGGTGATGTGAAGGTCATCATGGCCACCAACAAGATCGAGACTCTGGACCCGGCTCTGATCCGACCTGGTCGTATCGATCGAAAGATTCTATTCGAGAATCCTGACCGTGAGTTCTACTTATGTTTATTCATTGGCAGATGCAATATCTAACGTTTTGCTTCATAGAAAACACCAAGAAGAAGATCTTCACCCTGCACACGTCAAAGATGTCCCTCGGCGACGACGTCGATCTCGACGAGTTCATCAACCAGAAGGATGATCTCTCCGGTGCGGATATTCGGGCGATTTGTACTGAGGCTGGTCTCATGGCTCTGCGGGAGCGTCGCATGCGGGTGCAGATGGATGACTTCAGGGCGGCTCGGGAGCGCATCATGAAGACAAAGCAGGACGGAGGCCCCGTGGAAGGATTGTACTTGTAAGGATATACAATGTTCGGTGAACGATGATATCTATCTACGCCGAAGACCTTTTTGGCCTTGATCTGTGTATTTTAATGGAACCCCATGATCCATGGGGTGGGCATGCACTGATACTCCTGAAACTCTACATCACAAACCTCGTAGCCTGTCCGCTGTACTTCATCTTGACCACCTTATATTCTTCTCGAGTATCCCATAGTCTTACAGTCCCATAGTCTTACTGCCTCGAACGTCCAGAGCAGCATAGTGCAAACGGTGCAAACAAGCTCGATAGTGTCCCGAGGCCGTCTTATCGCCGGCGCAAGCTCTTCCCCAGCCCACACCTCACTTCTCAAACATGGACGGATTCGATGAGGAAGCATTCAATAAGTTCTTTCCCTCAGGTTTTGGGAAGCAGGACAAATCTATTGATATTGAATCCCAAATTCAACGGTCCAAACGAACAGACCTCTCGGCCACTAAGCCGCTCGCTGATGCCGAAACGACAGGGCTAAATGCGCCCACTATTGCTCGACCTGCTGAAATAGAACAGCGGCCGCAGGAACCCAAAGATAGCGATGATGACAGTGATGACGACGATGATTCTGAGGATGAGGACGACGAAGATGAATTTCCTGTGTCGCACGAGCTTGTCATGAAGACACATGAGCGCGCCGTGACGACTATGACCGTGGACCCCTCGGGGGCCCGACTAATTACAGGTTCTACCGACTGCACACTAAAGTTTCACGACTTTGCTTCTATGACACCTTCCACAATCCGGGCATTCAAGTCTGTCGATCCCTCCCTGAAGAAGCAATCTGCGGCGCAAGATGCTCACACCGTGCACTACGCTGCATTCAACCCTCTTTCTCCCAGCCATGTCCTGGTTGTTTCCGCCACTGCTCAGCCGCGGATCCTGAGTCGCGATGGCGAGACTGTGACAGAGTTCGCGAAGGGCGATATGTACCTCCGTGATGCTCACAATACAAAGGGACATATTTCGGAGGTATCCAGTGGCGTCTGGTGTCCAACCGACCAGAACCTCTGTGCTACGGCTGGCTCCGATAGCACTGTGCGTATTTGGGATGCCAACGTTGGCCGGTCACAGAAGGAGGTGATTGTGCACAAATCAAGGGTTGCAGGTTCTGCTGGTCGGACGAAGATGACAGCCGTGGCTTGGGGCTCTCCGAAGCAGGGGGGGTCTAATATCCTGGTTGCGGCGGCTCTTGATGGAAGCTTGGTCATGTGGAGTGGAAATGGGCCTTTCACACGACCCAGTGCTGAAGTCCGAGATGCTCACGCTCGAGATACTTGGACAAGTGGGTTGGATATTAGCGCCGACGGCCGTCTCGTTATCAGCAGAGGCGGAGACGATACCATCAAGTTGTGGGATACCAGGAAATTCAAGACTCCCGTTACGACTGTGGCCCATCAATCGACGTCCTTCCGATACCCTACCTCCAATATTCAATTCTCGCCAAGCTCTGCAAATGTCATTGTGGGCTCAGAAACGGGCCATTTGCACATTCTGAACCCGGCGACGTTGAGACCAGAGCTAGTCACGCCTGTCACTCCAGGCTCGCCGCTGATCACTGTTCTCTGGCATGAGAAGCTCAATCAAATCCTGACTGGTTCCGCAAATGCCGAAACGCATGTCCTCTATAACCCTACAATGTCGACAAAGGGGGCCGCACTGGTTATGTCCAAGGCTCCCAAGCGCCGCCATGTGGACGACAATCCTTCTTTCACTACAGATCTCTCTTCCGGGCTTGCTGGTGATTCTGTGGTCGTCGGATCCAATGGTGTCCCGCATTATAGCTCCGCAACCTTCGCGGCACGTCACCCAACGATTGGATTGACAGCATCCGGTCGCTCTCGAGACCCGCGCCGACCACACATGCCGCAAGTCACACCCTTCGCGAAGTCACAGCCTGATGAGAAGCACATTCGTGATAATATCCCTCTCAGCTCAATGCGAGACGAGGACCCGCGAGAGGCGCTCTTGAAATACGCCGAGCAGGCTGAGAAAGACCCCATTTTCACTCGCGCATACCAAGAAACTCAACCGAAAGCGATCTACGCGGAATTAAGTGATGACGAGGAACCAGAGCCGGAGAAGAAAAAAGCACGCCGGTGATATTGAATTTGATCCTTTTCCATGTAAAATAAAACTACTATTCATCTATGCTCATCCGCTGGACGCAATTTCGAGCAAATAAAAATATGCAATCCCTTTGCTAATACCATTCCCACCCTGAGAAGTGCGCACCTCACTGAAAGATTTGACTTCACGAAGCATGGGAGCATGGCTTCCTTTGGTATTCGGGAAAACGAAGTTGCCAGCGCTACAAAACGTCTTATTTACTGTCGGGCATCAGTACCTAGGAAGCTGCAATGGGCAGACGTGGTGCTGTACGAAGTAGTACATAGCCCGTTCGCTGTTACGCTATCGATGCCCGCGAGGGGAGCGAGGAATGAAGTATAGGGATAGAATAAGTTTGGCGCGATTCATTTCAATAGCAAATTTAGTACACTCCCTTCCCTGGTATGAGAATTTACTGAGGCTTGTCTTATGAGCCATTTGATGTTCATTATAATCTTGTCTTGCCAATGGCGCAGCCCTATGTGTATCTCTATCTAGCCAAAGTTTGGGGCGGAAAAACAAATTGTAGAATAAGGCCTGCGGAGCAGACAGACTCCGGGGTAGCAACCTTACCGCTGAAACAAGCAGCGCATGGTGTCCCTCCTTGCGTATGCTGCTGTGGAATGTTCCCCTCTTTTTTTCTGCTGCCGGTGACGTCTTCCCAAGACCAGGCGATCAGCATTACCCTTGAGCCCAACCGAACTAACAATAACAATTAACGGCAACAACAGCGCGGGCTTTGATCTCGCGCATGCTTCGGCCCGAGCGCGGTTTCACTGGCGAACCTGGGTACGCTCGGCTGGGAGTTGCAGTTTAGTTTGCGCCGAGTCTGGAGCAAGGAGTGGGAAAGGCCGTTTGGTGCTGACGCAGCATCTCTCCGCTCCACCTGCGCTCTCCGTGCGTTGCCGTCAACCTCCAGCCTCCCACACGCGACTGCGAGGCGCCTTCGGAGACTACAGTTGACTGGACTTACCTGTCTATCTGCTCCACAATGCTGCCTATCGCGCTGTGAAATGCTCATCACTCATTCCCGACCTCACTCGAGTCGACTATAGCCGATCGAAGAGCTTGGTTCTGGGCCGCTTCAGGAGGACTGCGGACGGGACACCAATTCCACCCCGGCGGATGTGATTAAACCCAGCGCTTGCACTCTCGACGTCGGTTTCTATTACCGGCTAGATGGACTCATCACAGCATCCCCTGGTCGCGGGCCTGCTCACCTCGCTCGCCTCTTCGACTATTGCGCCGTCGGCCGCGACCCAATATCTCGCCTCCTATTCGCAACACACCTATGTCGCTCTTCCCAGTTCGACCTTGCTATTAACTCCTGATGGAGACGAGCAAGGGAACATGGAAAGATGGTCCTCATTCATCGGTATTGTGACTGCTCTGGTCGGCAACGTTTTGATTTCGGTAGCACTCAACATCCAACGTTATGCACACATTCGCATCACACGAGAATGGGAACAGGACAGGATCAAGAAGGAAGCGGACGGGAGGCGGGCGCATTCTGGGGAAGGCACAGCAAATCCATATGGGACTGTTGGAGGTGATGTTCGGAGGCGATCGCGGGAACACGACCGGGCTTTCGAGGCCCATCGGGAGGACGAAGATGCACCCCCCATGGGTAGAAATGGTGTCCGAGGCTCTCAAGACGGCCTACGCAATTCGTTTACATCCGATGATACCACTCGTCCGGACAACTCTGAAGACCGGAAATCTTACCTCCGCTCTCCCTACTGGTGGGTTGGAATCATCCTCATGTGTCTGGGAGAGACGGGAAATTTTCTCGCCTACGGGTTCGCGCCAGCGTCGATTGTCTCTCCCCTGGGTGTCGTTGCCTTGATATCGAACTGCGTTATCGCACCGTGCTTGCTCAAGGAAAAGTTCCGGCAACAGGATTTCTGGGGCGTGTTGATATCTATTGCCGGGGCCGTGGTCGTCGTGCTCAGCGCTAGATCTTCAGAAGAAAAGATTGGTCCCGGTGAAATTTGGATGATGATCACTCGTTGGGAGTTTGAGCTCTATCTGGGATTGACTCTCGCGCTTATCTTTGGTCTTATGTGGGCCAGCTTCTCATATGGCTCGCACTCGATTCTCATCGACGTCGGGCTTGTGGCGTTGTTTGGTAAGTCCTATGCTCGTCAAGGAGGGGCAATCGAGTGCTCATACTGACTGCATTTACTAGGTGGATACACAGCCTTGTCTACCAAGGGCGTCTCCTCGCTGCTGTCATTCACGTTGTGGCATGTCATCACATACCCCATCACTTACCTACTCGTTTTCGTTCTTGTTTTCAGTGCCTTGATGCAAATTCGCTACATCAACCGTGCGTTGCAGCGCTTTGACTCCACTCAAGTGATTCCCACGCAATTCGTTCTGTTCACCCTCTCGGTTATCATTGGAAGTGCTGTTCTCTATCGTGATTTCGAATCTATGTCGGCCGCCCGGGCAGGCAAGTTCGTGGGAGGTTGCTTTTTGACATTCCTGGGTGTCTATTTTATTACCAGTGGTAGATTTCATTCTGATGATGAGTCTACCTTTTCGACGGACGATGAAGAAGAAGCCATCGGCTTGCTTCATGGTGAACGGTACCATGATAGGATTGATTTATCTCCTCCCGCGCAACAATACCGAGTACCAAAAGCACTCCATCTCGCTCATGAGAATGAAGATGGACAATCGCCGCCAGGCTCTCTTCTAAGTCGCGGTATTGATGGGATGGATGATGATCAGCTCACTCCTCGAGAGGTTCTTTCCGGGGCTCCCTCTTCTCCAGTCGGCTCATTGACCGCGGATTCTCCCTGTTCAGGGCCATCGGTGGATCACACGTCGCCATTACGCCCGCCGTCTCGTATGTCCAATCCCTGGGCGGACTCCGCGAATGCCCCTCTTGAAACTCCCAAATCCGACACCGAAATCTACTGCCACACTCCGCTGCCTCCGCACGATGGCGACACAGGCCCGGAGTCAACTGTTCTTTTGCGCTTTCCTCCTGCACCTGGCATCGAGGAAGATTCGCCGAACAAGCCTCCCGTGCTCCGACGGGCTTCAACTCCTACTGCAGCAGATCAGCCTCATGCTAGTGACCGAAGCCACACGACCTTGGAAACCCCTTCGCGACGAGTAATGCGCAACTCTATTTCCAACCGCTTCTCTCCTGGCACCCTTCTTCCCACTCTTTCGGGTGGCTTTAGTGCCGTCGTTGCAGAATCCTTGCGGCGTGGTGAGGGTAGCCCATTGAAAGACCGTGCCCGGCGAAAGCAAGGACGCCGCAAGCAACTCGATGGTGCCTTTGAGTATGGAACCGCTCACCACCGAGATGGGGATCTCGTCGCTGATGAGGATGGTCTCGATAGCCCCCTGACTATTGCCGCCGCGCGCCTCCAATCTGCCACCAGCCTGGCCGCACCTTCTGTGGGGGCTGGACGGTCCACCCCTGCTCTGACCACGGAAATCTACACCACCCCAGCCCAGCAATCAGATGAAGAGGTAACGCGTCTGCGCAGCTTTAGTGACTCGTGGAGCGGTGGCCTTGCATGGCTTGGCGGTGCGCTGCGAAAGAATCAGCACGGCCAGGGTGTGGATAGCGGTGCGATCACGCAAGGAACCGCGACTCCGCAGGATGACCGGGGTCTATCCGATCAGGGCGGTCACAGCCAGCATGATACTGGAAACGCGGAGGCCGAATCTCGGCCATAATTGCAGCAAGGAGCAAAATGGAGGGCCGGACAACCCCTGTGTTCTGAGCCATACATGAAGAGTGGCTGGGTCACTCAAACCGTACATACACATTCATAGAGGACATCCTCATACCCTCACATCCTTCTCGTTGATTTTCTTTCTAGCTTCTGATTGGCGGGTGGGTTATTATATTCTGTCGGCATAATTGGGTTGTAATCGGCATTGCATTTTGCGGGGTATATTCTCTTAGGCATTTAATATCTCTCCTCTGTGACTTGTGTTCGTCGCGTCTTTCTGGATTCCCAAAGGCGAGTTCTACATCGCTACTTCTCTCCTTCTTCTGTCTATTGTCCCAATCTCGCATTTTTGTACAATTTATTCTTCTCCAGCTTCAGACAACCAGTGATACCTAATTTGGATTTTTCTATCTGCTGGGGAACCTTAAGACCGAAAGTTAGGGAAATTGTAACTTGCATGATGCCTGCTCATCAGCAGGAATGCGAGCTGCTCATAGGTGGAAAAAGAATGAAGAATGCCTGAGACAAAAGTACCCATCGCAGACCCAGCCGGTGGCCTATTGAGGATCTTCAACCGGCATTGCCTGTTAAGATGGCTAGCTCTCAGGGTTTCCATGTATTTAGCCTTTATTCAGCTTTCCCCGCCTCTCAAGCCTAAGCCTGTGATGAGCGCAGTGGAGTTCGCTCTTCCATTCTTGAATCGCGATCTCCACAAAGAACCTTTCGCAAACAAGACAGAGAGCGTCGGCTAAGTCGCGGGTTGAGCTCCGTTCCGCGATGGTCTTAGCGTTTGAAACTAAACCGAGAACAACCAGAAGTATAGTTTACTCCTGCAGCCCATCATGTTCCCCGGGATCGCTTCATCTCCGGTGCATGCCCTAGATTTCGAGCTAAGAGTCCATCTAATGTCCGCTCGACCCCGATGGCGCGAGTCTGTGGCCAGACGGAGAAGCCCCGGACACATTTTCCCCGCGGGGTCGAGCAAATAAATTTTGATCCGTGTTTCCTTATTATTCCCGGGATGAAATCAATTGTTTTGGTAGCGAAATTTTGTCTTCAGTATTTCAGAGCCCTCAATTGCGCTAGGGACTGGACGTGGACTTAGCATTTGGAAAGCATTGGCTTGAATAGCCCTTTCGCGTCATCCAAGATGATCGTCAAGGGATTTACTGGCGGGCTGCTGCTTGTGCAGCTCGTCGCCGCTGTTTCTGGAAAGAGCACACCGCTATACAAGGATGCTAACGCACCTGTCGAGCAGCGAGTCAAGGATCTGCTGGGCCGAATGACAATTGATGATAAGATGGCTCAATTGATGCAAGGTATGCGTTTCACACGATTGAGGATTGATCTGCTCATGTTAATCTGATTCCGCTGTCAGGCGACATCACAAATTGGATGAACCAAACGTCGGGTGCATTCAACTACTCTGGGTTGGTGACAAACATGGAGATGAAAGCAGGCACCTTCTATGGTATTGTTGTCTTTGAAGCCTTCAATTATTTCCAAGGTTTCATATTAACAATATTTCTAGTCGGATATCCGGTTGCTTGGGATTGGATCGCGGACAATATCAAGAGGGCACAGGACTATCTGCTTCAGAACACCACCCTTGGGATTCCAGCTCTTGTCCAGTCAGAGGGTATGTGTTTTGCCAGTGAAGATCCATCGTGTGAGAATTTAGACTGACGAATCTTCCTGTTATAGGGATTCATGGATTCTTGGTCGGCAATGCGACTATCTTCAACTCACCAATCGCATATGGATGCTCTTGGAATAAAGAGGTAGACGGTCCGATTTAATTTTGCACCTGGCTTTGAGTACTGATTGATAAAATCCAGCTCGTTCAACAAATGGGGCAGGTAATTGCACGAGAAGCCCAAACTCTGGGTGTCAACCAGCTTTTCGCACCTGTGGTTGATTTGGCTCGCGAGCTTCGCTATGGACGAGTAAGTTGCGGCCCGTTAATCTGACACCTATGACTAGATATCTGATAAACGAACGAGTCTGTAGGTCGAAGAAACCTTCTCAGAAGACTCATACCTTGCCGGAGAAATTGGTTATAGCTATGTGAAGGGTTTGCAGAGCAAGAACGTCTCGTCAATGGTTAAGCATTTCGCGGGATTCAGCAACCCCGAACAAGGTTTAAACACTGGACCAGTTCATGGAGGCGAAAGAGAGCTGCGAACGACGTAAGGATCCAATTCCCATGTTGGTCGATCATACTGATGACTTGTCAGCTGGCTGCCGTCATTCAAGCGAGCCATCATCGATGCCGGTGCCTGGTCCATCATGGCAGCATATCATTCGTAAGGATTTTCTATAGGCTCCCGAATGCACATGGGATACTGATTCATCCATGCTAGATACGACGGAATTCCAGCGGTTTCCGACTACCACACTCTCACTGAAATCCTGCGAGAGGAATGGGGCTACGACTATTTTGTTATGACAGATGCCGGCGGAAGCGACAGATTATGCAGCTACTTCAAGCTTTGTGAGAGTAAACCGCTTGATATGGCTTCCGTTACCGAGCAACTTTTAACGGCCGGGATTGACGTTGAAATGGGAGGCGGTTCTTTGTAAGAGCTCATGCCACATGGTTGGCAGCGTGCAAGAAACTAAAGCGTCAACAGCAACTTCCAAAAGATCCCCGAGCTGGTGAAGTCTGGTAAGCTTGACATTGACACGGTAAACACGGCTGTGTCTCGACTACTTCGCGTCAAGTTTGAAATGGGCCTCTTCGAGAACCCGTATCCTGCCGCGCCAGAAACTAAATGGCATAGCCTGATCAACAATGCTGAAGCCAAACAGCTTGCTAGAGATCTGGACAAGGAATCGATTGTGCTCTTGGAAAATCATAAGGAGACTCTCCCCTTGAAGAAATCCGGCAGCATTGCTGTAATCGGACCAATGGCACACGGGTTCATGAATGTAAGTCGAGGTCCATTCCCCCCTTTAGGAATAATAACTGAGATTCATTCTTTGCCCAGTACGGAGACTATGTTGTATATCAAAGTCAATATCGAGGCGTCACTCCACTTGATGGTATCAAGGCCGCAGTTGGTGGCAACGCTCAGATCAACTATGCCCAAGGATGTGAACGGTGGAGCAACGATGAGGCAGGGTTCGACGAGGCTGTCGAAGCCGCGAAGAAATCCGACGTTGCCGTTGTTGTTGTCGGAACATGGTCCAGGGATCAAATGCAGCTCTGGCAGGGCTTGAATGCAACGTGAGTGAAACACTGTTTTGACCGCCCCAAAATCCCACTGAGATGTTTATAAAATCCTGACGCCATATCAGAACCGGTGAACATGTTGACGAAGACGACCTGGCCCTAGTAGGCGCACAGGGCCCGCTCATCAAAGCCATTGTTGACACCGGCGTGCCGACCGTTGTCGTTCTCTCCAGCGGCAAGCCTGTCACCGACACCTGGCTCTCCAACACGACCTCCGCCCTGGTTCAGCAGTTCTATCCATCTGAGCAAGGCGGCAATGCGCTTGCCGATGTCTTGTTTGGTGACTATAATCCTTCTGGAAAGCTATCGGTTAGCTTCCCCCGCTATGTCGGCGATCTTCCCATTTTCTACGATTACCTGAATTCGGGCCGCTCAATTGGGGATTCGGGCTACGAAGCTAGCAACGGGACCCTCGTGTTCGGGCACCAATACGTTCTCGGCAATCCACTTCCGTGGTATCCCTTCGGCTACGGGAAGAGCTACTCTACGTTCGAGTACGGATCGGTCAGCGTCGATCGCAGCACTATCTCTGCTTCAGACAGCAGCGTTACGGTCAGCGTCGATGTGACAAACACCGACAAGAGCCGGGACGGCACAGAGGTTGTCCAGGTCTATGTCTCCGATGACATTGCTTCGGTGGTTGTTCCCAACCGCGCACTGAAGGGATTTGAGAAGGTTGTGATTCCGGCCGGAAAGACCAAGACTGTCAAGATTCCCATTCGAATTGAGGACATTGGTTTGTGGAACACTCGTATGCAGTACGTTGTTGAGCCCGGCAACTTCACCGTGTTGGTTGGCAGCAGTTCGGAGGATATCAGGGGAAACACTACATTTACTGTGCGGTAGTTCTGCAGACTCCCTGCTCCGTGTATGCCTTCTTCTTGAATGAGTTCATTAAAGTCTATATCCAAATTCTGCCAAATATATTCAATAATGCATGTATAACCTCATTGCCACGTTCATGCAATATTTGAAGTTTTCTAAACCCAGGACATGCGTTTGTTCCACGAATTAGGTGGGTTTGAAGAGTCCGTCTCTTCATGCAATGGCCACCGGGGTCGTTGGTCGGGCTCCACTCTCGTCAGTGTTAGCCGCTTCGCTGCACGGACTGAATTACTGCTCCGGGGAATCACAGGCAATATAACTTCTTCGGTGTCAGAGTCTGCGTCTCGCTCCAGGCTGAGGACAACCTCGATCGCTTGTTGATCTTCGATGACCTTCGGGTGGCGCTGAGCGAAATACCGGGCATATTTGTACAGCGACCAGTAACAGCTGAACACATTGACAAATGTCAGGACGATCTTGTAGAAGGTGTAATAGAAGATCATGACCACCCATCCGATGCGCTCATTCTTCAGGCGGAGGTGAATCTCGTTGAAAATGATGACGTTGATGATATACATGCCGATGGTGACGCCGAGAAGCATTCCGCAGAAACTGGGACGCACAATGAACGAAATGGGAAGAACGAATGGAGCAAGAAGGTAGATTAGGGTCTCATAGACCTATGCAATATGGTTAGCACTAAAGTTTCACCATGCCTCCCGTAAAAAGAATATCGAACCTCTTGGAAAACGCAAAGCTTGGCGCCGATCTCCCACCAGCCCAGCTTCCAGCTCGTTAGAATATACTTCATGTCATAGTACATGCCCACAACAAAAAAGAAATTCCAACGCTTGAATCTTTGTGAGAAGATGGTCATTTCGCCAAAGCCTCCACGACTGCCGCTGCCGCTGAAAAAGACCGATGATGGAGTTTCGGTCTCCACAAACACCGACGAGCACATAGTGATACGTCCTCCAAGCCGTCGGCAGCTATCTCCGAAGAACCAATCTTCCGAGACGGAAAAACCAGGATGTTCATTGAATGTCTGCTTTAGGAATTCGGTATTCCAAATTGAAATGGCGCCATGAGGAAAGGTTGCACTTCCCAATTTACCAAAGAACGCTCGCTGCAGACCGGACATTTTGTATTCCAGATCCTGCGCTTGCTGACAGAAAGTCCCTTTTGAGGAGTTAGGGCCGACGCTCTTGATCGTATATCCAATGCACTTGACCTTGCCCTTCAGGCGGTCGCTGACGATGGGGAAATTGGGAGGCAAGGCACAATCATCGTCGATAAGAAGAACGTTTTCGAATCCCCTGGCGGCATAGCAACCGGCAAATTGAGCAACAATTTTGGATCCGATAGGCACCCAGAGGTGATTGACACCGTAAGGCCGACAGACTTCTTCCGTGTTGTCAAGCGGGGTCTCCGAGTTTCCATTTGCAATGACAAAAATATTCTCTAGTGGGAATATCTCTAGAGCAGCTTTTAAAGTCGGACCGATGATATTCGCGGATTTATAGCATGGAATCAACAGGGCCGTTGTTTTAACATTCTCGGCCCGGTGTTCGGGATCGGTGTCTGAAGTTTCATTTTTTTGTGCTGGATCTTTTTCGAACAAGATCAAAAGTGGTAGAAACGCGTAACTGTGTCGCGTGGTTAAGTTTTTTTCACGCGAGAAATGATATGACAGTTCTTACAGTGCAGCAACTCCGATTGTTATGGCGTATCCTCCCTGGATCACAAATTTATTTGCGACGACCCAGTAGAGCCACCAAACGGCACCTTTCCATAAGGGGACGCCAATCAAGACAAAGTAGACGAAAAGGATCAGCAGAACGTAGATGGCATATTCGAACAATACCCGAACCCAGTATTTGCGATGAAGAGCTACCCCTCTTGCTTTGGCTTTTTCATAGGCATCGTGCATACTACTTTGGCGACTGTGCTGGGTGCGAGAGCTCACTCGACTCATCTGGGTTGGACTGAGTGCTGCATTTTTGATCGGTGTAATCGGTTCCTTTTCAAAGAGTGGGGACGGGGATGGTAAAGGCGGCGTTAAAAGAGTATGCGTTCTGAGCTTCTCCCATTCTGAGAAAGTCAAGTTAGATATGCTATCATTTCCAATTGGATTGGTATGATCCTAGGCGTACCATGGATTTCTGGAGGATTAGTGCGTGGCCGTTGTGCGGCAGCGGGCCTACGGACTCTGCGTGTGGAGAGACTGAAGGATCGACTGAGGTTTCCGTGCTGCTTCTGACTTGCCGCTGCTGCGTGCTCATATGGAACACGATCATTTCTGGGGAGGGACTTTTCCCACTTTGTTAATTCCCAGGGCGAATTGAACTTCGCCGTTGCCAGGAGTGGCCTCGGGATAGGCACATCCTCCATAATGGAATGCCGGGCATTCCTCTTGATCGACATTTAGAGTGTACAATGCATAAAAGTGGATGGATGGATAAACGATTGAATGAATGATAATACAGTCAAAGTTGAGAAATAAAAGAACGAACGGCACCAGCTGTCGCCAGAGAAAATGAGCGTGAGTTTGGGGTCCGGGCCGAAGATGGGGAACCTGAATATTCTATAAAAACCTGTATGCCTTGCCAATGGGAAAATTTTAGCCTGGTGTTGTGGATCTTAACACGGTGTGTATGCTCCATTCTCATCCTGGACCTAGATCTGGATGGGGCCGAACATGTCTGGAAGGGGGTCTAAACCTTGGGGCTCTGATTCCCAAACTTGCGAAATGAACACCTAAATGCAACATAAATTGACACCTGGTATATTTCTTGCATATTATTGGACAAGATGACGGAATATCCAAGCGTAGATGAGGCCATCTTCATGCAGGATACGGCGAACCCCGTGGGTACGCTTGTTTGGGGCCAGACATTTCCTACCTTCCCAAAAGGATGCGAGTGGGGAGACCGGGGGAAAATGAAACACATTTTCGATCATTGACGGCCTAATTTATGCTTTATAAGTAGCCATTAATAACCTTCATTCGAGCTCCTGGCTGTGGATAAAGGACCGCTGTCAATTCTAGTTCTCGGTCTCCGCCCGCTCTCAACCCTTTACGGTCAACATGTTTTAGATCAGCGATGCATTTTTACGGCCATGGTGCTGCATATAGCACTGACTCCGGTGCTAAGAATAATTTCTTCCCTTGGGACAGGATCTTTGGGTTGTTTTAGCCAGTCCAGCTTTTCTGTTTTGGATCATCGACGATCCAGATCGGTTAACCGGTTAGCAGAGATTTTAGCGTACCATCTTGTAGAACGCAGCCTTATGGAAATCCACTCACCAAAGCCAATAAAAAAGTGATCACGATCCATTTAGCCCCAAGATCGTCGGTTTGTTTTCCTTATTCTACATGAACTAAATTTACTTGGCTGGCTTAGATGTGGGCTGAGTACCAACGCACGCGTCGTAATGGTAGTGGGGAGAGGTTGCCTCGAATTGGACCAACTTGGCAGAGCTTCAGCGCCCCACAAAGACTACCGAACCAGTACGGTGTACTCCGTTGGGTTGGACTCGACCAGATACCCTGACTAAGGGATAATTTCGAGCAACGGAAGTGTCCAACAGCTCGATTTTTGTTCGGTCAACTCTTTACCTTTGGGTGGTGATGGTCGTCTAAGCCGACTCGGGCGTTTCCACATTTAGGATCAATCGCGAACCCACAAAAATAAAGTTCCAGGTACGAAGCGGCTCATAGTGCAGAATCGCGGGTTGGCTTTTTTTAGGCGCCCCAAAAAGGCTAAGCGAACGGAAGGGGCGGAATAGATTCCTCTAACTGTAATGCTGGCCTCAACTCCGGTAAGAGATTTGTGAGGCATAAGTATACGTGCCTTTTTGTTCACTCAATGCATTATTTACTTTATTTACTCAGTCAAAGACAAACGGAGTGCATAGTATACAATAATAAACAACCGTTCGAAAGTGGATTGCCATGACGTATGCTAAGGAGTTCGTAGACTCGGCATCAGGTGGTCTGAGGATACTCGTCTGAGGTTCGTCCCACAGGTATGTGATTCAAACAGAAATAATCCTATAATGATTTCTAGATGCGAGTATCCCTACCATTAAGAGAAGAGTATAACAAATAAGACTCATTCACTCCGTACTCCGTACCAGCTAGCATGCCCAAGCTGCATAGGGTTAAACGTATTTTGTCTCACAAATCAAGCCACAGGGAGAACGACACGCAATCGTGTCCCGCATTCACCGCACGTTGACATGTTTCCGGGGTTCCCGCATTTCCTTATTTTTTTGACGTGGGCACAAAAATTGGCAACTTGTGTCGATCATCACGACATAACTAGAAATGAGGATTTTACCTCTGCTAGTCGTCTTGTTAGCATACTGCGGCGGGAATAGCGTATAGTCTGTCGGTGTCTTTGATGAACATAAGTTCGTGGAAGCCATGGGCCCCCTCCCCATTGCTTTGATATGAACATACAATTGAATCGGTGAGTGTCGCTATCTACTGGAGAAAATTAGGGCGCGAAATCCGTTAGCTGGGCTCGCAGCTAAGGAACCTATGAACTTCCCTCCCCCGCAGTGGAGTGCTGGAATAGCCCCGAGAGGCCTAGTTCGAGGCCTTCTGCTTGCGCACACGATAGATTAGTGGAAAAGGAGTCTCGATGGATCAGGGGCAATGTAATCAATAGCCCACAAACTACTATTGGGATCGGCGATGAGCATTATGCTGGGATGTCGACGTGGAAGGCTCGAATACTATTTCGCGGACAGAAATTCAAGACATGGAAGGGCCCGAGGGGCCTCTCGTAACCATGGGTATGCAGTTTAGACAGCAGATTTTAGGGGTTGAGTCGGTTAAATTTATATTTCCCGGGCGTGTATATTGCTCGTCCACAATCACAATGATAGAGTACTTTGGCAGGCAGAAATTGAAAATTATTATTCCTCAACTCCGGCTAACTCCATTAGTTTTCATTCACATGGAGGTTGCCAACAGGCCTTTGGCCTGTGAGTTTATATGCCAGCTCCTCGGATAGTTCCTGCAGTTGCAGTTAGTTACGTCTCCTTCACTGACTACTGAGTATTGGACTTCGGATTTGGAATATGCGAGAAATTTCTTCTATATTATCAAAAGCTGAACTATAAGCCCTTATTGTTATCGCCTATGTATGTCCAAGGTGAAATGTTGCCCGTCCAGTAACGAGTGGCTACCTATATAACGTTCAATAAACTTTCGTCAGCTATGGGTCTTGCGCACCCGTAGGTACCGATTGATCCCTTCATTGATTCGCCTACGGTTAAGCATTGGCCAGAAAAGTAGCGGCGTTGCTGCGTATCAGGAATTGATGCCCTGCATAAAGTATATAAGATTCTTCCAATGTCTTCTCCTGTTCTATTCCCCTCTTTTTCTTGCAGTCTCATTGCAGAATACGGATTGAGTACGTCTCTACTAACCTGGCCAAGCTTTTGACTAGAATTTTATCAATTGAATTCATGTGTAACCTGAACGTAGAAGCATGGGCGGTCATAAGAATAGCGTATACTTCAAGTGCCAGCAGTGCCTGTACCCTCAGGCTCTGATCCCGAGCCATTCCGAGCAGCAGCTCTACTCGATAATGCATCTCCTGGATGCGGAAAGACGGGAATATCAGGTCTCTTGCCACCCAACACAGGGGTAGACGGGTTGCTCTGTCCATCCCCCGAGCGACCTTCTGCACGCCTCGTCTTCGCACCCTCCTTCAATTTCTCCCAGCGGTCCCGATATCGCCCAAGTACTTTGTTCAACTTGTCATTCTCGCGCCCAACACGATCCAGCTCTTGCTCGCCGCGAAGAACAAGATCCTCCAGTTCTTTGATTCTAGGATCGGCATCCGACATTGTCTGTGCGGTGGAAAGAGTTGTCACGGGAGAGTTGGCGGCCGACAATCCATGTGCCATATGCTCGGGAGATCCGGTATTGTGGTGATGCATTGCTCTTAGAGATTGCTGCAGCGCCATGGATGAGGATTGTGCATTGACCTCCCACATATGCAAGCGTTTCGAAAGGGTATCAGATAGCTGCTTGAGAGCCTGGTTCTCCATCTGTAATTCTTCCAATGTCTTCGGATTCTGCAAGCTCATGAGCTTGTTAGCAGCACCGCGACGTCCGGTCTGGGAGGCATTTGCAGTGCTTTGTCGCATCTCCGGAGATGGCGGGGTTTCCCGTGCATCCACGAAGTCGTCGTCGCCCTCGTCAAGGCTGTTTCGGCGGGCCTCTTTCTCAGCTCGAGTCAAGATTCCCGCATATGACATCGTTCCTCCGGTCGTAGGAACGACATAGAATGACTCCGCTGGATTTCCAGGGCTTGTACCAGGAAGGTCCTGGATCGAGCGCAGTGCTGCTCGGGAGAACAGTCGGTTGACGTCCGGCTCCCTGCCAATAGATTTGCGGTCTGGAGTCGCATGGTGACGGTCCACTTTTGTCTCTGCAGGGGATTTGCGACTGGCTGGTGGCGCTTTGGTAGGATCCTCCGTCCCTAGAGGAAGTCCTGCAAACGCCAGTGGTGCAGAAATCTTAGAAATTAGACCTTCGAATGTAGAATAAAACCGCTGGAATGAATCGTCCGTGGTCGATGGTTTAGCTTTCGACTGAGTTGACTCGCCGTCCGAAGGTACGACCAGCTGGGATGTGATTTCCGTGGGACTGGGCAATGGGGGAGACCAGGGTTGTCTGGGTGTTCGACTATTCCGATTCTTGGTCGGGACCTCTCGTAGTCTTGACTCGCCGGTTTTGACTCTCGAGGGCCCTTCAGTCATGGTCGCTCCGGCTTGTTGTGAGGAAAGGGTGGGTGATACTGGTGACCCACGACGCGGGTGAGCTGGTATTCCTCGCGCGGATGCTAGGTTGCTGGCGATAGAGGAAGACTCGCGACTTGGCAAACGAGTATTCCCCGGCAGCCTTGGAGGTTGGTTTTGGGCATCTTGGCTTGGGGTCTTTATGGCCCCGGCATCTGCTGTAGAAGGCTGAGCTGATGGGTTTGTGGATGGAGCGACGGGCGGTGATTCGGCAGATGCGTGGGCGGGATGCTCGTGCTGAAATCTCAATATCTTGGCTAGCTTCTTGTGGTGGTGCTCGAGAAGCTGCAGGGTGCGGAGGGCCTTGGGCCGATAAGGTCAGTACCCGATCGATTCGCCGGGGAGGGCGGCCTCGACATACCTCTTGATCGGCGCTGCTCTGAGCTACAGTCGCGAATTCACCGGCAGCCAGATCATGTTCCTCGCTAGCGGCGACAGGGTTGGACTTCCGCGTCTCGAGGACGGCGTTGCGCGCGTGGGTGTGGGCCTAGAACTCATTAGATGACAATAGCATGTGGGGGAACACGATCTTACCAGAGTGAGCGGAGCAGCCTCCATGGTTGAAGATTCAACAGCGCATGGGCCGCGAAAAAGGCATGCCTTGATGCTCCAGGACTAGGAACTGCAGTGGTGCAGAGGGAACGAGTGACGCCATGCCAGTTGGAGACGGGCGGAGCAACTGCGGAGATTTGGTAACTTTGGATAGGCGGGCCGTACGGTAAGTACCGGCCAGTACTGCCAAAGATCTATTGTAATCTATGTGTTTGTATAGTTCTGGCACACCCCGGTCCTGGGTTTCTCTCATGAGGACATTCCCTTCATAGACATCGCCTGATCAAGTCCTCCTTACCTAGAAAGAGGGTAGTATTCATCTGCCACAATGGCCTTGTTGGATTCTGAACGCAGCGACGGCCGGCCACAGGCGTCACATCCGCATTCTGGACGGTGGAGACGTAAGCTACACAACGCGGGCCACGTCAGAACCACGGGGTAGATCCGCGAGCTCTGCTCTTTGCCCCAGTCGAACCAAAAAGAAAGACACAATCTGAAGCTCCATAGGCGATGGATCACGGATCCCGGAGCATGAACTTGGTATTTCGATGGCGTCGATAGTGAAACAGGCCACATCGTAGCAGGAGCGCATGGGTGTAACACCATGGTATCCGCAGCGGACACCTGACGACTGACTAAGTGGCTGAGGAGCGTCTAAATGGAGCTCCTCCCCTCGATGCAAGTGGAACCAGAACCAGCCCAGGGGAATCTCATTGTCTTCACTGCTCCCGATGCTATTCGTCCTCCACTAGACACCCCCTGGGACTTGCCTACCACCTCATCCTCATGCGGTGGTTCTACCCTCGACTCTCCATTGTCTCTGCATCGCGCGTCCGGGGCCAGACTCTCCGCTCGACATGGCGGACTCCGAATCCTCCAGTCTGAGAGGCAGTGGCAGCAGGTCGCGTCGGGCCTGGACAGTGTCAGCAGAGTCCGAACCGATGGATAGCTCTAGTCGGAGCAATGGTCGCTCCTCGATTGACTCCAATGAACGACCCAAGACCCAGGGAGGCGAAGCTCCCGACTCCGCAAAGGCTGGCTCCAGCGGTTTCTCCAAGCTCATCAGCTCGCGTCGGCGACGGAAGAAGAGGAACAACCAGCCGCCAGCCGATGAGCCGCCAGTGCCAGGTATCGTCACGGAGGAGGACCTGCATTTAAGCCGGTCAAATGAGTCTCACGATGGCTATTCGGGCGTGCCGTCATCCAACGCTAGCTCGGCCCCGCCGGGAGGCGAGGTCATCAATATTTTGACCGACGATTCTGAGCCAGACAGGTAAATTGATTTTTCTGTGCTCTAATTCTTATGACTTCGGGTTAACCCTTTCTTCTCTGTCTTTAGGACGCCCCCGCTGACCTCTCACAACTCCCATACGGGTTTCTATACTTCCTCCTCCCCGCTCATCAAAACAACCTCGGTGAATACTACCGACAAGGAAGAGACAGAAGCAGACGTGGACTCGGCGGTCAGCGGCCCAAGCGCTACGGGGTCTGAGTCCGCTCCAAGTGAACCTCGCGAGAATCAGCCGAGACGAGGAACGCAATCGAGCATGACCCTGGATATTCCGACAGACTCCAACAGCAAGCGACGCAGTGCTTCTCCTGCAAGGCGTCTCAAGGATGCATTTAGTCCGTCGGATAAGAAGAATGCGGATACGAACGACGACGCTTCATCCAAATCGGCCAGTAGCCGAAGCGGGCGAAGTCTATTCAGCAGTCGTCGAAGCAGTCTGTCCTCGAAACGGGCCCAGGCAACCCCAGAGGCCCCTCCACCCCTGCCTCTCCCCATTCGCACGGATTTGACTGAGGACAAGCCTCGTAAGCGATCTCTGGAAGCGAGTCCATTGCCCAACACCCCTCCGCACACCGCGATCCCTGCGCCAGCAACCACAGTCACCCCTCCCACGCCTACAGAGCATGTTCCGCTCAACCCTCAGATCCTGTCAGAAACTGTAACAGACTCACCCGAGTCCATCAAGTCCCGCAATTCAATGTCGGGAGCCGGCATCACCGTGAGCTCCTCGGGTAATATGATCTCACACCGGCGGGTACGGTCTGCCTCCGCAGCTCACGTTCCGAGCAAATTGTCTACATCCGTGACTGCATTAAGCCCTCTGGAGGAAAATAAGGCGCCCAAAAGTGGATCGAGTCAGCAAAGCGGCTTCTTCTCCTCTGTGTTCTCTGTGGCCCAGAATGCAGCATCCTCAATAAGTAACACGCTCAACTCCCAGCAAAAAAATCGTATCACCCCTCAACCTTCAACTCCTGGTCTTGACACTTCTCCGATAGAAACAGTATCGGAGGAGACCGATCAAGGGTCAGATCAAAGCAGCAAAAATGGGGAAGGGAAACCGTCGACGATGGAAACACTTGGGTCTGGAGATTTGAAGTTCAGCCATCTGGATATTGACGCCCCGCCAGGTGAGATAATTTCCACTGCCGATGGTGTGGTTGTCACGAAACCAGTTACTCCTGTCGACAAGCGCAAGAACCCGGCTGTGTACCAGCGGGATGAGGAAGCCGCAAAGCTCGAAGATCAGCGGGCTGCCCGGGCTGTCAATATGGCCTACGAGAAGCCCGAGTCCGCTACAATCGGATCTCCTGGTGACAATGTCTTGGAGCTCCAGTCTACTGTGTCTCTACCCAAGGATGGAACAATGACTGGAGACCACACGCCCCCTAGTGGGAGTATTCTTGACGGAGATATTGGTAGTGGCATCAAAAGGAGTGGTAGTGTGCGCAGTCGGCTTGCACGTCGTCATCGAGGCTCTTCTGGGGCTACGACCTCGACCATTGGCGCGATCGGTGCCAGCGCCCTAGCCCTTGGTGTTCCTGGTGTCAATGCCAGTGTCCCTCGCTTGACCGGCTTTGCTGTTGCAAGCAAGAAGCGCAACAGGGACTTCCACCAATTGTTTCGAAGCGTTCCTGAGGATGATTACCTGATTGAAGACTACAGCTGTGCCCTGCAACGTGAGATCATCCTTGCTGGCCGAATCTACATATCCGAAGGTCATATCTGCTTCTCCAGCAACATTCTTGGATGGGTGACAACCCTTGTTATCAGTTTTGATGAGGTCGTCGCTATCGAAAAAGAGAGCACAGCCATGGTCTTCCCCAATGCAATCGCCATCCAAACCCTGCATGCTCGTCACACCTTTCGAAGTTTGCTCAGTCGTGAATCGACATATGATCTTATGGTCAACATTTGGAAGATCAACCACCCATCTCTCAAGAGCTCTGTCAATGGAACTCGGGTAACAACTGGTACCGGTGACAAAACAGAGAAGGTCGGCGAAAGTGACTCAGAGAGCGATGTCTCTGACGAGGATGAGATCTACGATGAGGATGAAGAAGGTGATCATGCCGATAGCTTCTTTGAAGCTGGACCCAGTGCCAACGCAAGCGAGAAGTCGCTGCCGGGGCGGGCTGGTTTGAGCCGTCAAACCTCAGGCCTATCGACGAACGCAATGGCACCAGCAGCTGCGAACAGCAATGCCGATACTAAGAATGGTGACAAGGCGGGAGCCCCCAAGGAAGCTGATTTCCCTGGTCCAGCCACGCATGCTCCCACGGAGTACACCGACCCCAATGGACAATACGAAAGGGTCATAAAGGACGAGCTCATTCCGGCGCCGCTCGGAAAAGTTTATTCTTTGGTCTTTGGACCGGCATCAGGAGAGTTCATTACCAAATTTCTCGTGGAAAATCAGAGATCGGGCGAACTACAGTTCGAAGCAACGGCAAAGGGCCTCACAAACGAAAGCCGCGTTCGGAAGTATTCCTATATCAAGCCTTTACCCGGCTCCATTGGTCCGAAGCAAACCAAGTGTATCAGTACCGAGACCTTGGACTTCTTGGATTTGGAAAAGGCTGTCCTTGTCACCTTGAGCACTCAGACTCCCGATGTGCCTAGCGGCAATGTTTTCGCTACCAAAACCAAGTACCTTTTCACCTGGGCTCCCGGTAACCAAACACGATTCCTCATGACATGCAACATCGAGTGGTCCGGTAAGAGTTGGTTGAAGGGCCCCATCGAAAAAGGCGCAACCGACGGCCAGACTTCGTTCGGAACGGAACTTGTCAAGGCTCTAAAGGTTGGCGTTGTCCCTCGTGTTCGCACGAATGGCGCTGGCAAGGCCAAGGGTCGCCGTAAGAAGGGTGATGTCGGTGCTAATGATGATGCTGCGGTCGCCTCTTTGAAGGCAGTCGTGGATCCCACCTCAGGCCAGGCCGAGTCTTGGGGTCTGTTCGAACCAGTCCGTCCTATACTGGAGCCAGTGACCAGCATGCTCAAGCCTCTTTGGAGTGGAAACATTGCTATCCTGCTTGTTGGCATTCTGCTTTACATGGCATTCTTTCGAACCCCATCGACCTCATCCAGGCTCGGACACGACATTGGCTTCACCGGCCTCAGCCTTCCTCAGCGGCTCGCTGCTTACGAAGAAATGTGGCAGCGCGAGGAAAGCGAACTCTGGAACTGGCTAGAGGATCGAGTGGGCATGGATGGCATGGCATTCCCAGTGCTTCATCACCGTACCTCAGAAGCCTATGCTAGCCGCCGATCCACCCGTGCCAGTCCAGCAGACGAGCGTGATCTCATTGCCCGTCTGCGTGAGGAGCAGGTTTCCGATCGGGATATGGATCATGCGATACGAACGACGCGCCAACGGCTTGACATTCTCGAAGAGATAATGAGCAATCGCAGGGTGGAACGGACTCCCACCGAAGAGCCTCCTGTTCGGAGCGAGCTGTGAGCTCTTCGCCATCATCTCAAACCAACTCCTTCTTGCTCCTCCCCCATTTTCTCCCGCACCCTAACAAAGGTGCACGTCTCTGAAAATCAAGACTACTGCAGTCTTTCACCCTACATTCCTTCTCAAATTGTCCGTTACTATGGTTTTTTTCTCGAGAAGTCACGATGAAGCCTCGACCCCCTAACCATTGATGAGACTCATACCGTTTACTCACCCCAATATCTATCGACAGTCGCTCATTCACGCTTCGTGCTTTATCTCATCCCTCGGGTCAGGTTCGCACAAGCTTTCTCATTCCATGTACATGAGCGCCAACTGCTTTCTCTATCCCGGCTGGCACATGCCGAGTTCCTCCCATCTTTTTCATTATGTCCTTTTCTTCTCCCCTCGTATGGGTCCTGCGTATGTACAGTTTGTCTGAAAACTATTCCTTGCCTGTTTCCATGCTTTTCCTTCGGAACACGTCTAAGCGTCTTGCGTGAAATCTGGTTCTCATTTGTTTTATTTTGCTTGTCGGTTCAATTCTGGTGTGTTGATATGTCAAGTGAGCACCAAACAGCGTATATAGATATATTCATTCACCACATATATGCAGCTTGTACAACAAATGGTTAACCGTAACAAAGATAAATCAGCGAGTTATACAGGATGAGGCAGGCGGCCTGATTGAGGGGGAGATCTTACGGCTACAATGGCGTTCGATTACGGTTTCCTGTGGGGTTCGGGGGATTTAATCTAGCAAAGCGGCGTTTTCTTATGTATCTATTGCTTTCATGCGCGTGGGCTAGCATTCGGAATGCTCTTGCTTCCGCTGGAGGAAGCGCCTGCATAGCCATACGACACGATTTAGGCTGCATCACGTTAATCACCATAATCATCATCATCAATAAATACATTCTCATTGAGTGTTCCACCATCCAAACAATATCCCAACCATGAAAATAGTCAGGTTCTGTCAATCCCAAGCCTGCCCAAAACATTCAACCCTCCACCTCCGCCTGATGAAATCTGACAGTCACCGGATCAGCCGGACAAGAAGTAAGGGAAACACTATACCGGATTTCTCTCTCAGATTGCACATCCTCAATCTTATCATACCTCTGCAACAATCTCACCAGCACATAACTCGACCTCATCAATGCAAACTGCTGACCAATGCACGTTCTGGGTCCCCCATTGAACGGTATATACTCCCAGGTGACCTTCCGGCCGACCCACCGGTCCGGATTGAAGATTTCAGCATCCTCGCCCCAAATATCTTTTCGACGGTGCAGGACATAGGTGCTGTACATGACTGTACGGCCCTTGCGAATGTAGATCGGGGAGGTACCATCTTTCCCGCCGCCACGAGGAAGCGTAGTATCCTTTGTCGCGCAACGGCGGTTCAAGGGTACGACCGGGTAGAGACGAAGGACTTCGTTGAGAAAATGCTGAAGGTACTGGCATGATTTCAAAGACGCAAAGTCCATGTTCCGAGGCAGTTCGTAGGTCCCAAATTGCTCGAGGATATCGCTTCGAAGTCTTGAGAAGATGTGCGGGTGTCGTGCGAGAAGGAGAATCGTCCAGCTCAGTAGAGAAGCCGTTGTGTCACGGCCTGCTAGGAGGACGTTTAGAGACTCATCGCGCAGCCTGACGGGGTCTTTAGTAGTACCAGTCAGGGCATTCAGGAAGATATACTGCGAGGGAACCTTTTTGATGCCCTGGGGTTGCTCTTCCTGCTGCTGCACCTGCTTCAGAGCAGAGTGAACATACTGGTCCACGAAGGCGTGCACAATGTCAATGCACTTCCGAAACTCCTGATTGTAGATGACCCAGTAGAGCCGGTCGAACCGGATTCGCTCCGCAAGATACCACATGCACCGGTCAAACCCGTAGAGAAAAGTATCATCCGGGGCTGGTCCCGCTTCCTGTTGCATAGCAGCAACCTGGCTATCGCAGCTTTTACCGAAGAGGAACTCTGTGGCCGAGTCAAGGGTAAGACGAAAGAAGATGGCCTGAATATTCACTGCGGAGGACCAGCCGTCCGATAGCATCGGAATGGCACACAACGCATTGTGAACATGACGTTCTTCCCTATCAAGATTGCCAATCTGATCTCGCGTAAACTGAGGCCGTAGCAGTGATCGAGAACGTGACCAACTCTCGCCATCAGTAGTAAACTATGTCCGGTCAGCGAGCCCTATCCCTTAGAGAAAAACGCTACTTCTAGCGCGGCAAAAGACTCACGATTCCATGACCAACAACTGGATTCGCTACATTACGACGCATATCACCCAAACCGAAATCCTTGAACTGAGTCGCCAGCATAGCCTGGATATTCTTGGGATCTGCCGTGAACATGTTCTCCCGACCAGCCTGGCACATACGAAAGGTTGAAACGTATCTGTCATGCTTGCGGGATAGGAAAGTCATCCTCCTCTCTGCCAGTTGTGGGAGCAGCTTCTCTCTCGCTGCGTCAAGTGTCTCGAGGAGGGTGGAAATACCGAAAGGGTCCTGGCTGGAGTAGAGAGGGACTTCTCCACAGCCTATCCTGCTAGCTTTCTGGGCATGATGCCAAGTGGAATAGATGGAGAGAAGTAGACGCCCTGCAATTGCGAGTGCCACAAGGGCAGGGAATAACCAGCTTTGCATGAGAAGGTTATCAAGCTTTGTGGTACCAATAGAGGTGTTCAGATAGGTCAGAGGGTTGAGATACGCATTTAACACGGACATGGTGTGAGAGGTGAAGGAGGAGTGAAGCATTGTAATAATCATCCAATATCTGGAGATTCTCAAGCGGATGAAGGACTGAAGAAGACTGTCAAAAGTAGGCAAATCGGCACCGGCGATTAAATTCACCAGCAGTGTGCTGTCGCAATATTGACATAACAAAGGACATCCTCCAGTAATTAGTCAGAAATGCGAAGATGATATATTTACACTGTGAATCAACCATATCCAGCTCTATATTTAGCGTAGATATACAAAGGGCCCATGATCCTTGCAAGATAAGATGATGGAACGCCTGAAAGCTTGCGACAGCCACTCTCATGTCCACACCTACACCTGAGCGGTGCATATTTCCTAATCCGGTATTCTCTAGCCATCTTAGCTTCCTGCTTAGCATGGCCAACATTTCTCTCGGCATGCCGACCGTGGTTACTTGAGGCTGTGGAGTGCCTCTGCGGTGCCAGGTGTCCCACGCTTGGCAGATGGACAAAGTCTCGGTGGATAAGCAATTGCGCTGACGTGATACAAATTCTTCTTCTTTTACGCCTACAGTACTGGCTTTGATGTCTTTTTGGGGCGGGACGGGCATGTTGAAAATGGAATGAGTGGGTTCGCATCTAGAATGGATACTGACCAGTACAACGAACGAGATCGCCGCTTGGACATCAATTCGCTGACATTTCAATACAAAGACAAAGGATATCATGTCACTATCCCTGTATCTTGTATCATCACTGCCACTAGGTGGGAGGTCATATATGGAGTATATGAGGCGACTCTTCGCCCGACGAGGCTGGAGGATCTCCTTCACCTAATTCATGTCCCACATCTCTTAGGGTCCACACAGGTCATTGTAACTACAAGAACCGCCCTTCCCTTACACCCAATGGCTTGTGCTGGTTTGACTCCTTAATCGTCCATATCCCTCTTTGAGCATCAACCTCACCATGTCGCCTTCAGAAAAACACGAGAGCTCTTTGTCACCAGAGACTCATCCTCGCAGCCACATCCCTGATTGGAAATGGAAGGGAACCCTTGCAGTCCTCATTCTGACAACCCTCATCAATGGTCGGTTGAGCCCATGTATCATAACACCAGGCCCAATCCAAATCATCATTCTGACAAAGTCATTACTTTAGGCTATGATGTGAGCAACGTAGCCAACATCCAGCCCGCCCTTTACAAGGCCTTCGGCAACATTACTCTTCTACCATGGATCAGCCTGTCCTTTAGCCTCGCTGTGTTTGCCGTCCTATCCTTCTCCCGCAAGATCTTGTATTGTGTCGACATGAAATGGATCTATATCGCTAACGTTGTGATCTTCATGGCCGGTGCTGCTGTGGCCGGTGCAGCCCCCAATCTCCCCGTGGTTATCGTTGGACGGATCGTCATGGGTGTCGGTGGTGCTGTGGTGTACCAAAGGTCTGTTGCGATCTATCTCTGATGTTGATAGGCCCGGACAGCTCATAGCAACATAGCAACTTGACATTTGTCGCCGTCTTCGCCACGCCCGATGAGACACCTCGACTATTCGGTCTTCTGAGCGCAATATGGGCCGTGGGTCTAGTCATTGGAGGTCCTATCGGCTCCGCTCTCGCCTCGAACAGACACACCACCTGGCGCTGGGCTTTTTACATGAACCTACCCTGGGTAGGCCTCAGTCTTGTGATTGCCATTCTCTGCCTTCCTCGCAAATACCTAGGGCCAGACAGTCCTTTGGTCTCCCGACTGATGGCGATTGACCCCATCGGCATTGCGTTCAACATCGTGGCCCCAGTACTATTTGCCCTTGCATTGGAGTTCTCTGGTCCTGTGTGGGACTGGGGCTCTGGTGCGTCGATTGCCGTCTGGGTGGTTTTCGGGGTGATCCTGGTTGGATGGATCGTCCAACAATACTGGTGCATTGGCACGACTTCTGAGCAACGCGCAATCCCCCTTCACTTGCTCAGCCGGGCTGACCTGCTTCCGCTTTGGATAGCATCTGGCTGTGCAGGCGCATCGTACGCCATCACCCTCTACTACACGCCGCTCTTCTTCGCGTTCGCTCGCGGCCACAGCGCCATGGAGCAAACGGTCCGTCTTCTTCCTTTCGTTCTGGTGTTCATCGCTGTGGTCATCCTGGTGGGTGGGTTGCTCCCGGTTCTTGGCCGCTACAACTTGATCTACATCGTTGCAGGCATTGCAACTGTCGCGGGGGCCGGCGCTATGGCCGGCACACTGAGCCCCGGTGTCTCCGAATCCCAGGTGTTAGGGCTGGAAGCACTCATTGGTGTCGGTCTGGGCTGTTCGTTCCAGCATGGTGTGGGTGTTTCGAATGTGATAAACAAGAACCCACGCGACCGCGTGGACAGCGCGGTCATGTTCAACATGGCACAGATGGGCGGTATTGCAATTGCTCTGGCGGTTGCGGGCTCGATTTTCCAAAATGTGGGGTACAACCTGCTGACGGATGCCATTGGGGATAACGGATACTCAGAAAAGGACCTGCATGAGGCGCTCGCCGGGGTATCATCAGCGGTGTGGCAGTCCGGCAACCCTGAGGTTCTTTCTCGTGGGATTGATGCCGTGGCCACAGTGATTGGGCGGGAGTTCTATTTAGTGGTTGCCGGTGGTGCCATCTGTCTCGTCTGCGGGTTGGTGATGAGGTGGGAGCGATTGGACTATGGCAGGCATACGAGCAAGAACATCGAGGCATGAATGCTTCTCAGAATAAGTTTATGCTGAGCACCGGGGATAGCTATTCAACAGGCAATCCCCCTGACTTTCTAATATCATCATCAATCTGATCAATTATCTCATCCCATTAGACATCTTTCATACTAGCCCATACAGAGATAGCCCCTTCTATCACAATCTTACAGTTTAAGCGTCCCTGGTTGCAATAGCCGAAACAGCGAACGGGTTTGCAGTGAAGGTACCGTTGGGATCAGCCTTATGCCTTGCCCTACCCAGTCTCTGGTACTTGTCCGAATCCTCATAATAACATTTCCAAATCTCCTGCTTCCCCAGGTCCCAGTCACCATAAGACCCCCAGAGCAAACGTCTGTCCTGCTTGCTAAAAGGGCTCGAGGGACCAACCATAATGGAGTCATTCTTGGCCTGCCATTTTTCGGCATACTCTTTATACTTGTCGCCCGGTTCATGAAAGCAGTCTAGCGTCTGGACAACCGATGTGTCCCTCCAGCTGTAAGAGGTGCCGTTATCCTTGTTTAAATAGAAACGTGAATTGTCGCCTCCATAGCATTGGATCTGCACGGAAAGCTTGCAATGTGTGTAGACTTCGTACTCCTTGTCTCCCGGGTTATTATCGAGCAACTGGTGCGGGTTATAGATCAAGTCGATGCGATCAACCACATCGTCGACCCAGCCGTCCTTTTCGAGAGTCTTCGAGTTCGTAGAGTAGGTGCGCTTGACGTAAGGGAGATCAAACTCTCGCTGCTTGGGGAAGATCCATCTTCCAGTCATTTGAGACATGTCCTCTTCGAGCTCGTTGATGAGGAGGGTTTCGTTTTTGAAGAAACCCTTCAGGACCCGGAACTTGTTGAACCATTGATCAACACTCTCGTCATACTTGTCATCCTTGCTGGTTGGGCACCACTGCGCATAGAGCACGATGATGGCGGGGAAGCTGCCATTCAGCCAGTCAAGAAACTTATCCGCGAGGGCTCCCTTGATCTTATTTTGAATGCGTTCCCATTCGTCAGCATTCTTCAATGTGGGGAATAGCATCGTGACGGGAAAGTCGGTACTGAGGACGCTCACACAGAGGTCAAAGCCTCGCGGGACATTGCTATCGTCAGCCATTTGTGCGACTGCAGTAAGCAGATTTTTGAGGACCTCCGGAGAGTAGATCCAGAGTCCTTTAATACCATGTGGTCCCTTGAATCCATCTGGTCCGGAAACAGTCCCCATGTAACTCTTGGCCTGGTATACTTCGACGATATAGTGCGTGATGATGCCAAAATTACCTGGACTGCCCCCGAGTACGGCGTAGAAAAGTTCGGCCTCGTTCTCCTTAGAGACATCTCGAATGACACCGTCATGACAGACCATACGAATGGTTCTGATATGATCGCCAAGAAGGCCAAAGCTACGGCCAAGTTGTCCATAACCACCAGTCTGACCATGCCCACCCAGACATACGTAAGCGCACTGTCCGTGGGGGACAAACAGTTGGTTGTGCTTGAGATATGCGTTGAAGTCCTTGAGTTGATTGCTGACGCCAACGTACACCAGTGCTCTATCCTGGTCAATGGGGTCGCGGGGATTCAGAACCATCAAGTCCTTGTATGTGTTGCTAAGGTCGATCTGAATGTTCTTGCCACTGGTAGACGATGCACCACTGTACTGGTGACCACCACTCTTGATAGCGATAGCGACTTTGTTCTCTCTGGCCCAGTTCACAGTGTGGATGACGTCTTCGTCTCGTTTCGGCTGAACGATGAGATCTGGGTGCATGTTGTGATCATCCTCGTGAGTTGAGGTCGCATATTGCTGGTTGAAGTAGGCGTAGTCCTGTTTCTCGGCTGTAGTCCCATCGCGGGAGTATTGCATCCCCTCAAAATCTTGAATTCGGACCATGATTGCTTTCTGAAAGAAGTCAAATACACAATTGACTGAAGTCTGGTGGACACGCTTCAGACGCGAGCGACACCCCGCCTTATACTTTTCAGGAGTGCTTGGGAACACGAGTAGATTTGGGAGCGTTCAGCTGCTTCGATTATGACGTGATATCTATAAATTCAAGTACTCGTCATTGATATGAATGCATCAAGGCATTGCATCGCTAGCATATAATGATAATGTATATCTATTGCACTGTTGCTAAGCAAATCTATGGTAAATCACATTACTCTTGCCACAGTTTCAAAGGGCTAGAAGGATCTATCTACTTATTCATTAAGATAGTGGCATTTATATTATGCCAAGGGACAAGGAGGTGCTGCTTCTCTGCTGCGGAACAAGTTAGCCTTTGGTATGGACCAAAGATACGCCAAGCGGTGAACAGTGAGCCTAGATCAATGGTCCCAAGTCTTCTCGGGAACCGAAAAAGCTTAAATAGATAGTCTTACCGTTTGCAGAATCATGCCAAGGCCTAGGACTTGAGTGACACTATCTGGCCGAAGCAAATATGCTACGGGTTCGGTTGAGCCTCACTCTCGAAATGTGAGCCTGAGGCATCCAATTAGATCGTAAGTCGATGACCACTATATTTGAATTCCTGTCTTTACTATGTGATATCTAGCCCGGTCAAGCCGACAGCAATGCTTAGAGGTTCGGGTTATTTCGGCTCAAAATTAACCTGCATTGCATTCAGCAAGTCTGGCTTGGACGGAAGACGGAAGTCTTGGTGCTGAATCGAGCCTTATTATCCCCTTCTTCGAAAGATGAGCCTGCACATCCTCAAACACGCTACAGCTTCCAGGCTTCACGATGTGGCAATCATTTTTTGTCGACGTTTACACAACCCGAGAATAGCGAGATCTGATATCCGAACGGCTCTTGCCAAAGCCTTGTACTGCAGGACAAAAGAGAACAGTATACAGTGTAGCCGCACAATTATTGTAAGCGGTAATCTTGCACCTGCATCCTAAATTTGCCCTCTGTTCATGAACATCTACCATGCAGATAATTGATGTTCAGTCCCCTACGGCATTACGTGGCATTTCGCGCGAGTCAAACCATGATTTCGGCGCTATATTTGGCCAGTATTCCCGTGATATCTGGTCAGCTCAAATACAGTATTCCAGCATAAAAGCACAAGAGATTTCTTTGCAGCCGGTGGTTTCTGGACAAACTATCCGTCCTGAAAGTCCCTCACCCTATTCGTCTTCCGCCACCTAATGTTCACTAAGCAGTACCTGCTGCTAGAGCAAGTCAGGGTTACTCAGGGAGCAGCTCAGGGCGGCGGGGTGACTAACTCACCCTGTGCTCCGGGAGCCGATCACCTCCCGAGGCGGCAGTTTTACTATCACCATTATTACGAATAAGATGTATCATTATAGAGGATTAGCAGCAGGATAGATTGCACGCCGTGGCACCATTTTCTCTCAAGTATGCTACGAAAATGATAGGTAGATTCTTAGATGGACTCATGTACAATTAGTTGATCTTGAGGGATAATTTGGGTCTATTAGACTCTTCCGAAAAGGGATTGCAGGACACAAGGGAGTGTTGGACTACATATTGAGCTTTATTTCTCTGGTATCTCTTGCAGGTAGGCATATTTAGATATTATATATATAGCACAATTTTGTAATAATTGACAGTCAACAAGCTGGTCCTCCAAAAGTACTGCCTACTCAAGCGACATTTCTTGAGCTTTGTCCCGCACCATGGCTTTATTCGCTGCCGTCGACGTCTTCCATGGTCGAATGCCCGAATTAAAGACATCATCAATCTGCTCCAAAGTCAAACTTGCAGTCTCAGGCACCAGTAACCAAACTAAGACTCCAATAACTACCGTCACAGCGGCATAAAAGTATCCCACTCTGGGACCCATGTTACCATGATCTGTGTCGAGCATGTAGGGGGTCCAGAAAGTCGCGCCGAAGGAGAAGATGCCGTAGAGAACAGTTGTATGTGCTTGCCCGTATGTGCGAAGCCTCACGCTGTGCATCTCCACCGAAGCAAGACCAGCACTGGGCGCAATAGTCCCCCCAAACACGAACGACCAGACGCAAAGCAAAATAACAACAATCATCTTCGAAATTCCAATTGCCCCTAGCGCCGTGCTTACTGAGGACAGTATCAACATGCAAACAGCCATAGCGCTGTACCCAGATAGAATAGCGAACCGCCGTCCGCCATATTCCACGACGAAGGGCCCAAGGAACGACCCGCCGAGGATCGATAGACCGATTATCACATTGATGAGGTACGGGTTGCTGATTCCGACACCTTTCAGAAAAGTAGTCGCGTATGGCTGTACAAATTGAATGCCAGTAATCGAAAGTCCGATCATTATCAAAGCGGAGGTCCACGTTCGGCGGAAGTGGCGTTTCGTGTAGATCTCGTACCAAGAGGAGGCGGCGGCATTAGCGCGCTCAGTCTTGATATGCGCCTTGACATCTTCGATTTGAGCAGTGATTTCGGATGAATCGGCGGGTATGCGGTATAAGATACTGAACGCTCTGCGCGCCTCTTCTTCCCTATTTTCGTCGTTGTTTAAGATCCATCGCGGTGACTCAGGGAACATCAGAATGCCCGCACCAAGGAGAATGCCCAAGGGGATCTGGCAAAGTATGGGTGTTTTCCATTGCCAATTATTTGCAGATTCAAGGCGTGCGGAGCCCGCACACACTGCCGAAGATGCAAGGTTGCCCAATGCCAACCCAACGTTATATAGTCCCAAGGCAAGGCCTCGCTTATTGGCAACGATGCATTCCGAGCCATAAGAGAGCGCAGCGGCAATAAGCTGTCCTATACCAATAGCACTGATGCACTTGCAGACCATGTAGTGAAGAAACGTTCCGCCCGAATGACTACCAGTCCCCAACATCCCGGCTGCACCGATGATTGCCAGGCCACATCCGATCTGGATCGCGCCACGGCGCCCGGTATATCTTCCTGTCAGTGCGGAAAGACCACCTCCAATTCCAATGAACAGGTAATTGAGGCTAATAAGTGATTGCTGAATTGGCGTTATCGAACAGTGCTCAATAGTTTTGCCATTGGTGGGGTTCATGATTTCTCGACAAGTTCCGAATGCTTTCCGGTAGGACGGCATGATCAAGATGGTGCCAGTATAGCCGTTGTCGAAGTTCGCAATCCACGCTGCGAAAGCTACCCATAGAGATAGCCGGAGCATGGCACCTGTCGAGTCTGCCTTTCTTGCTGCCCTCAAGGGATCATTATTCAACGGACGAGAGGCGAAGCCGAGCTCTTTTTCTGGTTCTTCATCGATACACCGCATTATGTATCTGATGAGGAGAGTTTGAGCATTAATGACAATAATTAAATTGCGGTCTTGCCTTTTCTTTCCTAAAGAGCTATTCTCTACGGTATATAAGGCTCTCTCCGTATTTCAAGTATGGACTACATACCAACGACGCGCCACACATATCTAACTCATCATCAAGAATGCCCGCCCACAAAAGCCGCCAATCACGATGCAATATGAGTCCAGGTGACTGACAACGCCATTCAACCTTTGCGTCTGAGTTAGAAATGATCTTGCTTGCCCCACTCCTTTATTCTTGGAGCTATCACTTCAGTGCTTTGATGAGGTAAGGAGGGATAAAGATAAGTTAGTTAGTTATACAGGGCTGTTTAATCAGCAGGGTTTGAGTTTGGATTTCTGGCGGAAAATGTATATCCTTACTCATTCCCCCGAACCTACTCAGGAGATAACCCTACGTTAACATTAAGAGCTTGCGAGCATGTCTATTAACCTTGCCGCCACTAGAATCTAATGGATTACTAGTTAGCGAGTGAAGACTGTCTCGGGAGAAATTAATACATCTAGGTGCAGCCGTCATGAGAAATTTCCTGCCCGCCCTGGATGGAGCACGCCGTCATTATGACCCTAATTCTTGGATGTACATGTTGTTAGCGAGCACGGGAGCCCTCCCGGCAGACAGAGGATTTTCATGATGCCAATCAGACTTTGGTTCAGCAGGCCCGACTGACCTTACATTGACAGCATCATCACCACCATGCTGTTCTTGAGCTCCCTTGCAAATGGGGCAAGAGGTTACAGAGAACAATGCAAGGGGGTTCTGAGTTTAGTAGGTGATCATGTCTCCCACGCGGAGAATTTGCGTAGATTCAAAGTCACCCCCATCTCCAACCCCGCACGCTATGTAATTCTAAGCATCCGAATTTCTCTCACTATTCCTTCATTTAATCGCATGCGGATGTGTACCTTGAAAAAAACATACATGGTTGTGTTTTCGCTTATTATTCGCTGACCTCCTTGTCCACGGATGGTCCTCGTCCTGCGAAAATTGATGTTGACGCCCAGGAAGCAGGCCAGGCGAATGATTGCCGGGTACTCCTTAGATCCTCACCGGAGACTAGGTGATCTACAACAGCGATAAAGATATAGGCCCCAATTTAAGTACAGATATGCCACCTATTACAATGCGTTTAGTGTCACGGGGAAGAAAAACACGTAAGAATTCTGAAACGCACCATCCGTGAAGCTCCAATAGAAAAGACCAGGGAAGACCTATTGCTTCTCGCGCTTTGGTCAACAGCCCGCAGGCCCATTGATCAACCAGCCAAAGCCAATAGCCAAGGTTGAAAATCGCTGTAAACACAAGTTAGTTGTTTATAATTCTATCGTAAGATTAGATTACCGACCTGCTCCAAACCTAACCATTCCTCAGGTCTGTCGCCGGGCAGCTGAGCCCGGCGGCGTCCGGCTATTAACAAGCCGTATAGTGTGAAACCCAATGATGGTCACTGTGCCGACAAATGACACAGAGTGGGGGACCAGCGCATTGGTTAGGATATGGAATATTGCCAGAAACAGTAATATGGAGCCTAGTACGATAGCAATGACGACAGTGTCCTCACGATTAGAATTGGCTGTCAAGAGACGATGCAGGACCGGGGTCGTGGCCAAATGCATTGAGAGGTCGTCCACTGGTGGAGGGAATAATGAGCGGGATAGTCGCTGATCTGGGAAACATGCGGCACATACTCATTTGGGTATGGTACTTGAGGCTGAGATGGAATGCAAACGAGCACACACCGACCGCTATCAAGCCCCAGTTGGGAAGGACACGTAAAGAATTGGCACATTTGTTCCCTTTCCCTCGCAGCTGGCGTAACCCGTAGATGCCATAGATTACTGATGAAGATGAATCAGATCACAATTTTACATCTCTTCCAGAATCTTACTGTAGACGACATTTGTCAAGCTGTTTATAAACTCGGCGATGTATTTGTTCACAGCGAAGTCCGTCTCGCAGAAGCTTTGTCGAGGTCAGCAAATGAAGAAACGCACAAGATGGCATACCGACTTGGCCTTCGAAGTTGGAGGGTCCCAGAAAAAATCTGCAGTGTCGATGGCGTTCATTCTGGAGTTGACTGAGGTGCAGGGAAGTGGTGGTAGAGAGATGGTAAGGCGGGAGGAATAAAACCCGTGTTCTTGCATGGATGGCGTGGTTATGGAGTGGAGTCTCCTCGACGAATTCGCCCAACGGCGTGTCTGGGGGCGGCCAAGGAGCCCCAGCTTGAAGGTAGGATCGAGTTCCATTGGTTGTACTAGTACTTTGATGAGTCGCAGTCGGCCGCTGACTCGCCGAGTACATCGGGGGCGGCAGCCGCTGTTTGATACGGATCCATGCTTTTGTAACTAGCGCCCTTCCTTTGTTTCTGATTTCCCAGCCTCCTTTATATTGGAGTCGGCGGGATTCCGCCCTGTGCCAGCCCACTGGAGGCAAAAGTGTGGGACTCTACCTCACCATCCTATCCCTCCCATTGTACGCCTTCACGCATTCCCTGGAGACTATGATTTTCCCTACATCTCTTCCGGTAGGGACCCCCTGACAATCAGCATGATGGGTCTGGTTCGCCGCGGAGTATTTAAAGTGACATTTCAGCCTCCACTGTGCAATACTTTTGTGCCAACTCGGTGTTCCTGCTGTTAATAGTGCTGGCCCAGCCTCTCCAATATCTTCGGTCGCATATACCTACTCTACAGTTGGATGGGATAGGAAGGCAAGGCTTTGCCAATATAAGGCTTCAGTAACAGCACACTTACCATTGTATAACAGGCAGATCGAAACTTCATCTCAATTGGCTGGATGCTTCAAGGTGACCTGTGATCTATCTAGTCGTGTTAAGATACTAGTTGATAGGAAGAATAAACAACTTTAGCGTGTGATAACTCACAATCAGGATGGATATTAATCACGCGCCGCAATATACATAAGAACTGCTAAGCTGTGCACATCATACCGCCGACGACAGACTTTTTGCGGTCCCCGTCGGACTTGCAAGCCGCCGCTATTGGTCAGAATGATGGGAAAGAAGCCAGGACTAGGAGATGGCCAGCGAGACAGATCTAAATACATGATAGATGCCCGCGGCAGCTGGCATCATTTTCAAGCCTTAACAGCTGGCCTTGGACCATACACATGTCCATCGCCACAGATATCAATTGACGCACAAAAAGTCAGTACAAGTGAATTAGATGTAACAATAAACGAGATCGGCTGTAACATGCAGTCGTAGCTTAAGCTGTGCAAAGAAGGTTAAATGGATCAAATCCGAGAGTATGAACACTGGCTCCCGGGTTATAAGACACTAGACATCCTTGATAGTCACCAGTAAGGCCACTTGGGCCTCTCGAGATTTGTGAAATGCCAAGCAATGGGTTCTTTGTCGCATATATATGTCTTTGTCAAATTCACATCATGAAAGTCGCGCCAGATATCCTTGAGAGTGAAGTTACCAGTCGACATAAACTCATAGAACCGCCAGAAGACTTGGGTGATATTGATTCTGAGCCGCCCATCGTAACCATCCTCGTCAGCTTCCGACAAGGACCAGTCAGGATCAATTGCCCAGATGTATCCCCAGAACTGCTCTGTACCAGCGGTACCGCATGCTAATCGAGCCTCATCTGTTAACAAGAGAAAGACGTTTCCAAGGATTCCAGGTCTTAGGTCGCCTCCTTCCCGGCGATTTCGAAATTCCCTAGCTCTTGAGTTAATACTATCTTCTCGCAAAAAACGAGAATGCTACTCACTGGCGCAGGTAGTCCAATTCTTCTTCGTCATCGTCCTTTGGCTTAAATTCGACAAATTCGGCTACTTTGGAATCTTGGATCTCTTGGAAGCCAGTGACACCAAACAAAGGCATTGCGAGAACCCCATCAAGAAGTGCCTTGAAATCCTCCCATCCATCCATAGCCCGATGACGATAGAGAACGTAACCCCATCTTTTATTGTCGATGATCTTCTCCACCCACTCTTTTGGCATATGCTCCGGTCTCTGCTGCCTCTCCGCTTCCAGCTTCGCCTGATTCTCACCAAATTGTTTCTTTTGTTTCTCGTAGTAGACTTTGTCTAGGTTCCGAAGGGCTTGAAGTTCCTCCGATGTCAGGATTGCAGCTTCCGCTTGCTTTTTCTTGGCTTTCAGGTCGGGCCGCTCCTAGAACAAGAACCATCGATCACGCACAGCGCTATGGCCATCATAACGTAGAATGCGAAAACAGTCATACATCAGATGACACTCCGGGTAGGTCAGGGAGTCAGGAGATAGAGCCGCTTTCTGGACCAAGTCTTCAACTGATAAACCGAGGTATTTGTGGGCGTTGGACTGCATCTCTTCGAGGGGCGGCCAATCCATCATTTGGTGTTTTTCCTCGTGAGATATCCCCGGGTGATCGGATTGCTTTTTCCCAGAGAGGCTCTAACTGAGCAAATTCCTCCACTGATTTCGCCATTTCGGGGGAGGATACAAGCTTGACTTGACGTTTGAGGTGAACGCGAATTTACGAGTCGGACGTGGGGCGCAGCAGTCTTTATACGTGTGGTGGGCCCAATTTGCGTATTGACGGTCCGTTTTTGCAGAACTTGATAAATACCGGTAAATTAACGTAGCCCACTCATGGTGATAGACACTTTTAAAACTATTTTAAGGATGCCAGGAACACCAGCACTTAAAAGCGGAGAAGCGAATCGGAATGCAGTGTTCTCGGCAATGATCTATCAATTTGGATACGATGCATATTTTGCCAACGGGCGAGGAATGTATTTTGTCTCTCTCCTCTCTCTCCCTTTACATCTGGAAAATCTAGGGGGAGAGAGGGACAAGACAGAAACTCAGAGAACTGCCAAACAAGTGAAGGAGGCAAACAGGACGAGCACGGCGAAGGTGGTTATAACTACAACCTCTACAATTTTTACTGGTCGCAACTCCAGTCTCCAGGTCCCGTTGTTGACAGTGGAATCCAAATAAGTATTTGCGACGGCCGATACCATGAGCGCAACAGCTTATTCAAAGCTGCCCTCCCGTCAGCCCCTTGAGTACCTAGTCATGACATTTCTACTCACCTGGCTCATCAAGGAAACGTAGGCTGATCTACGGTTATTATGAATTTGCAAAATTTCGTGGGCAGCGCTGGCTGGGTCGATCAATAGAACTGTTTCTGGTCTCATCCACTCTAATAGCCCTTCTTCTAAGCCACTTGAGCGAAGCAAGCATTGACAGCGAGCACGAATTTGGAGACCGTCGGTAGAAAGATGAACACGGGCTCATAACAAAATGTGAAAAAATAAATTCGGGTATTAGCGCATCGATCTGCAGTGGTCATTATGGGTCTCAGGTTCGTCTCCATATGCGAAATAACAAGGTAGGAATGGCAAATGACACTAAGTCTCCATCGCTACTTTAAACATGCAATATCAACGCTGACAATGCATCGAAGAAAGAGATGTGGTTTGAGACAGAGTAGACTACGCCTTAGGTCTAATCAGCGATATAATTGATCCCAAAACGTCCAATCCGCAGACCCAAAATCCAATTCGGCCCCATCCAAACTCGAGAAAATATCATCCAACGAGGGGGACAAGCTCTCTTCTGTCACTGCATCGCTCGTGGTATTGTCATCATTGTCGTCGTTGCCGTTAGGGTTATTGATATTGTTGTAATCTGGACTCCCCGTTATCTTCGGTTTCGTCTTACGGTACGAGGAGCGCAGCGTCGTGATGAAGGCCGGCTCAGCGGCAAAATCATAATCGCTGGGTGAATTTTGCTGTCCAAGCTTTAAGCGTTAATTTCCCTACGGCGATGTGAAGAGCTCCCCCTTTTCTCGCCTCGAGAATTTCCGGGCGATTAGAATAGATGTTTTCCATCTTCCTCCAAGTGGTATTCAGTTCGGCACCAGATAGAAATCCAACCTTGGCCAGACTGGTCAGCATACACAAGAGTGCATCCCAGAGGAAGAAGACCTTGATTTGCCATTGGAAATTTTTTAGATTGGGGTTACTGCAGAGAACGCTGTCGGTATCTAGAATCGTCTGCGCTAGATGAAAGAGCTCTCTCCTTTCCCGATCGTCGATGTTGGTCCGCTTCGTCATTCGATTGCGCAGTCGTGCCATATTGGCCGCCGACCTAGCGATCCCCAGCGTCAGGAAGTGGAGTGGGTTCCCTATGTCACAGTATCGCAGATACTTGGTTTCGATGATCCCTAGGACCCGGTCTATGGCACTCTCCAACTCCGTACTGGCGCGGAATTGAATCGAGGCGCCGACTTCCTTCATCCGCACACCTGTTCGGGTGTAGAAATTGGATATTTCCGCCTTCGTCAGACAGAAGATCATCTCCGAAGCACCTTTCTGCTCAACAGGACGCTGCGTCATGCCGGGATAGATCTGGTCATCGTTGATATTCAACGGCTGTTTGGTGTCCCAACTATCCGGGGCCAAGGCAATCCCCGTGCCTGAAACCTGGCCCGCGTAGCCTTCCAAGGGGAGAAGCTGCCAGAAGAGCCGACGCCGAATCTCAACCTCAAAGGGGGGCAAACCAAGACTCTCACCGTCACGATGAAGCCCCATGCGCTGCGCAATCCGGACTGCAACGCCCGTCAAAATCCAAAACGTATGCGGATCCATTTGCGTGCGCATCGCAACCAAAAAAAGGACAAGGGCCTGCAGAACCGGCATTTCAGTAGTCTTCAGCCACGATGCATTGATCAGTGCCTGTTGAAATGCATTTCGATAAAGCGACATCAGCGGCGTGCGTGACTGACGGAATTCCTGCACGCAGTCCTCGTCTGTTATCGAGAACACTGCGGAATGGTAGATGGCAAAGAGCAGACACTCGTTTGCTTTGGAGGCTGCGGCCAGTTGCTGGGAGGCGATCTCGACCATGTTGGCGGTCGTAGGGATATGCAGCATTTTGCAAAGAAGTTCAACATTGTGAACATGTACCGTCCAGAGCTTCATAGCATCCACGTGACGGGGATGATACTGGTCCAAACTATGCGAAACCCCCAGCAGCGCACCCGAGATCGGATCTTCAATCAGTGAGCCGGGCCCGATCGCTGTTGGGTCGTGTTCTTCCTCTTCTTCCTCGTGTTCAGAGATTTCCCGCATGTCGACTTCTTCCGCATCGAGCCAGAGGCTGCTGTCGATATACCGCGATTTGCCATCCCCGGACAGCAGTTTTCCGATCGTCCCCGCGCCGGATTGCTTGCTATTACCAGCCTGGAGAGGGAGATGGTTGAGTTTCAGCGTGCTCTGAAGGCTCTTTTTGGCGATGGTGTCGATATTGTTGTTGTTGCGGTAGGAAGAAGGCCCTGCCGCCATCATTGCATCTGCTGGAGTCAAACGGCCATGTTCCTGCAACACCTGTACGCATTGCGCCAAGTGCTTGTGCACATCCGTGTCAACGCGCTTTCGTTTGCACGCTCGCACCGCGGGTGGCTGGTAGATACATTCCAACTTGGCTTTACCACAGCTCAAGCATGCCGGGATACTTCTGTCGCATTGACTTTTCGGCGTATGCAGGGTTGGCACGTGAAGGCCATGACACTGGGAGGGGCCGAGCCAATTTCACTCTGGCTTGGTGCTGGAGCAATTATCACAGGCCGATCATGCATGGCGGGTTTCTGATTTGGGCACCATATATGTAACTTGGTTTCTTTTTTTCTTTTCGTCACCTTTTGTGCTGCTTTCTTGCAACTTCATAGTTGGGAGATGATCATTAATTGAGCAGTGGGTTGTCGCCACGCGTCGTCAGTCGTTGCAAGGTCAGGGGCTCACGTCCCACGTGCTACGCCATACATGCACCTTTCGGTGGGTGGTTGAAACTAGCCCCAAAAACCAAACCATTTGCGGTTTGGTTTGGTTTGGTTTGGTTTGGTTTGGTTTGGTTTGGTTTGGTTTTGCGGCTTTGCGGTTTTTGGCGCACTCTATTCCGGAGCCTATATGGCAGAGAATTACCTACTGTATCTTGTGATTATACAAATTACGGCACCGTTATACCTTAGGGCCACAGTTACAAATTCAGCGTTGATCGATATAGATTTGTTTACGAGATTGGTTCAAACCTAAACTCGAGTCACACTCGTTGCTAAAAGCAATCAGGCATACCTGTATGAATTACTCCATGAATATGGACTTCTGCAACTATATACTTTTTCCTCCGGACCACTCTGTCTCTGATCTGTACTTGAGAGGGGATTTACACTGAAGCAGAGAATACTGCCTGGCTTCGGCATCGCAAGTGATTGGACCCGGAAAATACTGTAGGAACCACCTCCGATTGGCTCCAGTGAGCATTTGGGAAAAGGGAAAAGGCTGCGACTCCGGGCCGGAGCCTTTTCAGCCCCTCCGATTGGTTCCGAGTCTGAACTATAGCGAAATTTGACTCTTTGACGTGATAATAAATTGGAATAAAGAGAAAAGAAAGCCCCGGGGAAGTAAGAGATCAGAAAGAAAACACGAAGAAACAGGAAACCTGTCCCTCATGAGCAAACCAGAAGACGTTCCCTCCCAGTCGGAGGCCCATTCATCCACATATTCTAAAGAGCGAGACCTCGAGACGGGCACAATTACGCAGCGTGATACCGATACTGCAAGCATCACCACCAAGGATCTCAACCTAGTTACATGAGATGGCCCAGACGACCCCGAAAACCCCAGGAATTGGCCGTCAAACGTCAAATGGCACTACACCTTGGCCGTCTCGGTCTTCACCTTCATCTCCCCAGTCTCATCAGCCATGATCGCCCCGGCGCTGGACAAGCTTGGAAAGGACCTCCACATGACGAGCAAGGTCGAAAATAACCTGGCGCTTTCGATCTTTGTGCTAGCCTACGCGATCGGTCCGTTGGTCTTTGGCCCTGCCTCCGAGGTGTATGGTCGCGTGCGCCTCCTTCAGTTCAGCAATCTATGGTATCTGGCGTGGAACCTTGGCTGTGGCTTTGCGCAGACACCGGCTGAGTTTTTTGTCTTTCGCTTTCTTGCTGGTCTCGGCGGAGGCGCTCCGTTGGCCCTGGGTGGTGCAGCGATCAGGTAAGACAGACAACGAAATCATTAGCTTACCCTTTCCGTGAGCTAATTCTGTCCTCGTACAGTGATGTTTGGGATGCAGAGCATCGCGGAAAAGCCATGGGTATCTACACCTTAGCGCCAATGCTGGGCCCAGTTATTGGACCGATTGCCGGGGCCTTCATTTCCCAAAATACCACATGGCGCTGGGTCTTCTGGTCCTCTAGCGCTGCGGCCGTTGCCATCCAGGTCGTCGGCTTGATCTGGCTACACGAGTCCCATCCAGCCACCCTTCTAAAATGGAAGCGGAACCGTCTGGCCAAAGAGACCGGGAACGACCAACTGCACACTAGCGAAATGGTCGAGCCCCTCATCCAGAAGATCCGAGGCGCCATGATCCGACCAGTCGGCATGATCACAACACAACCCATCATCGCAGTCACCGCTCTATACTTAGGCTACCTCTTTGGCATCTCGTATCTGATGGTGACCACCATTCCAGATGTTTGGGCAGGCTGGTACGGGGAAAGCGAAGGAATTGCTGGACTCAATTACATCTCGATTGCCATCGGCTCGTTTGCAGGTCTCTTCCTCAACGTGCTATACATCGACCGGATCTACCAAAATCTTAAGGCGAAGAATGGCAATGTCGGGTGCCCCGAATTCCGCATGCCCACCATGTTCATCGGGTCGTTCATCTTCACCGCTGGCCTCTTCTGGTACGGATGGAGCGTTCAGGGCCATGTACATTGGATTATGCCCAATGTTGGCGTGGTCATCTTCGCTGCCGGCACCATGGGATGTCTACAGGGGATGCAGATGTATATTATCGATTGCTACACCACTTACGCGGCCAGTGCCATGTCTGCTTGTGCTCTTCTTCGCAGCTTAGCTGGCTTTGGGTTTCCCCTTTTCGCTCCTTATTTATACTCGGATTTGGGCTATAGATGGGGGACCAGTGTATTGGCCTTTATCAGTATGGCAATTGGTATCCCTGCTTCAATTGTCTTCTGGAAGTATGGAGCTAAGCTTCGTGCTATGTCGACATATGCCAGTGGTTGAGTGTGGCTGCGAGTCCGCTGGCTAATGGAGGTGTCCGGCAAGAAATCTACATTCTCGTTCGATTAAGTGGCATTGTTTGATTTATTTTGATTGATATAAACTATTTGCATACCCTTGTTTTCCAGACTGGCACGATACCTACGTGGAGGATATGATGGTTTCTGTAATAATTTTGCGCCAGCAATAACAAACACTACTCATTATCAAGTCCCGTTCTCTATCATCACTTCAACGTGAGTAAATACGCCACCAAAATACAATAGACAAACACCCTTGAGCACCTATGGTGAGCTCCTATGAGTTCTCATTGCAGTAGGGACCATGTGGGAGGATTGATTGCATTATATCTTGGGAGGTCAGTCTCGGAAATTGACCACTACCCTTGAGGGGCTAAAATGCGCGAAACCTCAACACCTCTTTGGGCAGTTTAAAATTATTTGTAAACGGCGGACCTATAAATTACGCCATGCGGTTAGTTTTGCCTTTTTCGGTTTAGGGCCCCAATGAGTCGTTCTGCAAACTCTGCCTTCTGTTGCTCCCCTAAAGCATCCACATTTATTCGAGGTGTACGCGAGACTCCCCGCCAAGCAAATTGACCCTTGTAATTTTGAACTCTCATATTATGGACTCACATATATTTTAGTGCAAAGCCGGCAGTCGGCATATTGGCAACGTACTGTACCTGTCTTGACCTTTTTCTCGTACGAAGAATGAAAGGAGGGTTGGGTGGGTATAATTGAATAGCCAAGGCATCCACACCGGAGCTCTGCGCAGCGAGCCCCACCAGGACCGAATGTTGCCTGGCATCATTTCTCCTTACAACAATGCCCCATCCCCGGTTCCCTGTTGGAATAAGACTGCAATTGATTATATCACAGATTGAAAAATCAACATGGCACCACTTCGAATCACTGTTGGAGGCTCATCGGTCATCACCCGCCAGCCTGAGCGAGGTATTTTGAACGTCACCGTGAACGCTGAAGGGAGCACTCGCGAGATCGTCTCTCACAAGGTGACTGAGACTTCAAACGAGCTCAGCAAACTCTTCACAGAACTTTCTCCCAAAACAGAGTCCGGAGATGTAACTGCAGATGCAGCAGTGGTGACATTCTCTTCCACCTCCCTCCGCACTTGGCGCTGGAATGGCCCAGTAGAGGCGAATTGTTTCAAAAACCAAGAATACCGTGGCAATTTGTCACTCATTGCCGTCTTCCGTGACTTCACTAAAATGAGTGAGGTTGCCGGGAAGCTTGTGGGATATCCAAATGTCGACATCAACTCGATCGGCTGGGAGTTGACCGCTGCTACCAAAAAGGCATTGGGCTCTGAGTCGCGCAAGGAGGCCATGCGCGATGCAGTCCAAAAATCAAATGACTACACCGAAGTCATTGGGCGCAAGGTAGCTGCAGTGGAAATTCAGGATGGAGGCAACTCCGCTTTCAGTATGTTGGCGCGTCCAGTACCGATGCCTTTTGGCGGAAGCTCAGGGGGTCTCTTTGGTGGCGCAACAGGCTTCGGGCAAGTTACTGGAGGAGGCTCAGGAGGAGCCTTATTTGGCGGTGCTGCTACAAATACCCCTGCTCCTACTCCCTCCGCACCACTTGATCTTACTCCACAGGAAATTCAATATACAAGCTCTGTGCAGGTCATATTTGAATCCATTCCGGTGGGTGAAACGTAAGGTTTTACTAGATCTCAACCCGTTTTCTGTTCCGATATGCAATTTTCGGCCATTGCACAACCGCTACCATGTGCACGATATTCTGTGTCTAGTTCTATTGTACCCCCTTTATCATTTAGAATCAATACTAGATTTATTACGTCTATCTGTTACTCCACGTTAGAAAAAGCTATCCCTCTAGATATTTTAATATTAGTACTTTATTTGAAAGGTAGGACCTTAGCAGTTAGATGTTAGTAAAGAGGTATCATAGTATACTGCCCTAGACCTTGAGACGGTGAGTGAGACACAGGACCGATGTTACGCTAGGCAAGTCATCAAGAAGAAGAGTTCATTCAAAGGGAAGATATCGCATCTGAGGAAGATATCTGCGCCGCGTATGCTCGGTCCATTTCTCGGTTAAAGAAGGGCAACGGCTAATGGAAGACTTTCACGATGGAGGCCATTTACATGGAATTGAGATATGATTACACCTGCACTTCATATATTTCATGTCGTCACCATCATGATCCAACATAGAAGGTCACCGGAATATCTTTCGATATATATCGGCTGGCTCCTGGCTCGCAGAGGGTTCCAAGTGAATCGGGATATACCGAGGAAGACCCACTCCACGTCTGCAGCGCAGTTGATAAATGTGTCATGTATCTGACCCAGACCTTCGTCGATTCAGTGAGAGAAATAATTTACATTCAAGGGGGAACTAACACAGTTCTTCAAAGAAAATGGAATATGCAAGCGTATACTTGGTGCGGGGTCACGTGCAGAGCGACACATCGGACTCCACCGGCGCCCGCACTTCTTCCACAAGCAACCCACAATGGAGCTGTCTACCCTGTTGATCATCAGTGCGCTCTTCATCGGTAAACTCCCCACAATCTGCTGGCCTCGATATCTGTGACCTGGTCCCGGTGACATGACGAGTCTGTCCATCCCAAGAACCATCTAGCTGACATCGCACCAGCTTTCCGCATCTACCAGTCTCGAACCGCAGCCTCAACGCCCATCATGTCGCACGGAAAGGTGTCCAACATTGACAAGTGAGTGTTCAATCCCCTTGCTGATAGAGCGCTTGCTGTGATAGTCCGTGTTTGCTAACATCATCACGCACCAACAGCGACGTCATCTTCAAAGCCCTCACTTCCTCCGGCGTCGTGCTGGTTGATTTCTATGCGACGTGGTGCGGTCCTTGCAAGGCCGTCGCCCCCAAGATTGGGGAGTTCAGTGAGAAATACGAAAATGTCCGATTCCTTCAGGTCGATGTGGATAAAATGAGGGGGGTAGCTCAACAATTCGGTATCACCGCTATGCCCACCTTCGTGATGATGAAGGATGGCAAGGAAGTGCAGCGGGTCCGGGGTGCGGATCTCAAGTCCATTGACCAGTGGTTGCAGTCGCAGTAGGCTCATAGCCCGTGGACATGACCGGATGGATACTTTGGGATGTCGCTTGTAGCGCGACAAACTCTTTCCATAGTCTTATAGACGAAGCACGTTCGTCTGATACTCGGCCGCGTGCTTTATCTATAAGCCTAAGGAAGAGTGTATCAATAGTATAGACCTTAGGATCTTTCCTAAGTGTTTGTATGATATCTTAGATGAATCCAGGATGAGAGGAGATGAGCAACTAGGTGACTGAGGAATAATTCAGACAAATTCCTGTCCGGAATCAATGATCCTGCAAGCCATTCAACGGGCATTGCCAGATAACAATTCGAACAAATCCAATGGGAAGAATGCGCCGGGGTTTTTAATGCGAATTTACGACCTACGAGGTCGAGAATTATAAACCAGAATACTTTTCTTGTACCAGTTGAAAGATTATGTATTAGCCGGACAGACTACATATTCTCTCTATGCTTGGGGCCGCCGAGTTACTCCGCACCGGGCGCAGTTCCCCCGGTTCCCCCGATCCCGTAGACTCTAACCCAGTTAGGGCCTGCACCCACACGCCCACCGGTCCGATTGGAAGACGCACGGAGCCACTCATTGCAGGAACGCCGCTTGGGGACCATGCAGGCGGCGCAGAATCAGCCGAAAGCGTACATCAGCCTTACCACACTTGGTCACCTTCATGGGGGTCCAGTGCCGATCCTGACCTTTAGACAGTGTGGGCGTCGTCTGGATCGGCTTGCGCCTGGATAAATTTGGATGATGACAGGAGCTATCATTTGTCCGGGGTGACGATGAGAGAGGGCTATGTATGTGGTCCAAGGAGATATAAAGGCCTTCGATGTCACGACATGCTACTCATTCGCGTCACAAACCTCGAGCGCAAGCACACGGCCCTGTCGTCGATGCATTACATGATTACACCGTTCTATACTTTTGACTACCACCTGTACTTGACCAAGTTCTATTCCCCCGCCGTATAAAAGACATGTCTCCCACAATTGCCTTCCTCGGAGCCACCGGCGGCTGCGCAAACGCCTGCCTCGCCTACACCCTCCGCAGTGGCTACAACGCCATCGCGCTGGCTCGCACGCCCGCAAAGCTCACAGCCCTACTCCTCTCGCAACCCGGTCTAACACAAGACATTCTCGACGCACACCTGCGCATCATAGAAGGCGATGCGCGCGATGTCGAAACCGTCATGAAGACGCTTGTTGTCGCCGCAGACGCGCACAGCACCACGCTCGTTTCACTGATCATCTCGGGCATCGGCGGCACCGGCGAAATGGTCTTCACCAAGCCATCGCCCTGCGAGCAGATCCCCATGCGCGTCCCGACGGTGCCGCACATCAGCATCCCAAACCCGAATATCACCGAGCAAAGCACGCGTGCGCTGCTCGGTGCGCTAGCCCGCATTGCGGCGGAGCGGTTCGGTTCGTTCGCGGATTATGCAGCCGTCGCGCCGCGAGTGACGATTATCTCTGGGGCGGGCATTAAGAAGGGCGTTACGGATGTGCCGTTGCTGTTTAGGCCGTTGTATGCGGCGCTGGATATCCCGCACAAGGATAAGGCGCAGATGGAACGGCTATTAGCTGAGGCGCAGGAGAAAGCGGATAATCTGCTGTGTGGCGGGGTGGTGATTGTGCGGCCGAGTATCTTGGGCGGCGATCATAAGATTGCCGAGGCTGGCGCAGACTCAGGCTTTACAAAGTTACGCGTGGGCACAGAAAAGAAGCCGGAGATTGGGTATACTGTTGGGAGGGCGCTGATCGGGGAGTGGATTTATCGGGAGGTGGTCAAGGGAGGCGGGGAGAAGTGGGTTGGTGAGGGTGTGATCCTGACTGAGTGAAGCTGATGGATTGCTGGGGGTTTTCGTGCAGTGGAGTTTGGAGCGCCGATTTAATTTATGAATAGAAGGGATGCGATGAAGGCTTGATTTCTATATTGAACAAATGATTCTAACTGGCAATTCCAGGTGCGGTCTACTTATTGACGCAAGCAAATGCTAGATAAGAGGCAACCGCAAGAGAATTTCAAAAAGAAACAATAAAAAAAAGACCAAACAAAGCAAACAAAATTCAAATCCAGATCATCACAGCCAAGGAAATCCGGTCGAGCGTAGCTAAGAGGGCAAAGGCGAGGAACCATCAGGGGGGATCGTAAAAGGGTAGTAAAGCAAAGGCAACGATTACAAAGCAATCGTCAGAGTATAGAAGAAGAAAGCCATATTTCCAGAACTCCGTTGAGTTCCGACAAAACGCCATGCCTCAGTATGTAAATGTCGCTGAGTGGGTGTTTAATGCGCGGGCCAGTGTGACGGCTGTACAGGTGGATAGAAGACATGAAACTCGCATCTTTCGACCCACATCTGCGTGATAATCGTGACGGTCGTGAGCCAGAGGCTCCTCAGGAGATGACGGTGTTGGCAACGCTCAAGTGCCATCATACGGTTCAGGGCGTTCGAGCTGCATACTCTTGCGCTCTTCGACCTTCTTCTTCTCTATCTTCTTCATGGCTTCTTCTGTCAGCTGCTGGCGGAAAAGGCGCTCCACTATCTCCTTCTTGCGCGCACGTCGATCGCCGATCATGATCAGCACACCGCCAGTGATGTTGCAAGTGATGGAGCAGCACAGAATAACGGTGGTCAGGGCAAAAGGCCGCTGTCCAGGGTCTTCCATACTCCAGGTACAAGCACCTAGGGCGATCTGGAGGAGGGAGTGACAGTCGAGCAGGACAACAACGGCGATGAGAATGCGCAGAGGGAAGGCGTGGTGGGTCATAGTCTCGTGCGGTTTGTAGAAGGTGTGTGACTTGGCGAACTTGGTCTGGTGGTGTATCAAACGCAGCTGCTGGCGAGGGCTAAGCACCGAGAACTCATGCTCATCTTCCTTGGGGGTATCGCCGAATTCGACATCCACATCTTTCTCCCGCTGAGCGGGTAGATCGTTCTTGTCCTTGAGATCGGGGAGTCGTCGCTTACGACGAATCTTCCACGTCAACATGGTATAATGGGCAATGAAGATCATGTGATAAGTGTCCACAGCTCGGAAGGGAGCGAGACCGTCACCCATAATCGCGAACAACGCCACAAGAACGTTATCAATAACATTGACGACGTAGAGCTGCTTTCCGCCCACATTGATCCAACCTGAAAAGGCACCGAGTTAGTGTTTCCAAGCTTGCTAGTACAGATAGAGTAAGGCAAATATCATACCAATCAAGAAGAGCACCCAGGCGAGACCAAACAGAGTAATAAGGGTTGCGTAGAGAGTAACAAGAAATCCGAGCGCTAGTGGCACCTGTTAGTTTCCCGGGCCTACATCTTACGAGTGAACGAACGGAAGGACCACTTACGCTTCCGGATATACTGTCCAAACCCCCTCATCGACCGCTTGAACTTGGACCGGCGCGAGTGAAGCATATGCCGAACGTAATCGTTCAGTTCGGCGAAGTCCTCGTTGGTCCATCCCTCCAGCTCATGACCTTCGGGTAAAACGGCATACCGAGGGCCCGCAAGCACAGATGACATGCTTGAAAAGGGGCGGAGTTGTTCCAATCTCGGCCGCTCCTTCATTTTCGACTCCTCTGAAACCTCTCCTTCATCTGTGCTGGTTCCCTGTTCTTGGTCCGACGGACGCGGACGCGAGAGTTGGTAGGTGGGCATGCGGTTCACGAAGTTGCCCAGATTGGGAATGAACAACGAGTTCTGCACATTCGTGAGGGTCGACAAAGCCGAGACCTCCGGGTCTATCGACAGATCACGTTAGCCATGAGATTCGCCATGATATTCGCCACTTCCATTTCCAGCCTATTTTGGCTTACCAATGACATCCAGTACGTCGACCAGATGAGACCCATATTCATTCGCCGCTGGATGCTCCTTTGACGCCTCGAGTGTTGGTGGGACCCCTGATACCGTCGATGCCCGGTTGCGGGAGAAGCGATTTAGAGCCGCTTGGCTCGTCCGGCGCAGCACATTCCGAGATGTTGGGCGCGCGAGTGCCGGCGCAGGCGGTTGAAGATATTCGTCCGCTGTTCGCTCCGTAGTGAGGCCATTTGGAGAGGCCGGGAACGGGCTCTGGTGAGATGACTCTTCAGTCAAAGACATCATGGGTTTTGCCACTCGAGAGAGCACATCCGGAGCAGGAAAAGACCATCGCCCTGGTCGGGGCTCGGAGTTGCTGCGTCGTCGACCATTCTGCCATGTTTCATCTTCCTCCTCTACCGGGGATCTGACGGATATTTGGCGGGAAAGGAAGGGACCAGGTTGGGGACCAGGTTGGTTCTCAGGCGGGCTCTGTTGCTGTTGCTGCTCGTTGACGGTGTGCAATGAAGAGGAGGAGGGTAGGCGCGACAGGCGGATGCTAGGCCGGCGCGTACGATTTGAGGGGGCTCGCGGGCGCAAAGTCGCCAGTGGTGGCCTCGATGATGAGGCTTCTGTAGACTGCTGCTGCTCCGGCGTAGCCCTCCGGTCATTCGAGTCCTCCGCGGGCTCGATGCGATCCATGGAGGCGGTTGAACGACAAGTTCCGAGGGGAGGCTGGGGGAAATGGATTTAGATAATCAAGGCGGCAAGGTGAAACGACAGCAACCCCGGCGGAACAGATCGAGTAGGTGACGGCCCTATGCCATTGAAAAATATCGCGAGCCCGCAACCCAAAGGAAGTAATTCGGGAGTTCCGGGAATTGGGATTGTTGGGTTTGGGTCTGGAATTGGTAGGAAAACCTTAGGTACCGACACACGATCCGCGCGGGGCTGACTCAGCGGGTAGAATCTTGCTTTTCCAGCATGACGATAGTGGAGATTCGAGACGGCGCAAGAGAGGGTAGTCTGTTATCATGGTTGACATTCTACGACATACGCACTTCCTGCCGTATTGAATCGTTTGGACTACGCTAAATTGCACCCTGTGGAAGTCCTGCCGCGGTCGCAGAGGGCAGTGGCGACTGCGAGTGAAGATAAGATAATCCAATGGGAGAGGCTTGGAGGAGTTGGGGAATCAGATGGGACAAGACGATGACGCTGGTCCCTGGTCCACCAGTTCCGAGTGGAGTAGCCGTGGTCGGACATACTGTAAGGATCATCATGGACCAGAATAACCACTAGTAGGTGGGTACCCAAAAGTATAAATACATCACACAATCAGTACTCCGTATTCAGGTCACTTCAGTAAAACCTGCCTATGACGAACCTGGCTTTAGCGAATTCCTGGATAAAGAACACATACTGTAGCCGGTAAAATTTCAAATTGTTAAATACCAAACATAATGTCCCTTCTATTGCGAATTCGTCCTATCAGGATTACTCAGCAGACAGTCCCGTGGTTAGTTGTTTTGCTACTACTGTACATACCAATCAAACTCTTGACCATGGGGCCCTACGGTATATTCGATTACCTAATACATTCCACGTGAAAATGTTAACGTGAGTCAGCGACGCGTGGATCACGGTAACTACAGTAACTACCGGAGCGCTGGAGGGGCCTTATTTCCTTCCGAGAGCTGGTGTTGTGTATACAAGGAACCCCGAGTTGAGATCGATTTACAGAGAACCACCCCAAAACACCTAGTCAATGAAAACTGCTATACCACCCACCATACCCAATTATAACTCTCGCGATTTCTGGTTTACCTATGGGAGCTTCTACTTAAGGTTAGCGGGAGGATCGACATATACCAGGCAATAAATATCTTAGGTTATTAACACCCATTCGAATAACTGGAGCCACCCAACATAAATATCTTCAAATTCATCACGTCTACTTCTATATTGACCTCATTAACAGCAAAATTAATCTCGCAGAGTAGGTAGTCGGCAATCATATGACTGAAAAACGTCTCGTTGTTGTTGAGATATGCGGGAAGCTGTACAGTAGGTAAGGTGTCGCATTTACTATGTGTTTTGGGGCGGTCAGCTCGCTTGGGTGGGCGACTCGCTTTAGAAATACATTAAGTGATTGTTCAAGGGAGGCTGTAGCCTGCCTAGAATGTTTGTGAAGTAGATAAGTAGACTGTAGACTAAACTGTCGACTGTAGACAGCAACTCGTGATACAATTGAGGGCTCTATAAGGCTGTTTGTCAATCTGAAAGTTCGATGTAGCTATGAATCGTTTAAATTCAACAACCGACAAATCCCTTTTCATCCTCAACCAACTTTGATTACGATATTCCCACCTGCATGGTAGAAATAGGAAAGTACTTGCCTGGGATCAGACTACCACGGCAAGATGATCATATCTCCCACATTCCGTCTAAGGGAACGCGACCCTATTCCAAGAGTGAAGGAGTGAGGTCTAGGTGGAGCTTTGGTCTCTGGAAAGATCATGATATATCCTATATCCTATATTTTTTTGACCCTTACCTCGTTGCTTGACGCCCGCACACCTCAGACCGTACGCTGACTCGACGATGAATGCAGTGAGCGCTACCACCCACCAAGGTCTCCCGTCTTCAACGGGCCGTCACGGCCGGGCGGTCAAAATCAGGCAGGATCTGCCGATGCTGCCTCTTCCAATGGGACAAAATGGTAAGGAGAAGCAAAAGTCCGACTCTGTCAGTGACCGGACTCTCCCGGCAGGCTCCTTGTCCCTTTCACGCCCTTCCACGGACAAGCTTTTGTCCACATGGAAGCCGTCGGGGAGAAGTTCCCGTTTCAAAAGTTTGCAGAAGCAAACCACCGCAACACCCACGACGTCTTTGGTGCTTTCAATGCAGAGTGGCCTTGCGGCCCTTGCGCAGACCTCAGGAGGGTGGTGAGTTATCTCCGTCCGACAATGCCCGGATTCTGATCGCGGACTGGTAAGAGGTGCGATATCACCGGCGACACGACCGCTGTGCCCGACAGCTCGTCCTTGACCTGTCTGACCCCTTCTTCCTCGGTATCTGCATATGGCCTAGAGGATTGCCCATCTTTCTCGACCGCAAAGCAGTGGAACTCATCGCCAACAAGCCCAAGTACCTGCAAATCGCCTGCGAAGCCGGCTGTGAAAGGAAGCACGCGCAAGCCCGACAACCTTGAATCCTATTAGGTCTCCTCTACTAGCTGCTGGAAAGCGGCCGTGCCCATGACCAACCGAGACGAATGCCTGCTGCACACTTCCGAACAGGCAGAGAAAGTACGCGGAGATCCACTAGCGAACTGGTGGACGTTCGCCGGGACATTCGTGGGTCGCCGATCCCCGCTGACAAAAGAATCGAGGGCCATCATATCCTCAAGTCTACCGAGCCAACCTATGTGACCGAATCAATTTATTTCGCCCTAGAAAATGAAATGACGAGGAATTCGAGAGGCGACAGCTGGTACGATGTTTCAGAAAGCGGGGGAGAAAAAGAAAGAGGCCTGGTTACAAGCGTGAAACCTGAGTTGAAGCGTGGCAGATGAAAGAAGCGATCCCAGAAGTGCATGTGGAAAACCTGTTCACCTGCCAATTCGACGTGAGGAACGTGTCATTATGGGAACTGTATCTGTGAAATTCAGCGCAGTATGTTGTTCGGGGGGAACGTGGGCAATATCGCTTCTTCGCTGGCAGGGTATTTTTTTGTCCGGTCTTATGCAGCCAATAAATTGTCAAATGATTGAACAACCCGTGCATTGCATTGTGATTACGATCAGACCATGCAGAGACAATGGACTTGCTCAGGCAGTGGCGTAGACCATGGCGATCTTCCACTGGCTGGGACGTGGAGAATGAGGAGTGGAAAAAGTGGAGCCGGCTGAGGTGGAAGATCATTCATCACCGGCCCCAGCCAGCGTTACTGTGGGCAACTCGGCGCGTGCAGAGCTGTACGCATTGGACTAATTGGGAATGTGTCCTATTTGAAAACTGTAGAATCTGTACGAGGGCGTGAAATGGAGTGAATTCAACTAATTTAGCTGTAGGGGCTAGACACAAGGGAGGGGTGGTATGGTCGGATCGAAGACCATGGTAGCTCATCGAACTGGGTCTGGTCTCCAGAATGACATCAAAGGCGGTTGCCTCGAGTGACGAGTGACGGTAGCGTGCTGGTTGCGGAGGGGTGAAGGGGGGAAACTCGTCAGAACACTCACCGCCAAATTGCGCTCCGTGCCCCCCCCCCCCCCCCCCCAAGGAGAGCTCCCTGGCTCTTGGGGGCCCAGGCCCGGAAGCTCCTCCCTAAGCTCCCCTCTCGGCGGCCCCCCTAAGCTTCCCCCTCAAGGGCCCCCCGACGTCCAGCCCGAAGCCCCCAATGCTGCCCAGAGCCACCGCCTAACTTCACCCACTTTCACCAGCCCAGCGGGCGCCGGTCCCAACAAGGCCTAGCGGCTCACCGCCTCCTCTCCTTTCCTTCTTCCTCGCCCTTCCACCGTCCTTACCTTCTTTCCAAGAGTCAACAACTGCTTCTGATTTCCCATCCCATCTCTTCCTTTTTTTCTTCTCAACTGGTATCTAGGGCACCAAGCTACCCTGCTCCTTCCCTTCAATCCTCCCCCTCGTCAAGTTTTCACCCGCCCACCCCAAAGGCACATCAACAAACATCCCCTCTGTTTGTTTGACACATCGTTCGAGCTTTTGCTATCCACCTTCGAACCTTTTTCGTGTCCCAACTCGCCTTCAAGATGTCTGCTATCGACGCTTTGACTGACAACCTGGCTGCGGCCACCATCAACGACACCCCCGGCATCAACGGCACTCCCGCGGCTTCGCAGGCCCCTGATGCAGCCGCTGCCAGTGCTGATGAGGGACGTCGCCTGTACATCGGAAACCTCGCCTATGCGACCACCGAGGAGGAGCTCAAGGAGTTCTTTAAGGGCTACACCATGTGAGTTGCAACCTGGCCTGCATTTGTCTGAAGCTAGCAACAGCTGCGCCAATCAAGGCCAAAGCACCTAGCCGAGGCCTCCCCTTGGTCTCATGGTCCATCGAATCAACACTAACTCGATCCCCAGCGAGAGCACCTCGATCCCGGTGAACCCCCGCACCAACCGCCCCGTTGGCTATGCCTTTGTGGACCTTGCGACTGCTGCTGAAGCTACTGCGGCTATCGAGGCCCTTTCTGGCAAGGAGATTCTGGCCCGCAAGGTGTCGGTGCAGCTGGCCCGCAAGCCGGAGCCCGCGGAGGCCAAGGAGGGTGCTGCCAGTGGCGGTGAGGGCGCCAGCGGCAACGAGGGTCGCAAGCGGACTGGTGGTCGGGGTCGCGGCCGTGGTCGCGCCCGCGGCCGTGGTGGCCGTGTCGGTCGTGGACGGGTATGTTTCCTTTCCCCCTCTTGCCCTGATTTTCCATCTCTTCTTTACCAAACCACTGACTCGATTGTTCTTGCAGGCTCAAGATGGACAGGAATCCACTGAGGCCGATGCTGCTGGCCAGGCTCCGCTGACCGAGACCACCAACGACAACGAGGCTGCGGCTGCCGAGGGAGCCAAGCAGGGCAAGCCACGCGCCGCTCGCCCCCAGAAGCAGCGTGGTCCCCCTGAGGATGGTATTCCTTCCAAGACCAAGGTCATGGTTGCCAATTTGCCTTACGACCTGACCGAGGACAAGGTGCGTGGGTAGTCTGAAGTCACCTTAGGCTTGGAATCTGCCCCTCGAGCCTAAATCTTGCATTTACTGATCTTGTGCCTTTTTTTTTTTTTTAGCTCAAGGATATCTTCGCCGACTACCAACCCGTCTCGGCCAAGGTGGCTCTGCGCCCCATCCCCCGTTTCATGATCAAGAAACTCCAGGCCCGCAACGAGCGCCGCAAGACCCGTGGCTTCGGATTCGTCAACTTGGCCTCCGAGGAGCTCCAGACCAAGGCCGTCAACGAGATGAACGGCAAGGACATTGATGGCCGCACCATTGCTGTCAAGGTGGCTATCGACAGCCCTGGCAAGGAGGACGACGTCAATGCGGCCGCCGACCAGTACGAGGAGGCCAACCCCCCTGCTGAGGAGAACGCCGCCCCCGATGCTGCTCCTACTGAGGCAGTTTAAAACTCGATCACCAAATGCTCTTCGACCGCAGATGGCTTGCTGATGAATTTGGGGTGTTATTCAGAAGGAACCTTGAGGCGGCTGTCTTGTGGATCTAGGATATAACCATGGGTGATCTGCAGGTCGACTGCGAGTATCTTAGCTACTCGACAAGTGGTTTCAAGGCGAATCTGTGGGCACGAGGGTGTGATGACTTTTTTTTCCTTTTGTTCTTATTAACGGATGTCCTGGAGGATACATCCATGCTGGAGTGCTGATTCCTTGCTGATGCCTCCATCCCTAACGACCTTTGCCTTCTGTACTGTATCTTAGCACCCATTTAACTAACTGATGACGAACTGCTCTGGTGGTCTGTGTGTAGAGAGAATAATCTACGTAGAAGCTGTGCAAGAATACAAAGTTCGCAGTGGCCAGCAACTCACTCGAATAGGAGACTGAACGGAACTGCTTCAAGCATCGTAGCAGCGCCCAAACCTCGCCGATGACGCCAAGGTTTGGGGTGACCCTTGCCGATCAGCGGACAACACATCGAGTCCCTCACACGCGCAACTTCTTCAATCTGCCAACTCTCCCATCAATTCACATTGCCACAACTGTCCACGACCTTTGCCCCCAAATTACTACACTATACCGGAGAGCGATCGGAATTGCGTGCAGAAAAGGGGTTAGGCACCAAAACAGACAGGACCCCCACACAATCCAACTACGGCGCCGAATCCGCCCACTCTGCCGCTGCCATACCCTTTTACCCCGGCAAACGGCCCGTGTCGTGGTCTCTCCCAATTGTGTCACCCTTTCCAATATAAATATAGCCCTCCATGTCGTCTCGCATGTGGGAGGTGGACCCGGAGACGAAGACGAAGGTGCGTTTCTCCCTCCTGCATTGCTGGTCTGGTCTGGCCGACCACCGGCGCGTGCGCCGCAGCGTGAACTAACACACTACCTCCCGGTCCTCCAGCTCCTCCAGATCTCCAAGACCAACGGCAATGACAAGTGCTGCGACTGCGGCGCCCCGTCGCCTCAATGGGTATGTGTCACCCTTATCTCCTGAATCTACATCTTGTCGAGCGTACCCGATTGCCTCCTCACGCACGACACCGCGGGCACAACCAGTTAACTTCCGCCTCTTGGGCGCTTACACGCAGGCCTCGCCCAAATTCGGAACCTTTATCTGCCTCAACTGCGCCGGGACACATCGCGGGCTCGGCGTACACATCTCCTTCGTGCGCTCAATCACCATGGACGCCTTCAAGCACGCTGAGATCCAGCGCATGGAGCTAGGCGGCAACGAGCCGTGGAAAGCATTCTACGACGCCCACGCCGTGACCATCTCCGAGGGTCGTACATTCGAGGACTCGACGATCAAAGAGCGCTACGAGGGGGACGCCGGCGAGGAGTGGAAGGAGCGGCTGTCGTGCAAGGCCGAGGGCCGCGAGTATGTGCCCGGCCAGGAGAAGAAGAACAATAATGCCCCTGCTTCACGGTCGAGCACGCCTATGAGCCTTAGTGGTGGCGGTGTTACGGGCGGTGCGCGGACAGGGTCACCCGCGGCGTCGTCCGTCCGCTCGCATGATAGCCAACGCGGTCGCGTGCCGCCAAAGAAAGAGCAAAATGAGGCATACTTTGCCAAGTTGGGCAATGAGAACTTGTCGCGGTCTGATTCACTGCCCCCGTCGCAGGGTGGGAAGTATACTGGCTTTGGAGGTGGTGTGCCCACGCCTGCGGCTGGGGACCGCCAGTCGTCACCGTTTGGCGGGTTCGGTGGCTTTGGAGGATTTGGCGGCGGCGGCGGCGGCGGCGCTGGGGGTGGACAGGCCTTGGATGACTTCCAGAAAGATCCAATGGGCACTTTGACCAAGGGTTTTGGCTGGTTTGCCTCGACTGTTGGCAAGGGCGCGAAGCAGGTGAACGATTCATACCTACAACCCACAGCGAAGCAGGTAAGTAGTTCATCATACCACACTGATCCAACCCAAGATGTTGTTTGGATGAAAGGTTGACATAGACCAACAGCTCGCCGAGTCCGACTTCGCAGCCCAAGCCCGCGCACAAGCCGCAAACTGGGGCCAGAACTTGCAAACTGGCGTCCGCGGTGCCGCAGACCAACTCAGCCGTTTCGTCGAAGGGCCCGACGATGGCCGGCCTGGCGCTACCCGCTCGCGTGGTGAGCCCGAGCGCCGGGACTTCTGGGACGACTTCTCAACCCTTGGCTCGCAGGAGCGCAACGGCCACCAGCGCAGTGGATCACGGTCTGATGTTATCGGCACTACCGCTATGCGCAAGAGCACTCCGGCGTCGTCGTTGACGAGCGCCTCGACCCTTCCTACTACTGAGACCACTGCGTCAAATGGGAAAGCACACGGGGAGACCGGCGCTGTCACGTCGACGACGGCGAAGGGCAAGGATGAATGGGATGATAACTGGTAGTGGACCTTGTATATATTTGGTACGCATTGCGTTCACTAAGTGTGTTGTTTATGATGGTGAGTTGGGGCTGATTCCAGATGTCATGCACTGAATTGTATGCTTGGGCTTGGTGTTGTGTTTTTCTTCGGTCTTGTATTTTCTGGAGTCATACCTCGCTCGATGAATGGAGTGTTTCATTACTCCCTCCCTGTTTTTGAGGGAGAGACTTGCTACAGACTGTGGTTTTATATTCGGTGTTTTGCGGAGGACAGTATTGGTACATTGTAGAGATTACTTTATGTCAACCTAAGATGTAGCATGTAGTGTACAGAGAACAGTGATCCAATTACCCTTAAACCAACGCCGAAGAGCTAGAACCCACCCCTCAACTCCGCAAGCACCGCCTTCTGTCTCGGCGCAGACATATTCTCAAACCGGTCCACGCTCATCACGAATGTGCCACGACCAGCAGTCAGACTGCGCAGGTGCTTCAGATACCCAACCATCTCCTTCAGTGGAACCTTTGCAGTGATCGTCCGTGGACGGGAGGAGGACACCGGCATTTCTACGCCGACAGACGATGTCTCAAACGGATCGGGCGGTGCGTAGATGCGGTTGGGGTCAATAGGAGGGAGGCTATCCTCGGCAGCGGTAGATTCAGACGCATCGGTTGCAGACAGCGCCGCATCCTCATTTAGGGAGAGGATGTGCCCACCGCGCGAGGAGGAGATGTCGTGCACAACGGAGCCAAGACTGGCTTCGTCGACACTGATAATCACATCCATGACCGGCTCCATCATTACCGTTCCTGAGCCAGCAAGGAGGTCTCGGAGCGCGGCGGTTGTGGCCTGGCGTGCGGCGCCTGAAAGGGCCGAGGTGGTGGTTTCGTTACCGAAGAGGTGTTCTGCAAGGTTGATAGTGAGTGTGACGCGAGTGTTGTGCATCGGAAATGTGAATTGAGGCCCGCGGGCGAGCGCCGCAAGTGCGCCATTCTGGAGAGCCGCGCGGAGAGCAGCTGGGTCAAGACCCGGGGGTAGAAGTGGGCTTGTCTCCTCGTCGTTTCTGGGAGAGCGGTCTACCTGCAAGCCGGGGGCACGGATGATGATCTGGTTACCCTCGATAGTCTCGGCGAGGAGGGTATCCTCATCTGCCGCCTCGGAAATATCCTCTCCGCTGATAGGCTCCACGATTGCAGTACAGCCTGCCTTGCTGCGGCGACCGGCGACTTCTTTATCGAAGATTTTGGTGATGGCAGCAGACACCCCGAGTCCCGACTCGCGGTATCCAATCTCGATACGACCCATAGAGGCCTTCGCCTTATGGTCGTTGATTAGACGGTCGCGCGCAATCTCCAGGTGTAATTCGCCCATGCCACTCAGCAGAGTCTGACCAGATTCCTCGTCCACGCTGACGTGCAAGCTGGGATCCTCTCGCAAAAGTAGTCCTAGTGTTTCATGCATCCGTTTCTCCTCGCTGAGACTGTGCGGCTCAACGCTAGTGAAGAACACCGGAGGAGGCACATCAATTGGACGTAATTGCAGACGCGTCAGCGGTTCTGGCGGCGTTGGCTTATTTCCTGCGTAGGACAGGAGGGTGTCGCCAGTTCGAGCATGCTTCAATCCGACGACGACACCGATGTGGCCTGCAGGGATGGAATCCACTTCGACTGCATCGTTGGCATACATTTTCAGCAACCGCGGTGCTCGCTCTGAGAGGTGCAAATTGGTGTTGAAGAGCAGGCTGTTGCGATCCAGGGAACCAGAGTACACCCGGACATAAACCAATACACCACGCTTAGCATCATTGACCACCTTGAAGGCCAACGCGCAGCTCTGGAGTTTAGAAATGGCGTCTTTCGGGTCGGCCTGCAGCGCAGTCTTTTTCTTTTTCTTGCCTTTGGCTGGGGCCGGTGCCTTCTCATCTTGCTCCACAATCAGGTCGCCCGAGAGCAACCGCCGCAACCCTCCTTTGACACCACCGATGCTCACTTCTGGATCGGGGGCTTCTGGTGGGCTGGGAAGTAGATTGACCACGGCATCAAGCAAAGGCTGGACACCCATGTTGCGGAAACTGGCACCTGCGAAGACAGGTACGATGCGGCTTGATTGGTCGAGAACGCATCGCCGAAGACTGTCGATAATGTCCATAGGAGGCACCGCTAGATGGTCTTCGTCACATTCGAAGAATTTCTCCACGATGGCTTCATCCTGGTCACTCAGCAATTCAACCAAAGCAATACGCGCACGACGGAGCTCTTGCGCCAGGTCATGTTCTTCCACATCCAATTGCTCAAGATTCATCATCTTCACGGTGCGGCCGTCCTCACCCGCCTTCCATTTTAAACCTTGGAGATTGACGGCATCTGCCACGCCGACGAAAGCGCCGTTGCCGCCTTCAAACCAAGGGATCTGGCACACTGCTGGGTAAACCGCTAGACGGGAGCTGACTTCCCGAACTGTTCGGCCGAAAGCGGCACCATCGCGGTCTAGCTTGTTCACGTAGATCACTCGCGGGATCTGGTACTTGCTAGCCTGACGCCAGACCTGCTCCGTCTGCGCCTCGACGCCAGCCACGCCGTCCAAAATACAGACAGCACCATCCAGGATGCGCAGAGACCGCATGACCTCAAATGTGAAGTCAGCATGCCCAGGAGTGTCGATGAGATTGACCGTATGCGACACCGCGGACTTCGGTGCAGAAGGGTCCTGCGTGGCAGGTTGACTGCCTGCCCCGTCTCCAGGAGGCCAGTGGAAGGTAATGGCCGCCGACTGGATGGTGATACCACGCGCACGCTCTGCGGGCAAGAAATCAGTCACCGTGGACCCTTCGTCCACATCGCCAATGCGCCGGGTGAAGCCGCTGTAGAAGAGCATGCGCTCAGTAGTAGTGGTTTTGCCAGCATCGATATGGGCGATGATTCCGATGTTGCGTGTTCGGTCCAGAGTCTCGCTCTGCCATCTTGAAAGTGAGGTGGAGAAGCATTGAGCTTTCTGGCCTGCGATCTGAGATATTTGCGAGCAGATATGGCTCTCTACGGGGCACGGTCGACTCCTATAGAGAGTCGAGCCGATACCACGTAGCCCCGGCTGGCGGAGGCGCAATAACGGAGCCACAACCATTCCTAGTAGAAGCTCCCATCCAACATGGAGAAATTTGTAGGGGTTTATATGCCGGAAAACATTGGGATAGTGGTGCTCATCCCAAGGCCGACGGACCACAGAACTTCGAAGGTGACGGGGAAAAGCGAATCGCGGAGCTGGCGGCGGGCTTGGCGCATTCCTCTTCCTGCTGGACCGGACGGACCATGCGCAACTCTCCCTCCGACCTCCCACCTCGACCTCGACCGCTTCTACCTGGCTACTTTTTCCCGCTTCCCCTGCTTGTAAATTTGCTATGCGCCCGTGAAAGCACGGCCCTCCTCCTTCGAAAACTGCCCAAGGTACGTGCCCAGCTGCGCTGGAGCTACCTGGCCGTTACTGTGGGGGCTCGATCTCCAGCCATTAATACTGACGCCTGCCGTCACTAGCAGCTCCTCCCCCTTGGACATCCCGTGAAGAGGCTCCTTACCTCCAATCCCAACTAAAATGGACTACTCCGCCATCTCCAGCGATCCAGAACATCCCGCGGGCGCCTCGCCCTGGGGCTCTCCACGAGCCGACCGAACGACGTTCCCCACCTCCGGCAACAGCGACATCCCGTCATCCCCGTTACCGGGCCAGCCGCACGCATCGCAGACCGCGGACAGAGACCGCGAGGCTGACTCTCAGGCGGCTGACCTCTCCACGCAGCTACAGAGTGCCCAATTAGGGGACCCGGACTATCCTAGGGAGCAGTCTCCGTTTGCTACACAGCATTTCTTCAATGCAGACCAGCAGCGGCAGCAACCTCCCGCCCGCTACCAGACGGGAGCGCGACAGAACTCTCGGCCTCCAGCACCCGCCTATAAGATCCTGGCCAAGATCACCGGTCTTGAGAGGACTGGCAAGAAAGACCCTATCCTCCGCTTTGATGTCCACGTGGGTCGACTCTATAATGAAGCTAACGAGATGCGCAATGGCCGTGGCTAACCATACACAATTATTTGACTGCAGACCAACATCCCCAAATTCCGTACAACCCAATACCGTGATGTCCGCCGCAGCCACTCCGAGTTCGTGAAGCTTGCCGATCACTTGATCTCGGCCAACCCGGAAGCTCTGGTCCCCGCCGTACCGCCGCCAGTGACGCCAGCTGGTGCTGGGACTGATGAAGACGAAGTCCGAGTCAAGGCCTCGATGCAACGGTGGCTGAATACTGTATTGAGCAACGAGGTTCTAATTCAGGATGATGAGGTCGTACTTTTTGTGGAGAGTGATTTCGGCTATAGCCCCGTGCTGCGCATGAAGCAGCCCGCCACAGGTGTGCGACGCAAGATGTTGAAGCAGTTTGCGCCGCCTCCAGATGACACTCCCGAGCTCCAGGCTGCTCGTCCAACCGTGAAGATGTTCTACTTGGGAGCAATGGACTCGAGCCACAAGGTTGACCGAGTTGTCAAGTCCCGCAGAAGTAAGATACTAGGACGTCCTTTTACATTCGGCCCATTATACTGGTTCGAAAGCTGACGGTTATAGGCGTGGGCTTGGCCGAGTCTGACTTTGGTGTCAAGGTTGGCCAGATGGCCGTCCAGGAAACGCACCCTGGCTTGGCCATGGCCTACCGCAAACTCGGCAAAGTCATTCAGACAGTGGGTGACTATCATGCGATTCAGGCCACCGCAGAAGCCACGACGTTGGGTGAACCATTGAGCTATCATTCGTCCGATGCGTTCATCGTCAAGGAAACCCTGACCAACCGGCACATTCTGCTGCGAGAACTGCTTCAGGCCCAGCAGAGCGCCCGGAGCAAACTTGCTGCTGCGGACCGGTTAAAAGTCAGCTCATCTGTCCGATCCGATAAGGTGGATGAGGCGCTCAGTGCTCTTGAAGAAGCGCAAAACCACGAGGACTACCTGACAAAGCGTACTCAGCGTGTGACGGCGAACCTGCTTCAGGAGAAGCGCAAGTGGTTCGACCGCACCACTAACGATCTTCTTTTCAGCCTGCGCGAGTACACTTTGCGCCAGATCGAAGCAGAGCGGCGGACCTTGGCGACCCTAGAAAGTGTTCGACCTGACATCCGTGCCATCGACGCCTCCGGTGGCCTGAGCCGACTGGGTCGCGAAGCACACCCTGCTATCCGCCGGGCGAACGTGACATCAAGCCAAGGCCCCAAGGGTGACGCTTGGAGCGGTGTTCCCCGTCGCACTGATGGTATGGGCCGCAGCATGAGCGGGAGCTTCACGGGCCCGGGCATGAGCGAGGAAGAGGGTGATGAGGATAGCCGCCCCGAGCCTGGCCACGGCCGCACGCGTGCCACCAGCCAGGTCGGGTCGATTGCGGAGGAAGACGATGACCGACTGGATGCGCGCAATGCCGCCAGCCGACTGGCTGCCAGCACCTTCTGATCTGATCGGGTTGTCGGATTGCATTGATTCTGTATATGTAGCCTGAAAACTGACACCGTGATTCCCCTTTGTTGCTTTTATAGTGCGTGTCTCGAGTGCAAAGTGCGTTTTTGAGCCGATTGACGGGTTGTTCGGGTGATTTCCTCTGATTATCTAAAATACTAAATACGTCTTCAACCCGCATATCCTGCAGATCACCAATTTCCTCCCCCGCCCGGCTTTCTCAGTGTGAACAGGTAAAAGTTAGGCATTGATTCCAAAACAGAATTACTCAGTCCACTCGTCATATTTTTTGGCTCCATCATCCGGCACTACATACCAAGCCGCCTTCTCTTTGAAGAAAATATGCTTGCCGGGCATTGGAACTAGCTGCTCGGATTCAGCATCCAGCGTCCCCGCAGCCACGGCCGTACTAGACGGGTCGTTATCAAACGTCATCGTCATAGTTGATCCGCAGCGCGGGCAGAATGTGCGGGAGGCAACGTTACTTGCCCGCCATGCAGTGGGCTCGACAGTCCATGTGATGCTATCTGTCGGGAAGTCCACCCAGGATATGTAGGGGGCACCGGCTTGTTTTCGGCACTCGACGCAGTGGCAGTGCACAAGTTGAGTGGGAGGGATGGTGGTAGTGTAGCGGATGTAGCGGCATGCACAACTTCCCGAAGCCATGGCCGTGATAAGAAGGCGTATTGAAGATGTTTGAAAGGTAGATTGCTTGATGTGGTAGGGGCATATGCTTCCGATGTCGTGAACCGAAGTGATTGCGTTGCGGGGGTTCCCACCGCTTTATAGGCGCGCTCGAGCCCGTATTCATTATAAATCATACATGATACATTAGCCCTGACAAGTCGGTCTGCACAACATCAACAATTCCGAGGATGATGGAGCAACACAAGTCTTGCCTTATTTACAAACATGGTCCATCCCAGGCGCCACTCATAAGAGGTATGATCACATGTACATTCATCTATTGTCGTATAGAGCCACTCATCATATACACATATTGCTCATTCACAATCATTTACATCTGCGGCAGGTTCTGCAGCAGTTCCTTCAGTTGCTTAAGCGGCGTGGGCTTCGTGAGGAACTTGTCGACGTCGCTCACTTCTGCCTCCTGTTGCATGTCTGCAGACAAGACAGCCGTTAAAATGATGATGGGCGTGCGTCGTAAATCGTTAGTCTTCTCGAAGTGCCGCATTTTCCGGGTGGCTGTGAGACCATCCATCACAGGCATTGAGATATCTAAGCACATTGTTAATAGTCGGTCGGCTTTATATAGGGCTGGGGTATATAGACATACCCATTACAACGGCATCGAATCGCTCGGCTTTGAACTTTTCCAGCGCGTCACGGCCATTGGTCGTGGATTGATAGTCTAAGCCAGCATTCTTGACACAAGTCTCGATGATCTAGATAAATCAAGGTCAAGGGAAGGCCATGCTCAATGATAAATCAGAGCTTCGCACCTTTAGGTTGACGCCGTTGTCTTCCACCAGAAGCACTTGTGAGACGGTTCTCCGTGTTCTTGGGGAATTGTGGCTTCGGGCGTCCGCTCGTCGGACCTTCTGTCCTCTTCATTCGCCATTTCTATGCTGTTTTCTTCAGGGGATGAGGGAGACGGTTGCCCGTTCGTCTCGGAGGCAGGGTTATCTGCCTCTCTAGGATGGCCCAGACAGTGCTGGAAAACCGTTGCCAGCGTTTTGGGGCTCACTCTGTCAAACATGGTCAATGCACCGGTCATCTCCCTTGAGAGTCTTCACTTACGGTTGAGATAGAAAGATGGCGCGATCTTTATTGTTCTCCTTGACCACTTTCCAGCTGCTAGTTTGTGCACTAAGCACAATCAATGGAAATGAGCTTTCAGAATTGATCAAACCTTGTACGTCGGAATGCGATGATTTCTGTGCCAGAGTTCGATACTCGTGCTCCGTCACAATCAGGAAGTCTGGGGTTTGCTGCTGCAACTCATCCGGGCTCAAAACCCGTACTTGAAACCAATCAGTGACCATCCGGCTCATAGTAGACCGAATTTCGTCGAAGACCTCTTGCCGAATCCCCAGATCACCGCGCGCAAAGGTCTGAGTGAAAAATGAGACCGTCATTCCTTTTAGCCGCTCCCGTAAAGAAACATAGGGCGAGTGTAGCGACGGTGCAGCCTGCGGTCCGGGTATTGGCAAAACGACACCCACATGCGTGCCTTGACCGAGCTCGCTTTTGAACCCGATTTTTCCATCAAGGGATTTCACAATCTGGTGAACCAGATGAAGACCCACTCCCAGTCCCGGCAATTGTATATCCTCCTGAAGGAAGGGGATGTAGAGATGATGCAGAAGGAAGTCTTGAGACATTCCGCGACCAGAGTCGCTGATGGTGATGCATACTGCAGGGCTGGATTTGCCATCTCGCGTGGTTGAGGTAGTCTTCTTCATGAACAGTCGGATGTACCCTGATTGGGTGTATTTCAAGGCATTGCCGAACAGATTCATGACCACTCGGCGCCAAGCACCGGCATACACAGGATAATGCCAGTTATCCTGCCACTCCACGTCCACAATGGTCATTAGCCGGCGATCCTTATCCCCCATCCGAGCAGAGGGAGAAGACTTGCTGCCATCTTGTCTGGTCCGCTCGGGGGCAGTGTCGGTTTCTCGATTGTAGAATTCTGCGCCGGCAAGAAGGCCTTCCACTCCCTCTTGCACTAACACGCTTAAATCTTCGTCCTGCACCAGGCCAGGCACAGCAACCCTTGCTCCAGAGCTGCCATCTTCGGGGCCTTCCTGGCCAGGTCCTCTTGTAGCCGTCAGCGTGTTGATCTTTGAATAGTCTAATAGATGATTGAGTGTGTCTAACAGGGTACGGCCGCAGCTGTACACGGTATCGACCAAGCCTCGCTGAGTAAAGGTCGTAGCTGTTTCCTGGAGCAGCTCCACCGTACCCAGAACACCATGCAATGGTGATCGGAGTTCATGGGAGATGGAAGAGATGAAGTCACTCTTGGCCCGATCAGCAGCCTGTAGGTCCATTCGCGAAACTTCAGCCATGACAGTATTGCTAAAAGCTGCCATATATGTCAAGTCTTTGGGTTCAGACAGCACACGGCCCGGATCGTTGGTCAATCCGCGAAGTAAAGGGATGGATTCATACAAGTGCATCTCCCGTTCTCGGGCGGCGTCGATATTGTAGGCATATCTGCGTGGACCCGCATCATGGCCCTCTCCTGTCGGGCCAGGTGTCATGTGGATTCAAGATAATGCAAGGAGAGTGTTTTATGGTGGTGTGTCCTTGACAGAGCCGTAGCACTGTAGCAATGCGCATTTGGGTTGCTATTCGGCACCCTCAGAGCTGGCGTCGTTTTTAAGGATAGTACCATGGAATGGCGTCATAGGGTGAATGCCCTTGATTCAGATCGCGCCTTAGGGTACTTTAAATTGGCCTAGATGCGGGAGTCAAGGCGTGAAGAGGTTTTAGGTCTGACCAACCGGTTTGCGACTTTATTAGTAGATCGAATCCCAAGGTTCCCCTGCAGGTGATTACCATGACGTCATGATGTATATCCACTGTGGCTTGTCGGACCTGGCCAGGTACACGGCACCTCCGGGTCTACCTTGACCCTATACTGTAGCGTATGACGGAAATTTCATGCTTGTTTACTTTAATATCAACTGATTGGGCGAAAAATACGAATGCTGCAGTGGTACCCTGCGGGGTCACGTGCAAGACTGGTGGTCTCATCGATCTAGGCCTGAGACATGCGGCTTAGAGCGTATGAACTTGCGCCCAATCAAGCAAGTATACGGCACAACACAGCAGTAAACATATAGTAAGCTTTACAATGCAATTATTCTTGCAACGCAGCCCCATTTTCTTCTCTTCTTGACCAGTCGGCTCCATATGCAGCCGACGCCCGCAAGTCATATTACTGAAAGCTGAGCTTATACTATAGAGCTAGACTGGTAGATGAGGACGCTTTTTTATCTCCATAGCATTTTGCTATCTATTACGCGTCTCACTCGTCGCTAGCCTCAAACCAGACCTGGTTCTCCCCAGGCGTTTTCCGAGGATCATGATTATTTTAGAGATGGGCCCGTATCACATCGATTGTATATTGCAATCTGTAGATCACGACCCATGGGAACACAACTTGATTTACGCTCTATCTTCTGACTACTATGACAGTTCTAGAGCCTCTGCTATCTTCTTTCGATCTAGCGTGGGCCGCTGAATATCGGGAAATAAGTGCTAGGCCTTCGGCGCTGTGGCGATGTAGCAACCATACTGGCCCATTTCTGAACCAGCCCCTGCCCCACTTCAACTCTGCCGCTTCTTGGGATTTATTCAGTATTCATTCCGCGCCACTTTTAACCCACCGAGTCGAGTACCGGGGGCCAGGATGCAGGTTAAAACCTGCCCACTTTTAGGAGGGAGTAATGCGGCACCAATGTGGAAAATATTCCTTGCTAGTGTAGATAAATGACTTGTAACAGTTCTTATTGATCGCTTTGAATATCGCCTTCTTGGCATTACTTGCCGTAACCGAAATTTCTCCAGCTTTATGGAGCTCATTGCTGTTTACGTCGCTGATAATGCAGATGGTGTAGGTCCAATTCATCTGGGGGGAGACACTGGTTTAATAGTAAATCTGGGCATCTAGCTATAACTTAGTCGTTTACTCCTCCCTCAATGCCAATTCCTATCCAGTGCTAGCTGCACCACTGGAATTTGTCTCAAATTCGAATGTGCCTACACCGTTCTTCGAAGAGCAGAGCTGTTGGCCTGAAGAGGTTATCAATTGGAACATAAGTGATCTGCGAACTGGTATCCTCAATGGTAACTTTGAATATCTCACCAAAGACAAGTGCATCGAAACATATGCAAATAACTATATTTCAGACCGGCAAAGTGTTATCATCGTGATGGATGACCCTTTGACGGGTGAGGACATATTACTTACTGGATTAGGGATATCCAGGGGCCACTACAGGAGCAAATCCGGCAAAACCATACTCGGAAATTACGACAATTGGTTTGGAAAGATCTTGGATTATTTTAAACTAAATCCATTTGGGTTTGAATAGATGTCCTAGGAAACAAGAGTGTCACAAGGGAAAATCTCGGGTCACAAGAGCCTCATCCTGGCCTTCTCCCGACAGCCACCAAGTCAAGTCATGGTCCAAAGCCAGCAGTAGCAAGATCTGGGGCTTGACTTGGCTAGTGCTGATCCTATAGTATAGGACGATGAAAGAGCTTCCCAACAGGGTAGCCTTGTATGGCGAGTTTCGTGGAAAATACAGCCAATGAAGTGTCGCATCCGTCTTGTAAAATACAAAGTCGATTCTAGCAAGCGGTGTGGGGACCGGGGTATGTTGATAATTATCCCACCTGGACTCGGATATCCCGGAAGTATTATCCGGGAATGAAGTCATACAAGTGCGAAGTAAAACTGAATTCGAGAACTACTGTAGAACGATTCGGCTGTTCGGAGCTTGGCATCTCCAAAGATCCCCACTTGGAGAGTCCGTCTCGGACTAAAGTTGCTGCATTCAGATGATTTCAAAGCAGGCGCCCATTCATGCATGTCCAACAAGATTTAGCCTGATTATGTGACCACACCTCCAATTTCGCCCTCTTCATCACACTCGCCTTCAGAACCCTTCCAATTACCCTACCAAGTTACCCCCATCGATCATTATCTAAATTATGGCTTCCCCCAAAATCTTCCTGTAAGTAACGGCCGAGCACCAGGTTCTGGAGCTCACTTCTGATCAAATTCACAGAACTGGTGCTACCGGCTATATTGGTGGTGAAGGCTTGTACACCATCGCCCATGCTCACCCTGACTGGCAGTTGTCAGCACTGGTCCGCAGTAAGGAAAAGGCCGCTCAGCTCTCAAGCAAGTACCCACAGATTCGCGTCGTTCTTGGAGATCTGGACTCCGTTGATATCATCGCGGAGGAAGTCAAGAACGCAGACATCGTCTTCAGTCAGTATCATGGAATACTCACCATCCACTAGAACCCATAGGGCTAACCTGCTTATCTCCAGATTTTGCTGACTGCGATCACGTCACGTCTGCTCAGGCTATTGCCAAGGGTGCCCAGCAGCACACCCCAGAGCAGCCGCTGTGGCTAATTCACACCTCCGGCACGGGTATTTTGACTGTTGAAGACCAGCGTGCTAACACGATTGGTATTGAACGTCCCAAGGAGTACAACGACTGGGATGGCGTGAGCGAACTAGTCAATCTCCCTGCAGATGCTCTTCACCGGAATGTCGACGAAATTATTCTCAATGCCGGCAAGCAGAACCCATCCAGCGTCCACACAGCCATTGTGTGCCCACCCACCATCTACGGACCAGGTCGCGGCCCCGTAAACACCAAGAGCATGCAAGCCTACATGCTGAGCTCCGCCGTCTTGTCTCGCGGTAAAGGCTTTTTGGTCGGAAAGGGTGAGAATGTCTGGCACGAGGTTCATGTCCAGGATCTGAGTGGTGTCTACCTCGCGCTGGGCGATGCCGCTGCCGCTGGGGGTGGTAAGGCCAGTTGGGGCGATGAGGGTTACTATTTGGCCGAGAATGGGTCTTTTGTATGGGGAGATATTCAGCGCGAGGTCGCCAAGCAGGCTCATCTCCAGGGATTCATCACGTCTTCCGAAGTTGACATGCTGGATATCAACGAAGTTAAAAAGTGTCATCCATTCGGACACTATCTCTGGGGCACTAATTCTCGTGGCCGTGCAATCCGTGCTCGCAAACTACTTGGATGGAACCCCCAGAAGCCGAGGTTGATTGATTTGATTCCTGAAATTGTTGCACTGGAGGCAAAGGAGCTTCACCTGCGTTAAAACTACTTCTATCCTTGTGTATGATATGACTACCACAGAAAATTGCCGAACAACGGAATGGATTTTCGCAACCTTCTTTCAACGTCAGGTCCTCACCAGTACTACAGTAATACTACTGTTCCCGTGACTTTTCTGGCATTGCCATTGTCTCAACGCGAGTGGAAATTGAAGGAGTTGTTAAAACATGCAGTAGGTGATCGGGGAATCAGATAGGCCAGGCAAACTATGTGCAAAATATGGACTCTTTGGATGGGGTTTAGATGATAATCAGGATGTGTAATGTGAATTATCTAGGCAAGGCATTGCACAAGAATGATGGCCTAAATGAGGTAGGAACACCAGGAAAGAAAGAAGAAGGGGAGAACGATTAAATTTGGTGCCGCGCCACAACATACTGGACCCTACAATAATGAACACTTCGAAGACTTTCATTCTCACCTGCCGTAGGCAGGCACCGTAATCAGATCGGTGACACGGGTCGGGTGACCCTCGACACCTCAGGCAGTCGAGGACCCATCTCTGCTCCGAACGCCGAACAAGCTTCCTGCCATCATCGCCTTTCATCTCCATCCTTCACATCCGCTCCGTGACCCCCTCTCTTCTCTTTTTGATGAGGCTTTATCGCTGGTAGGTTGCTGTTACTCATTCTTCGCTTTGTGCACCTCCTATCTCTCGCTGATCTCAATTGCTGACAACCGTCCCGCGTCGTTCATTCAGACTCAATCTCCCGCCAATGAGCTTCGATTTCTCTGCGATCAGAACAACCGTCTCAGGCCTTCGCATTTAAATCGGCCTTCAAATACTATGGGCCCTGGGCAGGGCGGCAAGAGGAAGCGCGGTGAGCGCTTGTGGTCCGGCGAATCGGCAAATAACGAAGGCCTGCGACCCTCTCCTCATCGCCCCAGCACGCTCAACATGGCGCATCATCCCTCCCACCCGGGAACTCAATTAGGCTCACAACAAGACCAGCATGACGGGCGCGACCGAGCTCGTCGGCAGTCGGGCCGTGCAGGTGGTGGCCGCGGCAATTCCCGTCGACGTTCCTTTGAAGGTCAGAATTTTTCGGGTTCGCAGCACAGAGAATCAAGCGCAATGTCTCCTCCTCCTCGCGCCCAGTCTAGGGAGGCCACAGAGACTGCGCAACAAAATGGTGAATCTACAGCTGCCCAACCGACGCCATCCCCTGCTCCCAACACCGCTGCTTCACAGCCACAGCCACAACCTGTCTCTCGAGCTGGCTCCGAGGCCACTGTCAGCCGTCCTCCCATCCCTCCTCCTCCCTACGACTATGAATTTGTCACGGACAATGCGGTGGAAGAATGGGCATCATCCGGAAAGCAGAAGGTTGTGCATGAGGGAACTACGGCTCGATTGAATCAAGATCTTGCGCGTCTGGGCGCTGTCTACCAAGAGCTCATCCGGTCCGCAATATACGGCCGACTCTCGCCTTCGGAGGCTGGCAGTACTGTGAAGGATATTATCGGTGAAGAAGAGGCGTCTCAAGATCTCGGAAACGATGGCCAAGCACAGAAAGCTTCGACTTCGGAGTTAGACCCGCGCTCATTGTTCCTCGATACCCTCTCTGTCATAACCGACGCCGACACATCCAATATCGCTCTCAAACCCCTCGTTTTTGCAACCGCAATTCCCCCGGCTCTCATGCGCCTCCAGTTGGATACACCCCTGTTGCAATCTTTAGGACTGGTTCGAGAGACATTTGCGCGCATGGGTATTCGAAAACAGACCAATCTACTGTACCGACAGTCCAACTACAACCTTCTTAGAGAAGAATCTGAAGGATATTCGAAGCTGCTGACGGAGCTGTTTACGACGAGCAACAACGAACCGCCATCGAGTGAAGTGGTTGAGGATACTTTCGAAAAAGTCAAGGCCATGATCGGCGCATTCGATATGGATGTGGGGCGAGTCCTGGATGTGACGTTGGATGTGTTTGCTGCTGTGCTGGTCAAGCAATACCGGTTCTTTGTCAAATTGCTTCGAGCCAGCTCCTGGTGGCCCAAAGAAGACCCGCTTCACAATCTGGAGGGGAGTTCGCGTACTTCGGGATTGCCGAAGTGGGCGCTTCCTGGGTCAACTAGCTGGAACACCACCGAGGATGACCGAGCAAGCATTTTAAAATCAAATGCACTGCGTGACCGCGAATTCTGGGACCGAGTACGACAAGTTGGCATTCAAGCCTTCTTCGAAATCGGTCGCAGGCCGCTTTCCGAGGAGGAAAAACAACAGGCTCTCCCGGAAACCAACCACCTCTCAGAAGAGGAAGAAGCCACACGGACGTGGATTGAAGAGACTGGAACAATGCCACCGAAGGGTAACCGGGTTGCAGCCCAGCTCTTGGGCTTCAAGCTACGATTCTACTCCTCCTCGGCTCGTTCCAAATCCGACAATCTGCCCGACAACCTCATCTACTTGGCTGCACTACTCATCAAGGTGGGCTTCATCTCTTTGCGTGACCTTTACGCACATCTCTGGAGACCCGATGATTCAATGGACGTCTTGAAGGATGAGAAAATGGCGGAGAAAGCAGAAAGAGAGAAAGCCGCACGGCCGGGTGGGGGTGTCAACGCTCTGATGCTGGCCGGTGCTCTGTCTGACGACACGCTCCCAACTCCTCGTCTGCGTGAGCCCGAGTCTAGGATGGCCACCCCATCCAGGGATCAGGAAGCCGACAGACAATCAACGGTCAAACCTGAAGATGAGTTGCCAGAGCCCTCGGACCAGAAGGTGTTGCTTCTCAAGAGCCTCCTCGCGATTGGTGCCATCCCTGAGTCCTTGTTTGTTATGAGTAGGTTTCCTTGGTTGATAGATGCCTACCCTGAACTTACCGAGTTCATTCATCGCATCCTCCACTACTCTTTGAGCAAGGTCTACTCCCCGCTTCGGCCTCTGATCTCGTCAGAGGATATCCCCGGCCACCAGCAAATATTGAGTACCGATCAGTCCGGAGTCAGCAAAGGCCAGCTCCGCTTGACCCAGGCCCCACCCAGACGGGTCCTACGCTGGGCTCAGCTAGACACGGAGGACACAAATGAGGGCATCGCCTATCGGTTCTACTGGGATGATTGGGTGGACAATATCCCCATTTGCCAGTCTGTTGATGACGTGTTCGCGCTCTGTTCTTCATTTCTCAACCTCTCAGGTCACAAAATTGGCCAAGACGCAAGCCTTCTCACCAAGCTCGCACGTATTGGTAGGGACAGTCTCGCAAAAGATGGCTCGGACCAGAATAGGACTCGCTGGCGGGACCTCTGCAAACGACTTCTTTTGCCATCAATTAGCTTGACCAAGGCAAACCCCGGTGTGGTCAACGAGGTGTTTGATCTGATCAGTTTCTTTCCCCGAGAGGTTCGGTACAATATGTACTCAGAATGGTACTATGGGCAAACGTCAAGACTGCCCGACATTCAGTCTGCATTCAAACAGGCTACAGCTGAAACAAAAGACGTCCTCAAGCGGCTCAGCAAGACCAACATTCGACCTATGGCCCGTGCTCTGGCAAAGATTGCCTATGCCAACCCCGGTATTGTCATCAATGTCGCCATCGGTCAAATTGAATCGTATGAGAATCTCATTGAAGTCGTCGTCGAATGTGCTCGCTACTTCACCAATCTAGGTTACGACATTCTCACCTGGTCATTGATCAACTCGCTTGGGCAGAAAGGAAGAAGTCGTGTGCAGGAGGGTGGTCTGCTTACCAGCAGATGGCTCAACGCTCTGTCTACCTTTGCTGGCCGAACTTTCAAACGTTACTCTGTCATGGATCCTACACCTCTGCTACAGTATGTCGTGGAGCAGCTGCGTCGTAATAACTCCACCGACCTCATCGTTCTGGAGCAGATGATCAGCTCTATGGCTGGTATTATCACAGACACCAACTTCAATGACGCTCAGATACAGGCCATGGCAGGTGGCGAGGTACTCCAGTCGCAGACTATCCTACAGCTACTGGACAAGCGCCATGAGTCCAAAATCACATCAAAGCGACTCTTAAAATCTTTGACCCATACCCGACTTGCAGGCCAGCTTCTGGTCGCGATTGCCCAGGAGCGGATGACTTGCGTCTTCAAAGAGTCATCATCAGAGCTGAAATTATTGGGCAATATCTTTGACGAGATCCACCGCATCCTTACTCAATACCTCGACCTTCTGCGCAGCAATCTTTCCATCGAAGAATTCGACTCTTTCGTACCTGACTTTGCTTCTCTGATCAAAGACTTTGGTATCCAACCCGAGATCGCATTTTGGATCAGGCGTCCTAGTGTTTCCCGAAAGATTGCCGAAATTGAGCCTCCAAAACAGAAGCTCCAGCTTTCTACAAAAGAAGCTACCGGTAACGCGATTCCTGCGCCTCGACCCAACGAAGACAATAAAATGGACACCGATGAGGGTGAATTACCAGCCACAGCCGAAGAGGCTTCAGACGAATCTGCAATGGATGTCGACAAAGCAGAGCAGTCCACCACTGTTTCTCTGGCCCCCGCCACTCCCGGTCCGTTGGCTGCCAACCCCGTCATGCAAGACTTGATTGAAACTGTCAGGTTGTCGTTACCCACCGAGACGTGGGAAGTCGTGGGTGCGCATTTCTACGCGACGTTCTGGCAACTATCTCTCTATGACGTGCACGTTCCCGAGAAATATTATGATGAAGAGAGACGCCGACTTCAAAGGCGTGTCACGAACATCAACAATGACCGATCTGATCTCAGTATGGTTGGTATGCAACGGAAAGACCAAGCAAGGAGAAGTCTCACCCAAGTTCAGGACCAGCTTCTGTCGGAACTGAAGACTCACACTCAAGCGTATGCCCAGACTCGCGGTAGACTGCAGAAGGAGAAGGAACTGTGGTTTGCTGGGATGCGCCTCAAGCATGACGTGTTAAATGTTGCTTTATTGGAGCAATGTTTCATTCCCAGACTCCTCCTTTCACCCATCGATGCTTTCTTCTGCTTCAAGATACTCAAGTTCCTCCACAATTCAGGAACTCCGAACTTCCGAACTGTGGGCTTGCTTGATCAGCTCTTCCGCGAACATCGACTCAGTGCCCTTATTTTCCTGTGCACTTCGAAGGAAGCAGACAACTTGGGACAATTCCTAGGCAAGGTTTTGGGTGACTTGAGCGAGTGGCATGCTGACAAGGCTGTCTATGAGAAGGAAGCTTTTGGCACCAAAAGAGATCTGCCTGGATTTGCCAAAAGTATCGACCCCGAAGGAGTGCCAACTTTGTTCTTGGAGTTCGAGGACTTCCGGCGCCTTCTTTATAAGTGGCACCGTCTGCTCTCCGGTGCGCTTCAAGCCTGTCTGAAGGGAGGCGAGTACATGCACATTCGCAATGCCATCAGCATTCTCAAGGCGATTGTTCCCTACTTCCCTGCCGTGAATTGGATCGGCACACAGATGCTGGACACTGTCAACGATCTCAGCAAGAACGACAAGAGAGATGATGTCAAGATTCCCGCTGCCTCGCTCATTGGTGATTTCAATCGACGATCAAAGCAGTGGATGCTTCCGCAAGAGTTCTACCTAAACAACAGCAATGCTCCCGATGCTGGGCAGGCCAAGTCTGGCTCGCAGCCGCCGGCTGATCGGACTGGCAAGGCTGATTCTTCAAGGCCTCAATCCTCCACCCCGACACCGTTGAATGCTTCCGCGCCGGAGTTCACGCCCGTACCTCAAGAGTGAGTTCGCATATCAACAATATCATGTATCGGAGACTAACCCCCTTACTAGTCTTGCGGGTGGTTCGAAGCAAGAAGGACCTAGCAAATCCGAAGTGGAGGATGGTGAGATTGAAGATGCTAAGATGACTGATGCTGCATCGGTGAAGGGCACAGAGGACACGAAACCTGCAATCTCTGCTCAGAACGAGCCTACTTCGACGGTCACCGAAGCTACCGGGTCTACTGCTCTGGATAACAGTGCGGATGGGACTGCGAGTGAGCGTCTGTATCCTCATGCCCCAGAGCATCGAGGACCGAGAGAGCCATCACGTTCAAGACCTGGCTCTCGAGCCACCGAATCCGGCCGTCAGCCTGATATCCCGAAGCGCCCGGAAACTGATCGTCCGCCTGCCATCAACCCTCGACAACAGGCTCTGCTTCCACGGCACAGTGCCGACAATAGACTTCCCCCACGTCCCGACTTGATGGACGACCGTCGCGACCGACATCCTGACTTCAACCCACGTACCCGACATGGTGGCCCTGAGCATGCCCGATTTGACGGTCCTGCTGCCGACGGCCGAGGCCATGGGCGCATGGGTGACCGCGACTTTGCAATCAGACCTCTCGATGACCCGATGCGTGGGCCGCCTTATCGTGAAGGTCGCATTCCACGAGAGCCCGACTGGCCCGGTGATCGCTCCGGGCGCCTCCGTCATGACTCCTTCCATGGCCGGGAAAGACCTGCCCGCGGTGAACTTTTGCCTGATTTCCCCGAACGGCCTGCCGATGGCCCTCGCCGTGGTGACCCATCACTCCGACCTGAGAAGGATGATCGCCGTCCCTATCCGCCACGCGGTCCCACGCCGCCAAGAGCCGACTTGCCTAATCGTCCAGAGCGGTTCCCTGAAGATCGCCGATCTGCTAGCTTTTCCCAGCCGAGTCTAGGCCAGGGTGACTTCCCGAGAGGCCCTCGTTCCGGTAATGACGCCATGGGACCGGACATGAATCACGGTCGATTACGACAACCGGACCAGCCACCAGACATACCATCTGGCCCACGGCGGGGGAATCGTGGACGCAATGTGTCCGCTCAGCAACCTGCTCCAAGTCCAAGCAATGGCAAAGCACCTACTCCCGACCGCCAAATCCCAACAGGTCCTGGGCGACAAGGTGGGCGTGGAGGGCCCGAGCAGTCTCCTGCCACTCCAGCCCCCTCTGGAGAGCGTCTGGATATCTCTGGGATCCACCCCGATCGACTCAATCTCTTCCAAGGCGAGCCCCAGCAGGCATCGGGGACAGCTATGACCCCTCCCTCGGGTCCTCGCGGTGCACCTGGGCAGCAGCAAGGACCCCGTGGCCCTTCTGGTGGAGAGCGTGGACGTGGTGATAAACGGTTTGCTGGCATAAACAACATGCTTCAGCAGACTAACGGCCCTGCAGAGCGCGTCCCTGCGACCCCGCCTGTCCGTGGGCGGGGTGCAAATCGACAATCAACTGCGTCGAATACTGGTTCTCCTCATCCACCCACTGGTCCTGCCGCTGCTGAAGAGGAAGGCCAATCTCGCAACCGACCCGATGTTCGTGGTGACTTGATGGATGATGCTGCTGCCCCTGACAATCGCCGCTCAGGCCGGGGCAATGATCGTGACAAGAATCGTGATCGAAACCGTGACCGTGAGCGTCGCGGCGGCGGTAGTGCTGAAGATGATGCTGGCAGTACCGGCCCCCGGCGTGAAGAACGCCGTGACCGTCCACGAGACCCTGATCGTGAGCGCAACCGCCGGAGCGATATTGGTGCCGGTGGTGCTAGCCGCGAGGAGAAGGACAAAGACCGCGAGCGCCGAAACCCCAGCTCGCGTGAGGAGATGCGTCGCAGGGACCGACGTGACCGGGAGGAGGGCCTACCTGATCTGGGCGGCCCTGCTCCCCCCAACAACACTGTCAACGAGAATGAAGGCCGTGTCCGTCCATCATCGTCGATGGGAGCACCGCCTCCTCCGCCACCTCCGCCACCTCCTCCACTTCCTGCCGATGAAAGCAACCCACGCCGTTGGGGCGCAAGCGGTGATCGTGGCAACGGCACTGACAACCGAGATCGCGAGCGTGATCGCCGAAGTGAGCGCGGTCGGGACCGCGACGGGCACCACCGTGACAGCGGCGGCTCCGCCCATCGCAAGCGTGGACGCCCCAACCCCGAGGACAATGCCGGCGGCGATGCGAGTGCGCGCGGCCCGCGGATGAGCGGTGACAACAAACGCCCTCGTCGCGGGGCATGACACACACAAGCATATACTTGACTGCAGCACGGAGGATGGATGGGATGGGTATGGGTGAAGTCGCCGCCTCGACTGGTTATGCTCCGTGATTTTCCTTTCTCTTTTCTCAAATGAAGATTCCCCGGTTTCTTTTTCACCCTTTCGCATCTCCCGCCTTCGATTCCATTTTTCTATTGTCTTCTAATGTCTTACTGATTGCACGTTGCATCATGGCCGGTGTTTGGATACATCCACTCTGTCTGTACTTGACTCTTTTCTTTTTTTTCTAATTGCTGAATCTCCATTGAACCATAAGCCCTCACTGTCTCGTAGTAGACTTCTGCCTATGTAAATATTATGCCGCGCGGAATGGCGCTGGGAAAATCTATCCTACACAGGCGCTGATCCTCGTTTCCAACCCGCTCTAAGAGTACGAGAACAGGGATTGTTGGCCCGACGCCCGCCCTCATGGCCCCCCGGTGATTTTAATCTGAGATGAAAGACCACTCCATCACAGACGCCTATCTACTCATATTTATGCAAAGGAAGTACGTACTGCATTCGACCGGTAAGTAGAAGTAAATTTGGAACAAGGAAGTGTAAGCACAGGTAGAACACAGAGAGGGTATATGTACAGGCATCCACAGTCTATCAGCAAATGAACAAACAAAAGGGCTAAGCGCAAGATATCATCATAATCATGGGAGGCCGAATCCGAGGCGTAGCTACGCCCATCAAGGCGAGGGCGAGGGCGAGGGTGATCCCCATCATCCTCACGCCGCGGCAACAACAGCCCTTTCAACCCGCGGACACTCCACCGTCTCCCCATCCCTCTTCCTCCCAAGCCCAGCCAACCTCTTCAGTAAATGGGACGCTTTCCGCCGCCGCCGCCGTGCCCCATCAGGAAGAACAAGAGAGTACACCGGCGCATGATTCTCCTGCCTAAGACTATTCGATGAGTCACAGTGACGCATCTGGTGGAATCCGCCGTGAGAGGCGATATCCTGCGCACTCAAGAAGCTGTGCGCCGAGACACTGCTGTAGAGACGCGGCGCGAGGCCGTGCGATTCAGCCCACCGCGCAGCGCCGGATTCCTTCGCGCGCGGCTGCCGGATACTATAGAAGCGGCACGGTGCCGCAGCCGGCATGGCGGTAACGTTGATATTAATCCTGTCGGATGTCTTTGTCTTTTCCGGGTCGACGGCGAGGTCTGCCTCCCCGATGCGGTGGACGTCCAGGCTCGCGCGGAGCCAGGTCAGGCCCTCTGCGCCGAGGGCGTCCGTCTCCGCGAAGAGCGCATCGGATTCAAAGTACGTGTCTTGAACGTGTGGCCACAGCGAGTCGACCTGCGGCGGGCTGTAGGGGAACAATTCTGGGCTCAGCGAGCGCGAGCGAGAACCCGAGCGAGGCGTGGCGTCTGTGCCGAAGCTTCGTCCGCGCTCGCGCTCGAAGACCGCTTCGCTTTGTTCGTGCGGTGATGTCGGGAGCTGCTTCCCGTAGAAGCGGCCCGTGGCTGCGGACGCAGCGCTGGGTTGGAAGGCTACGCCGGAGTCGGGCATCTTGTCGACGGGGAACTTGTTCTCCACGATTCGGGGAGACAGGCTGGCGCCCTGATACTGGAGTCGCGAGACGGCGTCTGACGTGGTGGCTTTGGTGGGCTGGCCGGGGCCTGTATTGGCGCGGTGGTCTGCCTGGAACGATGGCCACATTGGCATCCCGCGGTCGATGCTCTGTATCAGCAGCGCGCAGGCATGTTTCATGTCATCCTCCAGCTCCTCGGCGACGGGCTGCCGGTCGATCAGCGGTGATGCAGGACGGAAGTAGCCCGGTTCATCTGTAAAGTCAAAGTAGCGACTGCGGTCCGTGCTGTTCCTGTCCCACGCCAGGTCGGCGCTGTGGGATGAGATAGGCGTTGTGGCAGAGCGCGGGCGGATGCTGGGGGTGCTGGTGGCACTGGCGGGGAGCATGGTGGATGCGCGGTCTCGGCCACGGCTGAAGGTGAAGCGTTGGCGCATGCGGAGTGCTTTTTGCGACAGCTTGCGCTCCATCGTGGTGGTGGTTGATAGGGCTTGTTGATATTCGAGCGCGAGTGGGTGTGGACGGGACCGGTTGGGTTGATAAAGATGGGATTTCTCTCTGAGCAGATCCAATCGCCCGTGGCTGGAAGCGAGGGATCAATAGTAGAAGCAATCACCGGTGCAGTGGTCGTGAAATGCACGGCGCAAATAATCGCAGCGGCCTGCCAACGCCGACAATGCGGTCGAAGCAATGCGAGTGGCGACGGGGAGTCGGCGCCGTGGCCACGGCCGGACAGGGCGGAATATGCGAGTTACGTGATGCCAGGCGTTCCCCTTTGCCTCTGTTGCCCAGCGAGATTTAGTGTTGCGTATGAATTACCAATTGTTGTGGCTGAGGTGGGCTGGTTGGCGTTGGCCGTACAACGGCGCTGGTATGCGGGGGGTGGGAGGGTGTCAAGGGCCAACGAGGGATACGCAGAAACGCAGATCGGAAGACGGAGACAAAAGAAACCAGGGACAGAAATAGGAGAACCGGTCCTTCTCACTCGTATCTATGGGAGAAGCGACGAACTATGAACGAGGGGAGACGAGACCGGGGATTCGATAAGTGTCAGCTTTCTCCTGCCCGCCTCGGGGTCCAAGGGTCTTGTCTTTTTTTCGCCGCCATCGGGGGACAAATCAGCGAACCGGCATCAAAGGACTAGAACCAGCTCGGGCCACGCAGGAGCAGACTAGACGGGGATCCGCGATAAGCCCGCCGCGAACGTGTCAACTAGGACTAGCCCGGCCGCTTCTAGCCATTCGATACGGCAGACTATGATCTACTCCGGAGAATGCAGCCACTAAGTGCTTGTCGGAGGAATCAACCCGGGGGTTTGGAGTGGAGGCGATGGGGCAGGTTAGGGCTGTGATGGCACGGGTCCGTAACTGCGTCCTACTGTAGTGTCCTAGTGTCCTAGTGTCCTAGTGTCCTAGTGTCCTAGTGTCCTGTATGATCTCCTTAGGGAATGAATGGACAAATAGAGTCGGTCTGGGGGAGAATACGGAGTATGGAGGACGGAGTTCATTGTCGAGAATACTACAACAGAAATAATATTTCCGCTGGGTGTATCAAGTATCAAGTACGGAGTATCTCCTTGCCCATCGGGGAGATAACCAGCGCCGAATTCAGCCTAGAATCAGCCGAACGGGGAGTCTAGAGCGGCCACTAAGACGCTTCGGACACAAGCCCGTGAAGGCAGGACCCGAGTAGATATCGCCCCTATTTCCTCGGCCCTAATTTTGAAACGAGTCACAAAATTGGTGCCACTCCGTCGCCATCCTAGTTCCTGTTCCTTGCCTGTTGCACGTACGGAGTATACTTCGTCCTCCGTCCTCCTCCGTTCCGATCATGCAGTCGCGAGTGCTTGGTAATTGCTCGGGCGACTCGCCGAGGCGGCCCCGGCCCCACCCTCTCTAGCGTCCACCCTCTCCCTCTGCCACCATCGTGGGCGATCCAGGCCCAGCGCGGCAGCTGTGACTCGGGTTGTTTCGGTCCCTGTCCAAGTGGGGGCGCAGTGGGGGGCTGATAGGGTGGGTTTTGCGCCTCCTTACCAGAAGCATCCTTGAGAGGGGCGACAGCGGGGATGCAGGGTTTGGGTTTGGTGCGATCCAGTTGGCCTGGGTAGAGCCATCAAAGAGAGACAATGGGCAAAGACTGAAGATCTTCCTGGCAAATCAGTGCGTCGCACACTTCGATCAGGATCAGTCGAAGGATCGACTCGACTGCGTCGATGCAAGGGCAATGTGGTTTCGTTGAGCATTCGCGGACAGCCGAGACGACTATACGACGAGCCGAGCAAACCATAAACAAACCCGACGGCGTCGCCTCGGCAAAACCTCCCCCAGCGGAGCCTCGCTCTTCCACACTCCACAGTCCAACTGCAATTCAAGGGCCAGTCTGCGTACGAAGTTGCACCCGCATCAACCATTTGGCCTCCTCAAAACGCCACTAGTCAAAAGAAAATCCACGTCCGCCATCCGATCCCACGAACTAACCAGGCCCAAGCGATCAATCCTACCGGAGCCTCAGCACGCCACAGCAGCACGCCTCCCTCCACGTCCAGTTTAGTCCATCACCTTGGCGAACGCGGCCAGGCACACAATCCCTGAGGATGACATTCAAACCTAAACGTCGGGCCCGGCCGCTGTTGTCCCGCTCTATCGTAAAATACTCTCACAGAGGTTGGGAAGAATGATTCTTTGACAATCGAACCGCATCGGTGTATTCCGTAGAAGAGATTGATCAAAGGCAATCATTGAGGCACAAGCCAGGATTGGCTGAACTAGTTAACCACCCGTGGAAAGATATGGGAACGTAAGTACCGACCGACCTTCGACATACAACAGGACTGTTGCCCGGGGAATCATTGGGCTGAGAACATATGGTTCATACAGTAGGATGAGGCTACGTGCTATTTGCCCTTCCCGGGGATGGAAAAGTCGACGTTGATTCACACACACGTTTCGGACCTAGTGGATCAAGCATGGTGATATTGGGAGTAATCAAACGTGACATCTGATGAGATACAACGGATACAGTGGTCTCTACAGACAAAAGCAGTTCACCGAATGGACGGCCAATGGACATAGTCCCCTCGTTGTATATTTTGGACTTTTCAACACAAAGAAGCGCGACGCGTTCGTCGCACGGATGACCAGCGCGAAAAACACACTAGTCATCGCAAGGTTTAAAATGGACCCATCAACCCCCAGGCGAATTTTTCCCCGGAAAAGGGACCCAGAGGGTGGGTCAGATGGAGAGCAGTTGGATGCTTCTTTGGCAGTCTTCTCGACCAGGGCTTGCAAATGTGGTTGCAATGAACCAGGTGAGATTCGAGAGAGGCAGTTGGATGCGCATCTCCCTGACTAGCGAAACGGATAAAAGAACGGCAACCTCTACTTCCCCTGGTGCGCCATGCTAGCTGCTCAGGCGCGGGCTTCACGGCCGGGGTATCTCTTCGTGGACGGCCATGGAGAGGGGGCCCGGGTGGGAGCTGTTTCTGAGCCAGGAGCATGGGGGTGGCGGCAAGTGACTGCGCCAAGGTGATATGAGTGGCGACGATGGGAGTCTACCACGCAGTGATATCCTCCACTTCGGCCTCACCGAAGGTGCTGCTCTTCGTCAGCTTGGTGACGCTCGCCACAGCGGCCGCGCCATCGGTGCTGGACTGTGCCATGATGTCGGGCAAAACCTCGTGGAAGAACTCCACGATGTGACGGTTGACCTGCTCAAACTGCAGCAGGAAGGCGTCGTGACCCTCCGGGCTATCGATGCGCTTCAGGCGCGAGTCAGGGATGCCAGCGGCGATTTCCTGCTGCTCGGCAAAGGTGAAGAGGCCATCGGACTCGATACCCAGGACAAGAGCTGGCTGTTGGACCGTGGAGAGAGCCTCCAGGACAGGATTCTCAGAGTCCGGACTGGAGCGGTGCCGGGACACGTCGTGGGTGTCCAGCTTGCGGGTCATGGCGATGTAGCAGTTGGCATCAAAGCGCTTCACGAACTTGTCGCCCTGATAACGGAGGTACGACTGGGCAGAGAAGTATGTTGGTGGGCGAGGACGACCGTCGGGCTTGGTTGGAGTCGGCGCCGAGAACGTCTTGGTGCCGGAGAACTGGGGGTCCATGTACTGAATATCCGACTGAGGGACAGGAGAGTTCTGTCGGCTCTCCGACCGCGATGAAGCACCACCTCGATGTCCATCGTTGTGAATAGCCCAATGCTCATTGGGAGGAGTAGGCAGCTTCTCGGTGCCATTGATGTTCTGGCGCTTCGAGGGGTCCGGCACGTTCCGGCCAAACCGGGACTCAAACGAGTTGCGGCTGCGGTAGGTGAGCAATGCCGACATACGGGCCGCCCCAAGACCAGTGGCTGGTGGGTCATTAAATGGATAGTATCCGTCATCGTACTTGGGGTCACTGTAGATGCTTTGTCTCTGTGCCTCACCCCAACTGATGCACCACGCCGAGTGGCGGGCAGATGTGGCGATAGGAACAATGGCACGAACATAATCCTTGCCAAAGAAAGAGTACTCGAGGGTGAGCATGCCACCCATAGAGCCACCAACAACAGCAGCAATCTGCTTCACGCCAAGATCATCCAGGACGAGTTTGTGGATGTTTACATCATCCCGCACAGTGGTGAGGGGGAACTCTGGACCATAGTAGCCATTCTCAGGCTTACCATCCTTGTAGGTCACCGCACTCGCGCTGCCGTATGGGCTGCCCAGACTGTTCAGGCAGACCACGAAGAACCGGGAGACATCGAATGCCTGGCCCGGGCCTCCCAGGAGGGGACCCCACCAATCGGCCACGTCGGCACTACCACTTAGAGCGTGACAGATCACCAAGACATTGTCACCCTTAGGGGAGAGAACACCCCGAGTAGTATAGGCGACCGGTACATCGTACAGAGTAACACCGGACTCGAGGGTAAAGGAAGGAACAATCGCAATTGACTGCTCCTCGATCAGAGCAGCATATGGGTTCTCAGGTTGCGCATCGACTCTCTCTACGGGATTTAGTAGCCATTCAGGTCAACGAGCAGATTGGGGACGGGAAAACTGACGGAGTTGTGCAGTCGACGGACTGCTAGTTTCGGCAACCATTGTGAATGAGGTTGTCGAGAAAGAAAGTTGTTTGAAGGAAGGAAAGGGGGGGGTGGGACCTGCGGCGAAGAAATATTTCCACCCTGTCCCGCAAATGAGTCAGGAACCCCGCGGTCCCACCGCCTTGCTATAGTCCAATCAAAGCCCGCAGAGAAGTGGACAATTGTCAAAGGCGGTGAGCCATACGTTTACAGCCGAATTTTTGTTTGCACAATTTTTCGGTGCTTTTCAAGAATCTTCCAATTTGCACTTTTCTATCACCGCCTACTTCGCAAAATCCCCTCCTCCAACAACACAATGGCCAAGACCAAGAAGTCTGGTGACACCCTCGCCTCCCGCCTCGCTCTCGTCATGAAGTCAGGCAAGGGTGAGTTGTCCCAAGGCCCCCACTCTAGCTCGGTACTCCCTATTAACGCACCCCAGTCACTATGGGCTCTAAGTCCAGCATGAAGACCCTCCGCTCCGGCAAGGCCAAGCTGATTCTCATCGCCGGCAACTGCCCGCCCCTGCGCAAATCCGAGCTCGAGTACTACGCTATGCTGGCCAAGGTCCCCGTACACCACTTCAACGGCAACAACGTACGTCCACCCCCGCCAAGCCGACGCTTATTTGAGCCGTCGCAGCTGCCAGGCAGCTCCACTACTCGGAGAAGAAGTCGGCTAGCCCGCTTCGGAGAGTGAAGTTGCTCAGCGATGGGATCTCCTGATGGGGATTCCGGAGAGCGGACCGTAGCACTAACTATCTTTACCCGTACAGATTGAGCTTGGCACTGCCTGCGGTAAATTGTTCCGCTGCTCTACTATGGCTGTCCTGGATGCCGGTGACTCCGACATTCTGAGCCGCGAGGCATAAATGGACTGTTTTTCTATGTTGCAAATTTGCACAGTCACGACTTATGACCCAGGGCCTGGTTGCCCAATTTATCATACCCACTTGGATAAAGTGCCTGGGTGAAAAAAATCAAAGGAAACGGAAAAGGGCGCTAGTGGCGACGCTGGAAATAGCCCTGAACAAACTCATTTCAAGAGAAAATCCTTTCCTAAAGTTGATACTGTATCCCTGATATTGGTGTCACCTGTTACGAAATGTGTATCTCCACCATGTCCTGGGAGCATCCTGACCCATCTCAAAGCTGCACATATCGTGTTGGATCGACCAGACTAGTCACTATATCACAAGATTATTTCCTTCATCATGTATAGCTGTAACTGCAGAACAGTAGGCTGTCAAACATCCTCTATCTGGGTTGGGATTTGACGGCACATGAGACAACCCGGATTGACCACGCCGAGAAGGAATCCTTTCTTCATTTTCTTAAATCCATGCTCAAGTGGCTGCCGCACGAGCGCAGGATCGCAAGGCAACTGCTTGACGATCCGTAGCTGCTCTGATCCCAGCCAATTTTTTTTTTGACAATTATCCTCCAAACTTACAACGGGGTAGTATCTGAAACTCACATTGATACAAATAGCATACTCTGCAGAATACACATGAAACCTGGAAGCGTTTGTTTTGCGCTTAGCCTCCTATGCGATGCACAACCTTCGGCGAGACGCTTAAAGCCACTCAGCACCTTTTTTCAGTTAGCGCCTTTTGGCTGGGATAGCGCCAAGTTCAGGTCTGCAACTAGATCAAGAGCTACGACATGATAATGATTGAATAGAATATTCAAACGCGCTGCTCCTAATTTCGGATGAAAAGTATACCACAACTTCGCATTCCAAAAAAAAAAAAAAAGAAACCTCAACTCGATGAAAGTGCCAAATCCTTCCTCTGGTCCTTCTTCATACCATACTCCGTACTCAGCTCCGCCTAATGAATCCTTTTATATTTTTGGGTGGGATAGCCGGCCCTGGAAGAGCTTGGGTCCGTTTAATTCTGTGATAAAAGGAAATAAAAGATTTGAGAAGCTTGATATGCCACTCAAGGATAAATATAACGTAAAATTCTAGCTACATTATGTACTTGCCTTGCCTATAAAGTAATGAGACATGATGTCATGTATTATCCAGAGTAAAGTGGATTGTGATGATACCGGAATATCGGTATCCGGAAGTACTGTATTATCTACCTTAATACTTGGGATCTCACACCTTGCAAGAGACTTGAGTTACCCCTCATTGTCCTGACATTACTCGATTTCCCTGCTAAAGCTTGTTCTGGATAATTCTCAGAGCAACGGCCCTTGCCCCTTGCTTTAAGGGTCAATCAAGGATGAACCCCCACGCCGTGATTGCGGGGAACCCGCAAGATCCACCTTTTGGTACTTCCGCCTCCGCAATTTGGTCACAATTGGTCTGCGAGTGCGGAGTATAGCCCGAAGTCCTCGGGCAAAGGTAACCAACTTTAGCCTGAAGCTGTTCTTCACAAAATAATGTATCATCCCAAGAATCTGCTGATCTTGGAGTCGTCCCCCAGTACCCAGTGTCCTTGCCTGCTATCTCGGCGCCATTATGAGAGCCCTCTTCTTCCTAGCCTCTCTAGGCTTTGCAGCCGCTGAGGATGGCTTGGATGGCTGGTTACGTTATGCTTCACTGCCGTGTTCTGGTCAATGCCAATCCAAGCTCCCTGCTAATATTGTCGTGTTCAATGCCACCGAGACGAGCCCCGTGTACGTTGCAGGGTCAGAGAGACAGGCGGGGATCCAGAGTATCTATGGGATTCAGCCTCACATCAGCCACAATCAATGTAAATCATCCTCGTCTGCAATCGTCGTCGGCACCGTTCACCAATATCGCAAGACTTGTGGTTCGCGCGACGTTCCGGAGTTGGAAGAAGACGGTTTCTGGCTCAGCACTGAGGCAAATCGGATTTATATCCTGGGACAAATGAACGTGGTACGCTCTATGGTGCTTTCGAGTACCTGTCAATGCTGGCACAGGGTAACTTCTCGGAAGTCTCCTACTCCACGAACCCCTCGGCGCCGATTCGCTGGGTGAACCAGTGGGATAATATAGACGGGCGAATCGAGCGAGGTTACGGCGGTCCCTCAATCTTCTTCAAGGATGGAGCAATCATCTCCGATCTGACGAGAGTCAGGCAATATGCCCGTCTGCTCTCCTCGATTCGGATCAATGCCGTGGTGGTCAACAATCTCAACGCCAACGCCACCTTGCTCACTCCTGCAAACCTCAAGGGACTGGGCCGGATTGCCGATACTTTCAGGCCGTATGGTGTGCAAGTTGGCATTTCGCTCAATTTTGCATCCCCCGAGGATCTGGGCGGTCTTAGCACTTTTGATCCACTCGACTCCTCCGTCATTAGCTGGTGGTCCAACATTACCAAGCATGTGTACCAACATGTCCCAGATATGGCAGGCTACTTGGTCAAGGCAGACTCAGAAGGACAGCCGGGTCCTCAGACATACAGTCGCACATTGTCCCAAGGAGCAAACCTCTTCGGCAAGGCACTACAGCCGTACGGAGGCATTGTCATGTTCCGTGCCTTCGTGTACAACCAGCTCAATGAGTCGGTTTGGACGGCGGACCGTGCGAACGCTGCGGTCAACTTTTTCAAAGATCTGGATGGCGAGTTTGACGAGAATGTAGTAGTGCAAATCAAATACGGACCTATCGATTTCCAGGTCCGGGAGCCGGCATCGCCCTTGTTTGCAAATCTCTTCAATACGAGTACTGCTATTGAGCTGGAAGTCACCCAGGAGTATCTTGGCCAACAGTCGCATCTTCTTTATTTGCCTCCACTCTGGAAGACTATCTTGGATTTTGACCTGCGGGTGGATGGCAAACCTTCCCTTGTCCGAGATGTTGTTACCGGGAAACGCTTCAATCGAAAGTTAGGTGGTTCGGCCGCTGTTGTCAATGTCGGCACTAATACAACCTGGCTGGGAAGCCATCTCTCTATGTCGAACCTCTATGCCTATGGTCGCCTTGCATGGAACCCTGCAGATGACGCCCAGGCAATGCTGCAGGACTGGATTCGTTTGACCTTTGGTCTGGATCGCACGGTGCTCAGTACTATAACGAAGATGTCCATGGACTCATGGCCCGCATATGAGGCCTATAGTGGAAATCTTGGGATCCAAACATTGACCGACATTCTGTACACCCATTACGGGCCCAATCCAGCCTCCCAGGACAACAATGGATGGGGCCAGTGGACCCGTGCAGACCATACAGGCATCGGAATGGATCGCACTGTGAGCAAAGGTACCGGATTCGCAGGCCAGTATCCAAGCGAGATTGCCGCGATGTATGAAAACATCGATACTACTCCAGACAATCTTCTGCTGTGGTTCCATCATGTCGAATATATGCACAGCCTGCACTCTGGGAAATCCGTTATTCAGCACTTTTACGATGCGCACTACAGCGGCGCGGAGACTGTGCAGACGTTCCTTTCACAGTGGGAATCTCTGAAGGGCAAAATCGACGACGAACGATACGAACACGTCCTGCGTCGCCTGGAGTATCAAGCCGGTCATTCAATTGTTTGGAGAGACGCAATAAATAATTTCTACTACAATCTCTCAGGCATTCCTGATACGGCCAAACGCGTCGGCCATCATCCGTGGCGCATTGAGGCAGAGAGCATGCAGTTGGAGGGATACAAGGCGTATACTATCAATCCCTTTGAGACTGCCTCTGGCTCTGTGGCTATTGTCACTGCTGCGAATGATACCATGGGCACGGCTACCACTCAAATCAAGTTTCCCTCCGGAACATATGATCTCGCAGTGAATCACTACGATATTGACGGCGGGCAGTCTCACTGGCAGGCATATTTGAATGACAAGCAGATTGGTGAGTGGGTGGGAAATAGTGAGGATGTCTTTAGCCACACGCCATCCATCTATCTGGATGGACACTCCGCTATTCGAATCAAGTTCCGGGGGTCAAAGTTAACAAGGGTGATGCATTAAAGATCGTCGGCAAGCCTGATGGAGTTGAGCCAGCCCCGCTGGACTATGTTGCCTTCCTTCCCGATGGGGTGGTGGATTGAAGAGCCTTTTTATCCACGAATTGATATGAAATTATGTTTCCGCCCAAATTTGCGGTCACCTGAGATCCATTGTCTTTCCAAACTCGCTCCCTGACGCCCCATCACTCCCCGCGTAGCATACATAGACTGCAGCTGCCCTATATAAGTGGATCTCCTTTCTGTCCACCTTTCCTTTTCTGTTACACCCGTGGGTTGCCGTCTTCAGGGGGGGTGAGCTGCCCAGCTAAGAGTGTAGAGAGCCTAAAAGATCATTGGGAGGACCGATATGGGCGGTAGCGGCTTTTGGCTGGCTCCTATACTCTCTTATCAAATGATGTAATTCACTACCGAACAGGGCACACTACCAAGTGGCGCACTCCACCAGATAACGCGCACCTACGCTCACTCATATTCTTTAACCACCAACCATGCCACCCAAACGCACTAGATCCTCTCAAAAATCAGCCGGTCGAGAGGGCAGAATCTTATCGCTATCGACACTATTCAAAACAATAAGATCGCGTTTATTCGCCAGGATGTAGCACTATTTAGTATATCAGACCCTACCCTACGCCGTCGACGCGCCGGCTAGCTATGTCGCGATAAGACACGCTCAAGTAGCTATAAATTAACCCAGTTCGAAGAGGACTCGCTAGTCAAATAGTATTTATCTATAGATTCGGGTGGAGTAGCGCCTAGGCCTGCTTCCATTTGAGAAACAACTAATATCCTTTTAGTAGCGTGTGGCCCTGCACCCTCGCCTATCTTTACTGTCAATTGGGCAACAAAATCCGTTAACCACTACTTAGACATCCGTGCGCGCTTTTTAAGAAAACATAATTATCAACATACCTAAAACCAAGACCTAAAGACCTTACAAGATTAGTTTACCACTATTTAACTTATAATCGGTAAGCGGTAGACAACGGCAGCATCCTCAATATCCATGGATATCCGCATATGCTCCGCAAATTGTGGATATAGTAGAGCTTCTAATATCAATCCTCAATTTTGCGGATATAGTATGCCACCTAGTATCCTTAGAAATTTGAGGGTATCTAATAGACATTAAACAAGACAAAGATACCAAAATTATTACCTATTCAAGTTTTTATTTTGGATTTGAAGAGATTCAGATGTATAAAACGACAAAAAGTTTATGTGATATACTAAAACTAGATATCTAAGCGAGAGTTATGCTAGTGCGAATATCAAATTATCCTCAAATCCTCGTGAGAATCCATGGATATCCTCAATTTGTGGACATGGCATTGAACCTAATATCCAATGGAGAGGATATGCCGCAGTCTAATTATAGCCGGGATAATATGCAATCCTCAAGCATCACACGCATTTTCCGAGTTATAAACACTTGTCACATGCTAATTTCAACGACCACATCTATCTTTAACTTACATGAGGAACCTGGTGATACATCGATATTCTAAGTCTAGGGACCGCAGGAATAGAAGTTTGATTCTAACTCAGCGAGCGAAGTAAACGACAAAAGGGAATACGAGTCACCTATCGGATCATCATTGATATAGACCTGAAGTCAGAGCCCATTAATGCTAGTAAGTTCAAAGAAAGAAAAATTACAATACTAGGATCTATCTCTCAATTGCATATCGGAATAGGTCTCCTGCTCATTCGCGCCAGCAAGTAGAGTTGGGCGGCTAAAATCGCAGGGATCGCACTAGGCCATATCCGGCTAGCTCCCTACATCATCGAGGCGCATTCCGGCGTCCCCAGATTCAATCCCTGCACTGTTTCCACTCATCGCCTTCACACTCACACTTTTCTCAGCAATCAATGTTCCGGCAGGATGGCTGATTACTCGTCATGGAAGGTCGCAGACCTGAAGGCGGAGCTCAAAACCCGGGGTATTCCTCAGACTGGTCTCCGTCTCAAGCAGCAGTTTATCGACAAGCTAGCCGAGGAAGACGCCAAAGCGCAAACCGAGGACGCGACCGCAGCGCCCGTCGAGGAGGTTTTAGAGACCGACGCCCAGCCGGAAGCCGCTCCTGAAATCCCTTCTCGGACTGAGGAGCTGCAGCACGAGCTGCAGCAACCGGAAGAGCCTCAAACACATGTGGCACAAGAGCAACCACTGCCCGAGCCCCAAACGAACACAGGCGAGGTGCACGATGAAGAGAAAACTACAGAGGTCAAGGATACACATCAAGAAGGGCAAGGAGCTGGCACTGCCCGGGCGCTTATTTCGGAGAAAGGCGCAGAACAGGCTGCTCCGTCTGAGGTGATCGCAGTGGCAGCAGAACGAGTTGAGCAGGCTCCTGGAGATGCAGGCGAGCATGCTCCGTTGGAAACTGCAGCGACCACCGAGATCGCACCCACCTCAGCCCCCCAAACATCGGAAGCAAATACAGAGCTGTCAACTCCTCTTCCTCTCGAAGAAGCCCTGGAAGATAAGCGGAAGCGGAAGCGTCGCAGTCAGAGCCCCGTCCCTACCTCCGAGGCGATCGCGCAAAAGAAGGCTCGAGCGAAGGAGGAGAGCCCCCAGTCGACATTGAGAGACGACATACCTGCTGGAGCAGCAATCAAGGATTTTGCCCAAGAGGGGAATAAAGAACCCGCGGTACCAGCTAAACAGGATGCACGGTTCCGGGGCCTGTTTGCTGCAGAAGCAGTGCCTCCTCAGCCATCTTCTCCAGTCAAGGATGTGACAATGGACGACGCGAACATGGAACCTGCCCTCCATCCTGCTACCTGTTCACTCTACATTGACGGCCTTATGCGCCCTTTACAGCCCAATGGGCTTCGCAACCACCTCATCAGTCTGGCATCTACACCCGGGGAAACATCGGCCCCCGACTTGGTCAAGGAATTTTACCTTGATCCCATTAAGACACACTGTTTCGTCAGTTTCGGCGACATTGCGGCAGCTTCACGGGTCCGATCTGCTCTCCACGGGACGGTATGGCCGAACGAGCGTAACCGGAAGAATCTTTGGGCAGACTTTATCCCCGACGAGCACGTTCAAGAATGGATCCGCACCGAGGAGGCGGCACGGGACCGGTCTGGTCCTCCGGTCCGCTTTGAAGTCCAGTACGAATCGAACGATGGTCGAACTACTGCCATCTTAGCGGAGGCAGGATCAAACTCGCGCTCCGGTGCGGCCAAACCGCGCGAGCCTGGCTTCAATCGAACACCGCCATTGGGCCCTCGTGGCAGTGTTGCTCAGGCAGATCGCCGCCCTTCCAACGCTCCACCCGCTCCTCCTTCGCGACCGGGCCAAGGGTTCAAGCCTTTAGATGACCTATTTGAATCAACCACCACGAAGCCCAAGCTCTACTATCTTCGTGTTCCTCGACAGGTGGCGGACAAACGCCTGGACCAGTTCGACGAGTTAATCCGCAAAGGTCAGGTCCCGCGCCGCGGCGGGGACGAGATGCGCCGGATCACATTTGAAGACGAGGACTATTTCGTGGACGGTGGCCCGGAGTATGGCCCCCGAGCTCTGAATCGTCGTGGCGGCGGACGAGGAGGTGGACGAGGTCGCGGACGAGGCGGGGATCGTCGATGGTGATGGATGGGTGATGCCTCCTATGCAAGAAACAGTGAAAAAAAATCTCCAGGGAAGCCTAAAGGCTCCTCTGCGATCAATAGGGAAGTCCCCGATCGAATGTGCCGATCATGTACCATAACTGTAATGTACAACAAGAACCACAAATATCAAGCAAGTTGGAAGGGCCGAAACAGGAAGCGCCAGGAACGGGCTGAGCCAGGAACGGGCTGAGCCAAGGAGACAAAAATAGACAAGCCTTCGCAAGCCTCGGCGATCCTTTCTTGCCAGCTTTCCTCCCCCAAAAAGATCGCAGATCGGCCGCAACGTGGCTTGCAGCGTCTGATCCAATTTGCGTTGTGCAGCCACAGCCACGGACCTTCTCTCATTTTCTTCCCCCCGCCGGTCGCATTGTTGACGGAGGCTGCGCGCTCCCCAGGAGAATCGGATAAGATAAACGGGGCGAAATTAGCACCCGCCTCCGCCTTCTTCCCCTTTCAACCCTCACTTTCGACGACCATCGCACACCAGCCAGAATGGTCTGGACAGTGTGTAATTCTACCGAGGAGCATCAGAAAAGTGCGCATTTCCTTCTCGCTCGTTTCTTCTTTCTTGCGCCTGATTTACAACGCAACTAACTCGCGCCCCAAACAGTTGTGGAGGACGACCTTTGGGATGGCGGCATCACATTTCACGAACTTAGTCTGATCGTGGGCGGCGTCTGCGCCGTGCTAGCATGCGCCGTCTCGATATTCCTGATTATGGGCCATGCCATGCACTACAGCAAACCAATCGAGCAACGACAGTGAGTGGAGCGGGAGTGAATGGTTCCCGAATGTACCGCGCGGGCGATGAGACAGACATCGGCTAACAGACTTTTCCCCCACGCCAGCATTATTCGTATCCTGTTCATGGTTCCCGTATACTCAGTCGTCGCATGGCTCAGCATTCTCTTTTACAATGATTCGGTATATTTCGAGGTCATCGGCAACTCCTACGAAGCTTTCTGTATCGCCGCGTTCTTCTCCCTCATGTGCCACTACATCGCCCCTGACCTACACAGCCAAAAGGACTACTTTCGTGGGATTCAACCCAAGGCATGGCTCTGGCCACTGAGTTGGTTCCAGAAATGGAAGTGCTGTTGTGGACATCGCGGGGCGTGGCGGAATCCGCGCAGCGGCTTGACATGGTTCAATGTAAGATAGTCGCGGGACGGAGTGGTTCTTGGAGTGAAAGCTGAGGCGCTATTTTTCTAGGTCATCTGGGCTGGTGTCTTTCAATACTGCGTGATTCGAGTAGTGATGACCATCGTTGCCGTCGTTACGCAAGCCACCGGTAGATATTGTGAAGAGTCGATGAGCCCGGCTTTTGCGCATATCTGGGTATGTTCACTACTCGACCTCTTACTAAAATTGACACTAATGTCTCCTTGGTGTTCAGATCATCATCATCGAGTCTATCAGCGTCTCAATAGCCATGTACTGCTTGATCCAGTTCTACTACCAGGTCAACAAAGACATCAAAGAGCACGGCCCTTTCCTGAAGATCCTGTCTATCAAATTGGTCATTTTCTTGTCTTTCTGGCAATCGACATTCATTAGCGTGCTGTTTTCACTAGGCGCTGTCAGTGAGACAAAGAAGATCGCCCAGGCTGACCTGAAGTACGGTCTCCCCGAGCTGTTGATCAACATCGAAATGTTCATATTCTCCGTCCTGCACCTGTGGGCTTTCCCCTGGAAGCACTACTCTCTCAAGAATGAGGGCGCCGAGGTCACCGACTTCTATGGCAACGGCAAAGCATCATATGAAGGTGGGCGCTGGGGTTTCCAGGCCCTAGTTGATGCTATGAACCCGCTTGATTTACTAAAAGCTATTGGTCGTAGCTTCCGCTGGCTAGCTGTCGGCCGCAAAACCCGAATGCAGGACCCTAGCTACCAGCCTCATACCGAGACCATCGGCTTGGAGACTCCAGAGTCTGAGATTACCACCAACGGTACAGCCTACGGAGGTGCCGGCACCGCCGTGTCTGGTGGCCGGACAGCCCGTTACGGCGCAGATGAAGAAGGCGCGGACCTCCTTTCTCATGCCCAGCCGAACCCGTCCACCTCGACTGTGGACACCTCGCCATGGGAAGATGGCAATGATGACTATCTGCATGGGCCATCAGGTCGCTACTATGGACACCAGGGCTCTTCGCCTTATGACAACATGGAGCACCAGAATACCGCATACCAACCCCATGGGCAAGCGGCGCAGTCGTACCCCGTGGATGGCCCCCTTCGGGAACAGGTTCCAATCCCTATGCCCGACCCATATCAACCTCCGCCACCATACCCTGAGAGTCATCACCATCCATGATTCTATAGCCATGATTCAGTTATGACCCTTTGCGTATGATGGTTGAGTCTTTTGCTTCTGCGCCCGCAGCAGCGTGTTATGATCGGGATGGCTGGTCTCCTTTCTTCCCTACTGATGGTACCCACGAGTAGCAATTGGCCGGGCATTTTAGCATGATTTCTTTTTACTTTTGTTCTTTTCCAATGCCGTTGTTCCAACGTGAATACCCAATTTTTTCTTTTTTTGGCTGGCATTTTTTTCTTTCTTCTGATGTCATGCTCCCCTTTTCTTTCGGGTGCTTTGCATCTGTCTTCCGGCATACCCAGTGATGCTTATTGTATAGTACACCTTTTCATGAATGCAGGAGCCTTTTCATGTCTGAAATTACCTTCGTCAATTAGCTACCAACAGAAAGCTTTACTATGTTGGATCGATTGGAGGAAATTTGATAAATTCGTTATCTCGTCTAGGTATGTTGTGGAAAAATGCCGTAAAAAGCAAGCAGTCAGAATCCAAGCCTGGCACCTATGGTGACATTATCATGCGATGAGTTCATGGACCGCATCATAGAATTGCTGAGAAACTGGGTTGCGCCTCAAGAATACATCCCACCTGCCTCTGCACCGTGAGGAACAGCGGCATGGGCAAAGAGCTCGTCCTCAAAGGTTCTCGCCGCGAGGCTGGGGTTCTTGCGCGCGCTTGCAGTTTGACGCGCAGACTGTACAGTTGCCGACTTACGACCCAGCTCGCGCATAGCGTTGACACTTTCGCCCATTTGACCGAGCAGGGAGACCAGCATGACGTCGTTATTTTGGGAGAGGACTTCTGTGGAGAAAGTACTTTGTTCGTGAGGAGAGAGGATGGAGAGGTGCGAAATGAGGGAGTTGATATTGCGGAGAATGGGATGGGACAGCTTTACGGTGCTTGGGTCGTCCTTGGCGGTCCTTGATTCAGAGGCGGAGATGCTGGAGACGTAGGATTTGATGAGCGAGATGCGGGATTCAAGGGTGCGGATGGCGTTAATGCGGGTGTTCAGGTTTGCGATCACTGCGATTGAAGTTAGATCGGATATTAGCGGGACAGAAATGAAACATACGCTCTTCTTCCTCCTGCGTTAGCTCAGCCTGCGAGCTCTTCTGTTCCTTCTCTGCGGCCTTCTGGCCCGTTGCTGCGCTGGTCCCTTGTGAAGTAATCTCGCTCCGAGATGCAGTTACAGCAGTCTGAGCGATGGTATCAACACCGATCATCTCAGCCTCCTCAGTCTCCACGGAATATGGCAGCTCGCGGAACCGGATGTTCAGCACCGGCTCCGCGCCGTCTATTTGCATGTCCTTGGCCGCTTCGGCCACATTTTCACCTTCAAGCACACTCTCGTAGATTGTCAATGGGAGCTTGGCGCCGTGTATTCGCGATTGAACCTGCGAGGGGTGGAATGCGAGGAAGACGGCCGACTCGTTGTGGTCTTGGAGGATCTGACTGTGGATGGGGAGGTGCGAGGCGTCAGGTCCGGATGTTGGTGCAGCTGACCACCATCCCACCAGATCGAGAGAGGGGACTTTGTGTACATCCTTGACTGTAATGTGGTCAGTATAGCGAGTTCCTTTTGAAGGTTGAACGTTGGTATGAGGGCTTCAATGTACATACACTGTTTCAATCGCTCCTCGAACCATGCTGAAGGGAGAAGTACCTCGCCGTTATCTGCGGTTGTGACCGGGCATTCAAAAACATGCTCCAGTGATATTTCCCGTCCATTCTGTTGGCCCAACAGAGCCCCAATAATTGGACCCTGCTGCTGCCGTGCTGCATGGCGGGTGATATGGTCGGAGATGGTGAGAAGCACCAGTGGGTGAAGCTGAATGTGGAGACCCGAGTCCGAAGACTTTTGGGAGACGAGAGAAGGCGCAGAATCCATCATTGCAGTTTCTCTAACAAAGGTGGATGATGTGCGGAGGTGAAGGTAGCGGAGGTGATGCGGTCATGTTTGGTTTGTTTGGGCGGGGCGTGCCTGAGGCGGCGCCGATAACGTTAGCTTATCCTAGTTCGCATCTCCCCGCCTGTTGGTTTTCTACCGCGCTCGATCTCCTCGAAGTGCTTCACTTACTCCCCGCCGCCATGGCTATCCCTTCTACTTTCGATGCGGTGAAAGCGCATCTTGCCAAGGTCCAGGAGGATCCCTCCACGCCCCTGGATATCTCCCTCATTGCCCGGCTGAAGCTGCAGCTCATCGATAGTATCGATCCTGCTGTCCCCGCGACGCTCTTATCGCAGATATCGGCTCTTTTGCCTGTCCTCCAAGAGGATCCCACACCTCTTACCACACTTGCAACCGCCGCCTGTGCCTCTTTTAGCTTCACTGATATCCGCTCCGTCGAACCGTCCATTAACCTCGTCGTTGGCTTCAAGGCCCCTTCAGAACCGATCAACCTCCTTGCACTTTCACTACTGGCCAAGGCCGGGCAGACATCTAGCGATGCTGCAATAGTCGCTGGAGATTCGGGGCTGGTCGCCTCTTTGGTTGAATTATGGCTTTCAACTTCCTCAACGGCAGTCGCGCAGGCTGCAGTCGATGCTCTGTGGGCTTTGTTGGAGGTGGACTTGGCCAGCCCTCTCGAACAAGGAGAATATGACCATACAGGCGATGATGGACGGGCAGGCCAAGGCCTCATGTGGAGGAGGGTCTTCACAGATAAGGATGTTTATGGGCTGTTGTTTGGACTATGCAGTTTGAGTGGCGATGCGCCGGGAGACTTGTCCAAGCGTGAGAGGACCGTCGCACAAGGCAGGCTGATGGGGTTCCTGGTGAAGGCTGGCCACTTACGCTGGGATATTATCTCGAAGTCCCAGGTCTCCGATGTGGAGGCGAAGTATCAAAGCACCAGTCTTCTTCATTTCGCAGCAAGCCAGATGGTTGACCTGAGCGACGTGTTGATGCACATGTCTCTTCTAAGCTTCCTCCGTGACTTACTCGAAATTGATGCTCCAGGTTTGGTGGCTCGTAGCTCTGTGCAGTCAGCGTCGACCTTTTCTTCCCCTGCACTGGACTTCCTCATTGCAGAGGAGCTGCACTCCAAAGTGCTGGAATACTATCTCGATGAATCGAAGCTTGATCCGGTGGATCTAATCTATCTCTCCGGCCCTGTCATGGCTTATGTTTCAAAGTATGCCGAGTTATATCCCAACCACCTTCTCCAAAGCCCCTGGACTCTCCTCGATGGAATTATCGCGCGCATTACAAGAGCTCTCACCATTCCTTCCGTACAATGGGCGCATGGCGAAGTTCCCACTGGACATATGGCTGTCTTGGCCTCACTCCCCCGGGTGCTGCTCATTGAGGCTGGAAAGCATGGCTCAAATCCCATGTTGGCTATCCCCACCAGTCCTCCAAATGGAGAGGCATTTGGTGTTCTTGGAAAGATTTGCCATGGGCCAGCTCGGACTGAGATGCCCGATTCAATGGATCTCAACACATCAGGCCAGACCCCAACCGACTGGTATCAGGAAGCTGCTGCTGCTCGCATGTTGTACTTCCTATACCTCAACAACAACCCCGGGTTCTGGACGGACGTTGTTGCCGCTGCCGATATTTTGGTAATGAAAGACGTTGCTTTGTCTGCGATCGCCGTTATGCAAGCTATCGTCATGGCCAACTGGCAACCGTTGCCCCCGGCATCACATGTTACCAACGCATCCTCCCGATTTCAACTTCCGTCCGAAGAAGGACTGGCACAACTCTCACCCGCGTCGAGCGGTCTGCTCCCTATCTCTGGTCCTTGGGCAGTTCTTACTCCCCCGGCTCTGACTACATTGCTGCCATATCTTTTTAAACGGCCGCGATCCTATGCAGAGTTTGTGGGTGGCGGTGCTGGAGACTCTCAAAGTGCCGTCTGGAAGGTAGCTACAGCAAAACATGAGGTTCTCGTTGCATTGCATAACCGATTACGAGAAATCGGGGGTCAGATGGAAGGCTTCGAGGATATCTTGCGAACCCTGCAGCAACGAGTGAATGAGGGCCCCCTGGGTCCCGTCCAGTCGGGTGCTGCCCTGGTGGAGACTGCGGATCTGTGATGACTTTCACGAAATTAATTACAATAACAAAATCAAGTGTATCATTTCTTCTAGATTATCATGTCTCAATTGGCAATAGTTGTAGCTGAATCCAAACACAGCTGCCATATTCCGTCCGCTACACGGATAAACCTCGAATATCGAAATCACAGAATCGAGATACGTGATTTTCCTCCGAAAAGACTGATGTAAACCCGACCGCAGAATACCACTTCTGGATCATCCATTCATAGCTGTCTGCAAGAACCCGTTGATCTGCATTCTTATCTTAGCGCGGGGAAAGCAGTCAACTAGTCAACTGTAGGGCTGGATAGTGCCCTAATTCCCCGATCGGTCAGGCGGGCGGTGAGAATGAGGAAACGGTATTTTTCTGGCGCGGAACTCGTACCTTTCGTTCCGCAGTATTCATCTATCATGGCGCTGTGAAGCTCAAAGGATATTCTATAACTGCAGTCTTATATTGCGCCTTAATATTTGTGTCGGCCATGTCGCGCTTTGGAGCGAAGAAGGGCAATCGCGCTCCTGGCGCCGAATTCACTTGGGATGCTGACCCCGGCGGCGTGCCCGACACAGCGCCTACTCCCTTATATCCCGTACGCCCTTTGCTCCCCTCTCTCCTTCTTTGCTTCAATGTTCTCCCTTGTCATCCGCTGCAGCTACTTCGACATGAATTCTCACAGCCATTTCTACCATCAGGCATATGTTGTCCCGCTTGCGCGAAAGCTATCCCCAACAGAGCAAAGTGCGGTCAACCACTACCGGCACCTCCGCGAACGGTTCCATGAAGGACCCTACTACTCTGTCCTTGATACTTCTTCTTCCTCGGCTAAGAAGGGCAGTGTGGCACGCGCCAACTTTGATCCTTTCCATGGCATGCCCTCTTATTCCGGACGCTACCAAAAGAAGAGAAGAACACTGCCGAAGGTCGCCAACATTGGTCGGGAATATGGTAAGTGTTGGGCACTAGTAACTTTCTGTTTCCCTTTCCCCGTTCATTCGCTGATCGCCTTTCTTACTTCAGAAACGCGATTCTTTCCCCGCGAACTCTGGCAGATCATCATGCCCAACTTCCGTCCCAATGCGTCGATCGACGGCTACCCCACCCAGATGGCGACGACTGGAATGAAACGTGGATTTGAAGACGACGAGGATGAAGAGGATGAGGCCGCAAAGCGACGCGCCACTGGCGGAGATGAAGAGGAAGGCGAGGCGGATGTCGACGAAGGCGAATTGCTCGACGGAGATGAAGATCCAGAGGAGGAGATCGTGGATGACGATTTCGAAGATGACGAGGACGAATTGGGTGGTGATTACAATGCCGAACAATACTTTGACGGTGGTGACGATGAATTCGGCGACGATGGCTTTGCCGACGGTGGGGGCGGCGGCGACGAGGATACCTACTGAGGCGCGAACTCGAGATACCCTTCCATTATTTGTTACTTCTTTCTTCTCGTGCCTCTTTTACTTTGATGATATACTTCTGAGCGTTGTGGTCTAGTGGATATCAAATCCAATCTGATCTGCATTAGACAGCCCCATGGTTGTCCAGGCGTTTTTGGTCCATTCAATGTGTCTCGAATATTTCAATATCAATGCCTAGCGGCTATCCGATCAACATGCTTTCTAGTAGTTCCTGCGAATGCTGAAATCCATCAAGATATACGTGCTGTACTCCACGGCGACAGGACGTTCGCTTGGATGACGTCAGCCAGCGAGATCGGACACCCCGCGGCCAAATTTGGGAAATTTAAAATGCCTAGAAGCACGCAGCAGAAGTGCCCATCAACTCCTCAGCCCAGCATGAATACGCAGGGTACCGACCGGACAAGGTCTGCGCTCATTCTCTATGGCACTGAGACCGGCAACGCGCAGGAGGTGGCCGAGGAATTGGGTGCCTTGACAGAGCGCCTGCGTTTCGCGACGCATGTTTCCGAGCTGAATCAGTCGCAACCGGTAAGTACAATTGGCCTGTTCCTGGTGTTGTTTTTCTATCCTGCCTTAATTTCTGGGGCACAGGCTGACCCTTGTGACCTCTACAGGATGCCCTTTCCTCGTATACACTCATCATCTTCGTTGTTTCCACAACCGGGCAAGGCGATCTACCGGCTAATGCGCGGACGTTCTGGAAGTCGCTACTGCGCAAAAAGCTTCCGCCGACATACTTGAATGGTGTCAATTTTGCAACATTTGGATTAGGAGATAGTTCATACCCGAAGTATGTTTCTAATGCGGAAATGAATGCATCTGGTCTCCACAGCGAAGAAATTGAAGGCTCATGACAAGCAGGTTCAATTGGGCAGCACGGAAGCTCTACAAGCGATTGCTACAGCTAGGAGCAAATGATATTTACCCGACAGGTGAAGCAGATCAACAACATCCTGAAGGGTGAGTATTCGCACCCATCCGTCCCCTGCTGTTGGATTGGTTCTCATAGGTTTCGATGTCGCAGGCTCGAGGGCACCTTTATACCATGGATGACAGACTTCCGGAAGCACTTGATGGATAGGCATCCTCTGGCCCCTGGTCAACACCCTATTCCCGACGATGTTCAGCTCCCGCCAAAGTGGATTTTGCAACACGACGGTGAAAGTCAACCCCTAGTTTCTGAACACGAGACACGCGCAAGCAATCCCACTGACGCAGATGAATATCCTGGCTTGACGCATCTGGATCACGATCTTCGCTCTCTGCCAGATACTCTGACTGCGACATTGGTTGAAAATCGCCGTGTCACTCCACGAAATCATTGGCAGGATGTCCGTCGAATCACTATCATCGTGCCGGAATCCGTCTCCTATGTACCCGGCGACATGATCGCCATCACCCCCAAAACATCTCCACAGGATGTTCAAACTCTTATTAACCTGATGGGCTGGAGCGAGCAGGCAGATAAACCGATTGCTCTTGTTCCAACGGGCGACATTCTTGCTCCGTCTCCCATACCTGGACTGGAGTCCTATCCGAACCTGACCCTGCGCTCCCTGCTCATAGACTATCTCGACGTGAAAGCGATTCCTCGTCGATCTTTCTTTTCCACTATTGCCCATTATACAGATGATACCATGCACAAAGAGCGACTTCTAGAGTTCACAAACCCTGAATATCTCGATGAATTGTGGGACTACACAACTCGGCCACGACGCAGTATTCTCGAGGTACTGCACGAGTTCGATTCAGTCAAGATTCCCTGGCAGCATGCCGTCTCTGTCCTCCCCGTCATTCGAGCACGACAGTTCAGCATTGCTAGTGGCGGGGAGCGCAAGCGGACTGCCGATGGAGCGACACAGTTTGAGCTCCTCATCGCCATTGTGAAGTACCAAACGGTCATCAAAAGGATCCGCGAAGGCGTTTGTACCAAGTACCTCTCCATACTACGACCGGGGAGTACACTCCGAGTTCAATTGCAACCTGGTGGACTCAACTCATCAGTTCCGCAGCTGACTGCCTCAACGGTGCTCATCGGGCCGGGCACTGGAATCGCACCACTCCGCTCCATGCTTTGGGAGAAGGCTGCGCTGGTTCAGGCCTTCCGCGAGCAAAACCCAGACGTTGAGCCCCCAATCGGGCCCACAGTCCTACTGTATGGTGGTCGCAACCGCACCGCAGATTTCTTTTTCGAAGAAGAATGGGAGCATCTGCGTAAACTCATCCCTTTACAGGTGCTCACCGCGTTCTCACGCGACCAACAACAAAAGGTCTACGTGCAGGATACGATTCGTCAGAACTTGAAGCTTTTCTTCCGTCTTCTCCATGACATGCAAGGCTCGGTGTACATCTGTGGCTCATCCGGACGGATGCCACAGGCTGTGCGCGAGGCGCTTATTGAGGCGTTCGCGCAAGGCGGGGCGCCAACAACCGGCCGGCCGTATACTCGGGCACAGGCAGAGGAGTACTTGATTGGCATGGAAAAGAGTGGAAGGTACAAGCAGGAGACCTGGTAGCCTTCTGGTATTGGAATCAACTGAAACCATTAAAAATGATTTCACAACCATTCTTCCATGAAATTAAACGTAGAGTCGATTGGCACAAGGCACACCGCGACCAGCTCTCGTACCCTCGGTGATCATCACATCGCCTGTAGGGAAATACTTAAGGGTCATAACTATAAATCGTTGCAACAGTGGCCAAGTCATTCCGCTCGGTAATGACCGCAGAGTAGAGCACATCTTCCAAATATCCGCCAGCCCTAGCGCATCCCCCGCCCTTGCCAGAGACCGTGGGGTGTGCTTAACCTCGGCTGCGGCGGTCATGCCAGAAGGGCTACACTCGGGCCGTGTCGGCGTTTTCGAGGGCTTGGCATTCCATCACCGCAGTCAACTCTTTCCACCGACCTTCTCCAACTCCAACTCTGGGCTCCTCCTCCCAACGTACCGCGGAATTGGAATTTCTTGCTCTGTTATACGTTCTAGAGCAAGTGCATCATGGCTAGCGGCTTGCGGATTCTGGTGCCCATCAAGCGGGTGATCGACTATGCGGTCGGGACCACCCTCCCCCCTCCTCCAAGCAGCGTGCGAGCAACCGGTGATCGGAAACTCGCACTAGCATGCTCCAGATTGACCAATCTACCCTCCGATTCTCTTTGATATCACGAGACTGACATCGACATTGTTTGGAAATCACAGGTCAAGCCCCGCGTCAACAAGGCGCAGACCGGCGTTGAAACAGTCGGCTTCAAGCACTCTCTGAACCCATTCGACGAGCTCTCGATCGAGGAAGCCGTGCGGCTGCGCGAGCGCAAGGGCCCGCTCAAGGTGGAAAACATCCTGGCCCTGTCCGCCGGTGGCCCCAAGACCCCCGATGTCCTGCGCACCGCCATGGCTATGGGCGCCGACCGGGCTTTCCACATCGATATCCCCGAGGCCGGCGATGGCGGCCCCGAGCAGCTCACTATCGCCAAGATGCTGAAGGGCGTTGTTGAGAAGGAGAACATCAACCTCGTGCTCCTGGGCAAGCAGGCGATTGACGGTGACCAGGGCCAGACCGGCCAGATGCTGGCGGGTCTGCTGGGGTGGCCGCAGGCTACCCAGGCCAGCAAGGTTGAAGTCAAGGATGAGGCTGGTACGGTCGAGATCACCCACGAGGTGGATGGGGGTGTCGAGACTCTTCGCGCCAAGCTGCCCATGATCATCACCACCGATCTGCGGTTGAACCAGCCCCGCTACGCTAGTCTGCCCAACATCATGAAGGCGAAAAAGAAGTCTCTGGAGAAGAAGACCCTGGCCGATTTTGGCGTCGAGGATACCCGTCGGTTGAAGACTATCAAGGTCACCGGTATGTTGGAACTCATCAACCCCGTATTTTGTTTGTTACCGGAGGCTAACGTGTTTCTTTTTTCCACCTTACAGAGCCTCCAGCCCGCCAGGGTGGCGGCAAGGTTGAGGATGTCGATGGGCTCGTCTCCAAGCTGAAGGAGCTTGGTGCGCTGTAGGCGCGATAATGGTGGATGTGGTTGCCTTGTTTTCTTTGTCCCCTGTGTTTCTATACCAACCAACGGTCCATCTACACTTGGATTTTGTTTTATATCATCACTCTGATGCTCTCTCATGACCATATTGGCTGGCGCGGCATGTCTACGTGCATTGGGCCGTGTCGTCCCCTGAATCAAAATAGCTCTTCAAAGGCATAGACAATTTTCACTGCATCTGCATTTGCTACATTTGCTCGCAGGTATAACTAGAAAGGTTACAGTCTCCGTGCGACTAAAGGTGAGAAAGAATGGGGCCGTGCCGCAGCTGCGTCACTAGTGGACGGCTTAGAACCGCGTTAACGGAGGCTCTTTCTGGCCTCTGATTTACCGTCTCACTATGAAGTGATCCAGCGAACAATGGCCTCCTACCCTCATACAACAACACACCCTCCAGGCATACTAAAATGACAAGATACATTTGGTCTATTTGACCTCGTTCGGACAATTGTCGTTGTTCGGCGCAATTCCTCCTCCCTCAATCGGAGCGAGGAACATGCGGTGTCCTATGACATGAGCCTGAAATACGCCTACTCTTCGTCTGGCACCTACTACTCTTACAAGCAGGTATTTACCACGAGGTGATTGAGTGTGAGATTTCCTATTGGCCTTGGCGAGTTCATTCGGATGGTATATCCGAATGGCGATCCCTCGCTCCGCGGCAAATCAGGCCTTGGCGGTTCGATCGGTCCGACCACCAGTCCCGATGATCTTTATGGAGATGAAGAAAAGCAGTGCTCTGACATCTATCCCCATAGGGGAATATACGGTCACAAACAAGAACGGCCCACAAGATATAGCGGACGTTCTCCAGAGCCTTGCTCGCACCTTCGAACGTCGATCCGAATGCTTACATAAGTGGGATAGTCACAGGATGAGCAGTGAATAGAGGATATTCCCGGGCCCGTCCTGCAAGGCCGCTGCCATGTTGCGTGTGCGTGAAGAAGCAAGCATTATCAAGCAGATCGAGCGGGAACTAGCTTCCAATCGTCCCTGTCGTTCCGGTTCGTGTCTGGGCCGGAGGAGCGAAATCGTACCTGTGCCAGACATGGCTTAGAAAGCCCTGGATCGCCGGGGCCAGAGTGGGGTATTCTGATCTATCACAGAAGCCGGCCTAGCTGCGCTACACCCTTTCGACGGGCATATTGAAGTGATGCGGGCGGATGCAGTTGGGCCAAATCCAATCGCCGAGCTTGCGGTCGGAAATATAACAATTCATTGTGCTGGGGCACGAGAGTCGCAGTGCCGATCAGCCGACGAGTCGATGATGACGTCCCTCCACGCGTTTCCGTGGGCCCAACAGGCTCGAGAGTTCGTCGCTGGTGAATCTGGCCAGCCTGCGAGCCACGGCGCCACTCGGCATACTAATCCCACTCCTAGCCATACTCCGCGGCTAGCTGAGTTCCGTCTGACCCGACGGCGCAGAAAAAACTGTCATAGGTGAAACCTGTGGCCGACGAAGTTGATAAGTTGGCCCTGGTGCCTGGTCTTCCGGCTTCGACGACTCTTCTTTCCTTCCCCCGCTCCTCCGGCCATCACAGGCTTCCCTTTTATCCCTCTTGCCGACTTGGGGCTATCCTGTACATACTCCTGCGACATCACAGATTCCCCGATCCCTCAGATTCGCGCCAGTCGCCCACTGTTGTGGTAAGCCTTTCTTTCACTGTTCTGGGCACATTCCGGCTGGACCGCCCGTTGAGTCGCCGCCGCCACCACTCGTCTGGAAGGGAAAACGACCCGGCTGGCTGAGGCAATCAAATACTTTGGCGATCGCAGTTGGTCAAGTAGATGGATCTTGACTCTCATCGATCAGTTTCTTTCTTATAATCGCGGGACCAGTCTGAAGCGACCTGTCGCATTCCTCCCCGCACGCATTCTCTAGTGGCGACCCTGCAGATCCCGCCGGAATCCTCCAAATCCCAAAGCAGCCGCGCTCCCCCGGATCGCTGGCTGTCCATTCCGGATCGTTTTAAGAAGCATTCTCCGCTTCCCAAACTGCTGTTCGCAGCGCAACTGCCGCGTGTCAGATAGTGTTTCGCTTATAGATTGCGCCTGCCTCTTTGCTCCTCTCTCTCCCTCTCTCTCTATTTTGCGCCATTCTATCGACATTCACACATCCCTTCAGCGCCCATCATGTCTGCGTGGGAAAAGACAAAGCGCTATTCGAAGAAGGGCTTCGACAAAGCATGGGATACGGTCGACAAACTGGGCCCCCCCGTCAATCGCTTGTCGAATAAATTAGGCGCCGAAGCCTTCTGGCCGATGCAAATTGATAAAGAGAGCGACAAAGCCGCCCGCATCCTGCGCAGTTTCTGCAAGGATGGCTTCTATGCCCCCGAATCCGAATCAACGACAGATGAGAATGGCAAGATTAATCGGCCCAAGGGCAAGCAACGGGTGATCAAGAAAATCCCCGCGAAGGTCATCAAAAATGCCAAGGGCCTTGCCATCTTTACCACGATGAGAACCGGTCTCTGGGTCAGTGGCTCGGGAGGCAGTGGCGTGCTGCTGGCTCGGATTCCCGAAACGGGTGAATGGAGTCCGCCCTCCGGCATCATGCTTCACACGGCCGGTATTGGGTTTCTGGCGGGAGTGGACATCTATGATTGCGTCGTGGTGATCAACACGTACAAGGCGCTCGATGCATTCAAGAAGGTGCGCTGCACCCTCGGCGGCGAAGTCAGTGCCACAGCTGGTCCGGTGGGGATGGGTGGCGTTCTCGAATCGGAAGTCCATAAACGTCAGTCCCCGATTTGGACCTATATGAAGAGCAAGGGTCTCTATGCTGGTATTGCCGTGGATGGAACCATTATTATTGAGCGAACCGACGAGAACGAGAAGTTTTACGGTGAACGCATCTCGGTGACCGATATTTTGGCAGGAAAGGCTCGCCATCCCCCGGACTCGATCCAGACGCTTCTCCAGACCATCAAAGCGGCTCAGGGCGACGTGGACGTGGATGAGAGCTTGGTTCCACCCCCGGAGAAACCCCCGGTGATCTGGACGTGACAGGTCCCGACCACGCCTTCGGTGTGCCGGACATGGATGATCCAGATCCTTACGGAGTGAAAGCGTTGGAGGCCGAGGGCATGTTCATTCGGGAGGCCGGCTCGAAGGTGAGGCCAAGTCATGATGCTTTTGAATTCCGGCCCAACCCGAGCAGCCCGGTGTATGCGACGTTCTCCCGACGCAGCCTTGACAGCTCGCCGCGGAACAGCTGGCGGGCCAGCGGGCAGAGCTACGCGAGCGTCGATCGTGGCACACAAACAAATGACGCGCCGCTAACTGCGCTCACATCAGTAAGCCGCGCTTCCTCCCAGAGCACGAATGGATCCGCCGGTGGGTCTACTCCGAACACGTGGGAGGAGGAGGATGGATCTCGCTGGGACACGGTGCCGATCCATGGTGGAGAGGGGAAGGTGGAGGGTATCAAAGAAGAGGGGGAGGAAGAGGAGAATGCCAAGGATCGGAATGGACATGCCAAAGCGGAGAGGAACCCTGCTATTGAATCCGACGACGACATTGAAGTGCACGAGGTTATCACCAACGCGACTCCGACGAAACAGGAAAGCCCGGAGGACCAGGCAGATGCGGCCGACTCACGGCGCCTGTCGCCCACCTTCACCCGTGCGAAGCTTGTCACCATCAACAAGCGCGCGACCCCCCGGCTCTGCCTCCTCGGCACCCTCGACACACCTGGGGCTCCGGATCCAGCCGCGATTCAACTTCTCCTACCGCCCTCTCACACACTAGCCGCAGCACCGAGCAAACTGACGCGGTCCCCGAGGCGATCGAGTCTACTGACCAGCCTGCGGAGTCTGCTGGACTCCTTCCAACCGTCAAGACACTCCAGACCAACACTGCCGTCCCCGCTGTTGTGGATGAGGTGGATGTCAATGAGTCGGACACCGAAGTGCCCGCTGACAAGGACGAGTTCCTCTCAGCTCGCGGTGACAACGAGGACGATGCGGAGCCGAACACATTGGCCGAAGACGTCTCCGTCCTGCAGGCACTGGACACCCAGACGGGTTTCAAAGAGTCAGTCGCGGAGGCTGAGGACTCGAAGGCCGACTCCAACGCAGGCAAGCAAGAAGTTAAGGGTGCCGAGGACGTGCTGAGCCAGCTGGAGGAGAAGTTCCCCTCCCCGCAGGTCGAATCTCCTACTGAAAAGCTGGACATCGGCCAGTCCCTCCACCAGCTGCCCTCCAGCAACAATTTGGAAGCGCCCGAGGCCGAGGCGGAGTCATCCGACGATACGATCGAAATGCCTGCTGAGCAAAAGCTCCACACACCTGACATCAGCCCCAAGACGCAGGAGGCATAAGTGCCGTCCACTTTTTGGGCCCTGCTTATGATGTCCTGCATGGATTACGATTTCTATATCTTCTTTTCCCTGTACCTATTGTCATGATACCTCGTCTATACGTGTTCGGCTAGCTTCGGAGTTAGAGATACCATGGTTTTTTTATTTGGATCGACTATCCTTTTGGGTTACACCCCGCACTGTAAGTGCCTCGCCACCAGGGACTGGGGGTGTGTAGGTGTGTATTGAGACGAAAGGGGTGGGGTGGGTTCATCAGCGCATTTCTAGCGTGTCTGCATTTGAGCGGGGTGGAGGGTCTTGGAGATCTTCTCATTGTCTTTTCATTGGGTTCGATTTGTCCCGCGCCTCTTCATATACTCGTTCCTTCTCATATATACCGGACAAAGTCCCTTGGTGCTCCCCGTCCGTTCGAGTGCTCACCCTCTCGCCGCCTTTGCTCACTAAATAGCATTGAGCACGCCCCTGATCAACCTGAGCTGGTCAGTGATCATCACGTAGTTAAACTGATTTACTCTCAGACCCTGGACCAGAGTGTAGTGCTTCCGCTTACGCCGCCCACCCCAAACCACATAGTAAATGCAAAAAATTAAAATTATTTCTCAACAATAATATCTCCTTTAATTAAGACATTAGAATAGCGCATTTGAAATCCATGGGCTTCTCATGCATTAGTATATCCTAGGGGACTCGGTTTTAGTAACAATATATATTTTAAACTTAGTTATCTAATATTACATTAAAATTTATAGTAACACAGACAAATCTTATTTGAACAAGCTTCAGTTTTAAACATGTTGTTCTTAACCATTACCTATAAGTGTATATAGACAAATTATCAAGTTGACAAGTCGCCTGGCTGTTGAGACGGTTCCAACTCGGTTGCTAGGTAGGTTTGTAATCTCATTTGATCTAAACAACAAATTCGCTCAAGTGCTGCAATGATCTAGATCTGCTAGGCAACTTTGCCCCTGCGGTCATGGAGGATTCCTCTTTTGAAGGCGCAACAACAGCTACCCTCCGCGAGCATTTCAACCAATGGGCTGCGACTGCCAAGCACCAAGAACAAAATGTTCCACCGGGTCAAAAGCATCATACCCGGTCAGGTCGGTATCGGTACTTCTTGATGGTGGACCAGGAGGCCGTGGAATCAGTGCTAAACGAGCCAAAACTGGACTTCAGTAAGTCAGCGTTTTTTCGTCTAGTTGATGGCCAATGGGAACCAGAGGTGTTAGATGATGAAGAGTTGGAGGCACTAAGCAGGCCTCCGGAGGAATTTGAGCCTCTCGAGGGATGTACTCTAGAGGACGTTGGTTGGATGAAGATACCTTTCCGGGACAGTGAGTTCACCGGTTTCGTGTGGTTTCAATGTGATACCAATGGCTGGGATATGTTCTATATCCGTCCTCCCGAGATGCATTCCCCAACTAGTTTCTGATTCATCGAAAGTGCAAAATTAAGAATCGAAAACATGGTTGAAATAGAATGGTTCCCGGAAAGATATAAAAGTACATGATATCTGACCCATCTCATCTGAACAGTCTAATCCCTCTCCTCCACCTTGCCTGATCCGGTTTAGGGGTATTTCCAGGCTGTATAAGCCGGCGATCTGTATTTGGGAGTATACTAAATCTGCCGGGTAGTTAATTTGCGCTGACTAGGGACAAAGCGCACGGTCAGAACCATGATCTCGATTTTTGATGACTACCTCCACAATGGCATTCTGTTACCGATCTCAATGCCAAAATGCAACTCGGCGATAGGTAATCACTAGATAGATTACTCCAAACCTTATCAATTCCATCTGCTGCATGTTCAGCCAGCTCTACCAGTGTCCCTTTCGGAGATGACTGGATCTGGTCGATCCCCGTGCTCAGCCCCGTACGATGTGGGCCTTGGCTAAGCTCCACAAGTCGGTCGGCCCACTTACGCCACGCGCCAGACCTCATGTTTCTTAGTTTCTTGTCGCTCGCAGCGAGATAACGCTCGATGACAAGGATTATATCACACCATCCACTATCGCTCAAATTATCGAATGCAGCATGGGACAATTACAAATGCACCCGATTACTAATTGCTCACTTCTAACAAAGCAGGCTATGGGAGAATATGTAGTCAATTTTCTCCACGAGGGAGAAATTCGAGTTGCCACCCGTCGATTAAATTTCATGATACCCAAGAAATGTCGTTACCATCAGAGGGTGCAGCACCAAATACGAAAGAATATTCCGAGGAGGTATCTTTGGATGATCGGCAAACTCGGTCTCAGTCCCATTGTCAACCACAATCTCAATCCCAATCTGAATGCGACTGGACGGAGAAAAAAGCTGGATCAGACCTGACAGCACCGAGCGATCCTGAAGCGGCACAACAGAGCCGCAAGAAAAAGCCTCTGTCATTCTTTCTCGCATTTTTAGCTCTGCTTTTAATGGTCTTCTTGGTGTCCTTGGATGCCACCACCTTGGCCGTTGCAATTCCTGTAATTCCGACACTGCCTTTAGTTCCAGACGACCATTCCGCTCATCTACTTCTTTTCTCTAAATAGGTCATCACTAGCGATCTTTCGGGAACGACTTTAACCGCATTTTGGGCCAACATCTCCTTTACGGTAGCAGTCGTGGTCATTCAGCCTATTTATACCAGTTTCTCGGACATATTTGGCCGTAAGATTCCACTTTACGCGGCTTTTGTGCTCTTTGGTATTGGATCTATCGTCTTTTCCGTTCCAAACAGCATGGCAGTCCTGATTATAGGACGTGTGCTACAAGGGCTGGGCGGGGGCGGACTCGACGTCCTGAGTGAAGTCATTGTCGCCGACATAACGACTTTGCAAGAGAGGGCTATGTATTTCGGACTACTATCCCTTCCAATGGCCGCAGGATGCATCGCGGGTCCCATTCTCGGGGCAGTTTTCAGTGAGTATGTTACGTGGCGATGGATCGGCTGGATTAATCTGCCTGTGATTGGCGTTGCCCTCTTTCTGGCTATCTCCTTCATGCGCCTGAAACCCATTGACCAGTCCCTCCGCGCCCAGCTTAGCCGTATAGATTGGCTTGGAATGCTTGTGTTTACAGCCGGTTGTATTCTTTTCGCCCTCCCACTCAGTTGGGCAGGGAACATGTACCCTTGGAGCTCCTGGCGAACGGTAGTTCCGCTGGTCATTGGCGCGTTGATCTTAGTGGGATTTGCCTTTTACGAGGCTTATCCGACTGACGCGGTGTTCCCCTACCGTATCTTCCACTCGCGAACGGCACAAATGACCCTACTTGGAAGCTTCATCCATGGCTTCGTGCTTTACACTCTTCTGCAATATCTTCCACTGTTTTTCCAAGCCGTCTATCTTGAAACACCGTTCCAATCCTCCATCTCGATTCTACCATTCTGCTGTGTGGTCTTCGTCTTTACAGGAACTGCCGCTTTCGCCGTTGATTTCTTCCGGAGATACAGATGGGAAATTTGGACTGGATGGGTATTCCTCGCCGTTGGCTGTGGTATCTTCTCACTGTGGGACCGATCCTCCTCCCTAGCCATAACTGCTAGTTTCCAGGTGATTGCAGGAATTGGCATTGGCACAATATTCAGCGTGCCTCCAATTCCGATGCAAGCCAGTGCTCCGCCAGAAGACCAGGGTCTTGCAATGGGAATAATGGTCGCATTCCGGCTATTTGGTGCTCTTATTGGTCTTGCAATTAGTGCCACTACATTCAGTAGCGTTTTCACCAACAGGATTGACGGTATCGCACTGCCCGCTTCGGTGGCATTTTTGAAAAATCCCAGTGAAGCCGTGGGCTTTATTCCCTATCTACGAACAGTCGACGTCTCCCCTGCTGTGCGGGACCTCATTCGAGATGCATACAAGGACGCCATGCAGACAATCTGGTATGAACTGGCCGCATTTGGAACTTTGGGCTTTTTGAGCTCTCTATTCGTGGAAGAATTGACTATGGAGACGGAGGAACTGGGTCGGCAACATTTTGAGGATGCGTCAGACTGAATGGTCTGTCAAGCGATATATGATCCAGGGGGGTGATTAACGGCTGATGTGCAGAGGGTGCATACATTGCAATCATGATGTATCCTATCATTCCAAATCAGATCTGAATGGGTACCCATTCTTGAACCAATTTGTCCTGGGGACAGTGCGCTGCCCCGCTTTCCCCACTAATAGTAAGCGCATTGAAGAAGCACCACAGAAGTCAATGTCCAATCTTGCCACTAAAGCGCTTCAACACGAGGTAGATTTAAGCGAGCACTTGGTAAATCTAGCCTGTTCTATCTTCGCAAAGAGCCAATCAGTCGAGTGCTGACCAGATCTTGGCGAAGGCCGAAGTGACATTAGCTAGAGCGAGTGATGCCTTCATAAAGGAGGGACCGTTCCCACGTCTCTATCGCTCACAGATATTACTCTGCCATTGCATCTGTCTCATTCTATTCAAGAAAGCATCATGGCGGGTCCACTTATTTGGGGAGCCAGTGGTCTTTTGATCTACCTTACCGCCAAAAGCATCTACCGACTATATTTCCACCCCCTTAGGAAGATTCCGGGACCAAGACTAGCAGCTATTAGCAGCTATTATGAATTCTACTTCAATGTCATCCACAGAGGAACATTCATATGGCATCTCGAGGGATTACATCAAGCCTACGGTGAGTAGTTCTCGTTCACTCGCATATGTGATCTAAAAAGCGTTCCTGGCTAGGGCCCATTGTTCGTGTCAGCCCGCGCGAGGTACACATTAAGGATCCCAACTACTATGACGAGATTTATGCTTCCAGTGGCCGAAGGCGAGAGAAAGATCCAGCTGTAGTCGGCCGGTTTGATATCCCCGGTTCCTCCTTTTCTAGCATCACACCCGAGACCCATCGGCAACGCCGAGCGCCGGTGGAGAGATTCTTTTCAAAGGCAGCAATAACAAAGTCCGAGAGTACAATTCAGTACTGCTTGGATAAACTGGTCCAACATATTGAGCGTGCTTATCATTCTCACAAGGTGATTAGTCTTGATGCGGGCTTCTCTGCGATGACATCAGACATCATCCACCAATATGGGTTTGGCTTCAACAGCGGAAACCTTGACCAGGAAGACTTCAATGAAAATCTGAGAGATGGAGTCAGCGGGCTCTTTCTAATGGGTCATATCGCTTTTTTCTTTCCAGTCATACAAACCATCATGAACGCACTCCCCCCTCCGTGGTGAAACGTATCAACCCGTACGCACTCGCTCTGAAGGATCAAAAGGATGATATCCGGAGACGGGTCCAGGAAGTTCTTTCTGGCCAGAAAAGTGAAAGTGGCTCTATAATTGAAAAGCTCTCTAGTCTCGATATGCCGGGGCATGTTCGGGATCTTGACCACCTCACTGATGAAGGATTTGCACTGGTAATTGGAGGCACCGAGAGAACTGCCAGGTCTCTTTCATATGGCTTCTACCACCTCCTTAGTGAGCCACATGTGCAAACGAAATTACGCCAAGAACTGCGGTCATTGATGCCGATGCCCGACTCGAAGCCTACGTGGAATGAGCTCGAGCAGTTACCGTATTTGGTGGGGACCATCTCTTCTCTCACATTCGGTCCAAATTTCCAACCTATTTGCAATATTTCTCACATTTTACTAGACTGGAGTTGTTTTAGAGACTCTCCGTCTCTCGACAGGAATCGCTAGTCGATCCCCCCGCAATGCGCCTACAGAAACTTTAGTGTACAATGACTATACAATCCCACCCAATGTATGTGGTCCATTTCCTATACACCTCATCATTCAAGAAGATACTTACCAGTTTTCACTTTCAGACTCTTATTAGTCAAACGAACTATTTTGTCCTTGTAGACCCAAACATATTCCCCGATCCGCATGCCTTCGACCCCGAAAGATGGACCCGAGCTGCCGCCAAGGGTGAGCGATTAGATCGGTACCTGGTTAATTTCTCCAAAGGCAGTCGTAATTGCCTGGGCATGAAGTATGTTTGGCTTTTCAGCTTTTTTGTTCTTTCCCATGGAATTATCATTGCTGACATGTCTTGTCATACAGCCTTGCCTACGCAGAATTGTATCTTGCTATCGCGATCCTTATTCGCCGATTCGACCTCGAGTTGTTCGAGACGACGAAGAAGAATATTGAGTTCGCACGCGACTTTGGGACTCCATTCCCTGATGAAGGAAACTATAGCATTCGGGTTTTGGTGAAAGGAATTGTTGAGGAGTAAGGCTGTATTTACTTTTACTCTCATCGACTGTTCAGACGCGCCATTATAGTGCGGGTAAGGAAGAGGCGTGCCGGTCGGTTAGCGGACACGGCCGCCTGAATATCAGTTCAGCATATTCTTGGTCCGTTCAATTAGCCAGTGGAGCTTTTAAGGCGCCCAGTGTGTGTGGGGTTGTTGTCGTGGGGTGTGGAAGGAGATTCGCCACAAAACCGGCTTATCTCCGCTTGTGAATGCTTAGCCCGACGACAATTATTCGCGTCAGTGACATTTCACGATTTCTGGGAAGATACTCGAACCTCACACTTGACACTTCTTGCCCCTTCACATCCCACTCTACCGACTTCGATCAACTCGACCAACTCCATCTACTCCATCTACTCCATCAAGATGCCTTCCGACGCGCACGTCAAGGCAGCTCTGGCTCTCATCAAGAGCGATACTTCCAAGCTGCTGGGCCTGACCGTGGGTGATCACAAGAATGTCCAGCCGGGCCAGTTCATTCCTCGCGCTGGTCAGTACCTTCTTCTACCGCCGTTTGGTGTAAGCACGCTCTGATCGGCTCTGTACAGACGCTCAGTCCCCTCCCGAGCTCTCGTTCGCCGGCCTTGACTCGAGCAAGACCTACCTTGCCGTGGGCCTCGATATCGACGCGCCGTTTCCATCATTTGGGGTCCTCGGACCTATTCTGCACTGGATTCAGCCTGGTATGAAGGTCACTGAGTCTGGCACTCTCACCACCACCGTTCCCTTCGTCGCCAACTACATCGGCCCCGCACCGCCCCCAGGTAGCTCGCCCCACCGCTACATCTTCTTCCTCTATGAAGAACCAGCTGGCTTTGATGCAAAGGCACATGCTCCTCCTAACGGCCAGAAAATGGGTAACTGGAACCGCACACGCTACGACTTTGATGCCTTTGCCAAAAGGATCAACCTCGGCTCCATTGTGGCTTCCAATTATTTCACCAGCAACTAGGGGGCACTAAGGGGGGATGGACTTGATGACACATGCAATGCTTTGATTTTTGGGAGCTTCTTTTCCCCTTTTATGTGAGAGGGGCTGGATGTCTTCCGCTCATAACATGATTATGCCTTTATCTTGTTGCCTACAAAGGATAACTAGGATTTTATAGTTGCTCAATTACAGCTTGGTTTGCACTCTACTTCAGTGTATGACTCATCCTAGTGTAAGAAATGCATCAATGGCAAGGTAGTTCCCGCTATGAAAGTGATATCTCTGACAAAGCTATAGAGCAGCAATGTTGACGGTCTCCACTCTCAACAAGTAGCAAACATTTCTCGTAATACTATTATGAATTCAATGTAATTTCAAAATCACTTGGCATCCCCAGAAATATTTCGATGGCCCACTCAGACGGACTTGAATATCCATTCACATCAGACCTGCTGCCTTATATTACAGATCGCTGTGGATCGCCAGCTACGAGGCAGCAATCCTCCTCCATCTCCAACTTGGTTTTTCCAATATTCTCAACTTCCTGACCTCACACATCTTTCCAAGGCTCGAAACCACCGGAGCTTGAGCTTGACACCCAACGCACGGATTTGCCTTTCTCAACCAACTGCCAGAACTAGTGCCAAAAATGACGCCAACGTCATTCGCCGGAGTCGTCATTGCGGCCAGCGGGAACATCCCGGGTCAGAGACACGGTTAGTGGGTTTTGTATTTGTCGATGGGTTCGATGCTTGCAACACTACGCGGAGCACTCACACGTTTCCTAGAAGCCATCAAACGCATGGTTGAAGACTGCGGGGCAACATTCGAAAAAAATGCCAGCAATTACTGCACCCACCTTGTCACCACACAGATCCATGTCGATATCACAGGCAGAAACGGTGAGTGGGGAACCTTGCCTCAACCATCGGCCATATGGACTAAGAACTTCTGGTAGTGTGCATGCTCAAAATGAACACCAGTTGCGAGATCGTCAGTTTTGGTTGGCTGTTTCAATCTATTCTAGAAAAGCATCCTGTCAATACCGAGGCCTATTTGCTCACACCGACTGCAAACGTGGGCTTAGCGGTATCCCAGCCCAAAGAAGAATTTGAAGCCGTCACAGAGAGCAATAAACGAAAATATGGGCCCGAATCTGACAAACTCAATGGGCTCCCGAAAAAGCGAAAGAGCAACATACGGGTCTATCACAGACAATTGGCCGCCCTCGTGGACGACCAATATGACAGGAAAGGTGGGTGCTCCATGAAAGCTCTATCTTATGGATTGATATGCAACCTATATCGCTGACTGAGTTTGTTATTTAGGGGCAGACGTAGCCATTTGGATGGACGAACATTACGTGAGATGGGATGCGACTGTGGTCAGCAATCTATCGGAGCTCCCAACAGCCATGGTCAATACGCGTGCACCGGGTTATATGATCCCAACAGCCATGATCAATACGCGTCCACCGGCTAATATGATCCCAACAGCCATGGTCAATACACCTGCACCGGCTTACAAAGTTGAAACTCATCGCCTGCAACTTCTTTACAATTTCCACACCGGCAGTTATCGCACCTGGTTCCGGTTGGTCGATGAAGGGTCTAATCATGGAGAACTTTATGGCTGCGGCGATGTGGTCTCAGCAAAGTCCGAATTCAAGAGACTATTCAAGAGACTGACTTCAGTATCCTGGGAGAAGCGTCACTCTATCTCGAAAGAGAAGCCATTTGTCTTTATTCAGCCTTCTTTTCGGGAGGAGCAGAATTGTGTTCCACTAGCCGACCAGGCAGAGGTCCGGTACAAGCTCCCTACGGGAGTGCCGAAGGTGCTGAATCTGCTTTTTGGCCACAGTAACAGATCAGCAGTCCATCAATTCTTCAAAGATGTGGCTATCAGTCGAGTCAAGACGGTCGACGAAGTTCAGCTCAGTGACCATACCCTACGAACTGGCATTGCCATTCTAAAAAGAATTACAACACTCTTAACAGAGACTCCCAAGATCAGGGGAACCCGCAGCAGGTCGTCCGAGCTAGTCCAGTCAGAACTGGTGAATTACCTGAGCCAATGCTATCGTGGTTTAATGTGGATCGGAAAATCTTCAGCCTCCCACCCAGGACATGCCAACCTTGACTGGGTTAGGCACGAGCTTCAGGATGTTCATCTTTTGCTTAACCTGCGAGTTGCTCTGGAAATGACCCAAGCGTGGGAAAAAACTCTCAAGCGTGAGATGATGCAACAAGCATTTCAAACACTGGACTTGGATGAGATAAAACAAGGTAAGTACTTTCAATCTGGGCGTTGAATTGGATCGAACTGACCGCTTCATATAGTTCGAAAGCGCAGCATGGAGTACGAGGTTTTAGCTACTTACCTCAAAGGGTCAGTGGGGTCACTTCATTCAATCCAATACAAAGTGAGTCTTCCTTACTGGAATACCTGGATTGTTGTATCAGGCAAAGTGTTTAATTCAAATATCAGGAGATCCTCAATATTTTCCGTATTCGGCGGCGCGGAGAACACGAAAGACTCTGTAAATGGAGGTCAGAGAATAAAGACAAAGTCGGTGGCGGACTCCTGCTTTGGCACGGCTCAGGGTGTGAAAAGTTCATCGGAATCCTGAGTCAGGGACTCCGCGTTCGTCTTTTCGAGAGAAGTTCCCAAGGCATGTTCGGCGCGGGAATCTATTTTGCCGACATGTCTGGCAAGTCTGCCCGATACTGCAGTGGGCCTGGTAAGTCGGTGTTTATGCTGCTTTGTGAAGTCGATGTTGGGCGGGACCCCGTTCACTATGACTCTAGCGATACCAACGCAGAGACAACTTTGCGCCGTCAGGGCAAAGTTGGGCTTATTGCCCGTGGCCGCTCGGGTCATATGAAGTGGATGGACGCTGAGGCTGTCCATCGTGACCTCAGAGGTGTCAGCATGCCCGACGTTTCTGCTGGGGGGAAGACCCTCCTAGTTCATGCACTTGCATACAACGAATATGTGGTCTACGACCCGGCTCAGATCCGGCAGCGATATTTATTCCACGTACAGACCAGCTAAGCCGAGCTTCACACTATACCACTGTGGTTAGTCAACTGTGTTGCGGAAGAGCAGAGGAAGGGCATATTTCTGGAACTGTCAACAATGATAAGCTCTACCTTTAGAGATCTATCTCATTTCATTTGATGATTCTCTCAGCTTCTTGCATACTTGAAAACCATATGTCATCTCTATGTACGTACTGCCCATTTTAATATGCGTTTGGGCGGTAGGAGAAACAGTCTCATACAATAACTTCTGGTATGGGCGAGACCTTAGAATACCAGTTTTCGAGCCCGAGCCACAAATTTCCATTTTCTATGATCATATACGGCCCACGACGTCTGAACAAGGAGATTAATATTTGAGCAAATAATTTGCCTCACTGCTCTTCTAACTTCAAAATATTGGGTTGTGCTGTTTGCCATCCAAAATTCCAGTCCTTGCCTCCTCATCCAACGATACGGCTCTAGTTCTCCTTCACAGGAGCTCTCGGCTCCTCTGCTAAACTATGCTATTATTTTATCTCCCTCCCACCCCTATTGGATACTTTGAAGTAAAGTAAACCTGCGTGTCGATTACTCTGCCATGGTCCAATCGGTTCAAACCGTGATCTTGTGGTATAAAGATGTCCTGAGGTATAGGCACCCGGGTTAATCCCTCATGATTTATGCCGTACTTTCGGAATCATTCTACTGACGAGATCTGTAGATTGGTTGAACATAAAATTACCGCGAGATATGTTAACATTTAGGGCAGATGCTATCATGCGGCACCTTGGAGCCGTGGCGCGGGGTGACTTGGATGAGTGGAACGTTATTTAGTGCGCCCATACAGCTTATCCCCCGTATTGCAAGACCCCGATGACTTTACTAGCCCAGGATCTGCAGTGCATCCTGGCCTGTGAAGGCAAGTCAATGGTTTTTACATCTATTTAGGGCCAAAACGTCTAGTGATTTTGCAAGGGTCAAGCTATTAATCGTCAATTAGACAGTTGTGACCGCATTCAAGGAGGCGGTGTTTCTCATCCACGCATTCAATAAGATATTGAACCACCTGACTAGCTGAAGATTTTCTATTCTGCCGGTATATTGCTGATAATTCAAAAACAGCGCTTGAAGCAAACACAATTCCATATTGTAAACATGTGTAAGAATTTCATGAAGCCAGGAAGCTAGAGAAGAGAGAGATGTATAGTAGAAGCATGCAAACTGCAAGATTTTGCAAAAGCCACCGGTCCCGTTCACTTACAAATCTTCATGAGGGCCTGGAGCTTGTCATCATCACCCTTGAAGGTTGAACCAAAGCCGCTAATCACCTTTGCTATCACCCCGTCAGAGCTTTGCAACAGACGCAAGACCCTTTCTATCGCGGGAAGCCTTAGCGGATACTTTGCTTTGCCTGACTTTGTCGAACCGTGGTTGGATTGTCCGCACCACCAGCACATGGGGATTTTCTGTCTTAATTCATAGGGCATTCTTGCACGGATTTTAGCTCTCTTAGAAGCTTTTTTCTCGAGAAGGTTGACCAGTAATGCCGGTTCTTCGGGGGCTCAAGTTTGAGAGATCTCAAAGCAAGGGGATCTGGCTTAACGTTCTGGAGGTCCTCTTGGGTGACTAATTTGACCACATAGCCTAGATCACATCCTCGAATCACAAGATCCTCTTCACGACTGGTCCCCAGATGGAGGCTACTTACTCTACATTACTTCTCCGAACAACATGTGGGCTTGCTCAACATAGGGCCTCAAATACTCAGAGTTCTTCTCCCACATGTTGTCCGGAGAAGTAATGTAGAGTAAGTAGCCTCCATCTGGGGACCAGTCGTGAAGAGGATCTTGTGATTCGAGGATGTTATCTAGGCTATATAGTCAAGTTAGTCATCTTCATCGGTGTGATTGTTGTGCTTTGCTTACAGTTGACAGGTTATGTGCTTTTCTTGAAGCTCTAGAAGCTCAGTTCGAATGGATTCAATCATTAGTTCGATGATTGAATCCATTCGAACTGAGCTTCTAGAGCTTCAAGAAAAGCACATAACCTGTCAAGATGAAGGTGAAAAAGAGGGTCTAAAGGTGGGGGGGGACGAGTCCAACACGTCCGCGCCCGCCCCCCCCCCCCCCCCTAACACAATTTTCTTGTCATCACAACTCGCTCATGGAGACGATACTGGATTACCCATTTCTGATTGATTCCGCCGCTCTTGATTGCCGAAGCTAGATGGGTGGATTTCTGTAAGGTATCCATCCAAGAATGATTCGGGGAAAGAGGATCAGAGTCGCTGACAGTCTCGGTTAAAAGATGCCAGATTTCTTCAGCCATCATCGTATGTGTCTTGGGGTCAAATCATGGATGTTGTGGTTCCCAACTCTTCAAACATTTCCTCCGTGACATCTTTCATGATTTGGCCCCAAGACACATACGATGATGACTGAAGAAATCTGGCATCTTTTAACCCAGACTGTCGGCCACTCTGATCCTCTTTCCCTGAATCTTTCTCGGATGGATACCTTACAGAAATCCACCCATCTAGCTTCGGCAATCAAGAGCGGCGGAATCAATCAGAAATGGGTAATCCAGTATCGTCTCCATGAGCGAGTCGTGATGACAAGAAAATTGTGAGACCAAGTTACGGTCTGCGAGTAAAATGAGGCGCCTTGGGAGGAGAATAAACCAGTAGAGTCAGAAAATTGTTTATGGCGAGTGGACAGCGAGGAGAGGGAGGTGATCAAAAAGTCCTGATGGAGAAATATGTCAGTTTCGGCTAGGCTCAGCCATCTTTTGAAGGTGCCATCGAACGGGATAGTGAGTGGGGATCAAGGCACCGACAATAGCAGGATACTGTGATCCTTGTTGCGAAGGAGCCAGCTGAAAAGAATCAGGTGCATCTAACGGAACAACGAATGTGAGGAAGGAAGAAGAAGGAAGAAACTATGGAGGAGGTGTCCGCTATTATGTAGTGAGCTCTCATGCAAACGGGCCCCATCAGGTTAGTCCGATCAGCTGCTGCCTTCTTCACACATCCCTCAGGTAATTTCCGCATCATCTGACCACAGGGCCTTCGCTCTTCGTCCATCGTCATGTCATGCGTCACAATCTTGCGGGATCGGCTCTGATATAGGAGATCCAGTCGGCCCGGGCAGCAAAAGAAGGAAATTAACAAATGCATAAAGCGGCTAGGCCATGGCAATGGGAACAGGAGGAACACAATATCTCTGTGACTGCAATGCTAGATTTAAACTGGGCCTGGTAGCATGAAAACCAAAAGAGCTTCTGCATCAGGTGGTTTTGATACTTGTTCGCCGATCCCTTCAGGGCGCGATGTCATCGACCCAGGCAGTGCTGCAATCCTCTTCCCACGTCGACCTTCGTCTCCAGATCTCTCGTCAGGACTCTTCCCCTCCAGCGGATTACCCCGACCGTCCTAATGTACCCCGCGATTTCCTATCCTCGGTGTATATCTCTCGCATTCTCGATGATCTCCCCCCTGAATCGCCACCCGCGTCGCAATGGAGCTATGCGGACGTCAGAAAGTCGTCCAGCGCATGCTGCTGTTGGTTCTCCTTGCGATTCGACGTCGGTGCCTTTCCGAGCATGTCTTTAACATGGATTTGACAGAGCCACGGTGCCTACGGCAAGACTTCCGCGCTGAACGTTTTTACAAGAAGTGCGCAAGTTCCCCCAATCCACCCCACCTCTCCCCTGAGCCGCTATTCCTGGCTGCGCCCGGACTTGGAGCAAGATGGCTAACATCCTGTGAATCTAGATTCTTCCCCACGGTATAGTAAGGACTCCCCGCTCATAACGAGACCTCCGCAACATGTGAGATTCCTCACTGCTTCCCGAACAACGCGCTGATCGCCGCCGTCTCCTTGCGCTCCAGTGAAGCAACTGTCTTTGGTATGCGCCTGCTCCACAAGGGTTGAAAATTCAAAGACGAGGTTGCTAAGTATCGCTCTATAGAAAACTATGTCCATGGTACGGCATCCGCAACCCGCTGAACTTTCCTCTCGTAATACGGAACATATCTAAGTGTCATGAATTCTGACCCTCGGTGGTTCCGATATATATCCACAACCTAGAGAGTGATGGCTTCCGTCAATGCAATACTAGAGTATTCTACTTTGAAATTCATTGATATAAGTTGCTTGTTGAGATACCAAGTTGTAGAAATATCGCTTTTACTGCGATTGAGGGTGTTCGGTTTGCGTGGGGCATAAGTTTGAGCTTATATGACCTGCACTCGGTTTTCAAATTACAAACTATGAAACCTAACTTGCCTTTTGAGTATGATGAGCTACCGATGCCTCAAATTTTATTTCCATATGTCTTCCATAGAGGATATAGGTTGTTCGTTGTTGACTCCGTCATCCAAGGTATAGATCGTTATGGCAAAAACTATCTAGCCAGCTAGGGGGCAATTAAACCAAACAAATGATCAGTCCTTGTCCAATAAATCCGGCAAAGTGGCTCTCTTGGGGATATGCGTAGATGCCAAGAGAACTGTTGTCACAGGAAAGCCAACGAGCAGCTTAGCTGACAGGGTCAATGCGGTGCGCCGCGCGATCGGGGTCACCCGGCTCTCACCCTGTCCATTACGCACTCACCCCATGTCACCCAAATCGCGCGACGCTAAAGCGGCGCTCACCCCATTCTCACCCAGGCGGTAGCCCCCCGACTACTGACTGCACATAAGCCACACGCCGGTCAACAAGTAGTATGGTGGATCGACCAAATGCGAATCCTGACTATTTTATGTTTTTTATGCGCTCTTTACTCCTATAAATTCGAGGGTACATATATTTCTTCCTCCCTTTATCTAGCACATACGACCATAGGGTGTGGAGAACAGGGCTTCCCGTCCGCTCAGCCGTACTTAAGCCACACGCCGGTCAGTTAGTAGTATGGTGGGTGACCACATGCGAATCCTGACTGTTGTATGTATTTTTAGATATGGCTGGCTGTTCTTATTCCTGTAAATTCAAGACATTAACAATCTCTGGGAATGGTTTCCGTGACTGCTCTATCAAGTATATGCGAGTATAACGGCGAAGAACGAGTGAAAATTCTTATTATCGAGGATCCGTGAAGGAGATCAGTCTAGTACTTTCGAGAATTCTTATCCGAATGCACATCAGTATTTTAAATATGTTGAGGAAGACTAGACGCGGCACAAGGATCTGAAGCATCGCGGGATTACCAAGCGTGGATCATCTCACCTACTCACGAACTTCTGGCTGACTTGCGGGGCTTGGCTGGGTCACTAGAAGGGTTTTCCAACTTACTGCACAATACAGGGTCTTTCTGCTTGATTACATTTCTATTCTTGGCGATAAGCAAGATTCAGGGGTCAATGATGGACACACCGAAAACGGTTGTTGAAAACCAAAATGCCACTCTTCTCCCCGTGCATGATTTACATCTCGCTAGAACGGGTAGTTGATAGCCACAAAAGGGTCCCATGTCAAGGCACTTCAGACTGGCGTGAAGGACTGCCTTGGAAGCGGGTAACTGGGGGATTTAGTAAGACTGAAATATGACCGCACGTACATAATCATCAACTTACTTTGGGCCCACTTGCTGAATCCCCAGATGTGCAAGCCAATTTCCCATGTCAACCGAGGTTTCCAGTGATTTTTGCTGCACAATGCCGGCGAGAAGTCCTCCCGCGAAAGCATCGCTAAAATCATAGATAGTGAATTAATCTCGGAGCCGTCTTCTGGACCTTTAGGTAGTCGGTCAAACAATCTTTTAGTCACACTCACCCGGTTCCCGTTGTGCCAATGATTTCTGCCGCGGAGATTTTGCGGACAGGAATATCCTTGTGTCCTGGGGTTCCAGAAACCGCAATGACTGTAGGAGAAGACCCTTGGGTTACTAAGACTACCCGAGATCTGTTTTCATTTGCCTTTGGCAAGTTTGCGAGATGTCCGGCGATCGTAGGAATATCCTCAGACTTGTTCCGTGTTAGTGCGATGGAACTCACATCGCGGTAGAGTAATATTTTTAAGCATAAAGTAGGTAATCACCTCTAGCCCATGGGACTGCGCCCATGCCCGAGCCTCACTCTCGTTGCCAAGAGATAATCCCAGTAGGGTTCGGTTCAGTCCAGAACATCTTTAAACGCAGTAGAATAGAGGGAGCAGATAGTGACATCACAAACATCTAGCGAAGCTCTCAGTCATTGAGAGTAGGTTGTCGAAGAATAATACTTGGAAAAGACCTACCTTGTTCTTGGCCGCGGCCTCCTTCGCCAAAGCTAAAGCTGCCTCGGGGTAGACGGTTAAGTGGTACCCTCCAACGAAATATATTTTCATACCCGAAGGCCTGAACATCTATTTGAAGTGTCGGCGAGGTCAATAAGCAAGATCAATCAGCGAGACCGTATAATATTACCAAGCAGTGGATTTTCCAAACATAGTAGAACTGGCATTTTGTCGACTTGTCGATGGGTGAAGTGTGGAAAGAGGGGGTGTGGCAGGCTATCAGGCTACCAACACCGACCAGGGCCTCTAGTCACCCCGCCCTGCGAGATTCCGCTGAGTGCGAGCTTAGTTTTCTTTTCTTTTCTTCCTTTTTTATAGTTCGGAGACAATTCTCTGGATAAACTCACTAGTGCGGAAGAGAGTATTTCACAAGTTCACTCCCGCGGTGAGATATTGCAGTCCCGAGCAAGAGAGTATAGGATCTGTGCGTGGGATCTAGCACTGTCAGGTTGCTCATTCACTGAATAGTTGAATAATAGATAATCGGATCCTTAGTCTATACGGTCAATTCTTGTTCTGACAACAACTTTCGCTGGCGGACCATTCCGCGCGGGTGTGAAGGAGCCTGTAGCATTTACCGTCGAGCCAAGGAGACCAACTGTACGGAGTACTCCGTACTATAGGGCTCAGAGGCCAATAGAGCGGGTGGTTTGTATTAGTCCCATCTATGCGAAATTTTAATATTAATCCCATTTATACAACAGTTTACATAAGAGCCCGGATGGTCTAAGGGTAAGATTCTCCCTTTGGGTGGGAGAGATTCCGCGTTCGAGTCGCGGTTCGGGCCTTCGTTTCATTTTTTGCCTCCTTTAATACTTACGCCGCCTACCCCGCCTACCCTAAAATATTATAATGTTAATATTAATAACCTTAACTATTTAGAGAAAATCCTATGGATTTCTACCTAGTAGAGAGCTAATCCAACTCTAGTAACTTTTTTACCATGAAGTAAAGTAGAAACATAAGTAAGACCTCTACTAATTCTACAAGATAGATTTAGTCAAAAAAATTGTAGCTTAGTTGTACCCTAGATCCTAACTCAGTCTAAATCCCTACTAATAATGATGCGCAGTTTGTGCATACCGAGTTCAAAGGTATTCTGATTCCTGATTAGGACTCGGGAGAGTCATGCACGGACAGGTTTGGATTGGGGAGATGGATTCCGGCGGGTACAGTCCCTACCTACTATGAACCCAGCTCATATCCGCCAATGCTACTTGATTTACATCAAGCACGACTGAGCCAAAAATATTTTCAGGGCTGATGCTTTCAATAGGAATATATTGCCTTCAATACTAGGGTGGATCTCTGTCCAGTAGCCATGGACTGAGGATCACTCATGGTCACTCATCGCTAAATCTGTGATCAAAGATTATGCATTTTTGTGGGTCTTTTCGTTGCTGTATGGCTTCCCATTGGATGATATTACCTTACCGCCCGCAGATATTCTGCCAAGCTCCCTACCTACCCCATCAAAATTTCCTATTACGGTCGGTACAGACAACTTTCCGGACACCCCCCTTGCAATTTTAAAATATTACATAAGATTCTGCCGGCAGATGTTGCCATGGTAGCTATATTGGCTATCTTGGCTGTCTGGCTATATTGGCTGTCTGGCTATATTAATATGTAGTGTACCAGCCATCTGCGTCGATAATCGCCTATACACGCCTTCATACTATCTAATAGTCTTTATAATATCTCATGATCTATACAAGACCACGCTGTCTGCGCAGCTAATATTAAGAACGACCGCGTTGCTTCATTATTTCGCATATAATATAGCTTAGGAAACATCTTCAATAGCTTATCTTTTAGCAACGCCCAAAGATTTTCGATAGGGTTTAAATTAGGCGAATAAGGCGGCTATTCTATAACAATATAGCCTTGTTCTTAGAGCTAATTACGTACGCAATATGCAGTGTATACTGGAGCGTTATCGTGCATAAAGATAGCCGATCGATCCGATATAGATTAAGATAATAACGTCGGTAGCTATTGTCGATATGTTTCGAGGATTCGTATGCTATTAACACTACTACGAGGTGAATCGGAATAGCTATAAAGGGGTATTAAGGCTGTTCGACGCGTACTCCCTACGAAAGACGCCTAAAACATCTATCGAAGCTGTTTACTACATAGTATCGGCTTTACCTCGCCTAAACGAGCTTGATCTTTTCGTCGAATAAACGTCCACTCATCGTTTTCGCTAGAACCTCGCTCAATTAATATTTCATCAGACTAATAGACGTTTTCCCAATCACTCGATATAAAATCACGATATCTCTACGCCTATACAAGACGTAAGCGTACGTTACGCTCGGTTAATTGAGGTCGCTTGATCTTACGCCATTTTCGTAGACCAAGGTCTTTCAAAAGTAGCCGAAGTGTCTCGCGGCTGATCTTATTATCGACAAGATCAAGCAATTCGTTATATTTGATGCCTGGCTTCGTTTGGATAGCGTCGAATAGGAGGTCTCGTTCGAATTTACTAAGGTTACGTGGCCGACCGGAGCGCTTGCGTGAGGTGTTTTCGTGGCCACGAATAGCCTCTTTGAGACACGTATCGATGATTGTAGAGCGTGGAATATGTGGAAATTCGCCTTGTATACGATTATATGACCATTTGGCGTTATTTCGAAGGCTGCATATACGCGAGCGAGTTGATGGTGAGAGTTCTTTGCCTGCACCCATTATATATGTGTGTGTGTGTGTGTGTGTGTGTGAGATAGGGGGGAAAATCTTACATATCCCTTATTCGACGCATTGCTGATGTTATTGTTGATATTATTGTTGATGTTTACTATTGATCTATCATATTTTGATGGTTGCCAGGCGTTTATGGCTAATTTAGTAGGCGGTAAGATTAGGCGGTGGAAGGGTGTCCGGAAAGTTGTCTGTACCGACTGTACTCTCTACTACACACGTCTTACATCATATATATATCTTTGATCTTAGGTACTATATCAAATTTCTAGATTGGGTATTTTGTTAAATTTATCCTAATATTGTAATTTATTTATATAATTCAATGCCTCCCTCTTTGTTTTGTTTTATTCTATCAATCACAATCGACCAAAAAAAAGATATCCGCTCTTGGCCTCTACATGTCTTGAAGTCTTAACCTCTATATTAGGCTAATAAAAAGTCACTACTACGTTATATCCTTTATTTCGATCCGAAATAAGTCTAAATCGCCATTAACAATTTAATAGGTAAGATTCTCCCTTTACGTAGGAGAGACTCCGTGTTCGAGTCACGGTCGGGCTTTTTTCCCTACTTTAGTGTACACCGCTTACCTAAGATTGTAATATTAATATTATTAATATTAACTATTTAACTAGAGAAAATCCAACTTTAGTCATTATATCCCTGGTAGCAATAGTTTGTTATCTCTTTTGCCCCTAAATCTTATTACCCTGATAAATACCTTACCGCTTCTAGGCGCGCTAATTTCTGCCGGTTGGCGGATTTTACTAAGCAATCTTAACAAACGCACCATAGGATCCTTGGCTTAAATATCCCTATTACCTCTCGCTCTGCATCAAACTTTTCTTCGCCCGTTTTATATCTCCTATCTTCCCCTACTTTGTATCAAACCTTTCTTCCTGTGCCTATCCGGACCCTTTTCGAGTGCACGATCTGCCTATCACACCAACCAGGGCTCTTGGTCGACGCCTGGGATAACCCGGGACCTGGTGGGCACTTTCCCATAGCTTACGTGATTTGCTGTGGACCCCTGATAAGTTATCAGGGGGAGGGCAGGGGTGGACCATCCCATTGCATCTGTACGCAGTATACATGTAGAAGGGGCCTGTCAGAAGATGCTTTAGTTCCCTAGTTGATCGTGGATAGTACTACATGAAATAGGGATTTACCGCCAAAAAATTAGCTTGTACAACGCCAGGTTCATAATGGCAGTATTAATTGGCTGTTTTCCAATTCTGCAGATTATATTTGAATCTTCTCCTACATCTCATGCAGGACTTTTTGGGGAGATTGTAAGGCGTATTTTCCACCAGATTTACGATCGAGTATAACCTGTTGGATCCCTCTTGTGATGCACGCTCATCGAGGTGTAAGTTGGCATCGGCGGGTCCGATACCAGACGGGCCCGCCGGGCATCCGATGGCGGCCCGCCAGCCCCCCCAAATGGTTGCAACATGCACTTGTTGGACCTCGTATTAAAATGGCAGCCTAGGGACAATGGTTTGCAGGAATAGCCGGTGATCCCCCGCGGTACAGTTCTGTCTTCTCCATGAACCACCAGGGCACCATCTCGCCACTTCTGCTCGCTATCTGCAGTACCCGCTTGTCGTTACATTCAATCGCTCCACCGCCGATCTCCACTCCGCAGCCGGAGGATCCTTGGCTGCTCTTGATTCATAAAGCCGCCGAGTCCCAGGCTGAATAGATCTATCTCTTGACTTTCCTGGTTATCTTGACCTTCCCCGCTGGCCCCTATGGTCCCCACAATCTGGATTGCGGCCGTCTCGCTGGCTGCCGCCGCCGCAGCGCAATATTTCCCACCTACACCCGAGGGGCTGAAGGTGGTTGACTCGAAACACGAGAAAGGAGTGAAAATCTCATACAAGCAGGTAGGTGATCACCTTGGCAGTTTGGCGGTTATTCAACCTCAAAGGTCACACAAGCATCTACTAAATGAGGATCCTAGCCGGGGGTCTGTGAAACCACACCAGGCGTCCGATCGTACTCGGGCTACGTTCACCTGCCCCCGGGCACTCTGAACGATGTGGGAGTGTCTCAGAAATACCCAATTAACACCTTCTTCTGGTTCTTCGAAGCCCGACATGACCCGAAGAACGCCCCCTTATCCATCTGGATGAACGGCGGGCCCGGCAGCTCCTCGATGATCGGTCTCATGCAAGAGAACGGCCCATGCCTCGTGAATGCAGATTCCAATTCGACCGAGCTCAACCCCTGGTCGTGGAACAACTATGTCAACATGCTGTACATCGATCAGCCTAACCAAGTCGGGTTTAGCTACGACGTCGCCACCAATGGCACCTACGACCAGATTGCCAGCGCGTGGGATGTCTCGAAGTGGAAGCGGGGTGTACCTGAACAGAACAACACCTTCTATGTCGGCACGACGACCAGCGGAAAGGCTAATGCAGCTGCCAACAGCACAGAGAATGCCGCTCACTCGCTGTGGCACTTTGCACAGACGTGGTTCTCTGAATTCCCCGAATACAAGCCCAACGATGATCGCGTGAGCATCTGGACTGAGTCATATGGTGGCCGATACGGCCCGTCCTTCACTGCGTTCTTCCAGGAGCAAAATGAGAAAATCCGAAATGGCACTCTCACCGCTGCTGGTACGTCGCATTACATCCACCTCGACACATTGGGCATTATCAACGGCTGCGTCGACCTCCTCATCCAAGCACCCTCCTACCCAAAGATGGCCTACAACAACACCTACGATCTTCAGACGATCAACGAAACCATATACACGCAAGCCATGCACTCATGGAGCCGATCAGGCGGCTGCAAGGACCAAATCAAACATTGCCGTGCCCTCGCCGCCGAAGGCGATCCTCAGATGCGTGGCAACAATGAGACCGTCAACAAGGTCTGCAAGAAAGCCGGTAACTTCTGCAGCAACGCCGTCGAGGGCGCGTATGTCAACTACGCTGACCGGGGCTACTACGATATCACGCACAAAAACCCGGACCCATTCCCGCCGAACTACTTCCTGGGCTTCCTGAATCAGCACTGGGTGCAGGACGCGCTGGGCGTGCCAATCAATTTCACCGAGTCGGTCGACAGCGTCTATGAAGGGTTCCAGTCCACGGGTGACTATGCCCGCGCCGACGTGCGCGGGTACTTGGATGACCTGGCGTACGTGCTGGACTCAGGGATCAAGGTCGCGCTGGTGTATGGGGACCGCGACTATGCATGTGACTGGATCGGCGGCGAGGATGTGAGTTTGAGCGTCCAGCATGCGCAGGCAGATGCCTTCCGGGCAGCGGGATACTCGGCGCTGCGCACGAATGCGTCATATGTGGGCGGGCAGGTGCGGCAGCACGGAAACTTCTCGTTCACGCGTGTGTATGAGGCGGGCCATGAGGTGCCGGCGTATCAGCCGCAGACGGCGTATGAGATTTTCCATCGGGCGCTGTTCAACCGTGATCTGGCGACGGGGAAGATTGATACCGCGCGCAATGCGTCGTATTCGACGACGGGCCCGGCCTCGACGTGGCATATCAAGAATCAGGTGCCTGAGAGCCCGGAGCCGCTGTGTTATATTCTGGCGCTGGAGGCTACCTGTACCGAGGACCAGATTGCCAGTGTGGTGAATGGCACGGCAGTCATCAAGGACTATGTGCTTGTGGAGGGTGGGGAAGAGTAAAAGGGTAGAACGTATAAGGTGTCTATATTGTGCATGCTGCGTATATACCAGCTAGAAATCATAGTTGCATTTACTGTTTACCCCGTTGATAGGCACGTGCCCCGCCTGAGCAGTGGCAGCCGTCCCTTCCTAATCGGGAAGTGGCCTCTTACCTCACTTGCCTCACTTCCCTCAGGCAGAAAACCACCTCGCTCCTTCCTTTCTCTTCTTCTTGTTATTACCATCTTCCTCTCCCTCCACTCCCTAAATTTCTTCCCACTCAAGATTCATTTTAAGGTCGCCCGCCCTGCTCTATTTCCAACATCAGTTCCTCTTTTGTCGTGGAGTTTCCTCTGGTGGGTACCTTGGCTTTGGCTCAAGGTATTCTTCTCCCTTCCCTAATACCCGATGATGCGAAAAGATGCTCTGCCATTCCGGAGAAGTTACCGCTTCCTCAGTGGGCTTCAGTTTACTGGGTGGGTGTGCGTAAGAGCCAGTGACGGGGTAAGCTGGATTCGATAATTCTCCCGCTGCGGGCTTCATTCTCCCACTCACTTACCCAACCACCCACATACACACTGATTTTTCTCCTTTACTTGCTTTCTTCCCTTGTTCATTCACATCATTGGTTCCAAAGATCTCGGATTCTGAGAGATCTGTGGCAGGAGTGGTTCCCGTTGTTCAGTAGCCAGTGCTGGCCATTCCTTTCTGTTTGTCATCTGTTTTACCTCTGTATGTCTGGTACAAAATAAGACTGTCTTTCCGTCTCGCCATGCGTCAGGCTGTCTTGTTGTGTCTAAGCTTGAAAGTCTTGGGGGCCAGTGGAATGGGATGAATCAAACTATATCGATAGATACCCATCTCCTGCAAGAATACTATTTAAGCTTAATTCAACTCCACGTATGCTATCATAGCTCGTGTGCCTATCACAGTCGTCGAATTAAGTTATTGGGCGGAGATCGGCCGAGACCCTACCAAAGTGCCACTGACATAATGCCTGACTAACCGAGTGGGGCCGGGCCGTCGATGATGTTATGGATCGGGTCGTGAAGGTCGACTCTTGTGCAAGCAGAGAGCCGATCAATGGATTAAAAATGTTCATAACAGGAACAGACGCACAGCCAGTATAGAAGATCATATGAAGCCATGATCTTTCGAGTGGCAGGACTGCCGGGCCAGGCGATCGAACCTTCTCGAAGCTTCGACCCCGCGACGTCACACGTCACTGGGGGCGGGCGCAGGGCTCAGGTTGAATCCGCTGCAGTCCACTCATTCAAGTTCCAGCTTCTCCCCGCAGGTTCCTTCCTACGACTCGTTGCTCAACTTTCCCGTTTTCCTGCACAAACCGAGCCACTTTCAATCCAATTTCAAAAGAACTCTCTCTCTCGTCCCGGGACCCTGTGTCCAGACCGAAGCTTCTTTATCCTTCCAGAAACAGCCATCAGTCTCCCTCCTTCCAAAGGACCCTGTCACCATCAACGAGGGTCCTTCATTTTAAGCCCGCAGCACCAGCAACACCCGCGCTGACTCTTCTTGGTCTCTCGGTGGAAACTCAATTCAACCCCGCATAAACATGGTGGCCGAAACTAAGCTCTACGATGCCTTGGGTATCCAGCCCACGGCATCGCAGGACGAGATCAAAAAGGCCTATCGCAAGGCCGCCCTGAAGCACCATCCAGACAAGAACAAGGATGACCCCAAATCAGCTGAGAAATTCAAAGGTATGTACCCTGAACACCGGCCCTCTCTCAGTCTCGCATTACCCCGCTATCTGGACCTCCAAAACTAACTCTCGCCTACAGATGTCTCTCAAGCCTACGAAGTCCTCTCCGACCCCGAGAAACGCAAGGTCTATGACCAGTTTGGCCTTGAGTACCTCCTCCGTGGCGGTCCCGCCCCGTCTCCTGGCGGTGGTGGAGGTGGTGCCGGCGGTATGCCCGGAGGCTTCAACTTTGGCGGGATGCCATCAGGCGGCGGTGGCACGCGCACATTCCACTTCTCAACCGGTGACGGTGGCGGTGGATTCCGCTTCAGCAATGCGGACGACATCTTCCGAGAGTTTGCTAAGGCCGGCGGTGCTGGAGGTGGTGGTGGTGGCGGCGGCGGCGGCATGGGCGGATTTGACGACGATATTTTCTCAATGCTCGGCGGCGGCGGCGGCGGCTTCCGTAGCCGCCCAAGTGGAGGTGGTTTCACGTCAAAGGCTAACCGTGCTCCGACGCCAGAGCCTACCGTCATCGAGAAGGACCTGCCGCTGACACTGGAGGAGATCTTCAATGGAACCACCAAGACCGTGAAAGCTAAGAGCAAGTCGTTTGATGCGAGTGGTAGGCGCACTGTGCAGGACGTGCCGCTAGAAGCTGTCATCAAACCCGGAATGCGCGCCGGGACCAAGATCAAGTACAGGAATATTGGAGACGGCGAAGAAGGAGGCCGACAAGATATGGTCCTGGTGGTGAAATATGTACGTGATTCCCCTTTCCTGTCCCCAAAAAATCCATCTCGTCAATGAGCAGTCACTAACAATTCCGCAGCTCGATCACCCGGACTTCAAGCGTGAGGGCGACAACCTCATCACAACCGTTGATCTCAGCCTCAAAGAAGCCTTGACTGGCTGGGAGCGCATCGTTCGGACCATCGATGGAAAATCGATCCGCGTCTCCAAACCTGGTCCCACACAGCCCGGCCACGAGGAACACTACCCAGGCTGGGGCATGCCGAACTCCAAGAAGCCTAGCGAGCGGGGCGACCTCGTCGTTCGCGTAAAGGTCACGTTCCCGACGACGCTGAGCTCCGAGACAAAAGCCATCCTCAAGGACCTCCTGCCCTAAAACCTGTTATTTTATTTCCTAGCATTGGTCCCGGCGTTGGTCTGAGCGTTCATTTCTCATTGGGTGGTAATTAATGACAGCAACGACATATTTACTCGAACTGAATTCTTTAGTTTTTTTTTGCTGTTTTTCTGTAGTTCATTTTTCTTTGTTTTCTCTGTTTGATTGTTTTTCTGTGGACGCATCACTCACACTTGCAGTTGGCAGCATTCTGCTGGCCAGCCCGTAGAAGATGGCGTATTTGTACGTAGACCAGTCTAACCCCATTTGGGGAATGCGGAGAAGCACCCTCACTTGGAGAAATCCACACAACCATATCTCCACTCCTTCCAAACTTCCACCTTCCACTCGATTATAACAAAACCATTCACCATGAAGCGCAGAGTCACCTATGTCCAGCGCCCCGAGACCCCCTTCGAGCCGCAGCAAGCAATTCTGAGCTCCTCGGCCCTGTCGGTCCACGGCCTGGACGCCGCGCGTGAGGACCGCATTACGTTCGGCCTGGAAGATCTTCCGGAGGAGGTAGGATGGACAGCACACCGCGTACCAATGATTACAGTGAACTAATGGCCAGTTTTGTTTCCTGTCTAGCTGCGCGTGGTCCTCGAGCAATCCCATGAACTCCGCCTCCGCTGGGCGACCGAGCGCTCCTATGACGCTATCGCACCCTTTACGAGCAGGGTCTCGCCTGGTTTACATGTGCACTATACGCCTCTAGCTGCAGATCAGTCGTCGTGAGTTGCAGTTTGGGGTAGTTACCTCGGCGTGCTGGTCTAGAAGAGTAACTGACTTTGGACTGCGTAGGGAGGGGCTATGCTCGTTGCTCCGCTCGGTATTCGGAACTGAGAACGGACAAGCTGCGGTGGATTGCACCCGGCCGGAGGTATACTGACCCTAATTCCTTCGCTGTCTATTCTATCTGCTTGGATTTCTCAGTTTCATCGTCATTGAAGTGGCTTAACTAATTTCGTTCCCCGAGTACAGGATTCCTTTATCACACCCCCACTGCTATCCACGAGATTCGCGGCCTCGGCCTCCCTCCAGTACTACACACATCTTCCAAGCCTACAATCCCTAGTCGGATTCATCCGGCGCACAGCATGCCACCAGCACCAGGTTGGCGGCACCGAGTGCCACGAGCGTGCCGATTCCCTACTCACGGCCGACACAGTTGATGTTGACTATGATAGCATCTCACACACGCTGAGTATCTCAGGGGTCTGGACGAGTCCACCTGACGGTGGTTGGACGGAAGTGATTCCCAAGCCTGCTTCCAAAGCAGACCAGGTTGAGTTTGGGCTCTTAGGTGCGGAGCAGGGCATCGAGCCCGAGGAGATCAAGATGGGTGGGCTATTGGCTGTTGTCGGAGAGGACAAGAAGATGAGTGAGTTTTCCATGCCCAGCACGCTCTTCACTACACAGTCCCTAGAACGACCGACCTGACCCTCTACAGAACCAACAATGTTCTCATTTCCCTCTCGACATCACCCTCTCCCCTCAGACGCCACCTACACCGTCTCCTTCACCCAGCCAACCGGCCTTCATCCAATAATGTCCATCACCATGCAACGCCCCTCTCTCCAGCGCCCGCCAGCTCCCGAGGACGCAACATGCGCCCTCCACACGTACCTCACACTCCCTTCCTCTGTGTTCGGAGACCAGTACCAGCTCGGCACGACAGACCCGCTCTTCCTCCAATCGCACAACCTGGCCGCGCTCCGCGCGCACGCCGGCGAAATGGATCTAGAAGCACCAGACTGGGCCGTGCAGCGCTGGGGCTCAACCTGGCTCTTCGAGCTCGCCTCGCCAGTCGCACAAATGGATGACGCCGATGGGGCATCTAATTGGACAGCGACCATCCCGCTGCACCTGCGGTACCTGCCTCCGTCAGAGACCGGGCACAAGACTGCACACGTTCCCTGGCCTGTCGTATTCTGGGCATGCACGGCAGAAGACGGGACGAAGATGGGCGTAAACCCCTTCGACCGCACGAACCTGGGCTGGGATGGGCTGTTTGGGCCGCGGACGATGTTCTATCAGCTGCATCCTAAGACTGGGCGGCTTGTTGAGGAGATCGACGTTCCGGTGCTGAAGCTTCAGGCTGGCCAGGGTCTTTTCCAAGCACAGAATATCGAGCTGGGGACTTCGCTGGTTATTTTGCTTGGGTTTTTGTGGGTGCTCTGGCGATTGGTTCGAGTGGCGCTGTTTCGGTCTGGACAAGGACAACGACATGGGCATGAGAAGAAGGAATGAAGAGTGCAAAGGTGGAATTCGCTATCGTGTCTCCATTGGCGTTGCGGGTATCTCAGTATCATTCTTATTGCATGCATAGTGACGGCCATGGCGTATTGGGCTGCTATGCACTACACCTCCTCACCTCCTTAGACAGTGAAGATCAGCCGGTGACTTCTTCTTCAGCCCGGTTTCGTGTCCCCTATTCATGACTTATTTCCAATCATCGCTGTTCCACTCAGATTCCCATCTCAGGCAACGGCCACGGTACGTCCGTCATCAGGAACCGATCAAGGTCAAAGTTCTGCAGACTGGGCATACCAATAACTAAATCGCCCAGCCAAGAAAGTTCTGCATCAGACACCGGACCCAGCCCATCTTGAGCCTGCGCCTGCGTTGGCACAGCCTCCTCCCTCCCCAATCCACCCTGAATCACCCCACCATCCTGTTTAGGCTTTGGCACCTCCGGCTCCTGTACAGCCGCAATCGCATTCGCGCTCAACACCTCCGCCAAAGCCCGCGTGTCATCCTCCTTGCGCCGCTGATGCAGCGCAATAAGCAGATATGCCGTCGAATACGCCTCCCGCATCACAGCCGTGTCATACGCAGCATGCACCTCCCTCAGCGTCAGCATCGCATCCGGGAGCAGGTCCAGAGCCGCGCGATTGTCAATCGCCAGCAGCGTGCAGACCACCTGGAACGGCACATTGGCCACCTGATGCCACGGGCACGTAGATGCAACCATGCCACGCACCGCGCGCAGAGCACGGCCCGCAAGGGTCAGCACGCGGTCCAGCGCACGTCCTGGGAGCGGGGCGTGGGCGTTCAGCGCTCTGACGCGCCGGTATATGCAGAGCGTCAGATTGCACTGCACGAGGATGAGGCTCGGCTCGGTGTAGACTAGGTCCAGGACGGCTGCGAGTGCTTGCTCGAGTTCGGGGAGGTCTTGGGGTGCGGGGCCTGTTGGGTCTAGGCTTTCGGAGAGAGGGAGTAGGTGGAAGAGGTCTGCGCGGGGGGCAGGTGTTGATGAGAGTGAATGGCTGAGTTGGGTTGGGGTTGCTGGGGAGTGGGATGTTGCGCTGGGGAGAACAACACGCGAGCGGCCGAGATCGAACGATATCCAGGTGTTGAGGTGCCGGGCCATGCCGAAGAGGCGTCGGTGGAGGTCACTGTCGCTGGATATCTGTGTAGTGGAGTTGGCATTGTTCTGAGCTCGGGTGAGGCCGGTTGCTTCCGGATCCTGAGCTTCGATGTGCAGGCCGGCGGCTTCGATCAGGTGCATCAGTGTGCAACTAGCCATCCATGCGGCGTGCGGTGATGCTGTCATGCGCAGGTAGGCTGCGCGGAGGACCCAGCCAGTGACCGTTTCAACGGTAGGCGTCTCAGAACTCAGAATGCTCTTTTCGAGGAGCAAGCGTGCTGCATCCACCAGTCGTAGTTCCGTTGGCATGATCTCACGCTGCGAGAATAGATATCCAAAGGCTGCAACACCAAGGAGTACAGCATCGTACGCTGGGTCTTGCGACTCGGCAACAGGCATTGTTGATGTCGGCCAACGTTGTGTAATTTGTGCAAACACTCTCTTTCGGTCCAGAAATGCATAGCATGGATCGACCTTCTCAAAATAAATGGCCGCCAAGCGGCGCATCTCATCCTCCGAGATAATCTTGGTAATTGGCACCGGCGCCGAGACAGTCGCGCTCGACGAGGAGACTGCCGGCGACAGACGCCTCTCGCCAACATTCCACGCAAAAAGATGTAATCGCGGCGCACGCGCAGGGTCAATCCTGAGCCCAAGCTTGCGCACAAAGGCGGCGCCCGAGTTCGCTTCGAGCGAATGACCCATCTGGCGCAAACCGTTCACGCGATGGTAGGATCCCGACGGTGCAGCACTGCCCGCAGCACTACTAGCCGAATTGGCCGCTGTCCTTGGATTGCCCCATCCACCTGAAGGCGGAAGACGCCGTCGCTCGTTCAGTCCCGGTAAGGACGCCCGGTACATACTGGCTGATCTGGCGCGTTTCTTGGGTGGCAAGTCGCTAAATACGCAGTCGACACCAGCTTGGGCGCAGGTGCCGCAGGGCTGCTCACCTGAGCATTTGCGCTTGCGTGATTGGCATGAGAGGCAGGCCGCGCGAGATCGCTTGCGGGGCGCGAAATTGGCCATGGAGTCGGCCATAGAGTCGGTCATGGAAGGGTCGACCTCGCACGGCGGGAGTTGTTTTCATCATGGAAGAGTTCAAGGTCTGGAGCCGCGGGCAGGAGGGCAATTAGGTTTCGGCGCCAAGAGAGGAAAACCGGGGGCCCGCATTGGCCTGGACAACTCGTTATGATTGAATTTGATTGAATTTCCATGGTTAGTCAAGGTCTAGTTTTATTTTGGTCTCATTTGTGCGTGTCCTTCCGCCCTTCCGGATAGCCTATCGTATCCTCTAGGTGCTTCCAATCTGACCTCCCCGGTGGTCCCGGCATGTACTGCAGGTTGTCTCTAGGTATGTCGCGCACCGCACGGAAAACCAATGGCTTCATATACCTCTCGGGCTTGTTATGTACCGGAGTGCATCATATCCTTGGGGTTTAGGTACCTCCTGCACGAATACCACGCTCACGCGGCACAAGGCATTGACAAGGAAATGCAGAAGATCGTGATAATGCCCGGCGATCGGACGCTGGCTCCACCACCGAAAATTTCATATTCTTGTTGATCAAGGTAGGCAACTTACTCCTGTCCTTCTCAACGTTTCGAACGAGTACCAAATATGCATTTGGGATATATATTCGCAGTCCGTCGAGGGGTTCTCGAAGTGAAACCCTTCGCGGTTGCCAGGAGCCGGGACTTGGAGGATGCCATCCCCGTTGCAGTGGCCGAGCCCGTTATAGGGTTGTAGATTGTGCCGTAGGTGCTACTGACGGGCCTGAGATGTAACATACTAGGTACTACCCTAGGCCAATTGCTCCTCAGTTCTCCAAGTGACACAGACAAAAGGGCACCGAGACACAGCAAGGTTCACTTGAAAATACCGGCCCCGCAGTTAGTGGCTACGGCAGCCACAGAGCAAGAGTTTATCTGAATCTCCGAGTACTTCGTCAGTTACGTAGCGGTGTGTGCGAGTGTGCCCGCCAGTGCGTCGCGATAAACCGGGCAGGAACATTGACCAATCAAGCTACAGCGATACTCGAATTCTGAGGCAGCGATTGGCAGGTTATACGGCCGATGTCGGCCCGAGCACCTGATTGGCCACCCCGGTGGTCGGTGAGGCCCGAAACACGTGCCCGCACTGACTCAATGAAAACCTCTCCCTCGCCCTTCTTTCTCCTCCTCCAGTTCTCCCCCAATTACGCCTCAACATTCAAAAGATTTACCTATGTCGTGCTAAAATATCTCTTTTCTTCAACCTCTTCCTTTGACTGGTATAACCACAGTCGCGCTTATGTGTTTGGCACCCTCTATCTTCACCTCCCAGGTACATTCCCTCGCTCTTCCATCGAAAGCTTGCATTCAATGACCACAACCCATACTGATGCCTTTCTCCCTTAGGACTACATCTCGGGTATGCCTTGACTTCTAAGGGCCTCGAAATGGCCCAATTGCTCCAGTCGATACTAACCCCTTACTTTAGACCACCTCTGGAAAGCCCGTATTAACTGAATCGACCTCCTCATAACTCGCTCAAATCTTTGCAAATCCCAAAAACAAAATGTTCATGAATCTGTTCAAGGCCATGCCCGCCCGGGCTCCGGCCTTCGCCACCATGAAGCCCCAAGCTCGCTTCATGGCCACCGTCCGTCAGCGTGCCGCGCTCGAGCCTGCGACCTTCACCATCCGTGACGGTCCCATGTTCACCGGCAAGTCCTTTGGCGCTCGCTCCAACATCTCTGGTGAGGCGGTCTTCACCACCTCTCTGGTCGGGTACCCTGAGTCCCTGACCGACCCTTCCTACCGCGGCCAGATCCTGGTCTTCACTCAGCCTCTAATCGGCAATTACGGTGTGCCGTCTGCAGAGAAGGACCCCAACGGTCTTCTCAAGTACTTCGAGTCCCCCAACCTGCAGGCGGCTGGTGTGGTCGTCGCCGATGTTGCCGAGCAGTACAGCCACTGGACTGCCGTTGAGAGCTTGGGTGAATGGTGTGCGCGGGAAGGTGTTCCGGCCATTTCCGGCGTTGACACTCGTGCTATCGTCACCTACCTCCGTGAGCAGGGTTCGTCCCTGGCCAAGATCACGGTCGGCGAGGAGTACGATGCCAACGAGGATGAGGCCTTCACCGACCCGGAACAGATTCACCTGGTGCGTCAGGTTAGCACCAAGCAGCCTTTCCACATCAGCGCTGCCGATTCCCACTCGCACGTGGCTGTCATCGACTGCGGTGTCAAAGAGAACATCCTGCGGAGTCTGGTGAACCGTGGCGCTAGCGTCACTGTTTTCCCCTTCGACTACCCCATTCACAAGGTTGCCCACCACTTTGACGGTGTTTTCATCTCCAACGGCCCAGGTGACCCCACCCACTGCCAGGACACCGTCTACCACCTGAAGCGCCTGATGGAGACCTCCCAGGTCCCTATCTTCGGTATCTGTCTGGGCCACCAGCTGCTGGCTCTGGCCGCCGGTGGTCGCACAATCAAGCTCAAGTACGGTAACCGGGCCCACAACATCCCGGCTTTGGATCTGAGCACTGGCCGCTGCCACATCACCAGCCAGAACCACGGCTACGCCGTCGATGCCTCGACTCTGCCCTCGGACTGGAAGCCATACTTCGTGAACCTGAACGACCAAAGCAACGAGGGCATGATCCACACGTCCCGCCCCATCTTCAGCACTCAGTTCCACCCAGAGGCCAAGGGTGGTCCTCTCGACTCGTCCTACCTCTTCGACATCTACCTTGACAGCGTGTTGAAGTACAAGAACAGCCAGGCCGGTCTATACCCCCAGCGTGACAGCCGCCCCAGCCCCCTGCTAGTGGATCTCCTGGCTAAGGAGCGCGTGGGTGTGCAGCCCACCATCGGCATGCAGAACGTTGCTGCCGCCGCTGCGGCTGCCGTTGCGGCATAAATGTTCTCATGTTAGTCTGGGAGTTCGGCTTGGTTTAATTGGTCTTGTGGCAATCTGTTTTCGTTTCTCGATTTGGTATTCTTGTCTTATTCACAGTTCCAATTTCATGGTATATTCATATTCAACTTGAGATGATTTGATAAACGTCTACTCCTTTTCTTTTTTATCAATCTCATTAGTAGAGATAGGCACATAGATAATCTCATGCATTATCCATTCTTCTTCTATTTCGCCACTATGGACACCACGTCCTCATCCGCAACCATATGCCCCAATCCCACTCGCTGCGGGATATGTCTCGCACTCGCACCCCACACCAGCGCATACTTGAACGTCTCCTTCAGCGTGCGGTGAATTTGGTCGCAGACGTCCTCAATGCTCGAATCGCGACGCACAATGAGTGCCTCACTGAAATCGGGTTCTTCTCCTTTCCTATATGTCACTCAGTTAGATATTTGCCCTCAATCAATGTAATACGAGTAAGCGTTCGTCTCGTACCGCTTTGTGTAGAGCCGCATTAAACGCAGTTCCTTCCAAATCCGTTCTACCACCTCCTGTACGCCGAGATCGAGCTCACAAGACATGACGGCTGTGTACGGCTCGCGGGCCAGTTGGTCCAAAAACTCGAGACTGACGCTGTCGATCTTGTTATAGACGTACAAGCTATGGGTAGTGTCAGCAATTTCGGTTCCGGGATAGATCCCTCAGTGACAAGAAAACGTACCAGCGAATATACTTGCGGTGATCTTTCATGATCACATCGATGAAGTCGTCAATCGTGGCTAGAACGTAAATCATCAGCAACTGGTCTGGTCTCGTCTCGTAATGGACAGTGCCAGTGAAATTTACCGTTCTCGTCTCGCACCAATACCTCGCAGTTGAGGATTTTGTAGTCGCGGAGGACGTTGGAAATTATCTTCTCGTCAAGGTTCTTGGGTGGTGTTTGGAAGGTGATTTTCATGCCACCGGCCTTCTTCGCCTTGAGATAGATATTTCTGCGATATCTCTATCAGCCCCATAATATAAACGATGGGAGTCACGGTCACGTACGGTGGTTCCTTGTTCAACCGAATGCCCACGGCATCCAATTCAGCTTCCAGCAGTGCCCGCTGCTCAGCACGCTTTGTAGCATCCAAAATCATGAGAACCAAGTCACTAGTCTATCATAGGAAGACACAATCAGCATTTCCCTTTCATCAATCCCGGGCCCAGATCACAAAGAAATACAAACCTTCGCAGCGGAAATGACTTGCCGACCACGTCCCTTACCCTCAGAGGCACCCTCGATGATACCGGGCAAATCCAGAATCTGGATCTCGGCACCACCATACTCCAGCACACCGGGAATGGCTGTGAGCGTGGTGAAAGAGTATGCCGCAGCCTCACTCTTGGTCTTGGTAATTTTCGACAAGAAAGTAGACTTTCCGACGGATGGGAAACCAACGAGTGCTACACGCGCATCACCACTCTTGCTCACATCGAAGCCGGCGCCACCACCGGAGCCTGCACCGCCGACTGGCTCCAGGAGCTGGGCTCGTAGACGAGCGAGTTTTCTGTGGGTATAAGTTAGCCAAAAATTCTGCAACGAGGCAATTTGAATCCGAGCGCGCTATACCCTTTCAATAAACCCAAGTGATATTCTGCAGATGGTTAGCTCTGTAACTGTTTTGCGCTGATATCAGAATAACCAACCTGTCGCCTTGTTCTCTGCGGGGCATGTTAGCGGGGTGATTGATAGGTAGAAATTTGAAGACAGCACGACTTACTCTGCGTCCGGCGCATCTCATCCTCAATCCTTCAGGGATATTGATCAGCTTTCGAGCATCCACGAATCTGCTCCGAGGGGGGGGTCCGCCCGTACTCCTTAATCTTTTCTGTGATGTTCACCATCTTGCCGGTTGCTGAGGCTCCACGCCTGAACGGTCACCAAACGGGATTTTGTTCTTCCTCCTTCCTCGCACAGACTGAGCAGACAGGGTGCCTATCGTGAATACTGTCTGACCGGATCAGAGGGCCCCGAATCGCATGAGTCTCGCGAATATCAACGCCGCCGAGAAAGTTGTTCGACCCGCCAATTCTCTTATGTAAGCCACCACGGCGGCCGGTTCTATCAAGCGTTTCTCACCGCCCTGCCTACCGCCCGCCCTTCACAGCTCGCGTTTGTTCACCTTCAACTTCGACTAGCCTGAGCTCGTTTGGAATCTATTCATACTACACTCGCAACGATGGCCGACACAACGATCACCGAAGTCAGCAATGACGCTGTCGCTGAAATCGACAACGGAGCCGCACAGGCAGAAGAAGGAGACGAGCAGCAGCTCCAACCCGTCAAAAAAACCAAGAAGATCATTCGCCGCAAAAAGCGCCCAGCTCGCGTCCAGGTTGATCCTTCGACTGTGAAGTCTGAACCGCCGCCTCAAACCGGTGATATCTTCAACATTTGGTATTCAGTTTGGTCCGGAGGCGATCGCGAAGACAAATATGGATTGAACAAGCCTGCGCCAGCCCGGTGCAACGTCGCGCGCGACTCAGGGTACACCAAGGCCGACAGGGTGACCGGCTCATACTTTTGTCTATACTTCAGCAAGGGCCAATGCTGGAAAGGATCATCCTGCGAGTATTTACATCGCATCCCCACGATCCACGACATCTTCAACCCTAATATTGATGCGTTCGGTCGTGACAAGCACCAAGACTATCGGTAAGCCCTACTCCCAAATTTTTCTCCTGCGCATCCTCATTCTAATCACCGTCCTTCAGAGATGACATGAGTGGCATTGGTGCGTTCACGAGAGTCAACAGGACATTATATGTTGGAAGAATTCATGTTACAGATGATATTGAGGTGAGTTGCTTTCTCTCGACTACAAGCATTCTTGGGTCGGTCGCTAACATCCAAATAGGAAGTGGTCGCCCGCCATTTCGCAGAATGGGGCCAGATCGAGAGAATTCGCGTGTTGACTGTAAGACTCCTTTTCTAATTATCTACTCTTACATACTAACAAATCTTCATAGGGCAAAGGTGTCGCATTCGTTACCTACAGCAACGAAGCTAATGCTCAATTCGCTGTAAGTATATTTCCTCAGCCTATTTGATTTAAGGCCTATTCTAACCAAGGACCCCCGACCATAGATGCAAGCGATGTCACATCAGAGCCTGGACCATGACGAAATTTTAAACGTAAGATGGGCTACCGTCGACCCGAATCCCATGGCGCAGAAGCGCGAGGCGCGAAGACTGGAAGAGCAGGCTGCGGAGGCAGTGCGAAGAGCCCTTCCTGCCGCATTCGTGGCGGAGATCGAGGGGCGCGACCCGGAGGCTAAAAAGAGGAAGAAGATCGAAGGCACCTTTGGGTTGGAAGGCTACGATGTGCCAGATGATGTGTGGCATGCGCGCACGCGGCAGCTCGAGGATGCGCCGGCGACTGGTCAAATCGAGGCACCAGAGCAGCCGCTCATGCTCGAGGCAGGATCGGCGGGTGCTCAGGCCCAAGCAATGCCAGAGCCCCAGGTCCAGGGCGGTATCTTCTCAAGTGCAACTGTGGCGGCTCTGCGGGGCATGTCTGGTGGTAATGTGACAACCCAGGCTGCGCCGAAGAGCTCTGGTGGGCCGTTGGTCGGCTACGGAAGTGATGACGAGAGCGATTAGGCTTTGCAACTACTTGCGAAACCCTCTACTTACACCTATGACATATGCGATTTCTTCATGTACAATATCAGCGATACCTCTGGAGTCCAAACATGATTCATTCAATCGGCCTATGGTCTACGTACACCCCTTTTATCAATTCAGTTCTTACAAGTACTGAGGGTTCAATGGCAAGCGGAAGGACGTGTGAGGAAATGGCCAAAAAGACAGGTTCAGCAACCGTCTCCAGAAGAGAATATCAGGCGTCGTCCACAGGCTCTTGAAATACAATATATTGGCGTTATTCATCACGGGGTATCGACCCGAACACACTTTGCTAAAAACAGAACCATGTGAGGTGACGTAGCTTGGCATGTAAGACAGGTTTTCATAAAGAAGTGAAAACGAAACAAAAACGTCCGCCCAGATGATGGAAATGCAATGAAGTCGAGCACCATCCATGCGGGTCAAAAACACAACTCCCCAGGTCCCACCGCGATCTTAAAATCATTCATTCGTTCACCTGTCGCAAGGACCGAGATCATAGTACACGCATGAACCTGTCCGGTAATTGTAGATAAATGCATTGGTAAAGCTCTCTGCGCCATCACCAGTGTGGTTCTCTGAGGCCAAATCACTCAGCAGTTCGTATACCTGGCTCAGGTACTTTCGTTCTGTTAATGGTGCGTTCTGAATGACAGTGCGCCAGCTGTCAGGATCAGAGAGTCTGGTGTCGCGAATGGAGTCGAGGACATCGTCACGGGTATCAATTGCGGCAACAGGGCCGTTGCGAGCGTTTTCGGCGATTTCACGGGCGCGGGAGAGAGCTAGATGCAAGGTATCAGTATGGCGCTTTTATATTTGTAAGATGGCGACAGTAGGAGGGATAAATACCGGACTCAACGATATTCCTGCGATTGGTCTTCTTACTCCGATGCTGCGGAATAAGAATGCGCACGTCGTTTGCTTTTTCATTCGAGAGTAGATCATCCTGCTGCCCAGGCTGACGGGCCTGGCGTGGATCAGAAGCGCCCTCGCGCTGGTGGCGGGCTTGCACTTCAGACCGAAGCCACGGCACCAGCTCGGAACTGCGAATATCGAATTCCTCTTTGCGGATGAGATTCCGTACTTTGTAGCCACGCTCTTTGCTGTCTTGCTTGGCGATCACAATCCAGCGATGATTATGTTCACGGTACTTAGCCATCAGCTCTTCGAGGGATGAAGCGTCCACAGCAAGCTCAGCACTGATACCGTTGGACCAGAGATCCTTGACGATCTTGACTCCTGTTGTGCGGAGGACAGTCGCGTCGAAACTAGCCACGAGGACATCACACTGTGTTAGGTTAGCATCGATTAACAAGCTGGAAATATACTGTAGCGCTCGCATAACTTACTCGCCGGGTTGCCCAGTACAGCTCAGCCCCAGACTCGGTATCCTTCGACGGAGCCTTGGATTTCAAGTATTCGGTCATCGATGAACCCAGTCTATCTGAACTAAGGTTGAATCCGACTGCATGTGCCTGGGGCCGATTTGACAAGACCTTAGGCGCAAATTCCTGGATCAAGCGATCATATCGGCCACCCGCAGCAAAGACATCGCGGCGCTTGCTATCGAAGACGCATTGGAACAGAATGCTGCCTCGGTAGAATTTGTCATGCAGACTGCTTAGTGGATTGATGTAGACCTTGCGCTTGACGCCGAAGCATTGCAGGTAGGTCATAAGCACGTTCAAGCGCGCAAAGATAGGGGGAATTCGCTCGGCAAACTCGGTGCCTTCCATGATGGTTTGTAGCCTCCGGAGTGTCCCTTTCGGGGTGTCTCTGAAATCAAACCGCGCAAGATCATCTAAAGACGTCGACGCAACACCAATCGATGGAGATCGAAGCTCGCTCCGAATCTTTTGCATCGTCCACTTTCCAACATTCAGCTTGCTGATGACATCCTTCACTAACGGTATTTGGGAAGGTGTGATGCGGCAGAACTCCATGATGAGTTGAAGGAGGTCAGAGTGGTTGACTAGGAAGCACATTGTGGCCGACCGAAGAGGTGGGAACTCTTCGATGATCTCGTCGAGAACTTTGATCACCTCTGCCTCCTTGAGCGCTAGGTCCAAGGTGTTGTAGGACACAATATCAAAGTCCACCTCTCGGTGAGTCCGGGGTTCAGTGCCGTGAGTAGACTCTCTGTAGACCGTCCCAAAGGCAAAAGTCTTCTCCAGAGAAGAATCTTGCCGAGGGATTGCCCGTGCATTAGGAACTGTCAGGTCGAACGGTAGCTGTAGCAGATTTCCGGATGCATCCAATAAGCGCACGGCGCCAGCAGAATAATGCTGAGATCGTGGAAACAACATCTGTCTTGCAGATTCTACCGCACCATGTTTGCGGAAAATGGAAGTCAGCTTCTTCTTGACGAGACCCTGGACAAGTAGCTCATTGGCTGCTGGTGTTGCATGCGAATCCATATCCCAGGCGATATCCTCGAATTTCTTCGGAGACTGAGAAAAGATCGCAGAAAGAATCTTCTTGTAGTCTGGAGAATTTGGATCAGACAGCAAATGGACGATGGCCCGTCTGAACGTCTCCTCTTCGACTTGAAGCGGAATTCTACCGCTGGAAAGAAGTTCGGTAGCTGTAGGACGCTCGGTCGGGGTATGGCTCAACAGGGATTCAATAATTTGCCCTTGCACAACCTTTTCAGATTGTTGGAAAGTAGCCGGTAAAGTATGATGTTGCTCTCTAATCGCCCGTAGGGTTTGATCGCGCTCCATACCAGTGGGAAGTGGGTGACACATCTCGAAGAAAATAACACCGAGAGAGAACATCTAGAAACGTCAGTATGCATGCAATTCAGTTATGGCTCTCGTGAGAGATACTCACATCGACTTTCTCGTTGTAGTGTCCCGGTAGTCCCGACTTCATTTCCGGTGCAACATAGTAAGTTGTTCCCAAGCTGCGGGTGAAGTCTCCTTCGAAGTCCGCTGCTGCAGACGAGCGTACCGCCGTCATGAATTGTCCACTTGTAGCGAGGCCAAAGTCACCAATACGGGGGTTGTTAGCGACGTCAATGAAAATATTGTCCGGTTTCAGGTCTCTATGAATAATGCCATGGCTGTGAATGTGGCTCAGGCCATCAAGAATCTGCCGAAACAGGCGCCAAGAGCGATCTATGTCATCATAAAGGCCATTCCTAATCAAGTCTCGCAAGGTCTTTGTGGGAAGTTAGCGTCAGATTGTCAAGAACTTTGGTTTTCCGACTCACATGCTTCTCGCAATACTCCATCTGAATGTACAGTGTAGTCAAAACAGGCCGACCATATGAGCCAGATCGTGCCCGGCTGATTTCAGCGCTTCGTTCAGTGCCCGTTTCTGTGCCAGTACCATAAGTTCCAGGGGTATCACGGTGGCCCCGGTCCGAAAGCATTCCGTCATCTTCGCTATCTGAAGCAGCGAATTCAATCTTTGGATATCCGCTGGAGCTAATAAAATCAAGGCCACCAGTGCTGAAGCCACGATGGTCCTGGCTGGAAAATGGGTCGCCTTCGGTTGATGACATTGCTTCCGCCTCGATGTTGTTGAAGTCTTCCTCCAACCAGGCAGTATAGTACCGCACAACGTAAGGATGGTTCAGACGCGATAGAAGCATGATTTCAGACAATGTATCCTTCAATGCCGCAGCAGAAGTCTGAGAGATCTTCTTGACGGCATAGAAACGGCCATCCAGCTTGTTTCTAGCTTTGACAACTTGTCCAAACCCGCCGCGACCCAAATGGCCGGCCTCATCAAAGTCTTGGTGATAGCGTGAGAAGGCTGGCATGGCCCCCGAGGAGTCGAGTCGTGGCCGTCTTTGGATTGATACTGAATTCGAAGACTCGCGCATAGTCAAGGGCGCATCTACTCGGAAAAACTCCGACGGCTGGAGTTGGAAGGCAGTTGGCCGTTTTCTCGGGTCTGGCCGGAAGAATTCTTGAAGCAGATCTTGCAATGGAGGGGAGAGACCCAAAGAAAGCATTAATTGGTTGGCCGAGGTGTATCGCAGAAAGACGTCTTTTCCGAATGCCATCTGTAGCATGATAATGCCGAGGTCCCAGACGTCAGTCTTCATGGTTGGTAGTGCACCCTCTTGTGTCAGTTCTGGGGGCAGCCATAACGGGGACTTTGATGTAGTTAGGGAACGCTTTCCACCCGGAGAGTCTGGCAGGGCCTCTTCAACACTAGCTTCGAGTTTGACAATAGTCCCACCAGAGGTGTTTCTATACAGCATGATTCGATCGCAGTGAATATTTCCATGGACGAACCCACTACGGTGGTAGAACTCCAAGGCCTCGAGTAGTTGAATCATCCAGCCTCTGAGGGTCTCGACGGCGACAGTGCCCACGATATCGAGAAGCTCAGACAGCGAGCCTTTATTCGCAAATTCCAGAAGAGCATAAACGGTCCAGGAGTTTTCCGGTGAGTCGAAGTGGCTGACAGGACGAATGATCTTGAATCCCACAAATTCGACAAGGTTAGGATGCCGAAGTCGTCTCAAGCCCTCCAATTTATCCTCACTGGTCCGCATTTGCTCTCGAAATGTGAATGCATCGAAGCCTTTCTCGCTGAGGAAAATCTCCTTGAGAACAAGGAGAGGCACGTGGCACCGGCCCTCGGAGACAACGGGCCTCACAGTAAATGTGTTCTTGCCCTGCTTGCAATGTAGTAATGTCTTTCCATGCACGGCACGGAACACCAGCGGTTGCTCATCGGTATCATTGACTGATATGGGCGGGTCGAATGAGATTGCGCCCGGAGTATTCTCCACAAGATCCCCAACATCGTCCGAATCAACCCCACCTGTCCGACTCTTGCGTCTCAGAATCTGAGCCTTGCTTCGCTGTCGAGCCCTATCCGCAAGCATTACCTGTAGAGCACGCGCCTCCTCCACATTTTCTGCCTCTTGCTTCCGCAGTTCCTCCTGCTTCTCGAGTTCGGCGCGGTGAATGGCAGCAGCTTTTTGTTCCATGCGTTCCTCCTCGAGACTGGGTAGATCTTTGTCCTGCTCCCGAGCTTGAGCGACATCTTCCAAAACATCTTGAATAGACAGCGCCAGCTCGTAGATCATTTCACTGCCGAGGAGTGTCTTGGGTTTCTCACGAATAATTTTCTGGATTCGAGAGCGGGCATTCTCGCGGAGGTCGTCGAGCTTTTCCAGAGAAAGGTTGGGAGCGGTTTTGGGGTATGTAGCGGGTAGCTCAACCAACAGGACTAAAAGCACGTCCAAGTTCGAGGAGGCTCGGAGGTGGAGCTTAAAAGTCACGTTGGAGGTTTGCTAGGATATCACAGATCAGTACAAGGCTCGAGCGCACTATAAAGTCCCTCCCACCCACCTGCCATGCTGAGCGCCGATTTTCAACCTCTTCAAAATCATCGCCATAAATCGAACGAAGGGCTTCCGCCTCGTTCAAGTGGATCTCACGGTAATTGGTTGTTGCTATCTGGGGAGATGTCACGGAAGAGGTATCGGAGGCGGAGGATGTTTGCCTTTTCGCGCGGGGAGCTTTCTTCCTTTGTTTGGGAGGCATCGCGGGGCGTGGCGCGAAGTCGCCCTACATCCGGGATGTTGCGTACAACATGGGGAGCACGGTTTGTATATTGGGGTAATAATAGACAGTATTGGGGAGAGATAGAGGAGGGGACTTGAGGGCTCTTTTTTCGACGAGGGCAAAACAGGCGGTCAACGATGCGACAGGGCGTGGGCGGTGATCGCGGCTTATCGTACCTTATCGTGCCTATCGATAGGCAATCAATGGGTGGAGCTGCGTAGTTTGGCTGCCCGTTGGTTTATACTATCCACTACCTCCTCTTTACTCTTGATGATAGACCATTCAATCGCTTTCCACTTGGACTGATCTTTCTTCGACAGGACCACAGTCGGGAAGCCAAAAGTAAAACAAGGCAGGGGACATAATATATGCCCAAGAGCGGGTATTCTAGGCCCGTCTGCGCTGTCCCTGCACCAAACTCGATTCGCGCTGCAATAGTCGTGCCACTGCAAATCCCCCTCCACTCGGGAGTCTGATTTCTACCCCATCAAGAAGCCCCAGACCCCATCAAAGTCCCCGAGAACCACACTTCCAAGTAGGGTGAACAGTGGTGCATATTGCCAGTGTCCCCATTGGTCGTGTCCGTGAGTCTGGCGCTAGCAGCGATTAACGTCCAGCCCAAGAAGCGAGAGGTGCCCAAGGATAAGGCTGCATAGACAGCAAACCCAATCAGAATGTTGCGGATACCATACACCGCCATCAGGCCGTCATACAGCGCTCGATCTGCTGGTGGGGACGGGAGCTCGAAGATTGCTAGAGCACCTTCGGGAGTGAAAATACGTGGACGCCGAAGCCAACAAAAGGATGGCCAAAACAGTGGCCATCATTCGAACGACCGAAGGCTTTGAGAGAGGCCTTTTGAATGATGGTTCGAGAACTGGAGTATACCGTAATAAGCAGAGAAGTAACATTGTGGTAATTGTAGCATATATCTACTGTAGATCATGTTGCAGGCTGGTCACAAACAAAAACAAAGTATGAGAGTGGTTGTGGATGAGATGCTATTTCCAAAACATAATTCCAGCTTTGCATCTCTTATGCCTCCATCCATTGATCTTGACTCATTAGCAGTGACCTACCCCTTGGCTAGGCTCCCTTCACGGCATTGCGTCCTTCAAGGTGAATTCTTCGGTGTTGGGCGCTGCGCGGGCCGCCAATCGATAAGCGCTGACCTCAGCTTCCAGCTCCCGACCCACGCGTCAGTAAACAAACCGCCACACTCTATCGTCGAATCTCGGAAACCAACGATGCTGGACTGGATGAAGGGGAACGAGGCTGGGGCTGCAGGTTAGTCTGCACTGTTATCATGTTCGAAGCTAGGATACTAATTAGCACCCCTTTGCTCAGATACCTCCACGGTGCTGGAGCCCCCCGAGACGCCAGCTCCCGTGTTTGCGATGCGCGCCTTCAGGAGCGCCCTATTTGGCACGCCCGGGGCCGAAGAGGAGGAAAATAAGGAGAATGAGGAGGGCACATTACTATCAAAACCGTCTGGTCACCAGCGCAGCAAGAGTGAGACCACTAAGCCTATTACGATCGCGGAGAAAGAAACCGCGACGACCGACCTCGACTCGACCTTCAACCCCTCGGGATCGCCCACTAAAGGCATACTTGTGACCCCCGGCACGATCGCGAACCGACGCAAAACGGTTTCTTTTGGTGAGGGCGTGGTTGACAATGAAGGGAAACGAGATAGCCAGTCCAGCAGGGCCGTGAAGACACCCCCCAATCCGTCGGGGATTACTGCCCAATGGATGTCTGGCTCTGCTGATGGCAAGCCACGGAGCAAGCTTACACAAACTCTGATGGATGCTCGCGATAACGCGTCGAAGAACGCCGAATCGTCCAAGTCTATCCAGGATACTCCATCCGAGTCCAAGCCCGCCACCGGCACTCAGTTGAAGAACGAGCCAAGCATGGAGGACATTACGACTAATCTGGATGAGCCACGGTCGGAGTCGGGCAAATATTGGAAGATGGAATTTGACAATTATCGCGTGCGCACCAACCGCGAGATCAAGAAGCTCATCCACTACCGATCGATCGCCAAATCCTATGCTCGCAAGAAGGATTCAGAAGCAGTACGGCTGGCAGAGAAACTTCGAGAAGAAGAAGAAAAAGTGGCGGATATGGAACGCCAAGTAACGCGTCTTGCCGCCACCATCGTCGGGGAGCGTTCAAAAGTCGACAAGGAGCAATTGATTCAAGACTTGACGAAGCAAACCACGCTGGCTCTGCAGTACAAGCAACAGGTCACTTCTCTGCGCGACATGCTGGAACAACAAGGCGTTGTCAAGGGTAATGGAGCGAAAACCACTGAGTCGGTCAAGGAAAGGCCATCATCTCAAAGCTCCCCAATCTCCTCAGAAGAGCCAGAAGAGCTACGTAAAGCACGGGAGGAGCTGAAACAAGCGAACGCGAAAATTGAGGAATTGAAGCGCCCAAATCCCGATCTCAGCAAGCTCCAGAGCCTCGCGCAGAGCTCCGAGAAGAAAGCGCAGGAGCTCGAAAAGGAGAATGATAGTCTCAAGCAAACCTTGGCGCGCGTCAAGCAGGAAATGTCGCGGTACGAGGGCCGGCGCAAGGAGAAGGAGACAAAACTGAAGCAAAGAGAGACCAAGCTAGAGGCACGTATTCAAGAGTACCGCGAGCGCCTCAAGACAACGACCCAAGAGCACAGGGAGTCGGAAGAGAGGCTGCGGGCCAGCTTCGACGAGGAACGCAGCCGGATGCAGAACCAGATTGAACTTCTGAAGGTCAGAGCGTCGGCCATGGACGGCGTCCCGATTCTGCGGCCCCAGCAACGGCATTCCCTCAGCCCGCGTAAAGAATACGCCGGCGTGCAGGTGCACGATTTTGCCTCGCGGGATCACCCAGAAATAGACGATGAGGCCACAGACCACTTAGAAGCACCACCAAGTCCGAGCCCGCGTTCCAAGACCCGAGAACAGCGCCATAACCACACGCGCAGTGCGACAACAGGCGGGCTCGATCTCAAACGCGCTGCGCGAAACATCGCAGCTGACGACGACGAAGTCACGCACTACCTGAACGAAATCCTGCCTAAACCACATCACGGCTCACACCGTGCCAACCTTGACAGGGTCATCCCATCCTCGCCACCAGATCTCGCAGCACTAAAAGTTCTGGGCCCTGGCCAATCGAAGTATCTCAACGCGGGTGAGAACCAGCGCAGCTACCGCTCTCTTTACCGGCGTGATGCTGCAGACAATAACGGACAGCGCTACGGAAATCTCACGCATCGCCCACGCCCACACATCCAGTCCACTTTAGAATCAGTATCGGCACTTCCGTCTTCGCGTCCTCCATATGCCGGGTACACTATTGCCGCAGGTGAGCGCGGGCACCGGCGGACTGGGCTGGCAGATATGAGAGGTGAATTGTTGTCGCCTGAGCGTATTGCTGCAGCCAAGTCAAGGCTGAAGCAGAAGCATGATAGTCGGAAGGTGAAGGCGTTGGGAAAGGAGAATACCGGCAGAGAAATGTGTTGATCTCTCCATCGAGGATTATTGTTTTTCTACATTGGGTTGCGATTGGGATGGTGTTTGGTTTCTTGTCCTGTCTTTGTTTTATCGGTGAAGGGTCGATTCCTGGATGTTCAATGCTGGAGACTGCCTATAGGGCCAAGTTGGAGTCACATAACTGGTGAATAGTATTTCCAGGGCATTTTTTTACTTCTAATTCACAGAGGTTTCATATGGACACTAATGAGTGTATTGCACCAACTCTATGACCACTAACTAGATATATACATCTAAGAACATAGGCCCATGCACGTCCGGATCTATCATCTAAGCAATGAACGCGCCAATTTTCCGAAATACAATCCGCCACACACCGTTCAATTCATTCCATTAATTCATCAGGTTTCTGTTCTTTGCCTAGGCCTTGCCGTCTGAGAACGAGACAACAGCCCACTTCCCGCTCCACGCCCACTTGCGAGCTTCGGAGCCACCGCCGCCAGGAAGCTGGCGGAGTTTCTCGTCTTCGCCGGCGGGAAGACCGACGACAGTGTCTGCCTTGCAGGTGCGGAAGGCCAGGACGCGGATGCCGGACTTCGGGCCCATGGGTCCAATGGCGGTTGTGAAGGGGGTTGTGGGATCCCATTGGGCCTGGAAAGTATTGATTAGCAACATGGTACACCCGACGTGCAGAGTCGATATATGGTGGAATACATACATCGTTGATAAGCTTGCGGTAGTTCAAGTCGCCCTTGAAGAGGACAAGCTCGCTCTCCTGCAGGTCCTCGAACAGCTCGGGCGCAACATGGGGCATACGCCAGTAGCAGCCCTGAGTAGTCCAGAACGAATGCGGGCGCACGATCAGCTTGCCATCTTGGTGGAACTCGCTCCACTGCTGGAACAGGAACTTCACGTCTTCGACTTCTTTGTCCGAGAGCTGGGGGAAGGTCTTGCCCGAGTCGTCGGCGGCGGTGTAGAATGCTTGCGGGTCGACCATTGAGTTGAGCAGGTCAGCGAAGTCCTTCGGCGTGACGTCGGACACGAACCAGGGCAGACGCTTGGGGTGCAGGACGATTGTTGTTGCCAGGCCTGCGGATAGCAGGTATCCAGCCAGGATCAGGTCGACGAATAGTTCGAAGCCGGAGTTATCGAGGACGATATCGACGCGACGCTCGTCAGCCTTCTTTTCCGCGCGGGCCTTCTGCAGGACATCGAATGCAGAGTCGATGTCGTTTACAAGTATATTCTTCTGAGATGCCTGGCGCGCCTGCGAGCCCTGCAGCTTCTGGATGTCCTCGTAGGTGAGGGAGGTGAGGAGCGAGAGATCGGTAGCATTGCCCCAGAGGCAGATCTCACACATCTCCGAGAACAGCAGTCTCTCGGCCTGTGCAACCTCCTCGGCTGACTTACCCTCAGCGTTTTTGCCGGATTCTGCCTCCAGAGCTAGCTCGCGGTACCGCGCAGCGAGCTCCAGCACGGCGGGGCGGGAGGACTTGAAGGTGGACATCTTTTGGCGGCCGAAGACATCGTATCCCTTCCAGTGCTTTGATAGGGAGAAGAAGGTCTCCATACGGCGGTCTGTTGTTGGGTCGTCATGTCAGCGCTATTGTACCTTCGGGGCGGTGGAGGTGCGATGTGCGGTAGGCATACAGAGGTAGCACTCAGAGTAGAGCCAGGGTGCGTTGTGCCATTTCGGAGTTCCGCGCTGTTCAAGCTCCTTGTTATACGAAGCGATATCAGACGCGCCATCGTCATCCAGGGGACTAAAATTAATCCACGTTAGAAGCCTTTCCGAAGAATGAGCCCTACTGAGGCGGAATAACTTACGTCAACTGCCGGTCGTGCTGCAACTCATACTTCATGGTCGCAAGCTTCTCGATAATTCTCTTGCCCTCTTTGGCCTTCTCATCATCCGTCACTGTAGCCACCGTCCGGTGCAGGTCATCAATGGCACCAGTCTGGGTAAGTCAGTGATCTAGGCTCTCCTGACATTTGGAACGAGAGCTCACGATAATAACCGGCCATCGGTCGTCGGCTGAGACCGAGGCGAAGCTCGACCGGTCCGAGGTGAGGAATTGAGCTAACCCAGGTTAGCTGTGTGCATTACATCCCAGCAAGAGCAAGCTCACGCGTCTTCGGATCGAATTCCATCTTGTCAGGTGGAGTTGATGAAATTTGGGGAAGCCGAAGTTCTAGAAGGAGGGAATCGCGGGGCACGGAAAGCGGTGAGTCCGCATTGTATACCGGCTAGGTTGGGCCATTGATATGCCAGCGATGGACGCGGTGATCTCGTTATTTCATCTGATTGGCTTACTACTTCTTATTCAGGGCATACCCCAAGCAATAGTCGATCACAGGTCCAAGACGTCGACCCATCAATTCGTCGTATGAACCATGACATGACATATATATAAAAACACTAGACTCTAGACGGACAACAAGAAGCCAGCCACCTAGGTTCCGAAGCCAAGTAGGATTTAGATGCTCGCCAATACAACATAGATCTTTCTAAGCTCTTTTGAAAACAACGCCCGCTCTTGCAAATCATCTGGGTTCATCACATCGTCGACAGAATCGAGTTCTGTGCGTAGGCCTGGAACCAATCGTTAGCTCTATCAATCCCATTTTGAAACACCGGGGGAATAATTCGACTTACCATCGGCTTGATGTCAGGGTGGGGCACAGCCTCGAAGACCTCATACTCGAGCTTCAGCTCAGGTCCAAGGTTGATATAGGCGCCCTTGTTCTCCGTCGAGTCGCAATACCTGGGCGCGGAGAAAACGGTGATACACCGGCCATCATGCTCAACCTCGTAACCCTCCATACGAACCTCGTGCGATCGGATAATGGCCTCGAGACCGTTGTTCTCGCAGAAGCGCTTGGTGATATCCGGACCGAACTGCAGGCCAACACCACGCTTGCTGGGTCCACGGCCCGGCTGAGGCTGCGGGTCAGTCCAGAGCATCTCCATCATCAGACCCTGCTGGCCGGGTTGCCGTTGGTTGTGGCGGTTGAGTTTCCGAATGTCGTTCAACGTGATCTTGTCATCTGAGAACAGACCGCCGTGAAGGACGAGGTACTTCTCGCCGATCAGAGTGGCCAACGGTAGGGCTGAGAAGGACTCGGAGAACACCTTGAAGACGCGCTCGTTGTACTTGGCTTTGCATTCGCCCTCGAAACCGTAGACCTTGTTCATGTCGTCGGTCTCGTGGTTGCCACGGTTGAGGAACAACCCGTTCGGCCGCAGCCACTTGTATGCGTAAAGAAGCAGGGCAATCTCACAGGACCACGAGCCGCGGTCAACAAAATCGCCGTTAAAGAGGTAGGCGTGAGATTCAGAAGGGCTTCCGTTTCGGCGGAAGATTTCCAGCAGGTCAAAGAATTGGCCTATTTCATCAGCTGCAGGTCCTTCCAGGGCGAGGTTGATTACAGGGAATATGCATACCGTGTGTATCGCCACAGACCGTCAACTTCTTTCCCGCATCCACACCAATCTCCACCATTGTGGGCTCATTGTAGACAATTTCCTTCACGGCCTTGATGATTTGGAAGACATACTTGCGATGAATCTTCTTGCCGTCCTTAAACCGTTGAATCATATCATCAATAAACTCCTGCGTCATCTCGTTGCCGATGCGCACACCATCATAGTCATCCTCCACCTTGATAGCATCGATATCCAGGCCCTCAAACGCGGACGGGGGGTCGGAGACTTCGATCGCCTTCTCAAACTCCATGCGGCGAACGAGCTTTTCGCAATCCGCCAGCTTGAGTTTCGCATTCTGGTTGCCTGGTTCGCGCTTGACCACAGCCTTGAAGTCGCGGAGGGCTCCCTTGTAGTCGGTTATAGCAGTTTTGGCTAGAGCACGCCTCCAGTATGCCTGAGGATTATATGTCAACACAGGATCTACAAAAGTCATATACCCTCGGCCTGCATGCGCTGTTTTCCCTGCGCTCTGCGAGTCCGGGTTCCCTATTGTCCATAACGACTGACCTTGACGTAGTTTGGGTCCAATTCCAAAGCTGAAGTGGCATCGGCGACAGCGAATCCAAATGCCTCGAGTTTAATTTGGGCCTGCCGAGAGAAAAAAAAAATAAATGCCAGTGTTAGTCGAAAAGTGATCCAAAGAATCCTGCTGCAGGGATTCACCCCGGTGGGGTGTATCCCTTGTCGGTGATCGACGCACCTGAGCCCGGTTGGAAAAGAATGACGGCTCTTGGTCATATTTCTCGATCGCTTGGTTGTAGAAATCGACTGCGGTGGGCCAGTCGTGCTGGGCAAAGGCCTTGTTGCCCTGAACCTTCAGGGCGTTGGCCTCCTCTTGTGCCGAAGCCATGGAGCGGAGAAGTTGTAGAGGGGCACGAGACAGCGACGATCGGAGGTTCTGGGGGGTTGCGGAGGGAAGCGAGTCTCAGAGATAGGGTCGGTCGGGTCAGAGAGGGAGACAAGGTCCAATTCTTCTAGGGGAGAGACAAAAGCGCAGAGGAAAAGAGGGGAGAGAGAATGCAGGAGGCGAAAAGAGGTACCCTGTGACTGACTACGGTTCCTGGCGATGGTTTTGGCGCTCTCTTTTTTTCTCCGATAGCAACGGGGCTTGGCACCCTTCCAGAACCCTCGACCGCGGACCCGAGCCTCCGTCCGCTTCCCTCCCTCTCTACGCCACCCTTCACTCACGCCGTATGTCTTTCTACGCCCCTCCGAACCAGCAGCGCACCCTGCGCGCCTGCATGGTCTGCTCCGTCGTTCAACTGCACAATGTGAGAGCTGCGTGATAACTCCCCCCGGCCCGGGCTGCCTGCTACCCAGGTAGTGGCCAATCGCGAGGCTGAGGCTGACCGCAGTGACTTGCTCCAGAAATTCATGCGCGACGGTTGTCCGAATTGCGAAACTATCCTCCAGCTCCGGGGAAACAACGACGCCATTCAGGAATGCACCTCGCAGGTTTTTGAGGGGTTGATCTCCGTCCGTGACCCGGCCGCCAGCTGGGTGGCTCGCTGGCAGCGGTTGGATAATTATGTGGCGGGGACATACGCGACCAAGGTGACGGGATCGGTGAGCTACTATCAAATTTCTACTCGGTGGTCTATCTAGCTAACTAGTCTGCCTTTCTTCCCAGCTTCCGGAGTACATTATCAGCAGCTTGGAGGATTCCGGCGTCAAATACGTCCCGTATGTCCCATGGCTCCCCAAGCAAGAACTGAGCTTCTTGTCCGGTTCTTTCCCATTTCTAGTACTGACTTTCCCACCCTGATAGCCGAGACGGAAGCACCGGCGAAGAAGAATCGTAGAGTGGTCGATCACTCACGACTTTCCACCCATTCCCAACCCTGCCGATGCACATAATCATGTCTGTTCATAGCAGCCTTGATTCCGGATACCCGTACAAAATTATGGCATGGTCTGATGGACTGGATGGGATAATTACAACAGGTTTTGCCGGTCATTCAGGAGTTATAGGTCGGAAGCATTGCACTTTTATTCTTGATCGTTAAGCATTTGGTTACGGAACAAAGAAAGCAGGAATTTGGACTGCTACCCAGGGAGTTAAGAAACAACATAGATACTGAGAATTAAGTCTTGATTTATGTGAAGTCAAGTCATTCAAATGACGATGGCATTGGAATGTCTATGAATGTACAGGCCCAATTTTCGGTGGCATCACTCGTAGCAAACAAAAAGGAGACATCAAAAGAAACTAACAAAAAAGAAAAGTCGCTCATTAAATCTAGTGAAAAAAAAGTCCCAGGCATCCGTTGGTATCATATAGCCCCGGGGGATTTTCTTTTTAGAGTAGCTTGATAATCTTCTCGATGCTCTCGAGCAGGATATCAGCGTGGTGCTGCTGGAAGACCAGCATGGGGCGCAGGCGGACGGCCTGGACACCGCTGCCACCGATGTTCACACCGACGGACTTGGCCTTGGCCACGAACTCGTCCCGCTTAGGGGTGTCCCAGGCGATGAAGGTGCCCTGGCCCTTGCCGCGCAGGTTCTGGAAGTGCTCGGGGTACTTCTGAGCGAGGCCCTCGAGGCCGGCGTACAGGTAGTCACCAGTGATGCGGGTGTTCTCGACGAGGCCGAGGCGCTCGACCTCCTCGATGATGCCGCGGAAGATCAGGGCGCGGGATGGGTCACCCATCCAGGTGTTGAACTGGCGGTAGGGCTTATTGGGGCGCAGAGCCGGGTTTCCGTAGTAGTAGCCAGCGGTCTGGGCCTTCTTGGAGAAGGTGACCATGTCGGGCGGAGAGGAGAGGTTCCAGTGGTCGTGGGCCCAGAACTTGCCGGTGGCACCAACACCGGTCTGCACCTCGTCGACGATGAAGAGCACGTTGTTGCGCTTAGTGATGTCGCGCAGGCCCTGGAAGAAGGCGGGCGAAGCGTGGTTGTCGCCACCCTCGGACTGGATGGGCTCGACGATGACGGCGGCCACGGGGTTGTGGAACTCCTTGATGATACGCTCAGCCTCCTCCAGGCAGCGCTTCTCCTCGGCGGCATTCTCCTGGACGTGCTCCTCCAGAGGGTACTTCAGCTGGGGGAAGGTTGCCTGGGGCCAGTCAAAGGCGGGAATGTCCAGCTTGTGGATGGGCTTGGAGCGGGTGGTGGACAGGGAGCCGAAGAGACGGCCGTGGAAGGCAGACTTGAAAGACATGATGGACAGCTGGGGAGAACCGGGGCCCTGGTTCTTCATGGTGGACTCGAGCTCCTCCGCAGTGAACTCGACCTCAGCGCCACCACGCTGGAGCTGGCGGTAGTACATGAAAGCGGCCTTGTAGGCAGTCTCGTTGGCATCAGAACCAGCCATGGCGGTGAAGACCTGGTTCAGACCCTTGGGGGCGGCCCTGAGGATACCGGTCTTCAGGATGTGCGACCAGTCGGCGGAGGGAAAGTTACCCAGAGCCGGGCGGTTGATCAGGGAGGTGATCATCTCGGGCGACTGGGCCACCTCCTTGAGGTGGGGGTTGTTGTAGCCAACGGGGATGGAGGCAATCTGAGCATAGCTGTATTTGGATGTTAGACAATGCTTTTCTCATCCATTCCAGGCTCGTCAATTGGGTCACTTACACATCGAGAAGCTTGTTGCCATCGAGGTCAGCAATGCTAAAGAGGCAGAGTCAGCTATCGCCCCCACGTACCAGCTGGAGGGGAGTAGGATGGTCGTACTAGTTACCAATGGAGCTGTTGTAGTCGGTCAGCATATTCAGGGAGCGAACATCGAAGACCTCATCGAGCTCGGCGGCGGCGGCCTTGTTCTTGGGGCCGGGAATGGCGGTCGAGACGGAGGGAGCAGCAGGCTCGTTGGGGAAGTAGGGCTTCTCGGCCGCGCGGAGACGAGCGGTGGTCGAGAGAGCACGAGCAGCAGGCATGCGAGCCGCAGTGCGCAGCTTGGGGCTGCAGCGGAGGACGGCGGCCATTGTGAGTTGGAGGCAATTGACTAGCGTATAGATGCGGGGAAGAACAGCGATAGGGCTATTCCGTGCACAGATGAGTCCCTGACTGGTGCAATGTTCCCGATATTCCCAGTAACACGGAGAGGAGAGATCGCAGGGAGAATGTGAGGAGGAGGAAAAGGAATGGTCACGCGGGGCTGGGGATTTATGATTTATATCGGCGGTGCGGTGCAGCGGACTCCCTCGTTATCGGCCGTGGAGCGATGAAGAGCTTCTCTCCCCCGCGTAGATACCATTGGATCTCGGCAGCGTGGTCCAATCAGCGGGCTGCGTGGCCCGCGAAACGCCGAAACGCCCGAAAGGGTAGTGACGAATTGAGAAAGTCTACGCCGGTGGATGTGGTGGAAGATTTTGTCAGGTGCACATTTCTATTAGTCTTCGCATTGATTTTGCCCCAAGCATACGCTATTCGATGTGGAAACCGTTTGGCTGGTCAATTCCCGAACCCATCCTGCCCGGCAACCGAAGGAAGAAAATAGTCAAACCGTCATGAACCGGACTCACGTGGAAGCTAAAGCACAAAGGCGGTCAGGGCAATTCCTTGTCGATCGGCCATGGATAAGGCTGATAAGCCGCGAGAAGCCGCGCGCGCGTGACGCGCCCTTTGGGGTTAACCTAAGTGCTTGTCTTATCGCTGAGGTTACTCGCAGAGACCCCGACTCCGGGTAGGTGATCAACTACGGGGGGAGGTTTACCATGCTAGGACTCCAAAATTTGGACCGTTAAGCATTGAAATTCATTTTTCCTTTGTGCTTTGGTGCCATTTTATATCTCCCGCCCGTTTCCGGTTCCATTGGCATAGATTCCAGGCCTGGCTGCTGTGCCACCTAGCAGGATATATATAAACACCCCCGCCGCCAGAGCCTCCATGACTACCTTCCGTCCTTCAATTCAGGATCCACCAAGTGGTATATTACTCAGACGGATTGGAATCGTGTCATTCAAGGTCGGTTTACGTATCCAAGTGCCGGCCAGTATTCAATGCAGAAGAAGTTGGGTTGAATTACCCAATTGATCGACACCACCCGGCCAAAGAATTTTGAAGACATCCCGATTCAACGCATTTACATGGAAACCAGTCTTGGTAGGTAGCCGACAAATTAACAGCCGAATGAGACCTACCCAATGAACCACGACAACATGTTGCGTTAGTCCATGATAATCAATATCTAGACTAACCGCATACATAGTATGTTATTCGTGGTAATCTGGCCAGGCAGCGTGAACCCAGTGTTGGAGTACCTCCATGGCCCAGCTTAAACCCCAATATCTTTTCTCTCCGACCCTTATTACTTTGGCAAACCAACGAGGATTGGACCCCAATCAACCACGCAAATCACCTCCAACCAAGCCAATGGCAACAAAGTCCGCCGGAATACCCTTCCTACACCTAGCCGAGCCGAGACCGCTCTCCCAAGCCGCCGGGTGGATCCCGGCACAGTATCCGTACCCGCACTTTACTTTGGATCAAGGGGCGCTATTCCCAGCCGACTAATATACAACTGGGCTTGTGGTTTAGTGGTATAATACTCCCTTAGCATGGGAGTGGTCCGGGGTTCGATTCCCCGCGAGTCCAGATTTTTTACCCTAGACGGGGTCCTCGGGTGGTTGGTGAACAAGTGGCATTGATACCGTTCTTGTGGTGATATTCTTTTTGGCGAATTTTTTGTCGGAGAGGAACGGCAGAAAATATTTAGGGGGACGGAACGGAAGGCCTCATGTCAGAAAAATGGGGGTGATACATACCTCCAACAAGCAGGTTCTATAACTCAGTTGGTTAGATTGTGGTACTAATAACGCCACAAGTCAAGGGTCAAATAGATAGTCGTCGTAATGCTGTCTGTAGTTTGGTTATGGTTGGTTGATCTTCATCTATCCGTCGGGTATAACTTCACTGAAATATTGAACCACTGGTTGCCTACATCCCGGCACCCTCCCCCAAATCCTGTTCCTATACGGCGATGTCTCAAGACGGTACAGTCCGCCGACGCTTCAAGAGCTTTCGGGGCGGGTTGGTTCTCGACTGAGCTGAAAAGGATCCATTCAAAAACACGCTAAAGCGCAGCTCGCCGATCGTAGCCCGCCGATCTCAGCCCGCCGAGCGAGCCCCTCTGCAAGATCCAGCCAGACTCGATCTATCTCATTTTTCGTGCAGCTGCGCGGGGTCTGCAGACGGCAAATCTCCGAGGATTACGGGGTACATGATGTTGATTAACCTGAAGCTGATTCGCAATGGTTGGGTATCTCTTCTTATTTCCATTTTTCATTTCGGTCGCAAGATAGGATGAGTATCGGGCATCCTACTCGTCAAAGCCTCAGAGCTGGTCATCACACCTCGAGTGTACAAGCAGCTTTTTATCGCAAGCCAGTTCAAGCCAAGCCAAGCCAACCTAAGCCAGAGCCAGAATCAGAAAGACACAGCACAACAAATATATACATAGCCAAAATACAGTGTAGATACAAATCACAACAAAACAAAGCGGAGAGACACGCGGGGGCAGTATGTAATCAATGCCGCGCGTTGTACGCCTCGTCTCTCCTCAACGAGCGGGACGACTTCTCACTAGCCGCAGATGAGTTCACTGTCGCGCCCGGTTTCGTCTCAAAACTTTCAGGTGACAAAGCGCGGTTGCCACTGATATCGAACCTGTGACCCATGGCATGATGATGCGCGAGCCGGGACTCTGTCCACGTCTCCATCTCGACGGTGCGCATGATCTCGAAGCGGTCGCTTTCGTACTCGCCTTGGCGAGAGCTATTGATGGGGTGCATGTGGGAGCGGCCAGTGGAGGACCAGAGCTTTTGAGACCGGCTGCGCTGATTGTAGGAGTAGCCTGCGTTGCGGGTGGAATTGAGGAGGCGGGGGAGGAAGGTGGCGATGAGGGGACGGAGGGCGGGGGCAGAGGAGCAGATCTGAGGATGGAGTTAGGATTGTTTTCTTTTTTTTTTTTGTGAGAAGATGGATGGATGGATGGGGACGTACCAGGCCAAGGCTGATCTCCACACAGGCGGCGATGAGAACGGGCCAGCCGAGCCAGGTCGTGTCGTAGCCGACGACCATGCTCTTCCAGACGTACACGGTGCGGACGGAGCCAGCCACATTGACGATGATGCCCAAGCCAAAGATGGATATGACGGCAAGACGTTGGCGGGCAGGCAACTTGAGGCTCCAGATCAGTGGCATTGGCAGCGCAGTGACTAGGAAATCGGTGAAGATGTTGATGACACTGGCAGAAAAGACGATGGCACCCTCGTCAAGGCACTTGTGTGAATACGTCGGGTCTACTTCCCAGTACGCCTTGATTGGTCTGCGAAAACATTTAGTTGTGTTCCATGGGGAGGTCGGGTAGAGGACTCACGAGCACTGAAAGATACTGATAAAGGTGAACATAAAGCAAGACAGGGCGACAAAGATCATAGATCCGATAAACGCCCGGTTGAACCACATAAAGGTGCCCTTTCCAGCGCCGAGGAGTCGCCGACAGAACCACAGCAGCGAGATTTTGGTGATACTCGATGACCACGAGAACATAATTTGGAAGACGAGGTTGAGCTTCTGCACGGTCGACAGCCACGTTTCTGGAACATCCCAGATATGCCGATTCCACCCCCATTTCTCCGTGGCCACCGAGGTGACGGCCACCATGGCAATGGCAAAGGCCAGACCGATCACGATGAGAATATCGTCCATCCCGGCACTGCATGTAATTCGTAGTCGGGTATATAGACGGAGAATAACGACCAAGAACGCCAGGGAAATGCAGACGACATTCACAATGAGCACGCCATGGCCGCGAGTCGGAGGGTCGATATAGTTTGGTGTGGGCCAGGTCGCCATCACGGCAACCGGAGGGAGATGCATGTCGGCGAGGGTGTGTTGAGTATGTTGCTATCTGGTGCCGCGCACGCAGTCGAAGGGATCTCAACGAAATGGGAATCGAATATAGGGATCGGATCGTAAGTTGATTATCAATGAATTTTCTATCAATTGCGCAGTGAGAGCGAAAGAGGCAGCCGTGTGGCTTGTCAATCCAGGATCTAGATCTTGAGGCTGATGGCAAGGAATGTAGGGAGGAGGGAGTGAGTCGCAAATTCAAGCAGCCATTTTTTTTGATCAACAGAAACCTAAAGCGAACCCAAAAGAGAGTGCAGGGGAAAAGAAGAAAGACCACAGCCGGGCAGAGTCACCCCCGCCCACCGCGAGGGATCCGGGGAACCGCTATATTATAATGTTCAGGCCGCGCAGGGATGGCCGTAGTATACTCCTGCTCCGTAGGCTATACGCGAGGGATCACGAGAGGCCGAGCCCAAGGAACCGTGGGAAATAAATTAACCTCCGGGAAGGGCAGGGCACAACGATGATTCGTCGTTGAGACTTCACGCCAGCGACGCTTCAGCGTAGTCGATCAGACGACTCCATCGCGCACCATGGGTGCTCGCAGAACCCCGGCGATGAGCCCTGGGCCATGGCGGAGAAAATCCACACTGGACGCGAGTGCCCGGAAGCAGAAGCATGGCCGAGAGCTAGCGGGGACAGGAGGCGACTGGTGGCCGGCGATAGGCAGATCCAGAGCCCCGTAGTTCAACTCTGCGACAGCGACCCACCGGGGAGACAGATGCGATGGGCTAAATCGGCTGTGAGAGGGCCACCTTTGGTTGTGAAAGTGTAAACTGTGACAATGAGGCCCCTTGACTTCGCTTCAGGGCTTTGACCCTCGTTTGGTTCGGTGTCCCGGACACTACCACCGCACCCCTGCAGCTGCATATGTTCATACTTTTATTTGGCTCGACCGCTGTCGCTAGACTCTGTCCGCCAGTGGCGGAGAATTGCGATGCCCCAAGAAAAGCCTGTGCGGCGCCGAGGCTGTGCTAATGTTCGACTAGGTGACTTCTGCGACATAGTGTGCATACTCAGGCACGCCACGGAAGGGGTGCATTGTTCACCCCCGAATCACTCATGACTCGATCAACATCGAAGACTTCGATGTCCACGCATCTTGTATCTGAGCGACTATGTGGGGTGTCTGGAGTTGCCAGCGAGGCACAGTGGACAGGGTGGACTGGATCTCCGATCTTTTCCATGGCGTTGTCTGTTTCGCGGGCCCACCTCGAGCCGCGTGGAATTGCCCCTCCCGACGGCCACCTAATGCGCCACCCTCCATTTTCCTTATAAATTACAAATCTTAATTGATACAGTACCCTCTCTAACCGATGCGAAAGGACCGTGCCCTTGCAACCGCCGATCCAGAACACCCGACCTGTTTAGCGTCCTAGTTAGCGTCCGGCACGTGAATGCCTACGGAGTACGACGTAAGATTCACGCTGGATTCCCTACCCAATCGATCAGGGCTCCCGCTCTGGTTTCCTCCGAGCTCGATCATCCAGCCTTCCCTGCCCATCATGGTCCACTTGGGACTCCCTACGATCGATTCACCCAAGCGGTCTGCTGTGGGCACTGCACGGTCTTTGCCCCTCCCACTAACCAGCCGCTAAGCCTTGTCTATCAATCGGAGCCGGATCTCTAGCGACTATTGAAATCGCACAGATCTATTATTACTATTATATATTATAACTCTTCTGCCGGGACTTCTACTCCTGGACATTCTCTTTCTTTCTCTCTCTCTCTCTCTCTCTCTCTCTCTCTCTCTCTGCCCTTTTCGCCAAGCTACGTAAATAAGCCCTGCCAAGAGAGCTCAAGTACCGCGATCCGCGAGGTCTCGGTCTGCGACCGCACCACAGCCCAACTGCCGAGATGGACTCAAACCCTCGGTTTGAGGACGAACCAGACCAATCTTCAGGAGAGCTTAGCACAAAACAGATTAGCAATCCGCAGCTTCGTTTCCTAACATCAGTGCGTGGCACTAATGGATTGACCGACCGCTGGCAGGCATTCGGCCGACTCGTGACGATCCGGACGGTATGTCCCATCGGTGCACGTCCATAACCTTCTGTAGTATAGTATACGGCGAAATTAAATCAAGGCTGGGAAATAAGGCTCGGTGATCTACACGCGGTGATCCCTTTTTCCTTCCGTCGGCGGCATCGAATGGTTCCAGAATCAAGATCAAGATCTCGGACGAATCGAGTCCATCACTCGAATTTGAGCCCCCAAGATTCCATATCCCTGTGGACTTTGTAACCCACCGCGTTCAGATGCCCAATCATGCAGAGTAGAGCAATAGCCAGTCACGTCGGAAGATTCGGAATAACGGAATATGAATCGGTAGTGACTCAGGGCAACTAGTCTTCATCATGTCTTCGGCTTGTTATTGCCTTCTCAGCTATTATTATGGGGCAGACCCCCATCTAAGCACGCCGATCTTAGGCTCTTAGAACACAACTGGCGCTACCCCTCTGGTTTGCTGCCAGCGACGATCGATTAATTTTTTTGGGATCTTCCACAAAACATTGGAACGTTGGGAGCACTAATATTGAAGATGACATCAAATCGAGACATCCAGGAAATCCAACTGCATTGGAATGAGTGCGAATAAACGTGAACCTCAAATTTGGGACCACCTCGGGACCCGTGGGTTGCCATGTGACGACACAGCACGAGACCAAAAAAATTGAGGCCCCTCCGCTGGAAAGTACAATCTCACCGTAAAATCTCAAGCGGGACTTAATGAGATAAGAGTTGTCTCGCCTATGCAATTGCCACATATGATCATGATCAACAAGCTTGTATCGGGGCTTACTACGTGCTCTACCAATCATCGAGAATTTACCTTGCATCAGCCCGGCCGGATGGTTGGAAGTGCATCCCCGGTCGCGCCAAGTACCGGCCGGCCACTGTGCAAGAACAATGATCGACATACCACGACACAATGATTCCCGGAACAATCAAAATATGGTTCTTGAATACGGATGTGCTGGGCTGATGGGATCTCCGCAGGCGATGACGCTCGTGCCCCTGTGGCAACCCTGGTCCATGGCTTGCCACAAGCTGACCGGCATGGGGTGGCATCCAATTGCCGAATGCCAAACTAAGCGTGTAGGGAGGAGTAGAGATTTCCTGCGTGGCATCGAGGCAATGGTTACAGGGTTTGCTTTGTTTTTGCTCTCATGAATCTGATTGTCGGTACTTTGCAGCGAGAACGTGGTCCGCAGCGAGTTTTCATGGTAAGACATGATGCTCATGAACCCAATCTAACACGTGCACCGTTCACAATTGCAAAGAGGTTGTAGGTTGTTTCTATGAATTTCCTCGTGGAGAAAACGAAACAAAATCGAAGTTTAAAAAAAGAATAAGACTGCACTAAAGCAGGGGTAGAAGTGAAGGGCCCATGAGGGCGCTGGCGTTTCAGTTAACGTGTTACTGCACAGGTGTGGGTTAGTGTAGCCGAGTGGGCCCTCGTAGCGAGGACGGAATCCACGTTGCAAACATGAGGCCTTCCCCGAAGAAGTGAGTTTCCCGGAAGCTGGTGGTACTACTTCGTGCATAATAACGAAGGCAAGAAATTGTTGACCTGATATTTGTCGATTCCTAAGATGCACTGTTCTTGTATAGAGTTTCCGCAAGTCTCACACATACAGCCCTAACTGTGGTTCTCTTTGCGGTGAACATGCAGTGTGTATAACATATATGGCTTGGTGTTACACCTTCTGTAGACCGACGAGGTGTTGGGAGGAGTCAGATTTTCGGACGGCGCGCAAGATGTGTGGTCGACGTGAACATGGGGACGGGGATGGATCACTGAACCACCCCATGCCCCCCTGTGAAATAGTATCCTGTGCCATACTTCTCGCGCTCGTGCTTGCGTCGTACTTGACGTTATAGAGCCTGCCCCCAAGCCCACAGTAGAGCACGCCAATACTGAGGAGGGGCAGCATGAAGCCTTGATCTCGACCTAATCACCACAATCAGGTGATATTGTAAGTTTTAACAGCGAACCTCTCCCAACGGGGGTTTGCGGCTGGATGAGATAAGGCAGGCATTGGAAATCAAGTTGGTGTACAATACCAAGCGTTAGAGCGCAAACTCCTCCAGCTCTCTATATGCCATTTCAAGGTCATCATTCACAATGGGCTTATCATACGACCCCCACTTTCCAGCAATTTCAAGTCCAACACATGCTCGGGCAAGCCTTCTCTGCACGTCAGCATCACTCTCTGTCCCACAACTTCTTAGTCGCGCTCCGAGTGCGTCAAGACTGGGCGGTTTGATAAAAATATAGCATGCATCAACACTGGGCTCTGCTTGAATCTGTTGCCCGCCGTTAGGCTCGATATTCAGCATGACAACCAATCCGTTCATTGCTGCTCCGACGATCGAGGCTTTGCTGGTGCCGTATAATTGCCGCTGAAGGTAGCGTATTCTGGTAAAAAGGAGTTGCCTTTCACAGAGTTCTTGTCCTGTCATGCGATTGCAAGGCTTCTATACGCAAAAGCACCCCGGGAGATCTGGGTGGAGAATATGGCGAGACAAACTAGCAGCTCTTGCAGTCTACCTCGCCAGCTCGTGGGCTGCGGGTAGAGGTGTGAGAGACGGCGAGTGTGAATGTATCGGGCCGCTTGTCGATCGCCTTATGGGCCAGGGTCCTTTTTCCGTTACCTGACGGGCCGGAGATATTGATTACTCTGCTATTGGGAGCTGCTGCTGGGTTAGGATATACGGGTGACTCTGATATCCTGGTCAAAAACGATATGCACTGAGAGCCATTGTGATGAGTTATACCTGTTGGACCTCGATCACAACCTGCAGTTGACAGCTTTGTGGGTGGTGAGTCCAATCATTCACATTGCTGATCCCCAGCATAATGGATCCTAGCGGAGCGTGGTGCGTGTCTTAGTGTGTTTTAGGTGTATGAGAGTTCCGCAGGAAGCGAGTGAGTCAAGAGGGCGGTCAGCAACGCCTAGTGCTTACGACACCCATAGATACGACCCGGGGGGAGCTGGAAGTAATTTGTAAGGTATGTAAGTTAGAATGAGTGCTGGGACAGGTGATTCAGTTGTTCATGTCAGTATCTAGGTGGATTCCCCAAGATCATAAACATGAGCCGACCAGGTAATTGATGGTGTCATCGCCTCGAAGTGAGCGAAGAAACGACTCGACCGGGAGAATACATATATTAGGTACCTGCAGGAGGACTGATATGGACAGATGGGCATACATGTCATTGGCAGGGACTAATAGTTATCCTGGTTATGCTCGATGGACTCCTTTATGCTTTGCGATAAGATAAGCGTGTGGGGCACAGCCGAACCGCAGGGAAGGAAGGAGGGATATTCGATCCACCGTTTCCACTTTTAACCGGGGCGAAGACCGCGTTTACTTGCCGTGATTAGGCGTGAGACTCGGCATCTGTTCATCGGCGAACGGACGCGATTTGAAAGGGATCTGACCGTGCAGGAGTCATCTTCGCTGTGTCGCCATCGGGCCATCTTGGGGGTTAAATATACGCACTGTCCTGCGAACGCTCCGTACATGATTCGAGGATGCGAGGCTATGAAGATGCGAGGACTAGTTAACCACAACCGTCTGTAGCCAGGGTTTACGAACACGAGTCAATAATGTGTGGGGTGTGCTTTGTGCCAAGCCCCCCCCGGTCTCGCAGCAGAAGCTGGCCGCAGTCGATGGCACATAATGCAGGAGTTCGGGATAGTTGGTGGCTAGTTATGCCCGCTATGCCCTGAGCTTATGCAAAACCGTGCGCGTTATGAACCTCCCCCCCCCCGAAAACAGCCCAAGCAGACGACGCGATGGAGGATCATTTCCCAGTCTGAGCATGGAACTTTACTCAGTTTTGTCATAAACGGAGCATACCTTGCCCACTCGCTTTTGTTTTCCCTGTTCGCTTCTCGTCCCTCGTTGAATCCTTCGTTGCCGGCACAGCGGCTTCTCTAAGGGGTTTCACAAAGCTGCGAACTACTGGAAGCTCGAAAGGGCCGGCCCTGCAATTCCTTCTACGCCGACTATGGTGTCCGCCGACTGTGTCCCCTCGGAGGCGACGATTGCAGAGTCCGTCGCTGTGGGCAACAAGCCCGCGGCCGATGAGAAAACGGGTATCCGGCCAGGGTCAAGCGAAATCGGGAGCGATGCGTATGCCGATGCTGAGGACGTCGAAGCCGCCATCCAGCGGGCCATCTCGACAAAGCGCTACCCGGAAACTGACCTCGACCAAGGCATCGTGGGTTGGGACGGGCAGAATGACCCCGAGAACCCGCAGAACTTTGCCATGAGTCGGAAATGGGGGCTGTTGGCTTTGATGAGCGCCATGACATTTGTGTCACCCCTGGCATCGAGCATGTTCGCGCCCGCTGTTGGCTACGCGGCCGAGGACTTGCATGTCACCAATGAAACCGTTCTCTCCCTCAGCGTCAGCATCTTCTTGATCGGCTACACGGTAAGGGTTCCTCCACCACGAGCTCGAGCTCAGTCCGGGTTCAAGCTGAGATCTCTTCGGAGATGGCTGACGCATGATCATGGTGAACGATGTAGGTCGGACCCCTCATCCTCGCCCCCATGAGCGAGATCTATGGCCGCCGCATCGTGCTCAGCTGTGCAAATTGGTTCTTCGTGCTGTGGCAGATTGGCTGTGCCAAAGCCCCGAACGTGGCGACTCTGATTGTATGCCGTATGTTCTCGGGCATGGGCGGCTCGGGCTGTATGACTATCGGCGCTGGTCTCATTGCCGACCTGTTCCCCATTGAACAGCGAGGCATGGCCACGGCCCTGTGGAGTATGGGTCCCTTGATCGGCCCAGTGGCGGGCCCTATTGCGGGTGGCTTCATGGGCGAGACGGTCGGCTGGCGCTGGGTGTTCTGGGTGCTCATGATTGTTGCGGGCGTGGTGTCATTCGGCATTGAGATCTTGAATCGCGAGACGTATGCTGCTGTGCTGATCCGCCGCAAGACGCAACGCCTGGCCAGGGAATTGGGGCGCAATGACTTGCGCAGCGCCTACGAACCAAGCGTGGAGCGCGTGTCGGTCGCCTCGACCCTGAAAATGGGATTGCAGCGCCCCATCCTCCTCTTCATCAAGACCCCCATCGTCCTCCTCCTGGCCCTGTACATGGCCGTCGTCTACGGTCTGCTGTACCTCTTCTTCACCACCATCCCGGCCGTCTTTAAGAACCAGTACGGCTTCTCCACTGGCTTGTCGGGCTTGGCCTATATGGGCATCGGGCTCGGCTTCATGTTGGGACTGGGCACGATCGCCATGACCAGCGACCGCGTCGTCGTGAAGCTGACCCAGCGCAACGGCGGCAAATTCGAGCCGGAGATGCGTCTGCCGGCGATGATCTTCTATGCCTGCTTCCTGCCCATCAGTTTCTTCTGGTACGGCTGGACCGTTGACAAAAACGTGCACTGGATCGCCCCCATTATCGGTATGATGCCCTTTGGCTTTGGCATGATGGGCATTTATCTCCCCATCCAAACCTACGTCATCGACTGTTACCCCAGCTATGCCGCGTCGGCGAACGCGACGCTCACCACCAGTCGATCGTTGGTGGGCGCGTTGCTGCCCTTGGCCGGGCCGGCGCTGTTCGATTCGCTTGGTCTGGGCTGGGGGAACTCGCTGCTCGGCTTCCTCGCGCTGGCCTTCATCCCAATCCCGATTCTGTTCTCACGGTATGGCCAGCGCATTCGGGAGAAGTTCCCGGTGGACCTGGAGGGCCACAAGGGGTAAAGCCCATCAGCACGCCAGTCAGCACGTCAGCCAGCCGGTCAGCCCGCCGGCCCCGCGCGTTACAAGGTTTGGGGGCGGTAAAAGTGGTGCGGCTGGCGGGAGCCAAAATTTGGCGTGCGAACGTTGCGAACGGTCCAGCCCTGCGGCGTCCCCTGCGGCGTCCCTGAGCAGTTTTCCAATGGGAGCGGACGGAATAGAAGTGCCAAGTACGGAGGCGTCTATGGCGTTTTTTGTACCGGCGTGCAAGTCACACTTTCCCCCCCCTGAGGCACGCACCCAGGACGGAGTATTTTAGTCTTTGCATCTGCATCTGCATCTGCAGGTATCGTACCAAGTACGGAGTACATACTGTACTCCTCGCGCTGATAGAATTGTAATTGCATCATCTCACTCGACCAATTACTGCGGCCTGTCCACTCCCCCTGAACGACCAACAGGTCTAAATTTATCATTCATCCCCCCTGACGAGTCAATGGCGAGGCTCCACATCATCATGGCGCTGCGTCTCCACTCGGCTGACAGCGCAGCCCTCCTGTCGAAGACCGTCTAGGCCGTCTGGCTCCTCATGAAACTCCGCCCAACGGCCGCAAACTGCATGGCTTGGTTTCAGAATGCCGTGGCCCCGGGGCTTTTTCTCCAGCTTTTCATTTTCTTCTTTCTTCCCCTCCGATTTCCGTTCTGTTTCGCTCTCTGTTTCTGACTTTCTTTTTGGTACATATCCACTCTCATTCCTTTTCTCTTTCTCGACTTTTCGATCTTCTCTTTTGTGTCTACTCTCATTGCATACCAAACTGACCGTGTCCCGGCCCATTCGCATTCATCCGTGGAACACTTCATACTTCTTTTTTTTTTACCCCCTCGCTTGTTTGCTTTTTTGCACCATGTCCGAAGGCCATAGTGCTCCTCCGGCCCACGATGCCCCAGTGACGGCTACAGGGGACAGCACCGGTGCTGCCCCCGTCGCAGTCGATGCTCGCCACCACGCTAACCATGCCCAGGCCCAGGCCCAGTGGCACAGCCCGAAGGAGCAGGACTCCGTCGGGCGGCTCACCCCGCGGCCGACTTTCATGGAGAACCTGGTGAACTCGCGGGACTCGCAGTTTCACCTCGATCGACGGGACTCCAGTGAGCTGGAGCGCTACTTTGTATGTGAATCCTTGCTCCTCCCCCACCAAAGAGTGAGGCGATACGAGATGGAGACTCACTGATTCTCAATCACGATTAGCACGGTCCCCGGGAAATGGACAGGCACTCGAAATGGCCCATATTCATGCGGATGCATGGCAGTGTCACGCCAAAGATGATCCTGCCCCTTCTAATTGTGGGCGGCTGGGCCACTTGCATTACTTGCATTTCCAGATTTGTTCATAACCGTGAGTCTCCATACCAAGATACATAGACGCCCGACGAGCCGGACCGGATTAGCTGACATGGACCCGATGGGACCGAGTAGTTGGCGTGAACAACATCCTGCTTACCGTGCTGGGTTTCGTGGTGGGTTTGGCATTGTCATTCCGCAGTTCGACTGCGTATGAAAGGTAGGGTCGTCGAGATTGCTGGGGGACCAAACGGAACCACTGCTGACGGAATCGGGGTGATGATAGATGGGCAGATGGGCGCAAGTACTGGGCGCAACTCATCCAGACCTCTCGCAATCTGGCCCGGACGATCTGGGTCAACACCGGCGAACGTGAAGGCGAGAACGGAAAGGTGGACCTTCTCCGCAAGCTGTATGTGGACCCAACTCGCATCATGCAGGAGGATGGTGGACTGATCACGAAACAGCACTGCCATGAACCTCATCCTGGCATTCGCCGTCGCCCTCAAGCACAAGCTCCGCTTCGAACCGGACATCGCCTACGACGACCTTGCCGGTCTTGTCGGCCACCTGGACACCTTTGCCCGCGATGCGCACGACCGCAACGCCATCACCCCTCGCCCCAAGTCTCTCTGGAAGGCGACTGGCGAGTATCTGGGCGTATCATTCGCCGAGTCCAACCCCCGCAAGCTGATCAAGCGATCCAAGAAGCCACTGGGTCACCTGCCCCTTGAAATTTTGAACCATCTGTCGGCGTATATCGATTCGTGCGTGAGCAACGGCACCTTGACCTCGGGTCTGCACCAGAGCCAAGCCAGTAACGAAAGACCAAGAACCCCTGATAAGAAGCCCGCTGATGTTGTCTACAGTTACCATGATGTCCACGCTGAACGAGGTTTTGACTGGTACGGAGCGGGTGCTGGACACCCCTCTGCCGGCCGCGTACAGCATCGCGATCTCGCAGATTGCGTGGATTTACGTTATGGTTCTCCCCTTCCAGCTTTACAATTTGTTGCTATGGGTCACCATCCCGGCCTCCATGGTGGCTGCGTACATCATCATCGGCCTGGCCACCATCGGCAGCGAAATCGAGAATCCCTTCGGTCAAGATGTCAACGATCTGCCCCTTAACACCTACTGCCGCCAGATCGCTATGGAGCTAGACATCATCACCGCCACGCCGCCTCCCAACGTGGATGACTTCATGAGCCGTCCGGATAATCTCGTTCTGTTCCCGCTCAGCCAAGACAGCTATGATGAGTGGAAGGCGCGGAGCAAGGAGGACATCCGCGCCGCCCTCCGGCAAAAGGTGGCCGCCGGCTCAGGCCTGGGTTCCATCGTGAATGGGTCAGATTCGTCTACCGAGGTCGAGAGGATCACCACAAAGACCAAGCAGTCTGTTTGAACCTGTGGGTAAGACAGGTTACAAAAAAACCGCTGATTGGCAGTGGAGATGGGTTGCTGTGGGGAGCAGCGTGGAACAGGGCATTTTGTGCAAGCGATTAAGCGAACCAGATTGATTTGAACATGTGTTGCGCAGCGGGAGAGTTACGGCGTTTTTTCATTAGGGCAGCGTTGATTCAACAAGAAAGCCCGGAAAAAAATTGCGATTGGTGTATTTTGCATAAGAGACTGATTGATTCTTGAATTGTTGTGAATATCATTGCATTTTCCAGTCATTGCCTTCCGGTATGCATGGTAGACGATAGATGACTTGCTTCAAGGGCAGAGTGGATTCGATGAGCATGCCCATGATTCCGTAGAGAGGCCAATGGGTACTGAGCTATCATGAAACTTCCACAGTGCCTGAGTATCTTCATGATGGTCGGCGGCGCGGGGTTTTGGCCTTAAGCCAATCTCAATTAATCTGGCTCGCACCCGACCCGTATGGGTCTGATAACCAAGCTGACCTCTAGGCTGAAACTAGCCCGTAGGTATGGTATTGCAGCTCTGGCTGCACCTGGTACAGTATGAGAGCCGAAGACGCAAGAAGCTTAAGCAATCCGTGCGGCGAAGGAGGCGAGGGTTAGAGGCACGTTCGCTCCTAGAAAAGCCGAGAACGAACGCGAGACACACGGCTTAGGGAACAAACAAGTCACTCCCAGACCCAGAGACCAATGCGCCCAGGTAATTGCCCTTCGCGCAGACTCTCCAAGCAGCGCTCGCCCCGCTGCCACTCCCACCGATCCACGAGCTAAGCGCAGCAACAACAGCTGCCCCATCGTCGCGCGGGACGCGCACCCAGACACCATCATGCTTGCTTGCGCCTTTGGTGGTAGATAAGGACCCAGTCTCGACTTTCAGGATATCGATCGGAATCGCAGTACCTGTAAGCCCAAGGAATTGAGACAGAGCGGAGGAGAGGTAGGTGCGGGCGGAGAGAGCGTCTAGGGGCTGGGAGGGTGTGGCATCTGGCTGGGAAACGCTGTTGCAAGTTGTCAGGGTCTGCTCTGTCTCCAAAAGGGCTCACTCGAGGGAGGCTTCTTACAGCTGGAGCTTGAGATAGGTCCAGGGCGGATTGCGCGATGTGAAATTAATAGTGCTGGAGGGAGAGTCTGGCGCTTTGCGCTTTGGCGCCGTTGAAGAAGCCGCATCTTCCACGGGATCTTTGTGCTGTACGTCTGCCATTTGGAAGGTTGGTCGAGGAAGGTGGTGTGCAGATGAAGTTTTGAGCTGTCGGAGCTGCCGAAAAGCGGGATTTCACGTCACGGGATTTTGGGGTGCTGAATACAGTCACCAACCTGCCCAGCAGGATACTTCTCATCACGTGTACCTGGCTTGTCTGCTTCTTACGAAGGGTTTCTGTTTTCTGCCGCGTCAATAAGCTTTTGTGTCGCTCGCTGAAGAAACTCTTCCTCGCTATCGTCGCCAATGGCTAGATCTGCAATGCACAACGTCTTTTCGCGGGCCGTGGCCCCACGGATCACCCCAACATTGGATTTTGGGACCTTGAAGACCTAAAAGAAGACAATTAAATTTAGAACTTTCCCCCGGATGCTCCAATAGCCAAAAGGTAAAAGGTACAAGAATTGTAGTTGGTCGATCATACCTCTGCGACAACCCGGGAAACAGCACGGTTGGCAGCTCCATCGCGGGGAACCGCTGCCACCGATACATGCACCCGGCCAGGTCCCACTGCAGTAACCCCAACTCTTTGGGCGGACGTGTTGGGTTTCACATAGCAGGGAATATGGAGATTATAGGTCTTTTGGGTCGAGGCTTGGGGTTTGTTGGCAACCAAGCGAAGGAATGAAGAGGGGCGGCTCATCTTGTTGGTGGTTGTGAAGGGAAGTAGACGAGGAAGAGGAAAAGAGACACAACTGCTCGGCAGATAGTTCTCATGAATAACGCAAAGGTCAAAACCATAAGTCTACGAGTGGTGTAAATAAGCACTCAACATAAAATTGCATATTGATATGGGTATGAAATTTCAAAATTCTCCATTCCGGTAATAAATGCTGGCCGTGTTTCCCATCCATCTGGAGGAATTCTACGCGGCGTAGCAAAAATCTGCACATTAGTGACTTGGGAGAAAGAAAAGATCTCGACCAAGCTACCACGCATCCTCAAGCAGCTTCCTTGTCCTTGTCATTGTCCGCAGTGACACTAAGGACTTCCTGTAGATCATGGATCTCCTCAGCGTGCGCCGCGGCGCTCGGCGCGCTGATCTTGTACAGCTCGGGGCAAACGACATTCTTGCGGCGGAGGATGTAACGCTTAATCCACCATGGAAGGACCTGGGTGAGCTGGTACTTGGCATGGGTGCGGGTTGGCACACCGAACACATAGTCGAGCTCTTCCAGCGATCGCTGCTTAGTCTCAGGCAGGAAGAAGAAGATCAGTATCAGTGCCATGATGTTGAGAGCAGCGTAGAACCCGAAAGCACCCTGAGGGGTAAAGGCTCGCAACATGTATGGGAAGGTCAGCGATAGCACTGAGGCCCAGAAATTGTTGGTCGCAACCGCCCAGGCCATGCCGACTTCACGGTGCGAGAGAGGGAACACCTCAGCAGAGTAGGTGAATGGAACGGGCCCTTCACCGGGTGAATAGAACGCATCAAAGAGGTAGATAAAGAACGCGACCAGGCCTAGATGGGCGTTGCTGCTCTTGGGAATCCAGAAGCAAAATCCAGCGCAGAGAAGTGTCCAGCACATGTTGGGGAAGGTAAAAATCAAAAGGGTTCTTCTCCCATAAGTATCGATTGTCCACACCGCAGGCCAAGCGAAGATGAAGTTGATCAATCCAAAGCCAAAAGACGCCAAGAGTGCGTGGATATTGCTGGCGCCAGCCAGCGAGAAGATGGTCGATGAATAGAAAGCAATAATGTTGACTATCGAAGTCCAACCAGTAAGCAGCTTACTCAGGCTATCAAGAAGTGTGATAGAATCAACTTACTTCCACACATCTGCTGAGCAATCATCACGATGCCAGATGCCTGAGTAGCACGGCGCAGACGGGGCACGGTAAAAAGCTCAAAGAAGCGAACAAACATGTTGTTCGTCTTGGCAAACCCAGAAGCCTCAAGCATGCTCTTCTCTTCAACAAGTGTAGCATGGATCATGTAAAGGTCGCGGGCGGCTTGCAGAGGGCTGTTCCGAAGGCGCAGGAGAGACTCGTATGCCTTTCGGTGCTTTCCCTTGGTGATCAGCCAGCGTGGAGATTCAGGACAGAAGTAGATTCCGATGAGCAAAGGAACAGCGGGAATAAAGGCCGATCCCAGCTGCAGACGCCATGCAATTTTCCCAACATTGGCAACAATAAGATTGGCACAAGTCCCAAGAAAGATTCCAAAGGCAGTCCATACTTGCCACGACATAACCAGACCGCCTCGAATGTTGGTAGGGGAATTCTCTGCTGAATACACAGGAACAGTGACTTCCTTGAGACCCATTCCAATCCCAAGAAGCACGCGACAGGCCACAAGCTGGCCCCAATGCTGGGTGAGAGCGGATCCAATCGGCGCAAGTAAGCTGAAAATCGCAGCGATGAAGATAGTTCCCTTACGGCCGATGAGGTGATTGATCGGGTCGGAGAGCCAGCCAGCACTTGTATTGAAACTGCAATTAGATCATAGTGCGAGAGAGAGAGGATACAAGAAGGATACCCACAAAAGACAGATGGTAATGTAAGGCGAAGCGTTCACAAAACCTACGATCCACTGGTTGCGATCGCAGGTAGCCTTGTCCGGGCAGTCGGGGAAGTTGTTTGGAATGCCGAATTGAGCATCAAAGGTCAGGTTAGCACCGTTTGAGCCTGAGAGGTACATAGTCAGCTCGTTACGCAGCACAAGATGGGGTATCCAAAGTACCAGTCTGATCCCAGCCTTGAATCGCAGCTGCAATGGAGTTGAGGATGATCGTGTAGTATAGTGCCCAAGGATGATGCCAGCGACGAGTGATCTCCTCACGAAGTACATGTCTATCCTGTTCATCAAGCTCCGGGATTGAGTTTGCCTCTGCTGGCTTCTGTCCAGCGAGTGCACCCTTCTTTAACAGTGGGAGGATGTCGGTTAGGTTGTGCTGATTGGCATATTCCTCCACATTAGCCATTAGCTCGTCATGGGACAGACCGTCCAGGGGATTTTTGATCCTGCGATATTCATGAGCTCTGAGCTTGAAGAAAGAGACACTACTACTTACTCTCCCGTCACATTCTCAGTCATGCTATGTTTCCCCCATGTCCGTCAGTATTGCTCTTCCCACGCGGCAAATATGCTCGCCTTCAGAACTTACCCACCGACCACATCGTGGGTGGCCCGTGTAGCCATGCTTGGCTACAGATATATTCACAAACGATGTAAATCTGAGGATTTTACTAGAAAATCTTGATTAGGTAGTAAAAGGAGAGATAACAATAAAGAAGGGTGGAGTGTCGGAGAGTGTGGAGAGGATGGAGAAAAGGAAGGTGAGAAGAAGGTAAGAGTGGGCAGTTTCGATTGCAGCGAGGGGTTTGCACTCGTCTTACGAATGGAACTTTCCGCTGAACCTTTTACGACGTCCTCACAAGCAGGGTGGGCTTCGTATTTATCAGCGCTATGTACTTCTTGAACTGCTTCCTGCCCAAAACCCAGCAACGACGAGCCAAGTCAGCTACAGGGATAGAGAGCCACTCAGCTCTTCACTCCACAGACCTTCGACCTTGCTCGGATACATTTGGACCCACCGCTACTACCTCGACCAGCATGGTCGTCGGACTGGAGTTGCTTTGTACAAACTGCCGAGAAAAGAGTCCGGTGCGGTGGCTTATCGCGAGCGATTTCAGCCCATGCAGTCAGCATTAGAACAAGACGACAGAAGTCACTAGGGTTGCGATGCACCACTCCACCCAGAAACTTGCATACAGACACCGAAGATTGCCCCGCAAGGGGATCATCTGACCGGGCTAGCGTGTGGCTTAAATTATAGCCAATTTGAAAGAGCGGGGGCAAGACGCCGCCCGTCAAGGCGCAAGCCAAATCTTGGGCCAATCCCAAAGCGGCAGTTCTCGGACACTTGAGTCTTTGTCTTGTTGGCTCAGCTGCTGCATGAGGACTCTTAGCTTCTGGCGTGGTCCAATACGAGGCTGTCAGCACTTCGACCGGAAATAAGAGGGTGGAAGTAATAGAGCGGCACGACACGAAGACGACGGATAAGAATGGCGTCAGGCCTTACGTTTCCCCGCATTCAAGAGTTGTGCAGCCTCATGGTGGGAACTTAGATCCAGCTCGGTGTGACGTTGCCCCATATATTAGCCCGTGTGATCAAGAGCCGCTTGGCTCTCCAAAAGTTTATGTTCCTGGAACCTGAAAAAGGCGCTGGCAAAGTCAAGTTCCTTGGGCATTGGAAGTAGGAGCCTGCCGTGGAGATACAGCAAGAAATGCCATGATAAGCTTCGGAACATGCTCCTCCTACTAAAGACAAAGTCATAGCCCCGCGCCTGTTTTTTAGGTATCTGCTGTGAGATGTCTCCTCTCCAACTAGCCAATCCCCCTTCAAATTCAACGTAGATTTCCCTTCCTCCACAGCTCGCTATACTGTAACTGGGGCGCTGGCGGAACCCAAAACATATCCGTGGTAGTTCATCCACTGGGTCCGGCTCCTCGAACTCCTTGAGCTCTATCTGCTCGAGCATAGTACTCTCCCATCCGCTACGCCAGAGCCACAACAGCCCTCTCGCTTTCTCACGATAATGATATTCGGTTGTTGATGTGATTACGAAAGTTTTCAGGGTGGATCTATAATCACATGAAAATTTATTGCTCTATCATGTATAATACGCTAGAAAAGAAGTACGCTATCTAAGCTGGAGAAGCCTGCGGCCACGCCCCCCTCATTCACTTCTTTGCCTTTGGTTCTCAACAACCATCCGCCCTGGTCATTATGGAGAACCTTGCCGGTGTTGTCCCACAAGATAGTACCATAAACACCCAGCTCGGAGATCACGTTGCCACGGAGGACTTCTCCGTCATTCCGTAGAGCGACATTCACAGCATCGGGCGCGGGATTGATGAGCTCCATCAGCACCCAGCCCTTCCAGTCTGTCTCTGGAATAGATTGAAGGAAGCCTGGAATCTCAGCTTTATAGATGTTGTTACCACCACCTTCTCGCTGGGGCTTGAGAACATGGTTCAGGGCTGTCTCGGCGTTGAGAGCCAGATTCCGACCTTGACTGTTGGCTGAGAGGTCATATTGTGGAGCAAATGTCTCTCGCAGTCTCGCGATCACTGTAGGATCAGTGCCTTTAAGGAAGCTTGAAAGGTGATCAGGGCCCGTCGGCTCTGCGAGCACTTGTTGGACCTTTTTGCAGCCAGCCAATTGGTTGAGCACGGTGGGACACTTGATAGCCGCGGAGCGTTCCAGGTGTACTCGGGCATCCCAGTCACGACTAGATTTGTATTCATCGGGTGAATAGTAAGCACGAAGATAGACAGTTGTCACTTCGAATGCGGATGACGGAGAGTAAGGAGGGCGATAGATCAAGGGCCGAGAAGGGTTGGAGTCAGATACTGATGTTTGATCAAAGAGCTCGCTGCTGCGAACACGGAAGACAGGAATCTGATGGAACCCTGTAAGCCGCTTTGAGAGGGCATGTTGGTCGAAGACGTTCCTTTCTCCGTCCTGGACTACAAAAATAACACACAAGGGAAGCTCAGGTGTAGACTTTGATGATCCATAAGCCTTGTGTGCCGTTGCCAAACCTCCTGCAAGAGTCTCGACGGATGTATTTTCGGGTGGTACGCCGGATTGTAGGAGCGGGTGAGGTGGGTAGGTGATTGGGGTACCCGGGGGGGACGTAAGGAGCTCCGTATGCAGAGATCTCACAAGAGCTGACAGTCCTCCAAATGACGACGAAATTGTGTTGAACTCAACTTGCTTCAACGCTGGAGCACGGTTGGGCGCAACATGGGCCATATAATCAGAACGGTAGAGGCCTAAGGACAGGTTCTGGACATATCCTTCCTTTTGTACCGCCAAATGAGTTTTCCAGAGGTTCGCAACAAAGTCGTCCACATCAATTAGCCTGCAAAAAGGGGTGAATTTTAGCCGAGGGACCGCAATGATTGATCAGAATGTATTCTTACTCTCCCATGACCTTCCCCAGCCATTCCTCATTGCAGGTGATTGCAGCATATAGTTGGTTGTATACGGTCTGTAAAGCTTGAGCTTCCTCGAAGCAGGCTTTCGGAAAAGGGCTGGGGAAGAGTGTCACTGGAGCGTTTGTTGCTAACACTCGATTTGAATCTGCGCCAGCGGGAAGGGCAGTTGGACTTGGTCGGACTGCCAGGCCATTTTGGATTGCCCAGTCTTTGGTCGTAGTGACTAAGTGCTCTTGCTGAGCTGGGGTTAGGTCAGGGGGTAATTGGTGTAGATTGACTCGGCCATGATCCTTAGCAAATAAAGCAACGCCCTGATGGGAGAGAGACTGAGCGCTGTACTCCGTACTCAGAGCAACTTTATCGGAGTCTCCCCGCGGAATGATTTGTCATCAGCATAACCCCACCTGACCGCCCAGGCCACCGCTTTATATTAATGCACACCGCCCCAATTATTACAGGCAGAATATATCCTTACCCCATCCCAAATAAAGAACCAACATTTGTCGAAGGTCCACTCTCTGCTTTTCTTCAAGCCTAGTCCCATCCGTCCTGTCTATTATTTCCTACGCTGAAACTAATATTTCTTTGATTCATTTGTTCCCCACTCCCTATACCTGAAGTCCCACCACTCGAGGTTTCTTTTCAAAGAACTGGCCTACCCGCCGAGCGTCGCACCGGGGGCCATCCACTGGTGAGATATATGAAACGCGTGCCGTGAAACCTTGAACTATGGGCTGACTGTGTAATAGGCCCCCATGAAAATACCATGGCTGCCTCAACCCAAGATCCGGTCCACTGGGGAGTTGATGAGGTTGTTACCTTCCTCTGCAACCCAGAGGCAGCTCCATGGGCTGACTCCGCTAATTCGCCGCGACCAAACCCTGTCGCTCTCGAGACTGCACTTCGCGAAAATTTCATAAATGGAGAAGCACTGCTTCATCATGTTGATAAGGAGGCCCTCAAGGACGACATGGGTATCAAAGCTCTCGGTCATCGCAGTAGTGTCCTGAGAGCGATTGATTGGTTGCGGCTTCGATCCCCGAAATATCGCATGTCAAAGCAGGCTATTTCTTTGTTGAACGAAATACCCTCGACTGAAATCACCGTGTCGCCGGTTCCCTCCCACTGTGTTTCGTCATCTCTGGACCCTCCGAGCCAGGCCCCTTCTGTACCCTCTGGCGTAGAACCTGCACCAGCAGCTACGAAAGAGAAGCGCCGGGTAGCACCGGTCCAAGTTTTTGTGCCAGGTGGACAAAGAGTACGAGAAGGCAGTATTCAGAAAGAACAATCACCTTCCAACCTTCAAATGATGTTGACCTATGAGCACGTCCTCTTACCGCACACCCACCCTGAAAACTCTGGAAGCACTGCTTCAAGGGTAGCTACTGGTGAAAGGAGACATCAGCTTTCAATTTGTGGTTCACCAGTGGCCGAAAATCCGATGTTGAATGACAATTTTCCGGCCATGCCGGTTTCTCAGGACAGATCAAGTGAGCTTACCGCAAAGGATCATGCTTTTTACGAAAGAATACTCCAGAAGTATCCTCCCAAGGAGGATGAGGATGATATCATTCTTCCAGCTTATGGAGAATCTGGTTCAGACGGCCATTACGATGAGGAGACGTGGGAGGAAATCGTCGATGAGAACCCAGACATTCACCAGTCCAAATCTGCTCTTCTACGTGATGAGTGTGATGCTGTGATCTCGAAATACATGGCAGAGTACGTGGAAAAGTGGAAGACTGAGCGTTTGCCGCGGGAGAAACCATATGCCCGAGCATTGTGGCTGCAAGCCCGGGAAGATAATATGGTCGAGGACTACAAGCGCGACTACCTGGGCCAACTCGACGTTCTTCGAGATCGCTTAGAAAAGCTGAAAGCAGCCATTCTCGCTGTTGCATACAGATCACCTGCCCTTTTGCGAAAGGCCTGCGGTAGTATGGAACTGACCCTCAGTCAGATATGCCATGAAAGTTGGAAGTTGAAAATCATGAACCTCGAAATGTGCCCACCTCCTGTTTCCCTCCCGCCAAGGACTTCTCGCCCTCGAAAGGAACATGTCGGTGATGTTGAAGAAGAATCTTTGGGCTCTGACTCGGATTCAGTAGCCGATGATGAGGCCTCCACCGGCGATTCTGGTTCTGATTTTGGAGATGAGGCTCCAAGAAATTTACAGCATGCTGTACCGGGAATGTCCTCTGTCACCGCTCTAGCATCCGATGATAGCGAAGGAGGCTTTGTTGCCAACAAGCGGCGACGTATGATTGGAAGCCATGAAGAGGACGGAGCCAGCACTGAACTCAGCCTGCCTGGGCCTTTTATGGAGCTTGATGATGGTGCTGTACAGCATAGTCACTCACCCCCGGTGGTGGCTAGAGCGAGCCTAGCCCTGTCAGAACTACAGGAAACTGACCAGGCAGACGAGATGTCGATTGAGACACCGCCTCTAAATCCAACTCTGGCAGCAAGTCCACAAGATGTTGACATCGAAGATGAATTGCTCGTGGAGACACCTCCCCTGAATCCGGTGAATCCGCCACAACAGCCCGCTCTGAGGATAAAACTTAAAGTCTCGTCGCCTCCAGCATCCGCGGATGATGAATCCATGCGACCTCAGCAGAGAAAGTCCCATTCGCCGGCACTGTCCATCAAAAACCATGATAGGGACGCGGTCCGCCCGAATATGGACGATATTGATCTTTTCGACACGTTATCCAGCTTGAGCTGGAACACTGTCCAGGCTGAGAAGGATCGCATCCGGCTGCTGGCAAAGAGCATCATAGGCTTACCATCAGAGGAGGTCAAGAGCTTTGGGTCTTACATGGAAGCACTTTTCGACCCTATCTACCTTGATCAAGTTCAAGAAGCACTGCAAGCAATGCTCAAGAATGAACGTTGTCTGCTTGACAGAACCGAAGATGACAGTAGATCCGCAATGCGGCTGGGTGCTCTCTTCGTATCTTGGCACCATTGCGTTATGTTGAGTCCCCAGGGAATCGGCAAAGAACGTCTCCAAAAAGCTCTCCAAGCCCTCGAAGCGGCTGATGGCCCATCAAGGTTCATGGTTTTCCTTCACCTGCTCAAGAAGCTGTTTTCTTCTTTCAAAGTTTGGCATACACAACGAAAGCCCCTAAGTGAAAGCCATGGCATGTCTTCCGAGTTGGCGGAGTTCGACAGGACCTCAAAGAAGAGAAAAAAGAAGCCTAACTCAAAATCCGGCCTGAAATTACCTGGTCCGAGAATGCTCAGTAATATGCAGAAAGATGCACAAGAACGACAAGCGAAGCAGAGCAAAGACAGAGAGCTACTCAGGATGGCCCGTGAAAGCCAGGGTCTGAGCAACAGCGACGCAGACGGGCAAGCTGTGACATTCAAGGATCCTGTCATCTATCTGCACCCCCAGCTGGGCAAATATGTCAAGCCGCATCAACTGACGGGAATACAGTTTATGTGGAGAGAACTTATCGAGGCCAACAACCAGCAAGGTTGTCTGCTTGCTCATGTCATGGGGCTGGGCAAGACAATGCAGATGTAAGATTTAATTCGAATCCCCCATATGTTTCACAGGTTTTTGGATCAAATGTCTGATCTCTGAATAGTATATCCCTTTTGGTCACTATTGCTGCAGCTGCTACCTCGGACAACCCACAGATTCGGAAACAGGTTCCGCAAAGGTTCCATCGCTCCCAGACTATTATTTTATGTCCATCGTCCGTGGTTCAAAATTGGGTCGAAGAATTTTCCATCTGGACACCATCTGATCACCACCTCGGACCAATTCGGGAGATCATCTCCCGAGGAAAGAACATGGAAATGGCTGAGAGGCTTAGAACGATCAATTCCTGGAATGAAGAGGGGGGCGTTCTCATCATGAGCTATGAGATGCTCCGTATGCTCATCTTGAACAAATCAACTAAGGTTGGGAGATCCCTCTCCCCCGAGGATCATGGGATGGTTAAACACTGTCTCCTATCGAGGCCGAATATTGTCATCGCAGATGAGGCTCACAAACTGAAGAGTGAGAAGTCGGCCATTACCCAAGTTGCCTGTCGGTTTGAATCGACGAGTCGTATTGCTGTGACTGGGTCACCACTCGCAAACCATCTTTCCGAGTACTACCAAATGGTTGAATGGGTTGCGCCTGGCTATCTGGAAGACCCAGCCATATTCAAAAGGAAGTTCATGGATCCCATTCAGGCGGGGTCTTACATTGACAGCACGGTCAGCCAACAAAGGGAAAGCTTGATTTCCTTACAGCTTCTCAACGGGATTCTGGCCCCCAAGGTTCTCAGGGCTGACACCTCTGTGATTGCATCAGATCTTCCTGCAAAAACGGAGTTTGTTCTTACAATTCCTTTGACGGAATTACAGAGAAAGGCTTATGATATTTTTGTGGACTGTGCTAGATCTGGAGATGGGGACGTCAGCATGAAGCTATGGTCGTGGCTGGCAATTATGCAACTTTGTTGCAACCATCCCTCCCCCTTCCGTGAGAAACTCGCCGATCGGTTGAAACAGCCGGAGGATTTTGAGAGCCCATCAATCTTGTCTGGATCAATCCAAGACGCTGGACTTCCAAAGGATCTCATCTCCCGCATAGAATCGCTTTTCAGCAAGTATCCTGACATCAAAGACTCCACGTTATCCAACCGCGCTGTTCTTCTCGATCAGATTCTTGACCTGTCAATCCAAGCCGGGGACAAGGTTTTAATCTTCACTCAGAGCATTCCAACTATGGATTACCTTGATCTCATGTTGAAGAAGCGTGGACGACAGTATCAACGTATCGATGGCTCGATGCTTGGGTCAGACCGCCAGGTCGCAACGAAGCAGTTCAACACCAATGGGGAAGAACAAGTACTCTTGATCTCCACTCGAGCTGGTGGCGTGGGCCTCAACATGTTTGGTGCAAACCGTGTTGTGATTTTCGATTTTCTCTTCAATCCTATGTGGGAAGAGCAGGCTGTTGGCCGCGCATACCGCCTGGGTCAGAAAAAGCCAGTTTTCGTCTATCGCTTCATTGCTGGTGGTACCTTCGAGGAGCTTATTTTTAACAGCGCTGTATTTAAACGACAACTTGCCGTTCGCGTGGTGGACAAGAAGACTGTTGTGCGAGAAAGTTCGAGAAGAACTTCGCAGTATCTCTTCCCCGTGAAGAATGTGCAGAGGGACGAACACTATGATGTTCTTGGAAAGGATCGTCAGGTCCTTGATCAAATTCTCGAAGGGGAATACAGTGAGGTTGTTCTCAAAGCGACCTTGTCGCATATTCAAGACAACGAGAAAGACCATCTCACCGAGGCCGAGAGCCGCCGCGTCGAGAACGAACTTAGAATGGAACGACTGAAACGCTCCGATCCGGAAGCCTACCAGACTGAGATGAAGAGACGCGAAGATGCTGAAAGAGCGCGTCAACAAGCAGAGGCTCGTGGAAAGGACAAGGAACGATGGGAAAAAATGCAAGAGCAGCAACGCTTGATCCAGTTCGACCAGAATCATCAGCAGCAAGAAGTCGTGTTGCAGCAACGTTTTGCCTCTCTCAATCCAGGGCCATATTCACCTGAGATCGGAAGCAGATCAGCTGTGCCCGTTTCTACTAGTGGCGTAGCGAAGCTTGTCCCGCCCTTTTCGGCGGCCAAGTCTACTCCTGTTGCACAAAGCCAGATGTTATTCCCTAGATATCTACAGAGTTCATCCTCTATGCTGCGAGCAAGCTCACCCGACCGACCGGAATCTCCTTCGGAATATGCACGCAGTTCCTCGTCACTGCAGCAAGCTGATCGCTCGAGATCTCAACAAGCTCATGTGGTACCGAACTACAACGAAGTTATCGTGATTGAAGACTATTCAGCGCCACCTACTGCGCCTACTAATATCTCGGATGCTGCCCCAGCAACTTCTCCAAGACCCCATTCTGCTACTTCACCTGCTCCAAATACCCATGGTGATGGTAGTCGAGAGAAGACCAGCAAGGCAAACCCTGCGGATATCGGTCAGAATACGCCGGCACCGACAAATCAGGACAAACCCGAGAAGCCGATGGGGCCTAAGCCAAGCCCATCGGTGGTTTCCAGCGAGGACGCACCGGTTGAGATGATTGAGAAAAGGTAGGGTGGAGTTTGAGCACAACCAATCTACCAAACCTGTCCTTCATGACACTTCAAGCTCCTACCAGGAGAAGCCCGCGGATGACACCGCAAGTTCCAATCTGACCACATCTACGAAGTAACAGTCTTCACATACCTTTGGACTAGATAGCGATTAGTTATATCGCGTCCAGCCAAGGCGAGTCGATGGACATCGGCAACGGCGAATAGGTGGATTACAGTGAACATGCTCGTTGCTTAATCCTGAATGTTCCAGCCCTTGCATTCTCTCCATGCATTTTGCATTTCTTTTTGCTGTACAAGTGATACCCGTGATACCCCATAATGCGAATTCTTTTGTGAACCACCCATTAAAACTGCGTGACTGGTAAAGTCCGGATTTTGCCTCTGCGTTAGATCTAATTACCACACACACCTCAGCTATGCAGCATCCTAATGCGATTAATTTTCCAGTGAATTCCTATGAAAAGGTAGCTTTAAGTGTAGAATACTTGCAGTATAGAGCATTATTGGTCCTGCAAACTCATCAAACTTATCACATCCCATAAACGCCGAGTTATCGGCAAACAATAAGTGGCCCACTTCATACGCGAAGTGGAACTGCTTATCTTCCCCGCAAATAAATACGCCCGCTTATCTTGCTCGGTCCTTCGGGCTCGAAACCCATCCACCTTCCCTTCCCACAAAGATGCACCATGGCGGCCATCTCGAGAGCTCGGACGGGCTGCTGGACATGTCGTGCGCGCCGAATCAAGTGCGACGGTATTGTTCATCCGGCTTCGATTGGCCTCAATTGATACATAGCACTAACCCGAATGTCATAGAAAATCACCCAATCTGCCGCCGCTGTGCCCGTAACAATAGCCCTTGTGGATACGGAGTCCGTCTAACATGGCATGAAGAGTCTATTGCTCGCGGGGTATGCCATGGACGGGCAGGAGTCTGGTCGAAGCGAGGCGATACCGATCGAGGGCAGGCTGAAGGGAAATCGCGACAGGGGGAGGACACAAAAGGCAGACCAGTCCGACAGAAGGAACAGATGGATTCTTCTAGTCGGCATTGGATGTTTCTGAACACGACAATTGGCGATCTTGAGGTTCACTTTGACGGTACAATACCCAAGGCATCTCGACTACACAGGACATTTCCCGACTCCAGGCCGTTGTCTCCCTGGCTGAGCACAATCCCAAATGGCGGCAGGCGATCAGAGTGCGATCCGGTCCTCATGTCATATTTCGAAAATATAATCTGCAGCAGCTCTACCTTGGTAGATAATGCTCATTACAACCCCTATCGATATCTCATTCTACCCATGGCCTTAGAGACCGAAGGACTTTATCATGCGACGCTAGCTATTGCAGCCAATACCATGCGCCTTTCAGACCCGAGATATCAGTTGCCAGCACTGGAGCACCATCATTGCGCATTAAGTCATCTCAGAGGTTTATTGACTCATGACACATGGGGAGAAAAAGAGCTGGATGAGATGCTGGGACTTGTCCTCATGCTCTGCTGGTTTGATGTAAGTTTCCAGCTTCTCGAGTTGCTTTTCAGCATACTTATGAGTTCTAGATCTCAGATAATAGTCGACCATCATGGTTTACCCATCTCAATGGGTTCCAAGACTTGATACATACGCGACAACAACGCCCTGGCCGCTCCATCCACAGCCAGGAACTATCAAGTTTCTTCAATCGCTACTTTGCCTTTCATCTTGTCCTTGCCCGAACAGCATTCCGTGTCAAGCCCACGACTTGCCAAATATCAATTTTACCAGACTCTTCTATCGAGTCTCCCGATATCATTGATCCATATATGGGATTCAGCCACTCACTTTTACTACTCATCAACCAGGTGACTGAGCTTGCCTGGGTCAGAGAAGATGCAAACGATAAGATAACATTATCTACAGTTTATCAGCTAAAACAAGACCTCGAAAATCTCCAGCAAAGACTACCAACTGAACAGATTGACCCAGACACAGAATGCGCTGCAATTGCAGAAGCGAACCGACTCGGGGCACTTCTTCTGCTTCACGAAACCTGCTCGCCAACCGCCTCAAACAGGAACTCTTGTCTTCCATCTCTCAATCTAGAAGAAAGGGGTGATTGTGTCGAGCAAATATTGAGTCTCATCTTGGCAAAAAAAGCAAATATGATGCGCACTGCAGTCTTGCCGCTGTGGCCCTTGTTTTTGGCGGGCTGTTGTGCTCGTGAGGAGGATCAACGGGTGATTGTGCTGCAGCTCTTTGAGGAACTAAGTGGAATTCGTAGATTCGGGGTACGTGTCTCTCCCTTACTATCTAATGGTAACGATATGTGGTGGACTCACAACTATTGGGAGACAGAACATTGCACCCGCTATGGAAGTTGTTGAGATGGTTTGGCGACAGCGAGATTTGTCCGTACAGGACGAGCGAAAGCGCCAAAGAGGCGAGAATCAAAGTAAAAAGGATCCTTTACAGGGCGCCCGATTTTCCTGGGAACATGCCATGGTGATGCTGGGAGACTGGAAACTAAGTTTGACATAATTCGCCGTACGAAATCCAATTTGAAAGAACATCATAAGAGCTCTCACCACATTGAGCCGAGGACAGGTTCTCTTTTCGCATTCAAATTAGCAAAAAATCACAGCGACGGTACGAAGACCCCAGGTGCTGGAGTTATGTTCGATGCGGTCGGTGGTGTTGCCAAAGGCTTTGTTTTACGATCCTATATCCTGACTACCAACCCTATCACGAAGAGTGTGGATGGTGCGATGCTTAGCGAAGAGGTGCGGTCGATTACTTCTACGCATTTGAGCAGTGAAGCCAGAAACGCCAATGGATCCATATATATTTGGAATTAACTGTTTCATAACGCAATTCATGTCATTGAGATCATAGCCTAGAAGTCCTACTTCTTTCACGAGCGTGTCGTCCTCTCCATCCTGTGAGATCATCTAATTCTAATTCAGGGTCCATATGAGCGAGATTCTTCGCCTCAACCTTCTGCCCAGCGCGCCACTGCCACTTGCCCGCAATATCCGCATTTAGTGTTCCCTCAAGCAAATCCGCTACATACTTCCCAATGACAGGGAGGAATTTAAACCCATGCGCTGACCCGCCAGCTGCGAGAAATAGTCGTTGATAGGTCGGATGAGACGTGACAAGGAAGTGCCGATCTGCCGTATCGGCATCCCAGCAGAGACGAGTATAGCAGAAAGGCCGGTCCGCCAGCTCGGGCAGAACACGCCGTAGGTTTCGGCGCATCTGAGCTTCGATTTCAAGAGGAAGGCCGTCCTTTGGCGCTTGGACAAAGGTATGTGGAATCGAAGTTGTAATCTTGGAAATTGCGTCCCGTCGCGTATTGGTAATGAACTGACTGTGGGCAATCTTGAAGACCCCGTCTTTCTGCGGAGGGAAGAAATAGCCCAGCTCCAGGTTGTCCATGATTGGGAAAGAGGAATAGTGGTTTGTCTCGGCAGGGGTGAGCTGGATATGCGCAACACTGTGGCCCTTCGCGGTTAATTGGCCTTGCACATCTAATAGAGACGGTGTCCAGGCTCCAGCAGCAAGAACCACCAGGTCGGCCTCGTATATGGTGCCATCTGCAGTGAGGGCACCTTTGCATTCGCCGGTTGAGTCGTCGAATATCAATTGTCGCACATAACCTTTTGTCTCTCCTGAAATATACTCGACGCCGTTCCTCTGCGCGGCGTTGGCCATCCGCTCCAGAGCCTGACCGGCCGCTGCCCAGCCAGCCGTCGGATTCCAGACATTGATATTCCACCCATCCAGCTTGCCAGTGACGACAGGAAAGCGAGTACGAATCTGCTCCGGAGTCAGAAGCTCAATGCCTTTCACGCCAAGCTTCCGACACGTTTCGATAGAGCCCTCCACAAACGGCTTTGACAAGTTGGCCGCACTCAGAATCCATCCAGGTACGTGATAGAGTCCGCTGAACAATGGCCACGACCGCCACGCGCAAATGGACTCGATTCCCAATCGCGCATACAGCGGCTCGTTATAGTCGCTGCGAATAATCTTGCTGATATCGGTCGAGGCGGCTTCACACGAGGGCGGGGGGTATCGGTCTAATACGCGAATGGAGGTATAGCCACGCTGTGAGAGATGGTATGCAGTCGAGGTGCCGAAGCAACCGGCGCCGATGATAAGGATCCTCGTATCTTTGTCCATTGTCGTATCTGATTCATACTTCGTGCTTTGGTCCTCTCCAAACCTTTGCGAGCGGCGCGCTCGTTATTTATTGCGGCGTTTTGCTGGCGCCCAACTCGGTTGGAGCTTCCTGGCGCGCAGGGCAGCGGATTGCGACCATGTTTGGGTGTACTCCGAGTGGGGTGATAGTTCGTCGTTAATTTCTGTGGTGATTTCGTTCCGACCTTCTGTCATTTTTGTTCTCCGCAATCGCGCAGATAAGACCTCGGCAATCCTCCGATGTGGAGTCCGTTCCGACCTTCTCAAGTTGGACTGCGTCCGGAGTCGATTCCCCGCATCTGCCCTTGTCCACGCGGTTATTCTTCGTGCCTCTGATAAGCCCTGTTCCGCTACGGTGGCCAAGATAATGGATAACACACTAGTTGTAGGATTGGGAACGCTGCCACCGCCAAAGTGAGCCGTTCGCCGACAACTTTGGTATACGAAAAGAAGAGCTGGAGGAGAAGTCAAAGGTTAGAAGTCGAAGACACCGCTGATACACGATTATAATTTAGATCTGTCTTAACAAACTAAAGAAGCACTTGTAGTTGCACACAATAGTACTCTAGTACGTATATCTAAACGCTCGCTTCTCGCGATCAGTCAAGTCGGAAAACGCAGCAGCCTCGGATGGCACCACATCCAGCTGTGGACCCTCCTTCTTATCGCGATTGTGATTCTCCCAGCGGCAGAGCACTCCATAGGCAATGATAGAAGCAATCGCCACAACAAGACAGGCCAGGAGGCCCTCGTAGCCTCGCGAATATGAGGGGGCATCCTCGGCACGGAAGACTTGTGGGCCAATAATGTTGCCAACGCAGTAAGCCAAGAAGAAGATGGCGTTCATGGTCAGTTTCTTGGAATGCCCGCTAGTGTTGGCCATCGGCAGTGAGGTCGATAGCACATATGGTGCCCAGTAGGTGTAGAAGACGTAGTACGAAGCCAGCAGCCCATGCTGGTTCTCGCGCGGCAATTTCCACATTAGGATGGCACAAACCATTGGCACCAGGTTAGCGATAGCAATAATGGCACATCGAGAATTGCGCATGTTGGCCGCGAGAAATCCGAGCATGATTTGCCAGACGGTTGCTAAAACACCCGTTGGAATTCCTAGCACTGTAGTAATGAGCCGAGAATACCCCAGCCCTGTCACTATGATGGCGGAGAAGGTCACCAAGCCACCATTCGGAATGTTCTGTGCCAGGGAGAACAATGCAAGTAGCCATGTTTTGGGATCAAGCAAGCACTCGCGCACTTGATACCACTTGATAGTCTTGTCTTCCATACCGGTATTGTTATCCTTGACGCGCTCGAGGCAGACAAACTTCTCGCGATCAGAGAAGTACCAACACTGCACGGGAGAGTCCGGCAAAAAGAAGTAAAGAACTGCTGCCCAGAGGAGGGAGAATCCTCCTAGCACCAGGAACAGAAGTCGCCAGGGAGCCAAGACTGTGTTTGTATGGCCAATGCCGTAGCTCACCAGGCCCGAGAATACAGACGACAGCTGATTAAACCAGAAGGCAACTCGGAGCGGCTGCTCACTTGTCTTCCACCACATCACCGTCAAAATACTGGAGATTGGAAACACAGAGGCTTCCAGCATCCCCATCAAGAATCGTACGGTGGCTAAACCCGCAAAGTTCTGCGTTGCCGCTGTGCAGAGCATCAGCACAGCCCATCCTGCCACCATTCCCACATAGAGCTTGGCGACTGGAAGCCGTTGAATGAGAAGTGCGGCAGGATACTCAAACGTCAGGTAGCCGAAGTAGAAGATCGAGCCCACCCATGAGTATTGATTGCCGATCAAATGGGTATCCTTCGTCATCCCATAGATGGCTGCATTGGAAATAATGACTTTGTCAATGGCAGCCAGGACCACCGTCACCATGATGAGTGGGATGAGAATGAGATCGATCTTCCATAGCACACGCCGCGCCTCGCCCACGGAGATGGGCTCCGCGGCGATGGCTGGGTCCAAGTGAGCAAGGAACTGCGCTGCAACATCGTGGCTGCTGTTTTGGGTTCGCGAGGCAATAATATCTCCAGCCTGGTACTTTTCGTGCTCTAGAGCAATCTGAAGATCCGGCATTGTAGCCTCTTTGTCGTCTGCCATATCGGCAGGCACGAATTTGGAAGTGTTTGAGGAACAAAAGCACAGAGCAGCCAGTATAGAAGAAGATGAATCTGACGCCCCGGACAGATCTGCCAGTGACAGATTGTCTTATAGAAAATACGCTGCGAACAAACGCGCAACCCGGCCGTTTGGTTCTGGTGATTTAGGGTTTGCGCTGTGGGAAGGTCAGAGCGAGATAAGGCCTTCTCCACATCTCCCCCCTCACGCCCGTTCGAGGAACGCCGTCGAGGTCCGACCAGCTTGTCAAAATGGACCCTGCCCAGGCGCACAGCATGATCGCTCTCGCTCCGACCTACTGGATGGTGCCGGTCGGCAATCATAAAAGGCAGCCTTGGTCCGCGTTCCTTTGAACAGCATCGACCGCACCGTACCCCCGTCATGTCTCCCCATAAGTTAGATGGCCCAAGCATAAAGATCGCCATCGGTAAGTCTGGCTGAATGTCGCATAAGAACAAAAGAAGTCCAAGACACATATGCGTTCTGACGAATCCATCATTATCTTTCTCATCTTAGCAACTGACCTTGTTCAGATCGCGGCGGTACTTTCACCGATTGTCTCGGCATCGTCGAGGGTCGCGACGAGGAGATCGTTGTTAAGCTACTCTCTCAAGACCCGGCCAACTATGCCGATGCTCCCATTGAAGGTATTCGGCGTATCCTCGAGCAGGCCACGGGCAAAATATTCCCTCGCGACCAACAGCTTACAACAGCGGACTTCTCCAATGTTAGCATTCGCATGGGAACAACAGTAGCCACAAACGCTTTGCTTGAACGAAAAGGAGAACGGCATGCACTCCTAATCACCAAAGGATTCAAAGATGCTCTGCGCATCGGAACTCAATCGCGTCCAAAGTTGTTTGCGCTGAACATCGAACGGCCTGATGTGTTGTACGAGGACGTTGTTGAAGTTGAAGAGCGCGTCACAATTGAAGATTACCAGCAAAATCCTATGCCCGATAAGGATAGTCTTCAAAACGCCTTGCAGTCAGACTCATGCCTGAAGCGAGGGGTCAGTGGTGAGGTGGTTCGCATCCTGGAGCCACTTGACGAGGAAAGAACAAGGCAGAGCCTTCGGGAACTGTATGAGAAAGGCTACCGCTCAATTGCAGTCTGCCTGGTGCATTCATACACATTCCAAGAGCATGAGCTGGCAATTGAGCGCATTTCCAGGGAGATCGGATTCACGCAAATCTCTTTGTCCAGCCAGCTACTTCCAATGATTAAGATGACCTCGCGGGGTGCCTCAGCTACTGCGGATGCCTATCTGACACCTGTAATCCAGCGATATATTGAAGGATTCCGGTCCGGATTCAAGGATGGACTGCGGGCAGCAGACACACGCTGCGAATTCATGCAGAGCGATGGCGGCTTAGCTAATTTCGAAAAGTATGTGAAGCACGGGATGATTGTGTCATTTTGTTCTAACATATGACTGCAGATTCACTGGTCTCCGAGCAATTTTGTCGGGACCTGCAGGTGGCGTTGTGGGGTACGCAGGGACATCTTTTGATGAGACAGATAGGAAACCTGTTATCGGGTAAGTGTTCCGTTCAAACTTTCCTGCAGTACGGGGCTAATCAAGGGTTTCAGTTTCGATATGGGCGGTACCAGTACTGATGTCTCTCGTTACGATGGCAAGCTGGAGCACACTTTCGAAAACACCATCTCAGGTGTGACGGTGATGGCACCCCAGTTAGATATCAACACAGTAGCCGCAGGTGGTGGTAGTATTCTCTTCTGGCGCCACGGGCTGTTCGTTGTTGGCCCCGAGTCTGCAGGTGCTCATCCGGGACCAGCTTGCTATCGCAAGGGTGGGCCTCTGACAGTGACTGATGCCAATCTGTTCCTTGGACGTCTTCTTCCGGAATACTTCCCCAAGATCTTTGGTTCTGGCGAGAATGAGCCACTTGATGTTGGGGTTACGCGACTAAAATTCAGCGAATTGGCAAATCAAATCAATGCAGAGACAAACCAGAACAAGACACCGGAGGAAATTGCTCTAGGCTTTATTGAAGTCGCGAACGAATCTATGGCGAAGCCTATTCGCGCTCTTACAGAGGCCCGGGGATATGACACCTCCGCGCACAATCTTGCATGCTTCGGCGGTGCCGGTGGACAACATGCTTGTGCCATTGCCTCCTCACTATCTATCGGGACAGTCATCATCCACCGATACTCATCTATCTTGTCGGCATATGGAATGGCTCTCGCAGATGTTGTTCACGAGGCCCAAGAGCCAGCATCCGGTGTTCTGGACCAAACAGCAATGCAAAGCATTGCTCTGCGTATTTCTGCGCTGAAATCTAGAGTTAGCACTGCCTTGAGCACTGACGGAATTGACGAGACTCAAATTCAGCATGAAGTCTACCTCAACCTGCGCTACCAGGGCACCGATAACACCCTTATGGTCCTAGAGCCTGAGCACGGAGACTTTCTTACCGAGTTTGTCAGAGAGCATCAGCGTGAATTTTCATTCACTTTCCCCGGTCGCAACATCTTGGTTGAAGATATTCGCGTTCGTGGAGTTGGAAAGGCTACCTCAGTTGCTCCTGAAGCTCCCCAGAGAGAGCTCAAGTCAACTGTAAGAATCCCAGTTGCACCTGAGAAACACGACGATGCTTCATCTGTGTTCTTTGCGGGCGTAGGTCGGGTAACCACACCGGTCTTCTTCCTGAACAATTTGCCGCCAGGAAGTTTCATTCAGGGCCCAGCGATGATCATCGACAACACCCAAACTATCGTTGTTGAACCTAATGCGACTGCCACAATTCTGTCCCGCCATGTCATTCTGGACGTGAAATCATCAAAGACGCAAGCTTACGATGCTACAGTGGTAGATCCAATCAAGCTATCCATTTTTGGTCACCGTTTCATGTCGGTGGCGGATCAAATGAGTCGCATGTTCCAGAAGACCTCGGTTTCGACAAATATCAAAGAGCGGTTGGACTTTTCTTGTGCGGTCTTCTCCCCCGATGGAAAGTTGGTTGCCAATGCTCCGAATGTACCTGTACATTTGGGAAGTGAGTACTTCGATCAATGTCTTCAAAAGCAAGAAGAAATCTTATATTAATGCCCGATTAGGTATGGAATATGCCGTTCGGTATCAGCACGAGCAATATGGCGATGATTTGAAGCCCGGGGATCATATTCTGACAAACCATCCTCTTGCTGGAGGCACCCATCTCCCTGATATTACCATCATAACGCCAGTCTGGGACAACCAGGGTAGAAACATCATTTTCTACGTTGCATCTCGGGGTCACCATGGTAAGCAAAAGGGCCTGACCCCCTCATGGTCGAATTTTGCTAACAGGAAGTAGCTGAAATTGGCGGTATTGCCCCTGGATCTATGCCATCAGATAGCAAGATGCTCTACGAAGAAGGTGCCATGACGATGGGCTTCAAAGTTGTCTCCGAAGGACGCTTTGACGAGGCTATCGTTCGCAAATTCCTCTATGATGAGCCAGCTTCCTATCCCGGTTGCAGCGGCACCCGCACTTACAATGACAATGTCTCTGATTTAAAGGCAGCCATCGCCGCCAACCACAAAGGAGCCCAGCTCTTAGAGGGGCTGGTGACGGAGAATACTTTGGAGGTGGTACACTTCTATATGGATGCGATCAAGCGTAACGCTGAGGTAGCTGTCCGCGAGCTTTTGAAGTCTATTGGTCGCAAGAAACCGAATCAGTCTTTGCAATTTTCTGATTTCATGGATGATGGCACTGAGATAAAACTTGAGATCCGCATTGATGCTGAAACCGGCTCGGCCGATTTCGACTTCACGGGAACAGGTCGCGAAACTTTCAACTGTCTCAATGCGCCCAAGGCTATTGCTCATTCCGCTATTATCTATAGCTTGCGTGCTCTGATTGATGTGGATATTCCATTGAACCAGGGCTGTCTCGCCCCTATCAACGTCATTATTCCCCCGGGGACACTTCTCAACCCGTCTGGACACGCCGCTGTCTGTGCAGGCAACCCGATCACCTCACAGCGCATCACGGACGTTGTGTTAGGAGCGTTTGGCGCCTGTGCTGCTTCTCAAGGTTGCTGCAATATCATCTCCTTTGGCATGGGTGGTGTTGATCCAAAGACCGGCCTCGAGGTTCCTGGATTTGGTGTTGGCGAGACTATTTGTGGTGGCTCAGGCGCTGGTGCGTCCTGGCATGGCACCTCTGGCGTGCACGTACATATGACCAATACGCGCATCACCGATGCTGAAGTCTATGAGCTGCGGTATCCGGTAATCCTGCGTCAATTTTCGATCCGCACTGGATCTGGGGGCCAAGGACGCTTCCGTGGCGGCGATGGAGTCATCCGTGAGCTAGAATTCCGCATGCCACTATCGGTATCTATGCTTAGTGAGCGACGGGTCTACCGGCCGTATGGTTTGGAAGGGGGCGGTCCTGGCCAGGCGGGTCTGAATCTATACCTGAAGAAGGAGCTGGATGGCGCGGAGAGAATAATCAACATTGGTGGTAAGATGGAGCTTGAGGTGCAGTCGGGAGAACGGATCATTATTCACACGTGAGTGCCTTCCCATTTCTTAATTATTAGGAACAAATGCTCATTTCATGATTAGGCCGGGCGGCGGTGGTTGGGGGACTCCATCAGATGGGACAGAAACGAATCCCAGCAAGCATCCTGGAAATACATCGACTTTCCAGGTACGGGGCAGTGTACATGCCTTTAGCCAGACTGCAGAGGCAGCATCTTAAGGAAAACCTGAACAAGCTTTCGTTATAATCATGTACCAGCTTGGACGTATAGTTTTCAGTATCCCATATCCTTCATGTATCTGTGCAAAATGCCATTTTGCTTCCCAGTTTCCGCTGAATATTCGGAATTCTTCAGACATGCATTATTTTCAACTCGAGCGTCCTGCAGATCTATAGGAACACATTGTGAGTAGGAGCTAGCGGTGGTTCAACTGGAAGATCCTAGCAGTGGGTAGGATCTAGAGCAGAAAGCCACGCCAACAAACTCATCGCTGCAAAAGTTCGCTGTGCCGATCGGATCTTGGGGCTAACTTTACCCGCAGTGATCTTGGTTCATAGACGAGCCATGCCTTTTGATTCAACCAATCTGCTACCACCTCCGGAGGCTCGGCGAGCTCAAGGTCGAAGGTCCACAGCAGCGGTGAAAGCAGAACCCGTGCCTGAGCCAGAAATACTCTAAAAATGAGAGAGCGGGTCAGCCATACTGCAGCAACACTCTCACCAGGCAGTTCTCGGCAATCTTTAATCTATCATAGGGAAAACCATGACTGTTGGAACAGTAAAGGGAAACAGTAACTTACTTTCCTCCGATACAGTTCCGCGGTCCCATCGAAAATGGCTGGAAGGCGTCCAGACGATCGTTTGCAAGACTTAAATCATACCGCTCGTCTTCTTTGCTCAGGAACCTTTCTGGGTGGAACTCGAGGGGAGAAGTGAAGTTTTCCGGCCGTCTGTGTATATTGAATAAGCTCACTCCGACAACGGTATCCCTTGGGACAAAGTGGCCGTCAATCATTATCCCGCCATCCGGGGCGATGCGCGGAAGGCTTCCCGGTGTTGGATGATGCAGACGTAATGTTTCATTGATTACCGCATTGAGGTAGGGTAATGACTGAGTAGAGTCAACACGGATGTCGGCTTCGGTCTGAAACCCAGCGCTTCGGACCTCATTCACCAGCCGCCTGAAACAGCGCGGATCGCCGGACGAAAGCAGGTAGATCGCAGTAGTAACGGCGATGGTACCAAGCTGGGAATTGGCAATGACGACAGCGACACCGTTGGTGAGGACCTCACTTTTGGTGATGGTGCCTTTAGAAGGATGATTGCTATTTTCACTGATCCGATCAAGTATTGGTTCCATGAAATCCCCCGTGGAGATTCTGAATGTCCGGCCGCTAGGCGGCGGTCTATACGCTCAAAAGTTAGCTGGGTGTTGGCAATCCGCTGGCGGGCAGTAATACGGAGGAAAATCGATTGGAGGATGTGGTCGAGCGGGGAGAATCGGCTGAGACAGTTTCGGAGCGTGCTGAACCGAGCATGTAGAAAGAAACGGTAAATCCAGCCGGGAGTCTGGGTTGCGCTCGTTTCCTGCAGGGCTTGAGATGTCTCTCCCCAGGTGAGGTGGGAAATCATGTCAAAGATGGCGGAGCCAACGAATGCGTGGATATCGAGAATCCGTCCGTGGCCGAGCGCCTCTTCTTTCAACCGGTGGATGAATTGCCCACTATAGTCCTAGATGGTCTGAGACTGCTCCCTCAACGCCTTGTCGGAAAAGGCGTTGATGAACGCGCCTCGAATTCGGCGGTGATCATCTCCCAGCGCCGTGAAGAGCGAGTTCGCTCCATTCAATGGGGGCGTTTGACTGCGGGGGTCTTTAAGCAACTGAGGGCGTGCTCCATATATGTCTTTCCATGCCGCTGGCGAGATGAACGAGAGCTCATCCGGAGCAATGCGGATGACCGAGCCATAGCGGTTATGGAAATCATCCATGGAGTGCCAGACATCGCCTTTGATAACATGGTACGCCCATGGAATGCGCGAAATTGCCCAGAGCTTTGGACCGGGAAATCTGGCCAGAGGGTGGAAAAAGACCAGATAAACTGACCAGATGACAAAAGCCTTGAAATAACATACACATTAGCATGTGCCCCTCCATGCGAACCTCGACATCAAGCTCACCAAGATCAGTACCAGGACCGCAATGATCGAGACAAGTGCAATCCCTGGACCGGGCCCGTGATCAGGTGCACTGCGGTCCGTGTCGTCTCATGCGTCCAGTCAATAATGGGTGGTGCTAAAATCCGTGGCTCTTCAATCGGTGCCATGCCCTCAAAGCCAGGGTGAATGAGCACGACGGCCCCTCGCTGGTTGAATTCATCCCAGACGGGACGAAAGATCGGGTGGCCCAGGTATCGACCGGCATAGCTGCTAAAGATCACGACTCCATCAGCCTGAAGTTCGTTCAAGCTGTACCTCATCTCTTCAATGCAGGTATCTGTCTGATCCATCGGGGGAAGCGTCGCAAAGAACCCGATTCGGTCTGGGTGAGCGTCCCGCAACTTGGCTGTATAGTCATTGATCTCACGACAGATGGGCGCCACTTGTCGAATATCATCCACATAGGGATGGACGGGATGGCCCATGGAAATGACGGCGGTGCTGATGCCGCACTCATCAATGGCTTCGAGTGTGCCCTCTGCCGACCAGGTCGGGAGTTGGAGGCCACGAGCTTTTTCGATATTTGCAAACCATACTAAGGAAAAATTGTTCAGTCTCTTTCAACTCTCAAATCCGGGTGTTTGGATCGGTCTTGGTTCCTTACATTCTCTAAAGCGGGGGGAATGAGATGGTGGTGAACGTCAATTGTTCCGCCCATGATGGATGATGGATAACAGATGCCTGATTGATTGACTTGCAGAATGGAGTCTGACACTAGACACTAAAAGAATTTCAATTTGCTATCGGTGTTTGCTAGTTTTGAGGGCGAGGTGCATATATATATTAATATATATTAAAGATTAGGTCTAGTAACTGAGATTATATACCTAGGATTATAGGTATTAATAAAGACAGACAATTTGAATCACCAGAAGTTCTCTGCAGTGCGAACAGTCGACTTTTAACCTCATCATTTGTCTGTCATCGCCATGGATCACGGGCTTGGGGCTCTCTGGGTGCTCAAGGATCAGCATTGGGCCAAAATTGCCCAGGCCGGCGCTATCGCAGTAGGTGATTCTGTTGTCCTGTATAGTTCCTTTTGTACGAGTGATGCTTATACTGTTATTAGTACGCGATTTACTACGTCTGCTACGCCTTGTACATGACCACTCTTAGTCCAAAGGCGAAGTTTCCTGGTCCTCTTCTCCGCAAGTTCTCATACCTTCCCTGTGCTTTTTCTAGCTTTCAAGGCCTGGAATCTCATGCTGTTCGGGACCTGCCCGCTCAATATGGACCGGTGGTGCGGGTTAGCCCGGATCTGGTCTCCTTCACTGCACCGACCTCCTGGAAGGAGATCTACGGATACCCTGCGGTGAAGTTCAAGAAATCGGGATACCGCCAGCTTCGTCCAGGTGTACCCGACCTACTCACGGCGAACGGTCCGGATCATGCCCGCCAGAGGGCGGCTCTGAACCGGGCCTTTTCTGATCAGGCCTTGCGTGAGCAGGAGCATTATTTCCAGGAACATATCGATCTATTTCTCACCCGGTTGGATCAGCGGTGTAGCGGCAAGGAGAATCTGGTGAACATCGGGCAGTGGTTCGAATTCCTTGCGTTCGATATCATCGGGACCCTCGCCTTTAGCAGCTCGTTCGATTGTCTCCTGAACGAGGACTACCATCCTTGGGTGACACTGCTCATCAATTTCTTCAAATCGACCCACTACTTCCTCACGGCGAAGATGCTCGGCATTTTCTTCCCTATTGCCCTTCTTGTGGGTCCGATTCGCCATCTTCTCAAGGGACAAGAGCACCTACGGCGCAGCTACGCCAAGGTGCAAGAACGATTAAAACTGCCCCCTGACGGCACTCGCCATGATTTCTGGACCTACATCAGCAAGTAAAACTCGGAGCGTGATGCATCATTGTCCATGTCCCTCCAGGAGATGGAGGTCAACGCGGCGCTCATCATCCCGGCTGGCAGTGATACTATTGCCACAGTCCTTTCAGGCACCCTTTACTTTCTCCTTAAGAACCCTGCTACGCTCGCTCGTTTGCGCATGGAACTCGACGCCGCCTGTCCACAGGAGTCAGACATCACCATGGACCGACTCGCTGGGTTGCCTTATCTGCGCGCCGTTATCAACGAGGCCTTACGCATGTACCCGCCACTGCCCTCAGACCTGCGTCGTGAGGTACCCCCAGAAGGTGCGGTCGTTTGCGGTCACTTCATTCCCGGCGGGACGATCATGACCGTCTATGCCCTGGCCGCGTACGATAACCAAGTCAATTTTGCTCAGCCCCGCGTTTTCACCCCGGAGCGCTGGTTGACGACCGACGAGCGGCCCGACTGGACGCGCCAGGACCATTTGGAGGGTTGCCAACCGTTCTCGATAGGGCCACGCAATTGTATTGGGATGAACCTAGCCTATGCAGAGACAAAGCTCGTCCTGGCTCGGCTGTTATACCGCTTCAACATGGAGCTGGCGGATGATGCATTCGACATCAGCAAGCAACGTGTGTACATCATGTGGCAAAAGCCACCGCTAAGAGTATATTTGAGTCGGAGGTAGACCATTTTCTGTTGACGGACAGGGTCCGTAGATAGCACGGCGAGTCGCGGCCGTTTTATCTACGTCGTGGATTCATGCTGACGTGGCTCATGGAGAAACAGCTTGGTTTCTGTGTCGGTTGGTGTTGGTTGCTAGGTCGAGATGTTTCTTGAACTGCAGGGACCCCCGAGTTAGGGCTGAATCTGGTGGTGAACTCGGGCGTTAACCATGGGTCATCCACTAGTTCATAGTCTATGACTCTGCTCGAAGATGTATTTAAAGTTTTGACAGCGTCGCAGCGTCAAGAGACTCTTCGGTAGCTAGCTAGTTACGACCCGGGACAATCCATTTGATACGTGGATACGCTGATGCTTTCAGGATGACCAGTCCAAGCAGTTGATTCAGACCCATAGTACACTCGTCGGCATCGATTATGAAATAGGTGGCAGTGAGCTCTGATGGAGATCAGGTAGGAGGATGAGGTCATCTTAGTCTGTAGGGACCCAGAACGGTACTAATGGGTACTTAATGTAGTGGGAGGATCCAGCGATGTTATACGGCTTAAATCGTTTTTCTCCGCAGTTCATTTCGTTGGTTTGTCTTGGGGGATTTCAGCCAAGTCGGGTACGAAATCGGGTGCTTGCAGAGCAGACACACACATCAAGGAAGATATACGACGAAGTTTTTCCTCGAAACTTTTGAGACTCTATCCTTTTTGAAATTCTTGCTGTCAAGCATAACGGTTTTTCAATTCTTCTGAGGTAATAACAGGATCTACCGCTGGCAGGGCGTTTATCAACCGTGTGATTCTGGCTCGTCTCTCTCGCGGCAGCTTCGCTGTTGGTTGTTTATGTATTGCTCTCTTCGACCCTATCGCTTATTCTCTCTCGTGCCTCGACCTGTCCATACCGACCGGGCTGCCTTGAGCTTATCCAGTTAGTAAGCAATTTTTTATCCACAATCAAAGTCACCAGGTTAAGTAGAGTACGTACTTAAGAAACTACGAACGAGAGCGTCTCACCGGGGGTCAGTTTCGGTGAGGAGATTGATGATACTCTCTTGCTCCCTCCGTAACTCCTCAATCTTGTTCCCAAGGCACTCGATGTCCGTAGCTTGAATCCCCAGAACTTGGTGGGCCTGAGCGAATGATTGCGCGGCAATCGCTTGGTGTGTGGCGGCGTTGCTTTGTATCGCCCGCCGCACTGCCCCCTGATCCTCGTGTAGCTTCGAGACGATTCCTCGTAGGCAGGTTCGGAGGGACCCACGTTGTTTGAGGAGGCTTTCTAGCTCGTCTGCAGCGCTTGCAAGATCTTCACGGGAGACACGATGCATACGTCGCCTTGTGGAACTCGTTGCGTTTGGATCCGGGTCCAAGGAACACGAACGCCCTAGCCAGTGGCAGTTGCCACACCGGCGTGTGGCAGGGTCCCGGGTGCAATGAGAGAAAGGTCCCTTATTAGATAGACATACTGTGCATAGACTTGTCTCCGGAGTGCCGACAATCTGGATAGTTGTCGCCTCTACACGGGCAACGGACGCACCAATCTGGGCGTGGAAGGAAACAGCCCTCAAAGCCACCGCGTATTGTAACCGAAGTAACGGCTCCCACCGAAAGGTCTTCTGAGATATCGTCTCGAGGAGAGGCGTCTTGAAGTGCCTGCCCACAGTGGCAACAGCAAACTGAAATTGCTTGATGTAGTGTGCCTACGGTCCGGCTGGGAGGAGATCAGTGCCGACGGGGATGGGAGGGAGTGTCTCGGGTTGCCCGAGCACAAGGTGCGGGGGGTCCTGTACGTTCCTATTGAAATCAGTATTCAAACCAAAGAATCACCAAGCGGGGTTTCTTACAGTTGCGGAATAACTGGTGTGTTCTGCTGGTAAGGGGGAGGGGGAACTCCCTGGCTGTTTTTGTTATTAGTGCTAACCTCATATTAGTCTTGAGTGCCCAGTACGACAACGGGAAAGGTGAGGTGACTTACGAATCCATACTGGATAAGTGGTTGCAAATAGACGGGACGTAGCTCCGGAGAAGCAGGGGAAGACGAGGAGAAAGAAGAGGAGCCAGATGGAGACGGGAATGTGTGAGGACGTAGCTCAGGAGAAGCAGAGGAAGACGAGGAGAAAGAAGAGGAGGAGCCAGATGGAGGAATGGGGGGAGATCAGAGAGATTACTCATTGGGCATGACACGAGGCTGCAAAACGATTATACATTTCCAACTTCACCTTCCTGTCACGGGGGATAAAATTGCTCTCCAAGGAATGGCCATTGCAAAGGAGTAAGGCAGTCAGAGTGTTCGAGGTGGCAGGCTATGATTATTATAAGTTAACTCCGAAATCTCGACTGCACTTAAATTGTACCTAAATTATATCTAAACTGAATACCAACTATAGGTAATCTACACTCAGTATTTATTGTTCTCTAAAGCTAGGTGTACTTTATATATAGTCTAACACCCCACTTGACTACAGATCTTACTACGAGGACCGTGGCATCTTGCTTAACATACTTTTTACATTCATATAGAGGGTCTTCAGTTCCGAGACCACCGCAGACTAAAAAGGAACGTACTATACTATATTCATCCTGTTCCGTCCTCATCCCTCAACCTCAACTCTCAAGAATTCAAATCAGAGCGCCGAATTCTTTGTAGCTTCCTCAGTAAGGCGTGCGATATTGTCGTCCTCGATAGCAATTAGCGCCAGCAATGCATTCCGACGCAAGATTGCATTCTCCAGAGGGCTCAAGGAGCTCGGTTGATTAGTCGGGTTGGGCGCTGAAAGTGCCGCAGCAGATTCTTCAGGGAAGATAGGAATTTTTCGATGGCTGCAACGTTCGAATTTGCCGTCCACGTGGCAATTAGCGCAGTGGCGCTTGCCAAGGACTCTGACACCCAGAAAAGATCCCGTCGCACCCTCGCAATTAGTGCATTGCTGTTTAAAAGGCTCCCCTTTGGCTTGAGCCTCAACCGCCTCAACATTTTCGGTTTTTTGACCGATGCGTCCGTAGAAGGCGTGTTCTCTCATTGGCCATGTTTCCTTCTTTCTGTTTGGTATTTTAACCGTAGGCTCACGTAGCAACAGCATCTGTCGCATAAGGTACAGTAGAGTGCCAGGTTTTAATCGTAGCCGTCGACCTCGGGACCACCGTTGAAGGCGGATCGGCTCTGCCCATAACCCTGTAGGAGTACCCAAGTCACCCACGATTGGGTCCTCCCATCTTGGTGTTTGGGCAGGGCTCTCGCTTATACCTTCCACGGCTGGGCTCTCGATGATACCTTCCATGAAGATATTATATACGAGGGTCTAAGGATAAGTAGAAGGTGATTAGTCCTCGATTTGGTTTCCTCCTAGATCATAACGTTTCATGGTCTCACCGTGAAGGTTAGGAAAAAAGTCGAGGAGACTCGAGAAGGCGAATGAGAGGAGTTGGAGGCTAAATGTCCTGTATTTCGATTCAAGAGACGATATATATTGTTGTCTTCCTGTAGGTATATGGTGATCGGTATCTGATTCAGTTTTATCCCAGTTGAACGAATTCCATAATCCCACCGAGGAATTTTGGACCAGAGCCAAGCAGATGCGAGAAGGAAAGGATTAAAGACCAAGGTAAAAAGTGCTTAGTGCGAAGAGATCTTGCCTTGACCCTAGGACTTTTATTCCCTGATACCCCAAGGAGTGAGAATAGATCGATACTGAGGGGTTCTAGGTAGATATACCGTATTCATCCTAAGCAATAGTTTAAGACTACATAATAGATAAAGGTAGGATAGTGATGACGAAGATAGACGCAAGGACTAGTAAGCAGCCAAGATATCCGGATACTATAAGTGAGCTACCTAAGGTTTGCCGCCCCAAAGATAGCAACAAGCTCTGGATTAAGGGACACTTGCTGGTAAGGTTCGACGTCTTCAATTGCCTCGAAGTCGACTTAAGTAACCGTCTACGTCTTTCGATCGTATATCATATTATGCTTTATTCTCCGAACGTAAGGCCGCACGCCGGCCATTTAGTAGTATGGTGGTTGACATTATGCGAATCCTGGAAGTTGTACATTCTTGATTTACTGATTATTTTTATCATTATTCATTATTGATGTTACCTTGGTTCCGATCCGTGCAGTCTGGCTGAGCTGATCGCCAGAACCAGGCTTATGTTAATTAGTTAACTAACTTAGAGTGTTTGCTGATGACTTCAAACTATGAGTGGGTCACCTGACAGAAATAAGCTTTACGGTGTGGGCCGTCATTACGCTTGCCTCGGCGTGTCACAATCCCGACCACGTGTCGGAGGCCGACGCGATTAGGGGCCAACATCCAATCAAGTTAGAGCCGGACTCGAACGACTGTCTATCCTCAGCTTCAGATCACCAGCATGAAAGTGCTCCCACCTTCATGATGGTGGGACTCCACTACCAGACGATGAAGGCCTATCTTCCCCGGATACGGTTTCTTACGGTCCATTATGCCTACTTCATCGGGCTCTCTTTCATTACCTCCGCCATCTTCTGGGGCACCTCTTCCCCAGCCCAGAGTGTGCGATACATTGACTCATTATATTTGACTGTCAGCGCCATGACCCTCGCGGGCATGAACACGGTGAACCTGTCTACACTCAATACATTTCAACAAGTCCTGTTGTTTTTTCTGATAATGTCTGGATCGGCGGTAAGAACAGCAGTGATCCACTACGTCTGATTAGAGGGGAGACTAATGTGACGTAGATCTGGGTGTCAATCGCCATGGTCCTAGTTCGCAAACAGGCCTTTGAAAGAAGATTTGGAGAAATTGTGAAAGCAGAGCGTCTCCAAAGAAAAGCTCGGAGCCAGATTGGGATTGGCCGTGTAATTGCAAGGTCACGCTCGTTCTCCCGACAGTCTACTATGCCCCAGGAACGTACTTGGCTGCCAGGACTCCTACCCATGTTCCGCTCTCCAAGCTGGGGAGCACCGGTTGACCCTAGGAGTACTTTGCGACCCGGGAGCTCAGAAAAAGATGACCTAGTGTCCGACCCCAGGCCCGGCCGCACTGATGATAGACATGCCGGCCAGCAATCGAACCAAGTTGTTTCAGAAGCTGGAGATGATGCTGAGCCTGTAGTTCTCAACGGAGAACTGCCCAGTGGACAAGTTATCAGGGAGCAAAGGAGCCACGCGGATAGTGATGCTCATATTGCATTCGCTTCCGACGCCGGAAATGGCCCTGAAGACCAACAAGCTAGCCAGCTACGCCGACGCATGCTTTCTCCGTACACAAATGTTCTGAATCGCTCCACCACGCTCGGCGAATTGGAGCGAGGCCCGTCCTCTGAGGGCTCTGATGGAGGCGATCTTCACCTGAACCTTCTCCATAAATTACACCGCAATTCTACATTCCACAACCTCACTGAAGCGGAACGACAGCAGCTCGGAGGTGCCGAGTACCGCGCAGTCTGTTTGTTGGCTGTCATCGTGCCCATTTACTTTTTCCTCTGGCAGCTGCTGGGCGGGTTGGGGGTGGGAGCATATCTCGCACAGAACAAAGCGTCAGAGACCGAGTCTAACGGCCTAAATCCTTGGTTTGTCACCGTTTCCAGCCCCTGCTCTCTGAGCTCCTTCAATAGCGTCCTTGACTGTGTATTTGTCATGGATTCTAACCGTGGTCTCTTTTGAAATAGGTGGACCGGCTTCTTCTTTGCGATTTCTGCATTCAATAATTCCGGCATGAGCATCCTCGATGCGAACATGGTTAGTGATTCATTCCTCACTCAAATGACTCGACATGTCTCATCCCTTTCAAGGTTCCCTTTCAAACGTCCACCTATATGCTTATCACAATGGGCCTCTTGATCCTGGCTGGCAACACCTGGTAAGAACGTCATTCGGGTCATCTGATAGGAGTCCTAGTGTGCTGACACGGTTTCAAAGCTATCCGATATTCTTGCGATGGATAATACGGGCTATTCGACTCATGATACCCGATCACGAGTATTTTGATCAGTTCCGTGACACGGTACAGTTCCTCCTGGACCATCCACGGCGATCTTATACCACGTTGTTTCCCAGTACCCATACTTGGTGGCTGCTTCTCTCTGTGATTGTACTGAATGGTATTGACTGGGTGGCCTTTGAAGTGCTCAATGTAGGTCGCTCGACTATCCATTTATACTGATTTCTCTTGCTGATCCTCAACAATAGATCGACAATCCGGCTGTGAACGCCATCCCGCGTGGATCACGTGTGTTGGACGGATTGTTCCAAGCCTTGTGCGTCCGAAGCGGGGGCTTCTACGTGGTCAACATTTCCGCACTCCAGCTAGGGACGCAAGTAATCTACGTGGTGATGATGTATATCTCGGTCTATCCCGTTGTGATAACGATGCGGCACTCCAATGTATACGAAGAGAGGAGTCTGGGAATATATGCAGATGACCCATCCATGAACGAGGATGATCAGGAATCATCCTCAGAATCTTCGGGAAGTCGACTGTCCATGACTCCCGCCTCCGGAAGGATTTCCTTTATCCGGCATCAGTTACGGGCGCAGATGGCGTACGACCTGTGGTGGATTGCGTTGGCGGTCATCATAATTTGCATTGTGGAGGCGGGCCAATTCACCCGTGACCCTGTCACGTTCTCTGCGTTCAACATCATTTTCGAGACCGTGAGCGCCTACGGATGTGTCGGGATTAGTACGGGTCTTCCAAATCAACTTTATAGTTTTTCTGGGGCCTGGCATACCTTGAGCAAGCTTGTTCTTTGTGCTGTGATGATTCGTGGACGGCATCGAGGTCTGCCGGTCGCAATTGATAAGGCGATTATGCTACCGAGCGACAAGTTGATCAGAGCAGAAGAGGAAGACGCTCAGATCAGGATGGAACGGACGATGAGCCACAGACCTCGATGACGACCGACCTCTAAAAGAAGCCCCCTGGATAGTACTGCCGAAATTCCTACGCTTCGCATTGATCTCATCTCCTCGCTCTAATAGCATCTGCACGATCTCCATATGGCCTCTAAAAGAAGCTGCCTGGAGAGCATTGCCGACATCCCCACCATCCGCATTGACATTGGCTCATCGCTCTAATAGTAGTTCTACAACATGTCAGAGACCTGTTAAAGATGTGTAGTACAATGGAGATGCTATGGTTCTATATCGTCGTGGCCCTTTCTCCCACGGTCGATCCGGGTCAAATAGTCCGCCGTACCTGGCGAGACAATGACCGTCACTGTTTCGCAGGATGTGTTTGAATAGTAGTAGGGAACCATCAATGCCATCAGTTGTTGAATATCAGCCCGGCAAAAATTGGACACTAGTGTCCTCACAGTGCATAAGTAGCCATATACAAGGGCCTTCACTCAAGCCAATGAAAACCCTTAAGCACACTTCTTGTATCCCCGGTCCTTGGAACTATTGTTACTCCAGGCCAGTTTTTGACTGTGTTCTATCAGTCTACTTCAAGCCCAAGTGGCATACAGCCTCCTTCCCGTCTTTTCATCCTATTCTCTGGTGGTCATCGGTGACTCTTATCTGTCAACACGACTCGACGAAGCCATTCTTAGTGTGGAGGGAATAGCAACGGCTACAAGTCCCATATGTTTTTTTTCACCTCCCAGCTTCGTAACTTATGAAGAAGCTACTCGATATATTCCGATCTGATCGAGGATTGTTCCGAGGCCAAGTCGGGCCTGATTACCTTCTGCTATACAGGGCCACACTCTCCCATGGAGGCACAGAACACTGACTCAGGTTTACCACTGGCTTTCCTTGTGACCGCTGATCTTGTAAAAAGTCTGGGTAAAGATCTAGTCCCTATCACTACATCAATTTCCTTGCCTCTTTCCCCCTCCTCAGGCTGTTCTTAGACCGGCTCTTCCCTGTTCAGCCATAAGCTATCTGCTGTGGCTTCCGACAATATGATGAATTGTTTGGTTGCTCCCGCCACTGTTACGTTCCCACTCATGTATGAATATGAACTCCCTTCATATATTGGCCAGGCGAACAACGCGAACAACGTGAGGAAACTATAGGACGTTTCTATCAGGCTTCTTCATTTGGAGTATGGCCATATTGTACAAGCCCGGCTCGATGATAGAGCATTGTATCGACGTCAGGCTATGTCCGACAGAGCAATTCCAGGCCGTGCGTAAATACCATGCGTCACTCCATTTTTAGTGTAAACTGTCCAAAGGCGGAAGAATTGTATCGCCTAGTAACGTGTAGGCCAATGAATCAAGAGAGTGTGTCTTGTAGAAAGCTAAGCTATGCGCGAAGAGATAGGGGGCAATGTGCCAAGGAGCTAATCAAAACAGGTTAGTAGCTAGCTGAATAATACTGGTGGATGCCCTATTTCGACACACCCCCTCAGCTAGCTGCTAAGCAAAACATGGAAACAACGCTAGATGGCTAGACCTGTATGCCGGCCGCTGCATCAAAACAACGATATAGATGGCTAGACCTGTATGCCGGCCGCTGCATCAAAACAACGATATAGATGGCTAGACCTGTATGCCGGCCGCTGCATCAAAACAACGATATAGATGGCTAGACCTGTATGCCGGCCGCTGCATCAAAACAACGATATAGATGGCTAGACCTGTATGCCGGCCGCTGCATCAAAACAACGATATAGATGGCTAGACCTGTATGCCGGCCGCTGCATCAAAACAACGATAAAATATCACATAGCGATTCGTGACATAGACCCGATAGGGCCGTTGACGTCGCTGAAGGTAGTAAAAACGACTGATTTAAAGCCAGGAAGGGTCTTTTGGATCTGCTTAATAAGCTCTGGGTCGTCTTGTAGACGTTTGTTGACCGATTCGGCCGTATCTTGATTGGGCGTCCAACCATCTGGCCTCGCGTCGGTGTTGAGGTAATAACAACGCTTATAAGGGTGATTGTAGCCACAAACGCAAGCTGGTCGTGCCTCTCTTTGACCGTTAAGGGTTGACATAGCTAGACGGCCGGTTCTGGTAGAAGCTTGTGATTTCTCTAGCCGCTGGGCCTCACGAAGATAGTGGACAAGCCGATAGAAATCGATGTCTTGATTGGCTACGAAGATGTGTTGATACCAAGTTTGGAAGAAGAGTTCGTTGCCGGCTGCGCGGATAGCAGTTAAGAAGTCGTATAGTAACGCATCTTTATCTTTGACTTCCGGAACGTCGACGCTGAGACACTCGTTATAAAGCGCTTCGGTCCGAATAAGCCAAGCTTGACGATCTTGGTGTTGATTGGATGTATATTCGAGTTGATCTCGCCAAGTAACGCGTAGCTGTTGTCGATATAGGCGAGGTGAAGGTGCGAAGACTGTTCGAAGCTTTAGGAGCTGCTGGTAAGGCGTGTGTAGCCCGGTAAGGTAGTGCTGATTTGCCTGGGCAACGCTGGCTAAGATAGCTCGAACTAGCCGCTGACGGGCGTGAAAGAACGCGTCGTATTCGTCTCGTTCGATGCGGTAAATCGATAGGAGCGCTTGATAACGCTGAAGGTCTGATTGGCTTAGGTCGTTAACGGTGGCTGTTGGATTACCGGCGACGGTGGCTGCTGTCGGCCGTTGAGGCTCGATAGGCTCCGGGGGCTCTGTAGGATTTTTCGGGTTGATATATTGCCAAATCTGCGCTTCTAAGGCAATAGTTTTGACAGTCGATAGCCACTGATGCCAATCGTCCTCGGTGGCTAGTTTAACGCCTATAGAGGGCGGACTCCTCTCATGAGAAGACATAGCGAAACGACGTTATATAGCTGCTTAGGCGATCGCTGTCGGGCTCATAACTGTCCAAAGGCGGAAGAATTGTATCGCCTAGTAACGTGTAGGCCAATGAATCAAGAGAGTGTGTCTTGTAGAAAGCTAAGCTATGCGCGAAGAGATAGGGGGCAATGTGCCAAGGAGCTAATCAAAACAGGTTAGTAGCTAGCTGAATAATACTGGTGGATGCCCTATTTCGACATAAACAATGACCGGCATGATTCTTTCGTGAAATTGTTTCGTCGCTTCTGGCATGATGGCAACTTCATCCAGCCGCCTTTCGTCCTTTCTCTTCAAATCAAGTCAGCATGGGTCTTCATAGCGCAGGGGGGACATTGGACAGCTTACGTTATTTCGGATAATAGTTAGCTTTTATCATTTGATTGGGGTTTATTAGTTTACGGCCCGTGTCTAGCTTCACATCCAACTATGGTTAGCGTCCGGGTAGGAGGCCCCGGTGGAAGAGATAGCACATAACTTGATAGTAACCGACTTCAGCAGACAATAATCAGATGGGGCCAATAGAATCACTCCTTTTAGGGATGGTGAATGCCTGCATTATCCTCGCCGGCGCTCGTGCACTGACAAGATGGCCTATGCACAATCATTCTGTGAGTTAAAAAGGCTACGTACCAATGACTAAGCTAGAGTTGGGGTCAGATTGTCATGCACCCTTCTCTCTGAGGGCCCCCCTACACTGCTGTGTTCTGGGAAGTATTGTACGATATAGATTTAATAGGGAATTGCGAAACATATGTGTCGTACAATGATTGGTATGGACGACCGTCCATTATCAAAATTGTTAACTAGCAAAGTCATCTTTATGTAGTAATAAGCCATTCGAATGCGAAGGTTATGTAGCTAGGGCTACTCGCTCACATGGGTGCACGCTTGCAGATCATGTGATATGCGCCTGCTATAACAGGAGGCAACCCCGCACCGACGACCCCTCCCAACCATATTATACTTCTCCTACCAGTAAAATTAGAGATTATTTAATTCTCCATTTGTCATTGCCTAGGCCATCTATGCGTGCTACTACCATGGCCACAACAAGGGGCGTTGTGGCGACCGCCGGCCAACTTCACGTATTGCGCGATCAAGTCGATACTTTTCGGGAAGGTGTTGAGTAAGAAAAGACTACCAAGGTTCACAACATCCACTTATCCTCAAATCTAGTATCGTTCTCGTTCCCGGTATTGGAACTCCTTTACCCGCGACCTGGCCATTTGCTAAGCCCGAGTGGCTCACTACCCTGCCTGGCTCCGGTGCTGGAACACGCGTCCTTGCCTACGAGTATCCCTCGCCATTTACGGGGAGCAGACCTTCATGGGAGTCAATTCTGATGCTAGGCTACGACCTTCTCCAAATTCTAAGTGACGCTCTATCAGGATATGATCCAGATCTGGTCAGTGGCATTGGCAGGATTCGTTCCCTTCAAGCGGTCAGCATTTTTGCTGACATGCCTTCTCTAGACCACCAAGAAGCCAATTTTGATTGTCTGTCATAGCTTGGGCGGCCTTATAGTCAAGCAATCTTTGTGCGTTGCCAACAAGCAGTTTCCTCGGTACGGATCAGTGGTCAATGCTATCGCGGGGGTCATCTTCCTGAGCACTCCACACCGTTATGGCGACAAATCAATGAACCTGATGCGGTTTCGAGACATCGTAGAAGCAACAACCAATAGGGCTTTCAAGATTCCGAATGCCAACATTGAGCAAGAAGGCACCATTTTGCTGGACCTTGCAAATAGATTCGAAGGGATCTCGTTCCGCACTCCTCTACTATCCGTCTATGAACTGAGAGAATCGAGAAACAGCTCAACAACTTTACGGCAGAAATACCAACAAGTAAGTCAGGAGTCATTAGTCAAGCTGCGGAAATTAATTCGGACTCTAGTTGGTGAACCGTGAAGCATGTTCGACCCATGCCCCAATGGAAACAGTAGTCGGCCTCAATCTCGACCATTTTGATACATGTCTATTTACCAAAAGTGTTGGTGGTGAAGGTCTACCAGTACTCAACAACTTTATTTACGAGACTTTGTATGATGCAGTGAATCTTGTTGCAATGCGATTTGAAGAGCGTAGGTTGTGAAGATACCGAAAAGCTACTAAATCTTGCTAATGACAGTAGACGAGTATCAATACGCCACAATGAGCACCTATTCACCTACAATGAGCGAATTCCCGCTTACAGGTGAGCCTCATACCAATGACTCTTCAATTTACTTCCCTAACATTACCTAGTTGAGCAACAGGACTCTACGAAATGGCCGTCTCTCAAAACAACAGAATGGATATCGAATAGAGCAACAGAAGGAACATCCATTTCAGGCTTTGATCTTGTTTATCCCACGCCGCCAATTGCAGAGAATAAGAAGCCGCTCCACTTGCCCTGCATCCTTCTCAACACACATTCTGCCAATGAAGATTTTTGTGGTCGCGAAGATATCTTGGAGCGTCTTGCTACAGAGCTTCTGCCTTCAAAATCAATAGCAACGGCTTCAGGCAGCGGTCTACGACAGTTTGCGCTCTGCGGTTTTGGTGGTATTGGAAAGACAGAAATAGCCCGCGAATTCTCCCGACGTCACAAAGAATCCTTCGATGCTGTATTCTGGGTGATGGCAGATAAGATTGCAAAGCTTGATCACCATTACCAGGAAATTTCGTTAGCATTGGGACTCGAAGATCCGGCGGAATGCAAAAGCCAAGTTGTTACCAGGGAAATTGTGAAAGGATGGCTCTCCAATCCCCGAAAACATCTGTCAGGCTCGGACGAGTTTGCACAACCCGGTGATTCTAGCTCTGAAGCGACGTGGCTTCTGGTCTTTGACAATGCAGATGACCCTATGATTTTAGCAGATTACTGGCCTCAAGGTAGCGGGTCGATCCTCGTTACTAGCCGCGATCCATTGGCAAAAAACATGTTTACGAGAAGACCGTCAGGCTTGGATCTCGGTCCACTGACACAGCGGGATAGCCTTTCCCTTTTCAACCATCTCGCCACCAATTCCAACGAATCAAATGACGATATAATCCACCAAATCTCTGATACACTTGGTGGTGTTCCTTTGGCCATTTCGCAGATGGCAGGTATCATCCGACGACAAGACCTCACTTTGTCTGAATTTTTCGAGCTGTATTTGGATCATGAAGAACACGCCAATCTCTATGAGACAAAGTTCGATACTAATTTGGTCACATACAATCATAGCCTCTCAACTGTTTGGGCACTTGAAAAGCTGAAGCCCCAGTCTCGACAACTATTGGAGCTGATGTCATTCGTTGATCCAGATACTATTAGCGAAGACTTGTTGATGGAATTGGCTGCAAAACTTCTTGAGGTCGAGGGCACACATTTCAAGAAAAGTATTTACATTGAGGCTCGAACCGACCTCTTACAGTCATCCTTGATACAAAGAGATAAACAAAAGCAACAAGTATCGGTCCACCGCATAATCCAAGACGTCGTTTTGGCTACGATAAATGACACGAAGAAACAATCCATGTTTGACCATGTCTTACGTGCCCTTTGGTCGAGTTGGCCATCAGCAATGCCCAAGCCATCAAAGGAGCCAGAGCTACCTCTGCCAAAATCAAATGGCGGTCGGTTATCTGTTGGAAGGTGGCCTGACTGCGCAGCAACTTACCCCCACGTCTTAAAAATACACCAGATATGGCCAGTTATCTCAAATCCCCCTGATGCCACTAAGATGCTTTTCGCAAAGCTTTTGACTGAGGCTGCATGGTACGTATGCAATCACCAGATATTTTTGGTATTATGTGGTCTAATATATTACCAGGTACCAAAAAGAGCGTGGACGAACAAAACAATTCGATGGTTTTTTCGAAACAGCTCGCAGTATCTGTGAGTCAACAACACACGCAGATCGAGATTCCCTGCTTGCAGACATCTACTTCTGCCTGGGATCTATCGCCATGGATGCGAGCGATTTTGAGACGAGCCGCATTCACAAAGAGAACTCCCTAGATCTAGTTTCCAAAATATGCAAAGTCTTGGGTACTGAAGACGAGAGGCTATACCTCGCCTACGCGGAGCGGGGAATCTCTCGCATACAAGACAAACGGTATGAAGAAGGTGAATCCGACCTTAAGGAGGCATTACGAATGCGCAAAGCTCTCGGCAATTACATTCCCCGATCCGGCGAAGCCAACCTAAGCTGGGCACTTCTTGCGCAAGGCAAGCTTGAAGAGTGTAACGTGCTTCTCCTTGATAGTTTGGCTGGTAGAGAAAAGGCCTTGGGGAAGAATGACAAGGAATCTGTCCGGACTGGACTGATCCTGTATGCACTTGGTAACCTCCGTGCGGCGCAAAACCAATGGGATGACAGTTTCGAGTACCACCAGCGAGCATGGCACCATATGCTGTCGACGGTGGGGGAGAGAGACTTTTACACTGCAAATGTCGCTCACAAGGTAGCTGAACATTTTATCCGGTTAGGCCAACATGAGGATGCAATGTAAGTGCGGCACTCCTCCTAAGTAGGTCAAACACTTCCTGACTTCTCTCTTAGCGGTATGATCAATGTGGCGCTCGATATCTGGTCTGTTGATCCAAGCGCATGCAAAAACGAAATTGCCCGCACTACATTTCTCAAGGGAAAATTGTTTGAGATCACTGGCAAGATTCAAAAAGCTTCCATTGCATTTAAGGTTGCCTGTCGCTTGAGGAAAGAGATTAGCAAAGAGGACCGAGATGTGAATAGCTTGACGACGGAAGACTTTGACGAGATTGTTGCTTTTTGGGCTCGTTGATGCGAACTTTTCTCATTTTTGTGCTAACAGTGGCGATTGTGCTCATGAGCTCCTGGATTGTCATCGAAGTTGTCACCACTTGAGATCCCGGTATAATTATGAATTTCTGAACCGCTGGTATGTTTTCTGAGCTTGATCGTTAGATCACTCAGTATCTGGATCACTAGCAGTTGAGAGATTGTGTATCATGCAGATGGTATTATGGCCCAGGACATTAAACGGGGGTATGTTTGTGGCATGAAATCCATTCGCTCAACAAATGAATTAATGGAGCTATGTGGCCTGCCCAGGGTTACCCACTTCTAGCATTAAGTAGAAACAGGCGACTAAATATCGTAACCAAGGGAAAGAGCGCGTCCAACTCCCAGCTTCTATTTATCGCAGGTAGCTGGGGGATAGTGACCCAAGCCTCAAGGAAACCCGCTCGGTTCGATGATCCTGAAACTGATCAATAGCCGTACCGCAGATCGATCAGCCGGTTTAAGTTGCTACGAAGAGATCTGTGATCGAGATATTCCATGATAAATGCGCAACATGCAGCGGAATCACATATTTCTATAGAAATTGGTTTAGCAATAAGGAAGAATAGCAAGAACAAATCAAGTAATTGTAACGCAGACAAAGTAGTCTTTTACACGAGATATATCGTAGGTTGTACAATCACCAATATCTGCAGCAAGTCAGAATACCCCGTCTCTATTAATCTGCGTCCTCATAAGTCAAACCGACAGGAACACGACTCATAGGTACCCGGGACCCAGGGAAAAAGACATGCAGGAGGAGGATCTAAATCTTATTTGTTTCCCACCTTACCTTATTGGCGGGGGGAGCTAGTTCGTGTGATCCTGCGAGAAGGTGGCAATGCCCGACGTTGACTAAGCCTGCTCCATAAAGATATTTAAGACTGCACATCGATACCGTACTTCTCATAGTTGAGATCTTCCAGACTTGATATGCTTTCAGCCCAGCCGTCATCGACCTCTCCTACTTGCCAGTTGTCTCCTATTTCAATCATCCCTGTCTTCCCAGCCAAAATATCCTTTTGACTCGCCTGATACTCGGCAGCCACATCTGGATGTGGCACCCAAACAACCCTCATCCCAGCCCGTCTACCAGCCTCTACTCCAGCCACGCTATCCTCAAACACCAAACATTCGCTGGGCGAGATGGGGTCCCTGTCTGAGTCTGAGTTAAGCGATTGCAAAGCGACTAAATATATGTCAGGTGCCGGCTTCCCTCGACCCTCTCGTACCCGCGGGTCATCACCCAGGACTCGTCTATCAGGTCGGAAGAAGCTTAACAGGTGTTTCGTTTCCGGCTTCGAAATTTTCAATTCGTAGCTTTGACTTTTGGTGCTGGATGCCAATGCCAGCTCAATCCTGTCCCCAAAAGCATTACGTGCGCGGCTGAGATTTAACACAAGTGTCTCCGCACCAGGCAGTGGTGTGCAGTTCGGAAAGTTCCTTCGCATTCGATCTTTCAATTCACAGGCGAACTGTTCGCGAGGGATGGGCAAATTCGCCCAGTTGTGGAATACATCGCCGTTTGTCGAGTCCGGGACGCCCATAAGCTGGGCTCTAATTGACGGAGTAAAAGCGGGCCTTCCGTACTTTTCGAGGAGTTGGTTCGTGGCCAGAGTAATTATGTCTTCGGAGTTGATGAGAAGCCCGTCTAGATCAAAAATGCAGGCACGGATCGCCGGGAAGCTGATGGAAGCGTCTGTCAGATTTAGTTTCACAAGACTAAGTAGGCACTATCTGGAGAACTTGCGTTGTTTCTGAAAACGCCATGGGTAACTGAAAAAGGCCAACGACTCCAGTAAATTACCGAGAGAGATATGAGGGTTAAGCTCGGAGTTGGTTAATACAGCTTGTGAACGCCGACTCATTCACCCCTATTCCAGCAAACCCCACTTTCACGTAGGGTTTCATTCGGGCTGACTCACGTGATAACTACACTGAGCGAAGGGGCTCCAAAATACAATCCTCAATCCTCTAAACTACATGGAGTCACCAATAAATAGTCTTTTGTCACAAACTCTGCCCCGCAGTGGCGTGATTTCGGACCCACACAAGAGGGCCTCAACATAAAAGAGAGCAACGAAGTCCAAGCCCAGTACGAAAAACTGAACGGTCCGGTCGGGAGTCAGCTCATATCATGTTTCCAGCCAGGTGAAGAAAAAATCAGCTCTGTTCTCGAATGTGCTATGGGTTGAAAATCCTGATGACTGAAGTGTTCTTCGTGGAGGCTCCCATACTTATGTTCTCATGATTGGTATTGACATTATGTCAGAACAAGAAATAACCGTATAGACCAAGAATGTCGCCCATGGTGCATTTTTAGTCTAGCGGTATTATGCTCAAAAAAATTTATGCGACACATTGTCTTCAAGAAACTGGGAATTTCATCATACAATATGGCCCGGATCCTTCTCGTTCCCTCCGGATTTTATGTCTCTCCTAATGCAACGACATCCTTTCCAGAACCTCACCCAGCAACGCTTCAGGAACTGAATATCCCAGAGATAGAAACTATAAGCAACCAAAGTTATCGGAACACATAAGACAAAAAACCACCAAAACTTCACTGCATTTTGCCCCAGGAGGTCAATATTCATACCCAGCAGGCTAGAAGTAAAACTGAGAGGGATGAACAGTGTAGCGAGTAGAGTCAGTCTCTTAACTCGACTAGACTGCTCAATGGCTTTGCGGGACTCGTCGATCGTGGCTTTGTTCATGGCTAGATTTATGCCCTGGGTACACATTTTGGACAAGTCCATGCAACGGACGTAGAGTTGATCATAGTCTTCCATGATGCCTTTTGGTGTATACGTACCGTCAGATCTAGGCGAGGAAAAGATTCCGGTCATCTCAGTCTCCGAAGGCAGCCTTGTACTATGACCTGAGGCCATGGCATTTTTCGTCGTCAGACTTTCAGTCTTGGCGCCATTTGATCCCTGACCATTCTGTTCAACGAGTTTGCAAAGTGCACGAGCGCTATCTTTCAGCTGCTGGGCATGGCGGTTGAGAATGTTGGTGAAGTATTGAAGCGTTCCCAACGCGTCCGCTGGATGTTCTGCAACGATCTGGTCTATCTGAATCTGGATTCTGGATTCCATAAGATTCAGAAATTGAACTTCGGAGAATGCCGCGTGTGCAAACAACGGAATGCATATGGAGAGTGGATCCTGAGGCACGCGGCGGGCCAAATCGACAAGAGCGATCAAAGAATCGTACTGCAACGGAAGCAAGGTTGTGCTTTGAGGAAACTCTGCCGTATTATTTGCATTTGTACTTGGATGGCTGCTGGTCGTTCTAAATGCCATTTTCGGATGATGTTGGAGGACGGGTAGTGGTATTGCCTTAGCATCGATGTGATTAGTCCATGGGCCCCGGGGGGATTGCTCTAAGGGTCTTCCATGGTCCATCCAGACAATGACTGAGGATAAACATCAGCGAATAGTATCATTTAAGGATGAAGATTAACCTCTTACCAGCCCATCCTCTATTCGTTTTCGCAATATAAATCGATATCCACTGTTCAATCACAGAGAAGGACGCGCACACAGTAGCATACTCGCGTACCAACGAGTCTCCGCAACAGACTTTGTTAGATCCAAGTTGGTGTATCTTGTATTTTTCAAGCTCAGTGAGTTGTTCTGAGCGCTGCAACTTCAAGTTCTGTCCCCCAAAATCATCGCGGTGAAGAATAGTGCTCACACAAAGACGAAAGATGTTGTTTGATGAGCTGGCAAGCGATGGGAAGCTGTAAGAATGCCTACCCTCATTGGTAGACAGGAAATCCATATGTCGCCGAAAGAATTCCGGATCGATATTATATTTACTTCCAAGGACTGACACCCAAGATGGCGATATGAAGCCTCGGATAAAGACTACTTGGCCCAAGTGCTCTGATGAAACGGAGGATGTAGCAGAGAAATTATTGTGTTGCTCTTGGCGGTATTGTTGCACGTTCCACTTCCTCTCTCCGCAGTCATATACCACGACTAAGTCGTAAGGCTGTTCAGACTTGGAAGCAAAAAGGGTGGAGTCTTCTTCCAGCTTCTTTGAATTCAGAAGATGGCGGTCTTGTCGCAGCCATTCTGCAATATCGAAGTAATGGTTTCCAGGAAAGGAAGACGTGCTCGAATACCTCCTAGACAGTGAAATGATAGCTCGGATGTAATTTTCCGGTGTAACTAGTGAGTCGGATTCTAGTTAGGCCATAGAATACGGGTAACTGATCAGGATAGGGTCTCACGTGCGGGTTTCCTGCGCTCCATTTTCAATCATGTAACACCTGCTTTTCGTTGTTGTACTTAGTGGTACTGACCACTCATCGAACGCCGTGGATAGATTATGCAGAATGATTGGACGGTGAGAGCGCCCCCAGAAGTAGCTCTTATGGTAAGTCAGCCCTGCTGACACAGTTTGAGGTTATTTTCGGCCCGCAGTTGCATAGGAAATATAATATACCTTCGAGGGTAATCCGAGCTCCCGCCCCTTTGGGTGGTGACCCTTTGGGTGGCGAGGAGGAAGAGCAGGTATCGTTCGAAATGGGGGGATTGAATAAAGAAATAGAAGCACTGGCATTTGCTGAGGGATTTGCAACACGGTGACTATTTGATAAGAGCGAAGAAAGCCATGGATACCTCTTCTGCTAAGCTGCCGGGCGCCCCGAGCCGTGCCTAAATCATGCGCCAATCGGGGACCCTGCTGGAGGGCAGGTCCACTCCGTCTGACTATGCATTGTGATGGTGTCAAATCATCGTGCCACCAATCACAGAGGCTTATTACCCGCTATCTTCATTCTCACGCTCACAATGGCTTCCCTCGCCTCCTTGACTTGCCTTGGCCCCACATATTGGATTGTGAAGCGAATCCTGCACCATCATGGTTTCACAAGGCCCCTCATGAGAAGGCGCAAAACATGCAAGCCGGGCGCTTAGACTGGAAGTGATACTCTTCTCGCCCTAGTCGAAACAATTTGCGTTAACCTCTCCACCCCCCTTTTTTTAAGTAAAAAACAACAATAGGTCACGGACAGGACTCTTTGCCTTCCTCCTGACCAAAAGACAGTTCCTGTCTAATCAGAGCTTCTCTTTCTACAGGTCAGCTCTCCTAAGGTGATTGGTTCGTATTATATACAGACGACAAGAGGATAGGGAGGGGAATTCAAGCCTTAGCGTAATTCACGGTCGGGTTGGCAACCCCAAAACACCAAATGAAAAGCGATAAATGGCAACTTCATATCTCAACAATCGTGTTTATTTTGAGTAAGATGTTGAGTCTCTGCAATCTAGAAAGTCATTCTAACCTACTGACGATCTATTGAAGGCGCATTGGAAAAAAGCTTACACCTACCCTACGCTCTACGTATAAACGAATTGCATAATATCGGCTGGGGTTATAAGCGCATTCATAAGCGTTGCCCCTGGATCCCTTTCTCAACAATACGTCATACTATTACTAAAGAGCCAGAGACGAGACAGTGTCTCGAAGCCACGCCCTGGCCGCCCAAAGAAGCTCACCGAGGCGGATAAAGACCGAATCCTTGAGGTGATTCATGAGAGTTCGCGCGTTACCCAGGAAGATCTACTTACTGAGGTGGACCACAGGGTTAAATATGTATCGAGTAGGTAGGCGTCTCCTAAACGCTGAGAATATGCGAATGTGACGTTATTCCTGGAGACCCCATCTTGATGAGGTTACCACTGAAAACGGTCCGTTAGGTATATCGGTACTAAAGTGCGCCAAAAACCGCAAGGCCGCAAAACCGAGCCGAACCAAACCGTAATTGACTCGGGTTTTGAGCCTAGTTTCGGAAACTATTGCGTTTTCCATTTAGTTTCTAGGCAAGAAACCATAATAGTTCTTAAGGCCCTAATAGTTTAGTAAATAATATAAACTAAGTAGGTCCTTACTAGAATATATTTCTTATAGATTTACTCCCTGAATGGCGTGAACACCTAAAAAGACATCCTTTGGCTTAAGTAGCAACCAGAGGCACTGTGGACTTGCACTGCTGTATCTAATTTAGCCCTTTGCGGAAATTTGATGAACAGGAAGCTTGTTGGTCAATGACCTGTGGATTCACTATCTGACTCAACCATTCAATATTTCTCGAATTTAATACGGCAATTCTTGTCCTGATCACAGGTGAGTTGTTGATTCCGTTTTGAGAGTAACGGTAGCTGAACGAACCTCGCGTATGGGAAAGTGGTCATCATATACCAACTCAAATCGGCTTGTCGCAGTTGGAGATGACTTCTCAAACTCCCGGTCCATTTTTGTCGTGTATTCTTGATAGATAGCTGCCATCAATGTCTTCATTTCTGCGAGCGCTAAGCTGGTTCAAGGCAGAGACCTTGAGTCAGATATGCAATAGAAAGTTGAGAACCAGGACTTACTGCATTCCAAGACACATTCTCGCTCCACTGGAAAAAGGCCACCACCAGCGTTTCATTTCGGCAGTCTCCATGTCGCTTGCCAGCCATCGATCGGGCTTGAATGTATTTGGATCGGGGAATACTTCTGGGTTGCGATGGAGGGAGAACGCCTGGCAGCTGACTGTTGTCCTGGCAGGAATATGGAAGCCATCAATGATTGCATCTCGAGTGCTGGTCCGGGGCTGGGATGCCGGAATAGGTGCGTATAAACGCAATGTTTCTTTGATCACGGCATCAAGGAAAGGAAGGCGGTCGCATACATCTGCTGGTAAAGTAGAACCGTTGCCATTGAGGACGGGTTCCATGCCCTTCACTTCTTCCCTGAGACGTTCTTGATAGCTTCGGTGCTCGGGCAGCGATAGCGCCCATAGAGCAAACATCAATGTATCACTTGTCGTCTTCAGACCGGCATCAAGATGGTCCGCGCATTCTGCGGCGATGTCCATATCGGAAATTGGTGTTTTCCCAGAACTGCTGCCCTGTTCATCTAACAGCCTCATCATCAGACCGCCATCACATCTTGGTACCGAGGTTTTATCTCCTCGAAGGGTGTCAAAGGTAGCTAAGGCATAGTCTTGAAGTCCGCTGTATGCAACTGGTCTTTTTCCTGGGAGGAGACCGATTACATCAAGGATCGATGTCAAGTACGGGCCGCCGGACATGACCAAACGAGTATAACGTGGCAGATGGATCTGAAACCATGAGTGTCTGCGCGCTGTGGGCTCGTCAATATCACTCAAGATCTGCCTGTCCGCCACATGCCCCGCCAGAGTCGCCGTGCCTCCGCGCTCCCCGAATGTGTTCCAGGTGATGTTGTCCAGGGAGAAGAAATGCAAGCTCTTGACCAGATCGGACGCTGTCTGCGGATCAGACTCGACCAACTTGATAAAATCCTTAGCCTTTTCTTGAATCGAGTCCGCGACCGGGCTTTTCAGGACGTTAGATTTGGAATACATTTGGCTCATGAGCTTTTTTCGAGCTGCATGCTCAACCGAGGAGTAAAATGTAAACAGGTGTGACCGCCCGTACACATCGAAAATACGATAAAACGCTGGCGGGCGTCCAAAGGGACTACCGGCCCCATAGATCAGGCGCAAGGCTGCCAGTGAGTTGAAGGAGACCTCATTGGGACCCACACGCACAGCAGGGCCGTATTCTTGATGAAGACGGTGAATAATCCGCGTGCGTGTGCCGTAAAAGTCCTCCTTGGCGAGTCTCAAAACAGTCAGTGCGAATAGTTTGGGCCCTGGTATTCTCGCGAGAGGACTGAAGAACAGTGTCCAGCAAGCATGGAAAATCAGGAAAGCAAAAACGATGGTTGCTATTGCGGTAAATTCAAGAGGCATGGCTCTGTGTAATCGACAATAGATGGTGCTCTGGTAGCCGTTCTGGTGGCAACACTCTAGTCTTAGATTAAATATGGAATCTTCATGCTTCGGGCTCAGATCAGGAGGCCGCCAGCCTTGGTTGTCACCGCGGAGAAGGGCGTTTGTTCCATCGCTGCGTGATGGAGAGGTTGTAAATATCGCGATAGCGACGAGGACTAAGTTCCCGATTCAAGTGGATATCCAAGTGTGTTTTCCTCGGGAAAGTCTGTTTCGATAGCAATCAACGTTAGTCTTGGGGTCTAGGCGTCGCTCCCGCTGAGGGGCAACTGGTTTTGCGTGGGCTCGTGGAACGAACGGAGCAAAATTCCTAATTTGGACCAGCGGATTGTAATCCCATCCGCATTCAACACGAGGGGAAGACAATAATATAAGAACAGCTGAGCTCTTGTATCCTCGAAACCAGACAGCTCAGCAACTGAAACCTTTCCTCCTGCTCCTCGGACAAATTAACAAAAATGGTACCAGTCAAGAAGGCCCAGCGCTTCAAAAAAGCCCTGTACTTTTCAGAGGCTGAGTTCAAAGAGCGTCAACAGCGAGTCCTGGCGCTGATGGAGCGAGAGAACCTCGATGGTTTTCTCATGACAAAGCAAGAGTCTCTGTACTATCTAACCGGTTTCGATACCTTTGGCTATGTCTTCTTCCAAGCCATGTACTTCCACAAAGATGGCTCCATGCGGCTGATCACTCGAATCCCGGATCTGCGCCAGGCTCTCTACACTTCAACCCTCGATCAGAAAGATATCCTCATCCGATCCGACGATGCCGGAAGCAATCCTGTGTCTTTGGTCCCCAAAGTTCTCCAGGACTATGGAATCGATTCGCCATCCAAGCGAATCGGCTATGAACCCGATTCATGCTCCTTGACGCACCGCCTAGGAAAGGCACTGGAAGAAGCCGTGGATGGCATTTGTACGCTGGTGGATCACAGTGACTTGCTCACCCGAGAGCTGCGCATTCTCAAATCAGAAGCCGAAATGCGCAAGGTTCGAAAGGCCGCTTATCTCGCCGACTTTGCCCTCGTCCGTACCCTGAAGCTGGCCAAGCCCGGGGCCTATGAAGGCGACTTGTGGCGAGAGATTGTCGGCACGGTCTATGAGGGCGGTGGTGATGATCCTGCCAACGAGAATATTCTTGTCTCAGGCAACAAGGCTGTTCTTACTCGTTACTCGACGGGCAAAGACAAGATCGATCGACAGCTCACGCTCGAGCATGCCGCATCATACAAGCACTATCATGCGTGCCTGATGCGCACGATTCCCATTGGCGGAATCACTAAGCTGGCGCGAGAAATGCACCGAATCAACATCCTCCAGATGGAAGCGGCCATGGCGGCCCTCAAGCCGGGCCGAGAGATCGGCGATGTGTTTGAGGCCTACGCTCGTGTTGCAGATGAGCATGGCTTCCGGGACCAACGCTTCAACAGTTGCGGCTATAGCTTGGGTGCCACATTCTCACCTACGTGGATGGATTTCCCCATGTTCGTGCGCGGTCAGAATGTGGTGGCACAGCCGGGCATGGTGTTCTTTATCCATATCATTCTGATGGACAAGGCCACGGATACTGCCAGCTCAGTTGGCCAGACCGTGGAAGTGACTCACGATGGGTGTGTTGCACTGTCCAAGCTACCTTTCTGTCTTACTCGAAGACAAACCATTGCCGCTTGGAAGAAGATCCGAAAGGAAGACTACGGATTTAGTGGTGACGAGATTGATGACGGGGAGAATCTCCAAGACGTCGAGCTCAGTGATGGGGATGTTGATGAGGAGGACTACGATGTTGAATACGACTTCAGCGACTATAAGCCGGCAGCCGCACTGGGTGACCCGACCCAGAGTGCTTAATTTGACAATCTGCTGATAGCTGTTGATCTTATTCCTTGTCTGAGCATTACTATCGTATTTTTGCATCTTCTATTTACCGGAACATTTAGATCCGTGATTTATTGAGAGAGCAGGTCTTCGAGTAATTAAGTAGCTGTGAATTTTACGAAAGTTCTTACAAAATTTCAGATTGCAACATGGCAAAATGTTCTGTCACAGTTGTGTTTTGGTGTCGTTTGAACCTGATCGATGCTTTGAGCTAAAGCTTTTCTAGAATGATTGTGTCCAGGAATTGTTCATCCCACCGCAGGGAATAGACTATTAGTCTTTCTCACAATTGCCTTCTTTGATCAGCATTACTCGAAAACTAAAATTCAAATCTACAACTAACTCTGAACTCGGATTCGAAGGAAAATCCAGATCAATTTCACCAACAGCTCTGTCTCACATTGATCCTCTGTCTCTATAAACATAGAACACCCCGACGTGCCAGCTAGCTATATTCATTCATTTTCGAGGTGCTTCCATACCCACCCGGCGGAACCTTGGAGACATAGTCTTGCGGCAGGGCTTTGGTTATTCTCACTGCCTCAGCAATAGCAGCCTTAAGGTTTTCAATGGCGTCGTCGCTTATTTGATGATGCAGAGCAATTCGCTCATCCATCAGCTTCACATTGAACTTTCCACACTGCTCCAGCAATACACCCATATCGATATTTGACTTCTTGGCGTCGATGAAAAAGAAATTAGTATCAACCGGGATCTGAGGCACAATACCAATCGCCGCCAGGTCTTTCTCCAATTTCTTGGTCTTCTCATGCGTGTATTTCATGGTGGGCCAGACTTCCTCCAGCGCTACCAGAGCTGGAGCCGTCAAAACACCGGCTTGTCGAATACCGCCTCCTAGCTGCTTCCTCAGCCACCTAGCCCGCTTGATGTTGGACTCGGTGCTAGCAAGGACTCCACCAACTGGTGCACCAAGCCCCTTGGAAATACACATAGACACGGTGTCAAAGTACTGGCAGTAGTCTTCCAAAGAATGCCTAGTAGCTGCAGAGGCATTCCACAAGCGAGCCCCGTCGCAATGCACTTTAATATCGTGAGCATTTGCGAATTCGGAGATCTTTCGTATTTCCTCCAAGGGAGTTAGTACCCCGCCAATTGTCACCTCGAGACTAATCACTTTTGTCGGCGCCGTGTGGATATCTTCGCCCAGGACAGTCCACCTCTTGACATCGTCCAAAGTCAGGTAGATGCCGTTGGCTGGGTGTACGGGTGTCACCATGGCTTGAGACAGCACTGCCAACCCCGATCCTTCCTCGGCGTAGACATGGGCGCGGTAGTCGCATAGCACAGAGTGTGGAGGTTGGTGGAGATGAACGCGGACTCCGATCTGGTTGCCCATTGTTCCAGAAAGCATGAAGAGGGCATCTTGCATCCCAGTCAATCGTGCAATTTCTTTTTGGAACTTTGTGGTGATGTGGTCTTCCTGGTAGACGTCGTCTCCGAATGATGCGGTCGCCATAGCGGCCAACATAGACGGCGTTGGGGTGGTGAAAGTGTCGCTGCGGAATTCATTGGCAGCCGGTGATGTGGATGCCTTGGGGTTCAGCATTTTGGCGGATGAGAGCGCTTTTTGGCTGTCCATTGGTATGTGTCTGCGGATTCAATCGAGATTGTTCAACTTCAAGTTTTCGTCCTTGATGTAAACTAGACCTCATTAGGCATTGGAATCAAATACGCACACATTCCACTCAGTACTGATTATCACGGCTTTAAGAAATCCAGAGAATAGTGCAAAGTCTGCCCACAAAGAATATTGATCCCAACGGATTGTGCTCATGTATCTCGGGAAACTAAATAGACTTTCCGTAAGATTTTGCCATTGTTCATAAGATCCGTTAGGAGGAGGATGCCTTCCTGGTAGTCTCTTTCTCGTCGGGCGGATTAAAATCCCTATGTGGTCCATGGGGCGGATCAAAATACTTTTTGAGTCAAATACGCGCTGTAAGATTCCCGAAAAGGCAAGTCACTCAACTCTAATGGAAAACCCCGCACTCGCAATGTTACATCGCTGCGGGAGCCTGGCTTAGGTCCCACTAGTGCTTCCCAGAACCTCGGAACCTGGGATCAGACTCCTTGATTCGACATAGCGATACAGACGAAGAAAGAGGCGCGACAAAATGATAAGTTGACACCTCAGTACCGCATCCATCTAGGTGGTCGTACCTAGCCGATGAAGCTAGGCCTCTTCCAATGACAAAATATATTCCACATCTCGCCCTCCAGAAGTAGAACATATCACGAGCCTACCTCACCATACATTTTTCTACCGGTTTATCAACATTGTCAAGATGACCGAGCATACCTCTGCGCGACAAGATAAGAGCTCAAGGAGCTATTGGTTAATGTATGGGGCGCTTTTGATTGGCCTTGCCACAGCGTTTATCACTCTGTTCAACAATCCCATCCAATCGTCTAGCCTACCCAAGCTGGATGTGTACGGCCCCGGCGCAGAATCCGAATTATGCCAACAGGTGCCAAAGCTGTCTCCAAAGAACAAGAAAGTGGAACAGTTCGTTCGTGAAAGAGTCGACTCTACGGAGTACCACCAAGAAATCATCAACAAGCTCTCTGGAATTATTCAGATCCCGTCCGAGAGCTACGATGACTTGGGACCCATCGGCGAAGACGACAGGTGGAATATATTCTTCCAAGTGGAGGACTACATCAAAGCCAGCTATCCCACTGTATTTCAGACCGTCAAGCTGGATCACGCCAACAAACACGGCTTGATCCTGACATGGGAAGGCAGCGTCCCACCATCGACGGCCAAGCCTATTCTCATGCTCGCACATCAAGACGTAGTACCAGTGCTCTCAGAGAACGTCAAGGATTGGGCTCATCCGCCCTATGACGGCCACTACGACGGTGAGATTATTTGGGGTCGTGGCGCTACCGACGACAAAGGCTACTTGATATCCATCATTGAGAGCATGGACCTGCTGATCAAGAGCGGGTTTAAACCGAAAAGAACGGTCGTCCTAGCATTTGGCTGCGACGAAGAAATTAGCGGCGAGAATTGTGGAAGGCCTATCTCTGATTTCCTTCATAAACAGTATGGAGATGATGGGATCTATCTGATCATGGACGAAGGCTCCACGGGGATCCAGAGGGAATTTGATCAGTCCTTTGCCATGGTTAGCGTGGCAGAAAAGGGCTATCTGGACGTCGGCATCAATCTCTCGTCGACGGGTGGTCATGCGAGTAACCCGCCGGACCATAACGTTATTGGTATCCTATCGGAAATCGTGGTCGCAATTGAGAGCAACCCATTCCCCGGGGCAGTCACTCCGAAGAATCCCATGTTCCGCTTCCTCGAGTGTGCAGCTGTTCATGCTCCCGTGTCGAGCTTCCCGATGGCGGTCCGTCCCAAGTTGAGCATGGCCGCTCAAGGTGATAGCGTCAGTCAGGAGCAACTAGCCCAAACACTCGATGATATGAGATATTACTTCAAGACAAGCCAGTCCGTTGGAAAGATCCATGGCGGCGTCAAGATCAATGCCATCCCTGAAACAGCGTCGACGTTAGTCAACCTCCGCCTGGCCGTCGAAACCTCGATTGCGCAGGTCGAGGCACACTACGAGTCTCTTGTCGGTTTCATTGCTCAAAAGCACGGAATGCTATTTGAAGGCTTTCATTCGTCATGCAACTCTTCAGAGAAACGGAAAATTTGCCTGTTTGGGATCGACGCCTTAGAGCCCGCTCCCGTCTCTCCAGTTGACACCGAATCTTTCCGCGTCTTGTCTGGGACTATCAAAAATGTTCTCAAGCCGCTTGGCACGGACAACGAGCTTGTTGTAACACCATACCTCATGCCAGCCAACACCGACACTAAGTTCTTTTGGGCCTTGACGAAAAACATTTACAGATTCACGCCAGTGAATCTGGTGCATAATCTCAACCGGGCACATACGACAGATGAGTTCATTCGAGCTGACGAGTTTGTGAGAGAGCCCTTGTTTTTCGCGAGTTTGATTCTGAATGCCGATGATGTTGTGACTCTGTGAATGTGCGAAGTATCAGGCGCATCTGTTTCACCTATCATATTATCTAGGCCGAGGCAATTTAGAGCCCTACAGATTAGGCAGACATAATTTCACGAAGATAAACCCTAGAGTGGTAGGTTAGAATAGATACTACATGGATAGATTGAGAAACGAATATAAAATAACAGTCATACCTCCAACCCAATTTGTGCTCCAAAATTGAACGTTCAGACTACTCGAACAAGCTGTTGAGCCAGCCTGAAATCTTGCCTCGCCTCGGTGGCTCATACAACGCCTCATAAAGATCAATCTGAGCTTTAATGCCTCCGAGCTGAAGATCTGCCTCTCCCGGCCGAACGTATCGTGTCCGCTTGAAGAGCTTCCAAGCCACAAACGCCACGATGAAAAACCCAATCATCATATAAGACGTGAAGAATGTGGTAATGTCCCAATTGCCATGAATGAACACGGTGTACCCGAGGATCAAGGCTATAACCAGGGTCATCACCGCGGCGTAGTATGCCGCATAGGGCTGGAAGTATCCCCGGTATGGCAGAGTCTTTCGGTCAATGCCCTGACGTTTGAGAGCAGCGTAGAAATGCAGGTATGTCACGACCGTGGCGAAGTAGTTGATCATGTATGATGCAGTGCAGATTCCCACCAGCCAGTCAAGGACCGTGGACGAAGAATCACCAAGCTGTAGCAATGAAAGAAGGCAGAATGCAAGCGAAAAGATGACCGAGTAGACTGGGATACCGAAGCGGTTGCACTTGGCAAAGATCGCAGGCGCTTTTCCATCAACCGCCAGGCCATGGAGGGTCCGGATAGAAGAGTAAACAACGTTGTTTCCACAAGAAAGCACAGACGTCATGATCAGGGCGTTGACCAGGGAGGGAAGACCGCTGATCCCAAATTTGACCATTGAAATGACGTAAGGGGAGCTATAGCATAAGTAAGCCGTGTGATCTATGCTTGTCTTAAGATTGGGGAGCTTACGCAGCTCCAGTGCCGCCCTCCTTTCCATTGATGTATTTGAGCAAAAGCGAGTCGTTGTAGGGAATGACGATTCCAACGCAGAGAGCGCCGCCGAGGAAGAACAGGAGCAGGCGCCAGACAAAAGAGGTAAAAGCCCGATGCATCAATTTACGAGGATTCTCGGCTTCGCCAGCTGTCATGGAGATGAACTCGGGACCGACCATACTGCATGATACCATCAGCCATACTATAGGGGAACGGGATAAGTTATTGTTAGTCATGATACTGACGTGAAGGAGCCCTGAATCACGCAGGAAACAAATCCAAGAAAACGTCCTGTGTTCCCAGGAGCAAGGTGCTCAACAAATGCACCCTGAAGACGTGTTAATTAGCAAGAAAACATGGAATGGTTGGATGCAACTTACGGGATTTTTCCAGTAGGTAAACCCATAGGCCCAATGCTCTGGATTACCACCAACCATGGTGACGAAGGTGTAGCAAATGAGTCCCATCATGAGGAAGACCTTGAAGATGGCTAGGTAGAACTCGGCGGTCCCGAAATACCGGACAGCGAGCCCGTTAAGCACACTGCACCCACAGTTAGCTCATTGATCGATCCCACTAGAACTGTAGAAGACGACTCACGCAAAAATCACCAAGCAAATCATGACCACTGCGACCACGGGCACCTTGTCCGTCCAGAAGGTCAGAAGTACATTGATTGCAGTGATCTCATACGGAATGGCGAAGGCTGGCCAAGGGGAATAATTAGTTAGAGAGGAAGCAAAACAGTGGCCTCACGAACTAGCACCTACCCATAAGAAAGAAGTAGTTCCAGCCCATTGCAAAGCCCCAAGCGTCATCGACCCAGAATCCACCCAGACGGATAAATGGGGAAGCGATCGGAAGATAAGTAACCATTTCGGCTGCGTTGACGTGACCTTATTAATACTCCACAATACATCTATAATAAGGAATGAGAGACTCACCAAAGCATTGATTGACACACCAGATGACGGTTCCGTAAGCGACAAAGCCTAGGAAAAGGCCAGCTGGGCCACCCTTTGGTAGACTTGCACCCATCTGTACGAACAGAGCTATGGAGATAATAAGCTCAAAAAATGTACTTCTTGCATGAGTCAGGCTCACTTACATGTTCCAATGGCGCCGCCTATTGCCAGCAGCTGGATTTCCTTTCCACCTAGTTTCCGTTGGAGGTGCTCTGAGCCAGCAGAGATGAGCTCCGACGGCAAGGCCTCCTCGCTGTCGTGCTTTTCATATTCATGCAGGCTGTGGTCGAGGTCTTTCATTGCTCTGGGGGTGTCCTTGGGTTTCTCCGCACCTGGAGAGCGCGTAGCGGCTTCCATGACCGTGGAAGTGCCTTCAAGCCAAGATAAAAAGAGAGGGTTTAGTTAGAGCAAAGAGTATAGCGAGCAGGAAGAATTGTTTGAATTGTGTGAAGGGTCGGGAACATGGCTAGAAAAAGCTGGAGTTTTTAACTTGATGCATGATTCACGAGCGAAGGAGCAAGTTTCCTGATCCGCTTCTCTCGTATCTCCCGCTGGTCTCTGAGACTAAACGTAACCAGTTCCCTCTCCCCGGGCCCGGGTCGTCTTCCGTGAGCGCCTCTTTGCAGCCCCTCTTGGCCAAGGCGGAAACACTAAAATTGACAGCCGGCGGCCCTACCGCCGGTAAAATACACCGTGTCAGATAACGTATTTTTGTATTTTATAATTGCGTGCCTTTTCCTCGGGAAGTACCCTCATCATCATTGTGGTTCTTGCAGGAGGGCTAGGAGTGCCCACTGCAACGACCATATTAGCATTCTTCAAAATAATATTGTGTCTCCATTCCATCAGCATACGAACCCTCTGCCCCGATGGCACAATTGTCCCCGACGCGTTCAAGGGCATCGCTCCCCAAACAATTGGCCAATTTCACCAATTCTACCGCTGGTCTGGACTTGACCCTCCGCCTGTTCCATAGTCTGGCCCTTATCGGCTCTGGACTTGAATTTGATGATACTACTGTGATGAGATGTTCAATTGCGGCATCGCAGATAGGGCTAGGTGAGATTGTTGCGGCTTCAGTGACGGTCCAGTGCATTTCTGATTTTCCCTGCAGCGAGGCGCTACCTCCGCTTCTTTGGGTTCATCGGCTGTTTCCAGAATGTCTCCGACATTCTAGCTACCGGGTCCTCTTTTAGAAACCGAGCAGCGATGATGGATCTGTTCGAATCAACTTGTCTGGGAATGTACCTTGCTCTCGAGGGTACGACAATGGTGAGCCTCCCAGTCTCATACCGTTCGCAATCAAAGCACAGTGTTAATCGTGCTGGACAGCTACATGACATGAACATTTTCTTGGTTCCATGGTATACGCCGATTCTGCTTGAATCCTACAAGTTCTGGTTCTATGCTATGTGTGTGGCAATTGCGAGAACCGTCTCGGTTCTCCTTTTTGGCCCTGTGGTGCCTAGCACCCCAAAAGGCTCCATAGATGAGAAGAAAGACCACACCTCGAGTGACTACCCGTCGTCGACACTAGTCCCAGTTACTTCGTCTCTCTTGACACGGCTGGTGATTGATAGTTTGGACTTGACTATTCCCGGGTCTTTACTGGGATGGTTCCCCGTCAGCGACATGGGGGTTGCTTTCACTATGCTAGCAAGCACGATACTTGTCTGGCCAACTGCCTGGGCGAAAGCCCAACCTTAGAAGTTGGTCCAGGGGAGGAATGGGAGGATGAATGCGATGGGATTTGCTGGCCTTGGACGAGATAAGTTATAGACTGAGCAATTGAATAAATACTTAGGAGAAGGGTACTTCAGGTCCTCTGTTCTAGAATTTTCAAAGTCCTTCAGATCACCTAACCCACTTCTTTCTACCTCCTGGCCATCACCCTTTGCAGGGAATTGTTCAACATTACAGCCGACTCCCAGGTTTCTCGTGGGTTCCCCGTGTAGGTCAAAGTGAGGAGGTCAGGGTGGAACCTCGTGGTAGCTTGTTTTTGAAGATAAAGTGAGCTGTGAGTTGTCACCATTGATAAGTCAACAGGGCAGGAGAACAAGTGATTCGACTGGCTACGGAAGCCGTGTTCCATAGTTGCTGGACCCATTGACCCAGAGATCCATAGGCCTTTGGATGCGGGGTAGATTACCCCGCATTGCTGGATAAGAGCCGAGTTCAGGGGATACAATATACAAAAACATACTGTATAGAAGTGAACTACTGAAGTCGACAAGCCATTGAGAGTGAGATAGGAGATAGGAAATACGGATGTTTCAACTGTAAAGCAACTCCAGTCCCTGCCAACTACAGCGGGATCGAGATCTGCTGCGTCTAACATATACAGAGCAGCCGATTGGCTGGATAAACCTGGCTCGATAAGATAGCTCTAGGCACTACGGATTAGACAGTAGATAAGGGATTACGTGAACTATTCCATCCCCGGCTCTCCGCACTGTCTCCTCTCCACGACCCTCGGCTGCGAAATGCGTGTGACTAAGGGATGTGCTCGTTGTCGCCATCGTCACGTCCGCTGTGTGGTTCCCGACGGCGCCTCTTCATGCTCTCGCTGCTCACGCTTGGGCCGGTCATGTGAACTTGAGCCGCGCTTCCAATTCAAGCCTGTACGCCATATATACCAGCAGTGTGAGAGCGCTCCAACCCGCTCAGACCTTGTCTGGGATGAGCAGCAGGTCTGGGTTGGGGTATCCCGGCCAGGTAAGCCCTCGTTTAATAGGTTGAATAGCCTACCTACTGACAAAAGTCCCATGCAGTGACTTTCGTGCACCAGGCCGACGACCTCACGCGTGAACTCCCAGAGCCAGACGACCAAGACCAAGGCCTTGAGCAGCCTTATCCAACGCCAGAGGAAGGCCAACCCATACTCCCACAAGCACTTGAATCTGTCCCGACTGATGCATTGTCAAACCATTCTCCGAGTCACGCACCAAGTGACCTGTCGACGCCATCTCCTCGAGAGGCGTACTTGATCCGCTCCTATATTCAAAAGATTGCCGCTGTGGTAAGTCATTTGACTGGCATCTGCCATGGAACGGGGGCCTAACGGCAGCAGGCGGATATCTGTGATCCTCAATCTCACTTCAGCACCGAAGTTCCTCGCCGAGCACTAGAGGAGCCCATGTTGTTGAAAGCTCTCCTCGCACTTGCTGCCAGACACGATGCGATCTTGACAAATGATAGTGACTGTGAAGCGTCAGCCTTTCACGGGGAGTGTCTGGAAATGCTCATTGTTGCCTTGGATCAACCCGAGGAGAGCTATGACGACAATCTCCTCATCACCGTGGTTGTGCTTCGTTTCTACGAAGAGCTTGAGAGGACAACCGACAGGAAATGCCATCTCCTTGGGTCTAACCATCTCCTCAATCTGATGTCGCGATCTGCATCGTCCGGGGGATTAGCCGAGGCAGTGAGCTGGCAATTCCTGCGCCAAGCCATCTACTCCTCCATAGCTCAATATGAACCAATACAACTGGACTTGCGCAATTATGAGCGGTCCTCGGTCTTCCATCGCGATGATGACGCGGCCCGAGCAAATGCCATCATTTTTTTCTGCGCATGCATTCTTCAGCTATGCTGCGCTGCGCCGGCGTACGCCATTGACCGAAAGAGCTGGCAGGAGTTGGCAGACTGTGTGGAGGACTGGCACCACACTAAGCCGAGGAGTTGGCATCCACTGCGATATCAACCGCCTAATTTGTCCGAGGATCGCCCCTTTCCCGAATTATGGATCATGTCGCCCCCGGCTGGTTTGTCTCGCTGACACCCTCTCTGATGCCCGCTAAACTAACTTGTTCATTATAGTGGTTGGTTTGCAATATTACCATGCTTCTAAAATATTTCTGACCATGTCTGATGCGCCGTCGCAGCGGTTGACGGACTATGAAATGGCGCGAGCTCAAGTTCTCGCAGAAGTCAGTTTGATCTCCCGTCAGTCATCTTTCATCGCTAACATATGAAATAGAAGACAGTTGCCAGTCATCTTGTGATGGCCATTGGACTATCGCTATCGAATGAAAGTGTTCAGAACAGCTACTTCATCGCCTCGCATCTACTTCAGCGCTGTAAGTGAATCGCTCGCTGGCACACTTGGGGCTTTCTGACAAATATCTAGTTGGATACTGCTTACGGCAGCCCGCTGAACAACAGGGATCACTGCGTTTCCTGTCTCGTGTAGAAAAGAGTCTTGGGTGGCGCACATCGTGGATCAGACGAGAATTAGAACGCCAGTGGATGGAGCGGGACAGCGTGAACTCTGAAGCTGGCTGAGAGCTTCTGGATGCCCCAACTGGCTTCTAAGCTTGAACTCGATCACAAACGACAAATATATGTTGGACTCGGTACCTTATGAAATGGGCTTCTGATCCTCGGTTCCCGATTGCCGGTCGTGAGATGTCTAAATTTTAACATTATGCGGATGCAGCAACAAACTATCAAAAGATCGTTTCATGGACGGATGTCCGGGAACCATAATGGGTACAAGCACAGTCGGAGAGGCCATGGCGTTTTTCACTGGACTTCAGAGCGCTCCCCGATGCGTAAAAGCTCAGCTCCAGAGGAAAACCTGTCGGTTAACTGCCGCGTCTCAACCTTTCTAACCTGTCTCCAGGACGGTCTATTTTGTTTTCTCTGTCGGAAGATGCTGCTCTGCGCCCTCTGTGGCTCCTTCCTTGTGCTCACTTAACCCTACGAAGGGGCACTCTCCTAAGGGCCATGTAGAGAATATTCATGGAGGACTGTCGGTGAGACAGCGTGGTTGTCTAAAGGCACTCATGGCCGGGGGGCAATCATTGGCATTTATCCTACACGCGAAATCCAGATTCCTGGCGGATCATCAATCTTACATGACATTTGGACACTTCCTATCGCGCCATAGCCGTCTATCGTTTATCGCCTAGAGCTAATCCTGAACACTCGATCTCTAACATGCAAATTTAAAGACCACCTTCTACATCGGTAAATTCCATCGTATGCCAACCACTTTGTGCACAGCACTGAGTAAGGGCACTGAGTACGAACAGGCCCTCGGTCGACGAAAGACTCCTGAATGACCCACATCACAGTCGGACAACCCAAGGCCGCCGCTCCACCAAGGATGAGAGAATGGTTCAACAACCTAATCGATCTCATTCAGCCAAACACGGATCATATCCACACCTCGTCGCACAGCAATCAATCGAAGGACCGCACGGAGATTTCCATCCACAATCTCCGTCTCCGTGGGCAGGAAATTGCCACCAGCTGGGTTCCATTCCACCCACATCTTCGTGATGGTTCGTTCTCCCTGTTCCAGATAGAACTCGGGAATATTGGGGCGCAAGCTCTGGTAGAAGCTAGTTGCGAGAGTCTCGAATGATTCGGCGTTTTCATCGGCGAGCACGACCTCATTGATCCTGGTTTGGCCTGCCAGGTTGATGATGATAGGGACGAGACCTTCGGATGAAGACATGATGAGGCTGAGGCTGTATGGGAGGGCTAAGATTGGAAACGCGGTAGGAGTGTGGATTGCAAAGATGACTCGATGAGTACAATGAAGTCAACTTGGAGCTTTAATTCTCGACAACCCTGTTCCTGAACCTGCTACTTATAGCCCCGTCGTCTGAGAGGGGCGCGTCATGAGAAAATACGAGTTTTAGGTTGAATGATCACTCTCATCGTGATAATTCTTGGCATTTCATCTCGTGTTACTGAATACGAGGTCCCCACCATGGCCTAACTCTTTGACAGGCACTGTTAGGAAGAATCCGTCGGAGTAGTCTCAATATGGCAGGCAACGCGGATTTAGCGCCGCTTACAGGAATAATTCACCCGGCAATACGAGTTGTCCAAAAGAAGGTCTTGTCAGAGAAGGGAATTTTTGAAGAAAGCGGGGAAGCAGGTTGTTGTAATATGGAGCGGATAACTTACTACTAGCAAATGAAGGTATTCATATGTAATTTGGGATTAGTACACATGCTGAGCAAGCCAGAGGATGCGTAGGAAGATAGGAAGGTCAGATGAATGCACTTTGGGGAGAATGGTAATAGATGGAAGAAAGATGTTGAAAAAGGTTGTTAATATTATTATTCAGCTAGGGACTTGCCAAGTATTTATAGCTTAGGCTCACTAAAAAAAATCGGTAGTTATTAGTCCGATATCTGCAGCTATCGCGGTCTGCAGCAGCTGCAAGAAGGCCGCAAGATGTCCAGAATCACGACTTGTGCTCTGATATAGAACGCCACTTTAACGTTTGATGCGCGCTCGCTGCATAAACCTCGCAAATCGGTTCTTCTGCGCATCTTGTAAAATTTGAATAACCCCTTTCTTCTCATGATCAAATGCCCAGCACATTGGAGTGTATCCACGGTTGTCCCGTGCGGAGCTGTCCAATCCTTTTTTCAGAAGCAGTCGGACTGTAGACTCCTCCCCACACCCTGCTGCTATATGCAATGCGTTGCGTCCATAATTGTCCAGAACTGAAATATCTGCACCGGCCTTGAGGAGGAGTTGTAGGCATTCATCTGCTCCGGAAACCGCAGCAACCAAAACTGCGGTGAGACCGTGCTCATCTCGCACAGTGGTATCAACACCCCACTCAAGTAACAGTCGCACAATATTAGCGTGATTCCTGAAGGTCGCGTGCTGCAATACGGTCTCTCCAGTCGACGTTTGAATAGAAGGATCTGCCCCAGCCTCAAGAAGGATCCTGGCAGAGCTTTCTCGATTTAAGATAGCTTCATAATAAAGGGGGGTCAACCCTCGTTGCATCTGTCGGGGATCAATGTCCGCGCCGGCTTTAATCAGCATCTGGAGAATAGTTATGCTCTGTCCATAGCCCTCATGTAAGGGTGTCCTTCCGTTGTAATCCGCCGCGGAAGGGTTTGCACCGTGATCCAGGAGTAACTGGACAATCCCAATTGCATCTCCGTGGACGGCAAGATGAAGGGCGGTTCTTCCGCTATGATCCTGTGCTGATATATCCGAACCAGCATGGATCATTGCTTTTGCCATCAGTTGATCACCGTTCCTGACCGCTTGATGAAGAGGCATCCATCCTTCGACATTGGGGATGGAGCTCTGCCGGATCCATTCAGCGAGGGGTTCGATCAGATGTTCAAGCCTTTGTTCCACGATCAGATATAAGATGGTGTGTCCATTCTCGTCCTGGGCCTGAATATGCCGAGAGTTGAGAATGGAGGCGACGTGGGGCATGCTTTGAACCAAATTTAAGAGATCCAAAGGTCGCAAATAGTCCGCGACCATCAGTATTAGCTCCGAGGGAAGATTGAGAGGCCTATGGGCTGCCATTATTGTCACCGAGGCAACGTATCAGATAGTTTCGAAGTCAGACAGCGACGGGGGCGGAAGCCGCTACTCTTCGCGTGACGAGACACATAGACTAAAAGTCCTGAGGACAATCTTACTCAAAGATTGTCACGGTAGCAGTGTATATAACGGCGATTAGGACGACAGAGGAAATGCAGCAGAGTCATGTGATCCGCGGGGCAACAGGGCAACAGGGCAACGGCGGTGCAGGGGTTATCAAGCAGTTCTCCAATAACCGAAACAAAGCTGCCTTTGGTTGATTTGCGCACCTACTAACCCATACAGCTACTCGTCTTTGCCGGCTAGGTGACCCCGTCCAGACAAGGGCGCCTTTCAAGGTACCTCTGGTGCGGCCCAAGGACATGCCTTCCCAGGAGCCCCTGCTTTACCAACCTTGGCCCGATTGCCATCTAATCAATCCACTAGCAGAGCAGATCATCTCGGTGTTAGCTGTGCTTATCTCCCAAACTAGAGAGACTTATTGAATTAATACTCAATAATGAGTAAGAGCACTCTCACATCTTCACCACTGCATAAGGTCTCCGGCACCTATTAAAAGCTGGCAAGCAAACCCAGTCCCAGAGACTCTCTGACTCCATGCCAGCCCTGCATAGTCGTCTCTCTCCTATGACCCAGTGTCAAGGGGAGTCTGGAAATAGAATAACCAGAGAGCAGATCACATTATCGCATATCCGAATGGCCCTTGAGATCCTTTAAGGAGAACCGCTTTTTACGTTAGCCCCTCAGGTCTCACGGATGACAAGCTGCGGAGTATTTCCCCCAGATGAGATCGTTACCATAAGTCATGCGCTGAAATAATCTGGCCAGTGGCTAAGGTACACTCTGGCGCACGAACTCATAGCACCCAGGAATCCAACAACGAATATAGCAACAACAGCCAAGCAATCTTGAAATTGATTCTAGATATTAACTATCTAGAGTCATCTGGCGAGGGGAAGATTTGAAGTGAACAAGAACAAGAAGAGAAAAACAACCGCTTTCCGTAAACGGTCCGCAGGATCCCATCTATACCTAGCAGTGATGAGGTCAGGCGTCTTGGAATGGATCCTGGTCCCTAAGCAGAAAGAAAGCCGTTCATACGATAAGTGGCAATGTGTGGTTCTCCAAACGTATCAACAACGCAAAGTCAGCTCACCAGTCGCCGCAGCCGTCCCTCAGTTCATCGTTGGCCTTGTAATGCGCATCAACAACCACGTTATCCTCCGCATGAAGAATCAACCGAGCATCGCCGCCATTAGAAGGGGGCAACCACTGGATCACGACCCCGCAACCCACTTCAACATTTCTTCAAATTTTCTGCATTGAAAGCATGTTTGTTAGTCCTCGACTTGCATTCGTCCAAGAAGAGCGTAAACGTACTAGAATTGCACTGATCCGAAGTATAAAATCCATTGATATAACACTTCAACTCCCAGTTGTAATCCCACGAGCTGAGAATAATTAGCATCACCCTTGATTCCCATTAACTCCCAAAATGCGTAATTACCAAACTCCCTCGTAGCAGTCTCCCGACTTGTAGCAAGAGAAGTCCCAGGCATCTCCGTCACCAATAGTGGTGACGACATGGGCGTCAAAATACGGCGCGCTTCTGCATTTCACGGCGCCATCGTTGTTGAAGACGTTGCACATTGTTCTTTTCTCGAGGCCTGGAGCCGCATTCGCCAGCAAAGGAAGGGCTAGGCAGAGAAGAGTAGTAGCTGTCTTCATAATGGTCAATGAGATAGAGGCTTAATAAAGGCTTGAAGTAATATTGATTTTCTAGGCATAGACTGGAATTTGGGTCCATTATATAGATCTTCGGAAAGTTAGTTGGCAGAGGCAGAAAAGGTGAAGTACGGGACAAAAATAGCGAATACCTACTACCCCCTTCGGCTGCTGTCAGCCACGAATGTTCGTATTCATTCCCCTTTTTCCATAGCTAGACTTCAATGTCTTTCGGTCAATCATCGTCGCTGTAGTAACTCCGGAGGGTAGGGATGAGTATACGAGGTTACATCGCAGGTATCGGTAACTCGAACACCCTTAACATTGAGTGGGCACAGTCGGCGACTGGAACCGCCCTAATCAAAAATGGGACATTCTCACCAGGCCATACTTTAAGCTCTTTCGGCTAGACGGACGGGTCTGGCGGGTTGTACTGCGTCGATACGAGGATATGTCTGTGGACGGATGAAGCGTGGCTGAATCCAAGCTAGCTTAGCCACGAATTATGTGCAAAGAAGAGCTTGGAAGGAAAGAGGAAAGGGATTAGCGAAGCACTTTACGAGGAAAGAGGCACGAAATTGCTTAGCGCGGTCCAAGAACAGGGGTAAGCGGAAAGGCTATGCTATTTACACCGTGTCCAGCGGCACAAACCCGCGCCATGCCATCTATATTAAGATATGCCAAGATGCCAAGACGCCGCCGCTGCCTGCCAAGGACTCGTCTTGGTGGGGCTATCCAGTTCGTCTCTGTCAACATGGTCTGTTTATCCGTAAGAACACCAAGATCTGTCTTCGACACAACAACGGAGCTGAAGCTGAAGGCACTGGTTCCCTTGAAACTGGGTTCGTTGCATACAGAACAGTGACTTAATGGATTACTGAAGGACTATATAGGACCGCTGAAAAGCCGCGAGGACTATTAAAAAACCGCGAGGACCGTTCAAAGACTGTGGGGATGGCTAAAAAACCACTAAAAGTCTTCTAATTAACTACTAATAGAGATAATGATAAGATTGTTATACTGGGCAAATCATCGAGAAGAGTCCATTTTACAAATATATCGAATCTGGGGAAGGCGGAAGAAGAAAAGGAGAAAGAGAGATAAGATGTCTTGTGACTACTATACGCCGGAACCTTCTGTCGGAGCTTTCAACTACTAACAAGATAAAGGTGAGTGTAATGGATCTCTAGGACTCACTATAGGTCAGTTCACAGGATACACTGCGCGTCAGTTTAGTGAATGATATATATTGCAACTTTACGTGTGACCACCTGATTAACGTAATAGCACGTGAAACTATATTACTGAGTTTATCTTGAAAATATCGCGCCCTTTCCATGTATCAGGAACTACTCTATTATGAGGAACAACAGGTTTGATAAACTTTCCATACAGTCGCGAACCGTGGGTGGCAAGTCACATGCCTTGAACACGATGACCTGACGTCGCGGGATCGAAGCGAACCCCTCCTTTCTCGGAGTTATCTCATTCGAAACCTCAGTATAATCCACACCTCATCCTGTGATATCCTAGAATATGGACGCAAAATGGTCGTTTGCGACGCCCCGGTCGCTGGCATCGTCGGAGCATACACGGGCAACAGCTTCGCTGTGCAAGCATCCATCGCAAGCGTGCTAGGTTGCGCTATTTATAGCGCCTTGGAACTGGTTGTGCTCGTGTTCTCCATATTCAACAAATACAATGGCCTATACTTCTGGAGTTTGCTTATCACGGCGTCACTGGGTGTTATCCCCGACGCGATCGGTCTGCTCCTGAAGTATTTCGAGCTCGCGCCAATTTGGATCCCAGTCACGCTGTCGACGGCAGGATGGAGCATCATGGTAACGGGACAGTCACTGGTGCTATACTCCCGGCTTCATTTTGTCGTGTTCAACCGAAAAATACTCCACTTCGTGCTGGGCATGATCATCTTCGACGCGATTGTCCTACAGATCCCTCAGATCGTTGCCTCGTACGGCGCTGTCTACGTCTGCCACCTGCACTTCCAGGGCTTCTTTAGTAAGTGGGAGAAAATACAGCTTACGGTGTTCTTCGTACAAGAGATCATCATATCAACATTTTTTATTATCCAAACGCTCCGCTTAATGCGTATGTATCCCAAACGGAGTGCCCGGAAGACGAATATCATGTACCAGCTGTTGGCGATCAACTCGTCTATTATATTAATGGACATCTCACTTCTGGTACTGGAATACTTGGACTTATTCATCACACAGACCGTTTGCAAATGCTTTTTCTATACAGTCAAACTCAAACTGGAGATTGCGGTGTTGTCGCGGTTGACAAGCTTTGTGCAGTCGCACCATCAGCTGGAATGTTCGGGATTGAGCTAACATTCCTACGAGATCTTACATACAGCGACAAGAATGTAATTAAAAGTATATCCGTTCAAGCCCAATAATACAAAGAAAGTAAAAAATATGGAGCGAGCCGAAATCTTGGTCGATGTGTGCAGGGAAAGAGGAATCAGAAAAGAAAAACCGGTGAGTGGTGGGTTCGGTTTGATCCACAGCGGACCACCCTGGGGAATTAATCTAGGAGAGTCTCAAAGTCAGCCATACGTGTAGCAGTGCTCTCAGCCTTCTTCTTGGCCGTCTCGCGGAAGGCAGCGAGCATGAGCTTGCGCTTCCGCTCCTGAATATCAAGCACACGCTCCTCGATACTATTTTCCATGACAACACGCCACACTGTGGTCTCACGCTTCTGGCCAAGTCGATAGACGCGATCAACTGCCTGGTCTTCAATGGCAGGTGCCCACCAGCTATCGGCGAGGATGACCTGGTTTGCTGCCACGAGGTTGAGACCGACGCTGCAGACGCTGAGACTGGCGAGAAGAACAGTGCAGTCAGGTTCGTTCGTGAAGACACTGATGGAGTTGTCGCGCTTCCCAGACTGCATCTTGCCGTCGATACGTACAAACTTAATGCCACGTTGCACGAGGTGGGGTTCGACTAGATCAAGGAAGGAGGTCCACTGGCTGAATAGCACCGTCTTGGTACCGGGTGCTTGACCCTGTGCAGTGAGAACCTTCATGAGCGCCTCAATTTTGCTGCTGGGGTTATTAGGGTCAGCAACGGCCGTCTCAGCGTCCTCTCCCAGCTCTACAACAGGGGCAACAAGAGTAAGATTGTCCTTGATATCCGCACGGCAGAGCGGGCACTTGTGCTGCCGCTCAATGACTTGCTCGATGCAACCACGGCAGAAGGCATGGGCACATGCCGTAATTACCGGCTGTTCAAAGTTATCAAGACAGATGGCACAGGCCTCCTGGCTCTCAATATGGATCTGCAGCATGTCTTGCAGGGCCTTCACATTTTCCGGGTTAAGAGGGACAACTTTGTGTTTCTCGAGGTCTCCCATGAGCTTGTCAATGCGATTCTTGCAGAGGGCCCAGTGGTTGCAAACTTGACGAAGACGTAGTATGACCTCCAAAAGAGTAGAATAACTCCCTTCTTTATCCTTGAGTTCGAGAAGAGCACCTTTCGCCTCGTTTCTAGACGATTATTAGCAAGAGGTGTTGCAAAGGAGTGTAACAATGGAAGCCATACTGGAATGCGCTGTACTTCTCCAGCTCATGGGGATGAAACTTGACACGAAGAACCCGGGATGCCATTTTTGGTAGACGCAGGTTGATAAATTCCATGTCCTTCCTTCTTCGAAGGCAGATGGTTCCCATCAGGGCCTCAAGAAGCAAGCGAGCCTCAGGGTCGCCATCCATAAGGGGGCGAATCAGGACACTGTTGAACACACCGAAGTCCTCCAGACCGCCAGACATCTTCAAGAAACGGACCTGAGAATAAAGATCCTTAAGAGTATTGATAATCGGTGTTCCAGTCAGTGTCCAGCAAGAATCTGCTCGCAAGGCGCAGGCTGCAAGAGAGCCCTTCGAGCGAGGGTTGCGAATTGTATGGCCCTCATCCAGGACTACACGACGCCAATGAACCGAGAAGATTCCCCCCGGAGGCAGCTTCTTCGATTCTGGCTCAAACTCCATGGCAAGGGCACCATAGCTCGAGATCACCACGTCATATTGTGCCAGGTTGGCCTTCTCCTTTTTGCCGGACCCATGGTAGATCAAGACACGGGGTGCATGTTCAATGTGAGTGTGATCTTGAATCTGATTTTTCCAGTTACTCATAACACCAACCGGGGCGAGAATGAGGGTGGTCTTGCTAGACCCGGAGGTTTGGGGCGTAGGATTGGCCATGATCAGTGAGATAATCTGGATGGTTTTGCCAAGACCCATGTCATCTGCAAGAATACCACCACTCGCAAGTGGTGGTTCGGTGGTAGTTGAGAAGTTGGTTGCAATATTGATAAATTTGGCCCCGTCACGCCTCCACAGCTGCACAATGGCATCAGAACCGGGGACTGGAAGGGAAGGAGATTCTCGATTGATCATCCAGGCGAGCCCTTGTTTCTGGTACGGCAGCAGCTCCGTGGATAGCCCTGCTGGGGAATCAGCCATGGGCATATTTGCCAAATCGGCTTCCTTCTGCCCAAAGGCTTCGACGACTTGACCAATTTCCCGTGGGTTGAAAAAGCTGCTTTGTTTCATGAGCTCCTCCAAGCTTTCGCTTTCGCCGAGCCCGGTCGGCACCGACAAGTTAGCATATGTAGAGTCCTCATTCTGCTGCCATTGCTGGGCTGCCTTTCCGAGAGCCATTGCACGGGCGTTCTTTTCAGCCGCCTTCTGTTCGTGCTCACGCTGTTTCTCCTGCCGTCGTTGCTCACGCTCGGCTTCGATAAAGTCTTTGACTGGTAGCTTGTCTTGCTGCATGCGCTTCTTCAAGGCATCTTTCATTGTTGGATCACTCGTGCCAAAAAGCCTCAGCTGAACCGGGCAGTCGAAGTGCCCAATAACTCCTGTAAGAACACCTTCCACAGATAGATCTCTGGCATCCTATCAAATCCATTCGTCAGGAACCAACTTAATCATGAAATGCTCGAGCAACACACCATGTAAGGTGCCAGCTTGGCAGCCATTCCTCGTGGAATATGTCCCACTTGGGAACCCATGACATTATCAACGCGAATGGCATTGCGATCGTATTGATTTGAAGGCTCTCTTTTTAGGACAACATGCTCTCCGGGAGTGGCATAGCCTCTGTAGTAGCGAACCCCCACAATCTTTCCGTCAATTCTTCCTATCAGAATGGGTCAGTAATGTGTTTCCGACCGAGTCGCTGAGACAAGGACCTACCGTAAAGCATCGAGCTAGAAAGTGACGACGCATCCATATCTTGGCTTCCCTGAACGATATCCTCGGCCTGGGCGTCATCTTCATCTGCGCCAGCGACTTGTGAGAGTGGGATGTAGTCGGCATTTTCACCAAGTCTCTGGGCTGTAGTTGCGCCCGGCAGGTCTGGTGCCAATGTAGTCCGGCTCCTCTTGGATACGCGGGCCTCACCATGATCCGAGCCAGTCTCGGCCGTGTCGACCACGTCAACTACGTCCGATTTCCGTTTTCCAGGTCTCCGGGTCATGGTGCTGGACTCCTTTCTCTACAAATCAAAACTGAGATCAAGACAGGCCCAGAGAGCGGCCAAAAGAGAAAAGAAGAGTTGAGGCACAGCGAGCAAAGTTGCTTGAGTATTGCTTGTGTATCAGCAGCAATGGAACATGCCGTCAAAGCTCATCAGCATGTGAAATGGTTTGACCATGGGACGTAAACTGGTAAACTGTCGAGATGATTGACGGTCAGAACGATGACGGCACCCGCCCCGACCGCGCAGGCCTGCCGCAGGCACGCGACGCGGGTTACACGTGGTCACGTGAATAATAGCCCCTTTCAATTCGTCGGTGTTAAAAGATCGTATTCACGTGATATACACAATAGAGCGGATTTCCTTGGAAGCTGGTCTTTGAGACTCTTCAAACTTCGAGGTCATTTACAGAGCACTCAATTATCACCGGGGCTGGTTTTTCTTTGCGCGGTCTCCTTCTTTAACGCCATTCCATTAGATGTGCACTTTTGAACCCCGCATTATTGGCTTTCCTCTCCATTCTTTAGCGCAGTCTCGGACAGACAAGCTCCCGAGTTAGTGGCGCGCACCCCGTATGGCCGATCCCCATGGCTCGTACAGGGATCTTGTGCACAGGCACAATGAGGAAATTGATACCCTTCTAGAAATGGGTGTCTATAAACCGGTATTTCTCTACCAGGTCATTCTGTTCAACTTATTGCCCCTCATCGGCTTGCTCATACCGTGCAGCGCTGCACGGTATGGCCGGCCGGTGATTTTTGCCCTTTGTCTGGGGTTTGTGGTTGAGGTGCTCAGACACCGCCGTGCACTACTTGGAGGAAATGGGTATATGATCGGCCTGATGGCAGCGTGGTTGCTGGTATGGAGTGCAGCTCTCCTCGTGTTTACCGACGTCGAGAATGACTTCCAGCGCATTGAAAGAGGAGCTGCGGCTGATGAACCTAGGAGAGACATGGATCAAGCGGGAAAAGGTGCTCAGCAGAGCCGCGCTTTTACTGACAAAAGCAATCTGGTTAACACCACCCATGCATCTCCCTCTGCATCAAGCAGACAGGCCACCTCCACCGCTAGCGCCGACAATCATGAACATGAGAAATTCCACTGGCAATCCTATCCTCGAAACTTTACTCACCGTCTTGATTGGTGTGCAGGACTTCTCTTCAATCTCAGGGGACCCGAATGGAATTGGCGTCCTCCGCGCTTGGGCCCTCTTCCTCGATCTGTTCACACACAACTGCGTTCGGGATTTGACTCCGACGAATTGCGGGCACATGATGATGCTGCCTACATGACTGCAAAAGACCGTCTTCGGGCTGCCTTTTGGAACTGCTTCAAGGGATATATTCTGCTAGACGCTCTCAAGGTTTTCATGATGCGGGACCCGTACTTCCGGGGCATCGTGGCAAGCGAAATACCGCCTCCATTTCCATTTTCATGCTTTGCATCTTATCCCCTGCTGATACGCTTTTACCATTGCTTCTTCAGTTGCATGGGCGTCTACGTCGCCCTCGTTTTTGTTACCTCTTTCAATCCTATATGTTTCCTCGGGTTGTCTCTGGCCTTTCCCAAAGCCTCTCGGAGGCTGACAAGGGCTCCACTTGATGCATCTTGGCTATATGCCGATAGCTTTGGACCCTTCCTCTCCGCTGTTCTCGATCATGGGCTGGCTGGGTGCTGGGGCCGATGGTGGCACCAACTCTTCCGCTATGGGTTCACCACCGCTGCTCGTTGGATTCTATCATGGCTTCCAACTAGGTGGGCCACCAATTTACGGGTCAAGCGGATCACCCACATCGTGATTGCGTTCGCGCTCAGCGGATTTGTGCATGCCTGTGGCAGCCATACACAGTTCACAAACACCCACCCCTTCTCGGGCCCATTCTTATTCTTCTCTCTGCAAAGTGTTGCAATTATTCTCGAAAACATCTTCAAGACCGCTATATTCCCCAAATTACCCCTTGCGAACACCCCGCGGTGGCTACGTCGGACTGCAAATGCAGTTTTTGTTTTCCTCTGGCTTTTCTATTCCGGCGCTTTTATTGCAGATGACTTTGCCCGAGGCGGATTGTGGCTGATGGAACCAGTACCTTTCAGCCTGCTCCGTGGTCTGGGACTGGCATACGATAAAGGGTGGCGGTGCTGGGACAAGCCGTGGTTTCGCTATTGGAGTGATGGGACCTACTGGGGTAGTGGAATACGAATTATCTAAATTCGATACTGTACACATAGTCATTTAGAAATTTGGGCAAACTTTTCGGCATATTCATCTCTAGAATACATCTTTTTCTGTCTCTCAAGCCCGGCTAGATCAACTATTTCTTTCTCAAAGCTGACCGTTACTAGGTCAATCCACCGCCAGTTTCAGTAGTATTACCATGGAAATATAATACTGTAATAAAATTCATGTATACATAGGTGCTCTACCCCTCCATCGCGACATCGTCGTCCTCGTCATCTTCATCATCAGTGTCAGAATCGATATTCAAGGTAGGCAGCTCATCGTCACTATCATCAACAGGCAACGGTGTTCCAGCTGCAGAATGAGATGGTGCTGAGTTTGTTGATACTTGAGGAGCAACTTGGACCTGTTGAGGGACCATCGATCCCTCGACCTTGGTAGATCGAGGTGTAGAGACATGAGTGGTAGCAGCCGGTGCTTGTTGGATATTCTCCTCGAAACGCGCTTTCTTGACCTGCACGGGCTGCTGCTCCGATGCCGAGGAGATGTGCGACTCGGTAGTAGTCTCTTCGAAATAGGTCCGCTTGTGCAGCGGTGCCACTGAAACCGGAGAGTGCTCACGGTTCTTGGCCTCGGCATAAGCAGCGGCCGTCTCGTTCAAGAAGCTAGACCTTGGTGGGGCAGCAGTGAATGGCTCATCAGCCATCTCATCAGCCTCTTCCTCCTCCTCCATCTCGGTATAAGCCTCAAGCTCCGCCGAGGTCATCAGAACCGGCATTCTGGGACGAACCAGAGCCTCAACGTCCATTTGATCGGAGTAACTCCGGACCAGGAACGGCATGATGCTGGCGCCAGCTCCACGGCCCTTGGCAGCCGGAATCGGGTTGAGGACACTCGCAAGCATAGCGTTCTTATCGGCAGTCAGGATGATCGTGCGGTCAATTTCAGCACGAACTGAAGGTACCAGAAGATTGGGGGAAATAGACGCCAGGGCACTTTGCAGGAGACCAGAGGCAGCTTGTTGAAGCTGGGGGAATTGGGGACCAGCTTTCAATGGCTGGTTCTTCCGAAGCTCAGGGTTCAAAAATGAGTCTGCATTGGCCGTGCCTTGGCCACCCTTCGACTTCGATTTGGACTCAGACTGGAACTTGCCTGCTACACCAGATTCTTCAATCTGAGGGAGCAGGTCATGACAGCAAACCCGAAGGACATTTGCAATAGAGGCCACGCTCTGCTTCGTCATTGCAGGTCCATTTAAGGTCAAGAGGGAGGTAAGCAAGCTATAAGAAGCCGAGCGGACGTCTCTGCGGAACTTCTCGTTCTTGAAGACCCAGGTAACCTGCTCCAAAATACTTTGCGAAATTGCAGTTGTGCTGTTCTCTAACACACAAGCAACATGTGCAAGCAAATCCATACAAGCAATATGAATGCGGGGCAGTTCAGCCCACAAGAGCTCCCGCTCGTCCCGGCTGATTTGAGGGTTGAATTGAACACCATTCTGAGAAGCTTCGCCATTTGGCGGGACTGTCACCGAGGTAAGCCGAGAGGTCAAGTCGAGAATTGAACCCAGAGGAATGGCGATTGTGACAGCAGACGGCATAGAAATGAAGTTAGAGAGAAGGCGCAATAGTGTGATCAGTCTATCGGTTCCAAAATGAATTCCAGCCCAACCCGGAAGTCCCAAGGCATCAGGATTCGTATCTGCCAATTCATTACTGTAGTTTTGTTTTGCTGGAACCAAAGTAGGGTTCACAGATTCCCACTGCTCCGCAACAGCCCGGAACACATGGTCGGCTGCTCTGTGGGCAGATAGGATGGTCGACTTGCAGTCATCAGTCCAAGCCGGCCCCGACTTGTCCTTCGGCGCACATTTGTAAAGAGAGGCGAATAGCTGCTCTGCGACATCAAACACTTGTTCGGAATAATAGACTTGCGAAGACCCAAGAATTTCCGCGAGCAGAGACCGAAGCTGGGAGCCAAAAGGACGGAAGATCGTAGGGTGACGAGGAACCAATTCGAGGATGGCATGAAGGACAATCTCCATAAATGGCGTGTTGGGCTTCGGCTTGCGGGTCGATCCAGATGGAAGCTTAACCAGCGTCGAGACCAAGTTCAGTGCAGCAGTGACAAACCCTGGCAGATGCGGAGTGGTAATTTCGCGAACTAAAGTCGGGTACTGGTATGTAAGGTGGAAAATGCGAGTCAAAGTGATAATACACATCTTTCGTGTGGATACTGGGTCGGGTTTCTAGAGAACGCAAAGAAATGAGTCAATTGAGCCGAGATGAGATGAATGCCAGCCGCAGCACGCATCGAGAGAGCTTCATACCGCCAGAATCCCGATCAGACTGCGAACAACCGGCTCATAGCCCCGCAACATCTCCCACTGTCCCGCTTCAACAGCGGCCTTCACTAAAACCACGGCCGTCCATCGTCCCTCGACACTCCGGTCCTGCAGCAGACTGACGAGACGAGTCTTCAGCTTGTGGATTTGAGCGGCATGATCGGAGTCCCCCTTGCCCGGTTTTTGGGCTTGTGGTGCCGAGAGGAGCTCGGCACAATCGCTCAGCGAGGTCGCGAGGAATGCAGCTATCGAGGGTAGCTGGTCGACTGGGGTGGTCGTCAAGCGATGTGTGACGGCGCGTAAAGTGGTGGCGGCCATTGCGGGTAGCGAATAGCGTGCAGCAAGCAGGAGCAGGCTCCTCGGTGAGCTCAATTGACACGAGGTCCGTCACGAGAAGATCGTTGTAGAAGAAGGAAGGTTCTTATCGGTAATTTTTTTTGTTGGCGAGAAAAGCTTGGGCCACATGAAGCCTCGGTAAATTACGAAATTACGGTCACGGCGGTACGTAACCCTCTCTCCACCCCTGGGCGATCATCTTCGGGACTGGCCAGGTGCTGCGCTGGTCTGCGCATACCTGATTGTCCTTCTCCATCTCCTTCCGCGCTTTCTTCGCAACGCTCCGAAATCATGGCGGTAGGTGTCCTGCCCTCCCTGCTCAATGTCGGCGGCGATTCACAGCTGCTGGATCTGTCGTACGTGGACTATAAACAACTAACACGTGCTGGCTAGGGAGGCAATGCCGAGAAGGGACAGCGATACATCGCATCCTTGGACCAGGCGCGGGCCCAGGGCAAATGGGACGAAGTGCCTGAACTGATTCGAAAGGTGACGAAGCACGCTCCGCATCGCACTTGTAAGCGCGCCACTACCACTACTGTCCCGTGTTCTGAGATGGCGCTAACGTGTATCCTTGCAATAAAAGGTGCTATTCAAACCGCGACAGCCGAATCTCGAGTCGTGACCTATCTCCAGCAGAAAACGCCCTCCGAGTCGCCATCAACGCCTAATCTCCCCGAATTGATCCCCGCCCTGTTGACAACCATCGAGAACAATGATGGGACCCCGCAGGAGATCCTGCAAGCGCAGGTGTGTCTCGGATGGATCCATTGGGTTCTGGGTGAGCCAGCGCTGGCTTCAGGACGTCTGCCGAGGGACTTCACAACGACGGTGGATGTGCTGGCCGCTGAAGGACAAAACCCGTCTTCCTGGACAGAGGTCTGTCTGGTCAAGGGATGCTATATAAAGGGTATATTATACTGCTTGAATGTTTGCGGGAACACCTTCGCTGATTATTCTGTAGGAGCTGCGCAAGCTACAGTTGCTGGTATTGATGAGACATTGGAGACATTCGCTTCGCTGGTGCCTTGGCTGAGCAGCGGGAAACTTGGCTCGAATAACGCGCAATTCCTGAGCTGGATCGAGACTTTGCTATGTAAAGGTGCCCTGATGGCCAGTGAGGAGGCATGCAACACCTCACCATACTCCGACCCTAGACATGTGGAGATTGCGCTTCGGCTGTTTCGGCTTTGGTCTGCTCTCCCCACAGTGAAGCAAGGGCTTGCTGCTCCCACTCCTTCCCACCTAGATGTCTCCACCTCGCTCTCCCGCACGTCTATATGGAAATCATATTATGGATTCCTCACGACCGTGCTTCAGGATGAGCTTGTTTACACGCCTCCTCATGATGGGCCAGATCGCCCCCAGCTAGCTAGTGAATTGCGCCGCATCGAATCCATCTGTGAGAACAACCTGCTCCGGGAAGTCAAATTCCCTACCGCGAGCTCCGACAACTCCGAAGTGGAAGAGTGGGTGGAAGAGGTTATTAGAAACTGGGAAGTCCTCTGCGGACCCAACTGGCACGATCAGGATCTGGGCGAAGGGGGCCAGAATGCTGTGGGGCGCAACGTTCTGGACGTAGGTGCACCACGGAGATACCTTTGCGTGTCTATGCTGACCAAGGCAAAACTACAGATTCTCTATCGCGCAGCGAACAAGACTTATCATTCCCACTTGATTTTGCGGCGTCTGTTCCATGTTCATTCCGCATTGGCAGACTTTGACCTCGCCGTTCAAGCTCTCGATTCCTATATCGAAATTGTCACAGGTGCCAAGGACAGAGCAGAGAAGGCGGCTGAGTATGGAGAGTTAGAAAAGGACGAGACTTTCTTGCAAACTCTTTCCGAAGGAGTCACTTTGTTGAGCTGCCTTGGTTCATTTGACGAGGCAGAGAAGGCCAAGAATCTAACCGAGTTGATTAGAACTCACCTCGACAAACAAGGGTCAAGCAATACAGATACTAGTGCCAACGGCAAATTGCTGATTACGCAAGGCCCCGCTTCTACCACCTTGTGCGAAATTCCCTCTGCTGTTCTGGCCGCTGCTTACAGGGCAGTTGGAGTCGGACTTGCTAACTGGGCAAGCTATACTCCCCAAAACGAAGCACGAGATGAGATCCGTGGAGAAGCCATCGATTACCTGTTGAAGAGCATTTCTCCTTCGCTGGGGAAGCAAATGAGCTACGCCACTCTGTACACATTGTCTCTTGTCCTTGCCGAAAACCGCGATCTGGATACGGCAATTGACTATGTCAAGTCAGCATTAACTTCTCACGGCTGCTCTGATACGTCTGAAGATCTTTCGAGGGAACGGGATCTCGTCCCAATGTGGCATTTACTCGCACTGTTGCTCAGTGCAAAGAATGAGTTTGATATCGCTGAACGTTCTTGCGAAGCAGCATTCGAGCAGTTTCCTCCGGAGGTATTTGGGAAGAGCCACCTCGACAAACGCTCAGAGAGACGTTCATCAAGGCACTCCTCGCACTCCAAGGAACATGAGTCTAATTCCAAGCGCTCGCTCGTTCATCGGCTGCAGGGCCGGGAGAAGGAGCGCATTCTTCAAACTCGCATCACACAGCTTGCGTTCGTTGAAGTTCTAGAAGGCCCTGAGGCTGCTGTCAACCAGAGTGGTCAACTGCTGAGTCTTTTCGCTACTCTATTCAGTGACCTTAATCTTGATAGCGAAGGCACCAAGCCCAAGACCGAGCATCTGGTGCCACCGAAGAGCTCCGCCGGCACAGCCCGAAGCTTCCGCAGTAGCATATTCAACCGCAATCGAGTCTCTCATTTACCAGACCGCCGTGCCGATCATTCTACAGGCTCAGGCTCCCCCATTCCAGCAGTGCCGCCCATTCCAAATGGCCATATGAGTGGAACCGAAGCACCTGCCATTCAAATTACGGACGAAGATCCGCAACGCTATCAAAGTCCTTCTACACTCGGGAGGTCTGACTCGAAGAAGCTGAAGAAGCGCAGCAGCAGCTTCCACAGGCATGAAAGGCCACGAGGCCAGGAGCCCCCTCTCCCGAGAGAGACAGAGTCCCCAGATATGGTGGGCGTCGCTGTGTCAGGTAACTCATCCCCCATGTCGGCAGGTGCCAGACAGCCATTGCAGCCGGTTGCGCACAATATTCATCACAAACAACAACCAGCCCCAGTCGGCCATGAGCACAACCCACCAGTGCAGGACACCCGACTTCTGCCTGCGCACCGATTTGATTCTCCCACGAATGCCACTACAAAGTTTTCTTATGCTCAATCTCAGAAGCACGCCCTTGGCCTGCTTGTCAAGATTTGGCTCATCATTGCCGGTCTGTACCGCCGAGCGTCTCTATTTGATGATGCTCGCGAGGCATGCCATGAGGCTTTGAAGCAAACTTCGCGCGTGGAAACACTGACCGCATCTTTTGAGTCTTCCGCCCGAGCTTTCAGCAACCGCGGCTGGGATAATGCCAAGAGCTCCGAAGAGTTGTGGGCTGATGTCTATGCTGAACAAGGACTGTTGGCTCAGACTCAGTCAAATCCCCATCAAGCTATGAAGCATTTCGAGGAAGCCCTACTGCGCTGCCCCGATCACCCGACGGCGACGATTGCTCTTGCAAATCTTCTTCTGGATGTGTGGGACCAGAAGATGCCGCTGGAGGCCTCGAATGCCGACGTGGATCTCAACGTCTCGCGTCTTTCACTATTGTCAGAGCTCCCGAAGCCAAAGGTGGCAAATGCCATTTCAATCGACGAGTTGAAGGGACCTGATGTTGAAACTCCGCCTACAGCCGAAGCTTCCTCCTCGCCACATGATGTTGATCCCAAGCACCTGCACCGCTTGGCAGCCCGAGATCGCGCATACGGTCTGCTCTCATCGCTGACCAAGCTTGGTAGTTCTTGGGACAACTCTGAGGCATGGTATGCTTTGTCGCGGGCATACGAGGCCGGTGAACAGATCGACAAATTAAAGGACGTTCTGTGGTGGTGCATTGAGCTTGAGGACCGTCGGCCAATTCGGCACTGGTCCAACATTGGCTCTGGGCTCTATGTTCTTTGAAAAATTTTGAAGATCAAAAATGGGGGTTTTTATCTTCTTGTATCTACTTTGATTTCCCCTTTGCTGGTCACCTTCGTGCTCAGCCCTTTATCATCCTCCCTTGCTTGAGATACCATTTCAATACCTGCGGATCGAGGGGTAGCTAGCATATTCAGGAACTTTCTAGCCTGAGATTAGGTATTTGGAAATGGAAAATTTTTGAAAGTTTCGAACTAGACGTTCTCAGAACACCACACGCAACACAACTTTATGTACATCTATCGAAGCAACCCAACAGGAGCAATTCGAGACTGAGAGAAAAGGAAAAGAACAACACAGGTCGAGGTGCAAAAGTTGATTCATTTTGCTAATTGCAAAGCCAACTCATTTACCGGGGAGCAGCGACGGGAGTCCAGGCGGAGTACTTGGGGCGGGTGCTATGATGGACGGTTAGTCTTGACAAGCAAAATTAAGAGAAGCGCACATACGTCGAGTAGGTCTTGAAGGCAGCGCGGGTAAAAGTGAGGTTAGGGCGGTGCTCGGGGATCTCCCAGGTGCGCTGGCCGGGCTGCAGGATCTTGTCGGCCGTGGGTGGGGCATCGACCATGTAGGAGATCCATGCGTGCCTGTAATTTGATAATTAATTTCCATTATGATCCTCCATTGCTTTCATTCACGACAGGCGCGACACCTACCAGCCAGGCTCAATCTGGTCGGGGTTGTACTCCGGCCAGTTGACCTTGTAGTCGACCCATCGTGTTCGGACTGTACGCAAAGGTTTCTTAGCACCCTCGCCATGCTGCCTATATGGTTCGCTGTAGGGGATGTCTTACGAGGCAGCTCCTCCTCCATGTTCTCGTAGAACTTGTTGCCGAAGCGGTCGACACCGATGAGGGTTCCGGCCTTGGTATCACCTATGATCGCACTGGGTTAGCCATCCACCCATTGCCAATTGAATAGAGGTGCAGCGTACCGATGTTCTATTCAAAGAGCAAAAATGAAGAGTATATTAGTCCTGGAGCTCTACCATCCACCTGATCTCCTGTATCCGCGGCGAGAATCGTACCTGCATCTGGTGGCCAAAGTCCTGCAAAGCGTGTTAGCGGCCTGGCTTGATGCGGTCAAAATCAGGGGCAGGACAAACCTTGACGCCAATTCGGCGCAGATTGCGCAGCGTCCTCAGAATGGTCGACATCTTTGTGGTGCAATGGTAGAGAATGAGGTCAGGGCCAGAGCGTGTGGAAGGTGAGGTCTGAAGTCGGTGTGTTTGCCGTGTTTGCACCCTCTCTTGTCTCTTTCCCGATTCAGAAATCCTTCTCCCAGAGCATCGAAGACATGTTCGGTCGCATCGGAGGCCAGGCGCTTCGCTGCGCTGCTCGTCGCCCAGTCGCACGCAGGAAACTATGTGACCGCCGCTTCTCCGCACACAGTGGTGCCAATACTACTGCTGCGTCTGCTCCATCGCCGCTCGGAGGAATCACCGTTGAACTGGATCGCATAGCACCGCGATTCGAGATTCCAGCTTCTCGGATCACGATCTTGGACTCTCCAGCCAATTTCTATTCGACATTGAAGGTGTGCCCTTGCAACGGTATCTAAGATATCCGACATTGGTCAATACTGACTCGCGACTGCGCAGAATAAAATCCGCAATGCCAAGCGTCGCGTTTACCTTTCTACACTTTACATCGGCAAGACCGAGTACGAGCTCATCGAGACGATATCCCAGGCTTTGCGCGACAACCCAAACCTCAAAGTATCTATCCTTACCGATGCCCTTCGCGGAACCCGAGAAACCCCTAATCCTTCATGCGCCTCGCTTCTTTGTTCGTTGGTCTCAGAACATGGGCCGGAGCGAGTTGAAATTCGGATGTTCCATACACCCAACTTGACCGGTCTGAAGAAGAAATGGATTCCTCGTCGCATAAACGAGGGCTGGGGCTTACAGCATATGAAGCTGTACGGGGTTGACGATGAGATCATCATCTCGGGGTAAGTGCCCTAGGAAGTATACTTCGAAACCTTTGATGCTGATGGCCTCACAGCGCAAACCTTTCCCAGGACTACTTCACCAATCGGCTGGACCGGTATCATGTCTTCGACTCCAAAGCTCTAACAGACTACTATGCTCGTATCCATCATGCGGTCTGCAGCTTGAGTTTCCAGGTCCTGCCAGATCCCCACAACCACTCGGGGTACCTTTTGGACTGGCCTACCTCTAACGGTGCTCCGTCGCCTCTGGACAGCCCCCAGGATTTCATTGGATACGCCTCCACTGTGCTCAACCCGCTCATACAAGCATCCAACAGCAAGCCAGCTCTTTCCTCTTCATCTTCAAGCCAAACTTTCGTATACCCCGTGGCCCAGCTTACACCCCTCCTGAAACCGGACACTTCCACCGAATTTCCAGCGGTATCAGGGATTTTGCGTCTCTTGTCTGAAGTACCAGTATTCGCAGGATCTCGCTGGCTCTTCACTGCCGGGTACTTCAACATTCACCCTGTTCTCTCCTCCCTCCTGATCTCCAGTACATCTGCCGCCTCTGAAAAGGCTTCCACCACACAGGGCACAGTCCTAACGGCTTCCCCCTGGGCCAATGGATTCTATGGCTCTCCAGGTGTGTCTGGCATGCTGCCAGCTGCATACACGCATCTCTCGGCGCGCTTTCTCGACCGCGTTGCTGCTGCTCAAGCTACGAACTCCATTCAGCTTAAAGAATGGCGCCGCGGCACCGTTGGAACACCGGATGGATGGACGTATCACGCCAAGGGTCTCTGGGTCACTCTACCACGCGAGGAACATCCCAGCCTTACCTTTGTCGGTAGCAGTAACTACACCAAGCGGAGCTACAGCCTCGATATCGAAGTGGGCGCACTGGTCGTGACAAATGACCAAGACTTGAAACAGAAGCTTGGTGACGAAACCGAATGGCTTCAGAAGGACTCCAAAGCAATCTCCAGGGAGGATTTGATGCGCACGGAGAGACGCGTTGGGTGGAATGTACGGCTCGCAATGTGGATTGTAGAGAAGGTAGGGGGGCTTTGTGATATTTACCATGTAATTGTGTATATACGGGCCTTTAGTCCCGGGATTTCTACCCGCTTGTACTTATAAGATACATTGATCACCTCACCATGCTGGCAATCACGCTACAATAAGAAGATTTTTAGATAAGCCTAGCTACCCTCCTACTAGTTCCAAGATCTGATGCCCGCCAACCATGATTCGTCAAACCACACCGAATATTTGAGTGAGACTGGCAGCAAGCCATTAAAGAAAAACTTTTGTGTGGACAATCACCCCAAACGAAGCGGAAACAACGAACAACAATACTGCAAGCAGGGAGCTAGGCTTAAAGGCCTTACCTTGTCTTTGTTCCTTATGTGACCAATATTCAAGCAATGGGGCTTCCTTTGATAATCGCACACCGAGTAGATGCTGTCTGTCTACATTCCGCTACTTCGTAACTAAGACTCGGGGTATTTCGAGGACCAATACAGTCCCACCATGTATCTAGCGCTTTAATCTCCTTGAGCAGCCATCTAAGGCTGATCCAACAACAATATCATTAGTCATGATGGCTCAATTCATACCTGAACCTTTCTCTACTCTTCTGTATCTACAGAAAATCGATGAAGATATGAACAATAACGCTAATTCCTTCATGAGAGCTATCTACGCTGCAAATCAAGTGATCAATTTGAGCTCCCAAGTAACATCTTCTCAGCTTCTGAGACGAGTCTCGGGTGTGCATGCGGTCCAGAAAGAGAGTATGCCTATATTTGATGATGAGACTTGTGAATAATGGCATGAAGATCATCACTTCGAGAGACTTGATACTGAGAGGAAGAATACCTGGGATACATAAAAGAGCACCCATCCTCTTAAAAAAGATATAGATCAGGTATCGGATAACAACATCACTTTTGGTCTAGCCATTGTATCAACCCTAGCGCATATGCAAAGAAAAACATCGATATATCGAAGAAAGAGATCCGAGACGCCGTATCATGACTGGGTAATTCCATTCAGTGTCGTATCGTGCATGCATGGCATTGCATCCGTCTAAGCTCGCCCAGGGACCTTGCCGCTATCAGCCGAGAACCGAGCTGGGCCAAGGCCCTGGCGCACCTCATCAAGCATGCGAATGCCAATAGCCTCATTACCGTTCTTGCCACGCTTGTTCTTAGCACCCTTACGCTTAGCCTGAGCACTAGTATTGTCATCCCAGTTAGAGAGGAAGTCGTCCATGACACTGTGGAAGTCGCTGCGCGAGAGTGCTGCGCCGTTCCCGTCGACAAGGCTGGGCGCCTGGGACGACGCGGTGGACATGCCTGTCATACCAGTAGCTCCAGTCATCCCGCTAACCATAGACATGCTGTCATCATATTCGTCCTCCTCGTCGAGAGAGTAGAGGGCCTCGACCTTTTCAAATCGGTCGTCCAAGAGGCGGTGGCCCTCGGTACGAGCCAACGCAGATGAGGTCATCGAGTAGGCGGACGGGTTCGTCAAGGCACCCTTGCGCTTCTTCCGACGAATCGGAGTACCTCCAGCTGTAAAGGCAGTAGATGCCGTAGTACGCTGCTCGGAGGGCGTAATTGTTGGTGCCGCGGGTGCGGCAGTTTTGCCGACCTTGGCGTCCTTCTTGAACCTGGCAAACTCCTGCATCCATCCTTGATCCTCTGGGTGCATATCTGGAGCGGGCACATCGGGCTCGGGCATTTCATCAGGCTCGAGATCGGGGGCAGGGCCTTTCTCTGATGCCGCCTCCTCGGTGTGTCGCAGGGCGTCAGTGCTGTCTGTCTGGACTGGTGCCTTCTCAGTAGCGTCCGACTCCCATCCTTCGTCATAGTCGTCTTGGTCAAACATGGTATCCTCCCAATCACCCTGTTCCATCTCCTCTCCTCCCTTTGTCAACTCGCCAAAAATGTCATCGTCATCATCCACATATTCCTCATCCTCCAGAGCCTCGAGGGTCTCTCGTAGTCGGGGATCCATATCTGGCTGGAAACCAGCAATCGCATCGGGGACGTTCTGTTGGTCTTGGTACGTCTTCTTCCGGATATATGACGTTGCAGTTGAGCGCATGTCGCCATATTCCGACCCGTAGGCACTTTGCGACTCATCGAGGGAGACCTGGCGCAGCGCATCCTCCAACTTCATGCCCTTCGCCTTGGCCTTGCCTTTTTCAGCCTTGGCCTCCACGAAGTATGAGTCTCCCGTGCCAGCGCCAAGGTCACGCAAATGCTGCATGTAGTCATACCGCGAGTCATCGTAGTAGATGCCATAGTTCGCGGCCTCGCCCTCGTTGCGGCGAATTGCCTCATCGTTGAATTCAGACTTGAGATCGAGGAGATTTCGAGAGGGCTTCTGCGAGGTCGTTGATGCAGCAGAGGAAGCAGGAGCAGGAGCAGGAGCAGGACCGCGAACTTGGTGCAGGATTCTGTCCTCCGCTTCGGGGTTGTGGATCAACGGGTCATGTTGGGAACGGTGGAAGAGCTGGAAGGTGCTCGCGTTCTTCTTATCGCTATGGAGGTGTCAGTTATAACAATAGCATACGATCATACATGACAAAGACTTACATCCACTGGCGGGGCGGCATTGTGGCGTATGATGCTGGTCGAAAGAGTCGCGCTCAAAAAAAGCGAAAAAAGTGGGATAGATAGCGTCACGTGGGGGCTTATCGATGCCTGAGCCCCTCGGGTCCTCAGTGGCGGCCTGAAAGAACAGCAGATTCTGGTGAAATATGGAGTGTGAAACTATTCGTTAGTAAACGATACGCCTACAGTCCACAAAACTGTGAAATTAAAATCACACATGCGAGGCCAAAACTGAAATCTTGAGATTTTCCCCCTCCAACCTCCGCTGAGTCAGCGTTATCTTATCCGTCTGAATAATCCAAAAGAATTCCCTTTTTCAGGCGGGGTTAAGGATCTCTTCCCTACCAACATTAAGACACTACAGCAGCACCAGCACAGTCGTCATTATGGTGTTGGCCAAATCCAAGAACTCCGTGGGGCTGGGCAACAGCCTCATGAACGACCGCTTCGGCAAGGGCAAAGCCTCAAGCCAGAAGAAGGCGTCGCACAATGCCATTGCGCGCAAGAATATGATGGGTGAAACCTACATCACCAACGAAGCTCAGGAGGCGTCCTGGGTGAAGATGCGTTCCATTACCGAGCAGGCCGCACTCGATGAGTTCCTCACCACTGCTGAGCTGGCAGGAACCGACTTTACCGCCGAAAAAATCAACAACGTTAAGATCATCCATTCCGACCAGAAGAACCCGTACCTCCTGTCTTCGACCGAGGAGTACTCGGCAGTTAAGAAACATCAGAAGAACAAGGATCGGCTGACGGTGCCACGACGCCCTAAATGGGACTCGACGACGACGCCGCAACAGCTGGAGGCTATGGAGCGTGCGAGCCTATTGGATTGGCGGCGAACACTGGCGGATCTGCAGGAGAACCACGATCTGTTGATGACTCCATTCGAGCGCAACCTGGAGGTCTGGCGCCAGCTGTGGCGTGTTATTGAACGATCCGATCTCGTGGTGCAGATTGTCGACGCCCGTAACCCGCTCCAGTTCCGCTCCGAGGATCTGGAGAAGTACGTGAAGGAGATTGATCCGCGCAAGAAGAATCTGCTGCTGGTCAACAAGGCCGACATGTTGACTCTCAAGCAGCGAGAGGCCTGGGCGGACTATTTTGAGAAGAACAATATCAACTTCCGTTTCTTCTCGGCCCATCTGGCCAAGGAGAAGATTGAGGCTGAAATGCTCAAGGAGTCCCAGCCGGAGGATGATTTGGCTGAGTCTACTAAAAAGATGAACGTGCACGATGATGAGGAGAATGAGTCGTCTAGCGAGGAAGAGGAGAAGCAGGATGTCATTGCCAAGTCCGTCGATCCCGATCAATCGCTTGGCCCGCATATTCTCGACGTGGATGAGCTGGAAGAACTCTTCCTGGCCAACTCTCCAGAGACACTCCCACAGAGCGGGGACTCCGAGGCTCATTCCAAGCCGAAAACGACTATCGGTCTGGTCGGTTACCCCAATGTGGGTAAGTCCAGTACCATTAACGCTCTCCTCGGAGCCAAGAAGGTGTCTGTGTCTGCCACTCCTGGTAAGACCAAACACTTCCAGACGCTGTACCTCTCCCCGGAGATCATGCTTTGCGATTGTCCCGGTCTGGTCTTCCCCAACTTCGCCACCACCAAGGCCGAGCTGGTCGTGAATGGTGTGCTGCCCATCGACCAGCAGCGTGAGTTCACCGGTCCTTCCGCCCTGGTCGCGAAGCGTATCCCCAAGCATTTCCTCGAGAACGTATACGGTGTGAAGATCCGCATCCGTCCTCTAGAGGAGGGCGGCACTGGTATTCCCACTGCCAGCGAGGTCCTGCGTGCCTATGCGCGCGCCCGCGGTTTCTCGACCCAGGGACTGGGCCAGCCTGATGAGTCCCGCGCTGCCCGATACCTTCTCAAGGACTACGTGAACGGCAAGCTTCTCTTCTGTCACCCACCCCCGGTGCCCGAGAGCGAAGAGCCTATCGACCCCCACGCGTTCAACCAGGAGCTCTACGATGTCGCCCATCTTCCCGCTAGGCGTCAGGCCGTGCTCGCAAAGACCATTGTGGATTTGGACGCCAACGCTGACGCCGACGCCGACGCCGAGCCTGAAATTACTCCGTTTGTCTCCAAGGACAGCGGCGAGCAACCAGGCATGCGTTCTCGCAACCTCGACAGCGGTTTCTTTGGCACTGCCACCGGCCCCTCCGCCGGTCGTCTCAGCATGCCCTTCAATCACAAGTACACCGACCAGGGCCAGCAGATGCGCCAGAACCTTACTGGCCGCAAGGAGCGGATGATGATTGCCCTGGAGCGCGGTGTCGATGTCTCCGAGGTGCGGGGCGCCGGCTCCAAGAAGCATTTCAAGGGCAACAAGCGTCGGGCGAAGGCCGTGCGCAACAATGGTGAAGAGGTCGAGGACTTCTACTAAAAGTTTTCCTGTTTTTTTTTGGTTGTTTTTTTTTTGTTGTTTTTTTACCTCGGCCGATGCGTCGAGATGGATGTTTCATGCCTCGGATTGATTCCCTTTGAGATGTTTTCCTATGTAATCCATGTTTTTACTCTTGTCGATATGTACCAGGCACTGCTTTGGATATCGGGGGCTGGGCTGGAGGTGATACGGAATGTGCATGCCATGGTGGGTTGAGTATCTTCGATAGACATTTGCAGGCGTTTAGGGAGTGTTTTGCATAAGCTATAAGTTGCATCCCACTTATACCACGTTCCACCGCTTCATCCCAACAGACACGCAAGTATGGTATTCCGCATAATGTGGGTAATTTTCATTCTGTTCCCGCATCCAGCAGTGACACTATACACTCGGTAGTTATTATTCTTTCTCTTTCTACAGGTGGCTCTTCGCCTTGAACCCAGACGCAATCAGCAGACGATCCGACTCCTGCTGCTGCCACTTCAGCTTCGCAACCACAGCCTCCTTGCGGGAATTGTTCTCTCTCCGGCCCAGCTGCTGCAGGTGAACCTCATCCGGGCCGTCAGCAATACGCAGCGTGCGGATACCAGCCCACATGTATGCAAGCGGGGTATCCTGGCAGACACCGGCGGCACCATAGGCCTGGACTGCGCGATCGATGATCGCCAGCGCAGTCTGGGGCACGAGCACCTTCGCCTGAGCGATCTCCTTCAGGGCAGACTTGGCATCGCCCTGATCAATCTTAATGGCGGCGTTCAGCACAATGAGACGCGCGGCATCGACCTCAATGCGTGACTTGGCAATCCACTCGAGGATGACACCGTGCGCGGACAGCGGCTTGCCGAAGGTCTGCTTGCGCTCATCGTTGACGCGAGCGATCATCCACTCGAGAGCTCTCTCGGCGGCGCCGATCGTGCGCATCGCGTGGTGGATGCGGCCGGGGCCCAGACGGCCCTGAATGATCTCGAAACCGCGGCCCTCGCCGAGGACCATGTTGGCTACGGGCACGCGCACATCCTTGAAGGTGATGTGGCCATGGCCGTGGGGGGCGTCATCGTAACCGTAGACCTGCAGCATGCGGTGAACGGTTATGCCGGGGGCGTCGGCGGGCACCAGAACGACGGACTGCTGGCGGTAGGTATCGCGGTTGTTGGGGTCCGACTTGCCCATCACCAAGTAGATCTTGCAGCGGGGGTCGCCGGCACCGGAGGACCACCATTTCTGGGAGGGGGCGGAGTTAGGAATGAAAGTGGAGGAAGTGTAGATGGGACGAGATGTTCGGGGAAAGTAAGCTTACCGAGCCATTCAGGACGTATTCATTGCCCTCGCGGCGGATCTCCATCTCGATGTTGGTGGCATCACTGGACGCAATATCGGGCTCGGTCATCAGGAAGGCCGAGCGAATGTTGCCCTCCAGCAAGGGAGCCAGCCACTGCTGCTTCTGAGCGTCGTTACCATACTTGGCCAGCACCTCCATGTTGCCCGTATCGGGGGCAGCGTTATTCGTCGCCTGTCAAGAAATCACATTAGCCATCCCCACCTCATCTCCTTCGAGACGCGACGGAAACCTACTTCCGAAGCAACCTTGCTCTTGCCCAGCAACTCGGCCATCAGTCCGTACTCGACGTTGCTGTAGCCAGCCCCTTGGCTGAAGTGCTTCTTGGGCAGGAACATGTTCCACAGGCCGAGCTTCTTCGCCTTGGCCTTCAGCTCCTCCATGACGGCGGGGGTGGTCTGCCATCGCTTCTCGCCCTCGCCCAGCTGGGCGGAGAAGACGGCGTCGGCGGGGATGCAGTCTTTCTCGACGAACTCTTCGACCTAATTCCACCTCGCCATATTAGCCACGGCTTAGATCGCTGCAGGAGCGCGGGGCCGAGGGGCATACCAAGTCAAGGGCCTTCTTGGCCCGATCGCTGACGAAGGGCTGAGCGATCGGGGGGATGCGGGTGGAAGCAGACATGATGGGCAGGGATGGTGGGGGATGGGGGAGAGTGAAGGAGGGCAGCTGCGAAGCGGAATATAAGTCAGGCCATGGAGAAAATGCGGAGAAGCCTGGTGTGGAGAAGCCGAGCGTCTTGGATTGTGCCTCGGCCCAGCGCTTAAGCTTACTCGGCTCACGACTAACTGCGGAGTGTACGAGTGTACGTACGATGCCGCAGAGAAACTGGCGACCGAGAAGGGTCGCAATCATTTACCCCCAGGGCATTTGACAGCGCGGAGGATTAGTCCGTCTCTTGGGTTGTGTTGCGTTGGCCTCTCGAACTGTTGGGAAGGGCCCGCAACTCTGCCGGCTGGACGAGGCGTTGAGGCTGACAGCCTCGGCCAGATCCCCGATGGATGATACCACCCCTCTTACGAGTTCTACTGAGCAACCCTCGGTATCAACCATTCCAATTGCTCCTATCCGAGTCCCATTGTACTATTTTGAAGGACCAATTCCCCCCCCCCAAGAAGCCACCAGAGAGAGAAAAAAAGAGCCCCGAACCCCCCGGAAAACAGAACCAGTCACACACGAAAAGGAAAGACAAAGAAGGCATTGCGGGTCATCACAAAAGAAGAAAGAAGACAAGTGAAGGGAGCAGCGGGGTCCCAGGCAGAGCGTACTCAATCAGACCAATCGACAGTGATCAATCACTCCGTATATAGATGGACGCCCCGGCTCAGCAGAGCGGCCAGCGCCCACGGCCAGTAGTGAAGATGTCAAGATGTCAGGATGTCAAGATCCGAGGTGCGCTCGAGGGCCCGCCAGAGACACAACCTGCCCCAAGACGAAACGAAGGACAAAGAATAGGGCATCTCCTGGCGTTTATTCAGTCGCCTGGTTGTGCCCAGCAGAGGATGATTGCTCGTAGCTCTTCTTGCCGAGCTTTGCGAACAACGACTGAGGCTTGCCGGCACTGCAACACCCGAACCCATTAGCACTGATCTGGTCGCCGGTCGCAAAAGGGCAATAACACATACTTCTTAAACCGCTTGCCCTTGATGTCACTCAGCTTCTTTGTGCACGGGCTCATGATATCGTCCGACGGAGAGACGTAAGCAGTGGGTTGCCTGGTCGAGCTCGTTAGCGGGTGGCTCTCTCTTCCGCCTCGGTGTGCACACTTACTTCTCGCCGCTGTCCAGCTTCCCCTGCATCATCTGGCGGTGATGCTCCATCGATGAGAGATCCGCCTTCAGGTCCGACGGATCGCCCGAGGCGGCGTTGGCGAGGTGCGTGTTGGTCGGGCGGTCCGCGAGGGGCTGCACTTGTGTTGTGGATGCGTCCATTGTGAATGTGTGTGGGGTGGGGATGAGGAAACGGCACGACTGGTTTCTCGGGGTAAGTTCACGGTGCAGAGCAGGCAATGCAGAGGCAGAAGAAACAGCTCAGAAGAGGTCAGGTGTGGATCGGATAAGAGAAAAACGTGTTGTTGGTGCCGATGGGCGAAGAAAAATGCGGCTTGATTGTTGGCACGGCAACCCAGTCACGACGGATCTTGCACCGACCCGCAATAGGCCTGGATGACGCACGGGTTAGGCATTCCACGCAAGATTTCCTGTACGGGTTGAGTCAGGGCTTATTTATTTTGTCTTGGATGGTGTGGTGTATTCGGCCGAGCATGCGTGTATCTACAGTACACAGTACAGGTTTGAGGTACGCCGCAAAGCAGGCAGGAAGGAACAAAACAAACCCCGTGGGAATCATATCGTAGACCAGTCGTCCAAACGTACACTCGCCAGATCATGAAAGTACAATGCCCGGAACGCCATACAGTAGATCAGAAAAGAGACCGAAACAAGAAAAGGACGAAACGTGATGCAATGGGGTGCGATGACGGGATGGGACCCATTGGGAGCTGCCAATGCAGGTTGCTCTGCTGATCCCCAGTGCGAGCTGCCTTATGACGTTTGAGGCGGAAATTCAGGGGGAGTCGAGGCCGCCGGTGGAAGGATAGTGTCCGCCCTCTCACCATCCAGATCCAGATCCGGGAAATGCGCATGCAGCACCGGTGGCGTACTACGCGAGCGGAACTGGGGCGTCCCCAGCGTAGGCACCGACATCGAGTCTGGCGACGGGGGTGGCAGAGGCTTCTCCTCGTCCTCGGGTTCCCGTGACACATCGGATGTCGGCGTCGGCGGGATATACGCGACTGCCGGACTGTTGGGGCTACCTTGCGACGAGGAGCTATCTGACAGGTTTCGTCGATGGGCCGCGTTCTCGTGGTACGACGACGTCGGCCGCGTGGATACGGGGCTGGTTGAGGGAGATACGAAGGGAGGGGACGACGACCGGAGGCTGTAGGACCGCGCAACCATTCGCTGGACCCGGGGGAATTCCATGTAGTTACTGACAGATCCCCGTGAGAAAAGGACCACGGCCAAGCAGCAGAGAACCATGATGCTTTGGATCACGGTGACCCGTTTCTGGAAGACCATCTCGTCGGCGAGGACGCCGAGTTGTGCACTGAGAGAATGCACTTCCTGGTGGTACCGCATGCGCTGGTGCTCGAACTCGAAGGCGACCGATTTCCAGACGTGGTCGTACTGCTCGCGGAACTCTCTCAGTTCGTTGAGAACGGTGACGTTCAGGTTCTCGAGGAAGGTGGATGTCTTCGCGAGCTGGCGCTTCTCAACCTTGTTGAACGCATCACGTAGGATGCGAGACTGCTCTTCGATGTACAGCAGAGATAGTGTGGAGTTTGACTCCAGCATTTGTAACCGCTTATGGACGGATTTGAAGAAGGACTCTTGGGTGGTCGGGTTGGAAGAGGGGGGCTGGGTGGAGGTAGGTCGATTAGACTCCGGTGGAGGACTGTTCTGCTCTTCTTTGGCGTTGGCTATGGATTTTCCGGTGCTCTCAACCGTCGAATTCGGCTGAGAAGCGTCGGCGGCGACTGAAGCATCAGGCGTTGTTACTACAACTTTCGCCGAATTCCCTGGCTTTCGAGTATCCTCGGGAGCTTGAGGCGGGGCGGCGAATCCAGACTGGGTAGCAGGCACTCCATCACCTGTCGTGGCCGTAAGGTTGATGTTCGACGGTATCTTGGTAGCCATGGCAGTCTTGTCGGCAGCATTCCTAGCAGAAGGCCGTTCATGAATGCTGCAAGTGTTGAATGAATACAGCGCCCGTCCTAAAAGAAGCGATGGCCCTTCAGCGAGAGGGTTCGGACACACTCCATGAAGATGAACTTTATCCTCGCTCCTGATCACAGACTCCTGCGCTGGAGGTTCTATCGGCTGGGTTTCGGCTTTGCCAGGAACCTCAACGGTCTCGATAGTCTCGACAACCTCGGGCTCCGCACGGTTAACGCTCTCATCATGCTTGTACTCCTCCAGCATGGTAGTTCCGTGGACACGGATGAGACTAATGGGACAGTAGAACTCATGGCCATAATGTGTCAAGAACTCGATCCTCAGGTAGCGCGCCCAGATCAGCGAGTTCTCAACTGCAAAGGCTTGCACCTCGCGCGTGTTTCTAGCTTCAAAGACTCCCAGTTCCTTCCACTGGTCCGGCTTGGCGGGATAGCGATCAGAGACGCTCACGCGGAAAGTATGAAAAATCGAGCTAAAGAACTCGTAGTTGGCGAGGACGACCGTGTCGACGAGGATATCATCACACAGCTCCAGAATGAGGAACTTGTTCTGGGCGCGACACTCGTTCAACATGTAACTGTCCTTGTTCTCGAGGAGCACAGAGGACGAGCCTTTGCACTCGGGGTTCGTCTTGAGCACCGTCGCTGCGCAGTCAAATGATGCATAGTTGAACCGCTCTTTGCAGGTAGTCCCTGCATCCTTGCGCCGCGAAACATCAGGTTGTGGCACACTCTGCGGATGGACATCTCCACCGTGATTACCATCCGGCTGGCCGGCATACTGCGAAGGGATCGGTGTGCCCCAAGCTGCAGGGCTGGCCTCGGGCGTCTCAGCGCCGAACCCGCCGAATTCCAGTTCAATCTCTGTATCATCTCCGAGAGAGTCCAGCGCATTATGGATTCCTGGTTGCCGCCGGCCTTCCTTCCCAACTGCCGCAGCACGCCGGCTCCCTCCGACATTTTCGGCTGATTGTCCGACCTTGGCCAGGTTCTGCTTCTTCCAGTCCTCGAAGGATAGAAAGCTCGCACTGTCGAGCAACGAGTCTGCATCCGCTTCTTGATCCGTATCTTGCTCGGCAACTGCACCTGCAGTTCCTCCAGGCGCGGCAGTCGACGTTACTTTCGAGGAGCTATACCCAGCCGCATCACTCGGTTGCGTGCGGTGTGGTTGTCGTTCCGGGCCACGCCTCCAGCGAGTTTCCACGCATATCGGATACTGGAACAGCTCTGCCTCCATCTCCCGCATACTCTGAGCCGGGGGCGTCATCTCCGATATGGTCGCCCGGTCCGCAAACTGTGTAGAATTTTGACCAACTCCATTCCCAACTACAGGTCCAGAGAGCGCAATGGTCACCAAGACATACTGTACCCAGGTAAACCATGACCAACCGGCAGGCACCATCCTGTCACTTCGAGGGCGACAAGCGGTCACCTTGCCACGGGTCTTGCAATGAGTCCGGGCTTCCCAGCCACCGGTGAGGCCTGCGCCAACAGCGATAAGAAAGCACAGCCTTGGAGACAGTGTCTATCAATCCTTTCGCTCCAAATATCCCGTTCTCTTTATGATATGCGCATCGTCATTGAGAAACAGAGGGAGCAATCACGAGCTCACCCGATCGTTATCGCGTCGTCACAAAAGTCCAAACTGGAGGGATTGGGGAGCCGGGTCAAGTGGGACAGCAGTGGATACGGTCTTGCGATATCGGTTCCAGCGATATTGGGGCACTGGAGAGAATGGTGGCGCGTTTGTGCGGGCTCGAAGACTCAAGAAACAAGCGAAATGGCCGAGCTCTCGCGGTGGGGAGTGGACCAGTGGCATCTCAACCGTTTGACAGCTGGGGTCACCGCCCTCTTCACCGCCGCTTGGGCCTGGGGAACTTGCGCCTTTCTGCTTGTTCTATGGAGTACGCTGTTGGAAATCAAGAGAACATTCGGGGTATATGACTGATGGCTTGTTTCGTTCACGTTGATGCTATTGTCATTGCTTGATTATGGCAGCTTTTCATACTTCATGATTGCAAGGAAAAAGCTTCCGGACTGCATGAAGGCTCATGGTACTCCGAGAATCCCGACAGTGCCCGCAGCATAATGCCCACCGCTCATTCGAGATCCACTCTGCCCGTGCGTGCCCGCTACAGTCCCGCCTATGCGTCGGGACCGTTAAGCGCTGCGGACGTTACAGTGAGACAAATAATACATTAGAAATTAAGCAAATTCAGGGACTACGGTGATAGGATAGCAGATTTCTTTCTTCACGGATAGTTCAATTTCCTTTTGACTGTCCCACAAGCTAGTTACAGTACACATAATCAGGGTTCAGTACACTTGTCAAAAGAGGGAAACACGCGGCTGCGTGTTCAGGTCCACACTCCACCGCATCGCAGATTGCCATCCGATGCCAACCCCACACATCCACATGCTTTTAGCTCCCCGAGTCGTTTTCAGTCCATATGCAAACGTGTTAAAAAAAGAGCGATGATAAAGGGGTAAGAACAGAGAAGAGAAAAAGAAAAACACCTCCCCCAGAACGATTCCCCTCCGCCTTCTAGTCTTTTTGGTGCTCGATGCTTGTCGCCGGTGCTCTGCTGCCCACAGCCCCATATAGTACAAAGTGGAAGAAGTGAAGAAGAAGCGAAAAGAAGGGCTGCGGGCAGGCAAGTGACACGGCCCATTGAGAGGCGTTGTCAATGTTGAGAGCGGGCGACTAGGCACCAGCAAACATTCCAAACCGAAAACAAGAAAGACAAAGGACATGAGAAAGACGAATAAACAGGATTAGTTTATCGTTGGTAATTTTTTCAACTTTTTTCCCAACTCAATTTCGAATAGCGCAAAAGGACGTCGCAACGACTGCGAGGAAGAAAAACACCGCGGGGGTGTGTGAATGGAGTCGGAATGGTTCAAGGCAATGGTAGATAGTGGTGCTGGTGCTACAGGTGAAGGTCGTGCCATCCGCCCACGAGATCAAGGTCTTCGTCGACGCTTCCGTCATAAGGCGAAAACTTCATGGGCGAATGCTTGGGAAGTTCCACGCCCTCGCGGCGCCAGTCCCTCTCGAGGAACAACCGGCGCCGGCGCTCAGACTGAGGCGACTCACGCTTAGTCCGGGATCCACGATCAAATCCGGAAGACCCGAGGCCCCAATCACGGCGCGAGTTGTTGACGACTCTCAGGGGACCAAAGAGCTCACGGGTCTTATAGTTGCGGCGCTTGTCGCCCAGTTCGGCCCATTTGTCGACGTTGGAGGGTCTCTTGGGTGGCGATGACGGCTGGTGGAAGGGGCGAGGCGTGCTGCTTGAAGTTCCAGGGTCGCTGTCGAGATCCAGGGACTTGGCACGGATGGCACGGGGTGCGGTCGGCTGAGCATCCAGGGTAGGAGTTTCATCGATAGGGGTAGCGGAGTCCGGCTCGCGCAATCCCGCCAGAGAATCCGGCAGGCGGGTATCCTGGCTTTCCATGCTCCAGCTACGAGAGTTCTGCTCACGGCGCAGCTGAAGCGCGGATTCTTCATTCTCCGATTCCTCCTCGTCCCAAAGATCACTCCAGCTCTTGGAAATCTGATCATTCGCATGCTTGCCAAACACCATCGAGAGCGATGGCAGGGGTTTGATAGCATGGCTGGGAAGGGATCCGGTAATGGGGACTGGATCGGATCGAGGGAGGAAGGGAGATTCGCGCTTTCCACCAAGGTGATGCGAGCGGAAGGACTCGCCCATGGCGGAATCCAGGACCGAGGCCATCGATGGGGTGTCTGGGTGAACAGAGAACCACGACGTACCAGCCACCTCCGAAGGAGGGAACAGGTCTTCGGTATAGCTCTCGTTGTCCGGGATAACAGACAGCTGGCGGATGGCCTGAGGTGGGCTGGACTGCAAAGCCTTGGCCCAAGGGAACGAATCGCCTTGGTTGACGTGTGGGCTCTGGATGGAGGGCGTGCGGAGGGGCTCGCGGTTGGCACTGGCAGCAACCACCTCACGGTCCTCGGTACAGAACTCATCCAGAGACTCGTCATCAGTGGTGAAGGAAACCGCACGCATAATGGACTGGCGGACCTCGGCCAAAGAACGCTTGGTCGGGTCAATGGCAAGGGCATGAGTCAGGATCTCAAAAGTGTCCTGAGACATATTGGGGAAGATGTCAAATAGTGACTGGCGGTCACGCACGTAGTCCGCAAAAAGAACGTCGGACTCGGTAGGTGTCACAAAGGGGTTGCGAGCAAACAGAATGTTCAACAGACAGATACCCACAGACCAAATGTCTGCCTGAGCGGGTGAGTAGCCTGTGGCAGTCGGTTCGTACTGCTCCGGGGCCATGTAGCGATCGCTGCCAACGCAGGCCTCGTAGCACCGAGACTCTCGGGTAGCAAGACCAAAATCACCAAGCTTCATGTCGCCATGACAAGTCAAGAAGATGTTCTCAGGCTTGATGTCACGATGATAGATGCCATTGGCATGCATGTATTCGACAGCATGGATCAGCTGGAGCATGAAATCCCGCACATGCTCGGTCTCCAATGGACCGCGGTTCAAACGAATGGCCTCATATAGATCACCATTGGCACAATATTCCAAGACGAGGTAGGTGTGGTGCTCGGTCTCGAAATTGTGTATCAAATTGACCAAATTGGCGTGAAAACCGAACTGCTTGTGGCACTCCAATTCCTCAAACCGGTCATCAACAGCGAGTGGGGCAGGCAAGTCGGTGGACGCCGTCTTGGTCAGGCACTTGATGGCAACTTCCTGGCCGGTCGTGGTGTCCATTGCGAGAAAGACCATTCCGAACGAACCGTGATTGAGCGGGGCCACAGTACGGAATCGACCATCCAGAAGGCGGCCCTTGACGAAGTTATCCTTGAGGCACTCCATGGAGGTGAATGTGGACATGTTGATGAGTTGAGGTGCCGGTCCCGGGAGATAAGAGCGGGGAACGGAAAAGGTGGAATGGTGATGCAAAGAAATGCAACGAGGAAGAGGAGAATGAGGGAGGTAAGAGGTCGAACAATGAAGCCAGGGAACAATCTATGGACCGCTTCAGAACACTTTGCACGCGAAAAGACGTGTCAACACAGCAACCAGGCTAATGAGGGGGGTGGTGATTAATAGTCAAGAAAAGAAGAAATTAGGCCTGTAATCCCAACGACAAGGGACCACCGAAGCGGAGTGGTAGGGAATCAGATAGGAGTTTGGCGATGTTCCCGGTCAGCTCCAGGTGTCATAAAAATATATCGGCAGAAGAACAAAGTTGATAGACAAGGAAAAGAGATGAGAGGCGCGGGCGCAAGAGGGCGCGGCTGAATGGCACCCAAAGAATGGGGTGTATGGACGCTTAGGAAAATGTGTAAAGACCGTTATGTGCTCATTTGTATGTCGTTTTTGTTTCGGTTGTGAAAGAGGCGTGCAGCCTGGGGAAGAACAAGAGAAGAAAGCTAGGTCGAAGGAATGGACCAAGTGGTTGAGAGTCGGCCTGATGAAGGGCGAACGGGAGGAATCGACGAGAGAGTTGCGCTGCGTGAGATCGTAACAAGGATGTTGAAAAGTATAGCAAAGAAGAAGAAAAAAAAGAGCCAGTGAACACCGGGTTCAAGGACGAGATCGGTCGTGACTCGGAATGGAAATGTCGAGATTATTGAGTCATGGACAAACCGATTGGTAGACGAGCAAGGCCAAATGGGATTCAGGATCAAGCAGGGGAACCACTTGATTCTCAAGTCGAAGGGAGTTATATGGGGATCCTGGAGGAGCACCTTCCAAATCCAGGGGTCGGACAAGGCGGAGTACTCAAAGCCAGGTTCCCGCAGTAGCGGTAACTCTCCAGGTCGCTCAGCTAACAATGCACGCAGGCACGTATGGGACGATTCACGAGAGAAGGGAGATGTCTTCGTGAAGGGTTGGCGGGACGAAGACAACAAACGTGGGATCCAAGTAGCGAGATGTAGTCACGGGTGGATCCGATATGACCACTTGGAAGTATGAGTCAATGGAGACTCGGTGGGCTCTCCGACAGAGGGAAGACAAACGGAGAGAACCGGATCGAACGGAGGTCGGCGGGGATGGAGCGGGGAGAAGCACTCTCGATGGTAAATGGTCCGCAGCGATGCGTTGCAGTGATGCTCGCTATGGGGAAGAGTGCCGCCGTTCCGGGGAGAGAGAAGGAAGGTAGCGGGAGGATGAGGAAACGAGATGAGAGTAGTCGGCGACGGAAGAGTGATGGGAGGTGACGAAGAAGTGAAGGAGGGAGGAGGGAAGTGCGAAGGGGAGGAACGAAGGGAAAGATGTGGGACAGGGAAGGAGAGCAAGGAAGCGAGATGATCAGGAGAGGAGACGTTGAGATAGATGGCAGAACGGGGGGGGGGAGTCACTCGGCATGGACAAAGGCGAAGGAGCCACCGCAGTCACGGGTGGGGAGGGCCAGCCTGGGGTGACCGTACCAGTACTCGTCATGAACGGGTCTTCCTCGTGGACGATCTGCACCTGCGCCCAAAGCCGAGGACCGTGGCCTGGCAGCCTGGCACAGAGGCAGCAGAACGGAAACGGTGTCCCCCAGACCCGTCACGTACAGACCCGGTAAGTTTCATAGATTACCCATACACGCCACGCAATCCGAGGCAGCCATGTTCCCCCCCCTACGCTGCTCTTTCGACTGGCCTCATGAACCTTCCCAGACATTCCATGACCCTGGACGGCGTCACCGTCGAGACCCTGGGGGCCAGTCCACCAATCCCCACCAAGACTGCCAATACGGAGAATTCATCAGTACCTCGTCCATTGTCTTGTTTCATTATTATGATCAGTGACCCGCATACAGAACCATTGGAATCATTCCATAGTCTGAAGTTCAGGCGTCGTCAACCACCAACTCCCAATTGATCTACATGCAGAGACCCATCGCAGACGCTTCTGTGTTGACCCCCCCCTCCCGACCCCAAAGACCCAAACTCTCCTTAGGGGGTCGCAGGTGGACTGGGACCTGCAGTACTGGAGAGTTCCGAGTACCCAGGAGACCCGACCGGACTAGACCAAACAAGAACCCAGTCAGAAGGGAGCAGCTGCGCAGCAGGGGCAGCCGACCCACGACCAGCAGCGAGTCACGGCCGAGGGCGGATCAAGGTGGCGCCCTAAACCTAACCCGGCGGATTGCGCATCGGATCCTGGGGCAACCCCCAATCAGGCTGCGCAGCTTGGGCACTATTTCCAGCGTGCATGACGCCATGGTCGGTGGATGGCGTGATATCTCCTCATTGGCCCTTTTCCGGGTCGGGGGGCCACTCCTACTGCAGGCCCCGGAGTTTCTTTGCCTGCGACTTTTTATGGTTTATGGTTTATGCTTTGGGGTTACTGCTGGCCGCAGGTACCTTCTGCTGATGTACCGATAGCATCCTATGCAGCCTGCGGAAGCTTGTACCAGGACACTAGGTACTTGCAGCATGTACCCGCCGCCCTGCAGCCACTAGGGGGAGCCCATCGTGCAGAATTGCGGCCCCAGTCAGATCCCATCCTGGACTAGTTCCCCCATGTTACGTGCGGGCTGGTCTGGGTGTAGTGCATAGCACTGCACCCAACACCCGAGATAGCATCAGTTGCCAATCTTAGCACGACACCCCGGACCCTACGATACATATCGTACATGGTTTATCCAATATATTCAATATACTCACTAGAGCGACACGCCTAGCCTATCCTCCACAGACCAAATCCCCCCTGGTTACGCCATCACCAACAATCCGGGCCATTCTTTGGCGCGCGGGATGGTGAGACAGCAATCGTCGCACCCAGTAGCACTTGGCGGGGGTTGACTGAAATGGGCATAGCGATCGGTCTATCAGGGGGAAAGGCAATTACTATCGTCAATGATGATCCGATCCAATGGAGCAGCACCACACCTCCCTTCCCCGCCCAGCGAACCACGTCCTGGCAAGAGGAAAGAAGGGTGTGGAGCATGCTCGCAACTGTCATCTGCAGTCGCAGCAGCCCTCCCAACCTCCCCCGTGTCCCTTCGCCTGCTCTCGCGTCGTAGATGTCTCGCCCCTGGCGGACGAATGTTAGACACCCACGCAGCATGGGTGTCCGTCCCGAATCCAGCGGTGAAGGGCTTGCACATACACAAGCGCCGTTCTGGACGGGCCAGGGCTGACCGCCTCCTGCGAGGTGTGCTGCAAGGTTTGTCCTTGCATAAGCCGAGCCGATGGAGGTCTCGCAGTATTAACCTGAGTGGCAGGATGGGCATTGCGAATGACGTGGAAGTAGGAAGTTGGTGTGGGAGCGGCGCCACGCCCATCACGCGACGAGCTTCCTGGATTTACGTGCGCACCAGCGACTCAACTATAGACTATAGAATATAGACTACTCCGTATACGACCATGCTTTCGGCGAGTCAAATACCTGACTCCAACTCCCGACTCGGAAGACCGTACAGTAGTTTCGTTCTCGCCATGCGATGCCATTCGCACGGTCGAGATGATCGCTCATTTAGCCCGCCCATCCCCTACGCAACCCCCTCACCCACCTCGATATCTACAGTCTCTGTTTCCGTGCATTATGACGGCAGATCCTCCGTAGATTGCAGTGTGATATGGCGACTCGTGCCGGGCGCGGCGCAGCTTCTGAATGCGAAACACTACCCGCCCGCGACCGGAAATGGTCTCATGCGATCCTGCTGCGATGGCGTATCAGTGTATCAGTACTCCGTAGTGATGCTTCCATTCTACTTTGACTTCCAATGGTAGATAGGTCGATAGCCTATGGCGTCGCAGACGCCACGCCTCCGCTCCCCGATGATGATCATGACGATCGAGGTGCGATATGCAACGTGTCCCTCGACCCTATTCATCGCCTTTTGGACCCGACGTTCCCGGTAGATTGGGAACATCGGGCGGCATACGGCGGCATACGGAACTGGGGAGATTAGGAGAGGTTGCGAGATGGTGGATGGTGGATAGCGGATAGCGGATGGTGGATGGTGGATGCTGATATGGAGAGCCTGTTGGCATTCGATCGCCCTGATACCGGGGGACCCGTCCGATACTGAGCGCTTTCTTATCGGGCATTCCAGAGGCTATCCTGCCTCGCCGGAGGTACCTTCTATCGTGACAGGCGGTATCTCTACGGAGGAGGTACCTCTCCATCACCCCGTGGGTTTGACTACTCCCATTCCCAGCGCAGGAATTCTCGTGATAAGCCACGGGTGATCTCGTAGGGCCCGAGATCGGCACGCGATAACGAGGTCCTGTCACTCGTGAAGCGGAACCATCAAACTCTCAAGTCGTGTTTAACCGTGGACGAGTGGTTATCACCCAATTTTCAGGCCTATCGGCTACCCCGCACGATCGACGTACCAGAGTTGATGTCCAGCTGGAGTCGCAGTTCTGTGGTTCTCTGCAAAAGAAGAGGGCAGGGCGAAGACGGTCGGAATGTGCCAGAGCCATGGGTGGCCGCCGATAAAGGAAGTCTGTTGTGACCCCCCCGTTTGGTGCACATCCAATGCGAATAGCCTAAGCCCCCCGAAGCCTATGACCAATGCATACAGGACTCCCTCTGTACGGAGACACGCGGGACTACAGTGGATTAGATTAGCTAGTCTCTTTGTTTGATAAGATGTGGGAGAACCATCACTATCTGCCGGAGGTATGAGATCATCAGCTTATCTGGGCCCACTCCTACAGAGTAAGATGACGGCCGTGCTATCCAGGGTCCTTTTCTCCCAACCGCTCGAGCCAAGCTAGTTCCCTTCCTCTAGTGGATGTGTCAGAACCGTCACTTCCATTTTAGGGTTTCGTGTTTTGGGGTTGTCGAAGGAGACGAGGAAATGCATCTCCGCTCGCGTTCCCTCCCCAGCCATGATCATAACGGGGGTCTGACACGGGGCCCGCGTTCCCCGGATTTTGGTCCGACCGGTCCAACACGCCCGAACCACCATAATAACAATGCACTGCAATCATGAAGGTAGAATTGGCTTTCTGGCTCGCCCGCCTGTTGGCTTTTCTTTGCTTTTCCCTTTTTCCCGGCTGTCCCGCGACCCCATTGGCCGGTGGTCCCCCAATGGCCATCGTCCACGGGAGCCATGACCTCCCCCCTCGCCTTTCTCCCGGGCCAGCGTGGTGCTATCTGTACGATTTCTTCTCACCACAGCTCAGGGCTGAAGGCTGAAATCCTTCTGACCCTTTTTGGGGGCGCTGCCAAGGTCTGGCGCCGCGTGCCCGGCCCTGGGTTTCGATGGTCTTCGGGCCATCTACTGTATAGATCGGCAGATACACAGGATAGGAATGTTCCGGCAGATGGCGGAGGGAACGGGCTGGGCACATCAGCGGGTCATCGGTGCGAGGTGTCCAGAACCAGAACCTGGCTGGGAATATGTGCTGCGAATCGGGGTGCGATGGGACGCAGCACGCAGCACGCAGCACGCAGCACGCCGGATACGTCTAGGGGGACCTGCACAGTGTGTACAGGCTGGATGTACTCCGTACTGTAGGACGCGGTATGCCATGAGCCCAGCCTCCTGTAGGTGGATTTTGTTCCGTGTGCGTCGTCCGCCCTGCAGGCAATCGAAGGGAGATCGTTGCCTCAGGTGGCGGTCCTAGACTGGGTCATCTTAGCGTTCCAGTGCGTTCATGCATGGCTAGCTTCCTCGTTAGTTGCCGGTTGTTTACTTTATTGTTTTACTCTCGATATGCTCGACTAGGCTCGATCCGACCTCTCAGCGGCAGTATACGATGTTCGCCCCATCATATAAATCCAGTCCCTCTCTATGAGATACATTGGGACTACCACCGTCTAGGTAACGACATCACGGACACTGTCTCCCTCCCACCACCTCCCATCTCCATCTCCACAGCCCCCGCCTCGCCAGCTGCTGCTCCCGGGCGCCATCGCGATCATGACCTCAGCCCGGCTCCAAAATCCGGATCTGACGCGGTCGAGTTCGATGCGTCGGATGCGCAGGAGCATGCCGCGGTGGATGTGGCTGCAGACGCCCCCAACTCCGCAGACCTGACAGACAGTTGATAGGTCATGGCGGGCATGAAAGGAAGAAGCGCAGGCTCGGTGGTCTCGGGCGATGGATATTAAGGCTTGACCTCCGGTACTCTTCATTGCGGTCCTCGATACGGGACTGCCGCCACAAAGATGCCGTGCGGTCTGTCTCCTGGGCGTATAGTGCAGCCGAATATAGACCAGGCCGGCCAAGCCCGCTGACTGGGACAAAAGAAGTACATGTAGCCCCATAGCCGCGCTGGTTGTTTCCCCATACAGCACACGCCGACGACAACCGGCACGCAATCCAATTTCTTCATTGGAAGGGTATGACGAAAATAGAAGTTCTCCTCACGTACGTCAAGTCGGCGCTTAACAAGCGAACAAGCTCCGGGAGTTCGCCACGCCACAGAATCACAGTCGCACACCAAACCCCTCCCACGAGACGGCCGTCAGACAGGTCGAGCCTGCAACGGTTGCCAAGTCAACACAGACCGTTGGCATGACCCCTCACCCGTGCGAGGGATCCCCCGTACATACTGTATGTAGTATGTGGTACATCGCGTGTAACCATGGGCGCGGCAAGTCTCCCACCCGAACAATCCCTCAACCTCAAACCCGGACACGGTGATGGTGATGGTGATGGTCTATCGTACACATCACCTAGACACCCCCCGCGGCGTGTGGGACCTTCCGAAACACCTTCTAGCCTCTGCCGGGGCGACCGCGGAATTCGCCACTGGGCAGTGGCATACCGACCACATTCGACATTCCACCCTGCCCCATCAACGTCATTCTGTGCCTGTAATCCAGGACCCCGATCCGCCATTGAATGGAGTCGGTACTGTACTGCCTACCCAGAACGGATGGTCTGTTTCAATTCCGTGGATCACCATGACCGTCGTGGATCTTATGTGGACGATGTTGAGTCTGTGAGAGGAGCCGCCGAGGACACGGGTGGGGTCGCTCGGAGAGCTCTGGACTGCTTCTATTTACGGTTTTCTTGCCGATCGGCCACTGGCGCCGGTATTGGTCCAGACTCGGTGATCGGAGCTACGCTGAGCAGTTTTTGCTCTCGCGATGGGTCGGGACACCGTGTGAATGGCGCAATGTGATGTCGTGATGTGGGGGGGGGTTGTTGGTGTGGTTGGCAATCGGCCGCCGGACGGCCAATTGATCGGAGTCGAGGAGGTGCCGGGGACCTCCGTCGATGAACAAAGTGGGATCGAATGAGACGTGATTGACGACCCGTAGCGGGTTGACGTATGAATTTGGGCGTGTTCGTCAATTGGAGATTGGAGATTGGAGATTAGTCCGGCCCCGAGCCGAGAGACCGGGTCCAAGACAATCTGGCCGCTGCCTACTAGAAGTTATTTCATTGTCGAGCCGAGGGCAATAGGATGAGCATCACCTGCTGACTGAATATTGCTGGCAGTAGGGTTGTCTAAGTAGCTTTCTACCTAGTGCCGTGTAGATGGTGGTGTTGTCCGGGCTTGGATCGTTGTATAAGATAGATACAGTTATATACATCCGTTCATCATCCATAATGCCCAGGAGAAAGCGGATTGCATGGGGCAATTTAAATCTTCCAACCAGATCAATCCTAACACCTGCCCAGGTGGAAGGAAAGCGCTCGCAATTCATTCACTGGGGGTGTGAAACGAAAATCGATCTCGTCTGCGATTCGGACTGGGGACGGAGAAGGTATCTGTCTTTGGCCGTTCCGCTGCGTGGTTAGTTGCTGGGTATTTCCGAGACGGTCGAGACGAACGAGATCCTATTGATCAAAAATAATGATAGAACTCGCATTCTTCTAAGGTATATATATCATTGGCTATTGACGTAAAATGAACCATGAACATAAAACAGGTACATGGGCAAAAAAAAACAAAGGGTATTGCAGAAAAGCAACGAGAGAGCACCCACTCTGCAGAAGCTCAAGATGGGACTGCCAGATACGCAACACGCCCTATGCGACTGCGATGAACTACAGATAGCAGATCGCACCAGAAGGAAACAAAAGCACTCAAGAGACTTTGACATGTCAGCGTTCAAGTGTTCAGAGAGCCCACTCATCTGTCGTCTCCGAGGCGGCGATGAATGGCTTATCAATTTGCTTGATGGCATGGTCGCCGCATAGGATACTAGAGAGAAGTTAGCATTGAGGGAGAGGCTGGCGTTCGAAAATGCACATACCAAGCTTCCGCAACCAACCCATCCAATTCCTTGACAATCTCTTCCCTCCGTGCGGAAGAGAGATCCCCGCTGCTCATCTGGCTTTGCAAATCCCGAATGTACTTCTTCTTGCCGCCGGCGCCGTCCAGAACCTCCTTACCCAAACAGTCACTGTGAAAAGCATGCTGGCACGGGAAAACAAAGAACTGGCGGCTCAAAAGAGGCAGGGAACAAATCCAGCACTTCTCGCCCGGCTCCACGATCGCATATCGGGTATCGAGACCTGCAATTTCTGCCCGAATCTGGCGCGCCGTTAGTGCAGAGTTATCCATCTCCTGGCGCAGGGCATCAATGTGGCGCGAGTAGTCTTCGAGAGCGGTGCAAATCTCGTCTTTGAAGTCATCGATTACGACAAAGTCCGGGAAGAAGGGAATGAGGTCCTCGATGCGGAGGAGCTCGCAACGGCGAAGGAACTCAATGGCATCTTTGATACCCGTGCCAGGCTGCCGGATCTTCTTCTCCGCGACGAGGAGCCACAGTTTCTTGCGAAGCTTGTCGTTGCCTTCGGGGCGATCTGCGACAATGGCGGCGAGCTCGATATCGTTGTATTCCAGGGCGAGTTCTACTGCTTGCAGGTACTGGCCCATAGCACTGTAGATGTGGATGCATGACTGAACTCGCTTATGCTGGATACAAAGGCGGAGAGCAAAATCGGCATCATATGGAGGAGGCGATGATGGCTGCGACTGGAGATAAGTGAGCAGCCCGGCTTCGGAGGGTGATGGGTTGCAGGTGTGAATTGAGATGAGCGTGTTATGAACAGCTGCGGCGGGATTGGGGTGGTTGACGATAATGAAGTTGAGATATCGCACAGCCTGATTTTGATTGAGGGAGACGCTGGCGGTCTTATTGTAATTCAACAACGCGGGGATGAGCCGCTCCGGATCGAGATTCGTCTGTCGCATTAGAATCTCGATCAACCCGGTTGCCGCATGTGTCATGAGTACGCTGCTGTACTTGTAAAAGACATCTGGTTCACTCTGGCGCTGCAGGACGTTCAATGCCTCCGACCATTTCTCTCGCTGAATCCAATAGGATAACACATAATTGTGGTCGTTGGTGGCCGTTGCAAAGAAAAGTAATTCCTGTTCGCGGCCATGGCTGCTGATAATGTCGTAGACAGTCTTCTTGTCCAGATCTGCTTTGTGCTTGTTCACAAATTCCTGGAACTCGGCTCGGATGCTGCCCAGCTGATCCTGGACTTGGTCCTCTGTCGCACCCTCGACCAGCTCCGCGTTGGTAGCGATGCTGTCGTCCAAGGAGTTCAGCTTGGACATAAAGAGCTCCACAAGCCAACTTGCGACCATGATTCGCTGCATGACAGACGCTTTTTTGTATGTCGAAAGCTGAGAGAGAAGGTATTTCCGGAGAGCATCGTACTCCTTGTTATCTACCATTGTTAAGCAAACTTCTTCGAAGCCTTTGCTGCTCTTGCCCCAGACTTTCGCAGCCCCGAGGAAGTTGCCCTGCTCTGCCAAAAAGTCACCCGATGCCGTCAGGACAACATCGCGTTGCGCATGCCCGCGAGCGTATTGAAGTGCCTCATCGAACTTCTTCTCTTTCAAAAGAACCTTCCACACATCTCGGTCCTCGTCATTGGCCACGATTTCAAAGATCTCTTGGCTGGTAAAAAGCCAGTATGTGTTTTGCGTCAGATCAGTCAAAAGACCCAGTGCACTTTGACGAGGTTCCAGTACAACCTGGTCATAAACGATTTCCTCATTCAGGCGATTAACGGCGACCACTCGGCCTTCGACAAGTGCCAAAACATGCCAATGGGTCAAAGTCATTCCAGAAATCGGATCCTGAATCAACTTTCTCCCTCCCCGTGCGGACTGCGATGCGGGGAATTTGGCGCGAGGAAGCATATTCGCACGGTCAAACGGAGTCTCGGATGAGAGCTGGCCATGGTAAATTCCCTCAGCGCTGAGCCATGCGAACTCTTTCTCTGTGTATCCTTCCGCCTGATGCCCTCCGGGACTCGAGGAGGATATCATCAAGGAGGATGGCGCTGATGCTGATGGACTGGATATATCGTGAACCAAAGGTGTCTCACGCTGGAAAAGCTCGAAATATATTGACCCGCCGCCATCTCGTCCATGCTTGGAGGTCCCTATCCGGCCTAAAACATGCACCAATTTCGCGTGTGTGGCCACAAGGACTCTTCTCTGATCGGGTCTCGATGGAACTGGCTCAGCACATATCCCAGTCACCGGCGAGGCATCCGGCACCTTGTATACTGCGGTGACATATTTCTCCTCGCGCCGATAGAACTCCGTAGACGGTTCAATGTACGTCTCGTAGACAGTGCCGTCGGTCGTACCTAGAAGAATCTCGCGCGTCGAGGCAGTCGGCAGAGAGGGATTCCAAGCAACACTTTCGATCGAAACGCCCTTTAACCGAGACAAGGCCTTGGGCTGGCGCGACTGGGTGTGGAGATAGTAATTCTCGCCGAGGGTGGTGCTGACAATTAGATGAGACGCAGAAGGATCAAGGAACATGCGTCGAATCAGACCAATCTCTGAGGATTTCTTGGGAAGGTCGATGTCTATTGCAAATGGACACACATGAGTCAGCTCAGCTTCTCACGACGCGACAAGCACCTCGGGGGATCCGGATTGGGTTGTCTGCCCTACCATCGATGTCTTCAGGGTTATCCAGGTCGATTCGAAGGATCCGGCCCGTCGACAGGGCTAAGATGAGCACATTGTTAGCGACCTGGGCGGCCACGAAGTCCGCCGCGATCGAGAATTGGAGCTGCACCCGCTGTACGTCGAAGATGGGCAGGGAGTCCGACGGCTCCGTTAGGTTATTAGGAGCCACATAACTGCTGGATCCGTCCAGCGCCATGATGCGCAAGCTGACAGCTATCTCATGCCGGCCGTCCGGGAACTCAGGGCTGGCTCGGTGGAGCTTGTTGGAGCTTGAGGGGCGCGAGACGCCAAGCTGCCGTGAATGCGGAGCCCCGTTGTTTTCTGCCTGAGGCCTCAACGCGACTGGGAACTGCGGTACCAACAAAGGTAGTGTTCCACAAGCAGAAATAAGTATCCTACAGAGTAGTACAATGACTTTTCTTGATCTCCTCTTTCGTAGTCTGACCACGTTTAGTCCCATGGGCGTAGGGTCTAGTTTTACGTTGTAGGCAATAGGGTGGGGATTGGAGATAAACAGATGGAAAAGGAACGCTAGGATGTAATAAACCTCATGCACTATGTACGCCACCTACAAAGAAATTTACTCCCGACCAAAAGCTTGAAGAACTCAAGAGACAAAAATTGCCCTTTTGAGTCTACAATCACCATGCCAACGAAGCCCGAAGCCCGAAGCCCCAAGCCCAGGTCCTCTTTAGGGGTTCTGGTTCTTTGTAAGTTTCTTGACTAAAATTAACCCGACCGAGTCAAGAAGACAACAGCTTTTGTATTTCCTTAAGGACATAGAGTCATTATTAGATACAATCAATCAGTGTTATCTAACTATAGCAACAATGGCCGGCAAAGCGACCTTGAATGTCTTTCAACCACTGCATATAAAAGGCCTCCTGTATCTCCCCTCTTCACAACAGTCACCAGTCACCATCTACAAACATCACTCCAGTCGTCTACATAACCGAAGACTACAGAGTGATTTCAAAGATTTTCAAGGTACGCCCAATCCAAAGCTTGGCTAAAGATAAAGGTTAACTATCTATAGATGTGCGTCTACGAAGTTGTCCAATACACCGGCCGTGTCAGCTGCGGCCATGTGTACATCACCAAGGTCGTTCGGTGTAGAGAAGCCTTCAAGCGCGCTGACAAGTCGCCCTGTGCAGACCCAAAGACACGGGCACTCAATCCGAAAGCCCCGAACCCCGGCGGCGTCTGGGTCCTTATGAAGAAGTGCAGCAGTGAAGAGATGCTGCTGGATGGTCCCTGTCCGCAGTGCAAGTCGAGAAAAGTTGTCGATATGACCAGGTTTCTTCCTTTCCCCTTTGAAGATGGTCCTCTCAAGCGGTTGATGAAGGGAGAACAAGGTCGTCCACAAAAGTGGTATACGCGTTGATAGATCTACAAGGGTGCGGGTACAATGTCTCTGCATAGATAGAATTGAATTTGGTATTTCCGCTTCATGCATTGGAGGGGTATCATTCGTCATGACACATGCAGTCAGTGGCTGGAAAAGAGAAGAAAACTAATGAAAAATGGAGTCGCATAGGACTTGGGTATCTCGAAACCACACCTCGTAGGTAGTAAAACAAGCCCCCTCCTCGTATGGGATCACATCACAATACACTCCCGCTCCGGCTTTCGGCTCTTCTCCTTAGACTTTTCCTTGGATTTACCTCTCAGGTTGCGATCCTTGGTTGGCCCCCTTCTGCCTTTCTCTTTGGGCTCGTACGCGGCTGGTCCCAGCTTGATGTCGTCAGGTGCGATGTCGTCAACCACAACGATGGCGGATTCATCGCCCGAGGGCTCACCCTCGCCGTCGCTGGTGATTCTGTCTTTGCTAAGTCGTCCAGTAAAGCGTGAGAAGGTTGATCCGATTCTATTCTCGCCGGGCTGGCTGCCAGCGCGACTGCCAGCGCGGCTACCAGAGTTGCTCTTAGAGTGTCGGGAGCTACGACGAGAGAAGCTGAAGGACCCTCTGCTGTTCTCCTCTTCCATAGGAGTCAAGCGCGGTGACATGGATGGCACTGAACGGGGTGGGCCGACGGGGCGATGGTCTGAGAATGCCACACTTGGCCGGCGTGGATTGTCGTTGAAAGCCTGAGTAGCGTTATCAGGGCCGGTAACATCGAAGCTGGGTCTGGCAGAGGTGACGTCGGTGGTACTACCATCCGTTTCCTCAACCACTAGGGACCGTAGTTTTCGAGAGACATCGCCTATTTCTACATCAAGTGTGGCATCGGATGCGTGAGACGAGGGCGGCTTGTTCGAGAGATTGGCCAAGGATGCATCCTGGTCAATAGGAAGTATTTGGTAGAACAGCAGATAAGGAGATTCCGTCTTCAGCGCCGTCTCAATATCAATGAGGGTTACCCTCTCGGAGGCGAGATCATCAAAGCGCATCCAGTGCTTTGGCGTTTCGATGCTCGGAGGATCAGAGCCGTCAGTAGAGCCAGGTGGGGCGCTATTAGGGCTTGTACCCCGAACAATGGCGATGTAGTGTCCCGAGTCCACCGAGTTACCACGATGGCAGACTACAGCCTGCAAGGAGAGTTTGAAGTTCCCATAAATGGGAGCATCTGCATCCATATTATCATCCTGGATAAAATGAGGCAGGCCGATCTCGATAGGGATGTCGATGTACGTGTTGAGCCGAACAGCTTTGCCATTTGGGAGAAACGAATATCGCTTGAGACACATGCCGAGAATGGGTCTTTTGGAGGAGAAGTGCGCCGCCACTTGAGCATCGCTCGTCGGCGTGTTATCCGTGTACCATGCTGTGTAAAAGATGACTCTCAGCTATATCCTCGCGCAGATGGGGACCGAGACTTACGGATGAGACTGAAGAATTGCCACGCGGGCATCATCACTTCCTTCCTAAAAATGCCCTTCCGCTGCTGCACCTCCGAGGCAGCCGAGTCCGTGTCCCCAGTCTTCACATCGTTGGAATCTGGGATAAATCTCTCGCGAACAATGCTGTTACGACGACCGAGCCCTCGCGACCTCAGCGACTCATTAACGCCTGAGAAAGATAGGGAGGAGCTTGGTTTCTCAAGTTGAGGCAAAGTGGACTGGACTGGAGACAAGGCTGGAGTTGTATCAACCTCCTCGATATGTGCGGTGAATCCTTTGGAAATGGAAAGGGAATCCACAGATCGAGTGGAGCTGATGGTGTTGCGTCTCTCTAAGTACCGCTTGACTTCAATCCGATTATTGAAGTAGGCCTCCAGGCAATCTTCAAGGGTGAGAGTTTGTCCATCAGCTGGCTCAGGTGGAATAGCCACCTCGAGCAGTCGCTCATTTATGAATTTATGGTCGTCGCTGGCGTCTTCCTTGCCGAAATGATAAATGTCCATCTTGAGGGTAAGGAGAGGCAACTCAAGCTTCTCAGTGATGAATGTAAACGCCTCAGAAGCATCTTGCTGATGCAAATTAGCTGCATCTTCCCATCCACACTCTGCCAGGGCGTCCTGGAGGTACTTTGTCTATTTAACTTAGTCAGCTCAAGCTTAGGGAAGTAGTAGGCAGAAGGTAGAGTTAAGCGCGAACTCCAACGTACAAGGTCGGTGGTGATCAGCTTCCCTGCTCGCAGCATATTCACCCAGAACCTGAGCAATATAGCCAGCTTGCGACGGGGCTCATCATTGAACGATTTATACAAAATCGCCTCAAAACAGTCCAATCGTGCGAACATGGCGAACAGCAGCGCATCTAGATAGCATGTGACACCCTGACGGTTCTCAGCACCCAGTAGTTTGGTGCTGGGTGTATAGGGCCGAATGATGCCCTCGATTGAATCCTCCAGCAAAAGCAGGAGGCTGATCGCCTTGTCGACATCGTCGTGGGTGCTTTTTAATGCATGTCTAAAATGATGTTCTTCTAAGATAGTGATTCCATATGCTCGAATGAGGGTTTCGACTAGTTTGACCTAAGAGTCAACCGAAACAGTTAGCAGCATATCTTGCGACCAGAAGACCAGCTGGAAGTACCTTCTTCTCATGTTCTTGACTATCCTCTTTGGTCGGGTGCGACGCGAAAAAGCCCCGTAGGAGGGGAAGCGCAAGAGCGTGGGTGTTCTATTCCATATACAACCTTAGCGAGCTTGTCTCCAAGCCATAAAGAAGAGGAGTGGCGTTGGCCGCAAAGCAGCGCGGGGGCATACCTCCTCTTTACCCTGTCGCCCAGCGCTTTTGTGCCGATCGCGGCGAGTGAGAAGGCGATGAATACCGCTCATCGTAGAATGTCCCTGGCGAACAGGGGGTTTCAGAACGAGAAAATGGGCGTCTGAACGGAGGGCGGCATGCGGGGATGAGGAAGCTCTATTCTAAGAGCTTAGTTGAGGCTGCAGTATTTCCATGAAGCGGACGGCGACATCATTTGCCCGAATGAAGTGCTGCTGATGCGGGCACGGGATGAAGCGCAAAGCTGACAGGTGGCCAGTCGGGAGCGTGCGGCGACCCCGTGTGTGCCAGCTGGAAAAAGATCGTGGGTCGCTCAAGCGAACCTAATCTGTTGATCATTTCACTCCCGCGGGGTATCTTGCGTTGGCGCCTGGCTTTGGCGCCTGATCCATGAGGCGAATATACAGTTAATACACGTGACCAACCAATCTGGTGCAAACAAATTTCGGCCGTTTGGCGGTTCGATAGACTCCGCGTCCAACCTCACCACATTGCCCTTGCACACGAAATGGCTGTCAGGGAGTCATCAAGATACCTGGCACGGGCAGTGCCCAGGGCCTTTGCGCCTTCTGCTCGCCCACAGGCCTTTTTGGGCCGTCGCAATGCCTCTGATGAGGCCCCGTCCAGGCGGTTGTCGGACCAGCTGGATGAGCTGGAAACTGCGTCGTCCTTGACCACCGCTGTGTCCGACAGCGCGGCCAAATCCTTCGATCCAGCCACTCGGGCCAAGGGTCGCAAGACTCAGCTACCTCGTTCTCGGTAGGTAGTTTCCCCGAACACCGGCTCGCTGGTCGTGTGACAACCGACAGCGGCGCCCTTCGCAAGGACATAGCAGTTGACATCAGCACCTCCTTCCAGATACCAATTCCGCTCTCCGAAGTATGACCGCGGTCCTCTCCACCCTCACCAGCCCCCTCCCCCCTCCGACCCGTCCTCCCGCCTGTTCGTCCCAGGCCCCTTCTCCCTCCCCCGTGCCGAGCAGACATACAACTCAACCGTCGCGTCCGACATCCTGACCTTGTGCTACGTGCACACTCCCCCGGGCTTCAAGGTCCCCCCGAAAGCGCCGCGCCTGCGCGAGTGGGACGATAGCTCACCATACCACAAGAATCGTCCCCTCCGCGGACCCCGTGGCGGCGACGTCCTGCGACTACTCCGCAAGCCGATCAAGTTCAACAACATCCCGGAGATCGAGCGCATCACAGTCCACAGTTACGTGAAGGGCGCTGCGCAGGAGAATTCGGGGTGGCTGCACGTGGCTGGTATGGCGGTGCAGGCTATCTCGAACGTGCGCGTTGAGACCTTCAAGTCCAAGGCTAGTGTTGCGACCTGGAGCATTGCCCCTGGCCGTGACACTGTTGCTGTGAAGGCGGAAATGCATGGCGAGACTATGTATCACTTCCTTGGCAAGTTGATTGACGTGGTTTTGCCTCGAATCAAGGACTGGCCTGGTGTGAAGGGCAGCAGCGGTGATAGCAGCGGCAATATCACGTTCGGTCTGGAACCGGAGCATGTTGCCATGTTCCCCGAGATTGAAGTCAATTATGATATGTGAGTTGTTCCCTACAGCAAAGATGTGTCGTGTTTTCGTATTTTGGTTCTAACCTGTTTTTCCCTCCAAAGGTACCCTCCCAAGATGATTCCTGGTTGCCACATCACCCTCCACACCACCGCGAAGGCTGACAAGGATGCGCGACTCCTGCTGAGTGCGATGGGTATCCCATTCTACGGAAAGATCGTGCAGTAAAGCACTAGAAAGATGACCGCGTCTTTCTGTTGTCGACGTGGGTCTTCGTCTTATATCTCATATCTCCTCTGGGGCGTTATGTTCCTATACAACCTGTAACTTTAGAGGTGGCCTGCATAGCGGTCACTGTGATTCACCGAACTTGTGTATTATCTTCATTTATCATCATTCTACTTCGAGCGAATCTACATTGAAAAGTATACCAGAACCTTGAAAGGCCAACAATGTACCGTAAGACCTGAGAGTTGCGATAGAATATGTTGAAGTGTATCGCTGATCAGTCCCATTAGAATTCTTTTGTCTCTATCAAAGGATCATGAATGTGAGAAGAGTCCCTAGGAAATGCATGAGTACCGAAAGGGAAGGAAATAATAGCCCGGGACCCAAAGATATTCAACCTATCAACCCCAAACCCCAAAGCCCCATCATGCATAACTAATAATCATTGTACAGATAGACGAAGAGACCGCATCAAACAGTTCACGTAATAGGCATAGCCAGGAACTTGCACTTTAGCAGCTCATCTGCAGTAGGCCGCTTTTCATAGTCAAGCTGGAAGGTCATATCAAGGAACTCGACTGCTTCCTGGCTGACATGTTCCGGCGCAGGCGGACGAGCCTGGTTACTACCAATAGCAAAAATAGCCTGCAGCTGGCTGCAGTCCGGGAAAGGGTGAGCGCCGATGAACATCTCCACGACCAGACAGCCCAGACTCCAGATATCGGCCTTCTTCGTGTGCGCCGTCTGCCGCACGACTTCGGGCGCCATCCAGTATACACTGCCTTGGAGTGAGGGACGATGCAGGTGGCCGCCCCCACCACTGCTGGCACGGGAGCCGAGGACGGTGGATGCTTCGACGCGCTTGGAGATACCGAAGTCAGAGATTTTGACACCGCCCTTGTTGTCGACGAGGATGTTGGCGCCCTTGATATCGCGGTGGATGATGTCCTGGCTGTGCAGGTACGAAAGACCCGCCAGAATCTGCCGGACAAAATTCTTGACCAGTGGTTCTTGGAAGGTGTTGTACTGCTTTAGCATGGTGGCGATGGAGCCGCCGGGTACGTACTCCAGGAAAATGTTCAGGTACTGATCATCGGTCGAGGTGCCAAGGTACTGCACGATGTTGGGGTGGTGCATACCCTGCAGGAGCTCAATCTCGTGCTTCAGGGCAGTGACCATGTTGTTCTTGCGCTGGTCAAATTCCGTGCCTTTCGTGGCGGAGGGAATCTCGACCTGCTTCACGGCCATAAGTTCACCAGTAATGGCGTGGAGAGCCAGGAAGACGCTGCCAAAGGAACCTTCACCAATCAGGGATCCCTTCATCCAGTTCTTCGGAGCGAAGTTGTTGCCGGCGAGGAAGTCGCTCATCAGGTTGGCATCGTCTTCGTCGCCGTCCTCGACGACGAGCACACTTAGTCGGTCATTAGAGGAGCCCCCGTCGGTAGCAATGACGCTGGCACTCTCATCGATCATGCTCTGGCGTGACAGATTGGGCTCATCAGAGCCACTGTCAAAGGAAACATAAGACTTGCGGTTCGGCTCGATCGGAGACTCTTCCTGCAATGGCTGAAGAGAGCTCGATGCAATTGAGTCCCGATATGAAGCCTGTGGCAAGTTGAATTTAGAGACGGAGAGCGGCCGCGACGCACGAGCAGCCTGTGCTCCACCCTGGTGTTGGAACCAGGTGTCGGCAATGTTGGGCATCGGCGGAATGGGAGGCAATGGGGGAAGAGGAGGAGCATCTTTCAGACTTGATGCAACGCTGTAGTTGCTGACAACACTGAGACGACTGGCGGCACGACTGAGACGTTGAGATCTCCGCATCGTCTTCGCAATATCTTCCCTATCGTGACTTGGGAAGAATGATTGGAGCTCGTGAATAATCATCTCGCTCGGGGGTCTCTGTCCGAAGAATGACCGAAGTTTGGTAGCCACAGGATTGCGGTCGCCGGGGGACGGCTGGTCTGGATCATTGGAAGAAGCCGATGGACGATGCCGGGGGCCGACTGGTGACAGTGGCTGTTTGGTATTAATGACATTCCAAGACTCCCCCGTGAGCTGCTGGATCTTGTGCTTCTGGCGAGAATTGGATTTGTTGAGAGCAATCTGGTGCGTGGCCTGGCTTTCATCGAAGGCAAGCTGGGACGCACGGCGAAGCTCATCGACATCTGGCTCGCCCGCATGAATCTTCCGCAAGATCATGCGGCCCCGCTCGGACTTGTTGTGGCCGTCACAAATCTCCGTAAGCTCGGTCTCGGTCAACCGCCTGCAGTTCGACAGATCCGGATCCAGGCCATCCAGGACATAGAAGCAGTAGTTTCGATACTGATGTTCTGGGAGTTGCAATTTCTTGAGAACGCAGAGGATCACCTCGTCCGGGGTCTTGCAGTGCCGAATATCGAGGACCTTGGTCTGGCCACCCGTGTAGATGACGCGAATCACCGGAGAATTAGGGGGGAGAGGGCCCATTGTAAGGCCGTCCAGGCTGGGATTTCGTGGATGAGAGCTTCCTCGGCCACCATCACTTGGGGTACTTGGGATGCGGCCCGATCCTGAGCCACCAGAGGGTGGATGGTTGAGATAGCCATCCTTGCGCCAGTCACCGGCCGGAGGCGATACCGGCTGGGAGGGTGATTTGCCCGCGTATCCAAAGCCATCATCCATCAGCTGGGACATACGCCGGTTTGGGAGGCGCATTGACGAGAAGCGGGAGTGGTCCACAGACAATGCCGCCGCTTCTAGCGCAGCGAGGGTATTCTATCGCGAGAAAATGAGCCAACGCTCACAAATCGAGGGGGCTATGCCACACATACCATGTTCTTTTGCCTAGGGTTGATCATGGCTTTGTTTCGGAGCTGCTTGATGGCAACGAAGATGCGCACTCGATCGCCCACTTTCTTGATGCCCATCTCCTGCAAGATCTTCTGGTCACATTCGATCAGGTTGTCCCCATTGAAGTTATTGGCTGCGTGGATGTCAGCGTCTATCCATTCCTGCGTTCCTGTCAAAGACGAAATTACCTCTGAAGATTGACTCATATTGGCCGCACTTGATGCTATGTAGCCACGCGGCGACCTTCTTCTCATCCCAAGCCCTAGAACTCGTTAGCATCTTGCCTGTTCATCTCTGGCTCCGCTGACGACTCACCGAACTGCCGACACCTCATCCAGCCCCTCGCAAAATTCCGACTTGGTTGGGCTACTGTATCCAACCCCATCTGGCACTTTTGTGGCCGTCGCAGGACGTGAGTTCGCATGATAGGCCGTCGCGGAGGTGTGGGAGGCCGAGCCACCCAGCGGGGTCGAGTACTGCGGTTTGGAAGCCAGCATGGTTATATCGTCAAGTGTCGTTTGCTTCGTAAATGTTCCTCCTATCCACTCTGCGGGTGGATCTCAAACACAGCACCGCTTCCTCCGCCTGTCCGTTTCACACCAGGATCGAGAGGGAGCCGTCGGAGGGAGGTGGGGGTCGGTCAACGCATAGTCTCAGGGTCCCTGGTTCTCTGTTAGCATCCGTCGGCAATAGTTTCTCTGATCCCCGTTGCGGGCTCGGCGGGTTGCCGTGCGGGAGAGAGGAGTCTCAGCGCCACCAGGCTGAGAGGGGCGATCGGACGCACTTCTGCGCCGACCGCAGCATCGCCACGATTGAGTATGCAGGAGGACTGATGACTGACCGTATAGCAGTCCCAGGGCGTTTCAATCCCCCGTTGGGCTGGATCGGAATGAGGGAGGGAAGGGTGGTGCAGCCAGGCGATCGCGCGTCTGAGCTTTTTTGGGCGGAAGATCGGGGGGAGCCACTTCGTGTGGTCTCGATCGGGCGTTAGAGATAGGCGGAACACACTCCGTACTCCCCACGGACCACAAGGAACAGGCGACCGGCGACCGGCGACAGGTGACAGGTGACAGGGAACAAGAACAGGTTCGTGAGAGGAAGTGACAGGTCGGATGAAAAGGAGCAGAATCGCGGACAATTTGTGGTAGGGGAGTGAAGTGAAACCGCCGGCTGGAGGTACGAGAGCACCGGATCAAGGGGGTCGGTTCAGAATCCCCCACGCGTTTCAACCGATCCGCCTGTGGGGATTTTGGTGTGCGCCATCTGCGCCATCTGCGCCATCTGCCGGAGGTGTCGTGTCTTATCCCTTGAGCAGATACATCTGTAATAGTATATGGTCTAATAGCATGCCCTGCTCCGTCTACCATCAACTCTGCCTTCTTCGAATATATAGCCATGTAGGGAGTATAGAATCATCCTCCCGTACCATTTCCTAATTCCTACCATAGCAGCGGGGCCCACCCGGATTGAAACCGCGGCTCTGGCTGAAACTGGCCGTGGCCGCGGGTTGTCTGAGACGGATCCAGTTGCATTTCGCCGATAGGCTCCTCGTCCACCAAACGGTACCTGGCTTGCGGAATAGCGAGGTGTAGGAAGGGGAGCATATGGGAAGATAAGTGACTCAAATGGACATCCCGCTGGAGTGATATAGGAAAGAAGCTCCCCAGCCTGATGAGGGTCATCATTGCTCCGTTAGTTTGGCCAGAAATTGCATCAACTATGAAGCATGAAGCATGCCTGAGGTGTTGTGTTGGGTCCAACTTCCGCAGAGTGTCTTGCGTGGCAACTTGCACGATGCACTCTGTACTCCAGTGAGCTACGGTAGCTCACTACTAGGCGTGCCTTCCAAGTAGAGAGTGGTTGGAGAACTGGAGAAGAGCAAAAGACAATGGAAGTTCGCAGAGACTGTCTACGTTGTACCCTCCATGCAACGAGGTACTATATATTGTTTGTGCTTCGCGAGTCCTTCTGATGTCGACAATGCCTCGCGGCCTCTCCGCACCAGTGGAGACGCGCATATCCTGGCTACTGAGTCATGCATACGAAAACACTGGATATTATGTACTTTCAGAGTCTGATAGTATGATACTGGGATGCTCCGCCTTAGTATAGGTACTTTCTATCTCGTCGTCACATCTCTTGCGACGAGTCGCGTTGTCGGCGTCAGCCACGACCGGCTACTTCCTCTCATAGCCATCCACCCTCTGCAACGCCCAATCCAGCCATGCACCACCTCGTCCATGCCTGTCCAGTCCGTCAGCAATAGTCCTCGCAACTGATTGCACAATCCCCTTCTCGGACGGCTTCAGCTCAGCTCCACGTGACCCGTCTCCCCTCACTGGGCTCCAGTCTGGCCAGTCCGACCAGTCTGACCCGTCCAGTCCAACCCCACAGTTCTTTTTTCCCCGCTCAGTTCCCAAAGGGCCTCAAATTCTGTCCCCTCTTTTTCTCCCCAAATTTGCAGAACCCCAACCCTCCCCCGAACCATGGAGGACGATAAGACTGCAAAGATCAAGAAGAAGGTCACTCACCGCAAGTCGCTTTCGTGCGAATACTGCAGTCGCTCTTTTGCCCGCTTGGAGCATCTCCAACGCCATCTCCGCACCCGTTGAGTAACCCCCCCCCCCTCACCTCGAATGCCCTGCCATTTCGACTTCCTAATGTCGGACAACAGATACCAAAGAAAAGCCTTTCTCATGTGACATCTGCTCCAAGTCTTTTGCGCGGAGGTAAGCCTATGACGTCCCCTGCCCCTCCTCCCCCGCCCAACGCACCCCAATCGCTTATATTTGGCACTCACAGCGACCTCCTGGTGCGACATGAGCGATTGGTTCACCCTGCCGAGAGTGCGGCCAGTCGAGAACACCGCACCCTCAACGGCACCGACAATCATCACCACGAGATTCCAATCCAGTCAACAATCAGTCAACCCGTCCACCATGAATCCCGCATGCTAGAGCTGGCCGACGCCATCCCGGTCCATACCCAAATCCCGCCTCCACCTCCAGAAGTGCAGGTCCAGCCGCCGCCGATCGTTGAGACCACCCACTTCAATCCATCCTGGGGCTACGACCTCAACCTACTGTCGCACGCCGCAAGTCATGTCGCATTGGAGGGGCAGCAGGAGAGCCTGGAGTCCATTCGAAAATCATCGCATGCGGTCGGCAACCCCTCCCAGTCCCTGCCACAGGCCTCCGAGAGGGCAATCACCGATAACTATGGGGTAGAGCCCTCAATCCTGGACCTCACAGACCTGGGTGACCCCGTGCAGGACTTTACGGTCTTTTTAGAAAGCGTGGGCCTGTCGTCCGACTGGGATTCGGGGGTCTTCTCGTCAGTCGAAGAACCCATGTTGCCGCCAAGTCTCTCAATGGACACCAAGCAGCACGTTCGGGAGACCACCGCGTCGACGAGGTTAGGGGTGATCTCATGAGCGACTCGCGAGTCCAGGCGGATGAGCCGCCGTCCTTCTCGAACTTCGGGTCGCGGTTACCATCCCTGCAACCCGAGTCGCACGAGATTGAGGATCGCATCGGTCTCTCTGACGACAGTCCCCGGCCAGCGTGGGACATCACGAATACCGATCGACAAGTATTCGTACAGAAACTGGAAGAGTTCTCTTCTGTTCTTCCCAAAGGGTTTGTTCCCCCGTCACGACACACCCTAACCCGCTTCTTCGCGGGGTATATTAACGGACTGAATGAACATCTCCCTTTTGTACATGTGCCTACTTTGTCGATTGCCAAATGCTCCCCAGAGCTCACCTTGGCAACGGCGGCTGCCGGCTCGCACTATCGATTTGAGAATGGACGAGGAATAGACCTGTTCCATGCAGCCAAAGCAATTTTGTTGGAGCGTCTGCGTCGGAGAGACAGCAGGCAAGTGCCTCATCCAACATGGAACTATATTTCTCCCCCCTCGGGCTTCCACAACTCACGTGGTTCATCCATGATCTCGAACACGGCGAGCAGCCCGTTTCAAAGTCAGCAGCTGGCCAACCCTCCATTTAACCCGTCCATCTATACCCCCGATGACTCAGATGCCCATATGGAAGTGATACGGACTTTCTTGCTGCTGACTGTGTTTGCGTCCTGGGAGAGACACCCAGAACTGCTTCGAGAGATCCTCTCACTACAAAGCACATTGGCCAGACTCGTTCGGGAACACGGTTTGGCGGAGGCCCCTCCTCCCCCCGAGCCTATGAGTTGGGAAGAGTGGATTCGAAGAGAGGGTAATAGACGGACGAAAATGATTGTCTACTGCTTCTCCAATCTCCACTCGATCATGTACAACATTCCTCCCCTGATTCTCAACGGCGAGTTGAAGTTGAACATGCCCTGCTCCCACGACCTCTGGAAGGCAAACAACGCCGCCCAATGGCGGCGCCTTCATCGTGTCCGACAAGGATCAGATGTTCCTTTCCAAGACGCATTTGCCCGACTCTTTCTAAAACCCTCTACCTCCTTCCCTTCCACCCCCATCTCGCCTCTCGGAAATTATATCTTGATTCATGCCATTATACAGCAAATCTTCTTTGCTCGGCAACTCTGCCTGTCCGCCCCGAATATGCACGGAACCAGCCTGCGACAGGAAGATCTCAACGTGTTGGACAACTCGTTGAGCGCTTGGAAGGCACTGTGGAAACGCACGCCTGAATCAAGCATTGACCCCCAGAACCCAGCAGGCCCTATCGCCTTCACCTCGACGGCGCTCCTGGGCCTCGCATATATCCGGCTCCATGTCGATCTGGGCCCTTGTCGCCATCTGATCACCCAGGACCCAGTCCAGATTGCCGGAGCCCTGGGTGATTCCCCCCCCATCGTCCGCACCCCCCGGCTGATCATGGCCCTTCTGCACTCGGCCCACGCCCTCTCCATCCCCGTGCGTCTAGGAATTGACTTTGTGGCCCGCACACACTCGTTCTTCTGGAGTATCCAGCACTCTCTGTGCAGTCTGGAGTGCGCGTTTCTCCTTAGCCGCTGGCTGCTCGCTATCCCTGCGACGCAGTCGGAGCAGCGGCTCTCGGAGCACGAGCGGAAACTCCTCCTGTGGATCAAGAGCATGATGGATGAAACCGACATGGCTGTTGATCCTCCCGGCGCGCCGGATCTGGAGTTCATGGCGAATCCATACAAGGTGTGCCAGCTCAGCGTTGCGATTGTCCGTGTTTGGGCGCGGACGTTCAGGGGAAATACTAGTTGGGCGATTGTGGATTTGGTGGGGTCAAGTTTGGACGCTTACGCGGATCTCCTGGAGAGCTGGACGGACTCCTAGGGACTGTTCTCCATACTCTCATCCCTACTTCTCTTGTACGGAGAACAGGCAGAGGTGCAAAAACATCTCTGCAACATCTCGCCATGACCAATGGCATCGCCACTTAATGACGCTATTGCTTGACATTGTCCTTGGCTTTTATTTTTTGATGAGCATGATATCTAGCGGAGTTTTGTATATGCGTGGTTTGGGATTGGTTTGGGATGCCTTAATTGTGCCGGTCTGCTCTCTTGGTCTTGTATGTATTATGTCTTCCGGCCTTTGTGATTGCTATCTATACCCGGCGATGCGCCTTCCTTTGCCGAGACATGGATGATGATTTCGTTCGGCACCGATTTACGTCTTTCTTTCCCTTTTTTTCTTTGGATTGGCTTTGGCCTGATTGACATTCGATATCCCTCTTACGATGCTATTCTAGCCAGTTTATTTTGCAAGGCAGGAGCATGACTGTAGTGTTACAATCTATGCTATTCGGTTGGATGTGCCTAGATTGCTAGGTATGAAGTTCGTTAGGGACATTTCTTATGGTTTCCATCAAGTCGTGAGCTTTCTTCTTCCAACTTTTCTTCAACGTGGCCAATGAATGATGGCACGCTGATGGGGGTCTGTCAAGTATGTTTTTGCGGTGCTTTGGCTCGATTCCTCGTTACACTCGCGGGCACGAAGCGCAGGGCAGACATGGACTGGGCCAGCCCATCTATTTCCATGTCATTCGCTGTGTCCTCTTGCAATACTTTGGGCTGGGGTTCTGCTCTTTGAGGAATTGTGGACTGAGATGCAGAACTGCGGCGCCGCAGTCGTCCCTCCTGGATAGAAGAGATGGAGGCTGAAGAAATGCGCCGTCTATGATTGCTGTTCAATGGCCTCAGGAGCGAAGTCTGCCTGTCAATGCCATCATTGATAATGTAGAAGTTGTAAGTCTAAAGGCGTGCACATCAGTAATAATTCCTTCATGTGAGGACAAGGTAGAAGACCATACTCGCGGGAACATATGCTTATCTATAAGATGAAGCCGCCGTTTCTGCGGCGTGGAGCATTTCCGCTCACAGGCCTGGACAAAACAGCCATACTATTCCAATACCAAGCTCGGTCAGCACAAAGAAAATCTACTTGAAGCTTCCCAGCTCATCCCAGACAGCAGCACTTACGGTCTTCTCCCCGCGCGCCCCGCATGGCCGCCGCAAGCGAGTCATGGTTCTCCTCGATATGGAGGTTCAAAAAATGGGCTGTCGGGAAGTTTTTACTGCACAGCGAACAGCGATTGACATGCGCCTGCTGGTAGTGCACCTCGTAGTCCTCGTAGGAAGCAAACGAGAGTGACTCGCGATGGGGCGGTAAGGCGCAATGCATGACCTCGGTGATAGGAACTGCGTCCCGGTGGAGGATCTTGCTGCGCTCGGGGGGCGGCGAGTCTGTGCTGGTTGATGATGGAGACCCTGAGGACCTTGACCGCGACTCGGGGGCGAAGGAGGGGCTCCGCGAGTGGCTTCGTGAGCGTTTGGCCATTGGGCTGTGGCGATCGCCCTTTTTTTATGTTTTATGGCCGTGGGGACTTGGTGGTGACTGATCCGACGGGGGCGGGGCTAGGTGCAGCCAAGCGCAGCAGGGGGTTCAGTTAGTGGACGGTGATGGTGGGCATGGTTTGAATGAAGATGTCTTGAATCTGGAGTCACAACTATAGTGTTTCATTCGAAATCAGGACGAGGTCCAGGCTGACTTATCTATTCAATGGAAGAATAGCAAACTCACGGCGTGATCGGCTTCCACGTCTCTTCCATCAGGAATCCACCAGCCACAGCGCCCGCCCATTGGCGCAGCCACAGGAGATTCCGCGGCTGTACTCCACGCTCGACGCTCCACGCATTTTCGATCTTTCGCAGGCTGCCGACCACTTCGCTTCGCTTCTTTCTTCCCTCCCCCAATTCGCCCCCGGGAATCCCGATCTCATGGCTTGTTCACCGCTGCCTTCGCCCGCAGACGTCCATCCAGCCATAGCCATCTGACGGGCGAGGTCTACAGTGGGGTGGTCAACCTACACTCCCCGATCCGAGCATGGCGTCCTCGTTCCAGGATGCGTGGCAGTCAGTCTCCGTCTCCTCTCTTCCTGCTCTCAACCAAAGCCAGCAAGTACCGAATGGAAAACTGACCTCAAGGCGTGCAGGACTGCGCTCGACGTCGAACGGGAGCTATTGCGGTGCCTTGCTGCGAAAGAGCCGACCTTCGCTGAGATCTCACAACTTCTGTCGGAGTATGTTCCCGCTCCATTTCCTACATGACTGTTTAAGTAGCCGCTGCGCGCGCTCGGGGCTGTCTGATCTAACGACGACCTCGGAATTTTTGCAGGTTTCGCACCGCGTGCCAGAATGCTATCCTCTTTGACTTCGATACCGCCCGTGAAACCGATGTGGAGGGTCGCCTGTGGGACACGCACCTGAAACTTAATACGCGGTTTCGTAAATTGCTCTCTCGCGTGGGTGGATCTCCTACTGATGGTATTGATTCAGCTGTATAGTGGACTAATACGTGCGGGTTTAATAGTACCGGGAGGAGAACACAAAGAAAAGACCAGTCGAGAAACGAAAGCTCGAGAAGCATTACTTGGATTTCATCAAATCGAGCCAGCGGTTCTATCGGGGATACATTCAGCATTTGTCATCCCATTTTGGAGACATTGTGGAATTGGAGAAAGTTGCGCGCAAGTTCAACTTTGAGAGTATGCTGCGCCCCATACCTCTTGGAAATGGCCAATAGAGGACCAACGTTGACTTTATTTTGTCTCTTTCAGTTTTGTCAGCCAATCCTCCATCCACGGTCACACCTGATTTGCGCTTCCGCATCCTCCAGTCTTGCCATGCAACCCTGATCCGACTGGGCGACCTATCCCGATACCGGGAAACCGAACTCGCCAACAACAAACGCAACTGGGGCCCGGCCATTGGGTACTATGATTTGGCCTCGGTTATCTACCCTGCGTCGGGTGCATCGCACAACCAGCTAGCAGTAATTGCGCTTGCTGATGGCAACCACTTTCGAGCCACTTATCACCTCTACAGGGCATTGTCCGCCCACAGCCCGCATCCTTCTGCAAAGGGCAACCTGGAGATTGAATTCAAAAAGGTGATGAATGCCTGGGCCAAGCGGGAATTGATCCGCCCAGAGGATCAAGGTGTTCCGGGCAAAGCGCTGGCACCGTGGTTTGTCTATCTTCATGCGCAATGTTATAAGGGCAACGATTTCCCCGAGCATGATGAGCTAGAGAGTGAGGTGATGAGCCAACTCGCAGTTGACATAAGAGAGCGCTCGCATGAAGGAACGCTCCAGAAGTTTTGTCTGGTCAACATTGCTGCGGAAGACTTTGCCCGAGCTCGGTCGACTGAGGAGTCGGTCTCCAATGCACGCACCTTTTTCCAGCGCATCAACGTGAAAACTTTCTTCACATTATTGCAAATCCTTCTAGTTGAGCTTGAGCGGTTCGCGGGTGAAGATTCGAGCAACAGCAGCAAAGACACCAAGAACGGCCCAGACAAGGTGACTGTAGTTGCTCGACGGATCCTGCCCGCTTTGCGGCATTACAGCTCCTGGCTCCTGACTACCAGTGACTTCCTTACTGCACAGAAGGAAGAGCAGGACTCGTCTCTTTCAATACAGATCCAGGAGTTCTGGAAGATCTACGCAGGGACTCTGACTCTCTTGGCATCTACTTTTGATGTCGTGCATCTTCCCGAAATTGATTATCTTCTGGAAGAGGATGAAGAAAGCCTGGGCTTTGCGCCGTTAGATCAGGCCGCCACTGTTCGCCGATATGTCGGTATGGGCGAACATCTCAAGCCCCGCATGAATGATCCAGGCGTCGAAAGGAGCCATCCAAATATAGAGATGCTCTACCGGATCCGCGAGTTTGTCATCGATGGTCTGGACTTGGTTGTGAGAAATGTTAGTTCAATGTTGAGAATGAGTGGATGATTCAAATTGCTTATTATGTTTTAGAAAATCCCCGTTGCTCTTGTGGATGATGAGGACAAGAAAACATTCATCTACCAGGAGGATGGTTTGCCCTCTCAATTCTTTTCGAGTCCGCATGGTCGTCAGGATATTCTCACAACCCCGGTTGTTGAACGGGAGGATATCGCACCAGTCATTGAAGATTCGACCTCTGTTACCGAAGCTCGCAGCATGTACGGTGACTCGCAGTCCGCATCCGCATCTATGTCGGCCAACATGCATCGTATCGTCGAGGATGTCGAACGCCTGGTCGAGTCCGACACGTACGAGAATGCGCCCAGTGTTCCCGATCAGTTCGCCTTCCTGCATGATTCCGGGGAGATGCCCACACCCTCCGCACGAATCGCGGCCAACCCCAATGCCTTTTCCTTCAACGAGAAGAGTGCACAGCCGCTGAAACCTCCGATGGCGCCCCCTGGCCTTGGTCCACCCGTCGTCAACGCAGCAGAGGCTCTCCGTGCATCGGTGTCTCAATCCTACACACCACTTCCCGCGCTCCCCAGTATTGCCAGCATCTGGAACACTTCATCTTTCGCACCCTTGCGAGACGGCGTCTCTCCACGCACACCACCCGGTCTCGGCCAGCCCTCTTCCATGAATCTAATGGCTGCGATGAACCCAAGGAACCCCAGCGCTACAGGGTCTCCATCCCAGGAGCAGCTCGCCAATGATAAGATCCGGAACAATGTGATGGTCCAGTCCCAGCTCTCCAGCCCCCTCGATATGTCCGGCTTCCCCCCGTCATCATGGATTCCCCCGACCAACGCACATCCCATGAACAACTGGGGTCCGGATCCGCGCAGAATGTCCTACAACGTTCCCAGTCAGCCAATGTCAAGCGGTTTCCCAAACCAGGAGTGGGCTAACGAAGCTTTCATTGCCAGCAGTCTGGCTTCCGGCGCCGATGCCTACAACTCAGGGTTTAATGGCCATCGTAAGCCAGCGACTCAGCTTGGTGCTATTGGCCAGACACCACCTTGTGGCCAGGGCGGTTGATTTGGGCTGCGTGCGATTCATCTACCAACTGTATGAAAGCATTTGTGCATGCATATACACACCTGCCGACTACGCGAGACCATCTACATGACGCGCACCCATATGCTTCGTTACCTTGGTACTGGCATAGCGTGCTCTGTTTCCAATGGAAGACGTTCAACAGCATGGAAAGAGGTATATGTTGTCTAGTTGTCCTGCATCCGGGTCAACCCCGGGTATGCAGAGTTCAGCCCTTCCCTGGTCTGGCCTGATCCCCAGCTGCTTCGAATATCTCATACCAGCAGTATGACACATCCAAACTGGGCACCATGACATGGCCCTCAAACACCCGGTTTCCCTGTGACAGTTGTAAGTTCTCTCTGTCTGAGGATTCTCACTGGGCGTTCAACACGCAACACAGCGGAAAGCCAAGATTCAATAAAAGGCAACATATGGCTTTCGCCATTATCTTTGAGGAGGATACGTTAGCAGCGTCATTGAGTTATCTTTTTTGTCGTTTCGCGCGAAATGAAGCACGCATGATTAAACCCCCTTTTTCTCGCTAAGCCTGTTCTTATCTTTGGAGTGGAGGAAGGTGCCGTGATGGATGCAGTGGTCTTTACCTAGCGGTGGACGCGGTGGACCTGGGAGTCTTCGTTGGTTGCTGGTTGGGTACTTGCCATCGCCAGTGTTATTTCCACAGTGTTGCCAAAGGCAATGACTAGCAATTCCGCTGTACCTCTCCGCCCGTCTATACACATCTAAACAGAATTTTCGAGGTATTGTAGCTGTAGGCGAAATTCAAGATTTATTGATTTATTCATTACATCGTTGTTGAGAACGGGGCTTTTTATTTGAGCGCGTAATTCCCAGGGTTTGTCTGTCCCTTGCCTCTTCCTTCCTGTCACACATGGCGCCGTGCTGTGTCCAGGCGTTGAGTAGCCGGTCATAACAGGAACAGTGATGTTGATAGAGAAGAAACAGTGGATGGAAGTCAGATCATTTCAAAAGGCACAAGCGCCTTTCGTTCAATTGCTCGACGTTAAGTCGAGGTAGGTGGTAAGTAAAAACAAATCAAGAAATAGGAAGAAAGAGAATATTGGGTATAGAGGGTTGAATCATCCAAGGTTGTGTAGTGCATTGTCAATCAATGGGATTGATGCGGGAGATCTTCCGTCCGAAGATCTCTGTGTTGAAGGGTTTCATTTCTATTTTCTTATGTTTGCAAGAAGATCGAGCGCTTAAGAGCGGGAGTAGGTCTGCTTGGGGGAGGGGAAGCTGCAGAACTGAATGTTAGTCTTGGAAGAGGCTTTCATCCAGAAAAGAGGCGACTTACGAAGGTCCCAGCTCCTGGATGCTCTTGCTGGCGAGCCACTGGCCCATGTCGATGCTGTCCTCGAGAGACTTGCCCGAGACGACACCGGCGCAGAAGCCACCAGCGAATGCATCACTATATGAACACAAAGATTAGTTGCCGGTCGTTCGGAGTGGCAGTCGACTGGAACTTACCCGGCACCATTGGTGTCGTTGATAGCGTCCTTGGAGATCTCGTGGACATTGAATTCCTTAATTTCGACCGTGCCGTCGGCGGAGGCAATGCCGACAACGGTGGGCAGAGTGCCCTGGGTGACGATAGCGACTCTGGGGCGCTGGGTGTTCTTCTTGGGCAGGAGGGCGAGCTTCTTGGCGATCTCAACGATGTCCTCGGTGTTCCACTCGTGGCTGGCAGCGTAGGCACGAGCCTCATCCTCGTTACAGAAAGTGTAGTCAGTGTAGGGCAGGACACTGTCCAGTTGCTCCTTGAAGAACTGGGGAATGAAGGGAGCAGAGAGCGAGAGCATGAAGATCTACAGGTTGCAACTATGTTAGAAAATAATCTTTACTACGTATCAATAGGCATGATAGTTGCTTACCTTGTTCTTCGCGGCAGCCTCCTCACCGAGAGCCTGGATGGCGGGGACGCAGACGGTCAGGTGGTAGCCACCGACGTAGTAGAACTGGGCCTTCTCGACAAGGGACCAGACGTGGGGCTGCTTCAGGTGCTCGAGTTTGTACTCGTTGGCAGCAGCGAGGTGGGTGCACATGCTGCGGTTGTGGCCAGTGATGACAACACCGCACTTGCCGGTGGGCTGGGCCTCATCGACCCGGTACTCGGTATGGACACCAGCCTCCTCGCAGGTCTTCTTGAGGATGTCACCGTACTTGTCCTTGCCAACGCAGCCGATGTAGACGACCGAGTTGTCGGGGAGCATGTACTTTAAGAATGGTCAGAATCTGGCTTCCATAAATAATGGGCAATGTCCCGCGAGATCACATACCTGAGCACCACGAGCAGTGTTCTGAGCAGCACCACCGGGGATCAGCTTAGCATCCCGGGCGAGGAGGTCCTCGTAGATACCCATGTGCTGCTCCTCAGCGAGAATGGCATCGTTGTCCTTCAGACCATACTTCTCGAGGAGGGCGGCATCTCTTGAGACAAATGTCAGCAGATTGGATCTTGGAATTCGATTAGCAAGTCGATTCGTACCCACGAGCCTGGATGTCTACTCAGCAAGTCAGCAATCTACAGTATGCCATCTCCTCTAGGAGCGGGGGTGTACCAACCGAGGAGAGGGTTCTCCAAGCACAGCAGAGGGTAACCTTGAGGGGCGGCCATTTTGACGGATTTTCACTGAGGGGAGGTGGAATTGAGGTGAAATTGAGGGGGTAGGGGTAGAAAAGTAGAGAGAAGGTGGGAGGATGGAGGGGTCCGGCAGAAAAGAAGCCGGGCGGAAGGTCCGCAAGGTGCACGTCGGGCCAACTCCACACGGCGGAGCACAGTCACTGGCTTTCTCTAGACAAAACACCCTGCAACACGTCAACTCACCGCTCCATCCACAATGGCGGACCACATCCTGGAGGTCGCTGAGACCATCCAGTCTGCCTCTATTGTCTCGAACCCGTCTGCTGCCCACGACATCAACCCGGCCACCGCAGCCTCAGAAAAGCAACCTGTCGTCGCAGCCCCGGCTTCCGATGCTGGCAGCCTCTCGTCGGACATTGTCGACCCAAGCCGGGTCATTCGACCCATCCGTCGGCGCCACACGCTTCCCCCTCTGCCCGATCTGCGCTTTGAACAGAGCTATCTGGCTAGTTTGAAGGATGCCGACACCTGGGGACGGGTGACGTGGATTACCGTTAGGGACCAGGTATGGGGATCTCCATGAGATGATTCGTGTGAAAAGATAGCCGATTTTCAAATTGAAAAAAATTGTGAGAATCATGAAGTTAACAAACAACGCCTCCCGCTGCAGGTCCTCCTCCCTCTGATTCAAGGCACAGTTTGGACACTCGCGCTCGCCGGGTGGCGGTTCTGGAACCGCAGTGCCTCGCTCAGTGGACATACCCTCGGAAGCAGGATCCGCAGGTGGTGGTATGAGGTCAACAACTGGAAGCTGCCGCCTCTTGGTTGGACCAAGGATTCAAAGCTGGCCTCGCAGGTTGAAGATGTGAGCAAAGCAGTACATCAGTCCTGCTGATCTAATGAAACCCATGTGGCTGACGGTATTCGAGTTCTTGCAGTTCTACAAAGCCCAGTTTTCTAACGCTGGTTCTGACTGAGTCTCAATGACGCTGAAAACTAAAATGTTTCAAATGCTTTGAGAAACCACCGTTTTACTAGCATCATTGGCGTTGGATTTGGCGTTCTTGATTCTATGGATTCCTTCCTCTACTGTTCTATATCCCAATTTAAGAGTATTTTCCCCTTTTCAGCGACGAAAGTCGCGCGTATTAGTTATATTAAAATCAACTGCACATACTACGGCCTTGTTTCCCTGTAGGAAAAAGCATAACGTCATCAACGACTCAATTCAGGATCCGATTTCTGTTATGAACATTCCCAGGTTTTGTACTCGGAAGCAAAGCGAAGCGTTAAACTCCCATTCTGATCAAACTCCATATGTTCCTACATGACTAGAGTAGACAACGCTGAACCTTTATAGACCTATCTAACAAAGCAAATAATAAGCAGTCGCTCAGCTGGTCGGTGGCGCCTGCGCACGAGGCAATTCAGAGCTGGGGCGGCTTTCGGCACCGTGGTTAGACCCAGTCCACCCATTTGACGCGCCTGACTGGCCGGTTCTGGGTACTTCGGATGGAGAGGAGATGGGATGAATCGGTGCTGGAGGCACATAAGACGCATTGATCAGTGTCTGGGTAGTGGGCTCTTGGGCATTCAATACGGAAGACATGGGTCGTGCAGCCACGGTTGGTGCTGATTGAGATGGGGCGGCCATTGAAGAGGCTGCAGCAGGCTCTGGAGCAGAAGTTGGCTGTGGTTTTGATAAAATGGGAGCAGGTTTTTCTGCAGGCACACCAGCTTGGCCGGCATCTTCCATCAGAGCATCTTGCGCAGGTGGAGGAGGAGGCTCATCGGGATCTTCGGGACCACCAGGCGCACCCCCTTTGCTGTAGCGAAGCTGGACGACGAGGCTCCTGGGCTCTCCGTTGAGGATTGATTCGTCGCCGCTCGCATCCTCTCCTTCGTCGTCGCCCTCAAACTCGTTTTCGTCGTCGTCGCCACCGTTCCAGTTGTTCCCACTGTCGTTTCCAGTCGAATGAGCTTCCGACTCATCATCTAAGTCGTCAAACCCATATCCAGAGTATCCATTGGGATGAGTAGAGGTCCGACTCCTCTGCGGTCTTCCCTCGTCTTCTTCCTCGTCCCCAGAGTCTTCGCGCTGGCCACTGAGCAGTGCTTCGCCGTACATGCCGCCGGCACGGGATCGAATTTGCCGGCCACTTGCTGTAAATCGAGGGCGCGAAGATTCCGCTGGTGCAACACCGGACGAGGTACGAGCCGAACGTCTGGCAGGTTGATCATCCGAAAAAATGTCCTCGTCGTCATCGTAGGCGTAATTCAATTTCTTGCCACGAGTGCGCCCCTCATACAAAGAGAATCCAGGCTCGGGTCGAGAGAATGCAGCCTTGCGCGCAAGACGGTAGTCGCGACGTCTGCGTTTCTGGTGATATTGTCAATAACCGCTCCTTCTTGAAGTCCTGTCTAGTCTATTAACCTACCTCTTCTGAAGCCTCAAACCGGGGAATCGCATTTCTGATCCGTTCGCTCAGCTTCTTCGAGTTGGTACCTTTCTCCTCCTGCAATCTATCGGCGATAGCCTGCATCTCTGGGATACTGCCAGCAACACTCCACCAAGAAATGTGTTTGAGTGATGGGTTGCTCTCGCGGTATAAGCGAAAGTGAGTATCATCTTGTCCTTCGATAAGCCAATAGCGCCTTTTCAAACTGTCGCGGCCCCAGGGCTGAACGGATAGAGGCTGGTTGAGGTCGTCATCGTGGCGCGACTGCTTGTATGACTCTTTTAGCTTCGCCTGGATCGCATCGGATGACGAGAGGGACCATAGGGCCAAAGAGCGAAGGAGTTCCAGCTATAATGAAAAAGAAAAGGATCAGAATGTTTTCACGAGTATTCACATGGTTGTTAGAAAGCGTACGCGTTCTTCGGGCGACATGGTCGCAAAGCTGCGGCCTCCGTGAAGGGGGTTCTTGCCCTCCCACGCCTTGGGCCACTGCGACTGATGGATCTGAATCGCCTCCTCTAGTGGTCGTGTATAGTGATTCCGTCTGTAGATGTGGAGTACTCATTAGCGCACCGTTCTGCAATCAATTGGGTGGTAGAAGCCCGGAGCGCGCGCCTGCCAGAACTCCGCGCGGGATCGGGCATCGGGTGGCGACCATACTCAACATCTTTCTTGCGATTCAAAACGAGACCCAGCAATGCGCATAGCAGGCGCTCAATATATTCCCCAGGAACCGAGTCCTCCACTCCAGTCTCAATGTCTTGCGGACCGAAGTGTGGCAGTCCACGGGGGAAAGCTTCGTGAAAACGCGCGCGGAACATGACGATGAACTATTGATTGCGACAACTCAGCAAACACGTACTCGGATAGACTTCGCGCGTCATCGAAGTGGCCATACACTCAAGTATTGATAGAAGCCACTTGATATGAGAATCACTTACCGCGATGCTAGGGTTGTCTGCTAGAACGTATTCATGCGGTGGTGATGGCTCCCGCTTCGGCGGCGGCGTCTCGGACTCCTTCTGAAAGTATTTGGCGATACCGACAGGCTCATCAATTGCCATGGCCGCTTCATCATCAGTAGGCGGGGCTGATGAGAGCGAGGAGAGTTCTGAGTCTGAGGGTGCCATGTTAGTTGTGGTGGGGAGGTGATGCGAAGACAAGGTTAAGAGTCCGCGCAGGAAGCGTCACGTCGGCACTGGCACCTGCGCCCGCAGGGCAATTATCCAAGGGAGATTTCTTTACGCGACAGAGCCCGTTCAACATGCGCGATTTGATTTCAACGCTTCTAGCCATTCTACCAAGGTCAGTATATCACCATGTATGGTCTATAACTTGCTCAATTTGGAAGGCTAAGAAACTAGAAGTGATTATAGATGGGCGCCGGGGGTAAGTCCTTTGAACATGGATCTCTAGTCAGAGGGCAGCAGGATTGAATCAAGCTGCGATTCCGGCTGGGGGTCATCGCAATGCCTTGCCTGCACGGCTAGTATCATGTGCTGCAGTCACCGAGTCCGTCATAGGTGACATGTCACCTTATATTTTTATGTTCTTTTTATTCGATCGCAACTTTTGACATCACAAGGTGAGATGGAGGGATATAGAAGAGTGCATTTTAGACAGGAGTGTTGGCAAGGCGGGTTTTGGCAAATATTTCCAAATTCTTCTCAGCTTGGGAGATGCATCCAAGGGTAACTAACCAGTTCTCTGCAGCTCGCAGACAACAGCACGGTCGGCCTGCGCTTGTCGGTGTCAGGGCTATCACATGTGTCACGTGGAGGGCTAAGTAACCCAGGGGAGTTAGCGTGGTCTTCGTAAGGGCTACATTGTATGCCCTCAAGCAACGGGATAAATGAGGCATAATCGATCCGTTGGCTGTCGACTGTATCTTCGGCTAAAGTATATCATTTTTACCTAAATTAGTCTCAATATTATCACGAAAATTTCCATGACCTGGTGCTAACTGCGTTATTGTTCTCCTGGTTGCTTAGCTAAGCAGCAGTTGCGCTAGCGCTGATTCGGTTAGGTTAGCGACCGCACCCTAAAGCCCACACAGTCCCATCCCCGACGATTTCTCATCTCCTCAACGACAAGCCCATCTTCAATTCGAGGTACGACCTTTCCCTTCCCACACGACTCTGTCTTCGCTGGCACTCGACTGTCTTCCTGTCCTTCGCGAATACTTACACAGGTTTTTCTTTAGACAGTCGCCATGGGTCGTGTGATCCGCAACCAGAGGAAGGGCCGTGGCTCCATTTTCAGTGAGTGCGATCGCAATAAAAATCCATCCTGGCACGATTCTTTTCTTCGGCGCTACGCACGAACGCAACGAGGAAATTAAAGACCTGGGAAGCAATGGCAAAGTGGAATTGGAGTGCTGATAATTTTTTTTCTTTCCTTCATAGCGGCCAACACCCGTCTCAACAAGGCCCCTGCTCAGTTCCGTACCCTTGACTACGCTGAGCGTCATGGCTACACCCGCGGTGTCGTGAAGGAGATCATCCACGATGCCGGCCGTGGTGCTCCCCTCGCCAAGGTCCAGTTCCGTCACCCCTACAAGTTCAAGATGGTTACCGAGACCTTCATCGCCAACGAGGGCATGTACACCGGCCAGTTCATCTACGCCGGTAAGAACGCTACCCTGAGCGTCGGCAACGTTCTTCCCCTCGCCTCCATGCCCGAGGGTACCGTCGTCACCAACGTCGAGGAGAAGGCTGGTGACCGTGGTGCTCTTGGCCGTACCTCTGGCAACTACGTGACCGTCATCGGTCACAACCCCGAGGATGGCAAGACCCGTGTCAAGCTCCCCTCCGGTGCCAAGAAGGTCATCAAGAACACTGCCCGCGGTATGGTTGGTATCGTCGCCGGTGGTGGCCGTACCGACAAGCCCCTGCTCAAGGCTTCTCGTGCCAAGCACAAGTTCGCTGTCAAGCGTAACTCTTGGCCCAAGACTCGTGGTGTTGCCATGAACCCCGTCGATCACGTAAGTTTTAGCTGCTTCACCCCGCTCCCTGACGACACACCTTCTAATCAGTCTGCGTTCTATAGCCTCACGGTGGTGGTAACCACCAGCATATCGGTAAGGCCTCGACCATCTCCCGCTACGCCGCCCAGGGTCAGAAGGCCGGTCTTATTGCCGCCCGCAGAACCGGTCTGCTCCGCGGTACCCAGAAGACCAAGGATTAAGCGTGATATTACGTGGAGTTTTTCTGGTGACGGGTTGAAAATGGACTTGTGCTATGAGACAAATGTACTTAGGCGACTGCGGATAGGCGTCCCATGCGCCCTTAGCGAATTAAGGTTGGCCACCATCCTTTTCCTGGTCGAGCAAAATCAAAGGGGTGATGGAATGGGGCCCGAGGCTGGCCTCAGTCAAGGCAGAACGGAGAATTCAAAAAAGGCCCTTGGGGCTCTTGAAATGATACACCTTTCAAATCTTCAATCGTTCTGGTGCCATCCACCCTGTAGAGCTAGTTCTGACCAACCTTAGGTTCCAGTTGAACGTTGGGATTCCAGGCCTCCCTGGCCGCAGCTAACATTGGTACATCTGAATTTCTCACAAAGGCCCTCCTCTATTTGCCTGATCTTTGGTAGGTTTTTGACGCTAGCTGCGCATTCGGTAGATGTAGGTATCCCGTACACACTGCCTAGTCCTTGGAAGGCTCCACAGCAACATCTCGAGCGCATTTTGATAACGGTCTCAGAGCCCACCTTTTGCCAGTCCAATAGTGATTTCACCGATAAGGCCTAAAGAGTCTTCATGTCAGCAAGTGAGGGTAATTTCTACACCAGCAGCATGAGGAGGTATTCCGAATAGACAGCGTACACGAAAACCCACGCCATCCCAATTTCTTAAGACGATCTTGGGGGGCGATAGACATGGCAACGGCTACGTGATGTCCAAAAAACCTTCCTTCTTGTGGTAAGGTTGCAATGGATATGTTTGGCCTCGTCTGCTACATGGATGCTACTTTTCTATTCCACCTATTTTCATTTCTAGAGGATGGATGGAACTTGAATTAGGTATCTTGAATTTGAATGGGGGTTGTGATGAGATATATCTTGGCTCGCCTCTTCGCCAGCAGATCTTAGAAACTTTATTTTGATACCGACAGGAATCTTAAGAGCTCCAGCTCGACTGGAACAATCGAAGTCGTCGATCAAACCTAATTATTAACACCTTGACACAAAAAAAAAAAAGACCGAAAGAGTATTGCTTGCCGGCAGAACGACCAGATTGCGTTGATCTCAAAGTGACCAATCAGCAGTGTGTCCCAGCCACGGCACCAACTCCCCCCATGGACTCGAAGCAGCCTTGAGTACCCGGTATTCATACTGCATCGCAAGATCCAAACCATGCAACCTACTCCCTGAGGCCGACTGACAGGAGTCAAAATCTAAATCCCCAGCAATGATGATGACTTCTGAAAACACACCGCAGAAGATCCCACGGCTTAGCCGATCCACCGATGCCCTCACCTCCTCCCAGCGGTGGCAAGCTGTCACAAAGCGCGACCCCTCCATCAACAGTTTCGTTTACGCAGTGCTGACGACCAAAATCTACTGCCGCCCTTCATGTGCCGCCCGCTTGGCGCGCCGCGCCAACGTTCAGTTCTACGATACCCCCTCGCAAGCCGAGGAGGCCGGATTTCGGCCCTGTAAGCGCTGCCGGCCACAATCGGGAGGGACGGCGCTTGCAAACAATCCACAAACTGCGGTTGTCGAGAAGGCATGCGAGGCCATTCGCGACGAGCTAGCGGCAGGGCTGAAACCAAGGCTCCAAGACCTAGCGGCTCACGCTGGCCTGACGCCGAGCCATTTTCATCGTGTGTTCAAGAAGCGCATGGGCGTGACGCCCGGTCAGTATGCGAGCAGTCTTGTCCAAAGGAATGAGCGCGCCTCGCCGGAATCTCTAACGCCAGACACGTTGTCTGAGCTTGAGACACCGCGATTTGACTTCCTGGACGAGCGTGGGCAGGGCGTTCTGAATTTGGATGCGGGTGAAAGCCTGTTGGATGTCTTGTGCCCGGCAGCCGGTCTGTTGGCGGATGAAGGAGATCCCCCTGTCAGCGTGGACAATGCCTGGAATGACTTCGATGCCTTTCTGGTCGCTGAACACGGGCAAATATCCGGGCCTTTGGAGGATCCGCCGGTCTCCATTGACCCCCGGATCATCTCGGGATCACCTCGGCACTTGGAAAGAGATCGCGGGGCATATTTTCATCCTGTTCATCGCTAACTCTAGCCAATCATTTCCTACGATCACATTGAGTATACGAAGCATTGACCTTGTTCAATAATGATGACATGTTTTAAATGTTTTGTGACCAAATGCCCGATGGAGAAAAGAGACCATCAAAGCCCTCCCCCTCTCCGTAAAAGGTCAAGCTATCCCTAAGACGCGACCGCAGAGTGTGCGGATTGCCGCAAGGTCATTGGTCGAGTTCGGGGTGGCTCTGCATCGCCACCACCAAGTCCGGCAAAGGGGAGGACTGAAACACCGCCGAAACCTTTTTGGCCAAGGTCCCGGCTGCTCCGTGCACCGAGGTACGTAAACCGTGACAAAGTTGAATCGAGGACTATGTAGCTACGCAGCCCGTGGCGCGATTGTCTCAGAACTGTCTGGGAGGATCATGGCCAGGATTGCAGGCTGGACCATTGACTGGACCCTGTCTGTTCCTTGTTGGCGGCGAGTCAGGATAATCTGTATCATCGGGGAGGTCTGGCAGAGATAATTATAGCAGCCAGGAAGATCCGGTCCCTGGTTCCTGGCGCTCCAATTGGAAGCGCGCCTCCCCACCGTCGGCCCACCAACGCGTGTCACAGCTTTAGCCGCCGTCAAGACCCGGCCACTGACCATTTGAAACTTCCCTTGTCTGGCAGGGGGAGGAAGGAGCGGGAAAAGTCAAGACACTGTGCGTTTGAGGGGTCGGATGTATTGATAGGTGGCTTTTCGTCCAGTCAATGGGGGTTGTTCAGGCCTTCGGGCCTTTCTGTTCAGTGATTTGGATGGATAACAATCGTTTTCCTCGTAGCGCATTCCCCACCGATCGACATCCACATCGTCTCTGCATGCAGTGAAGCGCATTTGGGGGAATTCCAGAAACTTTTGGTGGCGCACCGAATCAACGGGGCACGAAATTGGCTTGACATAGCGTGCCCAGGGATGCTTTACTTTATTGAGCTTGTTCTCCCTTGGCCCGCGTTCCTTCCCAACCCCTCCCTTTTCCCCTTATCCACCACCGTTTACGTACGCCGTACATCCTCCCCTGCCGCTGCCGGGACTGCCTCTCTGGAACTCTTGTCGTCGAGCTGCGAGTTTCTTGACCAGATCACCTTGCCATCGCTATACCAGATCATCAACCCTCGGATCTACCCCGCCTATTACTGTGCTGCGCGCAGTTGTTAATCGTGTTGACCGTGTTGACCGTGTCGACCGTGTCGACCGCCTCAATATCTACATTCTCGTCTCAACCCCATAACGAACAATATCCACCATGCATATGAACAAGAGGATCGGCCGTCTCAAGCAATGGGCTGGAGAGCGGATGGGCGGAGAAGTGAAGACATGCCAGTCAGATGATTTCAAGGCAATGGAGACGGAGATGGGCGTGCGACATGAAGGTAAGCTGCCGTGGTTCACCCCGTTCACCCCGAGACTAAATCTCAATGCTCATGTGCCCATTTCTAGGCGTCGACCGCATCCATAAGTCTATGACCGCATACGTCAAAGCCATCTCCAAGCGCAGCGAGGGCGATGATAAGGAAAAGACCCTCCCAATAGCCCATTTGGGAGGCAGCATGGTCAGCCATGGAGAGGATTTTGACGCCAACTCCGAGTACGGGCAGTGCCTAACTAGTAAATACTCACGCGACGCGACAACTCTGTTGATGGATAGCTGACCACTCCCGACTAGTGTTTGGACGAACCGAAGAGCGCATTGCGCGCATCCAAGAGGCTTATATTGCGCAGGCGACTTCGAGCTGGCTTGAATCCCTGGAGAGATCCCTGACCCAGATGAAAGACTATCAGGTAAGACAGGCTTGGTTTAAGCCCGCTGGCACGGGGGCCATAGGCTAATGACCTTCATAGCACGCCCGCAAGAAGCTTGACAGTCGACGGCTGGGATATGATACTTCACTCTCCAAGATGGAGAAGGCGAAGAGGGAGGACTTCCGCGTGGAAGAAGAGCTACGCAGCCAGAAAGTCAAGTATGAAGAAGCCAATGACGACGTGCTCCGTCGCATGCAGGACATCAAAGATACCGAAATGGACAACGTAATGGATCTGGGAACCTTCTTGGAAGCTCAGCTGGAATACCACGAACGCTGCCGTGAGGCGCTTTTGCAACTCCGGAATGAATGGCCTGGCGGGTCCGGCCAGGGACTAGCTCCGCCGCGTCGTCCGGCGCGAGCCCGGTCCAACACTGCTCACTCGTACCAGGAGCGGTATGAGCCTGTTAAGGAGGAGTTGACGATCGTCACGGAGAGCCGGCCTCCTATTCGATCAGGAAGAACCATCTCGACGCACATGACTGAATCTCCCGCAAGAGATGCCTACCCGGCTAGCAATAGCTTCTCCCGGCCAGGTCTCAGCCGTACATCTACCTTTGAAGGCCCAAATCAGCTGCGTCAAGAACATTCACCAGTTGCGACTCAATGGATTCAGCGGACTACCAGCGACAATTTGGTCAACCGCCGAAACAGCGTGCTTGGTGGGAGACTTCCCGTTGATCCCTACGCAGACTCTGAGGCTAGTTCCTATGGCCGTTCTAGCCCCGACCGTATCTATGGTGGGCGATCGAGCTCTCCCGCTACCTCTCATGGGAGCGTGGCTTCTCGTCAACCTAGCTCCACTGCCTTGAACAAGAAGGCTCCTCCACCTCCTCCCCCATCTCGCGCGAAGAAGCCTCCACCTCCCCCACCCAAGCGCTCACTGGTCGCAGCAGCGGACGCGTGAGAGAGCGGATTGCAGATCGGTGCTGCGTCCTTCGGTTTTGAGCAGGGGTGGTTGGGAGTTTTTGGGACGATCCACTACGGCGATGGCTTGCATTTATCCTTATCTTTATGTCATTCATCCCTTAAATGTGATCTGGGATGGATAATTCTCTTCTTTTGGCAATATGATTTGTTGTGCATTAAGTTCCCCAGTCATGGATGGTGGGCTTTTAAGCATTAGGTGATACCCGGATTCGGGCTTTTTATTTTCATTCACTACGCGGGAGGAGAAGAATGGATACTTTAGTTAGCAAATGTGCAGGTAGATTGGACCCGGCTTGCCTTCGTGGAGAGCAACGATTGGAACTGTACTCTGCTATTTTGCGTGCCTAGAAGTAGATAGAGTAGGCAAGTCCAGTGGTTGCCTTGCTGCCTGAGTAACACGGCAGTGAAACGGCAGCCTGGGCACGGTACCAGAACTGCGCCGTTCCGCGCGGCCTTCAGCACACAGCGCTGAGTCAGCTCCTCGTTCCCCCGTGACCACCCGTGACCAGCACACGAAATCTCCTCGCCGCCCTCCCTGTTGTTAGTCGCCTACTCAGCGAGCACCAGCTTTCCCCGAGCGAGTCGCGCAACTCGGTCCCCTCCATCTCCATTTCCATCCATCCACTCCTGCCACGCGCCCTCCCCAGCGCGACGTCGCATTTTGCGCTCCCCTTCCCGGCTGTCGCGCTGCCACCATTTTACTTCGCTTTCTTTGACTCCCCTTTCGTTACTGGGAGTACCCGCCCCCCATAATCCCCATTCATCGATCGCATCCCCCGAGCTCTGACCACGGGCCCAAACATCTCCCTGCTCATCGCCAAGAGCCTCGACAAACCCTTTCGCCTGCCCTGTTCCATCCTCGGACCCCCCTGTCGCGCTTCTTCCCTCGATCGCGCTTCCCAATCCCCCCTTCGCTTTCCGGGCGCGACCTGGCGTGGTAACAAAGTGGAGCCCGTGACATTCAGTCTATATCCGCTTCCTTCGTCGTCGCATTGAACACACATCGCGCCCCTGGGCCACTTATGAATTGAGGAGACACGCGCATCGCCATGGCTTCCTTGCAGTCGGCGCCCAACGTTGCGCCTGGCAATTACGCCCTGCCGGCGAACTTAACTCATCAGCACGTCCAGGAAGTTCTGCAGGTGTGTATCTGACCGTCTCTCCGATGCCCCATCCACCCCTCAATGGTTTTGCCTTCCTGTTGTCGCTTGCATATACCTAGATTGGATGTTCCATCTGACGTCGCCGCAGAAATTCAAGCAGATGCAGGAGCAAGGCGTCAGCCAGAGTGACCCTGAGTATATCAAGGCCCACCAACTCCTCGCCACTATCCAGCGCCAGCAATTGATGAAGCAGAAGCAGCGCCAGCAGCAGGCCCAACAACAAGCCCAGCAGCAGGCCCATCCTGTGAATCTGAACCTGAATGGCGCTGTCCCTGACGCTGCCATCAACGGGGCACACGGTAAGTCTCTTGATAATCTTGTCAATTACTGACACACTGATTCTAACAATCTTTCGACTTAGCTCGGAATACTTCAACCTCTTCTGCGGCTGGGGCTACCCCCGACACACAGTCTGGTGCTCAGTTTCAAAACGCGACCCGGAAGGCTCCAACGGTCGGCAGTGGAAGCTTTTCGCCAGAGCAGCTGGCCACTCTTCGGAATCAAATAATGGCATTCAAAACTCTTTCCAAGAACCAGCCTATCCCAACGGCTCTTCACCAGCAGCTTTTCCTGTCCAAGAAAGCACAGACACCCACCATCACAGAAAAGGTCACATCGGCAGAGAAAGCCATTGACATTGCTGACAAAAGCACGGCGGGACCGACCGCAGATGCCCATGATGGTGTCCTTTCTGACAAGGAATGGTACAGCAGCTTCCAGATTCCTGAAGATGTGCTTCACAAGGTCATCAATTATGGGCGGCATAAACACCGCATCGATCGGCCACGCATTCCGGCTTTCGAGGCCGGTGGTATTGACTGGCGCCAGGTTCGGGAGAACCGTGAAGCTGTCGTCTACAATCGCATGTCCGCTCGCATGAAGGAGCTTGAACATCTTTCGGCCAACATTGGTGTTTGGGACACCAGCAAGAGCGATGCACCCACCGGCGACGACTCCTTGAAGCTCAAGGCTTTGATTGAGCTTAAGTCACTGGCTCTCCGGTCGAAGCAGCAGGCTCTTCGCGAGAAGATTCGTCGGACAGGCTTCGACGCTAGCGAGACAAACCAGACGAATCGTGCCAGTCATCGTCGCATGAAGCGGCCGTCCTTACGCGAGGCACGAATCACTGAGAAGCTCGAGAAGCAACAGCGTGATGCTCGCGAGACACGGGAGAAGAAGAAGCAGTATGATCAGCTCCAAGCAATCCTCAATCACGGCGCCGAACTTGTCAATGCCTCCGTCCAGAGCCGCTCTCGTTCGACGAAGCTTGGTCGCATGATGCTCCAGCATCACCAGCATATGGAGCGCGAGGAGCAGAAGCGTGTGGAGCGCACTGCTAAACAGCGTCTGCAGGCCCTGAAGGCCAACGATGAGGAGACCTACTTGAAGCTCTTGGGACAGGCCAAGGATTCGCGTATTTCGCACTTGCTCAAACAGACTGATAAATTCTTGCAAGAGCTTGCCTCTTCCGTTAGACAGCAACAGCGGAACCAAGCAGAGCGTTACGGCGACCACGAAGACTATGAAGATGAGGACGAAGAGATCGCGGACAGCGATAACGAAGATGACGGATCTTCTGGAAAGAAGAAAGTCGACTACTATGCTGTGGCCCATCGTATCCAAGAGACGGTCACAGAGCAACCGGGAATTCTGGTTGGTGGTACCCTGAAGGAATACCAATTGAAGGGTCTGCAGTGGATGATCTCGCTATATAACAACAACTTGAACGGTATTTTGGCAGACGAGATGGGCCTCGGAAAGACCATCCAGACCATCAGTTTGATCACTCACATCATCGAAAAGAAGAGGAACAACGGACCGTTCCTGGTCATTGTGCCTCTTAGTACGCTGACTAACTGGAACTTGGAGTTTGAGAAATGGGCGCCGTCGGTCAACAAGGTTGTTTACAAGGGTCCCCCCAATGCTCGCAAGCAGCAGCAACAGCAAATTCGCTGGGGCTCTTTCCAGGTGCTCCTGACAACTTACGAGTACATCATCAAGGATCGACCCATTCTCAGCAAGATTAAATGGGCCCACATGATTGTGGATGAAGGTCATCGGATGAAGAACGCGAGCTCTAAGTTGAGCAGCACCCTGTCGACATATTACCACACGCGTTATCGTTTGATTTTGACTGGTACTCCGCTGCAGAACAACCTGCCTGAGTTGTGGGCGCTCCTCAACTTTGTCCTGCCGAACATTTTCAAATCCGTCAAGTCGTTCGATGAGTGGTTCAACACGCCATTCGCCAACACTGGTGGTCAGGATCGCATGGATCTGAGCGAAGAAGAGCAGTTGCTCGTTATTCGTCGTCTGCATAAGGTTCTTCGACCATTCCTGCTTCGTCGTCTGAAGAAGGATGTCGAGAAGGATCTGCCCGACAAGCAAGAACGGGTCGTGAAATGCCGCTTTTCTGCCTTGCAGACCCGACTGTACAAGCAGCTGGTCACACATAACAAGATGGCCGTCAGCGATGGCAAAGGTGGCAAGACTAATGTGCGCGGTCTCAGCAACATGCTTATGCAGCTGCGGAAGCTTTGCAACCACCCTTTCGTTTTTGAGCCCGTTGAGGACCAAATGAACCCTAGCCGCATGACAAACGATCTTCTTTGGCGAACGTGCGGAAAGTTCGAGTTGCTTGATCGAGTTTTGCCCAAGTTCCGGGCCACGGGCCATCGAGTTTTGATGTTCTTCCAAATGACCCAGATTATGAACATCATGGAAGATTTCCTTCGCATGCGTGGCCTCAAGTATCTCCGCCTGGATGGTTCCACGAAGTCGGATGACCGCTCCGAGCTTCTGAAGCTTTTCAATGACCCTGGTTCCGATTACTTCTGCTTCTTGCTTTCCACCCGCGCTGGTGGCTTGGGTCTCAACTTGCAGACCGCCGATACCGTCATTATCTACGATTCGGATTGGAATCCTCACCAGGATTTGCAAGCCCAGGATCGTGCCCATCGTATTGGCCAGAAGAACGAGGTTCGCATCTTGCGACTCATTAGTTCCAACTCCGTTGAGGAGAAGATCTTGGAACGTGCGCAGTTCAAGCTTGATATGGACGGCAAGGTTATTCAGGCTGGAAAGTTCGACAACAAGTCCACCAACGAGGAGCGAGACAAATTCCTCCGCAACCTTCTGGAGTCTACGGAAGATACCGAACAGCTCGGTGACCAGGAGGAGATGGAAGACGACGATCTCAATGAAATTATGGCTCGTTCCGAAGACGAGCTTCGCCTATTCCAACAGATGGACAAGGATCGCGAGGCGACTGAGGAATATGGTCCTGGCCGTCGTTATCCTCGGTTGATGTGTGATGCAGAGCTTCCCGATATTTACGTGCAAGAAGACGCTCCGATTAGCGAGGAACCTGTGACTGAGGTTTACGGCCGTGGTGCTCGTGAGCGGAAGGTCAAGCGATATGATGATGATATCCCTCTGGAGGAGTGGACCAAGCTCGTGGCTGAATGCGAGGAAACCGGTGCTTCAATCGATGATGTGGTTGAGCAGTACTTGCAAGAACGGGAAGATCGCAAGGTCAGAAAAGAGAAGAGGAAGCTGAAGGCACAAGGTGTTGTCGAATCTTCGCCCGAACCTATTGTGGAAAATGACGAGACACCTCCACGGAAGCGCCGTCGTGCCCCTCCTCCCCCCAAGCGGAAGGCTGAGGAAGTTGCAGAGGAGACCCCACAGCCCAAGCGCAAGCGAGGTCGCCAGCCTAAGATCCCGGACACCCTCAGCAGCTCGGACCGGTCCATCTTGAACAATATCCTGACCAGTGTGATCCAGTCTTTGAAAGATATGACCGAAGAGGTCGAGCTTGACGACTCTGATGGCGAGGAAGGCGGGACGGTGCTCCGTTCGATCATTGAGCCGTTCATGAAGCCTCCTCCACGATCACAGTACCCTGATTATTACAAAATCATTCAGAATCCCATTGCAGTGGATATGATCGAGAGGAAAATCAAGCGCGACGATTATCAGGGCTTGAAGGAATTCCGGGAGGACATTCACCTCCTTTGCCAAAATGCTCGGACATTCAATGAGGATGGAAGCATGCTGTTCCAAGATGCCAATGACATCGAGGTATGTTTTCTCTCTCCTTAGCCCACTTCTTTCTTTTCTTTTTGGAAACATTAACTAACATGCGAATAGGCTAAATGCTTGAGCGAACTGAAGAAGCTGACCGATGCTCACCCCCAGTTTGCGAACTTCGATAGTTCGGACTCCGTTGGTGACGGACTGTCAACAGGCCTCGCCTCTGGTACCGCTACTCCTCAAACTACCGGCACTCCTGGACAGCCGAAGCTGAAGCTTACGTTCAACAATCCCAATGCTGAAAGCGCCAACAGCACGGCGAACGGGGAGGATGCTGACGAAGACTGAGGTTACAAGGCCGCCACACCTTTTTCATCCTGAATTTTGATTTATTTTGACGCCCCACATGTCTGTGTTTCTGCGATTCTGCTACCTGTAACCTGAAAGTTTGAGTTTACTTCCGCTGCGGTCCTGTGAGGTGCTGCGGGAAGGGCGTTCCACTGTGATTTCCTTTGGGGTTGGTTAGGGGCTTCGGGCACGGATGCTCGACGATGGGCGCTGTGTCTTGCTTTTCTTTTTGATGAGCGATCTATTTCCGGGGGTTCTGTCTTTCTGGCCGTGGGGATGATCGCTAGATGAGGGCCGAAGGCAAACCCTAGTATCATTTTTTAAATATGTACGTTTTGAAGTTAAGGACCGCATTCGAACCGGCCCAATTAGCATATTCATTTCTTCACATTGATGCTAAGCTGATACGCCTCCACGTCTTCGTAAAGCGGAGCACGCTTATGAACCCCATTGAACTGCATATCCAGCAAACGATAGCTCGACCAGCCAGAAGGCAGCCTCAGCCCCCCCAAACAGCGGTATCTAACTACTACCTGCGTTGTGACGAATGTAGGGTCGGCATTATCTACGCTATACGTCGCAACCCTCGAAAGGGAGGGGTTCCCATGGAGCGGGGCGTTCATGCAGCCGAGAGCGACTTGAATGACAGGCAAAAGAGAGCGAGCTGCAGGCCCCTCTCACCGATAGTTTTGTTCGTACAGCGAGGGGTAGGAACCTCGCAGCCATAAGAACGGTGCCGTCCCTGCAATCCCCCTCCATGTGCACACACATCCACCACAGACATGGCCGAGAACAAAGAACTGACGGGCAAAGTTGCGCTTGGTAGGGTCTCTATCCAATCAAACCAGATTCATAGCTGATCAATATAATCTCCTAGTGACTGGAGGCAGCCGCGGGATCGGCGCCGCGATCGCTCTGAAGTTTGCCCAGCGGGGAGCAGACGTGGCCATCAACTATATCTCCTCAGCGACTGCAGCGGAATCTGTGGCGGAGGCGATTCGCGCCCACGGAGTCCGCGCCATGACCGTGAAGGCCGATATCTCCAACGAGACCGACGTCGGTGCGATGTTCCAGGACGTCGTGCGTGAATTCGGCCGCCTCGACATTGCAGTGAGCAACTCGGGGATTGAGCATTTTGGTAGACTGGACGAAGACACTGGAGCCGATATCGACCGTATTTTTGCGGTCAATGTCAAGGGCCAGTACTTTGTGGCGCAGCAGGCGTACAAATACATGGAGGACTACGGACGGGTCATGCTGACTTCGTCCATCTCCGCGGTGAAGGTGAGTACATCGTACCCGGCGAAGTCCCTCTCTGTCATCTCATTCATTGGCGATTTATCCAGGGTGTCCCTCGACACGCCGTGTATGCGGCGTCCAAGGCTGCCATTCTGGGAATGGCCAAGTGTCTCGCCGTAGACTTTGGGCCGCGCAACATTACTGTCAATGTCCTTGCAGCAGGAGGCGTCAAGACGGATATGTACGATCATAATGCGACCGAGTATATCCCCGGCGGGGAGAACATGACCGCTCAGCAGATCGAAGAACTGCTTTCTAAATGGTCGCCATTGGGTCGTGTCGGACTCCCAGAAGATGTTGCGGGCGTGGCTGCTCTGATTGCCAGCCGAGACTCGCAGTGGTTGACTGGCCAGACGTTCCATGTGTCTGGCGGCGCGTATATGACCTGAGGAGATGGCCCAGGCGGATGTAGTTGAGATATCATCTATAGAGAGATTCATGCAGCTGAATACGGTAACCGAAGGCGTACCCCCGTGCCTAAAGTGTGAAGGCTGTACTGAAGCCTATAAATCATACATGGATGCCACCCTGCATCACCATAAACTAACTCTGTTATTACGTAGAAACCAAGCAACCATAAGAAGCCTCGTAGGCATGCAACTAGAACCCAGCCCGGCGAACTGTTATACCACCCAGACACCCTCAGTTCTGCGAATTGTCGGCTGAGCGACTCCCAATGAATAAAGCATCTCTGTGTTTATCATCTACTTGTCCATTGCGGAGGCATCTGAACTATCAGCGAGTAGTGGGCCATTCCACTTGGGCACAATTCCCTCCAGCCAACCATAGTGTCCCAATCTACTCCTAGGTCGCCGCTCATATTGAATCATATAGAAATTATCTCGTCTTTTGTCACCTTGCAGAGAAAATCGACGAGCGAGGCTAGGATACTATTGGGTTCGGCGCATTTTAGGGAAGATTGGGTTGAAGACAAATCGAATTAGACCAAAGGAGGTACTTCGACCTCACTAGTGCGCAAAGTATAGCATCTCGGACCGGTTCCTACCAGTTCAATGCGACCAGATTCGTTCACGCAGTCGAGCCCAGCGCGACGGTTGCGATTTTGTAACAGGCTCATACTTCAAGACAGGCTCCATAACAATACCAGGGTTCACTAAAAAAGCCTCCATCATTCTCAGCAAGCAAGCCGGGTTTTGACTCTCGAGTCTGCTACGGAGCCGTTCTTCAACCGCGTCTTTCTCTGCCTTTGAAAGCTCAACCCCGCGGTATGTGAAACAACAGAGGCACTCCTCTGTACAGTGCCCAATGCCCTTCTTCCCTTCTGACTCCAGATGGTGCTGGCCACAGCATCCACACTCCCGACTACAACAGCCCCCATGATCTCGGCAGTCTTGAATGAGCTCTTTTCGCATGTACCACGTTGGACTTTGTCTCAACGAGTCGTACATTTGTTTCAAAGGCAGCTCGGGCAACATTGACTCGGCTTCATAGCGTGCATGCTCCTTCGTTCTGCATTGCTTTTGAAGCATTTCTAATTCGTCTTCCAAAAGGGACAGCTGACTCCTGTCGACCTCGAAGCTTGCTACTTTCTGGAGAGCGTGGGTTCTTTTCTTTAGCGTTTCCACTCGTTGGACAGTTGCTCGGAGAGCATGCTCAGCGGCGATAATGTCCACAAATAAGTCGCGATGGTAGACTTGCCCACCATATTGAATACCGTAGTACGGCCTCTTGTACCTGGGGTTGTGGTATTCCGGCGGGTCTGCATATTCTTTCACTGGCTCGAATTGTTTGTCAGAGCTCAACGACATGTTCTTGGCGGACATCCTCGGATGGATGTCAGCATGCCCTGGAGCACTTTGCCTGATGCCACAGAAGGGGAATGATGTGATGAGATGGTTAAGTTCGAGGTGATGAAAACGCAAGAAAAAGAGTTCGGGGAGGTTCATGACCGAGGAATGATGCTTATATGTGCTCCTCAGCAGGCCGCCACCGAAAGTTGACTAACCATGGCAGCAAGCTAAGCACCAAATCTAGATCAGATATATCACTAACTATACGTGGTAGGTCAGTTGTGGAGGGCGGCCCCTGAATTATTTATACCTCTTACTTTAATCTTACTTATTAGTCGATTCTCATAGATAATCAATAGTCTTGACTATTAGTTTTCTTTGTAAAGTGAGAGGTAAGGGTCTTAGATTCAGCATTATCATACATGTAAACTAAGTCTACTATCATCAAACGACTAGGCTATAAAAATTGAGCCATGGAACCATCTAGGAACCATCTAGAGGAGCGATGGTGTCACAGGAGCATCCAATCAAAACCCGTTACTTCGACCTTTGATCTCTCCGTCCAAGGAGAGTCGGAATGCTGTCGCTGAATAGGTAGCCTTATTGGAGCCTCACCCACACCGTAGCCTGTCTTCCAATCCTTCGATCTCAATTGCTGGTTGCAGACCAGATACACTGGATGTGACCTTGAAAAGTTTATTCATTGTTGGTGACTTGGCTAAGTTGGTCGCAGTTGCCTATCCCATGGGCTAGGGCTTCTTTCCGCTTCGGAGTGGTGACGATAGCAGCCCTACTCGCGACGTCTCAGGCAGCATACGCATAAGACACAGCATTGCGGACAGCCCCTGCAAGTGACTGATTATCCACCGCCTGATGTGAAAGTATCTCATGAAGAATGTGGTATGCTAGGCTTGGTGGGAGGATGTATGAAATTGCTCTTTCAACTGAAATGCATTCGTGTATTTGCAATTCTATGCTTTGGACCAGGGATGATTAGAGAATAAGTAAGCGCATCTAATGTACAGGGGGGTATTTGGAACGAGGTCGATGATGAACATAAAGTGAGGAACGCAGCAGAACAAAGTCAATCAACAAAATCCCAGTCTACGAGGTTCCAGCAAAAGCCGGGTCCTTGTAGCGGATTCGCAATGCCGAAGTATTGGAGGCATGTCCATCGACAAGGACGTGGCCTTCATGGCGGGTATCAAAGGGAGTCACTTCCAAGGGAACCACGGCACTTCGACCGTGGGTTTCAAGTGCAGCGAAGACATGACCAAACACCTGGCGGTCGACATCTGAAGCCCACAAGAAGTCGAGGTGCTCATAATTGGGAATTGCCTTCGCGACGGTGTCGCGCGGCAGGCCTTGAAGCATGACTTTAATATCGACGAGGCTGTCACTGCCACCATACAAGAGCACGATGGGGGTCTTGATGTTGCGGGTCGGGTATTTGACCGGCTTGTAGAAACGCTCGCTTGCGACGACACTGAAGGGGGCATGGATTTCGTCGTCAAAGAACTGGAAGCTTTTATTGCGGATGATCTGAAACCAATGCACGACGGACTTCGTGCTGGTAAACGAGTAGAGGTGCATATAGGCGGCCAGCTTCTGTGTGCGTGTGATGTTGCGACATTTCCAGTTGAAAAGGGCGGAGAGGGCCATGTCAATGATGCGCACATAGATTGGCGGGTACAGGATTGTTTGCCACATGGTGGTCGATGAGAGGATGCTGCGCCGGCCGAACAAGAGGAACAAGAAATCGGGCGATGCCTTCATGAGGGAGTCGACAATGCGGTTGCGTAGCCCAGACGGAGCCATCGCCGGAGCAAGTGCCACAAAGACATCAATCTTCTGGTTCAACAGAGGATGAATCGAGAGAGTAGCAAATGCTTGGGCTGTACCTTGCGAGAACCCGATATATGAGAGTGACGGTTGGCCGGTCACTTCGAGAATGTACTGAATGCTGTTGGGGATATCATGGAACGCAAATTGATCAATCGAGAAGTCCCAGAACTCATTGGAGCCTGGCGAGAACTTCACGGATTTCTTCGCATATTTGTTACCCCGATTGTTACCCAGCCACACATCGTAGCCCTTCTCAACCAATTGGAATGGCAGACACCGCTGCTCGTCTGTCAGGGCAACCCACACCTCACTGGACATGAGAAGGCCATGGTGGAGGTAGACTACTTTTTTGCAGATTCCACCAACGCCCTGGTTGACTCGCCTACCCTCTTCACCTTTCCGGTATGCCAATCGGTGCAGTCCCAGGAGGTACCCATCTCCAGTTTGGACAATGTGCTCCTCCGCTTCATACCCGAAGAGGGAGCACATCTCAGTAAAGTCGGAAGCTTCTGCTACAGAAGCTGCAAAAATCTCCTCCTTAGTCCGCTTATCGCGTACCTCGGTGGAGATAAACCTGTTGAACAGCGACTTGGATTGGCCATAGCAGAAACGAATAATTGGCGTTGCTGGATGCAGGTCAGCAACTCCTCCTCTGCATGACATTACGAGCACTCCACTCACGAAGACAGAAAGTAATCAGATGAATAATCGTCTCGAGCAGAACAAGCACCAGGGACGCGAAAAGCGCCAGGTACTCGAACCTGAAAGTCACGTCAGTTCGCCACGAGGTGGCAGGTACCAGATGTTAGAGTAGAAAGCCATACCAGAACAGCCTCCCAATTAGGGGCACACGCGCCATAATGTGAAGCGACACACTTGACGGCTTTGTGTAGAGAAGAGAAAGCAGCAAGCGGACTTACTCCTGCGACGTCATGTCCATGTGAAAGCGGTGCTTACCTCATCCGGGGTCATCCAATCAGCGCGGCGTCGAATGATCCCCCAAATTTGCCGGAGCGCCAGTCTGCCGAGTGCATTCGCGCTGGCTCTCTAGACATTTGGACTCACGAGACCACCATGCCCAGCTCGTGCCAGGATATCAGTAAGTTGACAGCCCAGGGTCCCGGTCTGGCAATGGACCCTGTACTACCCACGTTGTGCCCGCGGCCACCGGTATCATATCCGCTGACCGCACGCCACCGAAACAGGAGAGGCGCTGGCCCAATGCCTGCAGGAGTCGGACTGCATCATGGTGCAACGGCACTCCGCGCGTGAATGCCTCAGCTCGCCGCTCGCCGAGGAGTTGCCTATGAAGTGTCAGCTGCTGCGCAAAGGGTTCAGCGAGTGCAAGTGAGTGGATTATCCCGTGCCGCAGGGATTGGGCGAGGATATGGCTCGCAAGATGAGACAAGACAAGCATGGCTGACTTGATGACATTGTGTCTGTTGCAGGCGCGGCATGATCGATATGCGCAAGCGGTTCCGCGGAAACCACCCTATCTCGGTAGCGAAGGAAATGGACGAGAGGAAGACGGGTTCATCAGACCAGCTCTACGCTGGGCGGCCGGCATACCAATCTGTCAAGGAACTGAGTGGTGATGAGGTGCAAATGGACCCGGAGAAGACTCGCGGACTGTGAGGAACATGCTGCGTGCTTCCGAAGATACAATGCGGGAAGGAGATATGCATGGCGGGCAATTACGCCCATCAGAGAGCTTGATTGCGATGTATTCTATGTGGAGAAGATGATTTGATTCATGCTGGCATGGTCTGGAGTTCTGTTCTTTATCTATTCATGGCGCGATCCCCAATCCAAGATACAATAGTAGATACATATATACTGTCTGGCTAAAGGGCTTACAAAACCTTCTACAGCGGCTAATGTAATAACCAAGTGTCATATACCAATGTAAAGGGATTTTTCTATTCTCCCAGGACAAGTTTCTCAAACGTGAACTGGGATTTTGTTAAATCTTCAACCAGGTAGTGTACATGTACGATTTGAGCCATCGACTCTACACATAGCCCACCACTTGGGTATATTCGTAGCAAACAAATCAAAAAAAGAAACAAATCCACATCATCATTGAAAATGCAATCGAAATACAGATCTACTGCGTCTTCTTGACCTTGTCAGCGGCAGGGGCCGAGTAAAGCCAGACAATGACAAAGGCCAGGAAACCTCCAATCACCGACCACAGACCGGCGATCCAGACCCAGCCGCCGCTAATAGCCCAGCTGCGCGGGTACTCGTCGTGCGCAAAGTGGCGCACGGTCACCTCATGCTTCTCCTCGATGTTGGTGAGGAAGGGACGCTTGTAGTTGATGCGGAAGGAGAAGATGCCATGCTGGTCCGGCGTCACAAACTGGGTGCTGTACACGGTACTCGTTTCGGTGCGGCTGGTAGGCTCGAGAGCCAGGCGGTGGAAAGGGGAAAGCATGGTAAACTCCAGCTGCAGCTCGTCCTCGCCGGGGACCTCGAAGGGCACCCACTTGTCATAGGCGTATTCGGAAATTTCGATGCTGAAGACCTATAGTCAAAAAGGACAATTAGTTATCCGGCATGGAGGAGTCTGCACATTAGGGGCACGTACGGTCTCATTCTTGATCCGGTAGATCTTGGGGTTCAGATCCTCGGCGGCGACCTCGCCATCAGTGGCCAGGTGGTGCTCGATCTTTCCAACCTTCAGGACACCAGTCTCCTTGAACGTCCAGGCAGTCAATTGCTTGGCGAACTCGCGGTTGACGGTGGGGGTGGTCTTGCCACCGGGGGCCTTGACCGAGGCCGAGAACCACTTGTCCTCCAGCGCCTCGACGGAGCCAAGGACAGTGAAGCGGGCGGAGTTACGGGCTTGCATGGCTGATACCACGTTCAGCTGGGAACCAGTCGCCTCGATATCCTCGGCCGCGGGCATCTCCTCCTTCGGGTTGTAAGCGTACGCAGTGGCCGGAGCTTGCAGGATAGGTACCACGAGGGCGCTGTCGCTGCTGAGGGTCTGGGGAGCCACGCGGGGCAGGGCGAGGATGCCCTCGCCATCGAAGAAGGCCTTGACATCAGAGCGCAGCTGTCCAGGCCGCTGGAGGAGGAGGACATCATGCTTCTCGGCGGCCGAGACAGTATCGTAGTTGAAGTGGTCGACAACGACGGCGGAGCGGTCATTCGAGAGGTGGATATCGATTTCGAGGAGGAGGGAGCTGATGGCGCTGGAGGTGGAGGCCTTGCCGGAGAGGGCGAGGACGATGTTGCCGTCCTTGCTCAGGAAATCCAGGATGTTCTTCGGGGTCAAGTTGGGACCGAGTCCTGTATGATTTAGTCAATTGATGTCTCGAAATGCCGGAGAAAAAGGTGCCCACCCTTGGATTTTGGAGGGAGAATCAGGAGGTGGTCGTAAGCTCTTTCGCCGTGCTGGAAGAGGGACAGCTTGTCGCTCTTGGGCGACTTGAAGGACACATCGTATCCACGGCCTAATTGAGGAGTTAACAAGACCCAAAGGACGTCAAAAAGTGCCAATCACCTTCCAAATCGGACCACAATGTCGAGTAAAGGCTCTTGTCTGTGGACTCGTCCAAGACAACCAACAGGCGGCTGCCGGAGCTACTCAAAGCGTTGACCGCAGCCAAGAAGCAGCAGAGAAACAACGCAAGGCACCACCGCATCTTGGAATAATTCCGCACCGCGGAGTGGACGCCAGGCTGAGAAGAAGGGAGAAGGTAAAAAAGGAGAGAGAAGGTGGTTGGAGTGGGGAAGTACGCAGGAGGTGTATAGATCACCAGAAAGGGCGACGTGTTAATGGGACAGTGCCAAGACTCGCTGGACCCAGCGCATCTCCGAACCTCGAACTTCACTTCTTCCCCACGGCCTCCCGATTTTGAACCTCCCCCGCCGGTCAAACCCTGCTACCAATCAACCACCGGGTGGTTTCTGTCTCTTTACTTCTACTCAGCTCGCATTTTGTTGTCTGCTGCCTCTTGGCTTGCCACAACCGCCCTCGGTCGAAAAACTCATCCCGAATCGCCCGTCGACTCCCGACCCTCTCTATCGCCATGTCTACCCCTCAGTTCTGGTCGACCCCTCTACGATACATCCGCTGGGCCTCCCATGAGAAGCCTGCGATCTTCTACTCCCTGATCATTGGCTCCATGGGCCCCGTCGCGCTCTTCACTCTGCCTCCGCTCCGCCGGGCTCTTGGTGACGTTGACCCGGAGCCTATCCCCTTGACATACCCCAGTAAGCATACACCCCCCCCAAAAACTCAGACTGGATCGCCGGACACGCAATTGTTCTCCCGAGACTGACCACGATGTTCAATGCGTACAGTTCCGAAGGGTCCGCGCGTGGTCCCCAAGGGCTACGAGGACTAAAAGGCGACCGAGTTGAGCGAACGTTGAGCCACAAGATAATTTAGAAGGCCGTTCTCTGCTGCTTTGGGTCTTGAGAGAAATGGGAGATCCACCCGATGTGGAAAGAAAATGGAACCTTTAGCGATGCCGCCTGCACAATTGGGGGGTCATCAGCAAGATTGTCGAACAATTTTTGCAATTGACCAAGAGCGATCTGCACTTGATCGTTTTCTACCCGTTACGAGGCGCTTTGATACCAATCTTTGTTTGCGTGCGGACTCGGCATGGTCGGGTGCCGAGATCGTTGCAGTGTATGTACTATGTTTTGAGAGTGATCATATAGCCGACGCTGAGTCACTTTCCTGTGTTCAACCTGCGTAGCCGAACTCGAAGGGTTTGGGGAGTATATAGACTTGCAAAAGAGCTGCCTTTTAGGGGGAAGACGAAGAGAGGTCATGTTCATTTTGGCTGAGCTGCTACGACTCAGTACATTCAGCGCGGCGCAGGGCCCTTGCATGACTAATATTTGTGCGCCTATCTTCTGATACTGGTACCATCATTCACGCGGTAGATGGTCATGCGATTATTTCGCCGCTTACCTCCCAAGCACAAGGGCGAGAAAACAAGATTCAATTTGCCTGGAGTCCAACGAGAGCATTTACGAAAATAGCCCTATTTAAGAATTTGCAGATCATTGGGTATATTGCTGGTTGAACTAGGAGAAGTACGGCTAATGCTAAACTCTTCGGAGAGTTGAACAGAGCAGAGTTGATAGTTCAAAATGTGGTTCAATTGGAATGATAGAGCCAATTATCAAAACCCAAGCGTCAACCAGGAGACTGAATAACGCCGTATATGCTCATATCTACATGTAGTTTCATCAGCATCGCTTTATCAAAGCAGTCTCTCCCAACAGCCAGCGGAAGAAAAATGAAAGAAAAAGCAAACGAGATAAACAAGCCCAGTCACCCCACTGGGGAGATTGCAAGTCCAAAAAAAGAAATGAAAAAAAGAAAAGATGGAGAAAAAGCCAAAAAGAAAAGCTTAAGCACACAATCCTGTACACCATCAAAAACAATCAAGCCCAAGCCCAAAAAATATGGAACCCCGAAGACGGGGAGTTTCCGGATATATCATTAAGGCTGGGACAAAAGCGCAGATTAAGAAAGCCACCTTTTTCGTTTCGTAAAACCCCATTCAACGCACTATGCTCCTACTCCTAACAGGCCAGCTGCACGATAGTGCAGTGTAAATTAAAAGCGGAAGGTTCCCGAGGTGGAAAGATCATGCCAGAAAGCCATGGTCATACGAGTTTCCAGTAGGGAAAATCCAGTTCGTGGCAAGAGGATGTCTGACGGATCATGGGAATATACTCCCGAAAGGGCCATGGGATCATGGGACTGGGTATGACCGGCGGCCCAATCTGATAATTTCCTGGACTGGAAAGAAAAGAAAAAGGATTTCACAGGGTTGCGTGGAAGAAAGACGACAATGACACGGCCGGCGTTGTTGGAAAAGCGGAAACGCGGAAAAGCGGAGAGGTTTGTCCAGGAAATATTTTTGGAGATTTCGTCGACATCATCATTTCCCAGGATGCATGATAGTCCAAGTGGGAAAAAAAATTAAATTCATCCAGTGGGCCACAATGGAAGGAGGGGAAATGCAAGAAAAAGTCATCATATCATGCATGTGCAAGACTGCCATGTTTCTTCTTCTAGATCACCGCCGGCGGTGCGGATCCCTTTCCCTGGTTGGCTGCGGCCTACTGCGCTCGTATTCCGGGGTATATCTGGGCTCCATTGAACCTGTCATCCGGGGGTCCGTGGCAGTAGTGGAAGCGGGATACGCTATCCCCGAGGTCACGGGAGGATAGTCCGACTCGGCATCATAACCAGGTCCCGGGTATCTGGGAGCATTGCGGGGACCGCCGTCGTAACCATAGGCCGGGCCAGTGGCGGAGTAGGTGTAAGAAGAAGGATGCATGTCCGCCGTGGTCACCACAGCCTGCTGGGAGCCAGCATAGGTGACTTGGGGTGGAGGGTACGGAGCCTGGCCTTGTCCGTAGGGGGAGTGACTGGAGGTGTAGGAAGTGGGGTTGGGGTAAGGAGCACTCTGGGATCCGCTGTACGGACTTTGGGAGTAGGGATCCATGTAGGGCTGTGCAGGAGCTGCACTGTATGTGGTAGGGGATGGCCCCTGTTGCTGGCGAACCTCATGGATGGCCGAAGTGGCATAGTTCGCTGAGACAGTGTTAGGGGCTTGAGATGGGTTCACATCTTGAATGTAACTACCTCTCGGATAGCCTAGGTCAGCGCGACGCGAGACATCCGCTTCCCAGCGGGCGGAGTCAGCCTTCAAATCAGCAATCATCTCCTATATAAATCCGGTCCTCTGGTCAGATGGTTGTTTCTTTTCTTCCTGCGAATCCATTTGTGGTTCTGTGTCGATTGTCATTACTTACTGATGTGAGATTCCGATAGGCACGGATGAAGAATCCCTGGCGGCCCTGTGGATGAGTCAGTCATCATGCTCGAGTTGACAGCTAAACAAGCAAAAAGTAAGAGGGTAGGAGACGGACACCATGGTTGCCAGGTCTCACGAGCGCATCGTTCCCAAGATAGCGGCAGATATCTGCTTGGATCACTTCGCGGCTGATTCCATCCCCGGGAATGAAGTATTCATTTTGACGGCCAGTCATTATGGGGTCCTGAGGGTAATATCCAGGTTAAAGTTCCCAGGGTTTTCCGACGGGCCAACAGAAAACAAAAAATCCGGACAGTACTGAGAATTCCTTTGGAAAGATGACAGATGACGACCGATGGTGGTGTGTTTGTGTCCGGGGGTTATATTGGAAGAAAGTACAGAGTGTTCTATAGGGCGACCGGCAAAAACAGAATCCAAGGTCGAACCCGTCACCACTTTAGATGAAAAGCAGGGTTTCTTTTGGTTTTCGAGTCCTGAGGGAATGGAGAATCAGGAATCGAAAGAACAGCCCTGGGAAAACGGCCGGTAGAGTAAAAGAGTCCTGGGAGAAGTCCTGATAGTCCTGATCAGGATAGTAAATGGTGTCCTCCGAGGAAGGGAAAAAACAAGTCCGGAAAGTCCTGGAGATCCTAGGGTTCTGGTTGATCCGGTAATATATATCCAAGGTATATCGAGAGAATCGAGAGAATCCACGGACGTTCACACTTTGAGCCAAGCGACTGAATCAAGTCTTGCAAGGCTGTGTGACGAAGCAAGCAGAGGTTGACGAGGCGGACCGGGAGAAAGAGCAACACGGGACCGAGGGAAGAGGAGGTTCAGATCCACGGGTATGAAATCCAGTGCGGCCACACTATCTGATCCACTTATATTTTCTCTTTTATTTCTTCACGGAGAGACCGGGGGGAGAGGAGGAGAAGGAGGAGGGGGTGGACTGGATGGGATGAGGTTGGGAAAGAAGGAAGAAAGGAAGAGGAGAGGGAAAGGCGTAGGCAGAAGAAGAGGGAGGGGGCAAACTAAAGTGGGCAGGAACGGGCGGTTGGGCCGTCTCTTCTGGTTCGTTTGGGCTGGTGCCACGACTCTCCACTCCGACCACCTCACCCAGCAGCCCAGCAGGCCTGTGCTAGCCAATATCTGCCTTGCTACCAGGCAGAGGCATGCACGATCGAATCCGGCTTAGATGAAGCCGTGTGTGACCCTGCTGAAGCCCTGTTCGGCTGATCCTGTTGGTAGCCGCCTTGGTCGATCCAAATTCCATCTCGGACTCCCCTCCACTGGTCAGGCACGAAGGACCATTTGAGTCCATCCTCGTTTGATTACGTCGCATGTTTGATACACACTACAGTACATAGCACCAACACGGATGCACATTACCAGAGACCAGGGTCAAGACGATCCCCCATCACAGCTTGGATTGCTACTCAGTCTGTGCTCTTTGGGCTGAATGGACTGGCATCGATCCCCACTTTGTTCGACTCTAGTGGATCCCTCAAACTGAGAGCAAGAAAGAAAGCGGTCAACATCATACCAGACCACCACCAGTAGACCAGCAGGCCGTGCTGGACCTCCTCGGGTTGGACTGGCTCGTGAGCAAGTCAAAGGTTGGACAAATCTCGCCTGAAGGGGGGTTGGGAAAGGTGGATGATCCCCCCGCTCACGCTAGAAGGCATCCAGCAGCCAATCTACGTGCAGCAGAGCTGCGGCCAAAAGACGTTGCCACCAGCGGGCGTTGGTGCGGTTGGGCGTTGGGCAGAAATGCGTGGCTTTGGGCATCGCTCGCGCCCGAGGCCGCCACTCAGCCATCGGCGGTGTCAGCACGCTGACCCCGATGGAGAAGAGATCGTACAGCCAAAGAAAAAAAATTATGCACTCGGCCCAGGTGGTGTGGTCTCGAACGGGCTCGCTTCACCACAAGCAATCTTCACCAAGAAGGAGCGTCGGTGGAAGAAAAGAAACAACCTGGTTCTTTTTCAATCCGACGAGGGATTTGGCTTCGAACCACGTAAGAAGAAATAATGTGGTAGGTCCATATAGTACACATCGGTCAACATCAATCTGGACTGGGCATCAATTTGCAGATGAGGCCATTCGATGATGATAGCTAGACAGTTCTGGTCCCACCGAGTACCTGGGGGCATACCCCAAGGGCGGGCTCCGTAGTATACTTTGATCCTGTCTGGAATTATTGGATCCGATGTTTACGGTGGGTTTCCTCTCCTCGCCCAACCGTGGAAACCGGTCGTGGACGCCTGGAAGCCTTGAATATGAGGCTCGGCGTGAATACACGGCACGTGCCAACGCTAACCACTTCGGGACACACTTCCAAGGGACGCGCCGCAAACCGTAGACGTTGTGAGAGCTCACAGGGGGCACGACGTGCCTGTCTGCCTATCGACAATCATCCCTGCGTCGCCATGCTGCAGCATCGAGCATGTCGTCTGAAGACCCGCTCAACGCGTCGCCCAACGATGCCGTGAAACGCTCCCGCTACACCCATCGCCAGCTCCACCTGCTGCGCCAGGGCTCGACGGCCACCCCGCTCCGCGCGATTGCGCATATCGATCTCGATGCCTTCTATGCCCAATGCGAAATGGTGCGCCTGGGGTTGCCCCGCGATACACCGCTCGCTGTGCGCCAGTGGGAGTCCCTGATCGCCGTCAATTACGCCGCGCGGCCGTTTGGGATCACCCGGATGATAACGGCGGCCGAGGCCCGCAAAGCATGTCCCAATATTGTGCTGCAGCACGTTGCGACATTCAGAGAGGGAGAGGGTGGGCGATGGGCGTATCGCGATGACTCGTTTAAGAATATTAAGACTGATAAGGTGTCTCTCGACCCATACCGGGCGGAGTCGAGGAAAATCCTCAAGACGATAAAGGATGAATTGGACCGGTGGTGCACGAATGAGCCGGATGGAGAGGCTCACTGCTTCACCCAGGGGCTGTCTGCTGGCCTGGAAAAGGCCAGTATAGACGAAGTCTTCATCGATCTATCACCCCTCGTCTATAGCGTCTTGCTCCAGAGATATCCGGAACTACGACCAAGCTTGCAGGACGAGAACCGAGATGCTGGACTACCTCCACCTCCCACGACAGCAGTTCCGTGGGATCCAGAAGATTTTTTGGTAGAGCTTGATCTGCACGAAAGGGAGGAAGATGATCCTGACTGGGATGACATGGTCATGCTGGTAGGTGCGGAGATTGTTCGAGCCGTACGTAGGGCAGTCTGGGATGAGCTCAAATATACCTGCTCCGCTGGTCTCGCACGAAACAAGATGCTCGCAAAGCTAGGCAGTGCTTGCAACAAGCCCGACAAGCAGACCGTGGTACGAAATCGCGCCGTCCAACATTTCCTGGGCGGCTACAAATTCACCCAGATCCGGATGCTGGGCGGCAAGCTCGGTGATCAGATAACATCTCTGTTTGGGACCGAGCAAGTGAGCGACCTGCTCAGTGTCCCACTTGAACAGCTACGCACTAAGCTCGATGACCATACCGCATCATGGCTGTACGGGATTATTCGCGGTGACGACCGATCGGAGGTCAACCCTCGGACGCAGATCAAATCGATGCTCTCCGCCAAGTCTTTCCGCCCCAGTATCAACTCGGTGGGGCAGGCCGAGAAATGGCTGCGCATCTTTGCAGCTGATATTTATGGTCGTCTTGTGGAAGATGGCGTGCTTGAAAACAGACGTCGTCCAAGAGTGATCACTCTGCACCACAGGACAGCACAGTCCCGCTCTCGTCAGATTCCCATTCCTGCGTCGAATGCGGTTGATGAGAATCTGCTTTTTGAGCTAGCCAAGACGTTGATGCGGCAAGTTATAACGGATGGACAGGCTTGGCCTTGTTCGAACCTGTCCCTGAGTGTTAGCAGCTTTGAGGAGGGGGTGAGCAAGAACAAGGCGATAGAGGGGTTCTTGCTCCGGGGCGATCAAGCGAAGTCTTTGAGCCATGGGTCACGACCTCGAGATCCTAATGCTGCCGCCAGTGAGCAACTGCCACCGGAGAAGAAGAGAAAGACAGACGACAATGGCATCAAGCGGTTTTTCGCTCAGCCGCCTCACACCGATAGCCCTGTTGTCGATGAGGAGAGCGCTCAGCCTCAACCAGATCCTGATCCAATTTCCGCAGCGCAACGATCTCCACCCGAGGTGCATGGCAGTGCAATGCCATACTACACCTGCGGCCGCTGCTCCAGGTCTATTGCCGAGCTTGAAAGCGAAGAGCACGATGATTGGCATTTTGCAAAGGACCTGGAACTTCAGGAACGACAAGAAGCGAGGGATGTGCAACATCAATCTCGTCCAACAAACAGCTCCAGCAGCTCTCGAGGCACAGGTACTCGTGGAAGAGGAGGCCGGGGAGGCCGGGGCAAGCCCGAGAGAGGGCAGATGCGACTGGCTTTCCAGTAAACTTGTTGCCTGGCTTGCGTCCGTAGAATTTGTTGTATATACCCTAGCATTATTGAAGGTTTCAGCGATATCAATTGATTTACTTTGGTTTCGGCCATTTCCATTGATACCTCCCTTATTTGGATGGGGATTTTGTCCCAACCTCGCATCGGACCAAAATGAATGATTCATTCAGCCGAATAGGTCCCTCGCATGCATGAATCAGAGGCGTGGTGTCGTCATACCTCTGGCACCCATGGAAAACCCATCACCACAGGGCAAACGTAGGTCGTCGCAGTTGTTTCTTGATGGTCCAAGGCAACGTCATTTGGCCCACGACAGCCCAAATCGCATTTGTTTGGTCGGACCGAATAAACGCCTTCGCTGGAAACATGGATGGAACCCGTATTGTAACCCGATCTAGCTGGGAGTAAACAAACCTTCTCGAACCCCCTTCGATCTCCATAGTCTCATCAGATGGTAGCTGGGTGTGATCATCCCTTCTTCGCTAGTTGCCCTCCGCTGTTGAAGAATGCGATTGTCGTGCCGCGTGGGTGTGACATCAGCGGGTCGCGGGGTCATCGGACGTTTGCTTATGTCGTATGCGTGCGCTGCTCAGCCCCCACGACGCTTTTTTGTCTTTCGGCTACTTTGACTTGCACATTTCCCTCGGAACCTCACCTTCCTCTAATAATCCTTTTCGTCGATGGTTCTTGGAACTTGACAATCCTGAGGACGTGCCGCCATAGGCCACGACGTGCGAAAGCCCCGCAAGCTGTCTTTGCCCCGCCGATCTTGATAGCCGCCTTCCTCGCCTGATCAACACTCTAGCACCCAAGGATCTCGCACGCAGCTGAAGCTTAATGGGCATACTTATAACGACCCGGGTTCTTAACCAGTTTACTTGATCTATCCTTCCGTCGCAGCCATGTCTTGCCGGGCCCCGCCGCGCGAGTACTATGAGGAGGAGGAATTCGAAGTCGAACGCGAGCGAGATCGGTATCCCCGTTCACGCCGACGGGAGCGCGACCTTGACGGGGATGTTGAATACCGTCGCCGGAGATCAATGCCCCCAGTCGAAGACCTGGAGCGCATGCGCATTCGAGAACGGCCGCCGCGCGACTTTGTCCAAGAGAGCTATGCCCCGCCGAGAGACCGCGGCCCCTTGGTGAGAAGGGCGAGGGACGAGCTGGATGAGCCACTGCCGGAACCTGAACGGGAAGATGTTCGGATGCGCCCAGCACGCCGACGCGGCAGCCTTCGCGCTCGCGAAATCGAGGAGGAGTCTGAGCTGTTTATCGGCGAGCGAGAAAGACATGGCAGCCGACGACATCGGAGACCCCGTGAGCTGGAAGAAGATGACATGGTCGTTCGTCATAAGGAACGGGCCAGCGAAGGGGATTTGAGACCGATGGAGAGAGTGTATGAAGATGAGCGGGAAGAAGTCTATTTCCGGCCCTCGTCCGGACCCCGACGCAAGCCATCGCGCCGTGAAGCAGAATTTGAAGAAAGAATCATTGACGACAGAGAACATGAGCGTCCGCGGGGATCACGGCACCGTGGAGAGCTAAAACTTGAAGAGGACCTAGTCATGCAATGGAAGGACCGACCATCCCCCCGAGCACAGGAGGATGATGAGGAAATACGTTTGCGAGAAACGAGACGACGGCAACGTCGTAGCCCCCCAGAGCCGAGGTACGTTCGAGAACTACCGCCACGGGAGCCACCTGGTTCCTGGCCTGCTGATAGGGAGGATGACGAGGAGGAGATTCGCATTCGCTCCCGGATGCGCTCGAGATCGCGCCGTCGGGGAGTCGAGGACGAAGAAGAAGACCTTGTCATCCGTCGAGAAGTGCGAGATCGGGACAGCGGGAGAGAAAGTGCGGAAAGCGACGAGGTCCTTCTGCGAAAGAGTAAACGCAGGCCTCCACCGCGAGAACCATCGTCTTCTCCAGAGCCTATCCGGGCCCCACCGATCCATCAGGATGTTATCACGCATCATCGACATATTGATCACGGTAAGGGCTATCGAAAATTAGCCATGCTCCCTTGCTAACGAGGCTCTCAGGATTTGATCTCGCTCGTCCACCGCGGGCGCCTAGTCCCGAGATATCTTCCACGAGAACTAGTTTCGACGAGCTGGATGTCCGCCATCGGTGAGGCTGCTGAATCGGCGTCTTCTCGAATTAGGGCTAACCACCTGTACAGCAGCAAAAAGGGGAATCGGGGGAGCCGCAAATCCGAGGAAGATATCATTTTCAAGACTCGTGACGAAGAGGAATCTGTATCGCCGACTAGTGGTCCTTCCCTCGACTTCAATAATCCATGGAAGCCGGACCCTGCGCCTTCGCGTCGCAGCCACAAACCGAGATCCTTAGATGATGAAAGTGAGTTACTAATTGCCTCACATACTCGCTCGCGCCGAGATCTCCCGCGCGGGCTTGATCTGGAGGAAGAAGAGACGGAAGAGGAAATAGAGATCCATAAGAGACGATCGAAGCCCCGGTCGATCGTCGAAGGAATTTCCAGAGAGACCACTGATGAGTGGTCTGTGGTTCATACACCCTCAAAAGACGACGCGATTGAGATGAGCGGCGGCCTTAACGTGGTCGAAGTTGCTCCCAAGGGCGCTCTGGAAGAGGAGCTTGATATTCGAGGGCGGGTCGAACAGCAGATAGTCAAGGAGCGTCAAGATGAACGCTGGACGGAGATCACTAAGGATCTGGTTGTCAGGGATGCCATCGAGCGGCTTGGCTATGAGTTCGAAGAGACACGGACCTTTTATTACATTTTCTCATACCTGGAACCGGTAAGCCTTGCTGTTCCGTTTGTCAAGCGACCACTAACCGGACTTGCTGTAGGGTGATATCGACGAACTTGTTGAGCTGTCGGATGAAATCCGCCACGCAAGGCGCAGGCGTATCAAGGAGATGAACCGCGAACGCGCAATAAGGCCACGGCGGCCTAGCCTTCCTATGGATAGGATGCCCCCCGTCCAAGAATGGCTGGTCATAGGCACGTAAGAGAGCGGGAGTGGATTATAGATGAGCGGCGGTGATGTCCCGATGATCTTATATGTTGCGCGCATTCGCATTCAACAACCATATGGGATTGACAGCTGCCCTGATCATATATGTTCTTATCTGAAGCTCAACAATACTCTATCAAGCAGAATTGATTCCTTTTCTAGTGCCCTGGGTGTGGTCGAGCCTGATACTTATCCGTGGCAGGCAAACGGTCTCAATCCTTAGACAAGGAATGTGTGCTCCCCGGGACGTCATGGCGTCGTGGCCTTCCAGCCAACCCGCATCTACGGAGACAGCGTGGGCGAAGGCGACCACCATAGCGAGGACAAGCCGAGCCTCTGAAAGGTCACAACGGTCTTCGGAAACGAGGCGGTGGCCCCGGCTACCCCGACGTGGGAGTCTACGACAGCACCAGCCCGATCTGCAGGCGGAGTGGCCTGGCCGCCCATTGGGCATGTTCATACGTTGCACACCCTGCTCGCCGCTCCCCCAATCTGACCGAGATTGAGGTGGAGATCCGCTGAATGCCGAGACAAGACGGCCAGCACTGGCGCCTGGTTGAAATCGTGCATGAGCCGCAGTCCTATGAGGGCTGTTGCTCGCTGAAGAATCCATGGTGCAACCGGCCCATGACGGTTTCGCTGTGCCGGTCGGCAGGCGTCACGTTCCGCACGGCCGTCAGATCCTCCCGCTGAAATAAGACATAAGTGATGCTAACATCCTGTTCCATTGTGGATGCAAGTAAACCGTTCTGAATGGGGTGTCGACGCGTACTGTTCCCCTAAGGCGATGTTCTAAGGTGCTATCGAAGGATAACTGGACGTTCTCCGTCTACCCCGATCATTGATGTCCCAGCGTGATTGAGTTTTCCTTTTCGAGCTCAAGCTCGAGCTCAATCTCTACATTCTGAATATATTTAGAAACTATGGTGTCTCTGCTCACCTTGGGCTCTGCCGAAGCCCATGGCCGCGACATCGAATCATAGCGTCGTAGCCAAGACATACAGCAGGCCACTGGGCGAAGTGTCATGCCAGGAGTCCCAGCCCGGCGTGGAACGCCTTTACACTCTGCTCCGGACATGTACGGAGTAAACAGACATAATTCACGGCATCCACAGGCGCGTCCCGCTCAATCAAAAAAGGACGGGCCGAACAATTCTGACCAGCGATCATGGGGCAGCCCTGCAAGCCGAGATCCTTTGCCGGTGCGACACCGCAGGATTACACGCATCCATGCCGCCACCCGCGATGCGGGTGTGATGTCTCAGGCATATTAATGGCAAAGTGGAGAGTGCAGCAGTGGAGAGGAGCAGACGCAGACGCAGACGCAGACACAGGCACAGGCACCATGGCTCTACAATTGGCTTACTGGGGCGTGGTAGTTGCTCTCCCAGTGTCGGGGATGCTATTGGCAGCGGCAAAAGGGCAGTGGGGCGGCTCGAGAAGTTTTCGTGCATCCCGAGGATGATGACGAAGTACGGAGTCCGGAGTCGAGTAGGCCGTATACTTGTAGACCCGGGCCGCCCTGCTGGGATCGGGCGTTGCGATGCAGAACAGTAGCGGAACGGGAAGTTCTTCCTTCAGGTTTACAGTATTCCGTATGCCGTCTCGGGCGTGGTGATGGAATACGTAGCGGGGTTCTTCCAGAAGCCCCAATTTGGGAGGGCCACAGCACATGTTTCAGCAGGATCGAGGCGATCGCAGCCGGGATTCAGCGAACATCCTGGCCAATTTGCACGGGTGGAGCCACCCCCATCCAGCCCGGAATCCACTTGCACAGGATTCGCTGTCAGGCAGCCGATCCGTCTGATCTCGTCCGTGGATTGACACGGGCTCTCTGATATCAGATAGGGGGGAAAACCAAGCGAAGGGATGGGAAAGACGACTCAACCAGGCCAAGGCGAAACCAAGCAAATAGCGAGACGGGACTTGCGCAGGGTCTGGGAATCAACTGGGCCAAGTTGGGTGCTGACGGGGCCGACCGCGGGCCCGGGGCGCATTGATGCATGGACCGTCACCGGGACGACTCGCTGGTAGTTGCGCGAGACACTGATCGTCGTCTGCGGCGTTTATGGCCCTGGCTCCCAAGCAATCAGGGCCAGCCTGGATATCGTCGGGTGGTGGGTGGCCAATTGGGGAGGCCCAGGGACAGCAGGTTTCCCGATAGATAAAGCGGAGGCCAAGGCGTACCTTGCCGAGAAATTCTTTTTCTCCTGGCACCCTCGAGGAGGTGCGTGTTCCGTCCTCCGTCCTCCGTCGGGGCTGGGCGGTACGGAGGTTACTCGAAATGTGATGATTCAGCGGAGTATGGCATGATCCGACCGTGGAGCGTCTGGTAATACTCGTCTCATCCCGCGAGATGGGACAGTGATGGGGAGCGGCACTAGTCCCAGGTAGCGTAGATAGTGCGGCTATGAGAGAGATGATGGATACAATTGTGGTCCGCAGCCGTCAGCATGAAGGATCAGATTCATCCTGTTGCTGGTATGCATTCGCCTTCTGATGTGGCGTGCGGGAGAGCTCCTGTGTGGCTTGTTGGGGCCGCAGCTCTGAGACAGACCATCGTGATGGGTCAATCCACATATTACGTATGCCGTGCTCTAGTTCGCATTATCACTATCGCCGGTCCCCTTCATCACACAAGTTCTCGTGAGCCGAGTGCGATGCCAGAGCATCCTGCTCACAACTAGACCTCTATAGCAACACGAGCTCTACCGGCGAAGTATGAAGGAGAGCTCACGGGGAATGTTTGGCCGCAAGCGGAATTGGAATTTGAGGGGCCCTCCAAAGCTTTTTTCCTCAGCCACGCCGGCCAATGTGACGGGGCGTGGTGGAGCCGACACGCACCAAACTGGTATTCGGTTTACTGTGCGCCAATCGAGTCTCGGTGCGGGAGGGGAAAAGAAAACAAATGCACGCGCAATAGCGGAGAGTCGATACGCACATGTCGATTGGGAGAGAGTGGATAGTCCAGAGGCTAGTCCAGAGGCTATACATCTCCCTGACGTGTCGTATACTCGATGCTCAACATACGGCACATGAAACGGACCGGCCATTAACTACTCACTGGGGCGGACAAGGTCGCACGGGACAAGTGCCCGTCATCGGCATAAACCAGGCAGGGAACCTACAGTAACCAGTACCAGCAAGGACGCACAGTCGACAATCACGTATCCACTAAGCTAGCGGCAATGCTGGGCTGTTAACATGCTAAACATGCTCCGATCGAAACGGCTGCCCCGTGACTTCCTTTCTCTCTGCCCAGCACCACACCTTCACACCTACACTCACCTTTAACCTTCAACCTTCATCTTTTCCCCCCCCCCCCCCCCTCTCCCCCTCACCTCCCTCCGATCCTCCGCTTCCGACACCTGTCTGGGAGGGAGACGATGCAATTGCTTTTGTGAAAAAATATCTCGGCCTTGAACATTCGGCTTGGTGGGGGATCAGCAGGTACTCGTTGACACCCGACCGTCAGCTATCGTGATCCTATCTTGCCCTTCCGCCTCCTGTCGTATATCCGCGATCGACACTTCAACCACCAGTCAACCACCCAACGGATTTCGGATTTGGCCATCTTCATTCTGAACTGCGACACCGCACACGACATTCCCTGCTAGCTGGGTGGAAGTGGGTTGGTGAAAGAGACCAATCGGGCTTCAGGGTTCCTTATCGCACCTTCGAACCCAAGTCGACACCATGCATCTCTCCCTACTGCTGCCAGCTTTTGCCCTGCTGGCCCGGCCCTTTGCCGAAGCGAGTAGCACCCTCGCATACTGCGCGACTTCGAATACTGGATCCTCATTTTCGGCAGGTAGGTTGGGCGACAGCGAAGGACGGCCCTGGAGCTCTGTGCTGACCGGCTCCCAACAGTTTCCGACACATACCAGTCCAATGGAGCCTGTGAGACGACCTGCGCCGACTATGCCCTCGGAGTCCTGCAGGGAAAGAAATGTTGGTGCACCAACGTGGCTCCGGCCGCATCCTCACAAAAGAGCACCTCGGAGTGCTCGACGGGCTGCCCAGGATACCCAGACGATAGCTGCGGCAGTGCCTCCAAGGGCGTATTCGCCTATGTGAAGATCTCTGGCAACTCCATCACTAGCACGGCGAGCGGGAGCTCGACCACATCCACTTCGGTAAGTCACCCCTTGTACCTATATACTCCCCTGTTAAAGCCTGTTGCATGGTGTTTGTGTCCTGGACCGCCCTTGATGCTTCGGCTTGGGTGCTTTACTGTTCCATGAAATCGTTTTCTCATTCGTGGCACAGGGAAGCACCAGCGGCATATCGACGGACACATCCACCGCCTCCACACAAAATGTATTATCTCCGGTGACCACGACCAATTTGGAATAGTTCGAGCTTGCTAACGGTTTCCTCTGTAGTCCACCTCATCCGACTCGACTACCACTGGAAATATTGTCAAGGAGACCACCTCGGCTGGCCAGGTGAAGACCATCACTGTTGCCGCAGCCAGCGAGACGGGCGGATCGAATTCCGCCTCGGCCGACAGCGCCAACAAGGACAGCTCCAAGCTTAGTGGAGGCTCGATCGCCGGCATCGTGATCGGGGTGATTGGTGGTCTTGCTCTTGTGGGCGCACTGATTTTCATGATCTTCTTCTACCGGAAGCGTGCCCGCTCGGCTAGTCCCGTCCCTAGCACAGGCGACATGACCGACAACCGAACCAGCCAAGGCTCAAGCTTCATGCGTGGTGTCTTCCCTCAAGGCAATTCCCAGGACCTGCCGGGATCCTCGAGCCTGGGACGCAAGCATACCTTCACCGACAACCGGCTGAAGACCGACATCTACCCCAACGGTCCCCGGGATAGCAGCGTGTCCCTTCAGGACAACGAGGACTACTCGCGGCCTGTTCTCCGGGTAAGTGTTTGTGAATTGATTTGATGACGAAGAAGACTTGCTAATCTATCTCTAAGCTCACCAACCCGGACTAATTCTTAAATCGGATATTTACACCCGCTTTCCTCGCCATCGCTTGCAGCACCTCCTCGCTCTCCATTAATTCTGCGCGACTTCGCACCAAACAGCTTTGTTATGATACCCACTTGTCACCTGAATTCTTTCCCTTCTATTCTGGAGGCGGTGGCCGAGGATAAGCAAACCAAAAAAATAGAATACAACCCGAGATGAGAATTTTCAAAATTTTCAAATCGGGCTGTCAACTCCGCCGTCAACCTCTTTCCACTCCAGCACCTGACCTGACCGAGCGAAAGGAGATGAATGGGCAAATCAAATGAAAAGAAAACAAACCGAAACTGAAGAAAGGCAACACGGGAGTCCGGCCTCCAACACATTCTTGGAAGCGATGGGTCGCCGTTGAGACGAGTTCACGAGCAACACTTTCAACATACATACCTTGCATACATACCACTCCATGGGTGATGGCGCCGGCCCGTGTAATTTCCACCGTACATACGTGTTTCCCTCCTCGGCGCCTCTCCCCCCCTTTACCTCTTCCTCTACATCAATACAAGTTCCTCATCTCCTTGATCTCGTTTCCCTTTTTTCTTCCGTCTAATTTTGATTTCCTACTATTGTACCACCCAGCCAGTTCTTGTTCTATCTTAATTAACGTGCACTTCTATCTTTGCTTGGGTTTCTGCTGTGGCGTTAGGATCCTGTGTTGTGTTTAGAGTGTGATACATCGATGGCCATACCTACAACCTTAGTGAACCGTATGCTTTATTAAGCTGATTTTGACTGTGTTATTGGCCTGGTAGATCTTCAGGAAGCTGTTTAGCAGTGTATCGCGCTGGTCCTTGATCACTGGTAGCCATGCTTGTTTGACAAGATGTCTTCCCAGCCAAGGTATACCGTATGGCCCGCCGGTATTTAGTCTGAAATGCAACACTTGCTCTTTTTCATTAAGGTTGCTAGCCTCTTTCTATCGAACCGGGTTAGTTGATGAATATTTGAGCGGACAGTCAATGGCTGCCGTCACCACCCTCTAGAGTATAACTCGAGACTTTGCCGCATATGTTAGCTTGTCAAACAGGTTCATGTTATTTCATACTCAATGTGCGACCGCTCCAAAAATAAAATCTGTGGTCAAGACCCATCTTCTTCCACTGCCTAATTGTTTTCGCACTCCATTCCTTTTCGGTCATCTAACATGCGCATGAAACTAGTTGTCAGCCACCACAAAAACAGATCAACAGCTTGAAAAACAAACGAAGGAAACCTTGAGAGATATCCGAATTAGTAATTGTCAATATACATACCTACCTTATACCTACCTTGCTGAAGGAGGAGTATCATTCCTGGATTGCCACCTCGACTAGCTAACCACAGTCGACTGCACTCCGAATGCCGTTGGCACCAGATTGGAACATAGGCGGACAATGCGAACAGAACCAGCTTCGACTGCGAAAGATAACTCATTTTCCCCATATCACGTCATGAGATGGAGACAGTCCCGCTCTGATTTTCATCTGAGGACTGTGTGTTGATATCAAGATCCAAATCCGGGTGGGAAACAAGGGAGATGGCGAGCTGCGGGCGGCCTCTTGGCAGGGCATGATGACGTGAGGCTGTTTGCCCATAGTTGTATGATTACCGCATCGAGTATGGCACCTGGAAATTGATCGACGTATTCAAAGGAGTGCGGTTGATCGTCTTCGAGCATCATGCTTTGGGAGGACACTCATGTCGTTCGACGAGTCTCTCATATGGGAACTAGCCCTCGATAGTGTCTGAAAGGGAAGTAATGTGCGATTGCCTGCCTAACCGTGTCCTCGTTTAGATTAGCCCCAGCCCTGATGAGGAGGAGGAGGATTTCTTCGCTCCGACACTGGGCTGCGCGGACGAGCGGGCTCAAGTTTGTAATGAGATCTTGCTTGGACGGATCGGCACCAAATTCTAACAGCAAGTTAACCATGTCTGTGCGTAGAGACGCTATAGCCAGATTCAGCAAGCGTTCACCCGAAGCGATATAGGAATTGGGGCACACACCGTACGCGAGAAAGCTCCGGACCACGCCCAGTTCGCCCGCTTCTACGGCCTGACCGAGGATGTCGAGGTTGGTTGCGCCAAATCCACGCTCGGGAACACAGTATGACCCGGTGACGAGGAGTGGTGGCTCGTCTACTCCGTGTTGCTGGTGGTTGTCATAGCCGAAGTTTTCCTCGTATAAATGCCGGGGCGCAAAGGCCGCGCTTTGTGCTCGCTTCTTGATTAAAGGCGAGAGAAACCCGTACAGGGACCCGCAGGTCTGTGCAAAGCTGACCAAGGACTGATTGTCTAGGCCCTCTGCAATTTCTAGCGCTGTTTCGGGTGGTAAGTCGCCAAGGTTGGTTGGCACGTTGTGGGATTTGTTGATTGAAGATCCGGACATAGTGCGAAACTAGGAAGCTACGTCAGATAACTAGGGTAGGATGGTGAGTTGGGATTAGTGATTGTTGGTAAAGAGCTTGGAACTCCAGAAGATGGATGTATAGATGTAGAAAGCGTCGGCTTTAAGGTAGTTATAGCCCAAGGCAAGACATCGCCTGCTCAATATCTAAACAAGGCTCTGTTTAAGCTCGACGGGAACAATGGAAGCTTTGAACAGCCGCAAGTAGTACAGTTACTTTAGAGGGAGTAACAAAGCAACAAAGCAACAAACTCAACAAAGTCAACAAGGGCTATGGTTCCTTGTTCCTTGCCCTCCCTAAGTTTAACTAAAAGCTCTAGATCAATACCTGCTAGGAAGTTGTCAAGGTAAAGAGATGGTTGACGAGAGTTATATTGAAAATAGGGGGGTCTATTAAGGCAAGGTTTTAAAGAAGTTTACGGGACTAGGTGGTAAGGTTCTTTAGAATAAAAGAGGAAGGTAATACCACACGGGTAGAGATACGAGGAATATATTTATCAATAAACCAATACGAATAGTTTACAATTAGTTCGTGTAGTAAAGAGGAAAATACTAGAGATCCTGAAAAGTAGATCCTCCGTATTAATCTAGTCAATAAAGTGTGCCCCTATTATATGATCTGATAGCTCTAGCCTTCGTGTGGCCCGTCGAAGTCGACAAGTGCAATAACTAGTAGAGCTACTTGCAATAACACTATGCTCTCGGAGACTAGGAAGACGCAGAGCCATGAATAGGTATTAAACTTATAGCATTTTTATTACGTATCTCATTCGTTACTAGCCCCAAGCCTAACCTAGTTCTCCTAGCTAATGTGGGCTTTACAAGGATTGTGATTACAGTGAGATAAGTTTCTCAATTTTAGGAGTACGAACTATGGAAACACCACTTAGATAATGCCCGGCATCTGGCTATTGCGGTAGCCCCTAATTATTGATATCGACCCTAAGCCCCTCCCCATCGAGCGTAGTTGAGACTAGTATCGATCCTACGAGTAAACCCGCGCCCACTCTCAAATTTATTCAGCTATGTGAGGGGGAAGATAGGAAAGCCTACGGCAAGGATCCGCCAACGTATATTTACTACCGTCTAAAGTGGCGAGGTGTCCCTATCAATTCACACCGAACACCAACGCTACTAAAAGGGAGAGCGCTCAATCAAGATAAGAGAGTCGCTAAGTGATCTCGTCTATAGGTAGTATTCACTCACGCCCACAAGCCCAGCCACGTAGGCAAAGTTCTAAGCTTAGGGTTCGGGCCAAGTGCACGCTTGCTCTCCTCAATAGCACTGATCAACGCATCTGCGTACTCTTGACGACTAGCACCACCATATGATCGCGACCTGACACGATAACCCTCCGAGAGGACGCGACCAACCTCCCATCGCGCATCCTCCTGATCCTCGGGGGATCTAATAACATCTTCCTTCTTAAGCACCCACCCCGCCTCAAGCGTCAGTTCACGAATTTTCTGTGGTGTGATAATTGACTGGATATTATCGTCGCGGTCCAAGTTATTGTCTCTAGAGTTGAACTCTGCTTGTGAAATTGCCGCCAGCAGGTGTGGCAGAGCGGCAATATCCCCTTGGATATCAGTTGCGTACTCTGCAATGCAGAGGTGCTTCGTTCTTCCGCGCAGAGCCACTAGAATCGGCGTCAATGCTTCGGCGGATGGAAAGTACCAAGTTGAACGCGCGAACACGGCAAAATCGTAAAGGGGTTCTGAGGCGCTGGAGTCGAGGAACCCTTCAAGATCTGATCGGTGGAATGTGATCCGGTCACCGATCGCACTCTGCTTTAGCTTGTCTTGTGCTTGGCCTAGGGTTATGGGTGCTCCTGCATGGATTGTTAGCACGATTGTTGTCGTATGTGATTGCTTCTGCTTCTCGACAAACGAACCGTAGTCCAAGGGCGCTGGGTCAATTCCTGTGACGTGGCCCTGCTCTCCCACTAGATAGGCCATCACCAGGGTGCAATCTCCTTGCCCGCAGCCGATTTCGAGTATCTTTGACCCCGATGGAATATCCCACGTCTTGAAAAGGTCGACCCTGGCTTGGATTTGAGGTATGGATGACCCGCCGTCCGATATTCTTGCAATATCAATAACGTCTAAAGACATGATTAGAAGCGGCTTTATGTTTGGGCTGAATGTTGGTGGTTTCAAGAGATATATTGAAAATCTAATTAGACTCAATGTCTGATTGTATATTTTATGTACCCTCAAGTGCTCCGACGGACCTCCGTCTCATGGTAGCCCTTTCGATAACGAATGACTCACAATTCAATGGAAACCCCCTTTTAAGAAAAAGCACAAAGTTAAATTACTGATGATTGGCGTATTTCAGCCACTTTCATTGTTTACGAGTAGGTTTAGAAGCAGTTCATGGTAATAAGTCACATTTGTGCCTGGTCCTAGCTAAGTCAGACATTGAGAATAGGGCACAGTCTCGAGCTGCATTCCGTATTGGCCTTAGTGCGGGGATAACCGCCTAAGCCAAGAAAAGCAACTTGCGATCGGTTACTATCTACCATTGATCATTCACTGTTTGTCGGCCACCATTCACTTTGCACATATTACGCGTTGCTAAATGGTCACAGTGAGTACTTGTCGAGGCCGATACGTATCGATATTCTGAGATGGATAGTTCTGCATTCAGCTTCAGCGGCCATTTGAGACGTGGTAAAAGACTGGCTCTCTATCATGTCACGGATGAGATTAAGCTTTGAGGCGGGGAGTCTTGGAGCCATAGCGTTTATATTGGGCTTCTGTGAATTCTTAGTGAAGACAGTATGTATGGTAGTAATAGAGTAGTGGTTGATGAGCAATGAAAGCGAGGAGAGGCATGGGGGTGTGATATATAGCAGTTTCGTGTAAATTACATAGCCTAATAGTAGGGATCGTATTGTAAGATGGCTATGTTTTCCGGAGACTCTTGTCTAGGAACGGACACGTTCGAGGACTGAAGTTGGCGCAGAGGGCTAAAAGTAAAGGAACGTAATTTAGTATGGACTCTGACATGAGCACAATGGCGCGAGTTCCGACCTGAACTTCATGTGTCGATGAACCCATGCTCAGGCTTTTCTCTGGACCATCTCAATTTCTCGGTTTGGTCACCGATGGTCCATCAGACCTTAGGATGTGATTCATCCTGAGTCATTCCAGTTAGTCCCGCGCCTTATTTCGGTTTGGCCCCAACCCAACCCCGCGTCGGCGCATAGCGAGCGTGGGACAAGATCAGCGCTCTCTCTAAGCGAGGCTGTCTGTCAGAGTCCCACTTGGAAGCAGGAGGTCCTAGCGAGACACTTCTGAGGGCTCGGAAGGCGGAGATAGGAGCCTTCTGGCCGGGCAATCTTCTCGGTTCATCTTCGGCTAGACCCGAACCAGGGACGGACGACACTAGCGCCTCCAATTGGCTGCCGGGCCCTACGGGAGGCGCTGGACGAGTCGTGCCGTCGCGGGGGCGAGTGGTTGTTGAGTAATGGCTGCGGTGGTTGAGTGGTGAGTGGTCGTGCACGGAACAGCCGGCAACCTGCGCAATGTCGGTTGGCCGAGAGGACGTCCAAATGCAACACTATGGGGGCTAGACACAAACCACCCCCTCAAATCCTGCCGTCTCCAAACCCCAGATTTGTCTCCCCGACATTTCCGTTCCGCTCTCACCGGGCATCTGGAACTGGCAAGGTGTTGAGGAGAACTGTATTCTCCATCTCCAGACTCCAGACTGCCGACTCCAAGCCCCGTGGGCAGCCTCAACGTGCCACGCGTCCCTCTGCGCAGCTTCGGTTCCCCGGCTTGGCGCCAGACCGAATACTTGCCAGACCGAACAGCCGGCTTTCCGCTACGGCTAAGAATATAGGCCGGAATCTCCCCTCCCATGGATCTCCCCTGGGACGCCTCGTGGCGGGGAGGCGTTCCAGAATGCTACGGCCAACTAATCGTATGAACCCAAGGACTGGCCACCCTGGATCAAGGATTCTTTTCCACCTTGTCAATCTTGATGATTCCTAATGAGGTTAATTGACAGCGTCTGGTCTCCGCTATGCTACTGTTTTTCTCATCTGGCCGCTGCCTGTGACTAACACCGTGGGTAATCCACTTCGAACGGAAAATTCTTCCATATCACAAGGACACACAGGCCACGACGCGGCTTACATCTCTCACGCTGCTGATTTTAGCACTGGTCTTCGCAATGACAGTATCATAGCACCAGAAATGGCAAGCAGTGCGCATTAGCACCCAGACCCGTGCATAACCTGACTTCGGGCAAATATCGGACCAACGGGGTATCAGGGTTTGGGTTACATAGCCCGCGCACTGTCTGTCAGCACTAAGCACACCCTCGGAGAGGCTGGGGGACAGGGATTGGAGCTGACAAGTGCAGAACAAAATGACAACCGGCCAGCCAGTGGGCGGCGTTCCCGGGAACCGACGCTTGCTTGCATGGAGGTTCGGCGCCCAGCAGCCCAGCCAAGGCCGAGGCGTGGGGCAAGAGTGCTTCTTCGCGGCCACCAAAGCTTGGTGGCGCTCGCTAGCCTGGGATGGCTTCTATATGTTGTGTTTCGTATGCCCGGAATATACCATTGCCGACGTGATGCTCGCCTCCGTCTAAGCCAACAACATCTCTAGCGTGTGTTGAGCCTGCTCTGGCACCGGCAATCCTTTGGTCCAGGGTTCTCCCAAAGGGCATAGGCAGCCAGCTCTGCAATTGGTGCCCATGGCCATGTGCACTATGGAGTACCCTCCCTGAGCCGGGGGAATTCTGAGTAGACTGCGCTAACCCCACGAAGTAATGAAAAAATCAAGAAAAAAGGTAGGAGGGAGCTGGAGGCATGGCTATATAATCGAGCTGATCTGCCCACCTCGCCGAACTTACTGGCCCGGTGATTACTTCTCTTGTTTCTCTTTTGTCCATCTTGACACCCCCATCCTACTGTCGCAAAGATGGTGGTTAGTCAGTCTGTGGTTGGCCGCGCCAACGCGGAAAAGCCCCATGGTCTCGTGGGCATGCTGCAAAACCCCTATGTCTTCTTGACCTGTCTCTTTGCCTCGCTTGGTTGTATCATGTATGGCTATGATCAGGGTGTCATGGGCCCCGTCCTGGTCATGGAGAACTTCAGGAACCACTTCCCCTACTTCGAAGGATCTACTATCCAGGGCTGGCTCGTGGCTGCTTTGGAGCTCGGTGCTTGGGCTGGTGCTCTGATCAACGGTGTCCTCGCTGATCGCATCTCTCGGAAGTATGCCATGATGGTTGCTGTCATCATCTTCACCCTGGGTACTGGTCTGCAGGCCGGCGCTCAGACGCCCGCCTATTTCTTCGCGGGGCGAATCATTGGTGGTGTGGGCATCGGTATGTTCAGTATGGTCATCCCGCTCTACCAGGCCGAGATTGCGCCTCCTGAGTTGCGTGGCTCCCTCGTCTCCCTCCAACAACTGTCCATCACTGTCGGTACCGCCATTGCGTTCTGGCTCGACTATGGTATGCAGTATGTCGGCGGCACCACTTGCAAACCCGAAGGCATCACCAACCCCTACCTCGCCGATGGAATCTACAACGCCGCGCAGAACCATGGCCACACCTGTCTGGGCCAGAAGACGATTGCCTGGCGTCTTCCGCTGGCTCTACAGATTATTCCTGCGTGGATTCTGTTCTTCGGCATGTTCTTCTTCCCCTTCTCGCCGCGTTGGTTGATGATGAAGCACCGCGAAGAGGAAGCCCGCGCTGCTCTGTCCAAGCTGCGCCGCCTCCCCGCCAATGACCCCCTCCTGCAGGCTGAGTTGCTGGAGATCAAGGCCGCTGTTATGTTCGACGAAGAGACTGAACGTGAGGCCGTCGGCGCCGGTGGTGTCCTGGCTCCCTGGAAGGCGCTGTTTGCTCCCAACATGTTCAAGCGTCTGATGATTGGCTGCTGCACCATGGTCTTCCAGCAGTTTACTGGTATCAATGCTGTGCTATACTATGCTCCGCAAATCTTCAGCAGTTTCGGCTTCTCGTCCACCAAGCAGACCCTTCTGGCTACTGGTGTGACTGGTATCTTGCAGATTATCTTCACTCTTCCGGCCGTGTTGTACCTAGACAAGTTTGGACGTAAAACCTTCCTCATTGCTGGTGCGACCGGCATGTTCCTTTGCCATATTGTGGTGGCCATTGTTGAGGGCTTGTATGAGGATAAGTGGAACCTGAATGAGGGTCTCGCGAAGCCTCAAGGTTGGGTCGCTATTACCTTCATCTGGCTCTTTGCGGTCAACTTCGCCTACTCCTGGGGTATGCTTAACATTCACTCCCAATTTCCATTGCAATCGATTGCTAACATGCTGCTCTCCTGACAGGTCCCGTTGCATGGGTTCTGACCCAAGAGATCTTCCCCACCAGCCAACGTTCCCGCGGTGTCTCCATCGTCGCCTCCACCAATTGGATGTTCAACTTTATCATCGGCCTGACCACCAAGGATATGCTGAACTCCATGAAGTACGGCACCTATATCTTCTTCGCCGTCTTCAGCGGTCTGGGCGGTCTATTCATCTGGAAATTTGCCCCTGAGACCAAGGACAAGACTCTCGAGGAGCTGGATGTCTTCTTTGGCGGTGGCATGGACAGCATTGCGGAGGTGGACCGCCAGCGCATGCAGCGCATCAACGAATCTCTTGGCCTGGCTGGTGTGGAGACAGTTGAGGACCTGAAGACCGAGAAGCATATCACTTCGGAGCAGGTCGAGGTCGAGTATACCCACAATGCTTGAACATAAGCCTTAACACCTGAAATGGGAAATGGAGATGAATAGTGTAAATGGCATACGATGCTAATTAGTTACGTCGTAATGTAATCGATGAGTTCAATAGCTAACTATGAATATGATAAATTGTCATCCTCACGTCTCCGTATTCTGTTTGCAAATCTTAGAATAGCATACGTTCTTCCTGGACTCAGTGTATTATTTCTCCCTGGCGAGGTTACTTTACTCTCTTTACACCCCGCGGCCCCTTTTGTCAACGTTGAACTCCCCGCATTATCCCCCCACAGAATCACCAAGCAAGCGGATGCAAGATCCCCCGAATCTTCCTCCTCTCCGCATTTACTCACCCGCGCCCAGACGCTCTCAAGTTCATAGCGAGAACCCCCGCGATGCAACCTCCGGATTTCCCCCGAGACAAAGTCGTGTTCTTTCCCGAATTGGGTAGCTAAGGCCGACCCCGAGGCGCCAAGAATATGCTAAGAAGCCACCGCCGTGCTAGAACCACCTCGTTGCCAACCGGAGACCACTCGTATGGTTAGCTGGTCGCTTTCTTAACATCCCGTGGTGCGGGGTGGACGTCCTGGGCTCTTTGGCTTGGGGTATGACCTCGGGTAAGTGTTCAAGAAATATCAAGCGTATGTCTTACCGAAAAGGAACAGAGCCGTCGCTCATGAGGAGCGCAGTTAATCTTATCCGTCTTTGTTTCAGAGAATTCGAGTCCACAGTCTTTGCTGATCGCAATGAAGATCGTCATTATGCCGATATTGAGCTTGGAGGGCCACCGCACTACTCCTCGTTGCTAGGCGAACGGGAAGACGATCCAGGAGGAAGGGACTCATGCCTTGCCTCTTTCTTCTTCGAGTCTGACTTTTAGTTGCTCCAGACGGGCATCCGAATTCGGAGCGTCAATACAGCTGCATATTTACCCCAGCTGATGCAGGAACTCGTTCAAGCTCTGCTAATCCCAGAACCTCGTGCTTAATTGAATCTAGCTCTACTGCAAGACCGGTCTTGACTTCCCTGTTTCTCGAGGCCAATTGGAGGATAGACTAACTCTAGCGCCCGTCCTCGCGTCCGCTCCGCTCCACGGCTTCAACTTCTCCCCTCTCAGAGCGGGGATGATCATAGTCGTGCTACGCAAGTCGCTCATTGGCAATCCACTAGGGAGTACTCCGTACTCGTCAAGGATTATGAGGCCCACAGCAAACCCAGAAATTCTCGGGGTTAATTGCCCCCTCAATTTCAATTTGTTGCAAGGGAAAAGAATATTATATAACCATGTCATTGCTCACAAGCTTTCGATGGACATGACACTTGAGCAAAAATTATTTCGCCTTTCCTCAGTCAAATCTCCTTTCCTTCTCAGAAGCTAAAATGAAATCTCTTTTTGCACAACTCCTACTTGGCCTTGCCACCACCGCTTTTGCCGTCCCGCATACCACCCGAGGGAGCTGCGATCCATCCGCACTCAACAGCACCTCGTTTGTCTACACAACCACATCAGAAGATACCATTTTCAGCATTGCCAAGAAGTTCAACCGTGGTGCCTGTGACATTGCCCGCACCAATCGAATGATCGATGCCGAGCACCTCTTTGCAGGGTTCGCACTCATCATTCCCGGCCAAGTCTGCAATCCAGACAGCAGCACTTGTCTCTTGACCCGACAGAATGCCACCGCAACATGCGTCAAAGGTGGACCACATGACTACAAGACGATTGCGGGAGATACTATCGAGAAGATTGCCTTGTACAAGCTGAATGTCACTGTGGACACAGTCTTCAGTGAAGCCAGCCAGGTGGGTATCTCGTCGACGACGGAAGAGATACCCGCTGGCACGTTCATCAAAATCCGCCAGTGTGTTCCAAGTGCCTGCACCATAACCCCGTTCCACTTTACCTATGGTGTTTATAAAGATCTTGCGGAGAAGTTTGGAACCTCGGTTGGCCAGATCATGTCCTTCAACGGTGGCTACAACTATAGCGATCATTCGGACGCCGAGGCGGCGTGGATCACTGTGCCGATGGCATGCACAAACCTTACTCTGAATGTGACCGTAGAGATTTAGAAGAGAAATCACTTAGCTAAGCTTCAGAATTGATATTTTACTGATCCTCGATACAGTCCCAAATTCAAAAAGCGTTCATAGTCCAATGCCTGGTAAAAACATGATTATTGCGCGCCATAGTCCTGCTAAGGCTGAGCATCTTCACTCAGACTTCGCAGACTTAATGGAGCTCTGTCAGACTGCAGTGATTCTTGTAAAATCCCTGGATGCCAAATTGCCCATATCGCCATAACCGCCAACATCAAAATCGAATCGAATACGTAAAGGGTCCACTCGTGGGTCAATGGATATCCATCATTGCCCTCCACATACTCGACAACACGGAAAAGGCTTCGAATCAAAACCAGCAGACTGATAGCATACAACACTCGGAGATGGCTCTTCCACTTGACTCGGCCATTGAATGACTCCGTAGTTGGAAATCGATGCATGCGAACTTGAAACACCACCGTGGTGCCAATGAAGAAGCAGAACATGATGACCTGAATAACGAGACCAGCAACAACAATGTCAGAGCCAAGCTTCGCATTGTTTCCAGACACCATCAAGCCGGATGCTCCACCTTGAACCACAAACGAGAGGACGTCGCCCATAACGAAGACCTTGGTGAGCCAGTTGATTCGAATGAGCGAGTATTTTTCGGCCTGAACACAGCGAATAATCCGTCCCAGTGCCATGTACACCGATGCAGCAAAAAGAGTCGGACCGAGGAGCAGGAATACATTCTGAATAGAGTAGGGCATGACCGAGCCAGTGCGATTGTGCGCAGCGGCTCGGGCAATATATCCAATAACCTCGACTGAAAGCAGGGTGTGAGAAGGGCAGGTACCTCAATTCGGAAAGTCGTATACGTACAGATACCACCAAGGACGAATGCAATGCAGAAGCGTGCTTTTGTCTTGTAGAGCTTCCACGAATGAAACGCCGTCGCAGCGATAAACAGAAGCAAAAAGATAATTGCAGCAGCCAGGGAAGGAATATATTTCCAGAGATAATAACCGCCTCTGTAAGGCTCAAGTTTTGTCATGGTTGGTAATAGCTTCGTAGCACACGCTCAGCAAGCACTTTTCAAGATTTTGGAATCGCGGGTGGAAAGCGAGCGGGATTGTTTGACTCAGTATCTATGCGATCGATGTCCCAACCTTATATATGGACCCCTGAGGCAACAGATTTAATTCCAAGTAGTCAAGCTAAATTTAACCGCAGGTTACCATCAACCCTCTCCAAAATCTCAAACAAGATTGGGCCATTTTTCGTTGGCTCGGTGGAGCATACTCAAATACGCGTATAGAAAGTGTGGGTGTTCCAATCTCCACATGGATTGACTCCGAGAAAGTGGTGCGTGCGCACGCGTATTCGAAGCTCTATTATTTCGGGTTGAAGAACCTCCAAATAAGGTTGTGAGTGCAATATGGTACCTAGAGTTCATCTTTATTTGGTCGATCTTACGCAGCTTCCTTGAGCGAAGCCTTGTTCTTAAGAGACCGTCATAAACAGGCTGAACGTGGAAACCATCGCAATATTTTGAATGAGCTAAAGCTAACCATGAATCTCCCCGTGCGGTTTCTGAATCTATCTCCGTTCCTGACAGTAATACTACCTGATATCGAGTTCTTCGGTTACTGTCATCTGGCTTTCTCTGGGTAACTTGAATCATGATTCGCGATGATTAGCAGCAACAATCAACTGCAACTTTCCATGGTGAAAGATCGGGCATTGAGACCATGGTGAACTACCCGCAAAGCTCGAGCGGCCCGCAAGGGCCAAGAACCTTATGCTTTGAGTAAGGCAGCTCATCTTGGACACTCTGTTGCTAGTGTGGAGAATCTGGTATGGATGATTTCTCGCAGGTCAGAGAGGTCGATGAGCTTTGCCCGTTGTTAAGCTCAACCAAGTTCAACAAGATGTTGAGCGTAGTCAGTTTGTGACCACCAGCCATGTGGAGTACTTGTCCTTTTAATGAATCTGAACGGGATGGAATCTGAGGAGGACTATGCTCCGTCCGGGCCAATGTGGATCCGGCTTGGTCTGTGCATACGCGTATTCAGCCCGGCCGCGACCCACTTGGGCATCACAGCGAAGCCAAGCCGGGGATGGCTGAACGGCCAGAAGAACTCAGAAACCGAGGGCGATGAACTAGGCAGCAGACTTTGCATTAGTAAAATACTTGGTTCATGTACTAAGAATCCCGAGTTTGTGACTGTCATCTCGTATCCGCGTACAGACATGCCGCGCAGGACACATAAGAAATCTCGCAATGGCTGTGCTGAATGCAAACGCCGTCACGTCAAGGTATGGAATTACCGCTCCAATTGCCATGGGAACATGCTGATTCGGCAAGTGTGATGAGCGACGACCCGTCTGCTCCAATTGCGTGGCTTCTGAACGGAGGTGCCAGTTCATGGGGCCTGCGCGCCTTGCACAAACCTCACCAAGCAATAGTCAGGAATATGCTTCTGCTTCGCCCGCCACCACCTCCTCTCCCGGACAGGAACCCATTCAAGCTCCAAGTGGCTTCTCTGAGGATGCTCCTGTCAATATGCTCCATGTGGAACTGCTTCACAACCTATTGGTGGAAACTGCCAGTTGGGTTAGCGCCACCCACCGGCCATCTGAGATGTCCTTCCCCAACATGCTTCAGATCGGTCTTGGAGCTCCCTACCTTATGAATATGCTATTGGCCATCAGTGCTCTGAATCTCAGCATCACTAGGCCCGACCGTCAAGACTTCTATCGGCATCACGCTACCCGGCTGCAAAACTACGCGCTGAGCAATTTCAACAGCCTGTCGCCAGAGTTTGACGAACAGAATTGCATTCCAATTTTTCTGTTTGCTTCCACGCTAGGAATGCACTTGCTGTGTGATACCCTCGTCTTTCGTGATGGCCTTTTCGAGGACTTTCTGGATCGTTTTGTGCAGTACATACGGCTTCACCAAGGGATACGAACAGTCACAGCGGAGGGGCGATGGAATTTCCTACAGCAAACGGCACTTGGTCCGATCTTGAGTCTCGGCGCGCAGATTCCCCCCATGGATGTGGAGTTTGGGCCAGTGTGTAGAGAGCTATTCGAGCGTATCCAAGTTTCGGAAAGTGATGAAGCCAGGATCAAAGTGTACCATCAAACTGTCCAGGCCTTGCAAACGGTGATGACGGTAATTGATACAGGCTTGTCGTCAAATGGAGGGCTGAATGCTCTTATTGCGTGGCCGGTGCTGATTTCTCGTGAATTTGTTGACTTGGTGTCATCACGGCAAGGAGAAGCCCTTGTGATTCTGGCATATTATGGAGCTCTCATTCATGCACGTCGTGATAAGTGGATATTTACCGATGGAGGGCGGTTTTTGGTAGAGTCTGTTACCCAGTATCTAGGGCCTTCCTGGCATGAATGGCTGGAGTGGCCGCGGAAAGTTTTAACTTAGACTATATCTATCCTGAGTATATTATTTATGCCTGGTCGCCCTTCACCCCTCACTTCCATTTTCCATACACATTCATCACCTAGACGTGATATCTCTGGATCCTACGGCGTCGCGAAAGCACCTTACTCGGTCCTCCTCTGCCTCCCTCGGACTCGTCAACCATTCACCACCGAATCATTTTTAGTATATCTCCTGATCACTAGAATATCAAATTCCTCGAGGTCACATATCAGGATTGTAATCAAAGATTTAACATTCTCCTCAAACCCTCAGGTTGAGTTCACTAATATTTCAGTTACTATCATACCTCATGCTCTTCCCGGCACAGGCCGCGACAGGAAATTTTCCTCCTAAAAGTTCTGTGATCACAAATGCACTTGACCGTATTGCAGACTTACAAGGCGACACTCATCCTCCATCATACTGTACCTTCTCTGATTTTCCAGATTTTGCCTGAGCGTTTCAGCGTCCGCAATTTGGTGAACCAGGCATCATTGTAGATTCACGTGGTCTTCTAAGAGCCGCTTTCTATCATCGATCTTATCCGCCGCGTTTCCGTTCGCTCTCTCTGCCCTAACCCTGCTCTAATCAAACACCGCCCTTTCAACTGCAGCAATGGATAGTCAAGAGAGCATCACCATTGCAGGGGTCGTGACCCAGCTTAAGAGCAAGTCCAATTACCTCTCATGGATTTCGACTCTTCCCCAAGCCATGCTTTCGTTAGATTTAGACGCGGTACCATATTACTGGAAAAGAGTGTCACTGGGCTTGCAACGTATCTACGAGTTTTTCTCCGTTGCCAGTCTTGAAAAGGGCATTTACAATGCGCGATCAGATCTTTCAGTCAACCTTCTCTGCGCTTTTCATATTCTCCGTTGGTTATAATTAACAGGATCTGCTATTTATCAAGTCCCGTGCAACTGCCAAGACTGGACATTTTTACCATTTCGGGTAGAGGTCGAGCGGAGTCCTTTCTCCCATTCGGTGCAAGCAGTCCAGGCAGTCTTATCTTTGTGTTCTACTTCAAGCATTTTGCATTTCAATATTATTAACTGACTTGCAATCTCTTATTAGACCAAATCTACAGATAAAGACTGACTTGACAGAAGTCGCACTGTTAATGTAGAATAGGCGATAAGTAACGCCCGAAAAGTCGAACATCTCAAGTAGAGTCTCGATAAGAAGATAGCAACGAGATAAGGCCATACAATGTGATGGCTGTCAAAGACCATTTCGTCATACGGACAACCCGGACCTGCATTTTCTCGCCAAACACGGCAAAATAAATCAAATTACCGCTTCCAACCAAAGCGGCCATCGAATGCGTATTTCCTGTCACCCTGAATCGATGCGAGCTTCCCCGCTTCGAAAATCCCGGTCTGAGTGCCACACGATAGCTCCCAGACCAAGTTATTCGTATATCATAGGAGTACTTATTGATCTGGCTCCCTTTCATTGTTCGTGGTATATTTACGTTTGCAACAATCATTACTATTTGACGCCAGATTATCGATTCGCTGTGAACGGTACATCTAATCGGGCATTTTTATACTAGTCCAAGCCCAACGACTATTTAGCCTAGCCCCAACGCGCATGGAATAGGCAGCCATGGATGCCTTTGAGGGCCGCGAGAGCGCCTGGAGGATCGGGCTGATCCTGGTAGCTGCCACCGCGATTTATCTTGTCCTATACCGAACATCCACGAAATCTCTCTTAAACAGAGTATCCCTACGAGGCCGGAGAGACTCAACCGCCAAAACCCCACCGCGATCATTGTCCCCAGAGGAGAAGCAATCCAATAGTGCCACATCCCCTGCGAGCTACAACCATGCCCTGCCACCCCAGCGTAGGGAAGCACTCCTACAATTGCAAGGGAAAGCTATACGCTGGCGGGAAGTTGATGAGACCGAGATGCGTCAAAATGGGTTGCCCATGACAGCCGACTATAGGACCAGCCCAGGCAACTTGTACACCCCGACAGGATTCTCGGTAGACGATATCAAAGCCCTTGGGGACTTTCCCGATTATTCGACACTCAGTGGCGTCCCATTGCCCAACCCTTACCCAGAACATGATATTGAGAACGCCAAGCCGCGGCCTTATCGGCCATTCAGATGGTCTTACCATCAGACTATGTGTATGTTCAGTCCCATATATCCCATGACGAATCATCATCTAACCACCCTTCCAATGTAACTAGCACTAGCAAAACTGGAAACTGACTGGTGGATTGAGATTGAGAGCACCTACAAAAGCCGCATCGCTCAGCGTAGAGCACTCTTCGCCAAGAATGGCAAGGCAGTCCTGGATGCCCTTCCCGGCTCCGAGCTGGCCTGCAAGGAGCTCATGGAGATGGTTCTCCAATTCATCTGCGCAAGATACCCACAGCACTTTACTCTGGTTGACAAGCAAGTGCTGCAGAACCATATTCTTGGCACCGAGCATGATCTTCGGACCAAACCTCCGCTCGAGGTGCTTCTCGACAATGTTCCCGAAGACTTTGCACTTATGCTGCGGGACGATCAGACTGGATTTTACTTCCTCCGCGCCGCTGTAATCTGTTCAGCGCTTGGATGGAATGTTGGTTCGAAAATCGGGAAGCAGTTGCATCAGATTCATGAAACGATTCCAGATTACAAAGAGAAGATGCAGTTCTCAATGGACCGGTATGTCTGACCGTGTGGGTTCGGAGCATGTTGTACCGGATGGTAGCTGACATGGTGTATCTGATAGATTCTTCACGAAGATGCCGACTGAAAAGCCGATCCAGCGAGGTTCATGGGGCCTTGAAGTAGGCGAGCCTCTGTATATGCCACCAGGAGATCCCCACGCGGCTCTTCGGTTGTCGCAGGATCCAGATCTGCATCTGAAAGATTGCAGCCTGCGCGTGGACTGGCAGACTCTTCGTCGCCTACCTCTTTCAGCGTCCATTGTCTTTAATTTCAAGGCTGTTTTCACGCCTATAGTTGAGTTTCGCGACGAGCCTGCCGTACCAGCATTGGTGGCCAAGATCTTGAAGGAAGGAAAGCAGAATCTTCTGAAATACAAGGGTGTATGGCATGTCCAACATGTTGTCTTGCCCAAATTGGAGGAGTGGGTAAAGGAGCAAGAGGAGAAGGGACTTGTTCCAAGGGATTGGCCCGTTGCTACGCTGGATGAGAGTCCGTGGTTCAGAGGATGGGAGGAGAAATGGCACCGCCAGCAAGGGTTTTGAACGAGATGTCTTTGTTTCTGTTTATGTTCAGGTTTCTGAATGTTTGCATTGTAATAACCACTGTGTTTTGTAGCCTTGGAGCGGCTGAGAGTCTTGATATTCATAATGCATCCGCTTGCACACATTCCCAAATAACAACTACTGCGAGAGTAGGCTTTTTCGTAATGTGTGGTCCAAGCTCCTGTACACCTGTCGAATGATTCTACGAACAACTCTTTTGACAGGTGGAGATTACCCCGGAGACGAAACGTCCGCCCGGGGAGAGCATCAACTCGGCATGTGCTCATCGGCAGATATCGACAGCTTTAGAGCATGCCATAAAAGTGCGTATGTGCGTATATCGGCGCGAGTGATTGGGGCCCAGCCAGTTTAGTTGGCTGTATAATCGGATCGACGGATGTAGTGACGTTTCGAGAAGTAGCATTGCCGCGTCTTCCCTTCAATCATCGCCCTCATCTCGCCTACCGGAGGAGTCGTTGTCACTGCGGTTGCGATCTGCATCTTCCTCCCCATCGTTGCTATCCCGGTCGAGTGCTTCCAGCTCGTCCGCCAGGGGGCTTATCCGTTCATCCAGCATCTCCAGATCCTCCAGTTGTCGCCGCGGCGGCAACTTCCAAAGACTAGTGCCACATACACGGTCCTTGGTGAGAAGGTCATCAACAAACTGGTCGATGTAGGTAAGGGTATATGTGTCGCGAATCCGTCGCTTTATTTTCCGGTAGTCGAGCAGAAGGGGCTCTAGGGTCTTGTACACATCGACCGCATCGAAAGTGAGACGTACGTAGAATGCAGCGAGCGCTCGAAGGTATTTGAAATCACCGCGCTCCTTGACAACTCCGTTTTCTGGGTTTTCGCCCTCCTCGTCACTGCCGGGGTCGGAGAAGTTCAGGTACTCGAGGATGACGTCTCGGTCGGGGTTGAGCTGGAGAAGCTTGAAGGCGAGGCAGAGAAAAGGTGATGGTTTCTCGGAGATACCATAGGTACCACCAATAGAGCTCAGTTCAACGGCGCGATCGCACAGGGTGGCTGCGTTCAAACCGAAGCACTGCTCCTTCCAATAGTAGGAGTCCGTGATGCGATCACGTACAGCCTTCTCAAAAAGAGTAACCGGGTTCACACCACGCACGAGGGGGCCGCTGTAGCCCCGATTGTCCAGGAATGAGCTGGCATCAGCACGATGAGAGGCCATGGTGAAGGTCGTGCCGTTGCAGGTGTGGAGCCTCGCGAAAGGGAAGTTTGAAAAGCCCGGGCGCCAAGACTTCCACGTCCCAAGACCGCCTTATCGATAGTCGCGCGGCCAACCCCGTAAACAATCCTGATGTCATGCAACACTACGGCTGACTCTGTGAAATCGACAAAAGGACGGGAATGCCAGGGCGCCATGCATGGTTGACGTTTTAGTTCCATCCACTCCTTCCATTGTTCTATGTCGCCTGCCTTCCCGCGACAATGGTTCTCCTCACGTCGTCCACGGTCTCTGCTATCGTGTCGATGGGAGTAGTTTGCATTTTTACTTTGTTATTATTCGTTTCGGGCTACGTGTTACAACAAAACTCAGTGAAGAACATTCAGCATGCTTTGCGCAAGCCCCCTGATGGCCCCCCCATTGTAGGGCGCGGATCCCCCGGATCTACATTCCAAAAGCCTGCACACAAACGCGGTCTGTCAGATTCAGATTCTGGGTTAGCGGCCGATCAAAAAACTCTACAAGGGAGTCCAGATCGTCAATCGGGCTCAAGAGGAAACTATGCATATCTTCAGCTTTTGTCAAGGCCGGACCCATCCGATATCTGCTCTGCTATCCTCCTCTTCAAACAACTCGCAACAAACGGCTCAGTGATCCAGGATCGCCTGTTTATGTATCCCGAAGAATGGGATCGCATGTCTGCAAAGAGGCTTGGAAAGTCTGCTTCACTAGCATTGTCTATTCTACGCGTTGCTAGTATCAAGTACGGCATCTGGTTGCTACCCATCGACGTAAGTGCAGCAATACGTGCTGGATACACAATGTCCAACACCAAACTTCTGCGTTTGGGACAAATCCAGTTTATGCAGTATGACAGCGTGTTGTATCTGCAGTCACCCGGGTTGGTTTTGGACACCGAGAAGCTTGATGAGGTGTTATTGTCACGACCACTTCCCCTCTTACACGACTGGAACCGCCCAGAGTCGTACAATAACGAAGCATGGACTCCAATGTCTCTTCGCCCAGACCGCGACGACGACTTGCCTCCTGTATACTTGATTACGGTTAACAATGTCGACGGCGGACGCGTCCAGACTCGCACGCATGTCCCCAATGTTGACCTTCCTGGATTTGGCAACCTCGTGACCAGCCCCGCGGATTTTGATAGGCTGGGTGAGCAACCGGGATACGTATATTTTGAGAATGATCGTGATGGACGGGTCAAATGGACAGGGAACCCGCTTTTTGGAGCCTGGCGATCACAACAGCATGAAGTCTGTGAAGGACTAGACTTTGACGACGATTTCCTTTACGAGCAATGATTTTTTTTGGACTATTTGGACTATTTGGACTGGAAGCATGCATGGATTACCTTGTAAATGTGCGGGGTCGGTCTGGATTATGGCGTTGGGTTTATGGATTCTGTTTTTCTTTGGAGATATCCTTTAGGTCTATACCATCTCATGCAAATTTGTCATTTCATGGAATGAAACTCGTTTTATGTGTGTTTGAAGCTAGCCGTGGCAGCCAACACGAGATGAGAATAATACATTACTCGGGTTCTCAATCATACAAGCCGTAGATGACGACGAGATCATATAACGGAGGCGTCAGGATATCCAGCTGGTCCAAATCACTGGGGAACACTGATCTCATAGCCCAGGAGCACCTCGGTGGTGTTGCCCTCCCAGCCGCGGTTCCCGCTGGTGGAGATCATGTAGCGACAGGCATTGTCCACGTAGAGTTGGGATATAGTTCCGGTGCGATGGCCCGGAATGATAAGGAATGGCACGGCCGAGTGCCGAGAAGAGTGCTCGTGCTTTAGGTCGTACAGACGCAGGATATCGTGGGAAGCACTGGAGGGAATTAGAAACATCACCTTTCATGTGATAGAGATAGAGCTTACCAGACGAGATGGCGGCCATTAGGCATCGCCTTGAGGGCTGTGACCGGCCCGCTTCCCTGGGGAAACTTGAATGTGCGACTAGCTTCCCTAAGACCTTTGTGAAGACTGTATTCCTCTACGGTGCCGTTTCTTCGTCCCGCATAGATGTAGTTTCCATCCGGGGACCAGCAAGCATTCATACACCATGGCGGAACGTTGCGAGGGGTCATCCGAGCGACTGGATTGGGCTGTCGTCGGTCCCATACCCGAATTGTACCGTCAATGGATGCAGCTAAGAACGTGGTGTCTGGTCCCACCGTCTGTTCCGTCTGCATAGTCTGGGAAAGATCCTGGCCCAATGAAGATGTCTCCAAGCCATCTGCCTTGGGAAGGCCATTTACCGCCGACTCGGACGTGCCATGGAGGATATCGTCGTTAGTCACTTTATGGTTCGCATGGAAGGAATCGGCGTTTTCGTTTATCCCCCCGGCGCGGCTGGTGGTAGTGGCGCGGAATCGACCTGCGGCATATCGGTATCGATTTCGCCGGGGGCATCGGCATCGGTGAGAACACCATTTGCAAGTGCACGGCCAAATTCGTCATCTTCATCAACCCCAAAGACACCCGCGGACGGTTCACCGCCATCTGCGGCCCCTCCGTCTGCGTCTCCGAATAGTGAATCCGCGCCACCAAACAATGAGTCTGTCGGGGAACCCGCCTGCGGGTTCTCCGTAGCGCCTGCATCTCCTGCATTCTCGGTGGTGTCCATGGCGTTTGAATGGTCTGTACCGCTCGCTTCATAGTTTGAGGAGTAGGTACCGTTCGGCTGCGAGAAATCAATGGTATCTTGAGGAACAGCCAGGGTCGATTCTGGCCGAATTTGTACTGTCGAGATCTGACTAGCATTTCCTCCGAATGCGCGTCGGGCCTGCCCGGTATTTAAGTCCCAATCAATGACCCGCTTATCCCAGCTCCCGGATAAAAGAGACTGTTCGTCCGATGTAAGATTCAATGATGAGACTGCCGAGGTATGTTGCCGTAATTGCACAATCTCCTTGCCTTCATCGTGGCGGAGTGTCTGCAGTCGAATAGCCCCCGATTCCAACCCGGAAAGCAGCCACAGGCCTTCGCTCTGGCATGCCAAAGAGTAGACCGGCGATAGATGGTTCCCATCCATATTTTCCCAGTATGTCATGTAGACTCCGGCTTTCACCACGCTATCCACGAAGGGGTGCCGCTGCGCAACAGTTAACATGAGCTTACTGTTGATCGAATCCGCCCAATTGAATTTGCGAATATATCCATCCGAGCCCCCACTAAATACCCAGCGCATGTCTGCTGTAGCGGTGACCGCGTTGATGGATGTACTATGGGGCGCGGCAGTGGTAGGGACGATGTCGTAGGTTTTGGCCGTGAGGCACTCGGGGCGAACACTTGGATGGTAGATGGAGAAGGATTCGAGCATGGAGTTGCCTGTATTCCCAGGGGACCTCATGTTGATTGTCTCTTGATTTTGTTGGGAGGCCATGCCCGCTCCTTCTGAAGCCTGGCTTGCGTTCGATGGGCTGTCTGGATCCTGGTCCTGGTCCTGGTCCTGATCTTGGTCGGCATCGGCATCGACGTCCGGCTCGTTGTCTCCCTCCCCATCGTCCACGTTGCGCATTGCATCGTCCATCTCATTGTCGGAGCTGCCATCCTGGGAGCCTAAACAAAGAAGCACATCAGCCGCTAGCTCGTTTGCGGGGAAGGGACGCTTGCAATGAAGGTGTGACTTACCCGCCAGGTCGCGGTCCTCATCCTCCTCAAGCGACGTCATGACTCTGGGGCACAGGGAAAGGATCCAGTAATGAGTTCCTCAGTGCCGATAAATTCTATGGAAAGGTAATTGAGAAGAGTTCAGTACCCTCGCGCGGAGAGAGCTTCTAGGCGGGCCCTGGCTAGAGTCGCGCAATATGGGGCTTTCGGTCGCAGCCTTGGCTGTTAGTTGTGTCGAAGCCTTGTTGAAACAGGTTTCTATCCACAACAGGCAGCAGGCAATCAATAGCTCAAAGCTGGTGAATGTCGCGAGGGAGGGATGAATGCGAAGCCCGCGGACGGCACCGCGCTCGGACAAGTCCAGCACTCTTCGGACGGCTCTGTGCTGACCAATCAGCGCACGATTTCATAGATCGAAGGGCCCACCACTAACAGGCTGCCTGGAAAAAAGACGAATATACGCATGACGGGGCCTACGGATACTCTGGAGAATGAACAAATATTCAACTCTATCGATGCTTGAGTTAGTCTAAGATATCGCTCATTTTCCATGAAAAAATTGAGACTGAACCCGGCAAGTTCCTGCTTGGGGGGCTACTTCCTTTGATACCCACTAACACCGTTGATGTACGAGAGGCTTCTAGAAGCAAGCCCCAGGCTGGCAGTCCCAATGAATCCCGCGAATACATTAGGAGCACCTAAGTATGCTCCGACAAGGGCAGTTTCCATACTGTTCTGCACGATCCGCGTGCCTTCCCCTCCTCGCTAACTTCTTCTTGCTCATCTCCCCGTCCTCTACCGGCCTTCTCCATCACTCTCTGACATCATCAAAATCACCCAAACCAAGGCAAAAGGGTCCGACACTTTACGAAGCGATTCGTAAATCGAAGGTACAGTGAGAGCGACAGAGCGTGCCGCAGAAAGTACCAGAGATCAACCTCCAAGTTACCGTTTCCACTGGCCACTTATCCAGTAGGTTGAACGGGGCACACATACCTGTATAGGTCACATCAAAAATAACTAATGTGCACGAGGTGTTTGCTTTCTCTTATCATTGCTCTTACGGAGTTTCTATCAAATACTATGTATTATCGAGAGGTTGAGAGCTTACGCTGGGTTAGCGAAATTGATCAATTTGTCAGAATGGAAGCTGCCTTTGCTGCATGCATGTCGTAAAATGATATATTCGTATTAGATATGTGCAAGTCTCAAAACGCAAGGGCGCTCATAAGATTAAAGCATGGACATGTAATGCTCCAAACTTTGTCCAAGGACGTTAATGAAAGGCCACTGGGTATTCCGCTTGAACAATCTTGCCCACAACCTGAGAACAGCCATTCCCAATGCCGCAGGCTCAAGATTTGGCGGTACTTCAGATTCGTCCTCCAGGTCGATTGAGGAGTACGCTTCTTCGACAATGCATTGCGTCCAACGGAGGATACGACTTTCATTTTCTGCCAAAGACCTTCGTCAGAATAAAAATTGCGAGAACTGACTGGGAGGGCACTAACCACTTAGCGCCTGATCTGGCGCCGCCTCCGCAAGCGTGAAAAGCCACTTGCTAAGCAGCACAGCACATTCAAGACTTGCCAGCGAATGCCTCACGCTCCAGAAGAAAGCTTGACTCCGAGCAATATGGTCGATGCCAAGACGAACGGGAATACTGAGTGCATGAGCAGAGTAAATGAGAGCCGGGATGAGGCGGTAGCTTCGCTCCGGTTTCGGAGAGCGACACAGCGCAGAGGCTATGATTGCCGGCTCACGAGTTTCGAGACGGCGATATGGTCCAAGATTCAGCGATAGGCGTACGTAGGCGAGTCCGAGGAGGGAGCTTGACGTGAATGGGATTGGACCGTTGACGTTGTGGGGGTCGAGGCTTGATTCCGGCGCTTGTTGCCAGACAGAGGTCCAGGAGCGAAGGGCTCGTCTATGAACATGGTAAGACAATGAAATCATAAATGGAAGGATTGGTGGGGTGTATGCCGTAACGATCTGATACGACAGTCGTAAACTTACTCGATTTTATTCAATTCCTCCGTCGGCAGACTGGTTATATGGTTTCCGTTTGGTAGTGAGAGTTCGCTGACGATGTGGATTCGCTGTAGTAGGCCATGAAGAAGCATATAGTTACCCAGTGGAGCTGGAATTGGTTCCAACGGCACAGCTGACCGTGACTTCTGTAGCAAAAGAGTCAAGGCATCCTGGAAAAATAGTTGCTGAGGCCCACGGTCTCGTTGAGCGGCCTCCCATTCGGCAGCAGTATTTGCCGTCCATTCCTTTGATGAACAAGGTAGACGCATGTGTATTTCGCTGCTCCGAAGTGATGGGTAGATATTATATGCAACGCTGTGTATATGGATGAAGCAAAACGAGATGAGTTTTGTGCGCCGCACAGACTCTTGATCTGCCCATTCATACCAGTCTTGTGTAACGCGGGGGTCGATATATGGCTCTGTTAGCCCGGCGTCACGGATGTGCTGAACTAGTTGAGACTGGAGCTGGAAGGCCTCCTGGACGAGTCCAGCTCGCTCCCAGGTGGCGTAACTCATGAGTACAAGGAGGCAACGAATCACTTCCATTTGCCTTGAGGTACTAATCACTGCTCCGCCTGAAGCTTGATTGTCATCGGAATATTGAGAGACACCTAGGGGTGCCGAATAGCCTGCCATGCGAGACTCCCTGGACATTCTCTCGTATAGAACAGCTTTTGAAACATGAAAAATTCTTTCGGCGTTTCGATGCTCGAATCGATACTGAGCACCAATTGTCATTATTGCCAAAATAAGTTCTGGAGAACATTCATTGAAGCGAAATGTTGGGATATGTATGAATGGAATGTGTGGGTGAAAGCCTTCAAAGTAGGATGTGAGATATCGGGTCAAGGTATGGCGGGATGGAAGAGTAAAATCTGGGATAACATTGCGAAAGTCTTCGAGAGCTGCTGCAAGTCGGAAGCGTTGGTCCTCCGACACATTGAATCGGGAAGACTTGGTAGCCTGCGGCGGTTCTAGATCGTGTTAGTCTCTTCGGGAAAATACGCACTGTCAAGTAACACATACCCGAGTCAGAAAGAGTGCATAGGCTCTGATCACCCCTTGGGACGGATGGTAGCCACGATCGGAAGGGAGAGTCTCCTCGCGTCTCTTCCCTCAAGCTACGCCGAGGCCTTGATTGCTCTTGTGATGATTGCGCAGGCTTCTGGACCTCTTCAAGACTGAGATCGGGCTGCATCTGATTTGTTTCTCCATCGCTTGGGAGCCACTCCGCTGGCAACCCGATTGAGTCTAAGAAGTGTGTAAATTCTTGGAAGTGGTTCAGATCTTCAGGCAAATAGGGCATTGCTAAGTGACCGTTAGTCGTGATGCCCAATCCAATACATCAGCGTACCTACAAGTTGCTTGATAATCGCCTGGGATGAGCAATTGCGCAGCCTGAAGCATAGCAGGATCATGCATCGCCGGATGCTCCCCCTGGATTGGATTGGGATTAGGGGCTCCTGCAGCCATGATACTATCGGTCTGGTTCTGTGCTAAGTACGATGCGTGTTCAGTTTGCGCTCCAGTCCACTGATGTACAGCAGATGGCCCCGGTATTGCCGCTACGGAACGGGCCGATGCATCATACTGCGGTGGGATGGCTGCAGGTACCGAGCGAGGGGCCGCTTGGAGAGCAGGCTGCACCATTGAAGCCGGTTGCAGATCGGGGGAGGCGAGCCCATCCTGGTGGGAAATGCGCGTATGACGCTTCAAAAGATCGCGTCTAGTAAAGGCCGCCCCACAGACGCAGATGAACGGTTTCTCCTTGGTATCTAGTGTATGTGATCAGCCATGCTTCTCCATTGCGACTCGCTGTGACCCCACGGGCGGCTTACGGGTTCGCACATGGCGCTCCAAATGCTCTGTACGACGAAAGGCCCGGCCGCAATGGATACAGATGCGCGCTTTCGCACCTCGCCCTAATTTCTGGGGCGATGGAGATGGCATCAGTGACTCCGAGTCCTTGGAGAACGAGGAAAAAGTGGACTTTGGGGGAGGGGAGAAGAGCAATTTCGGAGACGGGACGATTACTCCAACGGCCAAACGGGGACTCCAACGGCCCCGCTTTTAAGGTTATTAGTCAGCTGCTTTATCGCTTACGACATCCAGCAGACTCCACACTTTATCATGGTTAGCAGAGACCAGAAAGAGCAAAAATTGATATCACGTTACAACCATTATTAGGTGAACTCATTCATGTCGACTTCGATTGCCAAGACGCTCTTCCCTGGTGTGGCCGTGGTGACCGGGGCTGGTGGAACCGGTTTGTACTTCTGACAGCCGAGCAACTACATCGGCATATTTCACTGACACGGTTCACTCGGATAGGAATTGGTGCTGCTGTTGCGAGGGCTTTTGCCGCCGCAGGATGCGAGCGCATAGCAATTACAGATTTGAATGAAGTTACCTTGGAGCAGACAAAACAAGCTGTCGCCGCAGCTCATCCCAACGTGCGGTTACTGGTCCATCCCGGAAACGTGGCCGACGATCAATTCGCGGATTCTTTCATCGACAAAGTCGTGCAATACTTCGGTCGCGTTGACTATGCCGTTAACTGTGCTGGTGTCCTCGGTCAGCCTTTGCGGTCGGCGGAAACCAGCGTCGCAGAATTCGATCGCGTGAACAATATCAATTACCGAGGCTGCTGGCTGTCCTCTCGAGCACAGCTCAAGCAGATGGTTAGACAGGATGCTCTACCTAGCCATGATTCGAGTCGTTCTCCGCAACGTGGTGCGATAGTAAATGTTGCCAGTCAGTTGGGGATTGTGAGTCGGCCCAGCGCACGTAAGTATTGCCCTCTCTCTCTATATATGTGCATGGGAGATCGAGAGTCTTACCTTTCTTAATTCAGCGGCATACTGTGCTTCAAAGTCTGCAGTTATCGGCATGACTCGTTCAGATGCAATTGACTACTCCAAAGACGGCATCAGAGTGAACTGCGTATGCCCCGGTGTCATTGAAACCCCAATGACTATGGGCAACACTGAAATTCGGGAAGCTATCACTCCCGCGATAGAGATAGCTCCTATGAAGAGAATGGGAAAGCCAGAGGAGGTAGCTGATGCAGTATTATTTCTTTGTTCTACGAAGGCGTCTTTTGTACAGGGCCATGCTATGGTGGTTGACGGTGGATATATCACAGTGTAAATACCTGCCATGAAAACAGCATATGAATACGACATATCTATCTTTCGTGACATCGTTCACCGGAGTGAATTAATTTACTTGACGGAATTTGCTACAGGAATATGTAGCATTAGGCGAAATGGCGCTGCTCCAAACAGCTGCAAAGACAGTTGGAGAGGTACCGACTGGAAGGAATCTAAGAGAAGAGTTGAAGATTTGCAAAGAAAGGACTGCTAGTCTAGCTAGCTATTCGTTTCAATTCAGTTCAGTAGAACAGTGCATTTTCTTCCAATCAAAGTGGCTCTCCCATGCATGCGCTGCCCTCAAGATCTTCTCTTCTTGCCACAGGCCTCCAACGACTTGCATACCGACGGGAAGCATGACCCCCTCGTCCTCTTTCGCCGGAGCAAATCCAATTGGGATGGATATCGCCGGATGGCCAGTCACATTGAAGACAGCAGTGTTGATTGTCAACCCCATGCTCGGTTTAAGTGACTCCAAGGGGAGACCCCGTTTCCCGTTCTTAGGGGCGACAACAGGGGTGGTTGGCATCACCAGCACATCGTATTTCTCAAAGAGTGTCTGGTACTTATCACTCAACTGGCGTCCAATATTAACCGTCTTTCCATATAGATCTGGGAAGCGGGACATCAGATAGAGACCGTTGATGATAACGTTCTTCGTCGAGGGGAAAGCTCGTTGAAACCCTTCGTTGGTCCAAGGGAGTCTCGCACGTTCCATCTCGCTCATGTAGAGACCTCTTCGCCCAGTGTTTTGTCCCAACAGAGTCTGTGCACCGGCAATTCGTTGCTGAATGGTCCAGATGGCTGGCCCATGAAGATGATCTGGAAGCGACACTTCCTCTATTGTTGCGCCGAGGTCTTCGAATTTCTTGGCTGCCGTCAAAACCGCATGCCTGACACTGGAGCTAACAGCGTTATGCTCAAATCCCTCCTTCAATAAACCAATCTTAACACCTTCAAGTCTTCGGGAGCTTTGGCTGAGATTTAATGCAAAACTAGTCGAGCCCGGCTTGGCGCTTCCCAGTGAGCGATCATCGATGCCATCATAGCCACTGATTACATCGAGACAGGCTGCGATCTCAAATGTACTCCTGGCTAGTGGCCCTGCATGGTCGTTTACAGCATCGCCGCTGCTGATGCCCGTGAAGGGTACCCGGCCATAGGTTGGCTTGAGGCCGACACCTGGACTTCGTTAGAAAATATAGACTTGAAAGAAGCGAGGGTATGTGAATAAGCTTACATCCACATAGAGACGCCGGAACCCGAATACTTCCACCCTGGTCGCCTCCGATGGTGATATCTACCAGGCCCGCCGAAACTAGAGCTGCGCCGCCTGAGGTACTTCCGCCCGCAGAATATCCAGTAGCATGGGGGTTTTCCACTGTACCCTGGGCACTGGTATATGATGAAGTTGAATGACAGTAATTTTCGCAAGTCGATGTCCCATGAATGTCGGCTCCAGCTTCTAACAGCCGTGTCACCACCGTCGCATCTGTACTCGGTGTCCAAGACGGAATAATATCGCTGCCCAATAGCTGTGGCACACCTGCTACCGCGATCACATCTTTAAGACTGACGGACTTTCCGGCGAGGACGCCCCCTCTTTGATTTCCTCGGATGAGAAACTTGTGTGCCCAAGCTTGTCCAAACACTTGCTCCTCTTTGCTGGGACGGCGCACATTTTCACGGGGATACTTGGTTTGATCGGGTGCTGGTTGATAGTCTGGAAGGGCGGCCACACCCTCTGCGCAGTCATGGATTGCTGCTAGAAGTGTGTGGAAGTCGCTTGACTCCGCAGGGTCTATCCTTAGCCCAAGGGGCTCGATGACTGCCTCGGCATCCCCTGGCTTGACCGGGTTATTCCTACGGGGAGACTCATCAGTAAACCTGTATAGTTACCAAGCCCAGTGGGAAAGCTGTGGATGCGCCACTTACGCTGAAATACTTGTGAAAAGGACCGACATGGTGTTATCTGAGACTGTGGCCTGCCACACGCACAGCAAGGGGTTGTGAAGTTTTTAGGAGAGAGTGACCTGCCACATTCTTTTCTAGTTCATCGGCTTGCTCCGAGACTGTCTCCTCTCTTTGGAGACTGTCGGCAAACAATGACCCGCATCTAATGCGACTGGCTCCATGGCAAAGAAACCCGTGCTTTCTCTGACCCCAAATCGACTCCAAGATCGCAGGCCCACCCAGGGTCTTGTGTTATCCGATAACGGGGGTGATAAGGTTCAAGATCGGACAAAGAAGGCACGAGAAGATATGGATAATATAGCTGGTATGACCAGTTTTGTGGGATAATCGTGTTTGCGCTTGCGACCGGTGATCATATCTCGGCGTTTGCGCGACGACCCCGACGGCTCCGAAAAGGAGGGGTCTATGGACTATCGCCTTCCCCGCATGTGTTTGACCCGTACAAAAGGGACCGGATGAATCTTACTAGCTTTCAACGCCGCAATTGCTAAGCATTTACTTTACTAAATGGGCCCAAAGAGAGTTCTCATCACGTATGGAGTCGACGTTGATGCTGTCGCCGGATGGCTCGGTTCCTACGGCGGCGAAGACTCGACGAATGATATTAGCCGAGGTAAGTCAATTCAACCGGGTTGCTGATACTAGACTAAGTTGAGATAGGGATGTGGGCAGGTACAGTTGGAACACGACGCCTTCTGAGGCTCTTCGACAAGTATAACATCAAAACGACATGGTTCATCCCCGGCCACTCGCTGGAGACCTTCCCGGAGGACATGGCGGCGGTCCGCGACGCAGGCCACGAAATTGGATTACATGGCTATTCGCACGAGAACCCAACGGACATGAGCATTGAGCAGCAACGAGATGTGCTCGACAAGACATATCGCATGTTGACCGAGTTCGCAGGCAAACCGCCTCGTGGAAGTGTTGCCCCCTGGTGGGAAACTAGCCAGGAAGGCGCACAGCTCCTGTTGGATTATGGCATCGAGTACGATCACAGCATGAGCCATGAGGACTGCCAGGCATACTATCTTCGAACAGGCGACCGCTGGACCAAGATTGACTATAGTAAGAAGGCTGAAACTTGGATGAAGCCGCTGGAACATGGCCCTCAAACAGGCCTCGTCGAGATTCCTTCCAACTGGTATATCGACGACCTGCCTCCGATGATGTTTATTAAAAACGCTCCAAACAGTCATGGCTTTGTCAATGCACGTGACGTGGAAGATATCTGGCGCGATCACTTTGATTATTTCTACCGCGAGTACGACGAGTTTATCTTTCCGATTACGATCCATCCCGATGTTTCCGGGAGACCACATGTGCTTTTGATGCACGAGCGGTGAGTTATGGCCAATTTGTGACCAATTTCTAGGGGATGCAAGGATACTAATCGTCATAGACTCATTGAACATTTCCAGAAACACGAAGGCGTGGAGTTTGTGACCATGGAGCAAGTGTGCGACGAGTTCAAAAAGAAGAATCCTGTTCCACCAGGAGCGCTGATGCCTGCCCCGGTCGGAGCAATGCTCAAGAACTGAATGGAACTTAATTCCTCTTTTCTGGGTTGGGCAGTTACTGCAGAACTGTTTTTCAAGAATATCATTATCTAATACATCTTATCTTCGTCTCCAATAACCAGATAGTTACACGCGTAGTTATCCCCGCAGCTGTCTCCAACGCGCCCTACTCCAACTCTGCATGCCGCATTCCGCGAAAATCAGTTACGTTCGGTCAATCCGCCACCATCTTTCTTATCTCCCCTCTATCGCAAGGTGCATCTGCGTCTCCCAGCCTCCCCTTATTGGCGCAAGCCAAACTACCCCAACAACTAACCGTATTCAGCCATTCCACCGACTCCTACCCCAACGCCAACTATGCACGCCGGAGCTCGACATACCCCAGCCATCCCGTCAGCCATCCCGTCAGCCCGCTTGAACCCCTGTTATCAGACAACTTGAATTCGTGGGGAACGCGAAGTGGAGTAGAACCCACCTGTGACCGGCCTCATTATCACACTATAGCGGCCCCAGTACCCCAGACTCTTTGTTCTGCATCCGCGAATAAGGAAACTGACCATGTTCTGCCGGGAAGAAACCGGTTCGGTGAGATAAGTTCCGGCGTCGCAGGTGTTCTTCCTATATATTCCTTGCGTTAAGTTCTAGAATCTGTTTGATGCTTCCATTTCTCAAGTCCTGGTGTTCTACTGCTGGTTGGCTATCAACCCGCCCTTCGCTATGTCGACCTCGCCCGATGACATCAAGGAGGCCCCTCCTGGCTACACCAATGAAGCCCCTACTCCTGAGACTGAGAAGGCTGAGCTTGAAGATCGCTACGAGGTCTTCAAGAGAGGTGAGGGCCAAGTCGATTTTCGTACCGTGAGCTGGATCCGAGCAGGAATCATCTTCTTGAAGAGTCAGTCATTGTTCTCGACCTGTCTAGCCTCGAACCCCCATTGAACTGACTCTGATATTGATGTAGTCATTTTCGCGACCGGCGTGCTCTCTATTCCATCGCTGATGTACGAGCTCGGCGCCTTCCCCGGCGCTGTCAACGTCATCGGATGGACTCTCCTCAACACTTACTGCGCCATTGTGCAGGGCAACTTTCGCAACCGCTATCCCGGCTGCCATTCCATCGCCGATATGGCTCAGGTGGTTGGTGGTCCAATAGTCAAAGAGCTGGTCGGATTCCTTTTCACAGTCAGTTACGTGATTGTGGCTGCATCCGGCATTATCGGCGTGTCGACTGCCTTCAATGCGCTCTCGCTGCACTCTATCTGCACTGTCTGGTTCAGCTTCATCGCGACTATCATCATAGCTGGATGCGCCAGTGTGCGCAAATTCTCGCACATTGGCTGGTTAACCTGGGTTGGCTTTGCCAGTGTGTATATTGCTGTCTTTATTATTGTGTATGTTCTTCCCCTCTTCCTCGTCCGTGCATATATCTATATATGACTAACCTGGCCAGGATTGGTGTTACAACGAGAGATCGCCCTGCTGCGGCACCACAGACAGGCGATTATGATTTTGGGTACCAGGTGATTGGCCACCCTAGCTTTACGACTGGGATTAGTGCCGCAGCGACGATTTTTGTATCGAGCGCCGCGACCTCGGCATTCTTGCCCGTCATTTCGGAAATGCGCAAGCCCAAGGACTACCCAAAAGCCGTCTATCTCAGCATGAGTCTGGTGACTGCATCGTACTTGACATTCAGCCTTGTGATCTATGCTTGGTGCGGGAAATGGATCGCGTCACCCTCTCTCGGCAGCGCAGGAACTACTGTGAAACGCATCGCATATGGGATCGCACTACCGGGTCTGATCATCAGTGGCTGTCTATATGTGCATGTGGCGGCCAAGTACTTGTTCGTACGGATCCTGCGTAACTCGCGTCATTTGCAGGCGAACACGGTGGTGCATTGGGGTACGTGGCTGAGCTGCACAATTGGCATGTCTGCCATATCCTTCGTCTTGGCATGCGCGATTCCGATATTTAACTATGTGCTGGCTCTTGTGGGTGCATTGTGTTTTGCACCCCTGGCTATCAGTCTCCCGGGGTGGTTATGGCTCTATAGCCATGGGGAGTATTTGAAGGGCAATATCTTGCGGAAGGCAATGTATGCAGTACATGTCCTTCTCGTCTTATTAGGGCTATTTATGGCCGTGGGAGGTACCTACGGGGTCATTGTCCAGATCAACCAGGCGTATGCCGATGGGCAAATATCGTCGGCATTTTCATGCGCCGACAACAGTGGATCGACTTAATATGCGTGATTGTATAAAAGTGTAATCGGATTGAGCCGAATATTAATATCAGGTTTTCGGAGCGATTCATGAGAGTTATACTTCGGATCGGTATACAGTCCCAAGCCGGTACATATCGACAATCACCGCCACGGCTTCTGGAACAGCTCTATTGATCTGTGGCTGTTTAATTGACTATCGCGGAGTGTACACCTTCCGCTGACTACGCCCCAGGCTAGCTACCAGGAGATTAGCGTACTCCTAAAGTCCGGCTGACCCAAGCCAAGCCCGCCCGGGCCCGCCTTCAGTGCCGCCGAATCCGATCAGTGTTGCGTCCTTATCTTTTCTTCGTTCTGCTCCTCTTTTTCTATTTCATCCAGCCAACTCTCATCCTTTGATCCCATCTCATCTTCTGTTCACCTCGAGGGCTATCCTCTTTACTTCGAACTCCCACCCCCTTCCACCGCATCGCCCCGTGATGTGATGTGACACCGCCCGACCGCTTATCAGGCCGCGTTATCAGTGCAAACAACCCCCTCACGGCCGTACTCGTACCGCAACACAATATGCTCCTCGCCAAGCTGTCCCTGGCCCTGACCTTTGCCAGCCTCGCCACCGCAGCTGCCATCCCAATGGCGCCCGGGGTCCTTCAGAAAATCGAGCCCAAAGAGGCCGCAGAGTGGTTGTCACCTCGGGACGCGTTATGGGCGCCGGCCGCCCGATCAGCCTCTTCGGACGAAGACGGCCGCCTGAATAAACGGATGCCCTACTATTTCCCCGAGACCGTGCCTGACGCCGACGAAATCGCCGACCGGTTGACCGCGATGCGCGAAGCTGGCCTCGTTACCAGCGAGCAGCGTGACCAGTACCATAACTCAATCGGCACTCCGGATGCAGGGATCGACACTCGTGCACGGACAATGCCCAATCGGGACTTGATGTCCGAATTAGACCGTTTGGAAGCAGCAGAGTCCGTCTGGGAAATGCTGCCCTCTCTACTGCCGCCGATGAGGTTCTTTGTGGTCGCTAGCATGACCATCGCCATCTTCACCGTGATCAGGGGCTGCCTACGCGCGCGCCACTGAAACAGGTTGCGCTAATTTGCACGGTCGCAATTTTGGTTGTTCGTTTTGCGATCCGCCCCGCCCAATTTTTGGCCCGGCATCTTTTATGCACCTCCCGACCCCCTACCCACTCCTTATGCCGGGCTATTCGCCCCCTCCCCGCCCACCCGCCGCGCTAGCTTCGGGTACTCGCTCTCCGAGCTCGACTCAGCACCCTTAGCCACCACACGTGCATGAGGTGCCACGGGATCGAGAGCTCAACCCCAGAACACGAGGCAGGGTCCCACAACAGCTATGGCTGCTGTCGAGGAACTCGGTTTCCATCCGAATCTGCGGATCTACCGACCGACATTTCTTGTTGGTCCTCGTCGGGCACTGTCCCACTTGAGGACCTACACTCGGGTCGCACAGCTCGCTATAGGCAGCAACGCGATCGTACGGCCCGAGTCCTCGTGCCAACAGCTGGAAACCGGCCAATCCTTCGAAGATATCCCGGCGAACTCAAATACGAGCGTGGCTGAAAACCGTCATGCACTCCAAACCTTTCCAATGCTACTACAACGCCACCGGTCGGCAAGTCTCCGGTTTGACTTGCGAAGCTTACGGGGAAAGCACAGTGATAAATTGTATATAACGAACCGGAACGATATATGGCATGGAATGATATAAGATATACGGGGAATTACCCTGGAACATATCTAACAATAAAGCTCACTACATAAGAGTAGAAATGCACACACACATTGAAGGAAATTCGATACCCAGATACACTCATTCTACGTAATCAGGGGCGCAGACTCAACTAGCCAAGCTTATCGCCGCGCTAAACGACGCACAGCTACAATCTACAAAGATAAGCCGAAGGCGAAACCCAATCAATTCCTGTTTGTCTATTCACGCTAGAGACACCTAAAATGCCTGTAGCACTCACTCTACCAAGCCCAAGCTCAACAGAAGCGGGACGGCAGGAAGCGGTGGATTACAAAGCATGATCAAAATAAAGATGATGGACAAGAAACGGACGGAGGGAATGGGGGAAGAGGAAGAATGATTCACAGGGAAAAAAAATACATTGCCCCTGACGCCACGAACAATGAAAATGGTCAAATAAGTATAATGAATTGAACAAAGAGCCACCAAGACAGAAAAGAAAGTGGAAGGGCGCAAGAGAAAAGTTACATGAAAGTCTTTTTTTTTGCAGACCACGCTCGAAAGAGCGGGCAGAGGGACGGTAGTATGGACAGGAGGGAATTTAGGGGCTAAGGATGAAATATGTACCATGGGGAGGGATGGTTATGGGAAGATGACGGTGCCCGTTCAGGAATCATCGACTAGCCCCTTCTGAGACCAGGCGCGCTTCGCAACGTCCAGAAGGACCTCCATGTGCCCGCTGTTTTGACACATGCTGCGGAACAGGCCATCTTCCTTGTTGATCAGGGTCCAGGGGTGGTCGAACTCGATGACACGGCCCTGGTCGAGCATCAGGACCTTGTCGTAATCTATGATAGTTTGCAGGCGATGCGCGATCGTGATGATCGTGCTGTCGCGGAGCTCGCGCAGGGTTTCCTGGATCTTGGTGTCGGTGGCGTAATCGATTGAGGCGGTGGCTTCGTCCATCATCAGAACGCGGGGCTTCTTGAGGAGCGCGCGTGCGAGGCATAGAAGCTGCCGTTGACCTTGTGACAAGTTGGAGCCGGACTCGGACACGAGGCTGTCCAGATTATGGAAGATATTCTTGTTGTCGGCGACGGAGACCGTACTGCCGTCCATGCCGTTGGCTTCGCCGGCGGCAAGTGTGCTCGAGGTCATCGGGGTTGTAGCGCCGGAGGTATTGGAGCCGATCAGATGCACGCGACGGAGGGCTGTGAATATCTCCTCGTCACTGAATAGGCTGAATGGATCGAGGTTGCTGCGGATGGTGCCGGTGAACAGGGTGGGGTCTTGGGGCACGATGGTGATGGCTTCGCGCAGATCCCGAAGTCCGATGGAGCCAATGTTGACGCCATCGATCAGGATCTGACCCTTCTCGGCTTCCAGGCCGCGGAAGAGAGCCAAAGCGAGGGAACTCTTGCCAGCACCAGTGCGACCCACAATGCCGACCTTCTCACCGGGCTTCACGGAGAAAGAAACCTCCTTCAGTACGGGTTCAAGATCGGGACGGTAGCGAGTAGTGTAGCCAGCAAACTCTACGGCACCCTGGCTGGGCCAGCCGCTTGCGGGTCTGGACTCGGCGATGATGGGGGCAGCCTCCTGGTCGACCTCGAGATACTCGCGAACACGCTCAACCGAGTTCATGTTCTGCTGAACCTCCGAGTAGAGACGGACAAGCCAAAGGACATTCTCAGTGAAAGTAACTGCATAAGTCAGAGACAGACCAGCAGCTCCGGCGTCAATCTTGCCGACATTGATCAAAACGAAGGTGGCAGAAAAGAACGAAACTAGAGCACCAGTCCAGTCCACACGAAGCGCGAGCCAGCGGTTGCTAGCCCACAGGTAAATGTGCGGCCGGTTGTAAGCGTTGATACGGCGATGATTGTCGACGATAAACCGGGGTCCATCACCATAGGCACGAATAGTGACAATACCATTCAGGGTCTCGCCGAACTGCTGGTATAACGGACTCCGTTGGACGGACTCAAGTCGCTTCAGGTCTCGGGAAGAGTTCAGGTAGACGGCGCCGAGAGCGGTGTAAACCAAAGTGATGAAGACGCCCGCAATCAAGAAGCCAGGGGTGATGGCGGAGATCAGAATGACAATCATGATCACCGATGCCAAGCTATGAATCATGCCAATGGCCACAGGTGCGACCTCTTGATCAACCGACTCAACGTCCTTAGAAAACCGGTTCATGAGTTGGCCGAGGGGAGTCGAGTCGAAGAAACGGAACTTGGCATGCATGACTGCCTTGAGAAGATTGTCGTGAATCTTCCAAGAGGCATGTAGCGATCCCCAGAACACAACAGCCTCGCGTGACAGAGAGATAGCGACATAGAAGATACCCAAAAGCGCGTAGACACCCAGATAGTATCCCACATTGACCTCTCCATCTCCGGTGGTAGGGCCCACGGAGCGTGAGGGGAGCTGGGGCGGTCCCCAAGTGCTTACTTTCGCGACGCTGCCCACATTGAAAGTAGGTGGTTTGAGGTGGGCGAGGGCAGCGTAGCTACCAGCATCACTACCTGCGCCAGTATTTGAAACGCGATAGGCGTTTGCCCATTGACGGATCCAAATGTTGGTGGAAACTGAACCCAGCTGCTGCATACAGAAAACGGAGACAGTCAAGACCCAGTAATACCATGAGCCCATCGAACGCAGGTACATCGCGACTGTCGACCACTTTACGCTGCCAGTAGCCTTGCTTTCTTTCAGGGGCGATTTCTCATCCGTCCGCGACTTGCTGGCAGCACCGTTGGCGGTTCCACTAGCCGCGGCGGAATTCTCATCCGCTGCGTCGTCTTCGTGCTCCGAGGGGACACGGGATAGACCACGTGAGCTGGCTCGGGAGCCGGGGCGAGACTTAAAGAACTCATCACCGAGGGCGCCAGTAGATGCAACATCGTCCGGCTTACCCTGAGCAGTAACTTTCCCATTCTCCAGTACCACAACGTGGTCGGCCTGGGGCACGGCCAAGGCAACGTTATGAGTTACCAAGACACAAGAACGGTTCAGCATGAGCGGGCCAGTCAGGGCTTGGCGGAAGATGTGCTTGGCCGTGTGCGAGTCAACGGCGGAAAGACAGTCATCGAGCAGCAAGTGGCGAGCGCTGCTGTAAACAGCACGGGCCAGAGAAATACGCTGCTTCTGACCACCGGACAAACTGATGCCCTTCTCTCCGACGAGGGTCTGATCACCAGCATCGAGGATCTCGATATCACGCTCAAGAGCACAGGCCTTGAGTACAGCACGGTAGCGCTTGTCGTTGTACGGGGACGCGAAGATGATGTTCTCCTTGACGGTGTCGTTAACGAGCCAAGCTTCCTGGGCACAGTATGCGACACTGTCAATCAGACCAGTTTCGGGGTCAACGGGAAGGTCAGCACGGCTGGTCATGCCGCCAGGAAGATTGACACGGCCCTCCACCAAGCGCATTTCACCAAGCAGGGCCATGAGCAAGGAGGTCTTTCCAGATCCCGTAGGTCCGGCGATGATGCTCAGACGACCAATAGGGAAATTGACATCAATGTTGATAAGGCGGAATGCATCTGCGCCGCTTTCCGAGGAAGAAGCAGCTTGCGGGCGAGGCGAAGTGGTACCCCAGGTAAGGGTTGCCTTCTCCAAGCCGATCGTGGACGGTCTATCCGAGATGCTGCTGTCACGCAGCTGGTCGTACTTCCCGGTCTCTTCTTCGTTGAGATACATGTCCACACGGTCCAAGGACACCTTTGACTCCTGCACATGGGCCACCATATCGGCCAGCTGATCCAAGGGAACGCGTAGGAGAGAGAACATCGACAAGGCAGGGAAGGCAATCGATGGGGTCAATTGCTTCTTTTCAACGACCGTGTATAAGAAGAACGACAGGAAGGTGATCAAAATGGGAGTGCCGTACCAGACAGTTGCAGCGAAAGACCAGAGGACGTAACGACGACGCAAGGATTTGAGCTCTGCCTTGCGCTTTTCGTTCACAATGTCTTGAAACCGCTGCTCCCACGCAAAGTACTTGATGATGCGGATGTTTTGGAGGACTTCGTTGGTCGCGTGAATACGGGCATCAGTACCCTTGAGAATTGCGTTCTGGACCTTGTTGAACTGCCGGGCGATGAAGAGATTCACGGGCAGCATCAGAACCATCAATGCGATACCGGCAAAGGAGCTGAAGCCCATGATCTTGTAGAGCAGGATGACAGCCATGATGACCTGCACCGGCACACTAGCCCACAGGAAATGCAGATATGCGCCAACCTCGCTGACCTTGAACGAGTCGATGGCCATCAAGTTGATGATCGTACCGACATTCGCCTGGGCAGTAGCGTCCTCTAGATCCGACTGGGCAGGCTTAGCATTGGCGGTTCCATTTTCGGCATCGTCCCCATTGGTAGACTTCTTCTTTCGACCAAACGAAAACAGTTTGCTCTTTTTCGACTTTGCATCCTCGGGGGCGTTCGACTCCTCCGCGGCCTTCCGAACAGCGTCCGTGGAAGCGCCTGCCTTGCGTCGGAGGGCTTTCGCATAAATTTCACCAATAATGATGGCACGGATCCTGACACCCATCTTTCGACCGATATAGAGAGCCTGTCCATCCGCAACTCCTTGAACAATGGCGGAGACGAAGAGCAGGATCGCATACAGCCACGCGGCATTGGGGGTGGTTGAGCGGGGGTCTTCGACGTATTCAAGGATGGCTTTGAGCAGCAGACTCGGCACAAACACGAAAAGATTGGCGAAAATGGTCCAAGCGCCCTGCTTCAGAATGGTTCCGATGAAGAAGCGGATAAGCTTCCAGGCTAGGGAACCCTTCATCTGCCGTTTCCTAAAGTCTGTAAGGACCGCAGCGGCCTTCTGGGAAGGAGTCAGGTTCCACACATCCTCCAATTCGAGGGGCTGGCGATAGCCCTTCATAATAAGCGGATCCAACCAGGCAAAGGTCGCAAGAGACAACAAACTGGCCGTAGGGTGGCGCGGGGGCTCCAATCCATCCTCCCGTTCCACGAGTACCGGTTTGTTGCCTCGCCGAGTGGTGAGGGCAATTACAAGAAGCAGGGTACTAAGGGCGAACTCAATGCTGCTGAGAATTAAGGCGCGCTTGGAGATCGGGTGGATGACGGCGGAGCGAAAGACCATGATGTTGAAAAGCCATTGAGCGCTGTACAGAGTGGCCGTGTGGGTCCAAAGCCTCGGGGCCGAGGAGAGATCCATGGAGGACAAAAGCAGCCGGACCAAAACCAAGAACAGTATATAGCCCCAACAGATCAGCCCTGCCGTCGCGGGAAGAGCTCCATGACGGCCCCAGTCGTGGGTGGTCAGAATCACTGCGTAGAGAGCGACCTGGCCGACGAGCGCGGCGATTTCGAGGGCCACGACGGTGATTTCTCCATGGGGGCGGTCGACCTCCAGCTCAACGCGTTCGCTCTGCAAGGCCTGCTGGAGCATTGGATCTAATTCGGGTTCCAGGCCATTGGGGACATCCTCATCGTCGGAGGCATCGTTGGGGAGAACCTTGTAGGCGACGCCTTTGCGGGAGACGGCATAGCGATAGGCGAGGCGAGTGACAATTATTAGCAGGGATAAAGCGCACGCGGCCAGCGGCAGCGAGACTTGCAGGACGCTGTATCAGATTGTGACGATCAGTACTGGACAGTGTCACGGGTGGCCAACGATTGGGTAGCGGGTCGCACGGCGATCGGAAAGGAAATTCGTTCGAACTCACTTGCGCTGGAAGCAATGCGACAGGTCATCGATAGCCCAGACGGGGCCCTGACATTGCGGGAGCATAGTCTGCAGGGGAGCGGTGCACGCAACGCGCGAGGGAAGCTCCCAGCCGACGTCGCGGAAATCGATTAGCTCGTGGCGGCGACAAGCGATAAAATAAAAATACGGAAAAATGCAGCTAGTTTGAGGCAATTCAATCTGAACAACCCTCCACCGCTGCAGATTAGCAACAATCTTCCACGACTAGCACGCAAGTCCCGACTGGCATTGCAAAGTCGAGCGAAAGCCGAAGTGCAGCGTTTTCGGGGGAGGAATCCTGCGCCGAGGCTGGTTTTTGAGGAGGGTGGAAGGGTTGCTGAAGAGCTGCAACACAGCAGTCGATTCTCACGAGAAGTGGGGAAGCAAAACGAGAGGCGATCAAGAGATATAGTGGGAGGGGATTGAGAGAACAGGGATTGCAGACGAGTCGAGGTTGGCTCCAGCCTGCCCCAAAGCGGCGGTGGGCGGTCCATTTGGAGGGCCCGCCGTTAGTCAGGTTGACTCCCGAGCCACCATAGTGGAGCGAGGTACCATCGACGCCAGCCAGAACCACGACCGACTGTTGCTAGCCTCACGAGCTAGCTCGATATGGTTATCATAATTTTGATAACACGGCGTGAGTCATGACATATACGTATTAACTATACTGTGGCCTATTATCACTATCACTTATTGTCGGTTGGTAATAGCTGAGCCCTTCCGGTCCACAGTTGCCGAACAATACCATTCTTCACACAAGGAACTCGGTACACTACTGCGAATTAAGCTTTTCCTTCTCTGGGTCCTCAAGATGGATGAAAGCCCGTGTCAGTTGAGTCGGCCACTATTCTGGGCCTAGTCCCATACGAGTCACCTATGCTTATCATGGTGTTCTAGTATCATCGCATCCCAATCTGAGACGCCCGCCATGACTGTTCCTACTATGGCGACGATTACCCATGACCATCTCAGTATTTGTGAAACGCCTGTTCCTGTGACTCTCGTTCTTCATCCTGCAAGCTGCATGCCAGAGGAATCTCGGATGACTCGATGCAGCGCCGATCGCTCCTTATCGCGGACAGCTCCCCACCGAGTCCACCATTTATCGATGTCGTTTCATACTCCCTCGTTGTGTTCGCCGTAGCCATGTCCTGAACGAACAAATCTGAACAAACAAATCTGTGTGGCCTTCTTGTTGTACCATCTGTACTCTGTACCCGTAGTATCTTATATACTTCACAGTTGACTGGAAAAAAACTTTTCGGTCGCCACAAATTGCCGCGGTAAAGGAATCGCCACGCGGATGGGCGGTTGACCAACGCCCAAACATCCTTTTGCGCCCCGACATCATCGCCCGATCCACACCCGCCTCCGAATCCCGCCTACTCCCCAATCCCCCGCCTGACCATCGAATTCCCCAGTCATCACTTCCCAGTGACATAGTCCCTGCTCTTGCTTCATTCATACCCGGAACGGACACTCATCGGCCCCTTTGTCCAGCATGGCAGAACGGATCCTCATGAACGAGTTTCGCACTCTGTCGCGTGAGAAATGGGTCAACATCGAGGTGGGATTCACTCTGCCCTATGAGATCCCTCACCTTTCCGCTAACATCTATGTTGTGCTGGCGGCAGCTACACAACGACGACATCTTCAGGTGGGATGTGGCACTGATCGTGCTCAACCAGGAATCCGTCTACTACGGCGGCTACTTCAAGGCCCGGATGACCTTCCCCCCGAACTACCCCTACGCGCCCCCAGGTACGTCCATGTTTGTCTGCAACTACACCCTCACCTATCCGTGCGGTCCACTCGACTGTGCTTGGATGGTTCCACTCTGCAATGACTACCAATGCTGACCCACCATTTCTCCTCTGTCCCCAGGGTTCCGCTTCCTGCAGCCCCTCTACCACCCCAACATCTACGCTGACGGCAGACTATGCATCTCCATCCTGCACCCTCCAGGCGAGGATGAAATGTCGGGTGAGCTCGCCGCAGAGCGTTGGTCGCCCGCGCAGCGAGTCGAGTCAGTTCTCATCTCCATCCTCTCCCTCCTCGACGATGCCGAGTGCTCCTCCCCCGCCAACGTCGACGCCGCCGTCATGTTGCGGACTGATCCGACCAAGTACCATTCCATTGTGAAGGGCCACGTCGAGGCATCCAAGGCCAACCGACCCCCAGGCTTTGTGATGCCAGTGAACGAGCCTGTGATCACCCAGGAGGTGGACAAGGAGGAACCGGACTTCTGGGCGGACTCGGACGTGGATAGCGATGTGTTCGGCGGGAGCGACTCCGACGATGACCTGAACGTGGACCATTTCACCGGTAGCGATGACGATGACGATGACCAGGAGGATATGGATGAGGATTAGCGCGGGGCGTAAATCATCTCATCCGTCATGGAGCGAGCAACATATCGCCCACCACCTTTCGGCCTGACACACATCTCTCAACACGTTCATCTTCTCAGCACGGCATAGCATTTGCGGCGCACATCGGCATAGGTTGGGTTCTTACATCGTTAGCCTCTTACATATCTTAGTTTGTTTTTACCATGCGTCTGCATTTGATGAGATACGAGGCGTTAGTGACACTTAACAGGATGTTCTACTTTTATTTTTCTTCGCATCAATATAATCTATTTGCAACTCCCTAGTACACAGTTAAGGACCGCATTGCGTGTGGTCGCAGACCCTCGTCTGAACGTCCCTCCCAACCTCCCAACATACCAAAATGCCTAGGCACTCGGAGATGCACGTAAGCACCTCCCCCGCCATCGAGCCGAGCCCGCCCTCCTATATCGGAGCTTCCAAACCATCCATGAATCCTGGACAGGCCGCCCAAGCTTTTTCAAACTGGATCAACAGCCTAACGTACACCTCATTCCGAATAGAATGAAGCAAATACTGGCTCCCTGAAGCTAATTGAGTGATGAAAGTTGTTTTCGCAACGCAACACCGAGACCAATCTCGACCAATAGTCCGTAGCGTGTTCACCCCTTTACTTCCACGGGAAGAACGATTCTCTCCAGCCACTGGGCCTTCGGCGTGACTTCAGGTCTAGGGGATGGCAATGGCGCGATGAACGAGAACGATGGCTATGGCAGGGAAGCTCCACTTCCCACTTCCAAATATACCTATAAAGCATGCCTACACATACTGGATCGTAAAACCAAGGACGAGGACAACACTCGAAACTTGGCACGTATGATTCCCTAAACAGAATCTAGATTGTGATTCAAATGTATAGCTGCATACAAAAGTATACTACGTGTAGCGATAAAAGGGGAAAGGGAAACAGAGCAAGTGACAGTCTGTGTGGGATAGGAAACCCGAACGTGTCGGATGGTCCACCCGGAAAAAAAGAAGAAAAAAGCCAGAACGATCGATAGGTGAAAGCAAAAATGAAAACGTGATCTGCGCCAGTGTTAATCCATCCAACCAAATGCTCATATGAACCGGCCTGTCACAGACAGGTCTCGATCGGTGTCTACTCTAAGCGCTAACAGCGTCCTTGATCTCGCTGTAGATGGCACCGAGCTCGTGGCTCAGAACCTTCTGCTCCTTAGCCAGGACTTCCTCGACCTGGCTGACAAGCTCGTCGAGGCGGTCCTTGACGGCACTGGTGGCCCCGGCCTTGTAGCCACCCTTGGCGAGAATCTCGGTGTAGTTGGAGGAACCACCGCCATTCCAGGCCAGAAGCTATCACAGAGTCAGTTCTCATATTCCTATGAATAGGTCACGGTAATCCACGGAGTGGGAACTTACGTTAGGGGTGTCGGAGGGAATGTCAGTAAGGACGCCCTGGGTAGCGACGGTGATGAGAGCGTTCTTCAGTTTCTTGGGGGTAATCTCCTCAACAGCGAAGGAAGAGTCGGATGCGGGCTGGAGAGAGACGTAGTAGGCCAGCAGACCAGCGATGTGGGGAGAGGCCATGGAAGTTCCAGAGATGGTGTTGACAGCATACTTGCTGCCAATCCAGGTGGAGAGGATATTCAAACCAGGGGCGAAGATGTCAGTGCACTTGCCGAAGTTGGAGAAGTATGCACGCTCATCAGAGAGGGTGGAGGCACCGACAGTGACGGCGTTCTCAGCGGCAGCGGGGGAGTAGTTGCAGGCATCGGCGTTGTCATTACCAGCAGCAACAGCGAAGTGCATACCAACATCGACAGCGGCATTCACAGCGAGGTCGAGAGTGCGCGAGCTACCGCCACCCAGAGACATGTTGGCAACGCTGCCCTTGAAGCCCTTGACCTTGCCGTCCTTGGCGGCCTTGGACTTCTTGATGTGAGCCTCGGCGGCCCACTCAACACCCTTGACGACATCCGACATGGTGCCAGAGCCGTTGGAGCGCAGGACCTTGACAGCGTAGACATTGGCCTTCTTGGCAACACCGTACTTCTTACCGGCGATAGTACCCGAGCAGTGAGTACCATGGCCGTTGCCGTCCTCATCCTCGTCGCCCTGCGGGATGGTCTTACCCCAGTTGGCACGGCCCTCGAAGTCAACGTGGTTGGTGTTGGTACCGGTGTCGATCACGTAGGCATCGACACCCTCACCGCCATCCTCGGCATAGAGGTATTTGTTGAAGCTACCAAAGGAGAGGCTATCACGGTGGGAGATACGGGCCAGACCCCAAGGAGCGTTCTTCTCGATGGCCGGGTCCTCGAAATGGTGGACTTCGGAGTCCTTCTCAATATACTCGACCTGTGGAAAGGAGGGACTCAGTCAGCTGGGAGTTCTCATCAAGTTGATAGGGAGGTTGGGGGCCAAGCTAGAGAGCTACTTACATCCGGATGCCTGCGAACCTGCTCAATGACATCTTCGTGGAAGTGGCCGGCATAACCCATCAGCGAGCCAGCTACGTTGAAAGTATGCTTCATGCCCAGGTAAGGGTCATTATCGAAGCCGAAGAGTGAGCGCTTTTTCAGCTCCATCCGTGCGTTGTCGGTGTGGATGTCCTGCACCCAGCTGTGATGAGCGGCCGCGGCGGAAGAACCGACGTGCTTCTTAAATACGACGATGTAGGAGTCCGGAATTTCCTGAGCCCCCACGGAGGAAAGGATGGGAGCTGCTCCATTGTGGATGGATTCTGTCCAGGTGGGCGATGCAGATACAAGCAGCGGGAGCAGCGTCAGGCCAAGGAAGCCTTTCATGATGGCGGTAAGCTTTGGACGACAATCACGAAGGATAGAAAAGAGGGATCAAAAAGGATAAACAATAGACAGGACAGGTAAGAGATGTGTTGGTGTCTAGCAGGCCTAGGACGGGATGGAGTGGTTGGAGGAGAGGGAGGAGGAGGAGATGAGGAGAGATGAGGAGGCGCAGAGTCACTGGACCATGTTCTTATCTAAGGGTGAGCGAAAGGGCAGGCGGAGAAGGATGATGCAAGCGGGCGATGACGGGGTTACGCTAAGATACGCTCCGATACACAGAATACGGTACGGTGACAGCGCCAAATGACCTATCGATTGGCGCGGGCTGTCGATCACAGTGGAGCCGGCGAGACCGGGGGTGGGTGATACGTGTTTGGTACGTTGCCGGGGAGGGCCGCTACAGGTCACTGGGGAGAGGAAAGCACACGAGCAGGGCATGCACTGTAGCCTTTCGTTAGTCTTGTTCTCCTCCGGAGCTCGGTCCTTGATCTACGATACGGATGACTCAATGACTCAGATAGTTTTGTCTTATCGGGTATCATTCCTCCTGCGAGGAGTGTCTTGTCTTCCCCGGGTACCTGGCAGCTCCACCGGTCGCACGGCGGGGCAATGTGTTCTTGCGTGACGATCGCAAGGCAATTCCTCCTCCGACGTCGCGTGCTTCTGTCCTGATGATGCGGAGTACATTCCTCGGGTACCCTGACCCTGGCGCAAGGACGCACCCGCCTGAGGTGCTTGAGGGGACGGGCGACTATTACGAATTGGGCTTATTGGGGGCGGGTCCACTCCGCTGCCTGCTGTGTATGTATCGGCTGTACGGGGTACACTTTTTCACATATGGGGCGCTGTATCGATGGTATCAACCATCCTCTTGCTCTTATCGCCTCTTATCTGCTCTTATCTGGCGATCGCAGTCTTGAAGAAGCTGGTACCATACAGGCCCACTGGCCCACTGGACTGTACGGAGTAACGGGCAACCCAAGCCTCGTTACTCCAAGCCTGCGGTCACCTGATACCGCTGCTCCCCCGCTGTCTGGTGTTTTGATAGCAAATTTGTCGATCCATTTTCGAGCGCTCGCATAGCATCCCCGCTCAGTACGAACCTGGCCGTTCGCTCCGGCCATTTGCTCCAGCAACCCCTCGGATGGCACCCTCGCTGTGTCTCATCCGGACCCGCTAAGCACCACCAACACATACCAATGCAGACCGCCTCACTCGAAACGCCAATCGCGCATTCACGGTCTCTGGTGGTCTCATGCCATCGGTCCGGTCGTGGATAAGATTTGGTCATGGCTCCGCCCCCCTCCTTCCTCCCTCCCCCTCCGAATCGACCGAGCGACTAGTGGAGGAGCTGGCTCCCACCGTTGACCAGCTCAAGACGCTCGCGGCGGCGAAGACCCCCACGCTCACCCAGGCACTGGCTGCCACCGAGCCCCTACTACGACTCCGCCATACTTTTATCGACAATGCGCGCCCACGGACCGTGAAAGATGCCTTCCGGCACCTGGCGGGCTTCCAGACCCTCTTAGCCCTCGCGGACCAGCTCGCGGAGCTCTATGATGCCGACGCATTGTCCAAGGAGGACAGGAAGGGCTTGCTTGGAATCTATAAGGATGTCCTGGGAGTTCTGGCTGAGGGACTGAAGGACCATTTTGGCAATAAACGATACTTTGCGCGGAGGATCGCGGGCGGAGGGACTGCGGCTCTCGAACGGACGCTGACCGTGTTGGTTCAGAAGATAGACCAGGCCCAAAGCGACGCCCAGCAGCTCTTCGGTGCCATTCTGGCTGCGGCCTTGTGCCAGGAGACCGTTGCGGGCATCTTCGTAACACTAAGTGCCAAGTTCCATCAGAATAAGAGCTCGCCATCACCCAAGGAGGTGCAAGATGCCGTGGACCAGTGCATGGGACCCGCAGAGACGGTTGAGGTACCGGACCTCCTGGGCCCCTTCGTCCGCGTCTGGGTGGCATACTCTGCTCTTCCTGGCAACGAGATCCTGCGACTGGCACTGCCGGCCTGCCTGGGCCAATTGGCGTCCCAGTCCCTCAGGAATATTGTAGCTTTGCATGCCACTGGAATGCTCACCTCAATTCTACCTCTTCTATTCGATGCCGGCCGGTCCGAGACTGAGAGAGAGCTCTACCAGGATTTGGCGCGATATTTGAGTGTCCAGGGTATGAATAGCCTGGACGATGCTGTTGCGCTGTACCGCCGGGCACACGAGAACCCACAAGTTCTAAAGTTCCTTTTGTCTGCTCTGAAATATTCCAAAGAGCCCCCGTCAATACAGTTTGACTTATCTCTACATGGTTTCTGTTCCGTCGAGTTCGCTACCCTGGGTCGTCCATTCCCACCCAGTACCTCAGCCGGATACACGCTGGCCGCGTGGGTGCGGTTTGATGAGTTTGATCTTAACACGCACACTACGATATTCGGCGCATTCGATGCCAGTCAAACATGTTTTGTCCTGGCCTACGTTGAGAAAGACACCCGCAAATTCATTCTTCAAACATCCATTCGAGGTCCGCGCCCGAGTGTCCGGTTCAAGTCTGCTACATTTGAGTTGAACCGCTGGTATCATATTTGTCTCGTCCACAGGAAGCCGAAACCTGCGTCGTCCTCTCGAGCGTCACTCTTTATCGACGGCGAATTTGTGGAGCAGTTGAAGATCGAATACCCTTCCGTCCCAACCAGCAATTTTCCACATAGGTCGCCGCGGATTCAGGCTTTCTTTGGTACCCCTCAAGATCTGGCCATGCGGCTTGGGAAAGGAGTATCTACCTCTCGGTGGTCCCTTGCAAATGGCATGCTATTTGATGAGGCGTACAGCGACGACATGGTGGCTGTTTTCTACAATCTTGGACCCCGGTATTATGGAAACTTCCAGGACTGCTTGGGATCTTTCCAGACGTACAAAGCTTCCGCCACCCTCAACCTGCGGAATGAACACCTGCATCCTGGAAAGGAGGAGAACTCAGACATCGTCACAGCCATTCGAAGACGGGCGAGCACTCTGATCCGCGAGGGGTCAATTTTGATAAACGTGTCTCCGGTTGCTGTTCTTGACGATGACGATGGCAATAATGTCGACGAGTCACAACTCATCAAGTGTCTTTCCAGGCAGGCGGCCAAGAGTTTGCAACAGCTGACAAAAGCCGGAGGCAATGCGGTAGCAGTCAATGGAGCCACTCCAGCTATCAATGATGGGTTGACCCAACCGCAAGGAGTTGGAATTTTGACTGGAGATCCAGTTGTTGCAGTCCCTTGGTCCCTGGATGACGCGAGCTGGTGCTTGGGCGGTTGTGCCGCAGTGCATCTGAGTCTGATCCAGGCTGCCAACTCTGCTGAAACTACCCGCCTGGCCGTGGAGGCACTCTACGAAGCCGTTCAGGACAATTGGAGGAATAGCGAAGCCATGGAAAGAGAAAATGGCTACGGTATCTTGGCGTCTCTCTTGCGCGAGACGCTAGGGTTCCAATTCGGTAATACTCCCACAGCAAACAAATCTTCTGTTGTTTGCTCCAACGAGGAAGAGCTCAACGCGTTGATGTTTGATCTTCTGCGCTTGACACTTGCGTTTGTGGGATACGATTTCCAACGCCCAAATCATTCCATCATCTCAAATCCGCTGGCCTATCGGGTTTTGCTTGTGGACATGGACGTCTGGCGGTTTGGAGAGCCACGGGTGCTGCAGTTGTTTTACTCGCAATTCCGCACCTTTGTGTCTGATAGTACCTATCGTCGGTTCAACGCAAGACGCCTTGATCGCATGCGTAAGTATGCTCTGCTTCTTTGCGTTCAACTATGGGAGAAACATTTGCGAAGTGCATTGCTAACTTAATCAGGCGTTAGCAAGAAGTTACTTGAAACTTTGAAAGGAGGCGAACTAACTCAGGAGACTCTCGAACCATGCCTTGCCACTTTTCGGTCTTTGATGGAGAGCAATCTCTCTCCTGATCTTCTGCGCTCTTTAGCTCTATCAATCACATACAATCTCCACCGGCCTACAGGGCCCGCAGCACTGCAGAAAAAGAAGAGTCTGCGTTTCGCACCCGGCTCATCTCGGCCACCCTCTTCAAAGTCAGACTCAGACAAGCATATTCCCAGCATCGCATTGGGTATCGAGATGTTGCGGATGTATTCGTCTGTCCTCTGTAACATCCTGGACCCTACTCCGCTGAGGAAATTTGCGAAGGCGGTTACCAACAAGGTTTGTTTAGGATGGTGACACATGTAAGTAACTATGCTAACAGCATACACAGTGGCTTTTGTATCTCTCCTGTGAGGACGAACCCGAAGTCGTTGTACACGCAGTCAAAATCCTGGCTCGGTTGCTGGTCGTCCACGGAAGCAGCTACAGCAAGAAATTCTCCGACAAGAATGGAGGATATACCGTGCTCGAGCACCAGCTGAAAAGATGGTGGAGTATTCCTGCACTGTGGCCCATATGCCTTTCTATTCTTTTTGGACAAGATATTGCCCTTCTGGACCTCAAGAACCCGTTTGATGCCCAAGGACTGATCAACCTGTTCTTGGCCGACGGAGATCTGCGGATCGCGTTCCCGGAAATGCTCCCTGTGATTATGGGTATGCTCAAGAATGGCCTCAGGAGCTTGGTTTCTGCGAGCGAAGGAGGCGGTCCAGACGTTTTGAAGCCTGATACTTCCAGCTCCACGAAGCCTCCAGTGTTCTTGTACAAGTTGAATGGTAGGTTTTTGAATCTGCGGCCTGTGTTTGAAGGATATGTAAGGCTGATATTATATTTCTCAGATATTGCTGCGCCGGATTGTTCATCGCACGGGTTTTCTATCCTGTCCTCCGTAGTTGCCTTTTTCGAAGGTCTATCCGCCCGATCACGAAACTTCAAAGAGTTCACAGCACACTCCAGCTACGTCCAGGAGCTCCTTGCCATTCTTTTTCCCGCTGTCGTCGGCGTGGATTCTGTCAGCCCAAATACTGAAGTGAACTCCCGACACAGTGGTCTAAGCTTCGACGATAGCAATTTGGTTCTCAGGCCCCGCTCTAGTGCGGTCAACATATCGTCAGTTTCGCAAACGAGTATGGTCGATTCGTCGGAGAGCCCTGAAGAGAGCACAGAATCCTTGCACAGGAGATCCTCCTTTATTATTGTTTCCTCTGATAAGGCGAAGCATCAACCTTCATCTGCACGAATCCGCCGCGTCGTGAACCTCAGCTTCTCAGGCGAGGGTGCAACCACGGACCATCCGCTTGTTAGGGCCATCGCTAGCCTGGTGCTTGATGTTTTCGAGGATCAACTTCTGGAGCGTAAAGAGTTTTCTGGTCTGGGGGTGTATCAGAAAACTCCACCTGGGTTCGTTGAACATCAGGCGTACTTCAATTCGTGGATCTTAGCCTCGCTCATGTCGAGGTTGAAGGATGTACCTTCATCCAAGCCCCATCTGCTCCATGAACCCCGCACTCTCACCAATCTTGCACGCTTCGCCACACATCTGGCAGAGGCAGTCTACGAAGGGTGGTTCATAGATGGAGCAGTAACGAGCCTGGAGTACCTTGGCGCAATCCTTGAATATCTTCAACGCCCTGACATTTCTCCTCTCAAAAGCATTCGGCTGTGCACCCAAGCTGTTGCCACACTTCATTCGACTCTGTACAAGATCGCTTTGTTCCAGTTGTCGGAAGCGGACGACACAGACACTTTACCTGTTCTGAAGCGTCTAAACTACTGGCAGGTGGTGCTCCTTGCCGCCGCGGAGGCACAGTCCAAGCACCTCCAGCTACTATGCTACCTTCTTTACGTCAAACTCATAGGGACCGAAACAGATATACGCCTGGCTGCGGCAAGTCTTTGGCGAACCATTCTAGTGCAGAAGCCAGACGAAGTGGTCAATCTTCTCAACCATGGGCCTGTCAGCCTTCAGCGCCGACTTTCCGAGGGCTTCGAGGCTCTTGTAGGTATGGACGACGATGCATTTTTGCAGTGGATCGATGACCACCGCGATGACCTGGATGCGCTATTCTTCGGCATCCTGTCTCGGCAATGGGAAGCATTTGTCCAGGAGGAAAATACGAAAAGCGAGGAATCTGCCAAGAACCGAATCTCGAAGCGTAAAGAAAAACTTAAGCAATGGGCCCAGCTGGAGAAGTACGACGAAGATGTGATCCGCAAGCATGATGCCACCCTGCCTCATTGGATTTCCAACATCTCTGCATCGGAGTTCTTGAAGTCCCAGAGATTCCTTCAGGACCTGCAAGATAACTTGGTCTTCATGTGGTCAGCCTTTTCCAATCTACTCGTGGATTTACGGCGGCCCGGTGGTTTTCTTTCTAAAGAGAAGGAGCGAAAATTCAGACTGGACCAGACTGAAGGTCGTAGTCGCATGCGTCTCCGCGTGGTGCCAGACGACTCAGGTGAACGCCAAGATTATCAGCCCAAGAGGAAGGCTTCTGAACCACCTGCGCCCAAGCTTGATACCCGAGTACGTGCGCTCTCGGTAGGGGAGACGGCTTCGACGCCCACCGTGAGGACCGCTGAACCTGAGATTGTGGATCCCGAGCGGCAAGATGGTAATGCGGACAACGCAAGCTATCAGAGTACCTGCGAGGAGGAAAACTTTGAGATGATCGACGATCCTAAGCTGGAGCTCGAGGATTATGAAGATAAAAACCGCAGAGTCATGAGATCACTTCACCGGGGCGACCAGGTCCAAAATGTGTGCAACATGTCAAGAATTATCGGCCTGGAAGCCGTGGAGGGTCTTTTGATTCTCGGAAAAGATTGCATCTACATCCTCGACAACTTCTTCCAGAGAGCGGACGGAGAAATCGTGAACGTATGGCAAGCTCCTGCTGAGGAACGTGATTCCTATGTACGGATGATTGCCGGACGGGAGTCCAATGACCGCCGCTCACAAGAACATGAGACCAGAAGCTGGAAGTGGTCCGATCTTGTCAGCGTTTCTAAGCGCCGCTTTCTCTTCCGCGACGTCGCCCTAGAAATTTTCTTCACAGATGGCACCAGCTACCTGCTGACGTTCTTCTCGGCGCCAGTTCGGGATAACTTGTGCAATCAGCTCGGAAATAAAGCTCCTCAAGTTACCGGAAATGCAGGACACTCCCGGCCAGAGGATATCTGGAGATTCGAAACCCTTCGCAGCCAAGAGGACGCACCGCAATCTCTTGGCTCCAAGTTTGCCAGCGTCTTTGGGCATCTACCAGCCAATCCAGTCACACGGAAATGGGTTCGGGGCGAAATTTCCAACTTCCATTATCTCATGCTGATCAATACCCTTGCTGGTCGGACCTTTAACGACTTAACCCAGTACCCTGTCTTTCCATGGGTTCTAGCAGACTACACTAGTGATGAGCTCGATTTGACAAACCCTAAGACATTCCGTGACTTGTCTAAGCCCATGGGCTGCCAGACTCCGGACCGGCAGGCAGGCTTTCGAGAGCGGTACAATGCCTTTGCTGAGATGGGCGATGATAATTCTCCACCGTTCCACTACGGAACCCACTACTCCTCCGCCATGATTGTCAGTTCCTACCTGATACGCCTGCAACCATTCGTCAAGTCGTATCTCCTCCTGCAAGGCGGCACCTTCGACCACGCAGACCGACTCTTCTACTCCATTCGCAAGGCCTGGGAGTCTGCGTCCCGGGGCAATATGACCGATGTTCGAGAGTTGATCCCCGAGTTCTTTTACCTGCCTGAGTTCCTTGTCAACTCGAACAAGTACGACTTTGGACTGCTGCAGAACATGACTACGGCAATTGACTCGGTCGAACTCCCACCTTGGGCCAAGGGCGACCCCAAGATCTTCATCGAGAAACACCGCGAAGCTCTTGAGAGTCCCTATGTCTCGGAAAATCTACACCATTGGATTGACCTTGTCTTTGGCAGCAAGCAAAAGGGCGAAGCTGCCGTTGAAGCGGTCAATGTATTCCATCACCTATCCTACAAGGGAGCAAAAGATCTAGATGCCATTGACGACCCAATGGAGCGGTTGGCAACCATCGGCATCATTCACAACTTTGGACAAACACCTGGGCAAATCTTTCAACGCAGCCATCCTCAGAGGGAGGATCAACGGTACCGTGTGCCTCGGCTGGATACTCTTGCAGAGTCGCTTACGCAAATGCCGCTATCTCTCCTGGGTAGGTCACTGGCGTGTCATCCTTCACAGTCCTACCACCACTAACTCGCTCCCTCTAACATCCAGATATCGAAGAACGTGTGGCCACTCTTTCCATGAAACAGGACCGACTCTTGTGCACTGCTGCACTGCGCCTCAACGTTCCGCCGGCCTACGACCACTACATGGAATGGGGTTTCTTTGATGGAAGTGTCCGCTTCTATTCCACCGACAGTCGCAAGGTATGCTAATTACTGTGAACCTCGGGTATAGATCAAAGGCAACTGACGGCCTGCAGCTCTTGGGGCACTTTGAACATCTGCATGTTGGGCAGCTCTCTCATGCTAGTTTCGCAGACTCACGTACTCTCATCACCTGCGGTACGGATTGCACGATATCCTTATGGACGGTCACCGCAACCTCGCGAACGGTTGACTTACAGCCAATTGGGTCGCTCTTTGGTCACCGGGCTCCCGTCACCGTGCTTGCGGTTTCCCGCTCCTTTAGCGCCTTACTTTCCGTGTCCACCGACGGCCAAAGTATGTTGTGGGATTTGAATCGCCGATGCTTCGTTCGAGCGCTTCCGGCGGATGGGGCTGTGGATGTATGTTCCGTTACCTACTTATTCTCGACCTGCTACTGACAGTTTCAATCTCTAGTGCGCCCGCATTAACGACGTGACTGGCGACATCATTGTCTGCCGAGGCCACCGCATCACAATGTATACCCTCAACGGCGAGATACTTGTTGATCAACCCGTTTGCGACTCATCTGACGACCATGTCCTGTCCTGCGTCTTCTACGAGGGCGTACAGAATGAATGGCTCGAACGCGAGCTCGTGCTTACTGGGCATACACGCGGCGTGGTGAATATCTGGAGCAAGGTCATCCGTCATGGACAATTTGAGCTAGAGCTCATCCGCCAACTGCATCATACCGACAACAGCCGCGACACCGGTGCCAACATTTTAGCCGGGATCAGCTGTATCCTTGCCCTGCCCCAAGTGGTGTATACCGGGGACGAAGCCGGTCGAGTGGTGCGTATTCTTCCCTCAGCCCGCTTGCTCGTGTTCAAACATGCCACTAACACAGCTATAGTACGAGTGGAACTGTGTCCAGCGACGCTGAGACTTTGCGATTTCGAAACCCGTGCCGCGCGGCTTTGGACGCCGTGCGAGTACCACTTCTCCCACGCCGGCGGTACTCCCACACAACGCAAAATAAGAAGCAAAAGCAAAAGCCACTGTTGAGATCCGCATGGCGGGTTGGTTGATGGAGTCCATTTCCCTGCATTGTGTCCTGTGGTTCCTTCTTTCTTGCATGCCCCAAACCCCGCGTTCTGGGGCAGATACCTAGAGATACTTTTTTTAGCATTGATAGCGGACATGAGCAATGTGATATCAGCATCGGGGTGAGCATCAGCGCGACTACGGATCACCTCCACGGCGTCCTCAGAATAGATCGCGACATTTAACCGGGTCTCGGTGAGCGCATTGTAGCGGTGCAGTAGTGGGCCGTTGGCCGGTCGACCATCCTCCGGTTGGCCTGGCCGGAGCACACTGGGCCGAGTTGGGGGAGACCTGTTTCGGCCAGCCAGGAATTGGAATCATTGAGAGGTCGTTGTTCTAGATGAAAGTATTGATGTCGAAGAAGAGTATAAATTGGATATGGCAGCAAACCCTTAAGGTAGTCAACGGTCGGTGGTTTATCAGGGTACCTGACTGCCCCATCGCGATGGCCGAACCGGACGGAGGGGCTGTCGGTGACTTCATCCTGCAGCGTCATGTGCCCCGCCATTCATCCCACCGCTGCCGAGCACGGGCCAGGTACTTGGCTTGGTTATGGCTCGGCCGCATGCGGGCGAAGTACCTCCGGCGCGGCACCGCGTCCGTCTGGTCCTGGCCCATGGCTCCCCTCCTCTAAATACCGTCCCCCTCGCCACTTTTCTCCCTCCTCCTTTCCCTTCTTCTTGACTCATCTCAAGCAATTTCTCATCCATCCTTCTTGTGCAATCCTCCTTGCCTCGACCCTCTACATCATGTCTTCCTCTCTCGAGCAGCTCAAGGCCACCGGCACCACCGTCGTTTGTGATTCTGGTAAGTCTCAGCTCCAATCTCGCCCTTCTCTGGGACGTATGCATCGAACGCTCTACTAACCCGTGATGTTTAGGTGACTTTGCCAGTATGTGCCTCCCATCGTGTTGCCACTAGGCCCGCGGGCAGGTGGCGGCCAACCTCTCCAGGACGAGAGGGCGAGAAGAACCCCAATGCTAACGGATCACAGCCATCGGCAAGTACAAGCCCCAGGATGCCACAACCAACCCTTCCCTGATCCTGGCTGCTTCGAAGAAGCCCGAGTATGCTGCCCTCATCGATGCGGCCGTTGCTTTCGGCAAGAGCAAGGGCAAGACTGTCGATGAGCAGGTTGACGCCACCCTCGACCGTCTCCTGGTCGAGTTCGGCCGTGAGATTCTGAAGATCATCCCCGGCAAGGTCTCCACTGAGGTCGACGCCAAGCTGTCCTTCGACACCCAGGGCTCCGTCAACAAGGCCCTTGAGATTATTAAGGTACGCCGTCAATTTGTGGTGCCACGAAGCCCATGAACATCTCCAAGCTAACGTCTGTCCTTCTCTGCAGCTTTACGAGGAGAACGGCGTCTCCAAGGACCGCATCTTGATCAAGATCGCCTCTACCTGGGAGGGCATCAAGGCCGCCCACATCCTGCAGTCCCAACACGGCATCAACTGCAACCTGACCCTGATGTTCTCCCTCGTCCAGGCCATCGCCGCCGCCGAGGCCGGTGCCTTCCTGATCTCCCCCTTCGTGGGTCGCATCCTGGACTGGTACAAGGCCGCCCACAAGCGCGACTACACCGCACAGGAGGACCCCGGCGTCAAGTCCGTGCAGGACATCTTCAACTACTATAAGAAGCACGGCTACAAGACCATCGTCATGGGCGCCTCCTTCCGCAACACCGGCGAGATCACCGAGCTGGCTGGCTGCGACTACCTGACCATCTCGCCCAACCTCTTGGAAGACCTGTACAACTCCACCGAGGCTGTCCCCAAGAAGCTCGACGCCGCCTCCGCCACTAACCTCGACATCCCCAAGCGCAACTACCTCGACCACGAGACTACGTTCCGCTTCGACTTCAACGAGGAGGCTATGGCTGTGGAGAAGCTTCGCGAGGGTATCTCCAAGTTCGCGGCTGATGCCGAGACCCTCAAGGGTCTGCTCAAGGCCAAGATCCAGGCTTAGATGGGGCTAGCCGGGCTGGGCTGGGCTAAGATTTTATTCTGTTTCATGTTTTTAATGTAAATTGGCGATCACCAAAATGGCTATGGAATTGGTAGATACGAATTGATGAATTTTCATTTTTTTTTTCCAACTACATATATTTTTCCCGGCTCTTATTAATTTAAGTGGTGATTCACAGATGGTAAATCCTGTGATCGTCTCAGGGGGTTCAAGGCGGAGCTCGGGAGCTCCACGGTGTAGACTTTCTTGTGCCTTCTCCCGCCTCGGGTCTTCAGGAGGCCGAAGATTTTCAGGGCTCCAGCTCGGCGGAATCTAGGCTGGTCGGCTTATTCACACCCAACGAACCCCGCAGCGAGGGGGGATTTTGGTTAGTTACACAGGTGTCACCTTGGCGCCCAAAAATAGTTCCTAGTACGTAGATATAGAATGAACTGGTCATGATTGAAGTATATAACGCTCATTATACGGTTCTCAAAAACCAAAGTATATGTACTGTTAGGTAGTACTCCGTACAGTAATGATCCGAGGGTGACGGTGAAGAAGGTGAAGAACGGCATTATGTCATTCCCCCTCGTCCCGCCCGCTTAGGAAAGTGGGGTATGTTTTGGTGCGGTACTGGGTGTATCAGTACTTTCCCTTCCACTAGCATTCAGCACGCCATTGGGGTTCCCAGTACGGTGTACAGTAGAGCTGTCCGGTAATACGCTATACCTGGCTTTCAACGTAGTCACGTCAACATCATCTGCTTATTATCCGTCCCTCTCCCGGTCTCCGCTGCTCTTCTCTTTTCCTCCCCACCCCCCAAGCTCTATTAATTTCACCTTTCAATCCAAATCTATCCCACAACCGACATCATGGTTAAGGCTGGTAAGTTGCATCTCCTGCTGCTATATATTATATAGCATATACTACCATCGCTTCCCATTGGCTCCGGGGGTATAACCTGCGCTCCGCCGGGGACCCGGGTGAGCACATTTGAGCACCTTGGGGCTCTGGCAGGCCTATCGGCTCCCTCTCTGCTCAGCAAGCTCTCCACCTTCTCCAGAGTACTCGGATGATCAGCTTTGGCAAGCCTTATTTGCTGGAGATGCGGTGGCGCTGCTGCTGATGGCCCAAGGGCCCGGTGCGCGCCCGCGCTCAGATCATCCCGAAACCTCCGGGGGGAGGAGATCAAGCAGCGACGCAGCGACGGGACCCCCGAGCCGAGCCTTACTTCCAACCGTTTTCTAGAACATCTCACGAACTAGATACATGATTCGAATGCTCCCGCTAATTCACGCTTGCAGTTGCTGTCCTCCGCGGTGACGCGAAGATCTCCGGCACCGTCACCTTCGAGCAGGCCGACGAGAGCGCCGCCACCACCATCTCCTGGAACATCACCGGCCATGACGCCAACGCCCAGCGGGGCTTCCACGTCCACCAGTTTGGTGACAACACCAACGGCTGCACCTCCGCCGGCCCCCACTGTAAGAACTCCCCTGCTCCGATAATGAGACCGTAGGAATAGCTTATTTTGACCGTTCCTGCCCCAATAGTCAACCCCTTCGGCAAGACCCACGGTGCCCCCGAGGATGCCGAACGCCACGTCGGTGATCTGGGCAACTTCCAGACCGATGCTGAGGGCAACGCCGTTGGCTCCAAGCAGGACAAGCTTGTCAAGCTGATTGGTGCTGAGAGCGTCCTGGGCGTAAGTGGAACTCGGTCCTCCTCTGGAATACGGTTGTTGTATAGATGCTAACATGAATAGCGCACTCTGGTCGTCCACGCTGGCACCGATGACCTCGGTAAGGGTGGCAACGAGGAGTCCAAGAAGACCGGTAACGCTGGTGCTCGCCCAGCCTGCGGTAAGTTGAATTCATCTGTATTCTGGAAGTCGACATGGGATCGTTTGGCTGACTTTCACCTAGGTGTCATTGGTATTGCCGCTTAAATTAGCTCATCCCCTTTCGTGTAGTTGGGTCTCGATGTCCCCCATCTTCCCAACATGATTCGTGTTTGGAAGATGAAAAGTTCAGGATAGTTCCTGGCTAGGATGCAATGAATGCTAATGCCATTTGCTTCACTCTATTCCCTATTTCATAGCCCCCAAGTAATGTTGTATGTATCCGTGCGCCGCCCAAAGGTCCGAGCTGTAGCTCGGTGCGCGCAGACCGCTTTCCCCACAAACAGCGGCCACGTTTCTCCTCCGAAGCTGTTCGTCTCGCCGCACTCCTCTTCAATCCCATCTTTTCCTTTTGTTTTTTGCCTCTCCATTGGTATAGTTTCATCCAGTCGGTTGATCTCTGTACTATCTGTAGGAGGTAGTGGTGTCCGGTTCCTGTTCAGCATGCCTTTCGAAGCCCGTGTCAAGTCCGTTTTGTCGGGCGATACGGTCGTGCTGTCGCATGTCACCAATCCCACACAAGAACGCATTCTTTCTCTGGCCTATGTCTCGGCTCCCAGATTAAGGAGGGAAGGCGATGAGGTATGTGCTGAGTTCCGCCCAATTGCCATCCTGCAAACCCCTTTGTCACGTTTGCTTCACTCCTCGAGATTCTAGCGCTACCCTGCTGTGTAGGCGTGCTCCCGAGAAAAGGAGGGCAAGACATATGAGGATCATAGAACTAACCTCGCCTTTGCTATAGGCGTACGGTTTCCAGTCCCGCGAGTTCCTTCGTGAACTGCTTGTCGGCAAAGTCGTCCAGTTCCACGTCGTCTACTCCATCCCCACGGGCGCCAAGCGCGAGTACGGTATCATCAAGCTGCCTGGCTTCGATGCCCAGCTTCCCGACATCAGTGTGCAGGAGGGTTGGACCAAGGTCCGTGAGGAGGCCGGCAAGCGCAGCGACGAGTCAGAGGAGACCCTCGCGCTGTTGGACCGGCTGCGCGCCCTGGAGTCGCTAGCCCAGGATGAGGGCAAGGGGTGTCTGGGCGGCATCTGAGAATGCCCTGGTTGAGACTAGCTATGAATTGTCCAATGGCCAGGAATTGGTCAGCAAGCACAAGGGCGAGCAGCTGGAGGGTATTATCGAGAAAGTCCTAAACGGTGACCGGGTCGTGCTGCGCCTCCTCCTATCGCCGCAGGAGCATGTGCAGACTGTTGTGGCTGTTGCTGGTGTTCGTACACCTTCAGCGAAGCGGACGACTGCGGAGGGCAAAGAGCAGGCTGGTGAGCCCCTGGGTGATGAAGCACAGCAGTTCGTTGAGTCCCGCCTTTTGCAGCGCAAGGTCAAGGTCTCCCTGCTAGGCGTCACCCCGCAAGGCCAGCTGGTGGCTACTCTTCTGCACCCCAATGGAAACATCGCTCGTTTCTTGCTTGAAGAGGGTCTGGCTCGCTGCCAGGATCACCACTCTACCCTCCTCGGCGGAGACATGGCTCTTCTCCGCCAGGCCGAGCTTGCAGCAAAGAATGCCCGCAAGGGAATCTTCACTGGCCACGTCACTCCTCAGGGGACCGGCGCGGCAGCCGCTGATTACTCCGTCAGCCGCGTCCTGAACGCGGATACTATTTTCATTCGCAACAAGGCCGGCCAGGAGAAGAAGATTAGCCTGACTAGCATCCGTCAGCCCAAGCCCTCGGACCCCAAGCAGGCTCCATTCGCTGCTGAGGCCAAGGAGTTCCTCCGCAAGAAGGTGATTGCGAAGCACGTCAAGGTCACTGTCAACGGCAAGAAGCCTGCCACCGAGGGCTACGAAGAGCGCGAGGTTGCCACTGTTGTGCAGGGCAACACCAATATCGGCCTGGCCCTGGTGGAGGCTGGCTACGCCTCAGTAATCCGCCACCGGATGGACGATGCTGACCGATCCCCCGACTATGACGCTCTTCTTGTCGCTGAGGCCACGGCCCAGAAGGAGGGCCGGGGAATGTGGTCTCCCAAGGCCCCCAAGGTCAAGCAGTACCAGGACTACTCGGAGAATGTTCAAAAGGCCAAGCTTGAGGTAGGTATTCTGCAACGCTCCAAGCGTATCCCCGCTGTTGTCGACTTTGTCAAGTCCGGCTCTCGCTTTACCGTCCTGGTGCCCCGTGAGAACGCCAAGTTGACCCTCATCCTGTCTGGCATCCGCGCTCCTCGATCCGCCCGGGGGCCTGGTGAGGCTGGCGAGCCCTTCGGCCAGGAAGCTCATGAGCTGGCCAACCGCCGCTGCATGCAGCGCGACGTTGAGATCGACGTTGAGACTATCGATAAGGTCGGTGGCTTCATCGGCACTCTGTACGTCAACAAGGAGAACTTCACTAAGGTCCTCCTGGAGGAGGGTTTCGCGACGGTACACGCCTACTCGGCTGAACAGTCTGGTCACGCAAGCGAGTACTTTGCGGCCGAGCAGCGGGCCAAGGACGCCCGTAAGGGCCTGTGGCACGACTGGGACCCCAGCAAGGAGGCCGAGGCCGAGGCCGAAGAGGCTGCCAATGGCACCGGCACTGAGAGCGAGGCTGTGTCGTCCTCGCGCCGCAAGGACTACCGCGATGTGATGGTCACACACATCGACCACGAGTCTGGCCGCATCAAGCTGCAGCAGATTGGCACGGGCACTAGCGCGCTTACCGAACTGATGACTGCCTTCCGTGCCTTCCACATCAACAAGGCCAACGACACCCCGCTGCCTGGTCCCCCCAAGGCCGGCGATTGGGTCGCAGCCAAGTTCAGCGAGGACGGTGACTGGTACCGCGCCAGGGTGCGTCGCAACGACCGCGAGAAGGAGCAGGCCGAGGTGGTCTACGTCGACTTCGGCAACTCCGAGACTCAGCCCTGGAAGAACCTGCGCCCTCTCAGTCAGCCCCAGTTCTCCGCCCAGAAGCTACGTCCCCAGGCCGTGGATGCTGCCCTGTCCTTCCTGCAGTTCCCGACTGACCGAGACTACCTGAGCGATGCCGTCGCCTTCCTGGGCGACGAGATCTGGAACCGCCAGCTGGTCGCCAACGTCGACTACGTCGACGCCGAGGGCACTCTGCACGTCACCCTGCTGGACCCTGCTGTCTCTAAGAGCCTTGACCAGAGCATCAACGCTGAAGTTGTGCGCGAGGGTTTCGCCATGGTCCCCCGCAAGCTGAAGGCGTGGGAGCGCGCTTCCGCCGACACTCTGGAGAACCTGCGGGCACTGGAGAGTGAGGCCAAGGCCGGCCGCCTTGGTATCTGGGAGTACGGTGATCTGACCGAGGACTAAGTGTTTTGTTTGATTGGATGTATTTACTTTGCGTTGCGAGAGAATTGCGTGGCGCGTTTCTGTACAAAATATGGGATCGGGCCCTGACAAAAATATCAAGTGCCATAATACGCATGAGTTATTGCCGGGTTTGATTCCGGCTATCTTGTTGTTTGCTCTATGGAAGGATGTCTCCTATTCTATCAAGGCCTGTTTTGGTAAACCATCTGTCCCTGCCGCGTTGACCCTTGTCGATCGGCCAGCGTAGCTTGCCGATCAACTTTATTCCGGTCCGATTAGCCAGTCTGGTCAGAAAATGGCCGGGTCTTTCTATAAGCCGGCAACCACCAGGTATGCACATCATTAACCCGCATAAAATGCCCCTAATATCTCGGGCGCTGGAATTCGGTTCAGCCGTGCGGGTCTCAGGGTCCAGCTAGCTAGCGTTTGGAAACTCCACAATTAACGATTTGTTGCTGACCGCTTCTTTTTGCCCCGACATCTCCGCCACAACCGATCTTAGCCTTCGACGTTCAGTCGCCTGTGACGATCCCACCTGTACAATACACTTATAGAACGGGAAGCATCCCCAAAGATTACAGTTTGCGAAATGCTCTGGCGGACCAAGTCCCACCACAGCCAGGCCTCGGAGCAGGACGGCATCGCGCGCACCACGTCCGCCTCCAAGAATGACCTGGCCGCTTCGGCGTCACAGGCTGCGGGCACCTCGTGGCTCGCCGGCCACCTGAACCATCTGACGCCCGAGCAGGAGGGGAAGCTGAGCGAGTTCAAGGCTATTTGTGCTGAGCGCAAGTATTATACTCCGGCCGTGGAGGTGGCGGAGGGGGTGGAGGCCACGCCGGCGAGCCATGATGATGCGACGATGCTGTACGTTCCTCTGCCGGAAGCGCTGGACTTCGTTGATGAGATGAAAGGGGCTCATATTTTTCTCTAGGCGCTTTTTGCGAGCCCGCAAGTTCGATGTCGAGGGAGCGTGGGGTCAATTCAAGGACACCGAGGACTGGCGCAAGGACAATGCCATCGAGGCACTCTATGAGAATATCGGGGTGGACTCGTACGAGGCCGCACGGCGGATGGTATGCGCTGAATCTACGGGATCTATTCAACCTTGGAATACCATGGACTAATGTTCTTCTCTCTGCTTTATAGTATCCGCAATGGACCGGCCGTCGCGATCGCCGCGGGATCCCCGTTTACGTCTTCGAGATCCGTCACCTGGACTCCAAGGGGATGGCCGCCTACAACAACAGCCTGTCTAACGGCACGCCCGAAACGCACAAGTCTTCGTCCGTCCCCGCGCGTCTGCTCAATCTGTTCGCCCTGTACGAGAACCTCTTGAACTTCGTCATGCCGCTGTGCTCGTCGTTGTCGCGGCCCAACCCCGAGACTCCCATTGTGACCTCCACCAATATTGTCGATGTCAGCGGTGTCGGCCTGAAGCAGTTCTGGAACCTGAAGACTCACATGCAAGATGCCAGTGTGCTGGCGACGGCCCACTACCCGGAGACGCTGGATCGCATTTTCGTAAGTTTACCCTTTCTCCATTGTTGCCCCTCCGGTCACGCGTGCTAACTGCAGCATTAGATCATCGGTGCACCTGCCTTTTTCCCCACTGTCTGGGGCTGGATCAAGCGCTGGTTCGACCCGGTGACGACCTCCAAGATCTTCATCTTATCCGCTGCGGAGGTGAAGCCCACCCTCACCTCTTTCATGGACCCTGCCAGCTTCCCCCAGAAATACGGTGGCGAGCTCGAGTGGCAGTGGGGCGACATGCCCAACCTGGACGAGCCCGCCCGGGAACTGCTGCAGAACCTGGAGCAGTCCGCAGTCGAGGGCACGGAGAAGAAGCACATCTTGAAGGGTCCGGTGCTCTTCAAGGGCGACACCATCGAGGTGCTGGGTACCGAGGACGGCAAGCGCCGCCGGGAGACGATCCTCGTGCCCAAGGTCCAACTCCAGCAAGAGCAGGCCAACGGCAACAGCAACGGCGCCGCAGTCCCCGCCAAGGAGTCCACGCCCTCCCTTGCCGGGGACGCGAAGATCGGCGTGGACGGCGTGGCCGTGAACGTCAACCAGGTCACCACCGAGGAGACCCAGACCACAACCGCTGCCGCATAGATGCATCCATAGAACCAGGCAGCGGGCGGGTTATAATTATACCTCGTGTGTTGGTGGGAAGAGATGGACGTTAACGTTAACCGGTGATACGACCACGGCCACGCAGGTGCACACATGCAGCTGCCAGTTGCACATCCCAGAGACCGAGGCATGTGTCTCTCTTTTTTATCCCCCTCTTGCATGACCCATCATAATGCGTCTGCCTGGGCCGTTCGCAATATTCTGATTATTCATTTCTCTGCCATTTTGTCTCGTTTTTGCAGGACTTGCATGTGCATGGTGGTGATTGGCAATAGAGAGAGAGGGTCTTGGGTTTCCTTGTCTTATCAATCCCCCCAACAGTTTCTTCTTTTCTACTTTTTCTTTTTTTTGGGCCGAACTGTCATACATGTGTGTGTCTTTTAGGCGGGGTTTTTGGTCCCTTTTCTTTTCTTTTCTTTTCTTTTCCAATTTCGGGCTGCGGGAATATGAATGAGTTATGATGGAATTAGGCTTTAATGGGCTGCTCATCCCGCTTAGGGGTTCTTTTGATGGCATGTTCCATCGGTGGGGTTGGGGGATCTCGTGGTACATATGATATATACAAGACTTCATTTCATTTCATTTGATTTTGTCTATAAAAGCATAGAAGGATGATTCAATGTCTATTCGGAAGAGGTACCTATGAGTCAAAGTGGATTGGTGCTGCCTCGTAATGATTTGGCATAGAGGATCTCTTGATGCTGGTCTTCACAGGGGCGTGTATCTGAACGCGGCCGGGGGCGGTTGAGAGGCGAACTGCTTACTGGAATCGGTTAGATGGACACCAGTAACCGATGACGGGTGGCGAAATCCCTATACTCATGATCCTCGTTACCATCATAGCCATCATGATTTACAACCACCTGATTCTCCGACCTCTTTAGGATTCCAGTCACATGACTGCCCAGGCACGGCAAACCCTACTTTTCCGCCTTTTCGGCGATTTCCTGCAGCCACGCGGTACGACCGTCTGCACGTGCCCCTCCTATATATAATTGGGCTTGTGCTATAGTTCGTGAGTCCGCAGCACAGACTCACCGTGTAGACTGGAATAGCCCACCATGAGCTCAGACTGCCATCATACCCTTGCCTTTCCCGCTTGGCCCCGTGGCACCAGACTCTGGCGAAACCCCCAGGTCCGGCAAGCGTGTTGTGTCCAAGCGTGCGCTAGCGGGTGACGTTCCCCGGTTGTTGGGGAAGATGAGCGCCAGGATCGGGTGCGATCGACATGTTCAGGGCATCTCAGCCGAAATTAGGGGGCCCTCCGAGGCTCATTTGCGGAGGGTGGAGATTCACATGCGCCGAGCGCCCCCCGAACGACTGATCGACATGCGCCAACTGATTTAAACCCTCCCGTCCACCCCCAGAGGGTCCGGGGGGTTGGCAAATCCGCTGGTCCTTTGGCTGTCGGTCTTCACGTTTGTGACGCTACACTATGAGTGCTGAACGAAATCCCAAGGACTCTATGAAGTCCACCTGGCGGCAGCAGGCCCGCTCCGAGTGGACGCTCTTCCACTGGTTCTACGAACTGCTCGGCATCCACCCGGAGCATCTCGACAGCAACGTGCCTGTCCACCTGAAGGAGGATGCCGTGCCCTATGTCCCCGACTGGTCCATGCACCGCTGGGTCCTCACCCACTCCATCATCCCGATCATCCTCCAACACGCCTACATCCAGCTCACCGGCCGCAATCTCGGCGCTCTCGGCGCATTCATTCTCTACAGCTTCGCCTTCAAGGCCATCGCGATCCACGAACTGCACGTGCTCCGCCGCCTCGGCCATATCCACGGCTTCCTGGATGGCGATAAGCATGCCCGCGATGGCGTCCCCGACATTGGTGTCGCCAAGGTCGTCCGCTCCCTCTTGTCAACGTCGAGCTTCCGCCCCATGTTCACCGTGTTCCTGGCCTACCGGACCGCCGAGGCGCCCTCGAATATGAGCTTCGCCTGGCTGCCGCTCGAGATCGGCCTCTACGGCATCATCCTTGACTTCTGGTTCTACTGGTACCACCGGCTCATGCACGACGTCGGCAGCCTGTGGAAGTACCACCGCACTCACCACCTGACAAAGCACCCGAACCCGCTGCTCACGCTGTACGCCGACCTCGAGCAGGAGATCTTTGACATCGCTGGCATACCGCTGATGACCTACTTCACGATGAAATTCATGGGCATGCCCATGGGCTTCTACGAGTGGTGGATCTGCCACCAGTACGTCGTCTTTGCCGAGCTAGCTGGCCACTCCGGTCTGCGTCTTCACGCGACCCCACCTTCCACGCTGAGCTGGCTGCTGCGCTGGTTCGATGCCGAGCTCGTCATCGAGGATCACGATCTGCACCACCGCAAGGGCTGGAAGAAGAGCCACAACTACGGCAAGCAGACTCGTCTGTGGGACCGGATATTTGGCACCTGCTGTGACCGCATTGAGTCAGTGCAGAATAATGTCGACTATGTGAATCAGTCGCCGATGCCGTTGTACTGATGGAAATGCGGGTAGACTGCATAGATGATATACTTTCTTTGGATCGGATTTTTCACGCTTCGTGTAAATGGGTTGGTGAGGCAAAATGTGATCGGAGTTGATTGATTATTTGGTGCTGCTTTTGTTTTTGCGTTTGTTTTATACGATTTGATACCATGCTCGAAATGACCAATACGAATGATTGAACGAAGGATGTTGTTTCTTACGGAGCTAGAGTACTGATGAGTATCTAGAATTAGATCCATTCATCCTCACTCTGATCCAGTCCCTTTGGGCGAGACCCATAAGATAGTTTATGTGATCTGGAACATGAAACATGCCTGCTTGTTTGGGCAACCAGATATGGAACCGGTTTCCCTTCAGGAAAGCAAGCATCGTGTATTCTGGAATACACCTAACCTCGAGATATGAGCTTTATCAAATCCTTCGTTATCCGCTGACTGACTGACATCATCTCCGTTGGTACCTTCGTAAGATGGAAAGGGCTGGCTATCGCTTAGAAATCCAAAGACGCGGTCTCGAAGTTTTTGCAATCATTTGCCCTACATTTGCGGCATATTGAAGCTTAAATGCCGAGTATAAAAAAGGCAGTTGTGTAGGAATGCATGAAGAGATAGTGAGATGATGTACATGAGCAACAAGCAATCGCCGCTCTTGAGGGGTCAGATCTCAGAGATCACTTTCACACATTAACCAAATATCCGCTTCCTCCATCATAAACCGGGATCATCTCGGCAGGGGTCACATTGGGACACATCTCCTCCACCGTGGAGAGACGCAACTCAACCGCTGCCTCCCAAATATCGTCAAGTCCAACGCGCATGTACCCTTGGTACCCAGGTGTATCATAGCTCTCCCCCGATCTAAAAGTAGGGTCGACCATCACCACAAACGGCTTCAACATGATATACCCACCCTTCTCGATCACAAACCCTCTCCGAGGCCCTCTCCCATTGGCACTCTCCTCCGGCTCCTCGAAGGCACTCACGATCGAGTTCAAGCATTGTTCGTCTATAACGAGACAGGCTTTCGACCATGGGATATGCGACCCATCTTCCATCCCGAGAGACTCTAAATATTGTTGGAAATCAGTACGGATCTGTTCTAGGGATGCTCCCTTCCACCGCTCTCGATCCTCGAAAACAAGATTCTTGTAGGTTTCCTGCACAAACTTCTCGGGAAAAGGATCGCTGTCCGGATATTCATCTTCGTCGATATCTCCAATACTCCAGTGCACGTAACGGTCGATTTTGGCGAGGCCGGCAGACCAGAGCCGGTCGGATTCCGCCGTATAAACAGTACGGTAGATCACAAAGCCCCAGGGCAAACAACTCAGCCATTTGATAAACATAACAGAAGGGCGGGTGTCATGTTTATACCAGGGCTGTTTGCACCAGCGCTTCCGAAGGTCTCCAAGGGGGACCGGTAAACCCCGGGTGCGACCAGCGTTCAGGCCATGATGGGTGATGGAGGTTGCCTCCTTTGAGGGCGTCAGTGCTAGATCCTTCTTGTTGAGTCATTCTGATAGGGAGTATGACGGTAATAGCAACCCCGGTGTGTACAGACAATAGGTTGACTAGTATCTTTGGGCGCGACGGGAGACCCCGAGGTATTCATGCTGTTTCTGATCCAAGTGACCCACTCACCTTGGCGGATAAACAATAATGGATGATATGGTTTGCTAAGCGACAAAGTCAGAAAATCAGGTTTCCCTAGCTTTCTCACGCGTAGAACTAGGGTCCAGTGGCCATTGGTTTTAATTAGGTAGCAGATAAGAATGGCTTTGAAAAGGCATAGAGCATATAGCTCGTCAAGAATAATATAAAGTATGCTCTCAAGCCTGCCTTGAGATTATCGGCATCCGACAGTCTCTCTTACCAGAGTAGGATTAAGATCACAGACAGGAAGAGAACAGGGAACCGAAACAGTAGTATTCAAAGTCTAGGGCAGCATTAGTGATAAAGAGTATAGGGCACTTAGAAACCTCTAAACAAAGCGCACCGAACAGAAGCTGCAAGTTGACAAATGCAGAGGCTCTTTTGATGTTAGACAAAAAAGCCTAGTGTGGTTCAGCACCTAGCAAAAGGACTTTTTCATTTTTATAATTAGCGTCTACAGTAGGGTAGAACAAAGACAAGGACATAATAGCATCCCTGATTACTTTCCTCAAGTACCCTAAGTGAAAGGTGAGATAATCACTAAGCAACCATAAGTGCCTAGCGACCGCTCCCTGCGTATCACTGAGTATATAATTAGAGTGGGCCCTAACAAATGACGAGAAGCTTCGATGACTAAGGTTTTGGTAAACAGGACGCTTTGAAATGGCGTCAAAAATAACTATGTCCGGCACCCAATTTACTGTCGCTTAGCGTTGTGGTGTGATCTCTCTCGAGAAAGTCGACCTCTGCAAGCAGCGCACAGGCCGACACAACTCGAAAACTCTTTAGTCCCCCGGACCAATCCCTGCGACGTCGTACCTTCGCTGACTTGTCGCTTTCATCCGCAATATGTAGACAGGCGAGACATAACGCCAAGGTGTCATAGTCGGTCCCATATACATCCTGGGGGGATGAATTGTTTCCGTTGGGACGCATTTGCTTCATGATCCACGTCACTATCCGATCAAATTCGTCTGTCAGTCGGATGGATCGCGCTCGCTGTCGGTGCGTTTGTGTGCCGGTTTTGTTCACGATCTGCCCGATAAAGACCTCAAGCTCGGTGATTGGATTGATGGGATGTTCTGAAAAATCATTCATCGTGGAAAAAATGGCATTCTCATATCTATTAGGAGATCAGTTTAGTAGCTTGGGATTCTCGGCCCTTAGATTGCTTACGCGACTCGTATGAATCGTGCTTCATCAATGCGATTGGACCAAGAGATTGGACCAAAAGTTTCGCACTTTTGTATGATGGCAACCATAAAGTCCTCCCAGAATGGTATCTTGGATGGTATCTTGCTGGACTTCACATCCTCACGCCAAATTCTTTTCTCGTCTATGGATCTGTAAAGCCCCCCGAGAACTTTCTCCGACGCGTAGTATTTCCAAGCCGGGCCAATACCCTCGTCCTCGTCTTGAAGGGTTTGGACAATACGGTCGTCAACCTCAATATCGGATTTATTGAAAATATGCACTTGTGGCCCTGGCGCCAGGCTGCCAAGCAATAAGTTAGTGTCTGATTGATCATAGAATTGCCGATACTCACAAATCTGGTCGAAATCGGGATTTCATCTTCGGCAGATGTCCCATTTCCACAGGGATTCCTGTTTTGGAGAAATCAACCGCTGTTGAATGTAGCTGTGCGAGAAATTTGCAATCGGGGTGATGAGAGCCTTCTTCCACCTGGTCTGCCAAAATCACATGTCTAGTGGCAATAACCCCCAAACGGTCGGTTTCCATGAATTTGACAAAGAATTCTGCCATATCCTCTGTGGTCACAGGGCGACCGATATCAACTGGCGGTAAACGAGGATAATCAGCTGGTGGGTAGGTTGAGACTGGAGCACATTCAGGGTCCCAGATTATATTAAAGATATCGCCATCGAGGTCTCCACCACTCAATTGACTTGGCAGGTCCCGTGAGCCTCTTCGACTGAAAACAATGCAGTTTCGATGTTTGGCCAGTGGGTGATCAGCAGGTGGGACCGTATTGATTGCAGTTTGGATGTCTCCATCGAAAAGAGCAGGTGAGCGGGTCACAAGCAGTGGACCCGGACCAGGCGGAGGTATAAATGGGCCATTCCTCCTTTCAAATGTAACAAAAACTTCATTCTCTTGCAAAAAGCCCGTCTCATCCATGATTCCAAATAGTGTGACACCCAGTTCGACGGGAATTCGTGCCTTATACTTGAGTAAGCGAAGCTCGTGAAGAACAAGTGCCTCAACCACGGAGCGAAGGAAGGAGTCGTTCTTGTAGTCAATCTGAAGAAGACCCAATTGCTGGAATAATCTATGGAGCCGCAGACATCGACTCATGTTCTGCCTTTTTATGTACTTCGCTGTATGTTGGACGTTGGTAGTGATTTCTCGCAGATGGTTCACTTGAATGCTCTGTAATTTAAAGAACCAACTCTGCGAGACACCCATATCCTCCATGATCTTGATCATTTGACGATTGAGAACCAGCGGAATCGGCTGCCATCCGACGTCGCATATTTCAAGTGTCGACATATCTTCGCTGGGGAACTTGATCATCGACGGGCGAAGCTGGATAACCGAGCCTTGAAGCCGACTGTCGAGGGCCAGCATTCCTTTGGCACCCCCCAAGCGGATCTGGAAGCATGTCGGAAACCCTTTGGAGCGTGGAAGATTCTCCCAAATCGTATCCACGACATTTTGAGAAACCGCCCCGATGCCATCGCTAAAGACCCGCGAACCATCTGGGGATTTCACATCGGGTATGCGAGAGATAGCCACATTGCTTTGTTCCAAGTTGACAGCAAAGGGGGTTTCAGAAAATGCCTGTCCAATCCTTGCAGCACACCGCGCAGGCGACGTTATTTTCGAGAAATTACCCACGGCTTTAATAATTGTGAAGTATGTCTGGAACTGACCATTGTCGTCAAAGAATGGAGCAGAGAACTTATCAGAAAGTTATGATTAGTACAGTGCACAACCGGCGACTGGAGAGGAATATACCCAGACTGAATGAGCCCTCAGGGATGAGTGCGAAAATCCCAAGAATGAGTAAATTCGGCCACCGATCTTAATCCCATCTCTCAAAACAGCCTTGAACCGCGTGAAGATGTTCGAATTGTCGACCCTCGGGCTGAAAATGAGATCCTGTCCATTTTCATCACAGAACTGAGCCCGGATAAAGTATTCGTGATGGTTGGGAAATTTTCTCAAGATGCGATTCTTCGGTTCCAACTCTGGCCCATGCAAGGTCATTCGCGATGGAGTGACCGTCACATGACAGACGTGAGCAACGGACTGGTCCGAGTTCGAAACACCGTCGGCTGGTAGATTTCCCTGCTTCAGCTCCTCTTCGTTTTGGTAGATTGCTTGCAGGAGATGTTCGATTTCAAACTCCGCCGGGCCTGCGTAGGGCGAAGGCCAGTCGATTGTGTCAAACAGCCGTCTCATCGCATCAACCGGCACAAGTATCTGCCCTTTGTTTCTTCTCGCTGCAGTCTCCTTCCGCAAGGCTCGGGACAATTCTAGAACCACAGTGGGGAGGAGGTATGCGTTCATGGCCAGGGCCTGCAACTGAAAGAGCAGCATGAATGGAACAGATGCATCCTTCGCATATTCGCCGAGTTCTGATTTCAGGGCGTTCATTTGTTGTGTGAAGCCTGCTGTGTTGAGGCGTAGGCCTGAGGGAATAGAAATATCGAATCGGGTAATGGCTAATCCGCGCTGTTGGAGAAGCTTCATTTGGGATGGCAGATCGGCAGTGGCCACGTTGAATTGATAAACAAGACATTGCCCAACTAACTCGGCGTGCTGCTCTCCAAGAGCACAAATTCGAGTGTGAGTTGATTCCTGGGGCCGGCTCAACAGTCCCTGCTCAAGAGCGACGTTCAAAAAGGACAAGAGAACCTCGTCCATCTCATTCGTTGGGTCCGAGTTCATGGAGAAGAAAAGTGGCACAGTAGATAAAGTGAGTGTCAGCGAGCCGCTGTCGAACCAAACCAGGTCCACGATGGTATTCAGCAGAATCCGAATCAGCTGACTGCTGCCCAGCTTAACCACAAGATTTCGCTTCGTGAACCTCATTGTGCCCCGTTTCGACCATCTGGTCTCCGGGATGTACCGAAGCTGCTCCTCCACGAACGTGTAGTACCCGCAGCTGAGGGCCACCAAAGGGAACGTCACATCGGAATTCACTTCGTCAAGCATGTACTGTGGATTCTCTCTTTCCCGGACACGGTATTCAAGGGTTTTGAGAGTAAATTCTTGAGGTGGACGTTTGCTAGGTGCACAGAGAATATTGGCTCCCATCAGTTTCAAGTTGGACACAATGGGTGCACGTCCAGCCGTTGAAAAGAGCTTCTCAGCACTGCGTTGTCCGTGCTTTTCCAGAAACTTCTCGCCATCCTGCCGGTACCAAAATGTCACGTTCCCAAAGCGCTTTCTCCTGAGTTTCTCGCAGATGAAGTGGACGATACCCAGTCGCTTCATGACCGGCTCCAGCTGGGTAGTCAACCCATCTTCGTCTAGATCGACGGGCAGATTCCGCATAAAAACCTCCACTTTGGCGATTGTATTGAGATTGGTGTTTGAAGTTGTATCTGATGAGAATACGTCAGGATGGAGCTATGGGGCTCTCTCTGATTCGGATTTTTGTAGTCACGACCGAGTGAACCCAAGGAATCTTGATTTCCGAAATGGAAGCATTTCGGGTTTGGGAGTTTCACCATATAAGAACATACAATCAGCCGCAGTGCCGATTACTCAGTACATAGAGAGACAGCGTCCACTGACAGTAAGTCACTAGTGGCGCCGAGTTCCATGCACCGTGACGGACTCTGTGCATGAGCTCCGATATGAACAAATACGTGGCCGAATCATATGATCCGCAAGCCGCATGCTCGCTTTTCAGCTGGCCTGACATAGAATCGGCGAATAATAGTAGTATACTAGTATTCCAGTCGTTTCAGCGCACAGATTCTCCGCTTTGATACACCTTGCATACATGCCTCAAGCTAGCGGCCGGAGCCATGCGGCGACATCGAAAGAACGAAAACCATGCGATATTTACGAGGCGTATCAAACAACACGCGACATTTTCGTCATAGTATTCTCGTCATCCTGGATAATAAGAATGTGACCGGACCAATATTGTAGGGGAAGTACGCAGACCCTCGAGACATAATGTTGCTCGTTGAGTAAGAGCTCTTGCCCTCTTGAGGAAAGATGGGCAGATTGGGAAATCATCGGGGCAACGCCAACCAAGGAGATGATAAAGAACAGAGCAGAGCAACAATTCCTTCAAAGAAAGGATTCTATACGATCCCTGATGGTGTAGCCCTGCTATCCATTTTCTGCTGCAAGACACAAAGTAATGTGACCTGAGTCAAGATACTTGCAGTAGGAGCAAATGATCCATGCTGCTGATACAATAACGCTCGTTCTGGGTTACGACTCTCCAACTAGAAGACCTTGGGTCTTGATGAGGGATTTTTGGGCCGTTTGGCGGCGGGTATGGAAAAAGTACCAAGCAGACGCCTTGTTGAATTACCTCGTATAACAAGATATGATTGAGCAGTTGTCAGGCCATTGGACCGCACGGGAGGTCTAGTATCGGGTTGGGGTACCCTCCTAGTATGAGATTGGCGAAGTAGGTATATAGTAGCAAATCTACCCAGATATGATACGTCGCAAAATCTTGCAACTTACCATCAAATCATCCAAGGCCATCACGTCTCCTTGTACTGCATGACAGTGCATGACCTACGTGTTGTGTATTCGTTGGTTCCTTGTATATGTATTCGGTGAAAGCCATGCGTGACCTAGAAAGGCTGAAAATCGTGTCCCGGTAGAGAGCCGTGTTTCCAAGCTGATGTTGGATGAAGCCACCGACTTATATCAAGTCGCCTTTCCCACGTTTTTGCTCCCACATAGATCCATCCTTCTTTTTCCAGTCATGTCTGACCGCCAGGGCCAACGCATCCAGGCCAACTGTGCCGTTATATGGGGAATTGGAGACTATGACCTTGATATTGAAACAGATGACTGGATAACGTTCTACGCAGTGGTCAAGAAGGATTTTGGAACTTCTTTTGGTCCACCATTAACGATGACTGGAATTTGCCCTTCAGAGGACCATACATGGAGCGAGTTGGATCGGATGCTGGGTGTATGGGCTACCGTCATCCAGAGCGGGCAGCCAATGACCGAGGATCAGAGAATGGAAATATTTGGTGGTCCAAATTGGCGAACCAATTCGACTTTAAGAAATATCTTTGCTCGAATGGACGAAAGAAGAGCTGGTCTGCCTGCGAGAGAGACACATGGCCAAGGTGAAAGGACCAGTTCCTGAGTCGTATAAGGTATTCTTATCATATGGTATGTCCAATCCCCCACAATTTTGCTTCAGAACGTAACTGACCTCTCGAGTTCCAACAAGACAGGAAGCCACGCACCATGACAATCCATGGCGAATTTTGCGTTAGATACCTTGGTTGCGAACTCGACCCTAATAGACACCAAGGAGAACGTTAAGGTGTCTACAGTGAAGACAACGCTAGCTCACAGAAGATAGACGGGATGCCAATCCGATCGCCGCCTCCGTTGCTGGATCCTTGCATCTTTCATACTAGTTACAACAGTTAAGTTCATGCATAATTCAAAAAAAACATATAAAAATATAGGAAAAGCGCGGACGTAGTGAATCAGCCCGTTCTTGGTCGGAAGTTGCCACTCCATATACTTCGACATGATTTCTGGATTCCTTGGCCAGGCAGCGGAGAATTGTGTTCATCTAGGATCCACCCACATGATGATTGTATGGTGAGACTGGAAAGAGGGTGCGGCAAATACCGTTTACGAAAGCCTTGAAAAACTTATTTACTGCATGTCTAAAAAGATCGATGGTACATAGGTCGGCGCCTGCATTTTTGCAGGGCACGTAGAAAGGAGCCAAGCCAAATCAATGTATCCCAAAGGAACCGGGAACAAGAGGATATTTGGTAACAAACTACAGATTACAACCATCAAGAGAAAACACATTTACGTGCATCTCGTAGGTCTCCAACGGCCTATGTAGCCTTCCACAACATGTTGACCTGCTTTTTCCGAGTCTGTCGTACATATAGTTAATAAAAGTGACCATAATGCAGGAAATGAAACCAGGGTGCAGGAGATAACTTACCATCGGGGCCAAAAATGCGACACCAGCCGCCAAAGCCACCACGGTCAGGACTAGCTGCAATTTGGAGAAGCTCTTGCCCAGAATGTCGAACGCATGGCTGGGTGTGGCGCGGGTGCCGAAGATATCGCCTCCAAAGGCGAAGATAAGACTGGTGCTCTCCAGCAGGGTAGGGCGAGACAACACAGTCTTGATGCCCGCGACATCACGGGAGTGAGAGAGATACCACTTGCCATCGAACTCGAGGAAAGGCGCGTACCGGAACAAACCCTCTTCCGCTTCGGCAGAGGTAGGGTCCCGGTCGACGGGGCGACGAGGGTCCAGGACATGACGGGGAATGCCCACAATGGCATTGGAAGACGGAAGAACGCAGATGAGCTGGCGGATGGTGATTCCCTGCCGGGTCTGGGTCACAGCCATGTGGGAGATGGGCTCGGGAATGAGGTAGGCCTGGGAGACCACATGGGGCAGCGGGATGTTACTGTGCAGGCTCGAGTAGTTTCCGGCCGAGTCTAGGGGACCGCGGTCGTTCGGAAGGGGGGACTCGTAAAGCTCGGAGATGACGAGCTGGTAGCCCTTGGAGGAGGACTCGTCGACGACGTCACCGAAGAACGAGTAGGCGAACCAATTCTCGGATATAGCAGAAGCAATGGGCTGCGTTGGGTCAACGCCGGCTTGGGTAGTGGAGTACAGTACCTTGCCCGAAACGCCGTCAAGAAGGTAAAAGCCAGCGGTGTGATCCTTCTCGTCCACAGCAGTCACCAGCACCAGGTTCGGGTTAAGGTACTTGTACAGGACAGAGCGGTTACCAAGCACCTTTCCGATCGAGGCAACAGGGTCGTGCGAAGGGCGACTCACAGCCTTGATGAGCTTTTGACCCGAAGGGGGCACGAACTCCCACACAGGATGCTTGTTGTCCTTCTCAACCCAGCCAAGAACACGACCATCATTGCTGGTAGTGACCAAGAAGCCCGTGATATCGTCAAACGGTGCGACAGGAGTGCCATCCTCTTGGATACCCAGGGAACCCATCCTGATTACCGAGGATCCTACCTGTTGCTCAAATGTGGCAATCGACTGGAGTTTGTTGTTGGTGGGGGCGGAGCGCGAGATGACTTCCCCGGTAGAGCTATTGATCTGTACCGAGCTGCCATCGCTGATATAAATGACCGCAGACCCAGGCTGACTCAAAATAGATTTGATGTCCCAGTGCGAGGTCTCCTCCGCTTGGACACCCCACTTGATGGCACCTTGGCGACCGGTATCCAGCGCGTAGACACGTCCTTTCTCGGTAGCAACAATTATCGACTGGGCGACACCAAAGCTATCGAGATTGGATACTTCGTCAGTCAGAATGCTAGTGATAATGCGCTTTGGCAGTTCCTTAAGCCATTCGGGCAGATGCTGGAGATCCCGGAGGTGGCGCTTCACCCGATGGATGTAAGCACCAATCAAGCCCTCGTGGCCTTCGACCTCCAGTTCATGGGCCAATTCCTCTTGGTCCTCATCTTCCACCCAAGCAGCAGCCACAGCGTAGATCAGAGCCTCGGGACGGGTCCACTCGGTCTGACCATTTCGAATTAACGACCAGTCTCCGGACTTGCGGAGGACAGCAGCTCGGACAGCGACAGTCTTGCCCTTGGTCACAACCTCCGCAACTGCATGCAGCACACGGTCGGTTGATGATGCATCGACATTCCAGCGCCCCAGGATACCATGGGATGCGGAGGAAACGACGATAGCCTCCGAGTCTGTCACTCGAGTGAAGAAGACATTGGCGTCAACGTTGTTGGTCGCCACCGCAGACTGGCCTTGCAAGTAAGGCAATTGATAGGCTTTGCTCACTGCCGAAGACTTCATATCCACGTGGTAGACCTCCGCCCAAGCTCCACTCTCTGTCTCATAGTGAACAAGGAAGTGGGGGAGCGAGTTGAGTTTATGAGGGGCATGGACAGTGATTTGTTGAATATCCTGGCCGGAGGTGTTATCGATGTTGATGGTGCTGATCTGCTTTGTGCCGATGACATTGACCTTCAGCGACTTGTGCGACTTGTCGGCCCAGACAATCAAGGGTGAGGCGGTGTTAGCGCCCACGAAGAGAATTGACTCAGGGGATGCGACATCGCTCTCCGAGTTCAGGACCTGCTGATGAGTCTGGCGACCCGTGACCGGATCCAATGCAGTGACTTTGATTTTATAGCCCTTTAACATCGCAGACTGGAGCGAGATGTAGAAGACCTCGGTCGGCGAAGATGACACCTGGAACGCGACATCTCCACTAGAGAGAGCCAAATATTAGCCAAGTCATAATTTGACCACGCGTGATACCAACCTGTTGTCCTTGTATTCCCATTTGGTCTCGCCAGAGTCTCCATCCAGCCGTCTCACCACTCCAGTGCTCTCGCCGCCGGTGAGCGCGATGGTATCTCTCGCGCTGGAGGTAGCTCTGGCATCCTCCAACTCCAAGAGCTCAAGGTCAGCGACCACACCATCTGCAAACCGGTTTTCCCAAATCAATTTTCCATCCTGGGCACCCCATGACGAGATGGAATCGCCTGCTGCACCAACGACTGCATTGTTGCCATCCAGGCCACGTAGAATACCTGCCGCGCTGGAAGCAGAGCCGGAACGGGAGATATCTTGCCGCCAGATCAGTGTACCATCGCGAGGGTTGATAGCGCCCACAATCGACTTGTCAGAGATTGTGTAGAGGAGGGATGCGTTCGAGGAGGAGGAAGGCTTGAGGAAGAAGGTGGAGTCGGGGGAGGGGGCGCCGAGGAGCGCGTGATGGAAGTCAATGTGGTTGACCTCATCGGAATAGATAGCCACCGCGGGCGACACGCACGCGGCGATAAAAAGCGCCGCCTGGAGCCGCATTATGCTATCGACTGGGCATTGGAGGGTGGGTAGGAGGTGAGGTTGCGGTACTCGAGCTTGGGCGGAGCGCGGGCGGTGATCTCCCGGACGAACGTGCGGCGCGGGTGACAGCCAACATCGAACTCCCGGTCCTCATCAATCCTGCTTCCTGTGTCCCCTTTCATAGATGATCGTTTCTACTCAATCGGATTCCAGGCCGTTCGTTCTATATTTTTATTGCCATCTGGTGTCAATCATCTGGGCCTGATCATTTTGAACCCGGAACCTTTGTCCACAAGCAGTCCGAAGAGCGGAAGATATGTCCGCACAATATGTTGATTAGTTGCCATTTAGGATGCATTTCGAATTTCAGTTTTCAACTAGCTTCAAGCAACTAATCTTCCTCCGCAATGGCATCCACCTCAATCTCAACTAGCATATCATCGTCAACAAAACTATTGGCCACCACAATCATCGTTGCGGCGGCGCCAACTTGGCCGCCGTTGTGCTTTCCCAGAACCTCCCGGAACGCCTCCCCAACCACTCCGCAATCCTCTTTCCTGCCAACAAACATCCGGCACCGCACGACGCTCTCTGCTCCTCGGCCACCGACCGCTTGAATGGCTTGAACGATCTCTTCCAAGGTGACTCGCGCTTGTTGACGCGCATCTCCTGGGAAACGGACTCGGGGTGCTTCTGGCGGAGAGTTCGGGTCCGCGGCGGTCGAGCCAGAAACGAAGATATGACGACCATGTCGAACTGCGCGATAGTAGCCGATCTTGGCCTCCCATGGAGAGGAAGTGCTGTAGAAGCGCTTTTGGGTGCAAGATATCTCTGAATCCATAGCGGGATTGGTAGGTAGGGTGCCAAATGACGTGTACTTGAAATTGCACCACACTCCCAATTAGCTGACAGTTGGCCACATGGGAAAGCTTATTAGTACCTGAATTGAAAGGATTTATGGTTGATATAACAGATAGTTGGTCTTTCTCCACTGGGTCGAAATATTTTTCCAATTCGGGTGCCTTTTTACATTTACTTTATACCGCCTGCCCGGCGCCCCACCATTGTCTCGTATAGCCGACGGCTTCCTGAATGACTCACTGCATGAACTATTTGGCGAAGTCTTCAATATTGCGGCGTTGGCTGGGCCATTATCCTTGGGCTGGTGTTGTGCCGAGGTCCAACCTTGGGATAAAAAACGATTTTACTCTTTGTGTCCCAAAAAATGTAGCACTCCTGGGAACGGAAACGCAACAGGAGCCACCTACGTGATCAATTATCAATTGAATTCCAAGGCCGATAGTTCTAATAAGGTTGTGCTCGATGAAGTGCTTGGTTCTAAGAGCTCTGAAAATTGAGGGCCAGACTAGATACAAATAATACAAGTGGAGAAAGTTGAGAGGCAGTAGAAGCAAAAGGGAATGCTAGATCAAATAGGAGTTGCCCTCAGCGCCGTGAGAAACAGCACAAAATACCCATTTTACCAAGGAACCACAGAGCTCCAAGAAAACGGAAAATGGAAAGACCCGAAGTGGCCCAGAGTACGACTCGGAAGTACCATGCTGTTCGAAGAGTGGAAGTTGTCTGTGAACATTAGCTTGTATCCCTCCATATGGCAGCCATCACATACTGTAAGACACAGCTTTTTAATCCCGTCATTGTTGATGCACAGCGCTAGGAGGCCATTGCTGAATGTCCATAATAGCACCAGATTAGTTCGGAATGCTTTGTAGGAGTCCTCGAGTGTTGTTTCGTCCTTTTCCTCTGGCTCGTGCCACGGAGCAAGGGCTCTTTTGACTGTCTGTTCAAATTGAACATCGACATCTGCCTGTGGTTTGTCGACCTCCTCCACAAATGGTATGTGAGCATCTTTCTTTGTCTGAGCTGATGGCAACGCATCTGCTTTATCGGATCCCTTGGTGCCCCATGAAACATCGTGCCAGTTACAGAATGCATAGACCATTAGAATATTGATCGACGATGGCATGCCCAGGAAATAAGCCCATGAAGATGTGAACATGTGCCAAGGATCCCAGTAGAGAAAACTGGCGATAAAGTAGATGCCATAAGTGGACACCAGAGCAACCAGGACAACTCCGCCGGTGGAGGAAACAAATTGTTTCAAAAAGTTTCCGATCCCATCATTGAGGTTGAAACTCAAATTTTCCGGAGTGAGTGCCTGTGCGACAAGGTAGAACGACAGTACAAGGATATAGAGCTGGACGATGGAAAAATAGGTCAATGATAGCGTGTATGGGATCTTGGACCTGGTCAACGTCCCGTAAGCTTGTTTCAATTCGGTGTTTCTGGCATGATCGATCACCTACCCTTTGGGTCGATTTCCGAGGGCCAAAATAAATTGAAGTATGAGGAATGCGATATACCCAAACTTTATGAAAGTATTGAATATTGGCGATATTTCGCTTCCAAATGGCCAGGATTTTCCATGGTTCACTGCACTCGGAATGCCAACGATATCCATGATAACAGACGTGGTAAGCCAGTACGATGCTAGATGATGTTACTCAAGCGCCCACCCTTTCGCAATTGTGCTGAACTTACCCAGCGAGAACCATGTCATGATCAGCTGACCGACGTTGTAGACAAATTGTACGTGCAGAACGAATAGCCGGAGAAAACTATGGCCACTCCCGTAGATGCGATTGAAATGCATCATCGCATACAAACCCGCTGCAAATGATCCATTTAACCAGCGCCGCCTTTGGGAGAGGAATTCAGGGGGACTCTCTGGCACGTCGGTTTCTCCCTTCGATGCTTTCACGTAAGTAAGTCGCCAGCGACAGCCTGCTTTCGCGACCAACTCAAAACATAGGATCCGGTCTTCCGCTAAGAACATATTCTTTTTGAAGATGTTCATGCCCTCGATACCTTTCTTTCCGAGCCTCGCTGAGAGTGTATGATCACCATGAAAATATTGTTCTAGCGGCCTGCCAACGATTGCTCGGTAGCGGTAGGCTGAGAATGCCCCTGGCAGGACACTCACATATCCGAAGGTGCTTTCCAGAGGCTTGTCTAGAATGTTGGAGATCTTGTATTCGAAGTTCTGTGCCGCCACGATCGGATTCAAAACCTTTCTCCAGCCAGGACCGAGAAGTGCATGGATCTCGCCACAAGCTCCGCCGAGGTCTTTATCGTTGTAAAATGCCTCCCATAAAGTGAGTAAGGACTTGTGTCCTGGCTTAGTTCCAGCGTCAATCAAGATGCAAACCTCTGGGTTGAGGATACGTCCGAATGCATTGAATAGCCATCGGTGCGAGTTGATCTTCTTGCTATTTTGTTGTTTCAGACAGAAAATCATTTGGACCGGCGGAAGATTTGTTGGGTCGTCTTCGAAGGGCCGAATCAGTTGTTGTGTTGGAGTGACCGATAGCTGTGTTGTATATTCAAACTACGAGTGGTCAGAAATTCAGAAGCTATTGCCAAAATAAGTGTTGTCCAATTTAGTGTTATGAACTCACTATGTGAGCCACTGTCTCTTTGCCATCCAGATCGTGCTTCATCACACCATCTTGGTAAATACCAACAGTAGCTAGAAGATCGAGTGTGTTTTTGTCACATGGCTTGATCCCGTCAAATACGAGGCAGACAACTATCTTCTGCCACGCTGGACCTCCCTTGTTCCAGAACTCGGTCTTCTTCAGATTGACCTGTTCAAAAAGTCGTTAGGTCAATTAATCATCGATAGCCCTCAGAGCCTGGGGAGACCTCACGATATGGCGAACATTCTGCATCACACCATGCAGTGTTCTTGCTGTGAGGACTTTATCCTCGTTGTAGTAGGTAATTGCAATAAGCATCTCAGTATGCCGGTTGTACATTGAAGGGCGTAGGTTATATCCATGTTGCAGCGTAAACTCATCTGGGTCGCATGTCGCTGCCGTATCTATTCAAGTTCACTAGGGTCATTTTTATGCTGACTTCAAAATATGATGAGCACAAACTCACATCTCATATGGGTAAATTCTTCATTTTGCCCTTCTTCAAGGTCGCGGTATTTTGTCTCAACGGCATTTCTTATGGCGCTCGGAACAGGATAATCAACACTCAAGACTGTCCCTTTAACCAATTTGATTCGGCGGGTGGGATACCGGCGCAGGCTGCTTAATGCAGGTGCTTGCCGCTGAGCCCAGCGTTTCGAGCTTGTTGAGGCGGAGTCGAGGTTCATGGAATCAGCCAACTCGAAGGCCAGCCCATCATGTGTTCCCTCGTCAGAAGAGTCTTTTGAAAGGCTTGCGGTGTCACTATATGATAGGGGATATCGATCTTGACTGGTCATGCTAGGGTCGGACCGGTTATCGGAGCGGTGTTGGGGCAGTAGAGATTGCATAAAGGGTTCTTGATCGTCAAATTCAGGGCTTGTCTAGGAAAAGAATGAGTAATATCAGCTTCCCAAAATCATAAGCAATTATTCAATTCTTTACTATACTAACGGCAGGAAGAGGCGGGCCGGTTCTGGCTCGCTGGCCATAAAAGGGCCGCGGAGAGCGAGGCTGCTCCCGTGAAATATCCATGATACGTCAACTTCGATTCAAGGAAGACGTAATACGTGTGAGGGGAGCTAAAACAAGGACAAAGGAGTTGTTGCTAGAGGTAGAAAGGAGTAGGAGAAACTCAAGTCTTCTACCCGGTCATCAGCAGGAAACAGGATGGGTAGACAATATAAGGCAGCAAAGCGATCTGAGACTCCGATTGCATGAACCTATTCACGGTAGTTTGCAATCGGTCTTCTCGTGGGCCATACCGAATCAAAAAGAGAAATGAATGACAACCAGTTGATCGCTCGAAGGCGTCAATTGGCGGGTATGCCCGACTATTTCAAACCGGCAAGCCCTATTGGACCTGATTCAAGATTGGACTGCCATAGCACGCCGACAGATAATAGGGACTACCTAGCAATTGCTGGCAATGACACCACATGTGCACTCCCTGTGAAGCTGAAGCATCATGGTCGTACAAGCCATCGGACTTGAGGAGAATTTCTATTCTTGTACCTTGTCTCGATCATGTCAGTAGCACGCGTGGTTGTTTTGGGTTTCATTCAAAAGCCACAGCCCCGAACTCGTATGGGGATCATTTATGTGCATAGAGCGTTCTCCAAGACCTGTGTCTGATGCTATATTGGAGATCGTTATGCTATTGCTCAAAGACGCGGTAGTGGTAGCGGCGGAGACTCAGCCAAACAACTGGCTTGCGGGGGTAACCCCTGCAGCAAGGAGTCGAGTCTATGATACACTAACCCTCCAGGGTTGTTGATACTTGCAGCTATCCGAGGTCTCTCGTGAGATTAAGACCCAGGAGTTCGGTTCAGAACTGAAGCTATCAGCGCCTGTTTGCTTCCTCTGTTTTCCCCCATAAAGCCCCCCGCGGGCGGTATTAGGGGGTTCTTTTGACCAGTGCGGCTATTGACTTCCCGCAAAACAATGAGAGACAAAGTCCTACGTTTATGTGAGGTAATTGGCCGTGCCATAATGAGTGAGGCTAAATCGATCTCCGCAACAATTAATTCATAGGTTTCCTTGATCAATCTTGAAAAGTTTTCAAGACAGAGGAGGGCCAAATCCTAGGCAAAATAACTTCTAGACCAAACAGGCACCACAGGCAACATTCTTACTCTATACCGTCATTTTATTGCTCCGACAAAAGTCTCTTCTACGCGATCCACTTGCCCTCTCCAGCTTATCAGGCTTCCAAGCCAAGCCTCTAATGCATGTCCTCGTTGGCACGACACGCTCGGTTTCCATTTGACGTACTATGAGCGATGAAGTGATTTACCCCGCCCGCCCCCTCCGGCCCTGCAGGTTTGGGGCAATTGAGTCAATCATTATTGGCCATTCAAGTCCACCGTTTTCCTTCATAATCATCTGTGAAGCTGTCAATTTGCTGTTCTTTCTGGATTGGTTGTGGTGCAGCTTCCGCTAAGGGGAGGGTGGGCCGTTTCTCACACTGCTTGGGCATATAAAGAGCCACGACCCAAAATGAACAACTTACTAGAAAATATTTCTCTGGCTTAGAAACTGAATACTCCTTAGAACTGCATGTTCTTACGTTCTAGTGGACAAAACGGCAGTCAGAATGTCTATCGAGGCTTATCTCCTATACGTCCTATCTGCAGCCGTTCTCCTGCCCTGTCTCCTGAGGAATCGATTTAAGAGGGGCCTTAGGGACATTCCTGGCCCTTCATTAGCCAAATTCACACGTTTGTGGAAACTCCACGATGTCTGGAAGGGTGACCACCACAATACTGCAATTGCTTTGCACAGAAAACACGGAGCTCTTGTCCGCATTGGCCCGAAACACATCTCCGTCGGAGACCCTAAGGCTATTCCTATCATATATGGCTTGAATAAAGGATTTACCAAGGTAACTCTCGTAATGTTCAAAAGGTCGGCGCTAGTCAACTGATGGTTTTGATTCGCCTCTGCCATTTTAGACCGCTTTCTATCCCATCCAGTGCATCTCGTGGAACAAAAAGCCACAGGTGAATCTCTTCTCCGATCGCGACGAAAATCATCATCGTGAACAGAAGCGACTGGTAGCGAGCGCCTATAGCCTGGGGTCACTTCTCGAAATGGAGTCAGGGGTTGATTCATGCACACAAACTTTTCTGGACAAACTCGGCGGTTATGCGGAACGGCAGGCACCCGTTGATCTGGGAGCATGGCTTCAATATTACTCATTCGACGTCGTTGGGGAGTTTGTCTTCGCCAAGAAACTTGGATTTCTTGAAGAAGGGCGGGACGTCGATGGCATGATTGAGGCCATTCAAGGGATGCTAGTTTATGCTAGCATATGCGGCCAAGTTCCTGAAATGCATCATGTATTGCTCGGAAATCCCCTATTTCCTATCTTTCTCCCCCAGATGGAAACATGGAATTCCGTGGTCGTGTTCAGCTTGAAAGCTATCAACTCTCGCTTGTCGGTGAAACGCGACGGGGAACTAGAGAAAGAAGATTTAGAGGGTGGGAAAGACATGATGTCCAAGTGGATGGCAGTTCATCGGCTCCACCCAGAGAAGATGTCTACAACGGACTTGATGGTCCACCTATCAGCCAACGTGTTTGCCGGTTCTGACACCACAGCCATTGCTCTCCGCGCAGTCTTTTATTTCCTCCTCCGGAACCCAACAATCATGACGAAGGTTCAGGAAGAGATTGACAATGCCACGCGCGAGGGCAAGCTGAGCGATCCAATCTCTTACCGCGAGTCGATTACCCATCTGCCTTACCTAGGAGCTGTTCTCAAGGAGTCAATGCGCCTTCATCCGTCTACCGGACTGATTATGGAGCGCCATGTTCCCAAAGAAGGTGCAGTCATTTGTGGCAAGAACATTCCCGGAGGAACAGTCGTTGGCATCAATGCATGGGTTGTGCATAGAAATCCCGAGGTATTCGAGGCGCCAGATTCATTTATTCCAGAGCGCTGGCTCGATAACTCACCCGAAAAACTCAAGGAGATGGAACAGAGCTTTTTTGTCTTTGGCGCTGGAGCGCGAACCTGCCTAGGAAAGCATATTTCCTTGACGGAAATGCACAAGTTGATTCCGGAACTATTGCGCAAGTTTGAACTCAAGTTGCGCAATCCTGAGAAGGAATGGAGGACCAAAAATGTCTGGTTTGTCCAGCAGGAGGGTTTAGTTTGTGATATTGTGCGAAGAGGATAGGAAACCTTGGACTTCTGCGATCTTCGATTAATAACCAATGTATTGGAATTTCTTGCTTTCTTTTTTTCAAATCCATGCATTTTGCAACAAAATTCAAGAGTTTTGTCTTCACTACTTCTTATAATTATGAAAGTCCTTGTTCCATCAATGGAGTAGAGCTGATAAAATAATAAAGGCCCAGTAATGTTTTCTCAATCCCTAAATTCCCGCTAGCAGATTGTTCTTCCCCTCAATTACTCAACATATTCTTCTCGGGAATGTCCACTTTGGTTTCCTTCGCACGCTCGGATATCGCTGGTGTATCTGGAGCATGTCCCTCCAGTCATGGTTCTACCTTGCAGCAAAAAATACCATGCCGACTTGGTCGGCTTCTCAGAGTAGTAAGAGCTGGCCCTCGAGCGGTAACTCTGGAATTCCCGAATAGGAACAGGATACAGCATTAACTCTCGCACAGGCTTGGTCAGGGGCTAGATATCATAGTATGACTTGCTCGTGACGAATGATTCCAGTTTACTTCGTCTCTCTTTCAGCACTTGGCGACCCCGTACAGCAAGGCTATCAAGAAGATGCTGGCCAATATTGTCTGTTCCGTCCGCGACTGATCCGAGCATGACGGAAGTATATCTTGAGGAATTTGGAAGATTTATTTCACATCATCCTCAGATAGTGCTCAGGCTTATAATTTTCAGTCCAAAACAATTGGCGATGTCATTTCTCTAATCTACGGCCGATCCATTTGGAGTACGAACCCACCAAGCTTCCGACCGGCCTTTGCGAAGCGCGGCCAGCGAGCATCCACTCATTGAAAATACGACCTATATCCTAACTTCTCCCAACAAGTGTATAAACCTCATTTCATCATGACTTGAAATACTCAGGCATTCCCCATTTCACAAAGTGATCCTCGGCCTTCCGACGGAATTTTACTTTCTCAAATTCAGTTGACTGGTCTCTTTCGATATAAAATGCAGTTATGCAGTTTCCTTTGGTTACATCTTTGCTATATACAACAGGGGAAAACATGACCCTACTCAGTTCAAGTAATCACAGAAAATATTTTTACAGACCGAAGCAAGTTTTGTTGGCTGATCGCACAGCCTCCTTCTCACCCTCGCTCATCCCATCCGTAACCTCCCAGGGCTTGTTACCGAGACCCATGGCACGCTGTCCCTCGGGGTTAAGCGAAGACCAGTCCATAGCACCCTGGAAACCTATTTCACCAGGGCCACCGGCGCCGGGGAAATCCCAAGGAGGCGAGTAGTCGATAGCAGCCTGGCGCTGCTTGAGGAGGTAGTCGATGTTCACGTCACACAGAGGGGTGGCGGGAATATAGAGCACGCTCGAGTCGCCCTTGCCACGATGCTCCTTGTCGACAGAGTGGAGCATGTCGCAGTGCCAGGCAACAAAGTCGCCGGGTTCAACCTTCGGTACCGACACCATAGTCGTCTCCAGCTCCAACTGCGGGTGCGTTACTGGGTTATATTCTTGGCAAGCGCCGGGGACGGAGCCAGGGAAGGTTCCATCTAGGCTGGGCTGCTGACTCTTGACATCGAAGAAGGGGCGAAGGATAGTGTACGCGGTGCTGTGAACAATCATAGGGCACACACGTAGACCACCCTCGCCGGGGGCAGTGTCAGACATGGACATCCAGCCTTGGAAGAAGCGAAGCATGGAGCAAGCACCTGCCCCGTTGTACATATCCATCTTGGCCTTCAGACGGTGCTTTGCATCCCACGCGTCGTATTGCTCCCAGTTGCCCTCCAGGATCTTGCTGTACACGCTCGAGTACTCTGGGTCTTCCCAGCGCTCGAGCGAGCCACCGTCGACATGTGGGCCAAGGGCAAACTTGGCATCACCTGGATCTCTCATGCGTAGGCGGTCCGCGTATGTGAGTGGATTGGATGTCGACAACTTAGCATTGGGGTCGGAGGAGTGCCACAGACGCTGCAGAAAACGCTGGGCATCAAGCATGTTGGCATGGGCACGAGCTTCTGCTTGGGCCGGAGTCCAGTAGAGCTCATAGACTGCTGGAGAGTCGGCCGGGAATGCCTTGACACGCTCCTTGTTGGCAGCAACATAGTCCCGGATACGCTGCTTGTAATCCATGGCCTTGTCTCGAGGGACGACATTCCGTATAACCACAGTGCCCCGGTGGCGGATCTCTTTCATAGTCGCCTCCGGGATACTGCCCGACACAACATCGGTGTAGTCAACAGATGGAATAATCTAAATCATGTCAGCTTCTGTTAACTATCAATATATATATATATATAAAAGAACAAAGGAGACTGTGAACATACGTCACTGCCTTTGGTCTTGATCTTGTCGACCTCCTCTTCCAAGCTGAGCAGGAGTCTCTTCCAGCTCTCAGTCAAAGCTTTTTCATTCTTTTGAAAGAGCCGCAGCTTCAATTCCCCAAAGCGTGGGGGAAGAGGCTCCGGCTGATAGTCTGATCTCAAACTGGGGAAGACCGATGAGATGTCACCAGCCGCTTTTGTGGTCTGCGCCGCCGTTGATGTTGACGCCGCACGGACAGCAGCAGCCTTTGAAAGAAGTCTTGACATCGCCATGACTGAATGGAGTATTAGTTGACCGAGATTCGCTTTGGGAACTCCCATCCATTTTAAATATTCCAGTGGCCATCGCGGGGTGTACCATGCGGAGGGCGGGATACTACCATTTAGGGAATCTCCCGCATGACGGCGGGTGGGCTTCCACAAACAGACTAGCCCCACCTTTTATCCGCAATTCGCGCTTTCTGATTCGATGAATTCACGTGCGTCATCGTGATTGCGGGAGATTAGCTTGCGTATACCTTCACCTAGTTCAAGATATTGATCATGAGATCGAGCAGCTTAGTAGAAGTCCAGGGAAGCAAACTGTCGAGCCAGGTCTCTGGGAGGCGCAAGTCAAAATGCCGGGAACTGGATGCAACATGCCTCCTGGTACACAAAAAACGAGGGATTACTTCGGAGACTTGCTGATATGATCGGAGGAAATTTACCTGATCTCATGCACGGGAGATACTTCAAGCCAGCATTAAGGTTGGAGTGAACTTCTTCTCAATGTATTCTTCCATCCTTCTTTGCAGATCTCGTTTGTTATGTCCATGTGATCATCTCGACACAAAGTCCTGCAGAATAGAGTATACACGGTGAGGTCGCCTGCGATCTGGCTCTCCTGGTTCGCCAATTGATGAGATGTTGTGTAACCTTCATGGTGGTTTTGGTGGACCGAGGGAAAAGCACCGAAGGGAAAAGAAATCCGCAATCAGGCTGGCCCTCTCCATACCAGCGGGTAGTTTTCCTAAACAGGAATTGAGCATGGCAACTTGTGAAGGAAGGATTGGCCGTCAGCACGAAACTTATCGAGGGGCCGTTCAATCGAGTGGAAGATGAGATCATAGATGCCGATGCGCCAGTGCATTGGGGATTGTGCCGGCTCGGTGGACGCGGTAACTAAGGATTTTTGTATTTGGATCAACTACCTAAGGATCTAGAATTCTGCTGGGAGCAGTGGTAACTCACCATCCGATTTCTACGATGAGCGCATGGAGAGTTCGCGAAGCATATAACACCAAAAAGGAAATTCTGGCGACGACCCCTGCTGTTCCGCTGCGAATCCGGATAAAAGACTTGGGGAGAAGAATAATAAGATCCAAATATAGTAGCATTTGTTATCAACTAGAGTCCATCAGATGACTTGCAATAATGGAAGCCAAGAAGCCCAGATTCTAGGCGATAAAGCGTCCTCAAAGCCGAAAGGCCTCGGGGATCACGCCGGTCTGGCTCGGAAGACCTGCGCGAGGGAACGGCTAATTTCCCACGTTTCCCCTCTTTCTCTAAAAACGGTTATGCGACGCGTCACAATAGATCGCTGCAATGGGCCCCGAAGTTCCACAGGCCGTGGGCATGCATAAGAGCAGCATATTCCCGGCGGGGCAGCCACCTGAGCTGTAAACCACTACATATTTCCTTCATCCTCCAGAATGGCCCTCTCAGTCAAAGGAAGAACCGCCATTATCACTGGCGCAGGCTCCGGTATGTCGGCCCATAAATTTGTAGACTTAATGTTGTAGCTGATGGGCTCACATCCACCTAGGAATCAACTTTGCCTACGCCAAGCTGCTGATAGAAAATGGATGCAACGTCTTGATTGCAGATCTAGCCCTGCGACCTGAGGCCAAGGCCTTGGTCGAGACACACTCCACTGGGTCGCCGCGAGCCATCTTCCAGGAGACCGACGTGCGCGACTGGCTACAGCTGGAGCGCATGTTCGAAGTCGCCGAGAGAGAATTCGGCGAAATTGACATCGTTTGTCCCGGTGCTGGAGTCTACGAACCGGTAAGTGTGGTGCGAGGATAGGAAGCCGACTCGCGGTCTACAAACTCCGAGGAAACGCTAGCTGATCGACGATGCGATCGCACAGCACTGGAGCAACTTCTGGCGCCCGCCTGGCTCGGCGCCCAGCAAGGACGCGCGCGACGGTGGCCGCTATGCCCTGGTAGATATCAATATCACGCACCCCATCCGTACGTCGCAGCTTGCGATTGCACACTTCCAGAAACACCGCGGCAATGGCCGTCCAAAGCATCTCATCCACATTTCCAGTATTGCTGGTCAGATTTCCGCAATGTCGACCCCGATCTATGTCGCCACGAAACACGCTATCAACGGCTTGGTGCGGTCATTGGGCAAGCTCGATCGGCTTGGCATTCGGGTGACGGCAGTAGCACCGGGTGTTATCAAGACACCGCTGTGGACCGATCATCCTGAAAAATTGAAGATGGTGAATGACAGCGCCGATGAATGGGTGACACCCGAAGAAGTCGCCGAGGTGATGTTGGCACTCGTCCAGCAAGACCAGGTAAGCGAGATCATCGGGGATCGGTCTGGGCGAGGCCAGCAGTATAAAGTTGTTGGAGGGACGATTCTCGAAGTGTCGAAGACCGTGCGTGAAGTGAATGCGTTCAATGATCCAGGCCCTGGGAACCGGCCAGGCAACACAGCGTCCGACCACGGCGCGGTGGAGGAGGAAAGTTTCGGGCTTTTGTCGCAGGAGGGATGGGGACGGTCACAGTTGTAGTACAGTCAAGAGCAAGCCACCATCACGCCATCAGTCGTGTTAATGAACATCATGATGCCATTCCTTGATTCTCGCAGCGATGGACCCGTAGTGCGATGAAATGGTATCGAAGTGCGGAGAGCGGGCAAGTCAGGTGCCGCGTCTATCGGGGGCTGGCCTGATAAGAGAGGCCACGGCGCCGCTTCTTCTCTTCTTACCCTCGCCCCTCGATTAACGACCCTGTCGAACCTGTCCGGCTCCGCTGGCCGTGGTCGCTGTCAGGTCTGATGCTATTTGCCCAACGATTGCCGCTTTAGACGTGTGATAGATTTTGATACCATGGAGGAGGAGGCAGCTGTCGCGGTTGGCCCTGCCGGTCTACCTCATAACAGTTCGCGATGGTATTTACGCACGCCTACCTACGGCCTCTTCGGGGCTACCCAGGAGTATCCTTGCTAATCATGATATGGAATTAGGCGTGCTGCACGAGGAAAACGAGCCGCTGGAGGCGCTGGAGAGGCTAGTTGGGCTAGTAGCGTGATCAATCTGGTCAATACGAGTGAGTCGATCCGGTGCGGACAGTTGAAAGGTACCTGGGGCTCATATCACCTTTCTTCGATCCAGTCATCGGCGCCGGTGTATTAGCGATGCCACTTGCAATCTCGCATATGGGAATCGTCTTGGGAGTCCTCGTGATTTTATGGTCTGGAGTCACAGCGGGATTCGGTCTCTACCTGCAGTCTCGATGCGCACAGTATCTCGATCGAGGCAGCGCTTCATTCTTTGCGCTATCACAATTGACATACCCCAATGCCGCCGTCGTCTTTGACGCGGCCATTGCGATCAAATGTTTCGGAGTCGGCGTGAGCTACCTGATCATCATCGGTGATCTCATGCCGGGAGTCGTCCAAGGCTTTGTGGGAGGCGAACCAGTTTATGACTTCCTTATTGACCGTCACTTCTGGGTAACGGCTTTCATGTAGGTGCTTGTGGTAAATGCTGCGAATCATCATGGTGCTAACGTCTCTGGCCTTGACAGGTTGATTGTGATACCTCTTTCCTACTTGCGTCGATTAGACTCCTTAAAGTACACCAGTATTGCGGCCTTGGTCTCTATGGCATACTTGGTCGTCTTGGTCGTTTACCATTTTGTGAAGGGCGATACCATGGCAGAGCGAGGCCCTGTTCGCGTGATCCACTGGGCTGGCCCGGTTGCGACCTTAAGCAGCCTTCCGGTTATCGTTTTCGCATTTACGTGCCATCAAAACGTACAGTTGCCCCATACTCTGACATCGTTTTTAATATGCACAATCGCTAACATACTTCCTTAGATGTTCTCTATTCTCAATGAAATCAAGAATAACAGCCATTTCCGAACTACTGGGGTTGTCCTTGCCAGCATTGGCAGCGCTGCTGCCACCTACATTCTAGTCGCCATCACAGGCTACCTCTCTTTCGGCAACAAAGTCGGTGGCAACATCGTTGGCATGTATCCACCTGGAGTTGCTGCCACAATCGGCCGTGCTGCGATTGTCATGCTCGTTGTCTTCTCCTACCCGCTTCAATGCCACCCATGTCGAGCCTCCGTGGACGCCGTTTTGAAATGGCGCCCGAGGTCACAGCCCAGCGGCACCGAAGCCTCTCCACACAGGCATCCTCTGCTTGGCCCGCGCGGCAATCGCATACCGGAGCCGATGAGTGATCTTCGTTTCTCAGTCATCACTACTACTATTCTCATTCTGAGCTACATCGTCGCCATGACGGTATCGTCACTCGAAGCTGTCCTTGCATACGTCGGTAGCACCGGCAGCACGAGTATCAGCTTCATTCTCCCAGGCCTGTTCTACTACAAGATCTCCTCGCCAGACTCGCCCGCCCACCGTGGCCTACTGAAGGAGGACGACGAAGGAGTTGACGACCTGTCCGACGAGGACGATGACGCCGACGAGGATGGCGAGGGCTCCCTGGCTCGCTCGTTGACTGAAAGTGGCCTCCTGCTCCGCAACACCCGCCACTGGCGCAGGGCCCTCCTACGACGTCTTAGCCTGGGTCTCGCTCTGTACGGCATTGTGGTTATGGTCGTGTGCTTGACCACGAACACTTTCTTCATCGCATCGCATTGATCGCATTGTGCTCCATTGCTGCGATATATCTATCAAATAACTCGGATTTCTGGGCCATCTACATATTGTTCACTGTATACGACAAAGACCGAAGCTCTGTACCTTTTCTTCTACCTTTACAGCCTTTCTAGATTTTCCCCCTTTGATGATGTGTTATTTGCTAGAGCGATCCCTCATTTGCACAGTTTTGACACATTCCTCTTGCTTCATTGAACTGATGGACGGCGTTTAGAGCGTTGAATCTCCCCTGACGTTTTGGTAATTAAATGTTTTCAACTTCTACTCGTACAAATTGATTTTATCTGCTTTGTGGGTAAATAGCTGAACTTAAGAAGACCGATGTGTCTTGGTAGCGAGATGTGTGGATAAGAAGGCAGTCTGTAAGCCCGAAGAACCAGAAGAATAAGCTACATATAACTGTCAAGGAGCTAACTGTAAAAAAGGAAGAAGACACACAGTCCCACGCGCCTGAAGTTTCCAAGCTTGCCCATCTCGTCTTCATTAGGTTTCTGCCCCGTCATTCCAATCCTAAAGTTTCCTTCGAATCTTTGGAAGCCGACTAGCTGAATGCTTAGTTGTTGTTCTGGCTGTTCAGAATGCGCAAGATAGACAGGAACAAATTCAGCACATCCAGATACAACGCGATAGCAGCAGCGATCTCCTCCTCGACATGGTAGTGTCGCATAACAAGCTGAGTATCCACGAGAATGTAGCCCGAAAAGATCAGGGCACCAAGCACACCGTAGATAAGCTCCATGGTGCTGCCGAACGGCATGAACATGGCCACGAATCCAAACAGGATCATAAACCACAGGGCGCCAAAGAGGTAAGGCATCCAGTGGGTGAAGTCATACTTGGTCTGGCATGCAAAGAGCGTGAGCGCAACAAAGATACCCAGTGTTAGCACCAGGGCCTGCAGAACAACTCGCGCTTCGTAGAAGGATGTCACCACGCTGATGGAATAGGCCTCCATCAAGGTGAAGCCGGAGAGGAACAGCAAATTTGCGGGATATGACTTGCGCTTCCAGTAGGTTGCAAGCATGAAGCCCAGGGCGCCGAAGATGGAGATGAACATGAACCAGATGTTTTGCTGGATCCATTCGCAGTAGGTGGCGTTGAAGAACGAGATGGAGCTGAGGATGGTTGTAAGAAGGATCTGGGCGGTCCTATCGAAAATATCAAGATCAGCGACATACTCATAATAGCGAGAATTATATCTTCCGGCCCTTTTTAAGGGTCAGAGGCCGTTCAACTTACAGTATCGAGTACACCTTCCGCACGAACTGCATTCGAATATCAATCGTCCCCTCCGCAACCATACCGCCGAACTATGGTACAGAGTCAGCGACCCCTGCGCTATCCACAAGTCGAGCTAGCATAGCACATACCTTGAAGTCGTCCGGCACGTTGTCATCTTCGGAGCGCGGCTGCGGGTCCGCTGTGGCCTGGTAGGACGGCGGTGCTTGAGTGTACGGCTGGTCCTCAAAGGAGTCCCGCTGCGGGGCGGGCTGATATCGAGCATTCGCAGCCATGATATTGCGGTTTATTATGTTGCCTCCAACGGTGTCAGAGAATGAAGAGGACGCTGAGAGAGGTGTTGAAGATGAGCAAGCTGAAGCCTGAATGACCGTCCTTTCCATGGGGGCGAAGGTGCCAGGTGACGTCTCATCACGTGTGTCACCTATCCTTGCGATAAGATAACAAAGCTAGTCCAAAGATGGATTAGTTCCATTAAAGGCAAATCGGCATGTGGAGTTGGGCCAGTATGTTTATTGCGAATAGATTCATTTGCCTGTTCTCATGTATGGTTGAAAGCGCTTGCCTACTCAGGACTACTGTTGACGAATGCTATGAATTCACCGGCACATGTAGCCCACCCTTGCCTGTGTCCACTATAGAAATGATATTTCTTTCCTCTACGGATTATCAGTGTGCAAGTAGAACGCGAGCTGTTATTCAACCTCACTCTATTGGAAAAGACGTTTAAAAAGACGTATATGCATGAATCATGTAGCAACCATGGCTAGGCCATGCAATCAGACCGTGAATAACAACCCCCAGATTTATAATCTCGCCCGTTCTACTCGGCAATGCGATGCATTGGGGATCGTCTATTGCCCTGTCCATTGGTCTCATCCGCCGAATCATCATCAGTCGTGAAGCCATATTCTTCATCAGTCGTATCTTCCAAACTGCGATCATGGTCTTGGTCCACTGTTGCACTAGACATATACGACGGGAGCCGGCGGCGCTCGAAGTCCTGTGTGTGCGCGGATGCGACCATAGTGCCGACGCGGCTGATGCGTGAGCGGCCTTCGCGGGCGCGCCGGGCGGCCGCGTCTACGTCTCCATGTTCGACGTCACCAGGGGCCATGAATGGTGTTGTCGGGACCTGTTCTTGAAGCTGGTAGTCACCCGCTTCCGGGACATTCTGGCCTGCTGCGGGTAGAATGGTGGAAAGGTCGTATGGGAGAGGGATATCTCGTGAGGCACGGAACCGACGCACGTTCGAGGAGTGTTCGTTCTCCACACGGAAGACGGCCCACACTCCACGACGGACTACCTCTGACAGCGAAACGGCGAAGCTGAGCACTGCTGAATGCTGGATATCGTTGGAGAAGATGGCGTAGAAGATCCAGTTGAATCGAATCACGATGTTCACCACAATCGCGATATAGTAAACCCACGGATTGCGGCGCCAAACTAGTTCCTCCCGCAGGAGCTTGTACTGAGGGGTACCCAGACTCCAATCCATGCCCACATCCCAGACGGAAGTGTAAACGGCGTTCAAGAGAGCGAACGTTATGAACGGCGCTTGGAAGCGCGTGCGCTTGTCGATGCGGTACATACTCAAACTCGCATAGTAGAGCACACTGAACATGTACTTAACCAGATTGGCAAAATGCGGAAACGCCTGCTTCGAGGTTATGTAACGAAAGATACACTGGAACATACGCCATATCGCGGGTACACATGTGAGAAAGCCTAGCAGCCTCGAATGAGACGAATTGCACTTGACTGGATTCTGCCAGTGTGAGGCGTAGAGGCAGAAGAAAAGCTCAATGTTCTGCATGCGATTAGCGTGGTCCCACGAAATGGATTTCTAGTTTGCTTACCCCCATGGAGTAGACCTGAGAGCAGTACATATCGCCAAGAAAGAAATCACGAAACTCGACTTTGTACAACGCTCCGGCAGTCAACAGGCGCCACTGTTTCTGTCAGTCAGGAAAACAAAGGATCTTGGAGCGATGAAGCTTACATTCGTAATGGCCCACCACTTTCGGCTTTTATGATACAGCACGCGGGCTGGCAGAAAAACAATGATAACGGTCAAACCAACAAGTACTACAGGCCAGTATATGTACATGACATTTATCCATGAGAAATTGAGCCACATGAATAAACCCATGAGAAATATAAAGAAAGACGGGAACTAGATAAATGTCAGAATGCGAGCTTCGCCCATATTGAGGACTTTTTAGGATCTGTAACGTACCTCTAACAACTGGCGCCACTCCAAGATGTGCTTGGGTTCATATTCAAAAACAAATGCGTGGTTGATCCTAGATTTCGTCCAGATCATGCAAGCTATGCAGAACAGCAATAGGTGAAATGTGATCAGGAAGTACCCTCCGTAAATCTAGCCAAGAATCAATCAGTCCGCGTTTTAGTTACACAGCGCGTCGGAAGGGGAGCAAAGACACCACGAACCTGTAACAAATAACTAGTCTGAACTTTCCTGATGGAATCGCCAGAGAGTAGATGCCGTGACGCACGAACGAGCGCCTGGGCGGAAAGCAGGGTTCCCGCCATGAGCCAAAGGCCCGCGCGGAACGTAGAGGGAGAGAAGTCGTTTCTCTTCTTCACTGAGTGACGAAGTTTCGAGGCGGCTATTTTATGATTACCGCGCTCGAAATACCGCGCATATAAGTCTTCCACGGTATCTATCAGTGTTTCGAGTACTTCACTCTGTACAAAGGATGCCCGGTTGACACGTTCTGTCATGTATTGCATCGGGACGGGGGGGTTGACCGCCTTGTCATACTTTTTGTTGATTTTCCGAAAGGCCGTTTGGTTGAGGTAAGCATAAGCTTTGAGCAGCTCCATTCCACGATAGAACTCCTGCAAGGCGTGTTTGAGCTTACGCTTAGCTGTCCGATATGACACGTCGTTGTTGGGTGTATCTTCGCGCGGGGCGTAGTCTCTTTGCGCCAGGTATTGGCGAGTCGTCGCATCCACCTCGGGGGACGCCCCCTGGGTGGCCATGGCCTCGGAGTTCTTCCCAAACTGAGTCCTGCCCGCAAGTGTCCGAGTTTTGCTCCAAGTTTCCGACGCAAGTGCCCGAGTTGCATTCCGAAGCCCGGCACCACTCAGCCCGCCAAACCCCTTCGGCTGACGTTGAGTATCATGACTGATTTCCTCCATGGATTTCTTGGCAGCTAGCACTTGCTGCCTTCGCCGATGAACCATAAAATGGAGCTGGGCACTGAGAACCTCCAATCGCGCGGTGGCCTCGCGCTCTTTCGCCTCATAAAAGGAGTTGATCTTCTCCAGCTCGCCATCTAGGAAGGCAAAAAACTCGTCGTGGCGTCTCTCGACCTCCAGAGCAGATTCCGCGGGCGTCTTCCTCCCCCGAGAGGAACCCTCTGTTTGAGAGATAACACGCAGAATCAGCTGCGTACCTCGCTGCACCGACGTCGTCAAGTTTCCAGCGGAGGGGCTTTGCATCGCGGGCTGTTGTGACCTTTGTGCGGGCGAGGTCTCTGCCTTCGCAGGTGCTGGAGCCTCGTATGGTGGCACATATTGCGGAGTCGGGTCGAGCGCAGGATCGGGAAGTTCAAACGATCTTCTCTCCGACCTCCCGCCCAGTTTGGGAGAGTCGTAGGTACTCCCATAGGTAGCATGATCCGACGACCGCGACCCGCGTCTCCGCAATGGTTGTTGCTCGGCCTGTGGTTTGGGTGTCGAGATTTCGGCCCGTCTGGTGCTTTGGGGGTCATTAGGGTCCGGTGGTTTTGCTGCCGGGTCTGGGTGTTGAATAAACGGAGTGCGCGGGGTGCGCGGGCTTCGGGTTGCCCTCTGGATTGCTCGAAGGATGAGCTTGATCTTCTTCTTGCCGCCCTAGACGCATCGCCGTTAGTAACCGCCTAGCGGAGTATAGGTTGAGATCAGTGGTTCCCTCACCTTGTAGTCGAGGTACTTGGCCTTCCATTCGGGAACCAGCTCTTTTTCCAGCTCTCTGCGTCAAAATATGGTCAGCCACTGGAATGTCCCATTGGGATGCGTGATGGGGAGAAGGAACAACTGACTTGGCAAACTTCATCTTGGCCGAGAAACCAGCGTCATGCCATACCTACCAGTGGTTGGAGGGGGAAGGCGGGAGTCCAGTCGTCGAGTCGGTGGAGATATGTGAGGACTCCCAGGAGGAGTTCGAAGAGGTTAGAAGTTAAAGAACCGAGAGGCGTTTCAAGAGTCGGAACGACGCCACAAGGCGTGCAAAAAACCAACGTCGCCTAGATAAGGGTTGATTGGCGGCAGCTAAACAGGTACTAAGCCCAGTTGGACCGTCAATGATGCTGCAGCGGGACGAACGAGAAAAACTAGTGCGAGTCGCCGAGGATCGGCGCAAAACAAAGTTAGCAGTAATTTGCGCGCGTCTCGAGTACCGCGGGATCTGAGGCGCATCGTTGGAGCTGCTACTTTTCACTTACCCATCGCTACAATCAAATCAATGAGCCCTGCGCGGGCACGTGCGACGGCACGATGCGCTCATTGCTGGCGGCGGATGCCTATTGGTGCCTGAATACCTCTGTTGATGCCTTAAATGGCCTTTTTGATGCCTAATAGGCCAGGCACCGCTGTGTAATCGGTTAGCAGCGCCGGTGACTGGCCCAAGCACGTCGTCGCCAGGATCCACCCGCCCCCACTGGCGGCCCACTGGGCCGGATTCCAATGGGGTTCTGGAATTTGAGTATTATTCGCACCTTTCTGTCTCGTCGACTCCTGCATCGTGCATTTACTTTGTCACATGCACAGTGCCAGTTGAGCTGCAGCCATTTGATCATCATTCGTCATTTGATCCGAGATGGCACCGTTCGCACCGTTCGCACCGTATCGCCGTGAAACTTTGATTGCTTCAACCCAGTCGTCACGATCTACAGGAGGGTCGGGAATGCAGCCCTGGAATGTGCTCGGCGGGTTCTCATGGTGGTGACTGGCTAGGAGAATATCTTTCTCTGCAACCCTACGCCCTATGCTGGCCATATCACGAAGCTCCTTGATTGATCAACTCTGTTTGGGCGACAAGCCCCGAGACTTAGTTCATCAACCCTGCCCCAGTGCCCAAGGTGATTCACTCTCGATCTACGCAAATATCTTTAGATCTCTATCTGCAGGTAGCAGGTTCAAATTGAAAGCGACACTTGCGATTCCAAACCGGATCATTTCTCCGCTTTCCTGCGTTGGTACATTTGTACAGAGTATTATACACGATCGGCAAGGACGTCCTATCAAAACAAGTTCATATCTTCGTCCAGCTCGCAGGCATACCAGAGCCGTCATGGTCCCAAATCACGGAGCATGATCAATCTCCCCCTGTGACCTGGAGCCCGCTAACATTCATATATATGTGCTGTATCTACCATCGGCCGGGGCGGTCGAAGCGCTCGGGACGGGGGTGGCGCTCGGGATGCCATTCGTCACCGCCGTAGCTCTGGGTGTAGTGCTCGTCGTACATCTGGTAGGCATTCTTCTTGGCGTGCTCGTGAGCGCGGAGACGGTCAAACTCGTCCATACCCTTGCTCTCGGCGAGCTTGTCCACCTCAGCACCGACAAGGCCAGCGATGGCCTCCTTGGCAAAGGCGTGCTTGACGGGCTTTCCTGTTGACAGAATCCAGATTAGACACAGGTCTAAATAGCGACCGAGATAATGTATTTATGGAGCAACATACCCTCCCTGCGCTGGTGGTCCTCCCAGGCCTTCATGCCGGCGAAGGAAGCGGCACCGGCGATCAGTTCGTGGCTGAAGTGGCTCTCGTGCCTCCGCTCGCCGTACACCTCACGGTGAGCTTCATCGGATTGTTCTGAGACGACAATGATCAGTATATGTATAGTCCAGTTTGACGTATATTCGATGGGTCATCGGGGAATTGTGACAGTCCAATAGATATGCAAATTTTATCCCTGTGCATGCGGGGGGGAAGTTTGATAAGAGGTGCATGTAGGAAAACATCACAGATGGACTTACCCCAGCCCCAGGCCATTGTAAATATAGGATATGGTGGTTAAACGAGTACAGAGGAATGATAGTAAGAGAGTGTGTAGTGACAGAAAAAAATACAAGCTTAGCAGGGGGAGACAATGGGATTCTTATAGCCGGGACAACCACCACGGAATACTTCAGAACCTCCAGAACAGCTACATAGTATCCTCAGGAGCAGCTTCCTCTAGAAACCCCCTCTCTGTCTCAGCTCGCGCGGGCCCCATCCAATCTATGGGCGAAGTGGCTGAGGGAAGCGATTCACAGGGTACTATCTTAGGATAGTGGCGGCAGGCGGATGGAGTCCGAACCCCTCCCAAATACGCCGGACCACGGGTCCTACTGACTCCCTCCATCGTGCAAGTGGAGCAGATTGCACCGCCTTCTCGGCCACTGGGTATCCGGGCCGCTAAGAGTGGCAGCCGGGGAGGGCGGATCCAGTGAGATCATCGCCTGCATTGTTTTGACCGACCCCCATCACTGCCATAGGAGGGTCAGAAACAGCCATAGGGACTATCGAGAGCGCTCCGAGGCATGCCCAATATGATCCCCAAATAGCATAGGAGGGCTTCCACTTACACCAAATTTCGGCAGCGGTGAGGGCTGGTACCATCCCCAACTAACAGGGGCATGCCCCCCCGTTCCTGGGAGTCATGATGTACGTCCTTCGGAGCAGAGCTTCATCTGAGCCCTTTATCAGATAACTCCCACCACCCTACCCTCTATTCTCGTCAGGATGAGAGACACGAGGTTACTCTACCTCCGACGGCACTTCCCTTACCACCGAGCTCTCCGGACTCAAAGCGATACGGCCCGAGGGGGAACGAGTACGTGTCCCACCGGTCCCGTGAACCGCCGATCAGCGGGACCCAGCGGAATCCTTTCAGCCCTACTCCTGCAGGTCAAAAATAAGTTAAATGAGGAAGATCAGGTGGGTCTTCAAAAGGCTTTACTGTTTCGGACTTACTCGTACGGTCCGCATACCTCCGGAATACGGAGACATGGCACACCTTGGACCTTGTCAACCATGAGCCACGCAGGTAGCCGCTGCAGCCGGGCCAAGTTTCTCTTATTTCTCTTGTTTGAGGCTTGTCCGCGCCTTACGAGGCCGGGAACGGTCTCCTCGCTCTTGGCACCCGCCACTGGCCAGCATAGTGAGCACAGGCCAGCTCATCAAAAATACATGGTCTAGCGGGTCTTTGGTTGCACCGTGGACGGTTAAACGTCTGGCAGTCTGGACATTACGTACCTGCAGCGCCCCATGTGGCGCATGTAACCACACACGATTCACCGGTCTCGGGTGGCTCGGCATTGTTTTTACTACTGCACTAAACAACCTAGCCCGCACAGGATAAATATAGCTTGTAAATTGTGGAAGAGAGGGGAACCCATGACTTGAGTTCACCGTAGCTTTGGTGTCAATTCAATTGGAAGAATTTGTTATTCCAAGAGAGCTTGACAGCTCCCATGGGGTATCACAGACCTATCGATGATATACTCTGTAGGGCGCGATACTCAATATCTTATGCCCCCCCACCCACTTCACGAGCTCATAAGGGAACTCCGACCATCAACAAGCCTCATGTAGTGTTTCCGCGACACATTTCTCGTCGAAGGCATAGTGGTAGGGATAATGTAAGGCGGGCATGGATCAGCGCTAGGCAGCGACCATACCGCCGCGTACCATACACCGCCCCGCCATCACCGCTTTCTTCCTGCCGGCAGTGCTTGCAATAATTGGAAGCTGGAGGTGAACCCCGGCTGAAGCATGAGCCGTGAGTGCTGATACTCCTCCTGATACGCCATAATAGCAATTGGTGTGCACATGACATCACAGGGCACCCGCTGAGCCACAATTTACACGGACTATCATAATAGCGGCAGCCACAGCCACGAGCTGCCCCACCAAGCTACAAAGAACAGAGCGAGCAGTACAGCTTCGGCCAGGGCCGAACCACTCGAGCAGAGGGAGAAAAACGAAGAGTGCATAGCTCTGTGCACCATCACCAGCCTCAATTGCATCCTCCCCATTCACCCACCATGCCGACCAAGAACCCCACTCCGTCGGACTTCCCCTCCAACCTCACCGTGACCATCACCCTCCCACCCTCCACCTCCGCGTCCACTCCAGCCCCAAACATCCTCCTCTTACTCCACGGCATCGGTGACACCGCCGCAGGCTTCAGCTCTTTCGGCCGCGCCCTACGCCTCCCGGAGACCACCGTCGTCACCATTCAAGCTCCAGCCCCGCTCCCCTTCGACCTCGGCGGCTTCCACTGGGGCGACGATGTCGCCTTCGACAGCACCACCGGCGCCCTGGACATGGACGCCGGGCTAACGCGGAGCACAGCCCTGCTCGCCAATGACGTCATCCGCGGGACACTGTTGCGTAAATGCGGCTACCGTCTGCGCGAGATCATGATCCTGGGCTTCGGGCAAGGCGGGATGGCGGGTCTCACTGCGGCGCGTGAGCTGGGTAGTGCCGATGGCAAGGAGAGTGAGAGCAGCGGGGCTCTTGCGGGAGTGGTTTCGATCGGGGCGCCGTATGCGCTGTCTGGGACGCGGTCGGGGGCGAAAAATCGCACGCCGGTGCTGTTGGTTGCTGGGCGGGACTCGGCGGCGGTGACGGATGGTGCTGTGCGCCGGACGAAAGAGGTGTTTGAGTTTGTGGAACTCAGTCGGTATGCCAGAAGGGGCGATGGCATGCCGTCGAATCGAGATGAGATGCTGCCTGTTATGCAGTTCTTTGCGCGCCGGTTACGAAGTCGGCAGGGTGTGCCGGAGGGGAGTGTTGAGATTGGATGATGGGAATAGTGCATACCATCTATGCCTATGTTAAATGTATGATTATCATGACCTAAAGAGAAAAGGACATAAAAGAAGGACATAAAAGTGCCTTAGATACCAAGATTTGTGGAACACCTCGCACCCAATTAAAGAAAGATTGAAAGAGCCACAAAGGTTCATTTGGTGGGAGGGTTTGAATTACCGAACCTTCATGATGGGTATACCAATATAAGCTTGACTGGTACCTTTACGCACGGGAATATGCAAGGCACCGAGTCCCCCGGCCGCTAGATCCCTCGCGATACGGGCATGGCCCACACAGCACGATAATTAGGGCTATTCATTATGAATGAAGTACCCCGTACAGGCTCAATCCTATTTTCATATATAGACAATGTTCCTTTAAATTAGGTATACAGATTAGTTATGTACAATTGTCCCAGTTGAGGTACATCACATGACAAGCCACAGAGCAGCCCAACGGTCAGCCCCCTTTTCATATACATGCCACTTTTACAGCAGAGCGAAAGCACCAACCGCAGCACCAACAGCAGCCAGCAGCGAGCCAGCCAGTGCGTCGGCGGCATTAGTCGTGGCAACCGGGGCAGAGGAGCCAGTGGTGCTGGCCGTGCCGTTGGCAGTGGAGTTGGTAGTGGAGTTGGCAGTGGAAGTGTGTGCACCGGTCGAGAGAGTAGCAGCTGCTGTAGTCGCAGGAGTGGTAGCGCTACCCACGACATCGGTTCCAGTGGCGCTGCCAGCCGAAGTGGAAGAGGCGACGCTTGTCTCCGTCGTGGCCACGTCCGAGGTGGACTCGGCAGAGGTGGATTCGACAGAGGTGGTCATTGTAGGCGTCGCAGTCGCAAGCGCAGAGGAGGGCGTCCAGCAGGAAAGGTAGGAGGTTGTGCGGACCAGGGTGCCAGTGTATAGAGGGCAGCCAGGCTCGTCAGTCTTTGGGGGGGCGCGGCCACCGCCGCAATCGAGCGGATCGCACACCTCGCCGGTGTCGGGGTCAAACCAGTGGACGATCTTGTCCTCGCAGGTGGTGAAGCTATGGGTTGAGCAGCCGATGGCGAGGGCATTGCCCGCCAGCATCAGCAGCGGCAGGACGGTGGTGAGCATTGACTTGAGCATTTTGATATTCGAACTGCCGATCGGGGTTCGGTGGAGTATGCGATTTATAGTACTGATTGAGATGAAATTCAGGCTAGGGAAAGAAAGGGAAAAGGAAAGGGAAAGGGAAAGGGAACGACAGGGGGGTTAGCATCAAAGTTATATTGCAAGCGCGGTCATAGCCGCAGTCCCTAGTGGCTCAATCCTGAGTCAGTCTATCCCCGCTACGGTGGAAGAGGTGATTTGGAAATGAGAGGGTCGCAATTTCAGGGTGCCATTGCAGGGTTCTCGGCCTACAATCGACTCTTGTGAGCCGCAAAGGCCCATTGTTCGCCCCGAGCCCCGAGTCGCTTAGAGCCCCTATTTGAATTGATTGGCGGGTTTAGAATTAGACTGTCCGAATTGGGGCTTTCATGGGGCGAGATTACAAGCTATTCTGGGGGCTCTAGTCTGCATATCAACTAGTCACTCTTGGCGTCAGGGTCCAAAAGTCAATCCAAGGCACGCGGTGCCGATGGCTGAAAACACTCTTTCCCACAGAACTTGGCCACTCACAATAAACAATGTCATCATAGAAGAACTGGCTAGAAAAACAGAACAGGAAAAGCGGAAAATGGTTTCATAGTAAGAAAGATAAGCCTCTGGCATGGAGACCTAAGTCGCCTCCGCCGCAACAACACACTTCAGGGGAACCAACACTGCACCACTCGGAATCCAGCCGAAGTCAATAGCTGGTTCCAACGATCCTGGCCTCGCTCCTTGCTGCCGTTTATGGCTGGCTTCATCCAATCCACGAGTTATCATCTAACGCTGGTGCGTGAGCATATACTTCCTTCCTATGATATGTTCCTTATACTCTGACGCTTGAAAACGGTGGATATTGGTTGCCATAAGTTCTGCAAGAACACACTGCTCGCTTACCTTGCCCTCAAGTATCATTCTGCATCGCGGCGATATAGGACAAGAGGGCGGGTCACTCCGATGGTCGACTATCGCAGCACCAGGTTTATTCAGTTCCTGATTCAAAATTATTTTTTCATGCTGGGGGTGATAAATAATTCCCGGTTATGCAATTTAAGCAATGAGACAAGCAATATTGAATAATGTACGAACTATGCAAAGCGGGCAATCAAGGCAATCATCCATCTAATTTTTTTCATCTATTGTACGACCTCCCCAAAAATGCACCGTCTTTCAATGCACCGTCTGTATCTAATTTCGTTCATCGTCCGTAAATCATATCACATCACATCACATCACATCAAATCAATGCAATCACCACTTCACTTCTTAAGACCAATGACAGCCAAATTCCGCGGGCTCTCGCTATACTCAAACACAGGCTCGACCCAGCACTCTTTGACTGAGTCGTGCTCCCGCAGGAACTGCCACCGGTCCACGACGATGACCGCCTCCACAACTTGTGCACTAAACGCCATCAAGCTCCACACTATGCTAAGGTTTTTCCTCGTGGGGAAATACTCGGTCTCGTAGCGGTGGATCTCCTCGTCCGTCAAACTGGCAATGCGCTCTTGGATCTTCGGGCCATGGACCGGGTGTCGCAGGAGTCTGGTTGTCGCCGCACGCACATATGCATTGAAGGACTTGAAGGCATGTTTGCCAAGCGACCCAATGATTACAGCCGTCGTTGATTCCGAACCCTCGGCGGATTCGTATGATTCCTTGCGGTAGAGGTCCTCAGGGATACCTGGCTTCGGCACGACGCCACGGTCCACAAAAATCCGCTGGATAAGAGCCCGGAAGTAATGGCGCGAAAAGAAGCTCTCGCTGTCTTCGTAGCCCCAGTTGTACGGCGCCTGCACGGCCATCATGCGGGCGGTGATGTTGAACTTCATGCCGGTTGCGCCGGGACTCTCGTACGTCTCGAAGAGCTTGGACATTGGGAAACCGTGAGGATCATACGCCGTTCCGGTGGCTTGGAGGCGGGGGTGGAGGGATCGGAGAACGGGGAGTTTGTACGTTGCGGGGCCGAGGCGCTCGGTCATGAGGTTATAACAGCAGCCTATCATGGCGACGGCGACGACGGATGGGTTGAGTATTAGCGAGCGAACGCCGTGGTGGACGAGGTTGCCGCAGGAATGGAGGGAAACAACCATTACCCGAGCGTCGCTTGGCTGCTCTTCGTCTGGTTCGACGGTTACAGAAACAGTTTCTTCAGTTGCGTTTCCATTTGGTGTTGCTGCGGGCGACGGATTGACAACGTGGTCGATAATAGGTTCCAGATATCCGTCTTGAATGTTGTGTTCGATATAGCTGATAGTTCCCCGGGTATCGACCTCATGCTCAGTTTTCGATTTCTGTCCCCCTTTGGACATGTTGCCGAGCAGCTCATCGGGCTCAAGGCTGATCTCACCCAGCATTTTGAACACCGTCACATTCTCCTGGTCGTCCGCAGTCTCTTTATTAACGGACACATCCGCGGGAGTCTGGGTCCTCGCGGTTTCTGACCGTGGGGCGTCTGTACTCTCTGCTGCTGCCCCTTCCGATGTGCCATTGCAGTCACCACAAGACTTCTTGCGACTATGCACGTAGACCGTCTTGGGCTTCTCTTTCGGTGCCAACTTGGCAGAAATGTCCATGTCCTTGGCACCGGCGATATATTGGTGCTTCCGCTCAATGGCAATGATATGTTTGTGATAGGGTGAGCTGGCCAGCGTCCGCCCAAGATAGTTCTGTCCAGATCCGAAATCCACAATATGGGACACCGGCTCCCCGCGACGCTCGCCCACGGTGTCAGATAGTGAGGCGACATAGCGGGAGAAGTATTCGACCTCGTGCTTTTTCTTCGTCTTCATGCCCACGGCAACATGTCTCGGCAGCTTGGTTTTATTCGGAGTTGACGATTTGAATTCTCTTCGGAGGCTGAATTGGCGAACGTTGTGGATGTAATCCAAGAGGCTCTGTGGAGGGAATGCGCCGCCGTTCCACATGCGGACACCTTCGTTGGTGTCTCCGTCGGCGGCGCCAGAGCGCAATTGCTCGATGTCTTCCCGCAGAAGCAGGCGCAAGATATCATGGATATCATGGTGCTCGAAGAACGCCCTCCAGTCCTCTGGAAGCAGCGTCGTGTATAGATCGGGCTCGCGGGTCAGGAAATCGAGGATGTGCACGCCACCGCACAGGTTCATGAATAGGACATTGGTCGTTGCGAAGCGGAGGAGTGCTTGGATGTAAGTGTCGGGGGTTTCCCACTCGTCTGCGAGTGGAAGGGGGCGATTGCGAGCCATGCGAAAGGAAAGCTGTGAATTGTCGCAAAATCCGATTGAATTTCGCGGGGAACTGTTATCTTTTTTTTTATCGCCTCGGCGAGCCCGCTGAGTCAGGGGCCCTCCAGACCAAGCAGAAGTATGAGATCAAACATTTGATTTTAAATTTCATACCCCAAAAAATATAGGCGTGTAATTCACCAAATGAAACGGTAGTTTATTACTCAGAAGACAACTCCTAGCGCAAATTAGTTAGTTATTCAACCTCCAACTTGTTATCTTCGCTCTATAACTTGGCTGCGATTCCGCACCACCAACACGTGATCGAGGGTGTTCCCCGGAGCTGACAGCTCCCCCCGTGAAGACACCATTCTCCAACAAACATCCTCACACCCTCCAGCACAGTCATGGAGACAACAGACCCCTTCCTCCAAGTCCAAGCGTAAGCCTAACCCAACGTCGCAGCCAGGCTCCCAAGCTCCCGGGTTCCCAAGACTAACCCATCTCCTTCGCCAGGGACGTCATCTCGACCCTCCAGTCCAGTCGACCACTATTCTCCTCGTACCTCCGCATCCGCTCGCTCGCAAAATCACCAACCAACCCCGAACTCAAACAAGCCCGGTCAGAGCTCGAAAGCACCCTCACAGAACTAACCGCCGACCTCGATGACCTGGTCGAGTCCGTCCGCGCAATCGAGCAAGACCCCTACCGGTTCGGCCTCGAGCTAGACGAAGTCCAGCGGCGGCGCAAACTAGTCGAGGATGTGGGCGCCGAAATCGAACAGATGCACACCGAGCTGGCGCAGGCTGTGTCCGCGGCACCGGCAGAGATGCCCAATCCGACCGAGTTCGAGGCCGCACTGGACGAGGAAGAGGGCGGTGGCCGCGGCGGGGAGGATTACTATGCGTCGCTGGAGCAGCAGCGGCAGTCGGAGATTATGCATGAACAGGATGAGCAGCTGGATGGGGTGTTTCGGACCGTTGGGAACTTGAGGCAGCAGGCGAGTGATATGGGGCGGGAATTAGAAGATCAGGCTGTTATGATCGACGAGGTCGATACACTTGCGGATCGAGTGGGAGGAAAGTTGAGTAATGGGATGGCGCGGATTCGGCATATCGTGCGCAAGAATGAGGGTAAGGAACATTCTCACGCTCACGCTCACACTCAGACGTACGCTGTCTACAACGCCTGTTACGGTCATGCTAGTGGCCTACGCTGGGTAGTGCGGCAGTGTTGCGGTAACAAAGGGGAATCACAAATTCAGAAGCTAACTTTTTCATCTCCTCTCCCTTAGATACATGGTCATCCTTTTGCATTGCGGCGCTGATATTCGCGCTCGTGCTATTATTAATTCTCGTGATCGTCCTGTGATAATACATCAAATGGGGCGTGGCAAGTCGGATAAACCACCAGCATCATATACGGAGCATGGCGCGTTATAAACTGATTTAGTTGCGAGCCTTCTTGGTGGGGCGAGAGTCGTCCTCCTCATCGTCATCCTCGTCCATCTCATCGAGCTCCTCCATGTCGAGGTCCTCGAGGTCGTCGCCGAGCTCGAACGATTGAACTAACAAAGCCAGGGGGTCAGCTGGGTGGTTCCCGTTTTCGTCATTGGTTCTCAGGTCTCACATACCGTAGTACTTCAGGGCATCGGTCCAGAGGTCCTCGGCAAGGGCAATGGCGAGCTCCTCGCCATCGGGGAAGATCTCAGCATCCTCGAGGTCGTCGACAAGGGCCTCCAGGTCCTCCTCATCATCGTCCTCGTCGTCATCCTCATCCTCGGGAACCTCCTCGCCCTTGGAGATCTTGACCCAGCGCTCGTCGTCCTCCTTGACAGCCTCCTTGGACTGCTCGGCGGAGATGTCACGGCCGCGGTAGCCGAAGAAGGAGAAGAAGCTCACTCCAACAGGGCTCTCATCTTCATCCTCGGGCTGCTCCTCCTCGTCCTCATCCTTCATGGCCTCAGCCTCGGCGAGCTCGAGCTTCCTGACAAGCGCCTCGTACTCGGGCAGCTTCTTGCGGTCACCGCCCTTCTTCTTCTCAGCATCGAACAGGTCGCAGGCCGCATCCAGCAGACCCTTGGTGGGGTCCATGTCCTTCTTCCAGTTGATGCGGACCGGGTCGGAAACAAGACCCTCCCAGACACGGCGCTTGCCGCTGGGAGTCTTGATAATCTGCTTGCGCCAGTAGAAGTCCTTGACGAGCTGGGCGTTGTCGAAGTGAGTGTTCTCCTCGGGCTTGAAGTCGAAGGTGAAGCGCAGGCTGCGGGGCTCGCCGTTGCCCTCGGCGTCGACCTCGAAGCGCTCGACATTCACGTTCTTCAGGCTCTCGCCAAGAACCTGAGCGTCCTGGGGCAGGATGTACTCGTCGATCTCGGCGGGGGCGCAGGAGAAGACGCGGACCCAGAAGTCGGGCTGGACGCTGGGCAGGGAGATGATCTCATTGCGCTTCTTGAAAATGGGGCCCAGGAGAGGGACGGACTTGCGCACTGGTGCAGGGACAGATTAGCAGGGATTCCCTTTCAGCGTGGACATTTTGTTTTGCCATAGATCAATAGACGCATCGCATCGCATCGCATCAATTTACAAAGACGGCTGAAGAGCCCGCAAAACGACAAGGTCACCTCTCAGTTCTCGTAGATGAGAAGTCGCGCAACAGGGAAAGATTCAAAAATTCAAACAATTCAAAAACTCAATCGCGATGTCCCGCGCTCAAGGAAAAAGACGATGAGGTGGAGGGGTACTTACGCTGCTCAACCTCCGCGCGCAGGAACTCCTCCTGCACCTGAGCAATCTTGTTCTGCGCCTCGCGAGGAATGGAGGGGAACTCGACGCGGTCGAGGAGGGACTGGTCGTCGCCGTTGGACATGATGAAGAATGTGTTGGGAAGGTGGGGGTTTCGGAAACGTAAAGAGTAGCAAGCTTCCAAAGGTATCAATCAAGCACGGCCTGACTGACAGCTAGTAAGGGATGGAGGATAGAAAGGGAAAGGGGGGTATATGGTAAGAGAGAATGGGGAAGGGGGAAGGGAGATGAAGAGGGAAAGAAGAGGGAGTGGGAGGGACTAAAGACTAAAAAAATTTCTGGCAAAAGTCTGGCAGATCAGCGCGAGCTGTCGATGCGCGCAGTCCAACACGGGCGGAGAGTCAATGGGTACCTGCAGCTACACTGCAAATACCTGGACAACGGGCTGTGTTTGTATGGGGCCGGATGTACCTCTTGTGTCGACGGTTGGTACCCCACGCGGTCTCGCCGGGCAACCGACTGGACGGATTCGATGGCGGTGGAGTGGTACGCCTGAGGTGTCGCCGGAAATTTCTACTTTGTTGCGGGTGCCGTCACAGTCAGAACGTGGTCGAAAGCAGTGGTGCTTCAGAGTTCTCCTGTTCTCCTGCGCTGTTCTGAGATATTCTGAGATATGTGGCCTCCTGCCAACGAACGACGCAAACCCTTCCACAAACCCAGTGACGACCACCTCGGCATGGCAGCCCTCGAGCTCCAGAGCTCCCGAGCTTCCAGCACTCCCCCGTAGTCCTCCCTCGTACCGTGGCTAGACACCCCCTCCTCCCGATTTTGCCCCCTCGCTATTTCCCCCCCATCGCTGTTCCCTTAATCTACTTCGTACTCCGTACTCTCAAGCGGCCGACCGACCAAAAGCAAAAGCCTCTTTTTGCCACCCTAATTTACGCACTTACTCAATTAATCCAGAACCTCCACCCTCACCCTTATCGCGCCGGCGCAATTGGAAGGAGGACCCAGCTCATTGCTTTTTCCGACCCTCCCTAATCCCTTACAGAGCGGGCCCTGACGAAAGGCAAATAGACGGTGCGATTAGTTTATTTCAACCCCAGCTCTTGCCGGAAATCTTCACCGTGGGAGACGGGCAGTTTCTCCGAGATGCTGCTCTCCTTTCTATTGTCGCAGGAGGCCCCAATCACGCCTGCCAATATGCGACTCTGGGCATCCCTGCCTCGGCGCTACTGCTATACTCCCCCATTGGACCCGTGGGTGCGATAAAGGAGCGGTCAGGGCGGCAGATTATTGGTAGGATAAGGGCGTTTGTGCTGTTCTACTGCGAGGGGCACTGCGGACCGAGGCAATGCAGGTGTAACGGTAAAAAGGAAAGTTCAAAGCTCGGCTCGTGGGCATTCATGCGCCATGCCTGCATGGCTCGATCGCGGAGGACGAGAAAGAAACGGAGCTGGCAGCGCTAAAACCCCTGGAGATCCTTCCTGATATGTAGTAGTAGTGGAAGGTCCCGCAGGACCGGAGGGAACCAGGCACAGGAGCTGGCGAAACGTGCGAACAATGAGTGCATGGATGGGAAACGGCTAGCAAGGAAAATCGTGAGATCTCATTGAGGAAATTGGGTGGACCAGGGCGTCACCCGTGGCATTGTGGCATTTGTCAAAGGTAGGATAAAGTCACTCCTGCCCCTCCAGTGAGGCATGAAAGGAAAAAGAAAGAGAGAGAGAGAGAGAGAGAGAGAGAGAGAGAGAGAGAAAGAAAGAAAAAAGGCAAAAAGAAAACCAATCAACACACAGGGCCCGGTCAGAAGCAAACAGACCAACTTTTTTTGGAATCAGAGAAGCGAGGCGAAGAAGAGGGTACCCCGAAGGCCTACATCCAAGGCAACAGGTCCCAATAAAAACAACAGTCATGATATCCCATATGTCCCATGCCCATTCGCCGACAATGCAATAATTAGAGCAACAAAGAGTAGACGGAAGCAAAAATCGACAAGCTGCGGGGCAGGTTCTACATGCACAGACAACATCACCGTGCACGTCTGCCACAAGTCGTAAGAAGAAAAGGAAGAAAAGGCAACCAAATCGCGTGGTCACCAGTGACTTGGCAAGAGGCGCGTGGTGAAACGGATGAAAAATGGCAGAAGCATCGCGGAACGAACCGTACCAGAGGCCCAGCTCAGAGCATCCAGTCCAGTCCGTTCGCCTCTTCCTCCACAGGGAATACCTCGCGCGCATACTCTTCCATATCGCGCCAGCCCTGCCAGAGATGCCGCGACTCATCCGTCACCCGCAACGAGACCACGCCGCCCGGGCCCTGCATCATCCCCGCACCGGCACCCTTCCCCCCCGCCGGACCCAGCCCCTTCGGCGACCCGGCTGCAGGTTGCGAAAACTCGGGCTGCGGGAAGTACGGGGCATTGCACTCGCCGAACAACACTTCCAGGGACTCCAGCTGTTCCCGGTATCCGGGCGGAATGTTGACTTTAATCTCGATCTTGCGCACGCGCACGTAGCGACAGGGCCGGCCGAGGGCACGGGAAAATGCGGCGCAGACTTGGTTGGGCGAGAGCGTCTCGAATGTGAGGGCGATGCTGTGGTGCGTCAATGATTAGCCAGTGTGTTTACCGGGTGGATATGGGAATTGGTGATGGGGGACGGTTGGATTCAGAACTCACCGATGCCCGTGCCATTTCTTCGGTCCGTCCTTGAAAATCTGCAGTAGTGCCGGTCCCACGTCATGCTCCGCATCGAGCCAGGGCAAGGGCGTCTCGGGATCAAACGGCGCGCGCCACTCAAAGCTACCATCGTCGAGCAGCTCCATTTGGAAGAGCGGGTACGGCAGACTCGTGAAATTATTATTGTAGATGCCCGCATAGACAAACGTGGCTGGGAGCCCGAGCTGGCGCACGTAGTTCTCGACCGTGAACTTGGGCGCCCACTGCGGGACGGCAGGCCAGGGCCCATGCACGGAGTGGTCAGGCATACTGCTGTAAATGTAATGGGAGATGGTGCCGGCGCGCTTGGCGGCGTCGGCCAGGGCGCGGCCGATAGCGACCTCGTCGCCGGCTTGCGAGACAGTGTTGATAAAGGCGTAATTGGCACCCTTGAAGAGCGAGTCCATCAGCGCCGGGTTGTTGAGCAGCGGGCCCTGCAGCAGGGTGACGTTGGGCAGGGTCTGGAGCTCCTGGGCGATAAGGCCCTTAAGCGAATGAATCTGCGCGCGCACGGCATATCCGACGGCGGACGCGACGCGGATGAGCGATGCCGTTTGTCGCCCGGCCGCGTTGACCACGGCTATCGTCTTCTGCGGTTGGGTCATCCGGGTTGTGAGTGGGTGGGTGTTGGAGGGTGTTAGAAGGAGGAGGGAAGGAGGAAGTAGAAGCGGGGGTAAATGGGAGAGAAGAGGTGAGCAGGAAAGAGAGGAAAGGGTGGAGGAAGGGGAGAGGAGTCCAGGAGGGGGGATCCGGATAAGTGACGAGTGGAGCAGTTGAGGGCAAGGGAGGTGTAGGGCAACGATAAAAGAAAATCCGGAGTAACCGTCTTGGCGAGGAAAAATGGAGGTGAGGGCTTTGCGATAGTCGGATAGTGGGGTACCTTGCGAGGGGACAAAGGCGCAAAGTTGTATGTAATGAGAATCACGATCAGACGGGATCCACCAGGGCCCGGCAAACGGGAAATCCACAATTAGGCGATGGAAACAGTCACTGATCTGCAGCGCGCAGGCAGTTATGTCGTAAAGGGGGGGGCGGAAATAGAATTTCTCAAGGGGTTTTTTTGGTTTGGAGGGGCGGTTCCCAGTAGCGACGATGAAAACGTGGAGGAGAGGGCTTGGGAGGATTTTGGAGTTGAGGGGAAGGATAAGATAAGAAAGGGACGCAGGATCGAGCAGAAAAGTCTGTTCCCATATAGTCCGCAGTACGGAGTACTGCGGTTTGATAGAGTAGTAGTTCAAATAAAAAAGTAAAAGAGTAGAGAATCAGCGCCGTAGATTAGTAGGATTATAAATTTGTAGAGCCGTAGAGCCGTAGAGCCGTCGAGCCGTAGAGCCGTCGAGCCGTAGAGTCGTAGAGTCGTAGTGGCAGTCTCCTAGTGAGATCTGATAGGAGCCTACGGAGTATGCCACGAGCATGTCCTGTCACCCCTTGTGATTTGCCGTTCAAATTTTTTTTTCTTCCCTATCGCCCAAGAAACATGCCCTGACACAATTTTCCTTGGGACGATGACACCATCGTGCACGCTGGACTGGGCTGGGCGGTCTCGACGCTTTTTCCTTACGTAAATCGGCAGTCGGCAGCATCGAAAGTGGACAGGAGAATCCTGGACCGGCCACACATCGGGACCCAAGCTCGGCCCCGTCCGAAAAAGGCTCTGAGGACGTGCTAGCCGGCTTCCCAGCTCCCAGCTCAGTCAGCCCAGCCAGCCCTAGTAGGGGTTATGGCTAAGCTGCTGCCAAGTCATGCCCGGAATAGAGGTTCAAGAACACAGCTTAATGCGTTGGGACAGGGCGAAAGGAGTGAGAACCAAGAGATAGCACGGGCCTGGAGAGTAGCCGCACGCTCGCCGAGAGGAGGCAAAATGGCGCAACGTGGAGAAGTGGTAATCAGAAAGAAGTCACGATGGAGCAGTCGAAGTCTGCGTTCCACCAACTGCCAGGGGCGTGCTCACGTGGTGCTTGGATGTGGATTCTGGCGCCTCCACTTGGCAACCTCGCCGACTGGCCTGGAGGAACGGAGTGGGCTGATTGGCAGGAAACAGGAGAGGAAACCACGAAGGGACGAAAGAACGGAAGGACCCGAGGACCGATCTGCCTACACATCACCTGGACATGCCAACGCATGCCACCTTGGGGCATCCGATGGCGAGGGAGAGACCTGCCTCAATCGTTTAGTGCCGCGATAGAGCGGGTACCTCCCGCCAGAGTCGAGGAGCGGTGGTATGAACCGGTATAGTAAGGACCTACAGTAATGTGAGGAGTATTGTCCCGTATCCTGGGCCATGGCACGATCATACCATGTACCTCTCCACCGAGGCAAGGCTGCCCATCTCCCTGCGTATGCTCGGTATACTCCCCGACCACGGCAGGGATGGACCGGGTCGTCCTCCCGAAGAGACTGGGCTGACAGCAGCTCGCCAGACGAACACACCAAACCCCGCAAATTCTATCGGGCCCCCTTCCGTGCGTGCAGAAGCGGTATCTGGAGGGGCCCATTCGCTCATGGGGAGGGATTGGCTCAGGAAAACACGAGGAACGCGAATTGACGTGAAAATACGCTCATCTCGCTATCTATCGATGTCTAAACCCAATCACTAACAAGTACTGCTCTTGTGTCGACTCCGAAAATAGTGCAAAGCCCGTGCTTGGGGGCACACCGACCCCAGAAAATTTTGTTCAGCAAAGCCCTTATCATCCTTGTCTTCCCCACTTGGCGGGTCTCGAACCCCCCAGCAGCAGGGCTGGATCTCCGCGGACATGGAATTCTCGGTCTAATGGTTCGATGCCCTTCTGGCGTGATCGGTGCGCTTAGGAATCCCTCCGCATTGAGTCTCGCGATGCTGCGACCAGCATGAACACCTTTCTCACAGATTGGGAAGAACGGCGTGTGAGTGGGCCTCGCTGAGGCTTGGGTTGGGGCAGATCCCCCTCCCCTTTTTCAGCTGCCTCCCTCTCGAACAGGATCCCCCTCCTTTCACGGGGCTGACCCAGCCATCGTCCGACTCCGCCCGGCGCTTTGGTCGCCCTCGTCCTGCTCGCGGGGGTAAAGGCCCGCCAGACTCCAGATCCCAGGGCGGCGGCGGGCCAGGAGCTCAGCGGCCGGTCGCTCGTCAGCATGCAAATGAGCACCGGATTGACGGAGCAGTAAGGTATGTTCGGACAGGCCGGCGTTGGCCGCCAGGAACAGCGGCGTGCGTCCGTTGCGATTGCGCAAGTGGACCGAGCCCCCATGCGACAGGAGGAAGTGCAGGATCGAGATGGCAGGGGACGTAGCCGCCAAGTGCTGGTGCGCCCAACCGGGGGTTAGTGGCCAGGCAAAGAATGAAAGAAAACGCACAGTCGCATCGCTCCACTTACAATAGGTGTGTTCCCCGAGTAGTCTGCGTCGTTCAGCAGCCAGTGGTGTTCGGTCTTCAAGATCGTCTTGACCCGTTCGAGATCGCCTTGCGCGATGGCGTAACCCATTGCGGTCAGCGTCTGCACGCGCTCGGGCAGCGCACCGTCCGGATGACGGAAGACAGGCAGCGAGGATTCGGTCAACTCGCCCCGGAGCGACACGGACATGTTCTTTGCGACGGTCTCGGGGGTGGACTCTGGTAACGCGAGCAGGTAGGCGAGTTTCGTCAACGCTGCTTCCGTCGTCATATCCAGACCTGCGACCACGCCAGCCCGGGAGAGGCTCATGCCTGTAGCATATACGGGGCTGACACTCCCGGTCAGGCCTGAGAGAGATACATTAGACTACGTCTCATATAGGGCAGGGGTAGGATATAGCTCACATTGAGTCACGTTCACAATCACAATCCCGCGTCGAATGGCGCTAGCCAGCACGTTGATCATGGCGTTATCTTGGCCAGATGGAGCATTGCCAGCGCCAAAGGTTTCCAACACCAACCCGCGTAGACCATCTAGCTTCAAGACGGCGTCCACCATCTCCGGCTTGATACCGGGAAAGATGCGGAGGCACGCAACATGAGCTGTGTCAAGGTTCGTTTGGATGCGGAAGTGCTCCAGCGTCGTCGGCCGGTGCACCATATCCCAGTTCACATTGGTTCGCATCGACGTGGTCACGGCCAGCGGCGGGCAGTTGGGCGCAGCAAACGCAGCAAAGTCGCTAGCAGCCACCTTGGTGGAGCGATTTCCCCGGAAAAGCTTATTATTGAAGTACAAGCACACCTCGGGAATCATGAAGTGGCCCGCCACCACCAGGGAGCCGAGCAGGTTGTCCGTGGCATCGTTCTGGAGTTCCATCATGGGCGCCTGGGACCCAGTGAGCACCACAGGCTTTCCCAGGTTCTGCAACATGAAACTCAGCGCAGAGCAGCTGTACGCGAGACTATCGGTGCCGTGCAGGACAACGAACCCATCGAAGAAGGTGTAGTTCTGGTAGATCGTCTGCGCGATCTCCGCCCAACCTTTAGCACTGATAGAGCTGCTGTCCAGCAGCTCCTCGAACTCGTAGACAGTGTACCGCACCTGACGGCCATATGTCGTGACTGGAGTGCACAGACTGGGGTGGGCTGTCATTTCTTGCCCTTCCTTCGTTACCACATCTATTTCAGTGGGAGCCGAGCCATCGTTGAAGCACGGCACCCGTGCCATGCAATTGTTCTGGAATCCCCTTGCAGGGACGAATCCATGCGGCGACGGCTGCATACAGATTGTGCCTCCGGTCATGATGATCAAAACCCTAGACTCCAGGACAGCGAGCTCGGGGGGGCTCTGGGGCCCCAGAACAGGCAGAGATGCCTCTGAAAAGACCATGGTGAAGTACCCCCTGGGAATGAGACGCTCACAAAAGCGAACGAAATGCGGTTGCGGACGCTGGAACAAGTCCCGCCACAGTCGACAATAGAATCGACGACCTTCAATTTCCCGGATCTGACGCTCAATGGCAACGCTGGCTCCATGCAACGGGCGCGCTCCGCCCTGAGGATAACCCTAAGTAGCCCCTCACACGAAAAATCCGCGATTGCTCACTCGGTGGATTATTGCGGGGGGATGACGTTGGGTTAGTGATTTTTTCCCGCCCGCTTTCCTGCTATGGAATTTTTTTTTCAGCTCGATAATCGTCTGGACGAAAAGGGAGACCGAAAATTCCACACGTATGCGCTGCTCTCCAACAGGTAGATGATGATTGAGTCTTTTGGCCGAAACCCCAATCCGACCCCGATCGTATTACGTACGGGCTTCCCATTGGAGAGAGATTCTCACCGGGCAGGGCCAACTCTAAACGCGGCTCCACCTGGGCCAGTTGGACCAACGGCGTCGCTCGTGAGCTGGGAGGGTGGCTCACACGGGGCGCTGCGAAGATAAGCAAAATAAAACGGGGGGAGGAAAGATTACGGTGAGTGGGCTGGAAGTAGAAAGAAAAAGAGATAAAGAATACGCAGGAACGATGGCCAACCAAGCAGGAACGAGTGCACATCACGTGCGGCTCTGCATATTGCTTTTCTCTTATCTATTGCCAACTAAGCCGCCTAACTCTTTTTGAATGCAACAACATTTCTATATGCCTTTTATCAGAGTGGATAATGAAAACGACCAGCATCCTCAAGTACGTTCCCTTGGTTTATTCCACGACCTCAACCTTTGCCTCGGGCGAGCCCTCACACTTGAACGAGCGGCGCCCACGAAGGGAGAGAAAAATCTAGACGTCTCGGATGCACTTGTGAACAGTGCATCAGTGGAGTAGGAATAATTTCTCGAATATGGACGAAGTCCGGTTCACCCTCATGAACACAAATCGATACGCACGTACCTGTGGAATAACATACGGGAAGAACCCGAAAATTTCCTTTAGTAATTCTTGTCTTACGCGCCCTAGCAGGTTGTTCTGCGTAGCCGGGGGCAATTTTTTAAGAAGCAATTACCAAAGAGGTTCCGAGGATCTGCAAGGTACAGAAATAGGGCTGCGTTAGACCCAAATGCCCATTTTGTATTCGCTGCGGATTATTGCAGGAAGGCCATCGCTCTTGTAGGTGTGACTCTATGTGCCCCACGTTCGGGTAAGACTCGCTGCAAAGTAACCCACTGGCAACGAAGGATGCGAACTTCCTCCAAAAGTTTACACGATTTTTATCTTGGCCTTATTTTCCCTTCATGCTTTACCTGATGGGCAGGAACTAATGCTTAGACTCCGAGGGTGCTTAACAGTGTACGTCTCGCACCGAAACTTGAGTGGATTGGAAAGAGATCTTACGAGCAGTTTTATGTCACACTGTATAAATTTTCTATTACTGGGAATCAATCATTGACTAGGATTGAACTGAAGCATATCTTCTTCCAGTAATCCCATCATGTACTGATTTCCAGAGAACCAATTCCCCAGCTGCGCCGCCTGCGACATCTCTGCCATAGACGGTTCTTGACCTTGAGACTGAGGAGCCGGAACACCGAATCCAGATGCCTGAAGTGATGGATCTGCAATGCCGGTAGTCATGGACGAAACGTCTGTTGGAAGGGCTCGCCACGAATTATTGGCCATCGCATTCCCAGGTGCCAACCCAAGCGCGCTCAAGTAGGTATCGAATTCCTGGCCGACAGATGCCAGACTTTGGTCCTCACCCGCTTGTTTCAGCGTTTTCGCCTCAACGTAGAGGCGGGCGACAGTACCGAGGACCGAGCAAAGATTGTGAAGGCGGTCGATTGACTGGGAGAATCGGCAGAGAGGGCGGAGAGAGGCGACGAAGTCTTCAAGGCGGGCGAGGTCTTTACTGTCGGATGTTGTGATAACGTGACAGAAGATGACGATGAATGGGACGAACGGTGAAAGGAAAATTGCCCTATTTCGTTGTTAATTATGAGGTACATCATTGAAGATTCGGAAGACGTAGATCGACGAGGATACTACTCTAGGGGGTTGATCAGAACAACCGTTTTTCAATATACTTACCAGTGCATGTACGAGCATCTAAGGGCCTCGGTGGCTTCTTTGAGACCGGCTACGCATGCTTGGTGCAGCTCCAAAGCCGCCCGGGCTGTCTCGATACACTCTGGTATGAACGTACTCGACGCGCCTGGTTCAGCTGGAATAGCACGGTATATCAATGTCAAGATCGCCAGTCGGCTTACCCCATCGGAGCGAAGGAAGATCATATCAACCTCAGACAGATTGGGATCAGAGACGATAATACGCTGTTCAGGTCAGATATAGGCACATACCAGTACATGAGCTGCACGGGCTCTACTTACGTCGAAAGGCTCAAGTATGTCTCCCTGCAATTCAACAGCTAAGCGCCGCGCATGTGACACCCGTTCGCTTTCGGGCCGGCTCAGCGCCGCTGGGCTGTAGAGATGCGTGTAGACATTATTCTGGAGCACGGCCTGCCTAACCCACAAAGCGCACACCATACTCCAAGTTCCCATGCCGGCAAAGCTTTCAAATGGCGAAGGAATGTCAATGTCATGGTCTTGTACGACCGAGGCGCGCCCCAAGCGCAATGTCATTAGGTTGATAAGAGTGTAGATGGTCCAGAAAAGACTCTGCTTGAGGTTTTGGAGTTCTGGGGGATCGTGCTCCATAGATGAGATGCGATGATATCCCAGAGTTTGGCACATGTGCAACGCTGTCGAGGAAAGGGTCCAGCTGACCGATGGTTTCGATATTTCAATTCCATGCATTGCCTGCGATCATCAGTATTGGTTTGGCCAGTTCCAGGGTCAGATTACCGAGAACGTACACCGACAGACAACGCTACAATAGACTCCAGTGTCACGGGCATCAGGATATTCAGATTCGCCAGCGCTGCCTCCAGATTATCCTTGCAAACCTGCACATACCGCTGGTATTGGTCTCGCGTGGCGGGCTCCTTCTCTAAGAATCCAAACTCGACAAAAATACCATAGAGCCCGAAATTGGCTATTATGAATGTCGCGTCGGAATAATCTTCTGTCGCAAAATATACCTCCTGACATCTTGCAATGAAGTAGTCCACGGTGAAAAAGGGAATATAGCCGCCAAACAAAGACGGCGGATTTTCTGTATATGGTAAGAACCTAACTCACTATCATGGTACTCGGTCTTACCTTTGACTTTCCTCAGCACTGTCAAAGCAACGGGTAGAGGTGGCATCTCCAATTCGCGAATATCACGACGAACACCCAGGCGACTGGCGAGCTGGCCTTTCTCGGAACCAGCACCTCGCCGCTTACTCTGCATTTCAACAATCTGTTTCAGGGACGAAAGCGCTTCGCCAATCTTCGGACTAGAAAGCATATCAGGGGTACTGTGCGAAACAGCAGATTCGAGAAACTCTCTCGCATACGCCGAATGGGCAGCTAAGGAGGAATTGCCCTCGAATCCGGAGCCCGGGTCATGCTGCTCGATGGCCGGGTTGGACGTGTATCCAGGGCCTCTTGATTCCCTCTGGTCTTGTTTAGCAGCTGGAGAATTTGTTGGAGCTAGCGTCTGAGGCGATGAGTGAGATGACACCGAGAATTTAGCCGTCCCAAGGCCCTGTTGTCGGGATGAGATCAATAGCTCTCGCAGTGCCTGCTCAATGCCTCCGAGTCGTCGTAAAGTCTTCTCAACACTCTCAAGACGCTCTTCAATGAGGTCGATCTTCTTCTCGCTGCGGACTCTCGTTAGCACAAATACCCTCAGCCCGCCTAGCCGCCAGATCGACAGTAATTGCATACTATTGGCTAGAAATCAAAACCCGACGCCGCGGCTCAGGTGGCTTTTGTCCTTCGCCAGTGGAACGACAAGCAATATCCGAGATGCGACAGTTCGAACATGGCGAACGTTTGTCGCACCGAATCTGTGACAAAGTGTTAATCCTTCAACCGACTGACCTGGATCCTGCAGGGGCCCGGGGGTACAGACCTTTCGAGTGCGACACTGGTCACACTAGAATGAAAAAAAGCATAGTGAGCGACTGCGGTTATTTATATCTCCCTTTTCTCACGCCAACGGCTTGATCTACCCAGATTCCCCTCGAGCTCTGGGGAAGTGGAGTACATACCGCACGTCGGGCCAAGGCGCTTGGCGCCTCGCGCTCGTCCCGGTCGGAACCCTGGGGTTCCATTACAAGGATGCACTAAAGCCACCAGGTTCGAGTTGCTTCAATCCCTCGAGGTTGGTTGAAGTCTGTGGCATCGATCAAGCGTGGCCGGACCGGTGCTGCCTGCTGGACGGCAGAGGATGATCACGTGTTGTCTCCGAAGTCGAGGCCGGAAATGTCAGCGCGATATCCCCAATTAAGGCATGAAGTGATAAAGTATTCTACAGGTTTGATTTACTATTTGTGGTAAATACAGGGAAACCCAGGATCAAATGCATCTAAAGAAACTCATGAGGTGTTCATTCAGCGTACGCTGTCGTCAAGGAGGTTGGGCTCAGCAAATCGTACTTTGCAGTCTACCGCTCAAGTGGCAGAGCGCGTCCAGCACACACATACCCCCAGTGTATCATCTATCCAGCAGAAAGTTGAAATCAAGAAGAAAATATAAAGTGAAAGTGCCAAGGAATGCAACAAAACCCAGCTAGTTCTTGGGAGATGCTGGTGGAAACCACACCCCATCTCTGCTCCAAACACCAGTAGGTCCGTACATGCCAGCCTCGGCACCGCGCAAAAAGGCAAACCGGAAGAACAAGTCCTCAGGCTCATCATCTTGGTCATCATCCGATTCGGTGTTGTCCAGCAAGACAGACTGTGGCTCGAAGTCACGGCTGCCCAGATCACGCGATTCAAGAATTGGCATCTTGATCAGTTCCAAGCCGTCATGGCCATGGCGGTGCCAGGTAAATTCACCTGCTTGGTCTTCATCGAGGTATCCACGCCAGCGTTCCACGTCGTTGAGCAAGACTGATATTCCGTCCACGGCAAGCTTGGACATTCGCTCATGTTCCCATAGAGCGAAGGTGATGTTGCCGTTACCGCGGTGGGTGAGATTGGGCCCGGGTTCAAGCAAAGATATTTGAACGGACGATGCAGTGACATTGGGGTATGTGGAACCCCACCAGCCCTGAGATCCACTACGTCCTGGAGCCAGTTCTCCTAAAGCAGCAGGGGTCTCGATAATAGAGGCAAATCCCCAACGGGCAACGCCGTTGATGAAAAGACCAAGGAGTAAACCTTGGTAGGCCAAAGAGGGGCGCGTGGGAAAGGCGGTTCCTGGCATAAGCAGAATGGCAAGAATATAATGATGGATTCGGAGTCGCAGACCAGGTAAGGGGGCCAGAATCAAGATGATCAGACCCATACTGCAGTAGATCTTGAGGTAGCGTGGAAGCAGACCACCCTGCCGGATCTGCCATGCCTGGCTGAGAACGATGGTAAGCACAGTGGGAATGACAAATGCAAGTGCGACTTTCGCTCCAGGTTGCTGCTGAATATCCATTGGTGTCAATCGCTGAAGGGGAATCAATCGTGCGAAAGTGTAATTGTTCAAGGCTCCGATGAAAAGCGGGGGGAGGAACAAAAACAGTTTCTCTAGCTGATAGATGGGCGACGTAATCGGTTGGAGAAGTGGAGCTGCACAGAACTTGAATAGAACGTATACCACAAATGAGGCGGGCAACAGCCGTGAGAGGAGTGTAGACACCAGGTCGGAAAGGTATGGATACGATGGCGGATCGGCAACCAATCCTGTATGGCAGAATACCATGAAAAATGTACTGAAGAAAAGCACAGGCGGCGATGTGCAGTAGAGCCAAAGGACCCCCACAGCTGCAGCAGTCACCCAGAGAAGCGGCCAGCGCGGGTCAGATGGACAATTTGCTTGCGACGAGGATAGCTGGAGGAAGCTGAAAGCCTTGGGAAATGTCGATGGGAAGGCCTGCGACAAAATTCCAAATTGCTTCACGGACGGAAAAGAGTGTGCTGCACCTTCCAGCTTTACGACGCCACAGCCACCATCGTTCGTGATGGCCCCCGAGTGAATAGCGGCTTGGCAGACAAAACTATCGGCACGGTAGATCGCTGGTTCGGAATACTCTACTTGCGGGCCGCCGATCACGAGACCTTGGTAGTTGAAGGTTTGGTTGCCCACGACATGAGGTTCTAGCAACTTGGTGTCACGGCAGTTTGCGGGGCATCGGAAGGCCATGGTCGAGGAGGAAAATGGGCGGCAGTCGTTCCCGTTGATACCACATCCGTTATCGAATGCCCTATATTGGTGGCGTCAGTTAGCGCAAATAAATGCCAAATGTACCGCAGCTTTAATACGTACCAGAAATTGGTTGAGCATGAGATTGTCTGAAGCTGGCCATAACCTTCGATGTATCCCGAGGAGCGCGAGTGCAGAAGAACAAGGAACCACGGCAAGAACCAGGTCGCATAAAGCAGCATCAAAAGTGCGATTTTCTGCTTTCGTTTTGGGAAAAAATGGTCTAGGTACTGGACCGGCAGTTCCTGGAGGCGCGGAAACAGCGGCTTCAGCAAGAGCATATGTGGCGGATCGGGGCCCTTGATCCAATTCGCAGTCGCACGGCCAGCCTTTCTGAGAGGCAAAGGCACCCATCCCCAGCGAAAGGATTTAGACGACTCTTGCAGCCAGATGGGTAGAGCGCTGCCTGTTTCGACATCGGGCGGCGGGCAATCCTCGGAAGCGTCGGGGTTTATGAGCCGCTCATCATCGTCGAGCAGTGGCGGCACATAGAGGCGAGCGGCCTCGTCGTGACCCTCTCCGATCATGGTTGAGGGGTAGACGGCAAGGATACAATGGGGAGGTAGACAAACAGAAGGCAACGAACGACTATGGATGTCGGTGTCAGAGCGGTCGGCGGCGTAAGGCGCGAGTGGAGATCTCCAAAAAGTGGGTTCGCAGGGCGGCAACGTCACCAGGGTCGCTCAGCCATGAAGCGGATCGCACGGTACAGAGGCTAAAAGATCGAAATAGAAATAGGCAATAGAGAATATACGGGACGCGGCGTCTAGCTCCTGTATAAGGGGAGCGGTGGTTGAAGGTCGAAGAGGTGTGAAGAATCCGGGGCGACCCCGTGGTGGGCAAACTGCCGTGCAGCCAATCACAACAGCTCCTGTGACCCAGTGGCGATTGTGCAGACCGCAGACGAAAGCGGAACAAGCCCAAGTTATTCCACGTTATACAATTTATGCATAACCAGCTACGGGTAAATTACTCCGTAAACAGATGCGGCTCAGTCGCCCGTCATCTCGGGAAATAAACAAATTCAAAAAGCATCGGGCAACACTAGTGCAGGACGGTACGACGCATCGGAGGATGAGCATGTCGGGCTTCCCCGCAAGGGCGTCTCGCCGGGGATCAGTGCTCGTGGGTCTAGCAGAGGCTATAGAGTACTTGACGTTCAAGACAAACCAGAAGTACGCCTCATTAGAGGTACCCTTGTCGGAGCTATACCTAGCTTACTTTTCCTTATCTCTACCCTATAACTCAGTAGAATCCCCCGAGACCCTTGACCACATCTGTCCCCAACCACGTTCGGGTGGCCCACCGGAACCGGAGCTAACAGTGCTTATCAAGCACACGGCCAACAGTGCGGGGGGCAGGCTAACAGGATCCGTTGAGATTAGAAATCGGATACTTCGCTATCAATATTTCTCTCGAGATATCCTCGTTTGCTTTTTCCCCATCCCTCACTACTTGAAAAGTGGGCATATGCGCGCCCGTTGAGCTGCTGCAGCGATCACCATGACAGCTCCACATCCGTTGGACTTATCGCACCACTTCTCCTATGCGAGCAAGAACCGGAGTCCCAGTAGTGTGAAGAGCTTCTACAAGTACTTCACCATTCCCAACATTGCCAATTTTGCGGGAGGTACGACTTGGTTTGAATCTTTAGACTATCATATCCTCAGCTAACATTTGAACTTTATTACCTGCTAGGTTTACCACATCCAACATATTTCCCCTTTGATACACTCGAAGCCACCGTCGCCCGGCCGCAGCGTCTCCAACCATCGAGCAAAGATGACTCGAAAGCCGACCGAGTGATTGTACCCAAGGAATCCAAGACGGCCGATCCTTCTCGCAAAATCGACCTAACCACTGCTCTGCAGTATGGCACTGCCGAAGGCTATCCGCCACTCTTCTCGTTCCTGCGACAGTTTGTCCGCGACCATCTCCATCCAAATGTCCCGTACGAAGGAGGTCCCGAGATTATCCTGTCGTGCGGCAATACCGATGGTTTCTCCAAAGCTATTGAGCTCTTTACCAATGTGTGGAATCCCGACCGGGACTGGATTCAACAGCGTGAGGGCGTGTTGTGCGAGGAGTTCACCTACATGAATGCCATTCAGACCATCCGACCTCGAGGCCTCAATACGGCTACCGTCGCAGTGGACGGCCAGGGCATGCTCGCATATGGCAAAGGTGGCCTCGCTGATGTGTTGGAAAATTGGGACTTTCGGCGAGGCAGACGACCACACGTCATGTATACTGTGACGTGAGTTTCATCTTCCTTTGCGTGGTTTGCGCGATCAATGCTCTAATACGAAATGCTTCTGATTGGCAGGATTGGTCAGAACCCCACTGGAGGAAACCTCTTGATTGAGCGGAGAAAGGAAATCTACGCCCTCTGCCAGAAGTATGACGTGATCATCGTGGAAGATGAACCTTACTGGAATCTGCAGTTCCCATCCGCTTACGAGATGGAAGCCCATTATCGGGGCGCGTCGACAGAACCTACACCTTATAATCGAAACTATAATGACGATGGGAAGTCATCTGGCTATGCTTTCTTGGACTCACTAGTGCCGTCATATCTATCAATTGACACCGAAGGCCGAGTGGTGCGGCTGGACACATTCTCCAAGAGTGTTGCGCCAGGGAGCCGCCTCGGTTGGATCACGGCGCAACCTGCAGTGATTGAGCGTATTACTCGCATTACGGAGGTCACGACACAGCAGCCCTCGGGATTCGTGCAGTCTGTAATTGCTGAAACAATCATTGGGGAACAGGTGGACGACAATGGTTCCCGTATCTTGAAGAAGCAAGCTGTTCCAAGCTGGCGCATGGATGGCTGGGTGCGCTGGCTGGAAGGTCTGCGCGGAGGCTACGAGAAGCGCATGAATGACATGTGTACTGTCTTGGAAGAGAACAAGTTCTTGTTCTCTGAGAACCCAGAAAAATCGAAAATTACTAACGATCATGTCGATCACTGGGAAGTCGTCGACCGGGTACAGATGTATGACTTTACCTGGCCCAAGGGCGGCATGTTTGCTTGGGTTGAGGTGCGCGTCGACACTCACCCATTGCGATCTAAATACAGCCCTCGGAAATTGTCCAAGGCCTTTTGGATACACCTCACAAAGAAGCCGCATTTGTGCCTGGTGGCCCCTGGTCAGATATTCGCGGCGGGCCCGAAGTCCGTCGAGCAGGAGTACCGGTTCTTCCGAGTTGCCTTTGCGCCGATGGACCCCGAGGATGTGATACCCTACACCCGCAGGCTTGTCGAGGGTTTCCGATCATTCTGGAAGCGGGAAAACCTGGATGGCTTAAATGATGATGATGATGAGAGTTTGACGATGCAGGAAATGCAGTTGGGACCAGGGATTAATTTCTTCGGCCCGGGGTGCTAAGAGAGTTCTACATGCGGTCTTTGACGGATATTTCTTTTCTTCCTATCCTCATTCTATTCCTATATAGAGAGACTTAAGTTTTGGAGTACAACCTAGCCTGCAGATGCAGACGATAAATTGCCTTGGATCGACTGGCTTTTTCTCAACAGTAACCAAAGCAAGCCTCTCCAAATATTCCAAACCAAGATGCATGGATCCTAAAAGCCATGATGAATGTTTCAAGTTAATAAATCCAACTCAAAATGGAGTGACGCGGGCCCTTCGAAAATAGACCAAAACACAGCCATTAGACCAGATCGATGGATCGATCCTGCTCCGAGATCCCGCCCAATTGGTTTTTTTATTCTCAAGGTTTTACACTAGATCAATTTTTGCAAGGCCCCTAAGAGGCTTGCTGTTTTCACCAATGCGAGTTTGCCCTGGACTGACAGAGAAACTCAGGCACCGACTACTGGTGCCTTGATGCCTTGGGATTTCTGGCGTGGGGAATTTCTCCGCACCCTGAGGGGTTGCGCATTCTTCACCTCGCCGGCCACACCAGACAATGTCGCGGCTGGACGACCTGCCGAATCGAGAGCTTGCCGAAGAAATTGATGCCATAAATGCCATCTACGACCCTGACACGGTGACGGTGACCCGGGCGGCAACCGCGCAAATCAATACCACCACGAGTACCCTCGATCTAGGAAGCTCCGGATCCTCTACTGATGAGGCACAGACCACGGTGACGCTTCAGATCCCTGGCCAGTCACATCTTTCTTTTCGCCTTGGATTTGGCGCCACATATCCGGAGACTCAGCCCGCAGTGCTTGGGACCGCGTCGACTGCGGCTCGTGGGGAGGGGAAAATAGCCGTGGACGTGCTGGAGGATATTGTACAACGGACATGGCAACCAGGTTCTGTCTGTCTGTTTGACGTGATTAGTGAAGCTGTGGAAGTATTTCCAGAGTTGAATATCGGCGGGAGCAAGGACAGCACGCAGATAGAGACGACAGACCCCGCTACCGCTGCAGGCCTCATGTCAAGCCAAACTGCAAACGGACCGACAGCGAGACAGGCAACGGAAGGCTTTGCAGCTCTTTCTCTACAAGATACATTTGGATTGGATAAGCCACCTGATTGGATCCTCTCCGATGTCGTGACGGAAAAGAAGTCTGTGTTCTTGGGCAGAGTGATACGGGTAAAAAGCCTAGCGCAGGCGCAGGCTTTCCTAGACCATTTGACAGCAACGGACAAGAAAGTTGCAGTCGCGACGCACAACATCAGCGCGTGGCGTATCAAGCAAAAGAAAGACAATGGGTCTCGTGCCTCGGACAACAGCGCTGACGCTGACTCGGCGGATACAGTGATTCAGGATTACGACGACGATGGAGAAACGGCTGCAGGGGGGCGCTTGCTCCATGTGATGCAGCTCATGGATGTATGGAATGTCCTTGTTGTGGTCTCGCGATGGTACGGCGGGATCCAACTGGGACCTGCCCGATTTCGGCTGATCAACGAGGCCGGCCGTGACGCTCTGGTCAAGGGTGGCTTCACCCGGGATGAGAATACGGCTGGTCCTGAGAAGGGCAAAAAGAAAGGAAAGAAGTGACATTCTGCTGCTGGGTGATTCATACAGCGAGGGTTGGAGTCCGATGCTCACAGGTATCATATCTCCGCGATGGCTCCGAGCCCTGAAACAACCGGCCGCTGCGTGGACGTCAAAGGAACATTGGCGGTTATCTATACCCCATGGCCAGACTTGGAGAGACTCCCATAGAGCCCGCTGCCAACTTGCCCTGGAAGGGACTTGAGTCTGGAAAACGTAAAATAAACATGCAACACCGGACTGCACGTTTTCTCCTTAGAAGTGAATGATAATCGCATGATCTTATACCCTTTGTGGCTAGTGCTCGCAACAGATCATGAGAGAGGCACGGCAAATCGAAATCAAGCGGGAACATATATTTATTGTCATGTATAGCTGTGCTTTTCTCTGAAAGATAATGCGAGTATAATCTGTACTTCCAGGCTCCATTAAAGGCGCGAAATGTATTGTTTTAGGATCTGACCATGCAACGGTGGATCTCAAGATTACTACCTACGCTATCTATCGACTTAACTCCACGGACAGGCGATCATGGTAATACTTTTTCTTATTGGCATGACGGGCCACGACTGTTTACATGCTGGGCATATGCACTTCGTAGGAACGGGTTAGCCGTGAAATTCGCGCTGAGCTATCCGTTTGCCAATATTCCGATCAATGTTACCCATTGGTTATGTCGATAGTGTACGACATACCAGAAAATTGCAAGCAGTCGTTCTTGCTTCATGCTGTTCAAACATAAGTACTCCGTACAAGATCCTGGATTAACCCCACCGTAATTGAAACGTGAAACACGACGTCCTGTCAGCGAGCCTGTAGGTAGCATATATAGTGGACCCGAGCTCATACGGAGGATTCATCCTTTGATTTTTTCGGCCTTCAAAAACGTTTGGGGTTGATCTCCATTAGTAGGCGCGGCGAAGGCGATGTCCTTTCCCAGATAGATACCTAAGAGATACCTATGAGATAGTAGGTTTGGGGGCCGCTGCGTCTTATTTATATTCATATCTATAATCCGGGTAGTCCAACCTCATTTAGCCCAACTTGTCAACTGTTGGCTCCCGGTCCTCTTCTATCTTCTTTTCTTCTTTTCTTTGACGTCAAAAACAAGGTTATAGCTGCGCTTCCATTGAAGCGTGGATTTCATTTGCTTTTGGATGATGCGCTTCCCCACAGCATTATACAATTCTCATCGCTTCTACTACTTCTGCTCTGGGTGGTTGGGGTCACTGCCATCCCGACGACCAGCACAGTCCTTGAAGTTCTACCCCCCAGTGACTTGGATGTCATCCAGAGTATACCGATTCCCTAATCGTCCGCTCCGCAGCTACTGTCCAAATGGTTGCCGCGACTTTAGCGGTGCTGGCGGCCATGACCCTGACCACATGCCAGTACCTCCATATTGCCGCATGCTACGCGAAGTGGGCAACGACCCTCACCGCTGCCATGGTCTACTTTGGCTATTCTTTCTACGACATCATCAAGAGAGACGCCCTCCGAAACGCAAATGAGATGCAGCAGCTGACGAATACGGTCTCCTTGGGTAACAACGACGTGGATGCCGCCGTCCGACGGTTGGAACACGAGCGGACCACACAAGCCTACGACCGATGGAAGCAAGAAGCGCCAGTTCTCTGGCTCCGATGTCATTCATAATATCTATTCAACCCCACTGGGCTACGAGTTTACCCAAGGCCGCATTCTGCAGCGACATGCTGATGTGCAGCTTGTGATTGAGAACGATACTGAATGCGAACTGGAAGAGAGCGTTGACGTCGACGAGGAACCGGTTCTTTTCCAGATGGCCGCGAAGCCTGGCGGCGACACCGAGAGTCTGTTTTGTGATCGACCTGATGAACAAGACGCAAGAGGCGGAGTATCAGAAGTCAATTATGCAGGGCAACATGACCAACTTTGGCAGCGGGGAGTGGCAATGTGTGAACGCGGATACGACCAATGGCGAGCCGGCGATTCGAGCGGTTGCGATTTTCACGAATGATACAAATAAGTTGAATGAGGATGTGTCATCGCTGTTTGGTCAACGTGAGAGTGCTCTCTCATCATCTTAGGGGGGACTGGGTTTACGGCTAGTTTTGTCCCGGTTGGGATTGAACGGTTGGAGGACATGAGTGTCATAAGAATTGAGAATATCCAGGTATGAAGGATATGAGTCTACGAAAATATATTAAAGATATATTAAATGCAATGGACTTTATTTTGGAATGATTCATGGTCTTTTGGTGGTCACTAATGACCTCTATTTCCCCAATGATCGAAACATCCCAACATCCAAGATCTCAACAATATGATAGAGACCCTGTTGCAGGAGACCGACGGCCAGAAGTTCGGTCAGTTTGATTGCGTGGACAGGAGACAGGAGCCTCGTCATCATATTCAGGAGACCCGAGTCTCTAAAACGGACCGTCTGGGTCGTCGAGGAGTTTGCCTGACGATGCGTATACCCCTGACAATTCATCTCGGGACCAACCGAACTCCCGTGCCATGGAACGGAGTGGTTTGATGGGCCGACATGAACGAGAGTCGGCCTCAGCAGGCCTCGCGATGCGCTAGTTCTCAGGGTCTACTCCATAGTTTATGAATGTGACTGATGGGAGTCTCCACCTCCTCCACTCTGCAGGCTGGCCGTAACCGAGATTGAGCAGCGGGGGCCCGTCCTGGGGGAACTCTTTCCCCGAGATGGAAATTGCAGGGAAGGCATACAGCGACGTAGTGCCGTGGAGTCTACTATCAATCTGAAACGACTCTAGCATTTGGCTTTCCATCATTTTTACCTTTCTCGGGCACCTCCAGGATCGCTGGGTTTGCGGAGAATGCTGCACCGTGGATCAAAGCCATTGTATACTTGGCGGAATGAAGATCACGATCCGCCAAACAAAGGGGAAAGGGACGGATCACACATCACACTTCACACATCACGCTTCACGCATCACACCATCACATCGTCACACCATCCCGAGTGTTGACAAGACCGCGGACTATGTGGTGTCCAAAGGCAACCAAAAGTCACACCGCACAGGACGAAACAACGTCTGCGCGACATTCGGCTGATACCTTCCATGCCAGTACCGCACGGCCCATAGATCTTCGCGCTACGCCGCACCATCCCAGCCGTCACTCTTGGGTTTCATCGCTGCACAGTGGAGTTGTCTGGACCCTGGAGACCCTGGAGCAATGTCGAGAAGAGAACGGCAGCACTCGCCTGTCATGGAGAGCCTCGATGCGGTGGATTAGGGCGGGCCACTTTCCATCTCCCCCGTGAGGTTCCCCAGGGGGCATTCGGGCACTCACCCACCACACGGTTACGCGCGATGGGATGGTGGCTTTGCTCCTCTTAGACGGGGTGTTTGATCTTTTCCCGCTCCGCCATTTGGATCGCGTTACGTCATCCGCCGTGACGAGTGTTTACAGGCCGCAAGGGCGCGATGCGCGGACATGGCCATCGCAGGTGCGGAAGCCGGTTGGTTGCGCGAAGTGCCGAGCGTCGGGGGTGGAGCAGGGCCGGAGGAGCTGTCACCACAGCAGGGCATAGAAGATGAAACAGTCCAAACAGTCATCCAAACTCTCCCATGATCAAGGCTGCAACCTCTGGTTTCAACGTCCGCATGGTGTGCAGCGTGGTACCGTCGGTGTCTTCCGTGGCCTGATTCGCCTCCGAGCCCGCTGACAGGAAACAAAGGCGCCAACCGCCGGGTTGCTCCACAACCAATACACCGGTCGGCGCCCAGGCACATGGCGTCTGTGGAAGCCCAAGATCGATGGTGAGACACTCGCATTGGCCAAGCTGCCGTCCAAAGGGGGATGTGGGGATGGCCGTGCCTTGCGCCAGTCGGTACCGATCTGCTCTAATTTGTTCCCTGCGTCGGTCGCTGCAGTGGTTGGCTCCTTCACCAGCCGCCTCGCCGCTAGAACTAGTCCATCGGCCCTGTCCGGGGTTCGCGTTCCGAGCCTCTGAGTGGCTGCAGCCCGCTGCCACTTCACCACCACTCACCGTGCGGATCAGGCAATTGCACAGTGGAGGCATCACTTGAAACATCCCAGCTGTCGAGCATCTCCGCTCCACTAGCCCTGTCGTTCCTCTCGGCTGGCAAGCCATCCAGGATGGTGGGCTTTTCGAGATTGGCGAGGGTGTGGAGGAGACCAAACTTTAGGAGTATCCGATTGATTGGCATACGCCTAGTCGATGCGACTCCATTCGGAGATCGGCCTGTCGGTCGTGACTCCGTCCCTGCGGGCTGCTGGGTGCATCACCCTACGTCGTACCTGACTGGGCCCTGGCGGGAAGCGAAGAGCAGAAGAGGAGGATCGAGTGCCAAGTTGGATATAAACCCCTTCCACGTCATGGCTCTATCGTCTTTTTTCTCTTTTCTTTCTGTCGTACCTTTCGATCCTTTTTCTCTTCTCTTCACGGTTCGACAAACCGACAACAGGCCAGTCCTGTCTTCCTTTCTCTCTTTCACTTTCGCTTGGTAGTCATCGCCTGTGGCGGACTCCTACACTCCTTCGAGACTTTCATCGCTTCCTTCCAAAGACATTCTCACAGCCTGTGAGAATCATTCCCTGGACTCCCAAGACATCCAACATCCCCGTTTGGGAAAAGAACACCAAAAAGCTTAGCAGAGATTGTTTGAAACAACTCTGCTTTTTCTTCTCTTCCAAGGTATGGTTCTGCACCGTTGCCTTTGTTCCTATGATCATACCTTCCTCGCCCATCATTGTCTTGTAATATGTGGTTGTTGTCTTTCAGGTCTCGTCAAGTGAAGGTTGGGCAAGGTTGACGAGATGTGTTTCGGCATGTCGACAATGCCTTTATATATACCCCGGTAGCCTAGAGCGCTGCCTATGAATCCCCCCCAAGTGAATATCAGCTTCTGATATTTAATACACCTACACCCGGCCCACCTATCATGATCAAACTCTCCCTCTTCTCATCCTCTAACACGGCGCAGGAAGCCTTCATTCATTTCGCTCTCGCGACTACCAAGTTCCATTCCTTTACTGTTTGAACCCGTTCGTCTGGTACGAACCGGATCTCCAGCTGCAAAGTTCCCTGTCGAATCGTCCAAAAAAAGAAGTCGATCTCACCTTCACTATGCTCGCCAAATCCATCCTGGTCGCCACTTTGGCTGCGGCTGCGGTCAACGCCCACATGATCATGGTCCAACCCGTCCCTTATGGCAAGGATACCATCAACAACTCCCCTCTGGAGGCTAAGGGCGGGGACTTCCCTTGCAAGCTTCGTGACGGCACCTACGACATCTCCACAGAAAACATGATGGAAGTCGGTGCTGTTCAACAGCTGCGTTTTGAGGGCAGCGCCACCCACGGTGGTGGCTCGTGCCAGATCAGCTTGACTGAAGATCGGGCACCGAGCAAGTCAACTACTTGGAAGGTCATCAAGTCCATCGAGGGAGGCTGCCCTGCCAACGTTGCCGGAAATATGGGAGACAATGCCAGTGCTGAGGACCCCTACCACTTCAACTTCACGATTCCTGACGGTATCACTGCCGGCAAGTACACTCTCGCTTGGACGTGGTTCAACCGCATCGGTAACCGCGAGATGTACATGAACTGCGCTCCTGTCACTGTTACGCAGGGCTCTTCCAAGCGATCAGTGGCGGCCCCTGCCATCGATAAGCGTTCCTCCAGCTTCCCTCCTATGTTTGTTGCCAACATCAATGGTTGCACTACCACGGAGGGTATCGATATTCGCTTCCCCCAGCCTGGTGATGTCGTTGAGTACGACGGGACCCCTACCAATCTCGCCCCTGCGGGTGATGCTGCTTGCTCCGGTACTCCCACATTCGGCGGTTCTGGCGACACTGGCTCTGGCTCAAGCTCTGGCTCAAGATCTGGCTCTAGCTCTAGTTCTGACACCGGGTCCTCGTCTACCGCCGCGGGCAGTGCTCCTACTGAGACTTCATCCCAAGCTGGTGCTGCCGCCCCAACCTCCACCGCTGCCCCGGTTGAAACCAGCGCCCCCAGCGCTCCTCAGCCTGTTGCCTCATCCAGTGCCCCGGAATCTCCTTCCTCCAGCTCTTCCAGCTCTTCCAGCTCTGGTACTCTAACTGGTTCTTGCAGCCCCGAGGGTGCCTGGAACTGCATTGCCGGTAGCTCCTTTCAGCGTTGCGCGAATGGCCAATGGTCCGTCTCTCAGCAGATGGCCGCGGGAACTGAATGCACTGCTGGTCAGAGCTCAGATCTGTCGGTTTCTGCCATCAAAGCTGCTCGCGAGATCTCCGCAATGCGCTTCCGCAAGCGGGTAGTTGGCGACTTGCGCCATGCTTAGATCATACGTGCTTCGACCTCACTACCTCTACACGCACAAGCTCCGCTGGTATCGGATATTGTAACCTTTTCTTCTCTTCCGCATTGCATACCTGCATCATGTTTTCTTCCCATTCGTTTCCGCACCTGGATAAGGTGTTCTGTGGCGGACCCTCTTCTTTTCACTGCAGGATGTTTGGCTATTTTTCCCATCGTGTACATCTCTTCCAAGATGAGACTTGTTAGAAATAAACATCTCATGACCTTTTTCAGAAATCCAGTAAAAGTATCCACTAGTCAGTAAGTCTTGGCGGCCGGCCCATATCTTCAACCCTCCCGAATAGTTTCCTTATAAGTTAGAATTAGGGATTTCTATCAATTCGTAGCATTACTCTATTCAAGTTCTACTATATCCTCATCCCGCCAAGTACTAACTGTAGGCCTGGGTAGGACCGAAGAGCTACACCGCGTTCTTGAGGGAAGATTTGCGCAAATTGAGAGAAAGAGGATATGAGTGCTATCTACTCCGGCTACGTCAAATTCCGATGTGCAGGGATTCTCAGTCCTTTGAGCTAAATCTTAAAAATCCCGGAAAACGATAATTTCCGTGCTTGATGGGCTTAGAAAGCTTAATTGGCTTTGTTATTCCTGGGATCTAAAGGATTAGGAACAAACAAACAGTTGAGATGTGTGAAATTGTAATGGCCGCTGAGAAATCCAAGTTCGATAATTTGATCTTTTTCCTCTTCTCTATGATTTTCAAAAATAATTTTTTTTTCGGAATCTGTCGGATCTGCATAATTCGAAGATACAGTCATGTGTTCGAACAGCTGAATTTTGATCGTAACTACGTAAATAGGTCTATGCAATGTTCATCTCAAGCCCCTCTCTCTCTCATGCTTCCTTCTCTGCTGACGTATGAGCGATGGTAAATACTTTTCCACTCTCCGGTCCATCAGAATGCCCATTCTCCCACCAACCAAGATAGAAACGCCGGTACGCAAAGGTCTGGTCAAGTGACTTGTGATTCGGATCCCAAGCACCTTGCACAAACTGATCCAGCAGGTCTGAATCTGCCAAGAGACTGGCAACTGCCGCGATGCTGCATGGATTCTTCGGTAAAACATGATCTGTATCCAAAAGCACGGAGCTGATAATTCCCAAAATGAGCATTGCGCCTAGCAGTGCTTCCAGTATTCGTGTTGAAGTAGGATCTTGAATCAACCTCAGACGACTAGAGTTCGTGACGTTTCCAAGAAGCAGTGCATGAGGAATGCTGTCATTTGCAGTTCCCCGGGTGTAGTTGCTGAGTTGTTGCGCGTTGATGATTTTGTGTTGGCGCTTGATTGCATCAATAACCGTTTGGTTCTGGTCTGGCGTTTCCAGGTTCTCGGAGGCAATTGCGTATTTCCCGGTGACGAGGAGATAGAAAAAGCCATCAAGCGTTGGGTATTGACCGTCTGTGTTCAAAGTCCACCATTCTGGAATTGGGGTGTAGAGATTTGGTCTCATTATGGCTGAAGATTCATCAGGCACCGGGGGATGCTCTTCGTCGATTTCCAGTTCCGGTAACTTCAATCGTGTCTCAACATCGATGGTCTCAGCGTATTGCATGCACGTCATCGCCATGATGTACCCGACAGATGTGCGATTCACATGCCCCCATACATAGGTTTCAATGTAGTGTGAAGAAAGGCTGTTGTCGGCATGACAATAGGATTCAATTGAGTATCCAAACGGCCCATCCTGAAGGTTTTCCACCGAGAACACAGTGGCATTCCAGTGATAGTCGGTATTATTTCCCGGGCAAGCCAATGTCGTCAGTTCACTTGTGAGCTGGTAAATCTCCGTGATTCCATCAAAATATTGACTGATTGTCGGCTTCAGGTCGACAGCAGTATACAATTTGCAGACAGGCGCAGACCTCAGGGCCGGAACTCGGATATCCACAAAAGAGCCATTTCCAATGGTCTGATTCGATGGATCGTCCATTGATATCTCTGCAAACGCAAGATCCTCGTAGGTCCAGCGAGGATAGCTAAAATTATATTGGAGAATATATTCCGCAGTGATGATGCCCGCAACCTCACTCGCCTCATCCAAATTTAACTGGACGCCGGCAATGGTTCTGGGGTCAGGGAAACCACCCACGCGCGTGAAATTGGCCTGCGCATGAGAAGGGACTTCAATCACCGAGTAAAGACCGCTGACCACAATGGTTATGAAAAATGCTGCCCCGGTAGAGAGTGTCGTCGTTAGGATAGCAAGATGCATGGAGCGAAAGGCCCGAAACCCATTGGTGAATCCAAGGGCGTCCAAGAAGCTCACATTCATGGACTGCGAGAACAAAGCACCGGTTGGTCGCTTGAGATGCGAGTAGGGGGCAAGACATCTGGTGTTGAAGTCTATGCTGCCAAATGCAAGACTAAATCCGGTCATTATTGCGGCGGGAATGATGGTCCACACATAATGCATATATTCATCATTCAATCCGATAGTTCCCAAGCCCTTGTTGACCTCTGAAAGATGTAACAAGATTTCCAATATTGCGATTGCCGATGCAACTAGGAATAAGATGGCAATTCGGCACAAAATACTAGGGAATGGCCTCCAGGTGTGGTACTTCGAATCGAGATTTTGATCCAATTTAGGTTCATTGTGCACATGTTCTGTGACCCCGATTGATGTGCCGTTCGACGTAGACTTCGAATAATAGTGTTGTCCCACAAGGTGGCCCCGGAGTACGTCGTCGGACACTGCCCCGAGCCCACGAAGGGAATGTCGAAAATCCACACTGTTTGCTGTCACGGCTGCGATCGCGGAGATATTAGCTGGGTTCCAGGTGGCTACTGTCTGGCGAGCCGCAAAAAGAATCATCAAGGTTGACAGCAGTATTACTACTGCCAGGCATGCCTCGATACCCCGGAGTGGCAGTTGCATCATCACCACTCGATTCTCATTTACGAGTGCGGAACCGACTGTCTTTGATTCATGTTCTTTAACAAGACCCATATGCATAAGCTGGGCAGTCATTGCACGGTAGTACGCGGAAGCTGAATCTCGAAGCACATCTTCCCGCCAGAGGTTTTCAAGAGTGGCTTCTTCTTCTGCGAGAAGCAATCCAAGTCTCAGAGGTTCATCAACGTGCGCATCGGCTGGGAACGGATTAAATCTTTCAATGCCTCTGAAGCCTGTGGTATCACTAGAGTTGGCCTTGATAAACTCAGCAATATCTCCTGCGGTCAGGCCAGGGAGAGTAGTCTCCTCACTCGCGAGCGTTTGAAGGCGAATATCAGATGAAAAATCAGTTGCGTTTCGCTGGGCTTGCAGTTTGACGTGGAGAAGTGTCGGCTTGCAAATCATGATCTTGTGCCGTTCTAGGTTCAACTGTACCGTTTCATATTTAGCAGGGCCGCGATAGGCTGAGGCTTTTGTACGAGTGGTGTTCGTGTCGCCAACTTCGATGAATAACACCAAAATGCGGATGTCGTCAGACGTATTAGTGCTTCCACATTGTGCCCATTCGAAGTGCGCTATTTGCGTATACTCCTCCGCACCTAGCCCAAGCTGGTCGTAGTTGGAAATGTTGCACGATGGAGTGACTATCTGGAAATCTGTAACCAGTTCGACTTGACTTCCATTAGTCTTCAACCATTCTTTGTAGTATAAGGCTTTGGTATCGACAGTAGCATATTCGCAGCTCAGGTCGGCCTTCAGCCCATCTATAGGGGCAGTGACAATGGCACTGGAAGAGACGTTTGGGGCAGAGAACTCTTGAAATGCCAGATTGGCATTTGTACCACCGGGATAAGTTAAATTGTCGAAGACGATACCGTTGATGATATCGTATGGTTGAGACCCGACAGCCTCGAGTGTGGAGTTTTGAGTAGTGAACATGTCGTGTAGTTGGATAGTCACATTTTTCTGAAGGACGTGTACCTCCTGCAGCGAGAACAAACTGGTTGAGAAAACGATCATCAACTGCACAAGCATAGAGCACGTCACTCCTGAAAAAACAACCAATTGCTTGTTCTTAAATGATTTCCACATGGCGACGGGCTGCATGTCAGATATGTAGTCCAAAAGCACACTTTTGTCCGCTGGTTGGGGAGCTTGGAGCATTGACTGCCATGGCGCAATTTGTTTTGATTGAAACTCGACCCGCGACCAGAACGTGGCGACAATGGTGAGTATGGCGGTCGGTCCATAGGTCCAAAGATAGTGGCGGCTTTCAGTCGAAGCAGCGATACCATCATGGGCGGCGGAAGATTGGAACAATGCTTCAAGCGCGGCAATGATTGCGCAAAAGGCGATCACAAATAGAACCAGGATTCGTCTTCGCAGGTAGGATGGCCGCCAGCCAGTTTCTTCCGAGCGATCCGCGAATCCGACATGTTTATTGATGAGGTCAAATATCATGCCGAACATAGGGAGTCGGCTTCAATGTATATATGGCTCCCGCGGCACAGCAGAGGACGGCTTCAGGGAGGGAAAGGTACAACAATAGAATAGATGGAATAAGGCACTTAATCTATTGATGTATTCCATCAGGAGGGGGAGTAAACGCGCGAACGTTTCTTAATTTTGGCCAAGCAGCACGTTAAGCGCCGGCCCCTGGTGGCGGCGAGTCAGCCTAATGTGTTGGTGAAACAATGATCCATCTAGCGAATGTCTCAAGCCGCCCGGGCTTGGGTCTTGCCTCCAGTCATATGAGAGTATCTTCTTCGATCTGCAATATCGGTGAGCTATGCAGCCTTCGCTGCCTCGTGATTATGATGATCGATGGGGCCAAGGCACCTAGCCGCATGAAGATGCGTCCCTGGGAGTTTCAGAAGTCGTGGAGGGCGGTTATTATGAGAGCATAAGGATGATTAAACCAGCTGCTACGAGATGCCGCACTGCATATCGCAGTCTGTTCTAGAAATAGAGGCAGAGTTGGAATTAGGGGATATACCGCAGACAGTAGATGGCTTGGCTTAACATAGCCTGTGCCGCCTTGGAGTCGGCACACAGCCTCGGCGCCAAGTTATGAAGGCCTCATATAAGCCGAATAATATTATCTGGGCAGCATTTCTTCCTCCTTCGGTCTACAAAATACCTGATCTTGACAGAACAGCATCGACAAGAAGGAAGGTAACGCGTTACTTCCCATCAGGTCACATGCTGGTGGGGTTTACACATGACATAAGCACGCACGGGCCGCGTCTAAGTGGCGCACGCTAGGACTAATATGGAAGGAAGGGCTTAGGGTTATATCGGCCCACGATGAGCAAGCTCAGTAAGCGAAAAAATCCACAGTTGAAGCCAGACTGGGAAGCACTTGGTCTTCAACCTCATCATCGACCTCGAACGACAACAATGGCCTCCCGCCCGACTGTCTCTATCGCCACGGCTGAGGGCAAGCCCTCCGGGGCCACCCAGCCCCTGCCTACCGTCTTCGGTGCCCCCATCCGCCCGGACATTGTCCAGTACGTCGAATCGGCAAAATTCGAACAGTGGTGCTTGGAGGTGGAAATGCTGACGGTTTTCGCTCTATAGGCAGGTGCACACCGGTATGGCGAAGAACAAGAGACAGCCCTACGCTGTGAGCGAGAAGGCTGGCGAGCAGACCTCTGCTGAGTCCTGGGGTACCGGTACGTGAAACTGAGATTGCGAGATGCGAGGGAACTTGGGCTTGAGGGGCGACGAAGCAAATTTTTTTTTGCGGGGAAATACTTTCGTTTGGGAGGTCAATCGGCACTTTATTGAACAGACGCTGACGAGATGATTTTCAACATTCAACAGGCCGTGCTGTTGCCCGTATTCCCCGTGTCTCTGGTGGTGGTACTCACCGTGCCGGTCAGGCTGCCTTCGGTAACCAGTGCCGTTCCGGTCGCATGTTCGCTCCCACCAAGGTCTGGCGCAAGTGGCACCAGAAGATCAACCTGAACCAGAAGCGTTTCGCTACCGCCTCTGCTCTGGCTGCTTCTTCCGTCCCCGCCCTCCTCTTCGCCCGTGGCCACCGTGTCGCCAAGGTCCCCGAGGTTCCCCTTGTTGTCGAGTCCAAGACCTTCCAGGGTGCTGCCCTGACCAAGACCAAGGCTGCCATCGCCCTCCTCCAGGCCATTGGTGCCGGTGAGGACCTCGTCAAGGTCCAGAAGTCCCGCAAGCTGCGCGCCGGTAAGGGTAAGCTGCGTAACCGCCGCTTCCGCCAGCGCCGCGGTCCTCTGGTTGTCTACAACCCCGAGACCGATGGCAAGGACCTCGTCCGTGCCTTCCGCAACATCCCCGGTGTTGAGACCTCCTCCGTCTTCTCCCTCAACCTGCTCCAGCTCGCTCCCGGTGGTCACCTCGGCCGCTTCATCGTCTGGACCTCCTCCGCCTTTGAGGCCCTCGACCAGGTCTACGGCACCACCACCACCCCCTCGGCCCTCAAGAAGGACTTCCTCCTTCCCTCCAACCTGGTCTCCAACTCCGACCTTACCCGCCTCATCAACTCTTCTGAAATCCAGGCTGTTGTCCGCGCCCCCAAGGGCGAGGCCCGCACCAAGCGTGTCAACGTCCAGAAGAAGAACCCTCTGCGCAACAAGCAGGTCATGCTCCGTCTCAACCCCTACGCCGCTGCCTACTCCAAGCAGAAGCTTGGCCAGCAGAAGGTCGAGGGTGGCAAGCCCGAGCGTGCTTCCGCCACCTTCGCCAAGGTTCTGGATGAGGAGTAAATGTGCTCTCCCTATCTTTCTTTCGATACGGTGAAAAATGGTAGTTACCAGCAAAAAATGAATCAATGACTTTTTTTGCAATACCCCATGGGTCTATCGGCGTAATAATATGATCGGTTTTGTTCTCTCAATTGCGCAGCGCGCTGTCCGGCTCTAATGGGTAAGCTACGAGGTCCGTAGCCCGAGACCTAGTGAGATCTCTCCACCCGTATGTACAAAGTAGACATGCCCAGTTGATCACCGACCATCGGAGCTCGATTTCGGTTTCGCTTTCGGTCTGGGGATTTGCCTTCCGTACGCCTCGCCTTCCAAGTGACTTGATCTCTCCTTCCATCCTTCCTGCCTGTGTATACCGAACTGTAACCGCGTGCAGTGCAGCTGTAAACACAGCGGGTGCTTCGTGGAGAAAAGCGGGAAACCTACTGTAGTTGCTTACTGATATGAATCTCTGAAGTTGATCTGCGGCATCCCGCTGTCATGCAGGAGATATCCCTACGGTGGTCGACCGCATATGCGTCTGTTCCCGAATGTCCAATTATCGGGTGTAATATATCTTCAAACTATCTGCCCGGATACTTTTCGTCAGCAATCGGAACCTTAACGACTACGTTAGGCGTTCCCTGTGGAAATGAACCACCACCTGACCTATGCAGGTCTGGATATATATTTCCAGGGTTTATGGGTTTACGTACCCCCGCATAAGCGGGAAAAAAAATACAAACCATCCAGCTTCGCAAATTAGCGAAAACCTTGCCCTTCGAACCGAGTAGGAAAAGTGCACGATCGTACTGGATTTAGTGGGTGTTTTAGGTAGTCCTGATCAATCTCGCCAGTCCCTCTTACCTAACGGCATCGCGTGTGATCATGCGGAGAGAGTCGCACGTCTCACGTACTTTCGCGCGGGATGCCGGATGGGCCGGGCCTAGGTCCGGGCTGAGATGAAAGGAAAGTCAACGGCGTAGCAAGGACGGAAATACGAGCATCACATGTCGTCCCCTCCGAGGGCTGGCAGGGCTGCGTTCGGCCTGGGGAGGTACTGTAAGCCCTAGGTCCTCGAAATGGATGCCGTGCGGTGTATCACGCAATTAAGCACTGAGACCGCCGTGGCAGTTGCGTATTACGGAGTAGATCACGACGAAACGCCCGGCACTAGATGGCGAACTAGTGCAGATGCTAAACCGCTCATGACAGGAACAGACCCCAAATAGGCAATCTGTAACCTGTCAACTAGGGTTGATCCTCATCCCCAATTCATTGGGGGAGATCATCATTCCCTGCTGAGGCTGACTAGGGCAAATCAAACGCGTCCGAACGAGAGAAGGAGTCGGGGTGAATGTGTTGACAGTCTTCCGTACTGCGTACTGCGTACTCGGTCCTCCGTGTGGATGCTCAGACGATAGCAGGGCTGATGCGCTTCACATGCCAATTTCTGTTTTCTTTCTAGAAAACCGTCCCATCTATTAAAGTTTCTTCGGCAGCCGCCGCTTCCCAGCAGACTTGACCCCCTCGGTGGATCGACCTAGCAGAAACAGTCGTGCATCCCGGCCCCTCACCTTACTACTTACGGGGCCCAGCGGAGAGGGCCACACGGGGGAAAGAGGCGTAACGAACGCGGATGAACGCGACCATCCGACCCAGTCGACCAGCCGATGTTGACTTGCACGACGGGGCGCAGATCACGACGTGCGCGGGCCGCCAAGAACACCGTCAGGGTCCGCGGCTGATAGTCGGATAGGTCCCATCTTGCAGGCTCCCGGTCAGAGTGGGGGAGGTACGTCAGCACCAGCGGTGCGGACTTTCCTATCACCCAGGAGCGCCGCAAAAGAAGGTTACGGGCGGGTTCTGAATTTTGAGCTCGCTTAGGCGAGGCCGGGCGGGCAAACCTTCGGGGGAATTGAGTTTGGGCGTCGATGTACAATGACACACTATCTATCCGCTTGGGCGGATAGCCTATGCATGTCTGTAGTCGTGCATTCGGTGGGAACTCGGTACGACCTGGTGGAAAGTTTGAAAAGCTTCCTAGACAGCTTGTAGAGTTGCAATGCGTTGCAATGCTGCTCCCCCCCCCATCCCTCCACTCTGCAGCCTAGCTAGCGAGCCCACTCTGGAGTGAATTGACTTTATAATGCGAGTCTACGGAGTATAGGGAGTACGGGGACGGGGAGCAGGAACAGGCAGCAGGCAGATGCAACATGAACCAGGGATTCAGAACTAACCGAGATTCTTCTCGCGTTTCATGAGACCAAATGCAAATGACGGGGGAGGCCGTTCAGGGGATAGGGGGGAAGAGGGGCGTATCGGAGGAGAAAAATTCTCCGATCCTACGAGCCGCGTCCCGCGGCTTTTGGAGGGTAAGCATAAATGTGGTCAGACGGCAAAGGAACCGATCACACAGCCTGGCTGGCACGAGCGCTTGATCGTGGTGTATGATCAGTGCTGAAGGGCTGCCTAGTTCATAGGGGATGGGTAGCCTCCGGGAGGATCGGCTGGTGAACAGCAATGGACCTGAAGAAATACAGTCATAACAGGACCGCATCATAAGAAACCACCGACATCAGAATGATTACAAAGTAGCGAAGTCTCCGATCCTGGGCTAGCGGTTTCTGAGGAATGGATCCCGTGGAGGAAAGACTTCGCAGATCACCTAGGACTGGCCAGGTCAGGGAAGGATTGGGTTAGTGTAGCGCTAGCCAGGGACGGAATACGGAGTATAATCGTAATAATAGACTTGGCAATGCCGGGCCATACTCCTTCCTGGGCGGATTGTCTCACCTCCGCACGACCAACTCGAATTGGGCCGGGGGAACATGGGACGAGCACGGCACAGAAGATTCGGCGCTACCGGTAGTCAACCCGACGCTACTCGAGATTTTCGTCTGGAGGTACGCCAAACATGCCAACTCCTGTATATCCGGCATGCAGTAGCAGAGTCGCAGTACAGTAGCGGCAGTCGCGCAGTGCCAGCAATGCCAATGCTAGTGCCAGCAGTGGCACGCCCATCCAGGAACTGCGTGTTTGTGTCCTGTGGTGAGTGGATGTAGCATCCTCTCGTCCATTTACCCTGGCCACATCCCCCTTCCTAGCTGGTTAAAGTACAATTTCATCGTGTTGATGAGATGAGGAGGATTGAGGCCTTGGACCTTGGCTAGGCGGGATCCTTTTAGTTTCCGTATTATGATTAATTCAGCCATTGAGCATTGCAAGGAAGCTAATTTAGTCCATGATGAGAATTGCATCGGTACCTGAGGGGGCCAAGGGAAACAACGGACAACACACCTACTGTAGCTCTCCCGGCCGGGCGACCAAGTGGGTAAGTGATTGATTGGCTTTCTGATGTGGTTGATTGGGGCCTGGTCGCACGTCTCGCATCCTGGCTTGATTACCGTCCATACCGTACTGTCCATGCTGGTTTGCGCTCCATCTCATGGCGCACGATCTTTGTCGTCCAACCCGCGTCGCTGTCGGCATTTGCTCGGAGGAAAATTGGGTCCCGATGGCGCCTGGACCAATAGTGTGATCATGAACTAACCGCGCTGAGCCAGGCTTGCGAGTTCTCGGGTGGAAATGCCAGATGGAGGGTCGCTGGCGTTGGAAGTGCCGGATGGAAGGAGGAGCACAGAGCACCGAGCTCGCCAAATCCCGACGGGCTTTCGCCCTCGGGAGAGACGGTACGGAGTACGGAGTACATGGATGAGGTGGAGGGACGCTATGGGCCCTGGGCCCTAGGCCCTAGGCCCGAGCTAGGTAGTTTTTCGGCTATGCTGCAGTTCCAGCGGAACAGAGAACGGGCCAGGGGGCTGCCACCAAATAGGCGGCGATCCCGAATGACGGCTTGCAGATCGGATCGCCATGCGTTTGAGACACCATACGTGGTCAACTCCGGAGTGCATCGCCGTTGGAGGTGGAGTGTCTCGGGCCTATTGGACCATTGGACCATTGGACCACAGCGTCGGACGGCAAGGCCAGGGTTCCCTGCAGTGGCACTGCTCGACGTCCCTCTCGATGGCGCCTTCCAGCAGCTAAGCTGCACGGGGCTCTACAATCTTTCGATGAGTCCAATGTTGAGTCGTAAAGATGCGTGTCGACTTCTCTGTGGCGGGGCTGGGGATGCCCCCGCCAACCGGTGCATCTCGACGCCGTAGGTATAGTGTTATTTTCCGATGATGATGATGATGATGATGATGATGACGACGATAATAAGATTTATCATATTTTATGAGGATATTGATTGAGTACGTAGGCACTCACCGGTGAGCCTTTTTTGTTTCTACTTTTATCTTTCCCTCTTGGCAGACGCAGAATCGGCCTGGCAGCGCCTCTAAGGCATTGGACTCTTAGCTTCTCAGGGGAGTCGCGTGGATATGGACCAGCTGTCCACCCTGAGAATATTCAGCAATCACAAGCATCTGGCCAATTGACGGGGAGGGGAAGGGGGGGGGGGTTGGCCAACCCGCAGCTATTCGGCGTTCGAGAAGCAGAACGGAGCCTTCGAAGGATGAAATCACACCACAGGCCTAACCCGAGCATCCTGCGCCAAAATTGGGACCTAGTCCAGCACACCACGCGAGCCAACGATCTTCGCCCCGAGAGATAAGCCCTGCGGCCCCAAGACTGGAAAGGAGGATTTCCCGACTAGGCATCTAGTCGCGCCACCGGCCGAAGGCCTCGACCCACTGGTGTTCGTGGCCATCATGCCGAGCCCAAAAACAAGCTCTGGTCTGGGGTTTCCGTGAGCAAAGCGATCGGGAGAAGCGACAGCGGGACGCCAGTATTTCATCCGCCGATCGACGGGCCCCTTCGGACGGCAAAGGGGATAGCCCATTGCCTCGAGCCGTGAGAGCATGATTGGGTCGGAGATCTCAGGGTTCAAATCCCGAGACGTTTCTTTGGTTCATTGGGTTGCATGTGCCGGGCAGTAAGCCGCGCCGAGGGAAGGTCCCTCCGTGCTAGGCCGTTCCTGAACCAGGGGACGATAGAGCACTTACTCGAACGCAGTATGTAATTGCTAGCAGGAGATTGTATGGACTTGGGGACTGGGGCCAGGAGAGAGAACGGGAGACGAGACTCCGGCGAGGCTGCACTGCGCACTGCGCACTGCTCGACATGCTTGATCCTTGCAGAGGAGTGATTAATATAAAGATACAGCTGGTGCGAACCTGGAGTCCCGGTGAACCTGAACCCAGGGGCTGCGTAGCACAATACGGAGTACGGCAGTTAGCCCCAATGCCCCTCCTTCCGCCACGGCCCCGATAGCATCATCATTCCGAGGAATCAGACCAAAAGAACAAGGGACAAAATAGAGAAATGACATAAACGTCGGATGGGAGATCCTCCCCGGGGGTGACCACGGCAATGTGGTTCAATTGCCGTGACACGATCGAAGATTACGCCAGCGTCCACGGGTGATCGGGGGTAACCCTAGGATGAGCCACGAATGCCGAATCTATCGGACTGGAACGGCACGAGGGGCGCATTAGACATCCATTATTACCCGGCCACTCCACTTCGAATGTGGTCTATATGACCTCAATTTTTCGATGGTCCCTATGGAGACCGATGGGGTCTGCCATCAGTTTTCGGGGTCAAGGGGGGCGCACGGGCCGGCACAGTCTGAATGGGAAAACGGTGGCGCTAAGGACTTTCCTTTTATCTGATAGAAACTCGATTTTCCATCTCGAATCTATTTGACTTTGGCAATTTCTGGGAGCCGCAGGGAGGCCCGGGAAAAAGGTCCGCTCGGTTGGAGCACACGGGGAAGGACGGGGGGTTCGTGTCTCATGTTCGGAGTGTGTCTTGGTTCCAGTCCTGAGAGAATAGACTGTCCACTACGCGGACGGAACCCAGAAGAGTATAGATCGATCCCACCTCTTCGACGATCGTATGGAGGTCATCGTAATTTCCTTCGTATCTGCCTGCTCGTTGGTATTTATTACTGGACAGTTCCCGAGTATGGAGTACTTTTGCTCGGGTAATTATCAACCGTAACCCAGAATACATACTTGCCTGTTGGCCCTTTTCTGAAGTCTCGAGAGGGTGTACCTCCTGTTCTTTCCCTCCCTTTGCCATTGGGGATTGGTTTTTTTTTGGTTACGATTCGGGGCACGCTCTTTCCTAGCCTCTTCCTGTTCGTCGGTCTGGGACGCGTGTTTCTTTCCCCAATTCGCTCCTGGCCCTTTACTTTCGCCTCGAGCCCTTTCCCACCGTCGAGACGTGTGAAAAGGAGGGGATTCCAAGCAGGCTGGTAGAATCCTGCCTGTGCGGGCCAGAAGAAAAGTTGAACCGCAGTAACGAGTCAGCTCGCGGGGCAAACCGCTAGTACTTCTCTACTTGATTGGATTTACCGCGGGGGCGACGCTACTTTTAGCGGGTTTCCCAGGATCCCTTGCACATACGGGCTTGTGGCGGGCAAAACTTCCGACCAGGGCTATCTTTGCCCTGTATTGTCAAGGCCGTGTGCCACCATCGGCTCCTGGATCGTTTTCGACCTCATCATCGCCCAGCATCAAAAGTGCTAAAAACAAAATCTATCTCTGACGCGAATTTACCAGGAGGCCTTTTGAATTTATTGTTTGCACATGCGGGAACCTTCATTGCGCTGTTTGTCAACTGTCCTCATCGAAGAGACCACCATCCTTCTGGGCTCTGCTGGTGGTTGGTGTGGATTTGTCTTTTGTACGCCGCGATCCCGATTCAACTGCAACTGTCTCTATAGCGTGGGGCGATCCCTTTTGTGACGCACTTCTCGGCCCGCATCCTGCGACGTCTTGGGGGACAATTGTTTGTGAACTTGCCAAGCCAACCTTGTTCCCAGAGCAAGTAAGCAATCTTGAAGCTTAGGCAAAACACTGGGATCCCGCCGCCACCCTGGTTATACCGGAATGTGCACACCAGATCAGACCGTGACTACTAAAGCCGTCGACATGTTGGTCTGAACCTGCTTCATTCTCTGCGTTTCCATTCAATCCCACCAGCTAGCAGCATATGCGGGGTGGATACCGTGCACTTCGAATGCCGAGAACTCGACGTTCTTCGCCACGGACGTCTATCCAATCTTCGTACTAATCGGATCTACCTTGGCACCAGCTATCTCGGTCTTCAAACCTTCGAGCGGATTGCGATCCAGGAATTCTCTTTGGCCTCCCTATTACCACTGGTGTTTGGACCTGATTGACCAATTTTTGATACTCTATCTACCACTGAGCCCGAGTTATTTGTCGGGGAATTGGTGAGTCGAATGCAGAGAATCTGAATTCGCCGCCGACGATTCTAAACGCATTGGATTTACTGAGTTGTTCTGTCTTGGACTAGGTTATTTCCGTGATCAAGACCTCATCTTGTTCAGGATCCATACTTTCGACCAGACAACCAGCCAAACACAGTACCCTGTCCAACCCTTTTCCAGAGTTTGGACAAATATTCTCCATCCCGCGCTCCGAATCCTCTGAAGAAGTCCAGACGCCTGTTCGGACAAGAGAGCTATCGTTCGATGCTGTGTGGAAGTGTCATATAGATGGTTATACTTCGAGAAACAGATCCCCACCAATCGACGCTCGATCCCAACGCCAGCCATGTCGGGCTACTATGCTGGACCCTTCGGTCGTATGTTTCCCGTAGATGGTCTATCGTCGGTGCAGCCCCCGGAGCATCCCGCTAACCAATCAGAATCCGGGGAGAACCCATACCAGCTTCCGCCGCCGCGCACTCCGGCCAACTTGCAGTTTGGATCAGACCCTTTTCTACGACGTCAACGAGGCGAAAATCCAGAGTCGAGAAGCGGCCAAGCGTCAGCCGAACCTCCTATTCAACGGCAAGGGGCTGAACAGCTCCCATCTGTCCGGTCGTTACTGACGCCGGTCACCGGCCCAAGCTCACCACCTTCCTACCACCCACAGGGGTATGGAACTCCGACTCCCATTGAGCATCGCGAACTATCATATCCCTTTCGCCACCATGAAGCGAGTCTTCCTCCCCCGGTTGCCGGGCAGGATAGACATCGCTCGGAATCTCGGCCACAGTCACAACCTGCCAGTCTCCCGCCGTTATCGCACGTGGGCATGCCTAGCCCTAGAGAGGTGAATCGACCTCACGCAGCAACACGAAGTGACCCTTCAACAGCAACCTTGCAACATAGCCCATTGCCTTATCACGGCGCTTCATGCCATGAGCCATCTCTTAGCGGAGAAGTGTCATCACCGGAGATTCCAAGCAGGTTAAATCCACCGGCACTCCTGCCACACGTGGTGGATGAACGATACATCGATGGCGAGCTCTGCTTTGTCTACGCAGATGGATCACATCAGCCCAAAATCGTCGACGGCAAACCGGTCAATCCAAATTGGGGCGTCACGAAGGCCGGAAAGCCGCGAAAGCGGCTCGCACAGGCGTGCCTGACCTGCCGAGAGAAGAAGATCAAATGTCAACCGAACCGTCCCAAGTGCGACCAGTGCCAAAAGTCTGGGCGGGGATGCAGGTTTGAAAATGCGTAAGTGTTTGATAAGACTGTCTCACTGCCATCCTGTGCCTGGAAAATCGAGAATTCTTGCTGACATCCTTCCAAGGCTTCGTGGGAATCGCTCAAGAGGGTCACACTCCGTTGGGCCATCTAGCACTGCCACCTCGGACGTCTCGTCCTCGATCTATAACATCGCTCGCGCGTCAGATAGTGGGACTTCGCTGCCAGGGACTGGCGGTCATTCACCGGTGTCAGAAGGTTCTATGCTTACACACTCAGGTATTGAGAGCGTCCATAATCCCGTGGCGGATGCGGATAGGGCACATAGGCAGCGAACGTACCAAATCTCCCACCCTTTCTCCGATGAGTCCCCTGCTCGGCCGGTCGAGCATGACACGGCCAACCGACTACCCCGGTACTCAGAAATTTTGGGGGAACTCAGAGATATCAATCCCGACGATCCTCTGGTGGGCTCTTGGAAAATCGACCCGTTCGATAACGATCCGGAAATGACTCTACATTACGTCGAAACTTACTTCTCAAACGTGAATGACGGGATATACCATATTTTCCCCCGTGCTCGGTTCGTTTTGTGGCTGAAGTCCTGCGAGACAAAGTCCCCCGAGGATAAGATGCTTCTCTACTCGATGATGGCGCTGGGCTCCCTCTTCTCGGACCGGCCCGACAGAGTTACTGCACTGCGGCGTTACTCTCGCATTGCACGCTTTGCCATTCAAAAAAGCCAGCATAGCCTGTCTCTGCAGCTTGCCCAGAGCCATCTTATTATGAGTCTGCTGTATTATGCCGCTGGCTCTTTGGTGGGATCTTGGGATTCGATTGGGGCTGCTGGACGGGCTGTCAGTGGACTGCGGTTCAACATAGAGTCTGGCGGTGTTATTGTGGATCAGAATCAAGCTTGCGACTACGGACTCCATCCACAGGCGCTGATCGAGTGCCGTCGTCGGACATTTTGGGTCGCCTTTATTCTGGATGTAAGCACCCGCATTACACTCGCTCTTACATGCAGAACAGGCTAACAATATGCGCAGCGAGTTTCGTTTTTCTTCTCTGCAACATCAACATCCATCTCTTCGGAATCGGCATTGATTCGACTCCCATGCCGAGAAGAAATATATGAGGCACAGCAATATGCAACAGCACCTTACTTCCAGACCGTTCTCAACCAAGCCCCAATCTCAGCCGAAGACGACCGGTCCGCCCTGAGCCCAATAGCTTTTTTGATCCAGATTCTGTCGATCTGGGGCGACGTTTCTTTCCAGGCCTTCCGCCTGTCACACACACCGTCCGACGGATGGTCACCGCTTGCTGAAGGATTCCACTCTACCATCATCCGCCGGACAGACGAGTGGATGAACAGACTTCCCGAACATCTTGCCTTCTCCGTTACCAATATGGAGCGTGCTAGCCAAGCGAAGAACGTGGATGCTCTGGTTTCGATCCACATGTTCTACCATGCCACTTTGATGAAGCTGTATCGACACGTACGATACCACAGTCTGCGGTCGGAGGCGTTGGTTCAGTATATCCACCGCGCACGATACCACGCAGTTGAAATTCTCAGGATCGCACTTGCCGTCGTGCAGTTCTCCCACCAGATCCAGTCTACTCGATTCCCAGCGGACGCATCTGCACCTAATGAGCCGATTTTGAGCCCATTCCTGGGCTACGTGGTCCTATCTGCCGTGGACGTACTCAGTGCAGGAGGGATGGTGACGGAATTGCCAGACTGTATTGCTTTCATCAATGGCGCGCTTGGCATGATCCAACTCCTTGGCTACCACTGGGATAGCTCTCTGAGCCTGGCAAATATCATCAAGAGGCGTCTTGACTCCATGGTCGACTGCCTGAATGACCGATCCCGCCCCCAGGATAAACTCGGCTTTGCCGTTGACGGTCCTTCTCTTGCGACGAAGGTGCCTGCCGGTACCCCCGCTCAACCGCCAGGCGCGCTCGAAGAAGACCTCTTCTACGGCTCTATGCAACGGGAGATTCTCCTGCGCGCCATGTGGGCCGACGATACCCCCTTCTCGGACAGTAATATCGCCTGGTTGAAAGATCACTGAAACTACCTGATCTGACCGATCGGTGATCCCCTGACCCTACATATTCCTTTTCCCTCCCGCGCATGAATAATTTCATTTCTCATATCGAAAATGGGCGGCAACCATTTTTTTACAGCATTATAGAGATCCGTTTCATGTTCACGTCCATGTGCATTTTACTATCGCACTCTTTCTGGCCACATGTCTTTGGTACTGTCATATTGCATAACCCAGGCAAAGAGCATCCGAACTCGATTTACTTTTGATTCTTGATTGTTCTTTTTACGACGTGATGGTATTGATGTCGATGATGGCGGGTTGACTTTTCCCAAGTATCTCTGCATCGGGTGGGAGATTCAGTTTCCTCTACCCTTGTACTATACTTTCTGATTGTGCATGTTGGTTTTGTGTCTTCTTCTTGTCGAGCGAGTCGCGTGAGCGCTTCTTGTATGTATACTATCTACCGGAACCAAAAGGAACACTTTGGTCGGGCTGGATTGTTGATGTGAATTTTTTTTTGGAAATTTGAGGATATCTTTTGGAACTACAAGATAACCACGCCTGAGTCACTTGCGCTTTCGTTGGCCTCTTCCCATTCGTCTGGATCGAATCGTCGTACCCAAGCCACTTTGCCCTTGGATGGGTCCATGATAGTGGCATAGTGAGTGGTTTCGTTTAAGACCGGGAATGTTGTCAGCCAGGAGATGGCTTCCTTCTTGGTAACAGCCACCGAGTCATCCGCAGCGACTCGCATAGATGCTCGTAGCCTTTCCGCTTCCTCGGCTTCCTCCTCTCGTTTCTTCCGCAAGCGCATTGACGACCGGCTGCCCTGCGGCTGATCCAGCTGATCGATATGCGCTGTAATCTTCTTCAGAGCATCTTCCTTAGCATGTATCGCCTGTTGTACTTTTTCATTCCATCGCGTCTGCATACAATCACGTCTCTCGTTGCTGTCCTCGATCAGATCGGCCATGACCTGTCCATCCGGCGAGATCAGCGACAGACCCACATGATTCTTCCTCTTCTCATCCGCAACCGCTTTCGGAGACGCCGAACCAGGCTGCTGGTCATGGTTTGTGACGATGATGAATGAGGGCGAGGAGCGAACAATCGCAGTTCGGTGGTCTTTTTCCATGGTGACCGTAGTTATCCCGTCACTGAAGATGAGATACACTGCCGTTGTCGGCATGCTGGGGACATGGGCCACGATCTGCTCCAAAGTCGACAGCGGGTTTTTCCTCGGTCGAGGCTCGGACGGGAAAGAGAAGAGACATTCTCGCAATAACGATGAAACCGATTGCCGCATTCCAAGGAGCACGAGCAGATGATTGGTGTAGAAAGCCAGGTTCCGCGATTCGTCATGAACCGGGCGAAAATTAAGTGACATGCTCAGGTCTTGTCTCACGCCCGTCAACACGCCGACATATCCCACGTACGTGATACTCGTCGCAAGGACCTTCTCCGGGTCGTCGTTTCGTACAAACTCCAGCTGAACGATCAAATCACGTAGCGGGTCCATGCCCCAATCGAGCGTCCGGAAGTGAAGCATTGTGAGCTGCGATCCGCTTTTGGTGCGCACGCCGCCACTCGTACAGCCCATGAGGAGGTCAAGCACCGTATTCAGGCAGATGAGAAGGTACATGTCGATGTCCGTGACGCGACTGATCCCATGCAGCTCGTCTGTTTCCTCGTCCGCGTATAGTCGGCGTAAAGAGAGCCGTGCAAGCCAATGAACTCCTTTGACGGGGATCTTGGGCGAGATGCCGTGGATCAGCTCATCGAACATGCCGCGTAAGGCGCGCATCCTGTCGCGATAACTCCTCGCCAGCTCCACATAGCGCTCAGACGGAGGGAGCGAGAGGTTGATTCTGAAGACGGGGGGTGCTTCGCCGACAGCAGCCGGAGTGATTGGACTCTCCATGGCGTGAATGTGGTTGTTGTGGGTAGTGCTTGGGGAATCGGAGTGAGCACAGCTGCCTGGCACAGTCCTGGGGGTGCTGACATGCGGCTCTGTTGACCTTCGCAGTCGAGCCACAGTCCAGCCGTTGCTGGACCCGCTTTGGGCGTTGGGGGCCCCATCATTTGTGGCCATTTTGTATTACGGATCGCACTCTGACCTAGAGCCGGATGGTGATCCAGCTACTGTAGAGCCATTGCCCCTTCTGTGACCAGGTGGAGGCTTTGGACTGCATCTGTGTATCTGTGTACACAACAGGGGCAATATAAGTCACCGCCAGCCACTAGCCTGGCAGTGGAAGGATTGGCCTGAGTCAAATGGCGACTGAGGGAATCAGTTCCTCGGAGCCTTGGTCATCATTCAAATCCATTGACACAAAAGCAAGTCATTAAATTAACTGATCTACAAACTCAAGATCGGACTGTTGATGCCACTGCTCCCTCCTCCTGGTAGATCTGGCGCTCAATTGGTCTCCTCCGCGTGCTTGTACATGGGTGATGAACATCCGTTACACCCTATTTCCTTCCTCACATTTGCTACCTTTCATCAGCAACGGCAAGCTTGCATTGGCGAATCCTGGGCGGTACTGGAAACCCCGCGGCCTCGGGAGGAGGAAACTTACCCCTTCGGGCGGGGCCAGACCTCAAAGCGGAGCCGGAGCGAAGGGGAAGTTTCTCCGGCAGCACTGCAACTACCGGTTTGCTTTGTCGCATCGACTGCCCCGCGCTAAGGGCTCAGAATTATGGACTCTGGCATCCTAGACCTCTAGACCCATATAGCCAGCATTCATGTCCGAGTCCTCAGAGCCGACTGCCGCCGCGGCGGCGGCGCGGGCCTTTGGTGCTTACCTCGACGATGACGGACTCGACGGCGAGTTTGGCACGAACACGGAGTACCCAGACCAGGTCGACTACTACTCCCTGCTGGGCCTTGCACAGAAGCCACCCCCGACCGATGCCGAGATTCGCTCCGCGTACCGCAACCTGAGCTTGATGTTCCACCCGGACAAGCAGCCGCCGCATTTGCAGGAATCGGCCGAGCAACACTTCACCCGCATCCAGATCGCATACGATACCCTGATCGATCCCAAAAAGCGCGTGGTGTATGATCTGCTTGGTGCAGAAGGGGTGGCAAATGAATGGCGCGTGGGGGGCGCAATGGGCCGTGGAGGGGAGGCCGAGAGACTGCAGGTAGGCGTGAAGGCGATGACGCCGGAGGAGTTTCGTCGCTGGTTCACGAAGACAATGAAGAAGCGCGAGCGTAAAGCTGTGGAGGAGCTGGTCAACAGCCGGGTAGGTGCTCCATTGGTACCGGGGTGTCGATGGGACGGTCGAATCGCTTGCTGATCCGCTTCGGGGAATCGTAGGGCTCCATCACGCTTGGGATCAATGCACAATCAACTATTCGAGTCGATGAGGACAATGATGTGACCGTCCAGGTCCCCTCGCAGGTCCTTCCAACGTCGTATGCTGCCAAGTACTCATTTAAAACTCCATTGGCGTTGCCCACTTTCGGAAGAAGAACGGACGAGGATGAAGCGCAGGATCAACAGGAGAAACCTGATGCAGGCGTGGCAGATGAAGAAGGAGAGGACCCTGTGTATGTGACCTTTAATGCAGGCATCTCCGGCAACCTCGTTCGTCCCAAGCAACCCATCGCCGTTGAATACGCCGATGGGACCTCGGAAGAGATGGAGGTATGTCCTATTTACCCTTCGTACTATGTATACCGGCAAGCTAACTCTTTCTAGATCCCGCTTCCCGCAATTTTGATGGCCAAGAACATCAGTTTGGGCGCCACTGTGACCCCCAATGTTAGGGAGCTGATTGGTACCAAGGGCATCTGGAACAATCGTCTGTTCTCGACTCTGAGAGATTCGACTGTCCTTGTGGAAGCCAACATCTTCCCGGTTCCTCTCTTGAAGACGACCGTTGCCCGGGCCTTCCAGCCGATCCCTGGGATCAAGCCGTTCCAGGTTACTACGCAGACCATCTTCCAGCGCTCCCTTCTGGAATCGCCACCTTCGTTTGAAGTGCATGTGACGAAGGAAGTTGCCCCAAGAAAACTTGCTTTCTGTGCTTGGTCAAGCGGACTGTGGTATTATCCAGATTTGCTGCTCGACCATTTCTCTTCCCTTGGAATGACCGTGGAAGACATGTATGCCCACCAAGGTGATCTCAGCAGCCTTCAGATCGGCTTGATTTCCCTACCGAAACTGCCTCAAAATGTGATTGAAATTAATGAGGACGACGAGGGGTCCGAAGATGAAGAGATGCGTCAAAGCCTGCTGAAGCAGAAGCAGATCGATCGCGCCGCCGAGGCATGGCAGACCTTTGTCCAGGTGTCTCCCGGAGGAGGCGCTCTGGGCCTAACATATTCACGGAATCTGTTTTCGGGAACACCGGCCACCGAGTCTCTGAAAGCCGAGTGGAGTGATGAGGGTTATGCTCCGTTTGCGAAGATGGAAGATGCCCGGGCTGTCCGCGTCGAGGTCTCCACTACGGTCAGCCCCGATCTCTCCTTCACTTGGAATATCAAGGGCACTCGCCGGATTGGCGAATATACCAAGATGAGTATCGGCATGGGCTTCACTCCTCAGGGTATTTTGATGACTATTGGCTGGGGCCGGCTTGGCCAGGGCCTCAACCTGCCCGTTCTGCTTTGCTCGAAGGACGAGGCCACCCACGACGCGGCTGTTTTGGCCAATATATTCACCTGGGCTACTTATCTTGCAATCGAATTTGGTTACGTCCGGCCCCGCGACAGAAAGAGACGTCGTGAAGCGGTTGCTCGTCGTCACAACCAGCTGAAGAGGCTGATCCCGCAGAAGAGGGCGGAAAGCGAACAGGCCGTCCAGCTCATGGTAGACCAAGTTCGGAGACGGCAGGCGCGTGAGGACGAACAGGGCGGGTTGGTCATTGACCGGGCCGAATACGGGTACTATCCACCCACAGATCGAAAGCCTAAGCCTGGGTTCGAAGAATCTCGCGTCACCGACGTGTTCCTCCCCGTGGCTAACCTCGTTGACCGTGGTCAGCTGGTGATCAGTAAGAACACCGTGAAAGTAAGCAAAGTAATTTCCTTGCCAGGTCTGTCAATCAATATGCTAACTCATACTTCTTTTAGCATCAAATAATTGGTTTCTATGATCCAGCTCCGCTACTGAAGAAGCGACTGAAGATTTGGTACCGTTTCCAAGACCGGGACCACTTCGTTGATATCGGCGACAAGGAGGGTGTTGTCTTGCCGCAGCGCACCCATATGCTCCCCGATCATGAACAGTCCAAACCAGTGTCTCTGTAGCCTCGTGGTCCTGGAAGTCTCCTTTGTGGCACCTCCCCACCCTCCTGTAATACTACTGCATACGCACCTATACATACCCGATTTTTCCCTGCCAGGTGGGGCTTTCCTATTCTAGTGACGACCGCTTTTGTGAGGGCGCCCAGGCCCAGGCTCAGTGAGTAAATCTCATTACGGACTCCGGCTCAGTGATCTTGCTCAGCAATTTCACATGATCTACTCCTCATACTCCGTGAGGCTCAGGGGATGCTCAGTGATTACTTATGGTACCTCAGTGTGCCATCAGTGTGCATTTCTGCTTAGAGTAAGGTACTAGGAATGTATTTCTCGCCTGGCTATGCTAATGTCGTAGGAATGAGGCGCTGTTTGAGGCATTCTTTTACACTCCTTGATGAAGCAACCGTACGGAAATGATGAATGGTGGCATGCAAGATTTTGGCCTGGATGAGTAAGCTTGAATACCGGTTGCGTAGCAGGTCGACAAATAAATCTTTTTCTAATCAAATGGGATATCAAAGCATATGTGAGGTCCATCGGCATATTTGGGGAAAACGGGGGAAATTTGGGAGCCGAGGCACACACTGCTGGGTATGGGAGAGCGAAAATACAAAGATCAACTGGATTCCAAGCTCATTGAATTTTTTTGGAGAAGGATAAACAATTTTCTCTTTGGTCCGAAAAAGAACAATTAAGTTGGAGCATGCCTCTAATCCATTCCCACCCCTAATTTCCTGAGTGTTAAACGATATCATCGGCCTAAGCTATTGGGATCCCAGTCATGAGCGAGGCGAGAACCTTGGGTTCCAAAACCTCCTCAATGCCGAACCAATACTGAAAGTCTTCAGATCTGCCCTTGTCATAATCGACCTCATCCTGGATGGCATTTTTGTTCTTGCAAAAAACCCTCAGCTCTTTGCATGCCACGTCGCCATTTCTTTGCAGATATTCCTTCATAACATCGCCACAGCTCATGACAATTCGACTGACAATCTGGCTACCATTGCTCACGATGGACGACATTCCCAATTCACGGGAACTCTCCGCCGAGCCTCGCGCGACGTGATGAATCAGAATCACGATGTTTGAGATAAAGGATTCATCAGGCATGTACGCAGCTGTGAAATATTGGACAAATTTATGGTGCTCTTTCGCTTTGATCAGTCTCAGCAGCTCGATGGAGCGTTTATGCATGCCGAAGTAGTTGAACAAGATCAGAGGCTCTTCTTCGGCCAACTTGCTCTTCAAGAGGGCGAGAAGTTGCAGGGCGCCAATGTTGCGAGTATGAGACCACTTTCGCTGAAACATTGTTTGCGGATCGGATGGTCGTAGCTTCTCCTTGGTAGATCTGGGACCTAGTTCTTGCGAAAGCTTATCCAGGACCTTGTCAATGTTTCCAATACCATCGCCTTCCTCATAACCAGCGACATACTGGGCTCGGAACATGTTTGCAATTGTAGTTGTTGGCGTAAGTACTCTGGGATTCTTTCCATCGGGGCGATGGAAGTCTTGCCTGTTGCGGGAATCGCGGGCAAATTTGGCAGTCGATGATAGGCCTGTGGCCAGTTCAAGTCTATTTAAAGACTCGCTAGCATTTTTGGGTCGAGACCCGATGAAGATATGAGACTCGCCATGAATCTTAATGAAAGCCTCCATATCAGGCCAACTCAGGTTCTTTTGCGATTGAACTTTCACAAGATTGTATAAGAATGCCAGTTGCTGGACATCGTACCACTGAGTGATGAGCTGTAGGCCAGCAGACTGCATCCGAGTGTTGAGATGAAACAAGCTCAAGCCACAAAGAATGGAGTGCTGGGATAAAAGCACATGTTTCTCGAACGCATCGTTCCCTGGAAATGAAACACGTCGTAGCTCTGAGAAGGGATCCTTGATGATCCATGAATCCACGGTGAAGTGGATATTTTTAATCTCATCGTCACCCTCCTTGGGCCAGAATTGGGGCTGTGGGTGAGTCTTCGAAATCTTCAAGTAGTCATCAATGGTTTTTTGAATACGCAGTCCCGACATCCGGAGGTCTTGAAATGTACTTAGGGTGCTGTAACGCATAATATGATGAACATCAAGAAGGATTTGGGAGGCGAAGCAAAGCCATGGATCGACCATCTTGGTTTTGCAAAACTCAACAAGACCTCTAGTAATCGAATCCGAGGTAAGCATGCGAATACCGAACGTATCGATCATACAAAACTCCGGTAAGAGTTGGAGAAGAAGGATCTTGTCCTCGTTGAATTTCTGCCCCAGAGACATCCCATCTCTGTTTGCCTTAGGATCGTAAATACCGAAATGGCCTTTCTTGAAGACCGGCAGATGATTATTCTGCAAAACACGGCTGAACGATTCCAGGATGACCCAGGTTGGCAAATAGCACCACTCGGCGACATCGGCCATGTGTTTGTTGTATGGCAGGCCGACTTCAACAGATGGAGTCGGAAGGATCCCCCGGGTGATACAGGCAGCTCTGAAAACCAGGTCCTGGAAGTTTTCATCAGGCGAAAGGGTGGAAGAAGCCCAGTCGTCCACCACCACCTGCACCAGATCTCGCGCAAGTTGTAATGCACCATCGGTCACGAGAGCAGCGTTCATCAGATCGATCTTTTTGTCTCGATATTCTGACCAGGTATGGGAGATGAAGGCCCGCATATTGTGCAAATCCTGGAATAAGCAGAATGCCTTGAAGAACATGTGGCCGAAATATGAAGCTGTTGCCTCATCCTCGTCATTCTCAACGAGCTCCACCTTCACGATCTTCTGCGATGCGGGGGAGGCTCCCTGCTTCTGTTGATGTTCTTGTGGTTCCTCAACGGTAAGTACAGCGAATTTGTTCAAGAACATGTCGAGGTCCGCATCGCCATCTTTGGTATCACCGGTTGGACGAGGCTGCTTGGCATCTGGGTTGGAAGGTTTGTTCGTCTTCCATTCCAGCGTCTCGCAAACCCGTTCCAACGCAGAGATAAAGTGAGCGTGCCGTTTTTCGTTTTCGGTCTCGCCCTGCCCCAGAAACCAGGATGTGACGTGTTTTCTCAACTTGATCGCTCGTTTGGCAATGGTGAGAACCGGCGTAGGCACAGTGAGGGCTGATTTTGCAACGACTTCAGCGAAAACTTGAAGATCCTTGATGGTTGTGGTGTACTGAACTGGACCGGAGGAGGCACTGGCGGCCTTGCTTTTGCTCTTGCTTTTGTCCTTTTTCAATGGAAGGGCGGTAGAGGCCAGGCCGTCGGGTTGATGGCCACATTTGCTGGCTGCCTCGAGTAGCCAGGTTGCAAAGCTGTTGGTATCATCCTTGTAGCGAGTGTAACTGCTTTGCAAGAAATTGGGCAACATGGTGTTGATTGAAGAAGAACAAGAACAGACAATTACTGACTAGAAAGATTCGCTAGAACGCTGAGGATCAGGGACAACAGCGGGACGGTGTTAGATTTCTCCCTTCCCCTTTGGGTTTAGCCCCCGAGATAGTCAGCTATATATGGGGTAGACGGGCCAACAGGAACGCGGGGTGCTTTCCAACTTTCACAGGTTAGGGTTAGCGTGACATGGGAAATCCATTTAACATTATTTGGAAATTCCGATTCCATTCCCGGTCGCTTTTTCTATGTAGGACTTTCCCATGGGATTTTCAGCTTCTGTGGAATATTCCCATCCCAGTCAGGGCAGTGATGGGAGCTTTCTATCCTATTGTCCTTGCGACGTTTACTTCTCCAATTCCGATCTAGACGACGAAAATCCCATTTCTAAATGGGATTTCCCTATATTTTCCCAGTCTCCCGTACCGGGATTGTAATTTTCCAATATAACGATGTGTCAACAGTAAAATAACTATATGTACTAATAGATGAGCCTAGACTATTTAACTCCCGTCCATTATAGATAGAGAAACTTGTTAAAGAGGATATTAGGAAGCTAATAATGAAGAACAATCTAAATCACAGAACTTGATTAAATCTAAATAGGAGTCTATTGTATAAAGTGAAGAAAGAGGTACCCAGCGATGGGAGTCTCTATGCCGGGTTCGCTCTACTAGTGATCGAACAAGGTAGATCTCATCATTTGTCGCAACCTGCTTCCGTGACTTTTGTCGCCGCTAGTTAACCACCGCATCATCCCATCCGCTGAGATCTCCTCGTTAAGAATAGAATATCCTAATTCTGGCATCGCATATTTCATAATCATGATTTTCACAATAGTTAGTCCTTGAAGTTTTGACCGACGGTAATGGTAAAGATCACGACCGATGCTGAATTACTGCTTGATAGGTATACTGGCAAGGAGGATAGCAAGAAGGTAGGCCATATGAGTAACCATAGGATACTGTACATTAACTTAAGAAAAGTCGGCACTTAATAAGCCCGTTCTTGGTGGACCATTGTTATGCCAGACTCCCTTCTTACCATTTGCATCCTTGACATTGGCAAAAACATGGACCTCCAACTTGAATATTCCCTACATTGAACTCTTCATATCAATTTTAGATTCCTCTAATCTTAAACACGTAAAATAACGGTAGCAATGACGTGAGTAGCCTTCTTTAAGCGCGGAATAGAAGGTCTTGGCGTTGGGCGTTCCAAATACACCACTTGCGCAAATCTGCAAAAGCCAAGCGCATCCATCGACGACCTCCACTCATCCAACCACCTCGACTTGACAGCTCTCGTCCCATGATCAAGTCTTACCATGGCTTCTATTGCTTCGGGACTTTTCAAGTCTCTCCCTAAGCCCAAATACACGGGCGAGGAGGAGGAGTTGCCACAGCATGCGCAACCCCGTGGTCCGCGTGTCGTGGGCGCCGATCAGCTCGATGAAACGCAGGTCGTCTTACGGGTGGGCTATCTCTTCGTTTTACCCTTGCTAATAGGGATTGTTACTAATTGTGTGGCTCTCTTCTCTAGAGAACCGGCCCTCCGCCCTACGGAAATCGTGCAGGATGGCGACCGCGCGCCCCCGAAGATTTTGGCGACGGCGGCGCGTTCCCTGAGATTCTAGTCGCACAGTACCCCCTCGACATGGGCCGTAAGGGAACCTCATCGTCATCTAATGCGCTGGCGGTTCAGGTCGACGCTGAGGGTAAGGTCAAGTACGATGCGATCGCGCGCCGCGGACACAGCGACAACCGCATCGTCCATGCGTCGTTCAAGGATTTGATCCCGCTCCGGCAGCGGGTGGATATGGGGGAGATTTCTCTCGATAGACCATCGGAGGAGGAGGTTGAGGCTCAGATGGAAAAGACCAAGAATGCGCTCGCCAGCCTGGTGGATGGAGCCCTGCAATCACAGAAGCCGAAGAACGTCAAGGGTGGTCGACGGGCAGAGCCGACCTTTGTTCGGTACACGCCGGCGAACCAGATGGGAAATAATGAGAAAAAGAACGACCGCATTATGAAGATCGTTGAGCGTCAGCAGGATCCTATGGAGCCGCCCAAGTTCAAGCACAAGAAGATTCCCCGTGGACCACCATCACCCCCGCCCCCCGTTATGCACTCGCCGCCGCGGAAGCTCACTGCTGAAGACCAAGAAGCTTGGAAGATTCCTCCTCCGGTTTCGAACTGGAAGAACCCGAAGGGTTACACTGTGCCCTTGGACAAGCGTTTGGCTGCAGATGGCCGTGGGTTGCAAGATGTTTCTATCAACGACAAGTTCGCCCAATTCGCCGAAGCATTGTTCACGGCCGACCGCCACGCCCGTGAGGAGGTGCAGCTCCGAGCTCAGATGCAACAAAAGCTTGCCGAGAAGGAAAAGGCCCAGAAAGAGGAGCACCTTCGACAACTGGCCCAAAAGGCCCGCGAGGAGCGTGCGGGACCCAGCCGCCGCGACTCCCGCGCCCGTTCTCGCTCCCGCAGTGCTAGCCGCAGTGTTTCCCCCCTACTCCTCCAGGTCTGGTAGTCCGAGCGAGGACGAGGCGGCCCGAGAGCGTGAGCAGCAGCGCCGCGAGCGACGACAAGAGAATGAGCGGCAACTGCGCCAGTCTCGTATGGGTACCGAGCGCCGTATTCAGGCCATGGCCCGTGAACAGGACCGTGATATTTCTGAGAAGGTTGCCCTGGGTCTAGCCAAGCCTACACAAAGCTCCGAGACCATGTGGGACTCGCGCCTGTTTAATCAGACCAGCGGCATGAATGCTGGTTTCAACGAAGACAACCCCTATGACAAGCCGCTGTTTGCTGCGCAGGACGCCATCAACAGCATCTACCGCCCTCGTGCTCAGGTTGACGCCGACGACGATGAGGGTGGCGAGGCTGAAATGGGCAAGCTCCAGAAGACCAGCCGCTTTGAGGTTCTTGGACGAGCTAAGGAGGGCTTCAAGGGTGCTGCGGATGCTGAGGTAGGTTATTCCTCGACAAGAATTGCTAGGTTTCTTTCAACTAATCATTTGTTTACTTTTCATAGGAGCGCCAAGGCCCTGTCCAGTTCGAAAAAGATACCGCCGATCCCTTCGGTATTGATAGCATGATTGCCGATGTGACTTCTGGTCAGAAGCGTTACGGTATCCAAGAGGCTGAGGGAGATGACCGGGGCTCAAAACGCGCTCGCGTTGATGACGACTAAGCTTATTGTGACCGTTACTGTGCAGTATCATGTGTTTGGGGCATTCGGTGACATGCCTCCGGGTCGGGTTATCTTTGTGCATTGCGGGCGTTTCTGGCGGCGCAATATCCACCATTTTGTTTTCTCGACGCTTCCAAAATTTCGGGCGATTCAGGAAGAGGTGAACTTCGACTAAAGTCATGAATGTACTCTTGCCTCTTTGGACGAAATCAATCGAATAGCAACTCATTTTCACACTTTCTACTGACATCTAGATCATGCAGTAGGTCCCAGAACTGTAGAAAGCGTATTCCAGTTCACATTGATAAGTTGTTTTGAAACCCAAACTCAGCCAAGAACAATTTTATACGGTGAAAAGCCGATGTCCACCCAATCTAGTTCTTCACCTCCGTCTTGTTCGGTGACAGCACCTCCTCAAACCACTTGTATGCCACCGGCAGGCTGTTCGGGTATCCCATGTGCATCAATCCCTCAAAGAAGCGGCCCTCCTTGGGACCACCGTGGTTGAAGAGGATCAGCGAGTCTTCGATAGGCACCACGCCGTCATCAACACCCTGTTCGACCATTAGTACCTAAATCTCCTCTCGAAACTTTGATGGAAGCACATACATTGAGCAACAGCAGCCGGCAGTTAGGCTGATCCATGACACCCGTTTCAATCAGGGAAAACTTCTTCTGCGCGTTCTCCTCGAACTCCTTCGTGCTGGCGTAGCCGTACTTTTCCGCCCAGCAGTCGGTGATACTACCCTCACACATCAAGATCAGTCCAACCCTCCTTTTGATTCCCTCCTCGATAGGACAGTACTCACGTAAAAGGATACTCATGGTCGTTGACCCGGCTCAGCCACTCCTTGCCCAGGAAATGATGCGAACCAGGGCCATGCGCCACACACCCAACCAGGCGCTCACGGTGCGTGCACGCTGCGCGGATCGCATAGAAGCCACCGGCACTCAACCCCCACACTGCAACATGGCTCATGTCGAGCTCCGGTCGGGTCTCCATGTAATCCAGGACGCTGGACCACAGGCGGTCCGGCGACTCGGGGTCCGTAGGGTCCGCCGGACTATCCGCGGTGCCGGGGATCTCAACGATTACGACCGCCCAGCCGCGGGCGATGATCTCGTGAGTGCGCTGGCTGTTGTCCGGTCGGTAGCCGTCCAGGCCGGTCATGATCAGGACGACGGGGACGCGGTTAGACGCTGAAGCGTCCTCCGGCAGGCGGATGTACAGTGGGATCTGGGATCCATCTGAGCCGGAGGCGTGCTTGTGCAGGATGAGCTCTTCCTCTAGAGCGGGCTTCCATAGCGAGGCTGCCTTCAGATACGCGTTCTTCTGGCGCTCATAGGCCAGCCGCTTGACCGAGGTCTCTGAGCGGCTCGCGTGGCTAACGTAGGGGAAGCGCGAGATGCGGAGGACGACCGCCGCGCGGCGGTACAGGTCTGAGGCGCGGTCTGCGTGGCCGGAGTCGAGGGCTTCGGCGGCTTGTCTCTCGAGAGACTCGGCGATGGGCAGGAAAGTGTTGGTGTAGGCGTCCGAAAAGGCGTCGTTGATGTTTTGCTAGGATGATGGTTAGGATGGGTTCGGAGGAATGGCCCGAGATAGCAGAGCACATACAGCAATCAACTTCTCAAATATAGGCTCGAAGTCCTCGAACGATCCATCGTGGAATGGGTAGATTGATTTCTGGCACTGAAGCGATGCGAGTTAGGGTTAGCATCGTCCGGTAAGCGGGAATGTAATGCTGATCATTTGTGTGGATGCATTGACGTACGCAGAACTTCCACTTAGTCTCCCACAGAGCCTTGATCGAGCCCTGATGCGGGTAGACGGTGTTAAAGCGTTCTCCGAGAATCCAAGGCGTCATGGTGAAGGGTAATTGATCAAGTAAGTGCAACCGTGTTTGTACAGATAGTCCGAGGGTCGAAGTAAGCACAGTACAGAGGAACACATTTCAGCGGGCTAGCAGTCGCTTTAATTACTCTAGCATATACTGCGCATGGGAATCGCTAAGAACGGTAAAGCCCGGGTTGAGACTACAGAATGATGAGTTCGATGTAGAGGTGCATGAAAACAGCAGGTGGAACGCTTGCCACGAAAGCAGAGGAGACCGATCTCTACTCTGGGGGCGAATTGGAGGAAACGGACGAATCGGCATGGCTTGATTGGCTGACTAGCTATTCAAGGGTCCAACTGATGCGCTGGCTAATCCGTCAGCTTCCGAATCCGGGGATTACCCCTGCTGCCCCTGCAGGGCCGGGGGTGGCTAGGCCATGCGGGGCGGGTCCGTGGCGCTCGATCTAAGGATGCGGCGTCTCTTCGCTATGATGGCGTCGCTGAATGGGGGATTGAGACTTTCTTCGAAATAGTCGCGATCGCGCGCGTCTTCTATTCAGTATCCCATTGGGACGCAAACCCCATTGTTGTGTTAGAACGGTCGTGATGCTTGAAAGGATGGACCTGATTCTCACTCACTACTGCATGCGGAAACGCGGCGCAAAGAGCAACGGGAAGTGGTTTCCTTCGTATGTCGCATTTCTAAGCTTTGACTACAGTAAGACAGGAAATAAATGCGACATGCGAAGTGTGAAGAAAGAATAACAAGTCTTTTATTGCTGAGAAATAGTAATCGATGCTAAATGTGCTCCAAGTAGGATTATGCTAGTATTACGCGAGAGATTTGAAGCATCAAGCTTATATACAAGCTTTCACAGAATGAAATGCAACTGCCGTCGTTTACTGCTGATGCTCATACTGCTGCCAGTATTCGTAACCCTCGGGAAGGTCGTTAGGACTAGCGGGAGAGATTAGCTCAAGTCCCGTGTCTCGTGCTTATGAAATTTGACTTACCCATTGTCGTGAGTCTTGATGGTGTAACCGCCATCCTTGACATAGCCATCGTTGCTGGTGGGGTGAGGCCAGGGGCCCCTAATAGAGGATGAGCACGGGTTATGAATTGAAAAGCAGAGGGAGCTTACTTAGTATCCTCGTTGTGGGCAATAATAGGCTGTCCGTTAGGACCATGCCCAATTTGGGCATGGGACTCATCGTTGATGGGGTTAGGCCATGGGCCCCTACACTGATGTTTAGCTTGGGCTATTGCTTGATCAGGTGAAGAGATGTTTACCTGGTATCCTCGGAGTGCGCATAGTCAGCATGCGGGCCTTGTCCAACCTGGGCGGAGCCGTCGTCAGTGTGGGGGTGAGGCCAGGCGCCGCTGATTGAATAATTAGTATAGTTTCCATGCAACTTGTGTGAAGTAAACTTACTCGCTCTCGTGCTGGTGCACATCGACAGGCGTGTCATGGGGAGGCGGGGCCAGGGGTGCACAGTAGACAGGCTCTAGTGGCACGGACTCTTGGGGAGCCGGGGCCACGGGAGCAGGAGCCACGGGGGCAGGGACGTGAGCAGCAGGCGCCTGTGGGGCGGGCTGCTGTGCAATGGGCTCGGGAGCAGCAGGCTGAGAAGTCGGTGTCTGTGGGGTGGGCTGCTGTGCAATGGGTTCAGGAGCAGCAGGCTGAGGAGCCGGTGCCTGTGGGGTGGGCTGCTGTGCAATGGGCTTGGGAGCAGCAGGCTGAGAAGCCGGTGCCGGCTGGTAAGGAGGGGGCCCATGGGAGTGAGTGGGATAGGGTGCTGGGGGCTGCTGAGGAGGAGGCGACTGGGTAGGCTCAGGCGCAGGAGCCGCAGGAGGCGGCGGAGTCCAGGTAGTCGTCTGAGGCGCGGGAGGCGGCGGCGGTGGTGCCGAAGACGTCCCAGGCTGCTGGGGAGCAGAGGCAAGAGGCTTGAAAGAGTACATGGCGCCGTGAACCTCGGTTTCAACCTCGGTCTTCGCCCCAGCAAGATCAAGGCCGTACTTGCCCGCGGCGTTGCCATTGGTGGGGTCGGGATAGGCTGCACAGGCATCATAGTGGCTCTGGGGAGGAGCGTCCTGGGAATCGGGGAAGGTTTCTGGGGCCTCAATGATGGTGGCAACCAGGCCGGCCTCGACGTGCCACTCAACGTGGCAGTGCAGAAGCCAGACGCCGGGGTTGTTCGCGCGGAAGCGCAGGACGGTATGGCCATGGTTCTGAACCATGATGGTGTCGCGGCGGATGGGAGTCTGCGAGACGTTCTGGTAGTAGGCGCCGGTGAAGTAGCCCCCATCAACATCAGAACGCTGCAGGACCTGGAACTCGTGCCCGTGCAAATGCCACGGATGCAGGTTGTTGTGATGATTGTTGATGACGATCTCCACGACGTCGCCGTACTTGACGATGAAGGGATTCACCTGGCCATAAACTTCTGGATTGGACGAAAACTCCTTTCCGACGCTGGTGGCAGTGTACAACGTGGGGACATCCTGGGGGATGTAAGTCTTGTTGTTAATCATGAAGCGATTGATACCATTTATCTCAGCAGAGAAGGTGTCGATGATGATCTGCTTGTTCACTGGCTGCAGCAGAGGCTCCTTGTCGAGGGGAACGAAGGCGACATCGTCCACGAAGCTGAACTCGTGCAGAACAGGAGGTGGGGGTAGAGGCTTTGCTTCATCATACACAAGCCAAGCAGTCACGTTGGGATTATAATTGGCGGGAATGGCGCGGTTTTCGTAGATGAACATCATGTTGATATCCATCGTGTTCCAGATCGCAAAGTTCTTGCTAGTATCGGGCTTCGTGTGGATCAGGACACTCATCCGCTGACCAGGGGCAACACGAAGCATCTGGTTGCCAACTGGATACGGTTCAGTGTAAATTCCATCAACTTCCACGACAGTCATCTCGTGGCCGTCCAAGACCCAGGTGTGGCCGGGCCAGTTGCCAACACAGACGATGTGAACCAAATAAGTCTTGTTGGGCTGAACCTTGATCTTGGTTTTGGTGGAATCATTGATCAAGGCCGAGTCCGGAATCGGCTCCTTGCCACCGAAAGCCTCCTCGTTCTCCTGCGATAGGTAGTCATGCAGCAAGTCGGCCATCTCGCGGTGGTACCACTCGCTGAGAGTAAGAGTGAATTCATCATCGTAGTGGAAGGGCGGCTTCGGATCGTGAACAATGAAAGCACCACGGAAGCCATCCGGATACTGGCCCATGTTGTGCGAGTGATACCAGTAAGTTCCGGTTTGGTTAACCTATTGACCTGGTTAAACAACGGTCTCAATATGATCATCAATGTCTGAACTCACAATAAAATTATACTGCATGTGCTGGCCCGGGGCGAGGGGGCACTGGGTCACCGAGCTGGAGCCGTCCATGACTCCAGTGTGGTACTGATGAAAGCCGTGCCAGTGGATACCAGTCGACTGGTTGCCCAGACCGTTGTACACGTCCACAATCACACGGTCCCCAAGCTCGACATCAACCTGTGGGCATGGCCATTGGCCGTTGATACCAATGACAGGCCGTGTATATCCATCCGGGGAGGCATTGACCCAAGTAACGTTCCAATTGAGGTAGACGTCCTTGGCGGCGGCCAGCTTGGCGGCAAAGCCAGCCAAAAGAAGCAAATTAAACTTGCCCATGGCGGCTGATCATCTAACGAACGAGTGACAATCGGATCCAAAATTCAGACAGATAGCTAAATCCTCCGAGCAGAGGCAGCCGATGGATCAACGTTAGACAGCCAAAACTAGAAATTAAGAATTAATGTAAGGGGGAAAAAAAATGAGATTGTCGACAAAAACGAAGGTCGGTGCAGGTCGTCCACTGCGATAATTGCTCGAAAGATCAACGTCCAGGGAAAGGAAATGTCTTTCCTTTAACAAAGCGCGCGATATTGATCTGCGCTAGGGGGCAATGTTTGTTGGTCCCTGAATCGGGTGCCATGTTTCCCGCAATGCCGAAAGCAGTGCAGTCGATTCAAGGAACAGAGGACAACAGAGGTAACCTCAAGGGCATAGTGTACCCATTCGGTGATATGTTTTGTGCCGAAGCATTCTCGGGGGCTGGCATGCAGATGAATAGCTGGTCTCGGCCACGGATCAGGGCTTGCACGCAAGGGGTTGCATGCCGGGCTGACCAACTCGGTAAAACAGAAACAAAAAGCAAGTGTAGAAATTCAAGGGAGCTATCAGGTCAGGCGATCTCTCATTGTGGTGTAGTTAGTCATTCAAAGGGTCAAGATGGAATGAATCTATGGGGTTCGACTTCAATTCTGAAGTAAGCACGTTCCCACTGCGAACCCAGCTGTTCATTATGCTGGTTGGACCACGGCAGCTAATTTAGTTGCATCCCGCCAAATGGGATATTTCCCCGGTAGCAGTAACCCACGATGTATACGTCCTAAGTAAAAGTTCGTCCCTGCGCACATGTCGACGGCGATGACATAAATCCCCGTCGTATCGGCGGGGTTCGGCGGGCAAAAATCATCGGGTCACGGCTCCACTCGCAACGGTTCCTTATCGGCCGATGACTATTTGGCCAAGGCACCGTTGGAGTGCAACCGTGTCCGAGACGCAGAAGTGGGGTGGCCTGCTGCACGAACATATCGAACCTGCGGGCATTTCCCCGGCGATAGGGTATGGCCCATTCGGACGCATCAGGCAGGATATATCTTCCCTGGCAGGTCGAGCGGGAGCCCTACCGGGTCGATCGTGTGGACAACGCGGGGCCGTGCAGATTGATCAATCAGGCCAGTCTCATTGGCCCGAGAGGAGGCTCCCCTGGTCAATCAGATTCAGTGCTGCACCCCCCAGGATTCGTGAGGTGGTGGTGCACTTATCACAGGGGTTAATCCCCCGCAAGCCCGTCCAGGCCAGGGAGTAGTAGACCGGGTGCTCAGGTACCAAATGCATGTCATGGCGTCCGTGCGGGCCCGCGAACAGCGCCTAGCGCGGGGCCTGCGATAAGCAGTGGGGATGATTTCCTAGTCGAGATGCGGTTAGTCAGATTAATGAGATAAAAGGTTGCAGGAAGAGATTTGGTAACCCACGAGCGATAAAGCCGGAAAGGAAGAGGGGGAAAAGTCTGGTCGAATTTGGCGGTCATCCAGACTTGTCTTTTGACGCCTGATCGGCGAGGGCGTGACTCGTACGTTGGCTTTTCCGCCTTGCTTTTCTTCCTCCCCCAGATACAAAAGACAGCCCACCCAGATTCAGCCGACCTGAACCCGTTTTTGAGTCTTCTGGCCCTCATAGCTATTCTTCCTCTATTCTCTCGTGCTTCCAATTCCCACTGACGCCATCCCGCACGTCTGCACTGTCACCATCGCCGTCTCGTAGCACTGGCTGCATCCCGCCAATGGCGTAATAGCTGAACCGCCGGAAACCACCATGCCAGTTGGGACGTGTCTGGCTCCAAAGGGAAGGAAGAGACGCCATTCAAGTGGACCCCGCTGAAGTACTGCATATCTGGGTCTCGCAATCTCGCAGTCTCGCAGTCTCGCAGTCTCGCAGTCTCGCAGTCTCGCAGTCTCGCAGTCTCGCAGTCTCGCAATATATTCCCTCTGCACTGCTACCGTGTATCCGGTTGCACGCCGGCAAGAAACGATGGAGCAATCCATGTCCATGATCGATGCCCAAGTGCAATTTTTAGTGAGTCACCCCGTACGGTGGGTATCCTTCACCAGGTCTAATATATATTCTCAGGAGGAGCACCTGGTCTTGGTCCACATCCCCTTGGAACTGTACCCCTACTTTTTGAAACCGGTGCTTAGACTCATTCTTGACGAAATCTCCCCGTTGGAAGATGGCGAGAAGGACGAAGATGACTTCTTGGCGGACATGGAGTCTATTTCTGATGAGGGCTCCGAGTACCGAGCACCGGCATTCTTGAACGTTTCCATCACCCCCGTGGAAGTCTCTGTGATCTGCCCGAGGCGCCTGGTCGAGAAGTATTTCGATCCCCTCATCAACCAGCTCAGCCAGATAGATATATCGCTGCGGTCTCGCGTGCATATCAGTGAAAATGACTACATCGCCATGCAGGTTCTGGGCCAAGGTCTAGAAGCCGGCAGGCGTGTTCTGGAGCTGACTAGCCCGCTAGCCATGGCAGGAATGTGAGAATCTCCTCCTTGAAATATATAGCCATTGGGGAGAGATACTGGCAGTCAAATACTGACCAGGCTATTCCAGCTCAATCTTCTTCATTTCAACCTACTTCTCCGACTACATTCTCGTGCCCCTGCGCAGCAAATCCAACGTAATATCCGCCCTCGAAAATCGGGGCTTCCAGTTCGAAAACGCCAACACAGCCTTTGTTAATCCTCTCAGTCCAACAGGGGAAAGAAAGCTCAGCGAAGTTATCCCACCACTCACGCCTCCGCCATCAAGCGTCGCAGAACTCCAAACCCGTACCTTTGAAAACCTTCGCAAACACCAGATTCTGCCTGCTGTAGATGACAGTCTCCGCCTCGTCCAGTGCGCAGCACACCACCAGTATAACCGCGAAGAAAGCTCCATGTCAATTCTACGCAATGCGCTGACAACTGTACTCCTCGTCGATGAGCCGCGCTTCCTTTCACTCACCCTCGCCGCGTTGGACCCGGCCGCCTCCTTGCTTCTCGAAAAGCGGTTGCTTCCACGCTTTGCGCGACAATCCGATTACGAAGATGGCTCGGGGCTACTGCTCGGCTCAAAAGAGGACTATTTGATCCCAATAATGCTGGACCTGCGCGATCTGCCGCTGGAGGCATCCGGTATCGTCTGCGGGGTAGCCGGGCGTCTTGCCGAAGCAACGAACGGGTCGTCGCGTAGCGTAACTAGCGGCAACGCAAGTATTGCCAGCGGGAACGACAGCAGTGTGATCGCATCAGTGTCTAAATTGTTTGATACTTTTGGCACCCGGCTTGCTCTTGGTGATAAGAAGTCGAAGCCCTCGAGTCAGCATCAATTGGCGCCGACAACTCACCATCTCAAGCCGGACCTGGATGCGTCGGCGGATGCGGTCGAGATTAGTTTTCTGAGTACTGCCCGTGCTGGTACCATCATTGTGGGCGAGGACGAGCTGCAGAGGGCGATTGATGCCCTCGAGGCGGAGAAGATGCAGGATTCAGCTGCTGAGGTGACATCCGATAGCCCTGGGGTTGGGCTTGGGCTCAACCCTGGCACTGCCGAGGATTCTGAGCCTGAGCAGAGCCAGTGATCGAGGGTGTGTCTTTACAAAGCCAGATGTGTGGACATCTCCCCTACCTCCTTTCCAAGGGAGTGGGGGAGGGGGTGCCAAAAAGTGCTTTTGTTTTATATTCTTGGGCAATGCCTGTATGAGTACATGATCTTCGTATCTATCCATTTTGAGCCCTGGGGTTTGAGCTTTTTGGGTTGCGTTGTTGTCAGCTTAGTATGTCTTTATTTTTATGATGGCTACGTGGTAAAACGACAGATCCTCATCAATCATACAGCTCTTGGAACAATATATTTTATTCCTTACCCGATGACAGTTCAACCAGTATTCGTATAAACATATCTAAGCCGCCTCGTACACATACAGCGTCGAATTGTGCAGATCAGGGAGGCAATAAATTCTCAACTTTCCATCCACAACAGCAACATCGACTGGGTTCTGCGTCATCGTTCCTCCAAGATCACTTGTCAACGCGACCGGGACCTCCCACAGGGGTTGCATAGTCTGAAGATCGACCAACGCGATGCCACCCAGGTTAAACGAGGGTCCAATCGTGGCTACTCCGCTGCAGAACATAATAGCTCTCTTGTTATTCTGACCGCCACCAACACGGGCTGCAAGAGCATCGGGAAGTGCATGATGACCGAGGAACTTGCAGTCTTGATAATCGACGAAGAAGGACGGATCTGGCGCGGAAGCCTGAGGAGCTGTGAAGCCAGGCAACGGTGTGAATCCATGCGGATAGTCTTTTAGAGACCATGTGGTAGCGTTGCGGCCGCCCCAGTTCAGCGTGACGAGATCATCGGTGACAGTGTCATGGACGATCCCACCGTTGTGATCTTTTGTGCGGAACAGAGATTTCTTTTCCAAGGTAAGCGGGTCGATCTGGACAATCGTTGCAGTTGTATTCGGCCGGTACTGCGACAGCGTCGCCCACAGATAGCGGCCGTCATAATCGATGCCGCCGGTGTGGTACTCAAGATCTCCAGGTGCCGTCATAGTGGCATTGGCAATGAGATTGCCCTGGCCACCATAGATGAGGATGTGTGCGAACCCTGCGCCGGGAGTGCGGTCTGTGCCGTTGATCGGCTGAAGATATTTCACGGTGGGAGCAGTCCACTGCCCGGCGGAAACGAAGTAGCGATCGTCGCCGAGACGGGCCAAACCCTCAGGCTCACCAGTATCGCCCTCGAATTTAGTTTTCGAGATGAGATTCCATTCCGTGGAGCGGCCAAGGTTGGCGAACAGTTGGACTATGGAAGCTCCGTCGGAGGAGGCATGCGATTGGGGGAGCTTGTTGTTTGGGAGAAAAGGTTCGTTCGAACGGGCAACAGTGAGATGCGCAGCCGCAGAAGTTGCTATCGCTGCAGCCACAGCTGGGGCGAGGATTGAGGAGGCTTTCATGTTGATCTGCGGCTGTGGAAGGCAGCTAATGTCTCTCAGGAGCAGCGAGTGGTTCTCCTGTAGGCTAGCTAGTGCCTTTTTATAGACCCCCAGGTAATAAAATGACCGAGAGCCGGCACACCACGGATGATGTCCGGGCTTTGGTGCGAGGCAGTGCCCTGCAAGATGTGAGGTTAATTATCAAGGAACCGCGGTGGAGCGGAGATGTGGGTAGCCACGTTCCACGGAGAAGATCGGCCGTTGGCTCAACCAAACACCCGGACGGTACCTGGAATAATTTTAATGCATTAGCCCAAGTTCCTGACACTCCGTCGAAAGCAAAGGAAGCCACCTACCATCCGGACATCCGGCAGCCCAATAGCCATTCTCATTCCATGCCACGCAACTTACGACCCTGACTTTCTCTCCCATCGGCACCGTCGCAACAGTCTCTCCACTCAATACATCCCAGGCAAAAACAGCGGCGCCAAGTTCAGTCCCAGCACCCTGGGCAGCTTCACTACCACTTAGAACCACTGCATCGCCCTGCGCAAACACAGAGCGGACCCGCAGCTCGGTGTTGCGGTAGGTATGGCCGGACTTAGCACTGGAAACTCCCTGTGCAGGCTGTTCGTCCTTCTTGGATGGCCCACCAAAAGCTGTGAGGAGCTTTCCATCTGTGCGATCCAGCATTCGGATGTAGCTATCCAGCGTAGAGGCCAGCAGGGCATTGCCATCTGCCGAACACCGCACACTCGTCACGGGGTGCGCCAGGACGTCGACGGTGGCCTTGCCCATGCGAACATCGTAGACACGGACGTGGCCGTCGTAGCTACCGCTGGCAATCGAGTACGTAGGCAGATGCACGTTTAGGCACGAGACGGTGTCGGTCGCTTCGGTGAGAGTCTGGATAGGCTTGTAGGCGTTGGACCGGGTATCCCACAAATTAATTGTGGTGTCTGCACTGCCTGTAACAAATAACAAATCCGTTAGCAAAGCAAGGCGAAAGTTACAACGGAAAGCACCGAGGGACTATACCAGATACAACCACCGAGTCACCCTCGCCCGCGAACTGAACGGCCTCAACTCTGCCGTTGTGCCCCGTCCATCGCCTCGTGGTACCTCCCTGCTCGACATCCCATAGAAAGACCTGCCGATCGCCTCCCACACTGGCGAAGCGTGCATTGTCCGCGGTGACGGCCACGTCGAGCACCGAGTAGCCGTGCGCCTCGTACCGCTGGATCGGGACGGTGGTTTCTATGGGCGTCGTAGAGTTTTCAGCATTGCTGGGGACAGCGCGTGAAAGGTGGATGGCGCGGTCGGAGGAGCCCGTGAGGATGTAGGTGCCAGGGTAGCTGGAGAAGGTCACCGCATTGACCGAGCCTGGCGCAAAATGGAACCGTTAGTATTTGCTTGCGGTGAGCACCTAAGATGACAGGCGTACCATTGTGTGTTTTGAGAGTGTGGAAATGTCGAATTGGAAACTTTCTTGGGGGCATGGCCGTTGGGAAAATATCGCGACGAGCAGGAGGACGGCTGGATGACGTTTTGAAGCTGGCGGAAAGCGGGATTGATGCTTGGACCTGAAGCTCGGCCAAATGCGGTCCGAATCCACTTACAATTTAGAGAGTTACAAGTACACAAGTTTATTACCTAGCAAGAAGCCAATGGAAAAAAAATTTAAAACCTAAATTCGGGCAAAGAATTAACTCTGTATTTTCCGCGCTACAGAATACAGGAGGGGTTATTATCAAGGATGTAGAGACACCATCGCTAGCTACCAGCGGTAAATGGATATAACAGAACAAAACGAACCAGCCCATCGAGGCGAAGGTGCGCCCTCCTAAGCGCGTGAACGGCAAGACATAGGGTACTCAAGATAAAGAAACAACGAGAGAGAGAGAGGCACACGGGTGCCGACTCCCTTTTGAACCATCATTCTAGCGACGACCGTGGCTGCGGGTGCCGGGGCCCTGCAGGCCTTCGATCTCTTGCTCGAGGGATTTGATGCTGCCAGAGGTCAGTACTTGTCAACACCAAGGAGGGGATTGATGATTCCATAACGTACGCGGCGTGGGTAGCCTCGAGATCCTTGTTGAGTCTATCGCGCTCGGAGATGAGCTTCTGCTCCCACTGTCGGAAACGCTGCTCCTCGACCTTGACCTGCTCGGTGAAACGCTTGCGCAGGTTCTCTTCCTCCTCCTTGAACTTGGGGTTGTCCAGCTTGCGGGGTCTGGCCTCGCCGAACTTGCGGGTCTCCATCTGCTGGGCACGGTAGGCTTCATAGTGAGACTCCTCGGTGGTGTGGATAAGATCCAGCATGTGGGTGCGAATCAGGATCGAACGGAGCTTCTTAAAGTCGCAATGGTCCTCATTCTCCACCTCAGCGACACCCCACGCGTACTGGCGTCCCTTGACAACGCGGCCATCGTTGGCCTTGACATCCTTCTCAGAACCAATGACGGCGAAAGGCATAGCCGCCATCAGGCTGCGGGCGTGGGTAGCGGCATGCTCATCATCCTCCTCGACCGGCGGGGTGTAGATCTTGATGCCCTGGGCTTCAATAACGGCGCGAATCTGGTTATTTAGTTAGTACGAAAGGCCCCTAGTCAAACAAAATCCCCAAACAGGCTCCAACTCACTCTCTCCTTGTACTTGGCAAGATCGGCGTGGCTGAGGGTATCGGCCTTGGCGACCACGGGAATCAGGTTGACGCGCGAGCTCAGGCGCTTCATGACCTCGATATCGAGAGGCTTGAGGGTGTGTCCAGTGGGGCGGATGAAGTACAGGCAGGCGTGCACACGCATGTCAATCTTGTCGGTACGACGGGGTTGCTGCTCCTGGAGCATGTACGACTCGTGCTGGTCATCCAGAAACTCGATAATGGGCTGCCACGAGTCACGGTTGTTGACATAATCGCCGAAACCGGGGGTGTCAATGACGGTCAGGCGAACTGTAAAAAAAGAAAACAGGTCAGCTATCAGTACCTGAAAAACATGCCATCCAAACAGAAAGACTGCCATCGCTGCCTATCCACCCCCGAGGGAATCCCATTTCGCACCTTTGAAGAACTTCTCCTCCAGCTCGGCCTTGGTGATCTCGATCTCGACGGTGCGGTCGACCTGCTTCTGGTGGCGGCGCTTGTGATCGGCATAGTTTTTGATGGTGGTGGAGAAGAGGGTGTTGATGAAGGTAGTCTTTCCCAAACCCGACTCTCCGGCAACCTGCAACAGCGCCGTTAGTGTCGAGGCCCAGACCGGGACAATCCAAGCTTAGACACACCATAATTGTGAACGCCGCACCCCGCTTCGCGACAATTTTGTGTCTGGATGCCGTCAATCAGAATTAATGCCCTGAAGTCAATTCGTCACCATTTCCGTCTATGTACGCACCGCTGGTTGGGAAGCTAGAGCCAATATCACCATGTTAGCTATGATGACACCAAACGCGTTTTCGCAGATTCGGGAAGGGACTGGGGTCTTACATTGGCAATGCCAATGGGGGTGGCGGTCTCCGTTGTCGACATGATGTGCGTGTGGTCGGGGGATATCAAGGAGCAAATAAAGTGACGAGAAACCCCTCAGGAAATGACCGGGCTGGAGTGGGAAGATGGTCGGAGTTCCTTGGGAAAAGGGGAAAGGCGATGAGCTGCTCGTTGCTGCTTCCCCCTGAATCTCCTTTCGTTTTCTGGAGTATAGCTGGCCTTGCCTATCTGGGACTAGTGGTCACACTATACCACTTTGGGTTCGGGACCGGACTATCGCTGATCCGAGGCTTATCTTTTTGGATTGGGTTGCGGCAGAGATGAATTTTTGACGGAGTGTCTCGAGCTGTCGCAAAGGGAAAATGAAGACAGACTTCAAGGTTGGTGTGGTTCGGCGTGCTCTAATGGCCTACTGGCTAACTTCTATCTAGTTCTCCAATCTTTTGGGGACGGTCTACCGCAAGGGCAATCTGCTCTTTACTCCCGATGGCACCTGCTTGCTATCGCCAGTAGGCAATCGCGTCTCGGTGTTTGATCTTGTGCAGTAGGTATTCCGGACTGGTGAATCACAAGGGTTAGGACCACAATTGCTCATTATATGCCTTTTAGTAACACCTCCTATACCCTTCCCTTTGCCCACCGCAAGAATATCGTCCGCCTCGACCTTACACCTCGAGGCAACCTCTTGCTCACAGTCGACGAGGACGGCCGGGCTATCCTAACCAACTTCCACCGACGCATTGCGATCCACCACTTCACTTTCAAGGGTGGGGTCTCTGCTCTTAAGTTTTCTCCGTCCGGTCGGCATTTCGCAGTCGGTGTGGGCAGACGCCTCCAGCTTTGGCAGACCCCCTCTACTCCCGGTACCGAGACCAACGGCGAAATTGAATTCGCTCCATTTGTTCTACACCGTGACCTTGCGGCACACTTCGACGATATCCAGAACATTGAGTGGTCGAGTGACTCGCGGTTCCTGCTCACTGCCTCCAAGGACTTGACGGCGCGCGTATGGAGTTTAGATCCAGAGGATGGGTTTGAGCCCACCACGCTGTCTGGTCACAGACAGGGAGTTGTGTGTGCATGGTTTGATGCCAATCAAGAAAAAGTGGGTCTCAACGCACTCGGGGCTTCCTAGTACAGCTTTATACTAATTCTCACACTAGATCTACACTGTCAGCCAGGATGGTGCTCTTTTCCGCTGGGAGTATGTCGCGAAGAAGGATCCAGAAACAGACGAGGATATTGCCTCAGCTCGGTGGAGGATCATCAAGAAGAACTTCTTCATGCAAAATGATGCCAAAGTCAACTGCGCCTCGTTCCATGCGAAATCCAATTTGCTGGTGGTGGGCTTCTCCAACGGACTGTTTGGGCTGTATGACCTGCCCGAGTTCAACATGATCCATCTGCTTAGGTATGCTTGACTTATTGATCTTAACTGTTGGGCTTTTGCTGACTGGCCCCTTCACAGTGTCTCCCAGAGCAACATCGACGTTGTAACGATCAACCAATCCGGAGAGTGGCTTGCATTTGGGTCGTCCAAGTTCGGTCAGCTGCTGGTGTGGGAGTGGCAGTCTGAGTCGTACATCCTGAAGCAGCAAGGTCATCTGGATTCCATGAACTCGATTGTTTATTCGCCAGACGGACAGAAAATCGTCACGACCGCCGACGACGGCAAGATCAAGGTGTGGGATGTCAAATCAGGCTTTTGCATTGTGACTTTCACCGAGCATCAGAGCGGAGTGACTGCATGTCAATTCGCCAAGAAGGGCAACGTCCTATTCACTGCTTCTTTGGACGGCTCAATTCGCGCCTGGGATCTGATTCGGTACCGCAACTTCCGCACTTTCACTGCAGCATCTCGGCTGTCGTTCTCCTCCTTGGCGGTCGACCCCAGCGGCGAGGTCGTGTGCGCCGGCTCGCTTGACGATTTTGACATCCATGTGTGGTCTGTACAGACTGGACAACTGCTAGATCAGCTTTCCGGTCACGAAGCCCCTGTCTCTAGTCTTGCCTTTGCCGCAGATGGTAACCATCTGGTCAGTGGCAGCTGGGATCACACAGTCCGAGTCTGGAGCATTTTTGGCCGAGCACAGACCAGTGAACCTCTCCAGCTCCAGTCCGATGTGCTCAGCGTCGCTTTCCGGGCCGACGGCCTCCAGATTGCAGCCTCTACGCTCGATGGACAGCTGTCATTCTGGAACGTCTTCGAAGCCATACAGGAAGGCGGTCTTGACGGTCGTCGTGATGTTTCTGGTGGTCGGAAATTATCTGACAGACGCACCGCCGCTAATTCAGCAGGGACCAAGTCTTTCAACCGTATCACATACAGCGCCGATGGTAGCTGTATCCTTGCGGCTGGTAACAGCAAATATATCTGCTTGTACGACGTGACTACCGGATCTCTCATCAAGAAGTTCACGGTCTCGGTCAACACATCGTTGGACGGTACCCAAGAATTCTTGAACAGCCGTGACCTCACGGAGGCAGGACCTCGCGGCCTCATCGATGAGACTGGTGAGATGTCTGACAAGGAAGATCGCATTGACCGTTCCCTGCCTGGTGCGAAGCGAGGTGATGCTGGTGCGCGCAACGTCCGGCCGGAAGTGCGAGTGACATCGGTCGATTTTGCTCCAACCGGACGCTCTTTCTGTGCAGCCTCCACCGAAGGTCTTCTTATCTACAGCCTGGACACAGACTATGTCTTCGATCCTTTCGATCTGGATATTACCATCACTCCGTCGACCATCATGGCCACTCTTGATGCTGCTAAGGCGGCAGCGGCGTCCAACACCGCGGACGATGACAACACATTCCTGAAAGCCCTTATCATGGCCTTCCGCTTGAACGAATCCAAGCTCCTCCGTGCCGTGTACGAGTCTATTCCTCCGTCGGATATCCCGCACGTGGTGCGGTCCGTGCCCTCAGTCTATCTGCCCCGTCTGCTTCGGTTTGTTGCACACGCCGCCGACGAGACCCCTCATTTGGAATTCAACTTGTTGTGGATTGAGTCTCTGTTCAGCTGCCATGGTCGATACTTCAAGGACAACTCCGGGACATTTGCGCCTGAGCTACGCGCGGTCCAGCGTGCCGTCGACGAGATTCGGGAGAACCTCAAGCGACTCACCGAGAAGAATGTCTATGACCTGAAATTCCTCTTGTCCAAGCCTGTCCTTGCCGACAAGAAGCCTTCCGCTTCTTTGCTTGCCCTGGATAATGGCGATGCAGACGAAGCTGACGATCAGATGGCCGAAGCTGATGACGACGAAGGTTCATGGGTTGGTCTAGAATGAGTATCGTGAAAGATTCCCCTGTAATGTCTACTTTGCATTTGCGCTTGGCGTTTGTACATTAGGAAAAGGCGAGCTCCCAAAAAAGTGTGTATAGAAAAAAGTCCCAATCGGGGTTTTTGTTTAAACAATTGAAGAATTCACCAAACCTGATGCAGTTTGTGCTCCCATAGTGTCAATGCATCGCATCGTCATAGAACCTTCTATACTTTCAGGCGGTCTCTTCATCCCCAACGGGGTACAGATCTGCTTCCCAGCCGGTCCAATTAGCAGAAATCCCAACTTCATGGCGCATCCGTGTTCGACGGGTTCCGAAGGTGTCAGGATCCAGCAGATCGAAATGCATTTTGCGCATCAAGCACAGCTTCCAAAGCCGCCTTAATCGGACTTGCGGCGATGAAGCGCCCCGGACAAGCTTGACAACCGAATCCAAAGTGCATGTTTGAGGGACTGATCGTGATAAAGTTGGTAGCAGTAGATGTAGCCAGTGATGCGCCATTTTGCTCTCGTTTTTCCTTTCCAGAATCTATACCTATCGAGCCGGATTATCATGGAAAATGAGTTCAAGTTCTAGGAAAGTCGGAGACCGGCAAATATTGGTGTTGGAGAGCATGTTTTCCCGGATACCAGGGCGTCCGCGTTGTTTCGCAAGTTGCCGCCTGGGCCGCAAGAGACGGGTTTGAGAGTTCGGGGTCTCTGATGTTACTGGATGCTGATTTCTTTTCTTGTTGAGGTTGTACGTGGCTAGAATGACAATATTCAAGGCTATTGGCGGACTAAGACAGATCTATGAACCATCTGAAGAGAGGTTTAGCTGCGGTATCATTCCATTTCCTATCCTTTTCCTGTTCTTCAGATAAACAAACGCAGGCTTAAGTACCAGCCGTACGCATTCCGCACGACCGGTACATACCTAAAACAAAGAATCTGATATACACAATGGGAAGAACCATAGCTTCGTTGCTCTTCAATTTTGACAATGTTCCATTAGATCACTGGCTGGTCACAGGGGCACCACCCCGACCGCCACGGCCCCGGCCGCGGTATCCATTACCACGTCCTCGTCCACGGCCACGACCTCGGTCCAGTCCCTGGGGTGGCGGCATCTGAGACATGTTCTGGGGGCGGAAGTTCGGGTTGTTCTGTACAATACCCTCGCTCGGGTCACTGTTATCAACAGAGGTATAGCCACCTCGGTCATGCTGTCCACCCCGACCACGGTTTCCGTTACCACGGGGGCCACGAGGAGGGCCATTGTTGGGGTGAGGGCGGTGCGGGAGTGCCTTGGGATGGCCATTGTTCATGGAAACGTGACCACCGCGGGAAGCTCCATGACCGGCCACGGCACCCTTGAATGAGCCTCTCAATGGGGGAGGAGCCGAGGCATTTTTCAGCTGGCCCTGCCCATTCGGACCCAAGGGGGCACCGTACCCAACAACGGTAAGGGGAGTAGGCTGTTGTTGGCTCTGCTGGTTGTTCGCCGCACGAGAAACAGCTATGAGCTGTCGGAAGGAGACGTTGAGCACAGATGACGCAAGCACCGTCTGCCCGCGGAAGGGCGAGCAGCGGCCGCCAAGTGTAGTACCGCTCATGAAGGACACATCAAAAACGACATCAAGTAGGAGGGCACGCGAGGTCCTCGTGAGACCGACCACCGTACCACGGGTAGCAATTGGTACTTTGCCCGAGTCCTGGGCATATACAACTCGATCTCCGAGTCTGAACGTCTGGTTGCCCAGACGATGCTCAACGTCGGCGGGGCGAAGCAGGGCGCTACGGGGAACACTGCGGACCTTCTTGGCCTGCATCTGGGGCTGGCCGAGCTTGTCGGCATCCTGTTCAATCAACTCAACGATATCGGAATCCAGTTGCTCGGCATCAAGAGGCACTCTCTCAAAGTTCTTAGCCTCAATAGACTTGAGCCAATCACGGATCTCCTTCATCTTCAGAAGGGCCGTTTCCTCAGGGTAGAAATCAGTCGGAGCGTAGCGGTCCTTTTGAGGGTTTCGCTGGATTCCAGCAATAAACTCAGGGAAATTGATCATGTACTGATGCAGTAGATCCACTGCTTTTTGGCTGAACTCCCAGCCAGACTGTCCGCGACGGGAATATCCAAGAACCTTTTGCTTCCGAGCCTCGAACTTGAGGTTCAGACCCAAGTTCACACGGGTGCCGTCGATATCAACGGAGAACGATGATGTGATCTTAGCCAGTACCAGAGGATTGAGATTGAGGCTGCGTGCAATGGCATAGGAAGCCATATAAGGGCAGTGTTGTTCAGATTGCCTGACGCGTGCCTTTCCGAATTCAGATTCGCGATCCTTAACAGCTGCGAGCAATCCGTTCACCTTGCCATCGGTATGACCGGTAACGTGAACAGGTCGTCCGTAATTGAAGTCGCCCAGGAAGAATGCGCGAGAGCCTTCAGGAAATTCTTCTTCGATGGGGAGAGCCTCCTTCTCAATGAAGCGCTCATCAGGGTTAAGGACATCATCGACAACAACTTGAAGGGCATAATCGGTCTCCTGGCCGGGGATATCGGTGAAATATTTCATAATGGCACCTTCATCGGTCTTGATCATGCCCTTCAATGGCTGGATATGGACCAAAGACTCAACTCCTCCGATGATCATACCAAGACGCTTGCTGTAATAACCTTCAATCTTGTTTGCGTTCTTCCTGAACTGTTCAATTTGTTGAGGAGTGTGAGGGATCTGGACGATGTGAGGCTCGCCTGGCGGAAGGATGTAATCGAACAGCTCGTCCGAAACACGAATGACAAGAGCTTCTTGCAGGAATGGATATCCGACGTGGACTCGTTTTCCAAGTTTCTGCTTGGCTAATTCGATACCGGACCGGCTTCCGGGGTCAAGAAGAGTGACGATTTGACTCTCGTTGCGGCTCTCCTGTTGGAATACGGTAACTCCATGGAAACCCAATTGGCCGACATGCGGCAGTGTCTTAATACTAGGGAAGCCAGCCAGAGCCGCCTCGCCTAGATGCACACCCTCCATCAGACCGTTGTATGGCTCCAGTCCATCCATAGTAGGAAGGTCGAAGATATTCTCAATGCAGTGGCAGTTCGGGAGATCGGGGAACACGCCAGGCATCGAGGAAGGATAGACAAAGTTCACTTCGGGTGAATAAGTGAATTTCAAACTAACTCCAAAGCCATTACGAGCTTTTTCGTCGGGGCTGAGGAACTTCTCCTTGGTTTTGAGGGCAGTCAACAGCCGCTTCTCGTCGATGAACGGAATTTTGACCACTGCCTCCCATTCCATCTTTTTCCCGTTCATATCCAGTTCAAAATCACGAGGATAGAAATCAATAATAGGAGAGTCGGGTGACGTCATGAGATCCCAATAGGCACGAGGCACAGTCTTCTTACTGCGATCCGGCAAGACACCCATCAGCTGCTCATACGGCCGGAAGGGCTGTCCAAGCCGGAAGTTCATGTCTGCACCCAGACCTTTTTTCACATCTGAACCGCCGTTAGTAAAGAATTATAGACAAAAATTGGTCCCAAAAGCTGGTCCCAGTGGGGATTTACTGACCAGAAATCATCGGAGCATAGTGATACCGGAAGAACCAGGGCCACGACGCAATACCGCGGTAGTAGTAGAACAAGACCCACTGCAACCCTTGCACGTAGTTCTCAGTCAACTGCTTCATTTCCTCCTCATTATCCAGTCCCCAGCCAAATTTGGACCGGTAGTAATTATCTTTCCATTCCAGAAATTTGGCGTCGTACTGCTGCTCAGCGGCTTGTTGCGCCTCCTCGGCAGTCATATCCTGGACCTTGGCCCGCTCATATTTGCGAATAATACGCTGGACAGCCATGGATGCTTCTTCATCTTCATAATCATCGTCGTCATTGTCGTCATCACCCTCTGCTTGCGGGAGCTGTAGGCGCATAAATCGATCGCCAGCCTCGTTGTCCACGGTGGACCACTGCAATCGAAGCTCATTCGCAAGCTGTTCCAAAAAGGTGCGGTCACGAGCTGGCAGCGTGGGAGGGAAATCCAAAGGCTTCGGGTCAGATGCCGTGCCAGGCGGATTCTGCACGTACTTCTTGACTTTCTTGAGAATGTCCTTCTGGGCCGACGTGATGGTCAGCTCTTTCGTCTTCTGTTTCAGCTCCAGAGAGCCATCATATCCATTCTGTTTGGACTTGATCCACTGCGCATCGGAGTTCTCGGCCTGGAAAAACCGGTGCTCGACCTCGCTCAAGGCCTCCACAAGAATCCCTAGCCGGTCCACATTGATTACACCTTGCTCGTTGATGTATCCACCCATCTTTCGCAAGACATCCTTGTAGATCTTGAACATGAGCGCCAGCGCACCTTCGTTGATATGCAAATTTGGCAAATTCGGCAAGAAATCGTTTCCAACAAAGAAGGCCATGAGAATGAAATCATCAATCACTCGCTCCATATCGAATGGGAAATTAAGAGCCCCTTCCTGCTCAAGTTCCTGAAACTCCAACTCCAGGTACTCCCGAACCATACTGAGGTGCAAAAGAAAGAAGTTTTGGTGTTCGAGTTCTTTCGGCTTCTTCTGAACTTGACGGCCGAATGTCACCTCTTCACGGAGGAGGCAGAAGTGAGGATCATGGCTGAGCAGACCCAACATGATCAGATCGGCATCCAGGCCATAAAGACAATGGCGGACGTTGGGGTGATAGTCGGGCTGCGCTTTCGCGCGCCGAATGTATTCCATGATCTTGTGTTCACCCTCACCGGGGACCTCGTGGCCCGATAGCACAATTTCAACACCCTGCCAATCCGAATCCTCCGAGATCTTTTTGTTGATAAAATACTTCAGTTGTTGTGTCAATTTCGCCATAAACTCGGTACCGGGGGTAATGCAGTTGCTGTCGAATGGATCTTCTTTGGGCATTTCAAGACCCTGCTGGATGGCCTTCTCCCTCGCCACCTCGGCGTCCAGCGCCGTCCTGAAGCGACGCGCTCGTTGTTGATTCATCTTGGCGCGCGGTGCGACACCATCCACCGCCATGAAGAAGAGCTTCTTTGGTTTGATCTTGCCGAACAAGTGCTCGATGTAGTTGAAGATTGCAATGAACATTTGCTCCTCGGTCATGCGGAATGTCGGAGAATCGCTGTCCTTGTGCGTGCAGTTATGAATAATACCGTTCATATCGAGATACAGGCTGTCAAACTCGGGGATACGGCTCTCCGCGATCAGCATGGAGATCGCGGGATACCGCTCGCTCAGCCAGCGGAAGAACTTCGGAACACCCATGATGACAATGGGTAGTCGGCAGAAATTGGATAGGACAAGATAATGGTACAAGAAAAGGATCCAGTGGCAATATTTCGCTGGGGTGAAGGGAGATCGAGGGGATCGTCAGAGAAATCGGAACAGACTTGCGACCGACGAAAGCAAACCCATCCAAGGACTTAAGAGATCGTAAGTGAATAAGGATCAAAACACGGAGAGCACCACAGGTCCCGCGAGAATCGTGAGAAAGGAACCCCGGGGGGAGAGGAGCAGAGAGAGGGAGAGGTCTGATGTGAAGAGGAAGCTTTCCACGTTGTTGCTCCGCGGTACTCGAGTCATCGCCAAGCCCGAGCCTGCCTATTTGGGACTAGCGGCCAAGCGGCTTAGTCGTCGCCCATTAACGCGGTCTGAGCTTGCCCGTCGCGTTGCCCGTGGATCGCATCGCCCTTCGGGACTCTTCTACTTGACCTTTTCCGGTTGATTGTCCTTTCGTCCCTCTTCGCGGTCGCATTGATTGTCATTGTCTTATATACAGCATAATGGAGCCCTATGAGGACGAGAATGGTGAGTGTGGGAGCTGTGTGCAGCTGCGCGAAATCTCAAACTAACCAGTGAATAGCTATGGTGGAAGAGCATGAGAAGGAGCAGGAGCACACCCAGGAAAAGATTGTAAATGAAGGTAATCACTCCTCCTCGCGACTTCTCCCCTCCAACTACGTCCTATACCCTCCTCCTGACGGTTCGCGATCAACATGGCTAACCTTACGCTCCATCTGTCAGAGTACAAGACATGGAAGAAGAACGCGCCGTTCCTCTACGACATGATCCTCAGCACAGCCCTCGAATGGCCTACCCTCACCACTCAGTGGCTGCCCGATGTGCAAGCGTCAGTGCCTTTCAGTGAACTCTCTGACCTATCGTAATCTGACCGAACTATCTTCTACAGTGTTCCCGACAAGCCCTATTCTACTCATCGCCTCCTCATCGGCACCCACACCGCTGGTGATGCCCAAAACTACCTTCAGATTGCGCACGTGCAGCTCCCCAATGCCAATGCCCCTAACCCGGATGACTACGATGAGGACAAGGGCGAGATTGGTGGCTATGGTGGGGGCTCCAAGAAGTCGCCAATGGAAATCAAGTTCAACATTGTCCAGAAGATAGATCACCAGGGAGAGGTCAATAAGGCACGCTATCAACCACAGAACCCGAACATCATTGCGACCATGTGTACGGACGGTCGGGTGATGATCTGGGATCGCTCAAAGCACCCCAGTATGCCTACGGGGACTGTAAACCCTCAGATGGAGCTGCTGGGTCATGAGGCGGAAGGCTTTGGTCTGAGCTGGAACCCCCATGAAGCTGGCCACCTCGCAACTGGCAGTGAGGACAAGACAGTTCGACTTTGGTGAGGATTTTGAACCCTAGCGATTCCTCCAACTGATACCGAAAGACCCCAATGCTAACATACACACAGGGATTTGACAACATACACCAAGGGCAACAAGGCGTTGAAGCCTACCCGTACCTACACACACCACTCCTCGATCGTTAACGACGTCCAACACCATCCCCTCCATTCTTCCCTCATCGGCACTGTCTCCGACGATATTACACTACAGATCATCGATGTGCGCAACGCTGACAGCACGCGCTCTGTCGCTTCTGTTGGGGGCGAGCACCGCGATGCTATCAACTCGATCGCTTTCAACCCCGCTTCGGAGACGATTCTGGCTACTGGGTCAGCCGATAAGACTATTGGGATTTGGGATTTGCGGAACCTGAAGGCTAAGCTGCACTCTTTGGAAGGCCACACCGACTCCGTGCAATCCATCGCATGGCATCCTTTCGAGGAGTCTGTGCTCGCTAGCTCCAGCTACGACCGCAAGATCATGTTCTGGGATCTCAGCCGAGCGGGTGAGGAACAGACTCCAGAGGATGCCCAGGATGGACCACCAGAGCTGTATGTTTCCCATTGTTGCGTTTCCTTCCCATTTTTTCCCTTCAAGATGACTGATCTGCCTTCTTTAGCCTTTTCATGCATGGTGGGCACACCAACCGCATCTCCGATTTCAGCTGGAACCTTAACGACCCCTGGGTGCTTTGCTCGGCCGCCGAGGACAACCTTTTGCAGGTGTGGAAGGTCGCGGATGCGATTGTGGGCAAGGATCTGGATGACGTCCCGACAGAGGAGTTAGAGGCATGATCTGTTGGCTGACTCACTCTACTACTACTACCATGCCTCTCTTGCTTATTTGCCATATTATTTTTCTGGTGTGCTTGCGGGCGAAAAGGTTCAGAATCAGGAATAATCAAAAACATATGGATACATGATTCCTTCCCTTAGCCCCGCGGAGTAGAGGTACACGGAACCTTCGGTCATATCTCTACCGTAATATGACTCGATACATATCCAATACTAATAGATATTCTCCGCATGACGCAATCATGGCGACCACCCAAACTAGGCCTACATCACCGAGCAGCAATTGATAGCTGGGAATGTTGTGTGTTTTTTCCCTGGTAATTCAACTCGGTAGACATCAGAAAGGTTGCGGGTTGGCTCGGAGATGATATATATGCCCAGGCTGTGGATATATTATCATGTTCCTCCATGAAATAGTTTCTACCAAAACAGCATGCAAGTCCTTTCTGTCCAAATATCAGAAATTTTGTTGAACGACTGTCTGGTTTGAGATCAATTGGTAGTGTTAATTGCCCGAAAAAACTCACTCGAACCCAACGGTCCTCGCGGGAAACTGATTGCGCCACCGGAGAATGAGGATCGAAGAGGGCAGGCGGTGTCGCAAAAATGAGGGGAACGCTTTCAAACGGGCTTAGCGTCCCGTGATTTCCGATTTGTATTTGCGTCAAAAAAAAAGCAGAGTCATCATGTCGCTGACAATGTACTGCTAAGCTCATTGCATTTATTCTTCTTTGTTGACAAGTTCATTCTTGAAACCACCAATTCTTAATATCCTCAAATCCAAATCATCCTTATGGGTTCTGGTTCTCCTCCGGGCCCGGCCAAGCCGTCGGCCATTCCGTCCCACATGCTGAACGGCAGCTCACCCCTCCAATCGTCCACGGGTGCTGGTGGCGGTACTCGTGTCCGTGATGCTCGTGAACGGGAGAGTCTCAATACCTCCATTCGTTCCTCTTTTGCTCCCCGTGTCCCCGCTGAGTTCGATTTCGTCGAGGCGAAGTCCGACCCCGCGGGCGAGGTCGCGGGCGAGTCCACTGCCTCCACCGCTGCCACCGAAGCTGGAGCTGCACATGCTGCCCTGACTCTGCGGTATGTTTCCATTTTCACTAACAAATTGCCTATCTCGTCCGTCTCTGACAGTCGATCAGTGGCCGACTCCCTCTGAATGACCCTCCCCGCCACCCCCGGGATGAGGGTGGCCCGTTGACCCCGCCGGCGACGGCAAGCCGCCCCGCCAGCCCCTATACCATGAACCCCCCTATCGACTTTGACGGGCTCAGCTGGCCCTGTAAGTGACACCGTTCAATTGCTCTACTGAGATTACAATCCCCGTTCTAATATTTTTTCGCCACATAGGCCCCGGCACACGGCAGCGGTTGGAATCGACGCCGGAAGAGAACGAAGCGCGCATCCAGAAACTTGCGGGGGCAGTCCGGACAATTCTTGAATGTGTTGGTGAAGATCCGGAGCGCGAGGGCCTCCGCGAGACCCCGGAGCGATATGCCAAGGCCATGCTGTACTTCACTAAGGGCTATGAGGAGAACGTCCGGGATCTGGTCAATGGCGCTGTTTTCCACGAGGACCACGACGAGTTGGTTATCGTGAAGGACATCGATGTATTTTCTCTGTGCGAGCACCACATGGTGCCTTTTACTGGCAAGGTAGGGACAGACAGACCCTGCATATATACCCGTCGAATCATGCTGACCATGTGGGGCAGATGCATATCGGCTACATCCCGGATCGCCGTGTTCTTGGCCTCTCAAAGCTGGCCCGCCTGGCTGAGATGTTCTCCCGTAGACTTCAGGTTCAGGAGCGCCTGACCAAGCAGGTTGCACTGGCGATCTCAGAGGTCCTTAAGCCTCGCGGTGTTGGAGTTGTCATGGAGTCTTCCCACCTGTGCATGGTCATGCGAGGTGTTCAAAAGACCGGCAGTACCACCACCACCAGCTGTATGCTGGGATGCATGCGGTCGAGTGCTAAGACCCGCGAGGAGTTCTTGACTCTGCTGAATCGTCGATAGAACATTACTGTTCTTTGGCTCCTACCTTGTGCCATACTCCCAGCTTGTTTACGAACTGGCGAGACAAGTTATGACTTTGGAGTTTTGGTGGTGACCTTTCAACAGGTTTATCGTTTATCTAATGCTGGCTTTTTTTCTTATGAGCATGATGCTCTAGCGCGGATCTGGATGTTTCCTTCTTCGACGTTTTACTTCTTCCTCCATCTCACTTCTTGCATATACCTCGGAATGATGCCGACACCCTGCGATCTTTCAACCTTCCTTCGTCAGGGACGAAACCAAGCATTACACCTCGTTCACGCTTGTATTGTCCCGGCTAAACCACGACATACACTTTCATTTTATGATGTTTAGACTAACAGACCCTACACCGGGCCTTTTTTTGCTTTCGAGTTTAGTTGGAGTTCTGTTCTGGAGACCGAAAACCTCTTGGCGGCGCCGGCGAGGCTGTTTCAACACTTTACGTTTCACACTGTACCCTACCATTAAATCCCTGATTCCGGGACTTGTCCCTAGCTGTTTGTCTATGCGCAATGTCACTTTACTCAGAATATCATGTCAAAGGGAATTTACGACCACAGTTCGCCGTTTTCAGAAAGAGAAAATCTCATTCTTTTGATAAGTACTCTGGCCTTTCTAGCTCTCTTCAATATCTTCTAGAACGTTTTTATAAAGAGTGAAGGAGGAAAATTGGGTTGCGAATATCTTTAAAATGCTTTGAATCAGACGCAGCCCACAATGTTCCATCTTATCAAACACGCCTCTGGCATGGACACGACAAAATTGGCGCTTCGGCCGCTTGAACACGGTGCTGCAAACCACGCGGAATCCTAATAGGCCTACCCCTTTACATTTGACTTCCCCCACTGACAGATCGCCATTGAAACGGCCCAGGATTTAGCCATGTTCGACGTCGCAGGGCAAGTGATCAATTGCCCGACATTAGGTGTCTTGCCACACTGGACTGGAGCATGAAAATTAGGACACTCGAAAGTGCCCGGTGCATCGGGATTGCCCTTATAGACGCAGTCCTTGAAACCCAGTTGTTGCCCTCCATAATCGATTTTCGAGAATTCCATGTCCGACGGGAAGGGAATTGGCTTTGGCACGTCCGTTCCCTTGATGCTCTGAGCTGCCACCATGTACTGCAGATCGTCCCCGCCACACCAGTCAAGGGGTCTTCCCACAGGGAGATGCATGATTTGCCAGTACTGAAGCTTAGCCGGCGTATCAATCCACTCATAGACGAAGACCATTTGGGAAGTCGGTGTTGGGTCGGGAGGCACGCCAACGGGGCTCGTGGGGGTTTGCGTAGAGGTTTGCGTGGGCGAGGGAGTTGGGGTGTTACTCTCGTCGGTGGTATATTCCGGATCATCAAATATTTGCTGGTCGTCGGGCTCATCTCGTTTGAGATCCTGCTTGTTCATTGACCAAGATCCATCTCCCTTCCATCCGTATTTTTGGTTGAAGTAATTGTAGGTATAGAGCCACGCGTAATTGTCCGCTAATTCCCGTGTTATCTCAAGTTGCCTTCAAGTAATCATGAATAAGGTTGAGTCGATGAATTCTTACCATTCTTACCCACTTCGGGGTTGGGACGCCACTTTGACCTTCTCGTTTGGTAGGTGTTTTTCCACGCGAATTCAGCCGTGTAAAGAGACCCATACATTTTCTATTGCATCTTGGTTAAGCAGCCGCCGACTGAATCAAGAACCTTGTGTATGAACGATATACAACAAACTTACAAGTTCCTTACCACCCATACTCAGGACTTCACTTTCGACATCGTCAACTGGAAAAATAATGAGACCACCAACCAGTCACTCAACAGACGAGATCTCCACTTACTGGTAAACTTCATCCCCATGCTCTCTCTGCAATGGAAAAACTCGTGCACCAATATATAAGCGCGAGTTTTTAGATTTTCTATGTTAACCTCCCTCTCTTTCGGCGCATTGTTCAAATCCGTTATCCTCGGGGTCGCTGAATCATCGAAGAAGCCGGGACAAAACCACACGATGTGCCGTATCCATCCATGGTACGCGCTCCCTTAAAGGTCGAGGCGCGCCTTTGCTCCATTAGAACCTCATATTGCTTCATGATATCATCCGTTTACTCACGTATTTTTCGTAGGACAACCCCCCAAATGTTTGATTTCCGACGGTCTGCGACAGGTCAAAGTAACCCGTTTTCTGGGCTTCATTTCTTCCCACTTTTCAGGATCACCAAGTATCGGGTATTTGAACACAAGATCCATGATCCCTTCCGTTTTCTGTCATTAACTCTTCTCGTGCAAATAAGGAGATTGTGCTACTAACGTAGGATATTACTAGATTCCTCATGATAAAGCCACTGGGATAGAATTTGTATCAGTTTCAATCAAGCGATGCAATGAGCATGAAATGAACGTACACCCCATCCATTCTTCCCAGAAAAGTTGTTGTCTGACATAAAAAAGCGATTCCACCCTGGAGTTGAAGCAACATCGGGGTATGAGGGCTTCATGAGTTCTATTGTATCGTTCAAAGTGGACACAATTAATTCAAACTGCGTATCGTCGCAAGTCTCGGCTGCCATGGCAAAGTATATCCCTTTCCAGGTTTTCTGGAGCTCTTGAACTCTCTGTGCGCTTCTGACTTCCGACTGGTTCATCCCTTCCGTTGGGATGGAGGCTGAGCCCCCTATCCACAGGAAGACCAGGAGGACGGTAAGGCTTGCAATCATAGTGGATGCTGTTCGTCGCTGCAAATATTTTTTACCTTTATTGACGGCATTCGAAAATCTCTGTTTGTCGGAGGGGGGAGGGACCTTTATGTAAGTTTTTGTTTAAAGGGTAGGCCAGTGGCTTGAGAGCCTGTTGGATTTGATAACTCGACGGGAAACGGCAAATGTAGGCCCCAAGGCAGATTCGTCCAGTCTACTTAGGAAAGAACCACGACCGGCCATCTTCCAAATGCACGCCTTTAATTTGCTAATGTGCTGGAAGTATCCTGTCTTGTTGAACGCGTTGATCCTAATTTTGGATCAAATCCCGATCTGGCCCGCCATGTGTACCTACATATAGAAGGCTAGTATCAGTGCGTTCACATCCAACGCAACACTGTGGTGATCTATGATTCTCCGCCGAGTTTCTACTGGTTTTTTATAGCTGGGGGGTTATTGCAGGCATCCCGCGACGTTTTCCTATCCACAAAGGATAAGCATTTCGGCTCCAGCGCCACCATCAACTCAGCCGCCCAAAGCTACCTATACCTATTACGGCATATTTCAGGGTCCAGGGCAGGGAAACCGTAAGACTTTAATTCCCTCGGCAGTTGCGCCCTGCTTGAAACGAATCCATTAACATATCACGTACAATTTCAATTTTCGCACTCATTTCTTTACTGTCGTGTCCGAGAAATTAAACTAGGCAAGAATGGAGAACATTCAAATTCACTGCATTCTAGGCGAAGATTGCTTTACGAATAGCACTAGCCCTAAGTCCCTGTTGTAGCGATCTCCGATTTCGCCCCGCTCCAAGACCTTGCCGTGGGGTCCGCGTTGCGGCTGAGCGGCGTGTTGATCTTCACGGAGCGGAAGGATTTTGTGTCGCGAGGCTGTGTGGTTTGAATACTTTATATTAGTCATTAGTCCATATTGCGCACTGAAAATGGCTAGCACATACGCAAAAGTCGCCCGGGGGGAGGACAACGAGGGATACGACACACTCTCCCGGATGCCATTCAGCACAGGAGCGTCAAGGTGGAAAGCGAGGCGATTTAATCCTCTGGAGCGCCCAGTCAGTCATAATGGAAAGCCTATCCGGACACTCGAAGCTTCTCCTACCAGCGTCACTATCTGCCCGTTGAGTCGTAGTTGTGGAATGATTGTCGGTGAGGGAGCGTATACCTTAATCCCATAACCCTGTAACCCCATACTATTATCAGGAAGCTTTGCATCGTCATTTGTGGGGTCGAGCGTACCCATCGGTTCATTCTGGTGGTTGCTTTTCGCCCTAACCGGTTTATCAACAAGGCTTAGACTGTTGCATAACTTGGGGCCGAAAATCTCATTGGGGGCTTTCTTGTAGTTGGTAGGCCCCAGGCTCCACTCGGTCAACTTCATTAGATTTGTCTACAGTCTGTTCGTCTGTACCACATGACTGTCAAACCCCGCGTGGGGGGCCTTGCCGTAGGCCAGGACACGAATTCAGGGATTAGACCCTTTCCCCACATGTAAGGGTCTCGATATGATTTTTTTTATTTGACCGCGAGCATGCAGTAAAATTCGGCAGTGTCTGAAGCTGTATTAAGGGATTTTCCTGGTATTGCACAGCCTCTGCCAAGAAACTATGAATGTACGCCGGGACACAAACTGTATATCAACCAAGCTACGGCGGATTCATTCCACTAGTACATATCAGATCTGAGATGCAAGAAACACTGCCTTGCCAAGAAGACTTTCTTTTAGTCAATTTTAATAATCTCAACCATAGAATTCAAAGTTTTGCCCTGAAACCCTCCTACAGGAATATTTCACGCGCTAAAGTTGCTGGCCTCACCCATGCAGGATGGGCCCTGGATATAGTATACTTGAACCAAGAAGCGAGTACTGAACGCCAGTAAATCTGATACTATAAGTCCTAGCAGTTGCCTCATTTGGCCACAAATATTAAAAGCATGATGAATGAAATCGTAAACAGTGCTTTCTCTATGGCCGAAGCAGCCCGCACAGCCGTCGACAACCTCTCGAATGGTGTACAGCAAGACTGAAATATCAATTGAATTAACAAAGGGATGTTGCAATATACGTGAATCGGGCACAGACAGACAAGAGGGCGAAAAGGGTTGCAATCGAAGCTGAGGATCGATGGCACCCCGAACTCGGCGTTGCCTCGACACTGCATCCTCTTGTTGTGCAACACGCGTGGATCGCCTGCCTTGATCCCCTTGGTACAGGGCCATGAGCAGCCAAGAACTCTTCGCCGAAATCCCGAAGAGCCCTTTTCGAAGCTTGGAGTGCTCGCGCCTGGGGGTACAGATATCAAGCAAATTCAACCGTAGTAACAACGGGTTTCGGCCTTGCTATGATTCTCTCTGTTTTTGTTACCTGGCTTTTGGGGCAGAAATAGGACTGCCGTAATTAAATAATAACTTCTATCCCTCCCGGAATGAGCGCAAATATAAGATTTAGCGAGCCTTCTGTTTCTATTGTCACGTCGATCATGTCACTGACATATGAAAGTGACAAATAGTTAATTAACTTACCGATCTCTACTGACAAAGCAGGCATCCAGCTTCCGAGGCTTATATAGACTATATGTATGCTAGTGTGGAGGAAAGCCGAGATTGTTCTATAATTTCCAAATTAGGAGATAAGGCATTGTTCACTTCCTCTCATCACCCTCGGCAATAGACTGGGGTGATGATAAATAGATCCCCGCTTTCCCTTACTCTTCTTCTTTACTCTACTTTACATCCACTCTTCAATCCGTATTCTCGTGCACCTCGATTCCCACTGTCCGCAGCCCTGATTCGGTATGTCTCTGATGACAGATGTCTATTTGGTTGTTTACCCTGCCCTTTGACGCCGACGTGACTGAGGTGTGCCTTCATTTTGTGATCATTTGATGGAACAACAACGCTTAAGACTGTGCGACTGAGAACTTTATTTAACTCTTCAACATGCTGATATTTAGGTTGATTTAGCATGTTACCCACGATGCAGCAGCCAGACAAGAACCCTAACAACGTCAACAACCGAGAGACCCCCGGTGACCACGCTGACCCCCTGGCCAACAACACCACCGGAACCGACCCAGAGAGCGTTGATACTTACGGGACTACATACGCTGCTCCCACCGAGGAGGGCCAGATCAGTCCGAACCAGGGCGATGTGCCAAGTGAGTTCGACGTGTCACTCATAAACTATGCGCAGGCTACCAACCCTGGTTTTGCTCTGCCCGATAGCCCGGGAGTGGCTGGCTTTCTGTCTTCTCTCTTTCCGCAGAGACAGACACGCTCTCCGAACCAAGGACTCCAAGGATACCTCATCCAGATGCAACTCTGTGCCGGCATCCCCCCAGAGGGTATCAAGCCCATGGAAACACCCAATGTCGTTCGGCACGCTAGTTCCCCAGCTATGATGCTGGTCATCGATGATAACATCACACTTCCCGCCATCCCGCTAGCGAGCTTCAATGGTACTCTGGATCCTCTGCCCATCCATCCTTCATTCCCGGAACCTCCGTCCTGGCGTCAACGCTGGGATTCTCTTAGCCAGCACGGGGTCACCAACACCGTGAGCCCGTTCACATCCGCGGAGGAACGAGAGACGTTTATGAGATTCTATGTCAACCACTTTCTGAACCCCCCGGGCACCAACCACATCTCTGCCATCCCGGAGGGAGATGACAATGAGAATGGTGAGCTGGCCGGCTTTCCAAGGTCTGTTCCACCCACCCAGAGCCTTTCCAACCCTGACTATTCCTTGAACATGGATGGAGAGGAGGACGAGGTCGGGAATGAGTGGATAGGAGGTTGAATGTGACTTAGGTACTGGTACTGCGAATTCTGAGGAATTGCAGGGTCAAGAGCTCTGCCAGGTGCTGAACGAGGAGGCGCAGATTTGTCAATTTTTAAAAAGGAATGGGTGTCGTGTGGAGAGATATGATGGGACATAGCAAAGCACAGGTGAATTCTCTAGCAACAAATAAGGACCAACAATCCGATCTACCGTACGGAGTAGAGAGGTTGGCGCTGCCCCACCATGTGACCCATCGGTCACATGACCTGCACCTTCCAGCTCCACCACACCCTCCAGCCTGACGTGACATCAACCACCACCGCCTTCGAGTCACGGCGTGGGCACCATGTGGCGTACTGCTTCATCGATCATCTCCAGATCGATTTCCGCTTGTTCATATTCCCTATTTCTTCCCCCCCCTTTAAGGTGGTGATCTCTCCCTCGATGGGGGATGCCGGTGCTTCAGGCCACCATACCCGACCATGCCCGACCATCCTAGCCGACCTCCGGCTGGGTACCGGGCCACACTGGCTGCTCCCTCGACAACAACCCCACCGTCTTGAAGCCCTGGCGCTTCTTCTAAGCTACAGTATATGCGCTGCATGTTCTGGAACCGTCTAGTGATTTTGCGGGAGTTCCGTCAGGGACAGCTTATTAGGGTGGAGAGCGATGGCTGGATTTAGACATGCATCTTTTCCAGTATTCTGACAACAGCCGCCCACCTTCTTTCAGTGCTGGGCACAGTTTCTGGATACTGAACATGGTTCGATCAAGGGAAAATGGCTTGGATCGCCCTTAGATCCATTTGCCTCACATCTGGCGACTCTCTCCTGCTTGTTTTCACCAGATCACTACCTGACGTTTCAGATCCCGACAACATGGGGCACATAACTGGCTTTCTGGGGCTTCTTGCTTCTTCTAAGAAATGCGGAGCTGGGAACAACTTGCAACCAAGCTCAGGAGGCACCCCTGAATCCTTTGAGTCCATGAGAATTTCGCCCCTTCAGGTCCCTTAGTTCCTCGGTGGTCCCTGCGATTTCCAGGTAGACATGGCTTTCTGTCTATCTGCTGTAAAATTTGGCAGATTCTGCCCATGCAGTGGACTCAAGTCTACTGTCAGCAACGCTCAGCACATCTAACATCGTGCCAGATTGGGCCTATCAACACATGCCACCGAGTGGAGGTCAAAACTGGGAAAAGACGCTGCGAGCACATACTACACATGCAACACGTGCATAAACGCTGTTGAATACTTCGATGGTTTACTACCGAAGCGACAATCGAGGCTGAACCAACCGCTGGCCACCGAGTGAGAGTGGCTATTGGTCTCAGTTGATTGTTGTGTGCATGTTCCATCGGGCCTCAATCATTGTTGTTTTATGCAGTACGTAGATAGATGAAGATCGTGAGGACACAGCCCATATGATCTTGCCTCTCAAAGGCCTTTGTGCGAGGGATCAGAGGAATACTCGCTTCGCAAGAAGAACAGAAGAGCGCGGGGGCCGTGCTTCATGCAAGACTGACAGCAGCAACTTCTTCCTTCCCCGCCAAAGAGGTCCCAGTGCATTTCTGCAGATTATTCGGCAGAAGTTGCAATCCCCCAGGATCAGAAACCGAAATTTGGACCACTCCAACGGGATCTAAGCCAGTCCCGCTGATGTACCCGGCGGCTGCACCTCTCACTGCGTGGAATCCAGCCGTAGAGCCGCGGGGACCAACCACCTCTGGTCTTGAACATCTGCTCTCTCACTTTCGTGTCTTATACCAGTTACCGAGCTTCCAAGCTACCAGCTGGTACCCAGTAGTCCTGCTTTCAGTTCCTGCATCAGACCGAATTCGAAGGGACGGGTGCGTATCCATTTCCCCGCGTTAGTCCCCTTTGCTCATCGGCTTCATAGTGACCGGAAAAACACCTCCTCCGGATCTCTCCCCAACCCGAAAGACTTCCGCCTGAGAACGCGGTCACGATCGAGCGTCGACTCCACGCACTGTGCCTTCCTCGACGTCTAGGACTTTTATCCTCCATCATCGCCCGGTCCATACATCCCCCCTGTTCTTGGCACCGCCAGATGCCGCTGGCGCCGTTTTCATGGCTGGGTCCCGTAGGAGTCCGGTACTGAGAGACCAGAGGAGCGGCGACTCAGACCGCGACCCCCGAGACAGGGACCGCCGCAGAGGTCGAGGGTCGAATGGAGATCGGGGTAGGAGTCGCTATCGCGATAGAGGAGGCCGGCAATCGCGATTGAACGACCGTCATTTCGATTATTCCAACCGGTCGCCACCATCACGCGCGTCCCGCTTTGGCCCTGACCTATCTCACAACTCGCCTGATTTCCCTCTGGATCGCTCTCCTCCTCGCGGCTCCCCCGGCCATTCTTCGGGCTTTCACGATTCTCGACGATCGGACCATCCGCGACCGCAATCTTCCAACGACTGGAGGAACACCCATCCATCTGCCCCTTTGGACAAAGAACACCAAGGTTTCCGTCGTGACGAGTCACCATTCGGGCCGCCGCCAAAACGCAAACGAACCCGCAGTCCATCTCCTCGTGGCCCGCGCCCTCCCTTTCCCCACCGCCGTTCATCGTTTGCCAAAGCCGGGGAGAGACGCGACCGGAGCCCTCCATTTAACACTCGAGGTCGCTTCCCGGGGCGAGGTGCTCCCCGAGGACGATCCCCTCGTCGGGGTCGAGATCGCCGGGGCAAAGACCGTCACCGCTCTGATATCCCGCGGTCAGGACATTCCAGATCACCTGTTCGGGACCGGGGTTTTCCTCTATCGCCCGACCGACGGCCTCGATCACCCGGTGACGACTATAGCGACAGAGACTCTCGCTATCGATCTCGGTCTCCGTCTCGGCATTCGGTACGTTCTGTGGTATCGAAGGCATCTGTGGTTTCCTCCCATTCACGAAGGGACGAAGTAATGCACTCAACCCGCCCTATCAAGTCTGTTGTGGATGATCGGGACCGTTCTCCATCACCTCTTCGGCAGATTCCGAGTTTCGATGGCGGCCACATGGGTAGTCCTGGTGAGGGACAAGGCAACATGCGAGATGCCTTCCCAATGCGTGGAATGCGCCCATCTGATGTCTATAATAAGCAACGGCGCCGGCCGTCACGACCGCATATAGACACTGGGTCATACTCGACATCACCGCACTTTGAAACACCAACGAGATCTCACCATGGATCTCCTCAACCGGGCTCTCCTTACTCTGGTGGACGGGGTGACTGGAACGGCCCGGTTTCACATTCTGGCTCTGGGTGAGTTTTTTTTCTCTGATATGCCCCTCTTGCATTTCCTCACACCTTCCATTCATGAGCTAATCTTCTTCTTCGTTGTCGCAGCCACTCTCCTCCGCTTTATCGACAGGATAGTGATTACTCACAGAACCCTCCTCCCGGGCAGTACTATCAAAGCCACCATGGTCCTTTCAACGGCTCATCCAATCACCATTCTCAATCTTCCTACGGTGGACCATCCCAGCGAGGCGGCGCTTCTGGCCATCGTGGAAACCACGCCAATCAAGCCCCAAATCGCCGGTTCTCCCGCTCTGGTTCCAGTGGTCCTCCCAATCGAGGAGGAGGACGAGGCAATTTCAATAACCTTAAATGGACTGCATCCGGATCTCAGGGCCGTGGTGGACCGCCCAGCCCTCGCTCAGCACATGCCCATGATTCGCAGACTCCTTCAACTCGGCCACCTTCTGGAAATGACCCACAATCCCCTCGTGCTCCTGATACGGAGAACCGTCCTAAGTCAGCGGGCAGGGATTTCCAAAGAGACGATGACCGACCTCCACCTGCATCTGAAAATCCCAATAGCCAGAATATGCCTCGTCCAGATCGCGAGCCACAGGTCTCAACCCCAGTAGAAAAGGGTGGAAAATTCAGTTTCACCTTCAAGGCGAAGAATACACCCACTCCTGCTCCGAAGCCTGTTCCGGATCTTGCCCAGCGGATGCAAGTACGCGAGCCACCGCCTCGTGCACCTGCAGCTGACCCGCCAACTCCTCGCAACCGGTTGACCAACGGCCCATTGCCCAAGTTTCAACCCGAGCCCCGGTTTGACCGTCGTGACCGAGACCGCGGAAGAGATCGAGACCGAGACCGAGACCGCAGGGACTTCCGAGACCAGCGAGATCAACGAGATTCGCGAGATTTCCGTGACCCGCGTGATCGACGAGACGACCGCCGTTTCGATAACCGCCGTGACCGACGAAAGAATGACCGGCGCCCCGACTTCCGACAGGATCGGGGCAAAGATCATTCTCCAGAGCAACCACGAGAGATGCCGCCGAAGCACAAGAAGATTCTCACTCGTCCCAAACCTCGTCCACTTCTACCGGAGGAATTTGCAAAGGCTGATTCTGTTTACTATCGAAAACCAGGCAATGAGTCCGTCATTGGTGCTGGTACGTACGGCAAGGTGTTCAAAGGAATTCATGTCTACACTCAACGGAAGGTCGCGCTTAAGAAGATTCGAATGGAAGGCGAAAAGGATGGCTTTCCTGTTACTGCTGTGCGGGAAATCAAACTACTCCAGCATCTCCGTAATCACAACGTGGTCAGCCTGCTGGAGGTCATGGTTGAGAGGAATGAGTGCTTCATGGTTTTCGAGTATCTTTCACACGATCTGACGGGTCTGATCAACCATCCTTCGTTCTCCCTTACTCTCGCACACAAGAAGGATTTGGCCAAGCAGATGTTCCAAGGCTTGAATTACCTTCACCATCGCGGCGTCCTCCATCGAGATATCAAGGCCGCGAACATTCTGATCAGCAACACAGGGCTGCTGAAATTCGCGGACTTTGGTCTTGCCCGTTTCTTTTCGAAGAGCCGCCAACTTGACTATACCAACCGAGTGATTACCATCTGGTACCGGCCTCCGGAACTCCTACTGGGTGAAACCCGGTACGGTCCCGCTGTCGACGTATGGAGTGCTGCATGCGTGTGCATGGAAATGTTCACGAAGAAGGCCGCTTTTCCCGGAGAGGGCAGCGAGCTCAGTCAGCTCGACAAGCTCTACAACTCGCTCGGTACTCCGACACGGGCCGACTGGCCGGATGTCGTGGAAATGCCATGGTTCCAGCTTATGCGTCCCTCCGAACGCAAGAAGCGTGTCTTCGAAGACCAGTACCGCGACATTCTGACCCCAGCCGCTCTGAACATGATCTCGCAGATTTTCCAGTACGATCCTGCCAAGCGGCCGAGCGCCGAGGAAGTCCTCGAGCACTCGTATTTTGTGTCGGAAGAACCCACCCCTCGCCAAGCTATCGAGTAAGCTCTCTGCCCCTATATAGGTATGAGGATTTATGCCTTTACTAATCAACGCAATTTACAGACTGGAGCACGTCGAAGGGGACTGGCACGAGTTTGAATCGAAGGCTCTTCGCAAAGAAGCCCGGCGCGCCGAGCAGCAGAGCCAAAAGGACCGAGAGAAGCGCAAGGCCGAGTCCGTGCCGACAAGCGATCCGGACCCTAAGAGGGTTCGCGCCGAAGGCACTGACCAGGCGTCTGGACACGCATGAAGGGAGGGGGAAAGATGCTACAAGCATGATTTAATACCTTTGACAATCTGTTTTCTGTATGGCATCGGGCATGGCTGGTGGACTGGGTTGCATCATCGTCCCTTTTTTCTTAGAGGACTTCATTATCAGGGAATATCCTGGGACCTGCTTTCTGTCACATATCGCCCACGGGCATAAAACTTTTTTTTATTGGAGCTTCTATCCACGTCACCGTCTTACGTAGAGCTTCTAGAAATGGAGATTATAGATGTGAGGGATTATTGAAGCTCTTGCGCTTGGCAGCGATTGATTGCGAAGCTTCGAGCGGCCAGGGAAAATTGGCGAGTGGGACGAGGGAAAGAAAACCTAGGCCCTACGAAATGCTCGTGTTAGCATGAAAGCAGGTTCGGTTTTTAAGCAGATATTCGTCCCATCCAGCAGTGTTTGCGATATCAGACTTTGCCAGTTAACCTCACGCCCAACCAGCCCACACAGTAGAAAGAAGGCGGTTGAGGCCTCGGATTACCAGAGAGCTCAAAAGATTTTCGTCATATGGAAACATATTGATTGATTGATTGGAAAAGTAGCTATTAGAGAACGTACCCTACCAGGTCGAGGTCCTGCATTAGGGACCGCCCGAACGCAGAGTCGGCGACAGCAACAAGGATTGTTTCGTCTATCAGGTCATCAACGCATCCTGGGAAGCTCCGAAGAGCCCTCGTGATGATGGTTTTAGAAGCGATATTTTATTCTCGACACACTCTTAGGAAACGCCGGGGTAGTGGAAGGACAGACCTCGGCGGTGATTTGAGTCGGTGGTCTTGCGTGAAGAAAAGAAAAGAAGAAGAAAAGGAAAGGAAGCCGCGAAGAAAAGGCACCGGCGGGAAAAAAGACGGTGCGAGCGCAGGCGAAACGGCTGCTGATTGGCTGGCGGGAACGGCAGATGGAGCTGCCAGGTCGAGTCTCCAATTCCATCTGCATTTGCATTTCCAGTCCATCTTCACCTCGCTACGATCCCTGCGACCTTTCTTTCTGATCCTCTTTCCCCTTCACCTCTTCCATTTCGACTACACTCTCCGACGCACGACATCCCTCATCCTTCCTTTGGTCGGAAATTCTGTACACTTATCCGCCCTTACTCTACGAAGTTCTCTGCTCCGACATATACCCCCCCGCCACCTCACCCGCTCCCTCCGCCTCCATCCTCCCGTCGCCTTTCGTGCTCGCCCACTGCAGCTCCCTGTCACCGCAATACCTCATCTGCCTGCCTGATTGAATTGTGCGAGTGGTGTTACTGGGGTGCCCTGTCGTCTTCCCGCCTCTTTGTTCCTCCCGGATGACCGCTCGTGTCTCGGGCTGTCTCACCCGCCGTCATGGATAATGCCAACCTGTGGACTCGTCGAGCAAAGTGAGCCTTGATGGATGGTCCCCGTACGTCCGAGTGAACATTATAGCTGACCCTGCATTTTCTTCCCCTCTGCAGCTCCTCCAAACTGTCTTTGTCCATGTCCGGGACGGACGGCAAGGACGGTGCCCGCGTCGAGCTGCCCCGATCATCCAAACGGTTCGCCCCTGACAGCTCCCATGGCCGGTCAAATCCCTTTAATGCGATCTCCCCGCTATCCGGCGGCGGCGTCTCCTCGCCTTCCACCAATGCCTCATCCGCATTCGGGCTCGGCTCCGGCGCCTTCGCCTCGTTCGGCGCGCCCAAAACACCGGCTGGCTCGTCAGAAGTAAAGACCCCGGGCGAGAAGCGCGATCTCTCAGTAGAGCATGAGGAACTGTCTAGGTCCAAGGCCCTTGCCAACGCTCCCGCTGGTCCCGGAGAGCATGCGCTGAAGTCTATCTGGATCGTCTGGTACCGCCCACCCACACCCAAGTACTCCGACTATGAGAAGTCCACAGTGCCCCTTGCCTCGATATCATCGGTGGAGAGCTTCTGGGCGGTGTATTCTCACCTCAAGCGGCCATCGCTGCTCCCCACGGTGTCCGACTACCACATCTTTAAGAAGGGTATCCGCCCCGTGTGGGAAGATGAAGCGAACAAGCGAGGTGGCAAGTGGATCGTCCGGCTGAAGAAGGGCGTGGCTGATCGGTACTGGGAGGACCTGCTGCTAGCCATGGTTGGCGACCAGTTCGCCGAGGCTGGCGACGAAGTCTGCGGTGCTGTGCTGAGCGTGCGGGGTGGCGAGGATGTGTTGAGCGTGTGGACGAAAATCGATGGCGGGCGAAACATTAAGATCAGGTATGCTTTCCCCCTACCCTCGGCCAATCATTAAAGCCTGGCGTGTTCTGGAAACTTATACTGTCTCGCAGAGAAACGATCAAGCGCCTGCTCGCCTTCCCCGCAGACACCAACATCGTCTGGAAGAGCCACGACGACAGCATCGCCCAACGTTCCGCTATCGACCAGGCTCGCCACGAGAAGGCCCATACTGGCGGCTCTAACCCAACGGCTCTCCAGGGATCGGAGCGCCGGCGCACCGGCCATGACGAGTCGGACAAAGGCAAGGGGAGCACAGCCCTATGAAGCCTGGTCCCAGCATTCTCGGCCTTGAGCCCTGTATAGTAAAGCCAACAAAAAAAGATATCATGCACAACTTACTACTCATTGGGACGCGTTTGGGTCTGGGGGGACGGTGGGGCATCGAGGCGAACTCAGCGGTTTGATTTGATTTCTTGAGTGAACTGATTATGTCTGTTCCGTCTTTTTGCCTTTGAGCTTCACGCGTGATGTTTTCCTTTTTCTCCTTATCTTTCTACTACTTATGTGCCAAAAAAACACTGCAGCTATGGCTGCAGACGGCGTAACTTGCCTGGATGCTCGTGTACCTTTCTTGCATGTCCACTTTTGTGGATGGCTCCTCCTCAACCATCCACTACCGACAGCTCTTTGATGCACTCAATGAACTCCTAAGACTGAAAATATTTTCCTTTGCTCTTTGTAATTCGCTCGGTCTTCTCTTTTCCTGGTCTTGGGTGACTGTTCGACTCATGCTTCATGCCTGAGAAACAAGGCGCCACACAGCTGACCGCCCGCGATAGGATGATACCGCAGAGCAACCGCATACTTGCGACGATGCGGACAAAAATGCACTGCACGGTGGGACATCTGGCGAGCATGGTCCTGCCATAGTCTTGGCTCAGACTGGATGTCTTTTTTCTTCAACAGCCTCTCCGCGGCCTTCGCCAACTTATCGCCGCGTCGTCCCCGAACCGACGATCCTCAGCGGCCGCTAGACCAACACCGCCGCCGCAGTCCATCCTCACAGCAGCGCGCCCATTCTCCCTCCCCTCGTCGTCACCCCCCACTATCCCCGACCACTGGAACCCGCCATCATACGAAGAGAGTGAAGAACGAGTTGTCTCTGGGCTTGGACGACGAAGACGACCACCATTCTGGTCCGAACTTCGAAACGCTGCGCGATATCAGCTGCTCCGCAGGTGCGTACTAGTTCGTCCTAAGCTCCCCGAGCACCGCATTACGGCGTGCTTCGGTCATCTCTTAGGTTCTTGTTTTGGTCTTGCCACTCATTGAGCTTCGAGATATCTAATCACGGGAATCAAATTGGACTTCCCCCGCAGCTGTTCAGTTTATCGTCCGGAGACTTTTTGTCTTTTTTTTTTTTTTTTTTCTCTCTCTCTTTTTGCCGAAACTGAATTGTCTCTCTAGATAACTCAAAGCTATGCCAACGAATTCTCTACGCCTGGATCTGCACCACATCGTGGACAATTGCGGCTTTCGCCTCCGCTCGTTGCCATAGACTCCAGCACCCGGTAGATATGCCTCCGCATCGCGACCCCGCCGGCAAGCAGTTGCTGATAACCCACGCGCGCAGCTCGGGTGACCACTCGCAGATGTTGAGCAAGGATAGGGAGGACGAGGCTCGGCTGCTCGGAGCGACTTACCAGTATGTTGAAGCGCGAACGGGAGTATTGGGGATCCGTGGAAAGAGAGCAACCGCGCTGACACGTTCCTTGGCGCGTACACAGGCCCAAAAATGCGTTTGAAATCAAGCCAGGTGCTACCAAGAGAAACAAGAAAATCCCAGGGGTATGTGTCCGTCTTTTCTTTATGTTTTGATGGCGAGCCTAAAGCCGATATCTGGAACCACAGGCTTCGGCTGCGTTTCACCCAACGGACAGGATATCCCAAAATGCACGCCAAAGTGGGCCAGTCCGCGCGCAAGGGAAAGCTAGAAATGCCGACTCCCTCGTCAACAAGAATTACCCGCACTTGGAAGACGCACATGACTTTGAAGCCTCGGGTCGGCCGAGCAAGCGGCGGCGTCAGGAGGGCCTCAAAGCCGTCGATCTAACGCATGAAGATCTGGCTGGCCCGGCATCCTCAGTGCACGAGGTTTCGGTGTCTGGACATCGATCGTCCCGGCTCTCTCCCGGTTCAACCTTCAGCCCGGCAAAACCCAGGAGCAATGGCCGTCCTACATGGCACCCCGAATACCGCGTCGTGGAAGATATGCTTAGATGCGAGCGCAGTCCACGCAACCGCACAAGAGATCGATTACCATCCCACACAGGCTCCCTGGACGAACAATTTACCGCTGGAGCTGCGGTCCAGCGGCGCTATTCGGGATTCAACGTTGACAACGCTGATCAGCAACCTACGCAAGCCTATCTTGACCCGCTTCGCCTGAAGCGTAATGTGCTTGGGAGTATTGAGATAGCAGCTCCCAAGGGCAATACTTCTGAGCAGATTCAATCTCAAACTGGTACACAGCCCTCGATTCCGTCAAACATGGCTCGAATTGCCCCCGACTCTGGCGACAGCCCGGATGAATTGCAGGGTGAAGTCACAACGCAGCCGGTCCCGAAGCGTCTTGAAGAAAAACATAACCAGAAACGCCGGAAACAACTCCACGAGCAAATCATGGTTTCTCCATCCCGGAAACGCTCACCAGCGGATATCGAGCCCACTGATTTTGCGAGGTCGCCTCGACAGGGGCTCAAGAAGTCCAAGCATGAGAATCGGGGCTCTGAATCGGCTCTGTTCTATATTTTGTCGGTGCGGTTCGGCACTATCAGTAAGACTGTCGAAAATGGTGAAGAGGTAGTTATCCGTGTGAGCGATGATAGGATCGAGCTTGGAAAAGCCATCACTGGTGGCAAACCAGTAGAAGTCCTGCTGCGCCATATCAGGAGCGCGTATCAGGGAGAGGACAAAGTGCGTCTGCAGTTATCTCACTATCAAGGTTCCCCCGGTGCCTATGTCGACATCCACTTCTCGAGGGAAGCAAGTAAAAGACGTTTTGTGCAGTTGCTGGAGAAATGGTGTGACGAAGTTCCAGAAAAGGATTCGTGGGTTTTAAAGAAATCACTTGGTGCGGAGCTCTTGTACTGACACGTGAATAGGAAACATATGGAGAAGCTTTTCTCAAGATACGATCGTGAAATGCTTCAGCATGGCAATAATGCCAAAGCTCCCTTTCTGGATTTTGCCCCATCTCCACCGCCATCTACCTCTGTCAAACACGCCACAGGCCAAAAGCTCTCTTCTATGTTAGAGGGCTCTGCCGATGAGTCCGAGGAACATGAAGAGGATGGAAACAGAAGTGAACCGCAAGAGAGCTCAAATTCCATAGATGGTGCTGGAGAATTCCAGGAGATGCCGAACGGGCGGAAGCAAGACGCTGACACCCGTGTTGAAATCCCGGTGAAAAAGTCCTACGGAGTTCAATCTCGCCAGCGCGAGACAAGACCGGCGACCCGACGGACCACTAGACTCTCTGACCGGCTGAATTGCGACGACGCATCCGCAGACAAAACCGACCCCGCCCTGCAGAACGATACCTTCCGAAAGAACTGGAAGGAACCTTTGGTGTATCCAAAAAATGGAAAGAAAAAGGAGGAGGTTAGTGTCGAAGACCGCGACCGACTGCGTGAGAACGAGTTCCTGAACGACAACCTGATCGCGTTCTACATGCGCTTCCTGCAAAACCACCTCGAACGCACCAACCCCGAAGCCGCGAACCGAGTTTACTTTTTCAACTCCTACTTCTTTGCCACTCTTACGAACAAGGGGTCTCGTGAGATCAATTACAGTGGTATTGAAAAGTGGACTCGGAACGTTGACCTGTTCAGCTACGATTATATCGTTGTTCCTATCAACCAGAATGCGCATTGGTACGTTGCCATCATCTGCAATCTGCCAAGCTTGGTGCTGGATCCTGCAGTCCGTTTGGAGTCCCCTGCACCTATGAGCGACAAAGAGTCTCTGAACCCGCCGCAAAAGGAAGTGCAGGAGGTTGCCGAGTCCTCTAAACCTGAACCAGCGCCTGTTTCGGCCAAACCTTCGGAAGAGGAGCCCGAGAAGGAGCAAAGGCCAGCCCCTATATCTCCACATTCGGAAGAAGCACGGCAGTCTTTCGCCTCTATGAGTCTTTTAGAACAGCAGAATGCCTGCGTCGAGACAGAGGAACAGAAGAGACCAACGTCAAGAACGCAGGATGGGCCCAGTCTCGAACACACCCCCCTTTCCTCCGCTGCGATATTGCCTGCCCACCAGGAGCACCCCGCCCCGACATCTCAGCAGTCGGGCAAGACCAAGAAGAAGCGTGGTGGTGTCAAGCTGGACCCCCGCCAGGCAGCCATTATAACCTTCGACTCGCTCGACCTCGCTCGCTCGCCCACAATCCGGTTACTGCGTGACTATATCTGTAAAGAAGCTGCGTCCAAACGTGCCATGGAAATCAAAAACCCACTGGCAGAAATCAAGGGTATGCGTGCTCAAAACATTCCTTTGCAGCCTAATTACTCGGACTGTGGGCTGTACTTGCTGGCGTATTTGGAGAAGTTTGTGCAGAGCCCTGATCAATTCATCACCAAGCTTCTCCAAAGAGAGATGAATGTGCATGACGATTGGCCTTTGTTGGGATCTGGGCTTCTTCGATTGCGCTTGAGGGATTTTCTTGATCAGTTGTACCAGGAGCAAGCAAGTGACAAGAAGGAGGATCTTATGGTGGATCGACAGCCTATCTCGTTTTTGCTGGGCCCGCCGGGGCCGAATCGAGAGGATGCTGATGGGCAGCCACAGAAGACTGAGGCGCAGGACTTCGCCGCGTCTTCAAAGGGTGACGAGACTGCTGGCAAGAAGGACGTGGAAGACCGTGCTCCGCAGGAGAGTGGGGAGCTAAGTGATAGCGCGACTTCGGACCTGCCTGACCTGGTGCCTATTGACCCAAGAGCTTCCCACAACTCGACTCGAGAAACGGCTGAACCACCCGCAGCTGATATCGTTCAGCTTCGCCCTCCAGCCAATGACCCGGATGTCCACGGAATACCCGACAGCCAGGAGCTGCCTACTTCCGCTTCCACCCGGTCAGATCCAGCATCTAGTCACAAGGAAAAGAAAAAGCCCGGAAAGGCACACGAAGATGCTCCCATCCGGAAGGCCGACCGTAAGAGGCCCACCACCCCAGACAACACGGAAGTCCTGAACCTCGAGGCGGTCACACACAAATCGGCTCACTCACCCATTATCGAGGTCCGAGTTCCACCCACAGTTCAAGTCCCGCGCACCCCTCCGCGGCAAGAAGCAAGGCAAGTGCGCAAGAGCCCGCGAGGCATGACATGGAAGAGTTGAATTAAATGTGGAAGTATTTGTTCTTCATACCTAGTTTCGGGTATTATCATTGAATCAGCATTTCGGCCGGTGTAGCGTTAACCTAGAGCATGGTCAGGATGCTCTGCGGCCAAACTCGTTATTTTCTTTCCTTCTCTGCCTATTCATTTTTTTAAAATTCGGTTCTGCATGCCACATAACCTTCCAGCCTAGGATGGAGGCGTTGAACGAGTCGAGGAGACTCGGGATCTGTGATGTATCTGTCTGTCATGGATGCCTGAGATACGTGCATCTGCAGCGTATGTTTCGTTATAACTTGCCGAGTACATTATTGGTTCTTCAACCGAGCACTCGCTCACCTCGAATTCTAGATCTATATACTTCTCATTTTACCATTCGCTTTCTTTTGCCCCAACCCACCACGCCAGCTTATCCCGCTTAAACGTTTCGAAGTCCCATTCCGTCTCCTCCAGCCTGTCCCGGCCCGCAACCCAAACATACGTAGCCGCAGTCACTTCATCGCCTTCATCAGCAACATGCGATCCGGCTGCACCTAACATATCCCGTAGGTGCCGTTCCGAAGTAGACCTTGTCTCACCATCCTCATGCGCTAATGCGCACAGGGTGCGGATCGTGACAGTTTTCTTTATGTACTCGCTACCCTCGTACTTGTCCAGGCGATATATATCCCCATCTGTGAGCCCATAGATCAGTACACCCAGCACGGATGTCTTCGTCCCAGGCTCCGAGGACTCGGTTTCGCTCTCAGGCACGATCCCCGGGTAGTCCGCACCCCGCACTCGATGGCGCCGGTGGCCATGCAGTATGCCGGGCTGGAAGCGGACGAGCGCTTTTTGCCATGGCTCGGGATCGGGGCTGCCGTGAATTACACGGTGCAGCATTTGGGGTGCCATCAGGGTTCCTAGGTCCATTGTTAGTTTCTGTTGATGTTGATCGGGGTCTGCTGTGACTTGGGCGATTACCATAGCAGAAGAGGACGTGGTCGCCCATAGTGAGATGCCGACCCGGCAGTAGAACACCCAAGTGAGGCGATTAGGTATTGGCAGCGCAGTTGTGATTTACCCCAAGCTATGAATGGAGTTTGAAGCTTAAATTTAGGGAAAGAGCAAGAAGAACCCCGGTCGTTCTCGATGTCGAGTATACAAAGCCGCGCTTATCGCACCCGCCGATAAGCCCCAAACACGCCCAGCTGGCTTCATCCGCCCTTGCCAATCACCCTCCGTAGACCGCGGACCTCGTGGACTACGACACTCCCCGGCGCAATGCATTCCTCCCTCAATCGCGCGCAAGCCGTCTTCGGCTTCTTCACCACCGTTGCTCTGGTCGTAGCCGGGCTCGCCGCACTCTCAGTGCTCCTGTTTCCCACAGATGCCGCGACAGCGTCGGTGCAGCTGAAGAATGTCCAGGTGTAAGTTTCCCCAGCTGTGCTGCACCACGCACGCCAAAGAGGAGTTAAGAGAAGAAGGAGAATCGACGAAGCGATTTGCAACGCTTCAACCGATCCAGGCTAATGACACCTTCCCCATGCCAACAGCAGCAAGGGCCGACCGCATTACTACTCCACGAAGCGCGAAGAATACGCCCAGATCCGCTTCGACCTAGACGCCGACCTCTCCCCACTGTACAACTGGAACACCAAGCAGCTCTTCGTCTACGTCTATGCCTCCTACTCCTCCTCCGATAACCCCAACACGCAACTCCGCGACTCCGAAGCCGTCATCTGGGACGCCATCATCCCGGCCTCGCCCTCTCCCTACTCCTGGGACACCCTGAAAGAAAAAGTCACCACTCTCCTCCCAGCCTCGCTGACCTCTTCTTCCTCATCATCCGGCAAGCGCACCCCTAAGCGCAGCACCAAGGCCGGCGCCAGCTCTAAGAACAAGAACAAGAAGGCTGAGTCCCAGACCCCAGGTGTCCTGCGGCTGCGCGGCCAGAAGGCCAAGTACCAGATCAGCGATATCACGGGCCGGCTGGCGGAGCGGCAGAACGTGACGCTGTCGGTAGGCTGGAATGTGCAGCCGTGGGTGGGCGCACTGTGGTGGTCGCCTGGCTCTGGGGCGATTCCGCGGACAGAGGGACAAGTGGTGCGCAGCGAAGCGTTTGAATTCCCAGCGCTAAAGGGGAAGAAGGTTGAGGGGAAGGAGAGTACGCAGTAGAGTGGGGGCGTGAAGGTTCTTTACGCTTTTGAATGTTGTTTGGGACTTGAGTTGGGAAAAGAAGCATCTACTATACGAAATACAACATCAACGGTTCTTCCACGTACTCTATCAATACTTCAATGGAAGAGGAGTAGGTGGGATATCGGACAATAAAACAAAATTCGCTGTCGGTGAAATCGATCAGACAGAGCACAGACAGGGGCTAAGAGTTGATAGCTCCTCGAGTAGCAACACGTCTGTCTAGACGGGCAGAATAACGGGCAGGACCATATAGGAAGCACCCCCAAGGAGGCAAGGACAGATGCTAGCAAATCACAACACAATCGCATGCAGAATCAAGGCCAGTACGGCGGATATTTCACACCGTGCCATAGTTCCGCACCTTCGTGTGGCCGCCGCTCTGGATGCGATCAGAGTACACGCCAGGCGCAGGTTGCTGAGTGGAGCGAGTCAACGGATCCCGGTTGCGGCGCTCGTAGTACACGTATTCCAGGTAAAAAGCATGGATGTGCCCTGGGAAGTATCTGCGAAGCCGGAGAATGTTAGTGGCTCTCAACGTGGACGTATAGTCTGGGGTATAAACTCACCCGAGAATTGTGAGGAGGACGTTGATCCAGAAATCAACGCCGCAGCCGGAAATCAGGAAGACACCGAGTGGAGGGACTGGGGGGGATGTTAAACTGGTACATCTGAAGGTTGACTGCTTGGCGCCTAGGCAGCAGAGACGTCCTGTCCCACGTTGGGCCTGCCCCGCCGGAGGGAACGGGGAATCTCGTCGAAGAGCGCGATCGCAGTCGGTCAGGTGGACTTACTGAACAAGGTGATGATGATAAGACATAGCATTGAACAGGTACCCGCCATGATGGAGTCGAGTGAGTAAAATTTGTAGAGTTGAGGGGTCGGTGGTGGTGGTGGTGGTGCAAGAGGTGGTGGTTACTATCAACTTGACTGGGCTTCGTCGGAATGGTTGAACTCGGCGGTGGGCTAGGAGACTGAGGAGGAGGGTGGCGAAGAGGAGGGAGATATAAATAGGGGTGTTGTCGTCCTTACGACAGTTGATGCGTTTCCTGATCGAATGATCGGCGAAAACGTCAGAGGGTGGTGCTAGGTCCGTCTTAGGTAAATTTAGCCTGCGATCCACACCAACTCTACTTAGTTTGGTAGGTTGGGAGTAGCCTGGGCCAGGTAGTCCAGTCTGGTCCAGTCTGGTCCAGTGTGGTCCAGTCTGGGGGTGATTGGCAGGTATATTGGCAGGTAGCTTTTGGCTGTATCTTGGTAGGGCTGATCGGGAGCTGCCGATTGTCTCGATGACGTCATCCCGGACATCCCTACTTTGGGGATGGCTGGGCGAAAGTACTTGCTTTCGTGGTGACACACGGTACACTCGGTACACACTCCATCGCACAGCTCCAAAGAGACATGAAGTACACAGCCAGCCGAAAACATGGGGGAGGGCGAACGCAAAGCACTGAAATCCGGGAAATACTCAGACTTGCCCCCTCACACTGCATCGATGGCCGCCCGCGTCGTCACTTGCTCATTCTTGTTCCCCAGCTTCGAGATCTGCAAAAAGGCATCCACACCATACCCTTCCAAGCTGTGTAGCTCCAGACTGCCCGCCCAGTATTCGGCATACACCCGGCTCATTGGCAGTCCCATGCCCAGACGCAGGTTGGGCGGTCGCGAGGTCAGCGAATCCAGTGACCCCTCGTGCCAGGCCGCGCGATCATGCTTGCGCTCCGACCCTTTCAACTCCTGCATGGTCGCCGCCATAGCGGGGACTTGACCCAAATTCTCGAGCCGAGCCTGCGTGCGCGGCCCCTTGCTGAAGGACCACAAATACGGAAGGATCTCGCGCGGGATGCCGCCGCCCTGGTCGGAGATGCGCAGGATCACGTGCTGCGGCGTCTCGCAGATAAGCACGTCGATGGGCGGCGGCACCTGTGAGGAGTTCTGGTATTTCTCGATGACAGCCTGCACCGAGTTGCGCAGCAGCTCGCCAACAATGTATTCCAGGTGGCTCAGGATGTACGGAAAGGTAGCCCCCAAATGACCCTGGACGTTGATGGCGGGGAGCTGGGTGGATTGCGAGGTCTGCCGCATCAAGTCTTGCGCTACTCGTCCGCACCGTTCCACAACCTCCTTGGCCTTGCACTTCAGGAATACTTCACCGATAAAGTCGGCGTTCATGTCCGTCCGCTCGTGTGAATCTGGGAAATGCCACGGCGAGTTGAAGGTCTCGGTGAGGGCAAGGTGTTGCTCTGCGATGACGCGACGAGATATTCTCTGGGGTGGGCTGTCAGTCAAGCATCTAAGCTGGGGAACAGTGGGGTCATCGGCATACCGCTCGCAGAAGGGTGTTCATGAACTGATCCATCTCCTCTGGCGGCACAAGGCCCTGGCATTCCAGGACCCCCATCGCCAGGTTGGGGATTACCACCAGGTGCTCTTTCAGCATCTCCCGGAGCACATCACAAAATCGGTCGTTGTCATCGAGACTGCGGATTTCGGGGATCACCCGGGACCGTTCAAATGCTTTATAGTACAACTCGTAGACAAGGGACAGGTGCGGGTTAGCGACGACAACGTAGGGCAGCTGCTGGATATCTCGCAGCCGGTGTGCGAGCCTATACATGGCAAAATCAGCCGCGGGTTCTCATTGCAGACCCTCTTGTGCAGGACTTACCGAGTCGGTAGCTCGGTCCGCACATAGTTCGCCGAGCTGATGAGTCGAGGTTCCGTCAAGGTACGGCCGAAGAAAGTCAACTGGCGCAGGCTAATTGGGCGGATCTGGCGCTCAACCCACCTATCCCGCAACGCGGCACGGTCAGTACAGAGACCTCAAATCAGCGGGAGAGCTTGTGAATCATACTCATCCAGAGCGGAGACGGGCCGCCATGGCGGTGGCTGCTGCTGTACGCCCGAGTAAAAGCGCGGCTTCGGGGCCTGTCGAAGGCTATTCCAGCATCGAGCTGAGCAACTCGACCGCATTGTACTCCATAAAGTCCCAGTCCGTCTGGGGGAAGGAAGGAGCCATGCGATGGCGTCGGAATGAGAGCTGCTTGCATGTGCTGCATGCTGCGGAGGGCGGTGAGGCATGTGACATGGCTAAGGTTCCCTCGGGCTGAAATCGGTCGGTTGGAACTACACAGTCGCACTCGTCGTCTTCAATGTTTGTTGTTTGGTGGCTGTGGAGACATACACTGAGGCTTCCCCGCTACACTCTGGTAGGAGCGATCCAACGTTGAGTGCTGGGGTTAGGCAACCGTTGGCTCTGTTAGTGTCGTGGCTGCCGCTAGGGTCTGAAGCGTTCGCCTACATGATCCTCCCGACCGGGGTCTGGCCCAGAAGATGGCCGATACGTGAGGCCTGTGGTTGGAAGTAAACAGATGATAGTCCATATACCTATCCTCCAGCTAGTTCACTCCTCATATCCAGCATAGTAGCTGTTGCTATGGGTTAGTTGTAATCGTGGTCGTTACATCCATTGGTCCATTGGTCCATTACTCCGGGTCTGGGGAGAGCGCAAGTAGATCACCACCATCCACACCGGCTTTCACAAGCAGCCACCACCCTCAACCGTCCTTTGCAACGTATCCTGTACGAGATCCTCTGCGTGAATCCTCATCCCATCTCTTCCTCTCATCTATATATTATCTTCATCGTGTGTGCTCGCCGAGCTATCCCCCTCCGTCGTCACAGGGAACCGTCACTGCCGAGCCTCCACGGGCTCCGCCACCGCTAGCTTCGGACCCTCTCATTCTGCTGGTTCAGAAGAAATTCCTCCCGACAACGACTCCCGCCCTCACCGTCGTCTTTCTCCCCATTTTAACCCTTGCCCCATTCCGACAGGTGTCTTCCGGCTGGACGGGAGGGCCCCTTTCGCCATGGAAAACGTGAGTTGCTTCACCGTGCCCCTCGCGTGTGTCGTCATTGCAGATCTAACCGTGCACCTCGACTACCCAGCTCGCGGAGAACGAGATGCTCGTCGACGACTATGAGCAGTACCCCAATGAGAAGACTGATGTCGTCGTTGTCTCCCGCTCTGGCTCCGACGAGCCTGAGCCCGCGCCCTCTGCTGCTGACCGTACGTTTCTTTCATCTCCTCCCGCCCCTCTCCCTCGCCCCCTCCCTTGAAGCCTTGGGGTCAAGCGAGAAGAAACACAACTTAGATCCTATGAAGACCGACGTGATGCGATCATTAGAGCTGGTCATGATCACTGGCTTGAGGGGTCACGGGGCAATCTGCCCCCGTGTGTTACGATGTTTGAGAAGATGGCTGACCGATGTTTCAATTATGCCTTAGATGCGGCGATGATGGCGCGAGTCCTCCCCAAGAACTCCGACCTCGAGACCATAGAGGAGGTATATGATACATGGCATATCCAAAACTGGAGGAAGATGGACAAGAAGTCGCATGGCCCGGTCTTCAAGTGCGGCGGATTTCCTTGGTGGGTCGGCTTCTTTTTTTCTTTTTCTCCTGGACACCTTCAAAGACGGATTGAATGCTGATACACGGACAGGCGCATTCTGTTCTATCCCTACGGTAACCACTCGGAGCATGCCTCCTTTTACCTCGAGCATGCGTGGGAGGGTGAGCCGCCGGAGAACTGGTATGCCTGTGTGCAGTTCGGGCTTGTGCTGTCTAATGTGAAGGACCCCTCGATCTATGTCTCTCACGGTAAGGATACAATCTCGATTTCTGGATTTGGTCAATATGGTTATGCTAAGTGTTGACCTCTAGTTGCGACCCATCGATTCACCGCTGAGGAGGGCGACTGGGGCTTCACCCGGTTCTATGATCTCCGCAGTCTGTTCAACGATGCGTGGGAAGGCAAGACTGTTCCGCTGGTCCAAGATGAGGAGGCAAATGTGTCCGTGTATGTCCGCGTGGTCAAGGATCCCACTGGTGTCCTCTGGCACACTTTCCAGAAGTCGGTACACCCTTCAACGTGTCTCAACAGCTTCGATCACAGCGCTAACGGTGTTTCAGCTACGACTCCAAGAAGGAGACTGGTATGGTGGGCCTTCGCAACCAGGGTGCTACTTGCTACCTCAACTCCCTTTTACAGTCGCTATATTTCACCAATTCCTTCCGCAAGGTATGAACCAGGTATCTTTGCCCTGTTTTGCCCCCGTGGCTACTGACCCTATCCACCCAGGCGGTATATGATATCCCCACCGAGGAGGATGCTTCTTCCGAGAATAGTGCTTGGACCCTCCAGAGACTCTTCTACAATCTACAGACCATGGATAAGGCAGTGTCGACGACTGAGCTGACAAAATCCTTTGGCTGGGACTCTAGGCAGGCTTTTGAGCAGCAAGATGTTCAGGAGCTGTCGCGAAAGCTCATGGAGCGCTTGGAGGAGAAAATGAAGGGCACTGTTGCTGAAAGGGCCTTGCCTGAGATGTTCGTGGGCAAAACCAAAACCTATATCTCTTGCATCAATGTTGACTACGAGTCTTCTCGCGTCGAGGACTTCTGGGATATCCAGCTGAATGTTCGGGGTAACAAAACTCTGGATGACAGCTTCCGGGACTACATTCAGGTGGAGACCTTGGAGGGGGAGAACAAGTACGATGCTGGCCCTCCATACGGTCTTCAAGATGCCAAAAAGGGCGTGATTTTCGAGAGCTTCCCGCCTGTCTTGCACCTTCACCTCAAGCGATTTGAGTACGACCTTAACGCTTTGACGATGATGAAGGTCAACGACCGCCATGTCTTCCCGATGGAATTTGATGCTGCTCCTTATCTCTCGGAAAATGCTGACATGTCCGAGTCCTGGGTATATGAACTGCATGGTGTGCTTGTGCACAGTGGTAGCCTGGACGCCGGTCACTACTATGCATTCCTGAAGCCCACCAAGGATGGGCACTGGTACCGCTTCGATGATGACCGAGTCAACCGTGCCACTGAAAAGGAAGTCTTGGAGGAGAACTACGGAGGAGAGTATGAATTTGCGAACGGGACGGCCGGTGTTCGTCAGCCCTATACGCAGAAGTACTCTACCAAGCGTTCGATGAACGCCTACATGTTGGTTTATATTCGGAAGTCCCGTTCGGCCAATGTTCTCCCCCCATCACCAAGGACGATGTGCCTTCTCATATTGGTAAATCTGAATAATTCTGATACTTCGACTGGGTTGGCTAACTTTTGACCCCAGAGCAGCGCATCGCCGAAGACCGCGCAGAGATGTTGCGAAAGCAGAAGGAGAGAGATGAAGCTCATCTGTATATGAACATTGGTGTCCTGACGGAGGAGACATTCCAATCTCACCACAGCTTTGATCTGACCAGCGCGGATCTCCCCGCTGATGACCCTGCTCTCCCCGCACAATACCGTGTTCGTCGGTCCAAGAAGGTCAGAGAGTTTGCCGAGGAGATTGCCGAAGAGCGTGGTCTCGACGTGAACTCCATTCGTTTCTGGGTCATGGTCAGCCGCCAGAACAAGACCACACGGCCTGACCAAGTCATTAAGGATACCGAAATGACAGTCGAGGACGCTTGCGCCAAATTTGGCACTCGAGGCAACCTCTTCCGACTTTGGATGGAGGTGGCTCCTGCGGGTTCCGAGGCGTGGTCCGACAGTGACTCCGTTCTAGTTTTCCTGAAGAACTTCGACGTGACAACGCAAACTTTGTCCGGTGTCGGACCCGTTTATGTTCGCAAGAACCAGAAGGTGCAAGAACTGGCGCCTATCATCCTCTCGAAGATGAACTGGCCTGCCGGGACAGATTTCATGCTTTTCGAGGAGATCAAGCACAACATGATTGATGCGATGAAACCAAAGCAGACCTTCCAGCAGTCAGAGATCCAGGATGGCGACATCATTACCTTCCAGCGGACTATCAAGGATTCAGAGCTCCCGCCCACCGCGCTTTACACCGATGCCAAACAATTCTACGACCACCTTCTCAACCGCATGGACGTCACCTTTGCCCCTATCAAGGCCGGCGATGGTGACGAGTTCACTCTCACGCTCAGCCGTAAGATGGTCTATGATCAGTTCTCGAAGAAGGTGGCGGAGCATTTGAATGTGGAGCCTACTCACCTTCGATTCGCCCCTGTAATGGCCAGCACCGGTAAGGCCAAGGCATTCCTGAAGCGGTCTACCACTTCCACTCTTGCTCAAATTCTCAATGGCCAATACGGTGCTTATGGATATACCATGCATCGGTCCGATGCCCTATACTATGAGGTTCTGGATATGAGTTTGAGTGACTACGAGAGTAAGAAGTGCTTCAAGGTGACACTGCTGTCAGAAGGCATCACGAAAGAAGTAAGTCCCTCTTGTTTGCAGATTTGTTACGAATACATTACTAAGACCTTATAGGAAGTGGTCGAGGTCCTGGTTGCCCGCAACGGAACTGTCGCTGAGCTTCTTTCGGCTTTGCAAAGGAAGGCCAATCTCGATGAGAAGACCCTTCAAGAGGTGAAGATATTCGAGGCGCACAGCGGAAAGCTCTACAAGGAGCTTCGGGATGATACCAATGTGTCTGCCATCAACGAATACTCTACGCTTTATGCCGAGCGGGTGCCCGCCGAGGAGCTCAACATGGAAGACGATGACCGATTGGTCGGTGCTTTTAACTTTGATCGGGAGCCCAATCGTACTCATGGCGTGCCGTTCAAGTTTGTTGTGAAGCCGGTTCGTGCTGCTTGATCGCCCTTTCCATGCCTACCGGGTCGCTGACTATCTCGCAGGGTGAAATTTTCAAGGAGACTAAGGAGCGACTCTCCAAGAGGACTGGTATCAAGGGCAAGCCATTCGAGAAGATAAAGTTTGCCGTGGTCCCTCGGGCCTCCTTCTCGACCCCTAAGTATCTGGAAGATGGTAAGTGCGGCTGTTATGGACTACACCCGCTTAACAGTCCTTTTGGTTTATTCCGAGAGCAACCGCTAACCGTGCCCCTAGATGATATTCTCTCTGATGTGATCGGCCCTGACGACTACCTTGGTCTTGACCACCCCGGTAAGAGTCGAGGATTCTGGGGCAAGAGCGAGAGCTTCTTCATTCGATAAAGTAATTTCCGGGGCGCTGTGGGGTTTGGCGGGCGGGCTAGATGCTGCAATCCGGTACATGAGCAGTGGACAGCTCGATGCGATGATCATGCCTCTTCTTCTTCATCTCAAATTTTCTTTTTCTTTTTTACTTCTTTCTTTCTTAGTCCGACGTGTTCCCCATAGTTCTATAGTAGGAGTAGAGGCGGCCCAAATGCCGGACGGGTGCAAACAAGACAAACACTATCCTCTCCCCGGTCCAGCTGTCCCCAACTCCTGAGCGACTGACACGCGACTCCGAGACCCTGCGATTTCCCGTCAATCATCAAACCCCTCCCCAGGCACAATGCGGTTCGCTCTCCTCGCTGGCCTGGCCTCCTTGGTCTCCTCCGCCAGTGCAACTGCCCTGACATACAGGCTCGAGGCCAACGAGAAGGCATGCTTCTACACCAACGTGGAGCAGGCCAATGCAAAGGTGGCTTTCTACTTTGCGGTCAGTCTTCCTTCAATGTGATCCTTTTTTTGGTGCCGCAGCCATCTGTCTGCGAGACATTTCCAATGCCGTGGTAAGCTGTTTCTGACAAAGGGTGGTTTGTGCAGGTCCAATCCGGTGGCTCCTTCGATGTTGATTTCGCTGTCACTGCACCCGGCGGCAAGGTCGTGATGGATGGAACAAAGGAAAGACAGGGCGACTTTGTCTTCACGGCGCAGAGTATTGGCGAGTACCAGTTCTGCTTCAACAACGAGATGTCCACGTTCGCCGAGAAGATGGTTGATTTCGAGATTGCCGTATGTTGTTTACCTCCTCGAAATAGATCCCCCAGAGCACCCCTCCTTCACCACCCCCTCCCAATTCCAACCCTCCTTACTCTCTACATCCCAAAAGCCTCGCTGCATGCTAAATTGTTTGTGTTCAGGTCGAGAACGAGCAGCGCGCCCAGCTCCCCTCCCGCCAGGGCGCCAGCCCCGAGCAAACCACCAACCTCGAGGAATCTATCTTCAAGTTGTCTGCGCAGCTGTCGACAATCTCCCGCAACCAGAAGTACTTCCGCACCCGTGAGAACCGCAACTTCAGTACTGTCCGCAGCACCGAGCGCCGCATTTTCAACTTCAGCGTGATTGAGAGCTTGATGATGGTGTCGATGGCCGCTTTGCAGGTCTTCGTGGTGCGCTTCTTCTTCCAGGGCGCACGGAAGGGTACGTCCTCTTTTGCATCTCCTTGGAATTGGTCCAGTCCTTCGGTACTTGGTGCCAGAAGCTCCGGTTCACTACAGTATCCTCTGTTGGGGCTGAGTTCGAGATAGTTTCGATACTAACGTTCTTGCCAGGTTACGTGTGATGAGCATGAAGTTAATATGATGCATTTACTTTTCTCCTTTTGAGCCAAAATCTTCGGCGTGTCTACTGTCCTGTGTATCCCACCCCTCATGCTATAATACGCTACGTACTAGAATCATTCACCTTTCAATTGAACCGAAAACAGTTTTCGTGTCCGAGATGACAGCGATCTCCTCTCCCATGATACTCCGCGACTAGCGGCTTGCATTCCGGATCGAGTTGCGCCGAGTGACGCCCCTGATGAGAGTAGCAATTCGGACAGCATCGATATCAAAGACCCAAGTATCCCAATGCTTCGCTCTTTCCCCGAGTCTAAGTCCTCCCTTGCTAAGGCAGTGTCAATTAGGATTGGCGTTCGAAACTACCATCTTCGAACGTGTGTTAAGTCTCGAAGGAGGCAAACGTCCGAATATGGTACATTCCATTCCAGCGATGGTCTAGTTGGTATCGCCTTTGAACAGCAAGCAACTCGGGCCCGAGAAAATGGCCAAGAATCCCGGCGACTCTTCTTCTTACGTGGTGTATTCTGACCCTTGATGATCAACCGGCCCCAGAAATCAGCAAGAATCAGGAATTGGACGACCGGTGCGCTGCGTAGTTTGAAGGTCGCCGGTCGAATCGAGTCGGCTCGAGCTTGGATTCGTTCTGGCATGTCACGAGGTGGCGATTCTGTCCTGATCATCGTCCTGGGAGGGCCCCGGCCCGGCAATGCACAGCCTAGCACCTTGCCAAGGCTATACCCTTTTTCTGACCAAACTGTCAATGGCCACTGCGACGGCGACGGGGCTGATCTATCGCCCCCAAGACTCGAGATTTCTGGCCTTAGTATGGTTAGCCTTCGGGGGTAAGGGAGGGATGAGTGTTGAAGATGTCTAGGAGGAACCCAGCGCGTCTCCTGAGAGGCCGGCGATGCACCACGATCCGTTCGCCATCCGGACAAAACAGGTTTCTGGACGGTCTGGACCATCAGCCCTGAATGAAGGATGGAGACACGACATGAGCTCACAGACAACATCGAAGGACTCGGGCAGGAAACCCCATCTGAAGCATCCCCAAGGCGGAAGGTTCCACCATAGACACGGGCCAATGTCCAGATGGAGCCAATGATGCAACAAGGGGGATTCTGGAAGACTACGGGACCGTGGGATATTCCCATGGCGTTAAACCCAGCCGCCGTGGTTCGATGTATTTCATACCGCGCAGTCCGATAGCCGGATTGATTTCATATCACTAGTTCGACCACTAGTCTATGTGACCGTACATCACCATCCCCTCTCTGCCGGAATGCCGCCGTTTCCCTCCAGCCTGAGGAAATGCTGTGATATCATTGTGGCAGGACGGCCACCGACGGGTCCTGACTAGATCGTCATAGTCGCCTCCAATCGCTGTCCGTGTCCACCGGCGTCTAGATTGTTCATAGAATCGTCTGAACCGGGGAACCGGAGAGGAATCCCTGGTTGTCAGGGTCAGGAGATAAGGTGCCAATGTTCACAAAGTATGGACATGGTCGCGGTTCCTCGACCGTGATTATGGTCATGACCGCGTCGGGCAATCTCCTGACTGGCACCCTGGTGATGCGTTCATTTTCCCCACGAGATATGGCTCTGGAAGTTTGGGTCTGCATGGTGCGTGTCTCCGCGAGACACTGCTAGACTGTGCCCTGGCGTGTTTCTGATTGGAGCAGCGCTCAACTTGTCGCCGCCAGAGGTTTCTTTTCGGCGATCAGACCTCCGGGGTACACGCTGCCGACCGGGCCCCATAGAAGGCATACCCAGGGGGCCCGCTCGGCCGCTCCACAAGGTTCTTTTGACTTACGACATCGCACAGGACGTCTCGTGCTAGCGCTGATACCACCACAGCATCATCCCCTCCTCGGCCGGAGTTGACCAGCTCATTGGGGATTGTGGATGCAGGATGCAGCGACAGCTGTGGCTTTTCGTTGGGATGCTCACCTATCTCCTAAAGGGAACTAGTCAAGCAAACTATCGGTGCTCAGTACGCGCGAATTCACTTCACAGAAGCACACACTCTCTCGAGCTAGCCCATTTGAGCCGTCCTGTGAAAGCTCCGCAAAAGAACTCTCGGTCCAATCCACATCTGACGACATCGCATCGCCTCCCCGTCCAAGAGGATGTACGAACAGACACTGGGGCCAGAAAATGAACCGCACAAGACAGATTCCGCGCACATCCACGATTGGGACAGCTGTTTTCTGAAAGTGGAGAGAAGTCGGAGCCGACGATCTTTCGACCGACGGGACTCTATTCATCATGTGCACGAGATGCTCTGTTTCTTTGCCTCCCCCGCTGAGATGGCGAATAACGAGTTTCCAGACCCCCGGTTCGGTGCCAGCCGGGGCCTCTCACTGGCCGCAGTGATAGCTGTTTTCTCCGCTTGGCTTGGGCTCCGAATGCTTCGGTAGGTAATTCTCGAAGTGGGTAGAGTTGGTCCCTGCCCTTTTCCACTATTCTCCACGTGCTCCGTATGGATGGAGTATATCTGAAGAGTTTGGTCGTACGGTTCGCCACATGTTGTCGCGGGCTCCTCCGGGCGGCGTCGGTCCCCTATACGTGGACTCTCGTCTACCCGGCCCACTGTTCTACATGATCTAGAGCCAGATAGGAAACCGGTAGTATCTCGTAAGTCCTTTGGCCAATGATTCTGCAGCGGATATTTTACTATCTAGCCATCTCCATCGTTCTTCACGGCTGGGAGAGGAGGTATACCCGACCAGCTAGGGTTTCTGACGTCAGGTTACATTGCTGCCTCAGGCAACCAAACGACCAGACTCGAGAGGAGGTCCAACGAGAGAGTGTCCTGTAGTGTCGTTATCCACTGTGGCTATTTGGTTCTTGCACGTCTGGGCGATCGGGCTGGGCGATCGGTGTACCAGCAGGGTTTGTGGGGGGGGAAGGAGGGAGTTTGGAACCTGGGGAGTATAGACAGGAGATCTCACGATCCGACGCAGGAGGATGATTGTTGTGTACCGATAGGAATGACCATCCATCATACCCACACAGGTGTGTCTGTGTCCACAGAGCATCGTGTTTCTACACGCGTGGCGCACCCAAATCGAAACTCGGATCGCCCTGGCGCTCGGGGGATGACGTTATGGCGTCCAGACTGGCTCCACCGTTCTGAGCCTCAGCCCTGGACCGCAAACAACCATGCCGAACCACGCATGGGACCGCAGAGGACGTCAGGAGACTGGTCCTCGGTCAGTTTCTCGACGGTGGATAGATCCCGATTCCCCCAGTGGTCCCCCAGTGGTCCCCCAGTGGTGCCCCAGTGGCCCTTGTTGTGCTTCCAGTCTGTTTCCTCCCCGCCTCGCTTTGATTTCGACCGTCTATCCCTCCTCTAAAGGGCTAGCGGATGGGCGTGGTGTCCACAGCCTGCAGCAGACCGGGGATGTCTACATCACATCCCCCCCCCCTCCAACACGCCCTTTCCCGCGGTGCAGAACGCAACGGACGTGCAAATGGCCCGAGCAGCACGGTTATGATTCGTTCGGTAGACGTCAGGGAGGATCTGCAGGGGGACGGGCTACTGCGTCTGCGGATCCCAGAACGCCATAGCTCATCCAACTGGCCCAACTGGTCCAATTGGTCCACTCGCGCATTCCCCAGTGACCTCATCGGCACTCGAGGGCCCATTTCGCCAGTGGACCAACCGACGCTACCGCTGCCTGAGTGCACCAGTCTCCATGAAGATGCGGAGGGAAGATTACTGCATGATGATAAGACACCTCCACTATCCATTTCCAACGGCAGTGGCTACGCTCGTCCAGCGAGCCGGTGGGGACGCCAACGAGACGGGGGTGCTAGGACACTCTTCTTATGATGTCGCCCAGTCTAAACCCTCACGAAGCGTGTCGGCCCTCCCAAGCGCATCTCGTTGTCAGCCAATGATGTCACTGCGGCTGAGTCCGGCGACAGAGTCGGCCTTCGAATGGCGCCCATGGACCCTCCCTAGGAGACAAAAGGAAATAACAGCCTTGAGACGACGGCCTATCAGCAGCCGCCAGAAGCGTACGCCCGGTGGAGCGATTGGTCTGTTATATATAACCCTTCGGTCCCGTCTGGGACATTGATAGCTTCATATCTCGCGTACATGTCCTAACCCTGATAACCCTGTGATCCCAACTGCCCATTCTGCGGTCTGCCCAGCCATTGCCGGTACTCGCTATTTCCACGCCGGAAACGCCTCGCAACCATTCTCCAACCGTGGTTCTGTCTCTGCCCCGGCCACCTTATTCATCTTAGTTTCCTCTTTCCACGGTAAGTGGTTCAACAACATAGTGAATCCCGCAGAGTACTTTCCGTGGCCCAGTCCCAGCATAGGCCTCTTTTCCCACAAAGCCGACGGCACGCCTTCCCCTGTTTGGGTAAACTTTGGGTAAACTACATAGGAAGGATATTTCCCTCCTGCCCATAATCTACCTAGCGCACCTTTTGGATGAAAACCTCTTCATCTTCTTGATACTTATCCATAACTTGATCCACTGATATCGCCCATTCTCCCAGACACATCCCACCATGACTGAAAGCCACCAAATGGAGGCCATGTTCCCTCACTCGGGAGCGGCCGGACGATCTGAAGGGAACCACGTTGAAACCGAACGGTCGATGGATCCTCGCACTTCCCTCGAGGACTACAACCGTACTATGTTGCATTATACCCAGCGGCAGATGTCGTCGTTTGTCGATCTGGACGATGGCAGTGGTAGCGGTGCGAGCAGCCGGGATAGCCAGAGCAGCGGCAACAGCAGCCACAGTGGCTCGTCAAGCACTGGTGTGCTCGCCAATCTCGCCAACGGTCCTCCTCCTACCTCGGCCAGTGCGGCTGCAGCAACTCGCCATCGAGTCCAGCAGGGCCAGGGTCAAGGCCCCATGCGGAGTCCGAATGAGGCCAAGCCGTCCCGATACTAGGACAATCATGACTCTTCGGTATGTTTTATTTCTCCGTCGTTGCCACAGATCAGGGTTGTTCAGCTTGCTGACCTACGTCTTCAGCGGTTCTTGCCTATGATGAGACCGTGATGAGACCGCATGTCGACGCTCATCAGGAGTTCGATGGCTCTACATGATAGAAGTCCACTAACAGCTTTTGACCTCCTGCTCATGTCTGTGAGATTGCACCTTGTCTGCTTTCCCGTCGGTGCAGCATTTGAAGCCTTGCATTTCCTTACGGTCTTTTCCACACCCACCAATCATATCACTTCCCACACTTGGACATTTGTCTTGTACACTGCCCTTTCCACCCCCCCCCCCCCCCATCAGGAACATCGATTGGTCTCTACCCGCATCGTTCATATGCCGTGAACATACCCCTCGAAGCTCTGAGCCCAGGCACACGTCCGTCGATAGTGGGACCATCATTTCCTCCCCCAAAGCTGCTTCCATTTCTATTCTCCACACTCGTTTCTACCTCCCTTCTTTTGACACGCGGCTGTTTCGGCGTTTGTCCCTGGACAGAGACATTCTTCACAGATGTTCTATTGACACCGTCTATCTATCCTTCCACTATTCCGGGCCCGGCGCACAGTGTATTACTATTGCTTTACCACAAACCCTGTCGTCCCCTCTGTGAGGTGATCGTCAACCTGTACAACACCCCCCTGTCCTTTGGTATCAGTGAGCGAGCGAGCGATTGTGCTTTTTGGGATTATTACGGCTCTGATACTTTTTGTGTGGCTTTTGTTTTGCTATGGATGTGACCAAGTGATGACCAACGATGCCCCCCGAGTAAGTCTGCGAGCAGTCCCTCGGGGAAAATCTTTTGTTACGAACACGACTCTTGTTTGCATCTTTTCCCTTTTCGTCAGACTGCTGGCATCAGTCATGGCTCAGATAGCTTGGTGCATTGGAGTTTCATGGATCTCGTTTCGGGTTTGTTCAGTTTGTTCTTTTACCGCGTCGTAGCTTCAAAGATTGCAGTGACTTTTATTTCTTTCCTCCCTTCCTTTTCCCTAATTAAATTTATACACCGCGTAAAACCATGCGAGGCTGTCATTGGAAGAACAATTCGCAGTCTCACGTTTATTAGACTGGTGGTCAAACGGAACCAGGCACTTGTCATGCCGAAGGTGTTGAAACCGACACTATATATATGTTGGGCACCGGATAGTGAAAACCTAAGGTTATTCTCAGCTCATATTGCGGAAGACAAAGGGAATTAAAAATACAACGGATAACCCAGCGCCCGGTCCGAGGGGTTATTCAATCCCAGCGCTCTATTTTCGCATCTGAAGCGAAACTACTGCAACCTTAAAATAGGGTTTAACTTTGACCTACTCACCAAATCCTAGTCTGATACTCGTTCGATTTTATCACCCACCTACCCGAACTCGCGCTGAACGCGTTCTTGCATGGTAGATCAAGGACTACTCATCCCTTGATGACGAGAAGAGCATTAGTGGAGCGTTGGCGCATTCTTTCGCGAATTTTTGGGGCGCCCCTTGCACCTCTTGTGGATTGCGAGCGCGTTCAAGTTGTGCACCTAAGGAGCTGGCTTAGCAAACTTTCCGTGTAAATCAAAAAAGATATCAATGTGGTCAACTGAATCAATTACCACAAGTGCATGATTTATAGGGCAATATATTGGTTGTTGTTGGACCCACTCGGGATGCATAGGATACGATGCTCAAGCTAGCTGCATCAGACACGAGAACATGCCAGACATAAACAAAGCACGAGAACCTGGTAATTCACATTCCACATGATTCAATCCGCCCACTTTTTCTATCTAATAAGCCACTCTTGTCAGCCCTCCCCAGTGGGAAGAAATCACTGCACTGGAATCCTCGAGCGCCCGAGTAACAAGGGCCCATTACCACTCAAGGGAGCGAAAAGGACGCGGTACCGCATCAATCCCGGTAAACTGCCCGGACCGAGCATTGCGAGGGTCAAACCGCCTAAGCACGCAAGCCAACTCGAGGGCCCTCCTTTCCCTAGCCAATCCTTCTTTCTTCGACTTCTTACCACCAGATCTCGTCGACACCTGGCAACCACCGCCCGACGTTCTCTTCTCGCCTAGCTCTCGTCGCTCCTTTAACGGGCTTTCTGGTATACACACTACATGATTCTACACTCTTTTGGACGCGACTACTCGAACCGAGACAATCATTCCGAGGCATAAAACCGCTACATAGCACTGCTGCGTGAGGCTCGCCGGCGCAAACCACACTCTCTTCCTAGGGCTGATAGGACCCTCGCCATACACACGACAATCACAAGAAGCTAGAGACGTGAAAGCAGGAGGGGAAAAGAAAACAGACCAAATGCATCTCCCAACGCTCTTCTACTCCCTCGCAACCCTCACCATCGCCACTGCCGTTCCCGTTGCGGCGCAGGACCCCAAGGTCACTGCAACTCCCATAAAGGCCATGGTGGCTCCTTCCCAGGCTCCTTCTCAGGCTCCTTCTCAGGCTCCTTCTCAGGCTCCTTCCCAGGTTTCTTCCCAGGTCTCTTCTTGGGAGATGACTACGCCTATGACGCCTGTTGGGCCGTACCAGTGCCCACAGAAACAATTTAAACGGTGCTGCATGTCTCTCGAGGAGACAACCCGAATGCTTTTCAAGGGGCTTGGCGACCTTGTTCCACCTCTTGGGAGCATTTCGGTCAGCTCGCAGGTTTCATTTCAGTGTATGTTGGCATCGATATACAATGTCAGATGAGATAGACTGCTAACCACGATCACTGTATTGTAGGCAAGGACATTCCCGATAATGTCTCCCCAAATACCTGTGACCAGAAAGGGTATGCCCCGATGTGCTGCAACCCTGAGTCCGGAGTACGTTTACGTTATATATATACCCTTTTTCTATGTTCGAAGAAGGCTAATCTATATCACTTTAGGGTTCCGGCGTTAGTGCTTGCAAGCCCTTTGAGGAGGTGAAAGAGACATACTACAAGTCCTTTGGGTACCACAAAAACGATGAGACTCAGGCAGAGTATATCGAGGACGCTCTATCATAAGAGACGAAGCATAATAACAGCACTGGATGTTGCGGTTGTATTGCTTGGACTGGCTCCGTGTCTTGGATATGACTTGCTCCCTGGCAAAATGTGAAAGGGAGCATTGACGGTCTATCTCTTCCTTCTATTTCCCATCTCTTTTCTCACTGATATAACTTGGGCATATCGTTTTTTTGATTGTGTTCTACTCCTTTGTGTAAAGTTGCACTTTCTGATTTTTGTTCCCTGATGAATCTGTTTACTTGAGTATAGTTGACGAGCACTTGATTAGAGTATACTTCGGTTAGTTACAAACCAATCATTTGCCAGATATAGAAAGGAGGCTACGCAGGCAGGATGGCTTGTTCCTACCAAGGGCTGGGTCAATGCCAATTTCTTTCCTAGCTTTGAGCCCGAGAATAGAGGTGCATCGGTAGATAGACACCCTACAGGACAGCCAGTTTAAATGAAATTAACTATACGTCTGCATTGACTATGTCACCAGGAAAGTTGTTTAGCAAAAGCAGACCGAGCTGGTCCGTGAGCCTGACCTGAGCATACTGGTTTGCTTACAAAGATCGTCCAGGGAGGAGCGACTAAGCTGGCTCAATAAACGCGACACGCTAGCTCGATCCCTGTACAACTTTTTCCTTTCAGTCAACATCTCCCATTCTACCAATAAAGAGTTGGCTGCGATATTAGCCAGTTTTATCAGAATTATAGAGGTAGGAATGATAGAGTGTATTTACAGGATCGACTACGAATTACTTTCATACTAGCCACTTTACAGATCTTTCTTTAAAAATTTACATATTTTTCGGCATTCACCTACTACTTCGCTAATTATTTTGAAGTCACGCCATTTTTGCTATATTGAGTGGCTACAAAGGGAACGTAAGCTCTCTGATCCGTATATGCCTAGACAATAGCTCGTGGGAGAGGCAGCGTGTTCCCAGGAATCCCTTAGGGTGTCATGTTATGTGAGGGGTTGTTTGAGTGGGCAACGTGGAATGGGGCGAACTCGCGAAGCAGAAACATATCTATATTTTTGACATATTCGACGGCATCACAGTTCAATCGGGTATTTTGTCCGCAAATGGTGACCGGTCTTCCAAAGATAATATGGAGCTGGAACCATGAGTAGAGCAATAAATCCAAGCAGCGTATTCCCCCAGCCTAAACCAAGACGGTTGTATAGAGGGGGAGCTGCAAGGGGCAATAAAGCGCCGAGGAGAGATCTGGACACCGTGAGAGCAGCCATAGCAGAGGCAGCATACCTCGGAAAGGCATCGATCATGTACATCTGGATGGAGAAGAAGATGCCCAGCATACCGAAGCCAAAGGGCATCAGACCGATTAGTGGCACAATCCAAAAGACGGCATACTCAGCTGTCCAGCCGTACCAGAAGAAAGCGATGGGGACCAAAGTGCCGAATACAACGATGAAGGGGAGTCGCATCTCGGGCTCATAAATCCCCTTGTTCTCCTTGGTCAACTTGACTATCAATTTGTCGCTGGTTGGGGCAATGAACATGAGCCCTAACAGAAACCCTAAACTTGGGCCCAAATATGCCAAACCCGTTATCTCAGGGGACCAATGATAAGTGTCGCTATAGACGGTGGTGACAGTTGTGATGAGGATGTAAAAGAGTCCGTATATCAAGGCCATATAAGTGGAAAAGATGGCGACGACGCGTGAGAAGAAGAGCATGCGTAGCGGCCGTGTGAGATCCTGCTTCATCTTCTGCCAAGAGGTCTGTGGCCGGTCATTGACATTCTTGTCATAGCAAGATCGTAAGTCGGCACGTCCAAGCTCCTTGGACAACCGGGCGGTTTTCCGAGCGATCAACACGGGAGCGTAGCTTTCGCGATTGAGCACTTCGATCGTGATGCTGATCACTCCGCTGACAATACAGATCGTCCAGAACACCCATCGCCATCCTGCCCGCTGTGCAATGAAGCCTCCACAAACGGGGCCGAGCACAGGGCCGAATATAACTCCCAAGGCCGCGATGGCGTTGGCACCACCGCGTTCCTCGGGAACAAACAGATCTGCGACTACTCCACCGTTGAGGGTCATGCAGCCTGAACCACCAATGCCAGCCAGGAATCGAAAGCCAATCAGAGCACCAATGCTAGGTGCCTCCGCACAGCAGATTTGCCAGACGACAAACGACCAGTTCGCAACAGACATTACCGGGCGACGTCCCCAGATTTCACTCGCCGGGCCCATAAGAAGAGTCCCAACGACATAACCTTCACAAGTGTGGAAGATTCATAAGCCAATTTGAAATCGAAAGCAAAGATAAAGGCAGAAAAGCACAAGTTCCCCGACTTACCTAGGAGATAGACTGAAGTCACAAAACTGGACAAAATAGAACTGGAATTGTGGAGGTCTGCATCAATGTATGAGGCGGCCGGCGCCACGATAGTCGTGGCTAGGGGTGAGATGAAGGTGATCAAGGAGACCAGGCTGAGCAGGACCCACTTGCGAGCTTTGGGGAAGTTCATTGGCATTGCAGGGTCATCCTGACTATCCCATCCAACAACACCTTGATCCAGATCAGTCAAAGGTATTGGCACTGCGCCCGTGCCTGATTCGGCCGGGGCACCACTGGAAATCGTCACATCCTCAGGCTCTGTAGTGGTTTCTTTAGGCTCTTGCCCAGTCTCAATGGGGTCCGCAGTAATCTGAACAATCTTTAGGGAAGCCCAGCACGTCAGTGATTGTTCCCATTATCAAGAACCAATCATACATACTGATTCGACCGTTTGGTCTGCCACTTTTGTTGCTCCCATTGAGAACAAAAGGTACCTAAGTGGACCGACCAAAAATCAGTCGCAGAGACAAGCCTGGAAAGGAAGAGTCGGAAAGAGTAAGTTAATATATATATTGGATTATAAAAATTCCACGACCCCCTGGTGGAGGCAGTGCATAAGAGCGAACGATCACTAATAACACAAAGGGCAGTAAGCGGGATATATTACCCTTCTTCCTGCTTCTGCCCCTAAACAAGAGGTCGATACTATTAATGGGAATTGTGTGTGCGTTGGTGCCCTGAGAAAATGTGTCAACGGTATGGAATATTGTCAGCTCATGATTCTTGCTCGTGGCTTTATCAGTACCCTTGCATAGGTTGGTAGCGCTAGCCATGAGGCATAAAGCCTCCTAGCGGCTCTAAACCATACCCTTAGAGGCCAATTTTTGGGGTGTCGTAAGGTAACGTTCAGATACCAACGGGGACGGGTATTCCGATTGGAAGGGAGTAAAGACGGAGAACCGCCCCTATTCCAGACCCACTTGAGCAACTAAAGACCTAGATACACGCGGATTACGCATAGGCTGGGCTGAAGTTCCACAATAAGCTAAACATCGCATGTGGGATCTACTACTCCGTAACTACCCCCGGAGAAAGAGATGGAATATATTTCACTGGGAGGTACAGTACCACCGAGATGGAGGCTGATCACTGGGACTAGCGAACGCCCCTGTCGGGCGCAGTCAGAGCTACGCCTAAGATCGGACCCAGAACACGTAATTGATGTGATGATAATTCGATCGGATGAAGTGGAACCTCACAAAGCTTGCTTTGTCTTGGCTATTGCCGTGTCAGAAGCTTAGATAGATGTCATAAGAGAGACTCACTTTGATAACTCAAAAGAATATTATTCTCTGTATAGAAACCCTCACACTACGCACCTTAGAAGTAACCTTTCTGTTTTCTACTCTTAATTCTTCTCGCCTGCAACAATGTTTCTTGGTATATTTTTAGGCAAGTCCGACGTTGGCGAACAAGTGCCTCTCTATATTTCAATGTCACAATCAAAAGGTTTGACTTGTCACAGAGTCTCGCTTTCTACTTTAGATGGTAGGACCCGATACTCGATAGAGTAAAAGCCACTTTAAACTACATAATCCTGAAAATAATGGTCTAGCTCACTTTTGTCTGGTTGGGGGTGAATCACGGAGTTTTTTGATGAAATAGGGACCTCTAGGAAGGGGAGGGCGTCACAAGTACCATTAACGCGCTAGTGATCACCGCATAGATGGCCCTGTGGGAAGATCCTTTTTGGGTATAGTCTAATATAGGCTGAAAGCATTAACGACAGCTTGCTGACTGGACAATGAGTGTTGGTAACAAAGTAAGCAGTGACTGAGTGCTCACTGAGCATGGGTTCCCGCTGACATTTACGTAGTGAGGCTGAGCCTAATCGCCCTCATAAATGCGGCGGCAGCCTAGCCAGGAAGGCCCCACCTGGCAGGCATTATCCTGTGTATCTAGCCGCATATGTCCAAGGCAGAATCAGCCATCTTAACGCCCGTCAGATTTTAGTGTCAGTGCTTCTGGGGTTCGTTGGAGCCAACACGTAATGTGTTGGCAGAGGCTCTTTCTGCGACCTACCAATTATCCGGCGGGTGACTTCCAACCGATGCTAAACCATATTCCACAAAGGAAGAATGCATACTGTAGGTAGCCCCTTAGCATGTGATGGAGCATACTAATAAATTCGCCCGCCGCCGGCGCCACCCGGAAGGGCTTGCGATAAGTTTTGAAATCATAGGTCCTCTCGCTCGAGGCTCGTTGTGAAATTCTATTGTTTTGAGCTCATATCATCTCTTACTTCCAGCATCCAGCAAGCAGTCGGACAACTGGCAGAGCTATCAGCCTACAGTTCAGAACAGGAAAATCTAGAGAAAATCAAAGTTAGTGGTCCCAAAAGCTGGGGATCTAAACGAAGAACAGACTTGGCTAAGTGATATCTAAGATCCAGCAAACAGCAGTTGCGTGTGACACTCTTCAGAGTCAGCCCATACGAGACGGCGTTACACACCCGCGACCATGTGCTGGCAGCAGGTTACCTTTTCTTGTGGGCATGTCGGCCGTTCGTACACTGTATCATGCCAATGTGACACTCAAAAAGGTCGGGATATGACCTACAGCATGAGGTGCAGTGATAATTGCCAGGGAACATAAATGGTCCGCTATGAGCTGATCAACGGGGAATAATGGCTTCTGTGGCAACCGTATCCTAACGGAAGAGAAGACAATGATGAGCAAATTTGACTATAAGGAGCGATAAGCACACAATCCTCTGGGAACGTGAAATGAATTGATAGCAATCGAGAGAATCATTGATGTAAGCATAGAAATTTCTTTACGAACCCCGAAGGTCTGTGCATATCTTGCTTTCTCTGGAAAAAGTGGCCCAGGGCAAACTTTGGATGGCGTCAGCGGCAGATTCAACGTAGATTGGTATTTTCGAAGAGCAAGACTTGCGAGCGTAATTACACTTGTCAACGTATCTGTGTTCCGGCGTTCGAAATGACACTTCCACGGAATGGAAGAAAGAGACAAAGACCATGAACAGGCAGTGGTCATGTAGCCAAATGTACAACCCTTCGCCGGCTCTAGGCCGGTCTTCGCACCATGTGCGAGTGAACGCGTATAAGACAGTTGCCCTATGTATCAAGAGGAACGTTTCGAAAACCCAGTGAATATCCACATGCTGGTTCCGGCTTCTGAAAGTGACCTCATCATTTTATTCTAGGGCAATCAATATTGTCATGTGGTTTCAACAAGAGAGTATAGATAAGTGGATCCTAATAAAGACCAAACCAGTCAGCTTTTGTGCTCCAGCCAATGGGACTGAATGCACCATACTTACCAGTTTTCGAAATCATGATTTTGTAAAACCATGTTGGTCGAGTCAACTGCCTGTGCAAACCCATATTGGCGCCCAATAAAAGCCAGTCTGTCGATGGCATATTCCGTAGCATCTGGTGATGCAAACTCGAACACCGCAATGCCAGACAAGGGGTATATAAGAGACCTTGACGACATCATTGGGTTGAGGGAGAGTTCCAGCGCGGACGGAACGCTTTGCAGGATCTCGGATATCATTTTTGTGCTAATTACCGTCGTGAGTTTGTGAACTCGAATGTGTTCTTCGTTTGTAAGTTGTTCTGGCGGGCGTTTCAAGGCCACTGCGTGATAGACCATCTGAATGAGGAACAGCCTAGCTATTCGTAGCATATTCCACATCCGTGCGATCCTCGGTGACAAGTATTGATGGATCTGATTCTTGTATGTGAAGATGCGGCCTGGCATGGCCGTGATGTCGATAACTTCGAAGGGTGCATCTCTCCGAAGACTGTTCAAAACATCCTCCAATTCTAAGTCTAGCTCCAGAACCTTCCGTAAGTGTCCAATGGGGGAGAGTTTATGAATGTTTGCCCGCAGATTTGCAATGCTATCCACAACCTGTCCAAATCGGCGACTTGGCTCACTCGGATATATCATTTCAAGATAGCCATTCTCTAGCGTGCCCAAGACAGAAGGGGTATTGACACCAAGTTGAGCGCAGTGTGTCCGAATATTCGAGGAAGCATGTCGAAAGAGATGACGACCAAGAGGATTGTCAAACTGTCCTTCGCCTCGGAGTCGTAATAGTTCAGAGGCCCCCTGGGTGTGGGCATTCCAATTCGAAGGGACCTTCCGCCCTTGGAAGTCCAAGGCCTCGTAAAGACTCAGAAGCAGCACTGCCAGGAGGGTACCGTTGTCTTCTGCTAGGCCTGGACTTGAAAGGGCCGAGTTTGTCGATCTTAGTGCCTTGGCATAATGCGTTTGCGCAAGAGACTGAACAGTCGGAAGGCGAAGGTTTTGTGAGAAGAGGAGGAGTGATGGGGCTAGAAGAGCATCTCCGAGGGGCTCCTTGGTTAGATATATTGAGGACACTTCGGATAAGTACTCGAATGCGGCCGTTGGTGCATAGACATGCATAAAGTAGCCCAGTGCTAGGTTTTCGGGAGCTTCCGACAGTTCACGGGTGACAAGGGAGCGCATCTTGGCACTATTTCTAGACGAAGCTTGCGGAGCCTGTGAAGAGGTGGCCCGACTTCTGATAGCCCGTTCGAGGGTCTTTCGGGAAGTAAGAGAAGTCTGATCGCGGAGACGTAGTGAGAAGGAGTCCCGATATCCCCCACACTCGAGATTGGCTCTTCGACACTGTGAGCATCCTGGAAGTCTCATATCACACTACAAAGAAACGCGTCAGAACGGCGCCATGCTCTCTGCAGCGGTAGCGCACAGGGTCTAGGCTCACCTTACGCCTCTTGGTGCGGCACGGCTGGCACGCCTTGGACGGCGTAGCGGGATTCCCTCTCATCGTACAAGCAATCAAGGACCAGTGATGAGACTTTTCAGATACGAGAAGGGAAAGAACTTCGACATCATGAAATGACAAAGTAAGCAGGCAACGATCTTGGGCCCGTCAGCACAGCCACAGCGGGAGGTCCGAAGGCTTGGCTTTGGGCCCGTCGAAGATGTTACCACTTCCGGTCTAGCGGGATCCACCGAGCCGCGAAGCTTGGTATAGCGAGAGTCGAAAGATGAAATTAGGTCGGTTGTGACATAGTTGACTAACGTAGCTAACTACCCTTTTTACCGGCGCTGCCAGTTTCCTAATGGAGTACATTCTTCGAGTGGCTCATGCATTGTCTATACGAGTAGCCTCAGAAGGAATTTCCGCGCATTAGACGTAGCATATAATCGGTTTAAAAGGCGAGCGGATTCCTCAGATCTTCAACCAGAAAACAATCTCTTATACCATACTTCTATACTGCTCTGTACTGCAAAAAGGCGAGTTTCCACGATGGGACATGTAACGTTCTCCGACGGTGTTGCCATTGTCATGCTCGTCTTCTACACAATTTGCCTTCCATTCGCGGTGAAAGTCTGTCTGCGACATGGACTAGCCAGGAGCTCTGGATGGATTTTCCTTGCCATTTTCTCCATCATTCGAATAGTTAGCTGCAGCGCACAATTGGCGACCATTACCCAGGGCCCTGTCGGGACTCCCGCGACCATTGCAGCAGTGACAAGCGCGTTGGGTGTCTCGCCGCTCCTGCTGGCATCGCTCGGATTGATCTCAAGAATGTTAGTTGACAATTTGATAATCTACTTCACTATATTGATCCCAAACCGGTTCAATGCCGATAACATCCTTATCCTAGATGCTTCTCAATGCTCAAATCTCCTTGGAACACGATCTTCTCGTTCTATATCCTCAGAATTATCCAGACACCGTGCGCAATCGGCCTAATCCTCTGCATCGTTGCAGCCACAAACGCGTCCAGTGCGGCGGACATCTATCAGCAGGACCTACTCCGCGCAGGCGTGATTCTATTTTTCGTCGTTCTGGTGGCCTTATCACTGTTGTATGTGGCAGCAGCCATCGGATATCAGAAGACTGGACGAGGCGAGCGGCAGCTTGTCATCGGACTGGGTGCTTCGCTGCCTTTCCTGCTTGTTCGGATAATCTTTTCACTGGTGGAGTGCTTTGGCAGCCATGCACCGGGAAGTATACTCGCATCGAATCCCAGCGGAGAGTTTCTGCAGCTATTTCTTGCCAACCTTGAGGAGATGGGGGTCACTTTGATTTATATACTCACTGGCATGGCCATGCGCTCTGTCCCTGAGGAGCTTGACCGGGTGGAGCATACTCCTACCGCAAGTCGACGACTGAACTACCGGTCTCGGAGAGGAGATTTTGGTGGTGGAAGGCTTGGTAAGGCGTCTTTGTTGGTTGAGCTTGCTTCTGCTGCGTTCCAGGGAGCAAGGAAGAACAGTCATTCATCGGATGCCGTATAAGAGTCCTGATCTGATATTTTTCAGCTACGTGTAGCGTCACTGTGCTACTAAGCTATATGCCCATTAATTTACTAGGGCTGCTCTACGTTATCGAGTAAAATTTAATTACTCAAGGGCGCGGACAAACTCTCCCGAGGCGATGTAAAATTTTCATTCAAGATACTCAATTAACCCACGATAGATCGTCACTCCAGACTCCTAGATGGATTTGATCCCCTGCAAATAGCCTCAAGCCTTAAGATTGTCATAGATCACATGATGCCCACTCCCCCTGCGACAGATTTCACACAACTCGACGCATCAGGGAGAACCACGTCCTCAAACCATGTAACGCCACTTAGCCTCGGCCTTCTCACAGAGCGTCAAGAAAGGCTGAAATCTGCTCAGCTCATTTGGCTCAGGGATATCCTTTCTCATAGTTGGGTCAATCTGCTCCCAGATGGCATGCAACTTCTCCCAGTGCTCATCGAAACAGAACCGAGCATAGCGATACATGTTTTGAAGGAAGTACTCGATGGGGGAGTCGTGCCGAACGTCATCCCAGGTAAAAGTCCGGGCGCGGAATTTCATCATTTCGAGATCGTGATTTATCTCCCCGTGGAATCTGGCGGTCAGCATATCGAACCAACCGTCACTTTCTTGGACATGAAGGTGGCGTAGATCCGAGCGCTCCTTATCGGTCAGCTCGTTGTCGTACCAGGTGCGAGCTTCGCGGCGGAGACAATTTTGCAAATTTCGTTGGATATCGGCGGGAGGGATGTAGTCCATCACAGTCTCGATGTACTCCACGAACCAATGGACGTCCGTATAGGTGCCCAAGCCATCCCAGTATTCGATATCTGGTTCGCCGGGCGCAAACACGTCAAGGTCAGCCGTGTAGGATTTGTCCCAACCGCAACGGGCAGGAGAACGAGAAAGAGCAGAGTCAGTAGGAGAGGAAGCACAGGAAGCGGAGGCCGGAGCCTCATCAGGAAGAACAAATGGAGCCTCGTGGGAGCCGACAGGGGGGCTCGTCGCAGGCGGAGTATCAACACGATACTCAACAGCATGGGCGATATCAGCAGGAGTAGCAGTAGCAGCTTCGCCTTTAACGGGTGCACGAAGAATGGGTTTCTTGGCAGGACCATCCTTGGCCAGCATGATTCGCTTGGCAGGGCCCTGCTCCTCATCCGAGGACATAGTGAGATCGATGACCCTAGTCTCCTTCGACTCGATCCCTCCGATCGAAGTAGACTCGTGAGGCGGCGGCGGGGTGGTAGGTAGTTTGGTGGAACGAGCCATCGTGGATGGTGGTTTGTGATGATGGGAAAAAGAGAGCAAGAGGGGGGAGAAGGAGACAAAGAGGAAGAGGTAGAAGGGCGATTATTCGTTGTGGTCGGAGAGGTTCACGCGTCGTGAGACGTGTTGGTGGCCGTCGTTTATTCTTCCATCTGTTGTGAAATTGTTCTATCCGAACCAGGTCCTTCACATGTCCACCCTGTAACGGATATGAAAGCAAGCAACAAGCACAACAAGCACACTACCTATGTACTAGCTTATAGTGTGGAGATCTTCATTTTAGCATACTGGGATAGAGATCGTGAGTTGGATTAGAAATACATCGCCGCTATCGCCAACCGCGCCCACCCTGTTGCCCCCAGTTGTCACCATACTGGCCCCCCGAATGGGGCGGAGGAAAGTGATATTGCCCACGAGGAAGTTGTTGACCTGGAGGCATAGGCATGGGAGGAGGATGTCCAGCAAACGCAGGAGGGAAAGCAGGAGGGTTCACACCCGGGCCAGGTGGGGGGAAGGGCATGCTCGACATATGCGGGGGCGGGGCGGGTGGCCAAGCGCCGGGGTATTGAGGTGGAGGTGGGGGGAGGGAAGTTGGTCCCCGGAGGAACGAGGGGATACTGGGTATTATGTACATTGTGCGCGTTGTGTGGATGGGCAGCCAGGTTTGGAGGTGGAGGAGCATGCGAGGGGGTGATGGGGAGGCGGGAAGCGTGGTGGTGACGGTTCCCGCGGCGTATAGGAGCTTTCGCGCGTGCGGGATCTGCGGCGGGAGCGGCTCCTCGACCGTGAGGGTGAGTCGTAGCCCCGAGCCTCCCGGTGGCCGGTGCGAGATCGGCTGCGTGATAAGGAGTCAGAGCGTCTGCTACCCTGGCTCAGCGAGCTGTCGCTGTACCGTCGCCGTTTGAGGCTACCACGAGACCGGCTGTGGCTTCGGCTGCGACTGCGGGATTGGTCAGGTCGCCTTTTCATTTGCTGGCAGAATGCGCGCGACCAGCCGTAGTAGGTATCGCCATCCAGGGTCTCTCCGCTGATCTCGTCCCGGGTGACACGCTGGCCTAGCTCATCGATATCCATATTTCCATCATCCTTGACGAGCTCTTCCGCGCCGTATATTTGATCAACCTCCTCTAAGAACCCTTTCAGAGCTTGGATCAGAGACTGGTCAGCGGGACCAGCCAGGAACTGCAGCGGTTTGATGCTCTCAGTGCGGAGCGGGATGGTCGAGTTGGGGATGATATGGGGGATCCAGTTGCCGGCCGGAAGGTCGTAGTAGGGGGGTGGACGGGTCACCGTGAGTCGATGGCATGATAAAGGGCACCTCTTTCCCGGGAAGCTTCTTGGCTGCATCGGTCTCATCGATCAAGACATCGGTTGATGAAGACGGGGCGGCCCCCATGGAAGCCGAGTTCTTGACCACCTCCCGCAATTTATAGACTAGTTCGGGACCAAAGTATCCGTGCTCGGACCAGATGTCGAGTAGATCATCTAGTCGCCGGTGGTGCCGGGGATGCTTCTGCTGATCGTAGGCGGCTGCGTGCCCAAGCAGGTCCACCATGTACGGCTGCAGGGACCCGCTCACCGTGGAGAAGGTGGTCGTGGTATCCAAGTGGTACTTGCTGTGGTGGAACAGATCATTGAGGAGATAGAGTATGTGGAGCCGCCGGCGCTTCACTGAGGTCTTGGACCGAGCGCCAGGGCCAGCATCGGTGCCAGCACTAGGACCGGCACTAGCATCAGCACCTGCGGCGGCCGGTTCTTCGAAGAAGCCGGCCAGGGCGACGAGATACTTGGCCAGTCCCCCCACGCGGTTAGCGGAGTAAGCGACATAGTGGAGCAGCCATGCTTTGCAGGTCTGTGTGGGCCGAGGGGCAATTTAGTATGACTGGGCCGCGATATGAGGAGAATGCGTGTCACGAATCAGACCTGGATGTTTGCTGGGGAGCAATGGTTTAGGACGCGGTCGAGGGCCGTATGGAAGGCGGCAATGTCATCGCGCGGGACTGATGATGGATCCGGGCGCAAGAGGCCCGCGGAGAAGGAGGCCTTCGCAATGGCTATCTGGTGGGAGGCCATTTGGGGGGTTTGTCGGGAAGGCTCATCCGGTCTGGGGAGGAGCTTGAAAGAGGACCTTGAAAGAGGACCCAGCTTCCCGCTGCGATTGCGGGTTTATCACACGTGACTTGCTAGAGCGGAGCTCCTCCGAAGGGGCCATTTTGACTACGCGGTTGCGCTTCTACGTTGAACCCGATTGACTAGTCGACTGGTTGAATATTTGACTAGCATACACTAGCTGGAACGATCCGTGAGAAAGTGTGGCCTCTCAGGGTGGGCTCTCATTGACTTGGTCGGGGAGCTGCACCCTACTCGGGGAGGGCGGCTCTGGCGGTCTACCCTTTAGCCCTGGGGTCGCAGACATGCTGCGCTTTGCCTCCCCTCCCCACTTGCTCGGCAAGTCATTTGCAGCGTAAAAGATAAGATGATTACGCACTGGCAGGGCGCTCGGGTGGTGCCTGCCTGCCCTTCGTCTAGTCGAGCCATATTTCCCCGAGGAGCTAGCTGGTCGGTCGGATACTTGCCCTCCCGCGTCATTCCATGCATTCCATTCATTGCATGAGCGGTCTCGGGAGAACTCCACGAGCGCGGCGCCTGACCCCTTTCACACTCTTAACTATAGCCAGCTTGTTGCTCCGCCCTTGGAGGGGCAAGTCGCCCCACCCATTCCCATTCGGCTGCTCTGACACTGCAGGACCCCGCGATGGCGCGAGAAGAGCTCCTGGTGCACACCATGTCCGGATGAGTTGTTGGTACCCAAGGCAGCCAACTACAGCCACAAGGTATGGCGTACAGCCGCTCGATAAGCGGGCCATCATCCTCGGTCATCACATCATAGTGTATAGTCCTCCGTAATATCTCGCTGTTCGTGCCGACAGCTCGATCCGCCAGCCAATCTATGAGCTTCCCGTTCGGGGCACATAGTGATGTGTCTGGGTATGACTAGTAGTGTCTGATCACTCCGGATGAATGTTCCCTGGGAACATCAGCCCATTGCCCGCGGTGGGCCCCGCCGCGATGACTCTCTGCATGATTGAGTGGAGTGGATCGGCATGGTAGCACGATGTAGGGCACTCCCCACACGGGTCACTCGCGCCTTCGCATGGCCTGACTTGCTCAGCCGGTATCTATAAATGGCCTTGGCCCCCGATATGACCGTCTTTGTCTGCCCAGCTGTTCCGTTTTCAACGCTAGAGCTACAAATCTACACTGTCCCGTTGACTTCCACTGCTATACTCCACTCCCATCTTGCTGTATACTCCTCGAGTCACCACCGCCACCACTCCTAATCCACCAGTCACCTTGTCCTCATTCTCCGGAATCTCCGAATCTCTCACCATTACCACCACCATGGCCGCAGTCGTCGCCGCACAGCTTGCCCGCCCTTCCATTCGGCACTTCTCTGCCCACCGGCCGCGCCCCGACAGCCGCGCGGCTCGAGCAGTCGCCATGTCCTGCATCGTCTCAGGCGTGGTCCTCCCCTTCGTGCCGCCCGCTCTCGAGAGCTCGCGCCAAAGAAACTCGGGCTCCCCAGACAACACCAAGTGAGCCCATACCTCCATGCCTCCATACCTCTCCACCCCCATGTTTACTTCGCATCGTTCACACGGCAATATGGGGATGGGATCAACGATCGACGAGCAACCCACTCTAACCCATCCTGCACAGGCCCCACCCCCCGCTGTGCTTCCATGCCCGCTAGAACACTCCCGCCGTGCGCCACGCATGGCGCGCGTTGTGACGACTCTGCTTTTCATTTTGCAACCTTGGATCTACGGTGGAGGTTCTGATGTCCGGCGCCGGCGCCGATGCGGGACCTCTTGAGACCATGTATTTTTGTCGAGGGCGTTCAGGGACCCGGGCGTTTCGTTACGTTTGCTTTTTCATTCTGAATCTCTGCTCTCGTTGGAGAGCGTGTTGCACATGGGGTTGATGGCATGGCAAGGAGATATGATTCATCTAAGATCTCGATGGACGCGGCGTGTCTGGATAGATGATTATGCAGAGCATATCCTGTATGCATGAAAACCGGATACATTCCATAGCACTGGGCAGTGATAAAGGACTATTTCACTCACACCGAATATCATGATCATTGCAGCGGAGCCTACACCTCGCACGCACCCTATCGTAATGATACTCTTGAATGGGTTGCTTTGGCGTCTCCACACATCCTCTTGGAACTCTGCTAGCCACGGTTAGATCAAGTGTTCTATGTACGTCCCATACACCAATATCCCAGACCCACCAACCAAAATGGAAGCGATCATTGTAACAAGATAGTCTTCATTGGAAAGATCTCAAAAGGACCCCGGTCATGCCCAGCGTACCAACCCGGCGGCACACCGCACAGTATGTTTTGGTTTACAGATCAAATTGTACAAGAAGGTTCGGATACTATCGCGTCCCTCAACTGAACCGGTTCCCTCGCGGCGGCCGGAACGGCTCTGTCGCTTCGTATTTCCCCTTCTCCAGCACCCGGTCCTTATCGGTCATTGGTTCGTGTCGAGTCGGGGCCGGGTCGTGGGACGCTTCGGCACTGGGCGAGGCGACGTCGTCTGTGGCATTCTGGAATCGGGTCATGTTGGCGCGTTTCAGGCTGGCGTCATCGCTCGCGTTCGGGGTTGGTGCGGTGATGGCGGCCTGCCGTATGTGCTCGGCTTCCATGGCCTTCAGCTGAGCTTTGCGCTTGACTTCGGTTTCAAAGCGAGATTGGCGGTCGGCATTGATGGATTGTTTGGCAAAGTAGTAGGCCCCGCCGCCGGCTGTGGACGATGTGTAAGTTAGACTGGCGCTAGGAGAAGCTTGCCAACCCGATGTAATTTGCTGAAATCATGATTTGAAAGATTTCTAGGTTACCTACCCAAACAAAGGGTACCCCAGCCAACCCTGTGGTGGGTAAAGAGCTTTCTGTTAGCTTCGCAGTCCTGGGTTCAATTACATCCATGTTGATTCTAGGACGGGGAAATGTCTACTAACCAGGTGGATCTGATCTTATGGCAGAGAGAATGTTTAGCTATAGAACTGAGCGTCCAAAATTAGCTAGATAACTCACTGTGTTCATGGCGGTGGTGTGGGAGAGTTAAGGTGAAGAGAAATGGCATGATCCTCTACGTCAAGACAGCTCCGGGCGGATCGGGGCCTTGCTGCCTCCTGCCTCAGGCCATGATATGTCAGCCTGGAGGCTGAGAACCTTGAATTCAAGAGACCGGTCCCCTCTTCCTGAGTTCTTCTTTCTCTCATCATCCTCGCATCCCACGACATCCTCATCGCACTCGCTTATCCTCGCCTTCTTCGGACCCTTTACCCGCAGATCTGCGCCGTGTCCCCTACCTTGTCGAATAGAAGTGTCGCATCCTCAGCCGGCATCCGCCGCCTGTTTCCTGCGGCACCGGTGTTCGTGGCATGCAGTTTTGAATCATCATAACTGAGGCGGTTTTCGCCTCACCTAGCTTCTTCCGCAAGTCTCCTGTAACTACACCTCTTTCCTTCGTGGTTGAGCTCTTGCAGCCCCATATAAAATGGCACCGAAGCGCAAGGCGGCTGACGGTAAGCCGTGCACTCCATCTAACCGCCCGCACGCCAGATAACTAATATTTCGTATAGTTGGTCGGTCTACCAGCGATTCAAAGCGATCCACTCCAGTCCCTGATGCGACGGATATCTCTAGCAGTGACGAGTACTCGGATGGCCCGGAGGACACCAACTTGAAAGGTAGAGCACAGCGGCCTGCGCACATAATGTGACTTGGATACTAAAACCGGATGATCAAGATGTCGTCGAGAAGTTCACGTTGGAAACGTTCAGCAGGCGCTCGCAAGCTCAGAAGACCGATCCCCGGTTCGGTTACAAGGATCTGTCATCCCTCCCCCTCAAGCGCGACCACTACAACCGCCCACTATGGATCGAGCCGGTAAAAGGCACGATCATCCTCGAGAGTTTCTCGCCGCTGGCACCCCAGGCGCAGGACTTTCTGACCACCATCGCTGAACCGCTCTCGCGTCCCCGCTTCCTCCACGAATACCGCCTGACGGGCCACAGTTTGTATGCAGCTGTGTCAGTCGGCCTGAAGCCGCACGATATTGTCGCAGTCTTGGACCGCCTTTCAAAGACACCGTTACCTGAGAGTATCTCAACGTTCATCATTGAGTTTACCAAATCGTACGGCAAGATTAAGATGGTGTTGTATCACAATCGATACTACGTGGAAACAGCGGAGCCGGAAATGCTCCAGATGCTGTTGAAGGATGAAGTCATCGGACCACAGAGAATATCGAGCGAGGAGGGCATCATCGAGCGAGCGGCACCAAAGATGGGAGCCCTCGTGATCCCTGGAACCAAGGATGCGGCTGGTGTTCGAGAGACCGGCGGCCAAACGAAGTCGTCTGCGAATACTCGAAACGAAAACCAGGAGGAGGCTCAGGACTATGGAATCAACGATGTTGGGGAGGACTCCTCGGATTCCCTCACGTACAGTTTCGAAATTCCCCCTTCTGGGGTCGAAATTGTGAAGGCCCGTTGCCAGGCCATCGGCTGTCCGGCCTTGGAGGAGTATGATTTCCAGGGCGATACGGTCAACCCTAATCTTGAGATGGATCTGAAACCCGCGGCGCGGATTCGTCCATACCAAGAGATGAGCCTCAGTAAGATGTTTGGTAATGGACGCGCAAAGAGCGGTATCATTGTTCTACCATGCGGTGCCGGTAAGACGCTGGTGGGAATTACCGCGGCGGCTACCATTAAAAAGGGTACGATTGTCCTGTGCACCAGTTCCATGTCCGTGGTTCAGTGGCGGAATGAGTTCTTGCGCTGGACGACCATCGACCCGAGCGATATTGCCATGTTCACATCCGACCACAAGGACAAATTCAAGCGGTCGACTGGTGTCATTGTGTCCACCTACTCCATGGTGGCGCAGACCCGAGCACGGTCGTATGAGGCACAAAAGATGATGGATTGGCTTCAATCTCGAGAATGGGGTATGATGATTCTTGACGAGGTACACGTCGTGCCGGCCTCGATGTTCCGAAAAGTCACATCTGCCATTGCTGCGCAGAGTAAACTCGGTCTCACTGCGACTCTACTACGTGAAGACGACAAGATCAAGGATCTGAATTTCCTGATTGGGCCAAAACTGTACGAGGCGAACTGGATGGAGCTTGCCGCCCTCGGCCACATCGCCAAGGTCCAGTGTGCCGAGGTGTGGTGTCCAATGACGACCGAGTTCTACTCGGAGTATTTGCGAGAAAGCTCGAGGAAACAGGCTCTGCTGTATATCATGAACCCACGCAAGTTCCAGGCTTGTCAATTCTTGATTGACTTCCACGAGAAGCGCGGTGATAAGATCATTGTTTTCTCCGACAACGTCTACGCCTTGGAGCGATACGCACTCAAGCTGAAAAAGGCCTACATCTTCGGCGGAACACCCCAGAACGAGCGTTTGCGTATTTTGGAGAATTTCCAACACAACGAACAAGTTAACACCATCTTCCTTTCCAAGATTGGCGATACCTCGCTGGATCTGCCTGAGGCTACGTGCCTTATCCAGATCTCGTCTCACTACGGTTCCCGCCGCCAGGAAGCACAGCGTCTGGGTCGAATTCTTCGAGCCAAACGCCGAAACGACGAGGGTTTCAACGCCTTCTTCTACTCGCTGGTATCCAAGGACACCAGCGAGATGAACTACTCGAACAAGCGCCAAGCCTTCCTGGTCGACCAGGGCTACGCCTTCAAGGTGATCACCCACCTGCAGGGTATTGACGAGTACGAAGGACTCCACTATTCCACCCCGGCCGAACGTCGCGAGCTGCTCCAAGAAGTCATGCTGCAGAACGAGTCCAAGGCCGACGTGGAGCAAGTCACCGACGACCTGTTGTCAATGCGCACCGGGCGCAACACGACGAAGAAGGCGAAAGCGAAGCGCAGCGCCGCGACACTGAGCGGCCTGGCGGGCGGCGATGACATGGCGTACATCGAATACAACAAGAGCAGGAACAAGCAGCTGAAGGACAAGGCCGGCCAGCACCCGCTGTTCAAGAAGATGGAGCGGGACCGTCAGCGCCGGAAGAAGGAGCGCGAGGCGGCTCACGATGAATAATCAATAGAATCAGCAACAGTTGAAAGCTAGCAGACGCAACAAGCAAGACGATGGCGAGGCAGAGACCCGCACTTCCCATACAATCCCACACCTCCGAAGAAAATGGTTTCACAAACGAACGGTCTAGCTCGGACCCAGATTGTAGAGCGAGCGGGCCCGTTCGGTGGATTCAGCAGCGTAGTATCTTTTGTGCTCAATGTTCATTGGGACTTATCCAGGCGTGCTGTTAGGGATCTTAGATGGCCCCTGCTGTTTTGATGCATTGACGGGTCGCCACGGCCGCATGTGACATATTGTGCATCGATTCCCTTAAAGAAGAATGACAAAGTTGATAATCACATGGATGCTCCCTGGTCCCCCATCCAAAGTCCCTATGCCACTTGTGCCGATCAGCGCCGTAGCCGACGTAGCTGGCCATCTCAGTTACAACCAACCTGCTCCCGACTGGCCCAGACAGACCATCCATTATTCAGAAAATACGAGGCACCATCGACAATTCGTCAGCAAGCCAGGCCCAGTCCAACCAAGATAAACTAGTCCGTGCCCCGGCGGGAAAATGACGTCTGTTCGTGTCGACGGAACCACGAGGCCCGACGTCTCCGCTTTCTGGGAGAGCGTGCTCAACTAATAGCGGGCCCCTGATAGGCCCGTGTACTCTGCAGAGCTACCCCGGCTTTGGTCATACAGCTGAATTACTGTTTTGCCCCGTGGAATCTGCTTGGGTAATGCCGTCGGGTCTAGGCGCGGATCAGAGCATAAAAGGATCATGCTTCCCCAGACAACAGCTCTCCGCCGCCTCAGCCTCAGCCTCGGCATCACAACAGCCCGTGCGAATAAGCCATCAGCTCGAACTGCCGCGAGATATTCTTGTGTCCTGGGTCCTCGACCGATCCTGTTTTCCGTCCCGACCAAGCTTTTGCCACGCCTAGCTGCCCAGACTACAGCGCTACGGCCCGGTTTATACCGTCCTCTCAAAGCTCAATCTGTGCACCGCACGATCAGACAGCTTTCCATGATGGCGACTGCGTCGAAGATCCACCTGTCGCCGGAGACGGACTCCGGCATTTTTAGCTCCGGCGTGAGGGAGGATACAGCGCGGACGGCTAGCGTGGTGTTGCAGGAGGATATGGCGAACCACCATGTCTTCTTCAATGACGAGGGGTTTCATAGTATGTGATGCATTGCTGCTTCGATCATATCGTCTCGCTGACAATGGCATAGATCACATCCCACACTTGCTTTTAAGCATCTACGCCCTCGGCGGGTCGCCCGAGGACATCCTGGCGGCTTATAATAATAACAAAAACTACCAGCGGCCTAGTGTCCCTACTGTTGTCGAGGTCATCAATGACATGAATGACACGGAAAAATTCCAGGCGTATCTGGGGAAGGAGAAGCATTACTCGAATTTCCTGTCTTTCTTCCAGCGTCAGATTGATGAGAAGGGCGTCGGTGCTGTGCTGAACGAATACGTCTTTGCCGGGGACGGGCGGGCGGAAAGTATGCTGTCGCGGCTCTTTGGAGGTACGTCACTCCCCGTCTGTGCGATTTGAGTGGACTTGGGCTCTAATGATGATGACGATGGTGCAGGCCTCATCCACCCCCTCATTCATCTAGGCTTCGGGCTTGAGTTTAACCAGCCCGCCATCGTGGCCCAGGCCCTTGCACAGGCTGCGGTTCATGATGACTGGATGGGCCGCGATTTTTTCCTCCCGGCGGAGAAGCTGGCAGAGGGGATTGGAAAGCCGGGGAAGAAGTCGCTTCTGCAACTATTGGATGAAATTCGCAAAGACAACACCTTGGCTCACTCCGCCAAGTACACTGACACGAACAAGATCCGAGACGGGGTGCTGCACCGTGCCCCGCAGGAGATGCTGAAGTATGCTGCCCAATATACAGTCTCTGAAGACCAAGTGGAGGAGAGACTGGCGGATATGATTAATAACGTCGGTGAGTCTGGCTTGGGTCCTAAAGTTAGCTTCCGTGGAGTTCTGTTAACCCTCCTTAGTATACTACACAAGCGCCGCCCAACGACCCAGCAAGGTAGTCAAGCTGGACTTTTTCTTCATCCACTGTGTCAACTCGTCCATCTTCTTCTCTAAGCTCGCACTTCTCCCGATCCTGGATCAGCGGACTCGACTCCGTCTACTGGAATGGAAAGGCCGCATGGACCTACTGATGTACGTGTCGCGCGGCTGTCCAGACCTGCTACGGGACGAGATCATCCGCTATCCTGTGACGAATGAGTGGCCAGCGGTCTTTGCCCGCGGCGCGTCACACCCGTCTGACGATGGGCATTTGGCCAAGTTTGTGCGCGCTGTGGCACATGGGCAGAATGTGTGCAAAGCATACGAGAGCAAGGCATCACAGACGATGCCTGTATCTGGCAACATGTGGCTTCAGATCGCAAATATGGGTAGGTCGCATAACTTCTCTGCACGTGTTGCATGATTTTGGCCCTCGCTGACTAGCCAACAGCCATCGACTCCACCGTTGAGGAGAATCGGACGATGTGGATCCGCTCCACCGGATTCGACGAGGCATGGGAGCATCTCCCCGGACGCGCCCGGTTGTAATGATGCCATGGATACCCAGATTGTTGGAGAATGTACCTGGGGATTGATACTGTAACGGTGTATCCGACTCTGCTCATGTAATTTGAACCGTATTGATCTAATCTAAATTGATCACTCTAACGTTGAAGTATGGTTTTCGATCCAAGCTGTGGTGGGTCTAGGCTAGGTCCAGGCGCGCCGCCGTCTTCCCCGATAGGCACGTAGAAACCGGTAGGAAGAGACAGCCATGATGGATTGGCGATAGAAGAGAGGAACATGAAATTACGAGAATCGGAACGCGAATGAAGAGCATGAACGCACAATGGATGAAAGTAAAATTCCAAGCAGCAGCGGAAAAACAGGAACGAGTGGACCTCACGTGGCGAAGTGCAAGTGGGGCTGATTTCCCAACAGCTTCACCTTCAACCTCTTCAACGCTGACTCGCCCTTTCCCATCTCCGCACATCCCACAATCATCTGCCATCTACATTATGCCCGACGATCGCGAGCCCGAAGATCACAACCGGAACAAGAATACCTCCAATACTCCCCAGGGCCACGACGGGGAGGACGAGAGCAACCCGTTCGTCGCCTTTCGTCGCTTTGCCGACGAGCAAGTCTCTTCTGTTTTACAGTCGATCACCGGCCTTCCTTCCTCTGTGTCGCCGCCCCAGCCCGACCACTGGACGATCTTTACCGATGACAAGGCCTATAATAGCATGAAATTCCGGCAGAGCGATGGCGATAGCACAAACAATGCGGGGGAGCAGAACTATACGTCTGGCGGGGGCGCCGAGAGCCGGTCCTCGGGAAATCGAAATGACAACGATAACAGCAACAACAATGGCGGAACGTCCCTCACGGAGTCCTCACAAACCAAAAGATCAGTTGATATGGAGCCGAAGAACTCCCAGTCGCGACAGCGCCGCTCCCGTGAACCCTTCGACCCTCTCGGCCTCGACGCGCTCTCCTTCCCGCTCTTCACACAACCATTTCCCATGAACTCCATCTTTTCCATTTCCATGCCACCCATCTTTCAGCACTTCGATGATCAATGGCCTCTGAACTATATCACGTTCAGCCCATACTCCCCTCTGCATCTAGAGCGCCAGGCGCGCGACCGAGCACACCAGGAAAAGGGTGTGTTTTCCTCCCTCGTCTCCTCTCTGCAAAGAGAATCAGACCGTGATCCGAACGAGCCGCAGTGGCGCGAGGCTTTTGAAGATCTTCTTCGTTTAGAGAATGGGAAAAACCTCCTTGATCAAGACAGACTGGCTGCCGGCAGGACGGAGAGCGAGTGGGACTGGCTTAAGGGGATGGTGAAGCGCGGAAGCATGGGCAACCGGTTTGAATTTGTGTCCGGATTGAACAATCACGGGTCGATTGGCGCTCATGGCGATGAAAACCACCCTGACAAAATTCCGGTAGAAGGGAAGGAGTACTTGGGAGCGAATGCAGAATATGATGAAGCCGATGATGAGCTGGCCTTGTACGAGCGCTTCATGCAAGATCTTGAGGTCTGGCATCGCGAGTTCTCTCAAGGCATTACTAGGAGCAACATCCTACACTCTCTTCTGGAAGACCGCCGCGCTCATGCTCATCCTGGCCGCCCTCAATTCGAGGACAAGCAAGGCAATGATGATAACGAGAGCTGGCTCGACCTCGTCTCGGGTGGACACCGCAAATCCGTCCCCGAGACGCCCGACGAGATGATTTTGGCAGATGACACTTCATCGTCTCGCATTATTTCCACCATGTCCCGGACGGAACGAACACGTCTCCCAGATGGCTCGATTCAAACCAAGAAAGTTGTGACGAAGCGGTATGCGGATGGCCGCGAGGAGACAGACTCATCTGTTGAAACGACCCATCCGCATTCAGGGAATGTAGATTCTTCTGACTCAGGGGAGAACGGTACCAAGCCGAACAATGGCTGGTTCTGGAAGGAGTAATTTGGCCGCTTCTTGGACGACTCCTATGATGCTTGAAACCCACATGTATGCCAAGTTGGCATTCGACATGACCCATGACCCATTTCTTTTGCCCTCACTGCTCGCTAGCGATTTTTGGTTTTTTTGCGTTTTGACTTCTCCAGTCTTCTTTCCTTCCCGTCGTATATTTTGAACAATCTCTTGCTGTACATCTACATCTTACGCCCGAATTTCGCCATGCTTGATATGCATTGCACGTCGAAGTTTGCTCGATCTTAATAATAGCATTTCAACCTAGTGAATGACGCCCTTGTGATATACTTTATCTTTTTCACGAACACAGGTAGTCATATCAGTCGCAATCTGCAAGCAAATCACCTTTGTTTATTATCTAGCCACTATCATGGTCACGCGACCATACATGGATCTTTCTGCATACAGATGTAGATCTATATTTTAAGAAGAACCTCCCAACGAGGCGTAAGTAGGGCATAGGTAGGCACCAAGATTAATTAGTCCGCCTTGACACTCTTCTTCTGCGCTTTCCCGGTTGTCCAGCCTTTCGATTCCCAATACTCAACGCTATCCAACATTTTCTTGTATGCCCAGGTAAATGGAGGGTCTGAACTAAGACGTAAGCTTCAAATCTTTATTGTCTGCCGAAGGAATCCTTCAGGACTTACACAGGAACTGTCTGAGGTCATGTCTGTTATCCTCTGGCGAGTAATCGAGTGCGTGACTAGATGAGATAATGCAAGTTAGGTTGAAGGTATTTACGCTTTTGGGGGCTGGATTAACTGACTATGCTGGGGTAATCGTCGTCATTTTATGCCGGTTGATGGCTAGAAACATGTCAGTGTGCTGTTCATCCAGTAGGGTTAAAATCCGCAGGAGGATGTTGCTTGGATGCAAGTGGTCGCGGTGCTTGACGCGCTGGAGGCAGAAGGAACATCACGCCACCCATCCGTAAAGGGTTTTAACATACAATAGTAGTAGTAGAAATGTCTCGTCTTTTCGTAGATTTCACGAGGACTGAGCTCGTTGCCCCAGACGTGGAGCAATTTCTCGTACATAGACCAGGGGCCGAGTTTGGCCACTTTGCGGAGATAGCTGACTTGATGTTAGCTTTCCTTGATCCGTCGTCCAGATTGATATCATAGGGTACGGACCCGAATGTGCCCAGCTCGGCGTATTTAACTCCCATATCAACCTCGTCGGATTGTGCGGCTGCCAAGGGTTCCAGCTCGGCAGTTGGGGTCGCCTCGAGGAACTCGGTCAGAATAGGCATATCGAACTCATGGACCCCCCAGGCGATGAACCGTTTGAGGTCGACCTTGTTGAGACTGCCGATTGGATTGAGCTATAAGGCTGTCAGGATCAAGTATCGCAACCTCTCAATCAGGACAGGTCCTTACATCGGCCGAGGAAGCGTCATACTTGGTGAGGTAACCTCGCAAGCTATATATGATTAGCAAATTTCGACTTGAACAGATAGCGCCAGCACAAACCATTCTAGAATCTCAGTTAGTAAAATCTACAGAACGCGCAGGGGGGCAGCTTACCATCAACATTAGACGATGCAAGAACCAGCAAGCCACCACCGCCCGGGCGTTGGCGGACAGTCGGCAGCAACGACGCAAACAAATAAGAAAAGACCATTCTCATGCGAGCCTGTACGTTCTGCAGAGCCAAATTTTCCGCAGGCGCACCGCCGTGGAATCTAAACCGTGGTTGGAAGTTTGTGACGACCGTGAAGACGTTCATGATGGCGGTGACTACCGTGTCGAAATTGAAATCGATGTGGTAAGAACCGATATCTTGAGCAAGTCTCTTGGCCCGGTCCCTTGTCTCATGGCTAGAATTCTGAGTGCCCATGTAGGCAGTATGGAAGATGCACATGCAAATCTCCTGGGGAGATGAGGGAAGCCAATCCGAATCGGCCGGTTTAGCACAAAGGCGACGAACGTCCTTGATAACCTGCTCATTACCTTCACTAACAGCCTTCATGACTTGACGGCACATCGAGTGCACAATCAATGAGGAGGAACAGCTGTCAATACCACCGCTTAGCGCAAGGAAAAAGCCAGCAACACCGCATCGCCGAAGGTAGTCCCATAACCAGCAAGCCGGCCCAAGAGCAATCTCCTCTTCCGGTGCATGGATGCGAGGCTTCATAGGCATGGATACTGTGAGGCTGGGATCGGCATCTTGGGTGCGGCGCGAGAGTCTCACGTCAAGATCAATACGCTGGAAGGGTGACTGCTTGCTTGCTTGCATTCCACGGCTAACACTGGATCGGTACGTTCGGACCTATCTCACATCAGTATCTTGTACTCAAAGAAGGTGAGATGATCCTACCTCTTCAATATCCACAGTAGCCGTGACGACTTCAACATCGTTCAGGGAAAATTGTGAGCCCTGGGCCACAATCTCACCGTTGATAACGATCATGGCACACCCGTCATAGTACAGTCTGTCGCCATCACAGCCTTGTTGGTTGGCGTAGAGATAGATACCTCCGCTCTATTCGTTGTTAGATAATATCCCAAAGGGGTTTTATGGTGTCCATTACCAATTTGGTGGCCTGGGTAATTAAATTCAGCCGTGTATCGAGCTTCCGAAGCTCGTGATGGCTACCTGAGGAGTTGGAGATAATTTCGACACCTTTGTCAAGAAATATTAGACAACGAAAACACCCAGGTTTCCATACATATAATGAAACGTACCTGCCAAGCCATAGGGAATGTGAGGCCTTTGAGAAATTAGCAAATCATATCAGAAGGAAGCAGCAGCCCATGCAGACTTTCAACTTACCCATTTGGCGTAAATAGTTCTTCGCAGGTCTCCAAGCCTAGGCAAGTATCTCGTGTGCTGATCACGGCATCGCCGAATGGCACCTTGTATTGTCCAGTGATTTTGCCAACAATCTGCTCCAAATAGTAATCCTCCGTCTCCTGGGGGCGCTGCCAGGGAGTAAAATGACGGTATTCGCGATAATTGCCATCTAAAACGTAAAACGAGTACATCAACCATGTTTTTCCCCTTTATAATTATGGAAGGGCGAAACGAACCATTCGCCAGCCACATCTTAGGGCGGATCAGAACGATCTTCCGGTTGTAGAAAATGACGCTAGCAAAGACATTATAGTTAGCGGCAATATCTATGGTGGGGACCAAAAAAAACCCACCGACAATTGTATCGAACATTTCTGTGTCGAACTGGCATACCAACATCTACCACAATGTCCTGGCAGTCTGGGTGGGCGATGATCTGGGAAAGCATTTCCCATGAATGAAGGAAGGTATCGCCTTCGAGAAAGGCATCGAGACAGCCATACCCTGCCGGACAGGTGTCAGTATATTCGAGCTAAGCGTCGTGTTAGGTCAATTTACCGGTAATCTCGAGCTCAGGGCCAACCCGCAGAGTAGCTCCGGCGGCTTTTGCCTGCTTAATGCTCTCGATGATCCTGTCACGGTTGCCCTCCCAGTCTAGAGCCCATTGGTTCAGGTTGCTGCCGTCAGTTAGCGTAATGCGGCGGGGGAGGAGGGGTAATGAAGCTCCGGGAGGGAAGGGTAGGCTCCAAGAGACGAGGAGAAGCTCCTACCATGTTGCTAGAGTTACCAGGTGCCCCATAATGAAGATCTAGTGTCTGCTCCCGTGTGCGATAAGTCGCGAAGCGAAGCTCCCTCCTCTCATGGAAATGAATCACCTAGTCACGTGTGAGGGGAGAGGACGATGAGACATTCCCGCTCCTTCCCGTATTACGGTATATTGCCCCGATAACGGCAATATCGGCACAACTCCGACGAAAGATTGGAAATGACGATACCCACAGGGACCGCATCTTGCCGGCTGATTAATAGGCTTTACCCTGGCGTTGGACTTTCGTTCCTGGCCGGCTACAGCGGAACCTTCTTGGTTTCTACATATATCGAATATCCCTAGAGTCTATTCCAGCGACCTTGATTGTCTTTTGGCGCATTCGCAGTCGTAATCAGCATGAGCTCACAGACCCCCACCCCGGCTCATATGCTCGCGGAATCTATGCTGTCGCGGCGCTTCGGCAATGAGACGGTGAACTACTTTTCGAGTACGGATATGAAGAGGTGGCAGCACGTTTGGAATAGCACGACTAATTTTCGCACAGGCTCTCCTATCAACCGTTTATCATTTTTGCGCGGTGATCACGCATTTCTTTCCGCGGCCCTGACTCACCCCTCCACCCAGTACCTACTTCTTAACAACCTTGCCCCGCTCACCCGGTCGCCAGCCGAGGTATACTATGCGAAATATGACGATGTGCGCAATCTCGTCCCGCAAAATACCTTTGATCAGTCCGAGGAGGAAATGATCAAGGGCTTTGATTCCCGCAACACGCATGCGACCCTAATTTTCCTTGGACTGGACGAAAGCCGGAAGGACGGGAGCTTGATGTATAAGGCCTACTCGGGTGTTCCATTCTTCGCGGTTGATGTAACCCCGAAGGGCTCTGTGGCTCAGCGAGCGGCTGCTCAGGATATTATCAGCGCGATGGAAGGAAAGGGCTTGTCTTTCTTCCAGACGAGAGTAATTAGTACATTTACCGCCGACGAAGGTAAGTTTGGAGGAGGAACAAGTTGATGATGAGATTGGGGAATTAAGCTGATAGGTGCATAGCTGCTATATATGCGCAGGCGCGCGCACTAATGGACTGGAACACCCGCAATACCTTCTGTGGCACCTGCGGCCACCGCACGCTGTCCGTGAACGCTGGGACGAAGCGGGCTTGTCCCCCCACAGATGCGGCGCGAACTAGCGAAGGCCAGTCGGAGGAGCGCCCTGAATGCAACACACGGACGACCCTTTCGAACTTGTCGTTCCCCCGTACCGACCCCACTATCATCGTGGCGGTTGTCTCTGCCGATGGCAAGCGGATCCTGCTCGGGCGTGGTAAGCGCTTCCCGCCAAAGTGGTACTCGACTTTGGCTGGCTTCATTGAGCCAGCAGAGTCCATTGAGGATGCGGTTCGCCGAGAGGTGTGGGAGGAGGCCGGCGTGACCCTTTCGCGGGTCGTTATCCACTCCTCGCAACCTTGGCCGTACCCGGCCAATTTGATGATTGGGGCAATTGCGCAGTGTAGTGCCGCAGCGCATGAGAAGATCAGCCTCGAACATGACCCTGAGCTGGAAGATGCGCGGTGGTTTGAAATTGAGGAGGTCGAGGAGGCTCTACGCATTGGTGCCAGCGACTTGGGCTCCGGTCCTCTTCCTGAGTACAAGGGTGGCTTGAGGTTGCCCCCTGCGACGGCCATTGCGAACCAGTTGATTAGCTCCGTTGTGAATGCGGATTACTTCCAAGGAGAAAAATCTAAGATGTGATTGAGAGTTGACCACACCGGAGTGTGTCTTCACAGGTAGTCTAACGCCTAGGTATATAGAACAGAGGGGAGTACGCTACATACTTGGGTGTGAATCGAGGACAGTTATTCATACGAACGGGAGTTGATTCGTGTCATGTGTTTCTAGGATTTCTTGTGTATTGAGAGATTGATAGATATGTGTGCGGTAGGATCTCATAAATTGGCATAAACCGTTCCATCGCGCAGTTCGTGGATGCCATGTTTGCCGCTGGGAGATCCAACCTCTGTGTAGCGCGTACCGTCTCGCAGTTCATGGATTGTGACTCGTCCACGGCTTCTTCGAAAGCGCCGTGAGCCCCGAACGGATGGTGTCCCATCCATACTACCAGCATCGCTTGCCGCCACACTACTTGGTGTCGGAGAGTGGCTGTCCCTGCCGATGGATGCCTGGAGCTGATTGTCGGCCACCATGTCTGCGCCATCCTCAGAGTACCATCGCCGCAAGCCAGATGCAAAGGCCCGTTCCGCGGAGCTGTATTCGACAGGCGGCCCAGTAATTTTCGCCTCTGGGCTGGAGCCATCGAAAACAGCCCATGAACTTGATTCAGTGCTCACGAGCATCATCGAGTGATGGTTGCTTTGTACTTTGAAATCTCGCAGCAGAATCGCGTTCCCTTCGGCTACTGATGGCATTGCGGATTTATAACGCCGGAAAACTCGAGCTTGAAGAGTCGTACCAGCCATGGATGGATCAGTGAGCTGAATGGTCATGAAGTAGTCTCTGGAGCCAGAGGTGGCTTTGGCGATAGGGGAAACCTCGTAAACAATAGAGATTGTGTCCACCAGGGCATTGAAATGGTCGACAAGAGTGGCCAAAGGGGCGAAATAAGAGAGTTTGCTGCGCAATCCATGGGCGTGGCGATCTGGAACGGGGGTTTCGCCAACAACTACCTTCGGGTACTCAGAGACTTTGCCGGTCGACATGGGCTCTGTCCCGTCTCGCTGGCCACTGGGTTGATCATGGGCATCGGTTGCTTCAGCTGTTGGTAGCGCAACACTAGTACTGTCCGCATTGTCTTGCTGTTCCGAGGGATCGAATGCTTTGAAAACAGGCCGCGAAGATGCGTCTAGACCCGCCGGCGACGTCTGCTCATTAGCCACCGCTGACTCTGGTGATTTCACATTGTCGGGAGCTGATCTGCGGACAGATATAACCTTCTGCGTGGCATCATGCGTCAGAAGTTGTTGCTCAGCGAGTTCCATCTGGGTGGGGCCTGAACTAATAAACGACAGGCCGTTGTCCACACCCTGTGTTTCGGACACAACAGCCATCTCTTGCGGTTCAGAGGGCTCCCCTTGGGCTTGCATGTCTTTCCCATATGGAGTTTCATCATTTGTTTTTGCTGTGTCGGAGAATTCAGGCCAGTCCTGATCATCGACTCCGTCCAGGCTGATCAGAGCCTCAAGGCTCCTGCCCGAAGTTTGCCCCTCGCCATGAAGAGCTGCTTTCGACCCTTCCTGACTTTCCCAATCAGGTAGTTCTTCCACCTTTGCAAATCCTTCTTCATTGGGGTGATCGGGCAGATCTTCGTGCAAGGCAAGCTCGATAACCGAGACCGACTTTGGCTCAACTTCAACACCATCACCCCACCCTTGCTCTCCATCTCCATCTGAATCGAGATGATCCTCGCTTTGTACGTCTTCTTCAATTGATCGATTTCGTGTAAAATGCTTGTCGCTGTAATCATCGCGTGCCAAGACATCCACGGAGGACTCGTCGTCCTTGTCGCCATCATGCACTCGGTCATCTTGGCCAAGCGCTCCATATTCATCTCCGCCCTCGTCGTCCGCAGACATTTCGTCTTCCATTGTGTCGTACTCTGGATCATCATTGACAACAGACCATTCCTCTCCATCATCGTCTATCGGAGAGTTCGAATTTTCGGAATGCACAGATGACAGGGGACTATGTTGTCCTTGTGGAATAGGGTGCTCAGGCGTCACGAGCGGCTGCTCAGAGACAAGTTCATCTTCGCTGTCACTATCCAACACTATTATTTCAGGCTGCGAGGGAGGCAGCTCGGCTGCATCTGAGTCTTCATAGCCGCTCGTCCCCGCAATTTCATCCTCCCCTTCTGGCTCCAATTGATCCTGCTCCTCGTCTGATCCATCTTCAGAAAGGTGACTTGTCTCCTGATCTTCGTCATAAAGGACTTCATCTTCGGCATCGCTTTCATTGCTGTAACTGCCGCTGCGTGAACGGTCGGAGATATCCGTGATTTCAGGTACATGTAGACCTTCGCCTTCAGTCGCGGCGTCCCTAGATGCATCGTCGCCTGATTCATCTTCGACCAAATCCATGGATTGGAGAACCAAGGGATCATTTATAGCCTGAGCAACCTCCTTGCCGTGCTCTCTCGTTTCCAATCCAGGTCCGATGTCAATACCGTCACCATTTGCTTCCTCTGGATATTTTTGCTCCTCTGTCCAGGGCTCGCCATCGGTGTGTTGTTTCGAAGCCGTCGCATTCAACTCTTCAGTCTTCTCCATCCATGTATCTGTCTGAACGAAATGGGATTCATTCACAAAACTGGGCGAGTCGAATTGACCCAAATTACCCGGCACGTTCTCAGCACCCGCGGCAAGAATGGAATTTTCTCGCAAGGAAATTGGGGCTTGGTGGTGATTCACTGATGAAAGCGGGATAGATATGGCTTCTTCTTCACGTAAGGAATCCACCGCCCCGGTTAGAGCCGGTGCTTCCTGTGGATGCAATCCTGGGGAAATCTGGCCGAAAAAACCTCGAGCTTGGAAAGCAGCATTAGCACTTGGCGCCGGGGCATGATGAACATCGTGTACAGGCGGGACTGCGTGAAATGGTGAAAAATATCCCTGACTACTACTCTGATTGGACACCAGCGGCGATGGAATCGGGAGACCAGGAGATGGTACCGGCCGGAGCTGGGGTGTGTCTGTTGGAATGTTGAAGGCACCTCCGCCAGGAGCTTGAGAACCAGAGCCGGTTAGCTTAGCGGAGGTATCGTTTTGTTCCAGCTGCAACGTGTGCCTCCCAAAGAGGCCGCCAGAAAAATCCAGGGACGGCTTGACAAAGACAGGTGATTGGTCCTCGAAAGGATCGTCGATATTCGTCTGATTCACGGCGTCCGATGCATCTGGGACGGCAGTATCGTTATTGGGCTCGGCATCCGCGGGCTCCTGTGTGTCAGCCTCGATATCCATTTCGTCCTCCAGGGCTTTCATCCAGTCCACTGTTTCTTCGCGCTCTTGGGGGCTACCCGGTTCATCCACAATGCGCCACTCGTCTCGTCGTAGGCTGTACCTCGGTCGTTTCCTTCCCTCCCCGGGAATGGATCCATCTTCGTTAGCGAACGGATCAAATGCAGAATCAACTGCTCTCCCGAACGACTTCCGCGCAGAGTGATAGAACGCGGGCGACCCCCAGGAGCCTTGACTAGGCGCTGACGCTGTGTCGGGATCAATGGAGAGAAGGCGGGGGGTGGAGGGCGGTTGGTTGTCAGGCGGAGATGGAAGGTCCTGCTCAATTATTACCGTGGGCAGACTCTGGGATGAACGGACGATCTATATGAATGCCATTAGCATCTTTTTCAAATGCTGCGGTCGCGTGGTTGGCATACTTCAAGTGTTACGCCAGTGTCGAAATGCATATCCCACGCGACACATCTCCCGTAGGTCTGCGTCGCTGCATCATTGGCAACAAAACTCGAGCCGCTCAGAGAAAGGCGCACAGTGTCACCAATCCCGATATGTGACCCGGCGACCTTTTCTGCGACGCGTCCATGGAATGTCGCTTTGACCTGCCCGTTCGATCGACGTAGGCGGAAATCCGGCTCGGCCAGTAGCAGGCTAAGAGACTTGGTCGAAGAAGAGTACGGCCAGACAAGAGTAACCGTCGCGTAAATGCATTTCCCCTCGCGCTGTTCAAGAGTAGGAGACAACTGAGCGATCGGGATTTTGGTCAATTGCGGCCGCGTAGGCAGCGCTGGAGACTGATCAGTCGCATCCATCACTGCGCCGATTTTCCCACAATCAACATCAACATGTTCGCGATCATGTGCACGTCGTAAACCATCCAGGTATAGAGGGTTTTGGTGGTAGACCATGGATCGGGGCGGAGTGCTGAAGAACACGCGAGTTCGGTGCAGCTGCGAAATCAGAGGCGGTTGCATCATGTGTGGTAATACAATTGTAATAATACAGATAGCAAATAGTCAGACAGCGTATCTTGGAAACCATAATTACTGTACATAAAGCATCCCCATCAACGGAAAGCCGAGGATGTCTCTGTACAGCTCCGAATTCATATTCAAAATCCAGAAAACTTCATGAAATCATCAAGATATTTCTGGATGACACGTAAAAGCCAAAGGGGGAGTAGGCTTTCTATGGAGAGACTGCTCAAATCGAGTGCTGACCTTGGTACGGAGTACATACTTAGCCCGCATCTCCGATAAGCTCAGGCACAACTCCACTATGGCGACATCTCCCGGTGGCCCTCCGCTTTCCCTCAACAACCCCCTGGCCGGTGGAATGGAAAGATGGTATTCGCAAATCCAGTACGCCGAGTCGCAGTCATTGGAGCCGGGCCATCTGGTCTTGCCTCGACAAAGTATGTGGGATCCTACATAATTTGCCGCCGGGATACATCTAAAGTTGCTGACCTACCTGGATAGATTTCTCTTAGCGGAGAAATATTTCAACCAAATCGATGTGTTTGAACAAAGGAGCGCTGTGGGAGGAGTCTGGAACTATAGTCACAGCTCCTCCAAGGTGGGCGCATCCACTACTGTTCCTCATCTTAATCCGCATGAACCGGCGGAAAAGCCTACGTGGATCAACCAAGCAGATGGATCATCCGAAGCCGTCTTCGTGTCCCCTCTTTATGATAGACTCGAGACCAATATCCCAAAGGAGCTGATGCGCTACTCGGACAAGGCTTTCCCACCAGACGCCCAGCTCTTTCCCAAGCACCGCACTGTCAAACAGTACTTGGAGGAATATGCCGAGGATACAAGGAGCCACATCCACTTCGAAACTCAAGTGGTGGATGTCAAATTGAGTGATCCTTCTTTGAGCACATGGGATGTGACCACGATGGATCTGCATAAGGGTGTTGGTAACACTCGTACCTATGATGCAGTAGTGGTGGCAAGCGGCCATTTCATCGTCCCTTATATTCCCGCTATCCCTGGGATCGCAGCTTGGAATCAATCATACCCTGAGACGATCTCGCACTCTAAGTTCTACGACTCACCTGAGTCTTTTAAGGGCCAGAAGGTGGTAATAGTTGGAAACTCGGCCTCGGGCCTCGATATCGGCGCTCAAATCAGTGAGATGAGCGCAGGGAAGGTTCTTGTATCGCAGCGTTCCGAGTCATATTTGGCCGCATCAGCGCCATCTGATAAGATTATCTGCCCGGAGATCGTTGAGTTTCTCTGCCCAACCAAATCAAGCCGAGGAATCCGATTCGCGGATGGTCGCGTCGAAGAACATGTCGACGCAGTTGTTTTTTGCACGGGTTACTTGTACTCGTACCCATTCCTTTCGTCCCTAACTCCAACAGTTGTCACACACGGGTGGCGAACCATGAATGTCTACCAGCAGTTGTTCTACATCGAACACCCCACGCTTGTGTTTCCTGTCCTTGCCCAACGAGTGATTCCTTTCCCCATGGCCGAGAACCAAGCAGCTGTTTTCTCCCGTGTTTGGTCCCAACGGCTTGAGCTCCCCCCAAAAGAAGAAATGCAGGCATGGGAGGATTCTCAAGTTGCAAGCAAGGGGGACGGGAAAGCATTTCACCTCTTGCCATTCCCGATGGATGCTGATTATTTGAATTTCCTCCACAACTGGGCCAAAGCAGCCAAGCCACGCCCCGGCCTAGCCAACAATGGGAATGGCAAGCGCGGAAACTTTTGGGGGGAACGCGAACGATGGATGCGTGCCCTCTTCCCGGATATAAAAAGAGCGTTTGTTCAGAAGGGTGATCAACGGGGCGATATCAAGACTTTGGAGGACCTTGGCTTTAGGTTTGATGAAAGGAAACTATAGAATAGATATACGAAGCTAGATCACATGACTTCAAGAAATAAATGAGGAGATTAACCTACCATGCGGATAAGACGATAAAGATAAGAAAGTAGCTATCACGTGAAGACCGCGGGCCTCCGCCCGAGTCGGCGCATTCACTCCCATTCTCCTCCACTAATCTCGACGGCGACCACAACCGTTAATATTGCACTGCTGCTGCGGTTGTCACTCCGGTTTCCATGACCACTTTCAATACCATATCCACCATCAAGATCACAACAATCGGCTGTCATGATGGAGGACAAGCCAACACCATCTTCTCTCGGGGACATCGACGCTACAGTACCTACATCTATTCCAGAAACTATAGCACCCCTCAGTGTGCGCTCTGACACAGATTCTGTTTCGCACTCTCATACCGCTATTCACCATGTTCATTCCGACTCACTCCTTCAGCCGCATTTAACCTCAGGCGGCCCAACGTCCATGGAAACGATCCAGCCCAGCGCGTTAACTTTCGAGGGCTCCGATCAAGCTCCCCCAGGATCAGTTCGCCTTGGGCCGTCTGAGTTCGCTGTGACTCTGCCCATGGATTCCCGAGTGAAAGATGATTATGACCGCATTTTGACGGACTCCGCTGCTATTACAAGGGAGTTCCTCGAAAGCTTCTCCACTGCTGGCCAGTGCTCAGATTTCAAGGTACGTTCCTCTGACTCGTGGGTGATGATTCTATCTGATCCGATTCTGCAGGCAGAGTATCCTTTGTCCAAGATATATGAAGTCATAACGAAATTGAACAATGTGTCTACTCATCCAGATCTGAATATCACGCAGCATTTGTCATACGAGGACTCAACAATTGCCCGGGAGGCCGAATGGGCTGAATATTCGAGCGCCAAATTCCGTTTTCTTGGATGGTTAATACGGGTGGGTGGCCAGCGCGACCTCCATATAGTTCTGGGGGTTCAAGGCGAGGAAAAACGGAAAGTTCTTGAACGTTACTTGCTTGGCAAAGGATTTACCTATACCAAGCCGCGCGAAGAGCTGGGGGCTAGCTTGGAAGTTTCCCTAGTGAATGGATCTCTAAGCTTCGCTATCCATTCGCACGATAGTGTACTAGAGGCATTCAAACCACCGTCCGCCATTCTCGCTCTGGACACGGCATACAACCTCGAGAGTCCTTCGGTACAACATATTCGAACGACTTACACTCGGAATGGCGGCCTTCTCCCTGTCATCCGGCTTCTCGTCTCCAATGCATGCGAACACATTGAACGCTGTCTGCCTGACTTACCGGAGCCCGAACGCTTGCGTCTTCTCATGCAATACATTGATTTCTTCCATGACGAAGTCGGTGATCTCCAGGAAGATGCGCTCAATGTGTGCGAAGATGCCGAGGAAATTCTTGGATTTTTCTCAGACAGCTTTGCCAGCTGGCCTCTCCCAACCATTGAGCCTCTGCACTTTGCCTCTATTGACGACTTAGAGTCGTCAACTCCTTCCTCCGAGGAGCCAATACCGGGTACTCAGAAACGTTCACTGGTCGGTATACCCTTTTCTGCATTGAGTTCTTTTCTGATAAAGATATAGCACGATGAAGAAGAGGAAGCTGAAGATTACACCGTGAAACGTGCAAGGGTCGAAACCCAAGATACCAGCCAAATGACCCAATCAACCAAGCCACCCAGTCAAACTTTGGACCGTGATCTGCAATCTCTGGAGAAGAGCCTCCTCCAGATGAAAAGCATACATACGACGGAAAAGGAACAACTGCAGAAGGTACTATCACAGACCCAGGCTCGCTTGCGAGAATTCGAGACCGCCATGGGTATTTTGCAACATCGCTACGAAAGCCGAACCAAAGAACTGCATCTGACTCGCCAAGAACGTGATCGTCTAGCGGAAAGCAAGACGTCCCTGGAACAACGCGTTGAGAAACTGAGAGAGGAAGTTCTCAAGCTGAAAGAAGAACGCTCACAGCTGAAGGATACGCTCGAGCAAGCACGGCAGGAGCTCAAATCTGCGGGAGGTTCTCTAGCTGAACTAGAGACAGCTCGTGAAGAAATTCGCCGCCTGGCTAAGGAGAGTGCGAGTCTTGAACGCAAGGCAGAATACGAGAAGAATCAAGCAGAGTACACTCGAGAGCAGTACCAGACCGCGTCCACGGTGGCCGCACAGGCTGGGAATGAGCTTCGTCAGGTTCGGGATGAAAACGAGGCCTTGACTCGAAAGGTTCAGGGTAACGCCGTCCAGCTTCGGGAGATGAATATCAAGAATGACTCGATTCGCCACTTCGCACGGATCACCGAGCTGGAATTGATACTAGCATCTCGAGATGACCTGCTACGGAAGAAGGAAGATGAGCTGCGGGAGATCCGCAAGAACCGACCGTCGACTCGGTCGACAAGCACACAGCCCCGAAGTCCTAAGTGGGCTTCTGGTAGCCGTCCAACAAGCCCCGGTGTTGGCCACAATGGTAATGGTAATGGCCTTGCCGGCCGGGGCAGTGCCCTGCGGTTCAGCTCAGAGATGCCTTTCTAGTGATATGCCTTTTACGACGATCCTGCTTAAGCGAATTTGCATCTTACTGAGGAGTTCTAAGCGCCGTCGATCAATTACAACTAGCAATTCAGATTGCACAATTCTGTGCTTAATAACTTCATTACAGTTGTGTTGCTCTATCACGATCCAGGGAACGACCATATTCTTGTAAACTCTGCTGAAACAAGAGTGAAAAATGGGTTAGGAAGCAGGTAGGGTTGCGATGAGCTGTAAAAGCGACAGTAACGAAAAATCGACGCCACCCCCACTAGATACTATCCACAACTACTACGTTGATCTGATGCCTACTGCAACATCCCATCTATGACGTTTAGACAGCCAATTGGGGAACTGGCCATTGTAACTCAAAGCAAGCTCCCTACTAACAATGATCCTGGCAGTCAGTCATTCCTCGCAAAATTCCAACTTCTCCATGCTATTCATTATTTTGCGGTTTCCCCTCCGTTGTCCCATGTTGATTCCGATAGAGAGAGATATAACATTTTTCATAACAATCCGTGGCATTCAAATATTAAATAGATCCCATCAATGGGCTAGGTCGCGAAATCATGTATATGTTGTAATAATAAGACAAACGAGAATCAGATCCTGAAACACCATAAAAAAGATACAAAAATAGCAGTGGACGCAACCATATATCGTGATCCAGTGCGCAAGCAATCTCCAGCCGTAAAGAAAAGGGTATCGCGATGAATGCATTTCTTTAAGCAGAGTTCATCGCACCCGCGATGAATGCTGCTAGCTCCTTCGCCTTCTCGCCACGGGTCATGGTAAAGTGATTAGCTCCCTCCATGACGGTGATACCGCCGACATTCTTTGGACCAACGAGGGTATCCCATCCATTCGGGCCGAGATCAGTGCGGTTGTTTAACAACCAGAGCATTTCCCGGGGATCAGGGCTGCCATCCTCAGCGGGGGCAGGGCGTGGATCGTTCGGCTTGTTGCACACACCGTCCTTCGCCCAGACCATGAAGGTTTTCGGAATCTTGTCTGCGTGCTTGCTGTCATTAAAGGGGAAGGGTACAGCCTTGTATGCATCCAGGGAGTCGATAAAAGCCAGGAAGTGAGGGAGCAGCCACTTGGGAGGTGGAGCCTTGCCTTCGCCGAAGAGGCCAATTGAGTCGAAGAATCTGTACAGACGGCGAGGAAGCTTCTCCAAACCTATGGGGAAGGGAGAGTCTAAGAGAAGCAGGCGCTCAACCCGCTCACCCTCCTCGAAGATCAAGTAGCGGGCTGCGTCATAGGCACAGATACCGCCAGCGGACCAGCCACCAAAATTGTACGGGCCAGTGGGCTGGCGACGTTTGATCTCGGTCACATAAGGCATCGTGATCTCATCCAGGCTAAAGTTCAGGTTCTCGGGAGTGCGCATGTACGGACAGTTCAGCCCGTAGACGCAGACGTCAGGCGAAATACCGGGAATCGTAGCGTAGGAAGTGGCCGATCCAGATCCATCGGGAAACAAGAATAACTTTTGAGTGGCAGTCTTGGGGTTTCCTTGCAGAAGGATGGAGGTCGCGGCCGGATGCTGGATTGTTGTGAGAGCAGCAGCTTTTGGAACATCCACTTGGATTTTCTCAGGAAGTCTCATCGGCTCAGAAGCAACCGCCTTAGGCTTCAGATCGAGAGCAATCTCGACGTCGTCGATCGTTTGGTTCTCGATGAAGAACTCGCCAGACAGTTCAAGGTCCAATGTCTCACGAATCTTGCCCAACACGGTGAGTGACATGAGAGAATCCAGACCCATCTCACCGAGGTTAGCATCACCCTGGAGCTCCTCGGGTTCGACGCCAATCTCCTCAGCTAGGATCTCGCAAATTTGCTTCATGCTGTCATTCTGCTCCAGTGTCACAGACTTCTCATTGGCGGGCGTGGGAAGACCACTCGAGTTGGGGGTCGAGATATCAATCGAGGATGCTGCAGACGACATGTCCGGCTCGCTGCTGGATCCGTCATTGCTGTTATCGGCGGGGCTCATCTGCACCAGCAGCTGCTTGAAGTCCTTGATTGTGGGCTGGTCCACGAATACATTGGAGTCCAGGTCAAGACCCATCTCCTCACGGTAACGACCAGTGACAGTCAAGGAAAGCAGGGAGTCTACTCCATAATCTCCGAAGTTCAAGTCATCCGTCATATCAGACGATGAAAGACCAACTTCCTCGGCCAAGACTTCAAGGGCTTTCGTGATGATACTGGGTCCTGCAGACTTGGTCGAGGGTGCGGCAACGGGGGAAGCCTTCTTGGCCTGGGGAGTGCGTGACTTCTGGATAACAATAGGCGCAGGCTTAGGCTTAGCTGTAGCTGACTTGGCGATCGAGCCTCCACCAGGAGGAAGAGCAGTGTCAAGAATCTTCCGGGCCAGGCCTTGGAACTGTATCGGAGCTTTAGTATTTGCATCGAACCTAAACTCAAATGTTGATAACATACCTTCACGCCACCGAATACGGCAACAATATCATCCCCATCAAAGAGATAGACATCACCAGCATAGATCGAGTTTTGCCAGGGCTGCATACGGACGTAGGTGCGGTAGGTGACGCTCGGATCAAACTTCTTCGAGCAACGCATTGAGTCCCAGCCATGGTTAACATAGACCAGGTCTTTAGAATCAGTGGCATCACTGGCATTCATGGTAAAACCGGACAAGTGGCCAATGCTGTCAATCCAGAACGGGTTGCGATGGAAGTTACCCGGAGGAGCTTGGAACTTAACCAATGCGGTAGCCTCGTGCTGCTCACTGTCGAGAATGACTTCCTGGATGGACTTGTAGTTCTCATCATACTCGACAAGAGCACTGAAAAGCTTGTACACCATACCACGCTTCATGCGATGCGCCTGGCCAGACTCGCTGCTCTCCTTCAGGTGCTCAATGCTTCTCTTGATGAGATATGAGTTGCGTTTCCACTCAAGCTCGGCGACACTGGTATCGAAAAATCTGATGACGCAGCTTGCGTGGTCGATCATTTTCTTGCCCTCAGGAGTGACGGACCACACTTGCATTTTGGCGCTCTCATCGGCCCAGTTCGCAGTGGCCGAGACGCGGAACAGCTGCTTGCCACCTTTTGCGATGAGAGGCTTTGGAACCACCACCTCACAGACGTCATAGCCACGCTCCTTCCATTCAGGCTTGTATTTCTCGACAAGGAACTCTCCTAGCGTCTGAGCAATGTCGGCGTACAGGGACTGTGCTGATGTCAGCACGATTCGGGGCAATATGGGTTTAGATAATGAACACTTACTGAAGGACAGAGCGCAGCTCCATTAACCTTGTGGCCTTGAATTACACGGTTCAATTCCGGGTCCGCAATATCGTTCTCGATAACGATAGTTGCCGAGGTCTTGTCGCCGCTAGTCTCCAAAATCTTCTGGGCAGAGGAAGTCAAGAAGGATGAGACAGGAGCAGTCTCAACCACTGGCGCAGCAGGTGCACCTTTGAGCAGGCAGAAGTTGTTGGTATAAGGGATCCAATAGTTCTTGAGGTCCCACTTGTAGGCAGGCAGCGCAAGAACTTCGTGCAAGGCACTGAAGTCCTGGTGATACTCCTTCCAGCGGAGATCAATCCCAGCCAAGTAGAAAGCCGAAAGGCTGCTTGACAGCACCTTCCAGGTGTCCTCCTGGCGACGCAGAGATGTGACTGTTGTTGCTTGGGGACCGAAAGTCGACTTGACCATTCCAGAGCAGACTGGATGCGAGCCAATCTCAACCCAGAGAGTCTTATCATTCATCAGCTTCGCATGACGTGTGGCCTCCAGAGCAGCAAGAAAGTTGACAGTCTCTCGGCAGTGACGAGTCAAGTATCTGGGCCCAAGGACCTCGGGGTTGGCCTCCTTGAGAACATCACCCAGCAGGGCCGACACGAAGGGGATGGTCGGCTCGTGGAAACTGACACCCTTGGCAATTTCTGCAAGGTTCTCAAGTATAGGATCCACTTGAGCGGAATGGAAGGCGAAAGGAACCTTCAGTTTGGTAGCCTTGAAGCCTTCGTTGGCGAGTTTATCAGCAAGCTGGTCGATCATCTCAACCGCTCCGCTGATGACAGTCTCCCCGGGTGCGTTGATACAAGCCACCTCGGCAGTCTTCTCATCAAGGAACTGCTTCACTTGTGCGACCGATGACTTTACCGCTAGCATGGCGTGGGTTCCTACCTTGCATTGCTCAGTCAGCAACATGGCACGACGACCAGCAAGGTAGATGGTATCGCTGGTCGTAAGAATACCAGAAGCATTGAGTGCGGCATATTCGCCGAGGCTGTGACCCAGGACAAAGGTGGGATTCACTCCCAAAGAGATCCAGAACTTGGTGAGCGCCATCTGAACGCAAGTGGTTCCCAATTGAGTAACGACGGGACTCAGCTCCTCGATAGGAACACTTCCATCAATTAAAGGTACAATGGATGGGAACCCCTGGCTTTGGGCAATGCAATCCAGATGCTCAATGTTGGTTCGGAACTGGGAGCTGTTCTCAAAGAGTTCCTTGCCCATGCCAGTGTATTGAGCGCCTTGCCCGGTAAAGACAAAGCCAACGCCAGGTGCAGTTGAGGAGACCGGTGAGAAGCTGTCATGGCCTGCGCTCGAGTTCAAGGCAGTGCGGATCTCCTCCAAGGTAGAGCCTGTGGCAGTTACTCGGAACGGGTGGTGAATACGTCTTGCCGTGGTCGTGTAGGACAAGTTGGCAAGAAGATCGGACTCATTGACGTTGAATAAACTCTTGTTTTTGTCAATGTACTGTACAAGAGCCGCGATATTGTTCTTCAGGGCAGACTGCGATCGTGCCGAAACGGCGACCGGGTGCGCGGTCCGAGGGTCCTTGCCAGTGCGCTCACGCAGAGGAGCATCCTCCATCAGCAGCGCAGTGTTTCCGCCAGCGGCCGAGAAGTTGTTGATGAAAGTCTTGCGCTTGCCACCATCCGGACGATTCCAGGGAGTTGGTTTGAGAGCGATGTGGACATTGCGCTGCTGAAGATCGGTAGGGAAGTTGTGGTTGACCTTGGACTTGATGCCACAATGGGGCGGGATCATGTTCTTCTGCATCATCATCAACACCTTCAACAGAGCTGTAACGCCGGAGGCGGATTCTCCGTGCCCAATGTTTGCCTTGGCTGAACCAAGATGAAGGGACTGGCTTGGCCCACGGCGATAATCTGGAGCGAAAACATCCAGAACTGATTGCATTTCCACGGCATCACCAGCCTGGGTTCCGGTGCCGTGCATCTCAATGTAACTGACTTCCTTCGGATCATAATCGTTTTCGTTAAGCAGTTTGTTGAAGATGAAGGCTTGGGCGCCCACATGAGGCCGGGTGATGGAAACAGCTTCGGCAGAGTGGTTGGTATAAGCTCCAGAAATAACACCGTAAATCGGATCGTTGTCGGCCTGGGCGTCCTCGAGTCTCTTCAAAACAATAGAGCCAATACCATCCGCTCGGCAATACCCGTCGGCACCATCATCAAATGTGTTGCAGTTGCCGGTTCTCGAAAGGAAGTGTCCGCGGTCAAGGCCAGCGTGGTTGTCCGGGTTGGTTAGGATGTTGACGCCACCGGCGACAGCGGAGTCACAGTCATTCCTCCAAAGAGAGTTGCAAGCCACATGAATGGCTGCCAGACTGGAGGAGCAAGCGGTATCAACACTAACGCTTGGTCCGCTGAACTTGAAATAGTAGTTGATGCGACCAGGAGTGAAAGCACGGTTGCCACCAGGAATGAAATAGGTGTCGATATCCTGTCCACTATTGATTTCACGGTAATCGTCACTGGTCATGCCATAGAACACACCAACCCGGTTCTTCTGCGTGGACGGAGTGCTGTCTGGGATGAACCCAGCCATTTCGAAGGCTTCATAGGCAGTCAAAAGCGCAAGGCGCTGAGCGGGATCAGCCTGGAGTGCCTCACGGGGAGACATGTTGAAAAAGCGAGGGTCGAAAAGACCGGGTTCGTTGATCCAGCATCCATATTGAACCTTGCTAGTGTTGCGGGTATTTCCCTCCATATCAACATGAGCCTTGACATCCCATCGCTCAGCGGGAACTTCACGGTGAACATCGAGTCCTTTGTACAAGAGATCCCAGAAGGCCTCGGTATCCTGTGATTCAGGGAATCTTCCAGAAAGGCCGATGATGGCAATCTTGGACTGCTCGGCACGGCCACTGCTGTTGGTAGCTTCAGGGTCCTTCTTAACATCGCCGATGGAATTGTCAACCTCGAGAGAAATTCCGGCCTTCTTCAGCGAAGTGTACAGGCTTTGAGTTGCGGTGCTGGAGATTGGGAACAAGATGCACTTGGAGGCAGCTGACTTCAAGGCGGAGCTGCACGAGTCAATAACTTTGCCCCAGCAAAGTTGACGCAGGAGAATCTCCTCGAGCGACATTTTCAATAGAGTCTCGAGGCTCCCGGCATCGAAGGGCTTGCCAGTTTCACTTGATAACACGGGAACTTGGGTGGCATAACCCGCAAGCGTCTCCTTTGGCCACGACTCCATGATACGGCTGATGTCTCTGTCGTCATAAAGGTGCATGGCGTGGTATGGTCCGTGAATTGGCACTCTCACGGGCTTCAGATCCTTGGAGAGTACAGTTTCGATGAAGTGCTCCAAAAACCGGGGCGGGCCACTGATAGTCAGGCCATTAGGGCTCACTGCGCTGATATAAGGCTGTGAAACACGGGGCAAGGCCTTGAAAGAAGTGTCAGAATTCTGTCCTTGCTTTGATTATCTTTGATAGAATTCAGCTGTTTGCTCACATTTTCTCGCCCATACTCCTGAATTAGGTTCTGGCCTTCCTCCTCACGGATTCCAGAAATCAGGACAGACCAGCTTTGCGATGGTCCCTTTGCCTCCACAAGCTCGCGCACTTTGACAACACAAGCTCCCAGCCTGAGGGCCAAAACAACTGTCTCAACGCCTGCGGGGATAAGTTCTCCGACTGTTTTTGAACAGCTGACAGCCGCAGATGCCAGCTGACCGGTGCAGAGGCCAATTATACAGCTCTCAGATCCCAATGGATACTCATGTCCCAGATCTCCGTAGTAGCTGTTCAAAATTGAATTAGTCCTGCAGAATGGGCGATTTGATATACACGATATCTTACTGAATGAAGCATCCCAACTGATAGATTGTCGTCAATGCGCTTTCAATAGCTGGGTTTGGTCCGAACTCTCTGTATCTTGCCAGGAGATCAACAATGCTCGTGAAACGAGGAAACAGTTGTCGCTGCGACGGCGACAGCTGGCTGATTTCCTTGCGCAGGGCATGATAGCACTTCTGGAAGAAGGACACTAGCAGCGAGTCATTCTTGGCTTGCAACAGGCGGCGAAGGCCCGAGTCGAAATCCGCAGTCTGGTCTCCAAAGAGATACACGCGACTGGGGCTCTCCATATTCAAGCCCAATGCTAGCCAGGGGTGAAAAGTTCTACGGAGAGAAAGGAGAGAGAAAAGAGTTCAGTTCCTGCGTGAATGGTTGGGGACCATACTTTATACATACAACTATGGCAGTATTCTCCTTTGTGGGGCGATACTAGCCCGAAAGGCATCATCAGTCTATGGCACATGGAATTATTTTTCTAAGCCCCCTACTTTTTCCCTGTTTTCCTTGGAAACTAGAGTTATTGGGACAGCAAATACGAGTTTACAGAACTCATTCCACGGTATTCTTCTCCGTACATTTGACTTGGTAGCACTCCGGTCGACCGGGATATGAAGCCCACCTGATTCTGACCAATGGAACGGTTACTGTGGCCAGGCAGGTGTCAAAAGTAAGACCTGGAATTCTCTTTTATTCCACATAACCTGACTCGTAAAGATGTGGGGCGATGTAAATCGGGAGCCCGGTGGACTATAGTCTCTTGCTGCCCGCGTGCTGTTTGCGGATGAGACAACCACTGACTCGGCCGAAGGAATTGGATTGAGGCTTTTGGCTGGAATATCCATGACATATGACATGTTCTAGACCTGAAATTCCGGATTGAGGCAGAGAACAGATGGAATACTGTGAAGATAGTTGCAACGGCAGTGGGTTATCGCCGCTTTTAGAAGGTTGCACCCGCAACTTTCCATATATCACGTGCCGGTCTTGCCCTATGTACCTCACCTCCTGTACCTCCTGTACCTGTAGCGCGTCCAGAACATAATAATCTTAGAAGAAAATCAGGGGATTGACTTTGTTGAACTCACAATAATCTTCAGTGTGTATACAGGAAGTCCACATGGTACTTGATTTAATTTTGGCGCTTCTCTAGTATATACGACTTGTCAAGTGGTTTTCTTATCCGAAGTACTCATTTTCTCAGAATGCAACAAGACGCAGATCCACCAGGATACATGTAGATCACACACAAAAATCCAACTATTTATATATCCCCTTGAGGTATCACGCTAGGCTCGATACTACGTCATGACTTTATCGGGATGGTCAACCCCCGAAAGGACAATCCAGATCTCTTTCGCAGATCATATGCCGTGGAGACCGCGTGCTCAGTGTCGATCATGTTCTAGAAACCCGTACGATATTATGTTCTATGTATAGTCACGCAGATTGGAGCAGCTGAAGTGATCATTCAGAATCTCCAACAATCGGGCAGGGAGGTGTCGCAGGCTACCCAAAGTGTAAACTCATGCTACTCCACTATGTCTGCGACATACAAGGAACTCAACCTAGGCCTTGAGCTGGGAAAGTTAGGCTTAAATTTTAGACCAAGCACGGGGTAGTCCAAGGCTTAAACTTTTTCCCTTTTTCTGCGATCCATTATGGGTCGAGGAGATCGACACCGATCGTGGTGGGTCCCCGGCAACGGACCGACGTCGATGTGTCCACTACAAGCAGCCGGAAACAGAAGTGGCGCGAATGATCTAGGCCGCCAAAAAAAATCTACAAATTAGCGGTAGATAGGGCATCAAAACTAATAGGCGTCTCAGTATATTTTTGTTGGCCGGCGTAATACACAAGATCATAATTAAACTAATCAAACATCTGATGCCTCTTTACATATAACGGGACAGGTGTTGCTCAATCACACGCGGAAGTGGGTCATAGAATGGATGGTATGGCTCCGTGCACTGATCTGCCATAGACTTGATCGCCTCCACTCATCCTTAGGTTTGCGCAATTCCCAAGCGGTCTCGGGCTCAAAAGAGGGAGTGAGGGGGCGGGGTGATTGCTGTGAGCTAGGACGAACAGGTGTCGGAACCAGGGCTGGAATAGGCGTTTTGCCGGGGGTATAAGCAGGAGGTGGGGGTTTAGACGCAGTCTGTTCACCCTGCGCCCCGGTTTGTTCTTGACCACCTCCTTGACCATATCCACTAGCCTGTGCTTGCCCTGCTGCTCAGTCCCGTCAGGACTGGTCCTCACCTGGGGGGACCTGGGGCCACACATCAATACCATCAAGCAAAGCGACAGCCATACCGTTTGTGAGATGGGTCTGAATGTGACAGTGGAATAAAAATGGACCCGGGTTAACCACCTGGTACCGCACAATCATCCAGGTGGGCCCGTGGGGGCCATTAGTGACAAATGTGTCTCGCCTCTGAGGGTTGTCCATCTGGAACAGATCAGGACGCTCATTATATGCTTCTTCAGTGCTAGACCAGTTGAAAAAGCCGGGGCCAACTCCGAGAATGTAAGCCTTGTTGGAATGCTTGTGCATAACATGAGGCGGTTGGACGGGAGGGGTATCCGGCATCTCACCCAGCTGTAGAAGCAGGTCGACCCAAGTTCCGTTCTTGGTTTGGATGGTAACCTGCTGAGCCAGGTTGTCCTTGGCGTTCAAGTCGTAGAGAATTGGGTCATCCCAGTTGGCCATAACGTCATAGAGTGCATTCCCAGCAGTGGTCCAGGTGTAAGAGGATCCCCAGCGGCCAAGAGTGAGATTGACAAGCTGATCGGCATGTCTGGGAATCGTGACAGGTGGGTAGGGTTTCATGTCCCTCGGATCCAAAGGAACAACGGAGGCAGAGGTGCTCTGGCCGCCATAGTTAACATAAGGCATCGACGGCTGAGTGTTCGAGGAGCCCTTGTATCGCAGCGTGGCAAAGCCTGAGATGACCTGATCACCCTGAGTGGCCGGAACTCGGATGGTATAGTCATTCCACACCTTATCAAGCTTAACCATCGCAGCATAACGCTCACCACTGAAAATAGTGGCACTATCAGCAGGCAGGGGTTCGATATAGCTTCCATCAACTTCGTAAATATACATCTGGTGTTCGTCGATAGAGAACATCAGGGCTTTTAGAGCAGCGGCGCTGATGAACTTGAGCGCAACCCAACCATCGTTAGGATCAACCTCAATGATTTCGTGCAGACCAGTAGTAGGACTGCATCCGGCATTGAGACCTTCTGGGATGTTTTCAGGGTGTGTGGGTGGAAAGTCGCCCTGGGTGGCATAGGTGTTGGGCAGACAACTGAAAGGGATCGACAGATGTTAGCTAGTGTACAAAAAGGACCACCAGAAGTCAGGCGACACTTACCCCTTGTCAGTGAGCGGCTGGTTATCAATTGCAGTCTTGAGGTAAGGCTGTTCAACGCTGGAGATGTTTGCGGTTCCAGGGCAATATACGGCACCACGCCCATTAACAAGCACACTGTCCATACAGCTGAAGTTCCTGTTAACATATATCCACCTCTGGAATAAAAGTCCTACTCACAATATGTTGAGACGGCTATCCTCTTGCACCTGCTGGTATTCAGCCGCTGTCAAGTGGTCCCAATCGGACAGCATGATCAGCTGAGGATTCTTCTCCGCCTTCCGCATAGCTTCAATGTCATCATGGGTGTTTGAAATTAGGTGAAACGGATCTAGAGTCTCGGGAGACGGACTGTATTTATTAGCATTGGGGTTGTGGAGTTTGGTAGACCGAAGTAGCCTTACTTGATCCAAATGGGACCATATAGACCATCCATCATTTCAGAACGGGCATGAGCATGGTACCAGTAGGTTCCATACTGAGTAGCCTTCCACCGGTAAGTCCAACTGTGGCCCGGCTGGATCGGCTTTTGTGTCAGGCCAGGGACACCATCAGACCACGGCGTGTCACGCTGTTCAATGCCGTGGAAGTGAATCGAGGTGTCGAAGGGCATATTATTGTGGACGACGACCTAACTTTCATCAGTATTCTTGATCTGCGCTTTTCCTTCTTCACGGCAAGATAGTACCTCAACATCGTCACCCTCATCCAATCGCAATTCAGGTCCAGGAAATTGATCATTCATAAATATCATGTCGCGGACGTTGCCATCGGGGGCACCTTTTTGCCAAGTCACATCCAACTCAAATTGAACCAGCTTAGCCCATGCCAAGGGCATTAGGCCTGAGGTGGCCAACACCAGCAGTGTCTTCGAGAATGCCATTGAGATGACACCTTACTTGAACACGCTAAAAGTATATAAAAGATGAGTGATTGATGATGTCGCGCTTGAATGTTGTGGACAGCAAGAGAATGCTCTAGACTGGAGTGTTCGGCGGTTAACCATCAACCAAAAGCTCAATGGCCCTCGGGAGTGATGGTGTTTTAATAGTACAGGTGGACATTTTTCGAGGCATGCCAAACCATATGCTGCAAGCGCCACGGGGCCCCGATTAGGGTCTGGAACCATGTTTGCATATTTGACAAAACTAGGGAGGCCTACACGTTTGCCTTTGCAATCTTAGACTTATTTGCATGTTGAGGCGGAGATGTGTTGGTCCTCCTACTGAGGTATATTCATGGGGCTGGGGAGAATTGGCTGCAAATGAGCTTCCGTTTCCGTTCAGAAACTGAGAAGCCAGTCAAGTCGGGCCGAAAGGGCGATCCGGAGTCTGAACCGAGGCATGGTGGAGCATCACCCGTAAAGCCTCCATATTAGAATAGAAGACTGGACATTAACAACATGCAAGGAGGTCTCATCAATCACCTGCTCAAACATACTGTTTGCGCGTGGCTAGAACATTCTTTATCTGGAGTTGGAATGTAATTACTGCCTGATCCGGAAGGGAAGGTAAAATAAGCGACAAAACAACAAAATGCCTTCTCTTCATTAGTATTGTGGGGGATAATGCCTGAATAAGCTTACTTCATGGCCTTTCATGCTGTGCGTTGGTAAATCACAAAAGCTGGTGCTGGATCAATTTATTCTAGGATCTGGTCACATTTAATCATTGTATGAGCTTTGTTGAACCCCTGAGGGATACCTAGAAGCTTTTTTGAGCAATTAATATGTCGGCATATTCAAATCAAAAGTAGACAGCAAGATTGGTGCCAGATTATCAACTATCGCGGGCATATCAACTAATATCTACGAGAAACCTTGAACTGGACGGTTGTTTGAGATGTATATTTGTTCGAAGACCCTATCTCGAAGCACTTTTAGTACTTGGATAGGTACTGGGTAGGGTAGGTCAGAAAATGAGATAATGGTCAAAAAAATTCAGAGATGGTGAAACCGTCAACAACCCAATTGCCCACTTGAACGCCGAGGAGGGGTCATGTTTTCGGAATGGCCCCCAACAAGTGGGGAAGCGGGAGGTTGCCAGGGCTAAAGCTTTGGGTTGTGCCGCACACCAACCATGGGTCTGCCTCGGGAGGGGCTATAAACCCACTGAAGCCATAGAAACAACACTGAAAGAACAACCCAGACGGGTCGCAAGATGTAGTTCCCCTTCTAATCAGTCTATACAAGTAGAAGTAGACTTCAGTAATAATCGCAATCCTTCCTCGGTGCCCCGGAAACCGAAAGCATGACATAAGCGTATTAAGCTTATCGATAAGACAGCTCTCAGCCGCTAGTCCCGATTGGGCCACCACGTAAACAACCCGACTCGGGCCTCACCGTCTGAACGACTGAACCAGTTTGATCCCTTCTCCTCCCACTCTCTCCGTTCGCATTCGCATTCGACCCACCGTTCCCTCGGTGGCATTTTGTCATTGAACTCATATTCTTTCTCTTTACTCACAATGCATTTTGCTTGAGCTTTCGTTATCCCTGCGGCCGTGCGTACCTTGCAACCCCATCTGACACCCACCCTCGACTACCAACTCGGTGCCACCCCCCGACAAATCAACCATTGCCTATTACGAGTTACGAGCCGAGATCTTGCCTGTCCACAAAGCAGTTACTTTCGCGAGTCGCCGGAAGGAATACAAGCTATCCTCCAGTTTTACCTGCGCTTTGCGATCAACTGGATAAGGCTGAGTTGATCGCGATGGGACCCAATGCGCCCCAGCTGCCAGTGCGCTTTCCATGCTGGTGCCGAGCCGTCTATTCTTGGGGAGGAGAAACCACTCGAGATCTTGGATTTGTGGAGGGCGACTTAATCGAATGTCTGAATGCTGGGGACGGACAATGGTGGATGGGTCGGTTGCGCCGCGATAGGCGCGCCGTTGGACTTTTCCCTTCGAACTTCGTCGAACTCATGAGCGAAGACTTCGTCCCTATCAGCCGTGATACCAGTCCAATGGTGCTGGCAGGCTCTTCACCCATCAACAATCCAACGTCGGCCCCCAAGAAGACAAAGACCGTGTTTCGCAAACCTTTCCAGGCACACAAGGAAGCCCTGTCTCCAGCGTCAGAGCTGGCGAGGAGTGGATCAAACACTCCTGTAAAGATCTCCATCCCTCAAACACCGCCTCGAGATGGGAGCGCTCCCCGAAGTGTCAAGCCTCTGCGCACCCATGCATCTGCGGTCAAGAACCAAGGGTCCCTATCTCGTCCTTCCTCGGTGTCCTCTCGACCCTCGTCGCGCGGGGTTTCCATTTCCCCTCGTGCCTCAATGGAGCCCGAAAGATCTCCTTCTACCATGATGCCCCGCGGTAGCATCTCCTCTTTGCGCCTCTCCTCCCGCGAAGTTTCACCTGTGCCTCGCGAAGTCTCACCAATGCATCCTTCACCGATGAACCGCGCGGTTTCTCCGATGCATCATCGCGCAGTTTCGCCCATGCATCATCGTCCCATGAATCATCGCCCGGTTTCGCCCATGTACCATCGCGAAGTATCGCCAATGCAGCGCGAAGTATCTCCAATGCAATTTCAGGAGCGCGAAGAATCTCCTCCACCGCCATCCCCTCCGCCGCATCGAGTCGCGGTTGCTGCGTCGCCTTCACACTCTGCTCAGCCTCTTCCACACTCACATTCTCCTCAGCCGCCTCGCTCCCCACAGCCACCTATGCACCAGCAACACCACCTTTTGCGCTCTCCGCAGCCCCTCTTACATTCTCCGCACCCCTCGCGCTCCCCTACGCCTTTGAATATGAATGACCGCTATGTGATATTCACACGAACCCCGTCTCCCGGTGCACGCTCTACACATTCCGCTCACTCAGCTGTCTCAGCTCTATCAGATGCAAATGGGAATACGCCCTCCCCGTTGAGGGATGCGATGGAAGACGTTATGACCTCTTTAGAAGATATGGGCCTTCCTCGCCAACCTCCTTCTCCCTCTCCTCGACAAGCTCCCTCGCCTTCACCTCCCCCGCCAACGTTCAACAACCCGTGGTCAGCGGAAGATTATGATGATATGAATGATAGAACACCCCCTGCCACTCGCAGACGGCCTGTAACGTCACTCGGCTTCGATGGTCATAAGGAGCAACCCCGCGGGGTCCCCTTACACCGCAATAGCGTCTATTCGCATGATCACTATAACGATGGCCCTCCTCAGCTTAATAATTATGTGCAAAGGATGGAGAGTCGTTTGCGACAGTTGGAGGATCAAAATAGACCGCCTGAGGACGAGGGAGGTGACGGTCAGCCTCCTCCGCCGCCTCCCAAACATGCAACCTATCATCCTCGACATAATTCCATTGCGGGGCAGTATCCCCAGGTACGGTCTCGTCGATCTGGCCAAGACCTTCGGGGCGATATACTCAATCGATCGTTCACCAACAAGTCAAGCGCTACCAGCTCCAGTGGTGTGCAGAGTATTGGGACCAACATGACTAGCAGTACGGATAAGACGAGCCAGAGCTTGATGAGCGGTATTTCCGCTGGCGGTTTTAGTGCGACCAGTGCCGGTAGCTACGCTAGACGAAATGGCGCCTACGAGCGGCCGAACACAGCCATGGATACTGTCCGCTCTCGGGGTTTCAGTGACGCCGGGAACCTTGATAGGCCGGAGACCCCTCTCACTGGTATCTCCTACCACTCCAGCCACAACACGTCTCGCCAAGGGGCCTCGTCTGCTATTCCTTGGTCCGCTGCAGATGCCGATGCCGGAGACTCGGGTGGAGTGTTTGGTGGTCTTTCTACTCCCAAGACCAAAAAGCAAGGGTTCTTCAAGAAGATACTCGAGTCTGCCAAGACGGGGGCTGCAAGTGCGAGAAGCAGCATCTCCGTTGGCCATACTGGTGGTTCTCACTCTCCGACCAAGGGTAACAGAGTGGCCGACGTTGTGTCGCCCCTCCTCACTTCCAATTCCACTCGCGATACTGCTCGGGACATGGGTACGGGTGCTAGTGCCATTGATTGGGTGCAAGTCCGCCGAGATGTCAACCGGGCATCATCACCTAGTCGAAACGAGAGAATTGAAAGAGCAGAACGGTGCCAGATGATGGATCATCCAGTGATCTATGCTATTGAGGAACTATACGACACTGCTGAGGGTGATGAGGGTATCGATGGACTGCCGATCAGTGAGCCCACAAACTTCAATGCTGGAAATATGAGTCTTGTCGACAAGAGCGCGCGGTTTATTAATAGCATTCCGCCACTCACAAACCCAGTGGGCCTTGCCCAGGGCTACATCTGCCGACCGTACAAGAGCGATGTTCAGCGTCTTCGTGCCATTTTTACCTGGGTCAGCGAGAAGATTGCCTGGGAGGAGCCCGTCGATGGCTTGGAGGCTGACATGAAGCGAGTGCTGCAGGCCAAGCGTGGTAGCCCTCAAGAAATCGCTCTTTTGGTGAACGAAATGTGCGCCGCGGTTGGCCTCCATGCAGAGACTATTTGCGGCTTTCTCAAAGATCCTGGTGACTCTCTCGACTTGGACAGCCTTTCTCGTCCTAACCACTGGTGGAACGCGGTTCTGGTCGATGGGGAGTGGCGCATCATGGACTGTGCACTGGCAAACCCCACCAATCCCCAGCGAAGCCGATTCGTCACCAACAACATGTCAATAGCAGAGAGTTGGTACTTCCTTGCCCGGCCTCTGGACATATGCTATACCCATGTGCCTCTTTATCCCGAGGAGCAGCACATCTGCCCCCCGGTCTCCCCCGACGTACTATTAGCTCTTCCGGGGGTGTGTCCACAATACTTCAAGCTCGGGGCGCAGTTCCCAGACTACGACACGAGCTTAACGCGCGTCGAGGGCCTGGAGTGCGTGCAGATTCGTCTGTTGGTTCCTCCTGACGTGGAATGCGCTGCCGAGGTCGAGGCGCCAGCGTTCGCCTGCGATGCAGACGGGGACTTCTTCGAAAGCGGTGACACGGTGCGCAAGCGCGCTCTCGTCCAGCCAGACTGGTTCCGGGGGCAGAAGCGGATTACTATCAAGGCTGTCCTGCCAGGTGACGAAGGACAAGGTGTGTTGAAAGTCTATGCCGGCAAGAAAGGCCTCATGCACACCAGTCGCGATATCCCGCATCCAATGGCTCTGGCTCTTCCGATAATGCATACTGGGGAAAACCCGCCATACGACTTTGTCCTTCGTCACCCCACGCCACACGCCCAACGCCATGATTTATACATCATGCAGCCGCAGTGCTCCCGTCTGGCGGTCAACAACACCTTTGTCTTCGCCGTCCGACAGCATCCCGCTGCGCCGCAACCCCCGCCCAAGGATGACTATGCGGGTAACGGGCGTGCCTCCCCATCGGTGTTCACCCGTCCAGCCAGCGCGCTCAGTATGGTGTCCAGCACCGCGGGTGCATCGACTATCTCGAGCAACTCGAACGAGTTCTCTGCCTCGACGTCTGCTATCTCATCAACCAGGTCTGCGTCTGGGCGAGATAAGCCCGCGAAGCTCGCTATCCAGGCCCCGTCTGGCAAGATACTCCGTCTGACTCGGAAGGCAGACCATATGGTTCCCTCGCCCGATCCCAATGGCTGCTCCGTCACCGATGCCCCTGCTGAGGGGAGCGTTTGGGAGACGGTCATTAAGATTGGCGAGCGGGGCACCTGGCGCGGTCTAGTCCTGGCCGATCGTGTGGCGCGGTGGTGTGTTTTTTGCGAATGGGAATGTGTTTGATATATCATGGCCTGGAGTTAACTTTTGAGCATTTGCAAATGTGGTAGATTTCTGTGGTTACGCTATCTGTGTTTATCTTCGATTTGCGCTTTGCATAATTTTGCGTTTTCTCCCTGGGTTCTTGGTTTGCAGCCGCAATGCAAGCTGTGTTTTATTGGTTGTGGTTTCCGTTCCATACTGCGGCATTCGCATCAGGGCTGGCTTGGAGCATCGCATATATTGCATTCCCGTGTTTTTTTCTTTCCACAGACATATTTGCTCCTGAGGTTGGTGTATGAGTTTCGGAATAATTGGAGTCTCTCGAGAAATGCATGTGGCATTCAAGTTCATATATCCTCATGGCTCGGGAGTTTTCGTCCATTCATTTCTTTCGTAGTAGAGTCGTTCTACACTATAGTTTTGCGACTGCATCCCGTAACATGGGTGCCACTAGTTTCCGGCTTGCGGTGGCATTCGTCTGCACCCACAGGTGCCTCCAGGCCCCGTTGTCTCCATTCAGCGTAGATCGAACATCGGCATCAACCAGGTCAACACACTCCCCATCCAGGGGCGTCCACTCCATGAGGCCAAGTGAGGTCGAATCCGTGATGAACTTCTTGATGCCGTCCACTGCACTGCCGCTGTCATGCGATGCGCAGATGAAGAGTTCTCGAGCATGCTCATTCTCGGCCGAGGTAAAAGATGTCATTACAACCACCACATCCAGCTCTTTATCTTCCGTGGCCGCGAATTTGCGGACGACTTCCAAGAACTGCTGAGGCCCGCCAGCCTTCTGGATGATCCAGCGAATGGGCTTGACGGACGAGCAAAACCCGAGCTTGACAGTTTGTGCCGTGGACTGGGTTGTCTCAGTCCAGTCCTTGTAATCACGGTCCAGGATCTCTTCCGGGTTCAGCAGATCCAGACTGTTGTTCTTCGCATCGTGGATCTGCTCGTAGAATGCCTCCATATCCCATGTGGAATTTGCCGTCGCCGCCGCCACCGCCGCCACCGACTGGCGCAGGAAGTGCACAGACTGGACATCGACGTCCTTCACCTTTCCTTCGGCAGTCAGGTTTGACGTGTCGATGAGGATGGGGGCCAGAGTGAGCTTGGCGACCTGCGCGATCTCCGCGGCCGCTTCTGGGCTGGTGGACCAGAAACCGCGTTTCCAGAGCTCGTGGGTGACCAGGGATGAGCATGAGCCCGGGCCAGGCTGGATGATGAACGGCTGGCTGGGTGGGAGGTCATTCGGCCGGGGGACGAAGTGCTCGTCGACGTGGTGGTCGATACACCCCACCGTGCGGAAGGTCACCTCCTCCAGCCCGCTCACCGACCCGTAGCCTCGTTTCCCTTCCACGCGTTCCTGCATCGCATTCCAATCGACCATCACCGCATCGGCAAGCAGTTTCTTGTTCGTGGATGACTCCCTCAGGCTCTGCGCATAGTCCGCCACGGTCACGAGATGCTCGCCGAGCAGCTTCCCCGCGGACTCGGACATGTTATCGAAGCGCTCGTCGGGCCGCAGGGGAGGGGCATTTGTGGACAACCACAGCGCAGTGACGAATTCTGGCCGCAGCCGGCAGAGATCGGGGCCGGCGCGCACATTGGGGAGATTGAGGAGAGGCACGTGGGGTCGCGGGGTGGTGGTTGGGAGGCGGTTGTTGGCCCAGTAGGAGTACACAATCGCGGCGACGATCGAGTCCAGGTCGGCGGAGGGATTGCCCAGCACGTAGATGGGCGGCTCGGGCAAGGCCCCCGCAAGGTACTGGAGATGCACCTGGCGAGCTTGTCGGAGGAATTGGAGCAGCGACATGGTGGTCGAGGAGAAGACGGCGCGTGTTTTTCCACGGCAGATGTTGGCCTGAGGACACTGGCCAATGAGAAAAGCCACGGGCGTTGCAAGCTCGACGTATATTAGTGAAAATAGAAGTATAATCCGGTTTTGATAGGGTGAGCGGAAACTGTCAGAGGGACGCGTATCCTACCTCTCAAAGGCTCCTGAGAGATCTGGGGCCCGAAAAGAAGAAGCAATCGTTATCATCTTCACAGCTTTGCTATATACTTCGACGGTGTTGTATACGAATCGTTTGTACTACCAACACGATATTAACCCCACGTCAGCGCTTTCGAAATATGCTAGATAGCCCTAACGATCGTCTTCAAGCATTTATACTCGATACCTAAACCCTCTACCCTCTACCGCCAATGGAGTTACCTACTCGCGGATGCGACTAAGTAAAGGATCGCCGTCCGACAGACCCCACGCTGCTCCTCCCCATCCGGCATTCTCACGCCGGGAGAGCTCATAAGGCATGACTTCTCCACCCCCAACCAACATTGACATACAACACACGCAACCATGACGGGCAGGATGTCCATCCCACTCCCGGAAATCTTCGCCCAGATCCCCCGCCACCCCATCCTCTACCCTCACCCCTCCCCCATCCATCCCCTCCCCACCTTCTCATCCCCCCAGAATCACCCCGCAACCCTACCCCGGATCTCCGTCTTCGCCAAGCGCGAAGACCACGGCGCACCACTTGCCTGTGCAGGGAACAAATACCGCAAGCTGGAGTACATCGTCCCGGACATCCTCTCGCCAACGCCAACCCACCACTACCATGAATTCCACCCAACAGCCCAGAAACTCGACGGCCCGGCCACCGTGCTCGTCACCGAGGGCGCCATGCAGAGCAACCACACGGTGCAAGTAGCCGCGCTCGCCCGGAAGCTAGGCCTGAAAGCTCTCGTCCTGCTCAATCAAGACGCCGGCGGTGGCCACAGGGCCAGCACGGAAAAGTCCTACTTCCGACGGCTGGGCAACGTGCAGATAACCGAACTTCTGGGCGTGGAGATTCGCCGATACGACAAGCACCGCGCAGAGACCTGCGATGCATCCCCGGTCCTCGCAGGACTGAGACAATGCGGCGAGCGCCCGTACTGGATCCCCGGCGGCGCGAGTCTCCATCCACTCGGCGGCCTCGGGTATGCACGGGCGGCTTGGGAGATTGCGTCGCAGGAGGCAAAAGGACCACCACTCGGCGGGTCCGGCCGATTCGACTACATCTTCGTCGCATGCGGGAGCGGGAGTACCGTCGGCGGACTGATAGCCGGCTTCAAACTACAGGAGAAGCTGCGCGGGGAATCGGCGGTGGCGCCGCGCAACGTCATTGGCGTTCTGAACTCGCCTACGAAGCCGCGGCCCCATCATGAGGAGCGAGTGCTCAGATTTGCGCGCCGGGCGGGAGAGCTCATTGGTCTGGATGCGGAGCGGGATATCACCATGGACGATGTGCAACTTGATGATCGGTTTGTCGGGGAAGCCTACGGAGTTGTCGACCCGGAGGTCAACAGGTTGCTATCCGCGATGGCGGAGTCGGAAGGTGTCATTTTGGACCCGGTGTACACAGCCAAGGTTGCCAGGGGGATGATGCACTGGGTGATGAGCGACGAGATGACACAGTATTCCCAGAAGTACACCCTGGACGAGGTGAATGTGCTGTTCATTCATACGGGTGGGCAAGCTGCGCTGTCGGCGTACTGGGACTGGGTCCCCCGTTGAAGAGGGACCAGAAGAGAGACCAGAAGAAAACGGGTCGCTGGTTTGACAAGGACTGCATTCAACTAGAATTACACATAGTCGATGACTGGCAACAGCAAGCTGGACCTGAACGCATCGAAATCAAATCCAGACTGCCTCCTCAGTCATGACAAATCAAAACATGGCCTGAAACTGGCATAGAAAATGGAACCTAGAAAACAGGAACAAAGAATCGAAGAGATGGAGATAAGGGGGTAGAAAAGGTAAGTTAAACAGAGTACCCTCGAGTAAAGTAAAGCGCTGGACAAGAAAATCAAAACGAAACCCACAGACATTCGCCGGGTCCTGGCACCGAACCCCTTGTAGTTAATACACCCTTGGCAAGTGTAATCACGCCGCATTTGAGAGGAGAATGAAACAGAATCACTCGGGCAAGTAGAAAGAACATCAAGAAAAGATGAATTCGAGCAGGTCGGAGACACCGGGAGAAATACTGAGAAAAGAAAATCATTCGAGGATAGGCAATACAAAGAGGGAATTAAAGCTCCGAGTCGGGGTGCTCGGTCGTCTCCGCAGCGGGGGCGCTGGTCGCCTGTACTTCGCCGCTTTGAGCCGTATCATCATTTGGGGATGGCGCCCGGCTGCTGCCATTGCTGGCATTGAGGACTTCAAGAGCCTCAATGGCGTGAAGGTTCTCTATGGGCTCGGATTCGGGCTCGACATCTTCTTGGTTCGTGAGATCCGCAAAGACGTCATCCAAGTTTTGGCGAGGGCTGCTGCTCGCGAACTGAGAGTCACGACCGTAGCGAGGAGGGCTAAAGAGAGAAGGTTCCAGGCTCGGGGGAGGCGTGGGTGATCGGGGGAGGAACGAGGGAGAATCAGAGGCAGCAGCAGCAGGCAAGAATGCGGAAGAGGAGGTCGGCGCAAAGGCGGGAGTGGAGACGCTTGCAGGCAGAGAGTAGTTGGCAGAGAAAGGATACGACGCCGCATTGGAATCCGCCATCGGAGTCAATGCTGGCCCCGTTGCTGGGGGTGCGTTGCTGGAAGGTGACGGCGCTGGCTGCAGAGATGTGGTCCGGGTCGCCTGGGCATCGACCGACTTCCGCTTACCCGTGCTTATGTGCTTTAGGCGGAGGTGCTCTGGGAGATCCTCGGGACGCTCAACGCCGAGCTGGGCCATTATTTTCTGCTGCTTGGTCGGCCGTGGCTTGCGCGTTGACAGAGACTGCTCGAGAATAGGTGGTGGCTCCGGTGCAACAGGCGCCCATTTGTGAATCTCCTGTCGGAAGAAGTTCGTCTCGTAAGCCAGAAGCACCTCGGCACCTTCAATCTTTCGCAGATAGAAGATCAAGGTTGGCACTTCCTCCGTGGTTGTGCAAGCAGCATTGGTAAATCCATGCAGGAAATCACGGAATGCAGTGGCTTGGTTGATAATACTTTCCAAGACATCTTCCTCGTCAGGCTGGAACGGCAGACTTGCCATCTCTGCCTGCCAATCCAGCAGGTCTTCCAGCTTAGGACGAGCGGCATCGCGAGGAATTTTCTGTCGCCAGTCGCAGATGGGGCAAGTATACTTGTCAAACTCCTTCACTTTACCGCGGGCAATCTTCAAGCATTTGCCGTGGTACCATTCGTGACAGACCTCGCATTCAATCATCATTCCAGCTTCTGAATGACGGCAAATGCAAAAGACATCACGCTTCCGCGACTTCGGTCCCCACATGTTGGGAGCAGGGTTCTCCAGCAACCCATCCGGGGTGTTATCCCGTGACGACGGTTCAACAGGGGGTCGATAGCTATCCTCTAGATCGAAGCAGTAGGAGTTTCGCTTCTCCACGTACTCCATATGAGACTTCAAGATATGCAGAGGAGCATTGGCCTTGCCAAAAAGTTTCTTGCCCTTCCTCATCCAATCCTCGTGACGTTTCTGCTCACGCTCCAGGTCAATCGCACCAATCGGGCGACTGTTGAGCTGCTCCAGAGACTCAGTGAGCTCACGGACGTCCTTGTACTTTGGGCGGTTCCCTAATTCAGGGTCTTTGCTCTTCTCATACAGAGTCTGGATCCGCTTCTGTGCCTCCCGTTGCTTGGTCAAGATAGCGTCCACAGCAGCAAGGGTGTCGGGGGATACTGGGAAACGAGATGCCTGCGCGGAGAGGGCCTCCAATTGTTGGTAGTGAACGGCCTCGACACCCATCAGTTCCTTAGCCTTAGCTTCCCAGGCCTCGCCATGGCGGCTAAGTTCCTTGAAATGAAGCAAGTGCTCGTTACTGTCGCCAAGGCCAAGTTGCTCTCCGGAGGAAACCAGCCCCTGGCAGTCTTTGAGGGTGAGATATTGCTCCCGTCTGCGGGAAGCCTCTTCGGTCCACTTCATTTGTTGATGAATTTTCTCTAGATGTTCCACCTCCGGGATTTCGACATTGAAGTTTCGGCCAGTCTCAACGAGCTCCTCAATATCCTGGGTCGATTGTGCATGCGGGTTCATCAGGGCAACGTTAAGGTCCTGGCGGAATTTCTCGATTTCGCGGGTTTTCTCTTCCAGGGCCGCCATCTGTGGACAGTCGAAGGAAAGTTTATCAGCCTCTGCCAGAAGGGCGTAGATGTTCTCCACTTTGCGGACTTCTCGGTCGCGATCGTCCAGCTGCGCCGCCTTGGAGCCGGGTTTGCGCCATGCCTTCTCGTTTTTTCTCCGGTTCTGCTGCTTCCGGGTGATGTAGTTGTTTGCTTCCTCAACCCATTTATCGCAACGCTGGACGAACGCCGCAAGATCTTGGAGGCCAGGCAGGTGGTATGGGATCTTCTCACCTTCACTGAGCAAATTGTGGAGAGCCTTAAGCTGGGGCTTGGGCTCGTCCTCCAAGGCCTTGTCGAGCTTCTCTCCCCAAATTTCCGGGATTCTGGCTCGGTCCTGGACCTTTTGCACTGCCGACTTAAGTTCGTCGTCACTCATGCGGTAGCGCAGGGTATGGCCAGACCCGAGTAGCTTCTGCGAAGGGGATTCACCACAACAGTCGTAGATCTCTGCATGTAGTAGACAGAGTGTCTTGCCTGACTTGTGGCAACGGAACTGAGTGAGGTAAGTGTAGGCCTTGCAGTGCTGACATTGGTAATCCTCCTCCGGAACGTCTTCCTCCTCCACTACAAACTTAAGCTGACAATCACCTGTTGGGGGTTTGGCATTGAGACCGCAGTTATGAGGTGCTATGTCTCTGTGGCGAGCTAGGAACGATGCTCGATCAGCCAGTTCCCTATTGCAGGTTCGCTCAAGCGCGGGGGCTAGCCATTTCGCGGTTGTGATTGAATTATCTCGCGCTGCCGCGGTGAAAAGCAGTTCATCATGAGAGAAGCAAGGGTGTCGGCGGAAGGTTTGAAGACGTTCAACTCCCATGGCGCCCCAAGGCTCCCAGTCAGCAGGTGCAAAGTTCACAGCCTCGTTGAAATTGAATCCGTGATTGAACCCGGCGTGGTATGCCTGAGGGAAGGTGAGAACAAACTGACCAGCTCTCTGGTCGACTGCATAGACGTGGACACCAGCCTTGCGCAGCTTGTCAGGGGGCATCAATGTCACAAGTTGGAAGAGAAGATCGGGCTGACCCTCGAACAACTCCGGGACTGCCTCCCGCATGGCGTTCTCGAAGGCCTCGGCGTCAGCGCCAGGAATTCCATACCAGGTCTTGGTAGCACCGAAGTGTTGATAATTCGCCGAATACGCATAATGATCTTCATTGTGCCAGCAGAAAGTTGAGAAGCACATTCCAACATAGACCCAAGGCACAGTCATGCCAGAAATATCAGACTTGATGTGGCGGAAGAGCGAATCGCCGTAGAATGGAAGGACATTCAAGTTCCATGGATCAGACGAATATGGACTGAGGGGGTTGCGCTCAATGGTTGGGAAGCCACTGCCATGGGTAGTTGAGTGAATGTCCGCGCCGTATTCGACTTCAACCGTCTCGTGTAGATCCACCACCAACTTCCAGAATTCAGCCTCAACGTCGTCCTCAGTCTCCCGTCGGTGGGTGTTGAGGACCGGATCAAATGGCATCTTTGAGGCGAAGTACCGCTTCTTGAACTCATTGGCCTTCTCTTGGAACTGCTTTAGCGAGTAGACACCGCCATCCTCAAAACCGAACTCCCCGGTACCAACCAGGCATTTCGGGCAATGCCAGTCATGGTCGGAGGGCGATGTGGTAGAAGGGTCAAGGCAAACGGTGTGATAGCCGAGCTCACAGCTGTCGCAAACCAGAATCGCTGAGTGATCGTCCGACTTTCCACAAGACTGGCATTTCTAGGGAAATCAGTATTTCTGTTGTTGCGCAAGTCCACCAGCAGAGACTCAAACTTACATCTCCGGTTCGTTGCACACCATTGCGGGCCTTGGGTAGTGCTGGGCGGAGGAGGGACATGTGTGAACCTGCCACGGTTGGAGGCATATCTATCAACACTGAAATTAGAGGGATTCATTGAGCATAATCAGTTGCAAATGATACCTTTCTTGAGGCGCTTGCTGCGTCGGCCACTTCCCCCATCATCCCCATTTTCCGCCTGCGAACCACTCTCTTCAGGACTAATGGCACGCTTCACAGGTTGTCCGGCTTGGCCGTTTGGCACGGGCGTAAAGTGAGAGGGATGTTCGGAAACGCTTCTGGGTGTTGATGTGCCGTTCTCGCCTTCATGCTTGATGGACGGACCGTTGTTAACTGGAGTAAAGGCCGGAGAGTGATTCACGGCAGTGAAACCACCTGCGCCAACATTTACAGGAGTAAAGCCGGAGGGGGTCAGGCGAAGGGGGGGGGGTGGGCTCCACGGACGGGGTGGGCTTATCAATGGGCTTTTCCATGGGGGTACTCATGGCAGGTACCATGCGCATGGTAGGGGTATCATCGCGGGTCCTTGACGGGGTTCCGTTCTCTTCGAATCCTGATTTCTTGGTCATGGGCGACTGACGTGGAGACGGGGTGTAAGGGCCACCGTGTTCCAGCTCGAGCTGCTGCTGAACACCAGGCTTGGCGCGGGCAAGATATTCTTCGTACGGCTGCAAGTAGCGCTGGTAGGAGTTCTTGAGCGATGTGGACAGAGAGGACATGATCTTTCCGCTGTAGCCGAGATCGCGACCAATTTCGGCCCATTTCTTGGTTTTACAGACTGATTCAAACCCGCCTCGGACCTCTACCGCCTTTTTGAGCTTGTAGAGGTCCAAGGGGCGTTTGTCAACACTCGGTAATCGACTGTAGTTCGTCCCGTGCTGCTTGTGAAACATGGCAAGCCCGTCGATATAGTTCATGTTGGCGCGGTTTCCTGAATTAGAGTCCAGGTTAGAACCGCGCTGCGGAGTGACTCCACCGGCAGCAACATTGGCTGAACGTGGGGCCATACCTCCTTCGACCGAGTTGAGTTCCTGTCGACGGGTTTTGAAGTGGAATCGCTGTACAAAGACATCCCAAAGGTTAGCAACAAAAAACGAAGAAGAAAAGAAAAGAACGACGACAGGGGCAGGGTAGAAGAGGCGGCAAGGCCAGTTGCACCAGACTCGCCCCCGGCCAACCCTCGAAGCAGGATTTGCGACACGGGCACCGGAGACCTACCTCGGTATCAATCGCGAAAGAAGGCTGCCAGTTCTCCGGAGGAATCACTCTACAAATTCCATATTTCTTGCCTTCCGGCGCAATCTTCCGCATGTACGCCACGGGATCCTTGAATTCCTCTTCTGTTGGACGAAAAGTTGGGGCCTCGGGCAAGCCATGAGGGCGGATGCGCTTGGACGGCTCGCGGGGAGCATTGGGTTGGCCGCGGCGCTCGACGGTCGACAGGTCTAAGGGCGCTGATCGACGGGCGCTCAAGGGCACATTATGGGAATGCGACGGGTGGATGCTGGACGAGCGGGTGGGCTGATGGCCCATGGAAGAATGACCAGCCATGGTGTTGGGTACGGTCGAGGCCGGAGCCACCATCTCTGAGAGTTGTCGAATTCCTGGCAGACGGTGGGGTTGGGAAAGCGGCCTGCGCGTGGCTGATCGAGTACCGAGGGAAGAAGTCACTTGTGGCGCGACGGGCGCATTGGAAGGGTATGAAGGGTGGACGATGGAATCGGAGAGCAAGGGCGGGATGGAGGTCCTGCGATATCCGAAAGAAAAAGAATTCCTATTCCCTGAGTTGCAAGTGAGTCCTCCAGGAAGGGAAGGGATGAAAGGAGGGAGAGATTAGAAGGAAGCAAGCGAGAAAAGGCCGATGGAGGTTTTGGGGGGAGGGGGGGGGGGAGGAAAGGCGCAGAGGAAAGAAGGATGGATTTGATAGTGGAGGAATGGGATTATGTGCAGCACGGCAGTACAGTCCGCAGGTCCAACTGGTGGAAGGTAGTGTGGAGGTCACTCGGCCGTGTTGGGCCCGGCCAAAAGGAACCTGCTAGTGACTTGGGGCCTTAGGACTCCGCTCCACTGGGTAAACTGGGGGTGACTTGCCCGAGTTAACTAGTTACAGTAGTCGACCTCAAGTCGGGATCCCTTGACCGCGGTAGCGAACGGTATGGTACGGTCATGTATAGTAATATATGGTATCAATGGGCAGGTCCATGCGGCTAGACCCTTGTGGGAACCTGAAAATTAGGGGAAACTCGGGGGTCTTCGGGTCCCCGTGCCTGGCGGAGACCGCGGGAGATGTAATCTCGGTAATATCGGTCCTGTACTGAATGCGGTAATTATACCGTCACCCATCGTCGACGCAAACGGGGCCTTATCGTATAAGCCTCCTCTGCTTTTCGAGTCTGATTACTTTGTCCTGGGCCCAAGCGTGTGTTTTTTTGTCTGAGGATTACGGCGGCTCCCTCTCTACCTTACCTTGTGACACATCAACTCTCTACGGTAGCTGAATTCATATTGGGAATTCATCCTGGGCCCAAAGTTAAAACAAAGTACAGTAATACATATGCTGTAAGATATCCAAGTAATGAACTCTTCTCGGTTTGGGCGTTGGCGCGTTGGTCGGCGGTGGTCAGAATATAAGGATACGTGAGCATAATAAATAAGACGATTTGCTTCGATGCCACACTACTGCCTTTTGACTTTCCATGTCGGTGACTTCCGCAATTGAGATTCCCGCCCGGAATGACGGTGACCGTGGCCATCCGCTAGGCCCAATCCTCGGCAGATCTTGTCGATCTAGTTTGATGCGACGTCGACGCTATCCGCCGCCGAGTCTAGTCCTTCCTTCGCTCCAAAAAGGGGTTAGAGGTCGCTTAAGAATCACAAGGGAATTCCCATGGTGCTAAGCATCATGCATCGCAAGCAGTACCTATAGTGGATTCATATTCGTGAGCCATTTCATTCTGATTTGTCTTGCCAGTCCTCTACAGTAATGTACGGACCCAACGCGTCATGTGATCGCATTGTTTACCGGAGGGCCCATGTGACAGTCTCCGTCCCCGATGACTTCGTACCGAGTACAATAACATGTACCGAGTAATGAAAAAAAATCCCCCAACCACCAAGTTAAAAAGAGGACGAATTGGAAAGCCCGCTTCTTACCTGCCCAAACTATGGACGTGCAGGAGGAACCCAAGCCCATCCCCGCCTACTACTGCTGCTATCTGCTGCGTTCCACCGTTAGGCACGCCTCGCTCTATATCGGCTCGACGCCAAACCCGATCAGACGACTGCCCCAGCACAATGGAGACGCCAAAGGTGGGGCCAAGCGGACTTCGCGCGACAAATTGCGGCCATGGGAAATCGCGCTGGTTGTCGAGGGGTTCATGAGTCGTGTTGGGGCGCTGCAGTTCGAGTAAGTTGGTGCAGTGGACTGCGGCGGGCCATTGTCTATCCTCCGTACTCATGTGTGTATAGATGGGCCTGGCAGCACCCGGAAAAGTCACGGCATTTGCTAGGAGACGAGAGAGAGTTGGGGTCTCAATCCAAAGCCATTATCAATCCGAAGACGGAGAAGGCGAAGCCGCGAGCCTCGCGATCAAGGAGGTCTTTGACGGCGCACTTGGAAGATCTGCACTCGCTGATTCGCTCAACCTATTTTGCTAGCTGGCCCCTGCGCATACGCTTCTTCCGCGCGGATGTTTATCGTGTCTGGAGGATCTGGAATGAACGTGTCAACTTGCCTCTCCCTGAGACGAAAACCATCCTCGACGGGGACTGTCCAGGGCAAGGCAGCAAAGAGGCGGCAGTCGGTAGCATCAACGGTCTACCAGTAGACTATTCCAAGCTTAAAGATTATTTGGAGAAGTCGATCTTCCTCCTGGAGGACGCGGAAGACCTACGATGCCAAGTATGCAGGGCTTCGGTCGTCCCCAATACTGAACAAATTGTGGTGTGTCCAGAAACGCATTGCCGCGGTACAAACCATATTCTATGCCTCTCGAAGAGATTCCTCGAGGTTGCGGGGGATCTATATAACCTTGTACCGACGAGTGGAGCCTGTCCAACCTGCGAAAAGGCCGTCTCCTGGCCGGTAATGATGCAGGAGTTGAGCCTTCGCAATCGAGCCGAGAAGGACGTCCGCAAAATTCTTCGGAGGAAGGAGAAGCGCCATGGCAAAGAACTTGCAAAGGTATCCTCAAGCAAGGAGCAAGCCGCCGCTGTACGAGAAGCTTCTGCTGAGCCGCCCCAGCACTCCCAAGATCCAGGGTACACATTGCCCTTTAACGACTCCCTCCTGAATGACAGCTGGTACGAGGAAGTCGACATAGAGTCAGACTCGGAGTATGGCACACAACAAAATCGATCGCCTCCACCACCCTCCAGACTAGAGATCGTCGTCGAAGACAGCGAGTGGGACGACGCTGAAATCATTGAATGATATGCAAATGCGCCAGCACCGCACTGGTATATTAAGATTAATCTATCCATCCGGACCACTTAGTTGGCAAGCGGGCCCAACGTCCTGAGTGACCCAGCAGCATCCAACCGCGCAACACAGCCCGACACAGCAGCCTGAATATCGCGCGAGACCTCTTCGAGCGCTCTCCCAGCATCAACTACAGCAACATCCTTCTGTCGCTCAAACAGCGCGCGGAACAATTCCCGCACGCGGGCCTGCATACCCTCATTCTCGTACCGCTCCGCGCCGAACCCGCCGCGCTTCGCAGCCTCTTCCGCGGAGATATTGAGGAACAGGCAGAGATCGGGCTGCGGCAGCCCGATCTCCGGCTGCCAGGCCCACTCCAGCGAGAGCGTGGGGTTGCCTTTCGCGGCCGAGTACACGGCGCCAGAGTATGAGTAGCGGTCAACGATAACGGTGATGCCGGCGGCAATGTCTTCTTCGATGCTTTTGGCGATCTCCCAACGGTTCGCGGAGAAGAGAAGGTGGATAGAGTGGTCGTCTTGGTTGGCGGAGCCGAGGAGATAGCTATTTATGAGCTTCCCGATGGGCGTGGTCCTGTCTGGGACCGGGATTTAGAATCATGCGATAGTAAGTGGAAAACGCGAGTTATAGTACCTGGAAACCGAATATATTTCACGTCGTGGCCTTGCTCAGCGAGGTAGTTTCGTAGCATTTCGCATTGGCTCGACTTGCCAGCGCGGTCGAGGCCCTCCACGACGATGAGCGCTCCGCGTCGCGTGGACGTGGGTAGCGACGGGGCAGTCATTCCGGCGGCTGGTGTGACGAAATGGAGAGGATGGTTGAGACTTAGAGTAACAACAGCTCAATTCCAAGCTCAAATGCTTTGGATTTCGTCGTTTCTGCAGGAAAAGAGAGTGGTGGTCCCGAAGCTGGAGGTGTAAACGGGGTCCTGTGTTTAATGGACTCGGCCCCGGACCTCTTTTTTCTGCCGCCCCGATAAAATCGCCAGATTCCATGCCAGCATGGCCACTCAATGACCCCAGCCCGCCATGGATTCCGAGCTCTCCTTGCCCCATGAGATGACCTTCAGCACCCTAGGCTCTGCCGCGCCAGTGCTGGCGCCGCGAGTGGGCAAATTGGCCCTTGCCGGCCGCCAGACGATCTCTACGCCGGCCCACGTCCCGCTCACCTCGCGGGGCGCTGTGCCGCACATCTCGCATGACATGGTGCGCAAAGAGACTGCGATTAACAGTTTGTATATTGGGTTGGAAGACTGTATGTGTGCCCTCCCCAAGCCCTAGCTGCCAAGCCATGGCATGGACTGGTTATGACTGACACGCGACATTCCTGGTGCTCGGAGCAGTCATCGAGAGGAAACACCCTGCCCCGCTATATAACTTCCCCGCCGCAGTCCATGAGTCGCCCCTGGGGAAGTTTATCTGTGCACAGGATGATACAACCACGGTCTTGGGCGCGCGACGCTTCCCCGCGATCCCTTGCCCGCCCAACAATACCGAGACCTCCATTGCGATCTCGACCTCTGTCGGGTTCCGGCAACTCGAAGCGCACCGCTATGTAGAGGCGGTGCAGAAACTGAAGCCCGATATTGCCGTCGGTCTGGCGGATTTAGTTCTTGGAAGAGAACCGGGCCTGAAAAGGAGAGAAAAGATGGTCGACCGGACGCATGCATATACTCGCGATGCGCTGGAGCAGCTATATGGGAAATCCGTGGCGGACGAGCAGAGGTCTCAGGCGAAGTACTTTGCACCAGTATTGCCACTGGATAATGCGCAGCAGACGCTCTACTTGCATGATCTGGAGGGCGAATTCCGGGATCGCATCTCGGGACTGGCGCTGTACGAGTCGGCCTCTCTGAGCCATATCCCAAAGTCCCTGGGTAGCCTGCCCAGATTACTGCTCAGCGAGCCCTCAAGCCCTCATGAGGTCCTTCGTGGGATTGCGCTTGGTGCGGATCTGCTCACTGTTCCCTTCCTGCAAGCATGCTCAGATGCTGGTATCGCATTAGATTTTGCCTTCCCTGTTCCAGCTACCGTGCAAAATCGTGGGGAGCCGCAGCCTCTTGGAATTGACCTTTGGTCGTCCGAATATGCTAAGGATTCTTCGCCGTTGGTTGAGGCATGCGAATGCTACGCCTGCCGTAAACATCACCGTGCCTACTTCAACCATCTTCTCGCCGCGAAGGAGATGGCTGCATGGGCACTTCTCCAAATGCATAACCACCATGTATTGGACGGTCTCCTTGCCGGTGTGCGCGAGAGCATTCAGCGCGGTACATTTGATGATGATGTTCAGGTATTCAATCGCGCGTACAAACCTGAATTGCCAGACCCTACAGGCGATGGCCCTCGGTAAGTTCAATTCAACCCTAAGATTGCTGAATTGTTATACTTACAGTTCATAGACTACGCGGCTACCAGATGCCCGCAGCGGGACCCAACCAGCCCCGGCGCATGCCCAAGGTATATGGCCGTCTTGATGAGGTCTCGCAGAAATTCGCCGAATCTCAATCTTCAGTTGCTACTCCGGATACCGACGCCGAGGGGCTCGAGAGGCACGGATTTGCCGAGAAAATATGATTGAGCGAAACCTGAGAGCCTAAACAGCCGGTTGTCACAACGTCTGAGCGCTTTGCATTAGAAGCATTCTCAAGATCGACGTACAACTGGGCGATTCTGATTCTGATTTTGAAAGCATTTATATGAGAGCCTTGTCGACAGACTACCGTACACCTACATAGCGAAATCGTTTTTTTTGGGTTGAAAGACATTACCCCTAAAAGTAGAAGTTCAATTTCATATAGTCATCTCATCAGTTGCACGAGCCCAAAAGTACTGTACAGAATCCAATATCTCATGATACCATCAGTCTTTTTCACATGGCCGAAATAAACAAATCATCATCTTCGAAGTCAAAGAACAGGGAGAAAGAAAGGTTTAGGGTATATCTAGCAGATGCAGTGTAGACAGTAGACTCCCCCTGGCTCACTGAGTCTCGCCCGCTAACACGCGCCACATCCACTTGACCTCGTCCTCTTCCTCCTTGCTGCCTTGGGGAGTACCTGCGCCGAATTGCTGACCAACGACGCAGACGAGCCAGACGTCGTTCTTGGTCGAGCCAAGGAAGCGCTCGGTGGGCGAGCCACGCGGGTAAATGCGGCGCCATTCGTCCCAGATACGGAAGGCTTCCTCGCCCCAGGCGCGGAAGCTGACTTCTTCAATGATGGTCGGGGTAACAATCTCCTTGCCACGGAAGACACCCCAGGTGACGGCGTTGACGCTCTCGGGGTTGGAATTCAGGTCGTCGAGCTCAACATCGGCGGGCTGAACAGGGAGCGAGGACTCGAAGGCGCCGGTGGTATTGGTGGCGAACCATACTAGCTTGTCATGGCCGTGCTTTGCGAACAACGGCTTGAGAATGTCGGTGTAGTCCTTGTTGGGACAGAAGAACTCGACGAAGGGCTTCTGGAAGACAAAACCCTCGCGCTGTGGGCCCCAGCCAAAGATGTGGTGGTCGCTACGGACACCGTTGACGGCGGGCTGCGAGGCTAGTGTCCACCAGCCTCGACCGTCGATGAGCTTGAGCAGCTCGGGCCGGATAAGCTCTGTCTCCGCATTCAGGCCGGCGCCTTCCTCAGCACCACCCTCAGACCAGGGCACCATGTACAGCTCTCCGGAAACGTGGCGGCGGAAGAGGGTGCTGATATCGGAGTGCTCAACAGGGTGACCCCAAATACGGCGGGCCACTGCAGAAGTGACGTGGAGGGATGGGCCGTATCCGTCTATCTCACCGAAAGCAGGGGAGCGTGCATCACCCCATCGACCGTTAGGGAAGTCATCCCATGTGGCCTCTCTGCCAAGAGAGCCCAACCCCTCGGAGATCTGAAGGGTGGTACCCCGGCCAGGAGGCATTGCTGGCTGCCCCACGCTGTTCGCAAGGGCCTCATGGACAGAATCGTGGGAAGAGCCCTTTGCCGAAAGCTTATCCACAATTAAACGGTTGTGTGGCTGCGAGTTCATAGAAGAAGCCCGGCGTCTGGCCAGGCGAGCCGGGGCGTCAAGAGGAAGGACACCGTCGACGTCCACAACCGCATAATCATCCTCGATGTCCGTGAAGGCCGGGATTAGATCACATCTCTCTAAAATGAATGAAACGGTCTTTTCCAAGTTCAAAGTATAGAAATGGAAACCCCGCGGCCCGGGAGACTTGAGCTCTTGGATTCCTCCAACAATCTCGCTGACAATATCCACACCGGCGCGCTTTACTGCATCATCGTCATGCTTCAGTTCTTCCATGCGCTTGGCAATGGGATCTGGGATATGGACGTGGCTGAGCTTCGTCACTCGGGTGAGAATCTTATAGCTGTGGATGGGCATCAGACCTGGGATAATGGGGATGGTCTTGAAGACGCCAGACTCGTGGTTCCGAAGCATATCCTCAAACTTCTGGTATGCCTCGATGTCGTATGTGAGCTGGGTCATGATGAAGTCCGCACCGGCGAGGGTCTTCTCAATGAGGTAGGGAAGGTCGCGGACTGGATCCTGAACATCCTGGAACGAGTCGGCCGGATGGCCCTCTGGGTATGCAGCAACACCAATGCAGAAGTAGTCGCCATGTTGCTTGCGAATGTACCGAACCAGGTCCACCGCGAAAGTGAAGTCCTTGTTGCTATCATCCTCTCCATGCATGTTGTATTCCTCGCTGCGGGGCGGGTCTCCGCGCAAAGCCAGGATATTGCGAATGCCGAGCACCTTGGCCTCTTCCAGCGCCATGTCCACCAGCGCGCGGCTCATGTTCGTGCATGTCAGGTGCAGCACCGTCGTCAACTGCAACTGGCGTTGGCAGACTTCCGCCAGTTCGAGGGAACGGGCCGCCGTGCTTCCGCCTGCACCCCAAGTGACCGTTACGAAGAGCGGGCGCAGGGCCTGAGCCATCCGCTCCAGACGCGCAGACAGGTTCGCGAAACCCTATAGTAGCGATCTCATTAGCAACCTGGGTTGTTTTCGCCACGACGAGCGCACGCGGGGTCACCCCACCATCCGGGTCTTAGGAGGGAAGAACTCCAGCGAGAAGTAATTAGCGTCCGGCGGCAAGGCCGCAATCTTCTCTGTGATCTTCTTCTCCATTGCGAAGGATGTCGTGAACGGCAATGGGAGAGGGTGTTGGAGGGAAAGAAAGAAGATTTGGGCAGAAGTGGACCTCCATGGATCTCCGATCCAGGCTGGTTGCATCGGGAAATATGAGGTCTACGCCTGCCGATGACGGCCATTCCGCATACTGCATGATCTACGCCGGGTTTTCCGTAGCTACCTGCTCTTTCTTATTCTACGTTCGCTCCTTTCTGCCCAGTTATCCTTTTTTTACAGCTGGGAACAAGCCTGCTCGAAGAACGTAAGATCACCCGGCAAGGCCATTACTCAGCACGATATGCGGCAGCGATTGCAAGCTCTTGACGAGTCCTTTTCACGTATATAGCAATGGCTTATTGTGGTCCCGAAAAGATTTATTTTGTAGACATCTCGAAATGTAGACTATTAGCAGATATTTGCCTACTAGTTTGCAAACATCAAGACATCCTTGGGACGAAATACCATCAGCGAAATAGGCGGGCATGCGAACTGATCGCTATCGGCCGCCGTAATCGGCCCCCGGTACGAGCTCTCGCGATCGCCGCTCACCAAACCGCGGCCGGGTCAATAGGAGAGAACAATCGCACCGTCTGTACTGCCAAAGCGAGGCAGGTTCCTGCTGAGAGGCGCTGTTTATTTCCGTTCTATCCTTTTCCAGGCCACAATCCAACATGGCTGTCCGGCATTCTGTGAACTTCCCGACCTTCCTTCGCCGAGTCCGCGCCAATGCTGTGCAACAGTCTGGCCTGCTGTCGCGACGAACCTTTTCCACGCCCCCGAACCCCTCGCAGGCGCCGCGGCCAGCTCAAGCAAGCCCTAAAGATTCCCGATCCCGTATACATCGGTTCAATGACCGCCTGCCACGATTCCTCCGCAACTATACAAAACCGCTATTAGGAGCTCCGGTGACGCACGTTACGTCTTTCTTGATCTTGCACGAAATCACAGCGGTGCTGCCGCTTTTCGGGCTAGTCGCTGCGTTTCACTCTGGCGCATGGATGCCAGACCTTAGCTCGGAGTCCGGGGAAAGCAATGCCTTTGACGAGGGAGCGAAGCGGTTTGGGCGCTGGTTGAGGAAAAAGGGCTGGGTTGAGGAATCCGACATCAATACCGTCGCAGAGCACGAATTTACTGGAGTCGGGCAAGCCCAACAGAAAGAGCAAGCAGGCGTGCGGCTGGTGTTGGAATTCGCGACAGCCTATGCGATTACGAAAGCTCTACTGCCTGTCCGTATAGCAGCCAGTGTCTGGGCCACGCCGTGGTTCGCACGGGCGATCTTGGCGCCGACGACTAATGCCGCTAGGAGGCTGTTCGGCAGAAGCTGAACACCACTTGTACACTACCAGAAAGATACCAAAACAGTCTGTACTCATAAACCATATGATGGAAGTTTGAATTTGTAGCCATAACGGGCCTTCTCTCAACACTATTGCAAAACTATCGCGCAAGCAGCCGAGGGAAGGCACTCGTCAAACACAAGGTTCATGGGATGAGTAATTTACTCGTAGACCCACTGGGCCTGGGTGGACTTCCACTGCAGGACCTCGGAGGGGGAGAACCAGAGGGCAATCTCCTTCTTGGCGTTCTCGACGCTGTCGGAGCCGTGGCAGACGTTGCGGCCGACATCGATGGCGTAGTCACCACGGATGGTGCCGGGAGCGGAGGCCAGGGGGTTGGTGGCACCCAAGATGACGCGACCGGTCTTGACGGCGTCCTTGCCCTCCCAGACCATGGCGCAGATGGGGCCGCTCAGCATGTCTAGCAACCTGTGTTAGAAGCTTGCGAAGGCGGGGAAGGGTACATTCGGTAGTTGCGGAGACTCACAGGAGATGAGGCCCTTGAAGAAGCCCTTGCCGGCGAGGTCGGCGTAGTGCTTCTCGAGGTGCTCCTGGCTGGGGGAGGTGAGCTTCATGGCAACAAGCTTGAAGCCACGGTTCTCGAAGCGAGAGATGATGGGACCAACGAGGCCACGCTAAGGTTAGGTTAGCAATTGAGACTCAATTGCCGATCGGGCCGACTATTCGTCAGGAGATAGGCCACTATAGGCTTCGCATTCATACCTGGACACCATCGGGCTTGATGGCAATGAAACTGTACCGATTGATTAGCTTCATCTTCACCGCTAGGGAGGGTCGCAAGAAGAAACAGCCAAGGTTGGGGGAGTGTGAGGGGTAAAGAAGAGGAATTGGGTAAAAGTCGGTAACTCACGTCTGCTCGTCGGACATTTTGATGGATTGGGGACTGAAGATCTGAGGGGATGGGGAGCGGAAGGAGGAGGAGGGGGGGAAGGAGAATAAATACCTGAGAGCCTTTTTTTGGCCGCGATTGGTGGGGCTGAGGGTGTTGACTGCCTGAGGCATAAGACGGACACCTCACTCAATACATTTTTGGTGGCCTGATTATGGCCTTAATAGCCTTGGTGCCTAAGGTGTCTTACCCCAGCTCCCCGTCGTCAGGCCAGCCTGGAGCTTCCCTATTGACAGGTGTCACGCCCCTCGGATGCTGGTCGACATCGAACTCTTACGACGCATTGGGTCAGAGATTGAGGGTCTCTGATTGTATTTATCCCGGATATCATGGCCAGGAGTCGGCCTGCATCCCGCTGGACGCCACTGCTCTCCTTGGTCGTACTCATCGCATTCATTGTTGCCCCCGGATGTAAGAACCCTCACAGCTACTTGGACTTATGTTCCTGTCAGAGACTAACTGAATTATTCTACAGTGGCCGTGAAGCATGAAAATTTTAAAACTTGCGACCAATCCGGCTTCTGTAGACGAAACCGAGCCTACGCCGATAATGCCTCCGGTCAAGGCGCGTCCTGGAGCTCCCCCTACGAGCTTGATCCTGCCACTATTCACTTCAAGGATGGCCAGTTGACCGGAGTCCTCATAAAAACAACCTCGGCCAATGAAAAAGTTCATTTGCCTCTTGCCCTTTCCTTTTTGGAATCCGGTGCCGCTCGCCTGCTTGTCGATGAGGAGAAGCGCTTGAAGGGCGATGTCGAAGTCCGACATGGCAGCAAGGCAAATAAGAAGCGTTATGATGAGGCCGAGAAATGGGTTATTGTTGGCGGTCTGGACGCTAGCAGGTCCGCGACTCTGAACGCCCAATCCGAGACAGGTTTCACGAAGGTCCTGTATGGACCCGAGAACAAATTTGAGGCGATCATTCGTCATGCGCCGTTTGAGGTCGAATTCCAGAGAGATGGCCAGACCCATATCCAGCTGAACCACCAAGGCTTCTTAAACATGGAACACTGGCGGCCGAAGGTGGAGGGCAAGGACGGAGAGTCCGGAGAAGACGAGAGCACTTGGTGGGAGGAGAGCTTCGGCGGAAACACCGACTCCAAGCCTCGCGGCCCCGAGAGTATTGGTCTTGATATCACCTTCCCCAGTTACAACCATGTCTTCGGCATTCCCGAGCACGCGGACTCGCTTTCCCTTAAAGAGACGCGAGGTGGTTCTGGTAATCATGAGAACCCTTACCGCATGTACAACTCGGATGTCTTCGAATATGAGCTCGACAGCCCTATGACCCTGTATGGATCGATTCCGTTCATGCAGGCCCACCGGAAGGGCTCGACCGTCGGTGTTTTTTGGCTCAATGCTGCGGAAACTTGGGTCGACATCGTTAAGAAGAGTGCATCATCCAACCCGCTCTCCATGAGTGCCAATTCGAAGACCAACACTCATACTCACTGGTTCTCCGAGGCTGGCCGGATCGATCTTTTCGTCTTCTTGGGTCCCACGCCTCAGGACCTCAGCAAGACATATGGCGAACTCACTGGCTATACTCAGCTTCCCCAGCACTTTGCCATCGCTTACCACCAGTGCCGCTGGAACTATGTTACTGACGAAGATGTGAAAGAAGTGGATGCCAAGTTTGACAAGTACCAGATACCCTATGATGTGATCTGGCTCGACCTGGAATACACCGACGACCGGAAGTACTTCACCTGGGACCCTCTCACCTTCCCCAACCCAAAGGGCATGCAGGAGAAGCTTGCTGCGTCCGAGCGGAAGCTCGTGGTTCTTATTGATCCTCATATCAAGAACAAGGAGAACTATTATGTTTCACAGGAACTAAACAGCAAGGGCCTTGCTGTTCTGAACAAGGACGGCGAAGTATATGATGGATGGTGCTGGCCCGGTTCCTCGAACTGGGTTGATTGCTTTAACCCTGCTGCATCCCCGTGGTGGAGTAGCCTCCACAAGTATGACAGGTTCAAAGGTTCCATGCCCAACCTGTTTATCTGGAACGACATGAACGAGCCCTCAGTTTTCAACGGCCCGGAGACTACCATGCCTAAGGACAACCTGCACTATGGCAACTGGGAGCACCGTGATGTTCACAACGTGAATGGTATGACCTTGGTGAATGCCACGTACCAAGCCATGTTGGAGCGCAAGAAGGGTGAGGTCCGTCGTCCTTTCATCCTGACTCGCTCATACTTCGCGGGAGCCCAGCGCATGTCGGCTATGTGGACTGGAGACAACCAGGCCACCTGGGACCATCTGGCCATCTCCCTTCCCATGGTTCTGAACAACGGCATTGCTGGTTTCCCCTTCGCGGGGGCTGACGTCGGTGGTTTCTTCCACAATCCTGACAGGGACCTTCTGGCCCGCTGGTACCAAGCCGGTATCTGGTATCCCTTCTTCCGTGCCCACGCCCACATTGATACCCGCCGTCGCGAGCCCTATTTGATCAGTGAGCCACACCGAACCATCATCTCCCAGGCCATTCGCCTGAGATACCAGCTTCTGCCCGCTTGGTACACCGCTTTCCATGAAGCCTCCGTCAACGGCACTCCCATTGTGCGTCCTCAGTACTACGTCTTCCCCGATGATGAGGAGGGCTTTGCCATCGACGACCAGCTGTATCTCGGCGACACTGGTCTTCTCGCCAAGCCTGTCGTGAAAGAGAACACCTTTACCACCGACATTTATATCGCTGACGACGAGAAATACTATGACTACTTCGATTTCACAATCTATCAGGGCGCCGGCAAGCGACACACTGTCCCCGCCCCCGAGGACAAGATCCCCCTGTTGATCCAGGCCGGTCACGTTGTTCCTCGCCGGGACCGTCCTCGTCGCAGCAGCGCTCTGATGCGCTGGGACCCCTACACCTTTGTCATCACTCTGGACAAGAACGGCGAGGCTGACGGTACTCTCTACGTGGACGATGGCGAGACCTTCAACTACGAGCGTGGCGGCTACATTCACCGCCGCTTCCAGTACCGGGACTCGATCCTGTCGTCGGAAGATATTGGCACTAACGGTGCCAAGACCGCCGAGTATTTGAAGACCATGGCAGCTGTGACTGTGGAGCGAGTGATTGTCGTTGATCCTCCAGCCTCGTGGAAGGACAAGAGTAGTGTGACCATCATCGAGGATGGGGCTAAGGCTGGATCCACGGCCTCGCTGGAGTACTTCGAGCAGAAGGGCGGCAAGGCGTCGTATGCTGTTGTCAAGAGCCCGAATGTTGGCATTGGAAAGACATGGCGGATAGAGTTTTAAGCAGTGCGTTGTTGTTTGTTCGACATGACATGATATACATGTGCGATAGTTATTAGATGATCAGGGGTCTTGATGTAGCATGCAATCCAGCCACGGATTTGTTCTTTCAAGAAGCCTTAGAAAGTCGGTTATTTTAGCGACTGAATAAGTATGGCTGAGCTTGGAATTTCTCAGACACGCGCTTTCCCACGTTGACGAAAGCTTTAAAAGACAGGCAAGTCGTACAAACATGTCACATATCTAGACAATTTGCGTAGCAATCCAGGCTCAATGAGCGCTCAAGTATTTGAACAGAAAATATGCCATAAAGCAGCACCTAGAGCATCCAGCCATTGAAAGAAAATTTCCTCTTCGCCCATAATTCCGGATCATTCCATCCAGCGAGTCTGTACCTCAACACAAAATTTGTGCCCCTCCGAGTCATGCGCAATCAGGCACAGTTCTCCATCACATCCAATATCCCATTCTACCCTCCTGTAGCTGTTGATTCTTGTGCCTGAGGGGGCAAAGGAGGACATCTCCGTCCAACCCTCTCTCTCGGAAGAAGATACGATAATCGTTCTTAAAAAAATTCATCGCGGCCACATTAGCTTTCTTGAGCGTACTATAGACACCCTCTATCAAAAAAATGGGCTCGGAATATACCCGCAGAATCGCATGGGTCATAACATAGACGCGCTCTCCGGGGCTTTCTTGGTCTGCTCTAGCACATGCTTCATTCACATGGTCTAGGAGATCCTGAGGATACTCAGGCTCCTGAGCTGCTCTGTGTGAGCGTAACCATTGCCGATGCCGCTCCCTCTCCCTCTGTACTCTGATTGAATACTCCTCTGCCATGGATTCGTCTATAAGGGTAGGGATTGGCATGGTCGAGGGTGTACACTTTGTAATAAATGACCCCAGAGAGGACCGAGTATTAACTGTGCGAAAGGCGTTTATTCGTGCATGTGGAGATCAACAGGGAGTGAGATCATTCCAAAATTAGAAAGTCTTCAGATCCAAATGAGGCTTAGCACCTGTGGGCCATGGCAAACTGTGATGTGTAGGCAACAATAGACAACCTAGGCGCTCTTTATCGATAATGCAGGGGTTTTTCCATAACATGAGCTCCGCATTTCATTAGTTCGTTTCTGTAGGCGATTCACCACATGACAATTCCCCCAGTCGCGACCATGATGTGCGAGTGTTGAACACAACCAATAAGAGATCATACACAAAGTTGAAACGAACCCTTCCTCAAAGATGAAGGACATCACAAATGCAATAACTGCTTTTAACGTACAGTGTGGATTCGAATGAACCATTCGTAGGCAGCTTCAACATGTACCTCATTCAAGATACATATATATCTGAGGTTGGTTATGCGTCGAGTCATATGGATCTGGAGGTTCTCGCAGGATGATGAGCATTATCCACCGCAGAGAAGTTGCTAGTCTTCGTCTTCAAATATATCACCACAAAAAAAGAGAAGGGAAGTCGACAGCTGAACTGATGGATGTAAATGAATGGGTAATGCCTTGGCGAGGCCCGGTCTAGCAAGTCTCTCACCAGCCTTATGGGCACAGACCAAGCCGGGCGTGGGGGCTGTCATGCGAGCAGCTTCCCCTTTGATTTCTCCATAGCTGACAGATATGAGCCACCGTGTCTATTAATTATCTACCTAACATCTCATTTTAGTAGTGACAGATCGGTCATAAATATCAAAATTGAGATGAGCAGTCAATAGGTATTAATTCGCTTCTACACACGGTCAATCCGCATCTCGAAGCAAAGGTAATCAAATTATGAAACAATTATAAAACAATTCTAATACAGAGCCAGCACCTATGACCATGATCCCTTTTTACATCCGCACGGGGCTGAGAAGATTTCCGAGGCTTCGCCAAGCCCTGAAAAACCGCCCATACGGGTTGCCGCGGCCCCGGTGATCGACAGGGTGGCTGACATAAGCCTGAAAAAGGCCGCATGCGTCGCGGCCGCGCCGGGCCTTGTCCTCCGCCCTGTTCCTCGCTGGTTTTTTTGGGTTCGTCCGTCCGAAGCTGCCCCTTGTGCCTCGTGGTTGTGACCATTGTCTGGTCAATTTACGCTGAATCGCGCCGGAGTCTCCATCCTACTTGGACGCGATTATCCCCCGATCCCGTTGAGTTGCTGATCCCGAGTATACGCCCTCCGGAGGCCGCGGAAGATCTTCACTGGCACCATGTATCTCATTCAACTCGCGATTGAATATGCCGCGCCTATCTTGTATGTTCCGGACCGAAGATTCATGTCCATTTTGAGAGGAACTGTGTGTTAATGATGGTTGAAACAGTCTCATTTCCTCCCCCCTCACGTCCTACCTGGACCAGATCCTTAGCATTCAGCGGAATAGGAGTTCGGTCGGATTTTCGCTCGACATTCCATTGATTATGCTTGTCGCTTCGATCTTGAAGTAAGACCCCCAATATCAATTTGACGGCACGAAGGGCTGAGCGCAATGGACATTGGGATTAACGCGCTCACTAGGGTCTTTTACTGGTTTGGCGAATACTACTCGAAGGCCTTGCTGGCTCAGGCTATGATCATGATTTTGGTGCAGATGGCCCTACTCAAGGTTGCTTTGGACAACCGGCCCGGCGTTGGCGCGAAAAATGGTATCGAGCATACACCCTTTACCAGTGGTGGCTCCGATGGTGGATTCAACCGGCCGTATGATTTCTGGCAGTGGAGGAACACCAAGCCGTAAGTCCTTTCGCACCCCCCTGGCCGCCAGAGAGACTGACACACGATCCTGTCATAGGTATTGGCTCTTCCTCGCCTACTTCGTGGCCATCTTGACCGTCTTCCACCTCACTCCTATCTCCGAGTCTGCGACCTATATCAGCATCCTGGGCGCTATCGGTCTTGCCGTCGAGGCCATTCTCCCGATCCCCCAAGTCCTCGCCAACCACCGCTCTGGCTCTTGCAAGGGATTCCGGGTGTCCGTTCTAGCCTCTTGGATCTTGGGTGACACCATGAAGATGAGCTACTTCTTCTGTAGCACGGAGGTCATTCCCTGGGCGTTCAAGATGTGCGGTATGTTCCAGTGCGTGTGCGACCTGTACCTGGGCTTCCAGTACTGGAGGTTTACGCGCGCATCCGGCCGGGCTGCTGGCAGCTCTTTGGAGCAAGACAGCCGGTGGGGACAGGGAGAGAAGGACATCCGCATGAACTGAGTGGGATTGCGGCTGTTTTTATGAGCGTATTCTGCATTTGCTGTAGATAGATGGCACCCAGCGAGCCATAGCGACCTATAGACCTTTAATTTTGAATGAAATGACGTTAATAATTATATTATTCAATTTTGTTCAAAGGCGCAAGAGAAGGGTGTGATGCTCCCTGTAGTGATTCCGTTTCGGGTAGTCGAGGGGACCTGCCCCGCGATGCCGCGATCCACGGATTTTCCCCCACGCGCGGCTAGACTCGCCATTTCTTCCTCTCTCCTGCATTCTGCTGCCACTCTAACGGTATATAAACCACACGGATACGCACAATGGCCTCCATTCCGACTATTCGTATCGGCTATGTGCCCGGTATGTCCCCGATTTGAGCTCAATGGCCGGCATCTGCGGTGACTCGGATGTACCGGGCGTATAGCTCCCTCGCGACATGAGATTTCTATGGATCAGTTAGACTGACAGCGATTTCCTACACAATATTAGAGCATTACCTGACCCCTCTTCACTTGGCCTTGCGCTCACCGGTCGTATCATCCCTTCCCTACAAGATCGCCCTGACCCCATTCCCGTCCGGCACGGGCCATATGATCACGTCGCTGCGAGGTAATGAGATCGACCTCGCCATTGGGTTGACCGAGGGATGGGTCGCCGGTCTGACAGGCAAAACGCAGCCGCAGAACTCCGCTGAGGGAGGATACAAGGTTGTCGGCCACTGGGTGGATAACCCACTGCGATGGGCAATCGTGACGGGCCGTAATCGGAACAATATCAATGGAGTGCCAGACTTGAAGGATCAGAGAGTTGGCGTCAGTCGGCTAGGAAGGTATATACACTTGTTCACCCATTGACATCCCGACTACGTGCCACAGAATGTCGTAGGACTCTTGGCTGATTGAGCTTATCTAGCGGTTCCCATATCATGTCATTTGTGCTTGCCCAGCAGCAGGGCTGGAAGCCAGATTCCCTGACCCCCGTCCCGCTCGGTCCCTTCGGCGCCCTACGAAACGGCGTCACTGGACAGGACGAGGCGAATCCGGAGCAAGAACCCACTCCCACAGCTGAGTTCTTCATGTGGGAGCATTTCACAACCAAGCCGTACTTCCACCCGACTACCGAGAAGCCAAACCCACCACTGAAGAACATCGGCGAGATCTTCACGCCCTGGCCGTCATGGATGATTGTCGCATCGACCGCTCTATTCCCAGACTCGCCGAATGACCAGCGTCTGCAGCAACTATTCCAGGTTCTGGACCAGGGTATCAAGGACTTCGAAGCCGACACTGCCCAGGTTGTGAAGCTTCTTGGCACGGGTGAGCTGGGCTGCAACTACATTGAAGAGGATGCTACAGAGTGGTTGAAGGATGTCAAGTTTACTAACAGTACTCGCGGTGTTGATCGCAAAGTGATCGAGGGCGTTGTGGATGTGCTGAAGGTAGCTGGTGTCATTGATACCGCCATGAGTAACGACGAGGCTATTCACCGAGTGATTGGGATTCCTCGGTAAGTCTAATGTCGGAGGTAGTTGAACTTGTTACGAGTATAATAAAATGCGGTATATATTGTCGAAACCTTTCATGGATGACGGTAGTGTTTGCGTACATTCCAAGCTTTTTCAAACGCTCCAAGTTTAATGGTCAAAAGTGAAACGGTTTAAAATGAAGGCCAAACTTTCGAAAGAGTCATTAATTCGTTCTGATGGAAACGAAATCCAGGCTTTCCTTAAGTGAAGAGTTCATACTATCAGACTTTCCATGTTGTATTCTAGGGGACCTTGTGCATAAAGGCGAATGATCGATCAGGAGTGGAATGCTCCAGACGTACTACTTTGAGAGCATACCGAAGATACCATATTGTCTACGGCTAAGAGCGCTTTGCAGACTGATCTCTACTAGTCGCCGTAAATGTGGGGGTTCTGTACGAATGCTCAAGTTTGTTTTAAGGCTATGTGGATGGTATCGGCAAAAGCCTTGAGAGGAGTAGGAGTGGATGCAACTTCACCATTTTCTGGGAATATACAGTGAACAACCTTAAAGATCCTAGAGAGGTTGAGTCCAAAATGGACAAACATACTCACTTTCCTCATTGAGGTGCTTGAATTTGCTCGACAGGTATTAAAGCATGGAACTATGCTTACTTACACCGAGAATATACTGTCCGGCAGCAACGGTGGCCGCGGAGCGTTGGCCAAATTTGGGAAGGTGTCCAGAGTGAAATCGCTGTGGTTAATACCAAAACCCTCACGCAAGTCGAAGATACCAACTCTAAACTCGCCAGTGCGGATTTCAACATCAAGATCAAACCACGTTGGAAGAAGTCAGCTACAGACAGACCAACCTCAAGAGGAGGAGGACAAAGCCACTCGATAAAGCCGCGTTCTAAATCCGTGCATGAGCTCCATAATGCGCGATAATCGCGTGTTGTGACGAGTCCCCTAATCTGTCACGTTTTGGGGGAAAAATGGGCTAGCTCGTATGGAACATTACGGGGATATTCGTTTGGCTTCAATGTAGGGCGGGCAGTCGTTCCTGGAATGTCGCCGTACGCCATGTCCGATGCCCTTCTTTCATAGGACCAGAGAACGGGGACCCTTTACAAATCCGTAGTTCTCCAAGTCACTTCAAGTTGAATAATTGAAGGCTCATGTATTCCATTTCCATGTAGCGAGTATCGTGAGCCTAGAACATAGTTCGTCCTCAAATTTCGCGACGCCCAGGAAACATTCCACGACCAACCGCTGGACCCCCTGGCAACAACACTGGAATGTAGGCGAGCTTGCTGGACCGACAAATCACACCAATCAACAGTCCAAAGTTGACAAATCACGTTAAATCATTCATGCGCGACCTCGGGTTGAGCTCAAATTGGCCCTGGCGTGGATACGGTGGATCATACCGTGCGCTTGGGACATCCATAACACCAAATGACGTACAATATGGACGCATTGTTTTCGCTAATGGCATGCAGACCGGGAGAAAAATATCCCCGGGCCTGCTATTTAAGATATCCCTAGAACTGAACCCTCGAGCGCCTGATTTTTTACCCTTGTTCTCGCCTTCTCGCCCTTTCGTTCCTTTACCGGGTTGCGATCCCGTCATACGCCGAACCGTTCATTCCTTTTTATATTCGCATTAAATTAATTAATAGTCTCTCATTTCCCTCCCGCCAGGAGATTCATTGGCTCGATCACACAGTATGCCTGGGTATCAGAAATATCTTTCGGGATCGCTCCTATTGGCCAGCCTGGGGGGAGTGCAGGCAAAACTCGACCTGAATTCTGACAAGAACATTGCCATTTACTGGGGTATGATATGCTCGACCGGCCAATGTAAGGAATGAATATGCTGACAGGCTTGCCTGTTAGGCCAAAATTCCTTGCAAGGAAAGGGTGGTGATAATCAACACCCGCTGTCATACTACTGCGATAGTGAGTTGATCCGAATTGATACCAAGGACAAGGCTCGGCAGATGGCTAACATCTGAACTTGCAGATAATGACATTGATGTAGGGACAACGCGCTTCAATTCTCTGGAATAAGATCACTAAGAGTAATAAATAGGTTATTCCCTTGGCGTTCGATATGATGATCAACGGGCCTGGTGGTGCGCCTGAGGTCGATTTCTCTGTCACCAGCCAGGACTGCGACGTCTTCAAAGGAACCCAACTAAAGAACTGTCCCAAGATCGGGTGAGTAGGAAGATCATCAGCCGCGCCCCGTCAAACTGACAATTCATAGTGATGACATTGAAACATGCCAGCAGAAGGGCAAGACGATCCTTCTCTCCATTGGCGGCGCAACTTACAGCGAGGGCGGCTTTAAATCCGAGGATGATGCGAAGGCCGGGGCAAAGCTCATGTGGGAGACCTTCGGTCCCCTCAAGGCGGATTCCAAGGCTCTTCGACCCTTTGGCAACGCCAGTCTGGATGGCTTTGACTTCGATTTTGAGGCCAATGTTCAGCATATGGCAACCTTTGCCAATGAGTTGCGCTCTCTGATGGATAAGGATGACAGCAAGCAGTACTTCTTGACTGCCGCCCCTCAATGCCCGTACCCTGATCAGTCGGACAAGGACATCTTGGATGGCTCGGTCTCCATCGATGCCATTTGGGTGCAGTTCTACAACAACTACTGCGGCGTTAACAACTTCGACACCGACGCGACCAAGTCAAAGTACAACTTCGAGGAATGGGACAACTGGGCTAAGACCGTCTCGAAGAACAAGAACGTCAAGGTTCTCCTCGGCGTGCCGGCTGACACAACTGCGGCCAGCACGGGATACGTCCCAGCGTCAAAGCTCGCTGAGGTGATTGAGTACTCGAAGAAGTTCGAGAGCTTCGGCGGCGTGATGATGTGGGATGCCACGCAGGCGTATGCGAACGAAGGGTTCGTCGGAAGTGTGCGCAAGGCGCTTGGTGGTTCTGATTCCGGTTCGTCGCCGTCCAACAACGCGGCGTCGACCGCGGTGTCTGCACCTTCCTCCACTAACACACCGGAGACCTCGCTATCTTCCAATGCACCCGCATCCTCGTCCTCCTCTTCCTCATCCTCTGGGTCTGCCTCATCGTCCAGTGGTCCTAAGGACTCCACCACCACTGCCCCGGCACCCACTGCTGCGTCAAACCCACCTTCCCCGACATCGTCCTCGACTTCGACCACGAACCCTGCTGCTCAGACCTCACCGAAGCCGACTGCGGCGCCAACGGATGACGATGATGATCCGGACACTCCTGCAGAGCCGACGACGCCCGACGTTGACAACTCCGATGATATGCCCGAAGATGCTGAGACGGCATCTCAACTTGCCGACAACCTCGGCAACGACGACACTACCAAGGACGATGACACTACTAAGGACGATGACACTACTAAGGACGATGACTCGGACAGCGAGGGTCCACTTGGCCTTATCAGCCAGAATCTCTTTGGCCTCCTGCATGGCCTGGAAAATGCCAACAGCATCACTGGCGGCCTTACTCACGGCCTCACTCACGGCCTCACTAAAAACCTCCGCCGTGCTCGTCGTATCGGATATTAGCCGTTGTAGGCATAGTTTTCAAGTGGCCTGGCGACATTTTCCGGCTACACGGTCAAGTCATGCCTTGGACGGTGCGTGAACTAGGAAAAGACGTACTCCACTATTGTGGGAGGTGATTTACCCCCTGATTCTTCGGGTCATTTTGAAGGCCTTCATTTGAAGGCCTTCATTTGAAGAATTTTCTGATCTCTTTCCTTAACCCTATTTTATCGCTTATGTACTTCCTACTTTCCTTGATACCCATTATTCATAATCTCTATTGTAACTTGAATTATATGATACAGATCTTACAGCACATCGTTGCTCTGCAAGACCAATTAGAGACCCCGTTGTGGATCGGATATTTCCCTCGGCACGTCAGATGTCTGTCTATGATCAGGCGGATTTACTGTATGACTTTGGCTGGTATGGCTTTCTTGTCATCGAAATAGGTCCCTTCATATCCGTTTCCCTTCAGAACTGCTCGCAATCGCTGCAAATCCATCGGTCTTCGCTGTATATCATGGAAATTGGATACCAAAGGTTTTAGGTAGATATGGTCCTGCCGTGCTCTTCGTTCAATATAACAAGGGCCCGAGGTGAACTGTTGAGGGCATATGATACAACCTACCGCTTGGAAGGAATATTAGGTGCTGTCAGAGGTCCTGAATAGACCTGTAGTTAAATTGCCTTCAATTATTCTATAAGCACTATGGGATTATTTTCCGTGTAATTTGATCATTGAAGCAAAACCGTCATATTTTACCTCATCTACTACATGCATCATATGTTTCGGTGAACTTGTTGTAGGAAGCTACATAGAGCTGGTCACGTGGGACTGGTGGATAGCGATCCTCGCGAGGCCAGCAGTCTCCTTATGTGTTTGAACCTCGACCGCTCACTGTCACCTTTGACTTTTGCAGTTGCTCCGATGATTCATGGATGGCGGAATTATAGAGAGCATGATGCTGGTCGCAAGGCTCGGGTACCAGCGGAATTGCACTCGAGCCCATGACGTCGAAGACTGGGACTCTTGATTCGGACGCGGCTGTGACCCCAGCACGTTGTCGGCATGCCGGGCAGATGATCTCCTGGGGCTATCTTGCATCCTATCGCCTTCAATGGACATGGATGGTGCATGCAAGACACCGAGTGCTGCAGGAGACAGGAAGAAACCTCAAGCAATCAAATGAAGCCCAAGCGAAGCTCCGGGGGCCTGGATAGTCTCGACCAATGGCGCGGAAACGACCGGGTACGCTAAAGGGCGATCGGCCCCGCGCAAGCTGCCCAGCTCCACCAGAGCTGCGACAGTGTACAACTTTCTTCTTTCGTCGTCTATCCGCTTTTCCTGGTTGACCAGGCCTGTACCGCTGTTCCACGGAGCTTGCCGATGGAACCACCCAGCAAAGCCACGGGCACAAACACCGGCTGGGTCACGCTGAGCCAGCACTGGCTAGTCACACTCAACGCCCACGGCTGCTAGAAACGGGCCGCTGCTGAAAAGATTCGTCCGGATAGGCCGATCCAATGTCTCATACGTCAACACCCGTCAGGCATTCCTCGAATCACGGCCACTGGTGCCTTTCGCTGAGCTTACACACGTCAGTGCTTGGGGGAGAAAATCCTTCTATACTCCTGTTCAAGGCCTATCATGCCGGAAGCTTCCTAGTCTCGACGTCAGCATGATTGATCGAGGGAAAACCCCGTAATTTCGAGAGTGTGCTCCTCCGTAAGCCTTGAATAAAGAAAAATACTAATTGCTGCTGCTCTTGGACTACTTCGAGTCGACGCGCTGGCGAATTGAGGGCCAGATGACGAAAGGCACCTTCTCTGACTGTACCTCTATTGTACCTCAGGCAGCTCTGGTCGCATCTGTCGTCTCTCGCGCTGTAGAATCCCCCTGCCGGTTGCTGCAGCTTCCCTGTCTACTTTCATTTTCTTCTCCTCGCTTGCTGGATTTTCTATCCGTCATCCCCACCCCCCTGGTCTGATTAACTCATCGAGTGTTATTTCGCGCTCAAACAGCGACTATGGCGAGCCAGGGTGACGCTGAACGTTCTGATGGCCGGCGCCGCAGCTCCCGCATCTCTCGGGCCTCTTTGAAGGAGGACTGGGCCACCCTGGATGAGTACGGAAAACTCGTGAAGTACGTGTCCACCTTCCGTGATGCCGCTGCCGAACAGGAAGAAGAGGGAGAGTTCCACGAGAAGCGGTTGTGGTATGCACCGTGGAAAAAGCGCAAGGTTCGCGTCCGCAGAAAAGAGGATCAGACTGGCCTCTTCCCTGATGAGTGGCTCATCACCGATATTCGTGAGGGTCTGTCCAGCGAGGAAGTGAACCAACGCCGCCGACGCTCGGGCTGGAACGAGCTGGTGTCTGAGAAGGAGAATCCGATTGCCAAAGTCTTATCTTATTTCCGTGGACCTATTCTCTACGGTATGTGTCTAGTGTGGCTGCCCTGTGTTCAATTATTAACCTTCAGGATCTAGTGATGGAGCTTGCTGTTTTGCTCGCAGCCGGTCTAGACGACTGGGTTGATTTCGGTGTTATCATTGGTATTCTATGTCTCAACGCTTCGGTCGGTTGGTATCAGGAGAAGCAGGCCGCCGATGTGGTTGCGAGCCTTAAGGGTGATATCGCCATGCGTGCGCAAGTCGTACGGGACGGTACTCAGCAGGAGATTCTGGCCCGTGAACTAGTTCCTGGCGATGTGGTATGTCTCCACATACAGAAAATACTTCATTAAGTGACACGCACTGACTGCGTTTCCAGATTATCATTGGTGAAGGTCAAGTCGTCCCGGCCGATGCCAAAGTCATCTGCGACGTCAACGACCCCAATGGCTGGGAGGAGTTCAACCAGCTCCAAGAACAGGGTATGCTTGGCGGTGGTACGGAGTCCGAGGAGGAGGATGAGGATGACACGAAAGAGAAGGCCGCTGAGCCCTCTGGTGATGGCCAGGAATCCAAAGAAGGTGAAGAAGAGGAACCCCAGACGCAGCGCCCCCGCAAGCGTGGCTATCCAATTTTGGCCTGTGATCACTCCGCCATTACCGGCGAATCCCTTGCTGTGGACCGTTACATGGGTGATGTGATCTTTTACACGACTGGATGCAAGCGTGGCAAGGCTTACGCCGTCGTCCAAACCGGCGCGAAGACTTCCTTTGTTGGCCGTACTGCCAGCATGGTGCAGGGTGCCAAGGGCGCGGGTCACTTCGAACTTGTCATGGATAACATTGGAACATCACTTTTGTTTCTTGTTATGGCCTGGATTCTTGCTGCTTGGATTGGTGGTTTCTTCCGCCATATTCCCATTGCCTCCCCAGGCGAACAGACGCTCCTCCACTACACCTTGTCCTTACTGATTATCGGAGTTCCTGTCGGCCTTCCTGTTGTGACTACGACTACCATGGCCGTGGGTGCTGCTTACCTGGCAAAGAAGAAAGCTATCGTGCAGAAACTCACTGCCATTGAATCTCTGGCCGTACGCTCAGCTCCTGAAATCGCAGTGAGACGCCTATGCTAACTGATTTTAGGGTGTGGATATTCTCTGCTCTGACAAGACTGGAACTTTGACCGCCAACAAACTGAGTATCAGGGATCCTTACGTGGCTGAAGGCGTCGACATCGACTGGATGTTCGCAGTTGCTGCCCTAGCGTCCTCACACAACGTTGAATCTCTCGATCCTATCGATAAAGTGACTATCTTGACACTTCGTCAGTATCCCAAAGCGCGAGAGATTTTGCGCCGTGGATGGAAGACCGAAAAATTCACGCCCTTCGATCCGGTCTCCAAGCGGATTGTTACTGTGGCTACCTGTGACGGCACTCGATACACTTGCACCAAGGGTGCTCCCAAAGCAGTGCTCCAACTCACGAAGTGCTCGAAGGAAACCGCTGATCTATACAAGTCCAAGGCTCAGGAATTTGCCCACCGTGGCTTCCGCTCTCTGGGTGTCGCTGTTCAAAAAGAAGGTGAAGAGTGGACTTTGCTTGGCATGCTGCCTATGTTCGATCCGCCTCGCGAAGATACCGCCCATACGATCAGCGAAGCTCAGAATCTTGGTATCAGCGTGAAAATGCTCACGGGTGATGCTATCGCTATTGCGAAAGAAACTTGCAAGATGCTGGCGCTGGGTACGAAGGTGTACAACTCCGATAAGCTTATTCATGGCGGACTTAGCGGCGCTATGGCTAGTGACCTAGTCGAGAAAGCCGACGGCTTTGCGGAGGTGTTTCCTGAGCATAAATACCAGGTCGTGCAGATGCTCCAGGAACGTGGCCACTTGACCGCTATGACCGGCGATGGTGTGAACGATGCGCCGTCTCTCAAAAAGGCAGACTGCGGTATCGCTGTTGAAGGTGCCTCTGAGGCTGCACAGTCCGCTTCAGATATTGTATTCCTCGAGCCGGGCCTTTCGACTATTATCGATTCGATCAAGGTCGCACGCCAGATCTTCCACCGCATGAAGGCATATATTCAGTACCGTATCGCTCTTTGCTTGCATCTGGAGATCTACCTCGTGACTTCGATGATTATCCTTAACGAGAGTATTCGTGTTGAGCTGATCGTTTTCCTGGCTCTGTTTGCTGATCTTGCGACTGTGGCTGTGGCATACGATCACGCCTCTTTCGAACTACGACCTGTGGAATGGCAGCTCCCGAAGATCTGGTTTATTTCCGTGGCTTTGGGTGTGCTTCTTGCGCTGGGTACGTGGGTTGTGCGCGGTTCCATGTTCCTTCCATCTGGTGGAGTCATCCAAAACTGGGGCTCTATTCAAGAAGTACTGTTCCTGGAAGTCGCTCTCACAGAGAACTGGCTGATTTTCGTGACTCGTGGTATCGAGACCTGGCCGTCCCTCCAGCTAGTGACCGCCATCCTAGGCGTGGACATTCTCGCCACAATCTTCTGTCTGTTCGGTTGGTTCACGAACGAGGACATGCGTACCAACCCAGCGGACCAGTTCGTCGAAACTAAGAACGGGTGGACGGATATCGTTACTGTTGTGCGGATCTGGGGCTACTCGCTGGGCGTGGAAATCGTCATTGCTCTCGTCTACTTCATCCTCAATAAGATCAAGTGGCTCGATAATCTCGGCCGTGCAAAGCGGAGCAAGGGTGAAATCAAGATTGAGAACTTGCTGGGCCACCTGGCCCGTCTCACGGTCGAGTATGAGGAGCCTGGGAGGGCAACAGGCCGATATTTCTTGGCTGCGAGCAAGGAGGAGGAGGACGTGGAGTAGAAAGCAAAATGAGGAATGTTTATGTGCGCCTAAGACTCTGCAAGAAGCACTGGATGCCAGAGGGATGTGCGGTTTCTCTGCACCCCTTGGCTCTTTTCCTCTTGTTGTCTAGGCGTCAGAGGATGTTTATGCTACTATGGCTCGTACTTTCGAGAGGGTGGTGGGTGCCGTGGTGTTCCTTTTCCACTCTTACCCTAATTTCTATGTAATGTTTGATCAGGCTGCTTTTCAGATATTCTAATCAAGCTCGGAATATACCGATCGTTCGATGCTCCTCCATGATAAGCTAGTGTTTCTTGCTGGACAGGCAGCGCGTTTCTTGGCCTTGTGGCCTCTGGCCTCCCTGCTGGAAGTACGGAAACCCATGGCGACTGGCCTATCTAGAGTGGGAAAGTCGATATCCAGCTATCGAAAGATTTTAGCATATTTAAATGTGATCTGATCATCCATCGGTGACTCCACTCAAAGAGCCACAAACAAAGATTCGTTGGGGAGTTTGATCGTCTTGGGGGTTGCTGATTTTCTTCGAGCGTACGAAGCGAGTTATCCTGAAGTAATCTTTCAACAACCATGGATCCAAGGCAACGGCAGGCTCCTAAGTGTGGACCACAGGTTGGCAGCATAGAACATCGGTGAATGTCCCTGTAGATGACATGTGCGAATAGTTCCAGAGGCTAGCTATCGTAAGATGGAATCTTTTCTTCATATATACCGGATAATGTCTGGCAATGCTTGGCTTTCCCTTTGCGTTTTGATGCTCACCCCTCGCCGCTTTTTGATTACTGGGTAAAATCTACGCAGGTGTTGTGGAGGGTAGCCTTTGTCCCATAGAACAGGTCATAAATCTTAAAGGGCATTGAGACAACCACCACCGCTCTGGATGCTACCACCACCCCCACCCAATCCCCCTGGCCCCACAGTATGACTGGAATATATTTCGGAGTCTAGATAACTTTGGTATTCGTCACATAATCACAAACAAAGTTGCCCATACTAAACGTCAAGTTTATTCTCCTCTTTTTTTGGGCCTCCATCCGGGCAACCTCCCCCTCGTCAAGATTGCAAATGATGTCTATGACGTAGCCATCAGCTATGCTGGTGCTAGCATAGAAAGATAGAGCCTTAGAGTATTCCTCCGGTAAGGAAACCCTGTATGACAAGGCATCCTCCTTAATAACGTCAAGCACAGTCATATTATTTGAGCCGCCCACGATACCATTTTCTACATCTCCGCCAATATGATACCGTGCCCAGACAGCATCACCATACCTCCCATCACGTATGGCGTCAACATATAATTGAGCCTAGGAGTCGTTTGCTATTCCTCGACGATTGTCTAGAACATCTTGGATTGAATAATCCAGGAATAGCTGCTCTGCCAGCTGATTTTCTAGAATGTTTGTACCCATAGCTTTGTCATATTAGCCTGTATTCAATAATTGGGAAGCGGACCAAATTTATGTCATCTCTAGTCTTGGTGCGGAATATATCACAGGATTGGGTGAAAGATCTGCCTTGTGCGAGTGAGAGGGGAAATGTTTTAAGGTAGGAACAGAGACAGCTTATTTGGTCGCGAAAAAGTTCGCGGCAGGGTAGGGCAAAGGCCAAATTAACCGTCCGTTATACAAATCTACCTTGTACTACAGTCCCGCTACGAGCAAATCTTCTAGGGCCGTCCGGTAACTTGGCCGCTTCTGGCACAGTCATGGGTCAGTCAGGATTACGGCTTCCTTCTTTGATCCGCTGATTCCACATCTTCGCCGACGCCCAATCCCCTACTTTCCAAATGAGGATCTAGCTTGAACTCCAGTCTCTAGTTTGCTTCTCTCACCCCAATGGTGGTGCGCTTGATAGATGTCAGTATCTAAGCGTGAGGTACTTCCGAGCGAATGGCTTATCATGATATAGTAATAAAATGAAAGAAAAGATCAGGATAGTGTCAATTTGAAGGCTTGGAATTAAATGCTACAAGAACGAAGCTGTAGTATACAGACAAAACTTGCGGAGAAGTTACGTAGCAGCCATGCGCGTCGTAAGCCTAATTACGTGTGAAGGGCTAAAACTAGTCTTGATTCAGACTAACTAGGGCTGGTTGCTGTTATCTAAAAGCTCAAGAAAGAAAAGTTGGAAGAGAAAAGAGAAGTAAACAGATAGGGCGGTCACATGCAACTTTTTTTGAAGGAATTTTATCGGTAGCTTTCGCTTTATCGCGAATTTTGTAACATAGCCAAAAGAAAATTCTACCTTAGAGCCCAGAAAGAAAGAGAGAGAGAGAGAGAGACGTGGGGAACGTAGAGGAGAAATAAGTAAGGGGAGGCTTGGTCAAATGGGTGGCTCGACAACTGGCTGGATTTCCGAAGAGGAAGGAGACGTTACCACGCCCTTTTGACCTCGGGAGGCTACAGAACCCTGTTGCTTCGAAATTTGCTTTGAAGGAGTCAAAGAAGTGTGTTGCAAAGTTGATATGGATAGGTACTGTGAATGAGCAAAAGAAAATTTTAGGTATGAGTGGACGGCAAGACACCCATCTACCATAGCTTCATGCCCTACAGATCATAGATATATAGCACTGCACAAGTTTAAGATTCTATATCCGAATTTATGAAAATACACAAGAGGGATAGTGATTCTTCGATCTACAACAGGGAAATTCATACCATCTTAATGGCGCCAGGCGGGAAATGAACTCTGGAATCTCTGCCCATAAAGCGGGGAGTTCCGTGGAACATGAAATCATGATCATGACACTATTTTCTCCCGTTACACCACTTTCATAACACATACTCTCGTGTTTAGCCAACATCGCCCATTTATTTGGCCTTGCCAGTGGGGATGTTGAAGAAGACAGCCGGAGAACCAGGAGTGTACGCTCGGTCGACGCGGTAGAAGCCCTTGCGGTCGAACTGCATAATGTCACCCTCCTTGAACTGGGCGACATTGCTGTCAGCCACAGCAGACTCGCGGGTCTCGGTGTTGTAGTTGAGGACATCCTCAAGGACGTCATCCTCGGTCAGAGAGTCCTTCGTCAGCAGGTAATCGAAGTCAACCAGCTCGACGGGGACCAATTCGGGACCCTCTGTCGCCAGCCAGGTGACCTTCTTCTCGGTCTTTTTGACATCACCCTGAGGGTTCAGCTCGAGATCAAGGTGGGTGACGTTACCAGTGGCAGAGTCGGTGGTAATCTTACGCACGAAGGCGTTGCCCCAGTTCATGAGGGTGATCTCCTCATCCTGCTTGAAGGACTTGGCGTCGACCTGCTCCAGAACAACGTCGGGGGAGAAGGCGACGGTCTTCATGCCCACGGCGGCGTTCTTGGCGTGCCTGGGCTTCTCCTCCGTGTACGGAGCAGGGGCGTTGCTGACAGTGGCCTTGACGATGTCCTTGTTCAGGATGGCGGTGTGACGGGGAGCAACAGGATCAATGTACTTCTTGTTCGTGGCCCAGATAAGAGCCCAGTCGAACAAAGTCACCGCCCGGGACGGACCCTGTTTAAGGATGAACTCCCGCAGGGCCGGGATAGTCATACCGCGGCGGCGAATACCACGGATGGTTGGGAAACGAGGGTCGTCCCAGCCCCAGACCACACCGCTCTCAACCAGCTTGGTCAACTTACGCTTGGACAGCAGAGTGCGGATGAAGTTCATGCGGGCAAAGTCCCAGACTTGGACGTGGCGGAGCTTGAGCGCATCCTGCATCCACAGGTACTGGGGGTTGCGGTCACGGTACTCAATGGTACGCAGAGCGTGGGTGACACCCTCCATCGAGTCCACAACGGGGCAGGCAAAGTCGTAGGTGGGGTAGATCTTCCACTTAGCTCCAGTACGGTGGTGCGGGGTCGGGTTGCATCGGTAGATAACGGGGTCGCGCATGGCCTTGTTCTTGTCATCGAAAGAGATCTTGGCACGAATGCACCAGCGAAGACCCTCGGGGGTTGACTTCTTCATCTCCTCAAGACGGGTCAAGCTCTCCTCGGGAGAGAGCTCGCGGCGCTGGCTGGGGATTCCGTCCATGCGTTGAGCAGCCATAGTCTCCTTGTCAGTGTCATCAGCATAGGCATGACCGGTCTTGATCATCTCAAGGCAGTAGTCATAGAGCTCGTCGAAGTAGTCGCTAGTGTAGGACACCTTGTTGGGCTTGATGCCCATGAGAGCAAGGTCCTCAACGATAGCATCCTGGAACTCCTGCTTCTCGTTTGAGGGATTGGTATCATCAAATCTTAACAGATAGTCAGCATTGATATACATATAAACATATATGTTTCGCAGATGGTGAGTATTCATACCGGAGAAGAAGAGTACCGTTGTACTTTTCGTGGGCAAAGTAGTCGTTGAGCAGAGCCGCCTTGGCGTGACCAATGTGGAGGTAGCCACTATATTAAGTCGTTAATTGGCTGTATAACATATGGAGGCAAATTACTTACGAGGGCTCCGGCGGGAAACGAGTCACAACGCCGTTCTCGGTGTTGCGAAGAGCGATATCGTAACTGGCACCGGCCTTGGCCTTGGCCACCTTGGTCTCCTTGGCGGCAGCGTTCAGAGCCTCAATAGCGGCAGTAGTCCAGGGACACAGCTCCTCTAGAAAACGGTACCAACGGGTCAGGTTGACGAGGGAACCCTTCTTAAGTGCCGCAACGGCGACACGGTTGCCACGCAGAGCACCCCACAGGGCGATATCGGCAGTTGAGAGGGAGTATCCACAGATGAAAGAACGCAGAAGGAGGTGGGTGTCGAGCTTCAGGAGAATGGGATCGAGGGCCTTAAAGTCGAGAGTGTTTAGCGTGTCCAGCTGGGAAATCCACTCATTCTCCTAGAAGTGCATTGCGTTAGATAGGTGAGTCCAAAAAAAAAGTGAACAGTATGGCGGGGTAGCTCACAAGCTTGGTCTCCTTGCCGGACAGGAACGGGAAATGAGCGCACAGCTCCTGGATGGCAGGAATAGTGCCGAAGACAGACTTTCCACCAGTAGTGAGCTGCAGAATGGCCTTGTCGCCTTCATTGAGAAGGGCAGTATCCTCATACGTGATGTTGATCACAGGAGTGGAACGAGCCTCATTGATGGAGGTGGCGATGAGGATCACCGGCAGCAGAGCAGCATGGCTACCGCGGGTGGCCACGGTCAAATCAAATTGGGTCATTGTGCCTGTTGTTCTGCACACACGAGTGTATGACTCCAGCGGAAATTCAGCGGAGGGGCACTCATCGCGATCCGCGGCCGGCGGGACGTTTCTCCGCGGCCGAGAGCTGTCCGTCAGAAAACAATTGCATGGCCCCGTCGTGTGCTCATTCCACGCCTGCCAGCCATGTCGTCCTACGGCGCTGTATTGCCCACCGCGGCACGCAGCATCCTCTCATCATGCCGTTCAGCATTACGGGAGAAGTCAATTGCCCCAGCTTTCTCCGTTTATCAGCAGGTCCGAGGTGCGAAGAACAACCCGCAAGCCAAGGGCAAGGGGAAGAAGGAAACCAAGCCGGACCGGAGAGGCCCTCGTGAATTCCGACAAAAGAACTTGAAGGATATGGAGCAGTACACACTTTGTGATGCGATGCGGTATGTATGCCCATACGTAACCCGACGAGTTTACCGGTGGTTTCTGGTTCATTTTTTGACATCGTCTCTTTCTCCGCAGCTACCTCCGGGCAGTTGAAGTCGGCCGCGAGCCCACAGCATCGAAATACGAAGTACACATTCGCCTGCGCACAAGGCGGGATGGCCCCGTTATCCGAAATATGATCCGATTCCCCCATGCCGTCCAAACCGAATCCCGCATCTGCGTCATCTGTCCGCCAGGGTCGAAGCAAGCAAAGGAAGCGCTCGCCGCCGGAGCAGTCCTGGTTGGCGAAGATGATGTTTTCGAGGCCGTCAAGGCTGGTAAGATTGAATTCGACCGTTGTCTTGCGCACCCCGACAGTCTGCCGGCGTTGAACAAGGCTGCTCTGGGTCGGATCCTTGGTCCCCGTGGCCTTATGCCAAGTGTCAAGACTGGTACGGTGGTGGAAGATGTTGCCTCTCGCGTGGAAATGCTACGTGGAGGTACCGTTTACAGAGAGCGCGATGCCGTCATCCGGCTTCCGATCGGCCAATTGGGCTTTTCTCCAGAGCAACTGCGCGACAACCTGCGCACCACCATTGAGCAGATCAAAAAGGACGCTTCTGCGCTGAATGACCGTGTTAACAAAGAAATCTACGAAGTGGTGGGTGCCTCTACACTTATTCTTCTCAGTGATTGCAACTAAATCTCTCGATTAGGTTCTGAGCTCTACCCACGGCCCCGGATTCAGTCTGAACGGCGAGTTCAAGACGGACGACTCGCCTGCGACCTCTGCCTTGACTGGCCTGTAAAATTACCTTGTCTTATATTCATCTTGGCGTGTACAGATTTTGTTTTATTAGGAAAGGACATGGTGTATCATGGTATCATTTCTGTTTAATAGAGACTCGCATAAACCTGAACGCCGACGCTATGCAACTCCCCACCCGTACTCCAAATTCGGTGGAATAGTAAAAGGTGATCTAGATTTTGAGGTTCTTGAGCGTGGCGACAGCGCTCATGTCCTCGCCCATCATGTCGTAAAGATGCAGGACTGCCATTGTCCGTGCATCACGCTTGTCACCCGCATGGCTAGCCTGTTCCAACGCAGTCTTCAAGTCCAGAAGAACGGTCGACCTGACCTTTGCCACACGCGGTTGCTGTGCAATAAGGAATGGATGATTCTCGCCCACTCGTTCGGCAATCGCGGACAAGAATACGTACTTCTGCACATGACGCTCAAGCCGTTTCAATGATACCGGTGCGGCTCCATCCTGCAATTCCTCTTCGTCGCTGTCGTCACTGCCACTGCCATACAGATCGGACTCCGAATCGGACTCGTCATCAGCCGGAACATCCTTCAGTGAGGTGGATTTGTCCGCGATGATCAATCGGTGCTCCAACTCTTCCACCCTGTCCGCATAATCCAGAAGATCTTTGCCTGTGTCGGCTTGCGTCCGCAGTCGCCTTTTTTCATTCAACAGTCCCTCTACCTCCTGGCGGCGGGCTTCCACTTTATCCCGAATTGATTGAACATCTCGCTGGAAGGACAACAGGCCCACCTTCACGCCTTCAATCTTCTCCTCCCCTCCGCGCAGCGCGGTGCCGAGTGACAAGAAGTCCTGGTAGTTCTCGTTGACCAGGTCCAGCAGCTCTCTGTTCAACAATTGCTCCAGGCTCCGCAGCTCTTGTCGCAAGTCTTCTAGGCTTTGATGCCGATTCGTCAAGGAGGAGAGAAAGACAGCCGGGTCAAAGTCAGGGGCCAGAAAGGAGGTTCGAGATAACGGCTCGGGGAAAGGCAGGCCGGAGGGGTCCTCGTCGAAGTCGGAGGCAGACTCGTCCGAGTCGCCAAACTGGACAGATTAGCTCAAATTCCGAGATTGACGGAGCATCACAAAACCTACACGGAAACGGTTCATGGTGTGCCGACTCGCACGCGGGTAAGTAGCGGTGCAGATGATGCTGAGTGGTGGAGCTTCGAGGCCAACCATGTCCGGTCTTGGCGTTTGTTTGGGCGAACGGCCCTCGCTGGACTGACTTCCTCATAACCTTCTCACCTTCAGCATGAGTTGTCACTGTCTGCCTCCCGGGCCTTGAGATTCGCCCAGACTCTGCCAACGCATCAGGAGCGTGTGCACCTGTGCATGCGACTTGCGACGCGCCTTGCCTTGTGAGGACTCGGTGGACGTGTTCCCTCCCCGCAGACAGATATTATTCCCGAGCGGGGTTGCCCCCAGGCTGCGCTGTCCTGCATTGACGCGAAGGGCTTCGGTATCCGCATTGGTGAGTACGAAATGGAACCGGACGCGCTGTCGGCTCGCTGGGACAGCAGTCGGCTGTCCTTGTCGTCCTTCCCTCGACAAGGATGGCCCCGACTGTCTCCGTCCTACGCGCCTCCGTCAGGCGATGCCGGCCCCTCGCACCACGCAAGCTGGCGGCACTACGACCCGTCTGCAGAAGACGAGTCACTTCTCGCGCATCGCTCTTCGACCCTGCGTCAACTGCACGGAGACTCCCGACCGTGGTCTCGACAGGACCGCTCTGCTAATCCAACCTCTACCCGGCCGTCTACTTTACCAACGCAGCCGGTCCTGGTCAGAGCGTATTCCGAAAATGCGGACGAGCCGACCGGCAAGCCATCAAGCATGTCTCCGCGCCGACTGTTCCCGTTTACGGGGTCGAGGGGTTCGTTTTGCCCTCGTCCATCTGGTCCGACGCTCCCGTCGGATAAAGACTTCAGTATCGATAGCATACTGCAGGCCATCGACCCCGATATCTGTGGAACACTGGACTCGATCGCCGAGATCTGTGGACGCAGCAAGCTAAGTCTTGCCAATGAGTATGGGAGCCACATCGCTCCGTTAGGTGAGATTCGTGCTCCGCCAGGTGGCTTGGTGCCGGTCGAAGAGGCTAGCTCGAGCGATGAACGTCACGCCGATGAAGGCGTGGTCATCTTCGATGATGACCCCGGTACATTGGATACTGGCCGTGATATGCATCCATTTTCCTTCTATCGGTATCTGGAGACCCTCCGGCACGCTGCATCCGCGTTGGAACGCAATGGGGCATCGACCTCGTTGATGGCTATACAAGCAAATGCTGCTCAGTCTGCCATCACAAAGTCTCAGTTGGATACAGCTGTTGAGATGGAAAGAGCTGCATTACCAATCACTCGCGAGTTCTTCTCAGGTCCAAAAAATTCTGGCCGAGACCTCCTGGGCAAGCACAAGCTCTCTGGCCGTACCGACCAGTCTTTGGAAGATATAGCTACCCCAGCTCTTGTATCAGAAGTTCATCTCTATGCGCGAGCAGGTGAGCAGCACAGTGCAGCTGAACCACGCTTTCCTGCGCGTGCGCACAATCCTCATGGTAGCCAAACGTCGGACGGATGGAACACCTCCGATGTTGTCCAATCTCTCCTTGGCTGGCTGAAATGGACTACTCGAGTCGTTGAGCCAGACTCTCGACCCGCTCTACAATCCGCAGAGGATCGTTTACGAGCGATGCTCGAACGGTCAGCCGACGAGCACATATCTTTACCAGCAGCGTAGTCTGCCAGCGGCTCTAGATTGACATCTCCCTGCCTTATAATGAGTAATGATGAATGATAAGTTAATGATAACGATTACGATATGCAACGAATGTCAGATATTCCTATGTGTGCAAACACGCAGCGCAATCTAACGCAATCTATCAAGTCTTTTCTTTTCCTGGAGTTATAACCGTTTCCATAGATGATCGTCAAAGGGTAGCGGATCAGTATGCACAAGGACAAACCACACCCTAAGCAATGCAATGCGACTGGCAGACACAGTTAAATCGCTGAAAACCCCGAACGCCCCCTAAATTTTCGTTAAACACAAGAACTTATTGCTGAGCCCCAGTCGTGGCCTGCACGCCTCCGATTATAGTCCGCGCGAACTCCTCAAATCGAGGGTACGACCAGCCTTCCTTGTACTTTTCCACAAGGGGCCTGGTGTCTGGCTCAGCGAGAGCTTCTGCGGGTTTGTCTTGTCCCGTCATATCTTCATACTCGTCCTCGTCGTCACTCCCCGCCTCCATGTTGCCTTCAACCAGCTCTCCGAACTTCACATCGACAGGCACTCGGCCCAAGAACGGAATGCTCAACTGCTGCGCCATAACCTCTCCCCCACCGCTGGAGAATAGATTACTCACTTCGCCGCAACACGGACATGCGTACCCGGCCATGTTCTCAATGACGCCCAGAACGGGGATGCTAGTCTTGACACAGAAATTGGCTTCCTTGCGCACGTCGGAGGTAGCGACAGCTTGTGGGGTTGTAACTAGCACCGCACCCGTAAGGTGAGGAAGGTTTCCCTGTGCAGCAGCGGCGGCGTCCGTTGTGGAGAGAGTGAGGAGCTGCTCGGCCAGCGCGATATGCTCGTCGCTTGTACCAGGCGGGGTATCAATGAGCAAGTAGTCCGTTACCCCCCAAGACACGTCTGACAGAAATTGGCGAATCATAGCGGTCTTCTTCGGTCCTCGCCAGATCACGGCGTCTCCGCGGTCTCGGAGCAGGAAACCGAGGGACATGCAGCGGAGGGAGCCGCGGGGTTGTGGTGATGCTGAGGATGATGAAGCGGAGTCTGATTGTGTGGTAACAGCATCATGGACCGGTACAGGTAGCCATCCGCCTGGAGATTGGGTAATCTTGGCATCTTCGAGGCCGACGAGTCTTGGGATTGAGGGACCTGTCAGGTCGATGTCGAGGATTCCGACGGATTTTCCCTGGAGGGAGAGCGCGAGGGCTAGCTGGAGGGTCACCGAAGATTTGCCGACACCTCCCTTGCCAGAGAGTACCTGTGGCACCAGTCGGTTAGTGCTTGCTTGATGGGCATAGTGGCTTTGCGGGTTGCTGGTGGCTCGCATCTCGCCCACCGTGCATTCGTTATCGATAAGCTGGTGGGCGAGGGGCAAGAGCCTGCACAGATTTTGCTTGGGCGGGGAGGCGCATTGTTGTCGCGCGAAACACTCACCAGCACAATATTCTTGACCCCATCTAGAGGCATCTTTCCGCAGGCAGAGGGATGTCAAGAAGGGGAAAAGTAGAGACGATGACGGATATAGCTTTAAGTGGGGAGCCGACCTCGGACGCTTATCAATCGCCGCCCTCTGACTAAAACATGCGCTGCGGGTGGTTCGTACACCTTCTACTGTGTATGTGGAATTTCAAACTCATTAGGTAGAAGTTTTTGTATTGATGGAATGTCTGGCATAGCTAACCTAGCCATCATAATGGCGTCGTAATTCTACCTGTTGTATCTGCGAATAGGCGTTCGGGGAGTGATCTACCTCCGCCGTCACTCACTTTTGAAGGCAACTCAGCAAGAAAGGGATTATTACGGCACGCTGTGTGCTAAGTCCACTTCTGGATAACCACTCCACCCCGCTTGAACTCGGGTAGGTCGGCAAGCGTCACGTCCCATTCGTTGAGCTCCTTGCTAGGGAATGTAGTCATCAGCACCCACGCACGGTCCCGGCCATCTGGGGTGGCGGCTGCAACGAAGGAGTAGACATCGCCGATAGTGGCGGTGGTGTTGAAACGGGAGGTCAATCGAGTGCCATCCCCTAGGCGCACCTGGAGAGTGACCGTCGGTTGTGACTCGTCCACTTCGGGCTTGGGTGGCCCAGATGTAGAGGGAGGGGCGGCGGCTGAGGACGGTGTAAAGGCCTGGTCTTGTACTCCCTGTACTCCAGGAGTCGGGCTACCGAGCCGTTGTCCGGCACCCGAGAAAGGCTTGTACTTTGGCTTGGGCTTCACGTATTTCTCATCGTGCTGCTTCAGCTCGACATCCACTTCTTGCCCCGCTTGAACATTCATAATGGTCAAGGGGGCGCGACCCTGGCGGATGCCTTCCAATATCTCAGCATTTCGGGGATCGTCAGAACGGTACAGGTCGCCATCATCGACGGAGAAACCATCGGCCCAGAAGTGAAGAGTGCGATGGACTCGCTGCGGGCGCTGCGGCGCAGGTCCGGAGGGGTCTTCAATGACTCGGCTGGGAGCCTCGTCACCACCGAGGGTACGAGCGGTGCCTGTGAAGTGAGATTGTCGGGAGTGGGGCTCATCAGATGGGGGAGGTTGCGCTCTATTCATGTAACGGTCAGTAGAAGGTCCAATACCCCTTGCAAGCACTGCGAGAAGCTTACCTCCGGGCCTTTTCGAGAATCTTTCTTTTCAAATCGTCCGGGTTCTGCACGGCTAAGCCTGACTTCTCTCCACCAGCGAAGAAATCCTGGTTCTCAGAGCCATCATCGGAAGTTGAGTCACCGCCGCTCCCTGCGGCAAAGTCTCCCAATGTCGCAAATTTCTTCTTTGGCATCGCGCGTCCGCTCGATGACGAAGACTGAGGCACACTCGAGGATGGAGCTGGGACAGCGCTTCCGTCTAGAGAGCGACCTCCTGCAGCTGTCCCAGCAGTCTCAGCACCCAGCCGCCGGCCACCGCCAGTGTTCATGTCCTGCAAGGCCTCATCCTGCTCCGCAAAGAATTCCGTTACGGCTGCTTCCACATCCCACCCGTTGGCAGAAAGATATTCTTGAGCCTGAAGATAAACGTCAGGAAGTTAGTTACGCGTTGTAGAGGTATGATAAACGAGGTACATACTTCTGCAGGCTGAGTACCTGTCATGTTACAGAACTGAGACACGACCTCGTCGTGGTCTGCGGGGCTGTGGTCCATGCTTGAGCTAAATGGACGCTTCCTGATGGGAGATAGGTAAGGGGGTATGACAGCAGGGCTTCTGTCGTAATTAGGACAAGGTATTGCGTGAGGTGCGGTAGGCGGAAGGAAGTGTAGAAGTGTATATTTGAGAAATAACCAAAGCTGAGTCGGGCGAGCCAGCTAAACACCGCGGCAGGTACGTCACTCGCAATTCGTCAGCCGGACCGAAGGATTTTCCGGTCATTCGACGCCTGGGGCCTAGCTGATCTATAACACCTCGATCTCATGGAAACATAACAACTTATGCAGGCAGCAAAGAGCAATACAAAAACTGAGGCCATGAGTGATGAGCTAAAATTCTATCCCACCATATTTCCCGGTCAAGCGTATCCTAACTGTTGACACATACAAATTTCTTGTATATTCGTGCATTGCCCTACCTGGTTTGGGAGAGAGACAACGGGCTCTCGGAGCCCAGAAAAATGTACGATTCATCGTGAAGCTATTCAAATGATAAGAGTCCGTAGTCTTCATATATACCTATATTATCTGTAATATTGTGAAGACTCGTTGGGCTGGGACTGCTACTGTAGCTGGCCCCGCGTCCCCTAGTTAGTTAAGGTTGGGGTCGATTCGCTGACATAATCCACACGCTCTCTCCAACGAGGAGAACCCCGGCCCTCGGGAGCTATTGACCATACGCCCGCTTCCTGTTCTCAGGACACCTTCTCCCTATGCACATTCGAGATTATCTTTCCTCTTGAACCCTGCGACTATACCTCATTTACCATCGTCCATGGCTTCCGACACCACCGGCTCGCGAGTCGAGCTGTACGACTCGACCATGACCGTCCCTTCCGACTCGGAAAACTACTCGGCAAACAACGAGATGACCTCTTCCCCCCCCCTCAACCTCCAGTTCTCCCATGATTCTCTACAAGCCACCGACAATCTGGGGTATCCTCCGTGGTGCAGCCATCAACCTTGTTCTACCATTCGTGAACGGTTTGATGCTGGGCTTCGGTGAACTATTCGCACATGAAGCCGCCTTCCGTCTAGGCTGGTCCAACACCAAGGTCCGTAGAGATTACAATGCAACATGACGTGTAACTCATGGAAACTGACTCATTATTTCGCCTCCAGATCTTCCCGACATACCGCCGCGCACATCCAGTGGGCCCAGGAGTCGAAATTCGGGACCTTCCTTCGGAGCGCAGGCGGGCCACCTCCGCTGCTGGCTTGAATGACACCTCGGCCCTGGAATAAAGAGTGATCCTTTGACCGAGTGCCTGGCTTTATGGGAATACCATTTACCCGAAATCAAGACCTGCATTTATATGGGGAACACAAAACTGGTACATGTTTAATTGGAGAGATACCTGGCCTTTGGTCAACACCTGGATGGAGTGCATGTACATAAGACTGCTCAGCCGGCGTCTGGCGAACTGGATTTGCATTTCATATATATATTTTAGAACCTTGCCATTTACCATGCGATCCCGCCGTATGTCCATATGATATCTAGGTCGCACTGCTCCCTTACCCGGACTTTCTCACAGCCAGCTCCATAGGGTTCGGGTCCTTCTTCGGCTCTCAGCGTCTCGTTCCGTGTAAACGCTCTTAGGCCTCTTCTCTTGGCGCCCTCCCCAAGCTAGATTGTATGGTTTCAAGCCTAGCCTTCATTAAATGCCATGTCTTTAGCGTCGCGATGTGGTAAAGGCATTATTTGGGGTACAGACTCACGGCGCTCACTGTGTTCTGGGGGACAAAATTTAAGGAATAAAGAAGCCGTGGCTGATAAAATGTCTTTTCAGTTTAGAACCCTTTGGCTTTTCATCCCAACAGCACAGGCCTCGAGGAAATAGTGCTTGCTCAAACTATGATTGGTCATGAGAAAGCCTTCCAAAAGAAAAGGAAAAACTTGACTTTATCGGCCTATTAGACACCGCCGACTCATAACTCTCGCATGTCCCCTCAGGAGGAATAGTATATAAGAGCGGCGGGAAGGCGAGGACGTTATAACAGCAACAGTAATAGAATCGTTTCAGAAGGCGAAGAAGCCAAATCCGTCTACAATGTTTTTGCCTTACCTTGATATGTCTTGATAGTCTTCGTTTGTTAGATTTTTTCTCCGCTTTGTAAGAATGACTGACGCGTAGGTGGTATCTGCTTACGCACACTACCTTTTGGAAGATTTCAGCGATACGCTCAATGAGAACACTAGCCACACTTCTAGATTTCGCCATCTAATAGTCTATAGGTGGCATCTTCAGTATGGTTTCAGTATGGGTTTTCAGTGACTATGATGGGACGCGGTTACTTGTCTCGCCTAGGACCATTATGCCGTTCCAACTGCCGCAGACTCAGCACGCACATCACAAGGTAATGCAAATAGATCTATATTATCTTAAAGGATGAACAAGTTATCAATTGGGCTTTTCCGTTGCCAACTCGGTTGTTTGTTCCATACCGTAGGTAGTTGAAAAAGATTGTATCTTTTTGGCCTCTGTTTAGCTTGTCCACATCCAATTTTCACCGTTGGATAGATATATTTCAAAGGCCGCGCCCCAGGCCGCTGCCATTCTGACCGAGTCATAGAGAGTCTGAAAATTCATTTCTCAAAATCCCCCCTTTTCAAGAGGACGATTCTGGGGTTGCGTTTTAACCACTATGAGGATCGTGCGCCGAGACCTGTATGCTCTGGACATACCTAGTATACCCTAGGAACTTGTCCCTTCCAGCCTCTTGAAGAGAGGGAGATTTAGGATATTCTGAGCCCCCAGTTTAGCAATATAGTGGAACACACATTATTGAACTGGGAGGCTTATTTTGGCCTCGACCACTGCAGCTTAGCAAGAACAGTCCAACAGATATTGGCATTGATATTGACGGCGCACATCAGGGCGGTCGAAGCTCAACCAGCAGTTACCTGTGAAGCATTTTGCCATGTCTTCCGTGATTCAGCAATTTTTGTGAAGCTTCGAAAGGAAACTGATTTAGCAGTCGGAAGTTCAGGTGGTGGATAAGGTGTAATGTACGGAGTACTTTCACTGCCAAGGAGCAGTCCGTTGTCGGATGTTTACCCGGCCGGTCTCCGCCCGGCAGAAAAAAGTCTCCCTAAGATGCCGAGAGAGTCGCGATGGTCCGCCCGTCCTGTCCGCTCTTATATCACTTTCTCTCTCGATTTCGGCCACAATGATGGGAGCTGCTGGTCTGAAAGGACCCGGTGCAGCCGCCATGTTTGCGCGGCAACGGCTCACTGCGGTTCCTCGGTCCACGCGATCGGTTTGTCATGTGTGGTACTCCCGGAAAGGCATCTCATATTGACGGGTCTGGCAGATATCTACCTTCCGGCCTCAGCGCTTCCAATCCCCCGGCCAGAAGAGTCATTTGACTCTCACTTCGTCAGGCAGTGCCCGCTGGCATTTTGCCTCCGTCGCTGCTGGCCCGGCTGCGATCCGTTTCAACTCGACTTCATCCAATCCGACTCCCAGTCCCGTTTCCGAAACGTCCACGCCAATTGATCCGTCGTATATTGGTTATGATATCTCGGAAATCCCTGAAAAGATTGGATACCTGAAGGAACTCGGGTTGGATTATGGCTGGGGTCCATCATCGATGCTCCAGTATGTGATTGAGCACCTTCACATGTGGACGGGCATGCCTTGGTGGGCCAGCATTGTCGGTGCTGCGATATTGGTCCGCGTCGGTTTGTTCAAGCCGACTATGGGTGCTTCCGATACGGGCGCTCGGACACATAACGCAAGACCTGTCATTGACCCGATACGTCAAGAAATGATGAAGGCCCGGCTTAATGGGCAAACGCATGAGTTCCAGATCAAAAAGGCCCAACTCGATAAGATTCAGGCGGAGCACGGTATCAAGTCTATCAAAGCCTTAATTCCCATGTTGCAGATTCCACTCGGCTACGGCATCTTCCGTGTCGTCCGGGGCATGACCTCTTTGCCTGTGCCGGCGCTGCTGAGTGAATCTGCTCTGTGGTTGAATGACCTGACCGTGGCGGACCCATTCTACGCAATCCCAGTCATCACGGCCGGCTGCTTGTATATGACACTTAAGGTTCGTTCGCGCCCGCCCCCACAATGGTGTTAAGTACGGACTCTAATAATTAGCACAACAGAAAGGAGGCGAGACTGGCACCATGGACATTCTCAACACCTCTGCGGGTAAAGCGATGCTGATCGGTCTCCCGGCGATTTCTTTCACCTTCATGGCTTTCCAGCCAGGAGCTCTGCAGCTCTATTTCCTGTCTACCGGTCTCCTGGGTCTTGCCCAAGCGCACATTATTAACAACCCTAAGTTCCGCAATATGATGGGCATGGCGATCCCTAAGAGGCATGAGCAGTCGCAAGCGGACATGACCAACCTGGAACAGCTCCAAGCTCGATTGGCAGAGCTTCAAGCCAACCCAGAAAAGGTTAAGCAACCCGAGCCAACCGACAACAACATCAGCGGAATCGACCGGGTCCAAAAGAATATCAGCAGCTGGGGCGAAAAGGCCAAGCAAGAGGTTTCGGACAAGTGGAGCGAGGTGAGGGGCAACACAACCAAAAATGCTGATGGCTCGCGCGCAGCTAAGCCACGTCTCAGTGAGGAGGACCGACGAGCCGCAGAGAGATATGAGCAGGAAGCAAAGTCACGAGAGGCCTACGAACGCGAGGAGCGCAACCACGCGCGTCGGAGCGCTCATATGAGGGCCCTTGCGGCCGAGAGACAGAAAGCCCAAGATTCTCTCAAAAGATATCAGCAGGCTGCGCGCAGCAGCCAGTCAGGGAGAAAGTGATCTTCCTCATTGTGTATAAACTGTAAAATATGGCGCTTTAACTCTGGCATTCTGTGTTTTCCTGTATTACAGAAATAGAATCTGTTTTGACCACTCTCTATATATATTCCTTGATGCGTGATAGCCATATCAAAATAAGCAATATAGCCAGATTTTGATATGCATTCCATGGATGCTTCCCAGGTAGGCTAGCAGGGCCCAATGCACCAAATCACTCCTGAATTGGAGCAAGCCCTAGCTTACTTGCCTGCTAATATGGCTACCACCTGTCGACTAATTATTCACAGATGCAGAGAGTGAGCGCAATTTGACAAACAGAAAGAAAAGGCTCGCTCATGTAGTTCGCATAGGAATCGAAACCGCCGGCAACGGCAACGGCGTATTCTCATCCTCTTCAAAAACTGCTCGCTCCAGCTTCTCGGTCATAGACGCACAGAACGGATCGACATATGCTGTCCAAGCAGCTGCAAGTAAATACACCAATCCAATCCATATCGGTATACTGATGGTAACCACCCACGGTGGACGCAGCGGCAGCCAGTCTCGCTCATCATCGGTGCCGGCCTCGCCTCCTTCCCAGGGCTGGCCGCTAGTTCCGTACAGCATCCAGCAGAGGACGACGCGCAGCATCGTGCCGTGGATGAGGTAGACTGCGAAACTTTGCTTCCCGAGCCAAAGCAGTAGTCTATTGGCCAAAAACTCTTTGGTTGAGGGAGATAGGTAGATTGCGAAGATAATGAGGTCCACGCCGAGGGCTGAATAGCGCTTGCCGACATTGATGTCTGGTGGGAAGATGTACTGTGAAACTTCGAACATGAAATTGGACCAAGGCATCCATTCTGGGTGTTCACCAGGGTAGGAGGCGATCAAGAGCCCCGCGATCGTGAGTGGGATGGTGATGAGCTTTCGAGCATAACGATGATTTTCCACCCAGTTCTTAAGGGCGGTGGTATAAGAGAGATCGCTGAGAAGTGTGCCATAGACAGCTTGCATCTGGAATGTTTCTGGTCGATTGTTAGCAGGCTGAATCGTATGGCGCTGATGGGTTTTAGCTCCCGCTGTGGACGCTGCACATCTGTATAGTTCGCGGGGCACTCACCAGTATCTTTCGCGGCATCTTGATGAAAATACAGCAGCATCCCGATGTAAACGGCCATTCGATATCGGAATTGCATAAACATGGTCACGAAAAGAAGGATGTAAACCAGCATCGAAGCCTGTAATAAAGGCAAAAGTGCCCACTGGTGGTCATCGTACGCCATATACCCCGTCGTCCACGTCGACAAAAAGTTATGCCCTAACCGGACAATCTCTTTCCACAGAGAGTCTTCCAAGTCTGGAGCTGCATAACGGCACCACCAGCAGTCAGACCGATTGGCAACAATAAATCCGCCGAATTGGGCGACAGTCCACGAGATGATCAAGGCGATGGTCGCCGGGAAAATAAGTCGTGGAGGTCGTCGGAACGCGCTTTTTGCGATGGTGGTGAAGGCGGCGGTTGTATCGCCGGCCCGAGAGAGCTTCAGTGGCTTCAGCGAGCAGACATAGCCGGTCAGAAATGCGAAAATAGTGACACCGATGCGACCTTGCCAGGGGATGCGTAGGATAGGCCATTGTAGGATCCGTGGTGGGACGTCTTCGGTGTCTCGGGGAGAAAAGAGGTTATAGTCCCAGGCGCGAGCGAGGTGTGTTAATACTACTAGGAAAGAGGCGATTCCTCGAAAGCCCTAAATAGAAGAAATGAGGTTTTAGCGAGAAATACCAGACTGATTAAAATGTCCAGGAGACATACATCGATCCATTTGACGCTCTTTCGAGGATCGCCTTTCGCGGAAGAGTCCCCTTGATTCCATGGCAGGACCGCTGGAATCGTGTCCTTTAAACGAGTGTATAATTGAGAGGAAGATGGAAAGACGGGCATAACGCTTTATGAGGATGGGTATTCAATTTGAATCAATAATAATGTATATGTAGGGGTTCAGGCGCTTAGAAGAGTATCATATCCCCACGAGAAACAAGAGAGATACTTAGGTTGACCCAGCTGTGAAAGGTCACCTAGGTAGCCGAAACGAGTGGAATAATACAAAGAGAGGCACACAGGAAGAATAGAGGGACAACAAAATCAAGCAGTCCAGAAGGAAATCAAGCTCTGGTATAGTTCCACGAGCAAGGCACACGCCAAGAAAGAAGGGGGACCAACACACACTGAGCCCCCAGGCCCCGACAAGGTAAGTAGATAGACAAAGGGTTCCTGCATCGCACGAGCCAATGGACAAGCCCCGTTACGCAATGGTAAGCTTCTCATGCCTCTGAATGACCGGCCCAGAAGTGACGAGATATGCTTCGCCGTGGCTAGGGGGGATCACATAGCGCCGATCAGAATCCAAATATTGTGAGCCCAGGTATGCCAGAAGGGGATGGGAGGCTGGTAAGCAGTCATTTTATGGAAGCAAAAGGAAGGAAAGGGTGATGCAGCGGAGGGCGTTGGGCCCTTGCAGCAGCTGCGAGAGACATTACCGAGATTGGGGTGAGTTTGTCGATCTAACATCTATCTTGTTTTTAAGGCTGTGGGCGCCGATGTACTGGCCATAACGACAGAACCATTGGCATAGTAGGATTAATGGACATTCAACTAGGTAGGGCCCTATGCCATACATGGAGCGAAAGGTTTTTACCGGCCGGCGAGCATAGATGAAAGACGCGTCTGCATATTTTGTCTGAGAGACCTATCGAATGAGCCGACCAAGTCCGGCTCATGCCAAGGCTTGCCTGCCTCCTAGATCGGCCATCGGCGGGTCAAGCAGGTGTGGTGGAATGTAAGCTGCTCAGTGCGAGCTATTCTTATCACTCCCCCTAGTACAAAAGCCCATCATAACCCAAAGCGAAGACGTAACCTGTCCTCCCAAAGAAATCGGGCATGGGGAAGTCCAGAAAGCCATGATATTGTTTTCACGTCCTGTAAACCATATAAAACACAACTACTATGTGTGTAGAAACTGCGCCAAACCCATGAATCGACATCCTTGCCGACAAGAAAAAAGCGCCTGTATTTCATAACTCCAACACGCCCATTGGATAAAGCGAAAAAAAGTCCTGATCAACGGAACAGCCGCCGTCCACCCACGCTGCCAGAGCTCCATGTTACCGAGCCCTTCACTCCGAGATTGTCCATGCTCAATCCAGAAAAACCCACACCACCACCCTCACCGTCACGCTTCGATCGTCGTATGGCTTCGCGCAAGTGTGAGGGAAGAAGTTGGCCACGGTGCGGATTAGGTGGTGGTCGGAACTCTCGCCGTGGGCGGAGAGGTGCGGGACTTGATGTTGAGGCCTGGCCTGTTTGTTGTAAGGATGGAGACGGGGGAATATGTTTGGCAGGAGCAGGTGACGCGGTGGAGTGGAGGTTATTTGCTGGTGTGGATGACGGCTTGGTATGGTCTGTATCCGATGGCTCTTTCTTGATGCCATTGCTGAGGGATCGAGAGCCGGATCCAGGGACGGGGGTGCTGGAAGGAGTGGGAGTTGTGGTTTTGGGTTGCACGGCCGTAGCTTGAGCTCTGGCCTGAAATGCCTTTTCAGCGGCTGCTTCTTCGGCCTCGAAGGCGGTCCGCGCTGCTTGGTCGAAAGCATCGGCCCATTCAGCCTGAACAGTTCGCGCTTTCTCAATCACCTCACCAGCGAAAACCTTGGTGAAACCGTTTACTGTCGTGACCACACTGGCGGGGACTGACTGTGAGAGTGCATGGTTGACGATACGGCGGAGTGATTCCTTGCGAAGCTTTGCTCGCTTGAAAAGGTCATATCGCTCGGATTGCTGAGGGTTGAAAGCATCAACCAGAATCCTGTAATAGCAAAGAAATTAGCCTTCAAGTTGCTTCATTGAATGGGAGCGGAGATCAACATACGCGAGGTTCTTCTTTTCAGCCTCGGTATCAGTAGTGCCCTCCTCTCTTCCCAGGAGCTCGCCTTCATCATCATCGTCGTCATAATCGACATCATCACCACCTCCAGCACCTCCGCCCATTCCACCTCTCATCGAGCCTTCAGCATCTGCGGACCCAAACCGCGCATCGCCAGCGCGTGAACTGAGCGCATCCTCTTGTTCGCGCTCGCGCTCTTTCTCAGCCTTGCTCTTCCGCCCGCGTTTCTTTCCACGTGCTGCGCCAGCAAAGATCCCGTCTGCGCTTGCGCCGCCGATGCTTCCTGTGAAACTGCCCGTCACGCTTCCGGCATCGCTGGCCACACCGAAGCTCCGATCTGCAGTGTCAAGGCCGGTCGGGAAGGAGGTTTGCCGTAGAGGGTGCATGCGCTGCTTCTTGCCCAGAGGCTGTGAGACAGACGAAGAGATAGACGGCCTTTTGAGGGGGTTGGTTGGGGTCTGATACGGTGGTGGTGACGACATTTTGAAGAATGTATGAGAGGATTTGGAGGTCTCAAAGAGGTTGACGCGGATAAGGATGAAGAGGGCGGTGTTGGAAATTATTGGAAATCAAATATGTCCCTTGAATTCGATCTGCTCCGGTAGGATCTGGATCTTGATGAGGTCCGCCGGACTGGTGATATCGGTGTTGCGATGCTGGCCTGGAAAGACGTAATGTAACGATGGTGGTGTCAGCACCAGATGCTGCAGAGCTCAAAATGAGCTGACAATGGAAGTGTGCCCAGAAATCGGTCCACAAGATGAGAGAAGTCGCTAGAAAAAAGGACTGTTGCGCATCTCACGCGATTGGAATTGGATTGACCTCGCAGCCACGACAATTCAAGAGCGCATCTGACCGCCTACTATTTTGGGAACCCGTACAACTAATGAACGCCGGCATAAGACTCCGAAAAGAAGCTAAAAATGAACACGAAGGTGGGTTTACTGTGTGCATAAACGTGATAGACTTGGAAGGTTACGAGTCAATCATGAACAAAGAGTGACTAAGCGGTTCTTTCACAAGAATAATAGAAGCCCAAAATTAAGACCGCTGATGTAGTCCAGCTGAAACAAACACTGAGAGGGAACGAGTCGCTTGGAGCATAAACATGCAATGCTCTTTATTATGTAAAGACAGAAATAACAAAAGAATAGACAGTAATGTCAAAAAAAAATGAAAGACAGAAAAGCAGACAGTCTGTGCACGAAACGGACTCAGGAAAAGTGACATGAAAGCAGGCCAAAAACTGGAACTAGCGGACGTGCAGAGAGTAAATAGACTATCTCCAAGGACTCCATGAAGGGAATGGTGCCCTTAGAACTTCTCTCCAAGCCTGGGAGCCCCCCTTTCCAGTCATTGCGCTCATAGTAGCGGAACACGAGATCGTACCCATTCAAGTCGTGGACAATGCGGTCAACCCGGCGGTAGCCATCAATGTGCTCCATCTTGGGGTTCCGACGCATGGCCTGGTGCTGCGCGTGTACCTCATTGAAGTTATTTGGATCAGCACTCATATCCTCAATGGCCGGCTTAGTCTCGAACAAAGTGATGCTGAAACGGCCAGGCTTGAAGATATCAACGACCTGCTGGATGATGTCGGCAGTGGTCTTCCCATTCTGCGAGTGTGGGACGTTAGTCTCGAAGGAAGCGTACGAGCAGTGCGGCTCTGGCGTGACGTGAACGGTGAAATAGTGCGTGGGAGCCTTCCCATCCGGAGCAGGGACAACGCCGTTGGCGGAGAACCCGCATGGCGTGAAGAGGTACGCGTCGATGCGAGCATCTGGGAACTTGCTCTTCGGGTACACGTCCGACAGGCCACAGGCTTCAGAGACGACAGTGCCGAGTGCGTGACCCTCAGTGGTCAGCTCCGCCGGGAGCATTCGGTCCACATCGGGGTCATCCAGGTCAGAACCATTGCTGAACACATCGATGTGCTCTACACCCTCATCCTTCTCCAAGTTGCGAGAACGCTTCTCAGCCACAGAGGTGGCGTTGTCCAGGTAGAATTGCTTCGCATTCTCCTCATCCAGGTCGGTCATCAGAACCTCCAGAGTCTCATCGTGCTCATCGCAATCCGGGATCAGGGAGGATTTCGGGAAGCTGAGAACCTTGGTCTCAGTCTCGGTAAAATCGGTGTCCTCCTCTTTGGGGCTGGCCGGGGGAGTGAGCAGCGTGTGAGGCTCAGTCAGGTACAGATACCAATGCTCTCCATTCATCTTGCCAATCATATAGGCACTGCCATTGAGGAACAGCTTGTCCATGTTGCGAACCTCGTCGCGCCAACTGCGGTGAGGGCCGCGCTGGCGGTCAGGGAACAGATAGTTCTTCCGGCTGTAGAAGACCCGGTAAGGAGCCGCGGCCACAGTAATCCCACGAGACGGCGGAGCAGTCGCGCGCGGGAATCCTGCAAACAAGGTGGCAATCTCCAAAATACGTGGGAGACCCGACAACAGAGTTGTGGTGCCGCAGGTCTTGAGAATCAGCTTATGCGGCCAGACGAACATGCTGGACTCCGACAGGAGGTAGGCATCCACATCCTCAGATGAGACAACCGATAGAACCTGGCAATTGACAAGGTCCAGCATATCCTTCCAGATCTCACTGGGCACCTTCTTCAGGCCCTCTGGGCCTGCGGCACCGAGCTCGCTGGCAGACGGAGCAAACCAGACCTCGAGCAGCTTCTCAGGACCTATATAGAGCATCAGTATTTCGTCCGACAACAAGTTTGGAATTGACCGACCTTCGAAGGCATTGCTGGAGTCCAGGTCCTGTGTTGCCTCATAGTTGATGGTCAGAGAAGGAGTCCCCGCAAAGGAAGACGGGGACTGCGTGTAATTCTTCGGAATACCGACGTAAACCATATCCGTTGATTGATGCAGCCGAGGCTGGTGACTTTGCGCAACGAACGAAATCGAAGATGGAGACTGTGTGACGTCGGACCGCCCTATGAGCTGTTCGATGAAGACAAAAGGCTTTAGAAGCACTGTCTACTTACCCAGACGAACAAGGGGGCAGTGCCCGTCTGAGAAGAGAAGGCCCTTAGGACAGAGTGTAACTGGCTGACAGGCCAGGCAGATGGAAACTTAACAGACCAGAAGGGCCGCTAAGGAGGGAGAAACGCGAACGAAAGGAGAAAGATGCTACAAAGAATTGTGACTGTCAGTCCGGTACCCTCGTGCTGGAAGATACCGATACCCGTCAAAGTATCGGGTCTAGCAGACGAGAGTATCTGCTTTCTGAGAAAGTAGGAGAGAAAAGTTGGTAGTCGGTGAACGTGAGTCGCGTTATCGCGGCCTAGAGACAATGGAAGGATTAGTACTTGGGTATTTTGAGGAAGATGCCGTAAATGATAATAGGGAGGGAAACCACAGAAGTTTGTGTCTTGAGTAGCTCAGCCCTAGGCTGTCGCGCCAGAGAGAGAGAGAGAGAGAGAGAGAAAAAAAAAAAAAAAAAAAAAAAAAAAAAAAAAAACAAGAATCTTCCATGTTTGTGGATCGGTGGTTTCCATGAGGGGTAACCGAAGGAAAAAACGGGGGGGGAAGACGCAAGCACACGTACTTCGCAGGCTTAGACAGGAATCGCAGAAGATCCTTCGGGCTCATGAAAGGCAGAAGAGGAAATTCGGCTTAAAATTGCACGATGTCGCGCGAGTCCACAATCGTTAACATCAGCGGGATGACGGAAGGCAGAAAAAAAAACGAGTCGGTAAGTCTTTGTCCACAAGCCCGATGAGTGCCCGAGATGCGATTGATTGCGCCGGGCGCGTCGGCAGAGAACAAGGCGTTCTCTCAGAAGGGCTGTTGGCCAACGCAAGGCAATCGATGGTCAATTTAAGACCTCGAAAGGAGGGGTGCCAGCTGCAAAATGTTTGCTGTCACGGGCGGTTTGGTTGGTATTGAGCGATTTTGTCTGTGGGCCCGGGGCTCGTGGGGCACTACGGATCAAAATCTGTCTGACATCAGGGAAGGCGACCGAGTTAGCTTGGGGGCCTGTTACACCACGGAACACAGAATTGATTGATGAAATGAGTCAGTGGCATACCGGGTAGACACAGGCAAAGTCACAGCTAGGTGTAGATCGTCTAGGACGATACCTCGATGTGAGTTGAAGAAAAGGTAGAAAGAGTCCGGTCAAGCAGCTTGGAACGCACGCGAGCGGTGAGACAGGGCAAAATTGACCTTCCGCGTGCCTGGCCGGAGGTTATGTAAGCGATCGGCGGGGAAGGGGAATTTTAACCTCGTAGCAGGAAATCAATTGCGCGGACTGCAGGAACTACTCAATAGCGGACTATTGTCCGGAGGGACTAGCAAGGCATATGTTATATTTGATGTCATTGGGGTTCCAGAATAGATCACGAAGAGGTCAAAGCAACGAAGAATAATTTCCACCCCTCCCTAAACGCCGGGTCACAACGCCATGCCAGGTGGATGCAGCAGACCGACCATTCCCCATCCCTTTGATTTGGACAGAAGACAGAGATGAAACACTCGATAAAACACTAAGCCTCCACGATCACACGAGCTAGCTGCACATCGTTGGCCTCAGCAATTCTCGTGGCAATCAGATCACCCACTTTCTCCCTCAACTGAGAGAGCAATTCATCCGTGACGGTTGCGGGGTGGCCATTGACCAGAGGTGCGTGGGCATCACGAACAGCCACCAGAACGGCCAGGAGTGCGCTCAATACACGCTCGGCAGCGGGCCGACGAGCTGCATCATCGATGCCATCGCTGAGCAGTTTGGAGTAGTCACTGAGGTTGGGAATAATAAGCACGCGGACCACCTCGGCACCACCGACGGCCTGCAGCCCGATCACAGCTCCGTAATGGGCACCGAAAGGCTTGGAAGGATCGAGGAAACTCTTCAAGCAGGATCGTACAAGACGAGGCTTGAGCATGTGTGACGAATGGGAGTACTTCTTCGCGATGAGACCAAGCAGCGAGGCTGCAAGGTCACGGAGGGCGAATTGTTCAGCCAGATCGCTGGCCCCGCCGAGTTGTCGGCCGATCAGGCAGGTCAAGATGGAGGGAACAAGAGAAGCAATCTAGAGAAGGTCAGCTATCTGGGTGGTTCAACGAAGAGATGTTGGATAGATAGCCAACTCACATAAGGGTCAACGTAGAGGGATTGGTTCTGCACGAGGGCCTCGGCCATGTGCATCACTTGAGTAAGCACGAATATATTCTTGAGGCTATGGGTGACCTTCTCTGCAATGAACTGGACGAAATATGGCACCAATTGGTGCAGACCGGGATCCTCCCGCAGACTGGCATATGCTGACGTTCGGTAATCTTCGCTTGTTTCGTCCAGGAATGCACTGCAAACTTTCTCAAAGTACAACTGCAACTCCTTGGAAAGCACGTGCTTCACCAGTGGCTTGACTGATACATCACCGCTGCCGCTCATCGCTGCCAAGGTGGAATTAGCGTTCGGTCCCTTCGATACCAGCTCGAGGTTGCGAGAATCTGCTGCGGTGGGGTTCTGAGGAATGGATGGCTGCACGCCTTCGACTGCGAGCCAGTGACCTAAGCAGAAGTCGGTCAGATAACATAATCAAAGCGAGAAAACCGAGTACACTCACCAGTAAAGGACACTTCCCGGGGGACCTTGGGTAACGGCGCGTTGATCAGCTTCTCGAAGTCCACCTCCTCGTCTTCAACGTAGAAAAGCGGTTGACCGGGACCCAGCGACGCTTCACCAAACCGGAGCGGACGGAGAGATTCGTAGCCATAAAGAGGCTCCACATCCAGATTCCTCAGGGCAAGAGAGATATCTTGGGTGGTGAGGAGTGTACGCTTGCCGTGGCGCATTGACTTCAGCGCCTCCTCCAGCACCTGCGCAACGCGGTATTCAACGTCACGAGCAAGGTTCTCGGTCACATCGTGATTGAGATTAGTGATCCCGATCGACTCCGCGACATCACGAATGTTGTCCGGGTTCCAGACGGACATGGCGATTGTTGATTTCTAACACGGAAGCGAGATCGCGGACGGAGACTGGACGTATAGGAAGGACGGCCTCGCGAGTTTGGACGAATCGGGGGTCGGGAAGCTCTTGATCAGAGACAGGGTCGCATTCTGAGTAAGGCCACCGGTGCGCTTCAATCGAAAGTGAAGGGACAGGATGCGCTGCGACAGTTCCCTTTGTTCTCCGATTCAAGCACCCAAGGAGGGAGGGCTGGTCGAGTCGATAAGAGAGTGAACACTGCGCAAGTGGTGGTGTGGTCTCCCGTATAAGCTTATTGGCGGAGGCCTTCGTGGGCAAGCAACTATGCCATTCATGCTTCTTCGTCTCCACGAAGGTTTCCAAGGAGAGGGTAGAAAACCACTAGAGGTAACCAGAGACACTGCAGAATTATCAGAAGAGCAATTTTGGAGATCCCTAATGCCCTAGCTTACGGAGAGTGTTGCGCAAGACAGATATTGTGTATCTCCGTCGGCACCTCATTTGCCGCTCACTTGACAACAGCATCATTTTCGAGAAAAGTAAAAAATGAATTATTACAATTTAATAGAGATAAAAAGCATATAATCTAGACAAAGGGCACTCTTTGCGGCACCTGAGACGAAAACAAGAGCAGAGAGCGTTGGCCACTGCTCCTCGGGTATCACAACAAAACGCTCATTCAGAAAGAGCGCGTTTTCACTTGGCCTCCTCGGTCGCAGCCTCGGGCTCTTCTTTGGCAATCTCGTCCTTAGGCGGCTCTTCAGCAGCGGGTGCTTCCTTGGGGGCTTCCTCCTTAATGGGCTCCTCAGTCTTTGGGGGGACCTCGGGAGCAGTGCTCTCGCCAGAGGCATCGACAGGCTTGCTCTCATCCTTCGCCTCCTCCTTCTGCACACTATCCTCCACTAGCTGGACAGTCCGTGCCTCGTCCTTCAGCTCTGGGCCCTTTCCACCGTAGGTCTTGGGGATCTTGTCCGCGATGACAGCGGGGAACTCACGGGCGAGGTTCACACCGTTGGTGATCGGATGGAACTTGCGAGTGGTGTTGCGACTGAGAATGAGCTTCATGGCAGAGAACATCCAGCCCATGATGGTGGGAACATTGACGAAGAACTTCTCGCGCAACAGCTCGGGGTAGGCAGTGGAGAAGACGTCGATGGTCTTCTTAGTGGCAGCGCGGACGGACGGATCCATGCGGAAGAACTTGACATTCAGGTAGTCGTGCACCTGGATCATCTGGTAAGGGTCCTTCTCGCCGTCGTAGTCAATGACTTCCGTGGCATCTTTCATCTTCAGGTCCTGCACAGCCAGCTCCATGAGGGCGGCGCGCCACTTGACGAATCTAAGATGGAGTTAGCAATCTGGGCTTCTCACGCAATCAATTGGGGGCATCACTCACTCGTCCGAATCGGCAAATGTAGAGCCCACATCCTTCACAGCTCCGTAGATGTTCCAGGTAAACACAAGCGGGCGCCCATCCTGCTCGTAGGTCGTCAAGTATCCCAGACCACCATACTTGCTGGCACTGTAACGACCTGACTGAGCCAACGCAAGGGGATCGGTCTTCTTGCGCCACTCCAGGGCCTTGCGCAGCTGATCCTCTGCGCCCTGAACATTGCCCTCGTTCGCGCGGAGGAACTTAATCAGCACGTTGACAGTAGGCACATCCTCGCTGTCCTTGAGGGTCACGCCCCACATCTCATTGTAGCCGGTGCTGCTGAGAATTTGGGCCAGATGCTCGAAGAACTGACTCAGGCCCGGGATTTTGGTCAGGTAGGCGGGCTGTTCGGGCTTCTGTTCTTCTGGCTTGGCCGCGGGCTCTGGGGCGGCAGCGACATCCTTCGCGGTCTCTTGCTCCTCAGCCTGAGTCTCTTTGGTGGGTTCCTCTGCCTCGGGCGCAGCGTCCTTGGCGGGAATCTCGGTGTTTATGACCGCGGAGGTTTCGGATGGCTTGTCGGTAGCTTCAGGAGCTGCTGGAGCGGCGACAGCTTCCTCGCGCTTTTCAAGCTCGGCCGCTGGAGTCTGCTCGACGGGCTTTGGGTCCATGATCGAAAGTCTTTGGGTAATAATCAATTGAATTGAAGGTGGAAGAAAAGGAAAAAAGTTTCAGGGGGAGAAGCAAGCGGCAGGGGCTAGTTAGCTGCTTTGTCAATAGTCCGGGCCACTCAACTATGAATCGGGTGGGTCCACCAGCCGTCCCCGCCTGTCATCCCGATGGGCTGCAGCTGAGACGACACTAGGGACACAGCTCAACTTAGAGATCGGGGGAAGAGCTATCTAGCCCCTGAGTACCGCTTGGTCCTTGGCGAATTTCAAATGAGCTTCTCAGCTTGTGTCTGCCGGAGCCGCAGGTTGTGATTGGTGCGAACCGTCTGCTGATCCAAGGGAACGCCGCCGACACTATGGAAGTTACGAACAGCGGTCTGGCCCGGTTGCCAACGGGTCGACAAAAAGCCAAGATATGGCTGTGGAACACAATTGCCCTAGGATTTGCTGATGCAATTCCTCCATTCAACCCGCTCTTGTCCCGGTAGGTTCGATTTGTTGTTCCAACTCCAGCAAGCAGGCAAACATCAAATTAAACGAAATTAAACAGGAGCGGGAGGTCCATATGATCGGAAACTAACAAGACCCTTAATTTCATAATCAAAAGGCGATGTGGAAATTACGAAAATACTGTAGCTATCGGTCTTTCGTGTACCTGTCGAATTGCAATACACTTCAAGTCTCTTTGAGAGGTCAAGAGCGGAAGAATGATATGATTAAAGCCACATTGTCCTTCATTATTTTTGCAGGTATTGCAGAAATCACTAGCTCGCCAAATGTATTCGGTGGAAACCATTCGCTCGTATGTCAACAGCATACTCTGACGGAGCTTCTCTGCCAATTCAATAGCAAGGTTGCCTACAAGGTCCTGGTTAACGAGGGGAATGCGTAACGTAATTCCCGGCCGACCGAGCAACCCGGCCGACCGAGCAACCCTACCCCCTATAGAAATTTTGAACCAAAATATATTAACCAAAACGCATCAATTTAGCTATATCTGACGATTTTTACATTGATTGATCTTATGGCCAATTCCCCTACACCCACTACACCTTGGTGGTGCCCTGGTTGCTAGCTGGGCTAGTTGAATAGCCTTATCGGCCTACTCATGCGAAACGACCCGATTAGCTTTAACTGGCTGATTTAGCTGCGTAACTAGCTGTTGACCCTCTTCGACTAATAGGCCTCCTTCGTAAGCTATCTGCCGATTTGATCGTGTGCGTTTTTGGCGTATTTTCTCATTCCCTATACGTAGATCAGCGTTTTCTTACGTATATATCGTAAGGTTATAAAGCGATATATAGTAGCCTTTAATAATTTAATCTAGAACGGTTTTTAATAGGCTCGGAGGGCTATTTAACCGTTATTTTAATAGATCTTTAAGTAACGAAGCTAATTTTTTAAGTTAAACGACGGTTCTAGGTATTTTTAGGCTAAAATAGCTATCGCTGGTAGCTAGCCGGCTATTCGGTAGTAACGGTATTTTAAGTAAGATATTAAGCTTCGAAAGCACCCGTTCTAGGTTAATTAGAACAAGACCAGTAGCTACGAAGGCGCTTTAAATAATATTTAGTTAAAAGGCCTCCGCGTACGCCCGAGGGTAATTAGCGAGGAAATTAAATTTGTCGATGTAGTTATATAATACGCGAGCTAGATCGCTTACGAAGCGGCCGTATACGTATTTTAATATAGCAAAATAGCTAACGTCAAGCGGTTATAAGAGATACGAACTATATAGAGGTATATAAAGTAGTATTATATTATTTTTAGCGCAGATTCGGTCGAATTAAGGTATAAGATAGCTACCGTAGCCATCAAGAATTAATAGCCGATATTTCCCTTTCGTATACGTCGTCGTCGCTAGGATAAAAAGCTTTTATAGCTAACGAAGGCTAATTTTATCGGTTATCTAGCCGTTTAGCGATACCTCGATACGCTAGTCTTTTAGAAGATAAAGCTATTTATCGAACTAAGAAGTGATGAAGTTTTTACTTTTAAATATTACGCAGGGCGGCAGCGAATAGCCGTCAGCGCTTACTACTTCGACCGTAGTAACCTATTTACGATTACCTAGTTATAAAAATAATCGCCGACCGTAATATTTAGCTCTTATAACCACTTTTTATATAGCTATAAGACCTATAGCGAAGCCCGTCTTATTAAAGTTATAGATATCCCCCGGTTAGATACCTTTCTTATTAATAATACGTCGGACGGTCGTAAACCAGGCTCGTAGTGAGTTTAGGTCTTCGTTTTAGGCGTATTAGTAATCGTAGCGTTATAAGAAGGCTAAACGAAGCTCGTCTCGTCGGTTAACGAAGCTTAATAGCTAATTCTTACCTACTATAGCCGGAGGGTTCTTACTACGCGTAGCTAATAGAATATTAGCTATTTCTCGTATAGTAGACGGCCTAGGCGCTACTCTACGTATATCTATAGAGATAACCCACTTAGTAAGCGAATCCTCTTCTAATTAGGTTAATTTATAGCCAGATAGGCGTTTATCAACGCGTAGGGGTCGGCCGTCGATGCGGTGTTATAGTGTTAAACGCGGTATTCTATATAGCTTCGCTGCTACGTTAACAGACTTGATGCGGCCATTTTTAATATCATCAATAGCCAATAAGAACTTGCCCTCTTGGTCAACCAATTTTGACGCGTTTTTGACGCGTTGTGGTGGCATAGTAGGTGGTTGAATTAGGTAGGTGGGTAAAGAAGCATGATTTTGGATGGGGTTGCTCGGTCGGCCGGGTTGCTCGGTCGGCCGGGAATTACGTTAACCTACGGCCCCACCTGAAGAGCTGACTAACGAGATATCGACGGATTGTTACTATTACCCTAAATTCCTCGGCTCCACTCTCTTCACCCGGAATGACTCAATTTTTCTCGTCAACTAGCAAGCTGGCGCATAGGAAGCGCGTCGGGCTCATAACCCGAAGGTACCTGGATCGAAACCAGGGTTTGCTATCTTTTTTCACCTCTTCTTTGATCTTGCTTTTTGCTTATCTTTATTTGCTCCTTTCTTCTGAAACCCGCCCCGTGGGCCTAGTGTGTGTAGATTTATGATGTGGAAGATATGAAAAATGGTCAAGGAGGGGCTATAGACAGCTGCTTAAAAACAAACACCATTAAACGAATAGGTTTCCAGGCGTCTAGTATGGTTAATGTCTAGCGAATGGGAACGAACTCTAGAAGATGTTCCAGGTGCCAAGGGAAATAATGCATACTCTATTGCCGACAACACCCTCGCACTGAGAGGGATGTTCAACGTGTATTACCATTGATCATTGATCGCTCCACGCAATCACCAAAACCAAAAGGCAGGTAAAAAAAAAGCAGTCTGGATGCCTAGAAGAATTGTCCACCAAATTAAATAGTTCAATCGAACGTGGAATAAACACAGACCGCTGGGGAATATACAGATAGCAAACCGAAGAGGAGAAAGAACAGAAACCAGGTCAAATCAACCAAAGCTGTCTGGTTGTAGCTGTATCGCCACGAGGGGAGACATATTGCCAGTAGAGAGTCTACACAAAACTGAACAACTATCGACTACCGTTACCGAAGTGCTCGGGGATGTGAGGGACTGCCGGTGAGGGACCAGGCTCAGCCATGTCCTCGTCTTCCTCCATTTCATCCTCCAGGTCCTCGGGATGACTAGACCAAAGCGTTAGCTAGGATCGTAGATGAAAATCTCAAACAGAGGGTATGGAGGCAGCCTACGCAAGCAACTCCTTGATGTTCCTCATCTCGTAGTGTTTCTTCCGGTGCTCCTCAAATTGGCGGTGCTTCTCCTTCGCCTCCTCGGTCGTAACGAGACCATCAACACCTGCTGGCATATCACCGTTTGTCTCGGAACCAACGACGACATGCTTCTCGCTCTTGTGGGAGTCCATGCTCATACTGCGCTCGCGGTAAATGCGCTGTTCGGGAGATTCCTGGCCAGCCGGACCCTCCTCAGGCTCGCCGAGCTCCAGGTCGGGAATGTCGTCCTCTGACACGGCCTTCTTGTGGTTGCCGCCTCGAGTGGTCTTATCAAGCTCGTCAACCACAACGTCCTGGGCATCTATGACGCTGTCCTTGAGCTCCTCGAGTTGGAGCTCCTCCTCATCCTCGGCGGGGTCGTAGTGCGGGGCATAGGGGGTCTTGGGCTCGTCGATCTTCATTTTCGCAGTGCGCTCCTGTTCCGTCAAGTACAGGTTTGCTTCATCCCACTTCAGGCGGGGTTCGTTCTCATCGTACTGGCTGGCGAGTGACTGCCGGCGTAAAGCCGAGCCCGCACGTGCAGTGGACGAGGACCGACGTCGGCCCGCGTTTTGCAAGGTGTTCTGAAGCGTGAGCTCTTTGGTGTCTTCGGGCTCAGCGATGGTGGGCACGGTAGGCGGGGTGGCAGCCGGTGCGGCGACAGGGGCGTCCTGGTAAGACCTGGTGTTCTTCAGAATACCTATGTTGTGAAAGAAATGAGGGTTGATTAGCTTTAGATTTCCTTGAGCCGGAGAGACCTGCGAGCTGAAGCTCCTATCAAGACGAAAATTTCACCTTTAGGCCGTGGGTGCACATCTTCGGTGCTGTGTGCCTTGGCCGGCATATGCGGTGCGGTCGTCATTTTTAGATGGCTGGTAGGAAAGGACGAACGTGCCGTCCGAGTTTCAAGTAGACGTAGGTCTCAAAGTATTCAGAGGAGTACCGGTATACAGGGCGGGCTGACAGCCGGCTTTGTCAGATAGGGCGGAGGTGCTCAGCTGAAAGAGGCGAGAGAACACTGAGTAAGCGCTCAGACTGCGTGGCTAGGAATGAGAAACGTGAGGAATGAGAAGAACGGAGTGTATCAGCCGCGCACGCCCACGAAGTCAGCTGCGAAGTTGCGAAGGTGAAGCCGTGCGGCACGTGGGGCTCGATGACGTCGAAATTGGCGCCTGACGTCTTCGGCATCAACGAGCATCCCACGGTGATCCCACGGTTGGGCGGTGGTTGGGTATACTTCCCGTAAATTGGGCTTACATTATTGGCCCTCATGCTACCTACGATGCTTTGATAACAAGTTGAATGTTTCATATTTCAGATTTCAGATTTCAGATTCCATCGAATTTTCAAATCATCGAACTCAAGTGCTGGTAAATACAATAGGCCCCTCCCAGTCTTTCGATGCATACTAAAAACGCCATGGTACTCCCCCACTCCAACAGCCCTAGAATCGCGAAGAGGATCGCATTCAAAAAAGATGGTTCTCCTCTAACACCAGATCAATCGCCCGGAAAGGGGGTATCTGTATATGCAAATAAATCAAGGCCTGCCTCGTGTAGCCGCAGAATAGAAATAGTAAAGAGAGCGCAATGAAGGAATGAGAAATGAACCTAAATCAAAGAAGCCTCATGCAATGGAATCAAACTCTTCTCGCTCGCGGAGGCGATTGCGCGCCAGGACGTCGCCTCCGTTTGCTGACAGCTGCATCCAGTGCAGTGCCAGACACATGCTTTGCGGGTCGGACTTAGAGTCTGTGCCTCGCCGGTACATCATCTCGGCCTTGAACGTGTCGCGCGGACGCGTGAGTGGGAGGGTCACACGCGGAAGATGTTCGGGGTGTGTGAGGTAAAGGATGGCGAGCTCGCGCTGCGCAACAGGGTTGCCTTCTTTAGCGGTGATAACCCACATCGCCGCGGCATCTTCAATGGCATGGCCCGGTCGCGGGTACAGGTCGGCTCCTGGAACTGGATGCCGTCGCGTAAGCTCCTGCGAGACAATGCGGTCCGCAATTTCAACCATGCTATGACACACTTCGTCCTTGAGACTCAGGGCAGCTAAACCGAATTGAAGAAAGGCTGTCCCACGATCGGATTTGTTCAATTGATCTCCAGGGACGAAAGAAGAAATAAATTGCAAGTCACGGAATAGCGTCTTAGGTTTGACTTCTAGAATCAAATCTCGGAGAGTAGCCACAATTTGATCCTCCGACGGAGTTGAGTAATCGGATCGCCGGGAGCCACAGGTGACCGACTCTGGTGGGGTGAATGTAGGCAGTGCTGTGCCTGATTGAGGCATTGTGAGAACATGAGTTTCTGAGAAACTGTGTCGGGTAAACCGTGGTTGGTGACCATTGTTTCGCACTCTGTCGCCATTTGAGACGGGCCCGACAGGAGGGCCTGGTGGGCTGGGATCATGAGATGATATCAGTGAAGCTACCACCAACGATCTCAAGTCTCTCAGGGCGTTGAGCTTGACAAACGGGTTTCCATGGCGCGAGAAAACCTCAATCAGCCGGTGGAAGACTGCTTTGTAGGAAAAGCCCGAGTTTTCATCTTCTTCAAAAAGCTTGCGCTCGGCATTCGGTGTATTTGTAGTCGAAGGCTTGCGCGTCCGTCCAAAAGAGTCATCGAGAGACCGGCTCCGTCGACCCCCTGATGGTCGACGCTCCTCACGAAGATGCTTCGACCGCTCCTCATAATCAGAGTAGAATTTCTGGACTGCAGCATGTCTCTGCATCTGAACGCGGATGCGGTTCTGATCAAGAGTGTTGGTGAACCAGGCATCCGTTTCACTGCCGCAGCTCCACACTGGAGACCCCAGATCACTCAGGAGAAGACTGGTTAGTGTCTGCCGCAGGTCATCCATGAAAACTGTTTTGCCGTCTGTTTTGCGCTCGGAATGGCGAGGTTGGCGGGTGGCAGTTTCGCTGAACATAGATGGAGGTCGTGAGTAAACGCTGGAGACGCTGGCAGCGTACATTGGATGGCGTTGCGCCGCAGACCAGAAGGTGCTATAAGTATCACCGGTTGACGTGGAAGCCGCGCGACCTGGTGACCCCCCAAGGGAGGACACGTCGATTGAAGGCAGATCACGCGGAGTCCGGTATTTGTCGGAAAATAGGCTCTGAATAGACGGCTTGCGTCCCAGGGAGGGTGGATCTTGAGAGAGGCGAGAGAGTGGATCTGGTACGGACAGGTTGCCTCCGTACAGCTGAGAAGCATGTAATGGATCCTCGCTAGCATTCGTGGAAGGTCGAGGGGTCGTAGGCACGGAAAGCCCTGGGAAAGCTCGAGAGCCGTAGCCCTCGTATCTTGTGCGCTCTCTCTGGAACAATTCACTTGCCCAGAGCACCGGTGTTTCTGCCATCGTTTCACCCACAAGACGGTTGATACTAGTTCGGACCTCGTAACAAAACCGGTGGATTCGCTCCTCGCCTTTGCAGAAGTTCTCGATTCCGTTGTGGGCCAGCCACTTGCGAGTCAACTCTACCTGCTCATCGGACAGTTTCTTGGGGCCACCCTGGCTGCTAGGAGCTTTCATCATGTTCATGACTTGCAGCTCCGGCTTGTGGAACAAGGAGCCTCCTAGCGAACGTGCTCCAGTTCGAGACCTTGGTTCCTCAGGCATTTCGATACTCGGTCGGGCGGAGTAGATCATGGTCTTGAGGGCCATTGCCACATTGCGGGCTTCCTCATACCTCATGGAATTCTTGACATCGGTCATGTACCACATCTTGTTGCGGACCTTGGAAATAGTGGCCATGAGCCCCTTAACATGGGTCTGGAGTCGGCGCAGGCTAGCATCTAAAGAGATAAACTCGCGTTCGCACCGCTCGATTACAGTCCTCGAAATGTTCAGGGACCGAATACATGAGCTGTACATGGGGCCCAGTATCCATGAATCATTTGCAGTGGCTGACGAGTGTATCTCCTGTCGAAGCTGCCGAGAGGCATTCCACCAGTAATGCGCGCCGACAAAGTCTGAGTAGTCATGAGATAAAGTCATTGCCTGGTTGAAGCGCTGTTTCAATGACATGGGGGTGAGCTCGAGGGATCTTGATTCTGGATCGAAAACGTCCGAATCACAGACTTGGGTTTCTTTAACCAGACGAATTATCGCCGTTTGTAGAGCCTCGTGGTTGTCCTCCAGTCCTAGACTCGTGGAATGAGTGTCATCATCACTTTCAAAGGCAGAGACCTTTGATAGCCCATTTCCATGATCCGGGAGTAGGCTCCAGGTAAGACCATGACCGTCTTTGGCCACAGAAAAGACTGTCCAATGCTCATCGGAGGGATGCTCCAGCCTAGCTCGTTCATTCGGCTCGTCTAGATCGCTTAGCTCGAAGCGAATGCGAGCAGCAATATGGCCAAGTCCACTCCCAGGGACAGAGAGACATGAAGAGTCCATGGAAAAGACGGAGCCATTTTGGGAGGTCGGCCGGGGGCTTGCTTCAATGTTCGGCCGCAAGACACCGGGCTCTATCGGAGGCTCCGGGTGCAGATTGTATGACGGGGGGATGCTGGATGACCAGGATGGCACACCGGCAGAAGCAGGCGATGAGTGAAGAGAAGAGCACGTTTGCGGGAAGAGAGCATCTAGTAGGGTGAGAACGTCCGTCGAGGACAATAGGAGAAACGTTGACGAAGGGTCGCGGTGGTTTCCTTGATTGCCTTGGGCAGGAAGCTCGGCTGTGGAAGACCCGGCAGGGGCTGAACTGTGGAACCGGGAAAGCATATTGTCAACATGCTGTTTGATAGAGGGACGGAGGATCGAGAAATGATGCCTGTGAAATGGTTAGCGGATCCCAAAGAATTAACAAGACTGCACCATGTGAAAAAAACCCACATGGAGCGCAAAACAGCGAATACTTGGGAGTAGGCCCGTAGCCCGACTTGACCAAGTAGCTTCTCGCGGGCATCTTTCCGAATATGGAAGTCCAGTAACAAACCGTGTGTCTGTCATCCAATGGTGTCATTAAAAAGAGAGTCCAACTCGATGGGGAGGGCACATACCTCAGGGTACGTCAAAGCACTGTAGAGGAACTTGGGAAAGAACCACTGTACAAAAAGATACTCGAGGAAGCGACTGCGGCTATCAGGAGTTTCCAGTTTCCAAAGAACAGCCTTGGCAAATTGTAAGACTGTACGAGGGAATCCACCATCAGGATCATCAAGGACACGGAAAAGATCATCCACGGCGGATGCGAAGAATTCCTCGGCAACATCAGTCCGCAAGGCAAAATCCAATCCGGCAGGGGTATCTATATGCTCCAAGAGGAAGGCGCCGGTTTGCAGGATATCCATAAGGTAGAGCTCAAATTTGGGGCGGGCTTTCCAACTGCTGCCCGTGGCCCAAGAAGAAAGGATTTGGCCGACCAGGGGATAAAATCTACTGCTGCTGTGGGACATTAGTTGAGCGCAGATGGTTGACCACACCTCCACACGTAATCTGGCCTCGGGGGTCTCGGGCTCCATTGGCGCGGCAAAAACGTTACAAAGCAAGATGGTCAACGGATCGGTCCTTTCAAGAGCATAAGCATGATCCTTGAACGAGGCAGACTGGGCCGGGTTTCGGTTAAAGGAATATTGGCCACGGGACCGGGATGAAGAAGGAAATGCAGGTTCTCCGGAGTCCAATGAGGTGGCCGGGGAGATAAATGCGGCAAGTTGGGCAGAGGTGAAGCTGCGAAGACGGTCGACCAAGAATTGTGGGTCAGAGCGAACCAGACGCAAAATCTCCAGCAGTTCCGCGCGGGACTGGGGGCTTAACTGGTGAAAGAAATCAGATGATGGATCCAGTTTGGACTCCGATGAGGGCTCCCGTTCGTCTGGTAGGTCCTGATGTTCGTCACCGCGGGCGCTGGATACACAGGACTCCTGAAGATCATAAAGCATATGATAGAGGGCAGCGAAATTGGCCTTGTCATCTTGTTTAAGAGCTTCAACAAGACCTCGCTGGACCGTATTCCCGACACGGATCATGCGCGCAGAAACTCCGATGGATACTTTGGTTGCGCGCAGGCGCTTCTCCAGTCGCTTCCTTTGCGCCTGTTTGCGCTGGCTCTGGCGATAGCGCGTAGCAAAGTCCACAAATGAAACCTGGACAGCATCTTCCTTTCGAGGTATAATCATCGCGGGGCTCGTAGCTGGGCGCTGGGATTCGCCTCCAGGGGAATCGGTCATTATCATCTTGGGACTGGAACGGGCCGAGCCACCCAACTCACCTAGCCCCACGCTCGGAACCGCGACGGGCGCGGGCGAAACTGTTGGGGAGAGGGTTACTGGGGGGGCGACGCCGGAGGTGAAGGAGGCAGAGGCACTGATGTGGGATCCGCCCGATGCGATGGATCACATGGTGGATCAGCCTGGTGAGCGGGAAGGCGCACGGCTGGGAGAGCAGATCAGATTGGGAAACTAAGTCAGGCACCGACAGCGCAGCGCGGAGAAACGGTGGCGGCTGCTCTCCACCCCACGAAATCGCATCCAAACATGGAAAAAAGGGGATCACAGATGCATGAACGGTCCCCGATGAATGATTAAATGAAAATAGAGACCTACTGATTCCTGAAGCCAGCGAGGACAAGGGGTTCTCCCTGTGGTAGTCCACCATCATGTTCTGGGTCGCGCCAGCGGGCGGAGTGCACAGTCGCGAGATGCCCCTGGCCGCCGTGGGCGGATCCTTATCGCATGGTTCTATCGCGGGGCAAGAGACCGGCCGGGGCTCATGGGACGGACGCACCCGGTCGGACGGGGCAGAGGAACAGTCGATCTGGTCCAGGGTGGATGATCGAGGATGAGACAAGGAGAGAGGAAGGGCGGGGGGGTACGAAGTAGTCAAAGAAGGAATGGCAAAGAACTCGGAGAGCGGAGGTTATAGCGAGACGGAAAATCACGCGGAAACCGTTGTTCTGTCCAGCGCGAAGCGACTCGAAGCGGACTGATGCAGGCGATTTGTCTCGGAGGCCAGGGTAGGCAGTACGGGGACATCGGGTCAGCGGTAGGAATAATCCATTATGGACCCAGCATGCGGCAAGGGATTCTGTCTGCAGAGTACACTGGCCGCGAGTACCGAGTACACGGGCGCGATGCGCTGGCACTGCATGCAGGAGTGAGGTGGACAGCCTGGCGCGCCACGTTGATTCGCCCGCCGCCCTCCTTGGCCTCTGCGGAGTCAGCTTGCTGCTGTTCGGGCTGCCCTGGCGGAGCCAGTCGTAGGCCGTTCTAGTGATGGGGTTTGCTGTGTGTAAAGAAACTGCAGGCAGGAAAGTGTGTTGAGAGCGTCGTGTGTTGCTCGCAGCAAGCTGCGTGGTGGGGCTTGGTCAAGGGAGAGTTGGAGTTGTGAACGTGGTGGCTGGCGAGTTGGCGATGAGAGAACAAGCAACCTTGCCCTAGTCGAGGGTGATATATGCCTGCACGCCTGCCCTCGTCGCGAACTAGGCGAGTCTGCAACGGAATCTGCCGAACCCAGAGGCTAGTTGCGCAAGACGAGAAATCAGTTGATAACCCGTTTTTGGAGGAGGAAACCGAGTTATACTTGCCCATGCACCTCGACACCACGGAGTACATCTACGACCGAAACATATCTCAATGTTCGCACGTACTGAGAATAATGATGACCTGCTGGGATCAGTCGATTAGTCGACTTGCAGGGAAAGGCTTGAATCCCCGTTTCTACACGTCGCGCTGCGTCTACAAGACCGCGGTTGCAACAGTCATAGCGTCTTCATTGGCTCCAGTCCTGCACGAAAAGCCCGCGCCCAGACCAGCGGCAATGCAGTACATAGAATACTGCAAATTTGGGAGATCCCGCTCCGATGTCGACCAAAAACGGCCAAAGATTTCACCCAAAAAAAAAGAGAAGTAGAGTATTCTCACAGAATGACAAGGATATGCTAGAATGTCTCATAAGTGGCCATCACAATGCTGGTCTATCGCCGTACCGTACCCCCACAAACGCCGGTCGTTATGCGTGCATCAACTCTCCCCCAATTGAACAAGGTCTCCTCTTCATCAAAAAGAAAGGTGGTGCCGACGTATCGCACGGATTTTCAGCGGCAGACCCATTTTTTGTCCACCTCTTTCTGGCCCACGCGTACTGCAACTTGATCCAGTGTAGCCTTGAGTGTATCCTTGGATACTTTCGGGAACCTAAATGCAACGTCAGCACAAGCACAAATGATAACCCTCGGGATGTCTGGTGAGCAACATACCGCTTCTTCAGGATCTCAATGACTCCAATCTTACTCAGATCACTTCCTTCAACCACCTGCTTGAACTCCTCCAGGTGCTCGGGTGGGAATGGCCGCTTGGCCTTGGTGGTTGCGGCTGGAGGAGCAGCGCCAATCGCAGGCGTATCGGGGGCAGGGTTGATCCGGAACGCGTCCAGTGTCTTCTTCCCAGCGGGGCCAACTCGTGCCTTGACCGAGACTGGCTCAGCAGGCTTAGGCTTCTGCCAGTACGCATCTGAGAATGGATTAATAGGAAACCTGACGGTAGCAGAAATGGTCTCAATCTGATACGCCTTCCACTCGGGGTCCACGCCGTCCGCAGCCCAGCGAATACCACTGGAAACAGGTTCGAGATCACCCACGAGAAGTCGTCGCTTGCCGCCTAGCAATGTGTCTTCCTCATCGTCCAGGAAACCGTCCATGTCATCGTCCCCGTCATCACTACCTTCTTCATCCTCCTCGGAGTCGAGATCCTCGCCCTCCTCGGGCTCCTCCCATTCCACCTCGGAATCGTAGTCATAATTGATATCAGGAAGGCCGCGGTGGTAGGGATTCCGCGAAAGCTTCTTTGCAGATGCCTCGGGCACGGGACGTGTGAACGTGCCCTGGTACGGAGGACGTACGTCCTCGCCAAACCGTAGGGACTTCATAGGTATTTGGCGAAGGATGTCGTGCACATCCTCCGCGGTTTTAGCCTGGGCATTGCCCTCCAGCTCCATCGCCGAATCGTCGCCGGCGTTCTGCATTCTCAACAATATTTCTCTAACTGAATGTGTGGGCCGGCCGCAGCGCCGACGAAATGGAATAATATGAAAAATGTCCGAGGGCCGGAAAGGCAGGTGTGGGTAAGGTGTGCTGTTGCTGGGATCCAGAGAAGCATCTATCGTCTGGCGAACGTGCTTGAGCGCTTCAGGATCTCGTTCGAAACGATTGGAGGGCGCGAGCTGGGTGTGAGACTGGAGGAAGAAGTCCGGAAAGGTCTTCTCGTAATCGGACTTGGGAGGGTTGCATAAGTTTATCGTTTGAAGCTCAGCGCTAGGTGTTGGCTTTTTCGGAGAAGCAGCGTTGCCTGTTTGAGGCGTAGTGGAAGGTAGTGGTGGTTTTGTGAAGAAGGAGTTAAGTTTGGGTTGAGCCTAAGATGGCATGTTAGCAAGCTTTCTGCTCAAGCGTCAGGACCTTCCGCGGGACATACCCTCTCCTTTTTTAGCTTCTCTTCTTCCCTTCGCCGCTTCTCCTCCTCTTTGGCGGCCTCTTTCGCGGCCTTTTCCTCATCCTTCGCCTTCTTTTTCTCATCTCGCAGTCTCTTTTCTTCCTCACGCTCAGCTTCGCGCTTCTTTCTTTCCTCTTCTTTCACGCGCTTTTCTTCTTCCCGCTCTGTATCCCTCTTTTTCTTCTCCTCCACCCTAAGGCGCTTTTCTTCTTCCTTTCGGGCTTTCTCTTCGTCCTTCTTCGCCTTTTCTTCTAGTTTCTGGTGTTCGCGAGCCTCTTTCTCCTGCTGCTTGGCGTCTTTGCTAGCAGGGGACAGTTTGCGCTTTTTCGCAGCAGGGGCAGAGTCTAAATCAGATTTTGTTGGTGACCCTGGCTGTTGGTGGTTTAAGTGATCCGTCTCGCTGGAAGGTACGCGGACAGGGGAATTTCGATCAGATTCCGACGGCATTGTTAGGTCACTCCGTTTGACGATTACTTCGACAGATGGAGGTGGCGGCAGAACAAGGATTTGTTTTTCGGGTATTGAAGTATCTTTGGTAGGAATTGACAATGCAGGGTCCCGATTCTCCTGGTTTTCGTTGGCGTAATCTGTCAATGCCCGCTTGGGGTTAGGGGATGACACCGCCCCGTCGTCAACCTCGTGTATAGAGCGCTTGCGAGGACTTAATGACGGAGATACCGGGCGAGATTGCTGAGAAGGGAGAGGTGACAGTCTCATCTTCGAGTCCATCGACGTCCACGTAAACGAAGGTCAAGGCAGTTGTCGTTTAGGGCATTGATCACGCGAGACCGACCCCAAATCCTTCAGACAAATTAAACGAATGTGGCATTAATCGAGTGAATCACACATAAAAAGACTGAGTGACACAAAGATGTGAATTATTGAGCCAGTGGGGACGGCAATCCAAGGGTGGTGATACTCCAGGTCGGAAGGAGAGGATCTGTGGGTTGGCAGCGACGCGTTAATGGAGTTTCGCGCGGCGCGTCCGATAAGGCACGTGCCATATTATGTAATATAGCCACTGGAGTTCATCCAAGTGAACAGTCTGGAGTTTGTAGTGTTTCTGGGGAGAACTCAGAGTCATATCCCGATGAAGGTGAACTTGGTAAATATGGTAAGAGAATAATGGAAAGGAAAGAAGCGTCGGGTTCAAGCCATGCCTACACGTCATGCGCATCAAGGGCAACAACACATATCGCGGGGAACATGGGATGAAATACAACTACAAGAGAAAGACAGAGAAAATAAATGCATATAATCATACAATTAATATCTTGGTTCGGATTGAAAGCTATGCGGACAAAACAATGCCGGGACCAAGCCCGGATGCAGGTGTAAGAAATGTGCACACAGGAGCCAACGAAGCCGATCCATCATGTTCTTGAGCATTGTAGGTAGAGAACCACCAACAAAGTGGGGCTGGACGAGCGATCTTGAACAGATATAAAAGAAAGACCAGGGGATATTGACAAAACTGTGATACTGATGGGCTGTCATCAAGACTGCGGAGCGCAATACCAGGCACGGAGGTTCAACAGAGATATTATGTGCAGCGGTATGAACGGTAATAAAAAGTCACTAAAAGATCATAAGAAAGAAAATGACAGTCAAAAGAGGGCGCGAAAGGAATTGAAGAACAGACGCTGCGTGAAGAGAGAAAACAATTGGTGGCTTTGAGGCGGGGTCTGTTTTAGTCACTGAGGTCAGGATTTGCGACAAATAGCCGCACATTGGTCATTGACGTGGTGCGCTCATCCACACTGCCTCGCCGCCGTAGGTCGTCCGCCTTCTTGGCTTTCTGGGTTGCAGCCAAGGCTGCGCTCGGGGCTTCCATGTCTGGTACAAAGTCTTCTTGCTCACTACTATTTGTAGTGTGCGTTGTAGCGGCATCGTCCTTGACCAACGAGGACAGCCGCTTCTTCCCCTCGGCCTGTTTCTCTGCTGGTGTGTTCTCGGAAACGTCGGGCAAATCGGTCTTCTCATTCGGAGGGGTGCTGTTGCTTCCCATGGTGCCCTGTTGGCGCTGGTAGCCACTGGGGTATCGATTGCTGCCCAGGGAGCTACGGCCGCTGCCGGTCCTCCGGTGCATGACCCGATCGTCAGTGCTGTGGGCATCATCGTCTCCGTCGCCGATCTCATTGGCGCTCAGGCGAACCGGCACCTTTGCACCAACCAGGTTCGACGGTGAGAAATCCATCCCAGCCTTCGTCCCATGTCGAATCTTGCCGCTTGCCAGGGTCGATGAGCGCCCTGTGCCATGGACTTCGAGGTACGCTCTCTTTTTGTCCCGCAGCGCCTGCTCCCTCATTCGAGCATCTTCGGGCTGCGCCCGATCGCACCACACCGTCGCCTTCTGTCGACGCATCAGAGCGACATATCCAAGCTGCGAGTTGGCAGAGCGGTTTGACGCGCTCCGTCGAATGTCCGGCTCCCCTTGGGGCATGTGGCCGGTCGAGTTGGTAGATGTGGTGGTGCTAGACATGCGTCGGGCCGGAGGGAAGTTCATTAGAGGCGCCATCGTATGCGGCGAAACGGCAGAGCCAGGAACTCCCTGGTATTGTTGGGAGCTGGAGGCGTATGCGGGGAGCACATTGGAAGATGTGGTGCGAGTCCGACTGTGGGTGGTCTGGGGAACGGCAGAGTGAGGCGCGAGGTTGCGCGGAGCATCATAAGGCCGATAAGGGTAGCCTGTCTGTTGATTGGGTATGGGTTTCCGGGCTGGGGGTCCCTGGTGGATGGGCATGCGAAATTCAGCGGTCATTTTGGGCGGCGGCTGGGAACCAGCCATGCAACACCTCGCGTGCGACCGGCGTGGCGGGGAGATGGATGAGGTTTGCTCGCCCGGGTAGGTGAGGCTGGGAGGGAGGTTATCCGGGCGAGATGGTAGAGTCAAGTATAACGTCGCAGGCCAATATTAGGCAAGAAGATGTGCTCTGCGAATGCAATGCGCGCGGCTGACGAGTGAAGGGATCTGCGGTTTCAGCGCCCACCACAGTCTGCAGCCACAGGATCCGCTTTGGGGATATCCGAAGCAGGGGCAGATGATTTGAGGAGAAACCGTTTGAGAGTGTCTTGTCGCACCGTTCAATGGAACAAGTTAATGTCTGGGGATTCTGTCTGGCTTTGCGGGATTTCGGTGTGTAGAGACCAAATCCTTGGTAAGAGCTGGAAGTGGGTAGTCGTCTGGAGGCACTCAGGGGGCCTTTTTGTGGTATCCAATTGATCAGATGGTTTCCCTGAGGACCCTAAACCCTCGAGAGCAAGAGAGGAACGAGTGAGCCACAGGCGCAAGTTGAGGGGGAGATGAGGGAGGACTAGGGGGAGGGAGGGGAGCACTACGAGACTAAGAGACTAGGAGGCTAAGAGACTTTGGCGGTTCGCCCACGGGCCGCCTGATTGGCTGTCGCGGAAGACGGCGGACCTGAAAAGTACTCGTCCGCCCAACTTGCGCGGTGGAGTACTTTGACCCTGCCCACTTTTTCTTGGTGGCTCAGCCACACGCAAGTGCAAAATTACTCGTATTATTACCGCTTGGGCAAGTCAGCCAGTCAGCCAGTCAGCCAGTCAGCCGGTCAGCCGGTCAGCCAGTCAGGCACACAACCGGTCAAGGTTACAGTCGAGCAGCTTGTCCATGGAGTGCTACTGTGGCTGATGGTTGATCATTCAGGGCTCCTATGCGACACCAGACGATCTCCGGTATGCTACCTGGGCCCTAATGATCCTAGTGCTTACGACTCGGTACTTCAGGTCCAGAGAGGCACTTTTAATCAGTGGTACTTCACAGGTTCGGAGTGCGCGAGTGCGACGGTGCCGGTCCTCGCGGAACCCCTTGTGCTCGCGCCGGATGACCGCCCGCCGGCGTGTTTAGTGTAATGATACGCGTCATGCACCTCCACGCTCTCCCACCCCACATACACCAGCACGGGCTCTCCTCCACAGGCTCCGCCATCCACCGCTGTGGCCCCAGTACACTCAGGCACCGCCTGCACGATCGTTGTCCATAGTTCTGTCTCCTTACATCCTGTGAGGTTGGGAGTCTGGTAAATGGCGGTGCCCGGCACGGGCGCCCCGTTGCCCAAGCTCCTGGGGTTAGGCGAGAACCCGGCGAGCATCGCATGGCGGACTGTCAGCAACGTGGCGCTCGAGACGCCCAGCGAGCTCAGGTTTTGCATGATCTGCTGCCAGTCCGCTGAAGCCAGCAGAGCATAATGCTGGAGGGGGCTGTCGCGGACTAAAATAGCGAGATCGGGATGGTTCCTTTGCTTTTTCTGCTTCGTATCCTTCGTGGGGTCTACTTCCCGATTAGTTGTTTTTCACTCACCGATGTGCAGATGGAACTGCCCAGGCCCTTCCACGTGTCGTACCCAGGACAGCCTGCAGAATTCTGGCCAATTCTCAAGAACCACCAATATCCGCGACCAGACCTGGCCTGCCTCAGTGGAGGGGTGTCGATTTGGACTTCCCCCTGGGGAGGGTGATCATTCAAGTAGGGACTACCGCGCGCGTCATCAAGTATAAGTTGCTTTTCCAAACGGTGCGGGTGTTGAACGGGTCTTGACCCGAGTAAGCTTCAAAGCTGTCGAGGCTTCCAAGGATTCACTATATATCAAGGGTCTCAGGAACACCAGCAACAGGTCCTATTATGGAAGACCGATGACCGCAGTGTGGCCCCTTCTTGATAAAGCGGGGTAACGGAAAATATACCCTAGCTGGTGGGATATGGTAGAGATCTACACCGGTCATTCGTCGGTCAAGCCGACGAGACTTACTGTAGCTCTTCGGCCAGGGTTTGTCTTACTTGTTATCTGCTTTACCCCTCGGGACTAAGAGATAGTGCCGGAGCTCCGCGATACAAAAGGCAGACCCCTTCAGGTAACCGCTCGGGCCAGTCGTTCCTTTTCGTGCTGTCTATAGGGTCAGAAACCGAACAAAGGCACTTGCATTGTCTGAAATCGTACAAATCACTACTTTAATTTGACGGTTGCCAAATACTAGTAGCTATTGAGTTTCCCATCTCCAACTCGACCCCCGAATCTATGATAGAACCGATCAGCCAAATCTTATCATGAGGGAGGAATGTTTTTGAAATGCGTCTGTACGGCCAGGCCACAATTATCTGGATCGGTAATTTACTGCAACCTACGTCCGTTTTCAGCTGTGGGGAAAAGTCCTCTGTGAAAAGCGACGATACTTTCGAGCGAAACGAAATGCCCACCCTATCTCTCCCGAGCCAGGGATGACCCAGTAGCATAACTTCATCTGGGTGTTGTCTAGCTAGCCAGGTAAAATATCCTTCTTCGGATCTCAACTTGGCGATATCTTCTCATCCACGCGTTATTTACCAACGGCTGCGTATGCTTGCCAGTCCGGGTAGGGCTGAGGGGCGTAATTTTGTAAATACAGGTACTGCAAAGTCACTTGCTGCGCCACAGCTGCGCACGTGGGGAGGTGGTACTTGGTGGAGCCGGATTTGGAAATTTGTTAGTCGTGACGTCAATCTGTTTCAGCGATTCCGGTGTTTCATTGCAACCAGTAGAAAAAAAAGAGGCAACTGTACCTAGCGACACATTATAATGGATATTCGGGTCCAATTGGAAGTGGCGCACAGATAGTACAAAGCAATTACCGTGTTGTTGAAAACGGGAGGATTCATCGGAACGCCAAAATGATTTAGACGCTAAGGCTGCATGAGATATGTATATACAGTTGGGGAAAAAAACAGAAGAAAGACTAATGATCTAGAGCGCTTCTTGACATTGTCAATTTTCCGACAGAACATTTTTCACAGCTTCGCCCTGCCCTCCACAGATACCAGTACGCCGTCTTTCCGGACCTGGAAATCCTTATTGGGCTCCCATCCCATCCACGACCGAAGTGTCTCCACGCCCCCGTCACCAGGTACGAGCCCCCCTCCAGTCCACCCGCCCTCGTCAGACTTGATGGAGTGGCCGGGAGTGTGGGAGAGGTGGACAGCGGGACGTTGCTCGTACCCCGCCGACTCCAACTCGCTCTGCTCCAAAACAGGTGTGGCGCAGGCGTCGGTACCGTCGAAAACGGCCTCCCACTCGGCGCGCGTCTTCTCTTTGAAGCGGCGCGTAAAAAGATCCCGTAGAGCTGGCCAATTATCGCGATCCTCGCGCACCGGAATACTCTTGGGGTCGAGCTCCAGCCCGCGCAGCAGGGCCGCATAGAATTGTGGTTCTAGCGCACCGACAGCAAAGTACTTGCCGGCGTCCTTGGTCTCGTAGGTATCGTAGTAAGGGCAGCCGCTGTCCAGCAGATTCTTGCCGCGTGGCTCAGCCCAGGAATTTTTAGTTGCTAGTCGGGGGTATGTAGCCAAGTAGGCCGATCCATCGACCATGTTGGCTTCCACAACCTGCCCGCGGCCTGTGCTGGTACGGGCAATCAACGCCAGAATGATGCCCAGGAAGCAAATAGCGCCACCTCCAGCAAAATCACCGATGATATTACCCGGCGCGTAGGGCTTATCACCTGCTCTGCCAAGCATGGAGAGGACCCCTGAGACGGCGATATAGTTAATGTCGTGGCCAGCCATGGCTTTATATTTCCCATCGCGCCGGAATCCCGTCATGCGCGCCACGATCAATCGTGGATTATGCTTCAGAAGAACTTCTGTTGGAGACAGCCCGAGGCGCTCGAGAACTCCAGGGCGGAAGGGATCGATCAGGACATCAGTAGCCGTGAGTATGCGAAGAAGGACCTCCCGTGAATTGGCTTCGCGGAGATCTAAGGTAATAGAGGTTTTACGACGAGTCAGTTGGTCTATACTGAGAGCGGATGGTCGGTCGATGCGAAGAACCGTTGCGCCATAGTCAGCAAGAAGAAGACCAGCGAAGGGGCCTGCGAAGCCAGATGGTTAATGCTGGGGCATGACAGAGCTTGAGGTGAGGGAGCTACCTGGAGCCAGGCCCGCCAGCTCTACAACTCGGATACCGTTCAAAGGTGGCGCATGCATTTTTCGTGGATGAGAAACAGAAGACTGATAGCCTATTCTGCTGGAGGTTGAGTGGGATTTAATAACAGGGATGGAATGGAGATGCAGATCGACGGGTTCTCCGCAGCCGAGGTCCGTGGTGATTGCCGGGTGCGGGGGAAAGGATGCGTGCACCCAAGTCTATACTCATTATCTCTATTAACGGTGAGAAGAGGACAGATGACAAAATTATAGATGTCCAGGAAAGCCTCTTGAAGAATTAGGACGTCGAAGAAGCGACCGCTATGCCAGTGTGTGATGTAAACCTGCGTTAACTCCTTCGGAACCCGTGTTTTGATTCAGGCAATTAGCAGCCCCGTCAGCAGGGTTGTAATACGCGCATCTACTAGCCCTACCTGGCGATGACCATGAGTTATTGTGCGCGAAATGGAGACCAGAGTCCCCTTCTTTTACAGTAGGCTCTAGCCAGGGAATCGGGAGGTGCGACATATACACCCACGTCGTTGGGTACGACGAGGAGTGGTTAGTCGGTATTTAGAATGCGAGTTAAAAATAAGAGAAACTGCGAGGTTTCTGGCTAGAAAGAAATACCAGAGGTTTTATCTCTTTTATAAACCGACAAAGATAAGCTGGTGATCGCTAGGTACTTGGTGCATTGCGGGATATACTGATCACCAACTTACGGGGATCGGCGGGCTGAGGCCTGGGCACGCGGAATAAACAAAGTCATGGTATCTCTAGAAAAGTACAGTATGCTATGTATTAGGATTGATATCTTGAACATAGAGGTATATCTTGAATTTTTGTAGCGAAGCAGAATTTACATCCGTAAATACCCAGATTTTCTTGATCAACTGATCAAAATAAGAGTTCGTGTAGAATAAAATCACTCAGCCAACCCGCGCGCGAGAAAGGCTCGAGATCGGACTGGAGGAAGTGTAGATAATACCATCATAAAAATACATGGACAATAATAACGAAGCAATCTCTCATTGGTTGTAGTACGTTCAAAAACGTCAGAATGCAATCAACTTTAGATCAGGAAGACCCAAGATGCCAAGAAAGCCGTGACGATGACGGTGAGGAAGCTTGCAACCTCCGGCCGAGAGCCTGCACCAGTATAGACTGGTGATACTCCCTCGTGAGTACCAGTGGGAGTCGATTTTGTTTGAGAGAGGGTGCTTGAGGAGCTGCTCGAGGGGTGGAAAGCGAGAGTCGGTGTTTGGCCGGGCGAATAGGCGCTGCTAGATCCCGATCCTATGGGCCGGGAAGGAGGATAACCAGGGGCCACACTGACAGAGCTGGCGATGGTAGGCTGGGAATGACTACTCTGGTCAGAGACTTTGCCCTCTCCAGAAGAGCCTGCAACCCCTGTGGGGGTAGCCACGGGAGTGTAAGGTACGGTAAGAGTAAGTGTTGATCCTGTAGGACCACAATGCTTGCAGAAGGATACGGTTGTAGTCCAGGTTTCAGTCCAGGTCTCAGTGGCCAAGGCAGTAGAGGGCTCATGGGTATTCTGCACTGTGGTCGTGGGAATCGGCTTGGTAAGGGTAACAGTGGTCGGGGTTGCGGCACATTGTGTGCAAACCGTCACAGTCGTGGTCCAGCCCTCGGGAATTGACGCTATAGTAGTAGTGGCAAGGCCGGAAGGAGGACCGGTCAAACTAGCAGTAGCTTCGGGGCAGATAGTCGTCGTGTAAGTAGTCGTGATAGTAGTGAAACCCGTAGGACATATGTCTGTATACGAGGTAACGATGATTGTCGTGGTCACACCAGGCTCAGTACTTGAAGGCACGGATGTCACCCAAGGCGAAGCAGTAACGACAGAGGTATTCATGGAAGACCCGCGTCCAGTGGTCTGGGAAGCCCTAGTAGACTCAGTACCCGACGAGCTCGACAGCCCAGCAGGTTGAGTGCTGCTAGTAGCTGATGCAGTTTCAGACTCGGAGGTCGGGGAGGCGGAGGCAGACATGCTGGTGGGAGTGGTGATCGTTGAACTTGAGACAGCCGTCGAATCAGAGACAGAGACGGAGCCCGTAGGGGTAACCTGTGTCGAAGACTTGGAGCTCGAGACAGGGACTGTGGTTGGCCTAGATACTGGCAGCTGCGTAACAGGTGTATGCATAGGTCTCTGGGGGACATAGGACGAACTAGATTTAGTGATAGTGCTGCCAAGAAGCTCCGATGACGAGGGGCTTGCGCCCAACCTAGTCGAGCCAGTGGTTGAAGCACCTCTAGAAGAAGAGACAGGGCTGGAAGATGACGGCCTAGTGGTGCCAAAGATGCCTGTTGGCCTGCCTGGCACCGGAGGGCTGACATTTCCAACAATAGAACTTGAGGCAGTCGACTGGGTTGAAATCACAGGGGTGCTTAACGTCTTCGACACTGTTCCACTTAGGTTGACGGTGGTTCTTGATGATATTGGGCTTCCAGAGCTAACCAAGTTGCTGGAAGAGGTCAAATGGTTGGAGCGTGGCGGAGGACTAGAAGAAGTAGCCGTCGCCGAGACACCTGTTGCGCTCGAGCTGGAAGTGTGCAGTCCAGTTGAAATGCTAGCCCGGGAGCTGGATGGAGCGCTTGGCTGCAAATGCCTGGAGGGCGAATTGGAGGTGAAGGAAACGACGGAAGACGAGGCCTCAGCGCCTGTCACCGAGGTATACCGGATATTTGAAGAGATAGGCTTCGAGCTGGACGGCACAGCTGAAGGATGCAATGGCAGATGGCTAGATGTAGGAACAGAGCTAGCCGAAGCAGCAATTGGCAAAGACAGGGCAGTCGACTGAGAAGCATGCGGAGTGCTAGAAGAAACATGCGACGTGCTGGAAGAGACGTGCTGTGAGCTGAACGGCACAGTTGGAGGAGTCAACGGCAGATGGCTAGATGTAGGAACAGAGCTAGATGAAGCAGCAATTGGCAAAGACAGGGCAGTCGACTGAGAAGCGTGCGGAGTGCTAGAAGAAACATGCGGCGTGCTGGAAGAGACATGCTGCGAGCTAAACGGCACAGTTGGAGGAGTCAACGGCAGATGACTAGATGTAGGAATAGAGCTGGATGAAGCAGCACTTGGCGAAGATAGAGTGATCGACTGAGACGCATGCGGAGTGCTAGAAGAAACATGCGGCGGGCTGGAAGAGACATGGTGCAAGCTGGATGGCACAGTTGGAGGAGTCAACGGCGGATGACTAGATGTAGGAATAGAGCTGGATGAAGCAGCACTTGGCGAAGATAGAGTGATCGACTGAGACGCATGCGGAGTGCTGGAAGAGACATGCTGCGAGCTGAACGGCACAGTTGGAGGAGTCAACGGCAGATGACTAGATGTAGGAATAGAGCTGGATGAGGCAGCACTTGGCGATGATGCAGTGGTCGACTGGGAATCATGCGGTATGCCCGAAGAGGCAAGAGGTGAGCTTGAAGCCACCAGCTTACTTGACGGGCTGGAGGCTGGAGAGGATGCCGGGGAACTCGAATAGAACACTGAGCTAGAAGGCGTGATCGTCGGCTTAGGAATTGGAGTCACAATGCGAGTGATAGTCGAGGTCGGCAAGGGAGTAGTCGGCGGAGGGGGAGGAGCGCAGTCGTAGAGGATCTGCTTCATTTCCTGGGCATAATTGAGGCCGTCGATGGAGGTATTGTTGTCCGACGCCGTAGCTTCCCACAGCATGATACCACCAAATGTCTCCGGGAATAAGCCCATGTAGATCTCGACCAGAGGGTACACTTCGGCAGGCGTGAGGTAGAAACCCTCCCCAGCAGCTTCTTCGGCGGCCGGAAGACCAACAAACAACTTGGCATCCGGGTTGCTGCTGTTCTTGATTATATCAACCCAGTTGGCGAAGTTGAAATCACCAGTGCCGTTGACGAAATCCCGCGCAGAGCACCCCTTTGTGTTATAGAACTGGACCCAGATGAAGTCGAATGCCGAGTGGGAGATGGCGCTGCTGAGCTGCTCATCAGGAAGGGTGCACTGCGGGGCACCCGAGATGTAGAACTTTTGGTCAGGATATTCGTCGAAGTGGGATCGAAGGCGGTTAATCATGGTGGCGTAGCCTATTCTTATTAGTAAAAATTCCATCGCAGACCAGGCAGGGACCTTACCATAACCGCCGTCATGCTCGATATCGAAGTCAAACCCGTCCATGGAGTTGTCGAGGAATGGACGAGGATAGATGTCGGTATAGTTCTCATTCTGAGGACCGAACGAGTACCACAAGAAGTCCGCAAACCAGATGGCTTGCAGCTCGTTTTCAAGCTTTTGATATGCGGTGTCACCTCCGATAGAAAGCATGATGGTCTTCCCCATCTCCTTGCAGATTGGGATATCCTCCCAAATCTGGTGGCAGCCGCTGAGAAGCTCTGATTCAGGGTAGACATTGCCATCACATTGGTTGCCAAAGTTTGAACCGGGGTAGCCTCCGACAGCATCCGGGAAGACATTAATGAAGCCCAAGTTGATGATTTCAAAGGATGTCTCCTGGCAGAAATGGCGGAGGCGAGGTTGGTAGGCTCCTTGGCCCTACAGACAAATCAGTACTGAATAGTGTAGGTAGACGTGGTAAGGACGAACATAGTAGACTGCAACATTCGTTTTCAGATCGACATCTAAAGCATTCGAGAAGACGGCAAGAGACGACAGAGCAGATGTAACGGCGAAAGCCCTCCAGAACGCCATTTTGCAGGCGATTGATGAGTTGCGCTAACGCTTGCAGGTAAATAGACAGGTAAAGAATGGCAGGGCATATACTCAAGACAAATTAATGAAAGGACGCAGAACAGTGTCTGCCGGGGCCGTCACTCAAGGAAAGAGAGTGGAAATGTGACAAGTGTAGATGTACAGGACTAGGGGACAACAGGCCCTGTATTAAAAGAACGCTACACATTGACCGTGGGAGGAGAAATGCCCCCTAGAACATGAGCGCCACTATCTTCCGGCTAATGAAGACGCACGAGATGGTCCCTCAGTTAGCACCGGCGCCTAGGCAGTCCCTATTTTTTTTTTCTTTTCCAAAGCTATGTACGGGGGTTCCATTCCCAGAACACTCCACCTGCTCGGGTCGGACAAATAGCGGTTGGAGCAGCTAGCTCAACTGATATAGCCTGGGACCTAAGAGTGCGAGAAAGTACTAGCGGAGATGAAAGTCGGAACGTCGGAGCAAAGCCCCTCTCTCAGATGACCGCTAGGACTGGGGATTTCCGTCGCCACGTATTCAGCCTGCTAACACACCGGATAAGAAGTGGTCCGGACCGAAGCCTTCGTGGCAGTGTGAGCTTGTGCAAAGCCACCACTGAAATAAGTCGGGGGAGGGAAATAGTGACTGAGTGGCTTCGGGGTGGACTCCAGGCGCCTCTACGATAACCACAAGAGCCTCATAAAGGGGTCTAGCGTACCCTACTCGAAGTAGCCGCAAGGTCCGGGCACCGGACGGAGAGGGGCATGAACTAAACTGGCCCGAAGGGAGATAGGCGAGCTCGTCGCTCGCCAATTGGGTATCCATAGGTCGAGGTTACGCTAAGCGTGATAGTTCCGAGTGAATCGTGGATATACCAAAGGGGCGGAGATGGAAAGTTGCATCTGATCAGAAAGCTGTCCGTAAAGAGCGGGTTGTATAAGACACACTACGCACTCTAATCGACGTATATAAAGGTGCACAGAACTGCGAATGAAAATTCCATCTGGTTGGGGGTTGGGTCGGAATTGAAATGGGAGATTGCGTCGATGCACAAGAGAGGAGCGATGGTCCGTGGAGCCAACAGCATAACGGCATCCGGCGGTAGTGCGGGTCTTAAGCCTCATAGGTACGCCAATCAGCACCCGTGACCAAAGAGGGTCGGAAAACGCCTACCGGATCAGCACGCCATTTTCCAGCTCAGCTAGAGGGTTGGGAGGCTCACAGGGAACTCCCTCCTCTGGCATCATCCCTGATTTGATGCCTGGTCCCACCTAAAGGAACGCCCCCGATGCTACTCTAAGGCTTGGGCACAAACTCTGCGAGTCATGCACCGAGCTAGAACATGCAGGCTAGTACAATAAATCCTCCCACGCAAGTGATTTCCGGTCACTCCCGGAAATTTTGTCTCATATTAAACCGTATTGTCAATAAGTAGGGGAAATCCGAGACTGCCTCCATAACTAACCTCTTGACTTTCGCATCTGTGGGTTCGTGGACCGTCTAATGGAAACATCCTAATCATGATTTATTATCTTTGCCAAATTGACAAGGCAGGACGGGTAGTCTGATGCGTTAAACTAATTAGACTTTGTTATAAATGCTTTATCAGCTAATTCGGGTCTCGCTTTCGGTTTCGAGCTTCCGCTCCGGTTGCCTCCACTTAGTGCCGAGATCGTCTCTTGGCGCAGACCCCCAAATTGCTCCCTATACCTATCGCTCCTACACGTGAGGGTGTGTTGGTCTCTTTGCTGCTAAAATAGGAGTGATGATTCGTGAAAATGAGGTGAGATGATCGGATGTAAGACCAATCGGTCAGTATATCAATTGCAGTTTACACAGAGTTGACCTCCCGTGATGTCGCTATAAGACTGGGAGACTGCATGAATCGGACTAGCTACTTCATCTTACAAACGAATGCTCTGGCAGCCGATGAGAATGCAGCCTTTTCAATCACTTGATTGCCTCGTGGCCTCTATTCAAACGAACGTGCGCCATATCTCAGATGAGCAAAGCACCATCCAGTCCTGCGCCTGGATAAAGATCCAACAATTGTGAGGGTAACAAGTCCTAGCTAGATACCTCATTTCCACGTAGGCTCTACTTGGTTAGGCACCTGCTTGAGCGTGACTCACACAGGAATAACGCTCGCCATATCTGGGTTACATGGCGAGGTTAGCGCGGCGATGACACGGACGCTTATTTCGGATAGTTCCCCAGGAGCTTGGACCGAAAGGAGCATGGTTGAACTTTGCTTCCAGGTGGGTAAACTAGGGGCTTTAGCCCATAGCATGCGCTGGAAGGCCCGCAAAGTCCCATTCGACCAATCTCGGCTATCGGACTAGCCTACGCCGAAGGCTGTGTTATTATGACAAGAAATTCAATTAATTCAGCATGTCTAGTGCATATGAACCAAGGGATAGTCTTCATTATATGAACAAAGAAGTCGATACCCGAATCATGGGAATGCGTTGCGGTGAAAATTATGAAATGGCCAACAGTTTGTCGGAAATGTTCTCGAGGAGAATTTCCTCGTGACGGCGGCGAATTGAGATTTCTGCTTTGGAGTCAGCTTGTAATGTAACCCCATATCGTCTGAATTGAGGAGCAGATCCATCTGCGAGTTGGAAGTCATATTTGAGTAGCACATGGTACAGAAAATTATTGATCTCGTTTGTGCGAAACCCCGTCCTGGGCACGCCTCGTTGCCGTGGACTCATCCCAGATGTTCAGGCGATGGCATTACAAGCTAGGCGTCGGCCCCCTGGACAGGGGTCTGTCGCTTCGAGGTCTTGCGTGATCCCTGTCAGAGTGTCGCATCACGAGTCAACTTGGGGGTCGTTCCGGAATGGCCCATGTTGTAGTTAGCCCAGCCAAGCAATAAAAGTAACCCATTTTATTTGCTGTGAAATTGTAGATAAAATTGCTTTCCGGGTGAATTCCACACCGTGTGACCGCAGATGAGTGGTCCATGTATTTTGTGCCGTTCTTGGAGATCCTATGCCGAGGTAGGCTGATGCCAGGTTGACCAGATCGCTGTACACATTCGCGATGACTCGATCTCCATTGGTGAAGTTCAGACCAGGAAGCCAGCCATTGCCCTTTAATACCAATGATTGGATGATCCTCCCATCCGTAGTTTGCGTTGACCTAATTGATGCTCAGTTGTAGGTGATGTGTCATCTACCGGTAAGGATCTTGAGACAAACCTTTTTGCCAAGCGAAGTATACTGATGCAGAGGTACTTTGGAATATAGCGGAGGCAACAAAGCCTCCCTTCAGATCTTCCTCGTCATGCCAACCTGTTTCCTGTGTTTGGTTTGCGCTGGCCTGGGTGCAAAGGGAGTGTGGTATCTCTAGAACAACGCCGGGAACCACCTCATAGGAGGTGACGGCTTTGAGCAAGGTTCCGTCCCTGGATCGTATGACATCCGACGGAGCGTATCGCACCTGAACTGCTGTAATCCAGCACTGAACGGCAGTGGCGGATGGGGCATTTTCGATGCCACTTTGGGATGGACTAATTTGGCCACTCATGGGTCGGTGGTCTTGCATGGCCTGTACTGGTTGGTGACTATGAGGTGGTTTTTTTGGCAACGCATGCGATTGGAACGAGAGCCATGGCTATGTGCCGGTTCTGAGCCCTTTCGTCCGCGCTGGAGATCATACCAGGTCCGAAATGACTCAGTCGACAAGCATAATGTCAGGACTCTTGGTTTCAACAAAGGAGACGCCATTTTGATATGTCCTGGTGCTCGTCTGGTCCGCATTGACGAGGCTTCTGCTTGACGAGGCAGATGCAGGAATTATTTGCTGGTTTGGTTCAGTCGGAACACAAAATCACAATATACCAAGCTGATACCCTTCTTTATTAAGACTCCGAAACCTGAAGTCCGCGATCGCCTTAAGATTGAACGGGTCTTCAATCTATACACGATCTATTCCTGCTCGGTTAGCCCTCCTAAGTCCATTCTGGATTCAGCGACATTCCACATCAGAGGAAGTTTGAAAGACATTACATTCATGCGCGAGATTGAAGCAGTCAAATATGGTAGCCCTGGAGCTCCTGGATGCTCCGGGTGGTCCTTGCTGTTCAAAGGGTGCGCCCCTACAGTCACGTGTGTGTTCTTCACGGGACGCATCTACCAAAATCCGAGCTTCCCAGCATGAAGGCATCTGGAGATTATCCGATAATTGTACCGCTGATCCGACTTCAGTAAGTTTGCTAATTAGTGTGTGGTTGAAAGTGCACGGCCAAGGGAGTGTGGTGGACGGTGTCGGTTGGCTGCACGTCATCGAGGAGGCCCTTTTACTCGCCCTGTGGGCAGCCAGTGTGCTTTCAGAAGCCCTGCGTTTACCTCCCCCGAGACTAACCCTGTCAATGATGCATCGACAGCTCATCCAGCGCCTGGGATTGGATTCCTCGAAAACTCCGAAAGGCCGATACGCGAGGACTGAACCGGACTGACGTTGAGCGAGCGGCCCAGGGATGGGTATAGCCCAGGCGCCCGCAATACAAACCCCTGCCACCCACGACTTTGAACTCCCCTAGTGTGGCATTCCAGCCGATCAGCAGACGGGAAATCTGTTGCAAGCTGGTCAATCCACTCATTGGGCTTTGCGCAGGCCATGTTCGCGGCTGGGATTCTTGCCATTGCGGACCCCTCCGCTGGCACATTCCACCCCTCCACAACCAGGCGCGTCGACGCGCTCCCAGCCCACCTGTGCTGGCTTAATTTAATCCCTCCATGCTCCCTGTCAAATCTCGTGTTACTTCATGTCTTTTGTTGTGGCAGATAGGTGAACCTATAGTCGGCTTGTGCCTACATCGGACGGTTGTCAAACTTCCATCCCATACTACGCGACCGCCGCTCCTGGGATTCTTTCTTCATCACCACTAGGCTATTTATTCGCGGCAGTTCAAATTTGTCGGTGGCGCTGCAGGGCAGCTCGCGTACTTCAGCAACGCGATCATGGCTACTGGATTCTCTGTTACACCCCGAAAGGAAGGAACTTGGACCAAACTGGTGATATTCGTCTCACTATACTGCCTGATCCTTGAATCCATTCTAGGAGTGACCCTCGTCCTGTTTCTCTATGGCAAGCATCAAGTTGATTCAAAGATGACTCTTAGCTTGGTTCTCTGTCTGGTATCCGTATGTAGTAATATTGGCACATCTCTTGATCGATTACTGACCTCGGCTATAGTCACTTCTCACCATCCCGCTGGTTTCTCTCCAGAGTTTGGTCGCCTGGCAATATAACAAAATTGGAGGATTTGGAGAGCAGAAAACAGTACTGCACAATGTCTGCACCTATGTACTGCGATTGGATCTCATGCTGTGGCTGGCTACCAGTGTTACGGGTCTGATCGTGGCCGCTCAGCAAGTCTATTGCCTTCCATCTGGGACAGATGCCAGCTACTGGAGAGTTGGTGTTAGCTGCGTGTTTCATCGGTCATCCGTCGTTGTCTCCGTCGCCTCACTGTAAGTGTTCTGGGTTCTGTTGGATTTACAGTATGGAGTATATCTAACAAGTATCTTCCTAGGGTCACTGTTTGCACCATGTACTGTGCGCGAGAGCTTTGTGATCGCCCTTACGACGTTTCCATTATTGGAATCTATAAACGTTCGCAAGCACTTCGTGATGACAGCATTTTCTCTGGCCACAGTTGGGACAGCGACGAGACTCTTAAAAATGAGATTTTAAACCTTTGTCGCCAGCATGATGGAAAAACGGCTGAAGAGCCGTGGTATTTCGACCCACTGGCCCATAAAGTGAACTGCCATCCAAGCATCCGACACCCTGCACCTGTTCGTCTGCGTCCACAGCTCCACGTCAACACAAATGCAGGCTCCGAGTATGGAGAAATCACCTCTGGAACGACGGTATCCCCCGATGACACCATGCACCGTTTCTCCCCTGGAGGCCAAACAATCACGACTGATTTCTATCCTATATCGCGTACTTCTACCGTCATGACATCGCAAACCGCCTGCGAATCGCGAACTCTTCTTTCCGACTTTGCGGTTCCTAAGGTACCAGCAATTCCCGAGCAGTATACGCCGAATCACAAGAGGGGGAATTCATCTCTATCTTCGTTCAGGCGTTTTCTTCCCAAATCTTTCCCTCTCTCGCTGCCACTGTCATCGGACCCACAGATACTGGCCCTTGCCGACCCCAATGCGGCATCAGATGTCGAGAAGCAAGTCGTGACTCCGTCCACTTCCAGGAAAGATCTCACAGCAGTCGCTCACGAGATGCCTGTCGATAAGACTCAAGACTCATCCACGTCTATAGCGACCCAAACACCTCAAAAGTCGGCTCCGTCACCACACAACAAGCCCGATGGCCATGCTCGTACAATGACAATGAACTCTGCCGATGCACCAGAGGTGGTGATGCCTGTGAAGCCCACCAAAGTCCGCCGGTCCCAAACCGCGTATCTAGCAGCGATGTCTATCCATCACCCACACCATCCCAACTACATTCCTGGTCCCACAATCCCTCCCAACCCACGGAAATACTCTCTTTCGTGCCGCCAAAACTCTGCGAATCTCCCTTCACATGTCGATCCCCTACGACGGACAACTTCTCGTCAAACCAACACTGTGCAGTACCCTGTCCGCAGCAGCTCGTATTCATTCGATCAGCATATTCCACGGCATACCCAAAGCCAGTACCATGCCAACTGGTATCCACACCCTCCCCGCTGGGCTAGTCATCCAGGATTCGATCCCAGCCGCTCAGTGCCTAACCTACCACGCCGCAATGACGTTGAGATCATTTACCCGAGCACCCGGCGATCGCGCAGCAGCACTAATGGAGGCTTCAATGGTCCGTTGAGCTGTATCATGGAATTATCTTCGATGCCACGGGCGTCCGTAGCTGATACCAAGCTCAGTGCTGCCGCCTTAGAAGCAAAGCGCAATGTGATCGATCAAACGACCTATCGCGGCGCGAATCGCACCAGCTTAGGCTTTTATTGACAGCTCTGTAATATCCCTGATTGTCTGCTGGTCAGGCTTCTTTTTGTTTCTCAAATCATGTTTAGCTTCAAGTTACATGCTTACATTCGGATAAAGTCTTGGTCCGCATGTTTTTGGAGTAAGTAGAGTACGGTTTCAAAGTAGTTCGACCTCGTATGAGTGTCGACACCAGAAATGATATTAAAGTTCAAAAAAAATATGACCAAACACTTGTATCAAGTTTGAAAAGTGAAATTTCAATCTGGTTTGTACAATCCTTATTACCAACACCGGCCCAACGCTAGAATGCCTACAGCAGAGAGTTGTATGCAATACCGAAAACCCGACACCCATAGGCCCACCCAGAATGCGAAACAAATACACAAGACGGATTCCATAGGCCAGAAGCTCTATACCTTCTTCTCTCCACTCTTAGACCGATGCTTAGTGGCGTATTTATACTTATAAGCCTGGCCTTGCTTCGTTTCAGCACGATCTCCATCTCGCCGACGATTCTCCTTGCCCTCAGCCAAGGGACCAGGTCCCTTACCCGTCTCCTTTTCGCCCCAATACATCATGAGGACCTTAGCCATGCGGTCACGCTCTTTGAGCAGCAGATCCATGCGACGTTCCCATTCACACTCTCGCTTATCTACAGACAATGCGATGCGCTCGTCAACTGCGGCAGCAGTTTCATCCTTGGCGGCGATGACAGCTTTCAGGCGTCTGATCTCAGATTTGAACGTCGTTCGCAGTTGCTGTTCTTGAGTAGAGACCGAGGTACGGATGGTGGTGAGTTCGGTGCGCAGTTCTGCTTCGCGTGCTTCGGCGGCTGTGAGAAGGTTGCGAATTTTGCGCATAGAATCGGCATGAGAGGAGCGGAGAGTGGAGATGGCAGTGGAGTGAGCGGTTTGGAGGCTTCGAATTTGGGTTTGATGGAATGCTTCCAGTTCTGCCGTGTCTGTAGCGTCTCGCCCCTTGGCATCAGTGGTGCCGTGGGCTGTCCGTGGTGCAAGTGGAGGGCTCGTGGGTAGGTCAAGATGTTCCTCTTGAAGACGAGCGATTGTCTCGAGAGATTTAGCGTGCTCTTCTTGTGTCCGCGTGAGTTCGCGCTGAGTCATATTCAGGCTCGAGGTCAGCTCTTCCACTCGAGCAGTAAGGCGTGCGTTCTCCGCTTCGATAGTTTTGATAAGGTTCTGGGTTTCTGAAGCCTGGGCCTTGAGACAACTGGCCTCGGCATCCGCAGCCTTCTGGGCCACAATAGCTTCTTGGAGTTCATGCTGAAGCTTGGCGAACTCCTGGCCCAGATGCTGCATATCTCCGTCCTCGAAATATTTCTCCTTGAACGAAGACTCAGGCCTAGGTGCAGGATCTGACCCACCGAGGTCCTTGATTAGGTCGAGGATCTCGCTGTAGGTGCTTCGGCTGCTAAAGGGCAGATCCGCGGCTACGGCCTTCAGGGCACTTTCTTGGGCTTCCACTTGGGACTGGACACGAGTGAGATCCGCCTCTAGAGAATGATTTCTCTCCTCAAGTGGGCCGCTTCTAGTCTCCAGAGTGGTCAGCCTATCTTCAAGTGTTTCATAATCGGCGTTGACCCGCTCGAGCTCCGTCTCTAATCTGGCGTTCTCCAGAGCTTGATCATCAATTTCGCCCCTGAGCCTATCAATTTCGGCGTTTTTCTCGTGAAGCAGAGCCTCCTTTGACAGGGTGATTTCTTTCAGCTTGGCCATTGTCTGATCCAGGGTTTCATCACGTTTCTTCAGCTGTTCTTGGGTGAGGTGCATTTGCTGCCGCAGGTGAGCAATCGTTTCTAACCGCTCCGCGCCCATGGAGTCCTGCGACTCTCGGGTTTGGAGCTGTTTATGCATGTCTCGAATCTGTTGTTCGAGGGCGCTAAAATCCGGTTGGCTTTCCATGGATTTCTGGAGTAGCTTCTCTCGTTCCTCATGCTGTCTCTGGAGGGACTCTACTTGCTCACGAAGCTTTGCTTCTTCTGCACCCCTCGCACGCATTTCTTCCAGTTGCTCATTAGTGCGCTGAAGCTCCGTTTGTAGATGCCGGATTTGTTCTCCTGCAGAAACAGCCTCAAGCACTCGCTTTCGGTTCTTATGCAGCTGCTCATCTCGGTTGTGGACCTCCTCCTCTAACTCGGCAATGCGCTGCTGTAAGCGCCGCTCCAAGTTGTCTGCTTCATTTTCCGGGATTGTCGAGATTCTGCGTTCCGATGGAGACGCAGGAGTGGAAAGCTCATCATCCGGATCCTCTTCGATGTCTTCCAGTTGAGTTGAGTCTCTAGCAAGCGCGCTAGTCCGGTGCAATAAATGTGACGGGGTCGACATATCGACCGGGGGCCCAAATTCGCTGATTTCGCCAGGCTCCGCATCCTCTTCAACGGCCGGTTGTCGTAACCTCATAGAACTATATCGCGACGCAGATCCGGGGAGCTCGCTGAGGTCGTTGGCCCGGCTTTTCCGGGAGCTCGACATGCCATCACCCATTAAGTATCTCTCCATGTTTGCCGTGAAGTCCTCTGGACCGCCCACATCGGACAGCTTGTCTTCATCCTCGCTTGGCTCTGGTAGCGGGGGCCCGTCCTTGCCGTCTAGAAACTTGCTGCTTGGGAACTGGCTGAAGTCCAAAGTGTAGTCGGCGAGGCGTGCATCCAAATCGAAAGCGGAGGGACTACCGGGGGTCGAAGGGCGAGACAGTTCCTGTAGCTCATCTTCATGGTGATGCTCATTATCGCTAACATGCGCTTCATCATTTTCATGCTCATGAGGATCGAAGGGTTCGGAGACCGGGCTCTCGGGACGTGGTGGGGATTCTGGTGCTTCCGTCGCGGGACTCGAAGGTTGCTGTGGTGGAGAAGACGGCATAAATAGGGGCGTTACCAGGGTTGACTGCCCGATGGTATCGTGGGAGGTCGGAAATGGCGACGTGTAGCCCGCGTTGGCCATGATCGCCGACACGCCGCGGGATGTTCAGAATTGATCGCGGCGCTGCCCGCGCGATGAGGAAGGAGAAGTCGGATATCAAAGTTTTGAGTGCCAATGCAGTCGCGTCATATGTGATCAAGGTCTGTCATAAATAGCTAGCTAGATAACAATAACCACTGCGGGGAGAGGAAGACGAAACATTCACCGGGCGCGATGCGCGTGCAAATGCTTTGTTGGTGCCTGAGGCGCCATGTTTACTTGCTGCCCTTTCGGGCCTAGCAGATTCTTACTTTATTACTTTCTCGTGATCGTCGATTTGAAGATCATATTGATCTACTTTTGAAAATTACCCATCTCATTATGGTTGATCTTTGTCATGGACACTTGTCTCTTTCAAGTTTTCCATTCTTCAAATCCAGGTGGCACTACAGAGGGCTCCCGCGAACGCCTGGTCACCTCAGCGTCGTGCATCCGTGCGTTTCTCACAGCCTCTTCCGTCTCGAAGGCTGCTTTGCGCGTGGCGCGACCACCCTTGGAGGCGATTTCGCGCTGTAACCAGTCAGCCAAAGCTAGATTATAGTTATGCCCACGAACAATAATACCTGTTTGTCTGGATCCATGTCATGAAATCCGCCAACGCCTCGCGCTTTCCCACCCTTTTTACCACCCCGGTGGCCCATTGCTGACAGCTCCTCCCGTGGCCTGTTTGCGAAATTTCCCGGATTTGGATGGTGCTTGTGTGTTGCGGTAGCGACGCCACAGCGGTGCCAGACTGCGATCTGTCTTGACTGAAGAGGAGGCGCAAGACAAATTAGAGGACGTAGCATTGTTCTGGACTGTTGGCTGTAGAAAACCACCACTCAGTACAAAATCTATTCAATCAACAGATTTAGGAAAATGTACATACCGGTACATTGGGGACTGTATCCGGTGGGTACCACGCGCAGGAAATCCTGCCATTTTATAGTTCGTGATGTCTATCGCCTCTTAGATTGCAGGCGCGGCCCACGGCTCTCCAATGAACATTCAAAATTGGCTACCTAGACGTTGCCAGCAATTCGTCATTCGTTTTTCGGCCCACTTACTTACCCACATTTCCATCACTGAGGGCTTCGGCTTCGAATCATGATAGAGTTCAATCGGAGTTGGATCCGAGCCTCAAGGGTTGATGTCATACTAATATATTCCAATCCACTCTTGTGCTTATGCATGTACCGAACCATGGGACGAGCCCATAGGTATATTTTCGAGATGAATCGAATGAGATAGCTTTTATTATCACACATGAATAAGATACTCGATCTTGCCCCCATCTCTCCACAATTATAACAACCCAGACTCCAGCCCCATCGTGAATGATGGACGGGCTATAGCTGAGCGACACTACCTATGCCGTCACCGAAACCACAGGTACTCGGAGATGATGGTGTAGGAAATACTACGAGTAAGTATTTATAATGGATGCAGATTATCGTTTGTGGACTGGGAGGCCGTAGTCTGGAAATATTTTTACTATATTAACTAAACAAGATAAGATTGTTAGGAGAGCTAGCCGCTACTAAAGTAATTTTCAGATTCCGTTTCCCCCAGCGATAAGTGCTAGCAACAATAGAATTCTTCGTTAAGGATCGTGCTGGTAGTTTTCTTACCTTTAAGATATCCCAAGGCCTCCCCTTTTTCTACTTAAAATACTTTAAGTGCTAATTCTACTCCTATAGCGATACGTGCTTCTAATTTCCTACTTCAGGCGACACCTATCGTCATGTTTCTGCTTACATGTCTTTCGTTTGTATCACAGGGTACTTCGATCTCTGATAACTGTGAACAATGGGTGCCAGCGGCGTGATATTTTGGCTTTTCCTGTTCAAAAACAATATCGACTGACGCTATTACTGGGATACAATGGGAGAAACGGCAAACGTGCTTCACTATGGACTCTTCAGTGATGATAAGGACAAGGTAATCCAAAGATGAGTTCGCCTGGATTGTGTTATTGTTCTCCAGAACAAAAATGACCAGGTCATCATCGAACGCTACTGTCGTGTCGCGGGTTGCTGTAAGAGCACTATCGGTGATTATCACGCTGCTCACTTCTAAATTTTCATGCTAAACAAAAGCTTTCACGAGCCCTACGCCAGACCAGATTCCCTGATTGCTCACCTCCCCGATATTCATGGACTTATCGTGGCCAGAACGAAGGCGGATCTGTCCGTGGCACACAAATGCTGTATCTTGGTATTGACACGAAGAAATAAAACTCATCATCGGCCAACAGCCTGGTATTAATCAATCTTCAATGGCTCAGAGGCCATCGTCCACCCTAGGCACCTCATCAGCGATCGATGCCTCTGGAGTAATGCCTCCGTTGGGACGTACCCTGGATGCGACTCTTTTGCGACGACTTCCCAGAGAATGGGAGGGTCTCTATCAAACGCACCCGTAGTCCAGGGGCACATATGCTTCTCGACGAACACGTTTCCATCCTAAGAGAGAGGTGCTAGGCATTGTAACTGTCGTTGGCGTCTTCATTGTCGCCGTTATGTTTTTAGCATTTTAAGTTCAGGGCTTACAATGAACAATATCAACACTGGCTACCATATACTAGAGCTTCGATTGAATTGTCACTGTTTTAATGGGAATTGTCGTTAGAGATTTCCCTGTAACTGTAAATTGCACACCCGTGCTATCTCGGGCTAGTAGACAAAAAGCTGTCTACTGCTTAGTCAGTGCACTGCGGGATGGATGGCCCCCCTGGCAGTATCGGCCAATGTATTTCGCGGTGCTATGTCCATTGTCAATCCACTAAGGACTGACTACACCCCGAATCAATAGCTTCAGATCGTTCCTCTTTCGACTAGAATCAAATTGGCTTACTACATTGTTTCAAGTCAACCATCGCTGCCTTTTCCGACAGCGATAACGTTCCAGCGTAATAGGGGCCCCGCTATCTTCAACCACGTTCCAAACACAACCGAGCTCGCTTGGCCCTCCACGAAGGCATAGGCTGAAACTGAAGAGTCTACTCAAATACCGTCAATATGCCTCCTCTTCCAGGCGCTCCGCTAGAGCGCCGACGGGTGATCTGCTACCACCAGACGCTGATTCCCGGCGAGGGGCCATACGTTTCTATGCTCCCTCTTGTGGAGCACAACACTGGCATCACGCATGTTATACTTGCAGCCATCCATATCAATAATACGCCAGGGGATATCACACTCAATGATGATCCGCCAGATAGTCCGAAGTTCGATCCCTTGTGGGCAGAAGTTCCCCGCGTGAAGCAAGGCGGCGTGAAGGTGATGGGCATGCTAGGGGGTGCCGCACAGGGGTCTTTCATGCGCCTCGACGGAAGCTCACAGCAGTTTGAAATGTTTTACGGTCCGTTGCTTGCCATCATCCGCCGCTATGCGCTTGACGGACTTGATCTGGACGTTGAGGAGCAGATGTCCCTCCCGGGCATCATCCGTTTGATCGACAGGCTGAAGCACGACATGGGCGACAGCTTTATCATCACGCTAGCACCCGTGGCAGCCGCTTTGCTCGGTGTGGGTAACCTGTCCGGATTCGACTATCGTGAACTTGAACAGGCGCGCGCTTCGAAGATCGATTGGTACAATGCCCAGTTTTACAACGGCTGGGGCCCCGCAGAGGATCCGCGGATGTATGCCGCGATCGTGGCGCAGGGCTGGTCTCCGCGTCGTGTGGTCTATGGTCTACTGACGAATCCCGGAAATGGATCTCAGGGCTATGTGTCTCGGGATAAGATCAGTGCCGTTCTGGCGATGTTAGTCGACCTGTTCCCGAACTTTGGCGGGGTCATGGGTTGGGAATACTTCAATGCCCTGCCTGGCGCGCGCGAGGCACCTTGGCAGTGGGCCGCAGAAATGTCGATGAGCATGGGCATGAAAGACCTGGTGGTTGCGGCTCGTCAAGTGTTGGCCGCGGGGCCGATGGCCAGCAGCCTGAATAACTTGCTCCAGGACATGATGAACCAAGGACGGAGCTTGTGAGGTTAAAATGAATGATTATATACCCATAATGAGGGACTTTTAGATCCCAAATGGATTTAGGGGCTGCATTCAGGAATATATAGAGAATAAAAGGAATTGAAGTCCCAAGAGTCCGATCTATCAGACGCGGTTTGGAATGTTGTTCGGAGCCTGCAGGGCGAGGCGCCAAACGACGTCATCGACATGGCGAGTCCCAATCACCACGGCCAAAACCAGAACGACCGCCCCCGTGTCGTTTGGATTTTAAGCATCTCATTTAACCTTGCAGGGTCTTCCCTCTGTGTTTCTGCAGCGATGCGATGATCAGAAACCCTCACCAGGTCACTGGGAAAATCGCGACGATGGCATCTTTACCGCGAATTGCCGCGGCCACCAGCTCGGTGGCCATCCGATTGTTCGCCTACATCTTCCTCAGATGGGTATGAAGTCTGTTAAATGAAAAGCGATTATCAAATTAACACTTTTAGATTCCCGGTCATCACTTCGTACCCATCATCTTTACCTCGCTGGCAGTGTATCTATCATCGCTCTTCTTCCTAGGCAGCGATGGCCAGCCCTCCAACGCTCGCGCCAAGAAGAACAAAAAGAGCTCAAGTGGTGAGTTTTACCTGTAAATTCCTTAAAAACCAAGATTATCTAATTTGAGCCTCTTTCAGCAAGCTCTCGAGGTTCGAGGACTGCTGATTCCAGCGATTCCGTGCTGAAAACCTTGTTGACAGGTCTACCCTCCAGACGATCGCAGTGGTGGACCTGGACGACAGTGCTGATCAACATCGCGGCAGCTTTGTTCACGCTCGACTTCTTGATTCGAGGCTTAGTGTTATTCCCAAGTACTGACGTGTCTTTCTCACGAATTGGCTATGTCTCTCCAACCACAGCCAGCCTGCTCCTCCGTGAGCCAGATCCAGCGCAACTGCCCGTGGTGGTCTCCTACCAGGAGGCCTCCTCACCGTCCTCTCAGAAATGGACTCAAGAAGGCACTGTCTATAAGCTGGACAACAGCACTGACTTCACTGCTGCTGTGGTATTGAAAAACTTGAAGCCGGCAACCCACTACAGGTACTCGCTGTCGAACAATAGGACAGGCACCTTTGTTACGGCTCCGCGACCTGGGTCCCCGGCTGCGAACAGACTATGCTTTGTGACTTCGAGCTGTTTGAAGCCAAATTTCCCATACAACGTATTTTCGCATCCATTGAAGGTCCCCGGTATCGAGCAAATGACAGAAGCCCTTGGCAAGCTACCCGCGCTTCTGCGGCCAGCCTTCATGCTGTTCCTCGGTGACTTCGTCTATATTGACGTGCCTTTCCGCTTTGGTTCTTCCATGGACCATTATCGCAGCGAATACCGACGAATATACTCATCCCCTTCATGGGCTGCGCGCTCAGTCAATGGTCCTGCCATTGACCTCCCCTGGATTCACACCCTAGACGACCATGAAATTGAGAATGACTGGTCTCAGGGCAACAAGACAGCGCCCTACCCAGCGGCTGCTGACCCATTCTTGCACTACCATGTGGCTGCGAACCCGCCTGTTCCGGAAAAAGCTTTTGCCCACCCTGACGATGTGACTTATTTCTCTTTCATCAACGGCCCGGCCTCGTTCTTCATGCTTGACACCCGCACATACCGTTCCGCGCCCTCACACGACAATTCTACTATTCTAGGCTATGCGCAACTCCAATCGCTCCTGGCGTACCTTGCCACTCCTGAGCCAGCAGGTGTTCACTGGAAGATCATTTCCTCCAGCGTCCCCTTCACCAAAAACTGGCGCGTTGGCACGACTGATACATGGGGCGGATTCTTGAACGAGCGACGCACTGTTTTCGAAGCAATGTGGCACGCTGAACGTGAGGTCGGCGTCCGCATCATTCTATTGAGCGGGGATCGTCATGAATTTGGCGCAACGCGCTTCCCAGATCCCATCCTTGAGTTGCCCCCGTCTGCGCTCCAGCCAAATACACCCGGCCTGGGCCTTCACGAGTTCAGTGTTGGCCCGCTCAGCATGTTCTACCTGCCCGTTCGCTCATACTACCAGACTGACGAAGAGGATGTGTCCGTGAAATATGCGCCCGACGGGAATAGCAAATTCGGATATATCGAGATTGCTGACGGTGTCGACGAGGTTGATCCTACAGCTCCTAACCCTGTACCAGTCCGCAGCTCAATTTTCACGTACTCATTGTACGTGGATGGTGAGGTCGTCTGGAAGTATCGCCTCAGTGTTCCTCTTGCGCCGGCCGCTGGTAAAGATGCTACTCAAACCTCTGGCAAAAATGCTTCTCTCCCACCTGGCCGGGTGCTTGAGGATAAACTGGTTCAGGAGGGCTGGGATGTTGCTGTGAAGACTGCTATAGGCAGGACGGAGGAGCTGGCGCGTCGCGTTATGAAAACGGCAAGTGAAGTGTATCATGATGTTTCAGCTAGAATCCCAGGTGGTAGAGAGACTTCATAAGGAGTTTTCATACTTCCTGCAAGATAAGTGGAAGAGTCATGCATGCAGCCAAAAATCTCCCTGCTCCTCACCAGCAGAGCAATCTGTACGTCATACATAATAGCATAATAGTAAAAAGCAATGTTTTCGATAATTCAAATGGGACCCGCCAAGCGAGGCTTCATCAATGGTACTATAAACTAAATTAAAACATTGTAGACCCGTCCGTACAGACAGTCGCCGTATTGTCCAGGCCACACAGAATGTACGATATCTTCAAGAACGCCGAACACCAGCTAGATGCAAAGTCGATGAACCATTGATGGGTATGAGGGATTTAGAGGACAAGCCACGGGGAGTTGCGATGAACTACCGTCCGCGTCCACGTCCACCACCGCCACCACCTCCGCCGCCACCACCGCCCATGCCTCCCATCAACCCACCCATCTGGCTCATCATACTCTGCAGATCCATGCCTCCAAGGCCGGGTATACCGCCGCCACCCTGGCCGCCACCCATCATCTGCATCATTTTGGCCATATCGCCCATACCAGGCATACCGCCCATTCCACCCATTCCACCGGCGCCACCCATGGCAGCCATCCGCTTCTGCATGGCGGCGAGCTGCTGCTGGTTGTTACCGCCCTTGAGCATGTTCTGTGCCCGCTGCATCTGCTTCTTCTGGCCACCAACCCGCTTGGCCATACCGGCCATCATACGGTGTTGGGAGAGAAGGTCTTCGACCTCGCGAACGGTAGTACCGCTACCGTGGGCGATGCGAACCATGCGGCTGGGCTGGTCGACAAAGGTCTTGCCGTCGCTGTCAATCTCGGCGGCGGTCATACTGTCGAAAATGTAGATCATACGGCGCAACTTCAGCGAACCGTCCTCGTCGTCCAGACCCTGGGTCAGGTTCGAGAGACCAGGGATCATGCCGGATAGCTTGGACAAAGGGCCCATCTTCATGATCGAGGTGATATTCTCACGGAAATCACGCAGCGTGTAGATACCCTCAGCGATGTGCTTGTAGGTCTCCTTGGCCGCGGCGGAGTCCTTGGTGACAGCTTGCACATGCTCCACAAGGCTAGCCACGTCGCCCATACCAAGCAGCTTTTGAACGAATGCGCGCGGCTCGAATCGCTCGAGATCCATCATGTGCTCACCAGTACCGAGGAAGATGATAGGGGTATGTGTAGCAGCAACAGCGGAGATAGCACCACCACCTGCAGCGTGACCATCGGTCTTGGTGATAATGATGGCACCAAAGTCAGCAGTCTCCTTGAAAGCAGCCGATTGGGACTCCGCAGCCTGACCGATAGTACCGTCAAGAACCAGGATGGTCTGGTCCGGGGTGACGGCATTTTGAATCTGGGTCATCTCGGTGAACAGCTCCTCCTCTTGGCGGTGACGACCACTGGTATCCACGATAATGATATCGAATCGCTCCTTCTTGAACTTGGCAACACCCTCCGCCGCAACGATGGCGGGATCGGTCTGGGTCAAGCTACCATAATACGGGATCTTGGCTTTGGTTGCGTTCTGCTTCAGTTGGTCGAAGGCACCGGCACGGAAGGTATCTGCGCAGACCAGCGCCGTCTTGAACCCGCGTGTTTGGTAGTGACGGGCCAATTTCGTACAAGTAGTCGTCTTACCCGCACCCTGAAGACCGACAAACATGATCACATTGGGACGCCCCTTCTTGGGGCGGAAGGGCTGCGCATGAGGGTCGACCAAAGCCACCAACTCATCGAAGACAGTCTTCTGGATCAGACGCTTCTTGTTGACGGCGGCGGGGAGTGAGGAGAAGTTGACGCTGGACTTTATGGACTTGCGTAGTGTCTGGACAAGTCGAACGTTTACATCAGCAGAGAGAAGTGCAGCACAGATCTCTTTGAGCATGTCATCGAATGCCTGCTCCGGTTAGCATACGGTCGTTGGGCCACCACACCAAGCGAGAACATCGCGCACCTTCTCATCGAGGTTGTTAGACCTCGTGAGGTCATTGACGGCGGAGTTGATACGCCGCCCGAGATCCTGAAGGACCATGATGGATAGTTGAGAGGACTGGAGGTGAGCGAATTCACAGCAATCCTGGGGTTTCCCAAACGAAGATGGTGGAGGGGCGAGAGCCGAAAGGCCAAGAAGGCAATGCGGAGTGCCAATCGGAGGACGGGAGGGACTCACCGCCCAAAAAAAAGTTGAACGCTCTGGAGGTGAACTCACCTCAACCTGCACTTTGTTTCTTCAAACATTCGACCAAAAAATTTCGTTCGCAATGGTCGGGTCCTATTCCAAGAAGCGCAAGGTGCAAGATGGCATGCACGGCAAGACCGTCCGCCCAAAGAAGTTCCGCAAGCAGCGCGCGTATCACAGCAGCTCTGAGGACGAGGACGACAACAATGACGGCAATTTCAAGGCTGTCAATCTCGCCGATTCGGACGAGGATGAGGATGGAGGAGTTTCTGTGACCAAACCCTCTATCCTCGAGGCTCGCGCCGCCATGAAAGCCGCGAAACCGACGCCTACGCCCAAGAAAAAGCCCACCGCGGATGAGAATGACTCCGGTGACGACAATGGTGCCGAGGATGATGAGGAAGCCGATGAGGAAGATCTCGACGCCTCTGGCTCCGAAGAAGACGATGACCTTTCCGAGGAAGAGCAATCCGCCGTGGGAGGCAAGCGCCGAGCCGTTTCCAAGCGCAACGACCCCTCCGCATTCTCTACGTCCATCTCCAAAATTCTGTCCACCAAGCTTCCGTCCTCCGCCCGCGCCGACCCTGTCCTTTCCCGAAGCCGATATGCTGCGCAGAAAAGCGACGAGTTCGCGAATGAGAAACTCGACAAGCAAGCCCGTGCTAAAATGCGTGCCGAGAAGAAGGAAGAGCTGGACCGTGGCCGTATCCGTGATGTTATGGGTATTGAAAGAGGTCTTACAGGACCAGTTGGCGAAGAGGAGAAGCGCCTGCGCAAGACAGCGCAGCGCGGTGTCGTGAAGCTGTTCAATGCTGTGCGCGCAGCCCAGGTCCGTGGCGAAGAGGCTGCGCGAGGCGAGCGCCAGAAGGGAACCGTTGGTATGGGAGAGCGGGAGAAGGTCGTTAACGAGGTCAGCAAGCAGGGCTTCCTTGAGCTGATCAATGGCAAGAAAGGAAAGCCATTGAACATCGAAGAGGCTTGAACAAAAAGGATCTATGATTCCCCATGGCATGTTTCCGGCGTTTCGAGATTCTACGTTATGGTTCTTTTCCCTCTTTTTTTTGGTTTTGGTTTCTTTGAATCGCATGTAAATCAAGTCCTGCGGAGTGTTATACAAATATTACAGGAGATTTTTCATTCGGTATCTTGCACGTCTGCTCGCCATATTCAAATGCAAATAATACAGGGTCCCTCGGGACTGAAGCTCTCGCCTTTCGGTCTTGTCCGGGAGGCCTACTTCGCGGACATTACTCCCCACTTTATTTTGCTCCCGACTCATTTCGATTCAAAGTCGCTCGCTTGTAGATTCCGGGTCATCGATGGCAAGCGCACAACCAGGCCATCCAGGTCCTTGGTCATGACCACCTGGCAACCTAACCGCGATGTCTCGGTGAGGCCAAAGGCCAGATCCAGCATATCGTTCTCGTCGTCTGAGGGTTCCTCCATCTTGTCAAACAACTCAGGGTCTTCGACAATTACGTGGCATGTTGAGCAAGCACAAGAGCCCCCGCAGGCACCTATTGCACAATAAAGTCAGAAAGTGGCGGACAAAATCGGAGGTGTATCCGCATGAACATACCCTCCATCTCAAGGTCGTTGGCCTGCGCAATGTCCAGCAGATTGTCGCCCTCGGCCACCTGCAATTCAACCTTGGTGCCATCCTTGTCAATGAAGGTCACATTAATCCTGTCGTCGCGGTCAGTTAACGGAAGAGTGCGAAGGACAGCAATCCTGTTGACTCACTCCTCGCCGGGCTTCGGCGGCGTGATATGGCCATGAGCAGCTTGCGCCGTGATAGAGAAACATCGCTGTGTCTCCTTCCAGCTCGGTGATTCCGGACGGAGGCTCTTCTTGGCCCCAGTATTCCACCGACTGGCGTTTGCGACCCCTCCGGTTCTCCACGGCGTTGTCGAGTGACTAACGTATCTCCGCGGGAGAGCAAGGCACACGTCGCCAGCGCTGGCCTTGGTCACGGCACGGCGCAAGTGCAGGCCGAAGTCTCGCCAGAGGGCCATTGTGTAATGGTGCTGTTCAGCAACCGCAAAAATGAAGGGAAGGAGGTACCGGACAAAGAAGTCGGGAAAGATCTGGGGCGGAGGAGGAGTGAGCGGGCGTCCAATGGCCGCCGACGAAAAAAAAGACCGCCAAAGCTAAAGGCGGCATCGCTCGGACTCAGCGCCGACTTCGACCTTTTCTTTTCTTATCCCCGAACCACCACCTCTCGTCATCCACCATGGCGTCTCGTGAAGGGATCAATCCCCTACGGCCTTACTACATCCCCCAGTCGGGCTTGTCACCTTCCCTAAATGTCACACCCGAGGTGACGTCGCCCTCGTCGGCCCAGGTGTTTGGGAGCACGGCGCGCGACCTCATCCCGGATATCGATTACGCCGATTATCTAGACTCTTCGCCATCCGTGTCGGATTGGGTTCGCGATATCCTTAACCGAGCGCTTGTGCGATACAGCAAGGTTCTCACTGCGCAGCCTTTGGATGTTGCCAAAACAATCTTGCAAGTTTATGTTGTGCCTGATCCCACAGAGGAACAGGAGGACCGGAGGGGACCTCCGGGAGCCGAAGGCAGCTCCTATGACTCGGTATGATCGGTCGCTCCTTTTGGAATCGAGGAACCAGCACTTATTAGGTCATTTTCAGGACTCCGACTCATCCGGCGATGAGAGCGTTTACTTCACATCGGCCGCGCCGGCCACGCCCACCCCGACATCACGATCGCGAAGGGGTCGGCATCATCACATCACGGACCGCAGTGGCTACATTCGTCCAGACACTGCACCAGCTCAGTCTAAGCATGCACTGACACTACGAAATCCGAACTCTCTAATGGACGTCCTCTCCCAACTCTGGTCGACTAGCGGACCAAGCTCCCCCTGGAAGGCATCCAACGCCACTTTCATCTACTCGTTGCTACTCCCAACCCTCAACACCTTCATCCGCAGCCTCCTGTCCGCCATCGTGGGCTTGCCAGAGGAAGATATCGCTTCGTCGATGGCAGCGGATATCCTGACGGCGCCTTCACCCCTAGCGACGCTCATCCTCTCCTTCATCTCCTCGTCCCTCTCCGCCATACTTCTCTCCCCCATCGACACCGCGCGCACCTTCTTGATCCTCACGCCTGCGACCCACGGCCCACGCTCTCTCATCCGCGCCATCCGCCAGCTCCCCACCCCCAACAGCACCATCCCGTCGCACCTCATCCCAATCACCGTTCTCCATTCCAGCTTGCCCAATTTCATCACCACAGCGACCCCACTCTTCCTCAAATCCTACCTGTCAATCGACCCCCTCCTCAACCCGTCCATGTGGAACCTCTTCGGCTTCATTAGCTCCGGCCTTGAGCTCGCCGTGCGATTCCCCCTCGAGACCGTCCTCCGCCGCGCCCAGATCGCCACCTACACATCCCTAAGCCTCCGCCAGAAATCTTCTGGTGGCAGCATCCGCGCTGCGTCTATTGACGCTTCGGATGTGGAAACTATTGTTCCTACGCCGCGTACTTATCGCGGCATTATTGGCACCATGTGGCACATCGTTCACGAGGAGGGCGTTAGCTCCGCACCCTCCGACGCCGAGCGTGCACGTCTCGCCGTCGGCCGACCTACAACCCAGCAGCAGCTGTCGAAGCGTCAGCAAGGCCAGGGTATCCCGGGCCTATACCGTGGTTGGCGCATGGGCATGTGGGGTATCGCTGGTATTTGGGGTGCCAGCCTCCTCGGCGGAGTCGCCGGCGGTAGCGAGGAGGAAGTGACCCTGCGCGGTGGACACGGTCGGTCCAGCGGTGGGCGCTTCTAATCAAGGTGTTCTGTATTCAATCTCCCCGGGCTCATCCAGAGCGGGAGGAGAGTCAAGTCTTGTACCTTCCCATTCGATAATCCTTCTTCCCGGGATACAACATTTCAGGCACGAGTCTGGTTGTCTTGCAAACTAAGGTAATTCACTTTGGCCGGCCCGTAGGGATAGTTAGGGTTTCCTTTTACGCGGCCTGTTTTTCTATCTTGTTGATCGACTCTCCCCTCCTCCCTCTGTTCACACCTTATACCCAGGGAATGGATCCAGGTGTAAGCGAACGACGCCAGTGATTCCCGATTCGCTTCACGCCATGTATAAAAACACCTTTTCTCTACATAGCAACCTGAAACAATACCATTCCATACACACCCTGTTCTTTGCAGTCAAGCCAATTAGAAATACCCTATTTGTTCTGTCTGGGCTCTTCTCCGCAGAATCGCACCTAATATACGAAAATAATGATAAGATGCTTATAGTGCAGCATGAGGCATAGGTTGCCGTGTTTACGCAGAAAGTAGGTCACCGATAATAGCCCACGAGGGAAAATCATTTCATTCATCAGGAAAACGGTGTATACATGACCATAAATAAACGAGCCAAAAACGCCGCTGCAATCCAAGCCGTCTAGGGAAGCGGAACGGAGACGTCAAAAAGGTAAAATCACCAATCTCACCACAGACCATGTTCGTATCGGTCAAAGGTCTCCACACCACCGGTCTACGGTCGCAGAGCCAGGAAAGTGCTGGAGACCAACAAGAAATTAAATGCGTGCTTTTCGAAAGGGGTGGTTGGGTTGTGTCCGGATATGCGACCAAACGATGTCAGGTATCTGATCGAGCACCCCCGGTGTAACTCTGCAACCCCGTGGGTAGAGACGAGAGGTTCACTTCATGGATGAAGAAAGAATATTGAAGATGTAGACCGTATGGTAGTACATGAAGCAATCGGGTTGTGGGTATCAAATTGTCCCGAAGGACAGAGGGAAAGGACCCCGATGCAGAAATCAAAGGGGGAGAATTTGGGGGGAGATTCGTAGTGTAGAAAGGGGTCTATTTCTCGGCGAAGCGCCGGTCGAAGTAGCGCAGCACGCCCATGACGCTGGCTGCTTCGACTTCCATGGCAGCCCGGCCGCCGCGGCTCTCGGCTTGAGCCAGTTCCTGCGGGTTGGGGAGGGTGTGCAGCTTCGGCAGCCAAGAGGAGATCTCGTCGCTGGCTTGGGAGAAGTTCGGGTGCCGCGACAGCGTGGTGAATGCGTCGGCGCAGCTCAAAGTGAGCGCATTGGGTGTAGAGGCATTGGGTGCGGCAGGTTGCGCAGGCACGGAGGGATTGTTGCGCGCGGCCGGGGTGGTGGGGGCCTTTCGCGACATGCAGCATCCGCCGTCTGCTCCCTTGCCGCCGCAGCATCCTCCTCCTGATGGAGTTCCGCTCGCCGACCGGGAGGCTGCCAACGTCTTGCAAAAAGGGTGCTCCGAGGATCGGCAAGACACTGGGCACAAGTACCAGGCCCATTGGCACAGGGGTTGGTCGCTTGGCTGATTGGTGGGAGAGTGACTTCGGAGCGGACGTCACCGTCGGAAGGGGGAGGGGTGAACTGTGAGAGGGACTGGATGGGGGCAAGGCGGTTATTCTCGAATGAGTTGCGCCGGCCGCGCTGCTGCTCCTGGGCAGCCATCTCGGCGCAGATGCAGGGTGTGCCGTCCTGGCAGAAGCCGCAGGGGTCGACGGGTGGGGAAGAGACGGTGTTGTTGTGCGAGCTGGATTGCGCCGGGACGCCGGCGAATCGGGCAGTAAAATCAATCTCCATCTCCTCCGGGTCAGGCTTGATCTCCGGTTCCGAGTTCTCAGGAACGGGGCTGCCCACACCGTGAGGAGGATGTCTAGGCCGAGAGGACTCGTGGGTATCAATTGGCATTCCAAAGGCATCCTCGATGCACTGGCAGTGCGCAGAAGAGCAGTCGTTGCACCCCAAAGGCACGTTCTCCTGTCCGTCTTCCTTGTTCCGGTCGGCGCTAGTCAGGATAACATCTTCCATCTGGGAGCTTCGGGTTGATGGGCGAGTGCGAGGTGGAAGAGGCACGGAGTCTGGAATGGCAGACGGTTTGTAGGTGCTGGAGCCAGAAAGAGAGGACCGGAATTCTTTGACCAGAGCCTCCTTTGCACTGCGTTCGATCGAGACCTCCTTCTCTAGGGAGTGGCATCGGTCGCGCCACCAATTCACCTCCTCGCGGGCCTGCTCGGCCTCCCTTGACAGGTTGCTGATCTGCTCGGTGAAGGCGGCGATGCGGACTTCATGGCCGTCTTCGATCTCTTTGATCTGCTCCTCGAGTTCCTGGACTCGCGCGGCCCGACGCTCTCGGAACGCCCGCTGGGCTGCTCGATTCTGGGCCTTGCGCTTGGTCGGTGGTGTGTCGGTCGCCGGCTTGCGACCAGGCTTGGGGCGAGGTGGAATCACCCATTCTTTCGAAGTGATGGTACCGGGAGTGCCAGGGCCTGGCGACGGAGCTACGGAAGGCCGGGACGTCAATGCGGGGGCCAAAGCCACGGGAGATGCAGCGGCGATGGCCGGTGCAGGCGTGATGGACACGCCTGTCGTGGCCATTATGATGCCAAAATCACTTGAGGTGCTGGGTTGGGAGTCAGCGGGCACATTGAGGAACACGAGGTCGGGCGGGTTCGGGAGGGACGCACGGCCGTCTGTCTCGGTCGGAAGAGCGGAAGTGCGCTCATGCGAGCCGATAAGCGAGGGGCTTAGGGTGGTCACGCAGCACAACAGAGCAGGGACTAGGAGATATTGAGGAAGGAGAGAGGCGGGAAAATGAAAGATCACGATCACTGAGCTAGGTGATTTGACAGTAATTCAGGTGTTCGGGGGAAATGTGGGAAGGGAGGAAGAGAAAAGACAGATGATCAGATTAGATTGGGCTCACATGATGCCGGTTTCGGATGCGCGACTCGGCTGTGGACTAAACCGCTTGGGGGAGGAGGATCCATTGTTCTCGACAGAGTTTTTTATCTGATCCGTATAATTGGGGCCGGGGGGTGGAAAACCGGCAAGCGCGACCGAAAAGTGGACTGACCATACCTATGACTCTTCGTAATTCTTTTACGGGGTCTATTCTGGACATGGATCTCCCTTCGCCAACCGCGTATGGACGAAATAAACATGGAATCGGGTAGCCGTCAGCAAGAATACGGTTTGAAAGACTGATTGAACAACTGTAGCCTTTGTATCCTTCATAGATAGCAGGAACTACTGCGGAGACAATGAAGCTGAGAGAAGCTACAGCCAGGGAGCGAATTTTACTGCGATGGGGTACCTACGGAGTAATCCTTCGCCCGTGGATGGACAGCCCGCGTCGTCCACCATCATTCCCCCTCACCCACTCGCCTTCGGACCGACGCCCATCTACTATTACCTAGCAGAATCGGCGTTCCCACCAATAAGCAGCGCCGCCACGCGCTAGATATCTTCCCAGACCAAATCCTACCAGCGGTGAAGGAGGCAACGGATCGACAGGCTGGTAATCCACGACAACCACATCCACCAAGCCCTAGAGGCCGCTGTCGGACTGTGATCTTATCTGATGGCGCTAGTGGCCTGCCCCTTCGGGCAACCCGGACGACCGTGATCCACGTTTGCGCCCGCTGATCGATGATGCTGCGAGGCAATTCAAATGGGTAAGAGAGGGGTTTTTGGAGACACGGTCCACCGGATCACCCTCCGTTGCTTCAGATTCCTGCGAGCCATTGGTGCTTCGCCCGTCCGGGTCCCCTTGGACGGGGCGTCTTGGCTGCTCCCCCACACCCTGCTAATTTTTATCAATCAGTGGCTCCCTGCTCCCTACGCCTCCCACTGCATGCCGAACGAGGGCCGAAAAACGGGTTGCGGGCAAGATCCGCTCGATATGGGAGCACGCAACCCTACTTCCGTTGGTCCTCGTAAGTATTCTGGCCGAAACGACTGCCTTATCTAGGAAATGGATCCCGGTGCCCTACAAATTAACTAGCGGTAGATGTCATCGCTCAATTTCAACCCTATGGATGGTGCATTTGCCAAATACTAATGATGTAACTTAGCAGTGGCAACTGCGAGGATGTACAGCGCTGATCCATTCTGCTCCTTCCCACTAGCCTCTGCTAGTTCTAGCGTTACAGATGCCAGGTGGACTTGACCGACTAGCAACAGTTGAGCTAGGAAAGAGGGTGTGCACGATTTCGGATCCTTTCTTCTAACGGTGCAAATAGCGGAGTGAAACAATTGTTTTTCTGTATGTCTTGATATTGAAGTGACAGTTCGCATTTCGCATATTGCAAATAATAGCGAGGTTAAAAGACAGCCAGCTGCCCAACATTTACCGCCTTCGTGGGAAACCTCCGAATTATCCTCGCGCAACCCGCTCTAACCGCTGCCCAGCGACTTGGAACGTACAGATCTAGGTTCCCATTTAGCACTGCTACTCAATTTTCAACCCTTGACCCTTACATCCCGGTCTAGTTAGGTACTCCAAAAGATGGAGGACCAGCATACTTCATGTGCAGAAGCGCCTGCATTCTCCGATCCCGCCAACGAAACAGCGCCTGGACCTTTTTCCTTATCTGACAGAATGGGCTGATTCTGTATGGGCTAGTATGAAAGATGTCTAATAGGACGAGAGATAATTGATCAGATTGATGATGATAGAAGATCAGGGGGATTGCCTGTTGAATAGCTATCCCCTAGCTGTACGGACGTATTTCTGTCCGTGCGGCCGATACTCAGCTGTTATAAAGCCTAAGTTTCTCTATAAGCTAGTATTATATATAAAAATATAAGAAACCTAGGCGCTTAATAAATAAGCCCGTTCTTAGTGGTAAGTTACTACTCTATATATTTCGATATACCCCTTTAGTAAGCGGCTAATTTCGCCTAATCTACGCATAGCCTATCTTACCTAGGTATGCGAAGCTTCTAATAGCCGTTTAATATCCTCTAGACCTATTAAACGAACGAATTTAGTATATTTTTGCCTAGGTAGTAGCTTAGTAAGCCTATTAGCTACTATATCGCCCGTTAGTACTTACTGTACTAGTATTCTACCGGCCTAAACTTCCTAACGAAGCTAGTAGTAATAGATATCGATATAACGAAGCTTAGTACGTAGTTAAGGTATTTCTTTAGTTAATAGACTAATAGTCTACTAGTTATCGTATCTTAAAGCGACGGGTTAACTTAGTAGCTAATTAATCGTTTTAAATAAGCGAGTCTATATATATAGCGATCTCCTTACTAATAAGATCGCTAATAATTTAGCTTCGGTAGTGCTAGTAGTAATAGTTGTCTATTTAGAAGCCTTCTAATTAACCGGTCTACTATATATTATATAGATATATCCCTCCGAGCTCTTCCGGTTATAGTTATTAGCGAAGGATATATTACTAAAGATCTATATCTCTACTATCTCTCTATATAGTTCGGACGGATATAAAGGTATATAGTATATAATAGCCCTAGATTTCGTCTAGTAGAGGTAGGAGATAACTCGATCGATAGTATAGAGATATTTAGGCTTAGGGTTTATTAGAAACTAAGCTAGATCTCTAGTAGCTTTAGCTATATTTAGTTAATTAATTATAGTAGTATATTAGGTAGATCTAACCTTCTATTAGTATTAATAAATCTACTCTAGTATAGCTATACTATTATATAGCTTTATCGTTATCTTAGGGAGGGGGGTATTATATCTATAGCTCTTAGTGAGATAATATCGGTTAGCTATTAAAGAGATATAGGAATCTTAATATAGCTAAAGTGCTTTCTATCGGCGATCTCTAAAGATATATATCCCTAAGAACTACTACGCTTTACCTATTTCCCTTAGTTCCTATACCTTATAGAGCTTTTTCTATAGGTTATCTACGGCTATCTATTTTATAGGGTAGTTAATAGTAATAATATCGTCGATATAGAAGAATATAATAATTCCGTTACCGACGAAGAGATAAAGATCTTCCTAGATAACATAGAGACCTAGGGAGATAAGTACCTAAGAGACCTTACGCTACTATAGCCTAGGAGACTTCCGTAGGCTATATAGGGCCTTTATAAGTCTCTAGACTCTCTTCTTCTTCCCCTAAGGGAATAGTCTAGGAGGTAGTTCTATATAGATCTCTTTATCTAGTAGGCTATTTAGAAATATATTAACAGCGTCGTATTAATAGGTATCTAGGTCGAATATAGCTACTAGTACAAAGACAGACCTCGCTATCTATACTACTAACGTTACTAAGTATTTTTTATTACTACTAACGGCTTAGAGGTCTCTACGTACGTAGATTCTAGCCTTATACTTTACTAGGAATCTATTACTATTAAATTTATACGTAAAGATCTATTTTAATAGTAAGATCTAGATATCTCGGTCTATTAGGCGGTCGATCTCTTAGTATATCTCTTTTCTATCTAGCGTTTTAACTTCTAGCGATACCGTAGCGATAAATATATTATAGTATAGGTATTTTATTATCTCTAGCTAATTTATAGATATAGGAGATAAGTCGTCCTAGTGTAGCTATTAATATAGCTAGGGAGGGTTTAAGCTAGTTATATATATAGCTAATACTCCGTCGTGATTTTTATTAGGGTCCTATATTATTACGAGATAGCTATAACCCTACGGAGCCGTTCTCTAGTACGTACCTGTAACGATATTAGTCTATAAGACCGTCCCGTCGATATCTCTAGGCGCTCTTAGTATTATATATTCTTAGAGCTTATCCTAAAGCTATTTATTAGGGGTCTCTTAACGAAATTTAGTTAGAAATACCCCTAGCGGGCTCGCCTCTAGCGGTATATCCGGTGTTAGAGATATAGAGATCTCTGCTAGCTACGACGCTTCCTACGTTACCGACGGTATAGGGGATAGTATCTAATAGACTACCTATCTATCCTTCTGACCGTCTTTCTAAGTTTCTATCGTCTCTTTGGTTAACGTACTCGGCTAAGGGATATCTTATATTAGTAGGGTATCTTATTCTGCGACTGTTACTTCTTCTACGAGTCTTTTACTATATATATTTAGCTAACTATTGAGATAACGGGAGTGTAAGAGCATGTTCTGTTATTATCGTAAGCGAATGTGTCTATAAGGACATAAGTGCGGTCAAATATGGCAGAAGGTACCCGTAAGGGGCCGAACATATAAGGTTAAAGGAAGGTAAAGTACGCCTAGGATTATATCCTCCCCTACTTAATAAGACTCGACCCGAGTCTACCGTGTAAAATCAGTCCTTGTCGGACCCGAAAGTGTGCTAGTATATATGAATATATACGTAGATAAAAGAAAAGTGGCCGGTCGCGGCTAAACTGTGGTTAAACTGTAGTGTGAAAGCACCCTACTAAACTACCTAGGGCACCTATCTGTAGGTAACCCGATGTGTTATGTGATACCCTAGTAGTTATAGAGGTATTATGTGACGTATTAGTACGTAGAAATACCCCCTATAGTAGATAAACGTGAATAGAGGCAATATTTCCGTTTTCGGATATAAAGGGATGTATTAGCTAAAAATATTAATAAAGATACAGCGTATTAGGTAAATAAACAGCTTAAATAATAGCCT